AGTTATTGCTACTATCAATACCAGAACTACTTCAATAACCGGTTAAATACGAGCTCAACTTACTTAGTAGCTCATTTACGAGGACTGCGTTTTTTCTATTTTTTCTCACTAAAAAAAAAAAAAACTTCGCGCTCCTAGAACTCATTTTAAAACTGCAACGCCGCATTCACTTTCATTTTTACGCTATGGCGCTACCTATGAGTTTCAGAACTGGAATTGAACGCAAATTGCTGCAAGGTATTTGAACACTATCAATCAAACATATAGCATCTACTATAGCCATCAAATCTTAAAAGATATCAACAAACATCATATAGTATTGGGCACTCTAGCTTGTTATCATGGTTTAAATATTGAAAACATCAAATTCATTGTCTTTAGCGGGTTTATTCCATATCTCAATGAAACTATCCAAGCAATTGGAAGATTAAGAGGTTCTGGTACTGCTTATTCTTATTTATTGAAAGATTCAAGTTATCAATATTATCTCAGCAAAAAAATGACCATATACCAACAAATTTGTAAAGTTTATAACATCGACTACTGGAATAAATATGATGAAACAAATATTAACAAACAAAGGTATGTGTTGGAAGAAGTTGATTTGGAGGAATTTCATCTGATGAGATCTGTTGGTAAGTCAAGATTAAATTCAATATCAAGTCATAGATTACCTGATGCTAATAAAATGATGTAAAAGATTGTAAATTCTTTTAATATTGTGGATCAGTCAATGAGAAAAATAGATCCACAATATTAAAAGAATTTACAATCTTTTCCATCACTTGGGTAATCTTTTTGCTAAATTCCCATGGCTGAAGGTTGATGTTTATGCTGAAGTAATAATTGTCAATTCAAATTCAACAACAATAAATAATGAATTTCAAGATGAAGTATGTAAGATTTGTAAATTACCAAAAATCAACTGCATTAACAATGTTAAACATAATCATTTAATTCAATATCAAGCAATTAAATTTACTTTTCATTCAACTAGTGATTTAGTCTTTAAAGAATTTAAATTTGATAAATTGGAATATGATGAACAAAAGTATAAAAATTACACTAATATGTATATTGCCATGTTTAAGGAAAATAATTGTGGGTTAAATGGTATTAATATATCATACTTTACAAAATTAATTGACATGTTGACTGATAACAAGTTGCATCCATTAACAATTTTATCTAAACATTTGGAACAAGCAGATATAAAATTGGACGGAATTGAATTGATAGGTCGGGTATTTGATTTATTTGGTATGTTTGGTGCTTTGTTTGGCATTGACAGAATTTATTTGAAAAGAAATTATTTGAATTTAGTATATGAAGAAAAATTTTTGGGCTATACCTGTGTTAATTGTGGTGTTGAAAAACACGAGAAAGGAAAAAAATGTTATGGTCCAATGGTGGTCATTGTATTATATATCATTTTTCATTCCAGATATACCAAAGATAAATATTCAATGCATTTCAATTTCTTTATTCAATGGTTCCGTGCCATACAGCAGATGCACAATGGTGTACCTTTATACAAGTATATTATTGCTGACTTTGTTGAAAAATTTGATTTTGAGAATTCAATGGTAATGAGTAAGGCTTTTGAATTGAAATTTATAAACTTCTAATCTTGTTCTTTATGTTGTAGATTTAGTTATTTTAAATAGATGAATGTTGATATGTGAATGTATTAAACTGAACCTTCATGAGTCTTTGTTATATCAGTAGGTTCCCCCCTATTGAACTGGAGGGAACCTTGATGATGAAGCTAGATGTTTTTTATTTTTTTTTAACCAATTTATTAAGTTATTTAAATATTATACAAAATACTTAATACTTATCTAATTCACCAATCAAATATGAAAGAAATCAACGCGTCATATAATAAATTTAAAAATGAGCTTTTCTCTTACATAATATGCACTACATCCATATTTGGAACTACTGAGGCTCAATGACTCTTAACAAGTTACTTCATCAGGAAGTAACGGATAAATAAAGGCATTATGTTAAACAAAAATTAAAAGCTTATGATAAGGTAAATCAAGTCATATGCTAATAAACCAATTGATAGATAAACCAAGATAAATCAGATCTTACTAATAATCAAAATATAAGAATTTATATCCCACCTAAAACATGTATATAACTTATATAGATAACATTGATAACTGTATAAGTTAATACAACTTATACAAATTACATGAGTACTACTACGAATCAAGGTAATACTAAAAATAACGATGTTGCAAGACTTTCAATTTGGTGCTGAAAGTCAAAATATTCCGATCTTAATGGATACTCGAATGTTTGTGGTACGAATTACACATAGCTAGCTTATTGTGCTATAAAAGAGTTGAATTAATACTAATACAAAGCCAGGTAATATAAATTTTTCAAATGACAATTGGCTGCAAATGAGAATTAGGTTATTAGCAAAATGTTTAATTCACTCTAAGTATATCCAAATATTTATCAAACCAGTCGAGAGCAACTTCTGGATGTTTACCCAAGAAATTATATCCATCAAATCTTTTATCTGTTCCAGTGATACAATATAATTCTTTTTCATCAGTACCTAATCTATCGTAGATATTCTCAACATCTTTGACATATTCCAAGTATCTTGTTGAGCTTGTAAAATTTTAATAGGCAATTTGTCAGCTTTTGCGTATTCCCATGTTTCAAAATAATCTAATGTTAAACCACATTTGGCTTTTAAATTTTCATTAAAATACTTTATAGCTTCTTCAGCATTTATTCCTCTATCTGCAGAATTTCTTCTAATATAATTGCTGAAGCTTATTGGTTGTATACCAACCATACATTTGAATCAATTAAAACATTCTGATTTTTGACCATTGCTGCAAAGTTAATTTACTTCCTAAACATATGCTTAATAACCCTTTAATCATGTTCTTAGTATATTCTCTCGTCTTAGCATTTTTGATGGGTCCGATCACATCTCTCCATTCTAATAATAAATTGATAGAATTAAGGGTCTGGATGGAAAATTCTATGTTCCGAATTGCTATTAGTCTCATGCAAAACTATTTAATTAGGAATATTTCGAACATTGGCGAATTCAAAAAATAAGAACTTAAAAAAAAAACTTCGGTTTTAAAATCTCACTAGCCACATTCGAAAGTTCGTAATATGTAATTATTCCGTGGTAAATACAATCAGATTCAGGATGATTAAAATATTCAACATAAATCTCGGGACTATCTGAAATAATAACCAAAAAATTATCTGGTGTTCTAATATAGATTTTGTTCTGAATTGCAATATCAGAGTACGGCCAAAAATTACATCATTATAATAGTGGATACTTAGGGAGAGTGCTGGTTTGCGTATATTTAATATTTCTGATAAATTTTAATAAGTACTATAACCCTTTAACTGGATTGAGAGCTAGGGAAATATGCCACGTCAAGTCTTGACTCAAAACTTCGGTAGATAATTGTGTGAAATCATTTTTCCAGTATTTATTAATTTGCAGCCAATTTGGATCGTGCATGTTAAAGTTTCCTAAATATGTTTAGCTGTATAACGACAAGGACCAATTGAAAATTACAGAAAATTAGAAAACAAACAACATTAAATGCATTACTGCCCCAATTAACAAACATTTTAAGAAGACATGGAAAAGCTTGTAGATCTTCCGTTTGAAGTATTGGAAATAATATTTCAACAAATAAATCATCACATGGTAATAGCCTTAATGCCATTACATTCTCAATTTCACAAAATAGGTCAAAAAAAGTTATACAAAAATATTCATATTTATGTCAAATGTAATTCAATAAAAGATTCCTCTACTGAAGCAAATAAGCCAAAACACACATCCGGCAATAGGTGGAGAGCTCATAAGGACATTTTGAATGACTTTACTAGAAAGTTTACCGTAATTTCATTATGTTGTTTTTATAACAACATAATTATGAAAAAAATCGATAGATATCAGCATGTTCAACATCTAAGTATTGAAGATGTGGAATCAGTGTTTTATCCTCGAAACTCATTATCTAGAGAGTATCCTGAAGGAGCTCCATCTTTAAGGAAAATTTTTAAGTATTTTAAAAATTTAGATTATGTTAGTTTTGCTATGTCAAACAACCAACTTGATTCAAAAAACATAGACAGTTCTCATGATTTAATGGTTGGTGTAATTTCTTGGGGTGTATTTTATTATCTACGTGATTTTGTTGCAGCTTTGGAGCGTAATTATCAAGTGTCATATAATTTCTTATATGATAATCTCAAAAGTTTTAAATTTTACTTTCTTCCATCCCATAGTTCAGGAATGAGGTACAACTGCGACACTGATTTAATTGGATCAATTAATACATTTAATAAAATCAATTCATTCAAAAAGCTTGAAGAATTACATCTTGTATTTGAAAACCTCGTTGACTTGATGGATCCATCATTGCTTGGTAGATTAAATAAAATAAACTGCAAATTGAAGAAACTTGATTTAACATTTTGGGGAAAGCTCAAATATTCTGATCATTGGGATAGTCAAGCCTTTTACGCTCGGTCGAAACCTGGAAAATGGTTATTCACATTAAATGAATTTTTTGATACAAAAGAAATTATCTCGTTGTCATTAGATTATCATAACAAAACATATTCTGCGGATCATTATATTTTTCAAGAGTTCAATTTTGAGGAGATATTATGCAATGCAAACTTACCAAAATTGAGAAATTTAGTTCTATCATCACCAACTTTAGATTTGAAACTGATTGATGTGTCAAACTTACATAAATTGTTAATATGTACCGAAATTGCTAACGATAAGTATGCTGCAGAAATTGCCAAACTTTATCTTATAAATTCGAATTTAAGATTATCTTGGTGGCCTCGATTTATGAGTCAAGTAAAACATGAGTTTTGTACATGGGATAACTTGCAAATAAACACGCCTGATTATTTTCAAGTTATATCTTGTCAATGGCCTTCATATCTCTTCACAAGTGATAAAATTTCAATTGAAAGAATTGAGTCAACTTCTGATAAAAAAGGTCTTGTCAATCACAATCATTTAAAACAACTAGACATTGGTTTAAAAAACGAATACTCAATTGAGGAACTTTATGAAATGGATCTTTTTAATACTTTTATCATTGAGAAGTCTGTTTTAGAAGTTATCAAGAGAAATGAGCATATTCCATTTTTAAGTAAGTAGTAACATTTTATTTGCTGATATTACTGGAAATATATAATCGTAATACGTAAATAAAATAATCGTTGTTTTTGCATGTTTTTATTTGAGGAGTAGTTCAATAAAATTCCCGATGCTCTAACCTCATCTTCGTACAACTTTTACAGAGATATCGCTAGAATACATGCAATAGTTTGTCTATACACACTAGCAGATGATACTCGATCTAATGAACAACGTAGCTTTAAACCGGTTTTTTCTTCCACCTTAAGTTTTTTTTCATGAATCTGATGTGATGATTAAGTTTTTTTTCGAAAACGATATGTTACGTATTTAAATACTTCTTAATAAGGAGACATACTGAAGGTATATGAGATTATGCGTTTTAATATAGCAGATCAAAGTCAGAAACTGGTACTATATTTAGACCAAAAAAGTTCTTACAATACTGCATATAAGTACGGTTGCAAAAATGTGAAACCTGAAACAACATATCAAAGTTACAAAGAGTCTGAATATTTATATTTTTTCTAATACATTAGCGTTTGTTAGATTCGTAGTCAAATTTTCTTACACATCAATTAAATCACATTTCATTAATTAGCAGTCAGTTCAATGAGAATTGGGACGTTATTTGACAAACTACAAATAATTATAAATAAGTTTTTAAATGTCAAACGAAGATTTAACTGAATTTAAACAGCACATTAATGAATCTAGTGGTAAAATTTCTGGTTCTGGATTAACAATAATAATTGGGCCTTCGAACGTCGAGAGCTTGCAATGTCTGAAAATTTTGAATAATCGCTAAAAGGTATTGTTCCGAAACTTTTTTTATATATGTTGCAGTGCAGTCCAAGCCAATAACAAAATTAGAAACCAAATTGTGATGCTCTTTCATGACACCATTTATGACGAAGGAAAAAAAAAATTAAATGACATTAATTCAAATGTTGCATATTAGGTTGTTTCATCTATATTAGCTTGGTATTAAGGTAAATTTTCAGTCTAGGTTTTTTGAAGAAAGATTCACCAGAGTCTTGTTTCACTTGAATGCCAGTTGAAATCTCGAATTGTGTGAGTAATTTGAAACTTCAAACTTTCTTAAATTTGATTTTTCATCACTTCATAGCTATGACATTTACTTTCTATGAGATAAGTTTGACAAGTTTTCCATGATTAGTAGGTGGAACTATACATGAGATTCTTCATATCCAATCAAGCACTATTTAAGCGCTTGTATTAAAATTCTGTTGTAGATGTATTAACAATATTTACTAGAAATGTAGTCTTTGGTGTAGTAATTTAATTACAAATCTATCACTACAGAGATAGACCAACGTAAACGTTTTATCTCAACAAGTAAATGAGACTGAAACATCTATCTCATCTCACCTCGTAAGAAGAGTGCGCTATGATTCACCAGCTGTGATCATGATATACTGCTACAATTGACCCTGTTCAATTGGATAAGAGCGAAAGAACCTTCAAAGAAATTTATATTGAAAAGGTTTGTAACAAGATTGATAGATAGATGAAAAGGAACATCAAGCTTTTATGATTATTATTTAATAGAATAGGATACACTATTAATTCAATATGATCAGCTTTTCATTCAGGCATGACATTTGCTACAACCTTCTATCTTGTTTTCAATATTCTTCGCCAAAGTCTTTTACCTTCTCATGCATTTTCATCTGATGTTTAAACTCGAGTTTTCATTTATTTGCTCCCACAAATGTTGATTTCAAATTGCTCTCCTTTACATTGTCTTGCCTTAGAATTGGACAAATCTCATGGAGCTCTCACGCTGTAGGTATTAATGAATTTCTTAAATTTTTTATATTTCTCTTTTCCCGTATTCTTGGATACGCACTTACTCACTTTACTTTTGAACTTTTTTCGGTTTTCTCTATTTTTGAATCGATTGAAGGCATCACAAACGTCTTCTAAACTTGGTGATGATAGACTTTCTGAATTTTGAGCTTGTATTGTGACATCTCTTGGATTAAATTTAGATTCTAAGGACCTTTGCAATATTCAGTACAAGGAACTGGTTTCAAAGGTCCGCCTCATGAAGTTGTGCTTATACTATCTTTTCCTGAAGTTGTTGAGGTATTTTTTGGTAATATTGATGCTGCCGTCGATAGTGACTTTTGTAAATTGTCAATCCCTTTAAAATCCAAAGCATTAGGCGACAATCATTGGTTCCCTAGTGTAACATATGTTATAATATCTTGAAACTTCTGTCTACTTCAATCAAGAAATAAGTACTTATAGGCTGCTTTCAATTTGACATTGTGCGAATTTAGTAGGAAATTTACCGCTGATTGACTCCCTTCCATAGATTGTAAGGTGACACTCAGTGATTCTAAGTCTTTGGCAATATCAGGTCGTATTTGACTTTTTTGAAGTGATTGTATGTTGATACTTTTCTTTCAATTGACCCATCCAGATTTAACCTGAACTGAAATCAATTTTGTGGAATGATTGAAATGAGACATTTTGAAACAAAGGACGGTTGTTGAAGAACTTTTATGGCCGCATGATTATGGTAGGGTGTATGATATAAAGTTAAAACTTTATACACCTTTAAAATGACTATTCTATTTTTTTTGAAGTTACACTATGCGCAAAATAAAACAATTCAACAAATAAGATTACAATGATCCATTTACAAACTGAGTATTAGCATTCCACAAAAAATCATAATAGTTGTTACCAAAACATACGAGATTAATAATTAGCGTTTTTAACCTCATCATTTAGCAGCAATTGATTCAGAATTATCTTCAACAACTTCTTGTTTTCTGCGTCATTTTACAACCCCATTAAATCTTGTTTCAATCGTTGTTTTTGTACTTCATTTTTGTTGCAGAAAAATGTTTAAAGAGTAGATCATATAAAATTTTCAATTTGCATTCAAAATATCATCATCTGAGAAATGCTACTACAATGCAAATGGACGATCAAAATTTGTATGAAATACTAGAAATAGACTCTTCTGCTACATCTGTGGAAATCAAAAAAGCATATAGAAAGTTGGCATTGAAATATCATCCTGATAAAGTAGCAGAAGAAGATAGAGAAGAATCAGAAATACATTTTAAAAAAATCTCCTTTGCTTACGAAATATTGATAGATGAAACCAAACGTGAGAATTATGATACTTATGGAACAACCGATTCACCGTTTGAACAATTTTATGGAGGTTCAGCAAATGACTTTGGAGCTAATGATTTTTATGACTTTTTCAGGAGCGATACGAAACCAAAAAATAAAACAGAAGATGCACATATTAAGGTGGAAGTAACATTGGAAGAACTTTATATTGGAAAAGTAATTAGAACTGCATCTACTAGAAACAAAATTTGTGTTACATGTAAGGGAAGTGGTTTAAGATCATTGAATGTGGAAAGTAAAAAATGTGGAATTTGTAACGGAGAAGGATTTACTCGAAAAATTCGAAGAGTTGCACCAGGTTTAGTTGCTCAAGATTATGTAGATTGTACTACTTGTCATGGTTCAGGTAAAATCTATCGAACAAAGGATAGATGTAAGACATGTAAGGGAGCTAGAATAATTGAAGAAACTAAAATTTTAGAGTTTGAAATACCTAAAGGTTCAGCTAATGAAGGATCAATTGTTAAAAAGGGAGAAAGTGATGAATATCCTGGTAAAACAACTGGTGATATAATACTAGACTATCAATGCAAAAAACATTCAAAATTTGAGAGAAGAGGAGATGATCTAATAATGAATATCAAAATCTTTCTAGTCGATGCATTGACTGGTTTTGAAAAAACTATTGAACATTTAGACGGAAGAGGAATAAAAGTACATTCTAAGAAGGTCATACGGCCTGGCGATTATATAAAGATAACAGGAGAAGGTATGCCTAAGTCAAAACAATCATGGTTTAAAGAAAAAACAGGTGACTTATATATAAAGGTTGATATAGAATTTCCTCAAGATAATTGGTTTGTCGAAAAGGGAGATATTGAAAAATTGAAAAATCTTATACCTGGAAAGATTAAGGAGGAAGAGAAAATTCATCAAGCAAATATTCAATTATATACTGATTTTACCATAGTTAAAGAGTTGCCTGAACTACATAAACCACCACAACCAGAGAAAGAACCAGAACAACCTCAATGTAATCAGCAATGATTTGAAACCACTAAAATAAAAACAGAAAATCTAAGAGTTAATACAATACTCGAAACCAATGTAAATATAATATGTAATATAGAGTAATTAATAAAATATCGATTTTGCTTTATACACAATCTAAACTTAAATCACTTCATCATGCTTTTCCTAACATCTTCGAATATTGAACTTCTATTTCATTTATCAATTTCTGCAAATTTACAATAGCCAACTCATGTGTAAAATTAGGAAACTTCCTTCTATTCAAACCAAACCATTCCAATGGTGGTGTAGCATTTCCCAACTCTTTTAATTGTGGAGCTTCTATTATTGGTGGAGCTAAAGCAACATATCGATATTTTGATGTTTTTTCAACTTTCTCCATAGTCTCTTTTATTGCATCATCAATATCCTTAGTTGGGTCCTCTGCATTCAATTGTTGTTTTAAAGTAGATGTTGTATTAGTGCTTGTGGTACTATTGTGAGTGAATTCCTCAAATTGTTGTCTTTTTTGACGATATTCCATTCTTGACGCTAATGCATTGGAATGAATCAAATACATTTCCCTGATGAAGTTGACAGAACCTAAATTCCAACGAATATCAACAGTCCCATTAAATGTCGATTGATATAAATATTCGATAAGATTTTGATCAGTTTTCTCAAAAGTTCTCATTGAAATTTTAAAAGAAGGGAAAACAAAGATTGAACCACCTTTTGCTTTTAAGGCAATCTTTCTAAAATCCTCAACACTACAATTTTGAATGAACGATTCATCAGTTTCTGGTACATTCGATAATGATACTTTCAAGTCATTAAATTTAATACCCAATTCATTTGATAATCTTTTTTCAAATTCATTTTGCTGAAATTCAACTTTTGAATCATCTAGTTTTACAACTAATACCTTTGAATTGTTTAAAGATGATGGAGATACATGAACTAATATTTTACCAGCAGCTACATGAATAATAGTTTCCAATTTTTTGATAGTTTCTAATATAGAATTATCCATTTTAGGTTTTTGAATTACCGACTTTCTCGATGAATCTCGAAGTGTTTCCTTGTAAGATCTTTTATTATCTTGAATCATCCTAGATATTGTATTACTTATGTCAACAAAATTTGAAGCTGTTAAAGAAGTTATATAAATCTCGACTGTCTTGAATTTCGTAGCAATAAATAAATGATCCCTTTTTATTGTATCGTCACTCTTTCGGTTGTACATATCCATTGAAAAAGAATCTAATGTTGCAATAGCGATAACATGATAATCAAAAGATATTTTCATCAGAAATTTATTTAAACCACCTGAAACAGATATTAAAGGAACATCAAGTGTCTTTCCATCAACCAATTTCCAACTGATAGCAGTATGTAAATTCATATCTTCAATTAAAATAAAGCCTCCTAATCTACCAGTAGATTTTAATTCGATTGAGTCAATACCCAGTTTTAAATCTTGTGACCAATCAGCCAGTTTTTTTGAAAGAGCCCAAAAATTAGTTATAATTAAATTACAAAGTCCCAAAGATTGACCCAAATCCACTTCTAAATTGATTGTATTTATAGCAAATACGACAACCCAAGGAAATGCATAAGTTGTAGATACTTGTTTAAATTTGGAAGAAATATTTTTATGCTCAGCTAATTGTAAAGGAGTCTCATCAAATTTATCTTCTTGCTCATATAATTGAAATAATTCTTTTGGAAACCATATATCTTTAAATAAATCAACGTCTTGATACTGTTTTACATTAACATAAGCAGCAACATTGGTCAAAGAGCCTGAAGATGAAATTTGAGCATTAGCACCAACTTCAACATAGCTCAGCAATATTAATTTTTCTATTCTCATTGAAGCACTAATATCTCTCGAATATATATGTTGTAATGATGCTGATATCCAATCCAATAATATTGAAACAGTCAATGATGATGTGCTTGCATCTAGTGTGTTCACTTGAATATAAATATTCTCCAATCCCACTATTGCTGCAACTTTTGCAGTTGGTTCACAACTCAAAGTTAGTGTCTGTTTCTCTATTTTTACTCCAATATGTAATTCCATATCTTGCAACAATTTTTCAAAATAATCATAATCATTTTCTTTTGGTTTTTTGTCAACTTTAGATGGTTCATGCATCAAATCTTTAACACTTGCAGCTAAATCTAATAAAACAGGAACACATTTAGGATTTAACGTATTTTCACTTGATGAGGTCAACAACTCACCATATAGTTTCTTCTTCTCACCTGAATTGAAATATTTGAAAGCTGTTCTTATAGCAGGTGCATGTAAAAACAAAGAAGGATTTCCCTCTTGCTCTTCTTCAATCTTATATATCATAACATTTGAACCAGCAAATGTTGATGAAAATTCAATAGTTTGGTATGGTAGATCGAAATTTGTCTTATTTGAATCATTTGTATCCTCTTTGACATCAGGGTCTTGAATTTTAAGCTCTTCCTCAAATTTATCAATAATATGTGTCACATTTGTACCCAGCTTGGCTGCTTTTTGAATAATAGTACCAATAGAAGTGGATAAAAAACGTACATCTATTTCGTCACCATTAACAGTAATTTTCAAATGTTTTGTTGCTTTAGACTCTTTTTCTATAATGTATACCACTTGCAAAATAGGAAGAAATGCTCTGTTTAAACTATTTCTTTCAGAAACAGTACTGAAAAAATTTGACGATTGATGACCATTTGCTACTGATATGTATGATCCTACCAATGTAAATTTTCCTAAACTTTCTTCCGTAGCTGCAAAAAATTTCTCTGCACCAACTATTATACCAGGTATTTCCTTCGACTTCTCGTTGAATAGCCAACCAAAACAAAAGTTATAAGACAAGAATTGAAAAGCTGCAAATCTGGAATAGATCATCATTTCGAAACTATTCCTTGTAGGTGTTTCTGTGGTTGTTTCAGTAGTTGATGGTGATGAAATTGCTGATGATGATGATGACTCATGATCCTCCCGTGTTGTATTTTTAAATTCAGGGAGAATTCTTAAAACTTCATACATTATCTCTAAAATTGTAACAATAATCAATTCGGAACAACAAACTCTGCAGAATTGGGACTCAATTTGTAAATTTTGACGAGTGGATTCTTGATCATTAAAAATTTTAATTGCAAAATTTAACTCAAGAAGATTTGAAATTTCAAGTGGAATACTTTTAGCTAATAAATTGATTTTGGTAGTAAGTACTGAAAAGTCTCCAAATATTGGTACCTCATTAAATGATGAAACATTCGAAACATTAAACTCAGTACCTTCAAGAGCCACGCTGGTATTTATTTTGTTCATAAGACTTGACAACTCTAAGTAATTATTCTGAAAATTGATTTTGAATAAATATGTTTTGGAATCTTTGGATTCCGTTGAAATTTTTGATTCAGGTTTAGGTATTATCGACTGCAACTTCTCTATTTTTAGTTTAGCTTTGTTCAAGTCCTTATTAATAAATGACATAGTTCTTATTAAATTGAAAGATTGAATTTTAAAATATCCTAAAGATAATTTTGAATTGATCATCATTGTGGAACTAAGATCTTTAAGACTAGTGTTTGTCCATAAGTCCGAACCTTGAAACTCTAAAATATAATCTTTTTCATAATTCAAATTGCTTTTTAGACGTGCTATCCTTAGATTTATTAAATTTGGTGTTGCTTTTAGTTGTGTTTTTAATATTACTAATGAAATTTTCAATGGGTTTAATGTATCCATGCTAAATAAAAATTCCTTGACGTTACACGATATAATGAATGGTATAGATGGAGTGGAAGGTGAATTTTGATTCTTTTGACTTCCGGGTGTAAATTCTTTGAGGTATGGAACATCATTATCGATCATATTTCCAAGGGTATGAACACAATCATAAATTCTAGTTTTTGAAGTTTTTAAACCAACATCCAAAATTAATTTATCTGCTTTAGACGCAACAAAATTTAATTTGTAAAATTCTTGATTAATAATATTTTGATCATGTGCTTTTAAATTTGCATGAATTTCATCAACACTTATTGCACCAACTTCCAAATTTTCCAACATCTGACATAAAAAGCTTTCAATTCTAATATCTAATGAAGATGAAATTAAAAACAACGATTGTTTAAAATGAATCACTTTAATAAATAAGTTTAACGACTTTGCTTTAATTTTTTCTTCCTTTTTGTTTTCGAGTTTCACCTCGTTTGTTGGAAATTCTTTCATCAACTTTTTAACAGTATCAAGCATTTTAACAGTAATTTTACCATCATAAGTATTGATAAGACAAACAACTTCATCCTTTACACAGCTAATCGTCAAATCTTCAACATTTACATAGCTAGGACTTTTTCGACATTTGCTCCTGAACTCAAATTCGTATAACAAAAACTCAAAATTCAAATTTTCAGTTAAATCACTCTCCTTCACACCAAACATATATTTAAACATATATATTCTTTGCTGAGGATTTGCTTCCCACATTCTCCATCTTGAAAATATATCAGTTACTTGATCATAAGCATTTTCCGGTATATTTGAATCTAAATTGATCAGGTCCCACCATGATGGAGGTAAACTTCGAAGAATATGACGCAATCTAGCAACAACTTTCCAACCATCGAAAAATCTAATATGCTCCTTTTTAGCTCTCAAAACATAAGCAGGCCTCGTTAAAACATCAGGATCATGATCAATAAAATATTCAGATGAGGCAATTGATAGTGCATAAACCAAACTTGCATGTTTAGATCTTTCTGAACGTAATTCGTCCAATCCAATTAGTTCTTTTTCAAATGTATTTTTCCATTTAGCAAATTCGATTGACCAATCATGATTCAAATCAATTTCAGAATCAACAAAATCAAATTTCACAGAACCTACAAGATCATTTACTTTTTCCAACCATAATTCTATCTCTTCAACTGAGAGTTTAAATTTATCTTTTAAATCTATACCAATTGAACTAAGATGTAGTGCTAATGAAAATTCTTCAACTGTGTGAATATTACCCAGATTTTCAGCGTATTCCGTTCTACTTGATAATGCAACGGACAAATCGTTACTAGTTAAGATTATACTACTTTCGTCATCTAATTCAACACAAACTTTTAAGATATGATTCACTATTCTTAAATTTTTCACTGATTTTGAGGATTTTAAAAAATTATTGAGCATTTTTATTGTCTTAACACCAATTTCGTCCATAATTGAGTCTATATCAAATTCTTGAAACTCTTTCATTAAATTTAAAATTACTGTTAGACTTTTTGGATCCATCTTTAAAAGCAAATCTCCTAGCTCCAAAATAAAATTATCATATTCAGTATCGGGATCCACGTCATAAGAAGGTTTAAAGTCATCATCATTATAATCTAATGCTGGTAGTACTGTTTCTTCATCTTCTGTTGAGGTCAGCGTAGTTGCATCATCCATTAAAGGAATTGCAACATCTGGAAGTGTGAAAGAAGTTAAAAAACTACCTTTATTCTCATCATAAAATTCGTCTCGGTACTCTTCAAATAAAATAAATGGACATCTATGAAATGGCGCATCGTTATCTCTCACATGAAGCTGTTGCGTATCCCTTCGACCAACCATATCAACTTTTTGACAAATATTAGAAAAAACTAAAGAAGTTTTCAAATTGGCTAAATTTTCTTTTTCAGTATTGAAAACATTGACTTGAATCTCTGGAATTGAAACCGATAATTTATTTGAATATCTCATGTTTGACAAATCATTATATCCCAACACTACATCTAATAATTTTAATTCTATCCAGCCACTGTCAGTTCTTAATCTTATCAAAATCTTAGGACATCTAAATGAAAAATTTGCGGCATCAAATGCTGGTGGAAAAGCTTCATCCAAAGCATTTTCAGGGTCCAGAAATCCAATTCCAAAATTTGAAATACCTGAATTTAATGCTTTCACAAAATAAGGTTGACTATCAATAATCCAATCACCACCGTAAAAATCCCACTTACACCAAAAAGTGAGTTCATTTGGAGGAATCCCAAACATTCGATGAGCGTGGACTCCAAATCCATCAACAGACATATCAGCATGGGAATGTAAGTACCTCTTGGCATAGTCAGCTACGTTCATCATTCCACAATCACTTCCTTTTACCAAAACTCCAGATACAGGACTAAAATCAACTTGCATGTCCATATAATAATTACAAAATCTAATGTCTATATCTAACATATCAAAGTTGAGACCAATGTGGTTTATTGAACTGTACAAATGAGTTGGTAAAATTATTAACCCATTTCTAACTTGAAATTTAAATAAAACATCAACATCATTTTCATATTTTACCATTTTCCAATACGAATCTTCTACTTCTACAGTATCCGATTTAATACTTTCTTCTTCATTATTATATTCCTCAAATGTTTTAAAGTGAATATGATCTCCGAAATAATTTTCTCTTAATGTAAAAAGATATCTAATAACAAATCCATAAAATTTCAAACTTAATTCATCTGCAATACAATTTATTTCTACCAAATTAGCTGTGTTGATTTCAACTGCACTATAAAAAGTGTAAGATCCATCGATCACAAAATGTCCACTTTTTCCGACAACATTAGTTTCTTTAAGATAAGCATTAACTGTATGCCAAGGTGGCGTATCTAGTACTAAATCAAAAAAAGGTGTCCAAATCTTATAAGACACTGTAGTTTTTTTGGAAAAATTTCCATACATTGGTATATTAATTTCAGAATTGATTTCTTCACCTTGAAATGACAAATATTTATTGTTTTCAAAATCTAAAGGATTATCAATAATGTTAAGATCATTAACATTTAAATAAAATTCGTAATTGATTAATTTCCAATTAATGTTATAATGAAATGGTCTAAAATACTCATAAGGTTGAGGTTCTCCCAGTGCAAAATCAGTAAATAAATCAGAAAATAAAAGTAAATGTTCTCTAAGCACAAATAATTTTGAATTCAAACTAACTTGATTAAATGTCCAATAACATTTACCATTCCATTGTAAAGGCAACGCAATATCTGCATTAATTTCATGAGAATCAGCGACAAATAGCACATCATGATTAACTGAACTTCTAATTTCTGGATTATTGAAGATAATTTTCAACTTATTTGGCCATTTATCGTTTTCTGTCATAAATGAAGTAAACAGACCAATGTTGGAACCTTCTGCAACCTTTATCTCCAACCAACCAAAAGGTCTAATTTTGTGGTTTCCTTTATCTTTACTTGATTCTCTAGTTGGAACTCTAATAACTAATTCATCACGAACTATCACTGCAAATTTGAAACCGTCATAGTCTCTTCGAAATCCACATCGTTCTCTAGGTGCAGAATTTTTGGAAATTGATGGGAACAACATGTTTTGTAAAGGAATTCTTTGTTTATCAGCCCAGGGTCCGTAATGTATAGTTCCATTCGAGATTTCTACTTCCACCCCTTGTTCTGGTAGTGATGAATTATCTTTGTTATAACCCAATGAATCATAATAATAAACTATTCTTGTCATGGGTGAATCTAGTATTAAACTGAATTTAGCATATTGTTCATCGTTTACGACTTCTTGTTCCTCAACTTCTCCAACATACCTTTTCAATCCATGCCAATTATAATCAGGTGGTAAATCCTCATTATTCAATCTCTTATGTATCCATCTAGTAGCTTTAAGAAAATCATACCATACTTTGTAGTTGCGTTTTTTAGGTGGATCATGATTCTTACTAAATCTATCTTTATCATATCCGATATTTGGTTTCATCCAAATTTGAAAGTGGTCAAATTGAAAGTCATGCAATAATCTATATGGATCCAATGGATTTGGAGCTTTAGCTATATCAATTAAACCTGAACCAACCTTATATGATGCCACAAGAATTGTAGGAGTAGTAATATTTCCGATAACAATGGCTCCTTTCTTAACCTTTAATTCAATTGGCAATATTTGTAAAAGTAGCATTAATGATCGTGAGCGTCTTTCCGCAGCTGGAGGTGATTTCGTACTTTCTAAATCAACTTCTTCCTTTTCGTTACTTTTATTTAAAGAAGATATAATATCATCATAAGCAGCTGTTCTATTATACATAAAAATTTCAAGCCCATCCACAACTATTAAAAATCTTGAAGGAGAATTATCATTCTGCTTTTGAGATACTCCACCAGTTTCATAATCTGCTTCCCAATAAAAATTGGATAATTTAGTTAAACGTATAAACCAATACCTCCAAGTCATTGTTATATTTAACATGGAAATTGTAGTGTCTGCTGATGATATTGTTAAGTTCTTAATAAACAACCTACCACCTAATGGTGATAATTTCAATGAATCCACATGAACTCTTACTTTATAAGTTTTCCATAATAATAACCTGAATAAAAATGAAAATATAAATCCTAATAGTTTATGGAAATAGAATAAAAATCCAAGACCCAATACTAGAACTAACACCCAATCAACTAGATATATCCAGAATGAAACACTGATAGTCGAGGTAGATGTAACATATACAAATTGTGATTCAAAGGCCATGCCATTGATATGATAATACTCTTTGATAATACGCGATCATAAGAACACAAAATAAATTTGTATTTCAAATTTAAATTTAAGAAATAGAAAACTAAAATATAAATAACATATAAACATATTCTAACACATAATAAATTAACATAAACATCAATATAAAATCATTAATCATCACTAATGTCAAAAGTATTTGATAATACTGAGAACGAAGTAACGAAAGCACCATCTAAAAATGTCATCAGCAATAATCAGAAATTCAAAAGAGTACCACTTGGTGGTAAAAATACAAACACTTTAAATAGATCACAATCAACCATAGCAACAATTAAACCTACATTAATCAAATCAAATTCCACAATTCCAATATTCACCGAATCATCTAGCGATGAACCAAAAGAAGAATTAGAACAAGAATTAAAAACAGAAGTAGAAGAAATATCATCAAATAATAATTCTGTTCCAATACGGAAAAGGATATCCCCTGTACCTGAATTATCACCCATAAAAAAACAAAAATTACACCAATTTGAAACTGATTCATTAATTAAATCAACGTTTGATCGAAAACCATCTATATCGAATTTGAATCAATCACCACCACCAACAGAATTGCATGCTAGCCATATCCCAAGAATTTATCAAAATTACATGGATCCCATTAAAAGACAACCAAGAAAATCCGATATTGACGAATTAGTGGAACAACATTGGAAGGATGAAATTGAATACATTCCTCAAGGACCCATCAATGCAGATCCAGAAGTTTTTTTTTCAACGCCTATCAATTCTGATAATGATTTAAATTTTGATGACGGTGAAATTGAAGATACTACTGAAGAAATAGGTTTGAATATTGATGATTTGAAAAACTTATTGGATTGAATGAGATAAGGAGGTAATGGCGGGATGCAAGTGTGAAGAAAAATCTATTTTACTAATCGATTTCAACTTGTTTGAAATACTACTTTGATTCCAATAAAAGAAAAGGTTGAAATAACAAAAGCTTTAATCCTTTAAATCATAATCGTTCATTGAATTGAAGCTACTAATCTATTTACAACTGTTTATACCTATCATTAATACCATTATAAATTTTCAAAATTTAAAACTAATGAGTTAAAAACCATCTGCCTTTTTCTTTTCTTCTAATTAAAACTTTTTGTCCTCCTTTTGTTCTTAGTCTTGCTAAAAATCCAAATTTTCCTTTTCTTTTCAAAGTTGATGGTTGATAAGTATTACCTCTGGACTTGAATCTTGCTTGTATGAAACCAAAAAAGGAGGGTGGAGTAATGAAAAAATTATTTAGTATTGGTGCTATCGGTTTGGTTCTCTGTATATTCAAAAGTTGTGGTTTGATTAGTTGTTGAAGCATGATCTGGTGGATATTTGATTTTAGTACAATGTTGATAAATGTTTTAAAGTTTTTTCTTTCAAATTTATTTTGCATAAGATTGAAAAATCGTACACAAAAGAACTCATCTATTCATCTATTCAACCTCATCAAGAAACACTATGTCAAATACTACTAGATCAAGAAGGGTAATACCATCTACCTTGAACTCACCTACAACAGTTAGAGTAAATCAGGTGACAGATATATTGCAAGATCAAGCCGAATCATTTTTGACAGAATTCATCGATGCTAGTGAATATAATAATAATCCATTAAATGTTACAAATCAAAATCAAAGTAAAGGATTTTCAAATAACAGCGAAACTTTTGCAATACTATCACAATTGAAAAGAATACAAAGGAGTCTTAGAGGTCTACCACCACTCGCAGAAAATACCACTAATGATGATACTACACCTGTTAATAAAGATGATGATATAGATAATGAAAAAACTGTATAAATTATATATTGATTGAATGACACTTTTTTAACGACACTAAGCAAAAAATGACACTGTTTTTTTTAATTTGTAGAACGCCATTTTTTTATTATTATTATGTTTTTTTGTTTACCTTTTTTAAAATGAAAAAGATCATTTTTGCAATTACAACCATAATTCATTGAATAACAAACATATGTTAAAGTGATGAAAAGGAAAAGATTAATTTCAGATGATGAAGAAAATGATACTTTTATAAACAATAGTGATTATGATAGTGATAATAAGGATGAACCTGATAAGCAGGAAAGAATAATTGATCAATCACTTGATAAAGGTAATGAGATTACAGATACCGTGGCCGATACTGTAGTCGACACTATGGTCGATACAAATTACAACGACCTGATCGAAAAAGAAATAGAGTCACCTCAACTCGAAAGTCATGAAAATGTTGATGCTCAAGATGAAATAAATAATGAAAGTTCAGATGATCAAATTTTTGATAAAAGCGATTTCAATAATATTAAAAATACACCAGAAGGAAGTCCAGATCCAGAAATTCAAATATCTCAATCAAAACCAAGATTAGTTATAAATAAATTAGTTTTAACGAATTTTAAATCATACGCAGGAGAACAAATAATTGGACCATTTCATACTTCATTTTCTTCGGTAGTTGGACCAAATGGTAGTGGTAAATCTAATGTTATTGATTCAATGTTATTTGTATTTGGATTTAAAGCCAATAAAATGAGACAAGGTAAAATTTCAGACCTTATACATAATTCAGGTGGTGAAAGAGCTGAATTTTGTCAGGTGGATATTCATTTTGAAATGATATATGATGATTCTGGATTAGTTGTTGAGAATTTTGAATTAATAATCTCAAGAAGGGCCACCATGAATAATCAATCACAATATTATATAAACAGAAAAAAAAGTAATTATACTGAAGTTACTACATTATTAAAGAGGCAAGGCATAGATTTAGATCATAAAAGATTTTTAATTTTACAAGGTGAGGTTGAGTCCATCGCACAAATGAAAGCTAAAGCAGAGAAAGAAGGTGAAGATGGACTTTTGGAATATTTAGAAGATATAATTGGAACGTCAAAGTACAAGCAATTGATAGAAGATAGTATGGCTCGAATAGAGGAATTAAACACTGTGTGTCAGGAAAAAGCCGATAGGTTTAGTTTGGTTGAAAAAGATAAAGAATCATTAGATGAGAAAAAAGTTGAAGCTCTTAGATTTTTAGAATTGGAGAAAAAATTGAATTATCATACAAGTATTCAATATCAGTATAATATAAATCAATTTGAAAATAAGATTGAGGAGAGACAAAAAGAAGCTGATGAACTTGAACAGCAATTGGAGGAAAAGAAATCTGCAAATGGCGAGGTCTTGAAATCGATTGAAATAGAGACTAATAAACAATCTGAAATTAAAAAAGTTATCAAAACCCTTTCAAATGAGTTAGATAGGTTAATCAAACAAAGGAAAGAATTGAGTAAAAAGAATGTATCATTAGAAGAAAAATCAAAAAATTTCGAAAATAAATTGAAAAAAGCTCAAAAGGCTATTAGTTCGTCGACACATTTATTAAATGCATCCAATCAAAGCTTATCAACCTATTCTAACTCATCTATACAATACAAATCAGAAATTGAAAAATTGAACTCATCATTAGAGGTCGAAGAGAATTCATTACAATTCATTAGAGGAAGATTGACTGAAAGAACAAAAGATTATACCCAAAAAATTGAGGATTTACAGAAACAACTAGAACCCTGGACAACAAAATTAAAACAAAATGAAAATGAAATTGAATTAATTATATCAAATATTAAAATTTTGGAGTCCCAAAAAAACAGTATTCACACTCAACTTGAAGAAAATAAGCAAAAACTAATGGCAATTAAACAAGAGGGGAAAGGGAAAGAGGCAGAATTACAAGAAAAAGAGCAAACATTATTAGCAATTGAAGAACAAATTTCGTTAGGTGAAGATCAAACAGATTCAAGAAAACAACGACTAGAGAAGATGAAAAGTCAAATTAATAGAGCGAAAAACAAATATCATGATACGTCACAAATATTTCAAAATAGACAAAATCAAAATAATGTTTTGACAGCTTTGACTAAACTAGGCAAATCTGGTAGAATCGATGGATTTTATGGAAAATTGGGTGATCTTGGTAGTATTGATGATAAGTACGATGTAGCCGTTTCAACCGCTGTCCCAGGTTTAGATTCCATGGTTGTTGAAACAGTTGAAACAGCACAAGCATGTATTGATTATTTACGTAAGAATAGACTTGGGTATGCTAATTTCATATGTTTGAACAAATTGAGAAATTATGATCTTTCCCCTATCAGTATACCAGGAGATCCATCCAAAATTAAAAGATTATTTGATTTAATAAATCCAATAAATCCCAAATTTGCCCCAGCTTTTTATAGTAAAATGTTTAATACTTTAGTTGCTCCAGATTTAAACGAAGCTAAGAAAGTAGCTTATGGTGCAAGAAGATGCAAATGTGTAACATTAGATGGTAAAGTTATTGATGTTGCTGGTACAATGTCAGGTGGAGGTGGTCAAGTTATGAGAGGAGCTTTGCGTTTAATTTCTGCGCAAACGAATGAACCAGATATTGATGAAGAAGAGTTGGAACAAGCACGTAACGATATACAAGGAATGGAATCTGAATTCAAAAAGGAACAAAATGAATATGAAGAAGATATGATAAAATTATCAAAAGTTAAAGCAGTTGAACCTGAAACAAGATTGGAAGTAGATAAGTTGAAGATGGATATAGCTGGTCTAGCATCTGAAATGAAAGAAGTCACTCAAATCTGTAAAAATTTGGTTATTGAACAAAGAGAGATGGAGCTGAATAATCCATTTGAAGAACAAATTGAGACTAAAACAAAAGAACTTCAGAAATTGGAAAAAATTAGAGATAAAATAAAGCAAGAAATGATTGAAACTGAAAATGAAATATCTAGTTTAGAGAAGAAAATTATGGAAGCAGGTGGAACTGATTTAAAAATTCAAAGTTCAAAAGTTGACTCCATTAAGAAACAAATTTCGATAGTTAATGAGAAGACAAGTGGAGACAGAATGGCAGTTAAGAAATTGGAAAGTGATATAAAAAGACATACAAAGGCATTAGAAGATGCAAAGAATGAACAAGTCACAATTGAACAAGACTATGATACAATTAAAGAACAAAAATTGGAGCTAGAAAAAAAAATCAAAGAATTTGAAAAAGAGATAAATGAAGTTGAAATCAAAAAGAGAGATCAAGATGAAGAACTAGAAGTCACTAGAGTTGCAATCGAAGAAAAAGAAGAAGAGTTAGCAGGATTTAAACTGTTTGAAGTAGAAATTACAAATAAGTTGGAAAAAGTAACACATAGTTTAAAAAAGCTTCATCATTTAATTGAAGAAAATCAACTGCAATTAGATTCCATAGAAATTAGAGATCCTGAACCATATATCTACTGGTTAGATGAACAAGAGCAAATGAAGTATAAATCCAATGCATTGGAGAAACTAAGTGAGGAAGAATTACAAGATTTTGATCTAGAAGCAGTTGCTGCTGAAATTGAAGAATTGAATAAATATATGTCAACGGTGAAAGTAGATGTTGAAATTTTAAAAGAATACGGAACTAAAATATCTGAATATAATGATAGAAAATCTGATCTCAATAGAGCAATTGAAGAAAGAGATGAAAAGAGAGATTATTGTGAAGATTTGAAAAGAAAAAGATTGGATGAATTTATGGAAGGTTTCAGTAAAATCTCCATGACATTAAAGGATATGTATCGAATGATAACTATGGGTGGTAATGCCGAATTAGAATTAGTTGATAGTTTAGATCCATTTTCGGAAGGTATATTATTTAGTGTCATGCCACCAAAGAAATCATGGAAAAACATTTCAAATTTATCAGGTGGTGAAAAAACTTTAAGTTCATTGGCATTAGTTTTTGCTTTACATCTGTACAAACCGACTCCCTTATATGTTATGGATGAGATTGATGCTGCTTTAGATTTTAGAAATGTGTCAATTGTTGCAAATTATATAAAGGAAAGAACTAAGAATGCTCAATTTGTAGTAATTTCATTGAGAAATAATATGTTTGAATTAGCTGCTAAATTAGTGGGTATCTATAAGGTTGATAATAAAACTAAAAGTACATGTATAATGAATATATAGTCTACCTAAATTGTGGATCTATAGCTGTTGCAAATTGTATTTCATTTGATCTCTTCAATATGAATTGACTATCAAGTAAATCAATCATTTCAATCATATTCTTACAATCATTTAATTGTTTTATTGTTCTTTTAGAAACATCCATGTTTTCTAAAAATTGTGAAACATGATGTTGTGATATCTTAAATGGTAAACCATAACTTGTTGTAAGATCCATAAATTTTTCAACTGCACTCCAAGGTGTTTTATTGAATCCTTTAAATAAAGCAGGATTCGCTAGTATTCCTCTTGCTGACATTACACCATCAACTTTTGTGTACTCGACTATTCTTTTGTAGTCATCTAATGTAAAACAATCACCATTCGCTATCATTGGAACTTTAATGTGAGGTCTTAATGTTTTTATAGCTTCTAGATTCACAGGAACAGAAGACCTAGTAGTTTTTGTTCTACCGTGAACCGTAATCATATCAGTTCCTGCTTCTTGAATTATTTTCACAAAGTCAATAGTTTCATTTATATCTTTATGTATCCTTATCTTTGTATCAATGAAAACTTTATCTCCATACTTCAATTTTGCTGTCTTGATTAAATTTGCAACCAAATTTGGCTCACTCATTAAAGCTGCCCCAATACCTTCTCTTACTTGATCTCTTATAGGACATCCACAATTTATTCCAATTCCATCAACATAAGGTAGTATCATATCCACAAATTTCATAAAGTCTTCGACATTATTAACTCCAACTTGAACTATTACACAGGTATCTTTATCATTAGTTGTAAAATCGGAGTATCTTGCAACTTCATTTCTAACAAATTCTCTTGCTAAAATCATAGGAGTATAAACAATGTCAACATCATAAAATCGACAAACCTCTCGAAATGGTAATTTAGAATATCGCACCATCGGTCCAGCGACTGTTATTAAGGATTTTTTATTCACAATATTTCGTAGTCTCGACAGTCGCATACTCTTGAAGATTTCTTTGAGATATTAGATAAGTAGGTATTTTGGTGATTGTTATGAAAAGAACCTGTATTTATATTGAAATGAGTCGATTTTGAAAATTAATTTGATTATTTAGTAACACTAGGATTCAAATGCTTTTTAGTTTAATTTGAAAATTTATAAGATGTTATATTTGAATTTGAAATGGATTAATGTGTATTATTTGAAAAGTAAATAAAAAAAATATTTTGTGTCTATTTTATAGCGATGATTCACGATAAATCTTTAACTATTGAAACAAACAATGATTGAATTTGAGTGTTGCCTCTCCATGAGCAATCATTCTTACCAAGCAAGAAATATTTTCGCTGGATTTACTAATCAACTTAACTTTCAGGCATCTTTTGACGAATGGTGGTATTTTGTATGACTTCTAAGTAAGTAAGTACGATCATAAAATTGATCTCGTAAAATGAAAAACTAAGTTAGTCTAAGATCTTAATTTTTAATTTTTTTTCACATTACTTCAATTTATTTTACAAATTGAATGAATAAGATTGATGAATTAAAACAAATCATTAAAAACTCAAAGTTCTATACTGAAATAAAACATTCATTACATAATCATGAATTCAAAAGAATAAGATGTTTGGCATTAGGTTCACCAATTGAAAGTTCTAACTCAAGATATCAATATGCTTTACTACTACTATTAATAGAATTATTAAATATCAAGGAAATTTCAATTTATGATCCAATTTTCAACGAGAAAGACAAAGAGCTACTACGAAACTTCAAAATAGAGGAAACTTATCCTTATCCAAAAGATGAAAATACTTTATTTTATATGCCACATCTTCCATTAAAAATAATGGAACAAATTATAAATACTGAGAAACCAGTATATTTCATAGGAAACGATATTGTAAGTCATACTGATAGATTGAGCAAACAGAAGCTAAATGAATTATATCCTTCGATGTCAATTCTATTACACCTTTTAAATGATAGCACCAATAATGATGGATTTACAAAAGTAATCAAAAGAAGAAAACAATACAAAGAACCAGAAATAAATTATGATTATAATTCTGTTTATTTTAAAGATATTGAAATTAAACGATATTTAAACAATTTTAATAAAACCGATCCTTGGGGAACATCTTTTTCAGACTTAGCATTTCATAAACTTAAAATTTAGAGTTTATTTTTTCAATCTATTCTTTGCTTTTTAGTTTCTGGTTCTTCTTTTAATAAATGTTTAGATAAGATTGAATATAAATCATCTTTTGTAAAAGGTTTTGCCAATATATCACTCATACCGTTTTGTAAATATGTAACTAAATCATTATCTTCAATATTTCCAGTCATTGCAATAATTGGTGTTTTTGTATCAAATGATCTTATAACACTTGTAGCTGTTGCACCATCTAAATTAGGCATAACAATATCCATTAATACTAAATCATATTTTGTATTTTCAACAGTTGATATTGCGTTTAATCCATCAGTAACAACAGTAACTTGACAACCATATTTTACTAAAAATTTTCTACATAGTTGGATACAAACATTATCATCTTCGACTAATAAAACATTAAATTTTGGGTTTGGTATGTTTGTTGTATTGATAGTTGCTGTTGTAGTGTTAACCGTTGCTGATGATGTATTTACAGCTGAAGGTGCTGTTCCAGCAGCATTTGGTGATGCCGTAGAATTTGTTAATGGAGATACTGGTTTTGGTGATGGTTGTACAAGTTCCTGATTAATATTGGGAGTTGAAGTGGGTGTTTGATCTGAAGGGGGATTTGGTTGATGAATAGACAGATGCCGACTTATTGAAGCTAATCCACTTACAGGACTTGTAATGGAATACGAAACACTACCATGATTTCGTGTATGATGCGGTATTGATATGGATCTGTTAATATGTGGAGGTACTATTTGTGGCACGATAGGTGATTGATTCAATCTAGGAGATGATTGTTGTAAATGTTGAGATATACTTGGTAATGAAGTTGCTGATAGATTGGGAAATGTTGGTGAATCTTGCAATTTGAAAGCTCCAACATTTGCAGGAGGTGGGAAATCCAATGGAGGTATTTTGATTCCAGATTGTAGTAAAACATTCATCAACACACTAATAGAACGATGATATCTTTCATTAAATGAATTTATTGAAACTATATGTTCAACTAAAGTTTTATATTTTCGTTCTAAAATATTTATTTCTTGATTCAACATTTGATTGCTATCTTTTAATTGATTTATTTGATCTTTTAATTGATTTTGAGCAGTGTTTATTTGATTATAATTACATGAGTGAGATCCATTAGATTCATTAGTTGATTCAGTTTTAATTTCTTTTTCTTCAGCTGGAGCCAGACTTGTTTTTGATCCATTTGTACTTTTTTTAGCTGTAGGTCCTTTTCTTTTTATATTTTCTAATGATTCTCGATCATTAATTTTAAAATTTGGATGTTTAAATTCCCATGCATCTTCACCATATGGATAAGTCAGTTTGGCATCATTAGGGATTTTGACTTTATGAAAATCATACTTATTCAATTGTCGAACAAAACTTGCAAAATTCGAATGTTTGAAATGACGTGGTAAAATATCTTTTGTAAAATTACTCGTGTTCAAAACAACAAAACTATCTCCATTTTGAGTCCATTTGACTACATTTTTATAACTATCTTCTTGTAACATTAGAAATAATTTTTTGACAAAATCATTTGACCCACTTTGATTTGAACTTGCAGTTGTAACTAGGGTTGAATTAGGTGGAATTGGATGATTCAAGGAAGACATGATTTGAATTAGTTATATGAAATAAAAATAATAATAAGTAAGACAATTAATTTAATTATATATAATGAAGAACTAAACTGGTTTTGCTATTTTGAGTGAGCTAGTACATCCGAGTAGATACCTTTTATAAAATGAGCGAGTAGTTTGTTAAATGAAATGTAAAGTTGTTGAAGCCGTAGATTTAATTGGTGATTTAGTTGTTAATTGATTTACTTTTATGAGGTCAAATAAAAATAATAAATTAAAAAAAAAAAAAGAGACGAACGGAAAATCCATGTCGTGTCAAAAACACTATGACGTAAATCTAAAAATAACTTTTGATGTTTACTATTATCTAGCATATAATTACTCGAGGATTTTTAATAACAAGTTTTTCATCTTCTATTGTCACTGGACCAAGTTCTGGATCCACTTCATTTGCACCAACAATTATAGCTTTTTCAATTTCTATTGGTAATGAGAAGTCACCTGTAGAATTCACTGACAATTTTCCATTTTCAAATTCAAAATTTATCATTTTAAATTCTGAATCAATACTTTCTCCGTCATCGACATATAATTGACCATTAGCGTAACCTTGAATATTCAAAGCAATTATCAATGTATATGGATCATGTTTCATTAGTTTTGACGATCTTCTATATCTTTCCTTTTTCGCTATAATTGAACCACCTTTGAGTAACATCGGTATATCGTTTATTCCAACTTTAAATTTTGAGCTATTAATTTTATCTCCAATGATTCCATTTGTGAATTGATAAAATATTTCATTTTCCGGAAGAACAAACTCAACTTCATTAGCTTCTTCATCAGTAATTGGTTTTACCAAGATACCTGAATCTCCTAAGAAAAACTCATCCTCAATCTCAAAAATATTTGAATTTGTCAGATTGTAATAATCATAAAAAATAGGTTTCAAAATAGGTGAGCCTGAAATTGAAGCTTGATAAAAAGCAGTATAAAATATAGGCAATAAAGAGTATCTCAATTTGATTGCATCCCTTATATATGAAGTATATGGTTCACCAATTAAATATGGCTCTCTCCTTCTCGAATCAATATGTGCATGAGCTCTGAAAAATGGATACCAAATACCAGCTTGATACCATCTCGTCAACAATTCTTTCAGAGGATTACCAAAAAATCCTCCAACGTCCGCTCCAGCAAATGGCATCCCAACAATATTTGAAGTTAAAATCATTGGAATTGAAACTTTTAAATATTCCCACTTAGACATATTATCACCAGTCCACATAGCTGCAGTACGTTGACTACCTGAAAAATAAGACCTAGTTAATATAAATGGTCTTTGTTCAGGTAATCTTGAAAGCATTGAATTATAAGTTGTTTCGTGATAAGTTAAACCAAAAACATTATGAATTGATCGATGTTCCCATTGTCCATAATGTATATTATCTTTTGGTGCGCTAGTTTCAGGTCCATTGAAAACAGATGGTTCATTCATATCATTCCATAAATGTAGATTTTTATGATTATCAGATATCATAAAAGTTTTATGTACATCATCCCAAAATTTTTGACTTTTAGGATTTAAAGTATCAATCCAGATAGATTCACCTGGCCAACAATGTCCACGATATGTGTTATCTTCATTATCCTTCATGCCTATGTTTTTAGAAATTATAGCATCACTAACAAAATAACCTGTTTTAATATGAGGATCAATAATAGCAACTAAATTTCTACCAGTTCTTTCTAAGACTTCCAACATTTCATCTGGTTTGCCAAAATTTTGAGGATCCCAAGTTAAATATTTTTTATTATCTGCATATTCTATATCCAACCATATGGTGTCAAAAGGGATTTCAAATTCATCAAATTTAGCACTTACTTCTAACACATCTTTAATATCATTATAATTCCATCTACATTGATGATAGCCTAAACTGGATAATAAAGGTAATTGAGTGAAACCTGTGATTTTACCATATACTTGATTTATTTCTTTTGGTGTATCTTTAATAAAGATAATAAAATCGAGTATTCCATTTTCGGATATCCAATGAATAGTTGAATCTTTACCCTTTTTTATATCAATGTAAGAATCAGCACTATTCACCCAAAATATACCAATTGATACATCCTTTTTAACTGCAGTCAATAAAGGAATTGAACCATACATAGGTAATCTTGAATCAGTTTCATATTCAAAAATATCAACATTATAAAATCTATAAGGTTCTTTTCCTGAAGTATCTTTTAAAAGCATTGAATCGGCATGTTCTGGGATTCCATATAAGTTGTTAAAACCTAATAAAGTGAAATCTAAACCAATAGATTCTGGTCCTAAAGGAAGTTTGTCTGATTTAGAGTCTTTAAAATCATCAGAAAACATATTAAATGAAGATTCCTGAGGTAGTAGTTTGTTATTTTCAATTGATCTTTGATGTTCTACCAATAAAAATTGTTTATCATTTATTAATAATACTTCTTCATTTTTATAGTAAAAAGTAAATTTAATTGGATTCAAATTGATAATTACTTCATGATTATCACTATAAGTCATTAAAATTTGATCGTCATTTATCTTATAGTCTGCTTTATCATTTGAAAGGTCTTTATTAAATGCCCATTTTGAAGTTTCATTATACCTGTTATGATTAACAAAATGTTCAATTGGGTTTCTAATTTCATCCAATTGAAATCTAAAACTGTTTTCAATAACACTAATTTCAAATGGGAACTTCACGTCAAATCCTATTTTCAATACTGTCCCTCTTAATTTATCCCCATCAATTTTAATTTGATTAAAATCAATATAATAAGGTGATTGGAAGTTTGAATCTAATGAAATTTGATTAGCATAATGTCGATTTCTATGACAAAATCCATTTTGATTACATGATTTAAATAAATAATCTTTAACAGCTAAACAATAATTTATTAAAATGAAGATAGTCACTAATTGTAAATTCATTGTGACATTTGGAATTATCTTTTAATGGTTGCAATAAATTTTATTGTAACAATTGTCTAATCGCGTTAAATTTGGGTCTCAAGTAAAAAAAAAGAATTTATTCCTTAGGCAATCAATCTATAATCAAGATGAGATTATGGTTGATAAGTTCATCAAATGTTTCATATGCTGACGAGTATGCAGATTGATAGTGAAAGATTTGCAGATCCTTGTCAATTTGTTCTCATATTTGCTCGTCAGTTGACAGAATAGATGTTAAAACGTATCAGAGTGTTTCGTTTTTCCACAAAATTTTGAGATATAATTCTCAATCAGCAATGCCAGTGTGAGCAAAGAAAAGCACAGATAGAAAGGATGTGAACAAGATATGGGGTTCGTTCAATTGAAATATGCTGGTTAACTGAATAACTATACTAAACCTACTATGGTCACAATACTATAAAATTAGACGTGTAATCTGGATAAAATATTATAAGTTGAAATTCATATACCGAAAAAAAAATATGAAAAAAAAAACAACAACCAGTTTAATTATTGTTAGAACCAAGCTTAGTCAACACAATCACATTACAAGTTACTTTTCACCCTACATCATAGTTAGCTCATTTGTAATATAACTTTATATTTCTCCTGTACATATAACCAACTAAACACCTTAGATATCAAATAATGAGTGATACAAATGATAGAAAAAGACAACTTGATTCATCTATAGAATCAATACCCAAAAAGCAAAAACCACTTGAAGAATTAAGTAAAGAAGGCCCATTAACACAAGCTGATGTTGTATATTTCAAAAAAGAAGCCATTTGGCGTCAAATGATTCAATATAAACAACAAGTAATTAAATTAAAAGGTGAAGTTAAAAAATTATCAAAAGAATCTGAATTTCTGAAATATATAGTTAGTGTATTAACAGCATGGTATGATGAAATTTTATTATTATTTGATTTATCATCTGGTAAAGATGAAAATATTTTAGTATCATTTGAAGAAAATGGTAATAACAAAGTTGAAATAAAATTAATTGAATTAAAAAATAAATTATCAAAAGCTATATCAAGTAAAATTAATGAAAAATTAGATTTTGATTCATTAAAAACAATAAGTCATTTAAAAAGTCAAAATGAAATACTAGCGAATGATAAAAAATCATTATCTGAAAAGATTGAAATTTTACAATCAGAAATACTTGATTTAATAGATAAAAAAGAAAGAAATGAATCTTTAACTTTAAAAAGAGTTGATGATAGTCGAAAAGAAATTAAAGAAGAGTCAGAGGAGGTAAAAGTGAAAAATGAAGAAGATCAAAAGGATCCAGCCATAGAAACAAATGGTACATCACAATCTATAAATACTGAAGAATTAGAAAAATTAAATAATGAAATAGATGAATTAAAATCAACTAATGAAATATTAAATAAACAAATCACAGAATTATCTGAATCAAATCAAGAATTATCTAAAAAAGCTGAAAATTTAGATAATAAATTACATAACCTACAAGAATCAGATTTACAAGAAAGTGTTAATTATAAAAAAATTATCAAAAATAATCAATTATTACAAGATCAAATTAGTAAAGTAAATAAATTAAATTCATTAAATATCAATAAATTAAATGAATTAGAAAAAAATCAAATTAATATAAAAAATTTAATTGAAAAAGATATAAAAGAAGAAAATGAAAAATTAAAACAACAATTAAATAAAAATGAAGAAGATTTAGTTAGAATTAGAACAACAAGAGATGAATTATTAAGTAAAAATACTATTTTAACAACTCAAATAGAAGATCAAAAGACAAATCAAGCATTAATAGAATTAAATAAAACATATTCAAAAAGAATAGAAGAATTAGAATCTATAAAATCATCAACAACAACAACAACAACCACCGAAGATCAAATTAATTTATTACAAAATGAAATTAAAGAATTAGAATTAGCTTTTAAACAAACAAGAGATTTAACATTAAAAAAATTAAATTCAACAATTGATCAAGATAATGTTATAAAAAAATTAACAATAGAAAAAACAAAAGCTGATCAAAAATATTTTGCATCAATGAGATTAAAAGATTCATTAACAAATGAAAATAAAATTTTAAAACAACAAATTTCCAAGACACAAGATTTAATTAAAAATTTAAATGAATTAGAAATTAATTATTTAAATAAAATTGAAGTTTTAAATAATCAATTAATTGATTATAAAATTATAAAAGAAAATTCAATACAAGAAAATTTAAATTTACAAGATTCAATAAAAAATTTAAATCAATTAAATCAATCTTACAAATCGGAAATTAAAAGAATTAATGAAAAAAATTCAAATTTTCAAGATGAAATAAATGAATTAACCACAATAAAAAATAAACAAGAAATTCAAATAAATCAATTAAATAAAAAATTAACAACAACAGAATCAACTTTAATAAAATATAAAACAAATAATACTAATCTGTTATTACAAGAAGATGAAGAACAATTAGAAGCTTTAAGATCTATTGCAAAATGTTCAGTTTGTACAAAAAATTGGAAAGATACTGCTATAACTGTATGTGGTCATGTATTTTGTTCAAATTGTACTCAAGAAAGATTAGCTGCAAGATTAAGAAGATGTCCAAGTTGTAATAAAGGATTTTCAAGTAATGATTTATTGAAAATTGTTTTATAAATTTTGTAGATAATGGATAAATATATGTGAATGTTTAATGATTTATCAAAATAGTTCTTGATTTTAAGATCAAATTCTTCTCTATCTGAGTTGTCTTTTTAACATTATTATAATTGGTTTATTTAAGACCGTATCTCTTGTTACTACAGAGCACTTACAAAAAGTCTGGTAAGCTTCACTTTGTATAGAGTTGGCGACACAAGAAGTATAAGAAACCGATTTATAGTTTTTTCCTCTTTTAATTAAGTTTCTTTTCTAGCAAGCTTGACTACTGATTCAATAAATAATTAGTTTTGAGGAGCATATACTCGAGAAAGTAAAATATACATGCTCTGAAATTTGCAACAATATGTCACAATTTATTGACTAAATTTCATACTTGTTTCAAGACATTCTCATGAAACAAATAAAACTATTTTTGTGAGAAATTTGCCATTAAACTACATTAACTCTATTAACGAAATCTCTTACATCCATCAGCAAAGTGATCATTCAAATTTGAGTTAATTTCAGAAAAAAGTTAAAGATTGGTTCATACTTTTTTAGAAATTTTTCATCAACTTAACTGTAAAATTTAGTTGAGAATAAAGTGCTGGTCATTTAAATTTTATGTAATTATATTATATATGTATGGATGTATAATAATATATAATAAGAGTAGTGTAACTTGCAACAATCTTAGCAAATTTTATTTTTTCCGCTGTTATTTTTTGTATATTACACAAAAACGTCATAATATATGTATTACATAATAAAAACAAAAAATTTTTCAAATATAAAAAGGAGATAAAATTTCCCGGTTTTTTTTTATTTCATTTTTTATGAAAAAGGAGAAGAGAGAAAAAAAGATTACTTATAATCTGAAACACAAAAATATTTATATTATTAAGGGGGTAGTGTAATAAACTCATACTACTATTAATATACATAATATACTTATACATAACATAATATACATACCATATTAATTATTAAATTAATTAATAAACAGAACAACAACTATCAACAAACAACTATTAACACTATCATCCATAAGTCATCAAATACACACTCACACATATACAAATTTGTTACATGTTTGTTTGAGTTTCGTTATCACACATAGTATCTATTTTTTTTTTACTTTCAATAATTAATTAACATATCATTGATACAAATCAAAATATATTTAAATAATGTCACAGATACTACCTAATACGAATACTCCTATTCAAACACCATCTTCAGAATCATTTAATAATAACAACCTCCACATCAATAATGATGAAAATAATGATTTAGATAAAGAATCATTAAATGATCATAAACCCACCGAAGATGATAACATTGATTCATCATTATTAGAAAAACAATCACAACAAAAACCATCTCATGAACCTTTATCACCACCAAATCCTACTCCAACTCCAGAAAAAAGGAAATTAGAAGAGAATGAGGAAGATCATGGAGAAAAAGAAGAAGAATCACCAAGTAAAAAACTTAAAATTGAAGAAAATAAAAATGGAGATATCCCTAATACTGAAAGTAATGGAGTTTTAGCTACTGAACCAAATAATGAACCAACAACAGAAGAAAATAAACCAGATGAAACAAATCTTGTTCAAGAATCATCAACCACTGTAAATAATAATGATGTAATAAAAGATGAAAATGAACAAGAAACTTCATCAACCACACAGCAAGATAATGAAATAAAAGAAGAAGCAACGACTACAACAGAAGCCACAACAGAACCCACACAACCATCATCAGATCAACCTACGCAACAAACAAAAGAATTACCTAAAGTACCTGCACCAAAACCACCAGCTGAACCAGATATGAATAATTTACCATCAAATCCAATGCCACAACATCAACAAAAATTTGCAATAAATACAATAAAAAATATTAAACGTTTAAAAGATGCAAATCCGTTTTTATTACCAGTTGATATAGTAAAATTAAATATTCCATTTTATTATAATTATATTGAAAGACCAATGGATTTATCAACTTTAGAAAAAAAATTACAAGTTTCTGCTTACCTGGAAATTTCTGATTTTATTGATGATTTTAATCTTATGGTTAATAATTGTATAAAATTTAATGGAGAAAATGCAGGTATATCAAGAATGGCAAAAAATATTCAAGCATATTTTGAAAAACATATGATGAATGCTCCACCAAAAGATTTACCACCACCACCAGCTCAATCATCATCATCAATATCACCAGAATCATCTAAAAAAAGAATAATTGATTCTGTTGCTTCATCAAGACCAAAAAGAAAAATTCAACCACCAAAACCAAAAGAATTACAATATGAAAAAACAACAAAAAAAGATCCAATAATGAGATATGCAAATGAATGTATAAAATCTTTAAATTCTCAAAGATATAAAGATTTAAATTGGGTATTTTTAGATCCAGTTGATACTCAATTATTCCCCACTTATTTACAAATTATAAAAAAGCCAATGGATTTAGGTAAAATTCAAACAAAATTAAATAATAATGAATATAATAATCCAGAAGAATTTGAATCTGATGTAAAATTAGTTTTTTCAAATTGTTATAAATTTAATCCTGAAGGTACTGATGTAAATATGATGGGTCATAGATTAGAATCTATATTTAATGAAAAATGGAGCAATAAACCTCAACCACAAATTGAAGAAGAAATTGAAGATGTATATAGTTCAGAAGAAGAAGAAGAAGAAGAAATTAATGAAAATATGTTATCCGATATTCCAGCAATCCAATTTTTAGAAAATCAATTAATTCGTATGAAAAAAGAATTAGATGAATTAAAATCTCAACATTTAAAAAAATTAAAAGAACAACAACAAGCAAGAAGAAATAAGAAAAAAAATAAATCAACCAACAGAAAAGGATCATCAAATAAATCTAAAAAACATCATCATCATCATAATTCAATTTCTTCAAATCATCCAGTAAAATTTACACCACCTCAACCTGTAGTTACATATGAAATGAAAAAACAAGTTTCAGAAATGGTTCCCAATTTATCAGAAAAAAAATTAAATCAATTTATAAAAATTATTCAAGATGATGTTCAAATAAATAATGAAGATGAAGTTGAATTAGATATGGATCAATTAGGTGATTCAACTGTTTTAAAATTATATGAATTTTTATTTGGTGAAAAAGCTTCTTCAACATCTGCTTCGAAAAATAAGAAAAAGAAATCTCCGGTTGGTGACGATGAAATGGCTCACTTACGTCATCAACTAGCTTTATTTGATGAAAATACCAGTAATTCCAATGGACATGAGCAATTAAATAATATTGCTCATGTACTGGATGATTCTGATGAATCAGAATCTTCTAGTGAGGAAGAATAGTAATAGGTTTATAGTAATAAAGTATATGTTATATATGTAACTATAATAATTCTAAAAATTAAGAAATTGTAGAACATACTCTCTTGATCTAGTGATGGTTTATGAATGATTCTCAATTTGTATCCTAAAAATGGTAGCTTTTCCTATTTTTAAAACACATGGAAACATGTAATAATTAAATTAAATCGCATCGTGATGATTTTATTCCAAAGGAAAAGGGTATACTTATTAAGTCTCCTCAACGCAAACATCCACCACCACAATTCAAATTCCAATTTCAACGTTGACTTCATTATCATTTAAAATGCGTAAATGTAAGATCTTTGTTGGATCATCACATCCAGAATTAGGTCAATTAGTTTGTGAAAGATTAGGAGTTGAACCAGCACCATGTACTTTAAAAAAATTTAGTAATGGAGAAACATCTGTTCAAATTGGGGTTAGTGTTAGAGATGAAGATGTTTATATTATACAAAGTGGTTCACCTCATATAAATGATCATATAATGGAATTATTAATTTTAATAAGTGCATGTAGAGGTGGGAGTGCAAATAAAATTACTGCTGTTATACCACAATTTCCTTATTCAAAACAAAGTAAAATGAAAAAACATAGAGGTGCTATAACTGCAAGAATGTTAGCTAATTTATTAGTAATGGCAGGAGCTGATCATGTTGTAAGTATGGATCTTCATGCAAGTCAAATGCAAGGATTTTTCACAAAACCTGTTGATAATTTATTTGGTGCTCCTACATTAGCAAGATGGATACGTTATAATATCAAGGATTGGGAAAATTCAGTTGTTGTATCAAAAAATCCAGGAGGTACAAAAAGAGTAACTGCATTAGCTGATTCTTTAAAAATTAATTTTGCAATGATTCATACTGATAGAAGAAGAACTCAAGATGAATATGCCAAAAAGAAACAATTAAAAAAAGCTAAAATTGTTGATGAAGATGGTCAAGATGCTGATGAACAAGATAATATAGTAAATGAATTACAAACTGCAAGAATTATACAAGGTCATGTTGTAGATGATGATTATCAATGTAAAGAAGAAAACAATACTAAAAAAGAATCAGATTCTTCATGTTTAGTAGATATAAATGGATCACATTTAACAAAACAAAATCTAATAGATAGTGATGTATTAGGAGGATCATATGATGTTGCAAATTCAGATGATGAAGATGAACCATTAATTGAAGAAAAATTAATAACATTAGTTGGTGATGTTAAAGATAAAGTTGCAATAATATTAGATGATATGATTGATAAACCAAATTCTTTTATAGCAGCAGCAGAACATTTAAGATTAAATTGTGGAGCAAAAGCTGTATATGTTGTTGGAACTCATGGAATTTTCACAGATAATTGTTTAGAAAAATTAACTGAATCTCCTTGTATTGATAAAATTGTTGTTACAAATACTTATCCTATCCCAAAACAACAAATTGAAAATAATTTAAATAAATTAGTTGTTATTGATGTTTCACCAATTTTTGCTGAATGTATAAGAAGAGATCATTTTGGAGAATCTATATCTGTTTTATTTGATTCTTTAGCAGCTATTGAATAGGTTAAAATGTTATATTATTATTTATTTTGAGATCCATTTGTCATGTAGAGAAATTCTTTGCTACATCTTATTTTCAAAAGTAAAATTGATTTTTTATGATTCTTGCTTATGAAATAAATTTGGAATCTCTAATTCTTGTAAACCTATGATAGAGATAATGAATTATTGAACGTTACCAATAACTGACTCTAACCAATTTTGACTCAGGATGGTCCTGTTTCAAACTTTTTTAGTCGTTTGACATTAGAGCCGCTTGATTAAAAGTTCTGTACACAAAAATAAGAAAAATATAAAACCGTTTAAAATTCCGCTCTTTAATTTTTTCTTTATTTTAACAACCAGCTTCTAATCCAAAATAAATGAATAAAAATAAATATGGATATATAGATGAATGTGGGAGTATCATTTCAATAACAACAGATGAAAGTGATATAGAAACTGATAATGAATCATTAATTGATTCTCAAATTTCATTAAATCAATTTATTGAATCAACAAATTTACAATCATTTACTTTACCTAAAACTCAAGATGAATTTGGACTGTATTACGTAGAGAGAAACTCAGAGTCGGTACAATCTCATCCAGAATCAATAGAAACAAATTCAGACTCGATAGAGTCAATATCAGAATCAATAGAATCACTTAAAACTATTTCAAATACACAATCAAATACACAATCAGATACACCTTCAAATACTCAAGATGATTTTAAACTGTATTATGAAAGTTATTCATCTGAATTTATTGAGTTTATGAATTTAAATCCAACAACTTATCATGTAATAACTCATTTTAAATCACTTCTTGAAAATAATGGATTTCATTATATAAAACAAAATAAACCAATAAAAAATTTAAAACCTGGTTTTTATTATACTAGTCGTAATGATCAATGTTTAATTGCATTTATTATAGGAGGTAAATGGAAACCTGAAAATGGATCATGTTTTGTTGGAAGTCATTCAGATGCATTAAGTATTAAATTAAATCCAAGAGGTTCCATACGGAAAAATATAGATGGATATGAATTATTAGGAGTTGCTCCTTATTCAGGTAGTTTAAATAAATATTGGCTTAATAGAGAATTAGGATTAGCAGGGTCTGTGCTAGTGAAAGAAAATGGTAAAATTCAGAGAAAATTAATAAATTCTAAAGTTCCAATTGCATTTATACCACAAGAACCAAGTAGAAATGATAATGAAAATTATAATCCTCAAACTAAAGAAGTTCCAATACTATCGTATTCTAATGAGATATTAGAACCAACCGATGAAGAAAAACAAAGTAAATTTTATAATCGTCATTCATTAAGTTTACTACGATATATATGTAAACTAAGTAATACATCAATAGAATCAATTATTGATTTTGATTTAGATTTATATGATACTCAACTAGCATGTAGAGGTGGGATAGAAAATGAATTTATTTATTCATCAAGTTTAGATGATAGATTATGTGCATTTGATTCAATTTATGGATTAATTGAATTTAGTCAAAGATTTTTTACTGATTTAGAACTTTCAGAATATAATGGATTATCAGGTATATATTTAGCTAATAATGAAGAAATTGGATCATTATCAAATACTGGAGCTTATGGAGGATTTTTAATTGATAATTTAAAATCAATAGTACAAGATAAATGTGATGGTACAATAAATGAATCAATTGCAAATTTAACAACAAATACAATAATATTATCATCAGATGTAACTCATGCAATGAATCCAAATTATATTGAAGCTTATTTAAAAAATAATTATCCATTACCAAATATTGGACCATCAATAAAATTTGATTCAAATGGTCATGTATTAAGTGATTCATATGGTAAAGAATTTTTAACAAGAATTATAAATAATTTACTGGGGGTAAAATTACAACAATTTCATATAAGAAATGATTCAAGATCAGGTGGAACTATTGGACCTATACTATCAAATGGTAAACGAGGAATTAATGGTGCAAAATTAATTATTGATGTTGGATTACCAATTTTAAGTATGCATTCTATTAGAAGTATAATGGGATATAAAGATGTTGGAATTGGTGTTAGATTTTTTAAAGAAACCTTTACGAGGTGGATTGATATAATCGATGATGTAGTTACAAGAGACTAGTTATTTTATCGTTATGTCATTAGATCTATTAATTTGTTGGTTTACTTTTACTCTTTTTAGCAAGAGCATATTTAATTGATTTAAATATTCCAGCAGTTAAAACTCCCTTTATAGTTTGTAAAATTGAACTATAAGTAATGGTTCTAGCTATAAGATTCTTTATATTATTTGGTAAATTTGAATCTTTTGCAATATCTTTTATAGAAGATTCTGGATATTTACTATATAATTGAGTTCTAAAATGTAATGGTAAACAACTTATTAATTTAATTCTTGAATTTATATTTAAATTTGTTTTAAAAGTTCTATTTTTTTCATCATTATCTGTAATTACCAAATAATTTTTATGAATGAAAAATTGTAGTATTGGATCATATAATTTTTTAAAATTATCAAATTGTTTTGTTACTATATTTTTGGCTTTATTAGGGTTTTCTCCTCCAACAATCATTCTAAAATCTCCTAAATATGATAAACTTGTAATTTGTTCATATAATTGTTTTTCAGTAAATTGATTTGTTTTAATTAGAAAAATTGCTATAGTCATTGCATTCTTTAGATTGTATTGATTTAAAAATTTTAACATTATATCATTATCTTTTATATAATTTACTGGTTTTTGTAATCTACCAGCAAAATATAATGAACTCCATTCACTTAAATCCATTAAAGCAGATCTTTTTGTAACTATTCCATATTTTATAATTTTTTCTTTTACCGTGATGTATGGATTAAAATAAATCCCATTTTTACCTTGAATTAGATTAATTAACCAAGTAGAACTAGTTGAATAATGATTTGGATTTTGTTTTAAATTTTCTTGATGAAATATTCGTGAATCTTTAACTAAAAATATAAAATCTAATTGTTTTTCTTCTTTTAATTCATAACCATCTTGTGGTATTATTCCAGATCCATAACCAATTGATGAATCTATTGGAGATTTGAAAGTATCAACTATATCGACCAATTGATTCTGTAAATCATTTTCACTTATTAAATTTTGATTATCTGCACAAAAATCTTTTGGTATAATTAATTTATCAAATCCTGCTGCCCCTTCTGTTATAATTGGTCTATAATATTTATCTGAATATGGTGTTGTAGTACTAACAAATGTATATTTTCTAATTGATACATGAAATGATCTAATCCAATATTTTATCATTACCAATACATCTATTGTCGTGGTAGTGATTGTTATAATAAATTTTGTTTACCTTTTGTTTCATTCTCTCTCTGAAATAAATTTTTCAGACAGAATGTTTTTTTCAACCAACTTGACTCACACCACCACCACCAAAATGTCTCAAGTCTATAGATCAACTAGATCTGACAAACCAGAAGAATTATCATTTGAAGATGTTGTAATGACAGGTTTAGCCCCAGATGGTGGACTTTATTTACCATCTGAAATTCCTCAATTACCTTCTAATTTTCTTGAAACATGGAAAGATTTATCATTTAATGAACTAGCATTTAATATTTTAAGATTATATATAAATGAAAGTGAAATTCCAAATGAAGATTTAAAAAATTTAATTACAAAATCTTATTCAACTTTTAGATCAGAAGAAATTACTCCTTTACAAAAAATTAATGATCAAATTCATTTATTAGAATTATTTCATGGACCAACTTATGCTTTTAAAGATGTTGCATTACAATTTGTTGGAAATTTATTTGAATATTTTTTAACTAGAAGAAATTCTAAAAAATTAAAGGGAGAAGAACGAGATATTATAACAGTTGTTGGAGCAACATCTGGTGATACAGGATCAGCTGCAATTTATGGATTAAGAGGTAAAAAAGATGTATCAGTATTTATATTATACCCCACTGGAAGAATAAGTCCAATTCAAGAAGAACAAATGACAACTGTTGAAGATTCAAATGTTCATACATTATCAGTAAATGGTACATTTGATGATTGTCAAGATATTGTTAAATCAATATTTGGTGATAAAGAATTTAATGATAAATATCATGTTGGAGCAGTTAATTCAATTAATTGGGCAAGAATTTTAGCTCAACAAACTTATTATTTTTATTCATTTTTTAAATTACAAAAAATTATTGGTAACAACCTGAAAATAAGATTTGTTGTACCATCTGGAAATTTTGGTGATATTTTAGCTGGTTATTATGCTTATAAAATGGGATTACCAGTTGATAAATTAATTATTGCAACTAATGAAAATGATATTCTTGATAGATTTATGAAAACTGGAGAATATGCAAAACAACAAGAAATTGGTGTAAAAGCTACTTATTCACCTGCAATGGATATATTAATTTCATCAAATTTTGAAAGATTATTATGGTATTTAATTAGAGATAATATCACCGACAAGAATGATGAAAAAGCAGGTTCTATATTAAATGATTGGATGAAACAATTAAAAGAGAATGGGAAATTTACTGCTCCAAAAGAAGTTGTAGAAAAAGCTAGAACAATATTTGATTCAGATAGAGTTGATAATAAAGAAACAATTGAAACAATAAAGGAAACATATACTCAAAATAAATATATACTTGATCCTCATACTGCAGTTGGTGTAAGAACAACCACAAGATTTTTAAAAAAAGATCAAGAACCAATTAATTATATATCACTTTCAACTGCTCATCCTGCTAAATTTTCAGAAGTTGTAAATAAAGCTCTTGATACATTTGAGAATTATTCATTTGAAAAAGATGTTTTACCAGATGAATTAAAACAATTGAGTACAAAGGAGAAAAGAATTAAATTAATTGATGAACCAAGTGTTTCAAAAGTTAAACAAGCTATAAAAGATGAACTAAAATTTTAAACCACAAATAATATACGTTAGTTATTTTTTCTTCAATTCTACTTTACCATCAACTATATCAACTTTATACCCAACATCTTGTAAAATCGAATCATCAACGGTTTTTTTAGCTTCTAATTCTGCAACAAATTGTTGATTCTGAGAATTATTCTCTAATAAATATTTTACACAAAGTATTGCTTGTTCTTTTATAAATGGATTGTTTTCATCAATTTGACAATTTGATAAAATTAATGCTAATCCACCTAATTCTCGAATTAGGTTTTGATTTTTTGTTGACTGGTACGTCATATAAGATAAACTGATTATTATGTATGATTTTGCCGATGAATAAGGAATAAGTTCTTCTACCTTCGATTTCATAGTTACTCTTTCAACATTCTCATGTGTTATTTTCAAAAGTGAAATTAATGGTTTTAATAATTGTTCATGATCAAAAAATTGTATAGCTGCTTTGAATTTTGCTGTTTCCGCTAAAATATGTAGCGAGTTTAATATATATTTCTCAAGATTTTCATCATTAATAGTTTCCACATTAACTTTATCCGCATGATCTAAAAATATTGGAACAACCCAAGCTAATAATCCAATTAATTGAAAATTATCCCAATCATCATTTGTTTCAAGAATTACAGAAGTAAGTTCTAACCATTTTATTTGATCCTCTTGTAAATCTATCCATTTTTTAAAACTTTCATGAGTAATTATATCATAAATTAAATGTATTAACATTTTGGAATCATGATCATCTCCAATTTTTGTATATAAATTGAAAATTGTATTTAAAACATGATTATCTCTTATTTTTAAAAGTTTTAATAAATTTTCATTTGTAGTATCTGATTCTTCTGAATAAAATTGACGAAATAAAAAATGAACTACCGGGGTAGGAGATATTTTGGTTTTATTGAAAAGTTCATTAATTTCTTCAATATATTCATTTCTTTTAAAATTTGCTAAAATTTCCCAATAAACTTGAATACTTTTATCAACCCATTCATTTTCATCTAACTTTTGAAACTTTGTAAAACTTGTAATTACTTTTGGAAAGTAAATCGTATTTAGATTAGGAGCTGCATTTCTTATGATCAATAAAAGTCCTCTATATAATCTTAATTGTAATACATTATTTTCAGGTGTATATGATAAGATTTGATCAATTGTTGTCAATTCTTCACTCTCCTTATTTGCCGATTGAATAGCTTGAGATATTAGTGTGAGACAATCATCGAAATTTGAGTAATCATTATTAGTTAAGTCAGTAAGTGTTTGATTAATTATATCATTTATATTCATTGAATTAAAGAGAGTAATCGGAGTTTTACATTTTTTTCGTAGATAATTTTGCAACAATTTCAAGAATAATTACATGCATTAGGGTTCAATAAACAATATTTAGAAGCTAAAGGAGGTACTTTATAATTCAAATCAACCAACCATTCTCTGAACTTGAATATACGGGGTGTGAAATTTTTCAATCCATCAACTTTATACCCACTCCATAATGTTTCAGCTAAAGCAGCTGTTCTTGGCCAAATTGAACTAGTTAAAACATTTGAATCCACTTGTTCGGACCATAACACAGCTTCTGCTCCTACTACTAATGACTGTTGTTCTTTAGTCAAATTTTTTAAAATGTTAAATGAATAAATTCTTTGATAAGTCTTATATGGACCACACCAACTACCTGCTTGTCCTGAATTAAATTCATCATTTTCTGGAGCTTCAACATATCTCTTATCATTGGTTAAAAAACCTCCATGTCCACAATCTAGATAAAGATGATCTGCCAGTGACACAATAACCTGGTGACCTTTATTTGTTAAATTTTTTACAACATCAAATCCATGCCAGACTTGTAAAGTTATATTTTGAGGTAAATTCACATTATGCTGAGATATTATATCATCCCACATAATTATATTTGCAGTGTTGAATATTGGAAAGACTTTATTCAAATAAAGTTGTATCATTTCACTTAATGTTTGATTTTGAAACCATTCTTGAGGATAACAAGACTTTTGAAGTTCATCATGTCCCACATGAATTGTATTAAAAATGAATTTCATCTCATTAAACACATTGTTTATAACTTCATATGTTTTATTATTCAAAATATCTAATTGACCTGGAGGAGGTTCAACAGCTAAACCTTTCCAAAAACAATCTCCACAAATTACTATCTCTTCATCAACTTGTCTCCAACCAGCTCTAGCATGTCCAGGAATATCTATTTCTGGTATCACAATGACTCCTCTTTCTCTCGCATATTCAAAAATAAATTTTAAATCAGAAATTTTATATTTTTCATCAATTGAAAAGGCATCATTTGACATTTGAGGATATGAATCTAATTCAAGAGGCCAGCTCTGAGTATCAACTAAATGCCAATGTAAAACATTCATTTTAACTAATTCCATTATATCAATTTGTTCCAAAATTGAATCAATTGTTAGATAGTTTCTTGCAGAATCAATCATTAATCCACGATGTCGGAATCGTGGTGAATCTTTGATTATCACTGAGTTTTTGATGAAAATTGAATTGTTGATTTTGACTAGTAATTGTTGTAAAGTCGATAATGCACGTAAGGCACCCCATAAGGTTTCGCTTCTGATACCTATACCATCAATTGCATTGACTCGTAATTCATAAGATTCATCACTCCCTATTTTTAAATCCGAAATAAAATCATTCACCAAAACTTTAATTTGTAAAGGTAAAAATTCAAAAACTCCAATTTGTTCACTACCTCGTGGTACTTTTCTATTTTTGATTCTAATTAACGCGTTATTCAAGATATTATCATCACTTGTTAAATATAAATTTTGTAAATCAACCAATAAAGGTTTACCATATTCACTAACGACTTGTGGCTTGGGTAGTACATTAATTTGAGCATAGATTCCAATTAAGAAGATTAGAAATATCAACATGCAACTTTTATTTATTATTCTATTAGATCTATTAAAAAAAATAATCTAAGGATTATAGTTTTGATGATATTCGTTCTTGTTTTAATTGTTGTTCAAATGCATTTATCATAATAGTTGTTACTTGAGGAGCAAATAAATAACTTAATTGATCATAAATTGGATTTTTAAATTTATATAATAAAGTAAAATTAACTTGACAATCACCGGATGAAGTATCTTTAAAATTCCATTCAGTTTCTAATTCATGAAATAAATCTAATTCAATACTTCTTGCAATAACTTTTTCATTTTCAATACAATCTAATTTACATTCAAATTGTTCTGTAATATCTTTCCATCCAATTTTTAAACCAGCTTTTGATGGTTGTTTTCTTGAATCTCTTTTAGAAATAAATGAATCTTCAACAAATGGAACAAAATTTTTATAATTACTAACATCACTAACTATTTTATAAAGTTGATTGGAATTTCCATTAAGTTTTTTACTTATGCTATAAGTTTGAGGTTTTGAATTGCCAAAGAATGATCTCTTAAAGCATATTTGTGTGGTACGTCTTATCATCGACTTGCAATCGTCTGACAAGATTTTTCAAAAAATAAATTCGAATTCACATAAGTGTTAAAACAGAGATCAATTCTACAATTTTTTACATTCTTTAATTTTAACATTTGTTTATTACATGATAAGGGAGTTCGTTACATATTTACTTCTTGACTGTGTCATAAAAAATTTATTGAGCACGGGTGTAAATGTATTGTTTTGAGTGTTTTAAAACTGGTGTTATAATTCCATCTTCTTCTAATTGTCTTAAAGCAACACGAGCTAATGAACCACCAATCTTTAATCTATCAACTAAAACTGATACTGAAACATATTTATAAGTTGGAACATCTTTTAAAATTCTATCATATTTTTCTTGATCTAAGATAACTAAATGTTGAGCTTTATCCTTAACTTTTCCTTTATTCCACTTCTTTTTACCTTTTTTACCACCAGCTAAAGCGGCAGCAGCTTTAGCGGCTTTGGTTTGTTGAATTTTTGGAGCCATTCTAAAGATTTTTGTTAGTATTAATATTCTTCTGAAAAATTGGACGCAATCCTTCTAGTTTGAATTTGTTATATGGTGAACGTCTGAGACTTTTGATGCGATACAACATGAAAACTGGAATGTTGATATAATTGAAAATGATCCATTTTTTTTATTTATTGATGATTCTCTAATTCGCTAAGTCTCATTGATTGATTTGGCATTAATGTTCAACTTCCTGCTATCTTAGTCGCTCTTTGATGGTGAATTTCAAACATTGCAGTTATTTAGTCTTGCTATCCTATTCATGATCATTCAAAACATACTTCTATAGTTGCCTTATAATGCTAAACAGAAAACGTAATCAATTCTTAGTCAAAGGTTTTTTTCTATCAAAAGGATGATAATATTTTTTCACATACTTAATGCAATTGGTAGTAAGTGTTTTTGGTTTTGTGCTATAATTTAAAGTAGGGCCAGAGCCCTAATAGCGCTTGCAGAATAAATTATATTCAAGCCGTTGAAAAATGAATACTTCATCACTTAAATGAAGTTAAATAATGAGGTGACGCTTACTAGAATAGACATCTTACTTCTATAACTTTAAAGTAATCATTACCTAATGTAGGTGAAGCTTTTGTTGCAACATCCATGTAAAATAAATTCGAACGCTGATCCTATGCAATAAATTGGTCTCTAGGTCTTATTTACAAGTATGTTCGTCATGATGAAATTCGGACGTGCTTTAAACTAAGAAGAATTCTTTAAATAGAGACTTACGATCATATAAGCGAACTAAACTTTGGAATCATCTAAGATTTTTAAACATATTAAAGTTAAAGCTCTCAAAAAGGAAATGTGGTACTTGGTAGCTACTCAAAATCACACACTCTTCTTTGAATTTGCTATAACCTCACATCAAACATTAGTGAATTGACAACTGACTTCAAATTTAATTCATCCTAGTTCACCATCACTTATCTTATAACCAACTATGGCTAAGCGCCAGGCAACTGAACAAATCACAAGAGATGATTTTAATGAAAATCTACAAGAACATGAAGAAGCCAATGGCCGTCCGATTAAAGCATCATCTCAAGTTCTCTCAAGTAGGAAGATTTTAAAACCCAGGAGCAAATTAGGTGGGGATCAAAATGGGTTTGCTTCTACTCCATTCAAAGTACAGCAAAGCTCGTTTAATTTTGCTCAACCCTCCAAACCAACAAATGAAAAAGACAATAAAATCAAAGCATTAAATGATAATTTCATACAAAAAATTAATGAACTAAATAAATCAAATACAATAACAAACTTTACCAAAATTGCTGAAAAATATATTGCATATTTTAAAGAGATAGAAAACTCGGATACAACAAAATCACAAAAATCACAATCACTACCTCCACCAAAAATAGAACAAATTGATGAAATTCAAGATGCAAAATCAGACGTAGAAAGTGAGGAAGAGAAAAAACAAGTTAAAATCCAAGGTCCTACATTCAGCTTTAATAATTCATCAACCGTCACTAAATCCCCATTTACATTTGATCCTAAAAAGATTGCGAAAATAAATGCACCAGATTCTGATGAATCTGAAGATGAGGTTCAAATTAAAGGACCTACTTTTCAATTTAATAAGGAAATAAAAGATAATGTATTCAAGCTCCCCACCAATTCAACAAGTACTTCTTTTTTCAAACCTTCTACAACTGAACCACAAGCTAGTCAAGTAAATAACACATCTACAACTTTCAAATTTGGAGCTGGGACTGACCAGAACTCGCAAGAACCATCTAAGTCACCTTTCTCATTCACCTCAACTTCAAAACAAACGGACCCAGAAAAACCAGTATCATTTGGATCAACCAACAGTAATTCTGCCTTTTCTTTTGGAACTTCCCAACCGACTGATTCCAGTAAATCTGTATTTTCATTTTCAAAACCAAGCACTGGATCAAGCGAAACAAGTAAAGCATTTTCATTTATATCACCTGACGCTACCGCAAAAAAAGAAGATGCAGTCAAATCAAGTGGTTTTTCATTTCCTAAACCAACAGAACAAAATAATGCTTTTTCTTTTGGAGAAACTAAAAAATCTGTCGACGCAGGATCATCAACAGAAACAAGTAAGGACTTTTCATTCAAGCCTGCCGAATCAAATAAACCATTTTCTTTCGGAGCAACTAGTCAACCTTCAGAGAAAGCTTTTTCATTTGGAGCTAAAAGTACTTCCGCAAACAAAGACACTGAATCTAACAACACACCTTCCAATCAATCTGAATCAACTAAACCTTCAACTTTCACATTCCCTAAATTTAACGAATCTGGACAAAAGGATTCAACTGACAAACCTTCATCATTATTTGGAGCAAAACCTTCTTCAAATTTTTCATTCACTCCGGCATCATCAACTACAACCAACTCTGCGTTCAGTTTTACTAGTTCTAATACTAATACCACTTCAGCATTCAATTTCAAACCCTCATCCAATACTCTAGCATCAAATTCAAATCCATTTGGAGGTATAAACAACAACAAAGAAAATCAAAACACAGAAGAATCAGTTGAAGAACATGAAGTCGATACAAATTTCACTCCTATAACACAAATGAATGAGAAACAAGACACTCCATCTGGTGAAGAAAATGAAGAAACAAAATATACAATAAGAGCTAAATTAATGGAATTTAACGCATCGGATTCAACAAATCCTTATGTGAATAAAGGTTTAGGTGATTTAAAAATACTACATAATAAAATCACTGGGAAATCAAGAATTTTAATAAGAGCTGAAGGAAGTATGAGAGTTTTATTAAATACATTAATCTCAAAGGATATATCTTATGATTCAATAGGCAACGGAAATTTGATAAGAGTTCCAGTATTTGAAAATAATAAAGTTGTAACTTACATAATTAAAGTCAAAACAGCAGATGATGGAAAAATTTTATTACATACAATTAATGAATCTAAATAAAATTACAAGAAAGCTATATACAAGTGTCTATTTGTTTTCCTCATCCTTTTTATTATCTAAATTAAAAAATTTACCTAATTTTTTCCCAATTCTTGCTAATTTAGAAGGATGTAAATCTTTTTCATCCATTTCATCATATTTTAAAGCATCTTCAACATCTAATTGCCAATCTGAATCATTTCTTTTAGCATTTTTATCATTAAAAGCATCTGCTAAAGCTTCAAGTAAAGCAGTTTGAGTAGGAGTTTCAGCTACCAACGTTTTAACATTTAAAATGACATCTAAATTACCTCTATTGTTTAAATTCCTATTTATAGGTACACCCTTTTCTGGTATTGTTAATTTTCTTCCATTTTGAACACCTGGTCTTATTTTTAATTTAATTTTTTGTCCATCCAATGTAGGAACTATAATTTCACCTCCTAATGAAGCAGTAGTCATCAATATATCTTGAGTCACTACTAAATCATTTTTATCTCTTTTGAAAATTGGATCTTTTTCCACACTAATTCTAACTATTAAATCACCATTCCGAAGTTGATTATATTCATCTTTTGTTACAAATGGTGCATCTCCTGCTCCAGGTATCCTTATTCTAGATCCATCACTTATTCCAGGAGGAATGTCAACAGTAGTCGATTTCGGTATTTCTTGAACACCATTTCCATGACATGTATTACATTCATCTGATTTTGATATTGTTACTCCAGAACCTTGGCATGTTGGACAAGTTGATGACATGTGGAATCCTCCCATAACATGAGTTGCTTGACCAGATCCATGACATGTAGGACATGTTTGTTTTTTAGCTCCCAGTTTTAATCCACTTCCTTTACAAGTAACACATGAATCAACTACTTTATAATTTATAGTTATTTTACTTCCAAATATACTATCTTTAAATGGTATCTTTTTTAAAACTTCAACATTATCACCAACATATTCTGTAACAAAATGTGCTCTTCCTTGTGATTTACTTCTTCCTCCACCTGTAAATGCTTCTTTAAATAAATCTTCAAAATCAAATCCCATACCTGAAAAAGGATTTCCTCCAGCTGCTCCTCCAAAACCTGCTCCACTTGAAAACCCTGCAAATGGATTTCCTGCCCCACCTGCTCCTGCACTACCTCCAGCATATGGATTTGGATTTCCATTTTCATCAAATGCATTTGGACCAAATTGATCAAATTGTGCTTTTTTCTCTTTATCTTTTAATATTTCATAACTTTGTTGTATCTTATGGAATTTTTTTTCAGCATCTTTTTCTTTATTAACATCTGGATGAAATTTTTTAACTAAATCATAATAAGCTTTTTTGATTTGTTTAGGATCAGCAGATTTATCTACACCTAAAGTATTATATGGATCGTAGTTTATGAATTTTATAGGTGAAGAATGAAAATTTCTTCTTAAAAGATTGTATCGGCAATATTGAGTTTTCGGTATACATTTCTTCAAACACGTTGTGGTAATTATTCTCATTTTTGAGATTTTTTATGATGATAAGTTGTGTGAGTTTAGAGATGCTCTGAATCTTGAGATGTAGAAATTAGGATTAGATACAGATTCTAATCTTTTATTGTGTGCTACCAATTGGGTTACTAGAAAATTCTGCTAGCTGATGTAGAAAGTTGAATGTGGCGACGAATGTAATAATTATTCTACGTTCTAAATTGACTAATGTTGATAGCTGATTGTCAAATTCGTAATGATGGAATAACTTGCTAATGAAAAGAAAGCAAGAGTTGTGAAGGTCCGAAGCTTCAGTATCGCTTGCATCATGAAATAGAGTTTGATTGATCTTTAATTAATCGACAATCACGATTTCACATTAAGATGTGCTTGAGGTCATTGGATTAACTGTATATCCCACCACACGCTTACCGGTTGATGTAAGAGACGATGTCGCTGATAATGTTGTAAGTAACTAACAATAAGTTTAAAAAACCCGTCTGAGCTTTTTCCCTTTTTGAACACCTATAAAAGCATGTGAAATATTTAAGGCTATTATTAAATTGGTATGTTTTGATTCTCAATTTGTCCTTTAAAAGTTGAGTTCTGATATAAATATTATGTGGACCAAATGCTATTTCTTTTTCGATTATAACTTCTTATACAATAAATCTGCATATAAGATAATTAATTTTGTACTTATAAATCCTCAATATAATCATTAGTCATGAAGAATCAACGAAACTATCTATCTTTTCCTTATTACTCAGCAATTTTATACCAAACCAGTTGATTGTTATAGCCGCTAATTAAGACTTAGTGAATGGCATGATCAGTTATATTTATTTGGGTTATCAAGACTTCCAATTGTCAATCATAGTAAAAATGAAAAAATAAAAATAAAAATCATGTTATTACACGACGTTTCATTTACTATTGTTAATTCCTATTTAGGAATTAAAAGGGTTAAATATGAAACATATTTAATAATAATAATAATATTTAAAAAATTAATTTATATCTTTTAGATTATATTTATATCCTACTTTTTCCCATTTTCGTTTTAAATATTTTTATATATTTTATGTGTTTAGATATTACACAGTCAATATGTTTTCAGTTATTTATCATCATATTTGTCATTCTAATTTATATTATTACTATTCCATTAATGTTGGTATTACTTGGTACCTAGTTAATCATACAATATATTCAAGATTATCAGTCTTATTACATATCAATCGCTGGCTCCTCACTAGACTCATAAAGGATTTTAAATATTGAATAATATTACTCAAATATTTTAAATCATAGATCTATTGACTTAACGCTGCAAAATAACTTAGTTGTCAAACTTTTGAATTTCATTTCCTTATAATTGCTTCAGCCTTGAAAAAATTGGAGGTTCATTGTATCGCGTACTATTATATTTCAAGCGGGAGATGAATTAATTGACAAAATTCTCAATATGACAGAAGAAGTCTTTAACATAGAAACTTTGTGGGTTCTCGATAATAAAAAGAATAATTGTGTTACTACATTGAACAAATCAATGCTGAGAGGGGAATATACAGTACTTCGTTGTGATCATGTTTAGGTGGGGTTTTTTTTCCTAAGCATTGTTCACAATGAAGTACTTTTGCTTCACTCTTAGCATTCAAAATAGATTGGTACACTCATTTGATGCCTGTTCAAATGAAGCGATATCATTAACATCAGTAGCATCTTCCAAAGTCTGATACAGAAAGGTATCAGGTTGTAATAGTCTCTAGCCTATTTGGTAGATTAAATATGGTAAAAAAGATAGTTGAAAGTTGTAAATGATCTTTCATTTCTTCCGTGATGTTCTTCTGGGTACTTTTTATAAATTTTAAAATGTCACACAAAAGCATGGCTTTTTCTCTCAAAGTGTTTCAAATAATAGCATCGATTAGAAACAGGAAGTGGAAACTTCATTAATATAAATCATCCATGGTATATGAAGGATATCTACAAAATAGATCACAACTTGTAAAATGAAATAAACTACATTCTAACTTAGTATTTGTTGTAATTTTCTTTTTATGCAAAAGATCTAATAACTGCGAAGTTTTAACCAAAATAATTTTTATTTACCTACAAATTATCTATAAAATCTAAAGTCACTCTCACAAAAAAATATCTTCCAACTTAATAAATATTGGTTTTGATTGAATATGTAATACTACCCATTCAAACTAAGTAAATTTCAAGATTATTTATATATAATTCTTTAGTGTTATTTTGGTGAGATAAGAAATCATATTTTTGAAAGTCGTGTGGATATCATTTTCTTTTTTCTTTCTTTTTTTTGCGCTTTAAGAAAATTGTGTCTCGCACTTCTCTTTTTTTTTTAAATGCTCTAACAAATATATTTCGAGTGAACAAAAATTTCAATAGTCATTCTAAAAACACCAAAAAAGCATGCGGAAATGGCAGGATTTGAACCTACGAGCCACGAGGGCACTACCGCCTGATGGTAGCGTGATAAACCAGCCTACACGACATTTCCTATGCGGATTCGAACCAGGGTTCTCTAAATGCAAATGACCGCTAGGCCAAATATCATTTTTTTGAATTTTTTTGCTATTAAAATATCGGTCCGACAGACATCCGATGCATTTGATACACCCTTTAACGCTAGCTTATGGACCTACTCTCTCTCAACTAGGTCTGTTATTTGTGTGATGAAATTGAGCTCCACCCCTGACTTAAAAAACCACCCCAACACATGTTTTTCTAATCTCATACATGTCACTGGTTGCTTGCCACTAGGAAATGACCATGCCACACTAAGAAAATGAGGACAGGGGCATACTGTTCATTTCTTATTTGTCAATGTAACGTTAATTGTATTGTAAAAAAAAAAAAAAAACGTTTCTGCAGCTTTTTGCAGCAATCTGGAACAAGGTTTATGAAGTCGAAGATATTTCAAAATTTAGATGGGCTTCATTACTCTAAAAAAGCATGGCAATAGTAGTTCCCAATAACTCGTTTAATATCAAAGTTTCAATACATTCATTCTTTAAGCATTATGTCTGTCTTGCTTTGTATTAGGCATTACGAATTAATATCTTTTCAAGCAATTGAGTTTCATAATTAAATATAATATACAGGATTAATCAAATTAATTATAGTTTTAAGCTACCATAATTTTGATTTTTCTTTAATAGCTCATTTACTTAATCACAGGTGCGAAACTGTGCTTTGGTCATGAGTTGAAGAAGGTAGTTTGGTTATAATTAGACTCAGAAGATTTTATCATAAGTACAATCAATATCGATCAAATAAACTTTCAAAGCGCAATTTTTATGCACACAAAAAGATAGATTTTTTAGATTAAATGTTGGACACAAAATTGAGTGATAATAGAAGTTGGATGTTAATTATTAAATTTCGGATCTTTTTTTAATTTCAATACTTTATGCTTCGTTAAGTTCCAGATACCTTAAGCTAATAAGTTTTTTTTGAATGATTTGAAGGAGAAAAACCACCGACAAACTTATTATAATGTTAATTTGTTATTCACTTAATTTGTCGCTATAAAATAGTACAACAATCATAATCAAGTCTGAAGATTGTGTGAGATAGGCTTGAATTTCGCAAGAGCTTAGAGCTTCTTCAGATTATTCGGGATTTCAAAAGCAGATTGTAATAAAGCGTTACATAACTTTTAAAAACTTATAATCAATGAATGTGTAATTTGAAGTGGTGACTACAATTGATAAGTGATTATAATTTCATCGACGTAACTTGTAAGATTCAAATTGAAATCAAAACATAGTACTTTTTCATAATGATAGTGCTTAGTAATTTGTATTAGCTATTTGTTTAAATAAATTGTATAAATAAAATTATAGATCGTTAAATTCAGGGCTCAAAAAAGTTGCAACGATATAACGCTTTTCCTTCATATTTTACCAAATTACAACAATAGCTGCTCCTTGCTGCACTTAAAGTTTATCAGAACTTCAAATTGGACTGGCATAAAAGAGTCGATTTAAACATGAAAATGAACTTTCGGAACCAAATTTTATTAAGCGAACATATGAACATGTCGAATATGACTCTTGCAGTCCAGGCAGTGCAAGAATCAATGGTGATTAAGTGGGACAAGATTCCAATGCATAAAAGTCGAAGATTTCGTTTACTTCTACCATAGAACCATTAGCTATTATTTGTAGTTTGATACTGAATTTTTAACAATAATTATGTCATTGGTTTTGGAGTTTTTATGAAGAAGCAAATTGACAAGATCCACTAACTTAACAAATGACCTAAATTAATTCATGGGACAAATCAAAAGATCTAGATAGAAAATATTTTAAATGAAGTAGTAAAGAAATTTATTGGGATTCAATATAATTTTCTATAACAGATGAATTGTTTTAGATATAAAATCTAAAAACTTCTATTGGTAGATGAAATAGTTTGTGAATAATTTCATCGATAAGTTTTGAAATATTTCATGTGGATGAAGCAACAAGTTGTTAATTAGCATATGTTTTTGTCGCTTCCGCATGGTAATGATACTGTTATGTCTTTTATTATGTTCTTCTAAATATACCGAAGTAATAAAACTTTGTGGCGTCGCTATACCATTTCTGTCCTGATGAGTTGCTATTTTCCAAACCCAAATACAAGCACGTTTAATTATATTGCCAAATATTCCACATCAGTGAATTTACTCCTCCAAAAATTGCGATAATAAGTTTGATAAAGTTGATTGGGAAATCGTTATCAAATTAATAACAATACTTGAGCCAAATTCGATTCAACTAAATTTGCAGTAACAACTAGGTGTTTACCAGCGGAGTTTAAATTAAATGTAAGTTGACATAGTCATTTATTGTAATTTGCTTTGTTAATCTCTCCGATGAACTAATTTTCGAATCAAATCTTTTAGCTAGTTGATAGTGATATTGTCATGGACTCTGAATTTTTTCTTTGTGGCTGGTTTGACACTTTATTTATGTGAATATTTACCAAATTCTGCAAACACCTAAACAATTTGAAGTATCATGAATTCGTATTTAGTATATTTCGAGGTTTTTGCTAACCCATACTTTGAGATAACAATAAATAGTGTTAAGATATCATCAATTGAGGTTGATATCACAGGTAGTGTAATTTTCCAATTTCTAATATTAGAGAATTCAAAATTTCAACAAACAAAAAATCATAATCAAAAGGTGTCAAGTAAAAGCAAATATAATAATACGTTAAACAACAATGGTATGTTAGTCAATTGAGGTAAACCATTAAGTCAAAATACTAACTAATATTATAGTCAAGATCAGGGTATGTCAATTTACTTGTTTTAAACGTTCTAACTCATACTAACTAATCTAGAGTTCAAGTTGCTGATGAATCACTTACAGCATTCAATGATTTAAAATTAGGTAAAAAATATAAATTCATTATTTATACCCTTAATGATGCTAAAACAGAGATTGTTGTTGATGAAACTTCAACTGATGGAGATTATGATTCATTTTTAGAAAAATTACCAGAGAATGAATGTAAATATGCTGTATATGATTTTGAATATGAAATTGGAGGAGGAGAAGGTAAAAGAAGTAAGATTGTATTTTTTACATGGTCTCCAGATACTGCTCCAGTTAGAGCTAAAATGGTTTATGCATCTTCTAAAGATTCATTAAGAAGAGCATTAAATGGAGTTGCTGCTGATATTCAAGGTACAGATTTTTCAGAAGTTGCTTATGAATCAGTCTTAGAAAGAGTTAGTAGAGGTGCTGGATCTCATTAATGGTAAGATTAATTAATAAAATTTTAATGTAATACTTTTGTTTTAAAAAAAAATTGACGCGAAAATAATTGTAAACAAGTAATATTGATATAACTCTTATCAAACATGTCTACTACTAAATTACCTAGAGCAACACTAGCGGAGAAGATAAGGGTACTTGATTATTATCATTCATCAAATAGTTCACAACTTAAAACTGTTGATATATTTAAAAATGAAGTAGCAATAAGTACTTCCTCACTTAGTGAATGGATTAAAAATGAGCAAGAATTGAGAACAAGATATAGTCAAGATGATTTTAAAATGTCTAAAAATAGTAAAAGAAAAGCAACTTTCAAATATGAAAAGATCAACAAAGCAATGGATAAATTAGTTCAAACTAGATTAGAAAAAGGTGAACCTATTAATGAACCTATACTACGAGAACATTGGTCAATTTATGCACATCAATATGGAGTAGATGATCCAAAGAGATTAAACAGTTTTAGTCATGGTTGGTTGAGTCAATTTAAGAAACGACATGGATTAAAGAAATCTAAAAAAGAAAAACCGACTGTTGAATATCCTAATGTTGATCCAGTTTTGAATGAAGTAAATTCAGCAACACAAGCTCCAACACAACCACCACCACCTCAACCTCAATTACAACCACCACAAGCTCAACCACAACCACAGACTCAATCACAATCACAATCTCAACCCCCTGTTTCAGATGTTGATGTCGAAAGATTTATTTTCGTACATGCTGATAAATTTTTCCATAATCATCAAAATCAATACCCCAATACTTTCAACATATTTCAAAAGTTCAAGGAATCATTCTTTGATGAAAGATTTGCTTCCAGAAATGCTTAATATTTTCCAATTTTTAATTCTTTCTAGGATATGTATTTGTAAAATCTATTTCATTCACTTCTATTTTGATAATTGGTTCAATTGTAGTTTCTTTCTTCTCTGAACATTTACATTTATCACATTGTTTAGTGCATTCTTTTGGTGTGGTGGACATTGTTGATTCTTTGTTGATTTTGGTTTTTAAATCTAAATTTGTATCATGTTTTGCATAAAGATAATTTCGAAGTGCCATTTTGTAACACCGATTATGGAAAAAAGCAGCCTATCACAACAGCCTATCACAACGAATTATCACAACAGTCAATCACAACAATCTATCCCAACAGGTAACAATTATAAAACAGATAAAAAAGATACAAATTATCAGAGATCTTATCGATTAATATAGAATATAATAAAAATGGTGTGATATTATATTACACAAAATCAACTTGAGTTTTTAGGTGTTAATTTGAAACCAATAATCATTATACCAAGTGCAATTGTTAAAAATTTAAATTTTAAATTATCATCAACTAATTCATCTTTTGGTTTATGTTTTTTACCCAATACATAACTCTTTATATGATTCAACACACCTGTTTCTTCTTCTTCAGATTCCTCTTCCAGAGATTCCTCTTCAATTGGTTGTTGAAATACTTGAGAAGCAAACTTTTTAACAATTTTATCATTAACAAAATTTTGAGAATCTTCTGGTGGTACAGAATTAATTGAAACAGATCTTAAAACTCGTTTTTCATTGATTAATAAATTTTTTGATTCTTCGATTAATTTTGCATCTGAATATTCAAAAGTCATTGATTGCCTTTTAGCAAGCTTTTTAAGGTTCTTTTTCTGCTTTTGTAATTCGAATCCTATATAGGATAATAATTTTTCATTATGTAGTTTTAATGATTGTAGTTCAAATTGAAGTTTTGTGATTTCTTGACGAGTTTGATTACCATAATAGCTAGATCTTTTTGAACTTGATTCAATTTCAGAAGATTCATCATATCCGTTTAACGCAAATAAAGCTTCATTTCTATATTGATTTACTTCATCCTCTTCAATCACAGGAGCAGATGAAAATCTTTTTTCTGAATCATTTTCAAATTCAACTTTTATTGGAATTATATCATGTGAATTATATCTTTGATGTGTTGGTTTTGGACGGATTGATGTTTCTTCTTCGGTAGTTGGAGCTAATTTAAATGGTGATAAAACAAATTCTTTTTTCAAGTCAATTGGTAAAGATTGTCTTTTTAAATTTTTGATAGCTGGATCTGGAGATGGTGGGAAATGTTGTTTTGGAGGTGAAGGAAATTGGAAATGAGACGTCATTTTAACAGATCCTGAATCTTCATCTAGACTTGTTGTATGTTCTGTATTTATAAATTCATCCATAATTTCTTCATCAGTTGTGGGAGTTAATTCTTCATTTTTATGAGTTAAATATTCTATTTGATCCATTAATACCGATTTTGATTCTTTCTCAACATCAAATTCATTCTCAAGAATTTTATAATCTTTCAATAGCTTCTCATATTTTGTAACTAATTCTTGATCAGGTACTACGTTGTTTGAATTGAGGATTTGAATTTTCTTACGAAGTCCTTCAACAACTTGTTTATACATAGATTCATTCTTGATAGATATATCTTCAATCTCTTGTAATTTCATCTCCAACATTTGTATATCATCTTTACAAGTTCTATTTTCAAGTTGTAGTATATTGATCTCTCCTTGTTTTAATTCTAATTCCTCCTCTATTTGTTGTTTTTCCAATTTTAATTGATCATACTTCAATAATATATCAGCGAATCGTCGTTCTATTTCATCATAATCTTTTCCTTTATTTAGTAATGAGTTATTATTTGATAATATCTTGGATGGTGATTTCTGTAAATGTATTGGACTTTGTGATTGTATCGTTATATCATCCATGTTGTTTGATGATATTGGTTGTTGTTAATTTATTTGTTTATTTTTTTTTTGTTATATTAATTTTCTGTATGGAATGTTAAACGATTAGAGATAATTTTTAACAAGATATGGAAAAATGATGTGATTAACACGTTTTTGAACAGATCATTGACAAACGATTAACATATGTATACTCCACGATCATAGAATTGCTTCATTCAGGCTTGAACTAAGTCGTGTCATCGATTTGTTAGCCTTAAACTCTAAATTTTATAACCGAAACGTTCGAGTCAATTCGTAATTCGTAAATCGTAAATTTATGTTTTATACAACACTATATACAAGTGATTCCTATCTATGCATTGACGCTGTTGCTTCATTAGAATCATGAATATCCATTTTGATCAACACTGATTGAGCATTAACATTCAAAACTATTTGAGAGGTCTTAAAATCCATTTATTGTTGTGAAAATGCCATCTCAATGAATAAGTGGGTTATATTTGCAGTAATGCAAGTTTATCAACGTTTCATCATGATGCGTTCAATGCTTGTTCTATAGATGTGCCTGGATTAAGATTATGCTTTATATCATGTTTCATAATACTTGCCCTCAAAATCCTTGGATCTTTCCTTAAAGTTCTCAAAAGTTGAGCTTGAACATTACTTGATGAGTCAAATCCCATTATAAAATGATAACCTTGAAAATGTCTTTCTTGTTCTTTTGATATTATTTTCGGTAATGGTTTTGCTCCTAAACTTGTAATATCTCTTATTATTCCTCTATTGTTTAAAATTAATTTACCAACCGTGGATGCAATTTTAGTAGCTTCCTTTGTAACATGAAGTGGATCCGTTATACGAGCTATAGCAAATAATTCGTAATACATTGTGATGTTGTTGATGTTCCTATCTGAAATTTTTTCAAACAAGAAATTTTCGAAAGTAAGATTACAGAAGTGCGTGCGATAAATTGTGGAAAGTAAATTCAGATCTTCATTATATAGAGCTGTGAATGTATCAGTATCGATGAAGTCTTAGAAAGACAACGAGACCGTTATTTGGCGAATTAACAAATCGCTCTCGATCAATTTCCTGGTGAGTGATAATGAATGGAGTTTTGAAAATTTTTGAAATTTTCATGCAAAGCTGGCGGATTTTTATTTACCCCAACAGTATTTAAGTTTTTCATCCCTTTAATACAAGACTCAAAGACATATCATTCAGAATTGACGTCAATGACGAGTTCTATCAATAAATCCACAAGTGTTGACTTCCTTTGTGGTTGGTCAAGAAAACTTTGAATGCTCAATTATTTGTTTATTTTAAATTTCAATTCTGATACACGTCACGTGCAATTATCAATGTATAAATCAGCAAAGATTGCAAAATATTTTCAAAAACTTACACCAACCAAACCAACTTCAAAAATGGCTACAAACATCACCTGGCATTCAAACTTAACTCACAAAGAACGTGCGTCACTTAGAAAACAACAAGGTGTAACTGTTTGGCTTACAGGTTTATCAGCTAGTGGGAAATCAACCATTGCATGTGCTTTAGAACAATCAATATTAAATAGAGGATTAAATTCATATAGATTAGATGGAGATAATGTAAGATTTGGTCTTAATAAAGATCTTGGATTTAGTGAATCAGATAGAAATGAAAATATAAGAAGAATTAGTGAAGTTGCAAAATTATTTAATGATAGTTGTTGTGTTACAGTTACTTCATTTATAAGTCCTTATAAATCAGATAGAAATTTAGCAAGAGAATTACATGAAAAAGATAATTTACCATTTGTTGAAGTTTATATTGATGTACCAATTGAAATTGCAGAAAAAAGAGATCCAAAAGGTTTATATAAAAAGGCAAGAGAAGGTATTATTAAAGAATTTACAGGAATAAGTGCACCATATGAAGCACCAGAAAATCCAGAAATTCATGTAAAAAATGATTCAATATCAATTGAACAAGCTGCTGAACAAATTATAGATTATTTATTAGAAAAAAAATATATTAACTAATTAAATTTATTTTTTTAAACTATCTAATCTTGCTTGTAAATCATCTTCTCCTATAGCTTGTGGTAATTTTTCTTCTTGTTCATTTGTTGTAATTCCACTCGGTGTATCTTTTAAATTTGTATTTAAATCAACTCCAATTTCATCAAGTACTTTACCTAAAATTTCATCAATTTGTTCTTCTTCTCCTAATTCATCTTCATCCATTGCCATTGCATCATCAATTGCATCATCCATAAATTCTTGTTTTTGATCCATTAAATCATTTTCTTTTGCAAATTCTTGAGCTATTCTTGATAATTGTGGTAAATTCATTGATCTATTCATTCCTGATAATACTCTTGTTGCATCTCTCATTGACATTGCCATTTGTTGATTTGACCTTACCGATTGTACTCGTAAAGATATAGCTTGTAGTTGAGCTTTCATAGAATTGAATTTATTAATATATGATTTAGTTCTTATAAGATCTTTTGCTTGTATTTTGGCACTTGATATTTGTCCTTGCTTTGCAGATTTTTTAATATCACTAATTAATTTCTTTTCTTGTTGTTGTAATTTGGTAACTTCTCTTGTTAATTCTCTTTGAGTCTTTTCTAATGCACGTTGATTCTTTCGAAGTCTTTCTTGAGGCGTTAGCCTCTTACCGAATGCCCATTCAAATAATTGTGACATTAATATTGGTGATAAGATAAGATTTAAAAAATGAACGAGAAATTTAAGTTTTGTTTATCTACAATTTATTTTCATTAAACATTAATTTAACAGCTTTTTTTGCCATACCTAGTCCAGCTTGATATCCATAACCACTAGCTCCATAATTATGTATAAGAATTTTTCCTTCATCAAAAAATTCTTTTTCAATTCTTACACCACCATTTCTGCCAGGTCTCAATCCAACAGCAACTCTTAAAATTTCAAGATCTTTTATTTCATTACCATGAGGGTTTTCTGATAAGATTTTGGGGAATAACGTGGTTGTTCGTTTTAATATACTATCAGTATATTCCTTTAACGAATCTGGGTTCCAATCATCTTTTTGATAGTATCCACCTAATATTAATTGATCATGAGAGAATGGTCTCTTGATAATATATGTAGGTTCTCTATTTCCCCAACTTAAAACATTTTCTTGAATATGTGGCGCTTTTATAACAACAACTTGTCCTCTTCCTGGATAAACATTTTTATCATCAACTAAAGCTTTAGCTCCAATACCTGTACAATTGAAAACAATTTTGGTGTCCCCAGAATATGCTTGTACTATGTGAGTTAATTTTTTTTTGGTAAAGCTTATCCCTTGCTTCTCCAAATACTGTTTAAAAGCTAATAAAAATTTTGGACAATTGAAATTCCAAGATAAGAAAGTAATTCCATAAGCTGAGCCAAAAGGTGGTTCTTTAATTTCTTCAAATTCTTGTAAATAACTTTTTAAAGAATTTAATTTTTCATCACTTGGTTTTTCATCCCAATATTCAGTAGATTTATAACGATCTAATCCATTAATTTTCCCCATGGCTGATTGAACTTTATTTAAATTTAAATAAGTATATTTATCAAATTCTAATGTTTCTTTATCATCTCCTGTAATACATGAAAAATTACCACCAGCATAAGGAGATGTAAATTTAATTGATTCATCACCTGGTAAATATTCAGCAATTATTGATATATCATTTGGTGAAGTTCCATTCTCTATTAATGTAAAAGCTGTATATAATCCAATTATACCAGATCTAAGTAGTTAGTATTTGCTAGGATCTTCGATGCTGTTCTTCACATACCCTACTATTACAATCTTAGTCATTACTCAATCCTGTTGCAAAATTTATTTGTTCGAATATGCTGCGAAACAAAGAAAAGAAAAATTTGATGAAAAATATAGAATGAACAAAAGAGTTAAAGTTCGAGTTCACGTAGTATAAATAAATCGATAAACGAAGACCGTATATATTAAAGATTATATTATTCATTTTAAACATAAGCAAACAAACTTATTAAAAATTTAATCCAGCAGCAAATGAAGATGTAATTGATTTAATATCATCTTCAATATTTTCACCTTGATATCTTCCACCATCATATTTTTTATCTAATTTATTTAATTTTGAATAAAAATTTGCACTTATTGTATTTGAATTATCATAATAATCATTTTTACCATTAAGAGATGGCCATAATTCATCTCTTAATTTTCTTGTAGAACCATTTTTACTTGCATTTATACCACTATTTGAATAACTCATTGTACTTGCAGAATCAAAATTTGTTGATGAAAAAGTTGTTGAAGGGGCTCCAAAAGGTTTTCTAACACCACCATTTTTATTATTATCTCTTGCTTGATAATTATTTAATTGAACCATTGATAATTGTAAATTATCTAATGGACCATCAACTAAACAACCTTTTTCTCTAAAATGTATTAATAAATGATTCCAAAGTTTATTTCTACATAAAGCTCTTGGATTTCCTAATACTAATAAACCATATTTTGCTCTTGTTAATGCAACATTTAATCTTCTTGGATCACTTAAAAATCCAATACTTTGAGAATCATTAGCTCTAACACAACTTAATATAATAAAATCTTTTTCACGACCTTGAAAAGCATCAACACTTGTAATTTCAACTTCTAAATATTCATCACGTTTATCTAATATGGTTGAATTCATTGACATAAATTGAACTAAATAAGCACGTTGACCTTCATAAGGTGTAATAACACCAATTTGTTCTGGTTTTATACCATCTTTAAATAATCTTGTAATAATTCTTTCAACATTCATTGCTTCAACTCTATTTAAATAAGAATTTCCACTACCACTTAATTCTTCTCTACCATAATTTGCCCAAAACATCATTGGATTATCAATAACTGGCCATGGAAAATTTGCTTCATCTACTAAACGATCTTCACTTGTAACACCATTTTGTAATGAACCTTCATAAAACATATTACTTGGAAATTCAGATAAACATGGATGCATTCTATATTGAACTTCCAATCTAATTGGAACATGACCTAAAAATACTAATCTTTCAAATAATGATTGTTTTAATCCTGCATCTGCTGCTTTTCTATCTAATATAACTGGACCTAATTGTTGATGATCACCAACTAATATAACTTGTTTAGCTCCCTTTACAATAGGAATTAAAACTTCAGGTTCAGAAGCTTGAGTACTTTCATCAATTAATACAGTTCTAAATTTAAATTGTCCAAGACGTTTATCAGCTGCACCAACACAAGTACAACAAACAACATCACAATTATTTAAAATTTTTAATTCAGTTGATCTTAAATTTTTAATATAATTTTTTGAATCTTCCATTGATAATTCTCCAACTTCATTTTTTAATTTTATTAATTTTTTTAATTCTCCTTTTGCTTGTTTATCAACTATATTATGTAAAGCTAAATGACCAACTGAACTTTCAACATCTTCTCTTGATTTTGCAGTTAATCTAACAACTTTTAAACCTAATGAATCTAATTTTGAAGCTAAATGATCAACTGCAACATTTGATGGTGCACAAACTAAAATTTTTTCTTTATTTAATTGTGATAAATGATAAATAATTGTAGCTGATGTAACAGTTTTACCAGTACCAGGTGGACCTTGAATTAAAGATAAAGGTCTTTGTAAAACTGATCGAACAGCATTAGTTTGTGAAATATTTAATTCAGTTAATTTTGGATGTGAAAATCTTTTTGGCATTTTAATATCAAATTCAACTGGTGCAACATCATGACCTAATAATTTATGATAAATATATGAAGAAACTGATTCATCATCAGTTGCAAAATCTTTCATTGCTTGTTGCATACGATCATATGAAGTTCCTTTCCATACAAATTCAGCAGTAAAATCTGTAGTTAAATTAGTTGGTGGTAAAATTTTTGAAGCATTTAATTCTAAAGTAAATTCTTCTTGATATGAATTTGGTAACCTCAAGATAAATCCATGACCTTCCCATGGTTCACCTTGATTACCATTATATCTTAAAATAATTTCATCTCCAACTGCAACTTTTAAATCAGTTGATTCAAAAGTTGATAAAGTAAAAGATGCTAAATGTTTATTATTTAAACCTAAAGCCCATTTAACTTGAATATGTTCTAATGCTTGAGATTCTTTTAAATTTTTATCATAATCAGCTTCTAATTTAACTAAAGGTCCAAAAGATCTTTGATATTGAAATCCATCATTATATCTCATCAAAATGGGTAAAACTTCTTCTTCTTGAACATCTGTATTTTCAATATCATTAATAGTAGCATCTCTATTTAATCTCCATTGAGCTTCTAATTTTGAAATTTGTTGTGGTGTAATCATAATAGAATTAATTAATGCTTCTTCTGATGGTGCAGGTGCTAACCATGAAAGAAATTGTCTATCTTCAATTAATGATTGCCAATGACTTGTATCCCAATTTATATCTTTTGATCTTGCACAAGGTAAACGACATAATATAACAACAACAGATTCTTGTTTTGCTGATACAAATCCCAACATAAAAACATTTTTATTTCCACAATTATAACATTCTAAAGTTGTATCACCTAAATCTGATTCTTCATGTAAACTAACTTGATTATGACGTGACATAACTAAATGAGTAACAATATGAGAACTTGATGAATTTGTTTTTGAATTACAAAACCATTTATTACATGTATTACATTTAATAACTGAATTTGGTGTATGAACACCACAATAAGCACAAGCATGTTCTATTGTTTCAATAGGATTATTACCAATTGTTTCAGTAGTATCAAAATCATGTTTACGATCTTCATCAAATGGTAGTTCTTCTTGAGGATGTTCAAATCCAAAAGATTTGGTGGTTGATGGATTTAATGAAACTGTTGATAAAGCATTACCATCATTAAAATTATAAGTATCAGAATTCATTTCTAATATGAGTCTTTTTTTCAATTTTTAAATATTCTGTTAGAAAGAAAAATATATTATTGTCCAGTTCTTTCTCTTAGTTGATATAAAAAAATAATGTAAATAAATAACGATATTAGCTAAATAAATACATTTGTGAAAGTTAACTTTTGAATAAATGTGATGTATTCAAATAAGTTTGATTTGATATTTTAAAGTTTATCACTGATTATAACTTAGTTTTGTTTTACTAATAGAAAATGAATTTTAAAACTTTCTTTTGTATAAAATTTTTTTGAAAATTGCATTTATGGGCAGAAGTACACTACTTTTTAAATGTTAGGGGGTATTTATATAAAGTAAGTATTAAATTTTGAAATCAAATCTATTCCATCCACTCTAAATCTCTTTTTATCATTTGTTTTGAAGCCATTATTTAAGCTTGATACTTCTAAAATGCGTGAAAGTAAATAGTTAGTATTCTATGATGGAAAATGCCTCATGTTTACGCATGCTGATATGTCTTTACATTCCTTTACAAAATCAGACAGTATATACATCTTAATTACCTGTGAAACAACATCATTTTGAGAACTAAACCCTCTTTTTTTTTCTTTGAGAATTGATAAATGTACTTTGGCATTTAAACAACTTAAAACTCGAAATTTATTTCTGCAAAGACGAGAATGATATTCTTTAGTTAATACCAGATCAAAAGATGCACCATAAGCTGTGAAAGGTTAAATGCTGATGCTGATTAGTTAAATGATAAAGACTTCTACGTTTCTACAATGCTTGAAATGAGTTTACATTTCCTTAGAATCGATTCGAACTTTATCTCTCAATTAATCAATAGGCGTGTGACAAAAAAACAGTTATCTTTCTACCTGAGAATAGAATTCAGTTATGATCACTTAATTTCAATCTTTGACTCTTAGTTAAAATCGAGTTATCCATTATATGATTTAAGACATCCTTATTGTCAGACACTTTGTTTAAGATAATAGCTAGAAAACTACATACAAAATATTCCTAATAATAGAAATGGAATGTAATACAAAATCAAAACGCGTAAATATTGTTTACATATTTTTAATGTAAGGTACAGGACACACTACACTACACAATATAAGTTATATTACATACATCAAATCTTAACGAAACAACGAAAGCTTCATTCAAAATTGATGATACTTGATCTAATCAAATATAGTGATAGCGGCCTACAATGGATTATTTCAACCAGCGATTGGAAGTGGTCGATTTTTAATTAAGAACTATTATATATCTTTCAGCCATCAACTAAATTCATGAGACCAAAATTTCTAGACCCATTGAAATCTTGATTCATTCGTAATTTTAGATCGCATAACATAAAAAAGTTGAATATTAAATAGAAAGACCAGTCAAAATCCAGGTTTCTATTCTGGCTTTATTGACAAAATTGTAAAGTTTGAGACAGAGTTTAGAAAAGAGTTTGACTCCCAAGGTTGAGGAGAAATTTGCTCAATTCAAAGTCCAAATTTGATTGTTTGTCCCAACTATGCCAACTATATTATATTATATTTAAACTCGCCAGTCAAAGGAAACATCTTATACTTACTAAATTTAGCAGCTCAGATCTTATATCTTTAACTGTATCTGTTCCCTTTTGTTTAATAATTACTTTCTTTCTTTCTTCTACTCGTAAAAATTTTGTTGATGTTTTTTTAAAGAAAAATAAAATATTTTATTTTTTTTTATCAATAGAAATTTTATTTTTTAAATTCTACTCATATTATAATAAATTTCTTTACTTCAACATCAATTTCAATCTAATTACAAACAAGTTTGGGGTTCAGAGTAAGAGAAATAAACAAAGACACGTCAATCACATAGATTAACAAATTGTATAACCATTGGATACCGTACAATACAAGCATTTCGTCAATTGATCAGAACAGATAATATTTTTTAACAAATACTTTGTTTTTACGACCAATATTCAACCAGCCTAAAAACAACAAACAACTACAAACTTCAATCAAATGGATCACAAACTCCCTTATAATAAAATAATTTTACGAGATAAAGGATTATTTCAAGGTAAAAATTTTTCAATATCAAATGATTCAATAAAATGGATTCAAGTATATTCATTATCAATAACAGAACATGGACAATTATATTCATCTGATGAAACAAATAATCATTATTTATTATTACAATCTTTACAATCATGTTTAATTCAAATTATACCAAATTTAAATTCATCAAATCAACAACAATTAAATCAATCAAGACCTTCAATATCAAATAAAAGATCATTTATTAAAAAAAATGGAAATTCCACTAGTGAAAATAATGAAGAAGAACCACCCTCCATATTTATAAAAACTTTTGAAAATGATAAATTATATATTAAAATAAATTCAAAATTAAAATTTGATAATTTAATAAGTAATTTACTAGTATGGCAAAATTTAAAACCTCAAGGATTATCAAAAAAATGGTATAGTGAAAATAAAGTTATAAACAAGACAAATTCTCCTCATGAATTATTAGTTTGTAGATTTAAAGTTTATGGACCATTACCAAATAAATTTAAAAATGTTAATGTTATTCAAGGTCCAAAAGCTCCTATTTATCAACCAAAAATTGATGATTTTACAACTTTAACTGAATCCCCACCACAATCAAATGATAATAATATAAATGAAGGTTGGTTTTTTACAATGGGTGCATTAAATTCAAATGGTATATTAAATTTTATAAGTGAATTAGATGGTACTTTATTATATTCAATTGATATAAAAAATTTATTAACTAGTGAAATTAGAGAAGTTCATAATTCAATTTTTAATAGTTCAAATGTTTTATTTATTGGTCAATTAAAAGAATTAAGATATAATAATATTATTAGAACTACAACAACTCTTAATGCAGATCAATTATTAACTCAATTTTTAACAAGGGATGGTAAAATTATTCCGAATAATCAAAGGATTCTTATTGAATTTCCATTACATATTGATTTAGAAGATTGGTTTGTTGGATTAAATTATTTTGCAAAAAGAGAATATATTGGATCATTTAATGAAGAATCTAAACTACTCAATGATGTTGAAAAACCTCAATTATCAGATTTTCATAAAGCTAATTTTAGAGTTTCTAAAAAAGTTATAATAGATATAATTGAAGCAAAATTTGATCAAATTACTACAAAACGAAATAATACTGGTAAAATTTATGCAGAAGTTAGAATGTGGGGTTATCCATGGTCAAGAACTGCTACAGTAAATCATACAAATAATCCATTTTGGAAAGAAGAATTTCTGACTGATTTACCTATATCAACACAAATGATTCATATTTTAATAAAAAAATGTAATAATAATGATTCAATATATTCATCAAATGATAAACTAATTGGAACTGTTTATGTTACACCCGATATTTTAACAAAACAAATAAAAACAAGTTCAACAATAATGACAAGTAACGAATCAAATGGAATTCAAGTAAATTCAATACCAATGCAAAAAAGCACGAGTCATAATTCAAGTTTAGATATTGTTAGATTAACAATTTATGATCCAAATAATATCCCCATAGGTAAATTATTATTACAAGTGAACCTAAAAGAATATCATATATTATCACCACAATATTTTAAACCACTTGAAAAAATGTTTACAAATGCTCCATTAAAAGATTTAATTAAATTTTGTAATGAAAATGTTCCAACATCAGATTTTGAAAGAATAAGTATTATACTACTAGATATTTTTCAAAGTTTAGGAGTTGAAGATGATTGGTTTAAATGTTTAATGGAAAGTGAATTAGTTAATATTGATATAATAACAAGAAAAAATTATCATAAAAGAAATAGTATTGAGAATGGTAGTAATAATATTAATGGTGCAACAGCTTCTCAAAATAATGTATTTAATACATTATTTCGTGGATCTTCAATTTTTTCAAAATCTCTTGAAAAATATAATATAAGAATAGGACAAGAATATTTGGAAAAAGTATTTGGAGATTTTTTTGCTAAAATTAATAAAGAAAAAAAAAATTGTGAAATTGATCCAAGATATGTTAAATTACAAGAAAGAGCTAAAAGAAAAGGTATTGATATAGATGATGATTTAGATGATATTGAATCAAGTGATGAAGAATATGATTCAGATTTAGAAAAATCCAAAAATGAATCAATAAAATTAATGGTTGAAGAAAATTTTCAAAATCTTTATGAATATATTGAAGAAATTTGGAACAAAATTTATATAACATCAAATGATATACCACAACAAATTAAAACTCAATTAAAAAATTTTAGAACAAAAGTTGAATTAGTTTGTGAACCAGATGATAAAATAACAAGTTTAAATTGTATAAGTGCTTTTATATTTTTAAGATTTTTTTGTCCTGCAATATTAAATCCAAAATTATTTTATTTAGCTAAAAATCATCAAACTGGTAGTACTCAAAGAACATTAACATTAATTGCCAAAATATTATTAAATTTAGCAAATAGACAAGAATTTAGTCCTCATAAAGAACCTCATTTAGTTAAAATGAATATTTTTTTAAGAAAACATCAACAAGAAGTTTTGGATTATTTTGATAAAATAACTGGAAGAAAAAATGATTTTAATGAAAAAATTTTAGATTTAAGTCATGAAGTTAAAAGATTTGATTTAGGTTTAAATCAAACATCAAATGAATTACCTACAACTCCTTATTTAATTGATAAATATCTTAGATTAACTGAAATTGTTTATTTATTAGATTATTCAAAGTTTACTAAGAATGGAAATGGAAATCAACTGCAAATTACACCATTAACTTCTCCTTCCAAAATATTAGAAAATTCAATAGATAATTTAAATGAATTAGATTCAATAAAATTAGAAGAATTACAAATTCAAGAATTGGAAAAAAATAAAAATGTTTATCAAATAGGTTCATTAGAATTTGAAAAACTGGAATTCTTGGATTTAGTTGGTGATAATGAAACTGAAGGATTTATAAAATCTTTATGTAAAGGAAATGAAGAAATTTTTTCATTTATAAATTCAAATATTACATTAAAAGATATTCAAAAACAAAGTACAAAAATAATGAATAGAATAAATGAATTAGAAATTTATTTAGATAATTATGAATTTCCAATAAATTATTTAGGGAATGATAATTTTAAAAATGGTAATGAGCTTAATAACAATAACAACAAGCTATGGTCTAGTTTTACACAAGATATATTATCAAAATCTTGGTTAGATTGTTCAAGAAATTGTTTAATATCACTGGATTTAAATTTAAATTATCAACATACAAATATGAAATTTTTAAAATTAGAAGAAAATGCAATATCAAGTTTAAAATTAAAATTTAATAATAATAATGATTATCAAGACTCAAATCAACAAAATTCTAATCAACCCCAACAACAACTTCAATTAAAATCAAATCCTTCTATATCAAGTTTTAATGATAGTTCATCATTAAGTAATACAACTTCAAGTAGTATAAAAAGTTCAGTTCAAAAATGGTTTAAAATTAAAAACAAATAAATTAAATAACATTATGTAGTTAATTTGTATAAGAAATATGTATTATTATTTTTGTTATAAGTATCATTATTATTTCTTAATTGCAAAAAAAATTAATTGGTTGCAAAAATTTGTTTCATAATTAATTTTGATGTCTCGTAAAAATTTGACTTAAAGTTTCCTATTTCGTAACTCGAATTTTCAAGACAATAACACGTTTACTTTTATAACACAACCCTTAAAACTTTTAAAGTTTCATCTTAATTGTATACTTTATTTGTTTAGTTTGACAGCTTCTCTGACCTAGATCAATCACTCGAGTGTAACCCTTTTTAGTCTAACGAGTATTAGCTAAATTTGAACTTCTTGTTACATTTTTGTGATCATGAACACAAAAACCAGTGTGACGTTTTTACAAGCCGAAACTGATAAGAAGTATTTGTCTTGAGTCTGTCTAGCCTAATTTTTCAAACGGTGGGGGACAGTATAAATAAAATTTAGTTGACTAAGATTCTAAAGAGACATGTGCCTCAAAAGATCGGAACAGATCGGTATACTCGTTGTTCCAAAATCTAAGATTCTTCTTTTTCATCTAATCTAGGTGCATGATTGCTAAAAAACCGGCTCAAAATAATGATCATAGAATAAAAAAATACATTTAAAATTGCCATTAAAGATAATTAGGAAATAGGATATAGGGGAAGAATGTGACTTATGTTCGTATGTTCAATAGCAAATTGAAGTTATTAAACGCGTGCACAAGCAATGAATAGGGTCCATAGTTTCCATTCGATAGACGTCATGAGATAATGCATAATAGCAGTAGACTCGGTGATAAAATTCTGATGTAGTTTGATCAAACGAACTGTCGACCAAAAAAAAAACTTTGTCGTTCTATAATATAGGTCGCCCGTATTGATTTGTAACTAGGCTGCTACTACCAACAGAACAATCTAATTAATCCGTGTAATTTAAAACGGTTTTTCTTTTTTTCTGCCATGTTGTATTTGTATATCAAACGTACAATTATATACAAAAATATACGATGAGCTTTAGATGTGTTATAGATCAAATTGAATCATCATCTGGTAAACTCCGACAATGTAGGATTCTAAAGTAATTTTGATCGACCGACTTAAGTCAATGGAATGAGATCCAATCAACGGAATAGTTTTCTCTTTATGTCGTAGTCACTTTTTCAAATTAAATGAAAAGAAAAAGAAATAAAAAAAATAAAATTTACGTTGGAAAAATACAAAAAAAACAACAAAAAAACAATTCATCATTAATCTTATACAATTTATAATAATTATTTACCATAATATCCTCTTCAACAACTCAATTGTTTTTATAAAACAGAGACATATAGTGGTAAATTGAACAAGGAAGTACTACTACCTTTATCACAACAACCATTTTTCATTCACATCTACTAGTCAATTTTCAAAACATTAAAACAGGCTCACCATTGATTTGTTACATATTCTTTTTTCCATTTAATTTATAGAATTACATATTCAATTACATTCAATATCATCACAATCTTACATAAAACACTTTATACCCAATAAAACTACACATATACTCAAACAATGACATCTGTAACTGAAGAAGAAATTCTTGCATCATATCCTCAAATATCAGCACCAACAGAATTAACAGGTTATACATCAAATTTAACACCAGAACAAAAAGAAATAACGATTGAATTAAGAAAAGAATTAGTTGCTTTAGGTTATAAAGATAGATTAGATGATGCATCATTATTAAGATTTTTAAGAGCAAGAAAATTTGATTTAATATTAGCAAAACAAATGTTTATTGATTGTGAAAATTGGAGAGAAAAATTTGGTACAAATACTATATTAAAAGATTTTAAATATGAAGAAAAACCAATTGTAGCAAAAATGTATCCAACTTATTATCATAAAGTTGATAAAGATGGTAGACCAGTTTATTATGAAGAATTAGGAAAAGTTGATTTAATAAAAATGTTAAAAGTAACAACAGAAGAAAGAATGTTAAAAAATTTAGTATGGGAATATGAATCAATGTGTCAATTTAGATTACCTGCTTGTTCAAGACAAGCTGGTCATTTAGTTGAAACTTCTTGTACTATATTAGATTTAAAAGGAATATCTATAACTTCAGCTTATAATGTTATTGGTTATGTTAGACAAGCTTCAAAAATTGGTCAAGATTATTATCCAGAAAGAATGGGTAAATTTTATTTAATAAATGCTCCATTTGGATTTTCAACTGCTTTTAAATTATTTAAACCATTTTTAGATCCTGTTACAGTATCAAAAATTCATATATTAGGTTATAATTATTCAAAAGATTTATTAAAACAAATACCTCCTCAAAATTTACCAAAAAAATTTGGAGGATTTGATGAAGTTAGTGATGATGAATTATTATTAAATGATGTTGGACCATGGAGAGATCCAGAATTTATTGGACCAGAAGGTGAAGCACCAAGAGCTTATAATTCTTGAATTAAAGGAGGTCAATTGAGTAATTGAGAGATCTTGTGTATATTATATTTAAACCCATACATATATATATAATTTTTATAATTATTATAAATGATATAACTTATAGATTTTGTTTTTGATAAGAGAAGATGTGTTATACTGTCTTTTTGTGTAACTGTTATTCTTGCCTGTTTGAAATTTTGGCTGCGAAAATTCTTTTTCATGTACAAATTTACATTGAAAAATCCTGTTTTATCATAGCTCTTCACATATCACCACCATCAATGTCAAATTCATCTATCAACACTGAAGATCCAATACTGATTTCAAGTTTTAGTGATATTGAAAAACCAGATTATTTTCTAGATCATACTTTACAAATTGAAGAAACAAGATCTGAAGAATCTGAATCTAGAAATAATAAAACTAATAAATTTAAATGTTTAAATAGAAATTGTAAAAATTATATAATTGCAATAATTGTTTTGGTGGTGGTATTTATATTAGCAATAGTATTTGCTGTTAAATCTAATGCTTTATTAGATGATCCAATACGGAATGGTTTAAAAAAGGAATTATTATCAACTCATACTTTTCAACACCTAAAAGCTATAAAAACAAATTTAATAGATCCTTCAACTCCAACAGATTCAATAGGTGATTGGAATTTAGTATTTTCAGATGAATTTACTCAAGATAATAGAACTTTTAATGAATATGAAGATCAATTTTTTACAGCTATAGATTTATATTATCAAGCAACTCATGATTTAGAATATTATTTACCACAAATGATTACAACTAAAAATAGTTTTTTACAAATTAAATTTGATAAATTTAATTATTATAATGATTTATTATATATTTCTGGAATGTTACAAAGTTGGAATAAATTATGTTTTAATAAACAAGCAAGAATTGAAGTTATGGCAAATTTACCACAAGTCGAAAGTGGGTTATGGCCAGCTGTATGGTCTTTAGGAAATTTAGCAAGACCTGGATATTTAGCAAGTACTGATGGTATTTGGCCATATACTTATAATGAATGTGATTTAGGTACTTTACCAAATCAATCAACCACTAATGAAAGAATGTCATATTTACCTGGTCAAAGATTAAGTAAATGTACTTGTTTTGGTAATGATCATCCAAATATTGGAATTGGTAGAGGAGCTCCTGAAATTGATATAATTGAAGGATTATTTCAATATAATAGAACTTGGGGTGTTCAAACTGTACAAGTTGCACCATTTGATGAATGGTGGAGACCTGATTATGAATTTATTGATATAACAAACCAAAATGAAACTATAATAAGAGAAGATGTTGGAACAGTATATCAAGAATCAATATCATTAGCAACTAAATTAAACTTGGATAAGTTTGTTAAATTTACAATGGAATTTGAAAGTTTAGATTATAATTCAAGTTATATTAAATTTGAAATTGATGATAAACAAGTTTTTCAAATAAATGGATCAGCATTACATTCAAATGAATTTATAAGTTATAGACAAATAACAAAAGAACCAATGTCATTAATTTTTAATTTAGGATTATCTAAAATATGGAATCCAAATATAAATGAATCAAATTTGAATTTACCTTCAATTTTTTATATTGATTATATTAGAATTTATCAAAAACATCAAGAGTTAACTTGTGATCCAAAAGATTATCCAACTAATTCTTACATTAATTCACATTTAAATGCATATTTGAATCCAAATTTATTAACTTGGAATGAAGCAGGTTTTCAATTTCCTAATAATTCTTTAATAAATCAATGTAAAAGTCCGAAAAATTAAAATGATAATTTGTTTGCTTAATTTTTAGACACAACCATACATCACCTCATCCACAATGATCCAACTATACTTACTACTACTACTAAGTTGTATCAACCTAGTGGTATCCAAAACTCATGTATTTGATTGGAATATAGGATATGTAGATGCAAATCCAGATGGTATATATCCAAGAAAAATGATTGGAATAAATGGTCATTGGCCAAATCCAACAATAAGAATTAAAGAAAATGATAGAATAATAGTAAATGCATATAACGGATTAAATGATCGGAATATATCAATACATTTTCATGGATTATTACAAAGAGGATTTAATGGAGAAGATGGACCAGAAATGATAACTCAATGTCCAGTTGCTCCAAATTCAACAATAAAATATGATTTTGAAGTTAGTGATCAAGCTGGTACTTATTGGTATCATTCACATAGTGGAGCACAATATGGTGATGGATTAAGAGGAATGATTATAATAGAAAGAGAAAATGAACCTTATAAATATGATGAAAGTTTTGATATTAGTGTAAATGATCATTATCATTTAGAAACTCCTGAAATTATGAAAAATTTTTTAAGTAGATTTAATCCCACGGGAGCTGAACCAATTCCTCAAAATAGTTTATTTAATGAAACTAAAAATGTAACAATATCAGTTGAACCAAATAAATCTTATTTATTAAGAATTGTAAATATGGGACTATTTGTTTCACAATATTTATTTGTTGAAGATCATACATTTGTAATTGTTGAAGCAGATGGTGTTACAGTTGAACCATATGAAGTTGATTCAATTTATATTACAGTAGGTCAAAGATATGTTGTCTTGTTAAAAACAAAATCAAATACTGATAAAAACTATAGATTTGCAAATATCTTAGATATGGAAATGTTAGATTTTGTACCAGAAGATTTACAATTAGTATCAACAAACTATCTTGTCTACAATGACGACGCAAATTTACCAAAACATTTACCATATTTTGATTTTGAAAATACAGTTTCCAAACTAAAAGGATTTGATGATTTTTATTTAAAACCTTTAAGTCATGAAAAATTATTACCTGAACCAGATATGACAATTGAAGTAAATTTTACAATGGATGTATTAGGTAATGGAGTAACATATGCAATGTTTAATGGTAAAACTTATGTACCTCCAAAAGTTCCCATTTTATATACTGTTTTAAGTTCTGGAAATAATTCAAATAATGATATAATTTATGGAACAAATACAAATTCATTTATTTTACAATCAAATGAAATTATTGAAATTATTTTAAATAATAATGATCCTGGTAAACATGCTTTTCATTTACATGGTCATAATTTTCAATTAATTTCAAGAAGTGAAGGTACAGATGATGAAGATGATCCTATAGTTTTTGATCCAAATAATGAAAAAATGATAAATTATCCAAAATATCCTTTGGTTAGAGATACAGTTGAAGTTAAATCAAATGGATATTTTGTGTTAAGATTTAAAGCAAATAATCCAGGAGTTTGGTTTTTCCATTGTCATGTAGATTGGCATTTAGAACAAGGATTAGCTTTGGTTCTAATTGAATCCCCCAATGAAATTCAAAATACAGAAATTTCAAAAAATCATAAACAAATTTGTGAAAATAATAGTGTTCCATATATTGGAAATGCTGCAGCAAATTTAAATTTTTTTGATTTAAATGGTCAAAATTTACAAGAACCTCCATTACCTGATGGTTTTACTTTAAAGGGATATATTGCAATGATATTATGTACAATTGTTGCTTTATATGGATTATGGTCAATTTATAATTATGGAATTGAAGATGTAAGTAAAGATACTATAGTTATTGAAAGATTATATGAAATTATTAATGCAAATAATGAATAAGGGTTTAAGATGTAAATAGGTTTTAAAATATATAACGGTTTTTTTAATTCTATCATGGTGCTTTATGAGAGGGTCGTCCATAACATGATAAGTACTATTACAATCATCTTTACATCCGCTCAAATGAAATTTTTTAGATCATTTTTTTCTAAGAACAATTAATTCCTTCCTAAATCAATACTAGTCCAAGATAGCGATAAATTGAAGAAAGCATTAGTTGCATCTTTATGTCAATGTGAAAGGATCATATCTTCATATCAATAATCAATCGTCATCAACTAAAAGACAAAATAAGTTTCTGGTTCTGATACGATATTTTTAAGCCTTTTGAAATCTAAAATGCTTCTTGTTTTAACTTATACAGCTTCAACTCCTTTACTTATTATGACCTTTCTTACCAGAAGTTAAGTACAAAATCAAACTCAAAACAATCAGTATAGCACCAACAATACGAATATGTTTCACAATCAATTTAAAAAAGACATCTGATCCAATTTGATTTTCATAACCAAAAACAATTAACCCACTTAAAATAAATAACAAATATATACCAAAAGGTAATAAAAAATAACCAATTAAAATATTTAATCCACCAATTTTTATAAATATTAATGATAAAATTAATAATATAATTCCCATACTAATTGAATAATATAATTTTCCTTTTGTACTAATACCAGTTATTGTTGATTTAAATATGGATTGTGAAAATTCAAAATTTGATTCTTCTTGATTTTCATCATTTTCATTTTCATCTCGATACTCAGTTGTAGAAGAATTGTTTATTAATGGATTTTCTAGATTTTCATTTCCATCTTTTGGAATGTTGATCATTTCTCACTGATTTTTAAAATTCTAAAACTAAATGTAACTTGAATAATTAAGGAGTTATTAGCATAAACACTATTTTAACTTTTTCCCAGATTCTTGATGTAAATCAATAAGACTATGTTGAGATAGATACATATTGTTATTTAGCAGAATTATTAACAAATGAAGCCTAAGCCCATAATATATAGTTTTTACTTACATGGTTTTAAAATAAATTAAACGATTCTATTTAAAGAAATGTGCCGTATGTATTTGGTAGCTATTGTGGATAATAATTAAACTGATTTTATTACTTAAGTATTTTGCTGCAAATTAAAATATTTAGACCACCCTAATCATGAAGTTAAATCAGCATTTACATAGCGTTTGCGTTTTTGTTATTATACTGACTTTGATTGAAAGAGGTTTTTACAGTCCAATCTGACAAATACGCGTAGTCCATTTCATTCAATTTACAGGTGTAGAATACCAGATTTTGACTACTTCTTAATCTAATTAATCAATTTACATCTAATTTAATAAGCCATGATTATAAACAAGGATTGTTCCTAGTAATTTTATTTTTTCACAAGAGATTGATCAATTACTGGACTTCTATTGTTTGATTCTGTTATGAAATGCTAAAACAAGATTACTACTAAGTTACATTTGAAAATATGAACTTTCATTCACCTCGTTGGTTGAATTAAAGTTAAATGGTAGACTATAAAATTCGTCAGCACTACTTTACTCTACAAAGTAAAAGCTTTTTAATAGAAGCTAATATTCCATTTTGTAAAAAGGCTCAACTTACAATATGTAACATGTAAACTTCTTGAAGAAACAAGTGAAACTCCTTTTTTCAAATTCGCTTGATAGCAGATATATCAGAGTAGTCTATCAGAGCACAAAACCCAAGTTTGTAGATTTAAATTTAAAAAATAATAATTTATGAAAAATCTTACAAAGAACAAAACATCAATGAAAAATAAGTAAGACTATTTTAGCTTAATGATGAAAGCATATATTTCTCAGGTTTGATTGTATTAACGTACTGGTTTGATCGATTCGTAAAATGTCTTTATCTTACACATGTGTTGCAAATTAATCTTGCATTAATATGCAACTCTTCGTATCTGATAAGTTTTGACACAATTCTTATTACGAACACAAAAACAAATACAAAAATTGATTATTTCTATTTCTTATAAAATTGTAAACTAATACTATATCAACAGGAAGATACTTGATGACATTACCATTCCTATCTCCAAAACCGTTTGTTTGTATCAGTATAAATTTTTAAAAGCCATAAAGCTAATTGAAAAATACAGAACAACTATAAGATGCTACTCACTCTACCTTGGAATGTCCATGAAAGGTTTTAAAACTGTATTGATTAATTGTAATACTAGGGCAATGAATAAGTATGAACCTAATTTTTATAAGCCACTAGACTCATAAACTGCATGCGGCACTGATTTATAAGTTTCGATGAGCATTGTAACACAGTTGCATCTTTGTCGATGATTTCATGAAAGACTGAAATGGCCACTTGTATTCAATACTTGAAGACGATATAAAATTCAACATGAAGGACTTTTTGAAATATTTGGTATAAATATGGTTGCAAAAATCCTATTCAAATCTAAATTTATTTCATCAAACTCATTAAACAACTAAATAAATTAATCATTCAAATGAAATTTCTTCATCTTATTGTTGGTTCATCTGCTTTAGTCGGAAGTGTTTTACTGGGCAATCCTTGTCCAAATTGTTATGTATTTTGTTCTTGTGCAGACAATGGTAGTTCAACACTGACCCTGGGAGATCTTTGTATTAAAAGTGTGTTACCTTCAAGTTTACAAAAACCATATGTGCTTTATAATGAGGATTTGGAAGGAGATGTTCATTTTTATGATACTTTACCAAAAAATTTAGTTCTCAATACAAATCAAGTTTTAGTTCATTCCATAAACAATGATGGTATTTACACAGTGCTTGTTTCAAAAGGTCCGGATGTTAGCTCAAACTTACCACTTTCAATAAAAAATGAAACTCCATGTAAATAGGTTTTGACTGAACAATTTCAATTGCTTTGGTGAAACATTCGAATATTAGATGAAAAAAAGTACTTATAAAAATTAAAAAATCATAAAAAAAATAGAAAATTTACAAATCAAAAAAAAAAGAAATAGTTGTATATGTTTTTAATAAATATGTATAACTATGACAAATTTGCCTTGTCTATATCCTCTTAGCTTTGTCTGCTTTCGGGCCGAAGTCTTCAAAATAATGTATACAACTGAGTGTTGTTACGCGAATAAAGTGGTTTTAATTTTGTGCCTTTGTGTTGAGTATTGGCACAGATGCTGTTGATTACAACCTACGTAGCAATTGAGTAATTGTTTTGAGCAATTACGAACTCTAACATCTTTACTTTTCTATAGGTGTTTGTACTCTATCGAGGTTAGTAAATTAAGCATTTTGCAACCAAGATCTTGTAATTCAAATTAGTTTATTCTTTTGTGTTCTGCACTACCGATGTAAGTACCAACATCTAATCATGTCATGTTCTGTAACGAACCCTTATATAATAGGACGTTGATCAACAAATATCATCCAAATAACATACACAGCAACTTGCCATTGCTTACCATAAAGTTTTAGTTTGGAATTGCAGCTACTAATGTGGTGCAAAAGGTAAGATTCTACAACGGGGAACCAAAATTAAGGTATTTTCGAGAGTAAACAAGCGTTTGTGCAACCAATGACATTTTAAAATATTCTTAGCCAACAAAGAAAATGGTAATTACTAAGATGTGAGAGAGGGTTTAAAAATCCACTAAAAATATTGGCTGTGGAAATCAATTGATTTAAGCATACGAGTTTGTAATAAATGTAATAAGTCTTACGTAATCTCTTACATAATCATGTCATAAATTTTTATTTTCTTCAACAAAAAAAATCGACAACAAAATTTTTTTTTTGTTTTTTTTAAAGTCAAAGTCAAAACAAATCTTTTCAATTTCAATTTCATTTTCAAGTGTGTTTTGTTTTTATTTTATATATTGAGACATTGAATTTTTACAACCATTAAATAGTAATAAATTCATTGAAATAACTAGGCAGTTCAAGAACCTACAGAACATACTTAGCAAAGATTAACTAATTCAAAGAGAGTTACCTCATATTTCAATTGACACAGCCAAATTCAGAATTTACAAAAACTCATCTTCAAATCTTCAATGTCACATCAATCAATCAAATCTGAAATATCTAAACAACATATTCCTGATGATTCTTCATCAGATATTCATTCTTCAATTGATTATCAAGGTTTAGCACAAGAATCAGCAGCCGTTGCTGCTGCTGCTGCAACAAGTAGACAACAACAACAACAACAAAATAATCAACAACTTAGAACTCCTCAAGAACAACAACAACAACAATTACTGGAATTACAACAATTAAATCAACCAAATTTTCAAATACATAATGAAACTGAACCAAATACTCCAACAACAGAAATAGAATCTTCAAATGATGTAGAAGGAGGTGAACAAGATTCAAATCATGTAGATAATATTAAAAATCCTCATAGAATTAAATTATCATCACAAGATGTTAAATTAATATTATATTTAATTGTAGAAACAAAACCTTTTAAATATGTTGGAGATAGATCATTAAGTCAAACTAAAAAATGGGATATTATACAAAAAAAATATTTTAATATAAAATTTAAAGAATTACAACATAAAAATTTTGTTGTACCCACAGTACGTACATTACAACGTCAATTAGCTGCTGGTGTTAAAAAAGCTCAATCTCAAAGAAATAAAGATGATATAATTCATCCAATTCCTCCAACATTAGATGAAATTGATAAAGATGATTATTATAATTTTAGAGATATAACAGTATTAAGTCCTCAAAATGAATTAGAAAGTGCATTATATGATTTACATGAATTAAGTAATAAAATTAAACTGTTAAAAATGCAAAGTAATAGTTTAATAAAAGTAAATTATCAACCAAGATCAAAACCTCCAACAACAACTACAACAAAAAAATCAAATTCATTACAAGATATAAATGGTAAAGAAATTAATAATGAAAATAAAGATTTATCATTACAATTTGAAGAAATTTCAAATTTAATTTTAGATAAATTTACAACTTTAAAAGATAATCAACAAATTAATATAAAAAAATCAGAAGATATATTTAATTTATTAGAATCAATTTTTCAACATTCAAATGATTTAAGAAATTATATAAATGAAGAAAATGATACTTTATCAACAACAATAAATCAATTATTTGAATCTCATTTAAATAAAATTGAATATATTAAAAAAGAATATAATTTAAAACAAATTGAATATACTGAAAAATTAATTGATATATTAACAAATGAATCTTTTAACTCAGAAGAAGATCGTCAAATATTGGCAAACAAAATTAATTCTTTAAAAGATATACTTAATGTATAGAATCATCTGAAGATACCGCTATTTTTTATGTTATGTATTATTACTAATAAATTTTTACTATTATTTATAAAAATATCAACGAGAAAAAAAAACCTCTTAACAATTTGCAACCAAAACAATACCAACAATACCAAAAAAATGTTAATTATACTATACATACTTACCCTAGTTTCATCATATTATTTCCCACCAACAGATTTATCAAATGGAGATGATGAAATAATTCGTAAATCAATTCAAGAATTACATGATATAGATTCAGCATCAGATTTAAATGAATGTTTAACTTGTAAAACAAGATTACAAGTTGGTAAATTTTTATCTTTAACAAGACCAGATTTAGTACCTCAAATATTTGTTACTTGGTGTATTGAAAGTGGTTATGATCAAACTCAATGTGAAATGAATTATGGTTATGGAAGTAATGACGTGAGTTCAACAGGTAATGATTTTACAAAAGTTGTTGGATTAATGAATCCTTCTGGATTAGATGGTGATTATTTTTGTTATTATCATGATTCAAATTGTCATATATTACCAGAAACTCCAGAAATTGATATGAATAAAATGTGGCCCAAAAAGCCAAAAAATTATTTACCACCTGATAATAGTGGAGAAAATTTTCATGTTTTACATATAAGTGATATTAATTTACAATTAGATTATGAAATTTTTTCAGAATCAAATTGTAGTCAAAGTTTATGTTGTTCAAAAAATTCTAAAAATCTTATTGCAAAACCACCGGTGATTAATGAAAATATGTTTGATGGATATTATGATTCAAGTTATAAAAAAAATCATTTTGAAAAAGGTAAATATTTAGATTTAACTAAAAAAATTCAAACTCCTGTTTGGTCACCTGCAAAACAATTTGGTGAATATTCATGTGATACACCAACATTATTATTAAATTCAACAATGCAATGTATTCGAGATTTACATCAAAATCATTTAAGTTTTGAATTTGCTATATTTACAGGTGGTACAGTTGATAATAGTGATAGATCATATATGAATAAAAATAAAAATATCAAAAGTCAAGAAATAAGTTATAAAATTTTAAAACATTACCTTGATGATGTTGATGTTATACCAACATTTGGTACAAAAGACATATTTCCAATTAATCAATTACCACAGCGTAATTTAACTGGTGGATCAAATGATTATCAATGGCAATTTGATTTAGTAGCAGATTTATGGTCAGAATTAGGTTGGATAGATCATCAAACTGCAAAACAAATAAGATATTCAAGAACTGGTTTTACAATAGAAACAAAATTGGGATTAAAAATTATTTCATTAAATTCAAATGTTTGGAATTCAAAAAATCTTTATAATTTTTGGAATGTACTTAATGTTGATTCTTTTGGAATTTGGAAATTTTTAATAAATGAATTAATAGATTCTGAAAGAAATCATCAAAGATGTTGGATTATTGCTCATTTACCTCCAAATCATCAATCATTATCATTACCAACAAAAGTATTTTTAAAAATTATTGAAAGATTTTCTCCAAAAGTTATTGCTGCTATTTTTTTCGGTTATATACATGATGATTCTTTCATTATTCAATATGGTAGTGATGGTAAAGATTTAAAAAATTTAAAAAATGCAATAAATCATGCATTAATTGGTCCTTCAATAAGTCCTTATAATGGTTATAATCCAGCTTGGAGATATTATTCAGTTGATAAACAAAGTTTTTCAATAACTAACTCTTTTACTTATTATACAAAATTAATAGATTGTTCTTATAATGATGGAGCAGAACCAAATTGGGATTTTGGTTATAGTGCAAGAGATGTATATGATCCAGAACAATCATGGCCATCAGATTTAGGTTTAACAACAGAATTTTGGCATCATGTTGGAGAAAGAATAAATAATAATCCAGAATTAAATTTATTATATCAAAGATTAGAAAATAGATGGTCACCATTTAGTTCAATAAATAATGATTCTTATTGTAAAATTACAAGTTTTTCAATTGATTCAAGAAAACAATGTATGATTACTGAAGATCAAGATGATTATGTTGAACCAATTATACCAAATGATTATATATCTTTAATTCATGTAAAAGATAAATCTGTTGAATATATTGAGAAGCAAGAAGAGAAATCTAAAGATTGTGGTGATGATGATAATGGTGAAGAAATTAAAAAGACATCAATTGATGAAACTCCTCCACCAATAGATGATGAAATTTCAAGAAATCATTTAGATTGGGATTTAAAAAATATTCAAGATTCAAATAATGATTCATCATCATCAATTGTTGTTCCATTACCAAAAAAGCAAAAAGGTAAATCAATAAATTTAAATCGTAAAATTAATTTTGTAAAATTTGATTAAATGAATTGAGTGATTTTCAATTTTTTTCAAAAGCTTAAGTCAAACTTTCGATTAAGTATCTTTTCATTTGTTGTATATTTTGAAAATAGTTTGAAAGAATAAAAGTCATGTATCTCTAAAAATTAATTTTCATGTAGTATGAAGGTGAGCATATATATTACGTCATTTTTGTGTCATTTTTTTCAAAATCAAATTTCCGTATAAACTTTAGCAATAAAAAATATTTAATTTGATGCCATACGATACAATACAGTACAATACAAATACAGTACAAAGATGAAGTTACAAACCATCAATAAACTCTCAAATCAAATTTCCTTGTAGATTGTGGAGAAGCTAACTCATCTAACTTGAAACTACATAACCAAGTTGAAGATACTAATAAGTTGCTCAGGTGGATTAGGTCAGTTTCTTACAACCTTCTTCAAATGTATCAAAATTAGAAATAGAAATCAATGTCATATCGTATAAAATAAATCATGACAGGTCAAAGTCATGATTTAAAGTTATACGACAATAATCTTATACGTATTAGACTTTACACTATAAAATTTGATTGACGTAATATTTCCTACTTTTACTTAATTAGTTAAATTAAAATTAAATTGAATTGGTGCTCGTAAAAATTTCTTTTTTTTAATTTTATTCTTTTTCCCCACAAATTTAAAGTTTAAAATAAAACCCTTTTAGGAATCATTCTTTTATTGATTTAGTTACTTAATTATGTATAACCACTTAAGTTGGAACAACTATATAATTTCATATTTTTCAATATCTAAGGCAAACAAGAAGGAGAAATTAATAAGAGAGAGAAGGTAATTGAATTCTGGGGTATAAAACATTTCATTAAAAGTATAAAAAACATATTGTAAATAATAGTTCTAATTTTAAGTTAATTTTATTTGATGATATCATTTTTAATCTAAACCGAAAATGAAGAAAGTAAACGTAATTTTGAAAGTTTGGAAAATAGTATGAAAAACCGAAAAAATGATGAATAATAGTAATCGAAAATAGTTTGATAGTAAACGTAAATTGTAAAACCGAAAAGTAGTAGCTTTTGTAAAACCGAAAAATAATTGTATAAATGGAATGAAAAATTGAATAACTGAAATGAAAAAAATATAGCATAAAAAATGATATCAAAAATAAAATTAACTAATAACGTCTGAATGAATTGGAAATGGGTATAAAATATAAATTAAATAAAATTGTCTAAACCGAAAATAAAACCAATGAATAAAACCATAAACCGAAAAATAACCATTAATAAAACATCTAAATCTCTATATGTGAACAAAAGTACCTAATTCAAAATCATCTTTAGTAAAACAACTTATTGAATTTTGTTGAATTTGAATTTGTTGATTTTGTTGTTGTTGTTGTAAAGATAATGAAATATTTTGATTTAAAAATTCATCAATAATAAAAGATTTATTCAAATTTATTAAATCATTTTCTGAAATTTCACTAATTGGAGTTTCACTACTAGTTTCATTTGAATTTAAATTTATTGATATTTGATCATTTAAAATCATGAAATCATCTAAACTTACTTCTGAACATGAAGAATCTGATGATTGCATAGGTAATGATGTATATTCTTGATAATGTTGTTGAGGTTGAAATTGTTGTTGTTGAGAAGGTTGTTGAGGAGGTTGAGGTAATTGTTGTGATTGTTGTTGAGATTGTAATTGTAAATTTGATGAATTATAAGGTAAACTCATTGATCTTTCATGTAATTTTTTATTATGTTGAGGTTTTTTTATACATGCTTCACTAATAGTTCTTTGATGTTTTGGTTTTGGTTGATAAGTTTTAAATTGAAACTGACCAGCAGTTTTTTTAGATTTAGTTGATGATGTAATTGGAGTAGTTATAGGATTTGTTGGTAATGGTTCTTGAAATGGTGATTGTAATTGATTTAAATTTGGAGTTGAAGTTAAAGTATTATTTTTTGTAATTTGTGATTCAATTGAAATTTGTTGTTGTAATAATTGTTGTTGTAATTGTTGAATTTGTAAATGTTGTTGTAACATTGCTTGTTGATAACCAAATAATTGTTGTGAAAAAAAATCAGTAGATTGTGGAATTTGTTGTTGAATTTGTTGTTGTTGTTGATCAAAATGTGTAGGTGGTTGTTTTGGAGCTTGTGGAATTTCAATAAATTGTTGTTGAATTGGAGTTTGTTGAGGTTGATTCCAATCTATACCTAAATTCATTATACCTAAACCTAATTCTAATGTAGGACTTGAATCATTTGAATTTGGTAATGATTGTGATTCACCACTAAAAATTGGTTGTATATTTGAATTTGTTGTTTCGTATCCATTTAAAGTAGGTAAATCAAATATTGAATCATCAATTGATGATAAAGTATCTTCAATAGATAATGAAGGTGAAGGTAATTGTTCAACAATTGGAGTAATTTTTTCAATTTTATTACCTTCAGTGGTATTGTTCTTTGTAGTAGAATTAATTGTTAATTCTACTTCTTCATCTGATTTTATTGGTGATAAATCAACAAATACAAAATCTTTTGGTTTACCAGGTTTATTTTTTGGTCTTCTTAAAGGAGGTCTTTTAACAGTAAATTTTTGAGCAGCAGCAACAATTTTTAAACTATTATTTAAACATTCAACAGAAGTTTGTGAATGATTATTATTATGTGATGTGGAGTTATTATTTGAATTTGAGTTATTTGTTAAACTTGGAGTTCTTTTAACTCTCCATAATTTTTTACCATTAGCTGGTGGTAAAACGATACTATTACAAAGTTAGTATTTTGATTGTAAGATGTTTGTAAAAAGAAAAACATACTTATTCGAACTCATTTTTTAGTTGTATGTGTATATATGTGTATTTTTGGGTATCAATGGGGGTATCAATGAATAATGTCTTTAAAAAATATTAAAAAGTGAATGGTATAATTTGTAATTGAATATAAAGTTAGTATAAGTTATAAGATGATGAAAAAGAAAAGAAAGTAAATTCAGGGGGGATATAAAATTCAAAATGAAGGGAAATACATGAATATATATATATTTCAAATGGAATTTCAGGGATATTTTCTCATAATTCATTATTCATAGTTGTTTTAGATAGTTAGTATGTATATTTTGAAATTTTTATATTCTGATATTTGAGTACATATTAGATATTTAGATTTTGTGTAATGAAAAAATATTTAAATTTAAAATTAAAAATCAATAACTCTTCCTAATTAGGCAATATGTAATAAAACTTAAAATTAATAAACTATACCAATCAACTAAATAGTCAAATATTATTTTAACAATAGAGCATTAAGAACAATAGAGAGAAATCAATATAATTTATGAATGATGAGAAGTATTAATTACTTACATATACTATATTCAATTTTTTGTTTATAATTTATACTAAAACTACAATTTTATTTACCTACTCCGAGATATATATTTAAAAATAGATATAAATAATTATCAACAGTTTTTGAAATTACAAGCTGAGTACGAAAAAATAATACATCAACCAATATGTAGTAAAGTAGAATAAATTCTATCAAACGGCTTCAATGAAATATTATTTAAGGCAGTTGAGTAGTAGTGTATTAACTAAAGAACATATTTCCATGTCAATTCAATCATTCTAAACTCCTTTTGATTTAATTAAAGGGAATGTAAAATTGTAGTAAGTTCATACGTTTGATGAAATGGTATATGATGTGGGGTCATATAGTTAACTTGGAAAATTTGAAATTTCTTTCTTGATAATTTATTTTTCTATTGTTACTAATTAGTCAAATATTATTTTTACACATTTTACATATTATTATATTTTAGTGTTATAAAGGGATGTACACAAAAACTGTAGTAGTACTAATTAAGCTTGCTTATACTTTGAAACTTACTTACTAACTTACTTACTAACTAACTTACTACTGAATGCAACTAATGTTAATTCAAAAGCTTAAATTTTAAACCTAAACCTAACCGTTAAGAAAAAAAAATTGAGAGAAAGGTTATGCAGTTTAAAATCTAATTTCCTGACTTCATTACCCCTCTTGAAACATTAAATTTGTTTTAATTGGAGTAAAGAAAGAAGAAGAAGAAGAAGAAGAAGAAAAAAGTTTAGAGGAAGTATCATTCAGTGATTCAGTTAAAGTTAAGTAGTCCCTTTTTTTTATTTAATTTAAATTTACTAGTCACACAAATCTTAAAATCTATGCTTGAATAAAAAGTAGATACGAAAGATACGAGTGTATCTAATGAAAAAATTGAAGCAAAAATATAACTTCGTAACAACAATTTGAAATTTGGTGATAATTTGAATATTATTTTTTAATGATTGGTTAGACCCACAAAATAATTTACATATTTAAAATTAATCTATTATATTTGACAATTGAAACTCATTTTGGCCGACAATCCCAATCATATTGTACTATTGTACTATTGTGTAGTACTATTATAGTACTATTATACTATAGTATTATAATGCATGACATATATATGGTTAGATTATTTATAGTACATATTACAATACAAATTTCAAAATTATTGTAAATCCTCGACAATTGAAGTAAATGTATAATTTGTTCTTATTTATTCTTGTAACTTTTCCATATACTATCAAATTTCAAATCCAACTCTGTTGTACTTACTCTGACTATATATCAAACTGCCTTTGAGAAATTATAAAATAAATAGAAGGTTACAAAAAGTATGTGTGGATAATGTAATCCCTTAACAACAAATTTTAATTGGTTGAATCAGAAAAAAATAAAAAAAGGGCAAACTAAAAAAAAATAAAATAAAAAATATATTTATTACACAAAAAGTAAATACTTAATCAATTCAAATTGTAAACTCATAAAATTAAATGAGAGAACATAGACCTAGGCTAAGCTAAGTCTATGCATTTAATTAAGAGAGTTTTGTAAAGAAGGATGGAAGATCATCTAAATAGCAAAATAAATAATGACACTAATGATCAACCAACCGCAGTTATTATCATTAGCGAGAAAGAAAATTACTATATTAGATCGACTGTTTATTTACTTTTTAACCTTTATAAGTATCAACACACAAAAATATTATGAATATGCAATCAATTAATTATACAAAATAAGTTTAGTAATTGAATTTCAATACAATACGAAGAATAATCGTATTACAAAGTTGTTTCTTCTTGTACTACTTGTTCAACTATTCAAACTCAAATTTCGTTTAAGCTGCCTTAATATATTATTTTGAAACATTAATTAAAAGTTTTTTCTTGAGTTATTATAATATTGTTTATGTGTAATTGTGCCGCCCTGTTACCAAGAAAATAAAAAACAATATTTCACTGAAATACAGTAAGTGTATAGAGTAATAAATACAACTTTGAGACAATTTCATCATCTTTATCGTCTATAATTCGTCTATAATTCATGATCATCTCGACGATAAATTGGTTATGGTTGTTTCACAAATGTTTAAGCTATGTAACAAATGAAAATGCTAAAGCTATATAACAAAATTTTCATCAAAAGATGAAACAACAAAAAAAAAGTAATTCAAGACGCGTCTCAATATTAAAAAAATTTCAAAACTAAATCTAAATCACAAATTAAAAAAAAAAGTAGGTGTAACTTTAGTTTCATCTTTGTAATGAATTTTATAAACTTACCTCATCTTTTAGATGAAATGAGACAATAAGCTTTTGCGTTCTTGTTCAAGATTAATGGTTTGTTGGTTGAGTAGTTTAGTACTTAGTGTTTCAAAGTTTTGTTGGGGATATTAGCTCAGTACTCATCTCATTTGAGGTTTATTATTTGTTTCATAATTTTAATTTTCATTTTTAATTTCTCAAACGGCTTTAAAATTTTGCAAAAAGTTTCTGACTTCAAACTCCTTTCAAACATTTACGATTCGTAGACTTCTTGTTTTCACCTAGTTTCAACAGAAGGGGGTAAGAGTCCTTTTGTTTCAGGGATAGGCGGAATCACAGGCACATGAAAGAAGGAAAAGAAGGTTTGAATCTAAGCTTTTTACACCACTCTTGTCAAATCAAGTTAGGTAAGGAACAGAATTTGAAGCTTAAAAGTAAAAACTCTATACTTTAAAACTTGACCAAATAAAAATCGCATTAATTTTACATTCACTTTCTTTACGTTTTCGATTCAATCCCTAAAGACTTAAACAAATCTAATACAAACCCCCTGTTTGATTTAATTGATTTTGATAAATTAATAGGGTTTATTAGATCTGAACAATACAGAATCAAAAATCATCTTGTGGGTGGTATAAATTTTACCCCCACAACGATAAATTGAAACGGATTAAAAAAATTGGTTTTAAAAAAAACGGTTTTAAGATTAGCTAGAATTCGTTTTTGAATCTATTCCTCCCATTTTAACCCTCCTCTACTTTTTTTTTAAACGAATTAGAGGAGGTTTTTAAATTCGTTTTAATCGTTGGTAACTACTTAAAGATCAGTATTCAAGATTCAAGAAAATTCAACCAAATTAAGTGGAATCCCTCTAGCAAACGTATAAGTCAATCAATTGAGTGGAATATTCTCTAACAAACGTATCTTGAATCAATCAATTGAATGGAATATCTCTAACAAACGTACAAGTCGAACGATACATGAACGACAAGTCAAACGAGACGATATTACATCAAAAACGTACGAATAGTAAGTATCGGGGACGTAAATTATAGATTTACCTCCTACTTGCCTGATTAGTCTAGTTTTAAACAAAGTTCGAGGCGAATCAATGATCAAACAACATTAGCCAAAAAAAAATAAGTAAAATTACATCATCAACAAATTAAGAGGAGCAAGATTTGTATTTTTTACTCCTTATCCACTTACCCCTTCCATTAATTCCATAAGTTACGATTTCAATTCCCATTAATTCCTAAGCAAATGAATTAACGATAATATTTGAAAAATACCCCAACAAGATGAGTTTCCCAACCAAAAATAACTTTTGATGTAAGATGCCCCACTCAACTTTTTTTTTAATGCACGTAATTAAACTAAAAAAGTAAGAATTTTATTGTACAGCTAAAGTTTTAAGAAATTATACAGTTACACCACTTCATCACTAACAGTAAGTTATATGTAGCATACACTAAAAAATTAGCTATTGTACTTTTTGCTATATAACATGCGTCTGTGTAACTTACCTAATTAGTCATTTGAAATTCATCAATTCGACCTAATTAAGCTAAATTTGATTTTATCGTCAAAAAATGTTTGGTTATGAAGTTATACATCATGTACATTAAAAGTCGATTTGATCCAGTTAGTTTGATTGCTCCTTTCAAATGCTCATACCTAATATTGCTTTGTCTCTCAATTACAATTTCACTAGTTAAGGTTTTGCTACTTAGATTTTACTTTACAATTTCATCAAAATTATAATATTTCGAATATCTACCTGAATTCAAGATTTAAATGATGATAAAGTTATGAGATTATAATAATAATAAAGCAACTTAAACTTTTCATTATCCTTTAACTCAATTATGATTACGAACTATTATTATTCAAGTTTGATGAATCTAATTTTTATTTGAACTTTAGAGATTCTTAAATCAAAATGTAAGTTGGTAACATACAAAAAAAGTTTGGATAATTTTGTATCCCTCTAATTCCTGTCCTAATTCCTTACTCCCTCAAATATCTCGATGACAATATAATCCTTAATTGATTTAATTCCTGACTAAAACACTCAAATCATTCTAACCATTTCTTTGTTTGAGTCCCTCGTTAAATAAACTCCTTTTCATATAGCCCCACTTCCCATTCCATGAAATACTAGTTAGGCAAATGCGGTTTGATTTTTCTTTGTCTCGATTTTGTTTTGAACAATAGAAAAAAAAAAACTCCGTACTATCTAATCAATCATCCATTTCAAATATACTTTTTGTTGATAAAGTTTAAGTTTGAGAGTTTATTCATTAATAAAAATTAAGGTTTTTTAAACTTACACTTTTTCACTTACCACTTTTTTGTGTAAAAATATATATTGAAAGTAGTTGTCAAAGTGGAGTAAATGAATAAAAGTTTAAATTATAGCATTTCAAATAGGTTTAAATGAATTGTACTCTTTTAATAGAAGGTATAATATGGAGTAAGTTAGATTGTTCAATCAAGAGAGTCGGTTGAATGGATTGAATTTGAAAATGGTATTGGAGATTCATAATTCTTTTATCCTAGTAATTAAATAATCAAAACTGTTTATAATTCTCCTATTTCTTTTCTCCACCATTTTTGATTTCGACTAACTTGGAAATTGAGAAGGAATTACCAAGGCTTTGAACAGCTAAACCGTTTCATCTTAACGTACGTACTTAAGCAAACCAAAGTCTCGACTGGAAAAGAATTAGAAATTCATTTGAACTATTCGAGAACAAAAATTAAAATGTATAATTTTTTGCAATCAAACGTACAATACTTCCATCAAATTTACTAAATTAAATTACAATTCGTTGGTTGACAAGACAAGTCAAGTCAAATTAATAACAATAAGTTCTAAAGGATTTTCGATTTATTAATAGAATCCACTCAATAGTCGAAATTAATTAGGCCTAATTAAAAATGTAAAATTGAAAGATCAAACGTACGTACAATTTACTCTCTACTTATATTTACTTTTCTTTTTTTTTTTCTCGAACATTAATGAATGAATGAATGCCTGATACGGAGACACTATCAACAAAGATTTTTCCCGTATCACCCTGAATAACTTTAAGAGTATTGTTATTGTCGTCAATCAATCCTTAAGTAAGATGTTTTTAACTTTAAAGTTATTACTTGATTTAGACAAGTAATTGAATCAAATCTTAAAAATAAATTAGAAAAAAAGGGTCTGGGGTTTACAAACTTTTGATTTTTTTTTTTCCCCTTTGTCAAAAATAGTTTAAAGTCTTTAGTTAAAATTATGTGACACTAAAAAAACTTGACATTGAAAAAAAAGATTAAGATCAAGATTTTTATTTAAGCTCAACACTCAAAACTCAAAGTCAAACTAAATCAAAGTTATACTTTTATTATTATTACGTCAATTAGCTTATTTTTAATCACAATTGCAGTTTGAAGTCAATCAACAATTAAGTTTGAGTTATGGAAGTTCAAAATCTTGATTAATTCAAAATGTTTTGTGAATTCAATTATACACACTTTTAAATTGAGTTTTACGATAAAATTCAAATGATGTAACAATAGATTCAAGATTCTTTCCAAATCTCCATTATTATATTTTCACACACTGATAGATTAGATTACGAATAATAAAATTTTGAATAAAATATTAAAAAAAACTGAAAAATTCGAAAGTTAAATGGAGTTGAAATATTTTTCCTAATTTTTAAATTTGCAATCAATAAGGATATTGGGTGGTATTCCATTTTGATTGAAATAACTTCATCCATTTGTCATTATTTCTTTGGCTTAGATTACTACTCGATTGATTCAAAACTTATAGTCACTAAGACATTGTGTTTAAGAAAGAATGAGGAATTTTATTACAAAATTTATATAAACTGATTAACGAATATGCATATTCATTATTTCAAGTTGGTTTAAAGGATTTTTTATAACATCATGAGTTAGAATCGACTTCAAACGGTAAAGTCTTGCCTGTAGAATTTTATTGGAGATCTGATAAATAGAGTTTTGTATTACCTATTTTTCTTTATCCACAAGGATCTAGAAAATAGTAAGTGAAAATTAAACAAGATGGAAACTAAATTAAATTTAATACCCGATTTTAAAAAGAAACATTTCAATCATAACAAGGGGTTAACTAGATAAATCTTGAACGTTTGTACATTCAACTTAATAATACAATTCCAAAATTTTGTGTTAATGGGTGAAACGTTTTAATTTAAAATGGTCTATTAACTTTACCTAAAATGGAAAGGACCTTAAGTAAGGTTTATACATGTATATAAACATGATGAACCAAATGAAAGTCATTATACGATACAAAGTTAATAGACCAGTTATAATTAAAGGGTTCCCGTAAACTCAAATATAATTTTCAAATACTAACTTGATAATTCTAACTTGATAATTCTAACTATCGAAAACAATCTCAATGGTGAAATGAAAAATCTTTTTGATATGAATTTGGAGTGATTGAAACTCACAATTCGGCTAAAATTGACTGCATATTCAGCTTTCTCACAACTCATCAGAAATCTAAAAGTTTTATTGGAAAACACTCATGTTTTACTTCAACCTGCGCATCATCTGATCCTTTCTACCACTTTCATGTATCTTTAAATAAATTTCATGGTACTTGATTCCTCTAAAAGCTAATTACATTTGTAAATGCACATTCTAATGAATAAAAATTCATCAAACAAATACAACATCGCAATGGCGTAGGCTTTGTTTGAGAGTTATCTTGTTTTTATTATCTGCCACATTGTGACACATTACTCTCAATACTCTTGACAAGATATGGGAAAATGCAGAAGCTTTGAGTTCATAATTTTCATAGTCCACTTTTTCTATTCCCAAACAAATACGGGTTTAATATTTATAAAACCGAAAATCTATTTTAGGAAACTCAATTTTGAAAAAGCAAAAATCAATTTTTGAAAAATCAAAGATCTTCTCTATAACCCCAGGAAACTGAACTCGATAAAAATATTTGAATTTTACAGAAAAAAAATTGAAAATAGGCTTCTTGTATGATTCATGTAGTTTGAAATGTTATTTGTATAGGCAACATTGTTTCAAACTCAAAGCTTTCTTAAATAATTGAGAAATTAAAATCCCTAACAACCAGTTTCATCTATCACGTGACCCATAAGCCAATTCAAACTGAATCACAATTGTCGAACATTAAACTTTTAAAAGCATCCATACCACAATATTACAAGATCTTTTTTGTTTTTTGTACTCTGCAGAAATTTTCGACGATTTGGATAGACTTTAAAAATTTTACAAAGTTATGTAAGTTCTGTAGGTTTAAAAGCTATCATTTACCAAAGTAATATGAATCGTATTTGTGTGGATAATATTGCTATAAATTTGTTAATAAATGGTTAAATCATTATATATTGACTGTTGACTATTATATATGTATGTACGGATGTTGGTTGGTTTGAAATTTTGCAACCACATCTAAGGTTTTAACCTTCATATAATTCAATATTAATCGCTAATTTCGAGATAAATGAATTATAAGAATTATGTGAAGAGCAAACTTGATAATTGGAAGTCAATTCATGTGACATTCTAATACGTTTGTAGATTTTATTTATTCCGTAATCTCCTAAATTTGATCAACATTGCTGCAAATTCTTAGTAATATCAAATTAAAATCACTTTGGAAGAGAAACAATGGACAGTACAATCTTGAAACTTTATACTAACAAGTTGTACAAATTGAAGAGATTATATAGACATTTTCGACGATCGATCTTGTAGATTCTCGAGAACTAACATGCTCTCAGACTTTTCTTTTAACAATTTATCAATTTATATTTTTATACACTTTTATTATGTCTTTCTATAATCAATAAACTTTAAAATATTTATGCAAGCCTTAGTTTTAATTCAATTTGGGTATTTTGAATGATCAATTACCAGTGATAAGAAATTTCTTTTAAAAGTTTCATGGATAATCCATAACTCGAAGAAGTATCAAGGAAAAAATACACCAAAAACACTAAACATACCCAGCATCATGTTTTGAATCTTTGTTTCAGTACTCTTTTCAAATTGAAGATAATGAGACCATAAGGTTTTTTATCTAAAAGCAATTTTCTACGTCTTTGATCACGCATTAAATTCAGTATTTTGAAAGTTTCTAAAGTACTTCTAAACAGAAATGATGCTCCAGCTTCGTTGACATCCCTAAGTTCAACATAATAAGCAGATGATGTAGAAAACTTTACATTTAACTTTTTACATTATGCTCATGAACGAATTTTGAGCTTCTGTATTCTGAACTGAACAGACAAAAACCATATTTTTAGTGTGACGTGGATTCAAAAATGAGGACTTAAATCTTTTATACCACTATCAATAATACCAATAAAACACATAATGCAACAACTAAAATTCCAATACACCAATTACTTGCAGTTTCTTTATTTTTTTCAATAAATATATTTAATCTTTTCATATTTCTTTGTAATTTAATATCAACATGATCTAATTCATAATCTAATTCATCTAATAAATATCCTTGATCTTCTAATTCTTCTCCCATCATATTTGCTTGTTTATTTAAATTCATCATAGTTTTATGAATATCATCTAATTGAGTATCTTGTTCTCTAATTAATTCTTGTTGTTGATAATTTGTCATTGTTGGTGTTACATCATCTTCTTCTGTTTGATCTCGAAATGGATTTTCTGGTATATCATCTTGACTTATTCTATTAGACATTGTTGTTACATCTCGAAACTTTTTATTATCCCATTTGGATTTTATATTAGTTTTCCTATTATATAGATCTCGTAATGTTTGTTCTCTTTGTTTTATATCTTTTGGACTTAAGTTGTAGAATTGTGGATTAGTTGAACTTAATTTAAGAGCTTCTTCTAATTCTTCATAAGTTTCTTGTAATTCTTCATAATAATTTGTAAAATCTTGTTGTAGTTCAATTGATGGTTGTGTTGATGTTCTTTGAGATATAATAGTTTCCAATCGCTGTATCACATCATATGCATCTTCTTTGACACCATTGAATGGATCCATCTTTGGCTTTTGTTGTGGTTTTTAAATTTGATTGAGTTGATCACAAACTGATTAATGATTAACAGATTAGGTTTTTTTTTATTTTACAACTTGAAAAATTACAACCAAACATTTGAATATCTATGAATATACACGATTTAGTACAAGAAAGAGACTCAACACCATTGGTTGAAGAGAAACCGGAAGAGTCAAAGTCAATTGAAAATTCTGAATTTAAAGTAGAAGACCAAACCCAAGAAATTGGAGATATTCAGGATGAAAAGTCTAACATAGAAGATACCAAAGAAAGCACAACAACAGAATCTAAGGGTATACATCAAGAACAATTACCAGAGAAAGAGGATGAACCAATGGAAGAACCTACTGAAGCACCGGCCAAAGAGCCTACAGATGAAATAATGGAAGAAGCCACGGATGAACATAATACAGAGCCATCACCACAACCAATAGTAAAAACAGAACAAATTGAAACTCCTAGGCAAACTCCACAACCTCAAATTCATCAACCAAATACAACCAATAATAAAAAAATAAAACAAGAAACATCCACAATTGAAACTTCGAATTTACCTCCATTACATGAAATTGTTGGTGGTTCATCAATACGAAGGTATTTAAACAAGCATTTAACTCAACATTTACTAGAAGGATTGAAAGAAGTTGGTAATGTAAAACCTGATGATCCTTTAAGATATCTAGGTGAATTTTTGATAGCGAGATCGGAGGATGAAAAGCTAAAAGAAGAGTAGTTTAAAAATGCATTGGAACCCTTTGTTTATAGACAAACAATCGAAGATTTATACTATATATCTCCTCTGTATATACCAAATTAATGAAGTTACGGCAAAAGTCACACTCAATCTTGAAACCAATTGTAAAAAAATTCCATCTCTATACACTATATTATCTAGTAATCAATGTTCATACATCCCAGAATTTGATGTACCTCATGTTCTTTATCAAAGAGCAAAGAGAATACAAAAATAAAAAAAATTAAATTCTACAATTAAATAGATTGCCTTATCAAACCGAACTTACAAAAGGCAACGATGTCTAATACATCTACCTCCTCAACAAAACTAGATCCACATCAACTAAGACCATATTATGATCATGATACATTTGATGCAGGATATTCAGTGATTTTTAAAAAGGGAGTTGGATTATTTGATCCAAAAACAAATAAACCAATTACATCAAATTTATCAAATAATTTAATAGATAAACAAATAAATAATAATAATATAAATCAACCTGGATTAATACGGAGAGCTTTTGATAGACAAGGTGGTTTAGGTATACAAAGTGGTTCATCAAATGATAAAAATTTTTTATATGATTTAGAATTTAATGAATATTTTGATACAAATAATATACTTGAATTAATTAAAAATTTATTATGGAATTTTATAAAAAGTTATGCAAAAGTATTAATTGCTCAACCTTTAGAAATAACAAGATTAGTTTTACAAGTTGGTAAATTTCCCAATTTAAATGATAATAAAAAAAATATAAAAGATTCAAAACAAAAGAAAAGGTTATTAGATTCATCAACTCATTCATTATCATCATCTAATTCATCAATTAAAGATAATGATTTAAATCAAAGTAAAGTTGGATTTCATGATGATGATGAACCAATTGATTATTTTCAACCACAAAATGATCAACAAGTATGGGCAAATCCAAATACAACTTATGAACCAATGACTCCAGCAGTTGGATTATCTCATCCAACTTCTTCATCAACAACAGCAACAGGAACAACTAATGAAAAATTTGTACCACCACCTTTAAAAAGATTAAGTACTAAAAAAAGAATTAAAATTTATAAAATCCAACCATTATCATTACATACTATTGATATAATGTCAGCAATAGCACATAAAGATTCATTTTTTGCATTATTTAGAGGAGTTAATGCATCATTTATATATCAAACTTTATCAACAACAATTGAAGCGTGGATAACTGGATTTTTATCACCATTTTTAGGAATACCTGATCCATTTTTTTTAGATTTAACTCATTCAAATGATCCTTTTAAATCATTATGGTTATCTGTTTCTGCATGTGTATTAACAGGTATAATATTAATGCCATTAGATTTAATTAGAATTAAATTTATGATAACTCAACCAAATAACACATTACCATTACATAATCAACAACATAATCAAGAAGATATAATTGAAAAAGCAACTGATGAAATAATACAAAATACAAGATCAATAAGAGAATCAATAAGATTTTTCCCAACTTATTATTTAAAACATCCTCCACATCCAATAATTTTATTAACAACATTATATCAATTATCAACAAGTTTATTTAGAAAAATGGCACCATATTTATTATTTATAAAATTTAATATTGACTCATATTCTTCTCCTACAATTTATACATTTGTTAATTTAATATCATCAATTTTTGAATTTTTTATAAAATTACCTGTTGAAAATTTATTAAGAAAAGAACAAGTTAAATTTTTATTAACTCCTAAACAAAATGATCCAAAAAAGATTATAACAATTATAAAACCAGAAGATAATTTAATTGTTGAATTTAATGGATCAATAAGTGATGATGAAAGACAAAATAAAGACGAATCTACTTGGGTTAAAATTAAACAATTAGGTTTATTTAATGGTTGGAGAGTTGGATTATTAAATGTTATTGGATTTTGGGGTTATAATATTATAAAAAATAGTAGTAATGAATTACGAGAGGAAAGATTATAATCTTGTTAGTTCTTGAAATGAATTTAATAGTTCTTTTGTATATAATTGAATGTCAAATAATATTCATTGTCTGATTTTAAACTTTTTTTTCATTGTAAATTAAAACCTGAAAAATTGCAGCCACAATTAAACATTTCTTCTAACCACATGAAAATTACATATTTCCGAACCGACAACAAGAAATTATATAATTAAGTTTATAAATATGGGGATAGATTAAATATTGTTCAAATCAAGTTGGATTAATCTGATATCTCAATTTTTCAAATTTCAATAACCATGAGTCCAAGTAAAAATGAAAATGGTGTCAAACCCAATAAGAAATTATTAAAATTATTTGCTTTTGAAATGGGTACTCCTCAATTACAATGTACAAATTGGAGTGATCCAAAAAATAATACAAGAAATTATAATACTTTAGATTATTGGATTAATACTGCAAAATTACTTGAAAAAGGAAAATTTAATGGAATATTTTTAGCTGATGTTTTAGGTCCATATGATGTTTATAATGGACCTAAAAATTTTGAAGCTGCTGCAAAATCAGGTGCTCAATTTCCAACAATTGAACCATCAATATTAATTGGTGCAATGGCTACTGCTACTAAAGATTTAGCATTTGGTGTAACTTTTGCAACATTAAGTGAACAACCATATCATTTAGCAAGAAGATTAGCAACATTAGATTGGTTAACTAAAGGTAGAATAGGTTGGAATATTGTAAGTTCATATTTAGATTCTGCTGCAAGAAATTTATTAAATGGAGAAAATTTACCTCCTCATCAAGAAAGATATGAAAGAGCTGAAGAATATACTCAAGTAATATATAAATTATTTTTAAGTTCCTGGGCTGATGATGCAGTTGAATTGAAAAATGGAATATATTCAAATCCTGAAAAAATAAGAACTATAGATCATATTGGAAAATGGTTTACTGTTCCTGGTCCATTTGTTTCAGAACCAAATCCTTATCAAAGAATTCCAGTATTAATTCAAGCAGGTACTTCTAGTGCTGGTAAATCATTTGCTGCTCAACATGCAGAAGTTGTATTTATAACTCAATTTCAACCAGAAAAATTAGGTAAAGAAATTAAAAATATTAAAAAATTAGCATGGGAAAATTTTGGTAGACCAGATGGATCAATAAAATTTTTACAATTAATTACTCCTATAATTGGAAAAACTGAAAAAGAAGCTGAAGAAAAATATATAGAAATTCAAAAATATGGTGATATTGAAGGAGCTCAAGCTTTATTTTCTGGTTGGACTGGAATTGATATAAGTCAATATGGTTATGATGATGATATAACAGCAGTTGGAACAAATGCAGTTAAATCATTTTTAGAATTATGGAATAAAAAATCCCCCACTGATTCAGATCAAGTAAAAAAGACAAGAGCTCATATTGCAAAACAAATTACAATAGGAGGATTAGGACCAGTATTTTATGGAACTGCTGAAACAGTTGCAAATGAAATTGAAAGATGGGTTGAAATATCAGATGTCGATGGATTTAATATTACTTATGCTTTACAACCTCAAACATTTGAAGAAGTTGTTGAATTTTTAGTACCAGAATTACAAAAAAGAGGATTAGTATGGGAAGATTATCCTGATTTAGGTAGACCATTAACTTTAAGAGAACAAATATTTGGTATAGATAGAAAAGATTCAAGTTTTTTGGAAGATACTCATCCAGCTTATAAATTAAGATGGAAAGCTGGTGAAACAAAAGAAGAATTTGAAAATAGAATTAATAAGAAAAGAGAATTAAATGATGATTGAGATATTAAAGAAGATGTTTAATTTGTATAGTTCGTAAATATGTAAACATATTAATTATTTATTATTTAGTTAAAATTTATTAATTTATAACATAAGCGGAGTTTAAGATTGTCAATCATTTAACTAAACGCGTATCAACGTTTGCAATTCATATTTTTAGATTTTAACTGTAGTAATACCATCATTCTATATTCCAAATTATCTCGTACTCAGTTGGTTGAGCTAGTTGATTCAACTGACGCATGAAACAATTGTTTAAACGTTGAATTTGACTGCATACAATAGTAATAAATTAATCAACACAAAACCGTTAATCATATTTATTAACAAAGTTCTAGATCTGTAGATCTCGCCTATCTATTAAATATAAAATAATGCACAACCAGCATAAGTTTTAAAACATCAATAAAAAGACCATTTGATTCAACAAAGTGACTCAACTCTTATCAGGTCTATAGCCAATCGATCATTGAAGAATTAAATGATAAAAGAAGGTTTTAACAAATGCAATTTATGTATTCCATCCGTATATTTTAGTATAACAAGTTTAAAATATTCATACCTATTTTAATTCAGTAAAAAACAAGGCGTTTTTGTCTACATTACTAAATTTATCAATTTTTGGATCTAATCAAGTTTACTTCATTTAGAATTAGGCATTTTAAGTTTTGAGCAACATGGGCCTATCACCATATTAATAAAGAAAGTCTGGACTTCATGAACATTAAACTTTTCACTATTCATTCTTTTTCGTATGAGAATTTCATCCAATTAATGTCTATTATACCAATTTTAATGATTCAAATATCCGTTTTATTATTGATTTTAGTTGTTATACATTTCATATTATTTGATTGTTTAATTAACCATTTACGAATATCCTTATTTCACTCTTTCTCTGTTTGTTTCGTTTCATTCACTCGTTTGTTTAAAATAGGTAAGTAATTATAGGGTTTAAGTCCACTATTTAGTGTAAGTTTTTTTAATTTATTACTTATTGGTCTAATAGAGATTATTATTTAGTAAATTTATAAATTAATAAATCATACATCTCTTTTGTTATTATCTTCTTAGTTCCATTTTCTAATCAAATTTTGGTGATAAATTAATCTTTAATTCAACTTTTAAAGTTTTAAATATGTGATAGAACTATATATATATAAAAGCTTACCCCCCATACTTCAAATTTAATGTATACTTTCAATCGAAAGTTATTAGTTTCAAAACCAACTAGATCACAATAATCACTAGTATAATCTATATATCAATTACTTTAATCAACTATAACTTCATATACATTAATATATCTATATTATGAAAAGTTTATGATACATCATCGTTATCACTAATCCATATTACTGATATATACACACTCGTTATTAAATTTTGACAACACAGATCTCACCTATACTCCTCCACAAATACAAATAGATTTAATGATGGTAAATCGACATTATTCAAAACTAATAGTATTAATAACTGCATCTTTTTCAATTCTAGGAATTTATCTATTCGTACAATCAATTAAACCAACTATATTATCACAAACCAATTTATTAAATTATCAATTAAATTTACAAGATAACTTACTTAACAATGATCAAATTATATCAGATATTGAAATATTTAAATGTAGAAAATTTTCAAAAAATTGTGATAATGAAATTCCTTCAAATTTTAGACTAATAAGACCTTCATTAAAATATTATGAATCAAAACTGAATTCAAATTATTATAATAAAGATTTTTATAAATTTGATTATTATTTAGGTATTGAAATCAAAAGAATCGAGGATACAAATACAATTTTAGAAGATTTATCATTAACCCCAAAAGATGGTTATGAAGAAGTTAAATTAGATGAATTTATAATTTATAAAAAAAATTATATACTTGATGGGAAAAAGCAAATACCTAAGGATTTATCAATAATTAGATCAATTGATATATTATTTGGTTCTAAAGAATTAATTGATTCAAGACCAAATTATACAACATTACATTTGATTGATTCAGATAAAATTCATCCAATAATTTCATTTAAGAAAGTAACAAAAGATGAATTAATCAAACAAAATGAATTAACCAAAAATTTAAAAGAAATTAAAGATAATAATCAAATTATAACAGATAAAGATAAATTTAAAATTTTACAATTATCAGATTTACATTTTGGACAAGATTTAGGTCGTTGTACAATTGAAAAAAATAATAAAAATGAACCACCCAAATGTAAATCAGATTTAAGAACTTTAAAATTTATTTCAAATATTTTACAAAAGGAAAAACCAGATTTAATTATAATAACTGGTGATTTAATTGATAATAATAGAATAATTGATTATAAATCTATATTATTAAAATCTTTACAACCAATAATTGAAACAAATATTAAATTTTTATATACATTCGGTGATGAAAATTTATCAATTGAATCAAAACAATTAATTTTAAAATTTTTATCAACTTTACCAAATTGTTTAAATACTGAAATTTATGAATCAAATAATCATCATAATCATATTCATGGTTTAACTAATTTGAATTATCAAATTTATAATGAAAATTTTCAAAATCAAATATCATCAATAACAATCCTTGATTCTCAAAATCATTTTATTGATGATTCACAAATTAATTATCTTTATAGAATTAATAATAATGATCAAAAAGATTCAACTTACAAACTTTTATTTTTTCATCATCCCATACCTCAATTTAGACCCGAGGGAACTTTTAAAATTATTGGATCATATAATGAAAAACATAATTTAGATACAAAAACAAATCCAAAATTTCATGATGATATAATAAATTGTAAATATAATGTTGTTGCAGTAGGTCATGAACATGAAAATGATGCATGTATATTATCAGAAAAAGAAAAAGATCATAAATCAAATCAACAACAATCTATATGGTTATGTTATAATTCAGTTACTGGAGATTCTGGTAAAACTTTAATTAAAGAAAATTATATTAGAAAAATGAGATTATTTGAAATTGATTATTCACAAAAAAGAATTTTAAGTTGGAAAAGGAAAGAAGATGATAAATCTATTTTTGAACCTCAATTAATTTATAAATTAGACTAGATCAAATTTGGGTAAATGATTATGATTATGATGATATGAATTACGATTTCTTTTTAGTTCTAATTAGCTTTAGATGATAAATATCTCACATTTTTCTTACCTAAAATTTTGTAGAATTTACAACTATGATAATTATTGCGACAACCAAAAACTAACTTCCTATACATCAACAATGAATAATTCTTAAGCTGTTTTATTTATATCTTCAAAATAAAATAATTTCCTTATTTCGTCGTCAAAGAGCTTTGATGTAACATATAAGTCCAATTCTTTCAAAACTGTCGAAAATTCGATGTTAGTATATAGTACATCTGGACTGCAAACGTCGAACCATTTGGTCCTAACAATTTCCACAGAAATTATGGACTTTCATTGAAAAAGAAATATGGTTCCAAAAAGGTTTCTAGTTGGAATTACAGGAATATCTGTATATCCATAATGCTCTAAATACAGACGTCACAGCCGATGAAAATAATCAAGTTCATATGGACATTTTTATAAAGCCAAATATCCATAGGACCTTGACCATTTCCATCCATCGTCTCAATTTGAAGCATTATAGATATACAGAAAAGTCAATATCATCAACAAATTAAACTAACAATCTGAAACTGATTGAATTGGTCTTTCACTGAAAAAATGATTTGGTTCCAAAGGTTCGTCGCAGAACTTACACCTAAAACAAATGACAAATTTGAATATGTTTATCTGTGTATCCATAATGCCCTAAACAATAATGGAGAAGACATTGAAAATAATCTAGCTCATATTAAGGTTTTATATAGCCAAACACCCATATGACATAGACTATTTCCAATCGTCTCAATTTAAAGCCTTATAAATATACAGAAAAGTTAATATTTCATCAAATTAAACCACCACAAACTTACCCAACTGAACCTTTCTGCACTTGAAATTTAACTTTTATGTAGCTGGAGCATCTATTAAGCCGAAAGACATAATCATTATTTAGAAAGACCTTGAGGTATACAAAATGATGTATGTTCAAATACTTTTTCTTCTCCCATAAGCATTTGATGATATTCCTGAAGTCAAATCAAGTTATCACACTTTCCTATTGAAACAATTAAATCTTCGACAAACATATGATAAGCTTGAACAATTGGATTTTGATTTAACTGTCTATGATCAATGCTTAATTGATCTATTCTTAACATTGAACTGCGAGACAAAATTTTAACAGACGTAACACGTAACTTCATTGCTCATTGAATTCCAATTTAACGACACAATTTCCTTCACTTTACCTATTAATCCATTATCAATAATGTAAATAGGAACAGTAAGATGTGTCGCATTTTTGGAATGTAATGAACAATGAAGTTCAATGTTACGATTGATTTCTTGATGAAGGAATTGATAATGGTAGGATTGGCCCTTTTGTTTATCCAATTCAAGTTTTAAATGATTCACAAATTTATATGGCGTTGACATTGGAGTGTTGATCTTGTACTTAATCTCGTGTTTTGAAAACTGGTTCTTCATTTAATGTTGATGATTTTGCCACACAGATTTTGCTGATATTCATTTTTTTTTTAAAAGTTGATTTATTTTATGATTTATGCCAATACTTTGATTCATAAACTTCTTTCTTTTCGACTTACTCCTGTAGTGACATTAAAAGTTGTATATAATTATTCATAATTTTATTAAAGTGTTATATATAACAGCTAACTAATCATGTTGATTTTTTTTCTTCACTGTACCAAATTCGTCCTGCATATATTACAATGTAATATCACAAAGATCATCACTCTCATCATCTCTTTACATCAGCATCAAAGTATTAAACGAATTTAATAATCAAAATTAAGCATCAACATCTTCACATACTTCTTATATTATATATACACATAGAATAATTACAATGGGAAAAGCCAAAAAGACTAGAAAATTCGCCGCAGTGAAAAGAACATTATCTAAAAAAGATCCACGTCTAACGAATAATAAAACATCAATAATAAAACCAAAAGATCCAGAAACTATTCAACATATACCTCAAGTATCATCATCATTATTTTTTAAATTTAATGAAAGTATAAAACCACCATATCAAGTATTAATAGATACAAATTTTATAAATTTTAGTATACAAAAAAAAATTGATATTATAAGAGGTTTAATGGATTGTTTAATGGCAAAATGTATTCCAATAATAACTGATTGTGTTATGGCAGAATTAGAAAAATTAGGTTCAAAATATAGAATTGCATTAAAATTAGCAAAAGATTCAAGAATTCAAAGATTAAAATGTTCTCATTCTGGAAATTATGCTGATGATTGTTTAGTTAATAGAGTTATTCAACATAAATGTTATATTGTTGCTACTAATGATGCTGATTTGAAACGAAGAATAAGGAAAGTACCTGGGGTACCGTTAATTAGTGTTGGTTCTCATAGTTATGTTGTTGAAAGATTACCTGATGTTTTTTAGTCGAAGGTATTGAATGTATTAATGCATTGTTTGATTTGGATGGGATACTTTATGAAATGTTTCAAAACTTTTATGATTGGATAGTTTTTTGCACGATTTGGTTTTGACAAATTCCAGTTACAGCATTAGATTTGAACTATTTTGATTTTGTCAATTTAAAGTTGAACTATGTTTCAATTTCCAATCCAGATTTGAGTTATATTTATGTTGCCAGTTTAGAACTAAGCTATATCTGAGTTACAATTTAGGAAAGTTGCCAAAAATAACTGAATTTTCAAAATTCATTACTTCAAGTCCCACTCATCATTGTACTAGGAAGATGCTTTAAATAGTTTGAAATGTCGCCTGACAACAAATCACAAGTCTCGAACACTCAAATTTAAACAATAATAAAGAACGTTTCTATCTCTTCTACTTACCTAAAACATCACGGAACCATCGAACCAGTAACAAAAGAAATTAGTTTCTAATCTCCTATTCTAAATATAAGTCAATAACATGAATGATCAAATACATTCTAAATTCAAGGATTTTATTCTCTTCTTCTTCTATTCCTAATTTAGATATTTATAAATATAAGTAGTTAGGTCATGGAGGGTTATATATATATTTGGAAAAGTCGGATAGTTTTCACGTCAAAAAAAATAAAAATAAAGTTTAAAGTTACCAGATTACAATGGAACAAAAGCCAGCATGTTTTGACAAAACTACATTTACGCTTTTGTATGATCCCCTCAATTCAAGATTTAGTTTTAATGATCTGGTTTGAAGCAGAAGAGATCATTCAAAGACTACAAAATAGATTTCTAATGATACCTTAAAGAGTCGGAATCGGAATCAATTTTTAATTTTTTAAAGCTTACTTTTTGTTACAGTATTTTATTTTTTTTCTCTTATTACCCCTAATAACAAATTATAATTTCTCGTATCTTGAAAACTTAAGATTTCGAGGAAAAAAAGCTTAGATAAGATTAGATCCCTTTATATTGAAAACTTTATTATGGAGTTAAGATTTTAGACTTGAATTCATCGATTGATAGTTGATAGATGAATCAGATCTCAAAAGAACCTTTGTATTCCCTACTTAGATTATGGTAGATTATGAAGAATTCAGTAGTTTCGTCTAACATTTCTCAGTACAATAGTGTGGCTGTTTCACAACGGTAACGCGAAATTCAACAGACGATCTTCAAAACATTGAAAATTTCAGTAACTCGAAATTTCAGTTGTAATAGACGATCAAGATCTAAGCTTAATTGTTTTTGAGATTTTTAGACTAAAGAGTAGGCAACGCCAAAACTTTTCTTTATCGTAAAAAACAAAAATATTATTAATAAATTAATTTATGTATATAACTAAACCCTTAAAAACAATTAGTGGTAACATTAGCTTAATCAAACGTCGACTAATCAAGTGACTTGAAATCTTTCATCTTTCGAACTAGCTTAAGCGATGAGAAAACTAATGCTATTATAACAACCTGTGAGATAAAATGTAAAATTAAAAAAAAAATAACAATTTAAAAAATGACTTTAAAAAATTAAAAAAATTTTATATTAAAATGGAAAAGTACATGAAATGGTAATTAAAAAATTGAAGTGCAAAATGTTGATTTGTTTTATCTTTTTTATGAAAAATAGCAAATTAAGTTAAACCTTTTTGTTTGAATCTTTCTTAAAAAAAAAACTCTATAATATTAAGTGTATGTGTTGTGGAATGTAGTTTTATGACTAATTAATGTATTTGAAGTAGTTTAATGACTGATGAATGTGATTTTTTTTTTATTGATAAATGTTTTTTGAAAACACTTAGTATAATAAAGCAACAGCAGCAGCAACAATAGCAGCACCACCATAGATGTTAGTGTTAGCAACGACACCAGCGTTACCTGATGAAGCACCACCGGTTGAGTTTTTACCACCAGCACCACCAGCAGTACCGTTACCAGCACCACCGGCACCACCAGTTGAGTTTTTACCAGCACCGGCAGCACCACCGGTTGAGTTTGAGACAGCACCAGCACCACCAGTGGTGTTGTGGAATTTAGCTGAGATTGATCCAACTAAGGCTAATGAAGCAATGATTGATGAGAATTGCATTTTTGATTATATTTGTATTGATTAAATAAGTAGTTGAAAGTTCTTAACTAAAGTAATAAAGAAGAAAGAAAGAATTATAAAAATTTAAAGTTAAAATAATGGAATTTCAACTTATTTATATATTTAAATTTCAATTTTATTACTAACCAGAAATTTTAATTTTAAAAATGGCAAATTGTTTGAAACTACATAAAAAAAATTTCCGCAAAGATAAAAAAAGAAACAACTTTAAGTAGATGACACAAAATCTCATCGCACTTAAAAAAAAAAAAAAGAATTTATAAAAATAGAACGTGAATATTTAATTTAAAATTATATCATTAGGTTTTAAGAAAGAATGCATTTTTCACCTGATTTTTTTTTGTATGAGTAAATGACTTTAAACTATGTAGGTACAGTTGTTTCGTTACATAGTTATCTAGAAATTACTAGAATTAATTAATTAATTAAAACACGAAATTAAAGAAAATTGAAAAAAAAAAAATGTGTTAAAGGGCTTAGATGATGAAACGTGATTTTTTATTGGTGGTATACTTCCTAATCAAGTTAATTTATTACCCACCATATACCATACTCGTTATACTTTATTTAACATTTAATTTTCTTCATATCATTATTGCCTTAGGCTTTTTAAGCTTTGATCTCGAATTGATTTTTTGTTTTATTGGGGGTTTAATTCGAAAAATAAATCTCACCTGTGTTTAAGATCGCCTTAAGGCTATGTTGGATTTCATCCTTGATGGTAACATTTTTCTCATGGATAAAAATCAGTCTAAAGTAAAGTTATTGATCGACCTAGCCCATGTGTTCTTTCTCTCTATTATTCAATTTTATTTCACATTTAATTAATATTAAATTTTGCGAATAGAAATTTTCAAATACTAGTTAGAGACTGCATATAAACACAATAGTGTCTTTGGGTTAAAACAAAATCATGGTAAGAAAGTATTTGTTAAGGTTACCATATTTCAAACGATTTCTAACCTCATGGAAGTGATTTAAACAAAAGTTTTTCAACATATACACAGTTTGCTATATCTTCTATTACTACCAAGACCTTAGCTCAAATATTTGCTTGTTGCATTTCTTAATTTTGCAACCATAAAAAAATAGAAACTTTTTTTTTTCAGTTAGTTTCGGATAAATTTTATTTTTTTTTTAATTTGTAAGATTTTGTGTTAAATTAAAATTTAAAAGAGGAAAAATTTATTAATAGAATAAAAATTCGAGACATTTTATTAGTGGTATGAGTTAATACACAGTTTTGAAATTATAGGTTAACCCAACTATTTTTGAATAGAATAATCACTATTATGGAATTAAGTTTCAGAGTGAATAATAATAGCAATCTTTTCGTGTTTTATTTTATACAGCCCTACAATAACTTATTATTGACGAAATAAGGTTTTTTAAGGCACCAACAATAATTTTTTTTTTTTTTTTTCAAGATGTATCTCAAGACAATTGAATTATAATAATTTATGACTAACATCTCTTGTTATTCTGACAAATAACAAAACATTGGGATTTGGACTAACTTAACAGAGTAGAAAAGGTGGTATGGCTCAAACAGCACCAAACCCTGGTTAATCACTTTTCTTCCCCACTGATTAATCATAAAATACATACACCCCCAGAAAGAGTCATATATTGTTTACATGACATATACTACAAAATCATTTATACGTTTCTTTTCTTTTTATAATAATTTTTTTTTAATTAATTGCATAATCAATTACAAAATTATAATAACGATAAGATCTAAATTTTAATACGGTAAAGATTTAAAGTTCAGATAACCACACTATTAGTCCAAAACTTTTCTTAGTGAAACCTGCTTTAAAAGTGAAAATTCTGTCAAGGTCATTTTTATACAATTTTTGATCACACTACTTTTCAATTTCACAGCAATCAATTGACTAAATAATATTGAGTTATGAGATTCTTGAAGTAACCATTGAATAAAATTTGAGTGGACCATTCATAATTTTTAAGCCCACATGTTTACTTATTTGTTAATAGTGAAACATTACTTACTATCAAATATGTTTTTAGTCTAAAACATGAAATTAAATTAGTAGGCTATGTTATTATGACAATAAAAAAATTTAGTATTATTTGGGGGTGTATATAATACTCAATATGAAATGAAAGCAAAAATGTCGTTCTCATAAAGTTGAAATTTAATCACCAAGAAAAGTCAAATTCGTTCCATTTCAAGCAATACTTTCTACCACAATATTGCACTTGTAAGTTTTAATTAGCCTTACCAAGTAAATAAAAACCTTATCTATGGCTCTAGGCTGGGCTTTTAAGATTCGTAATCTAGAATTGTTCCGTCCAGGCGTTTGATGTATTGTGAGCTTGGCACAAAACAGTGGAATAATTTGAAGGAAGACGAACTTTCAACTGAGGCTCAACACCGACTATAAAATTCAACGTATCAAATATAGCGGTCGGATCGAGACAACAATTGCGATAGAAAAGGAAGCAGTCTCGCGGCACCCAGTGCAAGCAATCAAGCGAGCAAATGAATTTTCTACATTGAGCTACAAATAGACATTGACGACAAAATTAAATGTAAGAAGTATTAAAACTCCAAGTTTTTACACAAAAGTAACTAATTTATTTCCAACTAAGGCGGTTTTAATTCTATTTTTAGAAGACTATAAATTTCAAAGATGAACCAAAACGTCGAAACTAAAAAAACTGTGAAACTTGTAATAATTAATTTTCATAAGACGCGTCGAAGGGATACCAGTAGATATCAATGAAACAAGAAATGATTATTGTCAATAGTGAAATAGACGTGTAATCAAATATTTTTCACTTGAACAAATTTTAAACTGACTCTATTTTCGATGAAAGAAGAAATAAATCGAAGACGTCAGGAGTTTATTGAGTTGAATCAACTTGATCTCGTCTTTTTGCAAATAAATTGTTTATATTTCTTAAGATCGTCTGACTTGATCTCAATGAGCCCAAATGCTCGGGATTAATGCAATCAGATAAGCTTTCTTCTTTTTTATCATAAATTTTGATAAATTTGATTGTCAAATTTGATCTGCGATCAGTAAAAAACGTAGACGCGTTTTAATGTATCAAATCAATTTTTTGTTGATTATAGTTCGCACGTGCAAATCAATTGATTCAATTAGATTTGAACGTTTGTCAAGACGTCAAGTTTATCAAACTTTTGAACGGCTGTTGTTTTCGTTTCATAGAATTCTCGACTAGGAAAGTGACATTTGATTGTAGAGTTGGAATATGAACAGGTACATTCCCTAATTTCATGAGATTTTTTGTTTCATCACGAGCTATGGAACAAATGACTTGATTATCTAAATTGTTGATTGTATTATATCAGGCAAAGTTGATTAAAAGGCAATCAATTTGGGCCAAAAACAATTCTTATTAACATCTAATTGTATTAAATTTTTTTTTTTCTCTCAAAGCCTAATGTTTCATCTCGTATTTTATTTTGCAGCCAAAATCATTTTTTTCAGATCTCAGTTTTAGATTCAATTAGGGAATGAGGAAACTCTAGTCAATCGCATAACATAAAAAATGGAAAAGATAATACTACAACAACTAATAATAACAGTTTTTAAACAGGAATAAGAAAACACATCATTCACTTGCTTTTTAATTAAAAAAATTTAAACTTAAAAGAATAACGTAGCCAAATTTAAATCAAAATCTCTTGTAATCTTTATTTCTTATAATTTGAAATCATCAATTCTTAATTTCATTGCAAAGTTGGCATTATAATTTAAAGTATTTTAACCTTAGAAATGACCAATGCAAAAGTTAAAGTCAAAAAGTTTTTAGATAAATTCATTCAACCTCAATATAATTACAAAATCAATCAATCTGATCCAAATTTTAACCCTTATGATGATAGTTCAAGATTAAATTCATTAAAAAGTTATGGTCAGATATATAATCAAAGCGATTTAGAGGAAATACCTTCATTATCGTATAGTTCCTTTTCAAATTTTGCTAAAGGTGAACCAACAAGAACTACTCAAGATATGACTTCAATAAAACCAAGTTCAATTGTAGAACCTTCAAGTCCTCATTCTGACTTAAGTTCTGTTGAAGAAGTCATCAACTATAATAGTTATTTTGAAACTAATGAACATAATGCATCACCGAAACCAAATTATCCGAATAATCGTAAAAATAATGATAGAGCACATAGTGTGAAACGAAATATTATAAATAATTCATTCGCGGAATTTTTAAATAATTTGAGTACTACATCATCAATCAATTCAAGTTTGAAAAATACAACAAACAATAGAGAACTACCTAATGATGATGATACCAATTATGACAATGACATACTTGATAAGAGGTTGGATTTGAGTGTTGATGAAGAAGAAGAAGATTTTTCATCCGCTATAAAAGTTGATAAATTTAGATTTTCAACTAGAGGTACATTATTAAATTATAAACGTGGTAAATGTCATCCTAACAGTGGATCTGATAGTAGTGGTTCAACTGGTAAAAATTATAAAAATGGTGTTGGACAATTTTCAAAAAGTTATAGGAAAAGAAGAACAACAAGACGTAGACTGGAGAATATAAAATTTAATTCAAGTGAGTTTCATTTTACTGAAGAAGAAGAGTTTAGTAAAAATGGCCATGATTATGATTTAGGTGATAATGCCTCGTTGGTATCAATAACAACAACTGCCACCGTTGCAACTACAACCACCACTACTACCACAACAACAACTGCAAATGCCAATGTTTATCGATTTACGAATATGACTTCTGCTTTGTCATCAACTTCAGTATTTGAATCAACAAATACAGCAATGGGAGCTCCAGGTTCCCCTATATTACCACTTGATGATTTATCTTTAACCAATAAAACTACGACACATACAAGAAAGACAAGATCTTATCAAAGGACGACAACTAAAAAGAAACGAAAACTGACTTCTAAAATACAACTGTCATCATCCAACAAAAGGAATGGACACATTAATAGACGCAACCACATTTCACCAAATACTAAAACTAATCAACCAACTTTTTCAAAACAAGGTACTTCAACACATGCATATAGAGATATTGAACGTATATTTGTTCAAAAGGATGGACTGAATCTAGGACATGAAGTTGAATCTGAATCCACCACAGAAGATTCTTTGGTTCAACATCATCAAGTTGAACTTGGGATAAAAACACTGAGTTGTGTTATCAAGGATTCACCCATGACTGCAAGTTTTAGTTCACATGCTTCAATAAAGGATAACGAAAGTAATTTTACTACTGATCATGATCATTATGATCTTAATTATTTTTTAAATCATTTAAGTTTTGATAGTGATGATAATCGAAAAAGTAGTCAATCAGATCAAGAAGATGCAAGACTGGAGAACGAGACGATACAGGAGATCCCACATAGCGGAGATACAAGAAATGGATATTTGACTGAGGTTCAAGATTCAGCTGCTCTTGCAACCTCCCATAACGATGAACAGAAATGGTTTGTAAATGTGAAATATAAATTTCACAACTACTATAGTAAAAAATTCAAAAAAATCAAATTGCATAAACGTAATTCAGAAAATAATAAACCAACTGAGACTACAAATAAAGATACAAAAGTTACTCCAGTGAGTCTACATTCAAATGATGCAACTTCAAATGAGTCTAGAGAAACAAGAAACTCCGATGCAACAATAAAGTTAAACAATTCAAAATCTCAAAAAGAAACTGCAAAGACATTGTTTAAGCAACCTTCTGGTTCACAAAACATGCAACCCTTGTTTTATCTGCTTGAAAATAAACAATCACTGAATTTAAATTTAATGCAAAAGAGCAAACTGTTGCCAGATCTTCCAAAAAGTAGTTACAAAGGAACTGAGTTGTATTATGAAAATTATTTTAAAAAGGATGAATTCAAATTGTCAAATGGTCAGAAACATAGTAGAGAGATTAAAGAGGCAAAAGAAGAGTTGTTGATTACAGCAGAAAGCACTAAAATTAAAGGTGAGGATTTGACTGGAGCGATATATTATATTCAAAATGAACAGAAGGCTGATGTTATAAAACAAATGACATTTTTAAATGGATCACAACAAAATTTGGTAACCATGACTAATCCTTCTTTCAAAAATTATCGATCACAACGACAACCATTACGCGATAATAAATTTAGTAAATTACAAACATTACAAAATTTGAAACAAATTAATAACCATTCATTCTATAAGAATAGACACAATGCCAATGGATCAAATTTAATTTATCGAATTATTGGGAATGAATTTGAAAAAGTTGGAAATTGTCAGCATGAGTCCCCTACAATACCAAAAATAGTGGAGCTGGAAAAACCATCGAGTTGTAGTGAGAGTCTTCATGAGTACAGTCCAAATGATGGTGATGATGAACAAAGTTTCAATGAAATTGAATCAAGAGTCAGCATATAACATAATCTCGTTCTTGTATTTATTTACTTAATAAAAAATCTCTTACTTTATCTAATGCTCTAAATCTATGACTTATTGTGTTTTTCACACTTTTGTCCATTTCGGCATAAGTTTCTTTAAAACCTTTTGGTTGAAAAATTGAATCCCATCCAAAATTAGTTGGACCTCTACTATCTACTATATCTCCTTCTGTTCTACCTTGAAACACCAAAACTTCTTTTCCAGGACCTTCACAATATCCAAATGTACATATTGCATTTGCACTTTTATCTTCAAAACCTTGTAACATTTTAACTAATCCTGTTAATCCAATGGATCTCACAAACCATTTTATATAAGGACCAGGTAAATCATTATATGCGTTAAATCCTAAACATGTATCTTCAACTAGTACTGGCCCACCTATTACTTTTGCAGCAGATTCTGCTTTATGTTTAGTTACTTCTTCTATAGTTCCTTGAATTTCATCAAGATCAATTGATTTATTAGTTATTGTAAATTTCCCAACTTTATTTTCATTTGATGGTGAAGTTGATAAAATCGCTATTACTTCTTTTAATTTATTAGCATTTCCCGTAACAAATGTGATTGTATCTAGTGATGACATTGTCTGATTTGTGATTCTCAGATCTATGTTTTTTCTTACGTTTTTGGATGTGTCTTAAAATTTAAGAGATGAAACAATAATTGATAACGAAAGTAAAAACAGGAAAGACTACATATGAAACATGGACACTTCGTACTCGAAGACTACGTTGAAGCTTATTAAAATTATTTATATGTACAAATTCATGAACACTCTATCTCCTAAACTAGTGTTGTCTATTTACCCAATCTTTTCCTCAAAGCACGTTGAGCTTTTCTTCTTTTCTTATGTTTATGTTTTTTCATCTTCAACCTTCTTTTTCGTAATACTGAATCAGTATATATAGTATTATCGATTATTTCACCATCTTCTCCAATAACTTCGAATCTAACAGCATCAATATCTTTCGAATTCTCTTCGTTTCCTATTATTTCTACGTTTATTTGGATTGGTATTGATAAATCATTGGTATTAATCTGTGGTAACCTTCCCAAGGATGATGGTGTGAATTGAGATGTTGATAATATGGTTGGTGGTTGTATTGTCGATGATAAATTTAACGGTGGAATGGAAGATAGTATTGGTGATCCTTGAGGAATATATGATGACGCATTTCTCAAAAATACGGGTCTATTAACATTTCTGAATGGCGAGAGCCTCGTTAGTTGTTTAAACATGGTCTGACGTTAAACTGACTGGTTCACAAGTGATCTGAAAAATTTGTGAAAAATAATACACACAAAAAATAGTCTAAGCTACCAATTAGACCCATGATAGCGACGCACGATAAAAATGGGTCGGTTGCAAAAAATGTCTAATCTATTTCTCTATAACGTCTATAAAAATACACTTCTATAAATCCACCTCTATATTGATCACAATTGGATCAGAACAAATTACTATGAATCCATCTTCACCACTGACTCTATTGGAAGAACTAACATTACCTGTCATGTTACTAATCCAATTCTTAACATCATATTTTAACCCGTCTGTTGATAGTAAAATTGATCGATCACTTAAGGGAAGTAAACCGCAAGTCGGTATTGCATTTGTTGGCTTAAAAAATACTGATCTTGAAGGATAACTTACATAATTTGTTCCTTTATATAGCAAAAAAATGATATCGGACTCAGTTATGAAAAATATTTGTAAGTTTGGTTCGTTTTGATGTAAGATGTATAATTGATTGATGGATTGAACAGTTTGGTCAAATCTACCTCCAATTGCTGATAAAACGTAGACCCTAATTTCAATATCACTCTTTGCATGGTATTCTTTCTCCCATATTTCATCCAATCCACAGTCATCATTGACATAGGGCCAATTCGTGTTCTCTTGTTTTAACAAGTAATGCAATTGAATACATTTTACAGCCTTTTGAAAATCTGTACTATATTGAGTTCTTTGAGGTATTATTTTTGTGCCTTTCTTTTCATAATAATCTTTAACTTCTTCAGATATTGAATCAAAATCTCCAACTATATAGTTAGGAATATATTTTGATCTCAATTGTTCATCTTTAAAATAGTTATATAATCGATTTGCTCCTCCATCCGCACAAACTACTAATTCACAATGATTCCAAATACTATTTAGGTCAATTGTAAACTTTTGGTTCAAAATAAGCAAAACATTTTTAGATACTGATTGTTTAGTTGTTGAAGTTAAATATGAAAATGGTTTTATGGTATGATATAGTGATGAATTCGATGGTGGGTCAACCTTTATAGAATCCGGTCTCTCTGTGACTTCTTCTTTAAGCTTTGTTTCTTTGGACATGATTAAATAAAACTATCAAAAGATTAGATTCTTTACACAAAATAATTTGAATCAAAATTCCAAACATTAAAACCTCAACTTGAATATTTAGAGTTTCCTTAATAAAACATATTCATATCATATCACACCTACCTATTTTCGTCAAATGAGTGCACAAGCTCTGACGGCTGATACTGCACCTGGACTGCAATCATCTTCTAATGCATTTCCCTCCTCACAACAATCACAACAATCACAACAACCATCTATAGAGAAAAAGGAAATAGTACCAAGAGATGTCCGATTACTTCATTTGATATTTGCTACTCAAGGTATTCAAAATTATCAAGATCATGTACCGTTACAATTGATGGATTTTGCTCATAGGTATACAAAATCTATCTTGAAAGATGCCTTAATATATAATGATCATGCAAAACCTGCCACTAACAATAATATCAATTCAAATACAAATACAACAGTTAATACAGATGACATAAGGTTGGCCATAGCTGCAAGAAGTAATTATCAATTTAAACCTGTACCCCCAAAAGAGTTATTGCTAGAACTAGCTCAAGAAAGAAATTCAAAACCTTTACCACCAGTAATACCGAAGTGGGGATTAAATTTACCTCCTGAAAAATATTGTCTAACTGCAAAAGATTGGGATAGCATATATGATGAACCAGATATTAATGAGAAAGAAGAAATAACTGATCAACAACAAAAGAAGAAATCGAAAACTAAATAGATATTTCTTGTAATATATATATGCAGAATTGCAGATCTTTAGCCTCTATTTATCACTGCTCGAGAGTCGTAACGTTTTCATATAATTTATATTTTCCTTATACTTCATGGCTATGAAATTGTTTTGAAAAATATTGGAATACAAAATCAACAACGCAACAGAAAAAATTAAGTATTTCAACAGATTAACAAAACTCACATTCAACTTCAGAGCCAATTCAACAAGTCCAAATCAGAGATAGTCAAATTCAATGCTACCTCCATCATTAGGATCAATTCCAGAAGTAAAGGAAGATTATCCAGGGGCAAGTTTGATCGAGAGAACTGCGAGATTACAACAATTCATTGAATTAGGACCACCAGATTTATGTAATATATATAAACATTCAATAAATTCCAAAAGAGAAAATGGTGAAATTGGTACTTTCTTATATTTTACAGGAGTTGATACATCTTCCATTGCTTCTATAGCGGCTCATCTACAAAGTTTAGCCAATTTAATGACCTCAAAATCTCAATACTGGTTTGGTGAAAAGAAACATTGGAAAGTACCTCAATTAACTTATTGTACTTTTAATTCATTTAGTAAAACTGATATGAGAGTTACTGTACATATTCCAGGGAAATTTGAAATTCAAATTATTAATCAAGATGGAAAAACGATTCAAGACAAATTGACTGAAGAACAATTGGATAAATTATGGACCGAAACTTTTATCACTTCTATCGTAAGAGCAGTATTAGAAAGTGAAGATGGTGATGATGTGAACAAAGTTGGAGGGGTTGTTGAAATAAGAAAAATTAATCCATTCAATAATGGGATTGTTTCCAAAGAATTATTAAATAATTTTTTAATTGGGTTCGAGGATTTATTCTTTCAAGGTTCAAAATTAGGATGTAATGTTGATATCCCTCAACCAACTATTGTGAATAATTATCTTGTTGATGGTTTCTTGAAAGTAATTCAATTGACTCAATCATATGACAGAGGATTAGAAATATTAAATCGTTTATATAAAATTGATCCAAGCATTATTTCAATAATTGCACAATTACAATTACTCAAGCAGGATGAAATAGAAGCAGTCAAGACAATGTGCAAAGGAATACAAGACAACAAAAGAGACTCCAACCTTTTAATTTTACAAGCTGAATATTGTTTGGACAAAAAGAAACCAGAATTAGCATTGGAATTAGCTAAACAAGCTGTCAAGTCATCACCATCAGACTATTCAACTTGGTCTATCTTAGTGAAGTGTTATACGAAATTAGGTGACTTTGAAAATGCATTATTAACATTAAACTCATGTCCAATGAACTCACATAAAGAGAAGTATCAATTAAAAAGAGTAGTTCCTGTAAGATCTCACGATGATTTACATTTACCTTCACCAATGGATGTAACTTTGGATGAAGTATCAAATTTACAAAGTAATGATATAAGTTTCGAACATAGAAATTTAGATCCACAACTATCAAATTTACCAGCGGCTAATTTGAAAACAACATATGCAAAAGCATATGATTTATTAACTGAAATTGTTGCCAAAACAGGGTGGGAACAATTATTAAAATATCGTGCAAAAGTATTCGTAATGGAAGAAGAGTATAGGAAAGATAAGAAAACGGCAAATGGTCATTTAAGAAAAAATTCAACACAATCTTCTATAACTGTAAATAATTCATCTGTTGGGGAAAGCGATGTTGATTCAACAACAGCAGTTAAATCACCAACTCAAAGAAATCTTGAATCAGCTCCAGCAACTGCTGATTCGATATCACCAACAGATGGGGAAATAGATTACGATGACGAATTTAGAAAGAAAAGATTATGTGAAAGATGGTTAGATAATTTATTTATGTTGCTATATGAAGATTTAAGAGCTTTTACAATGTGGCAAGCTGAATCAGTACATTTTCAAGCTCAACAAATGGAGTATAAAAAAACCACATTAGAATGGGAAATTTTAGGATCTATTGCATACAGATTAAAGCATTTTAAAGAAGGTTCAGTAGCATTTGCAAATGCCTTGAGTGGTAGATTCTCAGCAAAATCTCAACGTGAAATGTTAAAATATTATTTGAAGGAAAAAAATAAATTATTGACTAAAAACACAACAACTTCATCCAATAGTGCAAATTTCATTCAAAATTACTCTAAATTAATGAATCAATTAAATGAAAAAATATTGGAAAGTATTGTGAAATTGCTAGTTTGGAATCATAGATGGTATCTGGACTTCTCACCGTTTTTACTATTAAGTTTAAGCGATTTAGTTGCTTGGGAAGGATCAGTAAAAATTGAAAGTTCTATAACTGCATTATATAATGAGGCAAAATTACCTGGATCTGGAAGTAAAGACTCTACGAGAGATAGTTCGAAAGACTCGAGTAAAGATGATCATTTTGTGAATCATGGTATAATATCGATGATGAAAGATTTTGATTCTGATTATATTAGGTTATATAATTTATCAAACGCCGATGAATAAAATAAGGAACACTATGATTTTTGAAATTCTTGTTCTTGAACTTGACTCTATGATAATTTGTGTACTTGCATTTGGTAGATTCTACGATACAGCATATTACATCACCATTTTACATCCGAAGTGCGAATGAAAGATTGAAATATCAAACGACTTTTAAAATTGTTATCTTCTCTTTTAATTTACGGAGATTGGAGTAAACTATAATCACAAACCTTACACCTTACATTCGTACAACATATAGAAAATGACGTCGCTTCCATCATCCGTAGCATTTGGGGAGGAAGAGTATGTTCAAGCAAATTACAGACAAAAACCTTTGACCTTAATGGTAAAATCTGGGGTTGCAAATATTTCAATGGCAACAATATACTGACTAGTTTAACATAGAGAACCAAATTTAATGGATAAGATGTGGGAGAAATCTAAACAACAACCATTAGTGCCCATCGGTTCAATATTGACTGCAGGAGCAGTTATACTAGCAGCCAGATCCATGAAAAGAGGTGAAAAATTAAAAACTCAAAAATATTTCAGGTATAGAATAGGGTTTCAAATGGCTACATTAATAGCTTTAGTAGTAGGAGGTATGACATTGGGAAGTACGGCTACTACATATGAGCAGAAAAAGACGAAGGAAGATAAATTAAGAGAAAAAGCTAAGCAGAGAGAGAAATTATGGATTGAAGAGTTGGAGAGAAGAGATGCCATTATACAAGCTAGAAAACAAAGAGTTGAAGAATCAAGAAAAGAATTGAGAGATTTGGCTAAACAGGGGTTTGATGAGGAAAAACATAAACTAGTTGAAAAATCAAAGTTACCAAATCAGAAAAAAGCTATATTTGAGAAAAATGATGAAGACAAATAATTCAATCAAGTTTTGATTCATCTATAATAGTATCTAAACAATGCACGAAGTTACGTAAAAATTCTAATGGTAATTCAATTTCTCTATAATATTTTGAAAGTATACACCAGGTGATGTGTTCGAGTCTTCAATCAACTCAAGTAAAATAAAGCTAGTAACGATAAAACTTACTTAGGTGAGTTTTTGATTATTCGACTTTGAAAATAACTCGACCTTTCTTCATTTGATAAATATGGGAAACTAGGCAATTTCTTGAAGTTTGAAGCTTTACTCAAGTGATTAGATATCATGAACAATCTATTTATAGACGGTTGTGGTGAATGTGACATTGTGACGTGTTATAATCCAGGTAAATTTGAGTAGCTGTAGTTGATTTTGAAAACAGACTGTGATTTTGGATTTGAAAATTATTTCACAATGATGTGTAATTTGTATGTGTTTCTCATATCTCGTGATCGGAGTTTTTTTTTTGCACCCAACTATTTATTAAGCGGTAAATATAATATATCAAAATATGAGCGATTAGTGAGAAGCGAATACAAACTTTTCTATAATGAGAGTCTAGATCACATTCTAGGTCTGTGTCTCAGCATCGATAGAGTTGAGTTAACAATCAGATTTAAATGGTTTACAGTCAGTATATTAAACGCACTGATATTGTTTATAGTTATAGTCAGTACATTAAATAAAAATGAACATCTATCACCTCCTTGACCCTGACTCAATGAATTTACATCTATTGGTCCAAGATAAACTTTTTAAACTCCGCGTAAGCTTTATCCAAATTATCATTAACTATTATTAAATCATGAGCACCAGTATTTGCATATTCCATTTCAGAATTAGCAGCAGCTAATCTTTTCTCCAAACTTTCTTTTGTTTCAGTACCTCTACCTTCTAATCTTTGTCTTAATTCTTCAATTGATGGAGGACTTATAAAAAGATATTTTGCATTTAAATCTGTATTTTTAACTGATTTTACACCTTGCATATCTATATCCAATAAACATATTTTCCCCGTATCTGAAACATCTTTAACTGCTTTTATAGTAGTACCATAATAATTACCTGAAAATTGAGCCCATTCAATAAATTTATTATTATTAATTAAATCTTTAAATTCATCAACAGTTACAAAATGATAATCTTTACCATTTGTTTCTCCTTCTCTTGGTTTTCTTGTTGTGTTTGATACAGAAAATCCGAATTTTCCTGGATATTCAGCAAATAATTTTTTCAATAATGTGGATTTACCTGTTCCTGATGGTCCTGAAATGACAATTGGTCTAGTTTTTGATGATGTTGTTGACATATTGTGGAAATTTGGTCTAAAAGAATGTGGTGAGTGTAGAGAAAATTGTCTTTTTGTAGACCTGAGAACTGAACTAAATAGGTTTGACAGTATTATGACAAGTTGAAATTCAATTGAATCTAAGAATCAAAATCATTTGGAAATTAAAATTTTTTTTTTAATTTTGTTTGTGTTTTTGTTTTTACATAATTTTTTTTTAGTCGTAAAATTATCTAAACACGGGTGAATATCCACACATTAAATAGACGTGTCTTTTCAGTTAAATAGCATCATTAAAAATCATTCAATGGTGATTAATTGACAACATCATCTTATTTTAAAATATTAAGGATCTTCATTTGATCAGTAGCGTAGAACTAGTTTTAAAACCGCAGACTTAATCTTCCACAAAATTACATTGATTTCTAAAATTCTGGTATGCCTCATATTAGCGCCTCATTTGTTCTAATATTTGCATTAAGATAAATCAAGATGGTAAACAATGAGCTCAAGCCAATTTCTTCAAACTTGCAAATACAGTTGAGAGGATAAATCTTCTCTGGTTGTTCGTACATTTGAGTTTCAAAAGTATAAATTTTGAACAAATTTTGCAGCCAATTTGATACATCTTTTTCTTGAGCTAATCAAGTCAAAACACATAGACTACACTACAAACATACACTTTTCCATATATTTAAATCATTCAATTATTTTAACCTATATAGTCCTAGTAACATTTTTTCTAGAATACCATCCAATAAAATCTTTTAAAGCACTTCTTATTCTACGATTATCTTTATTTTGTAAAGCAATACCAATAGTTTGAATTAATCTATCAGTTTCACCACTATGAATATTTGGTAAATTTATAACTATTTCATTTAACCATTTAATTGATAATTCATAATTTGGTGAAACTATAAGAATTTTTAAAATTAAATCATTTGCATCTTGTTGAATATCTATATGAAATTTGAAAATAAGTCCATTTATTATTGATTTTAATAATTCATAACCATGATCTTTTTGAACTAGAAATTCTTTTATTAAATTTTTTAAAGGTTCTGTATCTTTATCTTCAAATAAAGAAATTGGAGGATGTGGTAAACCCCATGAAATTAAATCAATATTGAAATGAATACATGAAATTATTGGGTTATATTCATCTAATTTTGTTAATGTAATTATAGTTGCTTCAAATACTGAATGAAGTAAATCCAAATTTGGAATTATTTCAAATGGATAAAACATTAATAAATCATTCATCATCCTATAAAAATCTTCTATAACATCTGGAATTTGCTTGACATTATTATTTGAATCTAAAGTTTTAAGTTGTTGGAAAAAAGTTTGACATTGCAATATTGAAAATTCTAATACAGCATTTGTAATTTCTTTTGAATTGATTTCTTCATCTCCATAAACTCTAATAACAACTCCTGAAACCCATAAATAACATCCAAATTGAGTTTGTTGATAACCATGATGTAAAATTTCAGCAAATTGTGGTAAAATTGAATTAAGATATGAACTAAATGATAACATTGCACTTTTCATTAATTTCATACATTTTTCACTAATTTTTATAGATGATGCTCTTTTATTTAATACTGATGTAATTAATGGCCATATTTTTTCAATAAATAATGTGGCAACTGGATAAGTTGGTTTTTCAAATTCATTTATTTTTAAAACATCTATGAAAACAGTTATGACTTCAATTTGATCTGATATTTTTAAGTTTAATTCTTCTGAATTATTATCTTCTTGATTAAATTTATTGATACTTTCAAGAGTTGGTTCCAAAAACATTTCTGAAGTTTTATATAAATTTTCTTCAGGAACTTTTGAAACAACATGAGCTAACCCATCAATTAATTCATAATTTGATTCCAAATCAATTTGATTTCTTACTTGACCATAAAGAACATATAATTGTTCAAGGTAATTCACTAATAATGATGAACAATCTTGACAAAAATACATCAATGCATGTGAAGTTGCCATCATTATATCATTATTATTATTTGCTACCTCAAACCCCTTTGTGATATAATTTAATTGTGGTTCTAAAAATTCTGGATGTTTAGATGTCCATTCTGTATACCTTCCCAAAACTAAAGTTGCTGCATATCGAACTTTTGGATGTTCTGGTAATTTCACCAAAAATGACATAATAGTGGGTAGTATAGTTTTTTCTTTAGTTGATACTTCTTTTGCCATTGTTCTCATTGAAAATAATGGAGCTTCCAAATATTGCCAATGACCAGAAGAATTAGATATAATGGATTGAATTTGTTCAAATGGTACTTGTAATGCCTTTGTTGCACCAACTACTGCACAACAATCTTTTAATACATCTCCCATTTCATATCTAAAATCTTTAAATTTATCTTCCTGTTCTTTATCTCCATTAAACAAATCGTTATCATTTGCAGCTATAGGATAAGTTAAATGTTTTATTATGACTGAAATTAATTGAAGATATACTTCCCCAAGTATATATCTAGCTTCTTCAAATTTAGGTAATACAATTAATTGTTTCAACAAATACCAAAATTGAAAAGTATATTTAACCACATCCAAATCTTCATCATATTTACAACAATTTAAAAGAATTTCAACTAATGGTTTAAAATGCTTTGGATTTTTCGCAATTAATGCATGCCATGATTCACCACATTCAACATATAATCTAGTTAATCCATCTACTTTTTCAGGATCCTCTAAATTTTCAGTATTTGATTGCATAAATGAATTTAGTTGTAATATTTGTTGATATAATGCATCTATTATTTCATAATTATCAATGTCTCTTGTTTCACGAATAATAGTTACAAGACACTCAATAGCTTTATCAAATGTAGCATCATTTGATAAACTTTGAAATATTAGTGATGTTAATGAGTGAACTGTCAATATTTGATCAACTGGACATTCAGTGATCCAACTATTTAATGCATCTAATATCGCTGAATTTAATTGTTGATCATTTTTTGTGTTCCCTTCTGCCAAATTTTTCAATACTCCAATTACTGTTTCAACTTGATCTGATATTAACTGTCTTGATCTTTCATTATATTCTTCATCAGTTAAATGACTCTTTTTCACATCTGAAATTTCTTCCGGTAGAATCTTTAAAAATTCTAAAAGTATTAGTATGGATTCATTAGTTGATAAATTTGATAAAATTTCATTGATTGCATCGTTCCAAGATAAATATTGTAATGCTAATTGTGATAATGCTATAGATAATTGAGTACGTATTAATTTATCTTGTGGTGAATTGTATAATTTAATTAATTGTAAAATGGAATTTTTCAAATCTGAATAATTTTCAGGTTGGATCTGTGATAACAAATCATAGATGACTTTTGATCTTAATGTTTGTGCTGCGAAAATTTGTAATTGTTGTTGATGTGAGTTATTATCTTCATTTTTATTTTGAAGTATTTGATGAGTTATATTCCATGCTTCATTTGATTTTTGAAATGTTTCCAAATAGTTAGTAGCACTTGCTTTCTCTTCTCTAGGAGCATTTGAGTACATAGTTGTCAAAGCATGATCCAACTGCTGTAGTGTTTGATCTTGTGATGACATGATGCAATTGATGGGTTAAGTATTTGGGAAATGATTTGGCAACCAAAGTTTAATTATTGATTTAAGTCGAATGAAAAATTATAAAATTGATCTTGAAAAATATTGGTGATAGTTGCACGACTACCTTAGTTTTCAAATTAAGAATCAACCATTAATCATATGAAACATGATCAAGACAAGTGAGTATCGGCATGAATGTTGAGCATAATCATTTCAAAACTGTACGAATTTTATCAGTATTATGTGTTGGTGTAATTGTGAAAAATAGGTATACAAAATTATTATCTAACGAAAGTCAATATGTTTAATCTTGCATATTTGTCCAGAGATAAGAAACAATATCAAATTTATTCTTCATCTAAAGAAAGTCGAGAAGCAGAACTTAGGACGGCAGATGAAAAGATTCGTACTATTCTTTTGTTCTCCATTTATCGCATTTTTGTTTGATACAAATAAATGTTTTTGATTATTAAAATTTCGTCATTAATATGAAACACAATAATATTATTGTAAACAGTCAATAAGATACATTCTGAAATAAAACATTGCTATAAAAGAAGAAATTAAACAAAAATACAAGTAAGTAAGATCAATTTCAAGGCGGCATCAATTGTTTGAGGGATGTTGATGCATGATTTATGGCGTAGCATTGATTCAGTCTTGTTATTATGCTAAATTACAACTTCTAAAATGCAATGCTAATACTGTAGGCTATTTATAAAATTTTTTTGGTATCTATCACAAATTGTTCGCGTTATACAGAACGCTAATTGCATGATTGCATAAATCTTGGTACAAAATTAATTCAATTTTGGTAACAAATCGCGCGAGTTTAAGACGAATCTACACAAAAAAACTCATTAAGTACTACCCAAACACAATCACCTTATGTATTTCATAGCTAAGTCTAAGGAAAAATAAATGTATTAATTTATCGTTATCTAAAGTTATGGCCAAGTAATTACCTCATTATAATTGTAAGTGTAGTTTATATTTGACTATTTTGCAAGCCGACTAATGAACGTTTTTGTATCTTGAGAACGAAATAATACTAAGAAATCTAAGCAATTTAGTTTATCAGTGCTAACGAGTCATAATTTAATCAAACTAGTTCCCTCTCACATCCTGAAGTTGGACTGATAAAGTATAGTTAGACCATGAATTATAGTCCTTAGGCTAAGTACTCTTCATTTGGTAATACTCTTACTTTATTAGGTTTTAGTGTAAGTTATTGTGTATCTATTATTACGTCGTGTTTTTAAGGTACACAAGAAATTACTAAACAAAAAACGTATCTTGGAGAATTTATCAATAAATTATTTTCAATGAATTATCAAGAAATATTTAGGATTAATTAAACTGAAGTTACAATGTTTGAGGCTGATTATATTCCTTATGGATCTAGATTTAATAATTCCGTAGTTCATAAAATTTAGTCTTAGTAAATATTGAATTTCTTTGTATAAGAATTTATTGATTTAGCTCTTGATTACTTATTTATAAGTAAATTCTTCGTCTATCAAAAATATGTACAACGTAAATATGCCACCCATCAAAATTTGATCGTCTAAATAACTTTTTGATTAGACTAAAGTACTCATTCATAATTAATTAAAGTTATATTAGATAGATAAACAAAAACAACAAACCATAACATATACTATTTATTGTATTGTACTGTACTATACTACTTTATAAATTAACGTGTCTCGTCTAATATATTTTTTACGTCAAATGGTTTAATTAGTACTTAATTAATTAGATCCAATAGATTTTGTGTAAGGTTTCACTACTCGATAAAAAGTTAAAAGTTGCAAAATCATAACAATATTAAAGAAAATCAAAACAAAGATAAGTAAACAAATGATTGAAAAAATTTGATTAATGAATTGAAAGTGCTCTCTTGAATTAATATATAAACTCATAAAATCCATCTAAATTTTCAAAACTTTTTTTAGTTCTTCTTTTTATTCATTAACAACTTCAATAAATTAATTCCAACTAATTAGTCATTCGCTTACAAAACAAATATATAAAAATGCAATTCTCAAACACTATTTTATTAACCATTGGTGCTGCTTTAATTAACGCTCAATCAACCGTCACTGTTGAATCAGAAACTTTAGTCACAATTACTTCATGTACTGGTCCAGAAGCTTCAACTGCTTGTCCAGCTATTGAATCATCATCAGTTATTGTTTCAAACTATTCAGTTCCAGCTAATGTTTCAACTTATGAAGGTGATTCAAATAAAGTTGCTGTTGGTGCTTTTGCTTTAGCTGCTGGTGCTTTATTAGCTTTATAAATTTAAATATCCAAATTTAACTTTTTGAAACTGGTTTTCTTTCAAATATTTTGGGGATTTTAAGAAATATAGCATTTATTCAATTTTTATTCGGTGAAATGTGTTATCATGAGAATTTCAATTTCACTGATCATTTGGTTTCGGTTTAAGTTAGATATAATTTTAATATTTATATAGGCGGCTTTTAATGGTTAATAAATTATTTAATGATTATATCGACATCGACATTGTAAGAACTTTTTTTTTCACATCTACAACACTTAGAGTATTCTTCTTATTCGAAAACAAACAAACCATAAACTTAAACTAAACTATATAAAAAATATATATGAAAAATATAAATAACGAAAATCAAACTTAACTTTTTGAAATTGAAAAAAATAAATATAATTGAGTAAAAATCATAATCTTGATAATCAATAATCAAATGAAATAAAAAATATAATAAATAATAAATGAAATAATCAAAACCAGTTTTTTTCTTTTTTTTTTAACTTTTTTTATTTTGGGTATATCCAACTTTACAATGTAATATAAAATTATAAATTATAATTTAATTGATAACAAATCAGTTATAAACATTAAGTTAAAATTAAAACGAACTAAAAGCAAAACCATAATTGAATTGAAATTGTATATAATTTTTTTTTTTGTTTTTTTTTTATTTTATTTTGAAACCACTTCAATCAACCCCTAAACATCTAATCTATGGACCTCCAGCAGGTGGAACCACTGGTGCTGGAACACCAACTTGAACATCAGCTGGAACTTTAGCAGCATCACCAACAGCTAAATGTTCTTGACTAACTTTTGAATTTTCATCCAAAACTTTTTTATCAACCTCTTTTGTTTGATCTTTTACATATTGTTCATGTTCATGAGGTCCTTTTTCATGATTTTCTTTAGCATGTTCTTCTTTATCATATTGTTCTTTTTCATATTGTTCTCTACCTGGTGAAGATTCATAACGATCTTTTTCATGATGATTTTTTTCATAATGTTCTTTATAATGACGTTCACCACCAATTAATTTATCTTTTTCATAAAAACTTTTTTCTTTTTCTTTTAAATGAGCATCTGTTTCATGTAATTCTTTACTCTTGTCAGATTTATCAATTTGAATGGCTTCATCTCTTTTATCATTACGTAAATCATGATCAAATTCTTCATAATAATCTTTATGATGCTCTTTAACTTTATCCTTAACATTATATTCATAAGATCCTTTTTGCCAACCTTCATCATCTTGATTTAGTTGTTCATGTTGATTAGTTTTATGCTTTTCATGACTTAAAGATTGATCATCTGCTTTATGATGAGCTTTTCTATCATGTGAAAATTCATCCTTTATATCTTCATAATTATCAGTTTTATATTTCTCATTTATATCTTTATGAGAATCTTCTTCTGCAATATTCGATTCAAATTTCTTGCCATGATCAATTTCATGTTTATGACTTCTTTCAAGTGATTGAGATTTATCAATTTTACCATGTTCATGATTATCTTTAACATGATCAAAATTTTCTTTATGATTTTCTTCATGATGATCTAATTTATGTTCATCATCAATTAATTCACAATCAATTTCATTACCTTGATGATTTTCAAGATGATTAGATTCATCCTTATATTCTTCACTTAAATCTTGTTCATAATGTTCAATTTTCTTTTTATGTGAATCTTCACTATACCTTTCAGTTTCATGTCTTTTATTTTTATGATCAAAATCATAAAAATAATCTTTATGAAGTTCTTTTTCTTTAGTTATTTCATCTAATTCATGAAAATCTTTTTCAAACTCAATATCATTCAATTCTTTTTCATGATGATCAATTATATGCTTTTCTTTATCAAATTGATGATCATCTTCTTTATAAATATCTTTCCCATGATGATTTTCAGAATCTTTATACTCTTCATGAACATATTTTTCATGATGTTCAGTATTATTTTTATGTAAATCTTCTTCATAATGTTTAATTTCATGTCTTTTTCTTCTATGTTCAATTTCATGGAAATAATCCAAATTCAAATCCTTTTCAATCTCAACATCATCCAATTCATGAAAATCTTTTTCATCTTTACTATCTGGAGTCTTATCCTTTTGGTGTAAATCTTTTTCATGGAAATCTTTACTTTTTTCATGAATCTTTTGTTGATTATGTTCCTTCTTATAAGCATTATCCTTTTCAAGAACATTCTTCTCATAACTATCTTTTTCATTGATATTATGATCTTTTTCAACCAAATCAAATTCATGATGTTCATCATTATCAGCTGCTAATTCATGATGTTCTTTTTCATGAGTATCTTTTTCATTCCTATGAGTTTCTTTTTCAAATTTATTCAATTCATGTCTTTTATCAAGTTTTTTGGATTTATTTTTCAAATGAAAGTCTTGATCATATTTATCTTTCTTCAATTCTCTATGATTGCTTTCATGATGTTCCTCTTGAGTATCACCTTGGCCATTAACCTCTTGGTGATGATCTTCTTGATGATGTTCTTTTTTAAACTCGTGTTTATCTTTTTCATGAACTTCATCATTTGTTTTCAAATGTTCATGACGATCCCTTTCGGCATCATAATATTGATTTTCACGGTTATCATCTTCAGATTCACCATCATGATGAGCTTTGTGACTTTCCTTTTCGATATCTTTATTAGCTGATTCATGTTGTTCAATTTCATGATTTAAAGTCCTATTGTGATATTTCACATAATGATGTTCTTCGTGACGAGATTTTTGACTTTCAAAACGATTAGTTTCATGAAGACCTTGTTTCAATGCATTTGTAGGAGTCAAAGGTTGAATTTTAGGATGTGGAGCAGGAAGTATTTTTGGTGGTTTACCGCCTTTATGAATTGGAGGTTCAGGAATGAAATATATACCATCGTATTGCAATTTATCAATAACTTGTTCAGATGTTAATGCTTTATTTCTAAGTAAACTTGGAATAACTTCTAAAACAAAGGTTGCTACCCCGTTACTAATTGAAGCATCATTCAAAGATAAATCACCAACATCAAGATTAAGACCATGTTCATCAATAGCTAAAAAAACATCATTCCAAGAAATTGTTTTCGAATTCAACAAATCAATAGCATTATTAATAAATGTTTTTCTAACAACTTCATCATTCAAGGATAATTCAATAATATCATTAATTGAACCAGATTTTTTCAATTTCAAAAATACTCTTAATAATAATTCTTCAGCAGATTCATTTTTGGGTAAAGCTTGGGCAAAAAAAATTTGATCGTAGTAACCATCATCTCTGTCATTGCTGACAAATCCGTCTACGTTGCTAGTCCTCGCTTCGACGGCATCTCTCTTCCCTTTACTATAAGTCTTGCTTGTTTTATCTTTGCTAAATGTTAAACCTTTTGAAGTGGTGGTAGTTTTTTTTTCTTTAGCACCATTTGATTTTTTACCATTATTCAAATCCTTTTCTGGTTTTGCCTCTTTTCCATTCGAGTATTTACCATCCCATTCTTCTTCTTCTTCTTCACAATCATCTTCGTCATCTTCTTCATATTCTTCTTCTTTGATGGATTTTCCTTTACCACCTTTACCACCTTTACCACCGTTACCACCTTTGCCTTTTTTGAATTTACCCAAAAGTTTCTTAACACCACCTAATTTTTTTTTCAACATTTCTTTTTTACCGCCTTTGTCACCACCTTTACCTTTGCCGGTATCTTCTTCGTCTTCATCATCCCAATCATCTTCATCTTCATCATCTTTACCTTTACCTTTTCCATTACCTTTGCCATTGCCTCCTTTGCCAAAATATTGACTATCAAGAGCAACATCAGTTTCTAAATCTCTTTTGCCCTTTTTTTTACCATTTTTACCTTGTTCAGCAGGTTGAGTTTCTTCTGGACAATCAGTTGTTTCGACAGGAGCTTCTGTTTCTTCACAATCTTCGATTTTAACAATAATTTTAGTGACAGTAGTAGCAGTTTCTACTGGAGCGACTTCAGCAGTTGGTTCAGCGGTAGCTTCAGCACCATTTTTAGCAGGAGCTTCGGTATTTTTGTTTTTGGAAAATTTTGATTTCAAGCTTCCCATTTTACCACCACCTAATTTACCTTTGGAGAATAATCCTTTTAATTTACCCTTCATTCCTGAGGTTTTACCATTTTTTGGTGCTTCAGTTTCAACAGGGGCTTCAGTTGGAGCAGCTTTTGTTGGTACAGGTTTTGGAGCAACAGTTGGTTTTGGTGCCGGTTTTTGAGTTGGTTTTGGAGCAGGTTTTTGAGTAGGTTTTGGAGCAGGTTTTGGAGCTGGTTCGGGTTCTTCCTCTGGACAGTCTTCTTCTGGTTCTGGAGCTACTTCTGGTTCCTCTTCTGGACAATCTTCTTCCGGTTCTTCAACTGGTGGTTTTGGAGCTGGTTTAGGCTTTACAGTTGGTTTAGGAGCTGGAGCTGTTTTAGGTTTTTCAGTAGGTTGAGGAGCTGGTTTAGGTTTTTCAGTTGGTTTAGCTTCTTCAGTTGGTTTAACTCCGTTTGCAGGTTTTGCAACTTCACCACCTTTAGCACCTTTTTTACCACCCATTAAGTTTTTCAATTTAGTTAAATCTCTCATTACTAAATGCACTTGTTCACGTTTTGAAACATTAAGGTGTTTACCATGATGATCTTTACCAAATTTGTGATCATGTTTGAGGTCAAGTTCCCATTCTTCACAATCTTCATCATCATGATGATGTTCATGATGACCATGAGATTTTTCTCCATCGTGGTGTGGACGTTCTTTAAAATCATGATGACCTTTACCATCGTGATGACCTTTACCATCGTGATGACCTTTACCATCGTGATGACCTTTACCATCGTGATGACCTTTACCATCGTGATGACCTTTACCATCGTGATGACCTTTACCATCGTGATGACCTTTACCATCATGATGACCTTTACCATCATGATGACCTTTACCATCGTGATGACCTTTATGATATTCTTCATCATCACAATCTTCAATTGGAAGTTCAGTTTCAACTGGAACTTTTGTTTCAATTGAAGATACTTCTTTACTTGAAGTTTTTGATTCGATTGGAGTTTCAGTTTCAGTTGGAATTTGTTTTTTAGTTGAAGTCTTTTTTTCAATTGAACTTGTGGTTTCTTCTTCAACTGGTTCTTCAGTTTCAGTTGGAGCTATTGATTTACTTGAGGTTTTTGATTCAACTGGAGTTTCAGTCTTTATTGGCTTTTCCTTTTTAGTTGAGGTTTTTGATTCAATTGGAGTCTCAGTCTCAGTCTCAGTCTCAGTTGGAATTTCTTTACTACTTGAAGTTTTTGATTCAATTGGAGTTTTTGTTTTGGTTGGAGTTTCTAATGAAGTTGAAGTTTCTTCTTCAATTGATGTTTCTTTACTTTTGTGATGTTCATGGTGGTCTTTATGATAATCTTTACCATCTTCATGATGATGTTTTCCATGATGATCCTTGAAATCATGATGAACTTTACCATGTTTTGAACCACCGTGACTTGAAGGTCTTCTATCTTGATCAAATTTTAATTCACCTCTTTTAGTTAAATTTTTGGAATCACGATATTTTTTATCATAACTTGAATTTTTTCCATCTTTAAAGTCCCCATCTTGTTCATCATAACAATCTTCATCATCATAATCATATTTGTCATCATATTTACCATCATATTTACCATCATAATCTTTACCATAATTGAATTTTGGATCATAGTTTTTACCTGGGTAATAATTTTTATCATAACCTGGATAATATTCTTTACCTGGATAATAAATTTTTTCTTTATTCCAATTTGGATTTGGTTTATAGTTTGGCGGATAAGGTTTATAATTTTTATCATACTTATAATTAGGATTATAATTTGGATTATAATTTGGATCATAATTTGGGTTATAGTTTGGATTATAATTTGGATTATAGTTTGGATTATAGTTTGGATTATAGTTTGGATTATAATTTGGATCATAGTTTGGGTTATAATTTTTATTCCAAGTTTTTTTAGAACCTTTCTTGTAATCTTCTTCATCGTCACAATCATCATCCTCATCATCTTTAGTGCTCTTATCTTTACCTTTACCCTTACCTTTATCCTTATCACCTTTTTTAAACATACCTTTCAATTTATCTAAACCAATTAAATTATTCAAATCTTGCTCTTCTGGAGTAGCTTTTGGGGCAGATTCTTCAGGAGTAATATCTTCTCTTTTAAATTGATGACGTGATCTTGGAATGTTTTGAACGACAGCATTATCTTTTAATTGATTTTTAGCATCAATTGCGACTTGACCATGTTCATTACTTTTAACAACAGCAGATTCAGCTCCACCTTCTTTTATTTGTTTAATTTTATCCAACATAAGTAAAATATCCTTTAAAATTTTAATCTTTTCCATAGTTAATTCTTTACCAATTGACAATAATTGCCAAAACATTTCACCAAATCCACCTTTCATTGGTTTAAATTCAGCATTAAAAGTTGGATCTTCTTCAACTGGAGTTGCAACAACAGTAACAGTTTCCAAAGGATCTTCATCATCACTATCTTCAAAACCAAATTTAGAATTGAACTTTTGATTCATTGAAATTTCAGCATTTTGTTGTTCAACTGACCATTGTTCTTGTTCACCATTGGCTTTGGATTTAATAAATGGTAATTTTAAAGTAAAAGACTTATGATGAAATAATTTTGAATTTTTATCATCATCATTATGATGGTTGTTGATTGCTAATGAATTAGCAACCGTAGCAACAAGTAATAAATCAGTAAACCTCATTTCCTTTTGGTTATTAGTTGTTACCTAACTTCAAACTTGATTGAGGAATTAACCATTACATGAAAAGAATTGGGATAGTTTCATCTTTATATATTTGGTTGATCCAACCCCACTTATCATCATCGAACTTCCTTAATCAATGAGTACTAATCAAGTGCAAGAAATTTGACAGTTTTCAAGTATTTCATGTTGGAAAGTTACCATAATTTTCATCTTCAACTTTCTTTGTTTTATGGATGGGAAGTTAAAAGAGTATAAATCTCAAACCCCAATGTTGGAGCTCGTAAATATTTCATTTTTGTGTCACTGGACTTTGGGTTTGAGGAAATTTATAAAGTAGTTTAAGAGAGTGAAAAACTTGAAATTAAGTTAATATTACATTAGTGACTATTAGACAAAAGTATTAAAACATCGTTTAGTAAAATGATTAAGCAACGTGCGTAGTGACTTTATTAAAAAGAAGCAACAAGTCTTTTACTAACTTCCAGAAATCAATTCATAGTCTTGATTAATATTTCTAAGTCTTGTTCTTCCTCTATTTTTAAATACTGAGCTGAAATTCCAATTCTTGGTTTTTCTTCTTAATGCATTAAATTCTTTCAAATTTCCATTTTTTAAATCAAATTCAATTTTATTAGTAGTATTACCAATTTCCAAATCATCAAAAGTACTTAATTTCTCCATTTTTGGTGGTTTCCACCATTTTAATTGTAATGAACTTAAAACAACACTTATTGAACTTATCATCATTGCTATACTAGCAGCAACAGGTGGTAACATTAAATTAAAAGGTAAAAAACAACCCATTGCAAAAGGTAACATAAATAAATTATAAATAACAGCCCATATGAAATTTAATTTAATTCTAGCAAATGTTTTATTTGAAATTTTTAAAGCATTTATAACTCCATGTAAATCTGTTTGATTATGTTTTTTATTACCAATTAATACAATATCTGCACTTTCAATTGCAATATCTGTACCTGAACTTATAGCCATTCCAATATCTGCTTTAGCTAATGCTGGTGCATCATTTATACCATCTCCAATAAACGCAACATCTGCATTTGAACCATATTTTTCTTTTAATTGATTAATTACTTCATCTTTATGTATTGGTGATACTTCATAAAATATATTATTTTCACTTATTCCTACTTCTTTACCAATTTTTAAAGCAGAATTTTTGTTATCACCAGTAACCATTCCAACAATATAACCTTCAACATTTTTTAAGTAATCAATAACTTCATATGAACCTTCTTTTAAAGAGTCAGACAATTCAATATAACCTGAATACTTTTCGTCGATAATAACATAAACAACAGTATTGTTTGAATTGTTTGAATTAATTTCTGGTAAAATATTTTCAAATTTTTCATTAATCATTTTTATATTTCCAATACTGATGTTATAACGACTTGAATCAATAGTAACTGTAGCATCAATACCACATCCAATAAAAACATTCAATGATTCTATTATTGTATCAAAAGTATCTTCTTCAAAAGTTAAACCTAATTTATTTTTTGCAACTTTTGTTAAAGCTTTTCCAATAGGATGTTCTGAATTACATTCCACAGATCCAATCAATTTCCACCAAATTAATTCATTCAATTTTTGTTCTTCATTCAATATTGGAACATATTTGACTAATGACATTTCACCCGTAGTTAATGTACCAGTTTTATCAAATAACAAAATATTAATTGAGGTGGTTTTTTCCAAAATATCAGCACCCTTAATTAAAACTCCATTTAATGCACCAACACCTGTTCCAACCATTACAGCAGTTGGAGCAGCTAAACCTAATGCACAAGGACATGCAACAACTATAACTGATATTGCAATTTGTAAACAAACAAATAATTTTCCATTTTCACTTTTTCTAAATATCATTGGTAATCCATCAGGATGTATATTATAACAAATAAGTGACCAAATAATGAATGTTATAATTGATAATAACATTACAGCTGGTACAAATCTAGCAGCAATATAATCTGAAAATCTTTGAACAGGAGCTTTATTAACTTGTGAATCTTTAACTAAATTTATAATTTGATGTAATTGAGATTTTTTACCTGTTGTTGTAACTTTCATATGTATTAAATGAGGTCCGTTTATAGATCCTCCAATAACTGAATCTCCCTTTGTTTTATATACCGGTAATGGTTCACCTGTGATTAAACTTTCATCAATTTCGGATTCTCCAAATACTATTACTCCATCAGCTGGTACTTTACCACCTGGTAATACAATAGCAATATCATTTGGTTGAACCAAATCAATTGAGATATTTCTTGTTTTGAAATCTTGAGTGATCTTATCAGAAGTTTCAACATGTTTGTCAGAACCATAAATATTTGATTCATCAATGATTGTACATATTGAAGGAGTTAATGATAACAAACTGGATAATGCAGTGGATGTAGCACCTTTTGCTTTATTTTCTAATAATTTTCCAAATGATACAAAAGTAATCAACATAACCAAAGTATCAAATAATACTTTTGGTGGATTTTCAGTTCTTCCATTCCAAACACTTATAATAATTGAAGTTAAAGAAAAAATATAAGTTACCATTGTTGAAATACAAACTAAAACATCCATTGATGCACCTTTAAAATTTGTTCTTATAAATGATGCAAATTTTTTAATAAAATTATGACCTAAATGGAATTGGATATAAGTTGAAATAGTTAATTCAATCACTGTAACTAAATATAATCCTTTAAAAATCATTAATTTCTTAAAAAATTCTGTTTTTTCTGAATGAACTAAAATTATAACAGGTATACCAAGTAACAAACTTTGTAAGAAAATATTCTTCCAATACTGTATATCCTTGATTTTTGAAAGTAATTTTAATTGAGATGCTGAAGATTGATCTAATGAATTAAATACTAAAAATTCAATATTTTCATTTATATTATTAAGACCATCAACAACATCCCGTATTCCTACTTGATTGACATCATATGTGAACCTCATTTCGCTTTGTAAATCCTTTATGTCATTTTCATCTTCTACTATTGAATCTTGTGAGGGATCTGTCGCAAAAGTATTCAAAAGTTTTATATCATAATCTTTAATTCCTGGAAAACTTTTTATAAAAGCTTCTATGTTGTATCTCAAATCTTGTAGATCTAGATCTGAATCAATTCCAATTATTTTTAAATTAACTTCTTCGTAGTCAACTGTTTGCTCATTCTTATTAATGCTTTCATCCAGATTTATACTATTTACTCTTGTTACATCAAATCCACAATCTTCTATTACTTCTTTTAATTTTTCCGAAGTTATTGATGGGTTATGTTTAATAAGTGCTTCCTCTGTAATTAGTGATACGGAAACATAATCTACTCCTTCTAATTGTTGTATAGAATCCGTTATTGAACTAGAACAAGCTCCGCAAGTCATCCCTGATATTCCGATACTTGTCTGTAGTAATTTATTTGTAGTAGATTTTAAAATAGAATGAGGTAATTTATTAATTTGTGCATCAAAACCACAATCTTCAATACTTGAAATGATTTGATTAGTTGGATAATTTATTGAATGTGTTATTAATCCGTTTTCAGTTACTAAGGAAATAGATGCGTTTTCAATACCCGGTTGTGATTCTAAAGATTCAGTAATACTTGCAGAACATGCTCCACAAGTCATTCCTTGAATAGATACAGATGTTTGGATTGTTGGTATTGAGGAAGATATCATTTTAACATTTGAAATCCCAATTTGTTTAAGATCATCTAGTAGTTGTAATTCATTAAGATTGTTGTGTTGATTTGAATTTATTATCAAATTTTGATTATTAATTGAAAAAGTTACTAAGTCTTTATATTTTCCGGATATTAGATCTTTAATTTTTGTTACATTAGTTTGAGATCGATTTGGTATATTATATATGATATCATCTTGTATTGACATATGGTATTATTATAAGATAATTCGGTTTTCTTAATTGAAAAGATGATATTGAAGTAATTGAAATTAAAATAAAATTGAATTATTATATAAATGAAATATTCTTCGGTTATAAAAAAAAAAAAAAGAAGAATAAAAAAATAGAATTATAAAAATTAACATTTTGTGTAATAAGAATCAAATATGTGGTTGATGATATCAGATGATAAAACCTAACTATAAAATTGGGCTGATAAGTTATTCATTAGGGGTATCTACACGTTTGAGCTGACATAGAGCACTGAGACTTTAATTATCATGAGACTAGCACTCAACATAGTCTCATCTGATACTGATAATGATGGGTGAATAAAATTTATATTTATTATGTCAAATATATTACCAGTGTCTTATATACAGTATTTACTATGTAGTAGATGCAATTTTTATCTATTTGATCTAATAATAAATTTTAATTAAAGTTGCAGGAGTATTTGAATTATGATTGGTTTATTTTAATTTATTTAATTTATAACATCGGATAAGTTATAATTAGTAAAAGTTGATTGATTTAAATGATATCCTACTAACTTCAAAAATTTTATAGCAGACTGATTGATCGATAATTTCTAACCTGTGATAATTTGATTTTAGTGATAGTCAAGGTTTGAATTTTATTGACAGAATTATACATGTGTTTCGAATCAAATTTTAATTTCGTAACATATACCGAAATAGATGCATTCTTTATCAAAAAAAAAAAAATTTACACAGAAAAATTCGTACTTACAACTACTCTATACAATCTTTCAGTTCTCATGAAAAATCTGCCTCAATTTTTATGCTTGTTTCCATGATATTTATGAGATAAATGTTTATAAGCTTGTTTAGTATTTAAATCTTTACCTTCATCATCTTTATATTTTAATTCAACTTTAGGATTATATGAATCAAATTCATTAATTGATTTATTATTTTGATTAAATTTCTTTGATTTTTTGAACCTACCATTTCTTAATGACCTTTCTTCTTCTTCATCCATTGTTAATCCTTTATTTTTCAATCTCTCATCAAGTTTATTTTCATAATATTTATCTTTATCAACCTTTGATAAATTTTTATAGTTTTTATCTTTTAATAATTCTTCTTTTAGTATCCTTCCTTCTATATCAATTTTCAATTTCGTTAATTCGGATTTTTGACTTAATTTTTCCATTGTTTTTGAATTATTCAGTGCACTATCATTTACATTAGGATCAGATTGTGATTTTAAAAATTTCAAAGTATCTGCTAAACTTCCACCAAAATTAGGTTCATTTTGTTCTTCATCATTTGTAGGAGCAAAATATGTAGTAGTTGATATTGCAGAAACATTAGTTGTATGAGTATCATCTTGACTTTTAGGTATCTCCTTGTGATTATTATCTTGGTTTTTCGGTATTTCGGAAGGCTCATTCTTTTCGTTGATTTTGTCATCGTTATTATGTAGTATGTCCTTTACTTCTTCTCCAATTTGATTATCTAACACAGTTGTATCTAAATTATTTAAAAATCCAATTGTGTCGTCGTAAATATCATCAGTATAATAGTGTCGTTTGGTGTCACTCCCATTTAAGTTCAGTTCTTCGTTTAGCTTACCATGATCATTATTTAAACTGCTAGTATTTTCTTTCTTTTTAGGTTGCTTTCGCTGTTTTGTCGCTCTATTTACAGTTAATGATTGATGTAATTCATTTTCTAAATCTTCGAAATTCAAATCTATTTCTTCCAATTGATTTAACTCATCGGTTCTTATCCTGGATCTGGATTTGTTGTGATCTAGTGGTTTTTTCTTCTTGAACTTCTTAAATTTTATAGGTTCTGATTGTGAAGTGCTCGAACTTAATTTATTTTGCTTTTGGTCTTCGAACAAGTCAGTAAATACGGCGACATTATTCGGCTTTGATGCTTTATCATCATTGCCATTGTCATTATCTCTAATGTTTATTTTAGAATTCGTTATACTTGTAATGGGTTCCAACTTATTCTCCTCCTCTTCTTCATCTGAAATATATCTCCTTCCATTGAATTTTAACATGTCAGCTGCTTTCTTCTCCTTCAATCTCTTTTTAACTTTAGAAGCCTGATCTAATTTATCATTACTCAAAATATCATCATCATCTTCGTCTTCAAATATACTTGAGTCTTTCAAAGTTAAAATATCATTATCTTTCAACGTTTTCAATTCCTTCAAGTTATATTTGATAGCAGCATTTACTTGATTAGTATCATTGTGCTTCTTTGCTATGGTTTCTATTTTTTGCTTTTTAGATGATTGTTCCTCACCCAAACTATTCAACCAATCATCAGTATTCAATTCTTCCTCATCACTTTGTATTTCCATTAATTTTCTTTTATTTAATGTCACTTTAGCTTTCGAAATTCTTTTTGAAATTTCTTCTTCATTATGACTTGCAGACTTTAATCTATCCAGCGGAGTCACAGATCTGTGATTTTGAATAGGTATTGGTTTTAGACCTATGGACTCACGAAGTCTGTTAGTTTCTTCTATTGATAATTCAATTACATTCTCAGATGATGAAGCAGGTTGTTCTCGTCTTAAGTTTTCTTCCAGATTATTCGGTATGGGTTTCAATCCTAATTCAAGTCGTAGTTTATTGGTTTCCTCAAGGGATAATGATATTTCTTGAGACATTGTGGTTTATTCGTCTGAAATGATTTGATTGTTTGAACTCCTACAAAAAGAAAGTTATCTTATATTTATTGAATAAAATAGGAAATATGTGCGGCAAATTTTCTCCATAAGATATTACATAATACGAGTTTCTACATAATAAAAAATTCATTTGTTTACCTTTGAGAATCAACAGAATTACAAAACATTACCAATCAAGTAAAGTTAGGTCATCCAATGATTTTCAAATGAGTGGATTTGAAATAACGTCTCCTGTTAATTTAAAATCACCATCAATAATCACTCGTGATAATTTCAAATTTCAAATCAAACAAATTATTGGAACTTCTGCAAAAAGTAAACAACAAATTTCAATTCAAGATGATTTAATAGCATATACAGCAAGTGGAGGAGTAGTTGTTAATAAAATTAATAAACAAAATAATGAAGTTATAAGTCAACGATTTTTTTGTGCTAATAATAATATATCGAATAAGAATGATTTTGATGGAGTATCTTCAGCAAACGCGTATTTAGAAATGATTAAGGGAACTACAACAAGTTCAATTGATGAACCAAAACGAGATTTATTTGGATATGCTATAACTAATGAACCATTGGTAATTTATGGAAATTCATTTTCATCAAATGATGTACAAGATAATTCTCCTAATAATGCCTCATCTCCGTCTAAATTGAAAGATAAAGTAAGATCAATAAATTGTATTGCAATATCACCAAATAAAAAATTATTAGCAGTTGGAGAAATAGGTTATCAACCAAGAGTTTTGATTTTTTCATTAGCACCAGATTCTCAGGATAGTCCTATCATGGATATTTATGAACATTCTTTTGGGGTAGATAAAGTGGTATTTTCACCAGATGCTAAACATTTATGTTCCTTAGGTGTCATCAACGATGGCTGTATCAACATATGGAAATTAAACCTAAATAACATCATTTTACAAGCAAGTAACAGATGTTCAAATATCATTAATAAAATTATTTGGCATGAAAATTTAATAATCACAATAGGTTTAAGATTTATTAAAATTTGGAATTATGAAACTAATAATAGTACGAAACCAATTGTTTTAAAAGGTAGAAATGCTCATTTGGGAATTTTAATGAATTCAAATTTTATTGATATGAGTGTTTTAAATGATGATGAAATTTTAATAGTTACAAGTTCTAATCAATTACTTCTTTTGAAATTAAATTTTGATTCACCTAAATTAATAGGTTTGAAGAACCCAACAAAGGAATTTTGCTCAATATGTGTTGATTATTTGAACGAGTTAATATGGCTTGGAGGAATATATGATAAAGTTGTAAGTTCACAAATTAAAGATTTGACACCTATAGATTTAAATTCTACTAGTTTTCCACCACTCAATTCATCACCTTCAAAGTTACATCAAAAATTGAATGGATCATTTGAAACTTCTTGTCATGATGTTGATGCCTCGAAAAATCTGATTTTACAAATGTTTGACTTTGATAAAAACCATTTAATTCTACTCAACGAAAACGAAGAAATAAGGTTCTTTGACAAGAATGAGTTGAAAATGGACAATATATTGACAAATTCAATTATCAATAATATCGGTGGCATAAAAAAATGTTATAATGGTTTTTATCTCATTTTTTCAAAGGATGGATTAATCAAAAAATTGAACGACTCTTGTGAACTAGAGTCATTATTAGAATTTGTTATACCCGGTAATGAGGTTATTACCAATACTCTAACTGCAATCGAACACTTTGATAATTTTTTCGTATTGGGAGACAAATATGGGACCTTATATATAATTGAAAAACCAACAAAAGCTGAAGAAAAAACCGATACAAATGTGATATTTCAAATTAAAGCTCATACCTCCACTATCAATAGAATCACATATTTTAAATATCATGATAATGAGTTGATATGTACCGTATCAAGAGATCGGACCATACAAATTTTTACAAATAAACCTATTGGTTGGGATTTATTACAAACTATTCCTGTTCACAATGGGAACGTTTTTGAAATTCTAATTCATGAAAATCAATTAATTGCATGCTCAAGTGATAGAACTATATCAATCCATAATATCACAACTGAGCCTGAACTATCACTATCGACTTCAAAAATTATCACTTTGAAAACTACACCAGTTGCAATGATCATATCTGAAAATGAATTAATTGTGTCTACAATTGACAAACAATTAATAATTTATGATCTTAATTATGAAGTTAAACGATCTATGAAATTGAATAATGAACAATTGAATGAAAGCTTGTTAGTTGAGTTGATGGTTAGATATCAAAATCTAATAATTGTTTCTTGTGCAGATAAGTCTTTAAGGGCATTTGATTATGCTACTGGGAAACCAGTAGGTGTAACTTGGGGTCACCTGGAGTCTCTATTAGGATTATTCGTCAACGAGCAGAAGACTTTTATATCAATTGGTAACGATGGTTGTTTATTTTCATGGCTAATAATTGGATTAGATTCTGTTAGACCTCAATCAATTGAAAAAAATTCAATGGAAGAATATTATCAACCTTTGTATGCAAAAGTTGCAAGAAAGATTTTACCATCTGTTCCAATTAAATCAACCTCCACTGAAGAATCATTAAATGATAAAAAGGAAGTAAACGACTTAACCAATACTTCTTGTGAAAAGTTATCAAAAACATCCTTGATCTCACCAAATACGCCAAATTCTAAACTATCATCAGCAACTTTGAAACGAATGGAAGCTAAAAACTCACAAACAAAAACATCTCCCACTAGATCCAGATCAGTATCACCAACAAGACCATCTCAATCACAAAAAATATCATCATCATCACTACCTACAACAAATACTAATCGTTCTCCCACTAGACCTGCTTTTAATTTAAACAAATCCCAAAACTCAATAAATGGATTATCAAAATTAAATCAACCACTTTCGTCACCTCCACCGGCGAAACGTACTACTACATCACCAAGATCTTCAATAGATTTAGGAAGAATAATACCACATGTTCAATTAAACACCACTCCAACAAAATCAATATTTAGACATGACCTCAATCCTACCAAATCAAATAATTCACAAGTTACTTATGAATCAGCAATGAAATTCATGAATAATTTAATTGAAAATTCATCAAATTTTGAAAATAATGAAAAACGTAACTTATTAAACAAGATAGAAGAACTTAAATCAAAACTTAATGGTATTCCTTATCAAAATAGCATTTTAGAAGATTATTCAAATAAATTAGTTGAATTAGTTGAACAGAAATTAAATCTAAATAAATCAACTAATAGTCCTACCACATTAGTAGATCAATGTCAAAGTCAAAGTCGTAGAGAATCAATTGCTACATCTAATTATACGAACGGGCATCATGTAAACGGAACTATCCATGATGAAATATCTATGATTATAGCTTCAAATGCTGAAGATGAATTGAAAGAGATTAATACTAATATTGATGAAATTAAATGCAATAATTGATGTGATTAAGTATATGCTGAGTGTTGAGTCTAATTAAATATGACTATAGTAATATTGACTTTAATTCCTAGGTTTGATTGTAGCTGCTTGTATAGGATTTGAATCTCTAGTTTCATCAGCTTGTTTCCAAGGATTTTCTTCCTCCACTGTTTTAGGAATATCATCATCTTCCTTCTGCAATGGCTCTCTTTGTGAACTTTTCCCTAACTCAATTCTCTTCAAATCATCTTGTAATTGTTCTTCCTGCTCCAATCTTAATTTTTCATTCTTCCATTTCTCATCAGCTCGTTTCCCTAAAATTTTCAAATTTCTTTGTCGTATTTGATCACCAACTAATTCATTTAAACTAGGAGGTTCATTTCTAGTTCTTCTTAACCATTGTAACCATTGAGGTGGAATTGTTTTAAAATAATCAACTTTAAAAACTTGAGGAGCATAAGGTTCTAATTTCCTACGTAATCTGCTTAAATTTCCATCAATTGTAAATTCCCAATAAGTATTTCCATGTAAATCATAACCAACAAAAAATTTCCTTCTGAATGGTATGTTTCTTTTAGATTGCCATTTATGTAGAAGTCTTTTTAATGGAGAATGTTTTTGTTTTATTATTTCCATGTTTGAGGTTGTTTGTGGTTGTAATGATGATTGCAAACTTTGATGCTGTAAGTAGATTTAAAGATTATCGTTTTGTGTTTCATTTTGGATTTTGAGTGATGATGATTCTTTCGTAAATGTTTAAGTCCGTTTAGACATATCATTCAGAAAGATTAAAGAATCGAGAATCACTTAGCAATTGAGATCCATCAGGTATCAAGAACCTTATAAAGAGTTCCTCACACAATAGATGAAATTTCACTAAAATCATGTCCAAAGTATGAGTAAAAATAACGATCGTCAAGGCAACAATCATCATCAAAATAACAATAGTTCTAGAAAACAAAGGTCAAATACATTGACAAAACTAAATAACATCCTACCAGCACCAATAGAATTGAATAATGGAGAGTCACTCGAAAACCATAAAGCAAATCACAAAGCTCATATAACAGATGTCAGAATTGGAGATTATCATCAAATAAAAGGGGATTATGGTCTACTGTATATCGTATGGCAAATTAAAATTACTATAAATGATTTAGATTTTTCATCTATTATACTATATAAGAGGTACAATGATTTATTAAATTTTTATAATGAATTGAAACAAAAATATAATAATCGACCTCAAAATAATAATCGAATAATAAATGATTTAGAAAATGATATTGATGATATTATAGATATAAATAATAATAATCTTAATATAATAATTCCCAATTTACCACCAAAGGATTCATTAAGTTTTGATAGATTTATAGTGAGTAAAAATTGGTTAGAAGAAAGAAGAAAAGGTTTACAATGGTTCTTAAGTAGTGTATTATTGGATCCTATATTACAAAATGATCCAATTGTGAAAAAATTTGTACTAGATAAATAATACAAGATTACATTTACATGATTGTTCTTTCGTTCATCGGAAAAGACGTTGCATCCTCGTCTAAGCTTCTATTTAGTTGATAGCATCTGCATTCTCCAAATGTCCTTCATCGCCTTTGTTATACTTTATTGAGCAGATTATTTGACTTTGAAAATTCTGTTTTAATGGATATCAAGTGGCTTGAGCCGGCACTTCAAGATACCTTAAGTTAGTTTCAAAAATTTTTCATCTTAAAAACCCTTGAATCGAAACATTTGGAGTGGATTGAATCCAACTTCATGATAATTCAGTCATCAATTGTTGGATTAGTATTGACTATGACTATTTTTTATCGAATAATCTACTAACTGAACTGTTTTTCTAAATTCAAAGTATTCAGATCCAGATCGTTGTAAAATATTAGTCTTATCAAAAGGTGATCTAGACTATTATTATTGATTTATAAGAACATTACGTAACTAACCTACTTTAGTATTACGTAATACAATAGTTAATTCTCCATAATTCGCATTTCTTTTTTTTTTTCGCTTCTTTTTATTATGGACGTTTTTTTTATTTTTCCATTTGAAATAAAATGATTCTATTTTACCATTGAAGTATTTATAATCAAATAATCAAGAAAATATATTATACCTACTCTATATAAATACAAGTCAATCCAATCTACTTTATCAAATATAAACTTATAGATTAATAGACAATTCAATTAATATCTAATTTTTTTATCAATTACATTAACAAGTTTTATATATCATTTTAAATTAAACATATATCAGAAATGGTTCATCACAAAGTTACAATTATTGGATCTGGTCCAGCAGCTCATACAGCTGCTATATATTTAGCAAGAGCCGAAATCAAACCAACAATGTACGAAGGTATGTTGGCTAATGGTGTTGCAGCTGGTGGTCAATTAACCACGACTACTGATATTGAAAATTTTCCTGGATTTCCAGAAGGTATAAATGGTACTAAATTAATGGATTTAATGAAACAACAAAGTGAAAGATTTGGTACTGAAATTATTACTGAAACTATTTCTAAGTGTGATTTAACAAGTAGACCTTTCAAATTATGGACTGAATTTAATGAAGATGAAGCTCCAATTACTAGTGATGCTGTCATTATTGCTACTGGTGCTTCAGCCAAAAGAATGCATTTACCAGGTGAAGAAGATTATTGGCAACAAGGTATATCAGCTTGTGCTGTATGTGATGGTGCAGTACCAATTTTTAGAAATAATCCATTAGCTGTTGTTGGTGGTGGAGATTCTGCATGTGAAGAAGCTTTATTTTTAACAAAATATGCTTCAAAAGTTTATCTTTTAGTTAGAAGAGATCAATTAAGAGCTTCATCAATTATGCAAAAAAGAGCTAAAAATAATGAAAAATTAGAAATTTTATGGAATACTGAAGCAAAAGCTGCAAAGGGGGATGGTAAATTATTACAATCATTAGAAATATATAATAATAAAACAAAAGAAACTTCAGATTTAAAAGTAAATGGTTTATTTTATGCTATTGGGCATATTCCAGCTACTAAAATATTTGAAGGTCAATTAAAAATGGATGATACTGGTTATATTATAAATAAACCTGGTACTGCTTCTACTTCAATAGAAGGTGTTTTTGCTGCTGGTGATGTTCAAGATAAAATTTATAGACAAGCTATAACTTCTGCTGGTACTGGTTGTATGGCAGCTTTAGAGTGTGAAAAATTTATTGTTGAACAAGAAGATTAAATATAATATGTGTTTTTGTAAAGATATGCAACATTATGGCAAATATATATAGTTATACAGATAATAATAGAATAATACAATTATAATCATTTATTGATTAATTTTTAGCTTTCTCATTTTGGATTAAGCCCAAATGAGATTATTTCTGATTCCTACTGCTTAATCTCTGTAAAAATTTAAGTTTTGTAAGGAAGTTTCAGCTCGCTACCAAAATTTTGCAACCAAAACAACACTTTATAAATTTGATGCTATGATTCAAAATCTTCCAGCAAACCTAACATCATACGGATTATAACTTTTTGAATTTTGCTTATTTTTCTTTGAATGACCGATTAAAGGACGATTTTCTTTATTTTTTGTTTGGATTGGTTCGTTTTCAAAACTTTCATTATCGCTTTCCATATTTTCATAAAATGGAGATGTTTCAAGTACCTTGGTTAGTTGAGGATTTGGACCTAGGATATTGGTTAATTTTTTGTTAAAGGGTGTTTGTTGTGGTTGATTCAAAATATTATGATTAAAAGGTTTCAAAGTTGATGCTTTTGGTGGAATTTGTTCCCGTTGATTTTTATTTATTTTTTGATTAGATCTACCTGATTTATCTGAATTTGGTTTTATTGATGTTTTTTGGTTGTATTTTTGAGATTGATGCTGTTTTTCTTTTCTACCATCTTCCATTATTTTTGTTTTATCAAATCTTTTTTGATTAAATTGTGTAGGAGTTGATGAATATTTTGGATTAAAAGTCAAATTTTCACTTTCTTGAGTTTCACCTTCCAATTCAACTTCGTTTATTGAAGTTGAATTTGATGTTGTATGTGAATCAGAAAATTGATCTCGATAATTGATTTTATAGGAGGTTGAAACATTAGCGGTGGGATCACCAAAAATAAAAGCAGTATCTTCTGATTCAGTATTCGTGGTCTTTGAAGTATCAGTTTCAACAGGATAATCATTAAGAAAATCGAGTGGAATTGAATTTGAAAAGCATTCATAATCATCTTTATCTAATTGATAATATTTTAAATAACCTTGTAAAATATTTGGTTGAGGATTGAAATATTCGAATGGTTTTCTTTGATCTTGTTGTTCATTGGTAGTAGTATCTTCCTTTAAAATTTCGACTTTTTCCTTCTTGAAAATATTCTTTAATGACCTCTTATTTTTATTAGTAGGTTTTTCCTTTTCCTTTTGTTTGTTCTGTTCTATTTGGCTCCCATCAAAATTAACATGATTTGATTTCTGTTTAACAGTTTTGGGTTGTAGTTGTTGTGTAACAACAGATTGGTTGTAATCAAAGTCTGAATCCAGACTATTTGTACTTTGCTGAGTCAATGCATTCAAATTGCTATTTGTATTACCATGACCGTCATTATAAACATTGCCCTTATTCGATTTGGGGACTGCAGTAAATTCATAATCAATTTTAATATTTAAATCCAAGTCATAATCATTACCTCTTAAATTATCTAGATCATCCCTAATTCTTTTAGCTATTACATTTACTGTTCTTAAAGACTTAAGAAAACCATGGTGGACCTCATGCAAATTTTCCACATCGGTTGCAAATTGTGGTTGTAGTTGATTTGAAATAGCTAAAGAAGAGTGGAACAACAAAAATGCTTCATGTGTCAGAATTTTTATCTTATTTGACCCAGTAAATTCTTCATCTTCAACCCACAGAACCGTTTTATCTTGCACCTGTGGTAATTTCTTTTTTCTATGATTTAATATACCTCTCACCATGAATTAAATGTTGGTGTAAACGAAGAATTAATTGTGTTGCAAAAATTATGGTTGTAAAAATATTAAGTTTCTTTGTGTATTAATTTTTAAACTTCAGTTGTTAGTGATTGAAATCTCAAAAAAAATCTGAAACTCATTAACGTTGATGCCTATTGTATCTAGGAAGTGAAGTTATGCAGTGATGAATGATAATTTTTAGTGACTCTGACACATTTGGCTGTTAAAAGAAAATAGGCATTTAAAATTAAGTGTAAGATGAATCAAAATATTTGAAAGTGGTAGATCTCTTGCATACAAATAATTACTATCCTTAATATAAACACAACCAGCTTCAGCGATACAATATATATAACTCATAACATGTCATTCAATAATCCATTTGACGACGATCTAGAAAGAGTAGCAACAAATCATTCACATAAGTATAAGGATTATCCTGAGTTTGAGACACTTTCAACTAGCATTGAGAATCAATTACATCATATCAATTCAAAACAATTAGGAGAGATCAAAAGACTATTATCCGACTTTGAAAATGATCCCATTAATCAAAAGGGGTCTGAAAATTTGAGTCAACTCTTTCAAAATATCACTGAGTCATATAAAAAATTGAATGAATTTGTCAAGCAATTAAATTCAAGTATCAAAGCAGTTGAAAATGATCATGAAGATGTTGAAATTATTAATTATCTCAAACAAAAAGAAAATATACAAATCAAGTTGATAAAAGATAGTTTGGCGAATTTTAAAAATTATCAAAGAAGATTTGAGTCAAAACAAGCAAGTCAGTTACCCCCGTTATCATCTGCTGAAGGGGAGGCAATCAATACAGATCAAGATCAAAGTCAAAGTCAACAACATCAACAACAGATTCAAATAGAATACGAACCAATAAATGCAGAAGAATTAGAACAACAAACATTACTAATACAAGAAAGAGAAAGAGAAATACATCAGATACAACAAGATACTCAAGAAATCAATAATATTTTTTCGAATTTATCATCAATTATTAATGAACAACAATTTAAGGTTGATAATATTGAAAATAACATTTTTTCATATGATTCGAATGTAAGACAAGCCTCAAATGAATTGAACAGAGCTCAACGATATCAAAAAAGATCTAATGGTAGATTATTTTGTTGTTTAATGATACTAATTGGAGTTCTGGCTTTTATTATACTAATACAATTAATATTTTGATTTTTAGATTTCACAAATATGAGGTTTACTTTAATTGTTCTGGATCCCATACGTTGACACACCCATCATCACCTCCCGATATTATCACTTCTTTACCGTCATCTAGTATTGACCATATGACACAATTAATTTCATGAACTCCATGAGCTAGTTCCGTTACACTCTCTATTATCCATTTTCCTTCGCTCTCTTCATTATATACAACAATTTTACCATCCGATCCAGCAGTTACGATCTTACCGGTTATTGAGGACCAAGCAACAGAATATATAGGTAATTCGTGAGCTTTCGGCAATATACATTCTTGTTCCCATACTACTTCTGACGTATATCGTATCGAACTTGGTAAATTCAGTTCTGTTGAATCTTTGTTATTTTCCATTTCATCTTTGGAGAACCATATTCTAGCTGTTAAATCATCACTAACTGAAACCAATCTTGTTTTACCTTTTATTGCATTTGGACTTTTCGGATATTCAAATTTGGAACACCATATCGTTCCTTCATGAGCATCTAATATTCCAATACAAGACCAATCATCGTCATCAAATTCTTGTTTATATATTCTTATTGTGTCGTCATATGAAGAACTTGCTAATAAATTAGTAGTTGGATGCCAAGTTACATTTTTCACATCCTGTGAATGATCATTCAAAACAGAAACACATTCAAATTCTTCCAAGGTCTCAGGATCAGTTTCCCAGATCCATACCGTTTTATCTCTTGAACAACTAGCTAAATATCTCCCACTGAAATTCCAATCAACAGCTTTTATTTCGTTTTCATGTCCCTCGATTATTGCCATTAAATTCCATTCATTGGAAGGATTAGCAAGTGCATCTTTTTGATTTTGCACAACTTCTTCTATATCATAATTTTCATCAGGTTCATCTATACCCCAGATTGAAATTGTTGAATCAAAAGATCCACTTGCCAATGCAGGTAAGTCCAATATATTGCTTTTGTAATCTACACCACCAATTGGAGGTTTGAATGAAACTGATCGTATAGATCGTTTGTGTGTATCCTCAAGATCTGCTATTTGTGAAAATTTTGATTTCGTGGATAATCTATATATTTTTGTCGATTTATCTGTTGATGCTGTAGCTAGTAGTGGCAAAGTAGGATACGAGGATACACTCCATACTTTGTCATTGTGAGCTTTTATTGAATGTAGAAGTTTTACCATTGGTTGTATATGATGTTAAATCTAACCTAAAAATCTGAAACCTTTGCAACTTAATCTGGTAATTAAAGATATTTTTTTATTGCAACTTTTCAGAACCAATATATCATATGTTCCATTATACTCACAAGAGTCGACCGATACTACGAAGGTCATTATGTCAATATCAGTGTAGATTAAAATCCTCCAAACCTTCAAGCGATAACAATAAGAAGAAGAAAGTCAATAACGATCTGGCTAATTCATCTCAATTAACAAAGAAAAATCAGAACAATAATGATCTTTCAAGTTTTAAAATCAAAAATGAACCTCCCAGGTCTTCACCAGCTCCGATGGATAATATAATAATGGAGACTTTACTTAAAAAGGACAACAAACCATATATACCCAAATCTCAGCATAGAAGAGTAACATTTGATTATCCAGAATTACCAAACGAAGATGAGTTCAATACTTTGAATAAAAAACCAAAAGTTATTACGAGATGGTCAAGATATTTTCCTAAAATTTTGTCATTCATTGTGGCTGGTTGGGGTGCATACACACTAAAAGTTTGGTATTTTGATAACCCCGAAGAAGGTGAAACTAGTAATGATTTATTATCTCCAAATGAGTTTCATAAATTCATAGTAACTCATAAGGAACAGATTGATAATGATCATTACATAATAGAATTGAAACCAAAATATGATAAATGGGAAATGAGTTTTGAATCCAATGCTGACTCAAAATCTATTTGGAATGGAAACAAGATTTGGTCAGTTGAAGTAAAACAACCCGATATTAATGTTGTTAGGTCTTATACTCCACTACCTTTATACTATTTGAAATCCGAGTATACTAGATCAGGAGAAAGGAAGCCATTATTGAAAGTTTTAAATCCAGAAACAGATGGTATTAAAGAAAAAGGGACAATGTGTTTCTACGTCAAAAGGTATCCACATGGTGAGGTCTCTCGGTACATAACTTCTCGAGAAGTAGGGCAAGAGCTAGAATTAAGAGGGCCGCAGATTGAATATAAATTTCCATATCATCCCTTGAACAAATTACATCAAAGACCAATTTTTAAAGATTTACCATCTAAAGTTGAGCCAGATAATTCCATTGAATCTATTAAAAAATTTAACCGATTACCAGATGTTGATAATTTGAATTTTTTTGCGGCAGGAACCGGTATTGCTCCAATTCTACAGGTATTGTTTTCTGAAAATCCTTATATGGGGTTTGTAAATATTCATTATTCTGCTCAAAAATCAGGTGAGATTGGGATATTGGAAAGGTTTTTATTTTTTTTGTCAAAGTTGGATCGAGTCAACATGTATTTTCATTTGGATAGTCAGGGAAAATCTTCCATTTTAAATAAGAAGGATATCAAAAAACCTGAAACTCCAAATTACATCACACCCCAACGAATGGAATTAAAAACTAAGGCTTTGTCACCCGAAGAATCGTTAAAACTTCGAATGAGTATACGAAATGGTGAAGGTGAATCTGAAAGTTACAAAAAATTGATCAGCTCAGCTGAAGAAAGGGGAGAAAGGTACGATAGTGCTTTGGAACAAGCCATGCAGACATCAAAAATCTCAAAGAAACCAGCTGCATTATCAATCGTGTGCGGACCTGAGGGATATATTGAATACGTAGCAGGTCCAAAAGATCTTGTAAATAAAAGTCAGGGAGTAATTGGAGGTTTGTTAGGAGAGAAAAATTGGGACAATTCGAATGTATACAAATTATAGAAAGATATGATAGGTTATTTGCATTTATTCCATACCATTACCATCCAATTCATCATTAATCATGCCTATCTTACTACTGAAATGATACAATACTCTTTGAGCATCTCTATATTGTGAACACAAAGTAATAACTTCCTTCAAAAGATCTCGTTTGTTAAAACCACAAATTTTTGGATTCCATTGATTTTGCGAGTCGACATCATCAGTTGGTCCCAACAATTCATCACAAACTTCGAACAATTTGGCTTTGAAACCCAATTCACAGATTCTTTGAACATAAGTTTTGAAGTATTTGTGAAAATCTTTACTTTCGCCCAAAATTTCACAACATAATATTCTATTCTCTAAATGACTAATAGATATAGTATTCTCCAAACTTTCAAATCCTTCTTTCATCAACATGTTTTTAGAGATCTTATTGAAAAATTTGCCTCTTCCAGTCCTTGTTTTCTTAATAACTTCCTCGTTTGTTTTATTTTCCAAAACTTCCAAGATTGAATCTTCATCATCAAACATATTCAATGACTGCAATGAATTCTTTCCATCATCCGTGCTGTCCCAGTAATGAGAGCCAAACAACCACCAAGCTTCAGTGATAGTCTGCCACGTTGCTAACTCTTTGTTATACAAATAACCAGAACCGTTCGAAAGCGTGACCAATGGAATTCCCAATGAAGTTACGGCGCATAACGTGATTGTATCAGATTTTGTTAAACCGTCATCTTGAAATCTTGAATTCAAATCCAATAACCCGGATATCAGGCAGTTTAGTTCAATTTTTTTAATTTCCAAGTTCCAAACATAAAGTTCACCAAGTGTAGTAACTGCCATTAAATATTTACTGTGACTTTCCAAATATGCAAGGCTAGATCCTAAAATTATTGGCGGTAGTATTCTCTTACCCGATAAATGAGAATAAGTCAATATTTGTCCGTCTGCAGTAGCAATTGCCCAAAACGAACCACCTTCACATGCTAGTTGTATTAGTTTCGGAATAAAATCACACCAGATTTCTTTATCTTTTCGGAAACACGTTACTCTTGATGGTTTTGTTTCATTTCCAGAGCCATTTTTTATATCTAATGTGTATAAATCTTCAGCCTTTTGACCTTTTAATTGAAACTCAAATTTTATTTTAGGAGCTGATAGTCTAGTTTTTGCAAAAGAAGTATTTGGATTAATTATAACTGAACCAATATATTTAATTGGTTCCATTTCCCGCTTTGGTTTTTTTATTGTACCATTAGTATCCTCTTGTCGTATTCGCTTTGATCTATAAAATTCATCTGTTACAGAATATGAAGCTTTGTCAAATTCCATAGGATCTTTACTGACTATTGCATTTGACTGTGTGGAATTGACTCTCACTAGAGTATTCGTGGTGGAAACTGAATCATTATTTGTCAACAACGTGGGTTGAATTCTTCTTTTACCATTTTTAGTAGTGGATTTCTGTTTATTTAAATTTAATTCTTGTGTGGGGGGATTAGGTTTTCTAGTTTGCTTCGCTTCCAAAGGTGGTGTATTTTGAATTGATACCAGCTTGGGGGTCGCGAGATTGGAATCATTTCTTGGTTGGGTCGGTTCAATAACTTTTGGTTCAATTGACCCCTTTATTTGGTTGTCCTCAACCTCCGGTTCGCTAACAATTTCTATTGCTTTTTGAGAATGATCATCAGCTTGTTTATCTTTTGCAATTTTGATAGCCCTTTCTTGATCTGCAAACTCTAGTGGTGCCATGACTTTTCTACTACCAGATGATTGATCATATTCGTATCTATAATCTAAAGCCTTCATTTTTTCAACTGTTAATTTTTTTAAGTTTTCAACAACCACTTCATCGACTGGGAAACCCAATTCATGCTCTTCAAAAGTCACTATTCCTAATTGTCCAGAAGACGTACAAAATATTATATTTTCTGTATCAGTCCAAGCCAAATCATATATCTGAGCATTGGCTACTAAATTTTCCAAGAGTAGTATTGGAGTTGAATTTGAAGTGTTCCAAATAGCAAGAGTTTTATCTGACCCTCCAGATGCAAGAATGTTATACAATTCCTCATCATCACTTTCTTTTTTTGAATAAATATTTGGACTGAACTTAACAACTTCACAGCTCAAATCATGGCCAACCAAGCTTTCCCTATTAGTCCAATTGAAGGTAGAAGAAATTAATGAAATTAAGGTAGTTTGACCTTTAGAAGCCGTCGGTACGGATAATAACTCTCCGTCTGGAGACCATGAAATTCTCTTATACTTAACGTTGAGTGTATTATTACTAAACAATCTCGTGATTTTATTTATGCATCTGAATTTATACGATCCTGTATTATCGAATTCATATTGAAATACATTCAATTGTGTGTCGTCTCCAACTGCAACAAGGTAATTTGTAGTATTATTAAATGCCAAACTTCTATGTACCACTGGTTTTTCATTCGATATGGGTTTTAACTCTTGAAAGGTATTTCTTTCAATATCTATGACGTATATTTTTTCATCATTAGTGCTCCATGCAACTAATCTACCATCTCTTGAAATTGTTAAATCCACAACTGGTGATAGTTCACTAGAAGTCTCTTTATTGAATGGAAATAATTTATTGTGAATAGATTTATCATCATCTCGTAGATCATGGTAATAAATATTACCATCAGTATCACTCGAAATAAACTTATTTACGGCATTGGGTAACCATTTAAGTATATTCACAGTTGATTTATGTACAAGTATTGAATGGATCGGTTTAATATGTTCAATTTGATGTCGCTGAGTATTCTTCGATTCAGACTGTTCTAATTTTGAAATATGTATTAGTTCTTGTAAGTTCCAAACATTAATATAATTGTCAACTCCACCGGTGATTAGTCCAGAATTATCGTTGTTGATATCTAAGCAATGTATTTCACCACTATGATAAGTTTGAGGTAGTAGTAGGAATTTCATCAACTTTTAGTTCAAAAATATTCGAAGTTCACTACAATGTTTTAGTCTAGGTCTATATATTTGATTGTTTACTCAGAAAATTGTTTTTTTCACTCGAGAATCTATTGTTTCATAATACGAGAATTAAAGAATGCTTCGCCAAGGTGATGTCATATCAAATTCATCATTTACATACACCATAATCGCTAATATTCACTCAAAAAAATAATGAAGTTCATATGACAAACCAGTCCAACATATTAGCTACCGCTCGGAGATTTATTGTTCCTTTCTTTGTAATATTAGGATTTGGATATTTCAATTACGCATTGAACTATTCATTAGGCTATAATGAAATATACAAACATCATTCCCATGCATCAGCTATAGTCTTGTGGTGTTTAACAGGATTTTGTGAATTCTGTGTTCTAATATATTGGGCTTTGATATTATATGTGGGTCCTGGTATATCACCTAAATTTCCTCAATGGAATTTATTTCAGAATTCAGAACTTGAAAATGAATTGTTACCAACACCTGATATATTCTTTTGTGACGAATTTGGATATCCATACTACGATTCTCATACACAATCAATGAAGATCGATCGTTCTTTTTATTCCAAATATTTTGAACATGTAATTTTAAAATATGATCATCATTGTTTATGGGTTGGAACAAGTATTGGCCTCACGAATTATTTGTATTTTTTAAAATTTTGTTTTTGGTTTCTTGCATTATTCATTATTATGTTGATTTATTCAGCTAAGTATACTAGATCTACAATTGCTAGAGGTGAAATAAATCACAATTTAATTCCTATTTTTATTGCATGCGGGCTTTGGATTCCAATGATTGCAGGATTGTTAGTAACTCACATACGATACGTTTGTTTGAATATGACCACTTTAGACGACATTACATTGAACCAAAGAAATAGATATCGGAGGTACAAGGATAGAAAGAAGCAGAAAAGTTCCCCAATATGTCCTCAACCCAGAAAACCTCGAAAAGAAAATGGAGATAGATATGTGAGTGTAAAAAAAGAAGATTTTAGGTTGATCATAAAATTTGATATTAAGGAGCGTCCTTTTGATATGGGCTTCAAAAAGAATTGGATCAATTTAATATTTAATGGAAACAGGAATAATGGAAAATCAGATGATTACTATACAACTAAAAAATTTGTATATGGCTTGATCATATTTATGTGTCCCTTCGTGGAACTTCCACTTGAATTTCAACAAAGAAGGAGAATACATTATGATCCTGAAATGAATTTTAAACCGATTGATAACATAAAAGCTGAATATGACTACTATTCAAGTGATTTAAGCCCTCAGTTTCTAAAAATGATTCAAATGAAAATTGATAAGAAGGACTGCTACATTCCTAGCTATTTAAATTATAAAGAGTAAATAAGACAGTATTGATAAATAAATTTGAACACTGATATATCGCCTAGTATCTCTGGTGTGTCTATAAATTTAAATTTAGCTATAATCTGGTAGCCCTTTGTGCATTAAATTCTAGATCTTTATGCCATTATTATTCTACATACCCATATCATCTTAAACACCTTCAATATGGATTCAATTGGAGAAATAATAGAGCACGAAATAGTAGCACCTGAACCACCAACACCGAACTTTTCATCAACAGGTTTTCCCGACCCCAAAAATGGAAGAAAGCACAAAGTTTCAAGATGGAAACTCAAAAATAAAGAAGGCATAAAGAAAGAGGTTTCAGATTTAAAAGACGAGCTGCAAAATAATCCAAAACAAGAGCTTTCAGAGATGGAAAAGATTGATAAGGAAAATAGGGAAAGAATGTCAAAAATGTCAGAGGAGGAAATTTTAGCAGAGCAACAAGAGCTTTTGAAGCATTTAAATCCAAAGTTGGTTCAAGGTCTACTAAATAGGTCAAAGAAAAATGAGAATAGTCTAGCGTCACAAGCACGTGAACCAGATCAAGATCTTGAGCACCATAGTCACCACGAGCATTCTGAAGGATACAACGGTTGGATCGGAGAGGTGAAAACAAAGGATGGAATAACTAATTTATCTCAACTAGATAAAGAAGATCTAAATGATAAACTAGGGATCTCTAATAAAACGGTTAGATTTGATGATGGTAATACGATGACTATTGATCATGAAGATTCGGATGAAAATATTGAAGGAGATTCAAAGCAATCGGAAGATGTCACAAATGTAAATGAACTTGCAAATCCAAATGCTATAGCTCCAGAAGACTATCAAATAAATAATGACGATGACGATATCATAGAGCGGAATAACACAGTACATTTTACAAAACCTGAAAATAGGGAAATAGACATAAATGATCCCGATTTTTTTGACAGATTACATGAAAAATATTACCCAGATTTACCAAAAGAAACTGAAAAATTATCTTGGATGACAACACCTTTACCAAAGCAAGTTTCAACGACATATGAAAGTATCTCAGATATGAGATTTGATTTCAAAGGTAACTTAATACAGATAGATATAAATGAAGAAACAGAATCTCAAAAAGGAATACCTACTTACTTAGGTCTACATCATCATTCTGAGAATCCTCAGTTAGCAGGGTATACGTTAAGTGAATTGGCTCATTTGTCAAGATCGGTTGTGCCAGGGCAAAGATGTCTAAGTATACAAACTTTGGGAAGAATTCTTCATAAGCTATGCAAACATGAACTTAACATTCTACCAGTAGCGGATGAGGTAGAGAATCAAGATCTTCAAAAAATGGTAGTAATATTTGAAAAAATGATGTGGGATTTGATAGATGAACTAAGAATTGTTGAATCCTTGAAAGAAGCAGCTGATGAAAAAAAGACTAAAAATCTATCTGTTAGAAACTACGCTATTGAAGCACTATGGCTTTTGCAAATAGGTGGAGGTGTGCCAGTACAAGACGACGATGCAACGATTGAAGAGATTCTATAAACCCAAGTTTATAATGGCTCTACTATACATAGTGTATGTCAATAATCATTGAAAGGAACGAATGTAATTAAGGTACTCGTTTCCAAAAAGCATAGAATTATCTTTTCGTGAACTATCTTCTACAAGAATGAAATGAATCGAAAATAATGTTTAAAAACAAATGTAAATTCACCCAAAACGGATGAACTTATTGATTCTACTCAATATTTTCTTATGATGCATCTCTTTACTATTCAAGTAAGTAAATGAAACGAATCACTCAATCAAAAGTAGATCAATTCTTTCAAGTAAGGAATGACAAAAACTGTCAAAATATACCACGAAAGAATCAAACTTGACTAAGTAAATACTTTCCATACAATAGCTCACCAAATTCAATTGATTATTATTCAATATACGCACATTGACACATTGATACGATGGATCTAATGAAGATAAGTCCTAAACTTGTATCGACCAACTTAAGTTTGTGCATGACAAAAGATGTAGAACACATACATTATGAATAAAAGCGTTAATGTGGTTTATAATATTGGTTATTATATATATTGATAGTAGTATACACCTATATGATTTCTTGTAAAGTTGAGCTGAAGTTGTGAAAGGAAACTCTTTTTGAAAAATATTTAAGTCAGAGCTATTTTTTTGACAGAGCTTGGTAGCGTTAATTTTTTTGTAAACCAAGCGTTTAACAACCAGATCGTGTTTACCTTGACTTGAGAATTCCTTTTCCCTATTCTAAAACAATTGACTCATAGTTCAAATAACTAAAGTGAAAGTATAACGAGAATGCTATATTGTAAAGCATTCTTAATAATTGCTTTCATACTCACCCTGGTTAAATCAATATTGATCGAAAATGCATTCACATCAACAGAATCAATAAATTATTTATATCAGACTCCTGTTACTAATTTACATATTTTGAATGATCAAGTTTTGATAGCCAAGAACAAAGTCAACCAGACGATTGGGATTGATATTTTGAATTATTATACTATTAAATGGAACATAGGGGATATATTGAATGACTATCAATTAATATTTAACAATGACAATATTTTTGGATGGAAGTATGCAGAAAAGGAAATAATCAAAATCGACAGTAATGGTCAATTTGAGTTTATACCAATTGAATTTGAAATAGGACATTTGTATGATATTAAATATGGAGGTTTGATAATTTTGGGCACAAATGGCGAATTGAGTTATCTAGATCAACAAGATAAATCTCATATTATCAAAGCTGAGAAAGTATCTACCGTATTGGTAGACAGTTCTCAAGGAAACATTTTTTTGGTATTAAATGGTCAAGAAATATTAAAATTGTCATTGACTGGATCGATCATTAGTCGAAAATCTATTTCTGTGGAATCGATCAGAGAACTTAAGTCTGGAATTGCTTTAACTCATAATGATCAAATTTTCAAAATTGATTCACAATTAAATTTCAAAGGAATTGAGAATTATAAATTCAACAACTTAGCAGTTATAAACTCGAACTTTTTGTATTCTAGATTTTCCAATGAGGTCAAACTAATTGCAATTGATAAAAAAGTAGCAAAAGAAGTTCATTCTTTTAAAACCACATCCAATGTCCAATGGTATTCAAACCCTTTCAATGAAATTCTTATAGTCAATGATGGATTGACAAGAGTATTTTACGACTTAACTGACTTTTTACAAACCAAAAATGCAAACAGTATCAAAAAGATACAATTTAAATTGGAAGGTAATTATCCTTACGATTTTGTTATTAACACAAGCAATAACGAATTAGCTTATCTTGCAATCGACGAGGAACTAAATGGAGAATTGTTTAGTCTTTTCAATGGTCAAAAATTGAAAACTGTGTCAACTAAAAATAACCAATTTTCGTCTTCAAAAGATCTATATATCATTATTGACGCCCCAGAAAATGAAAAGTCCAAAATTGAAAATGAGCAATTATCAAAAGAATTTAACGAGGGATTGATATTTACAAACTGGTTTAATAGAGTGTTAACGCATGCAACTGATTTATTCAAATTCATTTTAAATCTTCCAGGCTTGCTTACGGAGAAGGAAACCGCAAGTTCGATTTTCAATAAGTTAATCGTATTTTATGACGATAGAGCAGGTAAGTTGGTGGCAGTAAACTCGCATGACGAGGGTGTTGCTTGGACTACTGATATTGAAAATGACGAAATTTTTTCTTTGATACAATTGAATGAAGATGCAAATGGAGTCATCCTTGCTTTGTTCAAAAACAATATTTACATAATTGATCCAAATGAAGGTAAACTTATTGATTCATTTCCAAATGAGAACAATATTGATGTGAAAGCTATTAATGATCATTATGTGTTAGAAAATGATTCTGGTTTTACTATACCCCAGTCATCAAAGGAGGATATTTTTTTGATTAAACAGAGTGATAATGAAATTACAGGAAATGTAATATTTAATGGCTCCAAAGAATCCGTGAAAACGTGGTCAATCAACTTTGATAACCCCATCATTCAAGTTCAAACTATTCCTAGATCTTCAAAGATTTCGTCCGTAGGGATACCATTAGTTGATAAATCAATTTTATACAAGTACTTAAATGAAAACATCTTTGCTGTACTAACAATGGAAGAAAAATTAAAATTATATCTCATAGATGGTATTAGTGGTGAATTGTTGTATACTTATTCACATGATTTTAAAAATGAAATCATAGATCCAAACTCAATATCGCTAGTTATTGACAATAATTGGATAATCTACTCCTATTTCACAATCTCACCAAGATTAGAACAAAGAATCAATGTAATTGATTTATTTTCAAATAAACAAAATCAAAAAATCACTAAAATTACAGCACAATCATTTATATTTCCTGAACGTATATTAAAATTAAGTTCAACTCAATCAAAATATGGAATTACCACAAAATCAATAATTGCATTAACTGAATCAGGTTCTCTTGTTGAAATTCCAAAATATATATTAAATTCAAGAAGACCAATTAATGAAATGAAACCAACTGAAGCTGGTAATGATTTTAGATTAACACCCTATGATCCAATTATTTATAAAAGTCATAATCATGTTTTAAATCATAAATATCAAATATCACCTATAGGAGGTGAAATATTAATTAAACCAACCCAATATGAAAGTTCTTCTGTTGTTTGTTACTTCAATGATCAAAATCAATTTTGTTCAGTTATAAAACCTAGTTCATCATTCGATTTATTGAATAAAAAATTTGAGAAATTAAAATTGATTTTAACTTTGATTATTTTAATTGGTGGTTATTTGATAAGTAAACCCTATGTAGATAGAAAGAAACTAAAAGCTTATTGGTTAGATTATAAATAGAGTGCCATAATAAATTGAATTAAAATGTATATTAACTTCCTAGGTCAACCAAAAATAGATTCTCCAACATTCTCATTCTCTTTGTCAGATTTTCTCTCATGTTCATAAATCAACCAAATCATTTCATACACTAGACTTGAAACAAGATAATTTTTCATCTTATTAATTATAAAAAATTCATTATCATCATATTGATCAATTATAAATTGATTTGGAATTCTATCAAATTTTTCAATGATTTTATGTAATTTAGAATTTAAAAATAACCAATTTGTATTAATGAAAATAATGTTATATAATTTTTGAAATTTTGATTTGATAATTTGTAAATCTTCATTATTCACAAGAGGAGATTTAAATAATCTTAGTAATGTCAACAATGTTAATTCCATTGGAAATTTATAATATATTGGCATCTTCACGTAACTTTGATTATCTTTGAGATTCTCAACTGTTGTTATTATTTCAAAACAACAATTTATTAATTTTTCTAGGTAGACTTTATATTCGTTTTTGGTAATGTTAGATTTTGACATGGAATAGATAAACAATTGTAAGTTGGTGTATAAGATTGAAATTTTGATTAAATTTTTAATCTCCAGCAGTTCATTCTCTCCTTGATTTTTTAGTAGAAGAGTATCTAAATCTTTTAAAATTATTTCGAACATATTGAAGTTGATCAATTTTGAAGCGTTAATCTGTACATCACTCATAAGGATAGAATCATCTAAAAGATTATCACCAATTAAAATATTCATGTTTTCATTTAATTTGGATTGAATCATTGAAATCTTCAATAATGAGTTGATGTACCTATCTATTGATGAGATTTCCAGGTCCTTGTTGTTATAAATATCAATATTTGTTGATTTGTTGATGATGTAATCTTGAGTAAAACCATTATAATTGTTATTCGATAGACCCAAGTTAATTAACCAATAATTTGAATTCACATTGATGAATTTATATATTCTTTCTCTTATAGTATTATTAAGGTTGACTTCTTGACTCAAATTCATTTTAGTCTTGTGACTAAACTCGTCAATAAATTTTAGTTTATGCAAACCAAATTGTAATGATAAAGTTTTCATCAAACTTATATATTTGATACTTAAATTATCTGATATTTTTGCTGTATTGTTCGGTAATGGCCATGTAGTCAAAATTAATAATGACGCTATGATATATAAATTTCTTGGAGTTTGAAACCAACATTTTTCTACTACTGATTGTTTTACGTGTTCACATAAAACTTGATAATCATTCGATGATTTTGATGAATCTTTATTTAAAAAGGAGGTAAGAATTATTGACCAAAATGTTAATTCATTTTCTTCATAAAACTCTTGCAAGTGTATTGATTGAAAAAATTGATCGGGAAATATTGGTAGATACTTGTTGAAATGTATTTCGTAATTCGTGAATAATTGTTGTGCTTGTTGATGCGATATTATTACTGGCTTGTGATTTTTGCTACATGATATAATGAATTTTTGGTCCTCTGAAGTCTGTATGTTTTCGGATGTAATTTGTTGTAGTTCTTCGGGTGTTGTGTATGGAGAATTTATACATGATTGAATATTGGATATTGGTGGTGTCGGTGATCGAAACGCACTTAATTCTTGATCCTGATTATGTTCTTCAATATCAATTAGCTTTTGTTTATTTTCTAATTCAATTTTAGTTTGTTGCTGGATTTGTTTCCCTCTTTCGATTAGCAACTCTATTAAATCATTCTTCCTTTCAACTAATTTATTTAAATGGTTATTCATATTTTGTACATCGCAAGACAATTTTTCTATAATTTCTAGTGATTTCACTCTTCCTGTTGGTTTATTTATGATCTCTAAGGAACAATTTAAATTTTTTTTGAAACAATGAGTGCATGGATTTGGATTCGTTATATTGGCGTCACACTTGGTTTTATGTTGTCTGCATCTCTTACACGTTTTTAATATCTTTTGTGATTTTGAATTTAGACTCGGTATGATTAATCTAAGACGATTTTTAGAACTCAATGACATGATCATGTTTTATTTTCAATGTACTAAAGTGTATTGGTAATTTCAAATTATTTTGGTTGCAAATTGAATCTGTAGTGTGACTTCTTACTGCTTTTGATAATTTATGATCTCAATAGTATGATTAAAACTGAATTATTGAAAAAAGTCCTGAAATTTTCTATTGGTAAAGTACTTTTAATTGAAAACTCAAGTATAAATGTTGATAAAGTTATTTACATGTATTATTATAAAAACTAACTTGAATAGATCGGCTTATACATTTTGGTTTTTGTGATCTTCATATCACTTTGTGGTCTTAAAATATTTATTTTAGTTTGGTTTTGTTAGTAATCAAAACTTTCAAAAATTTAATTGGTTGATTTAATTTATAAAATAATTTAAAACATTTTATACCGATATTCGCATAGTAATTATAAAAAGAGAATATGGTAGCTGTATTAATATTTTTTTGCAACTTTCTTACGGCTTATTAAATATAAGAATATGATTGATCTCAGGAATAAAGATCATTTAGTGAAGTTTTAATTGGAGAAAGTCTATTTAGTAAAAGAATGAGCTGAATCAAGTTTTGGCAGAATTTTGCAACGAAGCAGATGGTTTTTGGGTTACAACTATTTTGAAACACGTCTATAAATAACATAAGTTTTATCTCCAATATAAAAAAGCTGTCAGCCGGTTGATCAAGTTTAAAATATAGGACAGAGGTGTAGATTTGTATATATACAATTAATCTGAGTTTGATAGCTTACCCATCAATCGATATTAATGCACTAGATCATAATAGTTACTCTAAAAGTTTATTTACAATTCCGAAATGGAATGAAGATAAGGAATAATATATTTGATTGATTAAAGCTTTTAGCTTACCTAACGATTAATTCTGAAAGTTACGAATCAAATTTTATAGAAATCATCAATAATAATTCCGTTGAAAAATCTCGGACATTTGAAATTTAATTTCAAAGAATAAATTTTAAATTATCTATGGCCAATCAATACAAGCTTGTATGTAATTTTTTCTTACAACTTCTATTTTCTTAACCAGCTTTCAATCATTCTCACCTAAATTAGATGAGAATTGAATGTTATTTGTCTGAGTGTTCAACTTTCTAATGAAGCTGAGGAGCTATGTATTGATGATGTGCTCAAAATAATTACATAGGTACAGTATCCGATCTCGTATCAAATTCCTTTTATGGAAAATTTACTTTTTAAGTGGCTCAGGGGAAAAAGAATTTATACACTATCTTTGATTTCAAATGAGGTGCCAAATAATCCTTAAGGAAATAATCAGTCTGACAACGATTAGTGATTGCCGTCAAAACAACAAGTTGAATGTAACCCAAACATTAGAGCTAATGTTTTGCTGGGCAAGTACGTTTCTTACTGATACTCTCACTTGGTCAAAGATTTACATCTAGTATAATTATACAAGCTACACAATTTGGCTGCGAAAAATTGTTAATATTAACAAATACAAACCTCGAGTTGATGAAACCACCAATAATCCAATGTTTTTAAATTTAAAATAAAATCTTAATCAAATTATCCTTAATAATAACATACATAGAATCTTGGTCATAATTTGAATGATGATCAGTTTAAATTTCACATTTGAAACAACTGTGAGTATACGACCATTTACTCAAGTGATTTTGTGACAAAAGCAAAATTAATCAGAAAAATTGGAGTGAGCCAATATTTCCCACCTTATTTGTTATTATTCAAAACCTTCATATGTTGGTCAATTTATATGTCATAGAAGATTAATCTCTTGAAATTGTATATTTCGGTAGGAAATTAAAAACATATAAGCTAGGTAAAGTGGTAGCAACTTTCACAGCTTGTACGAAACTAATTTATTTTCTAACTTGTAAAAAAATACATGATAGAAGTGTAATAATTGTTGAAAGTATCTGATTCAAGCGTATTTTATTAGTGAACCAATTAAAGAAACATAATGTCAGATGGGCCAAATGATGCTGCATTGGCAATATCAGCATCACCTGTTAACAACAACAAATCATTTTCACAAAACTTATCACAAGAACAATTAAGGTCAAAACATTTATATAATTTGATACATTCTTTACCTCAATCTATTCCTATATCCAGACTGTATTCGTTGCAATTTGATAAATTAAACAATGATAAAAATTTGAATTTGCCACCAGTGGTGAGTAAAAAGTTATGTCAAAAGTGTGGAGTCTTGTTGATTCCTGGTATCAATTTGACAACTAGGATAAAGTTTAAGAAAAGAGATAGAACAACGATTAAAAAAGATGAGAATGACAACAAGTCAATATCTGGCAATCAAAATCCAAGAAGTAAATTAAAACAAAGGTGTTTAAGCTGTGGGAATATCACATACCATGAATTGAGCAATACTTCAACAAATGAAAAGCAAAAAATAATCAATAACAATTTGAAAGAAGCAAGCAATGGTACCCCACTCAAAGATGTTGTACCAGAGACGCCGAATGAGCCAGAAAAACTAATTTCAAGTCATATAGAAGAAAGTTCTTCACCGCAAAATGATTCATCAATTGGTAATCAAGCATCATCGAAGAATTCTACGACTTCATCAACTATATCAACTGAAGAACCAGTTCAAGGTTCGTCATCATCATCATCATCAACATCAACAACAACCAACCAGAAAAATAAATCAGCGAAAGAAAGATCAAAAAAGAGAAAAGCAGAATCTAATTTATTAAATGCAATGAAACAAAGAAAAATGGAACAAAATTCAAAAAATAAAAAAATGAATTCTTTGAATTTAATGGATTTTTTACAATAAATTGTTCATTTAGCAAAAAGATGTATAAAATAATACAAATTAATCTAAGTAACCCATGAAGCTAAATGGGATTGCTGAATAGGTATTTGTTTTTTATCCTTATAACTTTCTCTAATAACGTATCTTATCCATCTTCTTCTTCTATAAATTTCATCATCATTAATTATTTTTGCATTATCTTTAGAATTATTATTTGAATAAACTTTCGTTTGAGTTTTTAATTTTTCTTCTTCATATCCACCAATTTTCAATTTTTCATTAATTTCATCGTCATTAACATTTTCATCATCATCATCATTATCATTATTTTCTTTTTCATCAGTTGTAAGAACTACATCATAAGCCCATTTTTCATCATCATCAATTAAAACTAAATCTTGAATTAAATTATGTTCAACCCAACTTGATATATCAAAATCAATATGCCATTTTGAATTTGGTAAGAATTTATAACCTATTGGAGGTTTTATTTCTTTCAAATTTTCACATTTATTAATGCTCATCAAATCATGCTTTTGATTTGGATTATCTATACCTTTTTCTCCTAATAGACTCTCTTCATCTTCTACTAATGGATTATCTTCTTGTAATTGTTTTATAGCATTATTATACCTTCTAATCACTGTATTTGTTGTGTAAAATTGATCTGAGAATCCAACTGATGTCCAAATTTTTGTTTTAGGATTGAGTTTTTGTAATTCATAAATTTCAATTAATTTAATATTATCTGAAGACAAATCAATTTGCTTTGTATCTTCTTTCATTGTACGTTTTTTCAAATTATATTTATCATCATCAATTAAAATCGAAGTCAATTGATTTTCTACTTTATTAACATAGTTTTGAATATCTAATCTCGTGTTCTCATCATATACTTTATCCAATAATTGTGATCTTATTTTCGGATGCATTAATATAATAAAGATCCAAACTTTAAAAATCAATAACAACTTTAAAATCCAACTATGTTCAACCACTATAAAATAAATTATTGATGGTAAAAAATATAAATTTAAAATAATTGTAGTAAGAAATGCCAATACAATGAACGAACTTATTTTTTCATTTTTAAAATATAAATAATCTGTAGTTAACCATACCATAAAATCAAATGTTGAAATTTGTAAATTCATAAAATTTTGAGTATCAGTTAAATTCATAAAAAATTCTTTACTAAATAATGGTACTGGTTTGGGAATCTTGTATAACTCTAGCGGAGTAGTTGATGGGATTGGATTTATTTCAACATATTCTTCTAAAAATGTTGGGTCAGGTGGATAAATTATTAAATAATGAGGTATTAAAGTATTTAAAATTAATGAAATTAAAGGTAAACATGTAAATAATATAGGTTTTAAAATTAAATGAGTTATAATTAATGTAATACCAATAGTATAATAAGGATCCATCCAATTAACATATTTTAAAATTTGATTAAAAAAAATATAAGTATCTGAATTTCTTTGATGTAACATATTTGAATTTTTTTGCATTATTGCAAAACTTAAAGGTAATCTTAATTTTGCCATTGTTGTTCTATCCTGTAACATTTTACTTGTTTGATCATCATATATTTCGTTTGGAATTATCATTGAGATTGCCTTTTCCATAAGTTTATCAGCATAATAGTTGGGGTTTGATGTAGAAGTTGATGAAGTTGCTAAGTGATCGGAATTTGGTGAAGAACCGGTTGAATTATTTTTTTGTTGATCTACTTTAGTATTGGTGGTAGTAGCATCTACATTCTTGTTATCCGAATCTTTCCAAAATGAACTGAAATCTAAATCCAAAGATCGACGTTTTTTGGTAGGGGTTGATTGTAATTGTTGATTTAAGGACTGATTACTATGACTATTTTTAAGACTTCCGGAGGTTGTATTTGATTTACTTTCATCATCTTCAATTGATAGTATATTTCCCAACAAATTAGATACACTTTCCATTCTCTGATTTCTTTTCCTTTTAAAATCTTGTGGCAAATTTTGAATATTTTGTAAGGTTTGTGATAATGAAGGTAATGAAGTCAGTGCAATTAGTAAATTAGATTTTGGTTTATTATTGGTAAATGAGTGATTCTCTGTCTCGATTGTTCCTGATGATGTTTCTGAAGAGGTTTGAGTGGTGGTTGTGGTTACTGGATTGGTTAATTTAGATAGCAAATTTAATCGTTTCTTGGGATTTTTGGAGTTTGAATTTGATACAGTATCCAACTTGACTTATTTCTTTGAATATATATTGATTAACTTACTTCCTCCTCCAAAATCTCTGACCAATGAATTTTGATATAAAGTTCTTTATGAAAGGAAGCTTCCAAATGATTCAAATTAGATTAATTTAAAACTCCGAAAATTGAATCGCTTGATTACAAAGCTCTTTTGAATATGAATAAAACTTAGGAAAATGTCAATTGAATTGAAGTGATTTGAAACTAAGAGCTTAATTCACAATTTCACTATAAATTTTGGCAACCAAAAAGAATTGGTTGATATTTTAAAAAGAAGTTGCAACTTTTGTTTTTTATAACAAAAAATATTATCCCCAAATACAGATCGTTTTTTTCTTGCATATAAAAAGAAAACATAAACTCTACATAAAAAAAAGTTAAGAAAGATATACAGTGAAAACCAAATTTTTGTCGTTTGAGAAAATCCATTTGTCGCTCTCAGAAATTCTTTTTGTCGCTTCACAACAATCATTTAATTCGCTATTGAAAAATCTTTTAGTCGCACTATTAACTATGTAAAAACGAACAAAATCCATACAAATTGTGCGAATAAAACATTCTCTTTACAACGAAAGTTTGTCGATAGGTGGAGCGACAATTAAGATTTTCGAAAACGAAATTAAAATTTTTGAATGCGACAAAAAGTTGGTTTTTACTGTATTAATTCATTTATTGAATCATCACTTAATCATTATATATTAAATCATTTATTAAATCATCACTTAATCATTATGAATACTTTATTAGTACCACCACTAATAGTTGTAGAATCATCAAATGAATTATTTGGTGTTCTTAATGAATTATTTGGTGAACTATTTCTTAATTTTCTTGCTCTATTTTCAACATCACTTTCATTTTCTTGTTTATCACTTATTGATTCATGTTCATTTGAGTTATTTAATTTTCTTTTTCTGACTAATTTTGGTTGTGGCTTTTGTTGTTGATTATTATATTGTGTTGTCGTTTTGTTTTGTAATTTTGTTGGAGTTATTGGAGGAGTTAAAATTTCTTCTTTTATGAACACAACGTCATCTTCTTCTTCCTCTTGTTTAACGCACGTATTTTCAACTTTGACCATTGGATTTGATTCGGTTATGAAGTCTTCCTGTTTGATTTTTGATTCTTGTTTAATTAATGATTCTGAAGGATCAATGATAATTGATTTTTTAGCCTTTTTAATCGGTTTAATATATTCTTTTGCTCCATTTTTTAGTTTCTTCGAATCAATTTGTTCTTGAGTTAAAAATAAATCAGGAATTTCATTTTTTAATAATTTTATGAATTCATCACAATCGCATAAAATTTCATAATCAATGAAATTTTGCCATTGTTTACCTAGGCTAGTTTTATTTATAAATAAAACTTTACCATTTGGTTTTTTATGAATTTCATTTGCTAATGATTTAACTAATTTTTTTACACCATCTACTTTTAATGAAGTACCCATTATTATTAATAAATCAGGTTTTAATTTTAAATCATTAGATAAACCTAAACTTAATATTTCTGATTGTGGATGATTTTCTCCATATAATACAATATCTGGTCTTAATATACCTATATTTCCTGTTATTCTTTTACCCAGATATAATCTTTCTTCATATTTTGCATAACAATTTGAACATTCTGGATTTAAACCTTGATTAAATTGTGATTGATATTCATTTGACCAATTAAAATTTGCAAAACATTGAGTACAAGATAATTTATGTAAATTTCCATGTAATTGTACTACATCTAGAGAATTCCAATTTTCTTTAAATCTTTGATTTTTATTAGTAGTTATGTTACTGATTTGATTTTGATTATTATTATTATTATTATTTTCAAATTTTGAAATTTCAATTCCTAAATTTAAATTTACATTTTTTTCTAAAGAGTCGATATTTTGAGTATAACATCGAAGTAATTTACCTTTATCTTTTAAATGTTTTAAAAATTTATGAGTTTCAGTTGGTTTTGCTGATAAAGTACTTTTATATAATGATTCCATAAATGTACAGAATATACTAAGGGATAAATTATCTCTAAATAAATTTATATCAAATAAATCTTGACCTCTTACTATTGCTTTTGGATGTTTATGTTTTATCATATTATATAAACCATCAGTAGATCGGAAATCAGGTATGCCTGCATTACAAGAAATTCCAGCACCAGTTATTACAGTTGTTTTTTTAGATTTGAAAATATGTTTTATGGTTTCATTTAAAAGTATATGATCATCTGATGACAAGGATTCTATCCCACTTAGTATATCTATAGATGTAATTGAAGATTTTGAGGTGGGCATGATGGTAGTTTGAAAAATATGGGGGTAAAATCGGATTAACTGATACCAATCGATTATTGAGTTGTCCTTCTGTCGATTGGACTTGTAAATTGCTGGTATTTTTTGAAATTTTTGGTTGTCAATTAATTGTAAACTTTAAAGTGTATATCGAAATTGCAGCAAATATAAGACAATAGTGTGTGTCTTTAATAAATGAGACTTTATAATGTCAGCGGGTACGATTTAAACTGTTGACAAATGAATGTTTTAAGACCGATATCTGGTTTTACTATCTAAAGTAAGTTATTCACTTGTTAAAGGACATGAAAAAGAAAAAGTTATAATTATTATAAAATTACTTCTTTACTATTTCTTTGCATAATTCTGTTTGGTTCAAATTTCGTAATTTTTTTTTCTGTCGTTATGAACATTTAGTTACACAAAAATACAAAATATGAAACTACGTAAATTTGAAAATTCAAAATAATTTAACTTAATTTGGATTAAATCAAAACAAAGTGGTGTAACAAATTTGTGTCATCAAAAGAGCCAATTCTTTCATCAACGTTCATCATTTGTCACATCATAAACTACTCATTGCATTTTCTACGTAAGAAAAACTCGTCGAACTTGTATAGTTATCTATTATAACAAAAATATATAAAAAAAAAAAAAAATATTATCCACTTTGACTATTTACTGCTAATTCCATTATTAATCTAGTAGCTAAATGTAAAAAAGGATAAGCAGAGAAACTGCCAACTTCATCTAAATCTTGATGTTTATGATTCATTCTATTTTGTTCTTCTTGATCATTTACTTTTTTATTTAAATTTTCATCTTCTGATTCCCATCCATCAAATTTAAAATCAACTAAATAATTATTTGGTTCTAATTGAAATAGTTGTATTTGCATTTTCATTAAATTTGGTGTTGTTGATGATGCTTGACTTTCTGGATTATTACTAACATCATATTTCCATCTTACTCTTATTGTCCATAATTCTTCTTCTGTGGGTTTAGCCCATTCTGCTCCAAGATTTTTTAAAGCTCTATAAATTTCTCCCATAACATCTAATGGATATGATCTTGATCTTATTCCAAAATGCCATCTTGTTTTAGATTTTTTTGTTGGTTGTGGTGATTGTATTTGTGAATTTGGTTGATGTTCACTCATATAAGCTCTATGAATTGATGGTAAACTTGAAGGTAATATTGCTATTGTTGAATTTGGTAATTGTGATAAATCTGGTACAGTTGCTAATGTTTGATAAGTTAATGATTGTTGTACTCCTGGTGCCGTACTTGTAGAATGTTGATTTGTAAAATGACCACCATTTGCTCCAGAAGGAGGAGGAGAAGAACTTAAGAAACTTTCAACATTATCCAGTTTTGATTTTTTTAAATCTTTAACTAATGAATGATTTTCTTTCATTAATAAATAAGCATCTAAAATTTCATTACTTTGATCTTGTGGTGAACTTTTCTTATTGCTTGTTTCTATTACATTTATAATTTCATCTCTATCATAACCCATTGTAACTTTTAATGCTCTTATAACATCTTCATCTATATCAATTTTATTACGTTTATCTTTTTGTTGTGGTAATAAATATTCTGGCATATCCTTTTTAAACCATTCATCTTCCATTATTTCATGAATTGTTATTCTATTTAAGGGGTTCACAACCAACATTCTAGTTAATAAATGTTTAGCACCTGCACTTAGATAATTAGGTAAAGTATAAACACCATTACTTATTTTTTTAAATAAAGCAGGTATAAATTCATCATCAAATGGTAATCTTCCACATAACATTACATATAATATAACACCAGCAGACCAAACATCCACTTCAGGTCCAGCATATAATTTACCAGAAATAACTTCTGGAGCTGCATAATTTGGTGAACCACAACTTGTTTTTAAAAAATTACCATCAGTCATTATATTAGATAATCCAAAATCTGCGATTTTAACATTTAATTTATCATCTAATAATAAATTTTCAGGTTTTAAATCTCTATGAACAATTTTATGTCTATGACAATATTCAACTGCTGCAATAATTTGTTGAAAAAATCTTCTTGCTTCATCTTCTGGCATTTTACCAGTTTGTACAATATAATCAAATAATTCTTTTCCTGCAAATTCAATAACCATTATAATATCATCTTTTGATTTTATAACATCATATAATTTAATAATATGAGGATGTCTTAATAATCTTAAATATGAAATTTCTCTTTCAACTCTACCTTGCATATCTGATTTTGCTAAAGTTTTACGATTTATAATTTTTAATGCAACTCTTTGTCCTGTTGCTAAATGTTGTGCTAATTTAACTTTACCAAATGAACCTTCTCCTAAAGTTTTTAGTACTTGATATTTTCCAATTCTATTTTCTGGATTTACATTGGGATCAATTGGTATTGGTTGTTTATCAGAATGATGATGTCCATGATGGTGATGATGATGATGTGAATCTTGTTGTTGCTGTTGTGTTTGCTGTGTTTGAATCTGTTGTGATGGATGTTGTTGAGATTGTTGTTGAGAATGTTGTTGCTGCTGATTAGATTGTTGATTTTGATCATTCTCCGAAGATCCATGATCCATCAGTATATCTTGTGAATCAGACATGGTACTTTATATATAAATGTGGGATTAAACAATAGTGATTGTCAATTTTAAGTGTAATAGTCCTCCTTTAAGGTGATATAATAATAAGGATTAGATTAAGTAAAATTCGTTGGTAAAAAAAAAAAAGTAAGACCAATATGAATCATGCTTTGTGTAACATAATTTTAATCAATACTTACCGTACCAAATGGGACATAGTTTAATAGGTATAAATGCATCATAGAATTAAAGAAATAGACCTATCCAAGTCATAATGACAGAAAAGATCATATTACAAGCACAAAAACATCTACCCAATATAGATTTAAAACTAATATCACAAGGAGCAGAAGCATTAGTTTTTCAAACTAAAACTCATCCATATTCACACCACCCAAATTTAAAAAATCATCAAAATTTTATAATAAAATTTAGACCTTCAAAACCTTATAGACATCCAAAAATAGATTTACAAATTAATAAATCACGTACAATTGGAGAAGCAAAATTTATATATAAATTAAATAAATTAGGAATTGAATCACCATCATTAATATCTTGTGATTTTAATAATGGAATAATATGGATGGAAAATTTGGGTTCATATTTACCAAATGGTAATATAAGTTCTTTTAAAAATTGGTTATGGTATTTGGAAAAAAATAATTTAGATTGTACCAGTGATGAGGTAAAAGATGTTTGTTTCAAAGTAGGTGAATTAATTGGTAGACTACATTTAAATGAAATGATTCATGGAGATTTAACAACTTCAAATGTTATATTGACAGATAATGATGGTAATTGGAAACCAGCATTAATTGATTTTGGATTATCTACATTTTCAGGGTTAGCAGAAGATAAAGCTGTTGATTTATATGTTCTAGAGAGAGCTATTACAAGTACACATTCAGTTTTTGCAGATAAATATAATCAATGGTTATTGGATGGATATGAATCAGTACATAGTCTGAAAGAATTCAAAAAAATTGGTAAAAAGAAGTATGACGAAACCATACGAAGATTAGAAGATGTTAGATTAAGAGGTAGGAAGAGAAGTATGTTGGGATGAAAAATAATATTGTTTGTACATGCATTAAACCTAATTACCAACTTTTGGAACCCGATCTCAATACTATTAGCTATTTACCATCACCGCTTACGTCAAATCCATTAGCTAACCTTATTTTATCCCAATGCGATAGTTGTTCATGATCCTCAATTGAGCCTTGTCCATTATTTACGTAATTCTCAGTATTTTCAAAATTAGTTCCATGTGTATTATCTTTCCAACTTTCTTGTTTATAGACATTAGGATTAAAACTTATTTTATTATAATTCTCCAATTTTTCTTCATCTGCTTTTGATTCTACAGGTTTTTTTAATTTCGGATCAATTTTAATAGTTCTTGGATCTTTTAATTTAAAATTTGGATCTTTTGAAGATTTTAAATAATAAAAATAAAATGCAGGAACATTTTGCCAATCCATATGTTTCCATGCATTTAATTGTGCTTGATTTAAATTACCACTATTCAGTTCTTTATTAAAAGTTATTCTTGTAACTAATGAACTTACAAACATCATTGTTCCCAACCCAACAAAAAATGATAAAAATGGTTTTTGAATAAAAGACAGTTTTGTAACAGTTTGCTTTTTGTAAAATTTATAGTATATAGTAGGTGTTAAAAGTCCTACCATACCTCCAGTATATCCAATTATATTATTCTTCACTAGTATTGATTGTAATTCATCTTTTAATTTTATGCGATCTTGTACTGTTAAATCTTTATCTGCATTATAAAAATCAATTGAAGCTTGAAATTGTTTTGGCGATAGCTTTGTTTGTAAGTAGCTAGTGTCAGGTGATTGCGTAGGTTGATTGGGGTTTGAATCAGTCATTATGAATGAAATTGAATGGTGAAGCAAAGTCAATTGAAAGTGACATAAATTATTTTGAAAAAATAAGTAACAATTCTTAAGAGGTAATTATTTACAGAGGTTTTTTTAATGCAAAAATAAATACTTAATCTTCAATTTTAAAATTCATTATTTAATCTACTCAATAGAATTGTTACAATTATGAATTTGCTTTTGGAGTATTAACATCAAATCCATGATGTAATTTAACTCTATCCCAAACACCTAAATCATGTTTACCACCTTGATTATCAGATTTACCTAAACCAATAGAGTTAACAAAATTATGTTGATCTTTATCAATTTCAGCTTCATTTGAACAAGTTCTTGGATCTCTTATTATAAACATTGGATTTAAACTTGTTCTAGTATAATATAAAGTAAACATTGGTAAATTTTGATAATCCATATTTTGCCAAACATCATAAACATTTTTATTGGGGAAATCTTGTTTATTATTTTTATATTTATTATAATAATATCTTGTTGATAATTGATTACTTATAATTAATGAACCAAATCCAATACAAAATGATAAAAATGGATTTTGAATTAAAAAAAATGGATTTGGTGGAGGGATTTTTCTAATTTTATAATAAAGTGATGGACCAAAAAATCCAAACATACCTGTTGTATAACCTATAATATTTGATTTTAATGATATACTTTGTAATTGAACTGCTAAATCTACTCTATCTTTATGATCTAATCTTTGATCTGCTTCATAAAAATTAATACATTTTTGAAATTGATCAGGAGTTAATATATTTTTTAAAGGATTTGAAGTAGCCATTTTTGTAATATTTGAATTGGTTATTGATTGATAAATTTGTAATTGATTTATAAATTTGGTTAGTACGTTAGTAAAAAAAACTGAGTAGGTCAATTGATATCTGGTGATTTGACTATATATATATGAATGACGAAACAATTGTACGTATAAACTTAAAACATTCTATTAACCTTCTTATTGACTCTAAATTAATCTAATCCGATTCATCATTGACTGATTACGTAATGGATCGGTATATATTTAAGTTAATTGCTGCATACATTTTAAAAAGAGTACAAAATCGAGATTTCATATTTCCATGATTTCTAAATAGTTCTATCAATTTAATTCAATATACTTGTACTAACAACAGGGTTATTAAATTTGTCTAACCTATATGTATATAAAGAACTCTACAAAGCGGCTGTACGCATGATATTATATTTCAAATCTGTATAATCATATGATTTAACTATCTAATTACAATTTATTTACAATTTATTATCAGCTCTTTTATCATCTTTTAATTGTTTCAACAGTTTTATAACTTCATCAACATTAATCATAGCATTTTTACCTTGTTCTTCTGGTATATCTCTATTTCTAACATTAACACCATAATTATCTTGTTCTTCTTGACCAACAATAAAAATAAAATTATATTTAAACATTTGACCAGTTCTTACTTTTTTTGGTAAAGTATTACCACTTATATCAATATCACAATAAAATTCTTCATCATTAAATATTTTTTTTAATTTTTCTCCATATTCATAAAATTTTGGTCCAACTGGTACAATTAAAATTTGTCTTGGTGATAACCAAAATGGCCATTTACCTTTATAATGTTCTGTTAAAATAGCTGTCATTCTTTCAACCGATCCTAATATTGCTCTATGAATCATAACTGGTCTTGCATTACCTTCTTCTGAAGTTTTAAATTCTAATTCAAATCTAGAAGGTAATTGAAAATCTAATTGAATAGTAGCACATTGAAACCACCTTTTTAATGCATCACTTATCATAATATCAATTTTTGGACCATAAAATGCTCCATCACCAGGATTTAATTCCCATTTATCTTTACCTAAAAATTCATCTAATGCATTTGCTAATTTAGATTCAGCCGAATTCCAAGTATTTAAATCACCAACATATTTTTCAGGTCTTGTTGATAATTCCATTTTAAATTCAAATCCAAATATACCATACATTTTTTTTAATAAATCAAAAACTCCTGCAATTTCACTACCAATTTGTTCTGGAGTACAAAAAATATGCGCGTCATCTTGTTGAAATCTGCGCACTCTTGTTAAACCAGATAACGCACCTGAAAATTCATTTCGATGAATAACTCCAAAATCAGCAACTCTCCAAGGTAACTCTCTATAGGAACGTTCTCTTGACTTGAACATCACGCAATGACCAGGGCAATTCATAGGCTTCAATCCGTAGGTTTCTTTCTCTACTTCAAAAGAAAACATGTTTTCACTATAATTTTGCCAATGACCAGAAGTTTCCCATAATTTAGTTGAATACATGTTAGGAGTAATGACTTCTTCATAACCTCTTCTTCTATATTCATATCTTAAAGTATCAACTAAGGTATTATAGATTCTTGTACCATGAGGCAACCACATAGCTGAACCAGGTGACATATCACTGAAAAAGAATAATTCTTGCTCCTTACCAATTTTTCTATGATCTCTTTCTGCTGCTTCTTTTAAGAATTGTAAATGTTCAGTCATTAACTTCTTATCTGGGAAAGAAACACCATATATTCTTTGTAATGAATCATTTTTTGCATCACCTAAAAAATAAGAACTTGAATTTTTTAAAACTTTGAAAGCTTTAATTCTTCCAGAATGAGGAATATGTGGTCCAACACATAAATCAATTAATGGACCACATCTATATACTGTAGTTGAAGTACCATCTGGAATTTTATCTGAAATGAATTGAACTTTATATTTATTATATTTAAACATTTTTAATAAATCTTCTTTTGTCATTTCTAATCTTTCAAATTTTTGTTTTTCTTTTATTGCTTTTGTTGCAATTGTTTCTAAACTTGAATAATCACCTTCAACAACAAATTGAGTTCCATCATTTATAGACATATCATAAAAAAATCCATCATCTGTTGGTGGTCCATGAGATAAATGACAACCATAATGACATTCACAAGATTCCCCTAAAATATGAGCTGAAGAATGCCAAAATACTGCTTTACCTTCGGGATGATCAAAATCTAAAAATTCTAATAAAACTTCTTCTTGATCTTCAAAAGGTCTAGGCATATCCCATAATTGTCCATTAACTTTTGAAATAACTTGTCTCTCAGCAAATGATTTCCCAATTGAATTAGCAATATCTAATGGTGAAGTTTCAAAAGATATACCTTCTTTTATTGTACCATCTTTTAATTTAATTTGTATTTTAGTTCTTGGTTTTTGAGCTATTATTTCATCATATTTTAATTTTAATTCATCAAATAATTTAATTCTTTCTTCTAAAAATGCAGGTTGTGGATCTAAATATAATGATGAATTTGTTCCTGATGCATTGGCTGCTTTTTTCTCCTTTCTTGTACCTCCTTGTTTTTGTTTTGTTTCCTTTGGTTGTTTTTGTTCATTTGATTTATTTTGTTCGCTTGGTTGTTTTTGCTCTTTTGGTTCTTGATCTTTAGATTGTTCTTTAGAATTTGAATTCGATACTTGATCTTTAGATTTAATTGGCTCTTGTTGTATAGGTTTGTTATCTTCAACGGATAACTTGTCCACTTGTTCAGCTACACCCGACATTTTTTTTCAATTAACTGAAACGAAAGAAAACGAATGTGTGAAGGTAGTTGATAGTTCTAGTTTGTTCAAAGAGGATACGTTTTTCTATCTTGACTCAAAAAAAATTTGAAAAATTGTTTTGTTTCATTGTCGCTTTTTGTGTCACTTTCTGAATATTAGTACGAGATTATGAGAATAATGGAATAGATGAACTAATAGATTCTATGACTAATACAAGAACGTGATAGCATCTCGTAATCTAACGATAATAGTTATAAACATATATTTAATCAAACAAAAGATGAACTAAAAACTAAAGAAGTAAATCAACAATACCATCACATTTATGAACTTTCTTTTTGTACATTTATTAATTTAACCAAAGGACTTAAACTTTCAACATCATCACTTTCTAAAATAAATTTATCATGTAATAATTCATCAGCATTAGCTCTTCTATTAAAATCAACTTGTAAACACCAACTTAAAAATTTTCTAATATCATAACTTAAAGCTTCAGGTTCCTTTAAGGAAGGAGTACCATTAGTTGCAATAAGATATAAAGCTCTAAGTGGGGTTTCATTTAAATATGGTGGTTCACCTTCAATCATTTCAATCATCATTATACCTAATGACCAAATATCAACTTTTGGACCATATTCTTTACGGGAAACAACTTCTGGAGCCATCCAATAAGGAGTACCAACCATTGTTGTTCTTTTTAAATGAATATCATTAATTTGTGCACAAAATCCAAAATCTGTCATTTTAATATTTCCATTAATATCTAATAAAATATTATCTGATTTTATATCTCTATGTATTACACCTTTTGAATGTAAAAATTTTAAACCTTTTAAAGTTTCTCTACATACTGCACCAATTTGTCCCTCTGTCATAACACTATGAGTTACAATTTCAGTTAATGATCCACCTTCCATATATTCCATTATAACCCATAAATCTCCTTTTAATAAATATGAATCAATGAAATTTACAATATTTGGATGTTTTGAACCTTTCATTACTAAAATTTCATTAATAATTAATTCCTTTTTAGGTTGTTGTTCAAGATTCATTTGTTTTATTGCAACAGTTCTTTGTAAATTTGAAGTTTCATGAGCTATAAATACTCCACCTGATGCTCCTTGTCCAATTTTAATTAAATCAACATATAATTCATTTGGATCTCCCTTTGTACATATACTTTGTAATTTTGCAATAATTTGTTGATTTTTTCTTTTCTTTTCTTCTCTCTTTTTTTGAGCTATTAATGCTGCTTGTTTTGCATCTCTTACCGGTCCATTTGATGATGATGATAATTTTTTATTAGATGGGATTGGAACTGGAGGTTGTTGGCTCTGTTGTTGTTGTTGTTCGTTTTGCTCTTTTAATTGTTGTTGTTCTAATTTTTTAGCTTGTTGTTGTCTTTGAATTTTTTCCAATTCTTTTGCTTTTTGTTCTCTTAATCTTTGTTGAGCTTCTTGATATTTATTATGTTGAACTTCTTGAACATTTGAAGATGTAGTCACATCAGCTAATGCATTTTGAGAATTAGTTTTTGAATTTAAATCTTGATGTTGAGGAACAGGTGGAGGTGGAGGAGCTCTATGAGTTGTAAAATCTTTTTCGAATCTTTGTTTTGGTAATACATTGTTATTGTTGTTGTTTTGGTTATTTTCAAATTTAGCTGATGATGCAATCGGAGCAGTTGTTGAACCAGAAACATCAGGTTTAATTTTGTTAGATAATGAAGCTGAATGAGATTTTGATTTAGGTATATTTGAAGAAATTGGAGGAGGTGGTGGAGGTGGAGCTATATTTGTAAATGAACCATCATTATTATTGTTTTTGCCAAATCTCATTGATTTAATTGATTTTGATGATAATGAACGAGTTTTGAATTTATTTGGTGATTTTTCACTTGTATTATCAAGTTGTCTTTGATTACTTTTTTGAGAAGAAGGTGTTCTGTTTACACTAGTAGATGATGCTGGAGTTGAAGGTGGTTTTGGAGCAGGTCTGCTTGGGATAAATTGATGTTCCTGTGTTCCTCCTGGTGTTTTAGGAACTTGTTGAATATGATTGTTTGATTCGTTTGTTTGTTGTTGTTGTTGTTGTTGTTGTTGCGGAGATGGAGGTGGAGGAGGAGCTTTTAATGGTGGACCATTCAATTGTTGTTTTTCAAAATATGAAGTTGGAGGTGTTTGTTGTGATGACGATGAACCGCCACCAGGTGTAGCAGGAGGAGTATCACTTCCTAACCAACTTGAATTACTTTTATTATGATTATCAAATTGAAATTTTTTAAATGCATGATCATCTGGATTTTCATTAGTATCTTGATAAAATGCAACTATATCCATAACAGCTTGAGGGTGTTGTTGTTGTTCTCTTTTTGATATACCACTTGCTGCTAATAATCTTTCCCATTCAACTGGTAAACCAGTATATGAACCATTATCATCTACTCCAACATGAGCTACATGTTTAGCATTAAAAGGTGTACTTATTTTCATATTCAACTCAGGTGATTGAGATCCCATTGGTTGTTGTTTATGTTTACTACTAAACATTGACAGGAAAACTTCTCTTACTTTGTACCCACTTTTCCTCTTCTTACCATTCTTTGGAGAATTATTAGATTGATTTAATCCAATTGATAAATTATCTCTTGGTGATGATGTACTTATTGTACTTTGAGTATGATTGTTGATGGAAGATGAAGATGGAGTATTATTCAGATAAAATTTTTGTGAAGATTGTTGAAGTGGTGTTACAGCCGCTGTTTGATTATGAGCTGAAGTAGTATTTGTCTGATTTGGATTTATAGTTTTAGGAGTTCTAACTACTGTTGATGTTGAGGAAACATTTCTACTAGATGCTGGTCGCTGCTCTTCTTCTTCTGGACCTACAGATGGAGTTTGATAATATTGTTGTTTCGGGGTTTCAGTTGAATTTGATTTAGTTTCAACTTTAGGTTTAGATAGTGTTTGCACTGGTGATGAGTTTTCATCAATATTTTCATCATCAATTGTAGGAATTTTTTGTAATAAATCATTTTTCAAAGGATTTTTAGAATTTGAATTAAGTGAAGAGGAATCATCTTCATTAATATCATTATTTGTTAAATAATTATTTATATCAACTGGTGATTGAGTTAAGATATTATTCTCTGGTTTTCCTGGATCTAAAGTGGATTTAAAATTTGAAATATTTGAAAATCTAGTTGAATTTGGATTTGAAGGTATTTGATGATTTTGATTGAAAATATTACTTGAAGTTGTCAGCTGACGTGATTGAGGTTCATCTTGTATATTATTGATATTTGAAGATGACAGTATAGCTGATGATTCATGAGTAGTAGTGTTAGCACTCTCATTTTGATCATGATCATGAGGGCTATTCTCCAGTTGTTCATAAATTTTGGAACTTGATTCATTCAGAATTATGGTATTATCATGAGTTTTCTCATCATTAACTTCCTCTAATATAACAGGTGGTGAATTATTACTTAATATTTGATCATTTGTTGAGTTTTGAGCAGGACTTTCAAAAGTTCCAGGACTAAAAGAATCTTTACTTTCATTTTTATTTATAGTTTGTCTTAATTGATTATATTGTTCTTCTTCATTTTCATCATCTCCAGTTTTTAATGCATTAACATTAAAAGTACCTGGCATTCGAGGTGGCATACCTTGATTTATTTCATTTATACTATCTTCTTTTGGTATTGATTCTTCCTCTATTCTTTGTTTTGATTCTGAATCTTTTGTTTTCAAACTTGAATGTGAAGCTATGGAATCGTCATGATGTCCATTTTGTTCATAAGATTCGTTTTGATTATTAGATGTAAATTGTGATTTTTTTTCTTGCATAGGAGATCCTAAACTTAAAGAAGAACCATTATTGGACGATATTGTATTATTTTCAGGTGGTTGTAAGTTTAATTGTTCTAGTTTTGAATTGATATTTGAATTATCTGTTTCTTTTAAATTATTATTATCAGATACATGTGATTGATTAAATTTTGAATTATTTTGTAGTTCAGATTGATGATGTAGACTTATGTCTTCATCATTTTGTGAGCTCATACTGATTTAGTTGAATATATGGTGAATGAGTGTGAAAAAGTCTTTATTGAATAGGTTTTGAAAAATTTGTAACGTGTGGGTTTATGATATTTTATAAATAATTTTTTTTAATTAATATTATGATACCCCAGGAAATTCTGAAATTAGTGTTGATGGATGATTGTAAGGTTTTATTAGTATGTAATGTGATATCTAACAAGTGTAGATCTATCTGATAAGTCGTATGTGGATATGTGTTAAAGTATGGATAATTTAAATTGAGTTGAAGTTTTGTATGTATATTTTAATATTGTTGATGTTTTAATAATTAATTTAAATTTAATTTTATTATCAAAAAAAAAGAGAGAAAGAGAGATTCATAATAATTAAATATTATTATTTAGTTATATCGTTAATCTACAGAATATAAATTGTTCTTTAAAACATTGAGTATTTTACGTGTATTCCATCAATATCTGTCTACATACCACTCTCACATCAAACTTGTTGTTCAAGAAAGGTGCTTTTACTGATGGTAAAATTTTGAAACTCGTTCAATTAAATTTGAAAAAAAAAAAAAATTCAAATTAAAAAAATTGTTGAACAAAACTGAAAAATTGAATCCTTTAATTTATTATTTTAATACGTAGAGTACAATAATACATAACCATGTTAATAAAGCCAGTGCAATAAGGGTAGATTGACACAATAGCAACCGTATATAGATACACTATGCTAATCATCTTCTATCAGTTCATTGAATGAGCTTTTGTTTCGTTTTTAAATTGATAGTAATAATTATAGAACCATATTATTCAAGTTAACCCTTCATTTTGAAATTATTTTAATACAAATACTAGACGAAATAAACTTTATAGTAGAAGCACATCCATACCTACATACTAAATTTCTTTACAGATCCATACCTACATAATAAATTTTTTTACAAATTAACACTACCAGGATTTTGAAAAAGTATAATCAGTTGAAAAAGATGTCCATTTTCAGTTTTATTATCAAGCTTTTCTTAGCATTTGAACAATTTGAATTAGCCTAAGTACTATTTGATAATGTTAATTGAACGGCATATATTATGAAGTCGTTTAAATTTGAAACTAAGAAAGCACAAGTGTACAAAAGTAGATACGGCTCAATTTAGTACAAAAATAATTGACCAGTCTAAGGGCAGTTAAATTTAATCAGGTCCTTTTTTTTTCTTGTTCCAGGGTTTAATTACTTTTTATTAAGGATCTGTAATCGTTATCCTCGTTTCATTTCACACCCAATTGTCTAAAAATTTGGTCCTCGTTATAAAAAATTAAAAACATTGTAAATCTTTTTCAACGTTTTGAATCATTAGGTCGGGAAAAATCAAAAAATAAGAGGAAGTATTGTGTCGAGTCCAACACAAGAATAATCTTAAAACCGTTGATGTTATTATGCAGGTAATTTATATCTTCGTATAAAAATTCGTATTTACGTAACTAATCGATCACATGATTTACCAACAAACGAAGAGTAAATTTTCAAATATAATAGCATATGCTAAACCATCAATTGAATTAAATTTTTTTATAAAACGACTCATGCTTTACAGGAATGATATGTACTTCTATTATCTAGCTAACTAACATTATGTTAAAGTCAACTTTAACTCTTTTTACCTTTTACAAAAAATATACCTAATTCTTCATCAAATATAAATTTATTTTTAAATAAATAATCTTTAACAAATTTTCTAATAATACTTTGACCATTTATTGAATGTATACCTCTACCAGTTATAATTAATAAAGGATCAATAAATTTTATAATTGAACCATATTTATTTAATTTACCATCTTCTATTCGAAGCTTCAACTCAGTTGACCACCAATTTTTTAAAGTAAATTTTATTAATTGTAATGATTCTATTGATGTTAATCTATGTAAATCTAATTCTGAATTTTGTAGATAATTGTTATACCTTTCTAATTGTATTGAATTTAATGATGATGTTGAAGTTGATGTTGTTGATGATAATTGTGAATTTGATCCAGATGATCTTCTTCTTTTAGTATTATACTTTTCAAAATTTTGATTTAAGGAATTATTTGAATTTTCAACATATGGAGTAAATGACATAGTAGTATTAGGTATAATTGGAATAGATTTTGTAACTTTAGATTTCCCATTCTTTTTAAATGCAGAACTTAAAGAATCTGGTTTATTTTCATTTAATTCAAAAGCTAATTCAATAACTTTTTCACAATTTCCTTGAAAAAATTCTAATGCTTTTATTAAAAATTCCTTATTTAAAAATTGTAATGATTTATTTGTTGAATAAATATGCCATAAATCTAAAACTTCGGGTAAATTTGGATTATATTTATAAGTTGATGAAACTAATTTTGTTGTTGTTGTAGTTGAAGGTTTTATTTTGGAATTTAAAGTTCTTGAAATCCCACCTCTTTGAACTCTACTACTACCATTAGATTTCGGAACTATTTGAATTGATTTTTTAATTTTTGGTTGACATTCATTAATTATACCAATTAATGCATCATAATAAACATTTTGAGATTTTCTAATATGATGAATAATATCTTCTTCATTTAAATATAATTTTAAAGATTCTGTATCTGGATCTTTATTTTCATCATTATTTTCATTATTACTTATATTAGTTTCTATATTTAAAATTTTTTTAATACGATCAACTAAATTTGAAACTTGAAACCATTGATTTTGATTTTGAGTTTGATTTTGATCTTGTCGTTTATTTTGAACTTGTTGTTGATCCTCAATTGTTTCATCAATATTTGGATTTGGATTAGTTAATAAAGAATTTGAAGTTTCATTAATATCTCCATTATTTTGTTTTAATACAAAATCTATAATCTTTAATTCAATTTGTGGAAATAATTCTTTTAAAAAATAAACATCTTTAGATAATGAATCTCCTGGATTAATTATTAATGATTCTTTTGATGATTGATTTGATTTGATAGTCTCTTCTTCTTGTTGTTGTTGTTGTTGTTCTTCTTGCTCTTCTTCTTCTTCTTCTAAAATATCTCTAGATTCAGTTTCAATAAATAATTCTTCAATTAATTCATCAAAATTTTTAGTTGAATTTAATCTTATTTTTAATTCTGATTTTGAGAATTTGGGGAATAAATCAGCTAATGAATCTAATAAATTAAAATATTCATGATCTGAATCTGACAAATCTTCTGATGAATTATTTTCATTATTTTCTTCATCTGTTGAGGAAGATGTTTTACTAGATTTATTGTTATTAAGTCCATTTCCATTGGTTTCATTATTTGATTGATTAGAAACTGCTGGTGTTGATTCCAATTTATTTTGAATTTTAATTCCATTTTTAACTTGATCTGAGCTTACATCTTCTAGAGTTAATGTTTTATCCTCAGTTTCTTCAGTATTAATTATTGATTTATCCTCATTTTTATCCTCATTTGTCTCCTCAATTATTGTTTTCTCCTCATTCTCCTCAGCATCATTTACTTCAAATTTATCAATTGGTATAAATAATGGACATTGTAAATGATCAGTACAAGTAATATTCAATTTTTTAAGTAAATTAATACAATCAAATTCACAATTTTCATTCTCTTTCTTTAAATTGTCATTTTTTTTCACATCACCATTTTCTATAACATTTTGATTATCTTGAAGATCATAAATCTCATTTTCAATAATAACTTGATATAATGAATTTTCATCTTTCCAATTAGTAAATAAACATAAAACAATAATTAATAAACCTTCATCAAATCTAACTAAACATTTTAATTGTTGATAAATTTCTTTTGTCATACCTTTTAAACCATTAAATTTTTGAAAATTTAAAATATTATTATAATTAAAATTTAATTCATTATTACCATTACTAATTAAATTTAAAATAATTAATTGTTTTGGAGATATATAATTTAATGAATTTAAAATTTCGGTAATTGAAACATTTAAAATTGATGATAAATAATAGACTATTGAATCATTATAAAAATTTGTTAATCCAATTAAATCAATTTTGTTAAAATCCAAGTTCTTTAATGTTGATTTTAAATTTATTAAAATTTCTTTATTTGATATTATATAATAATTTGATGATTTTATATAACCTATTCCTTCATAAGTTGTATTTTGAGATGGTATTGATTCAAACTTTTTTAATAAGTTAATTTCCAGTTGTAAATTTTGTAACGAATTTTGATCGAATTTCTTGATGTGTTCATCTTGATTTGAAGATTGTGATAAGCTTGATGTATTAGTGAATTGGTGAATGGTTGGCATTGGCTTTGAATATTTGAGCGCTTATTTAATGAGAAACTGTGAATTGGACTTTATAATTGTAATTTTATTGTTAATCTAAATCATTCAATGGTGATTGTATTAAAGTTGTTGAGATTAAGGTTTTTTATTGAACTTTAGTTGATTTAACTTTAATATCCTTGACTGAAGTTGGTTGAGACAGACTTTTGTTGAAAAGAATTATTGACTCATTAATGCTAATTTATATACTATTTTGAATCTAATTTGTTGAATTAAATTAAAAATTTCATAAATGTTTCATAAATGTTTCATATGTGTTTTTTAATTAAACACTAATTTGATACCGTTGAAACTATCACAAAATCAATTTATTCTGATCAAAACTAATTTGGTAGTAAGTGCGGCATCGTAAAACCTAAAAGCAACTATTATCAGTTAAATGGTTCGGGGCTAGTTTTATACAACGTCTTTTTCTGTTATTAAATGAGCCCTTCTTTATTTGGTTTGATTACTATAAGTTAGTAGAGTGAAGGCTATAATTGCATGTTTTGTGAAATACAAATTTCATTAATAAATTTTAATATTGATCGTGTGAGTCTAATCTAATTTTCTTTTATCTTATCAAGTAATATTGCATAATCACTACTTTTGGTCAAACCGATCAACATACAAATTTTGAACATTGGTTTGAGTAATACATCAGTGTCACTGTATTATTATTAACCTTCCTCTTATTCACGAGCCTTCATACAATTTGGTTAAATCAAGTAGCAATTATTATAATTTCAATATACACAAAAAATTGAAAGTGTTAAGAAATTTTTCTTAAAGTCAATATCCGGTTATAAAAATTTAAGAAAAATAAGTACAAGTATTATATAAAATGTGATTGATCACGAGGAATTGAAATTAATTAAGTAAGTAGATCAATCAATTAATAGATCTAAATCGAGTGGTTTAAGCTTAAACTTTGAATAAATTTTAGGCTCATAATACATAGATTAGATATAAAATTATATTGAGCCACCGCTTAATCTAAGTTCTAAATTTTTTTTAAGCGATAGTGAGAAACCTTAAAATAAAAAATCACCAAATTGAAAATTAGATAATAATAATCAAACAATAATTAAACAAATTGAATAAACATATACATAACAAGGTATAATGACTGAGAATGTACCTCAATTTAATATACAACCACCATCTAGACAAGCATCATATAGAACTGATTCATTACCACTGAATAGAAATATACCATCATCATCATCTACTACTACACAATCTTATCAACAAAATCAGAATAGCAATCCCTCAATTAATGAAAATTCAAGAATAGAAGTACCATTAAGTGATTCTAGAAGAAGAAATTCAATTGATTTACAAAATAATGGTAAAAATGAATTAGCTGATGGTTTATTAAATAAATTATCAAATTCACTGTCAAGTAATTATAGATTTATTAATTTTAAACCTAAAAATTCAAATTTAGAAGATCATAATCAAAAACAATATAAAAAACAAGTATCATTTGATAATATGAATATTTCATATGATGATGATGATGAACCTGATTCGGATGATGATGTTGGTTGGGAAATTTATAAAATGAAACATGGTCAAAATTCTTCAAAAAAATTACCTGGTTATTCAAGAGGTAGAGATTTATCACCTGGTCCAGGTAGATTGTCACCAATGAATTCTCCAAGAAGAAATTCACTGAATTATGAAGAATCAGATAGATTAGATTATGCTGAATTAAGAAGATTTGAAAGACAATTAGTTCAATATCCAACTCAACCAATAACTACTTTACGAGCTTGTTCAATTACTAGAAGACATAAGTTATATGAGAAATTATATAATGGAGAATTATTACCATTAGTTCCTGTTTTACCTCATAGAACTATATTGGTTTATATAAGTGCAAGAATTCATACTTGGGTTGCTTTAGATTGGTTATTAGGATCATTTATAGAAAATGGTGATAAAATAATAGTATGTGCAACTGTTGATCCTACAATTTTCCAAGAAAAAAAAAAAAAAAGAAGAAGAAGTTATGGTTCAAGATCAAGATCACCTTCCGTTTATTCTGATCCATTAGAGAGATATGAAGAAAGAGCACAACCTGAAAATATGGTAACAATAGCGAAAGATTTAATTCAATATATCATGCAAGTAATAAATCCTGAAATTATAGCAAGAGTTACAGTAGAATTAGTTGCTGGAGAAACTAAAGATGTTTTAAAAGATATGTATAGATTATATGAACCAAATTTGGTATGTACTGGTACAAAACCTAATAAAAATGTTGGAGCTCCACTAAGATCTTGGCATTCATCAAAACTTACAGATAGATTAGTTAAAAATTATCCATTACCAGTTATTGTTGTTCCATCAGTTAATATGTGTGATTATGAAATTTCTTTACAAAGTAAAATTAATCAAGAATCAATTGAAAAATCTAAAAATTCAATAAACCGTAATAATGAAGGTTATGATAGTGATACAGATAGTATTGCATCAAGTGAATCACTGACAAGTGATACATCTGCAACTTCATATAATTCATATGATGAAATTGCACATTTATATTTAAATTATAAAGATGATATAAATAAAGAATTAACTAAATTAAAGAAAAATCCAATAAATGAAGAATATTATGCAGATTTTGCAAAAGCAATTTCAGATAATTCATTAAATCTTTGTTCAGATATTATTGATGTTAATCCTGATTTTATAGGTGATGGTTCAAAATTAGCTCGTGCAATAACTGGTTCAAATTCTTTTGGTACAAGTCCCTACAAGACAAAATCATTATTAGAACCAGATGAGAAAAAAGAACAACCTAAAAAGGAAGCACCAAAAGAACATAAATTATCATTTAAAGAAGTTAGTGAACAATTAAAATTAAATAAATTAAAATCAAATTCTGGTTCAACTGAAACTTCACAATCTCCTAAAACTATACCAAATCAAGGACCAGATCATGATCATGATCATTCATCACCACCACCTCAAACTTTAAAATGGGGTGGATTAGAAAAACCAAATAAAGAAATCACAAATAGACAACAAAATTCATCCCATCCAAATCATTTAGCATTAAGTAAATGTTTAAGTGATGATATAGATACAAAACATAGAAATGATAGTAGAACAAGTCTTGATAGATTAAAATTAGAACCAAGAAAATCTCAACCTGGTATGACTGGATATTCAAGGGATCATAGTGATAATGGTGAAAAGAAAAAGAAGAAAAAGAAATTTTGGAAACTTTGGTAAATAGTTGGTATAGACTATAATATATTTTTGACGTCTTAAAATTTGTTTGTGTAGTGTAGTTTCAGATTTTTCTACTGTGTAGAATTTAATTTTTCAAATTTAAGTTTTTTCTATTCTCTTTTTAGCCATATGGTCCATCATTAGTTAGAATCATCATTAAAGCCAACAATGTATGCATAAACGAACCAAATGAAAACACTACTTCATTCACTTATCTCAATATTAATACTACTGCTCCAATGCATACTAGCCAATGAAGTAGAACAATTTCAATTCAATTATTTTTCGCAGGACGAAATTAATTTACAACAACAGAATTTAACTAAAGATATAAAACATTTTAATCAAATTAAAAGGAAAACTAATTCTGAAGGATTACAAGAATTTACTCCTATAATTGATACAATATTACAATCAGAAATTAAATATTATTCATTTAGTGTAAATACATCTTCAGGTTTAGGTGAATTTTATGAACTTTTAATTTTTTTATCAGGTAATATATGTACTCAACCAGATAATATACCATTTAATCAAACTAGTCTTGCTGTATATTATAGTTTTAATTCTACAATGTTTACTAATAATGAAGTTGGACAAATGAAATTATTTCAATATGGTTATTTCCAAGCATTAGCTGATTTACCAATAAGTGCTACATCAACTACTTCATCTATTCCAACTCCTGGAGTTATTCCAAATCCTGCAGATGATGAAAAAATTTTATATATTGCTGTTAGAGCTCCTCAAAATATAAATATAACAGCAAGTTGGACATATCAAATTGGTGTATCACAAAATGATTTAGTTTTTCAATGGGATGATAGAAGTTTTGGATCAATAGTTGATGCAGATGATAATTCTGCATTAATTGTTACAAATAATTTAACTGCTTATGCAGATGATTGGGAAAAATTTAATGCTTCTGATTCAAGATATTTTTTATATATATATTCATATGAAAATAAAGATTATTTTGAAAAAATGAATAATTCTTGGTGTGCTGTTAGATCAGGTCCTGCAATAAGAGGTCCTCATAATATAGAAAGTTCTTTTACTACAAGAAATGGTGGAATTCAACAACAATTTATGGTTAAAGATTTAAATGAATCAACTAAATATATTGCTTATGTAGTTGCAGATTTTGGAGGTACAAATTTTGGTGGAGCATTATATCATCCTTTTGAATTTGAAACTATGTCTGGATCATCTTGTGAATTAATTTATGATTTAGAATTTTGTGATAGAGTTGCTTATAGTGTTCCTGCTTTAGGAGATCCCCAATATAATGATGATAAAAATGCAACAAAACATATTTATGATGATCATGCTAAATTACTTTATGAAAATTTTAGTAAAGCTATTCAACAAATTGCTTGTGATACTGTTCCAGAAGCTATATATTCAAATTTAAGAACTTGTGAAGATTGTGCAGAAAGTTATAAAGATTGGCTTTGTGCTGTTTCAATACCAAGATGTGTAACTCAAAATTCATCTTCATATATGCCTAGAAATTCAACAAGTCAAAGAAATTCATTTATGATAGATGTTATTTCTCCTCAAGAAGATTATTATGAAATTTTACCTTGTGTTAATGTTTGTCAAGCAATTGTAAGAAATTGTCCTGCAGATTTTGGATTTATGTGTCCAACAAGAAATGAAAGTATTGCATTAAGTTATTATTGGGATTTAAATACTAGTGATCAATGGCCAAGTTGTAATTATGTTGGTAAAATGGCTAAACCAAGTAGTTGGGCTTATAAATTAGTAGCAAATAATTGGCTTTTATTAATAGTTGTTATATTTATACAAATTTTATAGAGTAAATTAAAGTAAGGTATACTTTTGTAATTTTGTGTATTTATATATTTTTACGCGTCAGATTTTTGAAACATCAATTCTTCAGATCAAACGAGTAACGTACCAATTATCATTACCATCATCACACAACTGATTCAATGTCAAATAAGAATAGGGATAACCTACCATGGTATGTCTGATATCTAACGTGTTTGTTTGGTACTTAATACTAACTCATTCTAGGGTTGAAAAATATCGTCCTGATAATCTACAGGAAGTTTATGGTCAAAATGAAATAGTAACAACCATTAAAAAATTCAATGAAACCGGAAAATTACCTCATTTATTATTTTATGGACCTCCAGGAACAGGTAAAACCTCAACAATTATTGCATTAGCCAAAGAAATTTATGGACCAAATTACAAAAATATGGTATTAGAATTAAATGCATCAGATGATAGAGGTATAGATGTTGTACGTAATCAAATTAAAAATTTTGCATCAACAAGACAAATATTTACAAGTAATAATTCACCACAATTTAAATTAATTATATTAGATGAAGCTGATGCAATGACTTCAGTTGCTCAAAATTCTTTAAGAAGAATAATTGAAAAATTTACAAAATATTGTAGATTTTGTATATTAGCAAATTATTCTCATAAATTAAATCCTGCATTAATTTCAAGATGTACAAGATTTAGATTTCATCCAATTGATGAAGAAAGTATACGTCAAAGAATTGAAAATGTTATAATAAAAGAAAAAATTTCAATTACTCCTGATGCTTTACTGTCATTATTAAAATTGTCTGGTGGTGATATGAGAAGAAGTTTAAATGTTTTACAAGCATGTCATTCTGCTTGTGAAGAAGGAGAAACTATTGATGTAGATATGATATATAATTGTATTGGAGCTCCACATCCTCAAGATATTGATTCTTGTTTAAATTCAATTTTAAATGATGATTGGACAACAGCTTATATGACATTAAATAAATATAAAGTTACAAAAGGGTTAGCACTAATAGATTTAATTCAAGGCTTTATTGAAATATTAAATGGTTTAGAATTAAAAAGTCAGAATAGAATTGATTATTTAAAAGGGTTAAGTGATGTAGAATATGGAATTTCAAAAGGTGGTAATGATAAAATTCAAAGTAGTGCTATTATTGCTGTTATAAAACAAGCAATGGAACATGAAGGTAAATAGAATTGAAAGAATAATGAACTATATATGATAATCAATGGTTGTTTAAAATTTTAAACTGTAAACGACTACTCCAATTAGTAAAATTCGTAACCTCATTTTAGTTAGCGTTTTGCTTTAAAATTGCAACTACTTCAAAGCTTTTATCTCCTTGACTAACGAATTTTTCAGTTCTGACAGAATCACACATACCTGTTTGAACTCAAGAGCTTTCAAAGTCTGTATGCTTCAGGTTCATAGGCAGACCGTTGAATTTGAGGTAATATCACGGATCAAGCGAAAGTTGCAAAAAAACTAATTACATTCGAATTGGACCAAATAGAGTTCAAAAATAAAATGCATAAACCTTCTCGTACTACTAAATGTCCTACAAATATTTGAAAATAGTAGATCAGAACATCTTATTAAATTGAGCACGGCTTACGAAATTGTGTTCTTATAGTGTTCTCCGAGTAAAAAATTCGAAATGTTCCAACAGAAACTAACCCAAGCAAAAACAATTCCCTCAAAATACTTTTGCAATGAACTAAAAGTACTTCAAACTCAGTGAAAAAGATATTTCGCAGTATTCACAATGTTATTTGTTGACTTTCAATAAACAATTCTATATAGTTTGGGCAGAAAATGAGTTTTAGAATTCAAAATAATAACGAAATTAGGATTCTAAAAAAATCACGAAACTACAGTTGCATTATGGGAATTTCAAAATTATTTTACGTTAATTTTGAATTTATACAAAAGTAGTTCAGGTTTTTCAACCATGAGTAATTTACATTATTTTAAACGTTATTTGTATGAAACATAAATGCGTAGAGTACCAAATAGATGTGTTTTGTTAAATTTTAAATGCCTATATCTTTGATTGCAAAATAAAATATTCTCAATCAATTTTACAATAATAATTTATTATTTGATTTTACCCCCAAACTGCCTCTGCTGCTCATTGTTAGTAAAGAAGTTGTTTTCTTTGTTAGAGACTGCATAAGGGTTCACAATGCTTCTGAAAGATGGTGATAAAATCTTAATTTTTTTATCTTGAATGTTGAGTAAACTTATTTTTAGTAAGTATGTGTGTGTCAAGTTGCAACTAAAATCGTAGAACTAATTTTCTACTATTTTAATCCTATTAATGTCCAATAATTGTCTTAGTTGGACGAGCCTACCCAGACTTGACGAAATGCGAAAATATCTGTTAATCTTCATAGCCCTTCAAGAAATAACCTACTCTTTGTACTGAATTTATTTTTCAGCTACAACTGGTTGGAGAAAATATAATTGATTTTTTTATTAGGCAAAAAGGGACCCCGACCGAGTGCCTAGTGAAAAATTCTACATAATTTTTAATATAGCATACAAGCCGTTCAAATTAGCTTAAACCTCATAATTTAAGACATTATGAATGTAATTCGTATTGAAAAAAATCTCAACAAAGTGGTATGCTTTAGAATAAACGATGCTGAAGGTGAAAACATCTTTAGTTTAATAATAAATCACGAAATTATAAGTTTTTTCCAATAATACAACTGTTCCAAATACAACTTCGATATTTTACATAAAATTTAAAACCAAATAAAAGTACCTTTTAACTAACATATTCACAGAATTTGCAACATTTGAAGTGTTATTTGTATCGGTTAAATTCTCATGAACTTCTGTATGGGTTCGTTATATAGGAATTATCTCTTGAAACTCAAATTTGAAACAAAAAAATTTAATGTTTTTGCTATATACGATTTATTTCTAGTAAGCACTAAACTCAATACTAGTCCCCAAATGTTTGTTACTGACTTAGAATGTTCAAAATGCCAACGAAATTAAAGTAGACGATGTAATATAGGAAATCTTTTATCTAAAATCGAATGTGTTTAATATAACATAGCTTTGACTTTCAGTATTTTGCAACCAAAAGAATAAGTAATTAATGGAAAATATTACATCCTTGATCCTTGAAAAATTTTGAATATCACAAATCACCTAAATATAAACACACTCCAAGTATCAATAATGCCTAGTTGAGATAGACTAAAGATTTAATAAGCTCTTACTAATGAAAAAGAGAAAAGATCAACCAATTAGTAAATTAAATTTAAAGATAAACGTAAGCTACTTCTAAAGCATCAAAAAATTAAAATACAATACAGTCTAAGGATACTTAACAATTCGTAGATATTATATACTATTTGAAGTTAACTACTTAATATATACATCTCGCTTTCCTTACCATTATGAAAAGATTAATTTCAATTGAATAATTAATCAAAAATTTCAATTCTTAAAATTCAGTTGTATTATTATTATTAGTAGTATTTAAATCAATATTAATTGAATTAGTTTTAGGTTCTAATACAGGAGATTTCGGAGGTGGTTTTCTAATTGTTGTTGTTTTAGATCTTATTGGAGTAGTTGGTTGAGCAATTCCTAAAGTTGGTTCACTAACTAAATGTGCTGAATTTATAATTTCATTTGTATTTGAAGTTGATGTGGAATCTTCTTGATGATGGTTATTATTATTTGTTGTTGCAAAACTTAATGTTGATGATGATGATATACTTGATGTTCTTTTTTTATTAGTGTTGTTGGATAAATTATTTAATGAATTAAATGATTTTGAAGCTGCTAATTGTGCAGCTGTAATTGTTGGTGATTTAATTGATGATGAATTTGAATTTAAAATATGATTATTATTGTGATTGTTGTTATTATTTCCATTTCCATTTCCATTTCCATATTGATCATTTTCTTGATATAATGGAGGTAAATCAATATTTGAATGATCAAATTTTGAAAAATTAAATGATGGTGAATTTAAAGCTGGTGGAGAAGTAGTTGATAATCCTGTATTTGTAGTAGGTGGAAAATTTGATGGATATTGTAATGTAGGACTATTGTTTCCTGAATCATTATTATGAGTACTTATTTTGTCATTTGTTTTTAATATATTTGCTGATGCACTTGAAGATTTTCTTGGTGGTCTTCTATTTGAAATCATTTCTGGTGGATGATATTTTTGTTGTTCGGAAGATATTGATGATCCTGTTGTTTTTGTTGAAGAATTTGAATTTGATCTATTAGGTTTTTGAGGTATTGATAATGATGATGACTTTTCTGTTAGATTTTGATCTGATGGAATTGAATTTTTATCTTCTTTAAAATACCATTTTCCAATTTTTTTAAAAGTATTTGACATAATTGAAGGAGATGAATTTGATTCATTATTATTATTATTGTTTGATTGATTTGGTGTTATTGTTGTATTTTCAAAATCTTCAGTTGATGGAGTCGATGATTTCTTTTTAATTTTTTTAGTAAAATCAGTTATATTTTTAGACAATTTTGAATATTTATTTTGATTATTTGATGTTAAATTAATTTTTGAATCAATAGTAGATTGCTCATCTAGTATACTTTTAGAATCATTTTCTTCACTTGATTGTTGATCATCTAAACTATCATCATTTATTTCAGGTACTTTCCATATACCTCCACGATAAGATTCTTCAGTTGTATCAAAGAATACAATATCATCCCAATGAGGTAATACTAAACTTTCTTTAATTGCTTCTTTAAATTTTTTTTCAATTGTACTTGTTATAAAACTATAATTTAAAGATTTTGTACTTACAACAGGTTCAATTTTAAAATTTAAATTTGGTTCAACTTCATAACAATACCAAAATCTATTACTTGGTGGAGGTTTTAATTTAATTAATATTGAACCATCTAAATTAACTAAAGTAATCTTTAAAACTATATCAACTTCTCCCTTTGTAAATTTTGTACCAAATGATAAATCTAATTTTGTTGCAATTGTAACTGAAAGTCCTCCATTATATGATATATTTCCATTTACAACTAATGTTCCATCAGGATTTATTTCTTTTAAATTAGGATAAGTGAAAAATGGAGCAGAACTTCCTGGGTTTATATTTGTTATTTGAAATTCTTCAAAAAATCCTGGTTTTTTAATTTTATCTAATTTTTTACTAAGTCTTGTATGAATATAATTTTCAAAATATTTAGTATCTTTTATAGCCAAAAACCATCTTCCAATTAATGCATTTAACCATTTAGTTTGTAAATTACCTTCTGATCCATATAATGATTGAATTAAATTTATGATTTCTTTTGTTGAAAAATGTAAAGTATTTGCAAAAATTTTAGGATTATATTTAAAAGGAATTGATTTATTTAAATTTTCAGATTTAGAACTTCTTATTAATGCAAAATACCAATCTTCTTTATCTGATACCATATCACAATATATATAAAAACTTCCAATTGGATTTGATTGTTGATTTTTATTATTCTTAAGATTACTTATATTTATTAATGCAATTGCTGTATATTTTGTAAATAATTGAGCATCAGTTAAACCTTCTGGCCATATTTTAACATAAAAATTATTTAATACAATTACATGTTTAACATCTTTTAAAGTTTGATCTTTATATAAAAATAAATTTCCATGTTTTAAAACTGCAAAATATCTATGTTTTTTTAAAGATTGTCTCATATTTATTGTAGAAGAAGAAGAAGATGATTGAGTTGATTTATTTTGAGGTATAGGAGTTGAATTATTTGTAACAATTGAAGGTTGAATTGAATGAATAGATGCATTATCGTCTTTCAAATCATCTTCTTCATTTGTTGGATTATTAATCAATTCTTGTTCTCTTTGTTGTTGTTCTTTATTAACTATTTTAAATAATGAACTATAAGCTGATTTATTTTCGGGTGTTTCAGTTATTGAAGTTGTATTTTTATTAATATCATCAGTACTTTCAATATAGTTATTTGTTACTATAATCCAACCATTTTTATAACTTTCTAATCCTGATTGATGTTTCTCTTCAATTTCTCCTGCTTTTAAATCCGTATTAGAATTTGAATCATCATTTAATTCATCTTTAACATCTTTTGCAAAATAATATAGTGTAATTGGTATAATCAAAATTGAACTTAGAAAGCCCAAGAAATAAATGAATAGGAATGAAAATAATCCCATTTAGTATAATTGGTATGTAGAATTGTACTTTATTCAATATTATTCAAGCGTATTAGCCTTAACTTCTTTAAACTTGTGTTGCTACTTTATTATTTGATACTTTATATTCTCCGTATTCTTCTTTTTATAGAATTTGATTTTGCGGTGTTTAAATTTAGAATTTAGTAATTTACGAGATCATTTTAAAATTTTAAAACCGTTATCAAAATTTTTCACTTCTCTTCTACTGTTGGTTGATTGAAGAAAGAACTTTGAGGTTGAATAAAACCTTGCAATGTGAGGAAGAGTTTACCAATAGGAGATACAATCCATTCACACAAAAGGATTGCAACATGTTTTTAACGGTTCAACTGCTTTACCTTGAAATGTACCTAATGTGTCTAATACATGTTATACCACGAAATATATACTTACGAGGCAGTAGTATTAAAATCTTTCATTTCATGGCTTAGGAGAGCTGGAGATTCTACAGATATAACAAGTTACTAATCAATTGCGTATGGTTGATGATGGAGATGATTCTTAAGAAGAGTGTGTCAGAAGACATTTATATAAGCAAGCTTAGATTTGATGGAGAGTTTGGTAAAGAAGCTTTCCTCACAATAAAAAGAAAATATGGCAAAATATCAGTTACTGGTAAGATATCATTTGTACATGAAGGAATGGGAGAAAATCAAAGATTCAATATTAAGTTGTTCAAACAAGATCCGGATGCTTCAGGTTGGGGCTTTGTAAAACGGTAGCCAGACTGCATTAAAAGTACCGACGCTTTTGGTGCAAGCTGACTACCGTTTTACGTGGCCAGCAACCTTAAGCATCTTAAGTTGTATTTAACTTAACAAACCAAAAAAGTCTGAGAATAAACCTGGATTGAAATTTCTGCTATTGGATTTTAAACTACTACATAATTTCGATAATCTATATTGAGTCTCCAATAGACAATGTTTAGAATAGCCAAATCTAATGCCAAGTTAGGTCTCAATACGTTCTATAATTACAAATATCAATGAAAAGTAAGGATAGATCAATAACAACAAATGTACATAAGATTAGTTTAAGTTTCAGACTGACCGAGTATTTAATATTAGTTGATTGATCAAATAATCATATAAGTAAAATCTTACCTAATTGAAAACGACGACTCACTTAATTCTTTCTAAAAAGGTTGAGAAATGCACATTTTGGTTATATATTCAGAAATCAATTGCAAAATTTATAAATTTTGCTTTATTACTAAATCAAATCTTTAAAAATTTTCCTGAAGAAATTTCAAAAATTAACACAATCATACATTTCAATATCCATGAATACTTAACCGAAAATATTATTGTTTGAATTTACTTATTTGGTCTGTTTACATTAACTTCAATAAATGAATTTTTTTTTTTCTTTTTATTTCAACGGCTAGTTACAAAAATAAAACAACAGTTTTAAAAATTATTTTAAGGAAGTTAATACTTTACACTCACAAGATGAAAAATATATAGGAAATTACAAGTACAATACAATATAAACAAATACAAAATCGTAAAATTCTATATAATAATTTTTTCAAATCTGGTAATTCCCGTTACTTCGTTTAAGTTAAGTTTTAGTGTAATAATAATGAACTAAAAATAAAAATTTTTTAAATTATAGTCTTTTGACAATTAACTCGATTTAGATTGGTCTTGTTTATTTGTGCTTACCATTAAAAATTTTTTTATTTATAATAATAATAGAATTAATTAATCAGATGAAAAATTTTTCGTTCCTTTCTGCCCTATGGTTAGGAGTAAAGTAATCGTTTACTTAATGAATACAATTTTAATTGATGTAATAAAGTAAGACAATACAATGCCGTTTATTCTTACTAGCTACAGAGGGATCGACTATTTCCATTAATAACAGTTGAATATATATTATGTTAATTTGCACCCCTATTAAATCAAGAATTAAATGTTTTGCCACATAGATGCAAAATGTTTCGGAACAAGATTTATTATTTTGTAAACTTTTAACTCTTGCAAGAAAGAAAAAAAAATATTTGGTTTATTGACTATACTTCAATTGACAACCAAAAAACATATCAATAAGTCTTGAACTAAGTTAACAATTCCTTTAAACAAAATTAGTTAATTGCCCTTGAGTCTAAGCCTTAAAGGCTATAAAGCTGAAGCTTCAAAAATAATTTTTTAGCGTATTTTAATCAATTTAAAAAAAAACTTATTAATAGTTGAAATTATTACCCCCTTTTACTCCCTTTTTTTACATCAATAATAATATATAAATGCCGTTAATCAATTGATATAAAATATACTATTATTAGTGAATCTTTGTAACTTTGTGTGTGAGACAATTTTACAAGTACAAAATTAAAAGTAAAGGGTAAGGGTAAAAGTAAAACAAAAACACATAAGTAATTACTAAAACAAAGTTTTTTATTTACTTGTTAGAAAATTTTTTTTTTTTGCATTCAAGGATATAACGATATTAAATTTAGGTTAACATAAAACCAAAAAAAAGATCTAAAACAAGATTTAAGGTTATTGTATTACATACCAACTTAATTTAATTGGTTATTCGAAATTATAGAAACCAGAGACTAGTGTATTCTCTACAATATAGTTATTCTTCTTTATTCTGACGATTGATGAAAAACATCGAGTAAACTAATCGCCGCCGGGTCAATTAAACTTTTTTTAAATTGAGTCGGGCTTGAAAAAAATTTTTCTGTACCAAAACCTTAAATAATAATGCAGTTAAGTATTATTAGTGGTTTGAATGAATAGCTATTCGTTAATTAGTAAAACTATATAATTAATTTTTCAGCTAACACTCCTTAACTACCCAGTATTTCTGCTCTTATTAACTTTTTGTTTTTGTGTAATTGAAAAATTTTCACACTAAGTAGATCTTCTAATTTAAAAAACTTTGTGTAATAAAAAAATTTTCAAATTTTTCAGTCCTCTAGTAGTAAGGAATATTATTATCCTTTTTACATATCCTTAGAAATATCAAAATATGTTTTTGAAATATGGAGGGATAGACTCAAATACATCAGAAGATTTGAATATTCATAGTTGAAGAACTTGTATTAATACTAAATATTTCTATACAAAATTAAATAAAGAATGGAAAATTAAAATTAGATTAAACGATTGAATAAATATGAATTGAATTAAAAACTTTTCTTATAGCATAATGGTAGTAACAATAATGATAATGATATTCGAAAAAAAACCCAGCTTTCTTTCCCTCTAGTAGTTTTATAAATAAAAATCATTAATCATAAAATTACCAGTTGATACCATTTCACTTGCAGTGATTAAACTATGCTTTTTTAAAACATTTGATAAATCAAAATATGATTCATTTAATGATTGTAATTGAGATGTGTTATTATTGATTGATGAATTTTGACTTTTAAGCCAATTATTATTAATTTTTGGAATATATAAATTTGAAGATAATGGAATTTGATAAATTGAATCTGGTGTAGAAGTAGTTGTAGTTAATGTGGGTGGAGTTGAGATAGAAAGATTTGAATTTGAAGTAGTTGGTGATGATATTGGTGATACTGTAGTTGATATTGGATCCTCATCTTCTTCTGATTCGAAATAAATATTTTTATTGGTAGTAGTAGCGGTTGTAGTTGGTTCTATTTCTTTTTCTTGTTCTTCTTCATCTCCATAAGTTACAAAATCCTCAATTGAATATTCTTTTGATCTACCAAAATTTACATTTTTAAAAAATGGAACTGATGATTTATTGTTTGTCGTGTTAGTGGTATTTTGATTTAATGAATCTTTTGTAATAACGTTAAAATTATCTGAATATATATTATTTTTATTATTTAATAAAGTAAAAGAATCTTTATATTGATTTTGAGATTTTTGTTTATAGTAATTTCGAATATTATCATTTAAAATTTGAGTAAAATTTACAGATTCAATTTCAATCGGTTCTTCGTCTTCATATTCTTCATCTGAAGCTTCTGAATCTTCGTAACTGTATGCGCAATTCTTTAATGATTGTATTGATGATGATCTTTTTGATGAGGATGTGTTTGACATTACTGAAGAAATTGAGTCTGATGATATTGATGATGAATGGTTATTGATTGAGGTATTTGATTCATTTATATCTAAATCTAATATAAAATCATTATTTATATTTGTTAAAGATAATAATTTTTCAACTGGATCTATTTTATCTTTATCTTGTAGTTTTTCTTCTTCTTCAATTGTGCTTGATGTTTTTCTCTTTTTTAGTTGTGAATTATTACTAGTATTATCTTCACTGGCTCTTTTTAGTGGTTGTTGTTGTTCTATAATTTCTAGATTATTTGAGGAAACTAAAAAATTTAAATTGTTAGTTATTGCTTTAGGTGTTAAGTTTCTAATTCTTTTAGACTTACGAATAGGTAATGAGTTTGTTGATGATGACATTTTGTTTGAATGAGTTGAATAAATAAATTAAAATGAGTATAAAATGTAATTTAATGAATTGAAAAATTTATGATGTATAATAATAATCTAAATGTATATAGATTCTATGATTGATAGTGTTGTTGAAACTTAATCTAAAGTAATAAAATATAATATAGTTGGATATATTTATAAAAGTATTTTCCAATGTTTTAAATATGGAATATAATTGTAGAATTTACTATAAGAATTTGAAAAATTGGGTGTTTATCTGGTTATATATATTCTTTATTTTATTTTTTAATTTTGTACTTTTTGTATAAATTTTTTTTTTTTTTTTTTTTTTAAATTTAAAATTTTTTTCACTTTTGTAACTTTGTGTAACACAAAATTATTTTATTATTATGTTATGTTATGTTATGTACTTATTTAATTATTGTGTCATAATGGATTGATACAATAGAAACACAGTATAGTATAAACATGTCCAAGAAGGAGTCTACCTAACAAACAAACAAATAAACAAACAAGGATCATTCAACCAGTTTAGCTCAGATAAAAGTTGGGGAGTGGAGAGAAGAAGTAAATAGAAGTATAGCAATTTGTTTAATCTATTCTATATATTAGATCAATATCAATAGTATCTGTAACGATCACATCAAATTAGTATTGAAAAGCAAACAAGATTAAATTCCATATTTCCATGGATTTTTATTTACTCTATTGTCTTTAATAGATGTAGAAAGTATAAAAGTATAAATTGAAACTACTACTACAACAAAGTATAGAAAATTCTATTCAAAATTTTTTCTCTCTCTGTCTCTCTCTCCGTCTGACTCTCTTTCGATCTCCCGTTTAATTTTTTCTAGATTCCCCTTTTTCAATATTAGTAAATGTAAAAATTATTAAAATTTTTTTTTTACACCCTAATCAATTCAATTTAAATTCACTTAGTTTGCTGTCCATACATAAGACATACTTCTACTAGATACTACTTGGTTCCCATTCTATCGGACTTGAAAGGGACATTACATACAAATATTCATTCATTTGCCACTTAAGTATCCGGTATCACTATTTTTATAGTAATTTTGGAAGAAAAAATAATTGGGAAAATTGAATGTAACCAATGATGTTTCATTTGTTTCAAATTACTAGACTTCCACCAAATTCCTTTAAAATGTACCGTCAAAGGCAAATGTCTAATTGAAAAAAAGAACTACAACATTAGACCAAAATCTAGTTGAATGAATCCAAAATTCGATCTCTATGCGTGTAATTAAAATAAAGCAATGGAAAGTTTAAAATCCATGATATTCCATAAATTAATCAACGCGGTAAATGTAAGACATACTTAGATATGTAGTTTCATTCACCCACCCATTTATTCAGTGTACTTACAATTTTTTTTACTTTCGTTTATTTTTTCTTCAACAAAAAATACCGTAAATCTCACCCTTCTTTTGGTCTCGATTATTCTATGTATTCTATGCAATCTATTTATATTAAGAAATTGATGATGATTTTATCGTATTTTTTTCAATTAAACTTTTTTTTACACCAGCAAATATATTTTTTTATACATTATTAACGAATCTATGATCGATACAAAGAGAATTGGATCTATATTCCAATAAAGCAAGCTTTTCATTTTTTCTCGACAGCTTTTCAATATCTGTATGTAGACAATCTACGAACTTCTTATCTCTTTCTATTATAATTTTACTATTTAATTATTTTTTTTTGTTTAAAGTTTCATTTTTGTTTTTTTAAATTGTTGAAACTTGGGGTAAAAAATTGTAAATTTCACTTTCTTTATTTAAGTTGACTAATTATACAAGGGAGTAGATATCATTATGAACTTATCTATGATATCATACCTTTTCAATTATGAAACAAATTGTTGAGTCGGTTCCACAAAGTAACAATGACAAGATAAGGTAAGAATCTACTTAAGTTCGACATGTCCAAGTATCAAGCAAATATTATTTATCAATAATATCGATCACGGCAATTAAAATTGAATAAAATATTTCTACAAACTAAAATGTAACCCATAAGAGAAAAATCTCAATCCAAAACAAGATCAATTTTGAAACAATTTTCTTAAAATTATTGTTTCAAAAATTCTCACTCTTGAAATTTTAAGTTACATTTTTTTTGAACCTAGTAAATGATAGAGTAACTTTTGAAAAAATGTTTCGAGTGTAGAAGGATTTCTAAATGAAACATACATTGAAGTTTTCATAATGCCTCGATCATTTTTGAATGGGGTTTTTCAGTCAAATATTTACTTGTGGGGAGGATATTCATTCTTGGAATTTTAATTCGTTTCAACTTATACTAAAAACGATTTTAAGGGGGTATTGAAGAAAACCAATTTTAAAAAAATAAAAATAAGCACCACAGACACGACCGGATATGTTATAAATGATTTGTTAATATATTGTAGTATCAATCAACAATCAATTCATAAGAATCTTAAATAATATGTAAATGCAACATTGATATCAATTTGGTCGAAAGCTACAAACCATTTTCAAACAAAGGTAAAGAATAGAGAATGTCAATAACAATTCATTTTATTCCACGGTAATCTTGAAATTGTAATTGTTACTGCACAATTCTTATTGTTTTAATATTTTCAAAATTTCTTTTTATTTATAATTTTCCATTGTACTTGTAAATAAAAATTTATTAAAGTTAAATTATACTATATGCTAGCGGGTCCTAGTCAGTAAATAGATATAAGGCTCAAAGCAGCAGACCTCTGTTAGAAGAGACCACACGCGGAAAGGTAAATGGATAGGAGAATTAAAAAAGATTTCAATTGATTCATTCAATTTTTATGTTACTTCAATTTTGTGTGGTTGTTTTAGATCTGAGATCTTGAGTTACTTTATTAGGCTATAACGTATCACAAAAAAAAATACAGTTTAGTAGGAAGTAGGTGGACAAAAATTGTTGTTGCAGAAGCGTGTCAACCAGTGGTAAATTTCTTCTAATTAACAACATCACCCGAACTCTACAAACTGAGGAGTTGGTTATCAATTGTCATTTATTTTTGTAAATGATCGGAGACTTGAGATTGGAACTTTAAGAATAAAAAACTCCGAGATAATTAAATCAAAATAAAAAAATCGCAATCAAAAAAAGAAATTATTTAATTTTTACGAGTAAAGTTTCCTTTAACATGTAAGTACTTATCAATATTACCTACAGGGATTGGTATTTATACTTTAATAAGTATAATTGAAGGTTTGGTACTAAAATTTATTCTTTTTTAGATCTTGTTTTGTTTGCTTTCTTTCAATAAGTTGGGTGATAAGATATAGGGGAATGATTGAAGGTAACGAGTGTATCTTGATTTAGTCAATATAATAAATCAATCCTCGACCATTACCATAAAATTCAAGAATGGATTGTTGTTATTTATTCAATGCTTTAATTTAACACAGGACTCAGAAGTCTTGAGTAATGTTGGATGATTAAACGATTTATTGACGAGTAGTCTGAACTTTAATATTATTTAGTAAATCAGCACTGCCAGTTTGTTGTTGAAAAATTGGGATCTACTGTTAAGACCTATGTATTATTCTTATTATATGTGTCCCTATTATTTGTTGTTTTTGTCCGTGGCTAGGTAATTTTGGCCTGAATTCAATTCGGTCCTAGGATGAGAGATGGATGTTTCTTCTGATGTACTGCGGTACGGATGTAGGATGTATAAGGGTACGGATGTCTGCACCTGTACAGTTAGGACCGAATTGAAAGGTGGGTAATTTTGGATAGAATTTCCAAATTCAGAACTATAAAATACACTTGCAGTGCTCTGCGGCTTACAACTAATAACCTTGATTATCATGTAAGTAGTGAGACATTTCAAATCATTAACTTGGAATTGGATGTTTAATATTGTATTAGTTTTGAAGACTTTTTGCTAGAGCTTTTCTCATTCTTTATTTAATCCTTTAGTATTGTCAAGTACCCTCTAGAGAGATGAAATAACCAACTACTAGTTTCTATTAATAACCTAATTAAAGCTCAGACATTATTACCTTATTACCGCTAAGTATATGACTTAAATTTTAAGTGAGTAAAATTTTTTATAATTGGTAATGAACCTGATATATGTAGAGTCGCTTAAATTTTTATGTTTCTAACCATATCTAACGGCTTTTTATCTAAAGTGAAACAAAAGGAATTATTATAACAATCATGAAAATTATTGTTTATATACAAGCCTTGGTTACTCATCGAACAGAATATGTCGATAAATAATTCAACTTGAACCTTTTTGTAGTTCATGGAAACTAATATGCCATTCGATTGAACAATTTGATCTTATTTGCTCAAAAAAGAAGTTGCAAAAATCAATTTTAAAGTCAAAAAAATTTTCAATGTGAGACATTAACATCAAATAGATGGCGAAAATGATATTTTTCTTAAAATATGAGACAATAGCTACTAGAAATTTAAATTACACCTGTAGTCTTTTTGATTACAAGGCGTATTTTTAGATGTGATGAGACTAACAGACCAACATTGTATCACTTCACAAAAGTAAACATTGGTAACAAAAATTATCAAATCCAAGAAACTATTTATTGGTGATTTCAAATGCAGATCCTACTATTTACTCAACTTGAGTTTGAAACAAAGGTCAAATATAGTAAGAATTTTTTTTTTTTTAATTTGCATTGACGTAAATTTTCATTTGTCTTAGATGCAAATTTTCATTTGATTCAGTTACAAGAAAATAGGAGTATTACCCAAATAGTAAGGCATTTGGTATAAATAGGATTCTCTCATTCGTTAGCGAAACATTAACGTAAACAAGCAATACAGCTTACACCCTTTCATTATATTTTAATTATAACAATATTTGATTTTAAAGAAGCTAAAATTGTTTTCAGAAAATAGACATATTTTTCCTCGGAAAATCTTTTTGTATTTTTCCGGTTTTGAATCTATTTGGTAAAAAATACTCAATCTAAGAATCATCGAAGATTCAAGTGTGTAATAACATTTACGTTATATACAATGCAAGTATTTATTCTATATACATGACTCTACTTTATACGAGACTTTAATTTTTGTAAAGGTAATTTATGAATTTTTGAATTAGCATCTTTACCATAGTTCAAATCTTTCCCAATTTTAACAAAATTTGAATTTCTTTTGCTTGGTTCAACATTTAATCTATTCAATATATCATTTGATAAACTTGGAATAATTGGTTGAATTAAAATTGATGAGATTCTAATTGTTTCAGAACATAAATAAACATAATAATTAATTAATTTTTTATAATTTTTAATCATTTCTGGATCTAGCCTGCTAGATTGATGATTTGTATTTGAATTTAAAGCTTTTACATATAACCAAGGTTCTGAAATTTGAAATAATTGATTTGCTTGATTTATAACTTGCCACCATAATTGAATTGCACGTATATAATCAAATTCGATTATTTTTTGATTCATGTTATCATATAAGTTATTAAGATTTTCTTGTAATTCATTAGATATTTGTAATATTGTTGGTACAATTTCTTTTTTAATACTATTATTTTTAATAAATGTTTTAATATCATTAAATTGACTATTTTTATAATATTGTACAGATTCTTCAATATTAAAATTAATTCCACCAATTCTTGATAATAAATTACAATATTTTCCTAATAATGAATCTCTTGATCTTTCTAATAAATTTTCACTAAATTTACAATCATCATCAATATTTGAATTTTCAATTAAAAAAAATCTAATTGAATCAATTCCATAAAATTCACTCATTTCAATTGGATCAACTACATTTCCTAAACTTTTACTCATTTTAAAACCTTCACATAACCAATGTGAATGAACTATAATTTGTTTTGGTAATTCTATCCCTGCTGCTAATAAAAAAATTGGCCAATATATACAATGAAATCTAATAATATCTTTTCCTATAATATGTGTTGCTGGCCATAAATTATTTTTAGGAGTAACATATTTTGAATCTTGTTCAAACCCATTGGGGAAACCAGTCGCAGTAAGATAATTTAATAATGCATCAAACCAAACATATATTTTTTGAGTTGAGTCATTTGGAACTTCTATACTCCATTTTAATCTTGATGAAGGTCTTGAAATTGAAAGATCAGGTAATTTTGTAGTCATTAATTCATTTAATATGAATTTATACCTATGAGTTGGTTTTATGAAATTTGGATTTTCTTTTAAATACTTGATTAATTGATCTTGAAATGCTGATAATTTAAAAAAATAATTTGTTTCTTCTTGATATATTACTTCATTCTTAGTTTCTGAAGATATTCGTATGGTTTTACCATTTTTTTCAATTTCTTCTGTATTTGCCTCAGGATAAAATGTTTCATCACTAACACAATACCAACCACTATGTGACCCCTTTTCAATTAATCCTTTCTCTTTCATGATATTCCAAAAATAATGAGTTACTTTTATATGATCTTGATCAGTAGTTCTTATAAATCTATCATAATCAATATTAAATTTGTTACTTAAATCTTTGAAATTTTTAGAAACTTGATCACATAATAATTTAGGATCAATCCCTTGTTTTTCTGCAACTGTCTGTATTTTCAATCCATGTTCATCAGTACCTGTTAACATATATGATGAATTTTTCGGATTTAATTTTTCCCATCTACTTCGTGTATCTGCTATTAGCATTGAATATAAATGACCAAGGTGTGGAGACGCATTGACGTAAAAGATTGGTGTTGTGACATAGAATGGCTTTGTCTGGTTAAACCTTTTGATTAAGGAATACCGTAGGGTCATTGTGTTGGTGGAGATATGTTGATGATTTTAGCTATTTAAATAAATTTGAAACTTACATTTTTCAGTAACACATTTACGAGAATCAAATTTAACGTATTTTGTATGCATTAAAACTAAGCTATGTACATCATCTATTTAATTTCTGTTTTTTCAACAAATATAGCCATTAATGCAAAGACAGTGTAAAACATACATAATGGATATGCTATCAATGGTCTAACATTATGCAATTTCAATACCGATACAAAAAATCCACTAGCAGAATATGTACACCATAAAACAGCAATTGCACTTAATATATAACCAACCAAATTATCTAAATTTGTAACTACTCCTAATACACTTATTAAAACTAATGGTAATAAACAATATCCAATAACTGATGCAGAACGAATTAAATCAATTTGAGTTTCATTACTCATAAATTTAAATAAATAATGTAGACTTATTATTCCAAATAAACCAACTCCATATATATAACCAAATTGAATTTTACCTGCTAGAAGTAGTAATGTACCAAATAATAATACGAATAATATGGGACCTGCTAAATCAGAATCACTCATTATATCACTGGGTATATCTTTATTTAATGGATTTAATACAACTAAAGTTTTTGATTTGATATGTTGAAAATTAATACCCAATTCTTCTAGTAATGGTGGTTCACCTGGATATCCCAGAGTTCCAAATGCAGCTAATAATCCTGGTTTTAATTCTCCTCCAATAGTTCCAGTTACATCGTTATTAAACCCTGTATCCATTGAACCCATTGACGGTTGAGGCTGTGCTTGTTGATATGAGTAGTTTGATTGATAGAACTGCATGTTCTGCGGATTGTTCATTTGTTGTTGATAATATGCCATTTTTGTCTTTTATATATGTTGTTAAATGTATGTGGTAAAGATCATAAGTCTATTTTTTATTTTCTTTCTATTTTATTGCGATCAAAACATTTTCGTTTGCGTAAAATCGTATTCACTTTAAGTGATAAAACCATTGAATAATTGATCAACTCTTCACCCTATGTCACAATCATTAATCATATTCAGACCGTCAGGTTTGATAGAATATCAATTAAACAACAAAATATACCCATTCAATGAGTTCATATCCAATATTGTCAATGAAACTCAAATTGATTTAGATCAAAATTTTACAACTCAAACCATCAGTCATAAACGATTTTATTGTTATAATAAAGAAGATATTTTTGTAGCTATTTATTTTGATGCTATTTCTACCATTAATAGTGAGAAGATAAGGCAAACATTAGTTGGAATATACAAGACGTTCAAGAAGTTAGAAGAAAATGAAGAATTAGAAAAACTAAAGAGTTTAGTTGATTTACAATTTAACAATTTAATCAAATTGAAAACAACTGAGTCTAAAGAAACAACTCCAACTCCACCCACATCAGCATTAACCACAGAAAACACAGCTCCCAAAAAACAACCATCAATGCAAAAACAATTATCATCTAAAAAAATGCGAAAATGGGACAACGGTGGAGAAATGATTGAATATACAGAAGGTGAATCATTAGATTACTCAACATTTAAAGATTCTACAAGCATACCGACGAATGGTAAGAATGAATATAAAGTAAACGAAGAATCTGCGTTTGAAAAAGAAGATGAATTTGTGTTAGTAAGAGAATTAAATGAAATACTAAATGAATCAGATGACGAAGAAGAAGAAGAAACAAAAGCTCCAACTGGTTTTTTTGGACGAATAGGATCATACTTTGGTGGAGCTATTGATGTTGATGAAGTATCTAAAAAATTCAATGATCAATTAATGTCAAAAAATATAGCACCTAGCACTTCAAAATTAATAATTGATAAAATAAAATCAAGATTATCTGGAAAGAAAGTAACTATGAAAATTTATAAAGAAACGCTAGTCGATGAATTAACCAAAGTATTAACTCCTAATGTGTCAACTGATTTATTATATGAAATAAAGCGTAATAACACGGGACGTCCATATGTTATATCAGTAGTTGGAGTAAATGGAGTTGGAAAATCAACTAATTTAGCTAAATTAGCATATTGGTTCTTACAAAATAATTTAAATGTTTTAATTTGTGCATGTGATACCTTTAGATCAGGTGCAGTTGAACAATTAAAAGTTCATGTAAATAATTTGAATAATTTAAATTCAGAATTATCAAATAAATCAAAAATTGAATTATTTGAAAAAGGTTATGGTAGTGGTGATCATGTTGTTCAAACTGCTAAATCTGCTATTGCATATGCATCAGAGAATCATTATGATGTAGTATTAATTGACACTGCTGGTAGAACTCATTCAAATGCTAAATTAATGGCTCCATTAAAAAAATTTGGTGACGCAGCAAATCCTAATAAAATTATTATGGTTGGTGAAGCTTTAGTTGGTACAGATTCAGTTGAACAAGCAATTAATTTTAATAATGCATTTGGTAATAGAAGAAATTTGGATTTTTTTATTATTTCAAAAGTTGATACTGTTGGTGATTTAGTTGGTACAATGATTAATATGGTTATGGCTACAAAAGTTCCAATTTTATTTGTTGGTACGGGACAAACTTACACTGATATTAAAAGGTTGAGTGTGAAGCAAGTTGTTTCAATGTTGACAAAATAGTAAGCAAGCTGTGTAGATCTCATAGCATGATATAATGAAAATACCAATTTGAATCCCTACCTTCTTAGATTACGAGAACAGTTAAATTTCTGAAACGACAAATGGTAGCTGTGTGATCGGAGTTTTTTTTTCACTTTATATAGAGTATCATTGCTGAGAATAAGTGTGAGTCGCATCTATCAATTTGAGTTCATTCTTCCAATATGACTAATTGTATATTGATCATGTCTTGAATACTTTTTAGGTTTAATTGAGTTCGTAGCGTAATACGTATATTAGTATATGATGATGAAATCAAATTTTTCCGCAATTGGCGGGGTTGTGAGATTTCCGTTGAGCCAACAGTTTGGTCGAAGAGTTATTTGATGCTATACTGATTATACCAGTGACATTTTGTTAGAGTTTATAGAACTTGGAAAGTCCTAATAACTCATTAGGCTTGAAGAAACGTTTAATACTAAACTTTGCTTTTTTTCCTCTATACAAGACTTTGTAGTTACAAACTTGTACTAATAGTTCCAGCAACTCATACTTGAAGTATTAATTAATTGGAACTAGCATGTTACTGATCTTTTTGAACGTTTATACGTTTATACCTAATATAAGCCTTGCATTAAAATGTGAAACCAAAATAACGTAACAAAAATTTACAATTTCATAACTATTCTCGGTAATTAATGTATTGCGGCTAAGACATTTTTGAATTTTCAAATCTCTAATCTAAAATACAAGCCTTAAAATATTGATCAACTAATGATTTAAACATACTAATTAAAACGTCCAAAAATTATTACCACATTTCATACTAATCAAATTCACCAGGAATAGACTCGTAGCTTCAGCTCAGGGAGAAAACAAGGAAAGAGCACTACTCAGGAAGAGCACTACTCAATATGAGAGTTAATGAAACATCAACGACATCAAGTTCTACTCCATCCATATCCGTATCAAATTCAAATTCTGGTGGATCGAAATCGAATTCTTCATTAGTAAATTCGAATAATAATATAAACAATCATAAATCTACTTCATCAACATCTCCATTTAAACTATACCTTAAAATAAACGCATTTCGAGCAGCAGATTTAGTACCGACATCTAAAGAAGATGAAGATTCAAAAAGAAGTCATAAATACACCAATCCAGTATTAATCGCCAAGATGAATACTTTTAAAGGTTCTACTTGTAAAAAAACTCATACAAACCAACCAAGTTGGGATGACGAAATCATTATACCTTTAAAAACTGGTGATATGAATCAATTATTGGTACTTTCAGTATGGGACAAACATAAACGATATAAGAACTATTTAGGTGAGTTAAGATTGGGAATAAAAGATCTATTTATAAATAATGATAAATTTATTGAAAAAACAGAATTGAAATGGTATAAGTTAAATTCTAATGCCACAGTACATTCTTTTGTAACGGGATCACTATTATTATCATTTGAGTTGATTACTAAGAAAAGAAAATCAAAATTCAAACAAAAGGAAAGTTTAGTTGACAAATTAAAGAATTTAAAAGTTAATGAAACGGAGCTTCAATTTAAAAAATGGTTAAATAGTTTAATTGATAATTCAGATGAGCAAAATTTTAAAACTTTAAGACCTAATGAACAAGGATTTTATGATGATGTTTTGGTAGATTTGTCCGATTTGGAATCATTAGCTACTAGACAATCAAAAAGTAATGGTGATACAGCATCCACTATGAGCGATGAAATGATATCCAACAAAAGATTTCTAAATGTTATCAATAATAGTCCTAATGGTGATGCAAGTTCAATGTCTGAACAATCTTCGTTTATATCTTCTGAAGGAATAAGTGATACTGATGGTCGATCAGAAGAAAAGAGATCAAGATTTAAAAGAAAAATGAATATTAAAAAATTGACCACAGAAAATAAATTTGAAATGGGTTCAAGAAAAGTTTTAGGAGTAGTTTTCATTGAAATAGTATCATGCGAAGATTTACCACCAATCAAGAATTTCACCAGAACCACCTTTGATATGGATCCATTTGTCGTTGTAACATTTGGTAAAAAAACGTTTCGTACTAGTTGGAAAAGACATACATTAAATCCAATATTTAATGAAAGAGTAGCTTTTGAAATTTTACCACATGAAAACAATTATAATATTCAATTTTCCGTTTTAGATAAAGATCAATTTTCCTTTCATGATCAAGTAGCCGATATTGAATTACCATTGAGAGACTTGACTGAGTATGCTACCGCACAACCAACAATGATGAGTAGAAACGATTCTGAGTTAAGTTTTGATTTAGATTCTGGTTTTACCACAGGAGATAATGAATCTCCTTCAAACTCAAATGTGAAGATATTAGAGGATGATAACATAGTTCAATCTGTAAGGAAAAAGAAGTTTTCAACTAGGAAGAAAATTACCGAATCCACTGTAGATATTTCAAAATTTAGAGTGATGTCATTAAGTTTAGACCTTCATGATCAAAAATATATTGTCAAGTATGCACCGAAGTTAAAAATTAGAGTTAGATTTGAGACATACGATGAATTAAGAAAACAATTTTGGAGAGTTTTATTAAAACAGTATGATATAGAATATGATGAAACTAACACTTATGATTTCTTAGAATTGGTATCATTACTTGATGCATTAGGAACTACAAATAGTGATGAACTAGTTACTACATTTTATAAAAACTTAAACAAAGACACAGAGGATTTAATAACTTATGATGAAATTATTGAACAATTGGAAATTCATATGAGCCTAAATGATCAAAGTTCCAACAAAATTTTTGTTTTTGAAAAATGTCCCATTTGTTTACAAAAGCGATTTTCAAGAAAACAAGATATTGATATAGTTACTCATTTCGCTATATGTGCATCAAAGGACTGGAGTATTGTTAATAAATTGTTGGTTTCTTCATATGTCAGTCCTAGACAAGCTACTAAAAAGTGGTATTCAAAAGCATTGATCAAATTAACGTACGGAAAATACAAATTAGGTGGAAATTCTGCCAACATTTTGGTACAAGATAGACTCACGGGTTTGATATTAGAGGAGAAAATGAGTGTGTATGTACGTTTGGGTATCAGACTTTTGTATAAAGGATTAGATAAAGCAAAGTCAAAAAGAGTTAGAATTTTATTAAGAAGTCTAAGTATAAAACAAGGTAAAAAATTTGATTCTTCAAAATCAAAAGCTGATATTGAATCATTTATTAAATTCCATAAATTAAATCTATCCGATTGTTTGATTGAAAATCCTAATGATTATCCAACTTTTAATGAGTTTTTTTACAGAAAATTAAAACCTAATGCAAGATTAATAGAAGATGAGAAAAATGATAAGATTGTATCATCTCCTGCTGACTGTCGATGTGTTGCATTTAGTTCTGTTGATGAAGCAACCGAATTATGGATAAAAGGTAGAAACTTTACAATTGCTAAGCTATTTAATGGTGATTTACAAGATAACTCAAATATACCATTTAAAGCTGAAGATTTATCGATTGGAGTTTTCAGATTAGCTCCTCAAGACTATCATAGATTTCATTCACCTATTAGTGGAACAATTGGAGAGATTAAACATATTAATGGTGAATATTATACAGTAAATCCAATAGCTATTCGAAGTGAATTAGATGTGTTTGGAGAAAATATAAGAAGTATAATCCCCATACATACTGAAGAATTTGGAACAGTATTAATGATAGCTGTTGGAGCTATGATGGTTGGTTCGATAGTTTTAACAGTAAAACCAGGTGATAAAATTAAAAGAGGTGATGAAATTGGATATTTTAAGTTTGGAGGTTCAACAATAATCTTATTATTTAACAAAAACAAATTTGTATTAGACTCAGATATTTCATCAAATTCAAAATCTTCTATAGAAACATTAGTTAGAGTTGGTCAATCTATAGGCCATTCTCCTGAAACCGATGAATATAGAAGAGATCATAGTGAATTTAACAAATTATCTCATTCCAAGAAATTAGATTTGATTAGAATTTTAACTGGTGGGGACTTAAAAGATAAACATCAACTTAGTAATTGGGAAGCAAGTAAAATCCAATTGGAATCAGACAATGATGAAGCTGAATCATACTTTGATATAAATGATGAAAAACTCGAGAGGGATGTTGTTGATGAAGGTTTTGATGAAGAAGACGATGATGAAGATGATGAATTTGATGATTTTGATGAAGAAGGTTCGATTGAAACCAATGACCAACACAATAGATAAAATAATAGAACTGATATTAGAGTTGAGATTTGATAATCACCTCTTGACAATGATCTCTAATTAATAAATTATAGCTTTCAGTTTACTACGAACTCAGTGTTTCGAGATCTACATTTGAAAAGGAGTGAGAGGATATTAGATGTATGATAAAACTATGCCATTCTAAACTAGATTAATAAATAGTAAGAAGTAAGAAGTAAAACAGAATTTCATACAGCAGCAGTAGCTTCTGTGGTTTTAGGTGTTTCAGCTGAATTGACAACTTCTTGGCTATCCCCAACCGGTTCATTATTTGGTTCATTATTAGCTTCTGAAACACCAGCTTCGTTTGAAACAACTCTTTGACTTGGTCTAGCTCTATTTTCTTCCATATCAGTTGCTTTTTTTGAACTTAAAGCACTATCAGCTTTTCTCCAAAAAAGACCAAAGCATCTACGTCTTGTTCTTGGTGGGAAATTGGTAAAAATAGAACCCCAATAAAATGGACTTAAACCGAAACAATGGAAAATACCATATCTAACAACTTCTGGAACATAACTGTAACCCAAGAACAAAGAAAAATCTAAAGCATACAACACCCATTGAACAATTGTAAGAGCCATTGTAGTTTGATAAATTTGACAAGTTGATTCTGAAGTAGTACCCCAATTAACATTACCATCACCACATGTTGGGAAATTTGCAGCATAAGATCCCCATGAAGCCAAATATAAAACAAAAAAATTAAAGTCACATAATAAAATAAGAAATGATGGAGTTTCACCATTCATTGCAACTGGTACAAAAAACCCATAATATGAAAAATAAATCATATCTAATACATTAATAACTAAAGAATAAGTAATTCTTGCAACATAATCATCAATTCTTTCAATATTTGATGCAGTTAATCCAATTAAAATAATTGCAAATACAGTTTCAAAGACTCTTATTGTAATAGAAACATTTTCTTTAACAGAAAGCATTTTTTAATTTATAAGATTGATCCAACTAATTTTGATGTGTTATATGTAATTTTAATTTTATAAATAAACCACTTAAATTGTAACAATTGAATTAAATTGATAAAATTTGATCAAGGTGATGTCTGGATTGAGTTTTTAAACCTTTACAATTATCAAAAACTATCGCGCTTTGTGATTTGGGGATATTGTTGTTAAAATTTGTTGGTGTATGAATAAAAAAAGTGGTTGTAAAAAAATTAAAAATATTTTGGTTGTCTTAATTTAAATAAAGAGAGAAATAATACACAATATTTATTATGAAGTAAAGTAAACAAAAAAAGATAATCAATTGCAAAACTTACAAAATTTTCTAACAAAGATAGTTCAGCTATCTCCAAATATTTAAACAAAGACAAGACTTGATTCAATGGTGAAAGTAACTAATGATGGAAACATCAAAGTATGAAGCAGAAAGATATCATCACATTGATTACCCCCTAACCCTCTTGGCAATGTGAAACATACCCATACAGCTGTAATTCTTCGACTTTTTTCTTGCTTTATAAGTAAAGATAGGAATATGAATATGGCCAATCTGTTTCGAATGATAAATGCGTTTCTTAGAAACTATTATTTATAAGTTATAAAAATATATAAGCTATCAAAGCAAGAATTAAAATATAATAATGGTTGAAGTTAAAATTAAGCGATAGGTATTGAGACATGGGTATTGAGACATTATGACACTTCTTACCCATGCAATTTCGAAAAATTAGTTTCTTGACTTAGCTCTGATTGAGGATAACTTGTCATTTCAGTTTGAAATGCCTGAAAATTTGTGTTGGCTTGTTCAAGATCAACTTCTTTTTTTGCTTGTTCATCAATTATAAAGGTAAGTGAACCAACGAACGTTCCTTCTGGGCCTGGTGAATTAGTAAATATGACACCAATAATCAAAATAGCAAATGTAATTGTAAACAAAATTGTATTTGTCAATGCTAATGCAAACACAGTTTTTTCCATTTTACATGAACCCAAATATTGATAAGTGATATCTGAACAATTTTGCTTTATTGAATTCACAACTTTAGCAAAACAGATTATATTATTCAAAAGCATTCCAAAATCAGAAATCAACACTTTTAACATTGAAATTTTACCATAATGACTCATTCCAAAAATCATAAGTAGATGGTGACCTGTTATTAAACCCACAACAAAAGCATACACATATTGACCAACATAAATATTATAATTTTCATCATACCAATTTGCAATAAAAATACTGAGACATAAAAGAACAACAGCAATACAAAGTTGTAACAAACGAAGTGATGAACCAATTATTTTTTTGATTAAGATTGAATTCATGTGGAAAAAATTTGAATTATCGATAGTAGTTTTAAATCTAAAGAATATGAAAATGAAGTAATTTGTTATTGAATATCAATTTGGTGATCTCAAAATAAATCGAACATATGTTCGTTTATATAATTGACCTGACAGTCAACCTAATATCTGGAGATAATCCGATAACTTCACGAATTTAAAAGCACCATTATTATGAAGTACATGTGTTTCAATATCATTTTAATCAAACCTATTTTACCAACGGAACACTTCAGTCTGATAAGAACCTTATCTTCTATATATCATATCTCGGTTCAAAAGATTATCAAAAATTGATGATGCAATTGTCGGTAATTGAAGGCTGTTTAAGTTTGTTTGATAATCATTAAATATATTCTCGGTGTTGAGATCTGTTTTAAGATATTTAATCGTTCTTCGGTCTTATGAAAAGAAAACGGATTTATAATTTTAAATTTAATCTGGGGTAAAAACAGATCTTTGTGACCCTATTATCAAGATTGCGATTAGATTTCTATAACAGTTATCGACGATTACAATGCAACGGCTTATTCCAATTTATTATCGGAGAAATCACTAATTTTTATTCTTTTAATTTTGGATTGTTCCAAAAATGAAACATGTGTAAAACATGGTATTATATTTTGACACACACGTTTAATACACCATAAAAATAGAAAAGTATCATTCATTTTTGATTTTTCGTTTGATAACTTTCCTTATCAAATGAATGTAAGGATGCTTATCAAGCAACATGGATTTAGCATAGGCTCTTTTATTGAACACGGCTGTGATGAAAACTATCAAATTTGTGTGACAAATAAAATAGATTTTGAAACTGCTCATTGAAGCTAAAGGTTAAGGCAATGTCGATTTCCTTGAATCTTGAATCAGGTCGGAGTATGTAAAATTTAAATTTGCGTAACTTGAATATGTCAATTTAATAGTTTAGAGGTTGTTTAGCTATTCAAAATAAACTATATTTACGTATGAATCGATATATCAAAGCAAACAAATTTTATGACTTGTTTTTAAGAAGAATTAAAGTAATACTAAATTTGGACCATAGCTATAGAATGGAAATGATGACCTTTTTCAATTGAAGCTTGAGTTTGTTCTGTATTTATCACCAGTGTTTATTTCGTCGTGGACGAATGTTTCTTCAACACCACGTCCTGTTGTAGTGTCATTATTAAAATTTGGTGCATTATATCTTACTCCTTCAAGTTCATCTCCAACATCTTCTGTTTTAATTGGATTTGAAAATAATAAACCACAAATGAATTTTCTTTGTTCAGAATGACCTATACCAAGTTCTTTATCTTTACTCATTTGACTAATATAAATAATAATATCAATAGCAAATAAAAAAGTATTATAACAGCCATTGAAAATATACTTTGTTGTTCACGACAAAGTTTTAAAACATCTTCATATCCTCTATAACCTGAATAAATTGAACAGCTATATTTTACACTACCAGCCATTAAAGCAAATCCAGTAAGGTTTAAAACAAATAAGATAAATTCGAATAAAATTAATCCAATAATTGATGCATTACCTGAACAACTAATGATACTAATGATTAATAAATAAATTATTGTTATGAATCCAACAATTGCATTGAATAATATATATGATGAATAAATTTCATAATCAACAATAATCCAAATTGTTATATCTAGACCAAGACCTAAAAGTGCTGCAGCAACACAAAATTGTAAGAGTCTAATGATAAAAGTTATTAATTTTTTGGATTGAATAGATGTCATAAATTAAATGAGTATTTGAAATAGTAGTGAATTTTGAAATTAATAATTCTTGACCAATTGATAATGAGATTTTGAAAAATCAAGCTTATTTGGTTTTGTATTTATATTGAGCTTATCACATCTTATTTATATACCAAAGTAACGAGTTGTTGATTTTAAACTTAGATAAAATATTGATACATGTGTAATTAATATTATAATTGAAAGTTTGATTTAATAAAGTTTAAATGAGGACTTAAACAGTCAAATGCATCTAATGCTAATATAAGTTTACACGATCAATTTAAACGTCTCCATGACTGAGTATATTTTGCTTCTTTTTACCAAATTAAATTATATAACCGAACTCACAATTCAAGCTGAATGAACTGTATCCTGGCTGTAATGAATGATCAAATTTACCAACTTCATGAAACTTGACAAGAACTTGGTTTCGGTAGATAGCACAAAATAAAATATACTTTTCTGTGCTATTAAATTAGATTTCCTGTTAAATGACTATTTCTCTTTTGTGGAGAAAATTTGATGTTTAGGATCGATTGTTTGAATATTGTATTGAAACATACTTGGTATCTAAGTCATCAATTGATTTGATAAATCTATATTAACAACAAGGTTAGGCTTTTCTCACTTTACTGTGATGTTTTCATATTAATATCGGCAATTGAAGGGTCTTAATTAATCAAAGTATTACGAAATGTTTTAGGTTCAATTGTTTTTTTTATTTTTTTGTGTTTCTGAAATCTGAAACGAGGCTTAACCTCTCTCCACGGCTGTATCACTTTAAAATATAAAACATTTCAGATACTTAATTACTCCATTGGGATCTGTTACCTCAATGATCTACAAAATTAATATCACTGACTGATAATTGTAACTCGAGAACAAGTCAAACGTGTTAATGCTTTCAGTATGAGAAAAGGTATAACAAAATAAACCTACATTTTTAATACAAGCACTGATTACGTCATACATAAAGACTTAATTTCAATTTTCATTTTCGTTTTTTAAGTTTAAATTTTATTAAATAGATCTACCAAAGAATTGAATAACAAAAATGATGTATGGTTTGATTTCATATTAAGACGTATATAGATTTGAATTCTTGTGATTCAATCAAACCATTTGTTGTTCCACATTAATTTGACTGATTTCGGTGAAAGATAGTTAAGTTTTTTCTTTGAAAACATGGGGAAGATCATTTTTAATTTAAACGTTTACAACTGGTATTACATACATGTTATAGCTTCATCATTTTAAAAAATAAACTTTAATTTAACTTTAATTTATTCTTTTTAATCCCTGTGAAAGCACAATATTTTGTTCATTAAATTGAATGATCATTCATTTTCGTCTATTTATATTTGTATTAACGATAGTAAAGATTAGACGCGGCTGTGATAAAAGTTTAATTTTGAAACAGCTAGTCACAATTAACCTATAACTACTCTTCCATTAAACTAGTATAGACTACAATAGAACTGTATAAGCAAGGAACTCAGCACTTATGAATAATTTAGGATTAGATCCGAATGTTTGTGGTACCGTTATATTGTAGCCTGTAAAATTAAAATTTACATTCTTACTCTGCCTTTTGTTGTACATTGTGACATGAATTAGCCAACATTTGTTTTCAAAATAATATTTAGAGACTAAAACAGACAAGTTTTGATAAGTTATGAGAGTAAGAGCTACAATTCAGCATTCATATTTATAGTAACAAATCGTGAAAATTAAAATAATAATACTTTAGTGTCATCAACAACTTTAAAGAAATAATATAACCATAATTCAGATTATATTAATCTTACAAAGTTGAAGAGCTCAGGTACTTCTCATGAAACTTATTTTCTCTATTTGAGCTCTCTGAAATCTTAGTTTTGTTGTCATGTTGTTTTTGACGTGAACCACAAACTCTTGATTCCTCATCTTCAAAATGTTTATCACGAATGATGTCTTCATCATTTGGAAAAATGATTCCAGTTAAATAATTGGCTGACTTAGTGGTTGGAATACCTTTTTTACAATTTCTTTCAGCATAAATATGCAAAATAACTAAATTTGTTGCAAATAAAACGGCATTCAATACACCCATTGGTAAAATAGCTTGATATTTTTGGCAAATATCATAATAACCCGGGTAAGCTATATCATAACCTGAACAATTTTTCATTGGCAGACTTGCAATCAATGCAAATCCAGCAACATTAGATGACCAAATTATAGATTCTGCTATAATTATACCAAGTATACGAACTTTTTTAGTGAAACTTAAAATGAAAATAGATATCAAATAAACTATTGTGACAATACCAATTACGAAATTATAAGTACTTTCTTTCTTTGCGTACCCAAGATATATTACTACGTCAAGCCCAAGACCAAACTGCGCTGCAGCAAAAGTAAGTTGAAGAATTCGAATAATACAACTAATGATGATTTTTGATGAATTTGAAACCATTGTTTTAATAATGTCTTAATGATTTCTGTAAAATTGTTGAGATGAAAATTGGTGGAAATAACAAAGTTTATATAATGCTATGAAATCCATACTATTTAAGGTGTTGTATAATGAACATATCAATGAACAATCCTATTAACTGTGCCGAATAATGGTTGATCCTATTGAGATTTGATGCATCTGAGCTTAAAATTGAAAAAGGGGTCAGTCATAAATTATCTCTGACATAATACGGAGTTGTAATTCTTTTTAAATCCGATTTTACAAGTTTCAGCCTCATACGGCTCTTATTAGGCTGTATCTGTTACTATGAGTAATTATTCCTGTTGTATTATGATTAGGATTTCGGAATATGATTTATATTATGTTACTATCAAACTTTATTTTGTATTAAATCGAACTCGATATCTAAAGGAAACGATAGAAAAAGTATCAACGAAACTGCTAATAAATATGATATCAACCATAACAAATTGGTAGCATAAAAATTAACCGAAAGTGAGATTCCACGGCTATAACTTCAAATCACATAAATCTCAATGGATGAATTGAGTTTTCAAAAAAACATCTGGGAAGCATAAGCCAGGCACTGCTTTCATAAAGTTTTGCTACGTTCTAAATCGATTTTGAACTCATAAATTTCAAATTTCTTGCATGATCAATATATTTTACAAGAGAAACCACCCCTTAACGTTAGGTATAAAATTACTCGAAACACAAATCATTCATTACAAGTTGGATCAATGTAAAGCATTATATTAATTAAAGCTTGAAAAAAAGCTAGACAGTAAATCAAACAGACTCAAATGAAACTATATTATATATATATTCATAGAATATGATAAAATGGCATGCTTTTATCTCTCCAAAGGAACTAGTCTAAACCTCTAAAGTAGTTGTTGTACTCCTAACTTTTTCATCATACTCATTTTTACTATTTGCACTTTCAAATGTTTCAATATTGTTATTTTGTGGTTGTCGAGTTTCAAATTGTTGAGTTTGAGGTTCAATTTGATAATTTGTATTAGCACCACTTTCAGCAGCATAAAATGAATCTTTTTTTGGAAAAATACCACCAATTAAGAATGATTGATTTTTATAAATTGGTATACCTTCTTTTTTATCTCTAATTGTGAAAATAACAAATAATACTAAATCAGCTACAAATAATATAAAGTTAAGTACTGCCATTGGTAAAATTGGTTTATAGTTTTGACAAAATATTTTTGATTCAGTCCAATAATAATAGTCACAATTAGTTGGATATGAAGCTGCAACTATTGCAAATCCTGTAAGTTGAAAAACAACTATTATTGCCTCTGGAATAATAAATGATAACAATGATCTTTTATTAAAAAAACTTAATATAAAAGTAACAATTACGTAAATCACTGTAAAGGCTCCCCATACGGCATTAGCAGTAGATTCAACTACTATACTATCAGCGACCGCGTCCGATCTTGCACCTAAAGCCATTTGAACAAGACCAAAAACAAATTGAAGAAGTCTAATCAGACAAGCTATTCCAATTTTAATAGGATCTGAAATCATTTTGTAGTATTTGATTTAATTAAATTTGTTTGAATGTTGAAGTTGTTAATGATAATTTATTGAATGAATTTAAAAATTTTCGAATGATTTTGAGGCAATATTATAAATATTTATAAAAAATGAAAATAAGTAGAATTTGGGTAATTACTTATGCTAAAATTAATTAAGGAGTTTCCTCGTGTATACTTCAATATAGTGGTTTAAAATAAATTAATTTACTCATATGAAATCATTCACTACCCATGTAATTCATCTTATATGAGTTTTGAGACAATAATTGAATCTGTCAATTAAAGATATGCATAATGTCAGCATTCGTAACATGAAAATTAAATTACTTGAATAATAATTAATTGATTTTAATTTTGAGGCATTAGATTTTGAAGATCAAAGAGTGGATGAGAATGTGGGGGTAAAGATAAGATTTGATTTACAACAAGGAGTTTCTTAATAATTCTCAAACGATGTTCCAATAATTTGATAACATTGTGTTCATGTATGTAACAAAAGTTTCTTATCAATTGCCATATTTATTCCATGTATTTCAAATTCTTATTGTTTTATTTAACACGGCATTTGATTACTATGACTACAATTAATATATTTATTTTACAGCTTTATGAAAGATACAAATTCGATTCAATAATAAACCCCTCTGTATTAAAGATTGTGTGTTCCACCATACAGATTCAATGCACGAATAGTTCAAGTATTCAATTCTGGACCTTCTTAATTTAAGGTAATTTCACATTTGATGTAGATTTGAAATTTGATCTATAAAAATTAGAACAATTGTAAAAAATCATGTTCGTATGAAACAAATTTAATTACACTGATTTTGTGTCTCAAATTTGCAGATTAAATAAAGTGGTGCAAAAATATAAATTTTGTATATAGCCTCTCATGGAAGGAATTAAGACATTACCCCTTGATTCATAATCTTTCATGGCTTAAAATATTTCGTTTAATTCAATAATGGTTTTGGAAGTTTCTTGTTCCGAATGTTTTTAGTTTTGACATAACCAAATAATATTCTTGGTGTTTCATATTTATTTGTACTAGAAACATATATTCTAAAATGTTTACATTCGTAATGATCGATTTCATTCAAACTTCAAGTTAAAGCACGTCTCGTAAACTGTCTGAAAAAATTATTACCTCGAAATACAAATTTACATATGAAAGAAAAGAGTAGAAGTATTGATAATAAACATTTTTTGTTCGTAAATAATAAAATTTATTACTGTCAATTAATGTTTTAGATTTACACAAATCTAAGATTTTGTGTTTCAAATTTCTCGTACATTTTGAAGTTTTTTTTAATTTCATACTTTAAATCCAAATTAATTGATTTTCTATGAGGAGCGCAATTTGTAGCAGTACCCAATCAAATTGTGATAAGGTTTTTTGATCCCAATCTATCTTGTGATTTACGAGTCGAAAAGTTAAACGTTTTGCCTCGATTTTTTAACATACATGGTATTTATTACACCACCTGTCCTACAAATATTTTAAAATTGCAAGTTGAAAAAAAAACAATATGATTCATTTTCAATTGAACCAATTCAACTGAGTTTAAAACAACATAAGTTGGCAAAAAAATTGATTGCAAAGTTTGGAAAATTGTACACAGAGTGACTACGATATAACTTTTTATTATGAAGCACCAAATCTTCAAGTATGTATTAAAAAAATTATATAAAATCTAGAGTCGATTAGTATCAAAAACTTTACTAGCGGACTATCAGCTATTTGCATCAGACTTTGTAATCAAATATGATTTTATTCAAATTCAAGGATTTACTTGAGTTGTGGTATTTGTATATTGAGCTTGAGGTTCCGAACTTGTTGCAATACCATCAGTAGTTGTATCATCAATAACTTGACCTTGACTGTTACTTGGTTCACTTTCAGTTTCATATTTACCATGTTGTTGTTCTTCATCAATAAATCCACCTGTAGTTCCTGTTAATCCACCACTAGTTATATCACCATTAATAAATAAACTGCCCCAAATAAATTCCTTTTGTTGTAAAGTTTGATTAAAAATTTTATTTTTAATAAATGGTATAATTATATATATTGTTATTAAAACTAAATCAATTGAAAAAAGGATCCAATTCAATAAACCAAATGGTAATATAGATCTATATAATTGACAAGCAGTATTATTATTTGAAACATAATTATTATTAATACTCAGATAATAAATATAATTACATGATGAATAATATGACATATAATCTGCAATTGATGCCCATGCAGCTAAATAAAAAATCCAAAATATAAATTCTGAAATAATTATAAGTAATGGAAAAGTTTGATTTTTGAAAAAAATTGAAACTGACAAGATATAACCCAAATACAAGATTGTTAAAACTGCAATTGCTATATTATATGAAACTCTTGAAAAATTCCAACCAATTTTGGCTTCAAATGCTGCACTTACTGCTAATAATATTACTGCAAATAAAAATTGTAATCCACGAATTATATAACTTGTTAATGGTTTTGAAATTGAAAGCATTGTTTATTGTGGTTATTTTTGTTGATATAGCAATTGATAAATGATATTTGATGAATAGTGATTGTTTATTGAATTATGTCCCTTGTTATGTGCAAAAAATCAAAAAAGTGAAACAATTGAAAAATATACGAATTTAAAAAAACATGGAGAAAAGAAAAAAAAAGAGGAACGTTCATCCTTTATTTATAATCCCACATTTAACGAAACTACTTTTTCATAAAATTAAACTTTGGAAGATTTTAAAATATTAATTTGTCTTGGAATGATTAATCAAAATATTTGTATCATTCATTCAACTAAAAACCCTTAACTTTAATCTTAATCTTATGAAAAATTGTGAAGAAAAGATGAATAAATTTAGTAAATGTAATTCAACTTAACTTTAAAATGAATATTATCTTGAATCCTACAGTACAACCATATCGTCAATCATTTAATAATTAAGATTATTTGGAGTTTAATGATCGTCATGAAGAATTAGTCTCAGACTAAATATATTTTTTTCTTCATTGAGGAGATAATAATATATTAAAGTGTAAACTGTTGTTGATATATGAAGATTTTAGATCTTGCATATTATGAATCTAATACGGTAATAATTTATTCACGTATCTACGTATCTTAAGTTTTTACGTAGAATTACTTAATTTCAAGATATTATAAACATTTGTGAATTAAATTTTGTGGATTCCATTCATTTAATTGAGATCTTATGCTTTTGATACAAAATGTTTCATATGATTTATTAATAGAAGAACCATTCCAAATTGTGAGACATGCTATTATAGGATGATACGGCTGAAAAATGTCTCAGAAGTTACTTTTTTTATTTTTTTTCCATCTTCTAATGCCATACATCTTGTGATCAATCTAATAAACAGACAATCCTATTATTTTAATTACTAAAATGTGAAAGTTCGTAAATCAAAAAATTTTAATGACCAAAAATTATTATTATTGAAATTATTATTTTTTATACAATTTCATCCCCCTTGAATTATTTTATTAATAATATAATATTTTATAAACGTTTGTATTCAGCCGTATTGTCATGAGATTTTATAGAAAAGCTTCAATTAGATACAAAAGTGAGGTATGTAGTCTACCATAATTTGGTAATTATGACTCACTCGCCAATTGATCATATACTTTAATACGTTTCAATCGTAGTTTCTAATAGGGAGTTTGTACAAGACAAGAGATTGATATCGATAGATAATCATATCCTTATTGTATTATTTTTTGATGCAGATTGATTAGACTACTGAATATTTCTTGGTTTTTTACACTTTTTTGTTTCTCATGCAATGAGTGTAAATAATAATAATCTTGAAAAATTGGTTGTTTAGTACAGTTTGGTACAGTTTGTAGGGAGTCTGTGATTTGTTCTAATTTTAGACCTTTTTAAGTTTGATTATCAGTTTTGGTAATTGCACGAAGCTATTTTCATCCGTTTAGTTTGATCACGATAAATGATAATCAAATTAATCTTGATCTAAATTTGTTTCTTGGGTTTAATGACTGATGTTTTTTTTTGATTTTTCAAAATTCATTCACGTTTCTCAGTTTCAGTAGTCTGACTAGCCAAAATTTACTAAAACGGATAATAATTCGGTGATTGATTAAAATTAAGTTAACAACATGTGGTAACGCTATTGATTCTTTCTGAAACCTAAAATTTGTGATAAACTATTTCCTCAATCACATTAAATTAATATTATCTTGAGAATTTCGAGCTTTAAAGATCTGATATATATTAGCCAATATTTTTCACGGTTACTAGAAGCAAAAACTCTCATACTCTAAATCTAAAAATTTTAACTCGGAATTTGATAATTATGCAAATTTTATATGATTCATGAAATTTAATTTAATAGTATCTGATTCCTAAAATTATTCGCTTATTTTTGTCTCAATTTTATTAAAGAGCAGAACAGATGCATACCGTCTCAAAATATCAGGGCTGAATATAGCTCAAACTTTTCACAGGCATAGAACTCCTTGCCTGCATAAATATGAATTGTTATCATCTAACAATTTTTAAATGTGGAGTTCACAATCTATACTCATTCAAAGATGTTCAATAAATGTTCATATTTAGTCGTTTTTGAATTAATCGGGAAATGAACATTGTATTGCTGCTGTTAGAAATTAAAATTAATCTCTAGAAGAACAGTAAATATGTATATAACTTGTTTGCTTAAGTGGAAAAGATGGTATTCCAACGTGTTTTCAATTTCCTCAACTCTACTTAATTGTGAAAGGATTTGCAGCCAAAATTAATGTGACAAATACTTTATAAAATTATTATGTCTGCAATGATAGACATCACACTTTTAATTCAGAAAATTTAGAAAGGGATTGACAAATTGATCTGGAAAGCCAAATGTTTTGAATATTGGTACTCACCTGTTAGTATTAAGCCGATTAGTAAACTTACTAAAGTTAATTAATCAGTTTACAAATTTGAACAACTTACACGAATTGTTTTAGTAAAATTGTGCAACACAAAAAATACACAATAAGTTCCATAATATACCATGCCAATTATTATATAAGTACTTACTACAATCAATACATTGTCAACTTTCACTGTCTCAACTTAGACAATTCATTCCATAAATCAAAGATTTCAAAATTCTACTACTAGTTTTAATATACAAATTTATATATAATTTATTATTCATTCAAGAAATAATGAGTATTTCAGCAATTAGAATAAATGCAACAATAACACCAGCAAAAGCAGCAATAATTATAGTTCATGGTTTAGGAGATTCAGGATCAGGTTGGAGTTGGTTTGCTCAATTAGTTGAACAAACTAAAATTATAACTGATTCAAAATCAATAAATTATATTTTCCCCAATGCTCCAATTATTCCAATAACTGCAAATAATGGTGCAAAAATGCCTGGTTGGTTTAATATTTTTGAATTGGGAAAGGCTGATGCTAAACAAGATATTGATGGATTTTTTAAAAGTTGTAATGTTTTAAAAGATTTAGTTGATGAACAAATTAATAAATATAATATACCAGCTGATAAAATTATAATTGGTGGTTTTAGTCAAGGAGCAGCATTATCATTAGCTACTTTATCTTTATTAAATTATAAAATTGGAGGATGTATTGCATTATCTGGATTTTGTGGAGTTACTGATGAAATAACAAAAAGACATCATAAAAATATAAATTATGATACTCCAATTTTTCAAGGTCATGGTACAATTGATCCAATAATAAATTATAATTATGGTAAACAAACAAGTGAATTTTATAAAAATTTAGGTTTTAAAAATTTACAATTTCATACTTATGAAGGTACTCCACATAGTGCAAGTGAAGAAGAATTAATTGATGTTGTTAAATTTATAAAATCTATAGTAGAGAAGTAAGATAGACATTTGAGTACACTAAATAACATTTTGTTTCGTTTCTATCTATTCTAAAATCATTTCTCACACTCTTCTTGTAAAGTTTCATACAAATATTCAGTAAATTTAGGTAAACCAGATTTCCCACTACAAATTTGATACATATCATTTTTTTGCCATGTTTCTGGTTTAATTTTTCCAGATTTATCAACTTGAACATAACCAAATACATTTTCAATATAAGGACGTCTTGAATATTCTGGAATTTCTCTAAAATCATATATTGGCATAAATGAATCTCCATTTGTACTTGCTTCCATTATAAATGTAAAATCATTATATATTTTTGTTGATAATGTTTTTTCAAGTAGCTCTTTAAAATTATTATTTATTTGAAAATTTTCTGGTTTTGGATCATTTGATGTTGATGAACCTATTGTAAGTGCATTTGGTTTTGAAGATAATGAGAAATTAAAATGATTTGGTGGATTTTCATGAATGATGATTTGTGGATTTTTCGAATATTTGGTTAAAAATCGAAGTTGTTGATTCAATTGAGTTGGTTTAGTTGATCTAGCTTGTCTTAGTAATACTTGGAACATGTCAATTGATTTGTTGTGTGGTTGGAATTGAGGAGTTTTTGTCTTGAATAAAAGATAAAAGAGTTGCTGCAATCAAGATGAAAATTGTATAGAGATTTTGTGTAGCCAATTTTCAATTTCCATAGTCCAAGCTGCTTGTTCTTCACATACGTAGATACTTGAACTGAAAAAGGTTAGAAAAGATTGATCAATACATTCAAACATAAGGTATAAAGGTTTGTCGATAGCTCAATCTGAAAAAGTTGAGTACAATATGTCTCTGTTTTCAATTTTCTTGTTTACTCTCTTACTTACAAGAAACTCGGTGTTAAGAACGTATCCAACACAATTTTCAGCTGATGTAAAAAAGTACACTTTTCAAATGGTCATAAACTCATAATTTTTTTTATATTGAAGATTTTAATAAAATTTAGTATGTAGTAACATCAGGAATTCTAATTGGAATGTAATTTGATTGAGGTGATTTTAGAAATTTTTAATATTCGTTAGTATATTGCTAAATGTGGTAGACAACTATAGATAAAGTATGTAACGCGTAAATATTTCGGTATAGAGTTCAATTGAAAACATGAATATGCAAGATTAATTCCAAATCAAAATAGTAAGACCTAACAGTACCTCGATTGATGAGAGGTTTCTATTTAGCCAGACTGACGAACTTTATCGTTGGTTGGGTTGAGTTTGATTAGTTAAACATGTAAATATATAGACGTGTCTCATGTTCTCCATTATATATTATTGAGGTAGAGATGTTTTCTATTTTGTTTGTTGTTTAAGTTGTTTCAAATCAAAATTTTTTTTATTTGTGATTAAATTTAACATTTCAAAATTTCGTTTACTTTTGATTTAACTTAACAGATTCATAGATCTAATAATCACTTTTTACAACCAAATATATTCATCATATCAATTAAATAAATTACTTTCATATTCCACGTAAGGTCTCATTAAAAGTCAAATCACTCAACTAACACTACAATTCAATTTTTTAAACATTTTTAACCTAATCTAATTCTCCCTAATCTCAACAACCAACATACATTCAATATGAACTATTCACTAGACAATAATATATCATCATCAGCTTTAAGAAAAAGAAAAACTTTAAAAAAATCTATTAACTTCTCAATAATGATTGTTGGAGAAAGTGGATCAGGTAGATCAACTTTAATTAATACATTATGTGGAGGTAATTCAATAGTTCAAACATCATCAACAATAAATCAAGATCCATTTTCAAGAAAATTAACTTTAAGAAATGAAAATGTTGAATTAGAAGATAATGAAGGTCATAAAATAAATTTAAATATTATAGATACACCAAATTTTGCAAATCAAATAAATTGTAATGAAGATTTTAGAATAATTGTTGATTTTATAAGACATCAATTTGATGAAGTTTTATTAGAAGAATCAAGAGTTAAAAGAAATCCAAGATTTAAAGATGGTAGAATTCATATATTAATATATTTAATTAATCCAACAGGTCATGGATTAAGTGAAATTGATATAAAATTTTTAAAACATATTAATAATTTAGTTAATATTATTCCAATTATATCAAAAGCTGATTCTTTAACTCCTTCTGAATTAAAATTAAATAAAACAATAATATTAGAAGATTTAAATAAATATGGTATAAATTATTATAAATTTAATGAATATGAATATGAATCAGATTATATTGATGATGAAATTATTGAATATAATAAATATTTAAATTCTTTATTACCTTTTGCTGTTATTGGAGCAAATGAATATAGAAGAAATCCAGTTACAAATGGTACAACAACAAATGATGAAAATGAAGATGTTGATGATATTATAAAATTAAGAGTATTAAATAATGAATTAAAACCTATAAATATTGATAATTCAGATATTAATGATTTTACAATTTTAAAAAATGTTTTATTAATTACTCATTTAAATGAATTTAAAGATATAACTCATGATCAAATTTATGAAAATTATAGAACTGAAGCATTATCTGGAAAAACTTTTCAATATATGAATAAAAATAATTCAGATGATGAAGGAAGTTCTAGATCATATACAACAACAAGTCAACAAAACCTTGATTTGAATGGATCAAATGGTCATGGAGGATCAAATGGAAATGGATATCATCATCATCATAATCATAACTCAGTCAATCATAATGATAAAAATAATGGTCAATCATCTGATTATTTAATGAAAGAAGAACAAATTAAATTAGAAGAAGAAAGATTAAAAAAATTTGAAGAAAGAGTTCATCAAGATTTAATTACAAAAAGACAAGAATTATTAGAAAGAGAAAATGAATTAAAAGAAATTGAAAAAAGATTATTAGCTGAAGGTTTAAAATTAAATGAAAATGGTGATGTTATAAAAGTTGAAGATGATTAAAAATTGTTAGTGGTAGTTAATTTTTTTGTGTATTATCCTGTTTTCTTCTATTCTACAATTGATATGACTAGTTTTACTAAACAATGTTTCTGTATATTGATACTCTAAACAGCTGTAGTTTGATATTTTGTAACTATTGAATCAAATAATTCATTTTTGGAAGCTTCATCTTTAATTAATTCATGTTCTCCATTAATTTTTTTTAATTCTTCTAATAATTTTTCACTTTCATTACCAAAATTAATTAATCTATCTAAAGTAATTTGATTAGCTAATAAATTATCCAATTCATCATCTTTAAATTTAATTGAGTTATTATTATCATTTTCTTTTGACAATTGTTCATAGTCTAATTTTATATTTTCAATTTGTTTTAAAATTTCTTGAGATTCAGGATAATGTTTTAATTGTAAATTTAAAATAAATAAAATAATTAAATTATGAATTTTTCCCTTTATATCATCATCATTAAAAGAATTATTTAAAATTTCATCATAAAAATAAAAACAATTATTTAAATTTTCATTACCATTTTGAATTGATTTTACCCAACTTTCAATAATTTGATATATAATATTATCTTTAACAAATTCAGGAAATTGATTTAATTGCATAAAAATTTTTTTAACGTTGGAATAATTTCCCCTGATTAAATTTAATTGAATTAAAATTAAATATATTTCAATTTCATTATATTTTGTTGAAATATTTAAATTTTCTAAATAATCATTTAAAAAAATTATAGCTTGATTTAAATCTTTTTCAAATTTAACTAAATAAAAAGTTGTTAAAATAGCTTGTAATTCAAATTTTGCTTCTTTTAAATCTTCAAAATATGTTGAATCATCTGTTCCAAAATCATGTAAATCATTCCATGCTTGTAATACTTGAAAAACATTTAAATCATCTGGAAATATACTTCTACCATTTTCAATTAAATTTGAAGCATCTAAATTTAATTCAATTGTTGATCTTATTATATATTCAAGGACTTTTAATTGATTTTCAGGTGAAAAATCTTCTAAATTATAATTTGTTACTTTTTCATGTTGATTTGTATAGAATTGATATCTTATTAGGTATAATTCTCCAGAATCTGAAAAAGAATCCATTGTGTTGTGTTCGTTAAGTGGGTTATTGAAATTGAATGTGTTGTTAAAATAGATTAGTTGGTTGTTCAAACACGAGACAAATATTTGATTTTGTATTATTACTCTAATTAAATACTTAAGATTTTTTCAATACAGAGAGGCTACCAATTTTTATATACATATTTACAACTAACATGAATTTCATAAACTACTTAGGAAGCGATTCGAAAAGTACGTAGATGTAAATCATTTCTATCAAAATAGATACCAAAAGACTCAAATGTATTACTTGACTGAGGTTTTTTGAATTTGGAGCAAAATTCTGGCTTTCGTCTGACTTGTAATTTCGATCACATTATTTATTATGAAACAGTGATTAGTTCAAGCTGTGAAGTTCCTTGTATGAACCTTATCGGCAGCTCAGGTTTCAACTTTTCTCGACTTTTGGCGAATTGAAAAGTATTTATCATCATCAATGATGAATTTGGAACTAGAGGAACACATTATTCATTTGCTTCATATTTTGTCCCAAGCTTCTAGTTAAATTTTAATTACTTCCTTGATCTCTTTCATGATTCTTTTCCAATTCTTTAGCTTGTTTCTCCTTAACTTTTTTCATAATTCTTTCTTTTGCTTCTGGAGTTAAATCTAAAGTAGTAGTATCTTTAAAAGTCATTTTAGTTTGAAATTTTTCTTTTTTTCTTTTTTCAATTTCTTCAGGTGAATGAGGTTCAAATTTAACAAATTGAAAATCTGATCCAGATTTATAAGTTACATATCCACCTAATAATATAGCTATTGTTCCTACTATAAATTTATGAGACATTGGTGATCCTTGTGGTAAATTTTGTCTCATTTTTGTAATTGAGTGGTTTTGGTATGTTAATTGAGAATTGACTAATTGTAAAAAACTTTTCTTTTCTGTGGTTGGGTATATTGTATAGTTTTATATCATTTGAAATGAATCTTTTATATTCTATTTTGCTGTGTATCAGATTTTCTACTAAAATTAATTTCTCCGTAAATTTATTTGGTAGTACAAAATTTATCACAATCTCACACGACTTTTGGATTTGATAATATTAGAATCATTTTATATTATAAATCAGATAAGTTCTTTTTGACTGAATCAAGTTGTAACCAACAATCATTTGTCTTTCAAGTCATTTCAAACATCAAACTCGAAACAATAGATTCAGATTTTTTTGATTTCACTTGCATATAGCATCCTTCCAGTTTTAATATCCGCTCATTCAATATTCTCATATTTAGAAATATTTTCCATACCACAGTTCCTCCACAATTCAAAATTTGATCAAAAAGTATTGAAAAACTATTGAAAATCTAAAGATGGCTGCTCTTCCAAAAAGAATATTAAAAGAAACAGAAAGATTAGTAAGTGATCCAGTTCCAGGAATAACAGCAATTCCATCAGAAGATAATCTTCGACATTTTAATGTTACAATAGATGGACCAAATCAATCACCTTATGCAAATGGTATATTTAATTTAGAATTATATTTACCAGATGATTATCCAATGTGTGCACCAAAAGTAAGATTTTTAACAAAAATTTATCATCCAAATATTGATAAATTAGGTAGAATTTGTTTAGATGTTTTAAAAGATAATTGGTCACCTGCTTTACAAATTAGAACTATATTATTAAGTATACAGGCTTTATTAGGTGCACCTAATCCTGATGATCCTTTAGCTAATGATGTTGCTGAAGATTGGAAAAAAGATGAAAAAAAAGCTGTACAAGTTGCTCAAGAATGGACAGTGAAATATGCTACGAAGAAAGAATAAAGAAGAAACAAATATATTAATAGCATTGATAATGAAATAGAAATGAAATCTTTTTACTTTGAAAACTCACTTTTAATTCCAATCTTACCTCGTTTGTCTTCACTTATGGCTATGTATGAGGTCTTATCGATTGTATTTAAAAGTTACAGGATTTTTAAAGTTTGTGTATAATCAAATTGTTTCAGACCTAAGCATTACAAAGCCACGCGCCGAAGGAGCTATATACGCTTAGGTTTGAGGTGTAGTTTATCTACAAGCTTTGAATTACATATACTTCAAACATATTTACGAGATTTAAACTCTTACAACAGCATTATGTCCTAATTTGACATATGTAGCTTTAACAGCAATGTGCGATATCGGGTAACAATAGTAGTTTAGCTATGTAATGTGATCTGATACTTGACCAATTTGGTTTTATAATGAATTAACCACAATTTTGCAACCATCCCCTGAACTCAGGTCTGAATTAGGAATGAAGTTTACTAAAATGGTAATTAAGTGATAGACAATTGAGATCAGATAAGCCCAAAAATAGTTTAATCAATCCTTAGTACTATTGAAGGCTGTTCATTTAAAATTATAGCAACTTCTTTTGAATTCTAATTTAATTGATGGATTTAAACAAAAATTAAATCTAAAAATTTTTGAAAAGCTTGTTTCATAAAAGAAACAAACGATCATAACTATCATCGAATTACAAGTCGTTATTGGTTCATTAAAATTATAGATTTAAAGGATCATTTATATTTTAGATTTATCGATGAACTAAATAATACTGTCAGACGTACCTATAATGTGATGATAGTTAGGTGTATCGTAGTTACAAAAATGTCTTACATTACTAATAAATTAATACTCTAAATGTTAAATGTATAAAAAATATTTATAACCGCTTTTCCCATTAAATAAATGACGGGTATATTGAAAACTACTTTAGTTTAACCTCCCGTAACCTTCTCTCTATTGATCCCAACGTCACTCTATCGTTTTAAAGTTAAAAGAAACTTCTTACATTGAGGATGGATCCATCTTGTTTTACAGCCTTAGCAATCTCTTCTACTTTTCTGTTAACACGTTCAAAGTGGTAGAGTTATGAGCTATAAGATCTTTATAAAAAATTTAATATCCGAACTTCTTTAAAAATATCTCTCTCTCTTGGTTAAAAAAATGAAGTACAAAACTCGGAATTAATTATGTTTTATAATACGAACTTACTTACTTAAATGTATACAGTAGTACTAAGTAGTACATAACAATATTATGGTTTAAAATTAGTAACATCTCTTTTAATTTGTAAAACTTTTAAACTAATACTTCTTTTGCATCATATCCTTATTATCATCAACTTACAACTATTCATCGTTTCATTCAAGTTTGTTCATTCCTAGTAAGAGATAAACCTTCAAATATCTTCAACAACCCTTTCTCAAAAAAAAAAAAAATTATTCAGATCGGATTAGATTGAAAAAAATAAATTTTATTAAAAACGATTTCAAGATTGATTTAGATCTTAATTATAATAAATTATATTATTTTTACAACCAATTTTTCAATCAACCTTATTGACTGTTTGGCATTCATTGAAATACCTTACCAACCATTATTATCACCATCACTACTACAATAAAACCAAAGGGAACTTGGAATCATCAAAAACCTGAGACATACCATTTAATGAGATAATGCCCAATTCTGGTAAAAAATCAAGAAGGAAGGATAATAAAGAAGATAATAATAATAATAATAATGATAGTAATCAATTAAGTCCGTTTAGTGATCCAAATGAAAGTTTTGATGCGGACAACTCTTCAATATTACAATCACCTAATGAAGACGAATTTAATAATAGACAATATAACAATAACTCAAATATAGATCATACTTTTAGTGATGATTCAATGCCTCCAACTCCTCAATTAAATACTGATAAATTTGAAGGTGGTAGATCTTCATCACTTAGATTTCAATTACCACCAAATCATAATAATGGAAATAGTCATAATAATAATAATCTAAATAATGAATCACCTTATATACCTGCAACTCCACCAATTTCTTCTTCATCACTGTCAAATAATGGATCAAAACAAACAAAATCACCATTTTTAGATCAATATGATACTATACTAGAAGATCAATTATTTGAAAAACCAACAAAAATTACAGAAGAACATGAAAGAACAGAAGAATTTTCTTCTCAAGAAGATGAACCTATGGAAGATTTAGATATTAATAATGATAATAATAATGATGATTATAATCATATTGATGGACCAACAAAAAGACATAGATGGGGCACAACTAGAAATAAACAAGGAAGACCTAAAAAGGAAAATGTAAGTCGATCTAAAACATTAAAGAAAATACTACATCCACATCATAACCACAACAAACATCATCATAAACTGTTAAAAGGTAGAATAAAATCTATTCGAAAACCAAATACTCATTCAATTGAATTTCCTGAATCTCATCATAGAAATGATTCAGATTCAGATATAATAGATCCAGATGCTCAAGATCTGAGGAATCGAAAGCAAGAAAAAAGAACAATTGTATTTAATAGATCATTACCATCAGAATTTTTAGATCCTGAACTGGGGAAACCAATAACAAATTATCCAAGAAATAAAATAAGAACTACAAAATATACTCCATTAACATTTTTACCAAAAAATATTTTTAATCAATTTTTTCATAATATTGCAAATATTTATTTTTTAATTTTAATTATATTAGGAGCTTTTGATATATTTGGTGTACCATCTCCTGTATTAGCTGCTGTTCCATTAATTGTTATTGTTATTATAACTGCTATAAAAGATGCTATAGAAGATTCAAGAAGAACAATAACTGATTTAGAAGTAAATAATCAACATACTCATATATTAGAACAAGTTAATGAAAATTCTTCATATCATTATGAAAATCAAAATGTTGATGATGAAACTATATCACTTTGGAGAAGATATAAAAAATGGAATTCAAGATTGCTCCTAAAAGTATGGGGAGCACTGAAAAGAAATTTAACAAAAGAAGGTAGAGCTAATAAAGAAAGACAAAAATATAATGAACAAAATAATATACAAGAACAAGAACAAGGTAGAAAATCATTCGATAGTGATATTTTAACACCAACAACAACTAATCAAGATCACAATCCATTTGGTGATACATTACGTAAATCATTTCAGCAACAACGTAGAGAAAGTCATCATTATCATCCAAAAGTTTTAAAATTTGTTAAAAAATATTGGAAAGATGTTAAAGTTGGAGATATTTTAAGAATTTATAATAATGATGAAATACCAGCAGATTTAGTAATATTATCAACAAGTGATGATGATAATGGATGTTTTGTTGAAACTAAAAATTTAGATGGTGAAACAAATTTAAAAGTTAAACAAGCTTTAAAATATTCTTCTGTTAATGATAAAGTTACAAAAGCAGATGATTTAATGACTCATTCATTTGAAATTGAATCTGAAGGTCCTCATTCAAATTTATATTCTTATGAAGGAAATTTAAAGTATATTTCAAGAAATGGTGAAGAAAATCAAGAGCCAATTACAATAAATAATTTATTATTAAGAGGTTGTAGTTTAAGAAATACAAAATGGGTAATTGGAATTGTAGTATTTACTGGTGATGATACAAAAATAATGTTAAATGCTGGAGTTACACCAACAAAACAATCAAGAATTTCAAGAGAATTAAATTATTATGTATTATTAAATTTTTTATTATTATTTATAATATGTTTTATATCAGCAATGATAAATGGATTTTATTATAGAAAAACAGGAACTTCAAGAGATTATTTTGAATTTGGTACAATTGCAGGTACTCCAGCATTAAATGGATTAGTTGGATTTTTTGTTTCATTAATATTATATCAATCATTAGTTCCAATTTCTTTATATATAACAATTGAAATTATTAAAACTGCTCAAGCTTATTTTATATATTCAGATGTTATGATGTATTATCCAAATTTAGATTTTCCATGTACTCCAAAATCTTGGTCAATTAGTGATGATTTAGGACAAATTGAATATGTATTTAGTGATAAAACTGGAACATTAACTCAAAATGTTATGGAATTTAAAAAATGTACAATAAATGGTAAATCTTATGGTTTAGCATATACTGAAGCATTAGCTGGGTTAAGAAAACGTATGGGTATTGATGTTGAAACTGAAGCTATACAAGAAAGAGAAATTATACGTCAAGATAAAGATGTAATGCTTGAGAAGTTACATGAAATTTCCAAGAATCAAACATATGATGATGAATTAACTTTTATTTCACTGAAATTTATTGATGATTTAGAGGGAAAAAATGGTGAAGAACAACAAGATTGTAATCATCATTTTATGTTAGCTTTAGCTTTATGTCATTCAGTATTAACTGAACAAAGTAATAAAAATCCTCATAAATTAATTTTAAAAGCTCAATCACCAGATGAAGCAGCATTAGTTGGTACAGCAAGATCTTTGGGTTTCAATTTTAAAGGTACAACAAAAAAGGGATTTTTAGTTGATGAATTAGGTATAACAAAAGAATATCAAGTTTTAAATACTTTAGAATTTAATTCAACAAGGAAAAGAATGAGTTGTATAATTAAAATTCCACCAGAAAATCCAGAAGATGAACCAAGAGCTTTATTAATTTGTAAAGGTGCTGATTCCATAATTTATGAAAGATTATCAAAAGATTATAATGATCCAATAATGTTAGAATCAACTGCAAAACATTTAGAAGAATATGCAACTGAAGGGTTAAGAACTTTATGTATTGCAGAAAGAGAAATTTCATGGTCACAATACCTTGAATGGAATAAACGTCATCAAATTGCTGCTTCAGCATTAGAAAATAGAGAAGATAAAATGGAATCAGTTGCAGATTCAATAGAAAGAGAATTAATTTTATTAGGTGGTACTGCTATTGAAGATAGATTACAAAATGGAGTACCAGATGCAATTCAATTATTAGCTGATGCTGGTATAAAATTATGGGTATTAACTGGTGATAAAGTTGAAACTGCAATAAATATTGGATTTTCTTGTAATTTATTAGGTAATGATATGAATTTATTAGTTATAAAAACTTCTTATTCAGAAGAAGAAATGAAAAATTTAGGTAATATAAATTTTGGATTTGGTAATGGAGAAGCTCAAATTATTGATACTATTATATCATATTATTTACAAAATCATTTTAATTCAATTGGATCTTATGAAGATCAAGATAATGCAATAGGAGATCATACACCACCAGATGAAAGATTTGGTATAGTTATTGATGGTGATGCTTTAAAAATTGCTTTATTAAATGTTGATACAAAAAGAAAATTTTTATTATTATGTAAAAAATGTCGAGCTGTTTTATGTTGTAGAGTTTCACCAGCTCAAAAAGCAGCAGTTGTTAAATTAGTTAAAGATACTTTAGATGTAATGACTTTAGCCATAGGGGATGGATCAAATGATGTTGCAATGATTCAAGCAGCAGATGTTGGAGTTGGAATAGCAGGAGAAGAAGGTAGACAAGCAGTAATGTCATCAGATTTTGCAATTGGACAATTTAGATTTTTAGCAAGATTATTATTAACTCATGGTAGATGGTCTTATAAAAGATTTAGTGAAATGATTCCAAGTTTTTTTTATAAAAATATAATTTTTAATATTGCATTATTTTGGTATGGAATATATTGTGATTTTGATGGTACTTATTTATTTGAATTTACTTATCTTATGTTTTATAATTTAGCATTTACTTCATTACCAATTATTTTTTTGGGAATATTTGATCAAGATGTTGATGCAAAAGTTTCAATGTTAGTACCACAATTATATAGATCAGGAATTTTAAGAAATGAAATGAGTGATTTAAAATTTTATTTATATTGTCTTGATGGAATATATCAATCTGCTATATCATTTTTTTTCCCATATTTATTATATTTAATGGCTTTTCCAAATATGAATGGTAAACCAGTTGATCATAGATTTTGGATGGGTATAATTGTTACTTGTATTGCTTGTATTTCATGTAATTGTTATTTATTATTTCATCAATATAGATGGGATTGGTTAAGTTCATTAATTGTTGCTATATCAATTTTAATTATATTTATATGGACTGGATTATGGACAACAACAGTATCATCAAGTGGAGAATTTTATAAAGCTGCTCCAGAAGTATTTGGAATGACAAGTTTTTGGGCTTGTATGTTTATTGGTATATTATGTTGTTTAATTCCAAGATTTTTTTATGATTTTGTTCAAAAAATTTATTGGCCAAAAGATATTGATATTATAAGAGAATGTATTCAAAGAGGTGATTTTGATGCTTATCCAATAAATTATGATCCAACTGATCCTGATAGACAAAAAATAAGTTCTTATTCAACAAATGCTTTAAATAGAATGTCAATGGGTAGTAATTCATTTAAAAGAAAACTGAATGAACCTATAAAAACAAATTCATCAAATGATGAAGAAGAAGATCTGTATAATAGAAAAGATATTTTTGATCAATTAAATAATAAAACATATCAACCACCAACTCCACCACCAGGAATATTAATGTCACCATTAAGAAGAAAAACTTCAGGAGCAATGAAAAGAATATTTCAAAAAAGAAGTAATTCCGATAATTATTTTATAAATAATAATAATACTTATAATAATCAAACTGTTGATTCATTACCAAATACTTTACAAACTGAAGAAATTCCTTTAGATGATTTTAATACTGATAATAGACTTTCAATTAGTAATGATAATAATAATAATAAGAGAGTTTCATCAATGTATAAATAGATAGAATATACACGTTCATTAGAAGAATGTATAAATTAATTAATTTCGGGGTTTTAGTTCCTCTTTAACTCTCTTACTTTCTATTCTCATTTCTAGTCGAATTGTTTAATTGATTTTGTAACCTTACAAATTATTTATTTTTTTGCAACAAAATAAAAATTATCGGTTAAACTGAAAAGTTGAAGTGCAAACTAAATGAATCATGTAAAAACCCATTTAGAAAGGATAGTAGGAATGAATGGTTAGAGAAATCTAGGTTTATGAAAGAAAGATACGAGTTCCAAATTTTGTCATTTATTTTTTTAAAGTTTGCCATTAAAGTAATAACTGACATGCGGAATAATTTTTTATTGAACCATCGGAGTTATAATGAGATTGAATAATTGTGCGATATTTATTTTTTGAACAGATCTTTTTCACTATATGAAATACATTTTACCTGCATTATTTGTACTTGGTTCCACTTGTATCAATGTTCATCTAGTACCTAAACATGGTATTCCTTAAGTAGTGGGTTCGTGAAGGTCTCCTTCTGTTTGGTTCTACACTTAAATTTCTTCGTATAAATTTGACTTGTTTCAACTTTTCATGTATGGAACAGAGCGACATTTTTTTTTTTTTAGCACAAACACGTCAAGTGCGTTCTATTTTTTTTTTTTTTTTTCTACATACATTGTTATTTAATTGGAGTGTGATATATAACCTATTTTGAAACTAATTGGTCTTGTGAGTTACATACAGCGGAGAAAGTGTGAAGACCAGATCAAAGCACATACAGTCTAGTGAGTGGATAATACAATTAAAAAACCATATCAACCGTAAATGAGTGGATAGCTACGAATTAAAAAGAAAAAAGAAAAAGAACTCACAAGATATTGGCAAAATTTAAAAGGTCTTACGACCATAAATCTAGGTCGAGAAAAAAAGAAATTCTAGGTCGACCAATTAGTTTTATTGTCGCAGAAAAAAATACAATACGACATTCTGATCTCACATATAAACTTTTCAATTTTTTTTTTATTTTTTCTTTGTCCAATTAAATCTCTTCATTTGAAAAAATTGGACACCCGTAAACCACCGCTCTACATCCATAACTACATACTTAAGTAACATACTTAAAGGTATTGTGATTATTTTGATTTAGGTACAAAATTATTATTTTATTACTCAAATATTATAATACATAACAAAATTAAAAAGACTTAGAGATAAGAAAATGTCTATTTTTTGTATAACGAATAGAAGTTTTTTCAAAGTCTCAAAAGTTGATATATCTGTTGTTACTCAATGGATGAAATTGCTTTTACAATTGATTCAAGTTTATTGATATTATTTCTGATACATATTTGGTATTATGTATGTTTTGTTAGATTGTTTTATATTTAACTCATATTACATCGAAAAATGTCGCTTAGTATACATATAATAATAATAATTTGGTACAAGTAAAACAGTTACATAAAAAAATTTTTTCTTAGTTTTGAAAAATTTAATCAAACGAAAATTTTAAATATAAAAATTTTTCAATTTCCTTTTAACTCTTTTCTTTCTTTCTTTCTATTAGTTCTTTATCATCTTATTAAACAACTTTATAACTATTCAAAACATAAAACAAACAAGATGGATTCAAAATTCGTAATTGATTTCCTTATGGGAGGTGTTTCAGCTGCCATTTCAAAAACTGCTGCTGCTCCAATTGAAAGAGTTAAATTATTAATTCAAAATCAAGATGAAATGCTTAAACAAGGTAGATTATCTCATAAATATACTGGTATTATTGATTGTTTCAAAAGAACTGCTGCAGATGAAGGTATTGCTTCATTTTGGAGAGGTAATACTGCTAATGTTATTAGATATTTCCCAACTCAAGCTTTAAATTTTGCTTTTAAAGATAAATTTAAAGCTATGTTTGGTTTTAAAAAAGATGAAGGTTATTGGAAATGGTTTGCTGGTAATTTAGCTTCTGGTGGTTTAGCTGGTGCAACTTCTTTAGCTTTTGTTTATTCATTAGATTATGCAAGAACAAGATTAGCTAATGATGCCAAATCTGCTAAAGGTGATGGTAAAGGTAGAGAATTTAATGGTTTAGTTGATGTTTATAAAAAAACTTTAGCTTCAGATGGTATTGCTGGTTTATATAGAGGTTTTGGTCCATCAGTTGTTGGTATTGTTGTTTACAGAGGTTTATATTTCGGTTTATATGATTCATTAAAACCAGTTGTTTTAGTTGGTCCATTACAAGGTTCATTCTTAGCTTCATTCTTATTAGGTTGGGCTGTTACTACCGGTGCTTCTACTGCTTCATACCCATTAGATACTATTAGAAGAAGAATGATGATGACTTCAGGTCAAGCTGTTAAATATAAAGGTGCTTTTGATTGTTTCAAAAAAGTTGTTGCTGCCGAAGGTGTTAAATCATTATTCAAAGGTTGTGGTGCTAACATTTTGAGAGGTGTCGCTGGTGCAGGTGTGATCTCATTATATGATCAACTTCAAGTTATCATGTTTGGTAAAAAATTCAAGTAAATTATTTAGAAAATTATGTAATTTAGATGGAAAAAAAACAAAAGAGAAAACAATAAGTTCCTGTAATTAAAAATTTATTCATGTATTTTTACATATTTAATTGTAGTTTATATTTCTTCTTTCTTACTTTGCACTTAACGAGCATTATTTAATAAAGTCTCTTTATAAAAAGAAGAAACTTAAAAACAGATTCCAGAGTCCATTTAGTCAAAGTTCGAAGATTTGTTGGAAGTACTATTCTCTAGATCACTTTCTTAGATGTACTTATGCTTTTTTGATCAAAAATTTTTCGCAGTTAAATTGTGTCTAATGATTTGATTTATAAAATTTCGAATGAATTTGCAACCATTTATTTTTAGCTCATTTGTACTGAGGTACGGAAGTTTAATAATAGAGAACAATAGAAAATTGTTTCGAAAATGTTGCAATATATACGAGAGTACTTTTCATTTAGTCAATTAACATAAATATAAAATCAATCAATTATTTCATTTAACTATATACCATAAAGCAAATCGGCAAAAACGATGATCAATACGATCAACAAAAATAAATAAAAATTTACTTTTAAATTTGATTATTTTTCTTTTCAAAATTCATATATAATAAATCATATTCATTTTTTAAATCATAACTTATTTTTTCATTTTTTTCATACCCCAATAAATTAAAAATTTCATCATCATCATTAATATCATTGTTAATTGATGAAATAGCTGAATTTTTTAATTTAAATTTGTTTTTTTCATTAATTAAAGTCATTGAAAATTTTTTTGGATCAAAAATTTTCAAAATTCTTTTTAAAACCGTGTTGATTGATATTGAATCATTGAAAGGAAAATTTGTTTCAAATGATGCATAACTCCAACCCGATTCTGGTGTAATATGTAAAGTATAATAATATCCTCCATTGATATTTGAACAAATTGAATTTGATGAATATCCACATGGAGTGAAAGCAAATGCATCATGAATAAATTCAAAATCCGTATTTGCAGTAGTAGTAGTTATTGCTGATGATGTGTTATTGTTATTATTAGTCTTGTAATTTTTTTCTTCAATTTCTATATCTGATTCTTCTTCTGATGATTCAGATAATGATGGTGAAGGTAAATGAGTATTTAAATTAATTGGTTCAAAAATACAATTTAATTCAGTTTCAATCATTGTTTCCATACCTAATTCATGACCTAAATCTGAATTTCCATCTTCAGATTGTTCACCTGGTTTTCTTGAATAAATAAATTTATTTGCACAATTAGGATTTAATTCGGTCATTAAAATTTCAAATGTTTGATCTAATGATAATTGATGATGTTTACAATTTGAATGATTATCTTGTTCTTTACCACCAAAATAAAGATACCAATGATCATCACTTGCAAAATTACCAACAATATATGATTTACCACATATAAAATATTCATTTAATAAAGAAACTTCATTTTTCCAATCTTTATGAACATGAATTTGTTTTTCAGGAAACATAAATGATCTTCTTGAATAAAAAATTTTATAAATTTCTTTACTTGACATGACAAAATTTAATGCCTTGGAAATTGTTTGAAATAATTCATCTAAACAAGCTAAAGTTGTAGTTGTACCACAAGTTTTTAAAATTAATTTATGTGGGAAAATAAATAATGAAGATTCACTTAATAAATAAGCATCCATAAATTTAGAACTTTTCATTGATAAAATTTTACAATTAACTAAATCTAAAATTTTAATCCAATTTTTTAATTCAATTGATCTTAAACCTTCATTAAAATTTTTTGGTAAATCATTTTCTGATTTCCAAAACCAAATTTCTAATAATTTTTCTGGACCTTCAAATGCATAAGATGAATCTAAATTTGTAGATAATTCATGATCAACGAAGGTATCTTGATGATAAGCAGGAGCAACCATAAATATTAACCTTATTTAAAAACCTGTAAAGTGTTTTTTTTTTTTTATAGTTTGAAACTTACTCTTGACAAAGTTTTGTTCTTTTGAAGTTGAATTGATATAAAAAATGAAACGAAGAGAGAAGTAGCAAGAAACGTTTCAATAAAATATCAATGTTTGGTGAATAAAATTTTTATAACTTTAAAATTTTATTCTGTTTTGAAATATTGTTGTGAAAAATGATATGAATTTGTCGATGTCAGCAAATTAAATATTGATTTTGATTAATTTGTTTGTAGTGGAGCAACAAGATAGGCAATGATTCTCTTTATGATAAACTTATTGCGATGTTACCCAGGTTCTATTAGTTTACTTATATAAAATAATTGATCTAGTAGTGACCCTTTCTTACGCATATAACTTAATAAAAAACCTCGGAGGATTTAAATATGATAATACTCAACTTGCTTATGCTTCGTTGAATGGATTTAAAGAACTTATTGAACAACTAAAAATGTTGAAAAATAAGTCTATTGAAGTGAAAAAAGTTTTTGTTTGAAGACAACTAATTGACTATGAAATAATTTATTCAAAGTAAGGGACGATTTTGTGTTGAAGGACTGTTAACCTAACTCTTGTAGATGTTTTATTTGAATTGAATAATAAATGAAATGATGGTTGTAAAAATAATGATTGCTTGAAAAATTTGGTTGTAAAAAAAATGAATTATAAAAAAGCAAAAAAAAAAAATTCAAAAATTTTTCAGGTCACAAAAACTTCAAAATTTTTTCTTAGAGCTTGAATTAAAGAAAATTAAAATAACTCAATTTCTACGTAATATTATATTATTATTTATCAAGTATCTATACGTTTGATTTAAATAACTCCTTTCAAATATAGTAATGGGTCGAGAGAGGCTTGAAGTTAGTGGTGTGTTTATAATACATTCATCTCCGATATTGCCAACTGGTTCGTCTTTACTGATAAATTTTTTCTCCATTTTAATTGCAAATTTGATAGCACAAAGTCATAAAATTTAACCGCTGTATAGTAATATGATCTTTTATTGTTCTATCAAAGTTTTGTGGTCTAGAAAAATTCGAGAGTCATCCATGAAATTGAAACTTTTCAGGTAGTTAGCTTTATGAAGTCTCAGAGTTTGTATGATTTGAAGTCTGATTCGAAATGAAACCAGGATAGAAGTGTTTTAAATCATGACTTTAAATGCTTAAAAGTTCAAAAATAGCATTAAAAATCTATATCAAATATATTTATAAGTAAAAACATCCAGAAATCAAACAGATGAAACAATTTCGCTAGCATTTCTTAAAACTTCAACCATTCTAATACATTCTTTTCTCTTTTGTACAGTTAATTCATTTTCTTTAACTAAATCTGGTAATTCTGGATTATTATACATTTTTTCTAATAATTCTTTTTGTATTTCATCTTTTGATCTATTAATTAATTTTAACATTATAGCTTTTGGTACAACATCTGCAACTGTTCTTTTTACAATATTATAATATGATGATATTAATAATTTTATAACTTCAGTTTCCATAGTTTCTCTTTCTGTCATTGTACCTGTTGCTCTTAATACTGGTGGAGGAGCTTCCATTTGTTGTAATCTTTTTTTATTTTTTGATGAAAAAAATCCTCCAAAAAATCCATTACTATTTTCTTCTGTTTTTGGAATATTTGAATGTGTTGGTGATTGAATTTGTTGTTGTTGCTGTTGTTGTTGTTGATTTGGTAATGGTTTTCCAGTTTTTGGATCTACTTGTATTTGTGGTCTAGGATGGAATTTTTCTTCAACATAAGCCATAGCTTGTGTACCTGTTAATAAATCTGGATGAGCTGTATTTACATAAGTTTCTTCTGATTTTATAATATCAACAACAAAATTATTAGTAGGTACTAAAGCTTCTCTTAAATATTGAATGAAAAAATTTGATAATTGTTCTTTTAAAGCAGGATATCTGGAATATTGTGGTTGACCTATAATTTGTGATAAAATACGAACTAATTCATCAAAAATTAAATTAATACATCTAATTGAAGGTTCTTCCATTCTTTTAATTTGTTGTTTGACCAACACTGTAAAAGCAGATGTACCAACGAATAATGAAGGTGCTGAACCTGAAGTATTATGTAAAATGGTTCTAATATCAGCGTCTTTAATTTGATCATATGGATCCAAAGCAGTAATACCATTTTTAAAAATTTCATGAAATACAAATGAAATACGAGCACCACCACTTAATTCTTGTGAACTTAATTCTTTTGATTCACCATCTAAAATTCCAGTATAATCTTTTGTAAAATTTGTAATCATATTTAATGCAATAGAAGCTGGTGATTCTGCTAATTCTGGACCTAATAATTGTAATTCATTTTGATATTTCTTTAAAGAATGTTCAATTCTCATTTTAATATCAGGTAATGTACTTTTTATATGATGTAATAAAATACCATTTAATTTTTTGGCAAGATATGGAGTACCACAAAATTGTGCTTTTGCTCTATAAGATGGATGATTTTCAAAAAAATTAGCTTCATTACTTAATGCTTCTCTAATTGTTTTTTTAGTTTCTATATCTTTTTGACCTCTATTTATAACTGGAACATAACCAAATCTTAAAGGAATAACTCTACCTGCTAAAATATCAATTACATCTGTTCCTTGATCCATAAGATCAACTTTAGTTAAAACACCAATAGTTCTTGAACCTTCAGGATCAACTTCTCTTGCTAATTTTAAACCATCTGAATTTGCTAAATCAGTATTTGCAGCATTAACAGATAAAATTATTGCATTTGGTTTTGAAATAAATTTCATAATCATATCTCTAATTTGTTTCTCAATATCTTTTGGTTGATCTCCAACTGGAACTTTTGTTAAACCAGGTAAATCAACCAATGTTAATGTCAAAACATGTGGTGAATAGATTCTTAAATTAATTGGAACTGGTGATATTCCTAAATTTTTACCAGTTTTAGCATCAGTTTCACGAACAATTTCATTTCTAATATCTTCAAAATTATAAAACTTTTTACCTGGTAAATGTAAAAACTCCCCCCATTCGTCAACATTATTTTCAGTTTGTCCACCATCTTCTGAAGCATTTATATCTAATAAATCCTTTTTATTGTCCTTATTTGGTCTTCTATTTATTAATTGCAATACTAAGGGTCTTCTTGTAACAATACCTGTCCCTCTTGGTAAAAAGTCTCTTCCAACAATATTCTCTAAAACTGATGATTTACCAGAAGATTGTGATCCAACAACTGTGATTTGAGGTAAATCAACTGGAGATGATGATCCACCTCCTAAAGGAGCCAATGCATCCTGCAATTTGTTGATTGTTGCAATCAATTGTTCATCCATGTTTTTTTACGTAATTTGTTTGATTTAAAGTATTGTTGGTAAGGAAAGATAACAGAAAGATTAAACTCTGTAATTATTTTATTTTGGTGCCACTACGTAAGTATAAAATATATTGATTAAATATACACGACTATTTCAATTTCAATATATTTAAGTTGAATGATGATGTTCAAGCTCAGCCTTTACAACACGTAAACATTATAATCTAAAGAATTCACTTCATTCAACGATTTTTCAGTCAACTCCCATGGTACTCCAAATATTCCAGCATTGATTTTTGGCATGTTAACTACTTTTTCTCCAACCAGATTAGATTCAATGTTTTTAAGTGTTTGTAACTCTTTTGATAAATCCCTTAATGCATCTGTAGTATTGGAAGCAATTTGTTCAGGTGATTGATTATAATCGCTAGTGAATAGACAAGCTATGTATATTTTGGATTTTTCAAAATCATCAGCTTTTAACAATAAACATTTACCTAATATATTTGAATTATTATGACAATATTCCGAATATTGTTTATTAGCAATTGGAAACTTTCTTCTAAAAACTGCAGCTATTCCACCTCCCCAACTTCCTTTAGTGTTGCAAGCATGTGCCAATACGATTGCATTGTCTATTGCTTTACAACTGAACAAGTCTCCTGTAATATACTTGATTGTCATTACCGTTGCATTACAAAAGCAAGATAGAGCAAAGTTAAAATTTGTTTTTAATACATGAATAAATATTTATATATTAAGTTCACAATTTTATATAAAGAGCTTCTCCAGGAGAATCATGCTTTATTCCGTTAAATATAAACCCATGCTCCAGACCACAACCAAATACATTTTCAAAAATATGTTCCTTTTCTTTTTCGTTTTCATTGAATGTCGTTTCTTCATAACTTCTTGCAAATGCAATTGAATTTTGGTATTTTCCAATATCATCATCGTTATGCTTACTAAAATATCTATCTTCAGGTTTTATCATGAAAAATTCAACTGCGTCACCTTTTTTAGGTTTTGCTTCGGGTGATAAAGCAATTAAATCTGCTTTTGGTCCCCATCCACCACCTCCGGCTGTTACTTTGTATCTTTCCACAACTGATGTTCCTTGTTTGCGTAATTTCACATAAACTTCAGTATCTTTACTTCCCAAACTCATCAATTTCTCGTTATTTTCAAGAAATTTGGCAGCTGGTTTTTGTTCAATTGTTTTGAGTAAATTACCAACACAATTAGTGACTTTAAAGGGCTCATCAGAATATAGTGGTGTCCATTTATCTTCCACTACCGCCACTGAATGGTTTGATATAATACCTCTAGGCAATTCAATATCTAAATCACATAAATGTTCTCCAGAATGAGCAATTTTTAGTATGGGATCAAAATAAAATAATGTAATAATCGAGCCAGTCGAAAATACTGTATTTGCTAAACTAATACTAGCATTCATTTCATTTCTTAATTTGATATTCAAACTCCCCCGTATATTTTTCCAATTCTTTCTTGCACTAACTGCATTGATTCCATCACTTTCTCTTGGTGGTTCATTTAATTTATCTTTCTCCTCCAATAATGTTGAAGCACCAATCTTTAAGGAATGATCCAACCATAATTCACTAACACCGTTCCTATGGGAATAAGGGACCATTGTGTCTACACCGGCAACAACCACTTGTAATTGATTGTTTTGAAATAAATCTATTGCATCTTGAATAACTTGTGGTAAATTTGATGGGGTTGAAAATACAAGCACTGATTTAGGTATGAATTTACTTGGCGGTTTCAATTTGAAATCAATTGGATTAATTGTAGATTTGGCATAGAATTGAGAGTGCTTTGTTCTTGTTGACAAATATCGTAGAATTTGTTTCATTATTTCATGGCTAATCTGTTTAAATCTATGTACAATTTGGTTTTTTTTTTTTGCTGCAAATTAATCTACTTGATCTAAAGATCTTTTTCTACTTGAAGTATCACCTACATTTTCATTCTTACTAATAGTTTTCTCCTCTATTTCGCCATCATCACTCACAGCTAATTTAAACTCTTTTTCATAATGTTCAAACTCATTGATTAAGTTCATTTTTTCACCACCTTCTTTAAGAACTTTTTTCAAAATAGGTCCCCATATATTTTCATCCTTTTTAAAATCATCTAATTTAAATACATTTTTACCAAGTTCCCATTCAGATTGTTTCACTCTAATCAATTCAACCATATATGCAGACAGTTCAAGTGCTCTACCTATATCACTTATTAAACTTCTAATATAAGTACCGGAAGAAACATCTGAAATGAAATGTATAAGGGGTAATTTTTCAGGTAACTCTTGATCATCGGGTAAAAGCTTTGGTTCTCCCACTTTTGAACCTTTTGATCTTTCAAAATATTGTTTTGAAAAATATAATGGAGAATCATTTAATGTTGGGTTATTCATTAGACCATGTTCTTTCGGCACACCATTATCATCTAATTGACTCTCCAATTTCGTAAAATTATGATCCTTCGTGAGAAGGTCACTCTCGACAACTTTTATATCATTTACTTTTACGTCCCTTACTTTGATATTTTTTGGTAACGGTATTCCTTCTCTTGCATACTCATATAATGGTTTTCCATTAACTTTCAAAGCTGAAAAAATTGGTGGTGTTTGTTTGATATCTCCAATAAATTTTTTTGTAGCTTCAATCACAGATTCAGGAGAAATGTGATCGATTTGATTTTTGGTAATGATTTCTCCCTCGGAATCTCCAGTTGTTGTTGATATTCCTAGTAAAGCTTTGGTTTCATAAGTTTTCTGACATTCTGCTAAATAGTATTGTAATTTTTTGGTTCCTGATCCTACTCCCACAACTAGAACACCACTTGCCAATGGGTCTAAAGTTCCTCCATGCCCTATTTTAATCTTTGTTGAGTCTGCTTTCTTTCTAGCTTTCTTCTGCCATTTTCTGTCTCGACTTAAATCGTAATATACTTTATCTCTAGCTGCTTTCAAATCAGCAGCAAAAGTTCTTGAATTTGTAAATAAGTCTTGTACTTCATTTAAAAAATTGGCCGATGATACACCCGATGGTTTGTATATGGCAAAGACTCCATTCATTTTCAACTTTTGCAATGATTTTTTAAACATGCATTATCATTACAGCACAAGAGGTTGAATTAAAAAAATTTCAGAGATCAGAAGCCATTTTCAGTGCGGCAGAACACTCTGCAACTTGTGTTAAATTTATAAAACATTGTAATTAAATTAAACCTTGTCGTTTTAAATCTAAATAATCCACATAACTCATCACATTACCTTGTTTATCTTCAACCTCAATTGCATCTTGCACTTCATTTTGTTTCAATTTATTTTGTTTCTTCAATGTTTGAATCAATTTTTGAGCTTCATCAATACTTGTGATATTTTTGAAATATGCTAAATCGACTTCATCAACTCCTAAACACTTTAAACCATGTATATGTTTTTGACCATTAAAATGTTTTTCAAAAATTTGTTTGCCCTGATATGTTGCATTGCCACAGATCTCACAAGTATATTTTCTATGAAGTCCTTGTAATTTATGTAACCAGAATGGAATAGGAGAACCGTCTAGTCCCAATGGTAAATTTTTGAAAAGCTCAGAATCAGAATCGGAATCACTTTCATTGAAATCTTCATCACTACTGGAATTAAGTTCAGTTGAAGTAAACTCATTTTCTAAATCATTTTCATTTTGAGATTCATTGAACTTTTCTCTTTCCGTTAAAATCAACATTTTTTCAGTGTGATTAATTTGAGGTTTTAGTTCTTCAGCTAAAATCTTTATTGCATTTTCAAACCATAAATTAGGTTTTTCATTTAATTTTGAGCTTTCAAGCTTTGCTGCATTCTTCTTGTGCTTCTTCCCATTCAAATGACCATCAAAAACGCTTTTATTAGTAAAAGCTTTGGAACATGCTTTGCAATAATAGCTTGTTGAATCATCTTTTTCGAGGGCCTGGGATTCATCTTTCGATGATAACTGATCAATGTCTTTGATAATCTTTTCGGTGTCTTTCAAAGGATTCAATTGAACATATTTAGACCATAGAAAATGATACAATTCCTTCAAATATGTATTGTACAAATGATTAGTGATTTCATATGGAAAAATTTGAAAACTGTATAAAAACTCGATGTAGGACTTTGCTTTAGTTGTAAAATTTGCATTGTATGTATCAAAAAAAGGTTTGAAATCTATAGTTTCGTCCACCTCAAGACCCTTCAAATGTGACGCAGCTGAACTTAAGATACACTTTCTCTTTACCATTCTCTTTTCCTTCTTTGACTTCTTATTAATCTTGTACTTGATGTCAGTGGGATCTTTTGTATAAAATGGTAAATACATTTCTTTCAAGGAGGTAGCTCTTATTTCATCGGCTTCGTTGTCTGGAATATTGTCAATTAATTGATCGAACTTTTGATAATTTATATCATCTTTCAAATTTTGAGTTTCTTGATCGTATATAGTTGATTCATCGGTAAAACAACGTGATGCAGATTTCAATAGTCTAATATAATCCTCCATAAAAAACTTTAATTCATGCTTTTGAAGTAATTTTAAATGATTTGTGTATGATGAGTTTTGATTATCTCGTAGTATCTTTTGCTTGGAAAGTAGATTTGAAGGTAATATATTTGGATTTCTCAATAGTCTTTTGGTTATAGCATCTTCTATGATATCTATATTTTCTAAAGACAGTCTTTGTATCTCTAGTAATGAGCTCATTCGTTGAAAAGTACCAGTTTCAAAATCTATTTTAATGAGCTAGTGTTCTGTGAAGTATATTATTTATGAATTTGTTTCATGTTTTAAAATTAGATTGTGTAATTTTTATCAAATCAGCAATCCCAGGAATCTAAGATCATTACATCAATCGACCATGTCTAATTCCTCACTACCTCCAAGTCCAATTGAATTGTATTTGCTAACTTATAATTGCAATAAACAAACCTTGAGACCAGATTTATTTACTTCACATATACTTGAGGCGTTACCAGACCAGATTTCATCTCTTTATGTTTTTGGATTTCAAGAGTTCTGCACTATCTTGGAAAGTTCTTTCACATCTGAAGCAAACTCAAAATTGATCAAGCTCAATGAATTGATACAGTCGGCTTTGCAGGAGAAGTATCAAAATCCATCGAGCTTTCAAACTATTTCTATGAACTTTCTTGGAGCCATTGGTATGATAATGATAAGCCCCTTTCCATCAAAATTTCAAAAAGTTCGAACTGCCACTAGTTCATGTGGTTATGGTTATCTGAGCTTAAAAGGAGCAGTTGGGTTTAGATTAACTTATTGTCCTGAAGGGAGATTTAACAGCACCAATAAGGTTGAGTTATCATTTGCAAATCTACACTTGAATGCTTATGAAGGGGAGTATTATTATTTAAAACGAAACAAGAACCTTTACAATTTGATAAGATCATTGGATTTTGGTGATGGATATGGCTTAATAAAGCCAAAAAACCATATTTTCATCATGGGAGATTTAAATTATAGAACCAGTCAAGATTATAAATCTTACAGTCAAGAGAGTCAAGAGTTATTTTCATTACTGGAAATACCCACCAACGACTCAAAGTACATCAAAAAAATAGAGAGTCTAGTTGATAATTATGATGAATTGAAGAAGAGTATGGCAAATGGTGGGGTCTTACAAAATTTCTCAGAAGCAAATATTACATTTCGCCCGACTTATAAGTATCATATCAACACGGCGATATATAATACCAAGAGATCACCTTCCTGGTGTGATCGTATTCTTTATGTGTCAAGTTATGAAGAAATATTAGATGATAACTTGGGATTACGATTGTTGAAAACTACAGGAGCTGCTGATACTAAATATGTAGAGCTGTTACCGTATTACCTACCTAAAATCAAAACTTACTCATCGATAGATTCATTGTTATTGTCAGATCATAGGCCAGTATATTTAAATATATCAATACCTTTTAATCCTCCAAAACTGATAATATCACCTTTATCTGGATGTTTACAAATTTTACCATCAGGCTTGACTACTTCTACTAATTTTGATGATTTTGCTCAATTGAGGACGTTAGAACTGAGTACAAATGTTGTAAGCGGTCCCACAACAGTTTATCTAATTCCTACAAAACTTGATGGATTTCTTAATACTATTGTAAGGCCAATAATGGATCTCCTTATAGGTTATACACTTTGGTTCGGAACTACTACTCAAGGAAGACTTTTATTATTTATGATTTTTTTACTCAGCTGGTCTTTGTATTACATTTCATAATAGCCATTGATTATAAATTTTTCTTATAGGAACGTCTAATATATGAAAAAAAAAAAACAATAAAAATACACGAGACTATAGTAGTTATCATAACCTCTATAATTTTAGATGTAAGAGTATATAAAGAGTATAAATTATTCTACAAAAATTCACAATTTTCATCAATTTTTAACAACCCAGATATTATAATCCATTTTTTTTTAATTTCCAAAACTAACTAATCACTATAAACAAATTTTGTTAGTCGTTTAAAATCATATGTAAATGATTTACAAAGTACAAAGATCATGCAATAAGAAAAGAATACAAACAACAAAAAACCAAATTAATTCAAAATTGAAATATACTATTATGCGGTACATTCCCTTGAAATGTGACCAGATTTACCACAATTGTAACAAGTCTTTGATCCATAACTAGCACCTCCTGAAGATGAATGACATTCTTTTGAAATATGGCCTGGTTTACCACAAGCATAACATTTGACATTACCTGCTTGACAATCTCTTGCAAAATGATTTGGACCACCACATTTGTAACAAGTAGCTGATGATCCACCTCTTGATGAATTGAATGGTCTTCTTTGTGATGATGATGAAGTTGACTGACTATTTTGTTGAGGTAACTCACAATTTTTTGAAATGTGACCAAATTTTCCACAATTATAACATTTAGTACCTTGTTCTTGATTTGGACATTCAGTTTGAATATGACCTACATCCCCACATGAATAACATTGTTTTGAATTTGTTTGTTTTGGTTCTGAACAATCTCCTGATTCATGACCTGGTTTATGACAGTTATAACATAATCTTTCTTCTTGAGTACAATCATCAGCAACGTGTCCAACTTCACCACATTTGTAACAAGTTCTAGGAAATACAGCAGCCATGTTTAACGTTCTTATTTATTCTCCACTACTTCTACCCTTGATTAATCTTTTCAATCAATACTTTTGTAGGTTTGTTATAATTTTAATGAAATGCTTATTGATTAGAAAAATTTTCCACACGCATAGAAAAGTTTCACAAATTCTACACGACTAACTAAATTTATAAAATCCATATTCATAGAAGAATACTTCAAGTCTTATACTTTACTCAGTTCAGATCATGTCAATGCAATATCCTTACTTGATATCAAGAACATTAGATCCAATAATAGGTGTTGGTATGGGGGTAGCTTCATATTATTTATATGAGAAGAGAGTTGGTAGAGAGGAAGGTCATTCATTGAATGACTTGGTTTTGAAAAGATATGAACAATGGAAAAAAGGAGAATAGGTACAACGATGATAACAATTCAAAGATTAAATCATGTTAGTTTATACTATATGCTTTGTTTAAAATTCTGGAGTATATTTTTCGCCTTAGTCGGGTCTTTCACCTCCAGTAATAAAATTTCATAAATTTTAGACCATGATGTGGCGGATAAATCAAATGGTTGCTCAATATCTGGATCGTCATTTGAGGTAGCAATAGCTGGTTCTGGTTCTTTGGTTGATGTTGTACTTGATGTATTCGATATAATGCAATTGAAACTTATTTCTTGGTTTTCCCCGGCCAATGTAGATAATGTAGATGTATCTTGCGCTACTTTTGACTTCACCATCAATTTTACATCCTGAGGTTTGATATTTGAATTTTTTAGTGACTCAACTGAATCAATCAACTCCATTTTAATTTTATAAATTGATTCTGATGATGATATGTTGAGATCCGTTGCAAATTTAAATGGAGGTTTGATGGATTTGAACTTTGCAATTATAATCAGATTACCACTATCCTGATCTGTAGAGCCAGCTGGGAATTGGTACTTGAATTTTGGCAAACTTGGACCTAGTGAAGCAAGATTGTTGTAATCGTGGGTTGAGTTAAACTGATCAGGAGTTGCATTTTTGGATAAGTCCATCAATTGAACATAAGTCTTAACAAATTGTTTCTCTGGATTTACCAGATCTAATGCGGTATTTGACATCGTCTTAAATGTTTATTCAGTGGAGTCTTTTGTTAGATAAGTATTTTTGCAACGTATTCAATTTTAAAAGTTTGAGTTTTTCTCTTCATGATTTAGTTTAAATCCGATCTCATAAAGTATTATTTCATTCAAAGATGTCATTCTTCAAATCATTCAAAAACACGCGTTATACCGCATTGGGTCAAGATGATGACAATGACGGTGCTCCCTTACCACCACCAGCAACTCAAGTAGATTCTTCAACTTCATTCAAAACAAAACTACAGAAATTAAACCCCTTTAGAAACCAATCAATATACCTTCAAGATGACGAAAATTACGCAACTTCAGATCCAGGAATGTTTGAATTATCAAGGTGGGATAGAATGCTTATATTTGCATTATGTTTTGCAGGGTCATTATGTTGTTGGTTAATATGTATATTTTTATTTCCAATTTTAAGTCTAAAACCTAGAAAATTCGCCTTACTTTGGTCCTTAGGTTCAATATTCTTTTTAGTTAGTTTTGGAGTTTTACAGGGACCTCAAGCTTATCTTATTCATTTATTTTCATCAACCAGAATTATATTTACAATAATATTCGGAGCAAGTATCATTTTGACCTTGATAAGTAGTTTAAGTTTAAAAAGTACGCTTTTGTCCATAGTGTTTGCAGCAATCCAATTGCTATCTGCGGTTTGGTATAGTGTCAGTTACTTCCCACTTGGAAAACAGACTTTGAATTTAGCTGGTAGTGTGGCTAGAGGTCAAGTAGATAATTGGATAAATTCATAGGATAATGAAGAGTTAAAGTTTTATGGTTTTAAAATTATATTGTTGAAACTCATTCTTTATACACCTCTGTAAATTCTGATATCGATAACTTTTCAAAGTCTGGATATGCAGAGTTTAATCCTTTTTCAACAACTTTAATAATTGCTTGATTTGCATTTGGGTCCTCTTTCGTTGTTTGCGAAAGTGTGATAATTTTATTGCCTATATCCTTCAATTTTTTATCACCATCTGAGTTTAATATTTTATCTAAACTTTTTATAGCTTGTAAAGCCAAGACGTATTTACCTTGAGCTGAATAAATTTTGAAAAAATTCTCCCAAACTAATTTAGATTTTGGTGCTTGATCCTTCATGTCCTCATAGAGTTCGAACAATTGTTCAATTATGTCAGATTCCTGTAAATCATGAAGTAATTTAATTCCAAACGGATCTTTATCATCTTTTTCACTCTCAACTTTCGCTTGTTGTTCTAATTTTTTCTTATTATTTTGTCCTTTCACTTTCTTCTGTTTCTTTCCACTCTTTTTAATTTTGAAGTCATTCTCCTTCGATTCAACTTTCAAACTTTGCTGTTCTCCATAAAGCTCAAAATATAATTCCGTGATACCTTTCAATGCTCTAATGTATACAGGTGAGGATTTAATTTTGTCTTCCCATTTTATTGTGTCTATGTAATCTCTAGGTGTTCCTCTCCTCAAACAATATGAATGAAAATCATATTGATCATTAAAATATATTTTGAAAGTCTTGAGAATTGCTTGAAATCGTTTTATTGCTAATCCCTTGTTTATTTCAATTTCCTCAATACCAAGTTCATATTCCTCGCTGTCTTTATCATAATTGGACTCTTCGAATTTTTGAATTAACTCATGATAAATTCTAGCATATGCCTCTGCACTTTCAATTAACACCCAATTTACCTGCATGATGTGTAAATCTTTACATCCATTAATCACACCTTCTTCTAATTTTGTAAACAATGATATACAATCAATAGCTTCATCCACTCTATTATCTCTAAGTAAATATTTAGTCGCTTTCGAGTTGATAAACCTATCTTGTAAATCTAATTCCCTACCTTGAGTCATAACATTTGACGCTTCTCGCAATTTTCCTAAATGTTTCAAAATTCTTGCTTTTATTATGTAAAGCTCAACCAACGTAGGGGAATGGTCTAATGCTAAGTCAATGTATTTCGATGCTGTTTCAAGATCATTTGTGTAAAGGTAATGCTGAGCAAGGAAAAAATAAGTCCATACAGTGACAGTCGGATTTTTGATTTCAAAAGCTTCATCATGAAGGAAGTTTAGAACAATATTTTCGATTACTTTCAATTTTTTTTTATCTTGATATATTGGTTTAATATTTACAAATGTGGCTGGAACACCTCTTAACAATTGAGGTACAATATAGTCTCTACATTTGTTTTCAAATAAATCAGATTCACTTGGTAAGAATGTCAATGGAATGAATTTGGGTGGGTCAGATTTCGGATAAAATGATTGAAGTTTCTCATATAATTTTAATCTTACCTCAGGTGACTTATTAGATGTTTCCAATGCTACCTCCAATAATGTATAAAAATCTTTATTATCTGGGTTTCTTTTTAATAATTGTCTGTAAACTTTTGATGCTTCTTTTTTTTCGCCTAATAATAACAAGTATTTAGCTTTATATTCCAAGTATGATAATTTATCCTTTATACCTTCTTTATCATTTTCTAATACTTCCAACGCTTTTGTAATATTTCCAGCTTCTGCAATAATTTGATTTTTATACAATAAACATTCACTATGCTCATACATATCATTTTCTGTTAAATGTTCCTTTATGATATCTTCAATTTTACTCAAAGTCCCTACTGCCCCATTATAATCTTTATTCAAATGTTGAGCAACAGCTAACCCCGTCCAATTTGCCCTAAATCCTGGTGCATGTTCTAAATATAATTGTCTACTTTCCACCAAATGCTTGTAATCTCTATTTTGAGCTTGCATAAATGATAAATCACGTAATATAGGTTTGTTAGGAGATCCATTGTCATTGGCTGCTTTCAACCATTTTGCAGCTTCAACGTAATCTTCTAATGCTCTATAGTATAAACCGACTAAATGATTCACTAGGTAATTTGATGCACCCTTGGTAATAGACTTTTTAATGTATATTTCAGCTTCATTTTTGTGACCAGTGTGAAATAATATACAACCTTTTAAAGCTAATGATTCAGCGTGATTGGAATTTTTTTTTAAATTTGCATCCACTAATTTTAAAGACTTTTTGTATTGTTTCAGATCATAGAGTTTCAATGCCTCTCTAAAATTACCATCCTCCTTATTTGCAAATATGGGTGTTGCCTTTTTCGTGACCATTGATTGTCTTGAGATGGTTTGGTTATGTTTCGTGGTAAATTCAGTTGTTGAATCTGGTTCGAGTTAAACTTGGATCTTGATGAAAAAAAAAACTCAAAATCTCCAGACGCAATTTGGTAGCTTTCGTAAGGCTACAAGTTTTGTATTAATTTTTTCAGTCTCACTGTATTCATTTATTTATTAGTTAGATCTAGAGAGATAAATGAAACTTTCACAGTGTTACTTGCAATCATCAACGTTTTGTTTTAAACTACGCCTAAAATATTGAAATGAGATTGATATCACTAGGTAGGAAGCTCAGCATCTGTGATTTGAAAGGTTTAAAACTTTTGCATTTTCTTTCATATACTATTTGGACTGTCCCTTGAGAGATCAAATTTCAATTCTTTCATATTTCTTCAGATGATACATGAGAAACCCTAATCAACGTAATAAAGTCTTCAATTGCAGCTGAAGAAGTTCATATCAAATGCTAGATAATTATAAAAGTGTCAGGTATAGGCTATATTACCTTACTATCATCTGAGCTACCAAGATACATGGAACTACATTCCCTTATCTATCATCTAATATTATCGGTTTATATATAGTCTCCTCTTCTTTAGTTCCTAGCTTAGCTAATATACACTCATTAGAACATTACATGGAGGTCCTTGACCAAGACAGAAATGGGGGATTTTCAATCATCTTAGTAGTCTAAAGGAGTATGGTAGTCATGATTTTTGTTTTCTACAAAACATTAATAGCGATCACACATTCAAGTCAAGAAATCACTTCAATTCCAAGTTTATTACAAATTGGTTGTTAAACATTAACTCCTTGACTAATCAAACTATCACGAATGATACTACCACTACGTATATCCGTTTAACTATTGAGATGGTGCTTCCTTTCGCCTTAGTTGACAATGGTGAAACTGGATCAACCTCATTTGTGCAACTGAGCAAGCACGGCAATGGAACTCATACAGAACAATGGATCTCAGTCATTTTAAAGTTTTTCGAGAATGGTCAAATTGGATTACAATGTCTTTACCTGGTACGATAAAGGGACGTTTCTTTTTCATCTTTATTGGTCCACTAATCATACTTAACACTGATTACATTACGGAGCGATATTTTAAAGAGTCCAAATCAAGACCAATAAACCCGAATGCAACTGAACCTGTCGTTCAAACACAAGTCAATGAATTATTTACATTAATTGATACAGCTAAGTCGAGACTTCATAGATATGATACTGGCAATCATTATATATCCAGACATACATTAGATTGAATCAAGCTCGCAAGGTGAAAAGACATACGAAGTGATGACGATACAATACATAAGCAGCATCCAATGTCTTAGTCACATCAATTAATTCGCAACACATTGAATTTTCCACAACTGATTTTCATTAATCACTTACCAATTCTTCCGGGCTACATCGATTTTTATCACTAGCTTTTCATTACCAGTCGGTTTTATTCATTTCACTTACTATTCACGTACTTCCCAAATTTTGCAAAAGTATTACGACGGATCTAATCTTTTCCTGACAAATTTGGTACCACTTAGTGACAATGAGAGACAAGATCGACAAGAATTTATCCAAGTGCATGAACAAATAAAATCCTTTTCATCCGTTTTAGAGTTTCTTACATGGTTCGCAACATTCATTCTTGCAGAAGAAGAATCAAGTACAAGCAGAGCTAGCGATAAATTTCAAGCATTTAAATTCGCAAAAATGGTGGTAAACTATCATGAACTTATCAGTATGCTGAGATCATTAGACGTTTTACCTTATATCGCGTTTCATTGAAAACGTCATGAAATTCTCACTGCATCATGGTTGTTTCAATATCTATCATTGACAAAACTATTATAAATGTTTATCCCTCTGCTAGCAATTATTTTAAGATTATAGCAATGGATGTCGCTGCTTTTGGTTTCACAATTGATGTTCTTCGAAAGACAAATCATGAACACATAAAACTCATTTTTTTCAAGAATTGGATTCCCGAGCCCGGAAAGATCAAGTTTTGTAGCAGTTTTCTCATCGATCTACAGGAGCTACTACAATTACATATGCAAAACCACTTTTCAAACTTTCGTTTTAAAAGCAAAATTGAGCAATCGCAGCTTTTCAAAAGAGATTGAAGATCAATTTCAATTCAATTTCACTTTGGCGACACAACTCAATTTACAGTTTATTTTAAGGTTACATTATTACTTACGTCCGTTGGGATTGACTCAATAATCAGGACAAAAGAATGATTCAATGAAATATGCTGTTTATTGATCACCTATCAAATTAGGATTTAACTTCTGGTATCGGAAGGATCCAGAAAATTCGGCGTTGATCCATCCATCATATTTACAATTTAAAGTACAATTTAAAGTCAAACATTATCACTTTCTTATCACAAATATTATTATATTTGCAATATCCTCATCAAGATTTAAAGTTTGATCTCAACGATGGTATCAATTTTCAATTCCTTCATCTATTCATGTATATGCTCAAAGCTAAGAAAAGGGGGGGGGTTGTCAGGTATAGGCTATATTACCTTACTATCATCTGAGCTACCAAGATACATGGAACTACATTCCCTTATCTATCATCTAATATTATCGGTTTATATATAGTCTCCTCTTCTTTAGTTCCTAGCTTAGCTAATATACACTCATTAGAACATTACAAAAAGAATCTCTGATCGGAAAGTTTTGATAAAATGCGGATAGTGTCGCTACCAACCAAGGGATTAATTCTAGATTTAAGGAACACTCTTTTTAATCAAAAATTGAGCGACGGTAGAAAATTCACCTTCGTCGGAAGTCAATTTTCGAGAGTGACGTACGCGGGTTTTGACCGGAAAACTTTAATTTTCAGAACACTAATAACGCAACTACAACTCCAACACTTTAAAAAATTCTCAATATCGAGCAGTATTGGACCCAGTCTTCTTTGTCAATGCTACTACGACTTTTCAAGATAACGTGAGAAGCATAGAGACGAGTAAAGTGGAGAGATCAAGTTACCAGGGATATGATTGACTTAAGTCCAAGTATGAAATAACCTTAGTCCAAGTATGAAATAACCTTTCTCTAAAACGCAACTAGTTTTTTCATTCGAGATTAAAAAATCACGTTAACGCAAAATATTTGGTAGCTCACGGAGGTCATTTTTCCCTCTTCAAATTGAGCTAATTTGAGTTAAAATGAACATGAAGATATGTGAATTAATTTCATTGTAGACACTGAAACGCAAGGTTTTCTATATATTGATTAAAAAAATTTCAAATATGAGAGTTTGTTAAAGTGAGTTTGAATGGAACGTACTATAAATTTTAGTGTTAAACTAATTCAGTAAAATGTATTATGTATAGAATTTTTTAATCAAAGTGAATTACTTAAAATTTACTTTGTCTAATAAAAAAATTAATTTGAAGTCTATTCAAATTTTGCCTTCGTATACAACCATCATCAACAACGTCATATCAATCATCGTATATATATTAATGACTCATACACTCGGTAAGTGAGGTCTAATTGATTAAATTCCGATGTTTGCAACCCAACAACCTTTTAATCCTGAATATACTCAAAATGGGGAGAAAAGAATTCGTACAAAAGTAGCTTGTGACTATTGTAAAAAGAGAAAATCAAAATGTGATGGTGAAAATCCTTGTTCAAAATGTGTTGATAAAGATCGTCAATGTGTCTATACGATAGTTCAAAAACAACGGAAGAAAAGAGAAACTAAAGGTTCAAATAATTTATCATCAAATGACAACTTAGGTGTGGGAGCAGGTATCAAACCTGTAAAAGTAACCAAGAAAGATAAAACTGTAAATCAGTTAAATTCAAGAATAAATGTTCTAGAAAATTTAATAAGTAAAATAGTTTCAAATATGGATCCATCAGCCAGATCTGTCATACTAGATCAAATACCTGGTGAAGAATTAAGTGAATTAAATTCTTCTACTTCTGATGATGATAGTTTGAGTGATGAAATTGAAGAACCTAAAAGGCGAAAAAATTTAGAATTTAAAGATGCAGATTTAGAGTCGGATTTATTTGGTGAAGATGTCAAAGATGTTGCAAAAGATCCAGTAATAATGAAGGATATGCTTGCACCATCTGATAAAACCTGTTTTTCTACAAGAATGAAGAATCGAATAGCTCAATATTGTGGTACTCATTCCATGTTTTATACATTATCTTCAAAAGCATTAGATTGGTTAAAGAAAAAGATAACAGGATCTGATACGAACTTTTTAACAAATGATATATATTCACCGTTACGAAAAATGCCGATGCTTTTGAATAATATTGTTGAAAGGTCTAAAAATCAATTAATAGAGAAGTCAGCAATTGAAAATGATAATTTAAAATTTCTTCAACATCATGAAAGAAACATAATATTTGAAGCAATTGATTTATATTACTATAAATTTGGCTCAGCTTCATTTGTTTGTAGCCCTAGTACCCTCAGAGAGTTATTTCATAAGTATTTTCAACTTAGTGATAGTGATGAGATCACGTTCAATTCAAATATTACTAAAAGTGATTGTCTTATTATGAGTTCAAGTTTAGTTTTATCTTTTGCTAGATTTACCAGTAATGATGAAATTGATCCTTTATTATATCCAAACTTATCATTAATGACAACTAAAGAAGCTGAACGTTTTAGGGAAAAATTCTTCGATTTGACTATGCAAAACTATAAACATGTATCCGTCAAAAATGAAGGAATCAAGTCGGTGCAAGGTTTAGCATTATTGTCATTAATTGTGGAAGAATCATTTGTTTCTGATTTTCAGATCAATTACGGGATAATTAGTACAATGATTACTTATGCTAAAGAATGTGGTATCCATAGGGCAGATTGTTTGAACGATGATGATCAAGAATATGCATTGACATGTAGAAGAGTATGGTCTTTTTGTGAATGTATGGGAGTTGAGATTAGTTATAAAAGTGGGAAGCCCATGATAATTAATTATGATGATGTTACAACTTTAACTGATGCAGACACAAGCATTTTATCAATACCGTTGGATTTGTTTGCAAATAGAAGATATACGACTCACGTTAAAGAAACAGTTGAAAAAATCAAACAAATTGGTCCCCATTATTATGCTGGTTATTTTAATTTGATGTTGGCGAGAATCAAGGCTAAAAGTTATACCAAATTATATTCGAAACTCCCTTCTGGAATTGGTATTCAAGGAATTTTGACTGTTGTGAATGAAATAAATGATGACATGAAGAAAATGGCACAAATTATCACACCCGAACTTCGACCATCATTGGATGATGAACTAGCTCCAACGAACTGTTTTCCATGTGATGATAGAGTAACAATTATTTGCGCACTTGAATTTCATTTTTCGTATTTTTCACATTTACTTGCTGTTAATAGAGTTCCATTTGTTAAAGATTTTAAGATTGAGGATGAAAGATTGTTGCCATACGGTAATACTTCATTAAGAGCAGCTAGAAAAATATTGGAATTATCAGTTGATCCGAAAACTTTATCGGTGGTTGAAGAAAGTTCATTTCCTTTTCTCGTGTTTTATCCAATGGCAGCATTTTTAAATTTATTGGGAAATTGTTTAATCTATCCGAATGCAAGCTCATCGTACCAAGATAGTCTATTATTGATTCAGGTCTCACGAAGGTTTTTTGCATACGAAGGAACAAAGAATATAAATTTAGATAATAAAAGAATGTTTTGTGATTTGTTGAGTAGAGTATTTATCAGAATATTAGTTGATGTAATGCAAAAACAAAGTGGAGTCGATTTTTACGAAATAGTACCTGAATTGAAAGATCATTTAGATTCCGTTCACGCTAAATTTCCAGAGTTTTTCAAAAATCCAACAAATGATTTCACAGAGCTTGATAAGTTGATTAATGAGACTTATTCCAATGCTTCAACCGCAGGTTCTACTGCTTCTTACTCAAGTTTGGGTTCAGATGTCAAACCAATAATTTCAAGTTTTATTAATAATTATGGATCAGACAATTTCAGCAGTTATGACTTTCAGGATTATAATGTCAATCAAGGAATTGTGTCGGGATCTAAGCATTCTGATCCATTCGGAACTTTTGAAAATTTTATACAGCAAGAGCAACAACTAAATGATATGAATTTTAATTTCAATTTTAATAATTTTAAGGATTTAAATGATTTTACAAATTATTTAAATTTCCCTGGTGAAAACAATATTAGTTAAGGTGATTTTTTTTTTTTTAGGAATTATAGATAGCATTTGCTGGGTTTTTTTAACATCCATTTTCAGTTCTAGTCTACAAATAATTTTGCTGGTACGGCTTAATGTAAAAAGATTTAGTGTTTGACCAAAAGATATTGCAAAAATTAATTAATTAATTCATGTGTAGATCTCCAAATATATATTTAACTAGATCAAGTACTTAGATTTGTAGTGGCTCTAATTTAGGGGTTTGTGACAGATTATGTACAACTGTCTAAAAATGGAACGTTACTGATTATTTATCCGCAGTCGAATTAATATTCTCAAATACAAAATATTCAAAGCAGCTTGATACCAGAGATCAATCGTTCATTAACAATTCGATATAATTGAAATATTACCTATCATTACAAATCAGGAGGTCTTTGTTGGAAGCAGAATAACCGTCGATAAGCATATAATTGAATATTGATTTCGAAGATAACATCGGATAAGAAATTAATACATTATGTCATTGAATGAAAATTCATCACTTCCCAATAACGAACTATTAGATTCCAATCGGAAAAGAAGCTCTGAACAACCTTTTAATCCTAAGATCACTCAAAATGGTGAAAAGAGAATTCGTGTCTTAACAGCTTGCGATTCTTGTAAAAAGAGGAAGTCAAAGTGTGACGGAGAAAACCCATGTTCAACCTGTAAGCAGTCAAAGAAACCAAAAAACTGTGTTTATACTGAAAGGCAGATAAGAAAGAAGTCCAACATACCAAAGGAAAGTAAGAGGGAGAAAAAAAGTAAGAATGATTCGAAAAGTAATGAAGAAGGAGTAAAAGTTGAGAATGAGATTGATGACAAAGAAACAGAGTCGGAATTTGAGCGATCGCCCGAACTGGCAACATATGAGATAAGTCAAGAACCGAAACCTACAAATCAAGTTGATTCTTCAAACTTTGAAATGTTGGACAAAAGAATGCTGAAGCTTGTGAAAGTGATGGATAAAATGACAAAAACTATGGAGATATTAGCAGGTCAAGTTCAGTCTCAGCAAGAAATGGGCTCTGATAAGGACTCTGAAACGAATGAGGAAACAAATTTAACATCACAAGAAAACAAGAAACGTCTATTGAAACACCAGATCTCAGCCAACAACAACAACAACAACACACATACGTCTGACTCAACAAATATTGAATTTAGAAGTGGACATCAGTATATAGGAACTCACTCAATTTTGAGTATATTTTCAAAACAATCATTAGATTGGATGGAACAAACACTTGAAAAAGATGGACTTGAATATATTAGACCTGTCAGAAATTTACCATTATTCCTACACTCGAAAATGAAAAGATTTATAACAAAATGGATAGATCCACCACCAGTTGACGCCCATGCCAAAAAGAAACTAATGGAAACTCCCTTTCCTCGTGATTCAAAATTAATTTATGAAGTGATAGATGTATATTATAAGGAGCTTACAACAATAAATGTTTTAGTTGAGTCATCTTATATTGATCACCTATTTAAATGTTATTATAATAACTACAAGGAACCTCAGAAGAAGAAAAGGTTTACTTTATCAGAATTATTAATCATGACTAGTGTTGTGCTAATTGGATTGAACAATAAAATGGATCATGGAGGTTCAAAAGAACTGAAAGCGAAATTATCAAAATTATTAGATTCATTAACAAATAATGCCATTTTTTATTATCAAAGATTATGTATTGTAAGCGAAGGGATTGAAACAGTTGAAGCTTTATTATTATTCATAATATATCTTGAATTCAGTTGGCTCACAAGCCATTTAAACTATATTCCTGTAACAATTGCAATAAGATATGCACAAGATTTAGGATTACATCGTTCTGATTCATTCAGGCATTTGAGTTTTCAGGAACAAGAAAGAAGAAGACGTCTTTGGTGGTTTTGTTACTATTTTGATACGGAATTATGTTTTAGAAGTGGTAAACCTCCAACAACTAATACAAATGATGTCACAACAAATGGTGACGAAGATATGCTAGAATTTTGCTTGTCCACTTCTAACGCATTTAACGAAAGTAACTCGGATAGGAATAGCGTCAGTCATAGATTCTGTTTAGACGCAGCAGATGAGGCAATATTGGGGGACAGTTCGCAACCTTTAAGTTATAGATTATTGAAGAGTTTGAAAAAGTTTGAACATACTGACCCTCATAATGTTCTGTATTACCATTTTTTTGCGTTATTGTTAGCCAGAATTAAATCTAAATCGTATCATTCATTATTTGAAGCTGCTGCTCAAGCAAAGGACTTTGATGTCTTGTCTTCAACATTGGAAGACTTAAATGAAGAGATGTTTGAGCTAGCTAGATGGTCTGAAAGTGAAGAAAGGCCAAGATTTTATCATGATCCACAATTTAAATTTATGCCGAATGATTGGTCAAAAAGTAAAAGAGAAGTTGTATTGGTTTTGCAATTGACATTCTTTTCGCATTTAATGGTCATCAATAGATTCCCATTTATTTTAAAAACTAAGTCATTAGAGACGGATGATAGAATTTTGAAATTCAGAACGATTGCATTAGACTCTGCCAGGACCATTTTGGTATTGATCAAACAATTGAACAAGTCAAACACTACCGCATCATTTTATAACTGGTTGTCATATTTACCTGTGTCTGCATTTTTAATACTTTGTGGTACATGTTTAAATCACCCTTCGGCCCCTGAAGTTCCTAGTGATATCAGACTATTGATTGAATCGTCGTTAGGATTTTTCGATATCACGGGTTTATCATCAGATGCTAATACAATAAAAGCCATTTTGGGCCATGGTGAACAGGATGATTTTACACAGATATTTATAAAATTAATGCTCAGAATTGTAATAAAAAATTATGAAAACAAATCAAGAATCACGGACTTTTCAAATGATAAAAAATTACAAGAACATTTAAACAATATACAAACTAAATTTCCGGAGTTATTTAAAAAGTTTGATAATATAAATGATAGCTTAACTTTAGTTGGTGCATCCCTTTTTGATGATAGTTATCAGCAACAATCATTTGAATACGATCTGATTAGTAATAAAAGTAGTTCCAGTAATCGTGTTAGTCCTTATGTGAACTCCCCAAGATATAATCCATCAGTGTCAAATATTATGCATCCAGATCAAAGTGGGCAATCACATTCATCAACATCACCTTCATCAGATCAAAGTAACTATTCAATGTATCCAAATCAAAACCTTCCACAACAGTTTCAAGTTGGACCTGGAAGATCGTCACCATTAAATGCACCATTTAATCAGTTTCATCCAAATCAAATAAGTCAAGATCAAATGTATATTCAACCAAATGCAAGTAATGTTCGTTCGAATCACAATGTTAATCTTAATGACCAAAATATCCCATATCAACAAGTGAGTTCTGAAAATCAAAATAAGTATTTTGGAAATAATGTTCCTCCAACACCAACTCAAATGTTTGATAATTATGATTTGTTAGCTCAACATTTTAATAATGATGGCGCTTCTAATATCATATTGAGTCAAATGAATAATATGCCTAATTTCTTTTTTGATAATAATTTAGGAATATAAGACATTATGAAATTTAGTTGTTAATTTGGACCTTAAGTTCGTCGTGAGAGGCTTGAAAAATATTAGTCTTCTTGTGAAAAATTGGACAGGAAAAATTATGCTATACACTCACATAATATTCATATTAGTATGAGAACTGGGATATCGGATGGTGTAGTGATTTAATATAATTTTGCCGTTTTAAATGTACATTTTAAATGTAAATGAAGTCATGAAAATAACTCTGTTAGTTAAATGTTGAGGAAACTTATTTCGAGTTTTAAAATTGAATGCTATTGACAAATCAAGAATCTGAAAGTAGTCGATTAGTTATTTTTCCAAACTCGAAATTGCATCTGTGTTTTGTTTTTAATAAATTTAAAAGTTTCACATATTTAAATGAACTTAAAAGTAATAAGTCTATGTTATTTTATGCACTTTAATTCTTTTTAATTTCTGTACAAAAAACACTCTACGGAATTTTATCAACACCATGCCATAAAAAACTTTATTTATGAAAACGAATACTAGTGGATTTTATTAGAATTTTTATCACTAATGCTTCGAATGTGGTCCATAAAAGAAATTTAAATTCATTTGCATCAAAAAATTATCAGTTGTTTCAAAAAAATGCGATGTGTTGGAATTTGTGAATGAATAAATAAAAAATTAGAGATCAACTCTACGGACCAATTCTTTTCCTAATTATAGTCCGATCCGTTGAGTGTTAAGATTTCTGCAATGGATTTTAAACCTAACTAATTAGTTACTTCTTTTACTATGTAGTTCATAATAGTTTTGTGGATTTGAATTATTTGAAATTTTTACTAAAATTTGATTATTTTGTTTTAGTGAGATTTGCTAACTTTAAGCGAAAAAACTTAACTTTAATAATATTTTAAATTCCATGGAATTTAGTTAGGTTCAAAAATTTAATTTCAAACTGAAAAACAAATTTGAATCGTCAATGTATTTCACAGGGAAATTTTAAATTTTGATGGAGCAGATAATCAAACACAGAATTGTTTGACCATTTAATCCATGTAATTAATTTATATGTAATTTTCCTCATAACTGATGATCGACATTAATAAGTGGCTGGTATTTATGTACAATTTTATGTACAAACGTTTAATATTTTTCTTCACCTAACTTTAAAATAAATGACAAATTGAAACGCTTTTTCTATTTCACATAACCTTTTACAGAAATCCTCGATTTTCTAAGGAGATTTCTATTAAAGATTTGAAAGGTTAATACAAGAATGTGAATAGAAATACAGGAGTGCTGAAATTGCCCCCTAAGTAGCTACTAAATTTTCGGAAGTTTTAAAACACTAAAAATTAGTTAGTATCAGAAAATCTCCATCCTAATTTTACTTACACAAAGTAATGCTACCAACCAAAAAACTTTATTTTTGATCAAGTTAGGTTGTGAAACAAAACAAATAATAATTTATGCGGCTTTCACAATTAAAAATTATCGTTTCAAAAATTGTCAACTTTTCATTGAATATACTTTGTATCAGAAGTTACATGCACAAAAAACTAAAAGCTGGTTATCTCGTATGTCTTCCAGGGTAGATCAAAAACAATTTGTCACTGTACGCAGAAATAAAACACGATAATGTATATGTATTAAGTCTAATGCGCAAAGAAAGCTTATTGAACAAGAACATCTTAAGATTTACAAAGTTTTGATAAAATCAGGATTGATAATAAGGGTTGTAGTAGAATCCAATCAATTTGAATTTGAACGAATAAGAGAAAATTAAGATGCTAAACTCCATTCAACTCGAAGACAATCATTGCTAATGTATTTTACTTTATATAAATGAACAATTGGTCATCAATTCAGTTTAGTTATCTAACCCGGCCCGTTATTTCGGCATCATGATTGAAATCTAAAAATTTTTAAAACTTGAGGCTCAGTAATAAAATTTGTAAATTTTTGAACTAAAATGCACTATAACACCAGTAAATACCTACCTAAATTGATGTAAGATATTGTGAAAATTTTTGGTCCAGCGATTTTTACATTCGATTCAAAACTCGTCTTCCAGAGGGAAATAACATAAATGTAATTCCTAAGTACTACCTTCATCAAATCATGTTATTTGTGTTTTTAAGTATTCTTCATTCATATGGGAAAAAAAAGCATTTTATACATTAAATATCTTTGTTTCAAGACATTGATTTAACTGATAGGTATTATATGTTATTATTAGTTTCATCATATAGAATTTTGCAGTTTCGTTAATTCCGTGTTAAATATAAAATCTGCACACATTTTGTCCAAGTAACATTGGGTGTCTTAAATTAAGAAAGAGAAAAAGGAATTTATGTGAAATAAATAAACTACTAGAGTGGGAAAAGAATAGCAAATCTTAAAAGCAAAATAAAGTTAGTATTTATTATTTAAATTGCTGTACATAATACTTTAAAACTTTAGCCACTTTAGACTCAAATTTATACTTTTTATTGTTTATATATATTACAAAAGTTTATATAATTAGAAAAGTGGTAAATTGTCATCAAATTTAAGCTAAATTCACATTTCACATTCTATTATGTTAGCACTTATAGGATGAACTACGGCAGGCTATTTCATAGTAATTAGATTACATTTCTGTAAAATTTCAAAATTTCAAATCAAAATTTCAATTGCATGCAGGTTTGGTTTAAATCTGAAATATAAATAATGCATGCATATAAACTAACACTAGCCCTAAATTAGATTTTGTGTAAATTAGATTTTGTGTAAGTTAATTGTCATGTGATTTTATTGTGTAAATTTTTTTTTTTTTTTGTTCTTTTGAAGATAAAAACGTAAGAAGAAAGTAAAATTGACTATAAAATAAATCTTTACAATTCTTTTCATTCCTAAAACTACTTTCTGCTTGTAATTCCATTACTTGCATTTTCAATCAATTGGGACTCAAGAGAAAATGTTTTGATAAAAAAGCTCGTTATGTTTCAAGTAGATTACCCCTTACTTAATATATTTGAAAAGAATGTTTTTTAATTTTCCTCTAAAACTTGTATGACGATGGATAAATCCTTATGCTTAAAGTCAATGATGGAAACCAACTGTCGAAATCTTTTTAACTATCCAGCAATCGATGTGATAAAATGCAATTTCTTTTTGACATCAAGTTGACGGATCATCACCACCATTTTTTCAAACTGTTACAACATTAACTTCATAAGTAAAACACTAATTATTTTAAATCAATTAATAACTTCGGAATCAAAAATACGTTGAAAAATAGTTTCCTTAAACTTCAACTTTAATTTTTTTTTTTTTTTGTTTTGTTTTAAATTAATTTATTAGGCTAGCTACTGCACCTTAATTAAACTTTAAAGTTTAATTTAAAAAAGTTTAAAAAAGTTTAAATTTTAAAAGTTTAGATTTAAAAAAAAAATAATATTAAAAGAAAAGTTTAGATTTCAAAAATCTATACGGAGATAGGTACACGAAGAACCTGTAACTGAGTAAATACCTTTCAATATTTCATCAATGCAAAAGTTTAAATTGATGTATTTAATATTCCATGCTTGAGTATTAATAACACTCAAGCAATAGTGATGGAGAAGTCTGTGTAATAGTAAATTAAAATAGATAGGGCCATGAGAGAATTTTGAAATGAAATAGCGAATTAGAATGAATGAAAAAGCAAATTTAAAGAGTTTGTTTGTGAAGAAGCGTCAAAACTTTATTAAAAATCGATTTTCTCTCCAATAACAACACAAATAGAATAGATCAATGAATGAAAAAGTCGAATTAGATACTCGAATTCAACTGGACGATTTCTTTTTTTAATTTATTTGTTTCTCGAAGATACATAATGATCAAATCGCTAAAATAAGTTTTGTTTTGGGGTTTTTAAACTAAACTTTTAGTTTCCACCAAACTTTTAATCACTTTTTTTTTTTTTTAGATTAAATTTACTCATTTTCTTGCACAACTTGAACTTGAATTCAAAATCTAAATTCAAAATTAAACCTAAAAAAGACTATAGAAAGAATTATATTATTACATATTTTCTTACATATTAAAACAAGGGGGATAATTATCAAAATATTATTTTTCCCTTGAATAATTATTATTTAAAGTTAATTATTAAAGTTTACGCTTAAAAATTGTGAGAACATTTTTTTCCAAAATAACTTTTACTACTTACAACGATTTGTTACACATTCCTAGACTTGGAGTCATGCTACTTCATTCATTATGATTTTGTTGTTCTCAAGAACTTGTACTTAATTTTTTGAAAGACTTAGGCTAAAGTAGACTAAGTTCTTTTTTTTATTTTTTTTTTTTTAATTTAATTTTTTATTCGATTTTATTATACGAGAAATAGAATTTCTAACATCAAAAGTAAAAAATATAATAATCTTTTAAACAATAAAATAATAATAATAAAGTTGTTTTCTATTTTCTTTATAAAGTTATAATATATCATTTTCAAAGATTGAGTTATTATAATCAATTAGATAAATTAAAACTACGTAATCTTAATCATTGATATCCTTAATACCATCTATTTAATCAAAGACTCAATGATTAAAGATGTCGGATTCACCAAATCTACCGCACGATCAAAAACAGCAACAGCAACAACATCAACATCAACATCATCAACATCAACAAGGTTCAACTTCTTCAAATCCACGACTTCGAACAAATGAAAAATTCCGACGAGCACCACAACAACATGATCTTCAACAGCAACAGCAACAACAACAACAGGACGAAGATTTAGAATTAAATCGAGAGCAAGACCAAGATGAAGATCAAGAGGATGACGACGATGACGACGACCAAGATAATCAAGAAATTAATGAGGATCAAGATCAACATCAGGATCAAGACCAACATCAGGATCAAGACCAACATCAGGATCAAGACCAACATCAGGATCAAGACCAACATCAGGATCAAGACCAACATCAGGATCAAGACCAACATCAGGATCAAGACCAACACATGCCGCAACCTGAAAATCATGAATTAGAATCAACTAATTTACTACAACCATCTAATGCATCAATTCCAATGTCTCAAAATCTAGAATTCTTCAACCGTTCTAATAACCGTGTTCCATCAATTACTGATGGAAGTACCATAACTCAAGATAGCTCAACTATTGCTTTATCACCCAGTGAAGGTAATTCCCTGATTTATAACCCATCAATTAAACAAAATCAACAACAAATACCTGCAAGAAAAAAAAGAGTTCGAGTTTCAAAAGCTTGTACATATTGTCGTAAAAAAAAAGTTAAATGTGATGGAGGACATCCATGTTCAAATTGTCGTCAAAATAATGATAACGATTGTGTTTATGTAAGTGACTCAGAAAGGAAACCTAGAGCCCCTAGAGCAAGCTCTATTATTTCTTCAAATGCAAATAAAGTAACTAAAACACAATCAATTAAAGAATTAGACACAAGATTGATTAATATTGAGAATTTATTAGCACATTTAACTGAAGGTCTTCGAGATTCTAAAAACTTAACAACACAAACTGGAATAAAAATTAAAGAAGAAAAATCAGAAAATGATGACGGAAAACAAGATGAAGAGATTGATATCGATGTCAACGAAGGAGATGATGATAATATAACAAGTAGTTTTGTTGAAGACAAATCTTCCCACATATCATTTACTCGACCTAAAGCAAAACATGTCAATGCTCCCCCATCAAGTTCATATTTACAAGATATAGATGAAAGAGGAGAATATAATGATAAATCAGATCCTGAAGTATTACTAAATAAATTTGGATTCCATTCGGTCATTGATATTTTTTCAAAAGCTTCATTTGATAATATTTTATTTGGTTTAGGTCCACATCATAAATCTGAAACAAAAGATTTGCAACAAATTATAAATATTTATGATTTTTTTTCACTGGCTTTTCTTGACTCTGTAAGTCAACCAATCAAAACAAATTTAAGAAGTAGAACTGATTTGATGGATAATACTTTTTCGGATGAAACATTGCCATTAGAAATATTAAGTAGGTTTGATGAATTATATATGGCTTCATATATTTGTGGTGCTTCATATTTAAAAGATTTATTTGAAAAATATTTTCAAAATAAAAAGAAAATTCCAACAAAGGGTCCTAATTCAAAATTGAGATCTTTTACTTGGTCAGAACTAATGATTATGACTTGTCTGATAAGTTTATGTATATCACAAATTGTTGATGAAAGAAATGTCAATAAAATTAAAAAAATAGGTAAACCAGCTGGTAAAGCATTACAAAATTTAAGTGATCAAGATTTATTAGAATTAGATTCTAAATGTTTTTTCTCACTGATTTTTTATTATAATAGATTAGCATTTTTAAGTGAAGGTGTTTCAACGGTTCAAGCACTTTTATTATTTATCATTTATTTACAGCTGGTTACATCTTCAATTAAAGTGATATATTTGCCGTTGACAATTGCAATGAGAAATGCTCAAGAACTAGCATTACATAGAAGAGAATCGTATGAGGGATTGAGTTGGCAAGAGCAACAAACTAGAAAGACATTATGGTGGTTTTGTGAATCTTATGAAGTTGCATATTGTTTCCGTCATGGTAAACCAATTCAAATAAGAGAAGATGAACTTTCTGCTCTTATTGATGGTGACAAATCAACCAAAACAATCATGCATTCTAATATTGAATTAATAAGGAGTTTATGGGATGAAAGAACTAAGTTAGATGAATCAAAATTAAATGAGATGAAAGAGAAAAGAACTTTACATCAATGTGCTGCTTATTTTATTTATCGATTAACAAAAATTAGAATGAGATCTTATGATTTAATTTACAGTGTATCGGCTCAAAATAATAGATTATCTACAATATTTTCTCATATTGATGATATAAATAAAAGTATGCAAGAATTAGCAGATTTGGCGGAACCTCCGATAACTATTTGTTTTTATAATGATCCAAGATTTCTATTTAAGTCGAAAAACAAACCATTGGAACAAATTTTGGTGGTTGATTCTGGTTATGAAAATTTCTTAGCTATGTATTTTGAATTCTATTTGCATTTAATGACAATAAATAGAGTGGCATTGCAACCAATAACTAATACTGGTGATAATGAAGATTTAATACAAAAAGCAAGAGAATTTAGAAATATAGCTAATGAAAGTGCAAGAACAATCTTATATGTTACAAAAAGTTTTAATATGAAAACAATGTATTTTTCAGCTTTCAGTTGGTTTTTATACTATCCATTTGCTGCATTTATGCACTTGGCAAGTGTTCATCTTGCTAATCCAAACACTCATGAAGCTGAGTCTGATTTAAAGTTAATGATTGAAATATCTTTTAGCTTTTTTGCTTATAAGAATAAAAGTAAGACTGTCAAGATAGTAAGAAACTGTGTTAGACAAACATTATATGATTTAATCACTCGTTATTTTCTTAAAATTTTTTCAAACATCATTACTGATCCAGAAGTACATAATAGAATATTTGGTAAGAACAAAATATCTCAAAAACATTTAGATTTGCAAAATCAATTTCCTGAATTTTTTACAGCTAAAAATCAATTGGGTATTAATTCAGAATTAACCACTGATGTATTTAAAAAATGGTTCAGACCATATGCTTTAGCTAACACTGGTCAACTCCCGGTAAACGAAGAACATCTTAGAGCCAATGATCATAATCAAAGACAAAACGATGATCATAGAAAAATTAATCAATTAGGTGAAGAAAGTAACAAAACGGATGCTTTATCAAAATCAAATTCTCAAATTACATCAGACATAACTTCGAATGAAAATTCTGGAACTGGTGAATCACTTAAGTCAAGTAATACATCTAGTGGTTCCAATAAGAATATACTGGTTGAACGTAAAATAGACAATATTTTGAAAAATGCAATATCACCACTGAATTCAACACAAGTAAGAACTCAAGAGTATGAAGATCAATTAACGGATTTTGCTTATCAACAACAAAGACTGCAAATACCTCAAACAACTAGTGGGACAAGTGGTGCAAGTAGTACTAAAAGTTCACAATATAGACCTAGAATGGGGCCTCGTCTGCAGCTGCAAAGAAGTATTCAACAACAGCAGAAACAACAACAACAACAACTTGACAAACAACACCAGGAACAACAAGCTCAACAACAACTACAGCAACAACAAGCTCAACAACAACTACAGCAACAACATGCTCAACAACGTGCTCAACAACAAGCTCACCAACAAGCTCAACAACATGCTCAACAACAGGCTCAGCAGCATCAACAACAAGTTCAACAACATGCTCAACAACACACTCAACATCATGCTCAGCAACAAACTCAACCACAATATTCTAATCATATGCCTCCTTATTTCCCACAAGTTGCTCAACCTGACCATTTTTCAGCTGGAGACAGTACATTTACATCTCAATTTCTGGAATCTCCTATCAATCAAAATTCAGCAATGATGCAACATACTCATTTTTTCCCAAATACAAATCAAATTCCACATATGATTGCAGCAAATGCTGACGATGATTTCCCTAATTTTCAAAGACAAAATACTCAACATCCACCACCAACTTCAGCTCATTCACAACCACAACCACAACCACATCCTCAACAGCAACAATCTTTCAGTCATCAATATGGTCCACCTCAATTCTCAGATTCAAATGATCAAAATGTACCATCTCAACAAACATTTGCTAATGTATTTGGAGCAGCAACGAATTTTGAAATTCAAGAATTATTAGATGAATACAATCAAAATCAAAATGTTGGTAACCAAGATCAAACGCAACAAGAATAAGGAACAATTAAAAGTAAATCAAATAACAAATTCAGTATTGTATTTATTTACTAGCTATTGTTATCAAACCAATCTGTATTGATTTTAAAAGTACTTTATGCATATCTATAAATATTCATAAAAATAGAGATTTGTATATTTATAATTTTGTAACATTAAAAATGAATAAAACATTTAGATTTAGATTCGCATGGATGAATTGAATAAAAACCCCTCTATAAAACAAACTTTTTTATATAAAGTTTGTAAAACTCTTTGTTTTGGTTGCAAAAAATAAAAGAAAACTTTAAATTAAACAAATCATTCGCTAACTTTAAAGGTTAAACTTAATTTATTTTAATCAAATTACTAAATTTTTTTCTTAAATGTTTCATATTAACACCCCTAATTTGAAACATTGTAAAAATGTAACGGGGTGTTTTTTTTTACATTAAAATTTAAATTTTTCAAATATTAAACTTTTGTGTAACAGTTGTGTTTTGAAATTTGAAGCTTCAAAACTAATAACTATTAAACTAATTCTAAAAATCAGAGTTATAGCTGTGTTACGATCTGAAAAGATCTAAAATTTAAAGTTTTTATACTTCAAGAGTAGATTCTATTAAATTAATTACACACGATTGCAAATCTACTTCATTTTCATGCTTTAAAAAACCTTAAACAATATCAGATATATATTGGCATATTTTAATTATCTTGTACGAATTACACCTGCTGAAATTAACATATTGATCTTTTTAGCAACTTCAGGATTTTTCATATGTTCTTGTAAAGCTTGAGGGTTTTCTCTAGCTTGAGATAATATACCTTGCATTACAGGATCTTGTAAAATTTTAACAATTTCTGGATCTTTACTAACTCTTTCCATAGTTTGTTCTGGAGTTTCTCCATCAATTGCTTGAAATCTTTGCATTGCTGCTTTATTATAAATTTGATCGATTTCATGAATACTTTTACCTCCAAGTTTTTGATCTTTTTCACGAGCTTCTTGTAAAGTTTCCATACAATGAGTATATTCTTTCATTAATAATTGAGCATTAGCTTTTCTAATATATGCTCTTATAAAATCTGGATCTTTTTCAATAGCTATATCACAATCTCTTACAGCATCTGGAAAACTTAATAATTTAATTAAAGCAGCAGCTCTATTGGAATAACCTCTAGCATCATCTGGTGCTCTTTTAATCATTTCTCCATATGCTTTTACTGCATTTGGCCAATCTTGTTTTGTGAAATATTCCTTACCTTCTAATCTAGCTTCTTCTGCTTTTTCTGGATTTATATAAGCTTTAGCTTCTCTTAATTTTATTTCTCTTTGAGTTGATCTTAATTTACTTAATACATCTGGTGTACGATGTTCTGTTAATGATTTATCAAAATATTTTACAGCATTTTCTAAATCATCTTTTTTCAAATAAATCGAACCTAATCTTGCAAATGATTTTGCAATTAATTTGTAATCAGCTCTAATATCTCTACCTTCTTCAACAGCTTTTTCACATGTTTTAATAGCAGCATCATAATCACCCTTTTCATATTCTGCAGCTGCTCGATTGTTTAAATATGTTATGTCTTTATGTGATTCCCATGCTTTGTCGTATTGAGCAATTGCTTCATCAAATTTTTTTTGTTTGTATAAGGTATTTCCTTCAGCTTTAGCTTTATCTGCCGCATCCTTATCGGAAGGTACTGCATCTTGCATTTCCACATCTTCATCTTCTTGTTCTTCTTGTGGTTTTGGCGCATCTTTTTTGCTTTCAGTTGTTGATGGGGTAGATTGTGATGATGTATCTTCAGATTTTGATTCGGTGGCTTCTGATTTTGGAGGTTCTGTTGATTTTGATGTTTCTTTTGAAGTGTTTGCGTTAGCACTTGGATCTTCACTTGGAAAATCCATATCAATTCCCATTAATGTGGCAATTATTGTCATCAATCTTGGATCAGTCAATAACTGTGTTGCATTTCCTTTAGGATTTGATTGGATTTGTAAAACTTTTGCAACTAAATCTGGATCTTTCATTAATTCAGCAGTTTTTGGATTATTTTTTAACTTTGTGATAAGATTTGGATCATTAAACATTGCTCCCAATCCCATATCATCACCATTTGAATTCCTTGCTTTTACAGCATTTTCAACTGATTCTAATCCTTTTTTTGCTTGAGCATTTGATGGATCTAATTCCAAACATTTCTTATAAGCTTTTTCAGCATCTTCAAAATTTCCAAATCCAAATTGGGCCCCAGCCAATCTAGTATAACCTTTTGCCCATGAAGGATCCAATGAGACACACTTTTCCGCGTCTTTCAATGCTTGTGGCCAATCTTTCAATGAAGCGTATGAACCAGATCTATTTGAATATAATACATGATTGGGTTCTGATGATGCTTCAATTGCTTTTGTGAATGAATCAATTGCTTTTTGAAATTCTTTTGCAGCAAAGTATTTGTTTCCCTCTGCTTTGTATTCATCTGCTGTAGTCATTTTTATGGATATAGAATGATGTTCTGTTAATACTATATGCTTTTGATTTTGATTAGTGAATCATCTATTAAAATAGTCAACTTATTCTAGTGTGCGCATTATTAAATTTATTGAAAGAGAAAAATTCAAATTTGCTAGAATATTCTTAGAAGTTGTAGAGGTTATCAAAACAACAAGTGTTTTAAACCTCTAGACTCTACCGTGATTATTAATTTTACATAAAAATAGTGTTTATTAAATTACATATGCACCAAGAAGAACTAAACCAAAAAGTGACTCATCTGCGAGAAATCAAGCCATAATTTATTCAATTCTTTCACTCAATACATTCTTTAATCACTTTATTTACCAAATTCAAAGAATAGGCTGGACCATATCCATGACATCTTTCATTACCTTTTAATTTACTCATCACTTCTGTAAAATCAATTGAGCTTGAATCTAAATTAGCTTCCTCTGCTTTAATTTGTAAGTAATCCCATACTGCTCCCAATGCTAACAATTTTTCACCCTCTTGATTATATACTGCATTCACTTTAGTTTCATCATAAGTATGACCTGAATCTTTCATTATATGAGCAATAAATTCTTGTTGATTCTGAGGGAAATTAAATTTATCAATAGTAGTAACATTTGTATGAGGCATTATATGAGATCCATCATTATTTCTTAAAAAATCATTTTCCGATGTTATTGATAAATTTTGTTTCCTTATACTATCCAATTGATCTATTAATCTTTGTCTTTCCTCCTCACTTTGTAATAGTTTAGTCTCTAATTCTTTTAATTTGGTTTCTTTACGTTCTCTAAATGCTCGCTGAGCAGCTCTATTTTGTGCTTTTCTTTTCAATTGTAATTCTTCTTCATTTAATTCTGAATCATCCCTTGCTATTAATATTGCATCTTGTTCATCTAGTAGCTGCTTCTTGGATTTCGTGGAAATTCTCCTGCTGTTATTGTTTACTTGTGGCTCATTAAACTTGGTTGGAATTATGTCATAATTGCCTGAGGTTTCTGAGGTACCTGAAGTCTGGGGTGATACTAAATGATTATTGTTATTGTTGTTTACTTGTATAGGAGATGATCCATTTGATGTGATACTTCCGATGACATGATTGTTTTGTGTAGATGATTTATGTGAATGTGAAATATTGGGATGATTACCTTGTGAAAAATGTAATGGATGTTGTTGCTCAGATATATTGAAATGGTCTTGACCCATATAGTTGAAATCGTTAGTTGTTGAAAAATTGGTTGAATTATTAAAGGGATATTGTTCGTCACCTACAGGTTGTTGATTTTGTTGTTGATCATTAAACAAGGTTACATTTTCGTGATTTAATTCACAAATATCATTGTACATATCATCATTAGCATCACTACCTGCTGACAAGATTGTTGAAGGTTGATAATGTTCAGACTTCCAGTAATTTGTGGTAGGTTGAGAAAAGGACATTTCTACTCCACTGTTTGATATTATAAAAATTGAGTTATTTTTTGCTAATGTTTCACCTACTCTATTTTACAAGTGATAATAAACTATGAATAAAGTTATAAAGAAATGTTGGTAATGTTATGACAAATTCGGCTTCTATTGAATCTAGTAGTATCTATTTGGTGAAAAAGACTTGATAAAGACTTCGTGACTTAGATTATTTTGGATAATTTTATGTTTATTAATATAGAATTGTTAATTTTCTCTGATTATAAAATATATGAACATTTGTGCACTACATTTTAATAATCCTTTTAGGCTAATATACCCTGAAGAGTAAGCTGAGTTCTGCAAATAAAAGCATGGGGACATTTCAAATTGAGAATAGAGATCTCTAATTCAATGCAAAATAGCTGAACTTGCTGACGCAAGCTATATCATCATATTCTGACAATGTTTTGTAACTGACTGTGTATATTTTGAAAAATTTGCACCACAATAAGTTGGATTCTAAAGTCTGCACAGATATGAGAGCAATGTATCTAAAGCAATACGTTCTTATCAATTAAACCGAAAACTTCAGAATTAAACATTTCGAAATCGACTCTTTATTGTATCCGGCTCAAAATACCGTAGGTCATGATGACAAAGGTTTGAATTTCGAATTTCTGTCTTGTTAAACCGTCCTCTTCTTTTGAAACATCCGTAACTCAATACTTTTTATGATCGACGATAAGAATTTCCGATATGAATTTCCAAATAAGAATCACTTTCTTTTGTTTTCTAAGACATAGATCATTTTGGTAAATTACTGCCGTCAGACATAATTTAGGTTGAGGTCTAAAAAAGAGCATCTTCACACATTTTGATCGTTGTAGCAAGAAAACTGTTCCTGAGGGATCAAGTTTTTGTATTGGCGATTGAAAACATTATATTAAATGTTTCCGTTTTGATTTTTGAAATCAGTTTGTGCTTTTATTCACAGGCAGGATATCAAAACCATGAAAACTACCATTAGTAATTACAGCTATTATCATCAAATTGTTCTCAAATTTGCAGTCTATCGTATCTCTACCTAGATTGGTACTTCTACATGAGATTCCACAATTTTATGATATTAGGTACCAAAAAGCGGCTTAGATCTCCTATCTCCTCGATTAACCGCAAATAAGCGAGCTAAATTGAATCATATTAAAATATAAAACTTAATTTATTTTATTTTATTTCATTATAAATTTAAATGGTTGCATTATTAATTTTAAGGTACAAACATTAGTGTTTCAGATTTATTTACAACTACTATGTTTAATTTCTCTATCATCATTGAATAAAAAATGACTTTTAAACATCATCACCAACTTGATTTCGAGTAATTCATTAGGCACGACCAGTTTTATAAGTTGTAAGGCAATTGAATGTCTTTGATTTTGTGTATTTCATCTAAGGTTTTACCAAGCATCGCTTTGATTATCATCCTGAATACTTCACAAAAAACTTACATTAGAGGTATCAGGAAATTCGAAATATTGACCCCTTCGATCTTAAAGGTTTTTCTTCTTTGCCAAAGGGCTCATTTGTAATAATTCTTTGTCATGAAATGGGTGCAAAATTTATTCTGTTTTGTACTTTCACTCAATTTTTCAAACTGTCAATTTTTTTTTTTTCTTATTGCTGCAAATGCCGTTTTCTGCAAAATTTTTACAATTTCCCCATAGGTTTACACAAATGAAAATGAATCATTTCTCAAAAATGAAATCATTATATTCAGTGTGGAAATAAATCAAGTTAATGGATCTTTTTTTGAATAAACACGTTATAATATCATATTGATTATATATCATTCAAATAGATGTCAAGCGTGAACAAGAGTGAAGAGTCATCTAGTCAACAATTGGGAATCACAGAAATTCAAAAAGTTTCAAAATGGCAAAATTTCAAAGATTCATTTAAAAGAGCTGATACTAATGCTTACAACAATAAACGAGGTAGTATAAGTTCTTGCTGTCAAAGTATAAACAAGAATGATTTGGAATCACAAGATAAACAAACTACAAATAATGATATACAAGATGGTACTCTTCATCGAGAATTGAAAAACAAACATATTCAAATGATTGCACTTGGTGGAAGTGTAGGTACAGGTTTACTAATAGGATCAGGTGGAGCTCTACGAGAGGGAGGACCTGCAAGTTTAATAATAGCATGGGGATTAGTAGGAACAATGGTTTATTGTACAATATTTGCATTAGGAGAATTATGTGTTGCATTTCCAGTTAATGGTGCATTTTCACAATATGCATCTAGATTTGTTGATGAAAGTTGGGGTTTTGCTGTTGGATGGAATTATGCTATAATGTGGTTAATTGTTTTACCCTTAGAACTAGTTGCTGCTTCGATGTGTATAACTTATTGGAATGATAGTATAAACCCAGCTAGTTGGGTAGCTATATTTTATTTATTAATTGTTGTTATAAATTTATTTGGTGTAAAAGGTTATGGAGAAGCAGAATATTGGTTAACTATTTTTAAAATAATTGCAATCATCGGATTTATAATCTTGGGAGTTGTATTAGTTGTTGGAGGTGGTCCAAAAAAGGAATTCATTGGTGCATCAAATTGGAAAGTAGGTAAAGCTCCATTTCCAAATGGATTTAAAGGTTTAGCTACTACGTTTGTTACAGCTTCTTATTCAATGGCTGGTTCAGAAATGTGTGGTATAGCTGCCCTGGAAACCAAAAATCCTGCCAAAACATTACCAAGGGCTGTAAGACAAGTATTTTGGAGATTGTTCTTGTTCTTTTTCTTGTCTTTAACAATGATAGGATTATTGGTTCCATATAATTCTCCAGATTTATTAGGTAATGGAGGAGTATCATCAAGTCCATTTGTTATTGCTATAAAAGATGCAGGAATTCAAGTATTACCATCAATTTTCAATGCATGTATTTTAATTTCAGTTATATCAGTTGGAAATTCAGCAGTTTATGGATGTTCAAGAACTATTCAATCTTTAGGACAACAAGGTTTAGCACCTTCATTATTTGCATATGTTGATAGAAAAGGTCGTCCATTAGCAGGATTAATTTTGAGCGCAATTTTTGGATTATTATGCTTCTTAGCAGCCTATAAAGATCAAGATACTGTATTTGCTTGGTTATTAAGTGTATCTGGTTTAGCAACAATTTTTTCATGGTTTAATATTGGATTATGCCATTTAAGATTTAGAATGGCAATGCATAAACAAGGAAAATCATTAGAAGAATTAAGTTTCACTTCATCATTAGGAATATATGGTTCAATATATTCAATGAGTTTTTTGGTTTTAGTATTAGTAGTTCAATTTTGGGTTGCATTATTCCCATTAAACTCTAATGGAAAAGCAAATGCAGAAAGTTTTTTTAAAAATTATTTAGGAGCTGTTGTTATATTAATTTTTTATTTGGGTCATAAAATTTTAACCAAAAATTGGAAAATTTATAAAAGATTAGATGAAATTGATCTAGATAGTGGAAGAAGACAAATTGATGTAGAAATCATTCAATCAGAGTTATTCGAGGAAAAACAATTAGCTAGACAAAAACCTTTGTATATTAAAATTTTTAATTATTGGTGTTGAGTAAAATATAATTTCTCAAACTGGAACTCAGTCTCAACCTGCTGAAGCTATAGTCTCAACACTTTTGGCTTTCTTAGTTGCTTCTGTTTTTGAGACTGCCCGTTTTCTCTTGGCAGCTTTTGCAGGTCTCTTCTCACCTTCAACGTAAACATCGGCGGCTAGATCGTAAAGTTTTACATTTCTTATTTGAAGGAAATGTTTTGATGCATCAAAGTCCGACCAGCTTTTACAAATACTGAAAAAATCTGCGCAAGGATGTTGAATATCTAGCTTTTTGTCCCCGTCTTTCAGAAGATGTATCTTGAGCCCAATATATAGCTTGGTGAGGTTCAATTCTATTTCCCCTTCTTTAAGTTGTTTTTCGTCTTTTGTCGACGTTAGTGATTTAACTATTTCGTCAGCTGCAATAGTTCCATAATTATTCAAGACCATCAGAGCTTCATCTTCAGACTTGCAAATGTAGCCATTTTCAAAAGACTTGACATAGGGATGAGCTAGCTCAACACCTTCCACAGCTTCCAATTTCTGTACTAGTAGCCTAACTTTACTTTCCACCATTCCGCTGTATCTGAGATGCTCCTCATAGTTTGACTTGGTTCCGGCTACAACACATAGGTAAAATTTGTATCTATGAAAAAAATCGTGTCTTTCCAATAAATCCGACCAGCTTTTTGACCCTGACAAAATACCATTCATAATATCTACCCCCCTGTTGAATTCGCTTAAAATGATCTTTTGCGTTGAATTGGTTATGTTATGAGTAGCACACATAGAAGGATACGCAGGAGTTATCACTGGCATTTTGTGTTGCCTGTCCATAGGATATAGCCTTGGATTCCAAACTCTGACTTGTAGGGGACCATCTTCAATTTGTTTCAAAAGAACGGGTTGGGGCCAGCTCCATTTTGAATATATTTGAAAAAATTTTTCCACTATAACAGCACTTACAGCATTGGGATATAATTGGCATATTCTTGCTACCAACATCGCCCATGCTACACCACCTGGAAATCCATATACGTTCGCATATATAGCTCTTTGCTGCGCCCATAATTTTATAAAACGTAATGCATGTTTGAAAACCGTAGGTTTTGGGACCAATGTTAGAATTTCATCTGTAACTCTAGTTCCATTCAAAGCCCTTAAATCCTTTTCATCGATATTCTTAAGAAGGTTTTTATCCGTTAATGTTAAATCTCGTGGAACTCTTGGAATGTCTAGTCTTGCAAATATTAAATCAATTGATATTCCTGCAAACTCTAGTTTAATTATGGGCACAAAAGCTTCCTGAACACTATTTATTTCCTCTAATTCTGATCTTTCTCTAAGCAATTGTTCAAAAACTGTGAAGAAATCCTCTCTGGTGATATGACGGGGTAAGACCACAAGAGCATCGATATCTGACGATGGTCCATAAACCCCCAATCTATATGATCCAAATGTGAACAATTTTCCACCTGCGTCTTTCGCCATTCCCTCTGACATATTCTTCAGCATCGAGACTTTATACACGAAATCTTCTGTTAATTTTTGGAGTATGTTCAAAACTTCAACTCTTTTTCTGGTGGCAGCTTCACTTTCAAAAGACTTTCTTGCTTTCAATTCTTTAATCAATAAATCGTTTAATTCATTTTCTTTTGCCGTTGGATTGGATAGTGATATGGGTGGTGTGACCCCATATGTTTGGTTGTTCATAGTAGAGATCATTTGATTTTTTTGTTTACTGTTTTTTTTTTGCATTAATATCACCGAATTTTGCAATATGATCCTACATATAAGAGTTTTTGAGAGACTAATTGAAGAGCGGTCACCAAGTTCGATAGAAAATCGTCTTTTGACATGGGAAAGACTTTTCGACGATGTTTGATGAAGATCTGTATTGTCTTAAGTAAATAATAGGCTCAAAAGTTTAATTTGTTTGGCAAGGTAGCTTGTCAAGATGTTTGCTATTTCTTTTTTTTTCTGTTATCGGTAAAGTTCTATCTCAACCCCTTACATCACTTTCACATCATGGGGTTAACGTCTAAATTGGAAAAGCTCAAACTTAAGGATCACGATCATGAGAAACCTCTGGAAAGTCCAGTCAATGCATCAGGTGCAGACTCAGACGACATTGATGAAATGGACAATGAAGGGCAATCAATTTTGATGGGAATCATTGCTCAATTGAGACCAGGTATGGACTTGTCAAAAATCACTCTCCCAACTTTCATCTTAGAGAAAAAGTCAATGCTTGAGAGAATTACAAACTTTTTTCAGATTCCAGATCTATTAATTGATGCCAATCATACACAGGATCCCTTACTAAGATTTGTTAACGTTTTAAGATGGTACCTTGCTTCTTGGCATATAGCTCCAAAAGCAGTGAAGAAGCCACTCAATCCAGTACTTGGAGAAACTTTTACTTGCTATTGGGATAACTTACCTGAAGGAGCTGGATCTGCCTATTATATATCTGAGCAAACATCTCATCATCCACCAAAATCCTCATATTTCTATTTAGTTCCTGATGAAAAGATAAGAGTAGATGGAACAGTTATTCCAAAATCAAGATTCTTGGGTAATTCATCTGCAGCAATAATGGAAGGTTGGGGTCAAGTCACTCTCGGTCAATGGGGAAATGAGCAATATGTAATGGATCAACCTAATGTTTACGTTAGAGGAATTTTATTTGGTAAAATGAAAACAGAATTAGGTGATCACATGGTGGTAAGATGTGAAGCTTCTGGAATAGAAGCAGATATTGAATTCAAAACTAAAGGTTTCATCAGTGGCACTTATGATGCAATTGAAGGTTACATTAAAGACACAGCAACCTCTGAAGAATTGTATCACATTACTGGAAAGTGGAATGACATTATTGAAATCAAAGATTTAAAAACTGGTAAAAAAGATGTTTTAATTGATACTCATAAAACTATCAGGGTTAAACCTAAAGTCAGACCTTTGGAAGAACAATCTGCATACGAATCAAGGAGATTATGGAAACCAACAATTGATGCACTTGCTAAGAGAGATCACGAAACTGCAACTGAAGAGAAATTTAAAGTCGAAAATGAGCAACGTACCATGGCAAAGAAAAGAGTTGAAGAGGGAGTTGAATTTCATCCAAAATTTTTCAGGCTCGTTGATAATAACGAATCCAATTTGAAAGACTTGGAGTACATAATTTACAAAAATATTGATTTAGCAGAGCTGCCAAAACAATTGACAGAAGATGTGTTGAGTATAGCACCATTCTTACCTGGTCAAGTTTTTGATGAAAAGTTTGAAATCCCTGCTTTCAAAAAACAATAATGTCCTGGAGATAAGTTTCTTTTTATTTTAACAAGCATTAGACTGCAATACTATACACAAGTTACATTCAAGGCTCAGGTTTAGTATATACATAATTTAGACTGTTTAGTTTCTTTTCTATCTTTAATTTTATTATACATTCATTTCAGTTAAGTTTTAGTTTTATTCAACTTGTAAAATACTACGTAACTGCTTTCTTTTACATGCCATGCCAGACCATTGATGCTTCACAATTGCATTAATTAAATACAAATGATATTTTGTAAAATTTATTGTTCGCGAAAAGAAACTCTAGAATTCAAGTCAAGAGAAGTATTTTTGTTCAAACTAAATTTTAACAAAACTACTGAAAAGACAAATATACATCCTGATTTCATATCCAACTGACAATATATCATCCAAGAACTACATCCAGTCATTGTCTGATGTCTTGTAGTGAGGAATTGAGAAGGCAAATAGAATCACCTCAGCTAACCCTACTACAATGTATTAATCTACTACGAGAAAATGGATCAAATATTGGAGTACAACATGCCCTTGTTAAAAAATTGAATTTTTATTCATATGATGAGTTAGAGTTTTATATACCACAGTTTGTTCAACTTCTTGTCACCTCAGAAACAGACTCGATGGCTTTAGAAGAATTTTTGTTAGAATATTGTTTTGATTACCCTCACTTCAGTTTAATCGTCTTTTGGGTGCTTCAAGCTTTCTTATTTGAATTGAGGAACGAACCAACGTCATATGCCTTTCAAATTGTTAGGAACTTTATAAATAACTTACAAAGTGTTTTATTCAATGTCGAAGACTTGAATCTTAAACGTTCCGAATTCAGAGAAAATCTACAACCATCCTTAGTTTTATGTGGAGCAATTGCGTCTTCATTTGCATTGCCAACTATTAATGAGTATGTGACTCCAATTATCAAGTCTCAAGCTAAGCAACAAAAGTCATTTGTTTTCAAATTAGCAAATTTTCAAAAAAACTTAACAAAGAATTTGACCATGAAAAATCAAAAAATTTCAAACCAAATAAATAATAGCACGAATGAAGAAGAATTTTTACTGCTCAGCCGGGAAATGAAAAGTCTTGGACCGTCAAAAACTGATAGAAAATATGCTGTAATTGTTCTGCCAGATGATTCTGATGTTTATACAACTGATGATGATGACCAAAGATCATTGTCTAGAAATGGATCTTTGAAAGAAGCTGCTTTTGCCGAAGTTGGAGCCAATTTGAAAGTAAATACTGTTATAAAGTCAAACAAAAGTCGATCCAAGAACCCAAATTCCGTATCAAGTCCGTTGAACATATTGAAAACCAAACAACTAAACCGAAGCTCACAATCGTTACCCGATCTTTCACACAACTGGTCCAGACCTGATTTAACAGCTACTGAATCTGAAATGTCTTTGCAAATATTAAGAAATTCCACAGAAACTCATTCAAAAAAGAAAAACTCGTCAGACGCTAAATCGAAGCTGTTTCCGGAATTATTGAAGATACTTAGGGTGAATTATTCGAAAAAAGAAACAGAATTTATAATGTCCCTTCAGGATATTTCCTTGAGAATGTCGCTGGTACCTAAAGCTGCTAGAGTTTCGGCTTTGCGAGCTGAATTGTCAATTATAAATGATACATTATTGCCATCGGAAATAGACATCCCCCAACTACTTCCCGTCACCAGCAAAAAGAATAAAAAGTTTCATCAAATCTTGAAATTGAACATAAATGAAGCATGTGTGCTAAATTCGGCGGAAAGAGTTCCTTACTTGCTACTTATTGAGTATTTGAGTGATGAACTTGATTTCAATCCATTCACAGAATATAATCAAAATCTCATAAACTCAAGATTACAAGCTGCGGATAGGAAACGCAGTAATGAATACAATCAAGGTGATAATGAGTCAGTCTCAAGTGACATGCAAGGTATTCCCGTTATGGAAAACTTAACAGAAGTCCTAGTCGACGAGACGGATTTAGGTGAGTTGCCTATATTAGGTTCTAGAAGTATTAGTCGAGATTGGACTCAGATAAGAACTGAAGGAAACTCTAGAAGGTCATCTCAAGACGATGACAAAACAAATCGTATTGTCTCGCCAATTATATCAGGATCAGCTGATACCCTGGTTCTAGCTGATCAAATGAGAATAGCTTCATTGATGCTTCAACAACTACAAAACAACGGTCAATCTAATACTCAGCAATTTATTTCCATTAAAAATAGAATAGTTGATTCAATGATAAGCTTGCAAGATCAATTTGAAGCTATAGATTATGAAAAGATGAAGGAGTTAAAAACCGACGAGCAAGACGCTGGACAAAGAAAAATGGAGAATGATTTCAAAATCAGTGAGGATTGGAATGAGAAAAAACAAAGAATTAGAAAAGCAAGTGCATTTGGTCATTTGAAAAATTGGGATCTTTGCTCAGTTATAGTCAAAAATGGTGATGATTTACCTCAAGAATCATTTGCTTGTCAACTCATCACCATGATATCTAATATTTGGAAAAAACATGGTGTAAGGTTTTGGACCAAAAAAATGAGAATTTTGATAACCAGTGCCAATGCCGGATTAGTAGAAACTATAACGAATTCAATGTCAATTCATTCGATTAAAAAATCATTAACGGAACTTTCTATTGCAAGCGGTCAAAATGCTAAAGGTAGAATTTTTACATTAAAGGATTATTTTGAAAAATTATTTGGAGAAGTTGGTAGTCGAAGGTACAAATTAGCCCAGGAAAATTTTGCAAAGAGTTTGGCAGCTTATTCAATTATTTGTTATGTGTTGCAAATAAAAGATAGACACAATGGTAACATTATGTTGGACAATGAAGGTCATATTATTCACATCGATTTTGGTTTTCTTCTAGGAAACTCTCCTGGCTCGAATATAGGTTTTGAAGCTGTTCCATTCAAATTGACATCTGAGTACATTGATTTACTTGGTGGAGTTGAGTCTGAATTTTACAAACTTTTCGTACAAGTTTGTAAGGATTGTTTTAAAGTATTAAGAAAAGAATCAGATCAAATTGTTAGTATAGTCAAATTGATGCAAAAAGATTCTAATATTCCTTGTTTCAATAATGGAGAGAATACTAGTGTATTGTTGCAACAAAGATTACAATTGCAAATGTCTGACGACCTAATTGATCAGTTTGTCGAAGTTTCGCTCATCAATAAAAGTTTAAATAGCGTATATACTAGATTGTACGATCAATTTCAAATGATCACACAAGGAATATACAATTGATTTGGGTCATGCCTAAAATTTAATTTACTACACGATGATATAAATTTGTTACACAAAATCTTGGCACGGCTGTTGTTATCTCCTGTATATAACCTTGTACTATTAAAATAAATTAAGATATTAGATTTTGATTTTACCTAAGATTAATATTTTGTTAAGGGTCCTCTTCAAACATGATTGTACATACATTCAACTTCCCCAAATGCAGACCAGAGGAAGTGACGAATATCAAATGTCTCACCAACAGAGAATCATTTCCAGCGATTTCCGTTAATGTTACTCCAAATTCATATAAGTCTGACTTCATTCAAGTTGCTTCTCCAAGTGGAAATTCCGACGAAGAAAAGATCACATTCAGATCAAGAAACAATTTTATAATAGCTAGAAGCACGTTGGCAAATTTAGTTCAAGAAAAACAGTCCAATTTTGAGAAAGTTTCCAAGTTGGTTTCAATAGTACGTAGGACATATTTTTTTTAAAGAAAATACAATTACTAACAAAGCAAAGATTTGGAGTCAAGTCAACGTTTCTTTCAAACTTTACTTTGAATATCTCGCTATACTAGAATCCTACTGGTACGAAAAGAAAAGTTCGACTCTCCATTCTCCAAAAAAAGCCAAAAATATAGTTGGTATAAAGTATTCTGAAATTTTCACCAGCTTATATCCAGAGTCTTCAGTAGAGACGAAGATGAAACCTCAGAAACATCGATTTAGGTTGACAAATGCTCCTGTTAGGACACGGAAGAGATTGGTTAAGAAAAAAGAGTCAGTTAAAGGATTCAAAATTGGCAAAACGTCCTACAGTTGTAATTATGGTATTTTGACACAAGATATTTTTAAAGAAGGTAAGTGAATCACTTTTTGTATAGTCTAATTAATGAATGTAATTTTGTACACTAGAGATAATATTTAGTGCGAACAAAATGTTTCATCTTTGTTACGAATTTTTCAGATAAGGATCGAGAAAAATAATATGTGCTTTATTTTACTTTGCCTTTAACATTGATCGATATCGAAAATCATGAACTCAGAGCTAGCCAAAGGCGAAAGCTTACTTAATGATATCAATGAACTAAAACAACTTACAAGTCTCATTCGAGAATTTGGAGAACAAGAAAACCAATCTACTCAAATTGGTAATGATTTAAATGTATGTTGGGTCTCGAATAAAGGCTTGAATTAATACTAACTGCCATAGGAAAAATATTTTGATCCTCGATTGGATTGGGCGTTGAGTCAACTACAATCTACTTTAGAAACCATTCGAAATTTTGAAGGCGAAAGTTCACTTTTGGTGTCCAGTGAATCTGCTCAAGAGTTCGAGTTGAATCAAATTTCAATAACAGTAAGTGGAACAGACAAACTAATGGAAACTGTCAATAACAGTGCCGACAGAAAAGTCACTACCGAGCTTGGAAAGCCCAGAAAGAGGTTAGCTAGCTCCGCAAAGAATTTACTTGAACAAATATTCTTAGTACAGCAAACACCAAACAGGAGGGAAAGAGAATTGATTGCGAGAAAATGCGGAGTAACACCTTTGCAAATTAGAGTGTGGGTATGTATTTACGATCAAAATTTTTATAAAGTATAATAATACTAACCTAACAGCAGTTTACCAATAAACGTATGAGAGGGAAAAGAGCTTAAATACACAATTTTACAACAACCGAGTCCATAGCACTGCTTCGAATCTAAAACTTAAGGTATTTTAATATACAGTCAAACTATTGCCACTAATAATTAATGTTGCACTGCTTTACAACATTACTCATTTAATGTCACTCTTTACATTATTCATCACTCGTTTCACATATTTACTTTTTTTAGTTAATTGAATTAACCATTCAACAGATTCATCATCTAACTCATTCTTTTTAGCAGCTTCTTTAAAATATTTAACAATTTCAAATCCATTTTTCATTTTTATAACATTATTAAATCCATAAATTTTAGCTTGTTTAAAAAAAAAATCTAATAAATTTATCTTTTTATTTAATTCTAAATTTTCAAAATTTAATATTCCTGAAATTATTGCTGGAAAAAATTCAGCTAATTGAAGTTTATCTTTAGAATAAAATTTTAATAATTTTATAGAATTTTTATAATCATCTAATACTGTTCCTTTTATTAAATTATATTTTACCCAAAATGTTGATGTTTCCATTTTACTCATTACAGTAGAAAGAATTTCAACTCTATTTTCTTCTCGTAATACAAAATTGAAAACTTCATTTGATATGGATTTGAGTAAATATTTCTGGGCTATGTCATCATCTTTGAATTCAAATGTTGTTGAATGAAGTACTTTGTATAAAATATCCATGACCGAAGCAAGACTTTCTGGTGGTAGTACTGAGATAGATTGTCCTAAGGATCGCAAAGTTGCGTGAAATAAGTTGCGTTCCAACAATGTTAATGATTCAAAGGAAGTGCTGAAATTTCCAACTTTTGTTATTGATTTTCGTAATATACTGTTTAGGATGATATCAATAAAATTTTCATCAATAATTTCTGTTCTCAATAATGTTGATCTAAAAATCTCCAACAATGTTCTTTTAGAAAGGGAGTTCTGCAGGGCTAAAAATTTCAAATCTTCAATATCTGCAATCGAAGATTCACAATAGGATTTAATCAAATGCCGCGAAACTTTATAATCATGAGTATAATATGGTATTAGCTCCAAGTAATGAGATGGACTTAATTGGGTTAACTGCATTACCACCGAGTCTCTTATTAACGCATTCAATGGCTTTATTAAACTCAATGCAGAAATTTCCACAGGAAGTAAAAGATCTAAACATCCAACAGCTACCGGTAATGTAAGTTTTTCACTGCAGGTTAAAAAAGCAGCTTTAACCTCTTCAATTTTAGAAGTCCTTAGCATGGATTCAATCATTAGGTTCAGGATATTTTTCTGCATACGTGATAATTTATAAGACAGAAACAAAACAAAAGGATCCACATTTGAATGTAGTAAATAAATTGCATCCACATCGTTTAACCTAACACCCACTGGTAAAATTTCTTTAATCGAATCCATAAATGGTTCTAAATTTTTTGGAATATCTTCAAACAATAAGCATGAATAAAATTCAAATTTAGGTAATAATGAGCTAACCCAACCAGGTTTAATTAAAAGTTGTGGAAATTGTAATAAAATTTGAGATATTTCTTGTTTTGATGCTCCTTCATAGTATAATAACAGTATAATTTTTTTTAATTTTATAACGTCTGTTGCAAAATTATTATTTTCATAATTCATTATATCGTCAATATTTCGTAAATCGTTAATTTCGTAATAAATATCAAGTACTTGTCTAGCATTGATTTTAAAAATATGTGTAAGTGAATCTAAAATTTGAATTTTATGAATGCCATTTTCATCTAAATTTGGTTGACTTAATATAAAATAAATTATAGCAAATTCATTATTTTGTTTATTAAAAATGGATTTAACACTAGTTAAGAATTCATCAATATCTATCAATGTTTCTCCCAAGAATAATTGCCAACATGTAGAATATTGTTGATGGAATAATAATCTTTCTAATAATAATTTTTTCATTGGTCCATCAATCTCTGGGTAGTAAAAATGCAAATATAATCTTGGATCAATCAATACTGGATCATATGTTAAAACTGTAAATAATTTATTTTCAAAATCTAATGAATTTTTCAATTTTTTTTTCAAATCTGGAATTTTTTCAATTAAATCTTGAACTGGCTGATCCATTATTTTATCATGTTGTTCTGTTAATATATTTGATAAATAGTTTGAAATTTTTTCAGGTAATGAATTAGTCAAGTTTTTATTATTAAAGAATGAAAAATTTTTGGAATAAAATCTAATTTGTAATTTATGATGATGCTGTCGTATGTATGTTTTTAATATTGTCGGTCGTAGCCGTATTGACCATCTTAGCATTCTTTCATTTATATAGTTCTATTAGCTGTTATAGTAATTCTTGGTTCGTCATATGTATGTATATTTAATGGCAGTTGTATTGGTTTAGATGTTGCAAATGGTTCTCTTCAATATGTTTTGATAACTTTTCAAAACAAAAACTTTTCAAAATAGGAATTTCCATAAATTGAAAAATCTAACTTTTTATATGAAACAAATACAAAAAATAACAAATCAATTACAATTGAATAAACTAACTTAGATTAAATGATTTGGGTATGGCTCAAGTGATATGGAATTCTGATATTGATGTATACAATAAAGATGTAATACCAACACTGATAGCTAAAAATATTGCCAATTATTTACCAATAAGAGATTTATTATCATTTGGATTAATTTCAAAAAATACTTATGAAGCAGTAAATGATCCTAAAATTTGGATATCTTTCTTGAAAATTATGGATGTTTGGAATAAAGCAATTCCTATAACAAAAGATGAAATTAGACAAAATCCTAAAATGCCATATTTAGAAAATCCATTAACATGTTTAGATTATATATTTAGATCATCTAAAAATGCTAAATATCAAACATTAAAAATTCATAAATGTTTATCTAAATATTATTATGAGCTACTAATAAATAAAGGGTATGATAAATTAAGAATTTTTAAAGATTTTCAAACTCCTGAAGAACAAGCTAAAATACTATCGAATTTGTTAGCATATAATAAAATTGATTTCATAGAAGAATCTAGAGTACTAGCTCATGATAAATTATTTGAATTATTTGAAATTTTTGAAAATGCATTATTAAGAGAATTAGAAATTCATTTTGATATTGAAGATTATGAAAAAACAAGACAATTTGTTTTAATTTTAATATCTTTAAAAAATCAACAAACATTAATTGATTTTTTTTTACAAAAAAGTATATTTGATGAAGATAAGGAAATTTTTGAATTAAGTCAATCAACTATTGAAAATTTATTTGTGGACAATCAATTGAATGAGGATGAATTTAATAAATTAATTACTAATATTGCCAATGTATTTAATGAACAATCGAAAATTATTGATAAAATCTTCCCACAATCTGTTCCAATGATGTATAAAGTTTGTGAAGAATTGATTTCAAATCAATTAAATGAATTAATAATGGTAATTACTGAATCTTCTAAAAAATATGGATTGTATTTAAAAGTTATTCCATATATTTATAATGAATTATCAAACACCCTAGTATCTCAATTAAAACCATCAAAAAACATTGGTGAATCATATAAACAATTAGTTTCAGAATTAATAGATATGCTGTTTGAATCATTTGCAGCTGAATATCTGAGAGATGAAACTGCTCAGTTTAGAAATTTAGCAAAAGATAAATTAATTGAATGGAATCAACAAATTTCTCAAAAGGAAGCAGAAACATCACTGAAAATTTTAGAAAGTATTAAAATTGAATCCAAAAATGATTTTTTAACAAGTTTTAAAAATGTATTCACATTAAATAGTTCCAAGGAAAATTCTACAAAAGAAAATTCAGAAATGCTTGCAAAAGCTAAAATATTATCAGAAAATATTAAATCATTAGATAAAATTTTTAGTCCAGAAGTTGTTGTAGATTTATTAAATAATGCAAAATCTTCAATAAGTAGATTATTAATTTTTAAAGAATTTTCAATTTCTTCATTACGTGGAGATATTTATCAATCCATACAAGACATATTTATGGATGTTATGGATATTATAGGTTTAGAACATTTAAGACCTGGATTTGATAAAGCTTTAACATATTTACAAACTTATAACCCCAACTCATCAACTTATACAACTCAACATAATGAAAAATTTGCTGAACCAATTGTATTATTTTTTGATTTAATTAATATGGCAGATATTATAATTCAAATGATTGATATTTTTTATAAAGAAGAAATTTTAAATAAACAAATTATAAAACATGAAAATAGTATATTAAATCCTTCTTTACAAAGTAAAAAAAAATTAGAAGCTTTAGTTGATAAAAATGTTGCTGATGGTTTAAATATTGGAATTGAATTATTAGTTCATCAAATTGAAAATACTTTTAAAGAATATTTATTAGATAGTGATTATAATCCTAATGATGATACTCCAAGTGGATTTGGTACAACTGATGCAGCAAGAAGAGCTACTAAAATTTTAGAAGAAAATATGGATTTATTAGTTGATAGTGCAGATAAATCAGTTGTTGATGTTTTTCAACAAGAAATAGCAGAAAGATTTTTTCAAGTTATTGTAAAAATTTTGAAAAAACGAACAATATCAGTTGCTGGAGCAACAAATTTAATATCAGATTTAAATTTATATTATGATTTTATTGTTGAACATATAAAAACCAACAAGAGATTAGTTGTACCATTATATCAAGCTTTAAAAAAAATTGGAAATTTATATTTAATAAGTGGTGATGATTCAAAATCAATTGGAAAATTAGTAAGTGATTTATCAAAATTTAATGGAATTTTTGGACAAGAAGAAATTTATGAATTTGTTCAAAGAAGAAAAGATTGGCCTTTAATTCGAAAACATGTTGAAAAAGTTATGTATGGATTTGGTTTAGGAGATTGTAAATTAGTGTAAATTAGTGTATATTAGTGTAAAAATTGGTATAAAAATGGGTTTAATTAATAAAATATTTATTAGAAGAACTTGTTAATACTCTTGTGAGTTTATAGATTTACCTCTTAAAAAATCAGGGCTACCAAATTCAAGATGATTTTAATGAAAAATTGCAAGAGGAAATTTACAATTAAGTCTTGTTAAGAATTGCATCATTATCAACCAAGACACCATAGCATTCAACAGATACAAAACACATAATTTGACATGATGTCACAATAGAATGAATTTTAAACTATCAATACGACGAATCAATCCAAAATTTTTCATCTGCAAAAGATGTATATCAAGCACAACTTTATTATATGACAAAAGAACAAATTCAAATACAATATCACAATTATCAAATTTACAAAAGGGAAATGAAATAATTAAACATATTAAAGATTCATATACTCAAGGAAATATTACTTTCCTTGAAGATTATACAAAATCGAACAAAGAGGATCTACCGTCAAAATTTTTAAGAAAGAAAGTTCCAATTGATTATCTTTTAAAAGATTTAATTGAAATTATGATAAAGGGAGATATAAGTTTAATAACAAATAATATTCAAACATTAAAAGAAGAGAAACTTTGGCCTAAAAGATACATTATATCAACTGAAATCAATCAAATACGACGAGATTTTTTACATTATTTAATTAATTATAATCATTTATCATTAGCAACATCTTTGTTATTACAATTTCAACAAAATCATTTGAGTTATCATAAATCAGATATAACATTATTAATAAATGCTATAAAAAATAGTTCAATACGAGATTTTCCAATTAATTCATATTGTATATTACAGATTATTCAGCATTTTAATCTTACTACAATGGAATTATATAAATGTTTCCAATATTTAACATCAATTCAAATTGGTAATTATTATTCAAATTATTTATTTTTTAAATTACATAGAGAGAATATGTTGGTTGAGTTTAATTCAAAACAATTTAATAAAATTTTAATTTCATTATTAAATTTAAATTTGGAGAATCAAGATATTATAAAGTCATTACAAATTTGGAAAATTTCTAAACCTTTGATTCAAAATTTAAACCAGTCTCAAATTAAAGAACTTACGAATTTAATAGTCACCATTTTCAAACTTTATCATGATCAACCTAAGATAGAATCGGAAATTGAAAATTTACCAAATTTCATAAAACAAACATCTGAATTTTTGAATTATGACTTAGATTATTATTCAAACCATTCACCAACAAGTTTTAAAAATTTAATAAAAAATTTATCAAGTCCATTAAAAAGATCAACATTAACTTCATTATTAAAAGGATTTATTAAAATTGAAGATGAAATAAATGCTGAAAAAATTATAGAAACCATTTTCCAAACTTCAAATTTAAATCAAGATGAATTAAATATAATAGTTGAAAAATTACTAGCGGAAAATAAATTGAATGAAGCATTATCAATGATTAGAAGAATGAGTTTAGAAATTAGTAAAAAATCATATTTAACCATATTTAAAAAATTTGAAACCTTTGAAGACAATGATCAAAAAATATATGATTTTTATAAAGAATTATATTTAAAATTTATGAAATTGGATCCAGGAGATGAAGTATTAAAAGAATTTACAGTCTCAATAATTGAAAAATTATCCAAGATTGATAATAAACAAGCAACAAGATATTTAATTAAATTTATGAAACTTACAGATTTTCAAAACTATCAAATTAATAAAATTGAAAATTTTATAAATTTTCAAAAATATAATATGTTAAATGAATTTAAAAATTTAATTTCATTAGATCATTTTGCAATTGTTTCATGTCTTAAAATTATATCAAAACAGGCAGTATCGCAAAAAGATTATATAATTTTAAATTGGGTCATTAATGAATTTAGAAAATTAGGTTGGGAAATTTCAACAATTGTGGAATATTTATTGTATTTTGATTCAAATAATAATTTACGTAAAATGATGAAAAAGAGAGCTTTTATAGATGTTGATAGTAAAAATGCAGACGATTTAGGTTAGGTAACCATGTATATAAAACTGTAATATTACAAATAGATTCCAAAACAAAAAATATCTATTCTATTTACAAGTTAAGTCCACTATTTGAATCTCTTTTTATCTGCTTTTTTATCATATAATTTACCACCTCCAACAATTTCTTGAGCATTTTCACCCATTAATTCAAATAATTCTTGATCTTTAGCCTTTGCCGCATTTTTAGCTTTTAATTTTTGATTTTCTTCTTCTTCAATACTTAATTCTTTACTGTTCTCTTTAGACACTTCATTTTCTTCATCATTTGTAAAATTTGAATATTTTGTTTTAAATTTACCAATTTTTCCAGTTAATGTTAAATCAGAAGTATCTAAATCAGATCTATGAGGATTCCATTTTAAAGAATTTCTTTGATCATTAATCATTCTTATTTCATCTTTTGGAACTTGTGATCTTCTTTTTATTACTGATCCATCACTTAATTCAACTAATGTATCAAATTGATACATTATTGCTGGTCTTGCTTTACCTAATTTTATTTTTCTCATTACTCTACGAGAAGATAAATTTACTTCATTAGCCATTGAAATTGTTTGTTTGTGTCTTATTTGATGATTTAGTATGCATTGGTTCGGTATTAGCCTTCTCTGTATTATATGTGAGATCATTGTTGTGGAGATTCTGGTAGGGTATGGTAATGTAGTTTATCAAGTATATTGTCTATAGAGATTTTGGTACTCTGATATCTGAAAAATTTTGTTTCATATTTATTTAGTAGTGTAAATCAATCAAAACATTTTCTACTGTTATATTTTTTTTCCTTACTGTACTATTCCAACATCTTCTAACCACATCTGAAACAACTTATCATCGGTTAACTAAGATCAATTTCAATTCCAATTGGAAATCTACAAGCGACAAACATTCAAATTGATTTAAGTCTGTGCAAGAATGGCCTTTTCAAATCAAACACCAACAATTGTTGTATTAAAAGAAGGAACAGATACATCCCAAGGTAAAGGACAAATTATAACAAATATAAATGCATGTTTAGCTATACAAGATACTTTAAAACCAACTTTGGGACCATTTGGATCAGATATTTTAATAGTATCATCAAATGGTAAAACAACTATATCAAATGATGGAGCAACAATTTTAAAATTATTAGATATTGTTCATCCTGCTGCTCAAATGTTAGTCGATATATCAAGATCACAAGATGCAGAAGTTGGTGATGGTACTACTTCTGTAACTATATTAGCAGGTGAATTATTAAAAGAAGCAAAACAATTTATTGAAGATGGAATAAGTTCATATTTAATAACAAAGGGATATAGAAAAGCTTGTGAATTATGTGTTTCAAAAATAAAAGAAATTGCAGTAACAATAACCAAAAATGATAAAGATCCAAAAGAATTTAAACAATTATTAGAAAAATGTGCAACCACTGCTATGTCATCAAAATTAATAAGTAATAATTCACAATTTTTCACAAAAATGGTTGTTGATGCAGTATTAAGTCTTGATCAAAATGATCTAGATGAAAATTTAATTGGTATAAAAAAAGTTCCAGGTGGATCATTAGAGGAAAGTTTATTTATTGATGGAGTAGCATTTAAAAAGACTTTCTCTTATGCTGGATTTGAACAACAACCTAAGTTTTTTGAAAATCCTAAAATTTTATCATTAAATGTTGAATTAGAATTAAAAGCTGAAAAAGATAATGCAGAAGTAAGAGTTGAATTAGTTAAAGATTATCAAGATATTGTTGATGCTGAATGGAAAATTATATTAAATAAATTAGAATTAATTTATAAAAGTGGTGCAAATATTGTTTTATCAAAATTACCTATAGGAGATTTAGCAACTCAATATTTTGCTGATAGAAATATATTTTGTGCAGGTAGAGTAAATAATGAAGATATGGAAAGAGTTATAAAAGCAGTAGGAGGTCAAATACAAAGTACTTGTTCAAATATAACACCTCAAGATTTAGGTACATGTGAAAAATTTGAAGAAAGTCAAATTGGTAATGAAAGATATAATATTTTTACAGGATGTCCAGAAACTAAAACTTGTACATTAATATTAAGAGGAGGAGCAGAACAAGTTATAGCAGAAGTTGAAAGATCATTACATGATGCTATAATGATTGTAAAAAGAGCTATAAATCATTCTACAATTGTAGCAGGTGGAGGAGCTATAGAAATGGAATTATCAAAATATTTAAGAGATTATTCCAAAACCATAGCAGGAAAACAACAATTAATTATAGGAGCATTTGCAAAAGCTTTAGAAATTATCCCAAGACAATTATGTGAAAATGCAGGATTAGATGCTATTGAAATTATAAATAAATTAAGAAGTTCTCATGCAAAAGGTGAAATATGGTATGGAATAGATTTTCAATTAGAAAATATTTCAAATAATATGAAAAATTTTATATGGGAACCTTCAATTGTTAAAATTAATGCTATTGAATCTGCTACTGAAGCTGCTAATTTATTATTAAGTATTGATGAAACTATATCAAATGAACAAAATGAAAATAGTGGATTTGGAGGTGGACAACAACCAGGAATGGGTAGAGGTAGAGGAGCTATGTAAGTAGAGGAGTTATATAAGAGGTAGAAAATCTATTTAAGACAAGGAGAAAGTCTCAGTCCTTTTTCTTTTTCAATACATAGTCGGATTCAAACATAAGTTAAGGTAGTAAGTTAGTGGTATTAAAAATATAGAATTAATGATGATGAATGTACACTTTTTATTTTAATTGACGTATAGTCTTGAAAAACACTGAATTTTACTATACAAAGACAATGCCTTTGACTAAAGTCTTTTCTGATTATACTAAATACTATTTCCAAAGGTTTGTTTTAAGCCTAAAATTTGGAACTTGGAAATTACATATAGTCTACAATAATAAACACGAACAAATAATTTCTAACTTTAGAACTAATTAATATCTAAAGAGAAAATTTGTTGCTCTGGATATCAATAAAAAAATGTGTAAAATAGGTCGAGCACTAGCCTTTCTATCAAATGACGAAGAGGAGTTCCATTTGTACAATAATAAGCACTTGATTATTTGACTAGACTGGGACAATTTAATTACAAAAATGGGAAGGGTTGTGTATTAAATATAATATTTAACTTAAGTAAAGACGCGTATATATTAAGAATTAAAATACGAGAATAACAATTAAAAAAAAAAATCTGTAGATGAAAGGGATTAACTTCAAAAGATTAATGATGAGGTTTTTGCTCAAACTTTAAGGAATTTAACCAAGTGGTTGAAACTAAGCTTTATTCATTACCAGCTATTTTATTCGCTATAGTGTGTTTTCTTCATTGCAAGTAGTACTTTTCTAATTGATATATTGGAAATGATTCTAATATGTCAAAAAATATTATAATAAATCCGATTCTATTAACTAATTAAAAATAAGAAATACTGCATAAGCTTGTATAATAATTCGCGTAATAATTTTAATCGAAAAGAATCATTTGGTAGTTCTAGTACAGGTATGAATAATAATAGTACGGTTAATTCCATTCAATTTCTATTTTTACAACTTAAAATAAATTGTATAAATGTTCCAGCTATACAATTGATACAAAAGTTAAAGGTATAGATCCCATGCTAGGGATGAAGCGATAAATCTACAGTAGCTTTTGATAGCTTTGTTGAAGCTGTTTTTAATCACGCGAATTGAATTCTTAAACATTTATGTTGAAACGTATTAATGAATTGTAATAAGTGTCTTGCATTAGACTAATATAATAAACTCTCCTTTAGCCTTAAAATTCCAAATAAATAAAGTAAGACAAAATAACTCGTAAGTATTTTTAATTTATTTTCTTTCATAATTAGGACGCATATTTTGGTACAATACTGTCTTAAATATTAGTACGTGATTTTAAACAAGTCCGACCAAAAAATTAGTTTTTTGTACGTTTCGAGTATTATTCTAAACTATGAATTTTGTGTAATGTGAAATCGCGTATTATATTTTTTTTATTTTTTATTTTGTAAATCAAACAATCAAAAACTCCTTTTAACGAGTTTAAATTTACAATAGAAGTGGAACTAGGAGCAATTGATAATATTAGATAAATATATAGAGACATAGGGCAGTATCTAATTCACAAAATACTTGCATTTCTGTATAAAATTTAATTTTTGAATTAGAATCTATCTTTTTATTTTATTTTAATATTATCTAAGATATTGTGATATATTCTATATTTTATATATCTAATTCGAAAGGAAATAAATTCACGTTAATTAAATATTCTTCAATATATTATATTCATATATATATATTATCAACTATATTCCCATTTATAATTTTCAACTTTTATAGAATTAACACATCTATTTCATTTCATTTGGGATTCTTAGATTGATTTTCACAAGTGGGTAATTATTCAATTCATCTAAATCACCAAGGCATCTATACTTTAAAAATTATATGAAAATTATTTGAGAGAACCCATTATATCAATTAGTGTTAGATTCATTCATTCATTCATTCATTCATTCGTTCATATCATTCATTCATTCAAATTGTTATACTCTTGCATACTATATCCAACTTATACATTCATTTTACAATCGTTTTGAGAAGTTTTTTTGTTTACAACTCATTTTTACAACCATTTATAATTTTTACAACCAATTATCGTTTTTTAATTTCATTTTGCATTATACCATTATTAAATATTCAATTAAAGTATTAAACATTGATTGAATTAATTGAATCCGTACCTATTTGAGTTATATCATTTGCTTTTCATAATATCTAAAATTTTAATACTCTATATTTCATGTCAAATTATCAACAACAAAAATTAAATCATTATACCCAACCTCAACATGCTCAACAACATGCTCAATACCAACAACAACAACAACAGCAACAACAGCAGCATCACCACGTTCAACAGCAGTACCACCACCAACAACAACAACACCAAGTTCAATCACACCATCCCAATTACCACCAAAAACCAAGATATGGTCCACCACATAATATAAAACCTCGTCAATATAATATAATGTTAGAAATGTTAGAATCAAAATCAAATAAAATCTTAACACAAGAATATGAAAATGAAATATTAGAAACTTTATCAAATTTAGAAATTCAAACTTCAGTAAATTCTTCAATGATTGATTTACAACCTGAAATTCAATGGTTTATGAGACCTTTTTTAATTGATTTTTTAATTGAATTACATTCTTCATTTAAATTACAACCAAATACTTTATTTTTATGTATGAATATAATTGATAGATATTGTGCAAAAAGAATAGTTTTTAAACGTCATTATCAATTAGTTGGTTGTACTGCTTTATGGATAGCAAGTAAATATGAAGATAAAAAATCAAGAGTTCCTACATTAAAAGAATTAACAATAATGTGTAGATCAGCTTATGATGAAAATATGTTTGTTCAAATGGAAATGCATATCTTGGGTACATTAGAATGGTCAATTGGTCATCCAACTTTAGAAGATTGTTTACAATTATCAATAAAACAAATAAATGTTAAAAATCATTCAAATATAATACCTTATAAATGTAATTTACAAAATCAAATTCAAAATCAAATTTTAAAAAATGATTCTAATACAAATTCAAATTTAGATGGAAGTACATTATCTGCAGTTACAGCAATTGGAAGATTTCTTTGTGAATTATCAATGTATGATAAATATTTATTAGATTTTCCAATAAGTCTTATTGCAATATCATCAAATTTATTAGCTTGTTCAATGTTACAAATTCCAAATGCTTCAAATAATTTAAAAAATTTAATTGAAAAACATATAATTGATCCAAAGAGGAATTTATTAATCAAACAATATAAATTAAATCATCAAAAAAATTTACAAAATTTAAAACAACATCAACAACATCAACAAAATCAACAACGTCCTCAATTACATAGAATAAATCAACCTCAACAAAGTCAATTTAAAATTCCAAAATTTCCATTAAAATTATCAAATATAAATAATTTTTATCATCAAAATAATGAAAGTAATTATAGTCATCAATCAAATATAATGAGACATTCAAGTATTGATGATGATATAGATTTAGATTCAGAAGAAGATACAGATAATGATGATGAAAAAAATGAAGATGATGAAGATTATGTTTTAGAATATTCTGATCAATTTGAACGTTTTGACTTATATGATCAATCATTACCTGGTTATGATGATGAAGATGAAAAAAATGAAGAATTTGATGATAATGAAAATAATGAATTTAATGATACAAATAATACAACAATTGAAGATGACGATGAATCAGATTCAGATTCAGAATCAGAAGAAATTGAAAATAAATTTCCAGAAATTATAGGATCTTTTTTAAATGGATTTGATGAAAATAATTTAATTGTTATAAAAAAAATTTCATTAATTTTAATTTTAAATTTAAGTAAAGTTACTGAAGTATTAAATAAAAAATATGAATCTTTGGGTGTTATTCAAGTTTTAAAAAATTTTAATGATAAAAATTATAAATTAATTAAAGAAATTCATGAATTTGTTAATAAACAATCTATGAATCAAAATAATAATGGATCTAATCAAACTTCATCATCACAATCTCCATCACATGCACAACTTTCACAACCTTCATCACAACCCTCACAATCATCATCATCACAATCAATAGCAATATCAAACATCCTAAATAATTTTGAACAAATAGATAAAAAAATTATAAATTCAATTGAAAATTTAATAAATTATCCAAAAAATTTATCAAATCCAAATGATTTTTTAAAAGAATTTGAAATAAATACAAATTCTTTAAATTTATCTTCAACTTCATCACTAATGAATAATTCATCATTTTTATTATCTTCAACATCAACTGAATCAGAATATTCATTCGGGTATCAACAAAATCACCTCCAAATCCAAACTCCTAAATCAACATATCCTTTCAATTCATCATCATCAATTGATTCAATTCAGCAGCAACAACCACCTATAACTCCACCATCTGCAACATCTCAATATCTGATATTTTCAAATAAAAAATTATTAAATTCTTCAAATTCTTCAAGTACTTCAACAACAAATTTAATAGATTCAAATTCAAAATGTAATGAATCTCCTAATACTTCTGGATTTTCAAATTTATTAAAAACAAAATCAAAAATTAGAAAAAAATTAATACCAATTGTTAAGAACAATAATGGAGTCAGTGGAAATGGAGTTACTGTTGTTGGAAATAATGGAATTAGTGGTAATGGTAATGATAGTGATAAAGAATTTTCACCAATAAAACCAATTTTTACAAGTTCTTCATTAAATAATAGTTCTCCATTAATGCATCAAAATTTTTAGTAATATTGATTGGAATTAGTTATATATTGTCTGAAAGTTTTTGATATTTTCTTTTCATAATTTTGTATATTCAATGCATAAATGAATGAATTCATTTAATAGATAATTCCTTGTAGTTTATCGATTCTTCGATGTATGTCACTCATTTCTTTCAATTTTTATTGCTATTTTTTTTTTCTGGTTGCAAAATAAAATTGACCATTACACAAAGAGTAAGATGAAACAAAAAATGAGATAATGACGCGTCTTGTTGAAGGTTTTAATGAAATTTAGAATTAAACCAGGAGATTAGGTGAAAAAAAACAGAGGGAATAGTTTTTATTGAAACTTTAATGACTAGACTAAGGACAGGCGCAAACATTTTGATGTCATTGAGTCTTTAAATCTTCAACTTAGATTTGATCTGCTTTACTTTTATCATTATTTACTTGTTTGTGTGTTTCAAATTTGAATTTAATGCGAAAATTCTTCAATTTTAATTATTTTTACAAGCAATTTTCAAATGTAACTTTCTTGAAGCCTCTTGTTAATGTTGAATTAAAATATTGAACAGCTCCACCTTCTTGTTGAATCAAAGAATTATTGAACTGATGAATGACTTTTAACTCCTTCGTATATGTGTTTTGATCAATAGATCTAATAATTGACTAAAATTGGTAGAATCATAAACAGTTACACAAAAACAATATTGTGATTATTTTTTTTTTTTTTGATTTTTCTTACTCTCTCTTTAAAAATATTAATTTTTGACAACCAAATATCATTAATTAGTCTTTGACAACCAACATAGATCATATAACATCTCAACTCATTTCAGCCCCAAATCAATCTTGTCGTGCTCAGACTCCAACCTTACTACAATAATCCAATTCTAACGAATAGAGACAACTTTATCTAAAACTTACACTCGCTTTTTAATCCACAACAAATATAACTTCAATACTTTATGACAACATCAAAATCAGAAGATGAAGATATCATATATAAAAATTGGGTATGGGTACCGAATGATCAAGATTTGTTTACAAAAGGGTATATAACAGATTATTTAGAAGATGGGAAATGTAAAGTAAATATAGTTTCATCCTCAACACCAAATTCATCAACAACTCAATCAACAATTGTAATTGAACAATCTAAATTAGAAAATTGTAATCCTTCAAAATTTGATAAATGTAATGATATGGCAGAATTAACTCATTTAAATGAACCAAGTGTTGTTTATAATTTATATTTAAGATATTTAAATGATTTAATTTATACTTATTCTGGATTATTTTTAGTTGCAATAAATCCTTATAAACTGTTACCAATATATAATGAAACAATATTAAAACAATATAATAATAGCTCACTAAATTCAAAAAAACTAACCAAGAATCAACAATTACCTCCTCATATATTTGCTATAGCTGAAAATACTTTACAAAACTTATTAAGTAATAAAAAAGATCAAAGTATATTAGTTACAGGAGAATCTGGTGCAGGTAAAACTGAGAATACCAAAAAAGTTATTCAGTATCTATCATCAATTGTATCATTAAATAATCAATCTAATAATAACAACAGCAGCAGTCAACATCATCACCAAGATATAGATGATAAAATATTACAAGCTAATCCTATATTAGAAAGTTTTGGAAATGCAAAAACCATAAAAAACAATAATTCTTCAAGATTTGGGAAATTTATAAAAATATATTTTAATGAAATTGGAGAATTAACAGGTGCAAATATAGATTATTATCTTTTAGAAAAGTCAAGAGTTGTAAATCAATCAAAAAATGAAAGAAATTATCATATTTTTTATCATTTTTTAAAAGGTTATGAGAATTTAACAAGTTTAGGATTAAATAAAGATTTAAAAACATATCTGTATTTAAATGGAACAAATGATATAGAAAATATTAATGATTTTAAAGAATTTAATTTATTAGTTGAAGCTTTTAAAATTGTTGGATTTAATTCTAATGAGATTCAATTGATATATGAAATATTAGCTGTTATTTTACATTTGGGTAATTTAAAATTTAATTCTCATACTGCAGAACAAGCAAGTTTTACAAAAGATTCACCTATAGAAAAAATAGCTAATTTATTAGGTATAAAAACTTCAATTTTACTGGAAAATTTATTAAAACCAAAAGTTAAAGCTGGGAAAGAATTTATAACAAAATCTAAAAAATCAAATGAAGTTAAATTTTCAATTGATGCTTTTGCAAAATATTTATATGAGAAACTTTTCCAATTTATAATAAATAAAATAAATAAAAATTTAAATATTAATGATTCAACAACAAATACAAATGACAATTTCATTGGAGTATTAGATATTGCAGGATTTGAAATATTTGAAAAAAATTCATTTGAACAATTATGTATAAATTATACAAATGAAAAATTACAACAATTTTTTAATCATCATTCATTTATATTAGAACAAAGTGAATATTTAAGAGAAAATATTCAATGGGAATTTATTGATTTTGGTAAAGATTTACAACCTACAATTGATTTAATTGAAACAAGATCTCCAATGGGTATATTAAAATTATTAGATGAAGAATGTATGATGCCAAAATCGTCAGATAAAGAATTTATGCTTAAATTAAGTTTAAATTTTAATGGTAAAAATGCAAATAATAAACATAAAAAATTTCTTGAAAATAAATATAAAAATGGGTTTATTATAAAACATTATGCTGGTGAAGTTGAATATAATGTTGATAATTGGTTACAAAAAAATACTGATCCAATAAATGAAAATTTAATTCAATTATTATCTACATCTTCGAATCAAGATATAGTTGATAATTTTATACCGAATGATTCATCATCTACTACTACTAATGGTACTTCACAAAAATTAAAAACTGCATCTCAAAAACATAAAGATCAATTGAAAAATTTAATGGATCAATTAGAATCAACAGAACCTCATTTTGTAAGATGTATATTACCAAATTTGGATAAAAAATTTCAAAAATTTGATAAAAATTTAGTATTGAATCAATTAAGATGTAATGGGGTTTTAGAAGGTATAAGAATTACAAGAGCAGGGTATCCAAATAAATTAATATTTCAAGAATTTAATTTTAGATATTCAATAATTTATGATAAATTTCAATTTACAAAAAATGAAAAAACTAATGTTGAATTAATTTTAAAAGAAAGTGGATTAAATCAAGAAACTTATAAGATTGGATTAACTAAAATTTTTTTTAAAAATGGTATATTAGGTAAATTAGAAGCAATGAGAGATTTAAAATTAAAACATACTTTAACTCAATTACAAAAAGTTATAAGAGGTAATCTTATAAGAAAAGATATACTATCCAAAATTAAAAAATTACAATCAAGTCAAATTATTGCTAAAACAATGCAAACAATTGAAAATTCTCAAAAAAATCCTTGGATTCAATTATTTTATAATTTAAAACCTTTACTTGAAGATTCAATAAAAGTATATGATTCAAAAGAAATTCAAGATAATTTAAATCAAATGACTTTAAAATTTAAAGAATCTGAAAATTCAAAAAATGGTTTGTCAAAAGATAATGAAAACTTAAAATCTATAATCAAAAATTTAGAGGATGATATAATATCAAATAATCAAATTATAAAAGATAAAGATAATCAATTAATTAAATTTAGAAATGATGAATCAAAATCTTTAAAAATTATTAGTGAATTAGAATCAAAAATTAAATCTCTCAAGGAAACTAATCAATCTTTAACAAAAGAATCATCTATGTTAACTAATAGATTAAAAGAATTACATGATAAACATGAGACTAAATCTAATGAATTAGAATTAAATTTGAAGAATTATAATGATGTTCAAAGCGAATTAAAATCTTTACAAAATCAATATGAGGAATTTAAATCGAATAATAATGATGAGAAATTAATGTTGAAAGAGTTACAAACAAAGCATGAAAAGACTATAGTTGATCATGATGAGAAAGTAGTTAGTTTACAAAATTTAATTGAATCTTTGAAAGAAAACATTTCTTCTCGTGACAATACCATTAATGAATTAAATAAGAAATTAAACTCAAATGATAAATCATTAAAAGATGATAAATCAAAACAAGTTTTAGAAATTGATAATTTTAAAAATTCAATATCACAATTAAATCAAGATAAATCTAAACAATTAGAAGAAATAGAATTACTTAAATCACAGATTAAATCTAATGATCTTAAAAAATCAAAATATGAAGATAAGATAGAAGAAGCAAAAGAAAAAGTTTCAACATTAAAAGCTAAAGTAGATACAAAAACTAATGAAATAAATCAATACAAAAAAGAAATTAAAGAACTTAAATCTCAATTAATTTCAACTGAAGCACAACTTCAAAAATATAAAGAGAAAGAATTTGAAATATCCGAAATCAAATCTAATGAAACAAAACATCTTAAAGAATTGGAGACTTTACAAAACAAATATTCTCAAATTATATCTGATCATAATCAATTAAATAATGAATTTACTAAAATCAAATCAGAATTAGAACGATCTCAAAAGGCTAAAAATGAATATACTTCAACTATAACAAAATTAAATAATCAAATTTCAGATCTTCAAGAAGCTTATAGAAATATTGAATCAGAAAAAGAAAATTTACAACCAAATCCTCAATTTATGGATGAATATACTCATATGAAATTAAAATTAAATGAACAAAATGCTTTATTAAGAAAAGAAAAATTTGAAAATAAAAAATTAATTGAAGAATTACAATTAATTAAAGAAAGAGTAATGAATGGTTCATTATTAAGTAATGATATAACTCCCAAGAGAAGATCATTAGCTATAGGAGAAAGAATAAATCTGAATATAAATACATTAAATAAAGAAATTAATGATTTAAAATTAAAATTACAACAAGAACAAGCAAATTATCAAAGAGCTGAAAATTATGCTATAGAATTACAAAAGAAATTAAATAAATTAGAATCATCAAGAGGTTTAAATAATTCATCAGCAGGTAATTTAGATTATGAAAAGAAGATTAAAGATTATCAGAACCGAATTAATCAATTAGAAAATAAAATTGAAGGATTAATATCTATTGACTCATTAAGTGAAAGTAGTTCATCATCATCTCCAAATACATCATTAACAAGAAGTGAAAGTTTAGGTGGTAATTCATTATCTTTCCGTGGAGTAAATCAAGATTTTATTCAAATTTATCAAGATATGAATAAAACTTTAAGATCAACAAGAAATGAATTAAGTAATTGTAAATCAGAAATTTTAAGATTAAAATCATTATTAAGAGAATCAGAAGATGAATTATATTTAGTAAAACAATCAAAATTTAAAAGTTCAATGAAAGATTATGAACAAAATTTAGCTAATTTAAAAGTAAAATATGATAATTTAAATTCAAGAAATCAAGATTTAATCCAAGGTTTAGATTTATATAGAAAAAGATCTGATGAATATTTTAAAAAATTAGAATTAGCTGAATCAGCAATAATTATATCAAAAAGACAAGAAGATCAAGCAATAAAAGAAATGAATGAATTAAGAAGTCAATTAAGATTATCAAAAGAAGAAGCAAGAACTTCACAAATTATGTTAAAAGATTCAAGAAATAAAATTGAAAATTTAGAACATACAATTCAATTAAATAATTCCAAGATTGAAGATTCTTCCAAGGAAATTAATGAATTAAAAGATAAATTATCATATCATATCAAGAATTATGAAAATAAAGAATCTATTGAAAATTTGAAAGATGAAATTAGAAATTTACATAAAGATCTTAATTTTAAAACATCAAATGAAACAATATTAATAAAAGAAAATAAACAATTGACATTAGATTTAGAAGAATTACAATTGGTGAAAAAAAATTTGACTAATGAATTAGAAGAATCTGTGTTAAAAGAAGAAGAATTAGAGAATAAAGTTGTTGAATTAACTGATAAATTAAGAATATTGGAAGATTCAAAAATTTTAGATGAAAGAAAAATAACATCATTGAATAAACAAATCACAGGTTTAAAAGAATTAATACAAGAAATAAATGAAGAAAAAAATAAATTATTTGATACAAATGCCAAACTAGAAGAAGAAAAAAACCACTTAAATCATATTCTTGAAAATAAACAAACAGAAATTGAACAAAATCAATCAGAAATTTCATTTTTAAAATTACATTTAAATAATCAAAAACAAGATCAAGAAAATTTAACAAAAGAATTAAATCAATCAAAATTATTATCAAGTTCAGAATATAAAGATCAACAAAAATTTAGAAATGAGTTATTAATATCAAATGAAGAAAATTATTCATTGAAAAAAACAAATGAAGAATTGGTTAAAAAGAATCATGAATTAGAAGAAAAATTATATAGTAATGAACAAATAAAATATCTTGAAGATAAAATTAAAAATTTAACTAAAAATTTAGATTTAACAATTCAAGAAAAACATGAATCAAATAAAATTATAAAAAATTTAGAAAGATCAAACAAGACATTAAAAACTCAATATCAAAATGAATCAAAATTAAGTAAAAAATATAATGATGAAAATTTTAATTATCAAAATAAAATTAATCATTTAAAAACCTCGCTTGATTCTTTATATCAAGAAAATTTAGAAAAAGATTTAAATTTAAAAAATTTTGAAATTGAAAAAAATCAATTGAATGAAAATTATTTAATTTTACAAAAAGAAGTTTTAGAATTAAGAGAAAGATTAAATATTATATGATGATAATTTATAGAGTAAGTTTGATTTTTAGTCACGAATTAATATAATGATACCCGTTTAAAAGTTTAGGAAAAACTGTGTTTTGCAAATAAATTATCTCTATTGAATTTATACAATTTTAAACTATTTACATTACTTACATCTTGAGTTATACATATTGATCACAAAATTGTACTTATTGAAGGTTCATCACAATCATGAAAAGATTTTGATATCTTCTGGAACGGCAATAATCATAGTTGTACAGGCAGAGTTAGCTCTGGTCTAGAGCCACTATGATAATGTTCCCACAACAAGCACATTTTCTACCAGTATGGGTATACATATGCTATATTCAAATACTCTTTTACATTCTATGCTTTATTCAAAACCATGATTTCTTTTTTGAAAAATTTCTTGGTTCTTTAATTTCTGGACCATTAAATTTTCCAAGTCCATATTTTCTTAAAATATATTCAACATCACCAAATGATTCTCTATCACCTTGCATTACAATTGATGGTTGACCAGAACTTAAACCTTCTGAAGTTATAACATTTCCAGTTAATACTTTTTCAGCAATATTTCTTATATCTTTTAGGCTCAAAGATTTTATTTTCTCAACCATTTCATCAATTGTTGTAACTTTACCTTGACATTGAATTTGTCTACCTAAATCTTCTAATTTTGCTAATCTACTTTCAACATTCATTAATATAGAACTTGTTAATTGATTTTTAGCTCTTTTCAACTCTATTTCTTTTATGCCTCCTTGTCTTTCATTATATTCTAATAATTTAGATAATTCATGACTTATAATTTGTGATGATACATGACTTGCTTCAGGTACAAGACTTAAAGTTATACCAAATAATCCAGAATCTAAATATGAATGATTAAAACACATACAATTTTCAACAAATGGATATTTATTTAATACTTGAGTATATAATCTTGAAAACATTCCTTTTCCTGGTCCACCAGCTGAAAATGATGATCCTCCTCCTAATAATTTTTGTAATGTTGCCAAAGAATATAAATCATCATTTAATAATCCTGTAGTTTCAAATCCAATTTGTATATGATATAATTCTGGTTGATTTGCATATAATGGAGGTTGATGAGGTAATGAAATTTCTCCACCTGTATAATTTTTTAAACCTTTATTTGGTTTTATACCATTTGATTTCCAATCTCCAAAAGATTTTTCAACCATTTTTAAAGCAATTTCATGAGGTACTCCAACCATTGCTATAACAATATTTTGAGGTTGAAAAAATTTATTATGATAATTTATTATATCATTTTTATTTATTAATGGTATTCTTTCTTTTGGTGCAAATAATGGTAAACCTAATGTATTATTTTTATATGCAACAGAATGTAATTCTTCAGGTAATAATAAATCATATTTATAATTTAATTCTTGAACTTCATAATCAGCAGTTTGTAAAGTTTCTAGAAATTCTTGATCTGTAAAATTAGGATATCTTATAGTTTGAGTTATTGCTTCTAACATTTGTTCAACATCTTTATTAAATACACTTGCTTGATAAATCATACTTTCTCTTTGAGCTGAACTCATATAATTCCCACCTAATTTAGATAGATTTTCAATCATTTGTAATCCACTATATTTTTTAGTTGATTTCCATGAAAGTCTATCATGAATATGAGATAATCCTGGATTTTTTGGATCTTCATATCTTGATCCTGCATCTACATATGCTCCTAATGCACTAAAATGACCAGGAGTTGAATCAGTTACTAATTTTAATCCATTATTTAAAGTTGTCATTTCTAGATTCGGTGTAGATAATGTTGTAGTTGTTGCATAATATCTATTCGGTTTTAGTATCCTACTATTCCTTGATAGTATATTCAATCGTGAAATCATTATGTCTATCTAGAACTGGTTCAATATCCTTATCATGTATGTTTAAAGTAGTATTGTAATCTTGATCTACTATTGAATTTGTAAACTTTTCATATTCCGCTAGTTAAGAAAATTGTTATAGAGTAAACTTATATATGCAGTACAAAAGTTCCAATACCTTTTATTAATTTTAAATAAACACTATAAATCAAGTAAATTTACTTCATTCTCTGGTGAAACAGGAGAGTTGATAATGGGTGGTGTACTTGATTTAGATGGAGGTCTATCATCAAAAAGATCAATTAGTTCCTCATGATTTCTTGAATTACTCCCTTGTCTTGCGTGATCTATTGAAAAAAAATTATGTGATAAATTGGTTTTAGAATTTTGAGAGATGCTTTTTGGAGCTGTTGTTGCTTCTGTAAATTCTGTAAATTCATCGTCCTCATCGTCATTATTATCTTCCTCATCCTGCTTGTGATAATCAATTTGATTCTGCTTCGTCGGAGTATTTGTTCTATTCCTAAAATTTTCAAGATCATCAATATTTAACCCCTCAAAAGAATTGTTAATATTTGCTTCATTTTCCAAACTTTCCTTTTTACTATTGTTATCTTTGTTGTTCGACAAAATTGAATCGAGGTTCAGCTCGGCTAAGGATTGAGTTAAAGATTGGGTATCAGATCTATCATCGGCATCAAATACAGTTGTACTTTGTTTTTTGGGACTTAATGAGCTGTCTTTATTACTACCACCCAGAAACAATGACTGCATGCCAAATAAAGTTGATCTTTTTGATTTATTACTGGAATTAACCAGACCATTTTTGATAGAACTAGTCTCAATATCAGGTTCAATTGTGTCAGGTTTTTCATTCGATGTACTTGTAGCATTAAATCCAAATAGATTACCAAAAAAGTTACCTTTAGAACCTGCATTAGCTGTATCTTGTCTCAATGATTTTTCATATTCTTCTTCTTTTAATTTTAACTTTCTCAAATATTCCTCATAATCCCTTTTTTTCCTTTCATTAATTTGTTTTTCAATTTGTTCACTATGATGTAGTCTTATCTTTTGAATTCTTGAATGTATAAATTTGTTTGATTCATTCTCTATTGTATGAGCCAATCTATTTACTGATTTTTGGTCGTCAAATTTTAACTTCAACTTCTTTTGTAGTCTTGAAGCTTTGATATTTTCATCAGTTTGATTAAGGTCTGAGTCATTAGTTATATGTGTTTTGGTTTGATCTTGCAATTCACTCCCTCGTCGTATTCTTTTAAGTTGTTTCTTTCTTTCCTCTATATATTCATCGCTTGAAGCCCAAATAAACAATTTATTTGCTCGACGACTCAAGGTTGCTTTAGATTTATCATGAGGGGATTTTGAAGTTGATGCTGATGCTGAGTTTTGTTCTAACCAATTGCCTAATATTAAATGCTGTACTGTCTCCAAGTTTGAGTTATGCCATCGAATTACTTGAGTCCTATTGTTTGAATTTGATTCTGTATTAAGGAATTGAGGCGAAAGGCTTTGAAATGAGTTGTATAGTTTATTGCCTTTCTTTGAGGTTTGTAAAATTGATTCTGGATATTGATTTTGACCATGACCATCGTTTGAAATTGAATTGGATTCACCATTGTTAGTTTCTGTAATATTGAATAAAGACTTTAGCGCCTCCTCGATATCCACATTCTTAATTTTATTATCCATAACATGAAAGCCTGTGTTTGACTTGGTTTTAAATAAGTATTTTAATGAAACTGTATTGTGTCAAATGTCTGGACCTAATTCTAAATTTGAATTGAATCAAAATTGTACGCGGTAATATTTTGAATATTTTCATATCATCTTTAATCAAATCTACTTGATTTCATTGATACCAGAATATTGAAAAGATGTCAAATACAGCAACAATTACCTTTCCTCAATTCCCACAATACAAGGTTCTTCTCAGGCTATATACGAATGTCTCGAGGGAAAACATCAAAGAGATAAAACAACAATTAATTAATGCAAATACAAAATATGATTATTGTTTTCTAAATACACAGTATATTATATCACAAGAACAACTTAATAACAGTATCCATAAATCAATACTAAATTACGTAAATCAGACAATGCAGGCGAATAATTTAAATACTGAAATATTGTTAAATTTGTCACCAATCAACGTGATATCTGATGCCATAAAGCGATTTGGAATACTGGAAGAATGTTCAAATACGATAGTGATTAAAATTATGATCGATTCACCTGTAGATACAGGGGAGTTTGAGCAAAAGGTTGATGATATTATTCATGGGAACTCAATAAAAATTGACGATAATACCTTATTTAACTTGGTAGATATTTCAAAATTCAAAAAAATATATAAATTGAATGATGCAAAGATCTCCAACTCAAATGATAAAGACTTGCAAGGTACTTTAACAAGGTTGGCCATAGGCGCATCAATAATACGGGGACTTTGAAGTTTTTTATAATTAAGAATTTGTAGTCGTGAGTTGAAAATTGTTCATCACAGAAACACAAGATCAATATTCTGAGATAAACAAATAGGGTCTAGACAAATATTTTGAATGCAAAAATGTATAATCTATAGAATGCTCTAGCTTAAATATTAACCTTTATACAAAAACTGTTTTAGGTCGATTGTTTTAGTATTGACTTTAAAATTAGCAACAGGTGTTTTAAACATATTTTCATTCTGATCTTCTTCACTAATTTCACAATCATCTTCTTGACTAAATTTAAATCGATTAAGATTTAAAATTTTCATATCCAGTTTTTTCTGAATTGGACTGTCATGATATTGGGACGGATCCAATGAATCAATTATTACTTCATCCTGTTCTTCTACTTGGGATGCTGCAGATTTAGACATTACAGATTCCTGCGAATCATTATTACTTTTATCTTCCAAATCGTTGTCGGTTAATTCATCTAATATGTTTTCCTTATTGATATTTTGACTTGTAGGTGATTCATCCGGCACTTCAGAATCGTTAATTAAACTGGAGTCCCAACCGGCATGTTCATCAATAGTTTTATTTGGTGTAGGCAAAATGGTAACAGTGCAATTTTTTGTTGTCTTAATAGTTTTTTGATTTGGCTCTGAGGTGGTATTGATCGATTGTAAAGTAGATTTTCCAAAAAATTTGCTTGAAGAACTTTGAACGTTAGCTATATTAATGTTTTGTTGTAATTTTTTGATTTTCTTGGATGTAGGTGACATTTTGATTTCTCTAGTCCCTAATACAACACTGGGTCTTTTGAATGGTTTCTCGGGAGTTTTGATGATACTTTTTTCATTTCCTTCAGTTTCATTGATTGAATTAAGATCTGTTTCTTCCGTCACATTAACGGACTTTCTTGATATTTTCATTAAATCAAAAATTGACCTACCATTACTATTTTTGATCGCTGATTCTGATTTAGATCGCTGTGCCGATTCGCTTATTGTATTCTGATTGATTTCGGATGATAGATGAAGTGAAGATGATTTTAAACTAGCTAATCTTTGTTCTCTAGATACTAAAATTTGATGACTATTTGGATCTATGAAACCATTACAAATTTTCTTGCTTATGGTTGGGTCCAATGTCTTACCACAACAAGATTCCATTAATTCATAATCTATTTCCAATGATTCTGGTATATCATTCAAAGTTGACACTGTCTGACTTCGTGGATCAAATACTTTTTGAAATTGGAAAGCTAAATTTGCTTTTTCAACTTCTTGTTCGAAATCATTAGGTATTTTCTTGCCAGTTGATCTTAAAGCTATAACGACTTTTGATAAGGTAATGTATCTTCTCACAAATTGGAATGATGACTTCAATCCAAGACCGCTAATTCCCTTCGTATAATCACAACCATATACCATTGCAACTAATCTCAATTGCTCATCACTAAAAGAGCTTAAGTATGGAATGAATTTAACTTTTTTGAAATCTGATCTATTAATCTCAACACAACTTGCATCGTCTTTTAACTTTGTTATTAATTTTTGACAACCAAATATTAATAAATCTGAATCTTCACTTAAAATACCATCAACTACTCCAATTTTCTCCAAGTAAACCATTTGTGGATCAGCTTCATATGGTGCAACGACATAACGTATTTTAAGTCTATCCAATTCACACATTATTGATTTACACATCTGTGAAGTTACATATGCTGCTTTCATATAATGTTTCATTGCCAAATGAGGTCTTCCAGTTTCATTACATTTTTGAGCCAATTGTTTTGCTTCATTTCTAATATCTCTTCTTTTTTGATTTGTTTCTGATTTTGTTTTTAAAGAAGCACCATCAAATACAAAATATGGAGTTATTCCAAAATGTTGTAGCATTTGGATCTTATTCAAAACGAATGTTATGTACTTTCTTGTAGGTTTTCCTAAACATAGTTCCTCTGCACATGATATTAAAGCTCGATGTAGCCAACCATATGTATCTATTGCTAAGGTTTTACCTCTATATCGTTCAAGTGATACTGGATCTTGTATTTCCTTTAGTATTTGTAATAGACCACTAACTCCCATTTATGAATTTGGAGTGGTCGAGACTTATATTGTAACGATCGTTGGTGTTTATCTCATCAATATCTTGAAAGAGATGCTTGGTTGTTTTGATTTTGTAGAGAAAAATCTATCGCGTAGCGCGTACTAATCTTGGTTAAGTTTTTCCCCCTAGATTGTCGTCAAATTCTCACGAAAATTAAGTTTATCAAATTCGAATATCTAAAGAAAATCAAGTTTAGTTTATCGTTTATATATATTTTTCTACTGTAAATTACGATTCGAACCACCTATAGATATTGAGAATTGTAAACCGTTTTTAATTCCAGGAACTTCATCATTGTTTTTAAAGCCAAGTTTTGAACTAACATAATACCCTATATCAAAATTAGCCCAATTATTAAAATATTTTAATCCAAATCCATAACTTATGGCTGGATTTTTATCGTTCCATATATTGTTTTGATTATTCAATGATAAAAAATTTGGTAAAGCATTACCAATTAAAAATGTACCGTACATTCTTAACGGATTTGGACAAGTTATGAATTCACAATTTTCATTATTTAAAGTTGGAGCATATATAAAGTGTGGAATTTTTGAATAAATTGTTGCTTGAAGCTTATAAAACTGTAATCCACCATTTGGTTCAATACTATTCTTTTTGAAACCCACAAATGAGTAAGAACTATCATTTTCTGCTGCATTGTTATTATAGCCTCCGAGATAAAATTTGTCTAATGGATGTATTGGAAATTTTGAATTGAAAGAATAAATCCCACCAAATTCACCATTGAATTTAGTTGTTATGTAATTATAAAAAATAGATTTATATAAGTTGAAACCAAAACTGGATTTAAAGAATTCACCTCTATTCAGTTGATTATTTTGTTCTTGAACTGAACTTAATTCCGTTTTCCAATTAAAATTTATACCACTTGTAGGAAAGTTTTTTGTTAATGAATTAAGATAATTCAAATTTTCATATTTAAAAGTGTTCAAGACACTTGATTTTAAAAACTCTCCACCAAAAAATTTTAAATCATCTGAAGCCCCATCATCTATATCGAACAAATTTCGTTTATGCAAGGAAAAACCAGTGAAAATATTCAATTCCCTCCTTTTTTTATACAATAAACCAATTCTACCTCCCAATTGATTTTCTTTAAAATCTTGCCAGGCATGGTTGTTTCTAGTGTTGTAACCAACATCGATTAAAAATTTGAAACTAGGATTTTTCAATCCAGATATGAACTTCAAGTTGGTCAATAAATGATCATATGGTTTATACGGATTGTAATCAACTCCAATTGAAACTAATTCAGCATTTTCGTTGAAATTATTGTCAATATGATTTAATTTTAGATTCAAAAATTCTTCATTATTAAAGTTTAGGAAAGTTTCATTTATATTTAAGTTAATATTTGACAAGTCAAAAACAACTTTAGCCGGGAGGGATTTTTCATGATTGAAAGATGTAATATGAGCTGGAATATTGGAGTAATAATCTGGAGTCAATGTAATTCCTATATCTTTAAAAACCCCGGTATCTAATAAATGTTGGTGAGTTTCGGCTATTTTATTAGTCAATTGTGATAATGTATAGTCACCTTCTAAAAGCAATGGATTTAATAGTTTATTAAAAAAATCATAACTAAATGATTCACCTCCGTTAACTTCAACTCTTGTCAACAAAATTGGTTGTGATTGTGACTCTATTAATACATCTTGTTCAATTAATTTTGTCCTTAAATCCGGATTACTATCCACTATTAGTTCTGCCATGACAGGAATTCTTCAATAAAGTGATTATTTAAAGGAATTGATTAAGGTTTCGAAGGTCGAATTGTTTAATGATAATTCGTAAATATTGCGTTCTGAAATTCTCGTTCACAATTTTTAATTGGTGTAATTTGTAAACTAGACTTGATCTTCATGTAGTTATGATCCTAACATTTTCGAACCATTACAGTGGTTCCATCAATGGGCTATATTACTATGTATACGAGTATCTATATGCATATTTACAAATATTCTACTGTTGCACCGTCATAAGCTAAATCTAGTATTTTCCAATCACATTTAATACCTTCACTTTTGAAAATCTCTATTACATCTGAAGCAATATCTTCAAATCCTTCAGTAGCTAAGCATAATATAGTGGGTCCAGCTCCACTCAAACATATACCACATAATCCTGGATGCTTGGAAGGAACAACTTTTGATAATACGATATCTAATCCAGGAATTAAAATAGTTCTATAAGGTTGATGAATTTTGTCCTTCATTGATTGATATATTAATTTATGATTTGGTGGGTCTTGAGTTAAAGCTTGAGTTAAAATTGCAATTCTTTGTAAGTTGTAAATGATGTCTTTTCTTTCGTATGATTGGGGTAGTACAGATCTTGATTTGTCTGTGCTTACTTCAAAATTTGGTATGATAGTGATACATTTTATCTTTTTATTCCAATTGTATTGTAAGTATTCCCCAATCTCTGATGGTGGTGGTTTGGACACTATTTGATCTTTTGGGGTATTTGAGTCTGGTAGTATATTTGTTAAAGGTTGGTTTACTTCTTCATGATCTGCTTCTTCAAGTTCGTTCAAATATGATCCTATAAATCCTCCTAACATTGCTGCTGCTATATTATCTGGATGTCTTTCAATCATTAAACAATAATCCAACATTCTATTTTTATCGAGATTTAATTTTCCAATAACATTCCCCAAATAAACTCCACCAACAATAGCACTTGCACTTGATCCCAAACCTCTGCCTAAAGGTATAGGATTTATAACATGAATTGATGTACCTTTTGGAAATTTATTAATCCCATTACATCGTAAAACATATAGAGCAGTTTGGGTTATAAGATTTTTTTCACATTGCAAAGGAACCTTCTCGGCTAAGTCTCCCTCATATGATACTTTGGCATTATATGGATCATCAGTTGTGATATTTTCTGGATCTATTTTGACTGTTATAGTTAAATATAATTTTAAACCAATTCCCAATACATCAAAACCAGGTCCAATATTTGCAGATGATGCTGGTACTTTTATTTGAAACGACTCAACCGACATCGAAAAAAAAAACGATCGTAGTAGTTTATCTGAGACTGATATGCAGTGGGTTGGTCAGAGCGGTATTATCTTGTGTGTTTGTGAATATTTGATTATATGATTCGATTGAAAAATAAAAAAAAATTTCAAAACAATAAAATGTCTAAAATTATTTCTTTTGATACGGGAGTCACTACCATATGCTTTTACCTATACAGGAATCTTTAATTCAACCGGCCGCTAGATAAACATTTTTAATTTTGCAACCTGAGAAGGAACGTTGTATAGAGATATTTAGTAAAGTCATCTTAAAGCATCATTTTAAATTAACAATCTATACAAATTTCATTTTGATTTTCTATATTTATGTAGAATTGAATCTCAAACAATTTAAACTTTAGTGCATTATGTAAATATTTTCTAAACCTATATTTTGTAAATCGAATAAAATATTAGTACCTCTGAGGCTAGTAAAAGTCAGTCTTAACAATCTCTAATTCATCCTAATCTAGACAATAAATTTTGATTTTCAAATTTCAAATTTAAATTTTTATTTTCTAAAAATTTGATATATTCAATTGATTTTGCTAAAATTGTACCTTTATTTAATTTTCTTGCTGGTTCTAAACCTTCTAAATCTATAATTTCATTTTCATCTATATCATTCATACTTAATAATCCATCAATTTTTAAATCAGAACCATTTTCAAAATCTTCTTCTTCTTCATCCATTTCATCATCATCATCATATTCATTATTTTTATCTTGTTGTTGTGACTTCATTCTATGTTTCATATTTTTTTCTTTTAATTTTCTTATTAATAATACTCTCAATGTTGGTACTGATTCTTGTAATGCATTAAATTTATCATTTATTTTATTTCTATATCTCTGTTCAATGACATTATGAGCAGATTTAACTCTTCCACCACCTGTTTTAGTTATATGTGATTGTCCATTTAGTTTTGTTAAATCAGTTCCGCGATGTTTTTTATTAATTTTTTTTGGTGTTTCAGATTTTGCGGCAGTGGTTGTTTCATTATTCATATTTTTAATATTAAAATTTTGATTCATTGAATTTGAATTGGCTCCATAAGACATGTAATTTATTTGATTCTGATCTTGATATTGAATAGGGTACTCGTTTTTTATTGGTGATATTCTAGAAGATGAGTTTGATGAAGACATTGCATTTTGTACTGTTTCAATATTAGAAACACCTGCAATTGGAGTAGTTTTGTTCAATGAAAATGCATTTTCTAGTTGATTATTATTTGATGTTGAGTTATCATTTTTTGGTGATGGAGATGTGGATGATGCTGAAGAATATATTGGTTGATGTTGTTGGTGTAAATTTCTTAAACTTGTTTTATTTATTGGATCGTATGGACCACCTTGATGTATTTGATTTTGAAAATGTTGTTGGATTTGTTGATTTGAAGATATTGTTGATATAGATGATGGTGAATTTGCACCCATCGGCCCGTTGTTATAATTTTCATTGACTTGCAAATCTGCAGAGTCTCTTCCACCAATCATTCTGTTATGAAATTTATCAACTGATAACGGTGAAGCTAATGAGGTATTTGAAATAGCTGATAACATTGACGATGAACCTATTTGTTGATGAATGTTATGACTTGAATGATTTGATTGCATAGTATTATTTAAATTGGAGTTTATATTACTATTGTTGTCTAAGTATGAAGTATTATTATTCTCATCAATGGATGCTTGTTCAAATTTATTCTTGAACTCATCTAAGTATCCATTATTTTTTATCATATAATTTCTTGAAGTTAAATCATTTTGTATTTGATTATCTGTATCAGCTGGTAAAACTCCATTAAATTGTAATGGTTCATCTTCTTTTTCCAACTGATTATAATTTAAATTCGTGGTTTCATCCGTTGTTAAATAGTTTGCACCAGAATTATTGGTATCTATAAAATCAGTATTACTTGGTAAATCAAGGTCATTATTGAGGGTTGTTGTATTTGCTTGATTTGTAGTAAATGTATTTGTAAAACTATTTGGTAAGCCATTATTAGGGGGTGGTGTAGTTGGAGATAAAGTTAAGTCATTCTTTGAAGGATTATTAGTTGAAAATTGATCAAAAGTTGTTGAAATCTCTTTGTTAAAGTTAGCCAAATATTGCTTGTCACTGATTTGCTTATTATTTGCATGGACATCACGGTTTATTGTCCTATCTTTTGAAAGATTTCCTTTGTCAAAATAATTTAAACTATTTAATGATGAAGTTGAACGACAAATCAAACATTGTTTATCAATACTATTTTCATGCTGATTATGGGTGCAAAATCCTTCTGTACTTTGAGGTAGTTGGTAATTATTTGAATGCAATTGATGATTATTGTTTTGATATTGAGTTTTAAATTCAACTGGTTCCGATTTTATACTTAAATTTGAATTTTGTAAATTCATAAAATTGTTTGAAGAATCAACTGGTTTATAATCGTTATAAATTGAACTATTATTATTGAATTGTTGATCTTGAAAAGAAATTTGCTGCTGATTCCCATTCATGTTGACAGTTGGCATTTTATTATCGTTAACTTTGTGCGTTGCAGAATTTTTATTCATATTCTTGTCACACAAATTAGTCAAGAATGTTGTATAGTTTGTTCCATTTTCTTTTGTAGAAACCATTCGATGATAGCTATGAATTTAAACAATTGAATAAATTGAATAATTAAGACATGAAAATTTTCAACAAAAAAAATTAAATCGATAATGATATAAATATTAATATAAAAATTTAAAAAGTTTTAGTGTTTGGGGGCTTTCTTTTAAATTTTTGATAATAGAAAAAAAGAAACAAATTTCAAATTTTAAGTGAAATTTCTCATAAACATTGAGATACATGCAAGAAAGCAATTAGGTTGACAGTAAGAAGTATTTTAATTCATTTTGATTCTTTTTTTATTTATTTTATGTATCGAGATTCCTTTTTCGGTATCTAACGTATCTTTTCATCGGTTACTATGTACGAATGACGTTTTCAAAAATTTAGTTTCATTTAGTATATGTACAACAGACAATCATGTATAAACATGTAAAATGAATTTGAAAAAAAGAAATATTTTTAAATAATAAATGGATGTTTTCCTTACAAAGAAATAGAAGTTCTGTTCAATATATTTTCATAACCATCACGTAAATTTCAAACTTTAAATAATGCGTTTCTTTGCATCAAAACGTTAATTTGATCTGAAACATTTGATTTTTAAAACATTTACGCTTTTGTTCAAGTAATTCGATCTGCATAAAGGTTTGAAAAATATATGCGCTGCTCCTAATGGCACCATGGCATCAAGAAGCTGAAATAATGAGCTCTTGTCACATAAACTACTTTTGTAGACTCAAAGAGAACAGCCACGAAGTTCAAATGCATCTTTATGTGAAAGAATTTCTTTACGCAAACAAAGTCATAGAAAAAATAAATTTTCAAAATTAGCCCATTTTTTTCATTAATAAACCTCAATTCCGATTACTATCGACAGAATTAACTATTACTTTAAAGAGTACATAAGTCGGAGTTTTAAATACACTTGATCAAAACCTATTCTATAAAGAATTATCAGGTGAAAATTTGGACTTATCTTACAGAATTTTGCGCACGGAAAACCAAAATATTCTATTTTCTTGTATATTGTTCCTGAAATTGAACCCTTCGATTGCAAAAAGTCTTGAAGCTGGAGAACATAGAGATTCAAAGAAAAAAATTGTGGACTCAAGATAAATTCTTGAAGAAAGAGAACATATTAAAATTTCAATTAATTTCTTAGTTATGATGATTTATTTCTTAGTTTTACGGATTTATAATATGTTTTGATATTATTTAATGTTTGAAATTATTACACAAAAACGGTGATATTTGGTCACACAAAACCCCGATATTGCACTTACAAAATTTAAACTAAAATTTGAAACAACATCTGATTTTTTACATCTTAAAGAACAAAAGAAATATAAAAACAATTTAGTTGATACTTGGAATTCTAAAATTAAAACTTAGATTTCTTTTGACTCTTCACAAGTTTTGGGTACTTACAATGATTGATTATTGAGTCATTGGAACTTATTGGTTGTGTAGTGTTATCAAGAACCAATTCGGACTTTTCATGTATGCCACATTTATTATACATGAAATTTATTGATTATTATTAAACTCAATTTTAATGCATTATCTTACTGAGCTTTGGCAGAATTTTTTTGACAAGATTACCTAAGTAAACTAAACACTGTATCAATCATGATAATATAATTTTGTGAGAGCAAGCCCCCTAATTACAGAACATTTTACCCCTTAATGATTTTTATTTTTCAATGAACTGAAAAAAAATAAATAACGATGATCATCATCGAGTACAATATAAATCAACGACTGAAGACTCACTCAAATGTCAGATTTACATGATCTATGCAAATTTCCAGAAAGACCAATTACATCAAAATATATAGACAATCTAAAATATTACATAAAAAATGGTATTCCAGCGACATATACAGTAGAAGAAGCATATAATTTCATAAATAATATTGAACAAGAACCAACTACAACTACAACTCCATTACATTTAATATGTACACATGTTCCAAAAGATTTAAAACCTAATGAAATTGAAATAGTTACTGAAATGGTTACAACCTTATTTGAATATGGAGCAGGTTGGTGTTTTACTGATATAAATAATGATACTCCTGGTTGTATATTAATTAAGAGAAATTTAAAAAATTTACCAATATATGAAGAAATCGTCAATGCAGGAGTTAGAGCAGAATTATTATTAAGAAAAGTTAGTGAATTTGATATGGAAATTATTGAAGATACTGATGATTTAAATCATGATGAATTTGGTCAATATGAAGAAGTAAAACAAGAAGAAATACCGAATTTAGTTGAAGTAAAAGAAGTCGAGAGTGAGGAACTACCAAAAGAAGTCGAGAGTGAAGAACAATCAAACGTAGTCGCAAGTGAGGAACAATCAAAAGATGATATAGAGAAAAATGACGAATTCAAATCCAAATCAACTAAATATAATCCAATCGATGATGATGAAGAGGATGCACCATCACAAAATCAAAAATCTTACCTACATACAAAACTAGAATATTCAAATAATGCATTATTAACAAAAGATAGAAAAGATGGAGTAATGATGTCATGGGAAACAGATATAATGAAATTAGGTAGTGATACATTATTTAAAGGATCATTCGTCGAACCAGAACAAAAAGATTTCGAAATTAATATATTAAATATTGGATTTGGAATGGGAATAATTGATAAATTTATACAAGAATCATCACCTACAAATCATTATATATGTGAAGCTCATCCTGATGTAATAAAAAAAATGAAAGATGATGGATGGTATAATAAGAAAAATGTTATAATCTTGGAAGGAAGATGGCAAGATAAACTTCCGGAGCTACTTTCAAAAAATATATTTTTTAATGGAATATATTATGATACTTTTTCAGAACATTATAAAGATATGTTAGAATTATTTGATCTTGTGGTGGGATTATTAAAACCTTATGGAATATTTTCATTTTTTAATGGATTAGGAGCTGATAGAATTGTAATATATGAAGTTTATAAAAAATTATTAGAAATTGATTTGGGTAATTATGGATTAAATTGTAAATTTAAAGAATTTAAAGTACCTAAAGAATTATTTCAAAAGACAGATAAAAAGCAAAATGTAAATGGTGAAGAAGAAGATGGTTCTATTTGGGATGATGTTAAAAGAAGTTATTGGTCTTGTCCAACTTATTATCATCCAGAAGTAAAATTTATGGAATTTTAAATTTGACTCATCAATCATTAATCATTAATTGTAATTCTACGTATAAACATTATATAATATGTACCTTATGCAAAAATTTTAAGAACTTGTTATAGATTTTTCTTTTTCAATATTACAACCTAAACCAATAAAAGCTTCATCTAAAGCTCTTTCAAAAATATTATTCAATCTCCAACCACTACCTAAATATTCTTTATTTTTAGCTAATTCAAATAAATACGGATCTTGATAACTATCTTTGGAATTATTTTCAATATTCATTATTTCATTTATGGTGGTTGGTATTTTCAAAATTTTAAAATTTTTATTTAAATCTCTATCTCCTTGAAATGGAGTGAAAGGGATATTCAGTTCTTGATCATCTAAAATTTGTTTGGTAGTTGGATTAATATTATTAAATTTCATATCTAATTGATTATTAATTTGTTGTAATTGTTTTTTTCTTTGTAAATTTCTTTTATATAATTGAGATTGTTGTTGTTTTATTAAAATTTCACTATTCATTTCACTATTTGCCATTTTATCTAATAAATCTTGTTGTTGATTACGATTAAATTCTAAATCTTCCATATCCATTTTTTTTTGAATTTTTAATTTTTCTTGTTTTAATCTTTCCATTGAATCTTGATATTTATTTATATCTGATGTCTTTTGAGATTCTCTCATATTTTTTTCTAATATTTCTATTTTATGATCTTGTTCATATTGGTTCAAATCTTTCGTTACTTGGTCCACATTTATACCATTATTTAAATTAAATACAATTTCTTCTATATTTTCAATATATTTATTATATTCTTTTAAATTTGGGAAATCTTCTTCAGTCTTGTTATATATTGAACCAACTTTTCTTCTTAAATCAATTTCTCTTTCTATTTTCAAATCTTCAAATATCTGTTGCTTAAATTTGTTTTTTCTTAAAATCTTACCACATTTTGGATAAGGACATGGTGCAGGACCTAATGAAAAAATTCTATCAACACATGATTCACAAATTTTATGATAACATTCTGGATTTATTAGAAATTTCATATTGGGAGATAAATATTTATCTGTTTTACAAATAGGACACATATCCTTTAATTGATCATCTAAATTATTGTTAATATAGGTTTTAATAAGATTACTGGATGTTACAAAACGGTAACTGCTAATGGGATAATGAGTTGGCATACCTTCTGATAGCTGTAGCATCTTTGTATTTATTTGATTATTGAATTATAAGTTTAGTTATAATGAGAAAAGGTTAAGTTGTTGGTGGTAGTGAAAATAATGAACTTAATACTGATTACAAATATTAGTTAGATTTTAAATTGCATATAAAGTCTGAAAAAGGTTGATACCTGATAATGGACAAATTGGTAGCATCTAAATACTGATCAGTTCAACAAGAGTATTTAAGTGAAGGGTCAAGATCTCATGTAGAGTACAGTAATAGCCCAAGACTTGAACAACGATACATGGTAGTTCTATATGGCTTCAGATATGTCTCAGCTGCAACTGCTCAATGGTGAGGGAAACATACCAACTGTTGAATAATGGAATCATTAACAAACAAAACATCATACCATGAATAGGTTTGCTTAAATTAACTGTTAAAACAATTAAGACGAAACAATTTAACACATTTTATTTACTAAAATCTTAGATTGATTTATCTCAATTGCTTTAACAGTTACTTCAAGCACAATGATTTTATTTATACATTCCCTTGAAGTGATTTCTTCCTTGACAAGGGCAACGATAACGTGATAACAAATACCGATGTTCTATTTACCCCAATTTAGATTATCTCTAGTGATAGGTTAAGAAACTTGTAGTTGTATTAATGTTGATGATGATATGATAATAACAATATTCTTCCTATAAATTATTATTATAATTATCAAAAAGACATAAGTCGTGTACTACTCAACATTCTAATTTGTAATAATTTGTGTAATAGTGAGTTTGGTTAAACAGATATTGAATGAACCAACATCCCTTGAAATTCTGATGTTAGATTGTATAGTAGCTTGGAACTTAACTGATACAGGAAGTTCTATATTCATTCTCCAAATACCAACTTTGTTGTACTATCTCCTATAGTAGTATGTTGATTAATAATTTATTAATAAAACAAATTTGTTTTAGACGTGAATTTTTCTAAATTCTTTTTTTTCATTTCAATACAATTCTAAAACTAAAGTACAATATTATTTATTATTATCATCATCATTACTTTACAACCAACGATAAAACATATTGCAACGGACTCAATTAACCCTAATATTACAACCTAATTACAGTGTAACTGAAGACGACTCATTTAATTTAACTTGCGAGGTTTGAAGAAGGAGAGAATTAAGCAGAGAATCGCACCACTTTTTCCAAGTCTTAACCATATCAACCACATCTTATCATAAAGTGTCACTAAAGCATTAAAATAGCAGACTATCAACATCTCAAGTCATAACACATTTTAAAACTATGGTCGAAAGTCATCCTCCTCAACCATTTCGTTCATTTTCTACAAATTCTTCAATATCATTAAATTCATCATCAAATAATAACAACAACAATAACAACAACACTAACAATGGATCAACACAATCAATATCAAGAATTAATTCATCAGGACCATTAAATTTAAATAATTTTAATAAACAAAGTTCACCCAAAGATCATTTATTTTTTAAATGTGAATATTTAAAAAAAAAATTAAATAAAATTGATGGAATGTTACCATTTATGAAATTAGCTTATTTAAATGCTGAAAAATTATGTGAACAACAATCTTTATATTTATCACAAGAAAAATTTAATTTATCAATGAATAGATTATCAATAACTTCAGATAATTCTCAGAGTAGTGGTGGTAATGGGTTGCATCAAACAAATACAAATTCAAGTAGTGGTAATACAACTTTTAATTCAAATAGTACAAACAATAGTGAATCATTATTAACTTATACTGCAGGAGTATTACCTTCAAATATAAATGTTGATCCTGCAACTCAATTATGGAAATTATTTCAACAAGGTGCACCATTATGTTTAATATTTAATTATATTTCACCAGATCATAAAATTTCAGTTGTAAGTTCAGATGATTTAAGAATTTGTAAAAAATCAGTATATGATTTTATAATTGCAATGAAATTAAATTTAAAAATTGAAGATGATGAATTATTTACAATATCAAATGTTTATTCAGATAATACAAATGATTTAATTAAAATAGTTGATGTTATAACAAAAATTTTAAATACGCATTCATTATCAAGAAAAAATAGTGTTTCAGATTTAACAACTAACGTAAATCAAGAAGAAGAAATTAATCTAGACGTTACAATCACCGATGAAAGATCAAAAGTATTTCGAGAAATTATTGAAACTGAAAGAAAATATGTTCAAGATTTAGAATTATTAATAAAATATAGAAATGAATTAATTGAAGCAGAATTATTATCTTCAGAACAAATTCATACATTATTTCCAAATTTAAATGAAATTGTAGATTTTCAAAGAAAATTTTTAAATGGTTTAGAATGTAATATTAATGTACCTATCAAAAATCAAAGAATTGGTTCTGTATTCATACATGCAAGTTTAGGTCCCTTCAAGGCTTATGAACCATGGACAATAGGACAATTAACAGCAATAGATTTAATAAATAAAGAAATTATAAATTTAAAAAAATCATCAATATTAATAGATCCTGGATTTGAATTACAATCATATATATTAAAACCAATTCAAAGATTATGTAAATATCCACTTTTATTAACTGAATTAATTAAAACTTCACCAGAATCATCAACAACAAACAAACAAGATAATAATGAAACAAGTTCATTTAAAGAATTAATTATGGCAAGATCAGCAATGAAAGAAGTTGCAAATCAAGTAAATGAAGCACAAAGAAGAGCAGAAAATGTAGAATATTTAAATAAATTAATGGAAAGAGTAAATAATTGGAGAGGTTTTAATTTAAGAGATCAAGGAGAATTATTATACCATGGAATTGTTGGAGTAAAAGATTCAGATACTGAAAAAGAATATGTTGCATATTTATTTGAAAAAATTATTTTCTTTTTTGTTGATTTAGATAAATTAAATAGTGAAAAAGAAAATGCAAAATCTGAAAAAAGGAAATTTGGTTCAAGAAAAAAATCAAATGCTAATATTACTCAATCTACTTCAAATTTATTAGAATCAATAAATGGTAAAAATGATAAAAGTCCTCTTGAGTTAAAAGGAAGAGTATATATACAAGAAATTTATAATATTAGTGCAAGTGCCAGTACTTCTTCTTCTTCATCATCATCATCAATGTTAAATCAAGGATATACACTAATAATAAGTTGGTCAGGTAAAAAAGAAAGTGGATCATTCACATTAAAATATAGAACAGAAGAAATGAGAAATCAATGGGAAACATGTTTAAGAAATTTAAAAACTAATGAAATGAATAATCATATAAATAAAAAATTAAGAGATTCTCAATCTTCAACAAATACTAATGATTCTTCTATATATGATTATATTGGAAATGTATCTGACTCATTGAATACTTTTCAACAACAACAACAACAGCCACCAACAAACAATAACGAACAAAGATCATCAAATGGAAGTAGGCACCATTCATCATCTTCAACATTTAGTATGATGAGAAATAATTCAAGACTGAAATCAGCAGGATCAATTGGAGGAATAGATACATCAACATCAAGATTATCATCATCTTCAACAACATCAACAACACCATTATCTTCATCATTATCACAACAATCACAACCACCACAGAAGCTACCATTTTTCGAAATTTCAATAAAATTAATTTATAATAATTATAATTTACAACAAGATCTTTTAGTAAATTCATATATTACATTTAATGAACTATACCTTAAGATAAATAAAATTATAAACACGTCACTAAGTGAAGAAAATTCAATAATTATTAATAAACTACGATATAAAGATGAAGATGGAGATTTTGTTGTTTTAGATTCTCAAGATGATTGGAGTTTAGCTTTAGATGAATTAAATGATGATAAAAATTTAAGTATATTTGTTATTTAAATATTATTTTTTAGTTTTAGACTTAAATGAATGATTTTTCAATAGATATTGAGAGTTTGATTATTCATAAAGATGTTTTTTTGAATATTTCTTCTATAAAGTCTTTGTCAAATACGACAATCAGTACTCTCTTTATCGATATAACATGCAATACGTATTTTTTGAGCTGAAAATCACTTTTGAGAAACGGACTGATAAATCAGATAGACTAAATATGGGCCATTATGATTTTCATAGTAAATTTTTTTTTTTTTTTTTTTTTTCGACATACATTCAAATAATTAATATATACACTAGATCTATATAATTACAATTGTATGTAGGATTCCTAAGCATATGGAATCGATAAGCCAGTGGAAAATTAAACTTAATGTTCAGTGTTTTGAAAATAACACTATGTCAAGACTCATGAGATAATTCATACTACTTGAATAAAACCACTTTTGTTTGTTGTATTACTAATTTATTCTTTGCTATTCTTTCTTCTTATTACCTTCTTCTTTGCTATATATACCACTTAATGATCTTCAGGATCTTCATTTTGATTAATCGACTCCAAACCAGAAATCTGCCGTCGTCGTCGCACCTTACTCATCACCTGTGTAATGTATTTATTGATCCTGAAATAATCTTGTCTTTTTAATTTGTCATTGCATATTATACTTGTAAGTGCTCTTGGTTGAATCCCCATAGTATCCCACATTGTAAGAAATGCATCACATGAGAAAAGATGATGTAAACAATTGTCAGCATTTTCTTGTGCACAAAAATTACAGGGATTATGTGATCCATAGCTGTAGTATGGTTCTTGATGAAGGAATCCTAATAGAAACAAATGAAATTGTTGCAATATTCCTAAGGGTGAACTTTGGAAGCTGTATAAGGTAGTCCAAAATTTTTTCCATGTTTGCTCATCGTAGTCTAATCCTTCATTGGAAATCCAATTGGGAATAATCGGCTTAGTAGTTGCTGTTTTCCGTGATATATGATGGAAAGTTTCACTATTGATTTCTTTGTCCTTCATGTCCCATAAGTTTTCTAACTCTTTTTCTCTTGACTTACAGATGTAGTCATACATCTCATTTCTATCTACCTCTATTAAAAAATTCCGTGCTAATGGTGTTGGTTTATTTTTAATTATTTTAAACCACGCATCTAGCCATGAATTTTCTGCTGTTGTTAATTCTTTCTTAACTTGATTTAAAAAATTATTAAAACTTAAGCCTCTCATTCCAGATTCTCTTTGTAAAAATTTAAACCATGGTAAAATGTGATTTTGTCTTCCTACCTGTAAACTTGAAGGATCCAAGAATTGCACCTAGTAAAATATAGTGTCTCGAAAAAGTAACTCCTGACAAACAATAGTTTCCTGACATTGTCGTTTGGTAGTTCAATAACGCGTTAAATTTAAAATCTTCTCGTTTAAATTGTAGAAGAATAAATTTATACGAAACGATATAAACACACAAACTCTAACATAATATTTTTTCAAGTCTATTTACATATACAAAATAATACCATCAAAAAAAAAAGTTGATTACTTGAATCATACGACTAATTGCTTCACTTTCCTTCGTTTAAAACTTATATTATATATAGCATTCTTATCTACAAAAAAGGTTGACATCGTTTTCACATAAATCTTAGTCAGATATCGGATCTCATTCTTTTTCATCATCACCACATAATATAATAATAAGAAAGATATCAAAAAATGGCATTAATAGATATCACATTAAATGCATATAATTTCTTTATGACATTATCAACTTTTCAACAAATTTCATTGTGTATATTTATACCATTCATTTATAATATTATATGGCAAATATTATATTCTTTTAGAAAAGATAGAGTTCCATTAGTATTTTATTGGATACCATGGTTTGGTTCAGCAATTTCATATGGTCAAAAACCTTATGAATTTTTTGAAGAATGTAGACAAAAATATGGTGATGTTTTTGCATTTATGTTATTAGGTAAAATAATGACTGTTTATTTGGGTCCAAAAGGTCATGAATTTGTATTTAATGCAAAATTAAGTGAAGTTAGTGCAGAAGATGCTTATCAACATTTAACTACTCCTGTATTTGGAAAAGGAGTTATATATGATTGTCCAAATTCAAGATTAATGGAACAAAAAAAATTTGCAAAATTTGCTTTAACTACTGATTCATTTAGAAGATATGTTCCATTAATTAGAAATGAAGTTTTAAATTATTTTGAAAATTCAGATTCTTTTAATTTAACAAAACAAGAAACAGGTATTGTAAATGTTATGAAAACACAACCTGAAATTACAATTTTTACAGCTTCAAGATCTTTATTAGGTGAAGCAATGAGAAAAAGATTTGATGCAACTTTTGCTCAATTATATTCAGATTTAGATAAGGGATTTACACCAGTAAATTTTGTTTTCCCAAATTTACCATTACCTCATTATTGGAAAAGAGATGCTGCTCAACAAAAAATTTCTCAAACTTATATGAAAGAAATAACAAAAAGAAGAACCACGGGAGATATTGATGAAAATAGAGATTTAATAGATTCATTATTAGTACATTCAACTTATAAAGATGGTATAAGTATGACTGATCAAGAAATTGCAAATTTATTAATTGGTGTATTAATGGGTGGTCAACATACTTCAGCTTCAACTTCTGCATGGTTTTTATTACATTTAGGAGAAAATGAAAATTTACAAAATGAATTATATGAAGAAATTTCAAAAACTATTGAATCAAAAGGTAAAGGTGGAAATTTAAATGATTTAACTTATGAAGATTTACAAAAAATGCCACTTGTAAATAATACAATAAAAGAAACTTTAAGAATGCATATGCCATTACATTCAATTTTTAGAAAAGTTTTATCTCCATTAATTGTACCAAATAGCACGTATGTTGTCCCCAAGGGTCATTATGTTTTAGTATCACCAGGTTTTGCTCATACAGATGAAAGATATTATCCAAATGCTTCAAAATTTGATCCTCATAGATGGGATGAACCATCAACAACAAATAAAGATTCAGATGAAATAGATTATGGATTTGGGAAAGTAAGCAAAGGTGTATCATCTCCATATTTACCATTTGGTGGTGGTAGACATAGATGTATTGGTGAACAATTTGCTTATGTTCAATTAGGTACTATATTATCAACATTTATTTATAATTTAAAATGGAAATTAAAAAATAATCATATACCTAAAGTTGATTATAATTCAATGGTTACATTACCTGAAGAACCTGCAGATATTATTTGGGAAAAAAGAGAAACTTGTTCAATATAATGATAATTCTAAATTAAACTCATTTAACTATTCTTTCTTGCATATATATAGTTTAATAGTCAATCGTTACTTCTCTAATTTTTTAAATTCAATATATATTATTTATAGACGTTGATCAGTTTAGTCGTAACAATTTTTTTTCCTTTAATTTTTGCCTGAAATGTTAAATAACCAGATCAATTATTATATCGATGCTAAAAACTACGTTGGTTTTCCTTTATTATATATTCAATTCATAATACTAAACGCACTGATCTTCAGATTTTAGTAAGGGATGGTAATACGTTTTTGAACCTTAGAAAAACATCAACAAAGAACCTTGGATTAATTTCACCAAGTCAAAAATCCAACCATGGACAATAATAGATATATCCAACATTTGCACAAATCCAGAATATGACTAATGTGTCAATATCTATGATGAACTTTTTTTCCTAAATGTGTTCTGTGTATTGATGGTATATTATTAATCATGGTTGGATTAACCTTTCAAGAGACTCCTTGGTGATACTAAAAAACGCTTTTAAGTGACATTTTCCTTCGGCTTCAAAACATTTCACAATCCATTACTTTCTGAATATCAATGCTCCCGTTGTGGTAATACATAAAAAAATTACCTCAAGGAGTTAGTCTAATTTGATACCAATTACCGCGATCAGGTTTCAGGTGATGATAATCTTTGCTTCTTGCTTTGCTTCTCGCTTTGCACTTTTAAGTACAATAACCTAAAATCATCTTGTTAATTAAGAGCATTTAAATTTATCTGACCAATGCAATATAACACCTTAATCGAACACGTAACTTCCCATTTTAGTTAATGAATTGAATTGATTTGGTGAAATTAGCGGCTGAATGATTTTACACAAAATGAATATTCTTACTCATAACAACACCAGAAGACAATACTCTAAACCAGTTGTTTCTTCGAGTGGATGAATGTGTCGTAGAGCTTTCAAACTTAACCCTTGACTTGTTTAACTATTGCTGTATCTTTTAGTTCAGATGTGTTAGTCAAAGTTTTCATAATAACTTGAAGTTTGATGAATAATTTATGCACTGTGATTTGCTAATTATGAACATAGTACTTACTGCATATAAATGCATTGATCTAATCTTCACGTGAGTCAAATCTTATAATAATTTTTCACTTTAAAAGATACACATTTGATACACCAATAATCATAAAGACTCATTATTGTAACTTCATACGGAAGAATTTAATTTGTATTTTAGTTAGTTGAGATTTGAAAAAGACCTTTGACACAGTTTTGTAGGTCCTTAAAGTATTGATTTCATAATTACGACATACAAACCATATACAATGTTCATAAAATTAATACGACCAAGCATATTTACTTCCTCAATTCGAGCGTTGTCTCATAAGAATCTAAATTTGACTTATAATACCATCAAGAACTCGCCAATACTATCGAACTCACCAATAAATATACACAAATATTCATGCAAATATTATTCGACAAATTCAAATTTAACTGAAGAACAATTAGAAATTTTAAATCAAGAAAGACCAAAAGATAACGTTGATGTATGTATAGTTGGGGCAGGACCAGCTGGATTAGCAACAGCAATTAAATTAAAACAACTAGATAATGAAAATGGTAATGGAGATAAAAGAATTATAGTATTAGAAAAAGCAGCAGATTTTGGAAGTCATATTGTAAGTGGAGCAGTAATTGAACCTCAAGCATTTAAAGAATTATTCCCTGATGATGAAAGAGATATTCCATTACCTGAAGATTTAGTTACAAAAGTTACTGAAGATCATATGAAATATTTAACTGAAAATTCATCTTTTTCATTACCTGAACCACCTCAATTGGTAAATGCTGGGAAAAATTATATAACGAGTTTAAATACAGTTGTTAAATATTTAAGTGAACAAGCAGAAGAATTAGGTGTTGAATTATATCCCGGAATATCGGTAAGTGAAGTAATATATAATGATCCAAAAACAAAAGATATTGTAATAGGTGTGGCAACTCAAGATATGGGAATTGATAAAAATGGAGCACCGAAAGATTCATTTGAAAAAGGAATGGAATTTAATGCAAGAATAACAGTATTTGCAGAAGGTTGTCATGGATCATTAAGTAAACAAATTATAAATAATTTTAAATTAAGAGAAAATTCAAATCCACAAACTTATGGATTAGGTATAAAAGAAATTTGGGAAGTTCCAACTGAAAATTTTAAAAAAGGATATGTTGGACATAGTTTAGGATATCCTTTAACTAAAGATTCATCTGCTTATGGAGGAGGATTTATTTATCATTTTGGTGATGGATTAATTTCAATTGGTTTAGTAATTGGTTTAGATTATAAAAATCCATATATTTCACCTTATCAAGAATTTCAAAAAATGAAAAAACATCCTTATTATTCACAATTTTTAAAAAATGGTAAATGTATTTCATATGCAGCAAGAGCTTTAAATGAAGGAGGTTATCAAAGTATTCCTAAGTTGTATTTCCCCGGTGGTATATTAGTTGGTTGTAGTGCTGGGTTTTTAAATGTTCCTAAAATTAAAGGAACTCATACTGCTATTAAATCTGGTATTATAGCAGCTGAAACTATATTTGAAAAAATTAAAGATTCTGAAGAAATAGAAGATGAAGAAGAATTTTTATCTGAGATTATTGAAAAACCATTAACATTATCAGAATATGAAGAAAATTTCAAAAGTTCATGGGCTTACAAAGAGTTATATGAAGTTAGAAATGTAAGACCAAGTTTCAATACTCCATTAGGAACAATTGGAGGTTTAGCTCATTCAGGAATAACAACCATGATAACAAAAGGTAAAGAACCATGGACATTACAATTTGATCATACTGACTCACAAGCTACAGAACAAGCATCAAAATTTAAACCTATAGATTATCCAAAACCAGATAATGAAATTACATTTGATATTTTAACATCAGTTTCAAGAACAGGAACATATCATGATGAAGATGAACCATGTCATTTAAAAGTCCCAAATCAAGATTTACAAAAACATTCAGAATTAAATTGGGAAAAATATAAAGGTATTGAACAAAGATTTTGTCCAGCTGGAGTTTATGAATATATTGAAGATTCTTCAAATCCTGTAGGAGTTAAATTTCAAATTAATTCACAAAATTGTATTCATTGTAAAACTTGTGATATAAAAGTTCCTTCACAAGATATTAATTGGACTGTACCTGAAGGTGGTGATGGTCCAAAATATTATATGAGTTAGTTGTTTATTCTGTATATATAAGCTAACGAATTAATTTAATTTATTTATTGAATAATGAAATATACATGTAGAGAAATGAAAATTAGTTTATGGTCTTGTTATTTGCAAGTCGATCTAAATGAGTTTGCGTTAGTAATGCAGTTTGTTAGAATAGACATGTAATGTGATACATACTGACAAATACCCAGTTTTTCTCGGTGATATTACAACTAAGTCTATACCTTGGCTCGCGAGGTCTTTATTAGTATTTATGATATATTTTTCCAAACTCATAACTAATCTCTTAGAATGAGTATAAATTTTAAATAAATTCAAAAACTCAATGAATAATCCACCTGTGAATATATTTAATAAGTTTTCAATCAAATTATAAATATTAAATGGATTGTATGCATTATATAATGATTGATTAATATGATTTATAATATTATGTAATAAAACTTCATCAATTTGTAAACCAATAACTTTTGAAGTTGTTCCAAATTTATTGTCATCATATATCCCAATTATTTCTTCTTGTTGTATCAGTTCATTATCATTTTCAATTTTTATTGCACCTTCTTCTTCTCCAGGATATGATAAAGAAAATTGAGGAATTAAATCAGAATAAGGTGTACTATGATAAATCCTTGGGATTCTAATTATTCTTGTATTCTTTGAATTGTCAGCGTTGTTATCAATCACGTGGTTGTTGGGGAAATGATTGATAACTAATGATGGTTGATTATTCTCTGGATCTTGAGATGTTAAATATTCATGATAATTAAAGAAAACTAGAGGAGTTTGTCGTGATTTTTCATCATTTGCATCTATACCATCTTCCTGATTTGACGATGATTGGTACTTGTTTGTTATATGATTATACGATTGATCATTACTCATGTAAAGTGAAGAACTAGCTAATGAGTATATGTGATCTGATTATGTATTGTGATATTTGGCAGTAGTGTATATAAAAATAGATCAAATCTTAATAGGAAGATGAAGAATAATTTTTTATAATCAACTTTTTTTATTTCACATAACATTTCTTCTTTCTCAATTTACAACTACAACAACGTCAATTTTTCAGTTCTTCATTAGTCAGTCATGTTTTCAACTACTTACTTCTAAGGTATGATAAAATTAATCACATTTTCCCACTAATCAATCATATAAAGCTTACTTTACAATGATGATACTGAGTCGTTAGACTCCATTGCATAAACCCAGCTCAATTGATATTTTGTTTATGATAAGAATTGTTATTTTATTAATTATATCTGATATTCATTTCATAAGTGTATATGTTTAAAGATTTGAAGGGGATATAGACACTAAAGTCATCGTACTAACAAATTTAGATTTGATTTATCAACTTTTGACTATATATAGTAAAAAAAGAATAAATTGAAATTTTTTTTGAAAGGACTTATATGTACATATGATTAATTACTTTCAACTCTTAATTAGCTGATTGCAAATGCCCGAACGAACATTTCTGACAACTTCTACTTAATAAGATAATTGATTTTGCAACTATACTCTCCAGAAAATGATTTATGCGTGAAAAATTTGAAAATTTTCTGATTTTATTAAAACTATAAGCTTCGGAACTTTATATCAACCAATGATACCATATAGAAGAGGAGCTTCAAAAATAAGGCTACCTAGGCTTAACACTGCCTGTCGTACAGCAATTTCTAATAGGCACCTATCCAATCAACCTCAAGTTCATTCACAAGTCCAATCATCATCAACTACTATACCAATAACCAATACAAGTCAAATTAAAAATGGTAGAACTCAATATAGACCAAGAGAGCTAAACTCGAAATTGAAAGATATAAGCCAACAAATTAAAACAACCTTACAATCAGATAATCTACAGGAGTCAAAGGAAATTTTTGAAGAAGGTATTTCATTTTTAAGAGAAGTTCAAAAAGATGAAAGAATAAGTGATCGTGATTTATATTTTTCATTTGTTCCATTAGCTTCAGAATTATTATACAAATTGAAACAAGATAAAGACAATTATAATGTACATAACTTACAAAATTTAATTGATTTATTTATCAAATATCGTATCGCCCATCAAAGTCATTTCACAGAGTTGGCGGTTCAATTATTGCAAAGTGAGGAAGAAGAAAATAAATTTCAAAAATTAATTCAATTATGGGTACAATTCATAGAATTTGATAAATTACATGGTATTCCATATTTTCAACTTCCAAATACTCCAGGTCAATATAAATTCAAAGCATTTCATTTACCAAATATAGTATTTTATAATTATGTACTTTCTTGTTCATCTTCAAATATAGCTTATTCAGACAATGATGCAGTGAAATTTACAATCAATGGTAAAATACCACTTTATAGAGATGTGATGCATACTTTGAAGGATTTAAATTTATATCAGACTGACCAATATTCAAAATTCACGTCCATTCTTGAAAATGACAGGAAAAACAAAATTGATCCAAACAGTAAAGAGATGATACAACGTATTTTCAGAGCTGTAGATAAAAAACAATTGGATAATATATACTTGGAAGTAGCAGAAGTTTGTTCAAGTCGTGATTTAAAAGTTGAAGAAAAAATATTAGTTCAATTGATGGATAAATATTTATATTTTGATGAATATGATCAAGTCTTTGGAATGTTTCAAAATATTATAAGTAGTGGTTTACTGCCTTCTATTGATGCATGGAATTTAGTTTTGAGAGCTATGATTAACCCGAACAGGTTCAACAGTGCCTCTCCTAAACAGAGAGAAGAACTCATGTCTAAATTTGAAAGAACTTTGAAAACTATTACATCCAGTGGATTGAGTTATAATTCAGGTACATTGAGTTCCATAATCACAGCATATGCTACTGCTGATAAATTTGATATTGCGGAAGATTATGCAAAAAAATATAGTGCGTTGGGTATAAATAATGTTGCAAAAGATGGTATATTAAGAGGATTAATTTTCAACAACAAGATCGATGAGGCAGAGGCAAAGATGAAAGAGTACATTACTGACGGTAGTGAATATAAACCAAGTAGTGGTACAATGAATGATTTCTTATCTTACTATTCAAAGAGAAAGAATTACAAAGCAATGTTTGGTATAAATGAATTTATGCAACAAAACAATATTGAAGAAAATGTTGCATCAATAACTACAATGATTAATGCTTACTTCAAATATCTCATAGAAATTGGTAAAACCCCAAATTTAGTGGATTTACTTAATACATTAAAAGGAGCAAAGCATTTAAATGAACATTCTTATGCTTCAGTGTTAAATGGATTGATTCAATCTACCAATATTGAAGCAGCAAGACAATTATACAATGTTATTAGAAAAAAATATCCTAGATCAGCATGGATTCAAAGTAACATGTTGGCTGGAGAATTATCATTTGGTGATATTTCAATTGGTGAAAAAATTTTTGATCATTATATAAAAAATATTCGAAATGATGTTCAAATTTGGAATACCGTTATAAAAAATCTTTTAAATCGTGATGAAAATTTAGCTTTTAAATATTATTTAGAATTGAAAAATTCAACTCAATCAAAACCAAATCATTATACTTATTACTTTTTATTAAATCATTTTTTGAATAAGAAAAACAAAGATGCTATACAAGGTATTTTAAAAGATTTATCATTAAATCCGTTAAATAATTATGGTAATGAATTACCAAGATTATTAAACAGAATCAATAGTAGGATTGTGGAAGTTCCTTCATCAATTTTACAACAACTTAAATAAATGTCTATAGTTAGATGAAATACATGTAAATAAACGTTGTGTATTATTATTACATCACTATAAATTCATTCCGCATAAAAGCCATGTAACCCCAAATAAAACTATCGTACAAGATAAGAAGCAAAATACCAGGAAGAGACCTCACCTCAATGATTTGTGCAAAAAAAATGACTAAACTTCCTCTCCCATTGCCTTTTTCCAAGTAGGACCAGCAAAATCTATAATTCTATCCTTTATACTAGTTAAATCATCCAAAGCTGGTCTTGTATCCAACATAAAAGCAGGCATACCAGTTTCTTCATCATCTGGAGCTCCGTAATAATCTATAACATATCTTACTTCTTTCCAACCTTGATTAGGTCCCATACTTCTCAATATAGTCCAATCATGTCTATCAAATGGTGGTATTGTATTAAAAGTATTTGGAAAAAATTTACCTAACCATAAATACATTTGAGCCTTGGGAGATAAATCATGAGGTTTACCAGTAAATTTTTTTAATCTTGGTTCTATTTTACTTTCATTTGTATATTTATCTTCCCATTCCAAAATTTGTTGCCATGCTCCTTCATTTAAAAAATTATGTACTTCAACCATACTTTCTACGGCATCTTCAGGTATTCCTTCTCCTTTACCCTTTGATAACATTGCATTATACATTTGTTGTGGTGATGGATATTCCCATAATCCTTGATCAGTTGATTCACCTCTTGGAATTGTAGATATTGTTCTTTCAGTTGATAATTTTATTTTTTGACCTGGTGCTAATTCACTTGATATAGCCATTGGCATATTATTTAATGGATTCAATACTTCATCATTTGAATTTGAGGATGATGTTGGTAGAACTGGACATACTGGTTGATTTGATGATTTAGATGATTTAAATGATGAATGATCTATGGGACATCCCAGTATATTAGATGAATTTGATGATGTTATTTGACTAGGTGTAGCAGTCTGATGTTTTTGATATTTATTATCTGCCCAAAACCAACCCATTATTTGATGTAAATCTTTGGTGCTTTGAACTTATAGATTTGATAACGGACTATTTTAGTATTAGATGAGCTTTGATACGTTTTTAATCTTTTTTCCATATCAATCCAAAGAGAAAAAAAGAAATCTTTATTTGAAAACTAAAACTCATACGAGCAAACATCTAATCTTTCCAGAAGCTCTCTCCTTTGAACTGAGAGGTATTATTAGTTTACCATGCTACTGACCTGGTTCACTGTGATTGTTACTACATTTATTTAGTTTTAGTAGTGTGAAACCTCATATATCAAAATGATAATCGTCAAAACATCAATATTATAATTCTTCTCGAAACAACAAATTATTTGCATCAAGCTTTCCAAGCAGGTTCATTGATTAGATTCAATGTCTGCATCATTTCAGTGATTTCAAAATTTTAAAAACTTTAACTACAATTGAATACAGATTTTAAATTACCGAATCTGGAACCCACAATGAAATCCCAAATTCAACAAGTGGATTGAAAAGGTGACCCCTCAAATGGTTGTAATGACAACTTGATCACTCTCTTTTGACCCAAGCAAAATAACCTTATGCATCGTGGTATATTTTGACGATTTGTTATTTTTTAGCCCAGCTGGATTGGCAATACGGCAATTTAACTAGGTTTTAAAGTTTTAAACTTCATTTCGTAAAATTCTTCAATACAAAAGGATAAAATAGCTAGCCTAAAGTTTGTTGGAGTTGTCAACTGCTGATGTTGCAAAGAATTGTAAATTGGTCATCCAATTAAAATTTGAAACATTAAAATTTAAATCTGAAACATGATTTAGACGAGAAAAACTAAATTCCAAAAATAGCCTAAATACAAAAAATCAAATCTGCAAATCCACTATTAACGTCATTTCTGGAAATTTAAGTGGTTCTGAGACTTATCGTACAATTGATCAGACATTTTTTTCTTGCAAACATGAAAAGTGAAATCATAATTAATCGTGGCCGTCTCTGCTTGTGAGGCCAGTCCAATTTGAATGCAGAAGAAAATCGCCATACACAAGAAATCAGTTTGAGGATTGTCTTCACTATACACCCACGGTGCCGTTACACCTCGCTACATTTTTCTTTTTGGGTCTATATGCTACTCAACTGTAAACGGTATAGATCATGATTCGAAAAAAAAATCTATTTGGTAAATTTTGCAACAAAGTCCTTCAAAAAATTAAAAAGCTCACCTCCATTCTGATTTGAGCTTTGTCGTTTTCTGGAAAAGCCTAATACGCAAAAAAGAATGCAAAGGTTTGATCCGGTATTAATTTACAGCTAAACTCCAGATTTCGTAAACCATGAATTATTATCAACTATAAATTAGTTTCTAGAATTGATTTTCGAAATTTTTGTTCGTCTAATTTAATAAGTCTAATGCGAGATTCAATCACTTATCATATCATGTTTCAAGGCGCTTACGAAAGTCTGAAAAATGTCACATAGCATCCTGAAACATTATTGCCAATCAATCTATCCCAGTCAAAAGAATTTTGATAGGCAAGATGAACTGTAAGTTTATGGCCAAAAGTCCCCAGAATTTGATTTGATCAGCAGGGTCCTTGTACGGCTTTAATATTAATTGCAAGTAAAAAATGAAGTTGTCAGCATTTCAACCGAGACTCAAAATAATACTTTAACGTCAATAAGTGGTTTACTTTTGCTGATCAATATGCGTAAATAGGATTTAATAAAAATCCATCATGTTATAAATAAAATTAACGACACCGAAAAATGCAGCAAAAATTAAGGGTCTTAACATTAACGAACCATGAAATACGTTTTTTTTGGAAAATTGAACTATTTATTAGGCCTAGTATTCTTTTTCTACATAATAATAAGACAGAAGATCTTCAATACTTTCGTTCTGTATATTGAATTTAATTTTTAAATTAGTGATTGTCAGACAACCAGCAGCGCGGAACCTGCTTTTTTTTTTAGCGAGGATATACAAATTCTAACCATCTTCTTTAATGTCACAGATAAATATTTTAAAGATACTACATCTACTAAAAATAGTATTCTCAATTTGAGACAAGGGGTGAAACTGCTGAATGTACTCCTTAAAATCTTGAAATCACTTGTATCTTGCTGCTTTATTAATCTATTTATGAAAAAGATAAAAATGTATCACAAACCTTATGAAATTTTTCACATGTGGCTCTAGAATTATCCCCTTGATAACTTGCAAATCGACAATCAGACGTTAATTTTGAAATGGTTTATCTGAAATTAACTTTAGTTTTAGTTCTTGTGAGTTTTTGCAAAGGATTTAAGCTTAAACAAAGTTGGAGAAAGATTGACAAAATGACAAAACAAAATAGTGAGCCAAATTGTACGTTTGTTGGAATATTCCATATACTGAGTTGAAAAAACAACAGTTTGATAGAGGGGTGTTGAGGTTCTAGAAAGCCTATAGTTTCACAAAGGTTTTGAACAATTTATACGTTTTAATGTTCTTTCTATTTTAAGTAAATCTACTCGCTATCACAATAAATTAGTACCTTATTGTTCTTCCTCTTGAAGCTTGTGACAGTTTTAATGCTTTAAATTCACTTTTTCAAAATACCCTAGTAAACTTGTGCATAGGGAAATTGACGAAACCTAGATGTAGCTGAAATCAATAGGTAGGTCATACTCGATGCTCCTAAGATGATCTGTCCATTTTATCTAGATTTAATTTCGTAGTTATTACAATTTAAAAAGTTGTTTTTCATACAATAAAAAGCTTAAAATGTTAGTGAAATTAGTTGTGATTTTATTATAAGCTTTTTAAAGCTTTTTAAAGACTAATAATACCATATATAGGTTAATTCGTTACTAAAAAAGTGAAGAATGAAGAATTTCTCACGAACAATGCTTAAATTATTTCAGTCAGATTTAAATAGTATGATAAATTACCTTGTCTGACGATATCAAATTTCAAGATTTAATAATGATGTAATTAACTCCTTCTTTCAAGGAAAAAAGTTGAACTAAGTGCTAGATTATTTCAAGTTGATCCTTATTTACTACAAGCTAAATCCATCTGATTGTCTTTCTTGTAATTTGACTAGCAAAAAGTGAAAAGTATCGTTTGCAATCAATCACATTTAACGTTTTGTCTGTTTCACATACAATTTCAAGCAAACAAATAATCAATTAATGAATAAACCATGCGTATGACAGCTGTTAATTGTCATCGAAAATTGTCATCGACATTGCTCTTCTTCATAATAATTTGAAAATGGACATTTATTAAATTGGATATGCACAAATATTTCATCACTTAAATTAATTGTGTGGAAAATTTAAAACTATTTGAAATAATAAAAGACATTGTCTAAATTTAGTAGAAAACAACCTATCGACTCCCCTTTATTAGGGCTCAACTCACTAATATAGATATGAAGGGATAGATAACGGGTATTAATTTATGCTTCATAGTAATGCTTGGAAAGTTTTCTTAACCTTTAGCCTAAGAGGTGGACGATTTGATGTCGAACCAAAGCGAAAAAATTTGAACGATTCGCACTAAGTTTTCATTCGCATATGCAACAATAAACATACGTTTAACTTTAAGCATTCCTCGACTAAATCCATTTTTTCAGTTGTTCTTTTTTCAGTTCCAGGTCCAACTCATCGAATTGTGTAATTGTCCATGCACAATTTGCGTTTTCAATTAAGTAAGTAATGTCAGGTCATCTCTGAACTTTTACTTCCATAGTTGGCAAGAGTAAATCAACCACGCTTGAAATTAATCGTTCAAATATTTGGTTCGAACTTTGATTAATTAAATTAAAGAACAGTAAGATATATAACAAAATAAGTTCCAAATTCGTAAAATTGAGTGTGAAAATTATCCGGGTCGGGGAAGAACTTGAAAGATAAAAGTCAATGCAAGAGAAATTGACAATAAGGATGAACCATATTTTTCTATGCCTTCAAGGTAAACTTCGATAAGGAGAGGACAGTAAAGTGAAAAATTAATCCCTTTTGAAATCAGGATATCCATGTTTTATTGAATTTTTTTTTTTATTTGATTTAAAATTTAACAAGACAAAAAAATTAATCAAAAATTGTCTGTTTTTATTTTGTGGATTTTTCAGTCTTTCTTTGTCTTTTCCTCCAAGTTCTTGAATTATTTTATACAATAGTTAAAAATGACATAATTTGTTATGAGTTATCATAGAACTAAGCACCTGTTTTGTGTTTAATGGATTTGAAAAGAATTAACTCGTCTTATTTTGTGTCAAATGAAAGTTTAACTCAATTGAGTTATTTAATAGATGGAATGAATGTGTATGAAGTTATGGAAATTAATTTGTAAAATCCTTGTATTAGTGAGTAGTATAAAATGGGATTTTCTTAGATTCAAAAAAAAACTGTTTGTGGATCTTTGAACCTTAAAGGTATCATAGAGCAAGAGACTAATTATTCCAAGCTCACACTATTCTTAAACTTAAATCAATTCGTCGAAATTCTTGATTTCATTCTAAATATTTTTCAGATTCAAACCAAGCCCGACTGCTAATCAGAAATCTTTTGGATTTAATATAGAGCCCTCCTGCGTCAGTAAGATAGACCAATAATATTGAATGAAATCAGATACGTTTGTATTTGAAGGTAGTATAATTTTACTTTTGAGTAATTTTTTTTTTCCAATTCAATAATGATTACCTCATTTCTAAATCCTCACTCAAAAAGTGTTATTGTGGTTTCTTCAATAAATTTGAAATGAATGTCAAATGGTAGGAACATGATCTGTCACTGAGTACCTCCTTTTTCCGCTAAGAATTTTGTAGTTTTTACAATCTGAAATCTCCAACATTTGTTTAATATTTTTCATTGGTGGAATGAAAAATTCTTTGATTACACAAAATCTGATCAAAAATATTTTTAATGATACAGCAATAAGTAAGTTAATTATTTGAAAATTTCAACAGCAGTTATCATCCTGAAAGTTTCACATTTAAACTTTTTTTTTTTTGCTTTTACTGTTTTCTTATTTGAACTGTAACAATGTACACTATCGAATAGAAGAATGTAACAATCAATTTTGGTTAAGGCGAAAGGATTTACAGGTAATTGTACTATACAACGATATGGTCAATTGCCTTATCTTCAATTGACAACGATCTGAAATTTTTCAATTATTATATTTTCGACAGCACACAGATAATGATAATTAATTTAAGATAAAATTCTGTTACACAAAAGCGCTTATAATAAGAAATTTAATTATGCATTATCACCTTTTTGACTGAACTCCGTAAATTTACTACATAAAATATTTACGCAGTTACGTGCATAGTAAATACTGTACATAACAGAATTTAAGATTTAATTTACGAGTAACTTTAGATCATCGATAAATTTTATTTGGAGCAAATTTGGATTTCTTTTTCTACTTTGGTATGCATAAAAGCTTAAAATTGAATTTAGATTTAGATTTGATTTTTAACAGTAAGATTTAAGAAATTGAAATCTGTTTAATAATTAGATTGGATTAAATAAGATAAGAAAAAAATAAAGATTTTTTTGGAATACTGTAGTTGTTGAAGTGTTGAGTTGTTGAATCAAAAGAAGAACGAGATCCTATCATAAAATATTGCTTAGTCGGGGTAGCTGATATAGGGGACCAATTGAATTTTAATTAAAATCCGACTACTTTATACAAAGTCTTGGACAATTTCCTCACAAGACTTTTATCAATAAAAAGATGTAATTAATGCATCTTTCTGCTAGTTGGTTCACTTTGACAGTTCTTGATTTATTGATTAAAAAATATTTTATTTTACTCATTATCAACCCCATAGACAATAATGTGTCATAGGATACATAATAATAGCTTTTGTACCAAATTATCAAATCCATCAAGGCAAATTAAGCACAGACATTTTCATCACCAACCAGCACCATAATCTAAGACTTTGTGTTAGTTTTGTTGGTATAATCCTCAGCATACTTCATCACGTCATAGACAACCGCATATATGAATAAAAATAACTTTATTTTATCTTGATCAACAACTTGTTACCGATGAGTTCATGGGATTTTAGTTGTTGTAAAGTAACATCATTGATATTAAATAAAAACACACAAAAGACTAGTATTCAGTGTCTGATTTGATGCTATAATCTGCAACGCTTTGGATCATATAATAATTAAAAAGTATGCCTTTATAAGAACACCACCATTAGCTATCCAACAATGAGTTATAATGCTCACCTAAGCCATAAGAATGTTTATAATAACCTAAATGTAATGTTGGTTTTGGATCATCATATACTGTATCCTTATTAATTTCAATACTAGAAGCACCAGCTTGATGAATAATTATACAACATTCAAAAATTTTACTTAATGCCAAAATTTCCATATCAGATCCCCACATTGTAGTTATTTTTAATTCATTACAATATTCATCAATATCTTTAATTTCTCCAGTTGTTTCATCAAATAAAAATGGAATAAAATCATTTTTATTCTCTAATATATAATCACTTGATAAGTCTCTTAACTTTTGGATTGATATTTCATTTTCAACAAGATTATGTCTTTCTATTAATTGGTTTTGTATTGAAGCAAATAAACAATTTCCATCAGGTTTTATTTCATATACTTTTAAATCATTTAATGATAATAATTTATTCATTGAGTCTATTTCTATTTGTCTATAATTTATTGAATTTTCTGATTCTTTTTCTGCTTCTGCTTTTATTCTATCAATTTCTTGTTGTCTTTTGATTAATCTTTCTTTTGCTCTATTTCGTTTTTTTCCCGTAGATGAACCAGTAGTACCCTCGGGTGCTTTTGATGGTGCTTTAGATTTATCATCTGATTGTTCGTCGTTCTCTTCTACTGATAATTGGGCTAATAGCTGTTCTGGTGTTACTTCATCCTCCTCATTTGTATTCGCTGTTTCATCATTATTGAATTCAGAAAGTTCTTCTTGATGTTTTCTTTTGAGATTGTCTTCTAGCTCTTGACATCTCGCTAGCACGTTTTTTCGAGTCTTTTTGGTTGCTTCTTTCTTTAAGCCTGTAATTGTTGCTATAAGATCTTTATTTTCTTTTTTATGACGTTGTAGTATATCATCAAGTGTGGTTGAAGATACGTCGACTGTTTTTGGTTCCTCGGTACTCATCTTCGTTGTTCTGTATTGGTCCTTTGATTTTTTAGTGTAATGAGTGTGATGTTTTTAACTTTACTTCTTTGCGATACCTGATTTAAAAGGTGAGATGAGCTTCTCTTGACTCAATTTGTGCTATTGAAAATTTTTAAGACTACTGTGAACTCAGGCTATTGTTGTGGAGAAATTGATTAAGTTGGCCTCAAAACAAAGTGAATATGTTGGATCCATCTTAACACGATTTTGAGATACAAGTTTATTTTTTTTTTTAAGTTTTGACTGTCGTTGATTTTTTTCACACTAAAATATTTGTTTCACAATTATCACAAATATTCAAAGATCGTAATGAATTAACAACCATCCCTTAGTCTGGACTTTGCTCATCGTAAAGTGCAAATCACAATTCTTAGCGATTATAAATGCACATGAAAAAAGAGCTTGACTTGTTTTCACTGAAAAATCAAAGAGATCATTTAAAACATACTAGTCAGACTGGAATAATTTTCTATTGAGATTCTATCTTCCAATTTGAAGTTGCAAAATGGATAGAGTCAAAAGTATTCTGAGTATAGGATAAAAGAGTTATATCATCGTTCTATTGGAGTTTTTTCTCCTTTGAATTAGAATTTGTGATTGTGAGGATCAAATGACAGTCGAGGAAGTAGTTGGACAAAAATAATTTTGAATTTGTGTATAACATCAATACCAAAATAAGTTCAAATTAATAAAACTTGGAATTTTCTTTATTAATTACTGAAACTCAAGTATATTTGAGAACTACTAATAAACTAGAATTATTTATTGTTGGCTAAACATTACCTATATACACTTTTGGGAAATAAAATAAACCAGACCATCGAGGAGCAGGAAAATTGTCCATGCGCAAATACACTGTAATCAATAATTGGTGTAGAACAAACTTTGAGAGAAACATCTCTAAATTTTTGTGATCTGACTGATAAAATTGGAATTCATTTAATTTTAAATCAGTTGAATTTAAACAATAACTTAACCACGTCAAAAAGATTGAACATTTTCTTAACATGAAATTATTAATCCTTTGAATTATCACTCTACATTATCATAATTCTCGAATTTTAGATCTTTAGAGAATAATTTGAATTTAACGGATCAATTAAAATTTTTTTCTGTCTTCAATTGTTTTCATGTGTTCCATGTTAACAAACTAAAAATGAATGAAAAATTCTGAAACACAAAATCAAACTGTACACAAAATGTTATTGAAATACTACTTTACATCCTGAAATAAAATTGAAGAGAAATTCTACAATATACAACTGTTTACTTGAAACATTTTCCTGTGATTAATGGTCAGACATTCGAATTGAAATTGAGTCCTTCTAGATGTTTTAATTTGTCAAACTTTGAAAACACCTCTTTTTTGAAAAAAAATTTATTAGTTTCTTAAGCAACTGAAAAAAAATCAAATTGTTTTTGTAAAATTAAACAATTTTCATTAACACATTAAGTATTTGTGTTATTGAACTCAATGATTCCAGTAATTATACTCCTTTGATTTCTATTAATAGATATAACCATCTATTTCAAATCATCTTAGTTTAACTCGAAACAAGTTTTATTAGGTGTAACATAACACATGGTTTTTTTACACTAAACTCATCCTAATCTTTCTAATTTGGGTGTAAATTAAAATAGTTATAAAGTCAGACAAGGTTTTATATTATCGTTTCTTTTTATATGAATATCTTTAAAAAATTCAATTTAATTACAATCAAAATTGAAGTGTGAAAGATATAATTTTTGAAGAGTAATCTTTGATCAGCATGAGCTTCTCATATTCAAAAGACTTTGAATAACTTATTGAAAGTTCCAATTTTGAGATTAGCCTGGATCAAAATGATACATAAATTGGGCAACATTGAAAACGTTTTAAGTTTGGAGACACAGAAAGACTTTTAGTTCAAAAACCTGTGAATAAAAAAATTTGGTTTTAGTGTTCAATGAAATATTTTGGTTTATTCTCCTTTTTTTCAAGATTCTTCAACTTCAACCGATTGAATCTCAACGAATGTTGTTAAGACCGATTCTCCACCTGCCAGAACTTCTCAGACCATAATTGCTAATTTAATTTGAGGTATTCGTAGAATGTATGTCTCATTAAGTATATTGTATTAAAATTGAACTTATTTATTAATGGAATAGAACAAGAAATCAGATAAGGCAGAAAAAATAAATTTTCCGAATATAATTTTTATTTTACGACTTAGCCTAACTACAAGATAATGTATGTGCATAAAAAATTGAGTCTGTCTATTTTAATGAAACTGATTCCGCCAGTACGGCTCAATCTCCCCTATTTCAAATTTAACTTCTTTAGTTCAATAGACCCAGTGGTTTTACCAATAAACGATCCATCAAACTAAAAGTTTGTAACAAGTAGCCTAGACATTTCCGATCTCTCACTAAATTTGATCTAAAGATTGTCCAAACTCCAACTGTACATTTGTAGAGGATCCTGGTTTGTGAGAAATCGACGACCTCGCTTCAATTGAACCTTCAACTCACCTCCTCTTTCTATTTTTTTACTGCAACATTGAAAAGAAAAGCTAAGTTACAACCAATCGATCAAAATCAGATCTTATGAACATACATAACTGCAAAACTTGAATCCAAAAGTGAAATTTAGAACTTTAATGTAAAGTTTAAAAAATTATAGATCTATCGGTTTTGAAATGTTACATGGTAGCTCTTTACAACCTAACTCTGACACTTAATTTTGCAGCAATTAAAATTTATTTTACAGTATAAGATTTCATAGTATCTTCAGATTCGAAAAAACTTAAACTCAAAATTAAAAGTTGATCACGGTTTTAATCGACAAAATTATGATAATGAACAAAGTGATTTGAGCTCAGTTCTATGTTCCACTGAATAATAATCCTACCTTCGACTCGAAGTCCGAAGAAAAAACTTTTAATTGATGGAGTTATCGAAAGAAGTAAGAAAAAAAAAAAGTCTCTAAAAATCCGCTAATTTAAAAATCTTAATATTTACGCTTTTGAATGAGTTGTATTATTTATTTTTAAAGTATCATAAATGAGAAAAAGCTTGATCTAGAGCTATATGGAGATGGATCTAATTTTGCAAACTATTAACCCAATCAGTCTATGAATTTGAACATAACTTACTGTAGTCAAATTTTTGAAATCTTAATATCCTGAATATATAAACGTTTCTTCGTAAGGCAAAATATATATAGTGTAACCTTTATTAAGTATTGTTTTTTAAAAACATAAAACACGCAAAACCAAAGATTGGGAATGGGCAAAATAATAAGTAATAATCGAACCAAGACAATAGGTAATAGATGTCATCACCATTTGCATGTAAAAAATTGATTAAGCAATTCGTTTTGCAAAATTTATACAACTTCTATCATTAGCTTTTAAGCAATACAATGATTAGCATCGAGAAAGACGTGTTCTCTTATTCATTCAAATTTGAAAGGATCTGACAACTACTATGGTTGAACTTTAAAATTGCTTATAGTGAAGTTTCGTGTCTATAGGCTTTAGGCTAAAAATTGATTAAGATTATGTATTGTCCTCCAAATTATAATAACTTAATAGTGTGAGTATACTTTACTGTGTATTAAATAAAAGGAGTTATTATTATTCCTCTTTTGTTTCTTTTTCTATATCTTAATTTTTCACAAATAAAAAATAGTATAACCTCAATTTGTATTTTGTGTTCAAATTTATTACTCCTAATTACTAGTTTTTGAGATCCATGCAAACTTATTTTGAAGCCAACATTGTGGTATAGAACCAACAAAGTCAAACTCTCAAGTATTTTTTGATGAGTAACAACTGAACTGAGCTTCGTTTCAATTTTAACAATTGTTCCGTTACACCTCGAGATAGTTTTCACACAATTGTCGAAAAGAAATAAACTTATATATAAATTTGAGATCTTATGATTCATTTCTTGAATAATTTAACTAGCACTCATTGATTTTAAAAGGTTTATCTTCTTCTACTTTTGGTTAAATTTCTGAAATCTTAATTTTAAGTATAGTAGTATGAAAAAAGTCTGTGTCCGTGTCTGTATCCAAAATTTTGTGTCTGAATAGATTTTATTTTGTGTTTCAAAAGTTACTGAACAACAGACATTGATTTACAATAAAAAAATAATTAATAAACTTATACCATTAATAATAAATAACACAGTATGTATTTTGTGTTTCAGAAATTAATAAAATAATTATTCAGATATACATACCCATTCATTCATACACAAACTTAGAAAGATTTATACTTTCTTAGCCTTTCAATAAAGTCACAAAATGTTAATTAAAATTCATATTATTATGTATTTGTACTCTTTATATTTTTTTATTATTATCTATATCTCTCTCATACTGTTTTAATTTTTTATAATTCAACTTATTAAATTTATAAAATTTCAAATTTATATAAAAATCTATAAACTCCCTCCTTCTTTTTTTCAATATTCTATCAAATTACTACTCCCCATTCATTTTTCATTTTTTATCAACTTCATCAATATATATCAACTTCATAATAGTTGTATATAAATATCATTTTCATTCTCATCCTTTTTTTTTTCAAAAAACCACACCCAACATCATAATATACATACCCTTAAACCAACAAATCATTATTAGGATTAGTTTTCACGGCTCACGTTAATTAATCCTTTTATCCTCTAAATTCTGAACAGAAGTTTTTATTCTTTTTATTGAAAAGGTTCGAAAATTTTCAAAATTGTCCTGGTCATTATTACTTGTTTCAAAGGATCAAATTTTTGCACATTCAAATTTTTTTTAAAGAGAAAACACATTCAAATTGAGTACATTTATATTGTTACTTTAATTAGTTTATTGATTTAAGTCACTCAATTCAAACACTTACTGTTCATTAAATTTTTCATTTTTTTCATTTCATTTAAATTTTTGAATTGATTTCTTCAAGAAAGGTTATTTGTCAATAATTATTGCAAAAGAAAACATACCTCAAATAGAAAAGAAAAAGGATTCAGCTAAATCAATTTTGCATTTCATTTGTATATAATTCATCACGTCATTTGGAATTTTAGTATTTGGTTTTAACTGTTTTAACTTTTTTATCATATTATATCATATATTGTTGGTTCATTTTGCACTTTAATTTCATTTTTGCATTTCCAATTTTCAATCATCTAATCAAATTCATCTCAAAAATTACAATTGAAAGGAAAATAATTTGAGACGTTCATTTAAAAATATTTCAACTGTCACATTCATTACTAAAGACTCAATTAACAAAAGCTAACTTTCATTCGTTACTACTACAAACAGTTTAGAAAAGTCAGTTTCAAACAACTTTGCATATAAACAATTAATTCCAACTTAATTGTTTTACCATTTTACGTCACACTAACGTTTTCATTCATCAACACTATTCATTATTTTATCAAATAGTGTACCTTTACTTTTACAACGATATTTTTCACATTTGCATTTCCAAAGCTAGTGCTGGTTACTATCTTACAACAACATCAACAACATCAACAACAACGTTTAAATTTATTCATTATATTTTAAAAATTATTTTGCTGGTGCTATCATTCTATCAATTATCAATCAATTATTAGGTATTTCTTCCCCTCAATTTCACGTCACTCAATTTTAACGACATTCAACTATCTCAGACATTAGTTGAAAATATTACACAAAATTGAATCTTAAATTTTTGGCAACCAAAAATAAATCAATAAATAATTTACAACCATATTTATTATATTGCAATCAATATAATATTATACCATTATGATATCCAATTCACCAGATGCTTTCCATCAAACAAGAGTTGTACAACTGCAAATCAAATCTTCCAATGTCAAAGTACAACAAATGGAACATAAATCACATAATAATATAATATCTGAATATCAATTAGATATGTTGGAACATTTATTAACAATTGAATTAAAATCATTACCAAATTTATTATTAATTGAACAACAACCAGAAATTAAATTAAGTATGAGACCTTTATTACTAGATTTTTTAATGGAAGTTATAACAATTTTAAATTTATCAAGATCAACTTTTCCCTTAACAGTAAATTTAATTGATAGATATTGTTCAACAAGAATTGTAAAAAAACAACATTATCAATTATTAGGATTAACAAGTTTATGGATAAGTTGTAAAAATTTAGATTCAAAATTTAAAATTCCAACATTAAATGATTTAAGAAAAATTTGTGTTGATTCATATAATAAAGAATTATTTATTGAAATGGAAAAACATATTTTAAAATCTTTAGAATGGCAAATTAATTGTTCTACTTTTGATTCATTTGTTGATGTATTTTTAAATTTATTAATTTCAATTGGTGATACAAATTCTTTAATTATAAAAAAGAATTTTCAAAAAATTAAAATTTCAAGTTATTATTTAGGTGAATTATTTCAATTTTATCCAAATTTATATTTTAATTATTCTTCATCACAAATTGCTATATTATCAATAATGTCAAGTATTTCAACTTTAGTTTTACCTATAAATATTGTTAATATCTTATCATTTTATAATTCATTATTAGATAAACAAACTATACAATTAAATTTAGAAAATTTTCAACAAATTTTTAAATTAATTAAATCATTATCTTTACCAAATAGTATACAACAAAAATATGGTATTACAAATAAAAATTCAAATAATAATACATGTTTTAATAATAATGATGGTTCAAATAATTTAAATAATAATCAAAATAAAAGAAATCAATTAAATAATAGAAATTTACCACCAAAAACTCCAAAAGTTTCAATGCCTTTAACTCCTGGTCCAAGTCCAGAAGAGAAAATTGATAGAAAAAGACGTTGTGATACTCAATTAATGGATCAACTGATGATAAATAATAATAATATTAATAATAACGATAATAATGATAATGCCCAACAAATTCAACATCATGAACATCAACTACAACAACAACAACAACATCAATATGCTGGTAATAGTTTTAATCATCAACATATTAGAAAGAAAAGTTGTATAAATTCAGGTGTTAAAATATAATACATAAATTTAAACTAGAAAAATTTTTAATTCGCCTCCTCTAATTTTCAACTCTCTGAGTTTCTACTAAATATCATAATTAGTGTTGAATGGTATATGTAAATACTTCAAATTGGTATAAAAGGATTAGTTGTTCAATTTTGCGCAAAACGTAAAGAGCTTCTATCAAATTCAATAAACTTAATTAAACTTTAACATTAGACGTGTTTCTCTATATATTATTATAAGAATTTCGATTTCATACTATGAAAATTTCATTTTCTATAAACGAAATTTTCAACACAATTGATATCAATTCAAACAATAAAAATATACTCAGTATTACGTTGCATAAGCCTTTTTCAAAAGTTTATTAAGCCAACAACAATTACTTCTTTTCACTACATTACATCACAATTGTACGTTTTTTGAAATAATAGTTAAAATTTTGAAATTATTTCAATATCGACGTTTCATATCAACATCCGTTAATTTTATCTAAGAATTACTGGAAAATCAAAAATTAACTAAAAAAGTTAAATATTAAATTTAAATAATTTATCATATCTTTGAAATTTAACCTCCTTTTATTCTTATGAAATTTTGAACTTTTATCAAATTTTAGATAATTGTTTATTATTTAATTCTAGATTAGACTAACAAGTTTAAAGAGCAGATTTAATTGATTGGATCAAGATGGGGAAAAAAAGGGGGTTGTTTTATTATTTTCGTATTAGAATTAAAGTGGTTAAAGTCTAAATAATTATTGACCAATTAAAATGAAAAATAAAAAAGTGGATGATCTCTTTCATCAACTTTTATTCAATCCTTTCTCAATTTCATGAGATTGATTGATAGTCAAATGTGAATTGATGAAACCTGTGCTGGTTAATTACAATAGCTTCTCTAGATAAGTAAGAAAGAAAGCCATATTTATTGTATAATCAACAAAGTATTAAGAAAAACACAAGCAAATCTCTCAATAAAATTTAGTCTTGAAATTTTAAAATAGATAGATACAACTTATGCTAAAATAAGACTGAAAAACGTTTTATTCGGTCTAATTTTACACGTATCTATTGTTCCCAGCGTTTCGTTCGTTCGGTTTATTAAAATTGTAAAGACTCATAACTATTTTAACTTTATACAAAGAAGTAAATTTCAAAAAATTGTACTGAATTAATTTACTTATTAAGTAAATTGATAAATCCGCTTAATTTTTATAAGGAGAAGTCTAATAAATTTTTGATCGGATATATTTCAATTTTTATTTGGTAGTTACGTAACAGAAAATAGGAAGTTATTTTAACCGAAAAAAATAACTAAAGGCTCAAATCTTAAAAACGTATTCACCCAGTGTTAGGTAACCATTAAATTTGAAGATCTGTTCTTACAATAAAAGTTAAAATTAAAAATAATAATCGCTAAATATCATTTGTTTAGTTTATTTTTCGGTGGTAACATAGTAACGAAATGATATTCGACATTCTTTACTATTTTATAGAGTTTCAAAAAACTATACATCTAGAGAGATCTAAGATCTTGAATTATATTTAACTTACTTTCCATAATTAAGATTGTAAGAATTAGGATAAAAAATTCATAAATTTGTGTAATTTCAGGTGTAATAATTTAAACAGTCTTAAATCGTTACACTTCTTTTCTTTTTACCTGTGCTACAAACTCTTAAATATTTTAAAGTTTAGATTGATTTCTCAATTGGGGCAAATTTTTTTCATAAGGAATTCGACTAACTATATAATTTTACTACTTACTCTATCTGGGTTTGGACTGAAGGGGGGAGGATAGCTATAACTTTCAATTATAGGAGTAGACAAGGATACTTTCTTTTTAAAGTTAAATTAAAACGGTTTATTTGTGAGGCATCAATTCATTTACATCGTTGAAAAAAATTTTCAATGGTCTCACAAAAGAATATTAGAAGATTTAAGAATTAAGCGTTTTATGTTAGTTAAGATGTTAATTTATATATGGTGATTTAGAATCTCCTTATCTTTGAGTTGAAATATTCAAGATGACATACGATTTTTAATCTTCTTTGTTTCTTTTATTTTGTATAGATTTTAAAAAAGAATCCCATAATTCAGGTATGGCTATAACTAAATGAACAATTGATTTTTAAACATGATAATGCTTATACTCAATGTGATTGATGATCTTTAATAAAATTTTTCATATTTCGAGATTAATCAAAGAAGTATTTAAGTTTTAAACGTTTGATTTATATTAGATTTCGGGCGACGATATAAATATAATAAAGATTAATTTTTTTTGTCTTACATTACAACCATCTAAAAAATCAACTTAATCAAAGAAAAAAAATTGAGTTGATTTTGAACAAGTGAGACAACGTAACAAAGTAACGACTACTAAGTTCGAATTGCGCTGTGACGACTATTCGATTTATACACATCCTTAGAAAGTGCTGGTGTGTTTTCCACATTTAAAAGAAACAATCAAACATTTTGATAAGAAATTTTCGATTACCTAGGAAACGAATTTTTGAAAAAAATAGAACAATAAATTTAAAGTTTCCGTCAGCCTCAGTTTTTGACAGATTAAGATTGTTATGTAGTTCGTTTTGAATAATTCTACTGACAAATTTTAATTTTTCAGACCTAACTTTTTTTGCTTTGCTTTTGCTTTTTATACAAAAGTCCTGTGGTCTCATAAATTTAAAGTTCAACGGTTATTCAGACAAAATTAAGACAATAGAACTTTATTTGAGACTTGAAAATTAAGAAATTACATCTAATCTATAATAAAATCTTTGAAATTAGTGTCAATTTTTATTCAATGTCTGAAGAGTTCAAATTTTACATAATACTGGTACAATCAAAGTATATTTAAACTTCCTATTCTGTATTAGAGCCTGATAATTCCGATCTTTAGTGAAAGGGGTAAACTACAAGACGAAGATCTAACTATTCTTCCTTTATCTTTAACGAAGATGCTATCATCAAAATTACATTGATCTTTTATACCGTAATATGGTGGTATCTAATCAGGTGTTTCTGTTCCTTTCTCCAAAGTTTGATGGACGATATGTTATCCACTCCTTAAACTACCTCCAATTCTAAACTAAAGTAGGAGGCTCAGAACTCAACTGGTTCTATATGTTTCATAACAAGACGTTCGACAAAATGATTAAGGTTATATTGACCAAAAAAAAAAACTGTCGTTCAAATAAATCTTCGTATTCTATATATTTTATAAAAGTTCATGTAAAACATGTTAAACCGTATGAATTCTAAAGAAATTCTATTTTCCATACACTAAACTTATTATTATAATTCAAAAAATAAATCTTATGCATGCATTTATGATTATGTAAAGGTTATGTTATTTTTCTTTTCCAAACTGTGTATATGAAATAATGAAAAAAGGGGAACATTCCATTCATATTGGTTTTATATATATAGTAGAACTCGATATCATATATAATATATTTCGCACGAGGCTATTACTATTTTTGTTCTTTTGTAACTTTCTTTACTCTTACATCCTAAATTTCATGTTTTAATGGATCAGGTTTACCGTTAAATTTAACGCAAGGTAAATTGGAAATCAAATTGTAAAAATCTATTTCTTGCTATGGTCTGGATTCGAATCTTTATGAATTTCGACTATACGTTTAAAGTTATTAACTTTGAACGAAGAAAAAGTAACATAATAATATCTTGAGTACTTAGATCGATTGAAATATTATATTTCTCGATTAAATTTCCGTAAATAGAATAATCAACTGATCGTGTGGACATAGCCGGTAATTTAAATTTATAATCAAGGTAAGTAATTGTAACTTCTTCTTCTTTTTTGTTTTTTCATTCGTTCACAAACAATCATTATGATTGAGTCTATAAGTCCATTGGAATACCGTTGAAAATTTCATGATGAAATATTAAACACAATATAAAAAGGAATAATAAGAGCTTTAAATATGATGATATTTTTAGATTGTACTTAAAATTTATTTATCTGATTTTTTCATTTTCATCACAAAATTCAAATTTTTCAACAACTTTTTAATACCGTATGTAAGTTTTTTATTATGATTATTCATTATTCTTGACACCAAGCTCAATCTAAGTTCTATCTTTCTATACGCTACTCCTCATGTAAGTGTTTTTCTCACTTGTCAACCCTACTAACTATCAACCTATTCCATAAAAATAGACGAAATGAAAACGCAATTGTATTGTTGTTTATTCTTTTTTGGACAGAAGAATTAAGCTCAAAATATTTTCACACAAAACGATCAAAAACAATTGGAAAGAAAGATTTTAGTGCAAGTAGAATGTTACTCAAAACACAAAAGAGTTTACAAAAAGTTATAAGTTCAAAGGAATCATGTGGTTCAAAGGGATAGAAAACAAAAAGAGTATAATGTAAACTCATTGATAGATTAAACTTAGTTTTAATTGTATTACTTCTAGAATTCTCAAACAATTGACAGATTGAAGATGGATTTTAATCTTAAAACACTGCTTATAAGCTTATATAAGGAACGTATTAAATAATTAAAGAAATATGGTAATACAGTGTCTCATAAATTTGTCTCATTAATTTCTTTTTTACTTTGTTATAGTTCTATCTCTTATAAATTTTGTCTTAAATCAAAGACAAGTTTCGTATAATTTAAGAAATAAGTTGAATATTAAAAGGAGGTCTATAGCAATATTAAAAATTGGTACTGGTTGTTGTAAAATAAATTTCTCGGACTAACTTCAAATGGTTAAGATTATATACACTAAGGATTTGTTCCATGATTGCTGTTGTATTGAGTTTACTATTTTGTATAATTTCAGTTAGTTTTGTACAATCATTTAATTATCTTTGTACTGAACTTTGGTTTAATTTTAGAATAATACCATACTATTTTGTATAGTTTAGCTTTTAAATTCGTAAATATAAAATTGGTTATATATTTTTACATTTAGACTTTTAATATTCTTGTATGAAAGTAAAAGGTTCAACAAGTAAGTAACAAAATTGTTGAAAATCTAATATATACGTTTATAGACATTAATTAGTTCTTCGTTAACTATCATCTACAACTATTAAATCTAAGAACTTTCTTAGAATTGAATTAGCTTGCTTGATGGAAATAAGTGTTAAAAACCAAAAGAATTTGATTTAAAAGTAGGTAAAAGTGACTCCTTAAATTCATAAAGTGTTTTCTGATTATATAAATTTCAAAATTCATGTAATAAAGTTTATCAATTTTTCAATTTAATACTTGATACATCTTTTAAAATAGTGTGGAATTTGGTGAAGTTAAAAACTCGAAACAAAAAAAAACCTCTTAATTTCAGGAATTTTCAATTTATAGTAGTTAAATTTTTCAGACACAATTTTCAGAATATATATTGACGGATAAAATGAGAATAGCCTACATTAGGGATGATCAGATAGTGATTTGAGTCATTACATCTAATAACCAATACCTCAATCTTAACATAGTAGCTATTTACCAGTGGTTTAAAGAACCTAGTTCAAATTGTATAGCAATCTCTATCAAATTAAACTAGCCCGACTCTTCAACTTTCTTGAATATATTGTGAATACCAATATAGCGTGATGAAAAAAAAGGTAAATAAAAAAATTATATCCATCAAAAAACAATCAATGTCACCACCTTCAAATAAGAGACAAAAACTACTGAAAAATGAATATACAGGCTATGTAACAAAACCAAATGATAAAATTGATGAAATTGAAAATGAAACATCACCAATTGAATTTTTTAAAAATTATATAAGTAAAAGAAAACCAGTTAAATTTAATAAACAATATTTTAAAACTTGTTCAACTAACTCGGATGGAGTAATTTCAAATTTATCAAAATTTAAATTTAAAAATTTATTAAATACTTTAAATTATAATGAAGATATAAATTTACAAATTGAAGAAAAATTTCAAGGTGGGTTTGGATTAGGTAAAAAAAGACAATATATGAATATTATTGAATTATTTGATGAATTAGAAAATGGTGAAAGAGATATTTATTTAACTACTCAATATAAGATTGGGAATGATAATGAAGATAATGATGAGGATGATAAAGTGAGGTTCGATAAGGTCGCAGCCGAGTTGGATGATGAAGAGGAAGAAGAAGATGACGAGGATGAGGATGATGAACAAATAAAGGTTGAAAACATGTCTAATACATCATCAATTGATATGAATAACTTGAAAGATGATTTTGATGATATTGAAGACGATTATGAAGAAGAAGAAGATAATGATGATAATATACATTTAGAAAAACAAATTGAATATAAACAAAGAATAGAAGAATTATATCAACCACCATTAACAAATTTAGCAAATTCATCAATATTACCAACAAATCCAACAATAATCCCCAAATTAATAACTCAACAGATAAATCTTTGGATGGGGAAAATATCAACAAATACAAAGTTCGACATTGATCTTTCATCATCATTAGAATCATTAAATAATAATAGATCAATTCCTTCAAATGGTACAAGTTCAGGATTACATCATGATCATGCTGATAATTTATATATACTTGTTCAAGGTTTAAAAAGATTTACAATTTTTTCACCAATTGATTGTGAAAATTTATTTACTGTGGGGAAAATTTTTAAAATTTTTAATAATGGTATTATTGATTATGATAATTCTACAAATTCAAATTGGAAATCAATTAGAGATGATGGTGCTATTATTGAGGAGATACTACATTGGGAAAAAGCAAAAGCTACTGATCCTAAAGAAATTGAAAGATTAGATGAACTTATAGCCAAACATGAAGAACAACAAAAATTAAATAAAGATGAAAAAGAAAAAAGTGATTCATCGATTTCGAACGATCCACCTAGTTTTTCAAAAATTCCTCCTGCTTTATTACATCTTGATGAAATATCAGATCCAAAAATTAAACAGCATTTAGTTGAGTTTGCAAATAAATATTTTCCTGGTTTTTTAAAATTAAATAAAATGACTGTTTGGTTATATCCTGGTGAAATGCTTTATTTACCGGCAGGTTGGTTTCATGAAGTTTCAAGTTTTGGTGATGATGACAATGATGAAGATGAAGAAGATAATGAATCTTTGAAAGATAAAATTGAAAAATTTAATGAAAAATCTTCAAATATTCATATTGCTTTAAATTACTGGTTTATACCTCCAAATAATTTGGATTTTAATAAACCTTACCAGGATTCTTATTGGGAAGAAGATTGGAAGATAACTAAAGACGCACTTAATGAATTAGGGAAAAATATGCATAGTTAACGATAATGAAATATTTATTTATTTAATTCTATAGGTTTTGGAACGCCGCAGGCGATACTTCTTCCAATTTAAATTGCAGCTGACATTTTTTTCCTTGTGGGTCAGTTGGTAGCTCAATAAATTGTTGCATAATTTTTAATAAGATTGTCGTAAATTTTGCTGCGAAACATACTTAAGTAGTGCATATGGGCAGTTAGTGAAACTTGGAATTAAATTGCGCTTTTTTTGTAACAACTCCGCTCGCTCGGAAATGTTACTAAATTTGGACCTGTAGTTATATGGTTCTAGCCCTAACCTTTTACTCAACTTTTTTTTCTTTTCTTTTTGATCAATAAGACGTCTACTAAACACAACTAATTATCTATGGACAAGAAAAACAGAATAACGTCATTGAGTTGGCTAAATTTTGCCTTATTGTGAATTCTACGTTGAATTCTTTGCCATCCCTAAAGAGTTTTAAGCTATCTATCTTAATCACTATTTTGCTTGATTGTGGTTGTAGGTGTGATATGAGTTGATAAACTCACTTTGTTAATAATTGACTCAATAATCTTGATACACCCCCAATTTTATAAGAATATAGAACGTATTGCATATAAGAAGTAATTAATCTATTTAATTTTTATCGTAAATATTATATTGATTTAACTTTTTCTAAGATAAGCAATCAATTTAAAATTCTAATTGGAGCGTTATCGGCAATCTAACAATTTGAAATTTTTCAATAAGATCTAAGGGAGTTTAAGTAAAAGAAGTGAATGAAATTGTATCATATCTAATACAACTGATTTATAGCTAAGTGGTTCATGACAGAGATTTAGTCAATCAACAAGTAGTAGTAGCAATTCTGGAATTGCCTTTAAAGAAAAGAAGATAATCCACACCAAATTATTATAATTAGAGTAACACCCCTAATTAGGCATTTGTTTATATTATTAGGTTACTAAACTAAATTAAAAATAGATTTAAAATTTTAATTATGATACTGATTGAATCTCTTGCATTAATTTTTAATTACCAGAACAATATGAACACATGTTAAATAGTTCGATGAAGAGGTGAAAAGTAGGCATGTTGAACTAACCCTTCGATCGAGATGCTTTTAAGAATTTACAGAGCACCCATTGATTTGGTCATCTCTGTCTAATCGTTCTGGTCAAGTTGTGCTTATTATCATTCATAAATAGATGTATCTTTTATTTTGTGTTTATCTTTAAAAATCTAATCAATCTTTCACCTTATAAGTTTTTGATATCAATTCAATCCTTTTTCTTGATATAGATTAAGATAAGTACTGTATATAATACTTAATAAATAGGAGAGAGGCACAATTATTTAATTTTCAGTTTGAGCATAAATACACTACCTATTGATAAATTTATTAATGTATTACGTATTTACTATTAGTACTGTATAGTTAATTAATCCTTAACTACTGAGTACTAATGTTAATAGAATATTTATTTATATCCTTTTATAAAATTTACAACTAAAATTTATAATTAAATTAATAACATCACATCTTTACAGCACAACTAAATATTGAAATCAGAACAAGAAGATTACCAATATAAACTTATTACAAGTAAAAGAATAAACTCACACTAACTCCAATCATTTTATCATCACACATATTTTTTTATATTTTCATTTTTTTTATAAATCAATATATTCAAAACAATACCATTCTTTTATTAAAATAAAATTTTTATATTGAATCAAATAACTTTGTTATATTACGTTTAATTTCAATTCATTATAAGAACAACACTCTTCAACTGAAGCATACATATTCATATAAACTTTGACAAATATTTTACTATCATTTGTTAAAGAAATCATCAATCAGATCAATCCATAAATCAATTTTTTTTTATCAAAAAAAGGTTGAAGAAGTTGTATTTCATAACACACTCACTCCATATATATTCATAGATCAATACCACCACTTCTTATCAATTTTTGATTGTTTTCATACAATATTATTTTTTTGTTTTTTTTTTTTTCACAACCATTATACATCTTTATTATTGATAATGAACTAAACTCCATTTAAGGAATTTTTCGTTTACGACTAAGAAGAGAATTAGAACAGGAATTTATATCACATATTAGAAAGAAAGGAATATTAATCAAAAGTCTTTCTTTCATACATTTACGACTCTTTTATTTTATATATTAATTTCACATTTTATTTTCAAGGATTTCTAAGAGGTTACTTTAAATAATTATTTGAATCAACAAAACATATAACGAATCATATTTTTTATATCATATATTGTCAATTTTTGTATATTAAAACTTAAAAAAAAGGATTAAAAAAAACACATAAAGGTATTTCAATTTTATTAATTTTCATTTATAAAGAATTCAAACTATATTTTTAAAGAGGTTACGAATTAAATTCTTGTATATTATTATCATTTACACACTTGGATTTTAAGATTATTGACTAATTGAAGAATCCAAAAATATCAACAGAAAAGATTGTCAAAAATTAATTTGAGGTCTAGATCAGAAATCAAACAAAAAAACTACTTGTTGGAATCAATTTTGTAACATAAGTTTCAAATCAATTTCAATTTGTAAAAAATTAACATGGCATTAGCTGATAGACGTCCAATGGCTTTGCCAACTACAGCCTCACCAATCTCACCATCATTCAATCCAAACACTTTAGGAGTTTCATCAAAATCTAGAAACAATAGTTTACCTTTAAAACCAACTGAGGAAGAAAATTTAGATGAAACTGAACAAACTGAACAAGCAGATGTAGATCTAGAAGAAGCAACTGAGAATAGAAATGAAGCTAACGAGGAAGAAGAAGATGAGGATGAGGATGACAAACAGTCAATCTCATCAGAATTGGAGAAAATGGAGATTCAAAATGAAAATGATCTAGAAAATTCATCAACTTCAAGAAGTGCTTCTCCAGATTCAATTTTAGATAAAAATAAATCTGCTACAAGAGAATCTACACCTCCAACTACAATTTCAACTCCACCATCTTCTCAAGGTGATACAGGTAATGGATCAACCAGTAAAGATAAAAAAGAAAAGGTTAAAAAACCAAAACCAATTTCAAGAGCTCCTATTGCAACAGGTATTTCTACTGCTATTCCAGTTACTGGTGAAAAACCAAAACCAGAACAAAAAGGTGATGCTTCACTAGAAGATGATGTATTGTTTGCCATATTTGTTATCTTATATGAGAGAGATCCAGAAGGTCAAGGTTTTACTGTTAAACAAATTTGTGATATATTAGTTGAAGAACATCCACTGATTGCTCAATTATCAACTAAAACTTCAAATTTGGTTAGTGCTAAATTAAATGCTTATGTTAAAAGAGTAGAAAAAGGAGATACTAGTTTAAAATATGCTATATCAAGAGATTGGGCTGATGCTTCGCCAAAAAGAATGGTTTATGTTTATCGTGGTATATTAGCTCCAGGATTTGAAATTGTAGCTAAAAAATTAATGGATGAAATTAAACAACAAAGAGGTGAAGAACAAGCTCAACTTCAAGCAGAAGCAGAAGCACAAGCAGATTCTCAATTAGATGGTAAATCAAATGATGAAAAATCATCGGTTGCTACTTCACCAAAGTCATCAAGTAAAAAAATTTTAAAAGATTTACCACTTTCAAATTCATTAACTGATGATTCATTGGAATTAGGTAAACAAGCATCATTGGCCAAACCAAGAAGACAAACAATGTATGATTTAGGTATTACAAAACATTCATTTTTTGAAACTGGAGGTCCGGGTTTTGATAAATCTAATTTATTTGTTCCATATTCTTCAGCTCCTGTTACTGCTGCTTTAAATGAAGTTTCTACAACAGATTCGTTTAAAGATCCATTAGATATGGAATTGGATGATGAAGAATTTGAAGGAGTTTTTGCAGATAGTGATCAAGATGAAGATATTGATGATTCAAATTTAATAGAAACTATTCGTAAAAATGGTAAAAGATCAAAATCAATGTCTTATTTGTCAATGACTAAAAAGACTAAAGTTTTAACTGCTGCTGCTGCTGCTCCAAGAGCTTCACGTGCTCCTAGTTCACATAGTCCAAATGCTGCTGCTGCTGCTGCTGCTTTACATGCTGCAGCATTAAGAGCTATTTCCAGAAGTACACCAACTTCAAAAGATACAGACACTAATAAAAAATGGTTAAATGTCATTAGATCTGGATTTTTAAGTCAAGATATTGGAACTCCTGAAGATACTAAATTATCTGATCTTGATAAATTTTTTGCTTAAAAAGGCTGCAAATCTTTTCTACAATAAAAAACTAAAAAAAAATTGTATTATGAGTTAATGACTTTTATTTTCTAAATTAAAAAGAATAAATTTATATTATTTTGATTTCATTAATTATTTAGTCTCTAATGAGTTTTCTAATATATTGTTCTTTTAACTTTCAGTATTCATGATATCTCAGATTCTTGATGAACTGATAGTCACTACCAATTGCGATTCGTAAATTTTCAGACCATTTCAAATGAGATCAGACATACAAGCATCATTGCATGTTCAAACAATGTATTGGCATACGAAGTATAATTCAATATAGAAGAAACTATATAATGTCAAACGGAACAAAACGAATAGGTCTGCCATTAGAAAATAAGGAATATAAACAAGCCCATCAAAAATCAGTTACTAGAGATGCCAATGGATTTAGATTAAGACAACAAGAGATTGATAAATCAATACGATTAGATGATGATCCTGAAAACTCAGGGAATAATTATGGACATCATAAAACTATAGAAGAAAAAGAAGCAGAAGGAGCAGAATATATAATAGAAGGAAATTTAAGAAAAGTAACTCCATATTATTATACATATATGACATATTGTAAATTAAGATGGAGAGATCGTACATTATTAGATATTTTTATTGAAGAATTTAGAGATAGAACTCCAGAAACTTATAAAAAGGCAATAGAATCAGGTCAAGTTAAATTAAATTTAAAAATTGCAAATTTACAAACAATTGTTAAAAATGGAGATTTAATTACTCACCGTGGATTTAGAAGAGAAGCTCCAATAAGTTCAAAACCAATAAAAATTGTATTTGAAAATGATGATTTATTAATTATTGATAAACCAAGTGGTATACCTGTTCATCCAGCAGGTAGATATAGATATAATACCGTTACTAAAATTTTACAACATGAATTTAAAAAAACTGTTCATCCTTGTAATAGATTAGATAGATTAACTTCTGGTTTAATGTTTTTAGGTAAAACAAGTAAAGGTTCAAATGAATTTATGAAACAAATTCGAGATAGAAATGTTTCAAAATATTATATTGCAAGAGTTAAAGGAAAATTTCCAACTAAGGATATTATTGTTGAGAAACCAATTTTCACAATAAGTCCGAAACATACATTAAATGTTGTTGATGAAAAACAAGGAAAAGAAGCTAAAACAGAATTTAGAAGAGTTTCATATGATCCAATAACTAATACTAGTGTGATAACTTGTCATCCATTAACTGGACGAACTCATCAAATAAGAGTTCATTTACAATACATAGGATATCCTATAGCTAATGATCCATTATATTCTAATTCATATATTTGGGGTGATAATTTAGGTAAAGATGGTATAGCTGATTTAGAAGATGTTAAAAATAAAATAGATTCAATTGGTAAAACAAAAGCAGCATCAAGTTGGATACTACCGAATGAAAAAGGTGAAATTCTAACAAACGAATTATGTCCACATACTGGATTACAATTATATACTGATCCTGGAAGAAATGATTTAGAATTATGGTTACATGCTTATCAATATGAAGCAGATGATGGTTCTTGGTCTTATAAGACACAATATCCTGAATGGGCAATTGAACCAAGTAGAAAATTTATGGAATTAGCTATACAAGAAGCTAAAAAATGTGGAGAAACTCAAACTCAATTTAATGTTGGTTCAGTTTTAGTTTTAAATGGTGAAATTTTATCTACTGGTTATTCAAGAGAAATTGAAGGAAATACTCATGCAGAACAAAATGCATTAACAAAATATTTTAATAAAAATGGTACTTATGAAGTACCTCCAGGAACTGAAATTTTTACAACTATGGAACCTTGTTCTTTAAGATTGAGTGGGAATTTACCTTGTGTTGATAGAATTATTGAACAACCAAATATTAAATCTGTTTTCGTTGGTGTTGTTGAACCTGATGTATTTGTTAAAAATAATTCTTCATATAAGAAATTATCAAATAAAAATATTGCATATATTCATATACCAGGTTATGAAGATGAATGTCTAGAAATAGCGAAAAGAGGTCATGAAAAAATTGAGAAAATTCAAGAGTCCAAATAATCTTTTAAAATTCATAACATTCATTAAATTTATAAATATAGTAGTCTTATAAATAAAGATTAATTTTCTTCATCACTCAAATCAACAACCACTTCCTTTTTAGCGTAAACATAAATATTTCTTCTATTTCTATTCGGATTTGTACTTAATGATGCAACATTAGTTTCTGAAGAAGCTGAGTTTGAATTTGAATTTGAATTCAGCATTTCTACATTGTGTGGTCTTTGAGAATTCAAGTTTGATGTATTAGTAATTGTGTTTGAATTTCCGTGATTTTCCCCATTATTTTCAACTCTATTGGAAGCTTGGGTCGAAACACTTACAGATCTAGGAATAGCAAACCCAGCAGCTATAATACTATCTGTAAGTGATATGAAAGCTAATTTTGAAGCTTGATAAGCTTTAAATATTTTATTTGAATTATTTTCTTTCGTTGGTGATGACGTCAGTCGTGTTTTGTACTCTTGAGTTAGTCTTGCATGTTCATTGTTTTCATTGTCAGTCCTTCTGGCATTTCCGTTTTCATCATCATCATCATTTCCTTCATCGTCAGATCCATCTCGTGGAATTTGCTCTTCCACAAATAATTCAAATCTATCTAGCTCATATGATTCATCTTCATAAAATCTTCTACCCAATACCCCTTCTTTTTCTTTTGCTTTCATGATTAAATTAAACTTATTACACCACTCCCACGGTATAACGACTCCAATCACATAATTTACAACTGAAAAAACTTCGGATAACTCATATATAAAAGCATTTGAAACATCAGCAATGAAAAAAGCAACAGGACTATAAATCAAAATTAATGTCAATAATGTCAAAAGCCAAATTCTTCTATTCGCTATAATGATTTGTATTTTACTTATGAAATAAACAGTTATAATGGCTGAATAACATAAAGCCATAGCAATTCTAACCAAATAAATAAAAGCAGGTAATATATCACCAGCTTCATCATTTGTACTAAATGAATAAAATTGTGATACTCCCCATATGACTTGAGATGTTAAAGTAGCAAATAATCCAATATAAAATGTCAATCTTTTATCTTTTTGTCTTTGAAATAATCTCATAATAATTTGAACTTGATTTACTTGTAATAATAAGACTACTATAAGATCAATTATATTTATAGCTTTATTTCCATTTATTTCATTTAATAATTTCGCTCCATGTAAATAACCTTCTCTTTGTTGAACGTGTAAAATAATAATTGATTTTATAACAACGACTAACATGTAAACAGATGATAATAAAGTAGAAGCTTTTAAAAGCCAAGAAGGTTTGATGGTATAATTTGTAAGGACAAAAATGGTCAAAAACCAAGTTATGACAGCAGACACAGCAATAGCATATATGATTGAAACAACACTATAACTAAAAGAGCCTCTGATGTTATTTTGAGTAAAATCAAACCATGAATCTGCAACTAACGGCAATGGTTCAGTGAATTTATCTATGACTAGCCCCACATTAGTATTTAATACTGGTATCATGTCTTTGTAACAGTTTTGTTGATATATTGCTTTTGATATATACTGCACCGGGAAATCAAACATATGCGATATTATCATTCCTTCATTTAACTCGATTTGTTTACATGATGGATAAGGTTCATCACCCCACCATGTGTTTCTCCAGTACATTATAGATTTATTTTCTTTTCAAATTTGAATAAGTGTATTAGCAACTTTTATTTAATGAGTAAACCATCTCATATAATAGGAATAACGTTATACTGTGTTGAGTATTGAATCAATAGTTCAGGTATTAGCCAAATTTGAATGACAATTTGAATGAAATAAAATAAATTTATTTTTTTCCCGATAAAGAAGATTTGATTTTTTCAGATCAAACGAATTTGAAATTAGGTTGCCATAGATCAATACACTTTGCATTCATACTACTTCATAAATAACTTTTTGAATTGGGGAAGCTTTGAAAATTATTAATCAAATGTGCTAATGAAGCCGTGAATTAAAGGGAGACAATTATCATAAGAAATTTAATCATCATATAATATTATGGCAGCATTTATTCAAAATGAATCTGAATCTAATCCGAATAATGAACAAATACTACAGAGTGTTCACTTGCTGCCTCATAAGACATTAAACAAAAACGACAACAATAACAACAATACTCATCAAAGAAATGAATCCTCGTATTCCAGGAATTTTTCACTTCTTGATTGTTATGAAGCAGAATCACCTTCTCAAAGAGATAGCTATGTCGAGATTAACTCAATTGATCATGATGAAATAAATGCTCAAATAAACGGACTCAACATAAGTCATACACCGAGTAATAAGGGCAGTAGTAACAACTTTGATGAGAGTGACGGAACAATTCGATTAGATCAGAAATCGTCTTTAAACACAAATGGCACAAGTCGGAGATCATACATAAAACCTACCACCTCAATTTCAGATAAACATATACTCAAATCAAAGTTTGATAGATATGGATTCAAAAAAGTTTCATCTCAAAGTACAATTACTATAAACGAATACAATAAATGGTTTGCAGAATATTCTGAATATTCAATAAGGCGAAAAAGAAAATGGGAAATATTATTAAAGAATAATGGACTACTATACAAGTCAAGTGAAATAGATTCAATTGATCAAAATGTAGTACCTACGCGGTTTCCACCCAAGTCTGATAAAGTGAAAAAATTGGTAAGGAAAGGTATACCGCCTGAATGGAGAGGAAATGCATGGTTTTATTACGCAGGTGGAAATGAAAAACTATCTAATTCAAACATTACATACGATCAATTGGTAGAAGTTACACAAGACATTAAGAATAAAGATACAGAAATTATAGAGAGGGATTTATTCAGAACATTTCCAGATAACATTTATTTCAATTCATCAATACTAAAAGATGATCAAGATAAATATACATCATCAGCTTCATCTCTTGCTAATTCAGCCACAAATGAAAGAGAGGAAACTGAACTAATTAAATCCTTGAGAAGAGTCCTAGTGGCATTTGCTCATTATCAACCACAAATTGGTTATTGTCAGTCATTGAACTTTTTAGCAGGACTATTATTATTATTCATGAATGAGGAAAAATCTTTTTGGATGTTGGTTATATTAACAGAACGAATTATACCAAAAGTACATCTGGCAAATTTGGAAGGAGTACATACTGATCAAGGAGTTTTGATGTTATGTGTCAAGGAATATATACCTGACTTGTGGGATATCTTAGGCACAAATTTTGAGGGAGAAAAATTGAAAGAAGATAAGATATTGACAAGACTACCTCCTGTGACGTTAGTTACATCTTCATGGTTTATGTCCTTATTTGTTGGCATTCTACCAATTGAAACCGTTTTAAGAGTCTGGGATATCTTATTTTATGAAAATAGTAAAACAATTTTTAGAATATCATTAACAATATTTAAACTATGTTTAGATTCTCCCGAATTTCAAGCAAGTAACAAAGGAGGTGAAGAAAATGAACAAATCGAATTGTTTCAATTTACACAAAATTTTCCTAAAAAGCTTTTAGATCCAAATAATTTGATTGATCATTGTTTTAAAAAAATTGGTGGATATGGGTTTGGTTCTTTATCACAAGATGAAATTAATAAATGTAGAACTTTTGTTGCAAAACAAAGAGAGAAAATGAAATCAAATAAGTTGAAAGATTTAACTGGAATGACAGAAGAAGAGCGAAAGACTTTATCTCTGTCAGCATTATATGATGAAGATTTGAATGGAGAAGATAATATTCACGACATTTATGGCTTTCATAGACCAATTATGAGTGGTATTGTTTGGAATAAGAGTATAAGTGATAAAGTCAGAAAAAGGTTTTCCGGTAAAAAAAGGACATGATTAAAAATAGTAAATTCTATAATGATATATTGAATAAAAATGGTAATGATAGATATTTTTACACACCACGATGTTTTAAGGCTGTTTATGTTATACCTTTGTAGATAGCGTCACTAACTTTTACTACATCGTTAATTTCTTTCACGTCATGGACTCTAATTATGTCGGTATGTTGTTCAATACACGCAGTTACAGTTGCAGCTGTGGCCATCATTCTATCTGCAGGTATGTTTTCGTCTTGTTTTATGATTGTTCCTAAGAATTTCTTTCTCGAGGTTCCTATTAACAAACTCATTCCGTTGAAGCTCAAATATTTATGCTTGTGATTTTGTTGAGAATTTGAAGATTCTATCGATTCATTGACTTGTATTGAGTATTTTTTAAAAAACGATGCATTTTGTATTAATCCTAAATTTTGTTGCAAATTTTTAGCAAATCCAACGCCTGGATCTAGTATGATCTGCCATTTTTTGACACCACGAGAAAACGCTTTAAAAATCTGGGATGATATCTCTCTTGACACTCCATTCAATAAATTTGTTAATTCGGGTTTCAAAGTTATTTCCTCTTGACCGACTTTTGGGTTAATAATGAATTCGATTATGTCATCATTTTTATTTGGTTCATATTTTGTTAGAGTTGACATTGTTTTTGGTGTACCTCTTGTATGATTCATGATATAAGGGCATCCAAATTCCGCAACGACGTCAAACATATTCTCATCGTATTTACCCATTGAAATGTCATTTATTACATCCGCACCAGCTATTAAACATTCCTTAGCAACAGCTGATCTGTAAGTGTCTATGGATATTATTACATTTGACACTTTTGAATTTGAGGAATTTCGAATTTTTTCAACTAGTGGTAATACTCTAGCTATTTCTTCTTCTTCAGGAGGTTCAACACTACCGGGTCTTGTAGACACTCCACCAATATCAATAATTTGAGCGCCTTGATCGATCATTTTCTCAACTTCAACCACAACTTTATCCAACTCGTTATTGTAATATTTACCAACATCACTGAATGAGTCTGGTGTCATATTTAGTATACCCATAATCAAAGTAGGTGATTGAAAATTAATTTGATCAAATTTGAGTATATTTTCGTTGGTAGATAATCTCGGTACTGGATTAATTTGTAGTAGTCTTGAATGTTCTTGTATATCTGTGTCAGGTTCATTCATAAGTAGTTGTTGCAAATGATCATGTATTGGTTCCGCACTAATAGGATGAATTTGATCTGGTGGTATTAATTCGCATAAAGGTTGAAGAACAAATGTTCTCTCCAACATGAGTTTGTGAGGTATGATCAAGTCTTTTGTATTCAATTGGACATTATCATATAATAATATATCTAGGTCAATAGATCTTGGGCCATTATCTATCTGTTTTTCTCGTTGTATATGATTATATTCAATCTTTTTCAAAATGTCCAACAATTCATTTGGTGAATAATCATTGAATGAAACTTTTATAACACCATTTAAAAAATCAGATTGATTCAAAACATACATTGGTTTTGAGATATAAAGCGACGAAGTGGCTTCAAGTCGTATCTTGTAATGCAGTAATAAGCCTATAGCTTCATTTATATTTCGAATTTGATCTCCCACGTTTGAACCCACCGCTATGAATGCCTCATGCTCTCCAGTAAAATCATTAATAGCTAAATCTTCCACAGGCAAGTCAAACCCAACTTCTGAAGATGACTTGTCAGCTGATGAAAAATCATCATCGACAGCATCTCTGAAAGTCTCTTGTGTAACTAAAGAACTTACCCCAACACCTTCGACATGACTGAAAGCATTTGGTTTGGTCGCTTTGACATCAACGGCCGCAATACCAAGTTTTCCATATTTTTGAAATACTAAATGACCTATCTTGAACACCAACGCTTCCACGGTTTTGAAATTTGAATTCTCAACATAATTCACAATATCGGCAATAATTTTGTGGAAATCTAATTTGATATCATCCTTAAATATTTTGAATTCCAAATCAACATCGACAATTTGTTTTTGATATCTTTCGAAAGTGAAGACTCCGATAATTGTTAATAATCTTAATTTGTTTACCCTATAAAAGTCCGAAATATGCTTATTGGAAGTACCATTGTTTCGCGTTACTTCATACTCAACTGATTCAGCTCTTATCTCTGATTTTGGACTGTTTATTTTGATATTTGCAACTTGGCCCTCTCCCTTTGTTTCATTCAACACTATAGAACTAATTGACTCCGCTATATTCCCCAAGGATTTAAAATTTTTGTGTTCATTTGATTTCATGAAATCTGATATGTTTCTAGTTAAAACCGCATAATTAACACTATACTTCAAATTGTCAGTGATTGAAGCTTTTTGGAAATCAGTTTTGACTGATACTGATATGTTTATAGGTTGTGGAGTCGGTCTATTCCATGCATCTTTACCGGTAATTGCAGTAGCCGAAATCTCTTTAACAAAAACCAGATCTGTAGCCATTAAGGGAGAGCTATGAAAAAGATGATTGAATGAGATGGATTTTTTAATTGCAACCCAATTGGGCCTTGTTAAATATGAAAACAAAATTTTGAGTAATCAACAGATTTGGATGAATCCTTTGAGAGGTCCAATTTTTCAATTAATTTGGGGAATAAAAATAAGCGCGAGATGATTCAATCAATTCGCGAGTTTCAGAATATTTTTGATAAGACGCTCCTGCTTACTGCACATGTATTTATCATTAACATCATTAGTCTCATTAATATTATAAGGTATTCTATACAGTCAAATATTTGGATATTAAATCCAATATTTTGGATTAAAATATATCACTACCACTATCACTCGTTGTGTTATCATTTACGATTTCAACCCGATCATCATCACCATCTTCTATTGTTATGGTATCATGATCAATTTCATCTTGATCACCATCCATTTTCATATCATTTACAATTTCAACATGATCAGCAATAATTATACCATAATCTACTGTAGATTGACATATTTCCTCAGCTTTCTCAAATCTACATTTCAAATCTTCAATAATCATTCTTAGTATGATTTCATTAGCTAAAACATGCATTGCGAAACTTGAAGGTGTCCAATATTTTACCGTCTTATTATAACTACTTGTATTATTCAAATCAGTTTCAAATTTCTTGAAAATATCACTACCAATCACTGATTGTCTCTGAAATCCATAATAACCTCCATAAAATGATTCCCAATTTACTTTTAATTTTTCTTGAGCCAGCATAGTTTCCTGCCTCGATTTGACACACTGATCTTTAGCTCTCTCGTAATATATCGAAGGGTCGGCTTTACCTGATAAAATTTCTGGAATGAATTTATAATATTTTGAAGCTCGTTTAAGTAAGGTACTTCTTGATGTAATCGGTACTGGAATTTTTAGTCTCTTGTGACGATTTAGTATCTCATCTTTGGTTCCATACTTTTTAACTTGGAAATCAAGTAATAAATTTATTGGTTTTATTGGCTCTGATTTATCTTTATGCTGAACATGAGTATTTTTCTTTTTCAGAGGTAATTTGGATGTCGATATTGGACCCCTCTTACTGCCGTTTCTTGTTGCAAAAATGTCATCTTCATCATCTGTTAAATCTATATCTATTGCAATTTCTGATTTTGATTTTTCCGGAGATCTTTTAGGTGACAGTGCTAATTCATTGATTAAAACTGTACCAAACTCTTCCCTTTCTTTGAGTTTGGAATCTTCTTCAATGGAATCATTTCCTGTCAAACTAAGTGGGTAGGAGCGTATGTTTCGATCCAATGGGTTTGAATCTTTTATAGGGCTTGAACTTTGTTGTAGCCTATTTTTCTTTGAAGGACTCACTCTCTCTGAATAAGTACCGTCTCCATTATGAACCTTAAACTTTTTATTTTTCGCTGGCCTGGAATATTGCTTTGACTTGTTTTGCTCTATTGGTGATGAAGTATTATCGTTATTCAACACAACGTTATCATCAGGTGTCTGATTTTTGTAAGGGATAATACCTGTTTCTACTGTTGGTTTTTCAATTCTAGATGCTGTGGAATTCTTAGACGTTGATTTTGCTTGATAACAACCTAGACTTGTAAGGGATTTATTGTTCATGGATCAATTTGTTTTGTCTAACTCTAAGTGGTATATTCATTGATCGTGAATAATATTGTTTGTATTTGAAGTATGAATATGTTTATTCAAAAGTACAATTTGGTTTTCGCGATTTTACGAAGTTTTTCTACACCAGAAAAAAAATAATGTTAAAACACGTAAATTTGGAAGTGTTTGAAATACCAGCGAAATGAAGAGATAGATAAGTTTGTTCATGTCAATGACTACAATGACACATACAGATGATCTAAATTAATATAGGACCAAAATTTAAATTTATCGTAGCATTACCTATATATTTAAAACTCTACTGCGGGTTTTGTTGTTGTTGCATAGATTTCATTAGATATTCAGCAAATCCAGGTGGAAATTGACTTGGATCTGGCATAGCTTGTGGTCCACCTGCGACTCCTTGAAATTGAGGAATTGCTGGCATCCCAGGTGGAGGGGGTTGTTGATAATTACCAGGATATTGCATTTGCTGTGGTACTTGTTGCGGTATTTGCGGTATTTGCGGTATTTGTGGTATTTGTGGTGCTTGTGATACTTGTGATACTTGTGGTACTTGTGGTACTTGATAAGGTTGTTGTTGTTGTTGTATTTGAGGTGATCCGTTGTTATTTCCAAACAAATTTTGTAATGGATTCACTGATGATTGTTGATAAGTTTCGAAATCTGGTCTTGTTCCATGACTCATTTGAATTTGTGGTTGAAGTAAAGTAGTTTTAACAAAATCTTCATCTGGTTCCCCAGGTCTATTTGATTTAGGTCCATTTCTTGCGGAATTAGTAGGCATTTTTTTAGACATTGCCTTTGATGAAATACCTGCACCAATTTCAATATCTGGTTCATCAACAACCATACCACTTGAAATTGGTTGACCACCAGTACCACCCCATTGAGCTTTTACAACCCAAGTCTGATCAGCTTCTGTTAATCTTTGAATAGGAATTAAAGATATACCATGTTGATAATTACAACAATCTCTAGGTCCAAATCCTACACCCCAACGAGTTCTTAATGGTAATGAATTATCTTTATTAAAAGATGTAATTATTTGTTCTGCTTCTTTTCTAGAATAAACTTTAACAAAGGCATGCTTTCTTTCACTATTAAGAATAACTGATTGGATTTCAGCAAATGGTCTTAACACTTGAGCCAAAGTTCTTTCGTCCATATTTCTCGGAACACCACCCAAAAATAAAGTTCTTGATAATACTTTTATAGTCCCTTGAGGAACAGATGGATCAAATCCAACATTTCTTGGACGGTAATGAGGAGTTCCTGGTAAATTCATTTCACCTCCCATAGCTGATGGTGACACAAAAGCTGGATCTTGTTGTTGATTTTGACGTTGAGGCTGTTGAGGAGATTTTTGTTGTTGTTGATTATATGTTTGCTGATATTGTTGATTTGGTGAAAAAGTTGAATTATTATTTTGAGCGGCAGTATTAGCTTGTTGTTTTTTCAAATTAAGTAAATTAGCTTGCATGGCTTGAACCGATGATGAAGCAGGTGGAGGAGATCTAACATGTCGTCTTGGTGATCTTGATCTGTCACGTCTACCGGCACCACCAACATGAGATTCACGAGCATCTCTTCTTCCAATATTGTAACCATTAGTACCAACCAATGACGGATCTTGATGTTGATGTTGTTGATGTTGTTGATGTGGTTGATGTGGTGGATGTTGTTGATGAGGTTGATGATATTGTTGTTGATGAGGTTGTGATTGAGCATTACCACCTTGCATTTGATTCAACATATTAAAAATAGCTTGTTCTTGCGGTTCTTGTTGTTGTTTATTAGTTTCAGAAGGAACATTATTTGCAAGGTTGGCTAATAAATCAGCGGTGTTCGTATTAGTTGTACCTTGAGAATTTGCAGAATTACCAGAACCAGTATTTGCAAGAGATGCTAAAGCCAGTAGTATACTATTAGATTCTTTACCTTCTGATGTTGGTTTAGTAGGTTCAACACTAGTTTTTGGAGGTGTACCAGGAGGAGTTGTAGATTTAAAATGTTTATCCTTAATCTTTTCAAGAATTGTTGGTTCAAAAGTTTGATATTTATCCCAAATATCAACTAATTTACCAATTTTTATGATCATTCCGGGATCTAATTGATAATCCATTGAGTCATCAATTAAACTTTCAATTAATTCACCTATTTTGAAAACAGCAGAAGCATTTGTACCTTCCGGTGCATTTGAATTTACAGTTTCGCCATTATTTGTTGCTTCTGCTTTTAATCTTCTTGCAATAGCATCAACGACATATAACGTACCTAATTTATGTGATAATTGAGCTGATTTACAAGCAGAATAGAGAGCTGCAATGATTTGACTTTCTTTTTCTTTATTTATATCAGTAGCGGCAATTTGTGTCAATTCCTTGATTCGAGATCCCGAAACACCTGGAGCAGGTAATCCCGGTAATTCTTTTAGAATCGTATTAAATCTTTCAATCAGCATATTTAACTTTTAAATTTACTAGTTCTTGGATTTATAAGTACCTTTTGAGGTGATGTGTTTTTTAAAATTACGATGGTTTACAAGAATAATAAGTATTTATATGAACTTTGGACAATACTTCTTTCTATTCTTCTCTGGATTGTTTTCTTTTGTTTCGTTACGTATCTAGTTCCCAGTTACCAAATGTAGTTATATCTTTAATTTAGCGTCGCCTACTTTTTGAATGTTTAATTGTACGAGTATTCAGAAAATTTATATACAAAAAAATTTATCCTTTTTTAAAGCCTTGGTTGTTCTAGCTTTGGTTGATTTGGTTAAGTATCAACAAATTATTTGATTGATTGATTGATTGTAATGTATGTGGATTCACTACTACTTAAAATGCTTGTTAAGAAAAAGGAGGATATTGAGTTTACTCAAAATTTTTTGCTGACAAAATCTTGTAGTTTTAAAGCTCTACCAATTTTCATTTTATGCAAACTACCAAATGACATTTCGAAAATTTTTCAGACTTTCTACACTAAAGAACTGAGTATCAAGATCAAGATTTCAATTCAATACATCATAAATGTGCATAATATAAAGACATGAAGAAAACAATACTAAATACGGTGAAATGTTATTCTACAGCAGCCTCATCTACATCCACAACACCAATTTCATCCACTCTAATACTATCTCGTTTACCAATAATCACACAAGATTTAACACCATTTGAATCACAATTTTATAAATATCAATCAGAATTATGGAGAAGACTAATGTGGACTTTCCCAAAATGGTTTTATTTTAAAACTGGAACATTAGCAGAATTAAGATATAGACAATTAAATAAAAATCCAATAAGTTATAATCCAAAAATTATATATCCACAAGGTAAACCAGATTTAAAACATTTAAGAGATAGAAGATTTAGACAATATATAAAAGTTCCTAAAACTTATAAAGAAGAAGATGAAATGATTGGACAAGATCAATCAAATATAAAAGAAAATGAAATAAGTAGAAAAATTATACCAAATTCAAGAATAACTGAAGCTGATAAAATTGGAGATTCAAAATCATTAGAAAGAAAATTAAATAGAACATTATATTTAATTATAAAAGAGAATACCAAAGATAAAAATCAATGGAAATTACCAAATTTCAATCAAGAAGAATCATCAACAAATTTACTACCTTTACATGAATTAGCAGAACAAGGATTATATAAATTAGGTGGTAAAAAAATTAATTATTTTAATATTTCAAAAGTTCCATGTCATCATAACTCGGCAAAGGAATATTTTATAAAATCTCATATTTTATCAGGTATATTTGAACCTCAATCCTCAAACATAGAATTTCAATGGATTACAAAAGATGAATTAAAAGATATTTTACCAAAAGATTATTATAATAATATACTGCATTTATTAAGTGATGTATAATAAATAGAGAGTTTGTACATAGAATAAATCACATTAATAAGAATCATGAGAGGGGTTACAACACGTTAATACTTCTTCACTCTATTGTACATATTTTACTTTTTACAAACACTAATGCAATAAACTATCATCTTTAACTTATATATCTTTTTTCCCATTTATAGCTTGTTGAGCAGCAAATACACTCTTATCTAATAAAGCACCAACCATTAAAACACCAGCAATTGAACTTACAACTCCTAATATAAATCCAGATCTTGTTTTAGCATATTGTTCTCTATTTATAATTTTTAAAGGTGAAATATCAAAATTAAAAGCAACACCTGGAACTCCACCTCTTGCATGAATCGTATGTTGATGATCATCATCTTTTCCTCCTATTAATGGTCTATCATGAGTTATAACTGAATATTGATTAGTATCAAATTTTTCTTTATTATTTAATGATTCAAATCTTGTTGAAACAATTTTTAAATAATAATTATTCATATGATATTTTTTATGTTCTAAAAATGAATGACCATCTAATGTAGATAAAGAAACATAATCATTTTCACTATTTGGTTTATTACCAAATGATAAATGATTTATTATATGATCAAAATTAAATTTATCTTCATATTTCATAAATAATGATAAATCATGAACATGTTTTCCATTTTTGGTCATTGAAAAACCAGGAGTAAAATCCAATGTTCCTGCTACTCTATTTATTTTGGTATTTCCTTTAACTCTACAACCTTCATTTTCATTTATTCTTTGTTTTAATCTTTTAACATATCCTTCTTTTTCACATTGATCTATATTTTCACCATCAAAAAATTGCCAATTTGCTTCTGCATAAGCTCTACGTACAGCAGAACATGAATTACAACAATATTGATTTTTATCTTGTGGTAATGCTCCATAACATGATCCACATTCTTTTTGACCTTCTTCTCCTTCATTAATTCCTCCACAAATTTCATTCAATGGTGATTGTCTTTTTAATGCAGGTTGATCATCTAATATTTCTTCTGGTTTCCCATTAGTTTTTATAATTCTATATTTTTCTAATCCAGAATTTATAATATCTAATTTTATATCTCCTGTTTCATCAAATAAATCAATTGTTATCATATCACAAGGTAGATTTAAAAAACTTATATCTAAATTTATATCTAATTGTTTATTTATATCTCTATCTACAACTAATTCAGGTCTTGCTATTATTGTTGTATAATCAATATATTCATTTCTTATTAATATCAATGCAACTAATATACATATTAATGTTATTATTCCTCCCGATGCTGTTTTTATTCTTGCATCCTCAACAGTTTTAGCAAATGCATCTAGTGATATTAACTTAGGTCGTGAAGATGACATTTGATGTTGAGTTTAAAGATATATATGAGTTGATTGAATTGTTATGATAATACGTGGTTCATAGAAACTACGAATTTCCACGTAGAAAGACAATAAAGATCTGGGATTTGGTAGCATGATATTTTACGAATTTTTCAAAATATTCATTGGTAGCGTCACACATTTGAATTATCACCAAACTTACTTACTACATACATTAAGTTTATACAAACCAAACTCAATCAACTTACATATAAACCAAATACACTCCCTATTCTTTAACAAATGAATTTCAATGATCCATCACAATATATAAAACATAATCAAGCATTTTTCCGAAAGTTTAAACCAATAGTATATAGAGATAAACCAATAATAGGTCATACAACAACATCAACAGAAATTATAACAATATCAATAAATCCATGTGGTTCAAGAGTTGTTTATTCAAGAACTGATAAAACTATAAGAATATATAAGAGTTATACTGATGGATTATATGATCCTATAACTATTGAAGATGCTCATTTAAAATCAGTTGAAAGTATTAGTTGGAATCCAAAAACTGAATTTGATTTTGCAACGGTGGGAAACGATGAAAATATTAAAATATGGAGAAGTTTAAATGGTAGTTTAGTTAATATAATAAAGACTGAACTAAAAAATTTAAGAATTGTAAGATATTCAATTGATGGAGAAATTTTAATTGCAATTGATAAATCGTCTACAATTTTAATTTATTCAGTATTAAATAATTATAAATTAATTCAAAAGTTTATAATTAATGAATATATTTATGATTTACAATGGTTTAATTATGAACATTCATATTTTATATTAGCATTACATGATGGTTCATCACCAATATATGAAATAAATAATGATGGTGAATTTGATCCCAAGAAAGATAATAATGAATTATATAAAATAAAAACTATAATAAAAGGTCATAGATCATCAACAAATACAATAGCAGTATCACCAAAAGGTTCATATTTTGTAATTGGAGGAAGTGATGGTATAATAAGTATATGGAACACGATAAATTTATTAAACAAAAATGTTATAACAGATATTGATCAATCAATTTCAAATATAAGTTGTTCAAGAGATGGAACATATTTTAGTGCAAGTTTTGAAAAAAATTCAAATTCTATTATATATGATAATGATTTATGTATAAAAATGTTTGAGATCCCTAATAGTGAAAGTGGTAAATTTACTTTTAATTGTGTTTATTGGTTTCCTTCAAAAACTGAATTTGTTTATTCAAGTGATTTTGGTACTACTTTAACTTTAATGCATAAACCTGAAGAAACAAGAACGGGAATAAGACCATTAAATAGGAGGTAGAATATGCGAATGTTTGTGATAGATTGATGTTTGCGGTACGGATGAATAGATAACAGAGAGAAGAAAAAAAACAATATTTTTCAACTTAAATTACATTCAATTCATTAAAGATATCATATGTAATCCACTATTATTCATTCCAAAATTAGATCCTCTCAGCTGTCCAAATAGCACTTTTACAAATTAATTTAATACCTTCAGTTAAAATTAAATAAGGAACAGCTTTTTTAGCATCATGTTCAATAGCAGTATCTAAATGTTCTAATTCATCATCTCTAAATTGACTAATTAAACTTTTTAAATTTTTTAATTCTTCACTTGTTTTTAAATCTTTTGGAACTTCATTTTGAGGTATTGGTTCTCCACTATCTTTATCAAGTACATCAACACCATATTGATTCATTAATACCCTTAATTGTTGATTATAATGATTTCCAATAACTGTTTCAACAGCAACAGTACATGCCATAGCAGCTTCTTTACTAATTAAAGCAGTACCCATACCAATCCCCAATGCACCAATTTTCCAAAAGGGAGTTAATAAACTTGGTCTTACTCTTTTTTCAATTTGTAATTGGTTAAAAGTATTATGATGATGAATTTCTTGATCCCACATATGTTTTAATATAGGTTTTAAATGTGGATATTTGTTAGCTAATATAAAATATTGACCTTTATATATATAATTTGCTCCTAATTCTCCTGCTTGATCTACTCTTATTACTCTATCTAAATATGCTTGTTGTGCTTGTGATAATGGACCATATTTTATTGATTCTAAAGTTGGTTCAATTTTAATTGGCTGTGGTTTTGGTTGTGATTTTAATTCTGATTCTGATTCTATATTTGTTTCTAATTCTAGTTTTTTTGATTTTTTCGTTGATTTCTTTTGATTTAGTATTGATGCGGTTGTTATATTTCGTATTGACTGGAACTTTGTCCTATTAGATGCTCTCTGTAGCATTGTGTGTGCTTCTGGATGTATGTATGGTTTTCAATTGTAGTCGTATAAATCTTGCTGTATTGTATGAATTTAATATCATATTTTAACTGTGTCAGTTTGAATGTTGATGCGACAATCAACAAAATAGGTTAAGAGCTCTGTTACAAAATATTTTGGTTGCAAAAAAATTGAAAACCAGATCTCAAATCTCGATCTCAAACACAGTTAGAGATGAAGACTCGATCTCAAACACAGTTAGAGATGAAGAGAGTGCGGACAACTAAGTTTAAAAGCAGTTAACTTTTATATTAATCAGTATAATTATTTAGAAATAGTGAGTATATAGTAAGTAAATAGTCAAAAAAAAAACATCAGCAAACATTAGCTTATTCATTATTTTTAAAACTACTCATAATTTTTAACATTGAAATTCCAATATCAAAAGGAATTTCTTGAGTATCTCTTGAATTAGTAACAGGTTTAAAATCATTATTTGGAATTTTTAAATGTTGAAAAAATTTATTTGGAACATCTTTAATTAATAACCATTCAACTGGGAATATTCCATTATATTTTGTTGATTCACACCAAATATCACTCTTGGTGGTGTAATCTACTTTATTTTGCATTTCTGATATACCACAAAATTTTCCACTTGAATTTACTGAAAATAATAAAAAAATTTTACCTTTCAAATTACTAGTGGAATATTGTAAATCTTTAAAAGCTTTATCTAATCTTTTATTACCTAATTCTGTTGATGTCCAAATATTATATGTAAAACTTGCATTAACATCTAATATATTATTTGATTTTATAACAAAAAATCTTGAATTGAAAGGTACTGTAAATATGTTACCACAATAATTTCTAAATGTTAAATAACTTGAGGATGAGTTTTGGGGTTGTTGAGGTTGTGGTTTAGTAATTTGTTGATAAGTGAAATGTTGTTGTTGAGATGATAATGGAGGTGGAGATTGAATTAACAGATTATAAAAATTAGGTAAATCACTTGGTGAAATAGGTGATGGATTATTTGAACCATTAAATTGATAATTTTGATAATTTTGATAATTTTGATAATTTAGTTGTAAATTTGAATTAATATTAGATTGTTGTTGTTGATTTTGTAAGTTTATTAATTGTTGTTGTTCACCGTTGACGTAACCTAAATTATTTAAATTATTATATAATTCCATTTGTTTTTGTTGTAATTTTTGTTCTTCTTTTAATTGAATCAGTAAATTTAATCTTTGTTGAATTTGAAATTGAATGTCATTCTTAATTTTAGCTTCTGAAGTTTGTTGTTGTTGTTGTTGGTAGTGGTGTTGTAATTGTTGTGGATTAATATAGTTTTGTTGAACATATAATTGATTAGTATATTGATTTGAAACAAAACCATCATTTTTCCAAATATTAGGTTTTAAACAAGTTGGTATCATTTCAACTTCTGATTCAATAGTATGAATAGTTAAACTTGATCTTGGTGTGTAAAAGTTATTGTTTGAATTTGTATTTGAATTTAAAGATTCATTAAATAATGAAATATCTAATGAATTATTTCTTGATCTATTATTATTATTAAAATCATGAATTTCAAAATCTTCTAAACTTGGTATAAAATAATTTGAATTTTCAATTGGAGTATTTGGGGTGGTTGATTTTTGACTTTGATTTTGATTGGTATTTATATCTAAATTGTTAAAACAATTTAAGTTATTTAAATTATTACATAAATCTAATAATTGATTATCATTTTCTGAGTTTCTAGTTGAATTTGAAAAATTATCTGTGGTAGTAGTTGAAGAAATAGATATTGATGGATCTGAAAACATATATTGAAATGACAAACTGAACTAAATAAATAAATAAATAAATAAATAAAAGATATATTTGTATGATACGTAACCAACTGAAGTGGTTGTAAGTTGTAACTATTTATAAGACTAATAAATGAACTGAAAAATATGATAAATTGAAAATAAGACGCGTGTTTTTGAACTTTAAATTTGAATAGTGCTATTTTACTGTCAGTTGGTTAAGCGTGTATATGTTTATGAATATGAAAATAGTGTGTAATAATTGAATGGTTGTAAGTGTTTGAATGATGAGTGTATTAAAAGAAAGAAGGGATGGTTGATGATATTTATACAATTTCTATACTTAATAAATTTTGTGGGGTATTAATATATGAAATTTTAAATACGTGGAGAAATTTAATAGTAATAAAATAGTAATAATAAAAAGTGTATAAATTATATATGTGTGTTATACGTAAAATAAATGTTTCAGATTTAAAATTATAATATTTTTAATGAAGTAAATGAGATACATTATATCTCATACAGTTTATACAAGGATGAGCAAATCCAACAGTAAAGCCAGTTATTAGTCAACCTTCATAATGAGATCACTATATCTCAAAATTATATACCTAATATATGGTAAACGAAAAGTGTATATATTAAATATTAAGCTAATAATAAATATAAAGTGTATATATATTTTATATAGTAGTGTATATATCAAATTAATTTCTTTATATACAGTATTTTGTATGTAATCATATAGCCTTTTCAATGGTACAAAAGCTTAACTATACAGATTTTGTTCATTATAACACTACTCAGATCTTAATACATTACCAGCTTATATTTAATTTAACCCTTACTTCAAGAGAAAACACAGCCGTACTACAATAGTTAAATTAAAGAATAAAATTGTGTTTGAACCTTAAATTAAGGGTTTAAGAGAAAGATAAAATAAATTTACGTTAGTCTAGTACAAATCACAAACCTTTATCAAGATTTACTTTCTAACTCATTGCAAATATACAACTAACCTTTACATGTCAAAAGACACTACACAAGATGATCAATCAATAAAAGATACAACTACAAAACCAATCATAAAACCATCAAAATTATTTAAAAAAAAAGCATACAAATCAAAATTAAAGCTATTTAAAATAAAACCATGGATTAAATCATATATAACAAATTATTTAAATAATATAGATGATGAAATATTATATAATTATATAATAGAATTAATTAATACATCAACATCAGAATCAGAAAATGATGATTTAATTGATATAAAAAATATTCAAAATCAATTAATTGGATTTTTAAATGAAAAAGAATCATTGGAATTTTGTTATAAATTATACAAGATTATATTAGATTTACAAGATGGTAAGACACCTGAAGAATTAATTATTGAAGAGAGAAAGAAGTCGAAAATTGAAATTAAATCAAAACCCAATGGAACTAATTCAAGTTCTACAAAGGGAGTTAAAAGGACTAATTATAATAGAAGATCAAATTTTGATTTAATAGAAGAAAATGATAAAAAAAGAAAAAGACAAGTTGATTCTTATATACCTAATAAATCTGGATCAAAATTAGATGATGATGTTAAATTTTAATGGTTAATAGTATTAAGAAAGTAATTTTGGCAAAAATTCTCGAAAATACAATACTTACAACACGTCTTTCTTTGGATTGGTCTTGGTTCGATATTGATGAAAAGTATATGCTTCAAGTAAAGCTCAAGTAATTCAAACTAACAGCTTCTGGCAAAGTTAATTCGAATTAGACATCGAAAAATAGGACTAAGTGCTATCTTGTAAAGATAAGGTTTGTGTATTTTTTTCATTGAAAGAAGTTCACAACAAACTGATGATATCATTTTCAATTTCAGTGACATGTCGATTTAATGTCATGAAATCTTGAGATTGTCTCAAAATTGTTTAGTGTCTTAAGCTTGAATTTTCTGTCACAAATTATTTTCTTTTTTGTACTCTTTTGCAATTTGATAAATCCTATCTTATCCAAACTAATAACCATCCTCAGACATTGAACCAATTGGTTCATAATAAAAGCTATCTCAATCTATTTTTTTCTTAAAATTATCTACTTCAACTCACAATGCTTATAGTAGGACTAACAGGAGGAATTGCATGTGGGAAATCAACAGTTTCAAAAGAATTACAAACTAAATATAATTTAAAAATAATAGATGCAGATTTAATTGCAAAACAAGTTGTTGAACCAGGTAAACCAGCTTATAACAAAATAATTAAAGAATTTAAACCATATATACCTAATTTAATAAATGAAGAAGATCAAACACTTAACAGGGCAAATTTAGGTCAATATGTATTTGAAAATAAACATGAATTAAAAAAGTTAAATTCAATAGTTCATCCAGCTGTAAAATATGAAATTTTAAAACAAATTCTTTTGAGCTATATAAAATTAAATGATATGATAATATTAGATGTTCCATTATTATTTGAATCAAAATTATATTTAATTTGTGGAATTATTATTACAGTTTCAATATCACCTCAAATTTTACAAATTAAAAGATTAATTGAAAGAAATCCTGAATTAACGGAACTTGATGCGAAAAATAGAATAAATAATCAAATGTCAATGGATGAAAGAAATTATAAAAGTGATTATATTTTAGATAATTCTGGTTCTTTAAAAGATTTAACAATTTCAATTGAAAAATTAATTAAAAAAATAAAACCTAATAAAATATGGACTATTTTAGATTTAATTCCACCTATTGGTTTATTATCTGCATTATATACATTTGTAACAAGACGAATAATTGAAAAATATAAAAATAAAGACCTAAAACAAGAGTAAGATTAACAATTCTACAAATAGTTTTATTCACGAATAAACAATTTTATAAGAATTTACCTATTGATTTTGACGTACACCACTAACTATATCATCAACTCTAAGTAATAAACAAGCACTTTCAATTGCAGTTTTTATAGATTGTTGTTTAATGACTTCTGGTTCCCAAACTCCATAATCATTCATATCAACAACTTTACCATTTTCTCCATCAATTCCATAATCAAAATGTCCAGAAGCTTGTTTTGCTCTTAATTGTGATAAAATTTTGATTGGATTTCCACCACAATTTTGGATTAAAGTTCTTGGAATAATTTCAAAAGCATCAGCAACAGCTTGATAAGGATATTGTTCTATTCCCTTTATAGTTTTGGCTTTTTCTGATAATTTAACACTACATGCCATTTCAGTAGCTCCACCACCAGGACTTAAAGAAGGTTCAAACATAACATTTCTTGTTACTGCCATTGCATCATGTAAATTTCTTTCTATTTCATTTAATATATCTTTACTTGCACCTCTTAAAATTATTGTACAAGCTTGAGGATTTTTACATTTTGTTATATATGAAAAATATTCATCACCAATTAATTCAATTTTAAATTCTCCACATTTTGTTCCAATATCAGATTCTTTTAAATCTTCAACTCTATTTACTATTGTAGCTCCAGTTGCTCTTGCAATTCTATTATTATCTGATTTTTTAACTCTTCTTAATACTGATACTCCACCTTTTAATAAATAATGTTGAGCTAAATCACTAACTCCCTTTTCTGTTATAATTAAATTTGGTTTAAATTCTAATAATTGATCACAAATTAATTTAACTTGTTCTTCTTCAATTTGTAAAATTCTATTCCAATCTTCTTCTTTTGTAATTTCTATATTTGTTTGAGATTCTCCCTTTTTATATTCTAATGGACAATCTAATAATATAATTCTTGGATTTTCAATATGTCTTTTCATTTTTGGATGAACAACATCTTTATTTAATAATATTCCATCTAATACTTCTGAATCTGTAACTTCTCCACCTGGAATTTTTTCAATTCTAACATATCTTTTAACATCAATTTCTTTATAATCTCCTCTTTTTATAGTAACTGTTCTAACAGCTTTTAAACTTAATTCACACATTTTTTGAGACCATTTATTTATATATTTTGTACCAATTGAAGCTTGAATTAATTTCAACATTGCTTGATCATTATTTATATCAATAGGTTTTGAAACTTCATGAATCACCTCCAAAGCATCTTTTAAAGCTTCTTTTAAAGCTTTTATTATTATAACAGGATGAATATTTTTTTCAATATATGGAAAAGTTTGTGCTAAAATTTCTCCAGCTAATATTATTACTGTTGTTGTACCATCTCCAACTTCTTCATCTTGAGTTCTTGATAATTCAATCATTGATTTTGCTGCTGGATGTGAAACATCAATTTCTCTTAATATTGCATGACCATCATTTGTTAAAACTATACCACCCATTGGATCTAATAACATTTTAAGCATTGCTTTGGGACCCAAACATGTCCTTATTATATCTGCTACTGCTTTTGCTGCTGTTATATTTGCAACTTGAGCTTGTCTACCTGTTTGTCTTTGAGTAGATGTATTTAAATAAACAACCGGTGCCTGCATTTTTTTTGAAGTTGTGTTACGTGAGGTTCAATTAATAGTTTTCTTGGTCTATCTATACAAGGTTCTTGATCAATTTAACTCTGTGATTAGGGTGAATGTGATGGGGTCTAATTGATAATGATGTGAAGTATTGAAATTTTTTTATTCCATTAAATTCTTTTTATTACAACGCGAATTTAATGAGAGATAGATCAACAGGTTTTGACAACCATCAAAAACACAAAGCTTTGAGCTCTAGCACTGCTAATCACTAGAAAATAATGGAAATTGATGATTATATTAACTCGAATTTTACAACTATAGATGATTTGACAAACATAGATACAAAATTAAATCAATTGAATGACATATCAACTCAAATTAATCAAATTGCAACCAATAAATTATCATCAAGTGATAACAATGAGGTGAATTCTGAGACATTGCACGTGGAAGAGCCAAGTATTGATGAAAATGAAGTAGAGAATGCAATTAATGACCTTGAATTACAATTGAAGGAGATATCAGAATCTAATGATTTATCAACTAGTATAATTAAATTAGAAGAACTTATAAAAGAATATGGTTCATTTCCAGGATTCATTATTTTAAAAAACCAACTACAAAAGAAAATTGAAATTCAAAAACAGTTACAACATTTATCACAAGTCTCAGAATTGGAAAAACAACTAATTTCCTTGAATTTATCAGTGAAAGAGATTACCGAGATCAACGATAAATCACAAGAATTGAATGACACTTACTTAAATACTCTAATTGATGATCAAATAAACAATACAAAGACAAATTTACAAAATAACCTAAAACAAATAATCACGAAAAACAAATGGCTCGTTAATGATACCGTCTCTAATTCAGATTTAACTACAATAACTAATCTTTTCGATGAATTAATTCAACTACAATCAATTAAAAACATACCAGAATATCCTAATACTTGGTGGGGATTAGAAACTCTACTAGAACCAATCATAATAAGATTTAATTATCATTTCGATACTCCACAAAAAGATACAAATAAAATTTCAAAACCTGAATGGTGTTTACAATATATTGAAACATTTTTAGATGATAATTTATCATTAATTAATATAATAATTGATAAAAGTTTTAAATCATTAAACAAGATTGGAACTTATGAAATTATAACTTGTTTATTAATTCCAATTAGAAATAAAATTAATAAAATGATTTCAATAATAAATTCAAATATAAACAAAGTTAATGATGATAATAATGATATAATAGAAAAATATGGTAGATTATTAACTCATTTAATTTATGAATTATCAACATTTGATCAAAGATTGAGAAATAAATATAAATATAATCCAAATGTCACTGACTTTAATGTCAAGACTGATTTAAAATGGATTGGAATAACAGGTGACATATTTTTAAATAATCAAAATAATGCATTCGATAATTGGTTAAATTTTGAAAATAAATTAGCTATCAAGAGATTTGAAAAAGAGATTATAAATAAAGAAGATTCATTTAAAGTTGATTTTGATTATCATTCAACATCACATACACAATTATTAAAACCAACTTATTCTTCATATGGATTTATAAAACTTATAAATAATTTAAATAATCATTTACAACAAATTAGAGTATTTAAATATAACATGAAATATATAGCCAAAATTCAATTAAGTTTATTAGATTTATATTTAAATGAAATTAATAATCAATTTAAAACAATTACTGATAAATTAAATATGAAAAATGTTTTAAATATAATACCAGGTGGTATAACTGATGATAAAAATTCAAGACCCAGTAGTAATTCTGAAAATGATAGTATTAAAAATTTAGAAAATTTATTAGAAATTTATGTTTCAATAAAATATGTTATAAATTCATTAGAAGAATGGAGTGAAGAATTAATATTTGTTCAATTATGGGATATTTATAAATCTTTAAATAGAGAAACTAAATTAAATGAAGTTATGGATTATTATTATAATAATAATAGTAATGATGCCGAAGGAGAAATTGATGGAATTTTTGGATCAATAACTTTAAAATATGATAAATTATTAAATAAATCAATAAATCAGATTAATTCATTATTTATAAATGAAATTAAAAAATTTTTAAAAAAATATGTTAATTCAAGTCAATGGGATTTGGAGTTTATAACCGGTGATAAATTAGAACCATCTAATGATTTAAATCAATTAATTAATAATTTACCAAATTACTTAGACTTGTTAGCTAAATCAATTTCCAAAATAGATTATTTTCAATTTACAACTTTAATTTTAAATATTATATGTGATACATTATATGAATACGTAATTACAAATAATAAATTTTCAAAAATTGGAATAAATCAATTAATTATTGATTTTAATTATTTAATTCAATCATTACAATATCAATTATTATTAAATACTACTAAAAACCGTAGATCATCAACAACTTCAACTAGTGAAGTAATTGAAGAAGAATTTTCAAATGATTTTAATCAAAAATATATTAAAGTTGTTCAATCTATTGATTTATTAGATTCATTGGTTGAAATTCCTATAAGAAAGCCTATTGATGTTCAAAAGCTTAGATCTAATTATAATCATGAACTTAATGAGTTAAGTGATTATGAAATTAAGGATTTAATAAATAGAATTAAGTAGAGATGAATGAACATGATGATAATGATTGTAATACTTGTTGTCTATAAAATGCGCGCGTTTTCTTGATGTAAGACGCGTTTGTTTTGTTTGCGATAAATTTATAAACAAAAGAAGATCAAATCTTAACTTTTGTTCTTTAGATCATAAGTATTAGCATCAAACCACATACATAGAATCAACAAATGTCTTTAATACGGAAAGAAGTATGTTGAAACATAAAACATGGATACTTTGAGTGAATGTATAAGTACTAACTTGTTTTCAGCCATCCATACATCCTGAATTATCATGCATGAATATAGATAGTCATGTACAAGCTAATAATATAAATATAGATGAAAAACCAAATAATGGCTCAATAAATCTACCTCAATCTCAACAACAGCAACAACAAAATCCAAATGCAACCACAAATAAAATCCTAGCAAAACTATATAACAAATATGGAAAATCAATTATATCAATCCCTTATAAAAATGAAATAATAATAGGTAGATCATCAAAATGTGATATAAAAATTTCAGGTATTGATACATCATCAAAACATTGTAAATTAATTTTAACAAAAAGTGAATTTTCTCAAAAAATTTATCTCAAACTAATTGATTTAAGTTCAAATGGTATATGGTTAAATGATGAAAAAATTAATAAATTACATTATGAAATTTTAAAATCAGGAGATAAATTACAATTTGGTAAAACTGGAGGATGTTTTATTTTTAAATATGAAGATGATAATGAAAATGAAAATGAAGACGAAGAGATAAGTGATTTGGAACAAAATCATGAAAATAATAACTCATTTTTTGATGATTATATTTTAGGAAAGCAATTAGGATCAGGTCATTATGCTATAGTTAAAGAAGGTAAAAATAAAAAAACTGGAGAAAATGTTGCAGTAAAGATTTTTCATCCAAATAAAACAAATGTACCTAATTCTCAATATAATAATAAATTAAAACAAGAAATGTCATTATTATTATCAATAAATCATCCAAATATTGTAAAATTTATAAAACATTATATTGAACCAAATAAATTTGGTTCTTTCAATACTTTTTTAGTATTAGAAAAAATGAATAATGGAGAATTATTTCAAAGAATTATTACAAAGACTAAATTATCACCAATTGAAACAAAAGCAATATTTAAGCAACTACTATCAGGAGTTAAATATTTACATGATAATAATATAATTCATAGAGATATAAAACCAGAAAATATCTTGTTGGATATAACTCCAAGATCCTCCCCCCTGGAAAAGCAAACAGGACCATGGGATTATAATGAAATTGATTTAAAAGTTAAAATTGCAGATTTTGGATTAGCAAAATTTATAGGAGAATTAAATTTTACAAATACTTTATGTGGAACACCAGCATATGTTGCACCAGAAATTTTAAATAATTCAAATAATAGAAATTATTCAAAAAAAGTTGATCTTTGGTCAAGTGGTGTATTATTATATGTTTGTTTATGTGGATTTCCACCTTTCAGTGATGAATTAGCTCCTCCAAATATGAAAGAACAAATATTAACTGGAAAATATGCTTTTTATTCTCCTTATTTTGATGAAATTGATGATATTATATTAGATTTAATTACTAATTTATTACAAGTTGATCCAAATGAAAGATTTGATATTGAACAAACTTTAAATCATGAATGGTTTAAAGAGGATTAAATATTGAGTATATATATACATAAAAATTGCATTTAAATATAGAACATAGAAGTAGCTTGTAAGCATGGATATAGACAATTTTCATAACTCATTACACCTGAGTTTTGCTTTTCAACAACTCAAGCTCAGTGGTTCTTCCCTTGAAGAAATTACTCAACAAAGACTCATTCATTTCAAATTGACCTCTCATTGATTCAGGTATACTTTTCTTACCTTTATTATTAACAACATTCATCTTATTTTTTAATTCAGTTAAATTATTTAAAATTTTATTAGCTTCTTTCCAATTTTCAAGCAATATATAACAATCAAAACATCCAATTAAACATAACACGTCTTTATTTTGAGATTCAATTCCTAATTTAAACCATTCTATAGCAACATTGTAATTTTTAAATTTATTCATTTCTAAAAAACCTAAACTTGTAAATGATTCAAGTAAAGATTTTGAAGCACTAATTTCCATATGATATTTTGCTAATTTTGGATTTTTATCAATATATAATTGACCTAAATAATAATGAGCTTTTATTGAATATTGATCTAAATCACATAATTTTATACATTTCAAGAAAAATTCTTTTGCTTTTTCCAAATCTTTTGGTTCTTGAGTTAAATAATAATAACCTAAATTATAATATATATGACCTGATTCAATAGTATTTTGTTCAACTGAAAGAAATTGTTGATAATATTCTATAGCTTTATTAAATACTCCTTTTTCATAAGCTAAATCACCGGCCATTTTAAAAACTAAAGGATGTTTTAAATCAGTTAATTCTTTTATAAATTTATTTGCAGTTTTTAAATCATCTTTTAATTGAGGAGTTATTATAGTATTTGGTTTTAAAGAATTTCTAATAGTTTCAAAACTTAATAAAGTTATAGCATCTAAATCTCCCATTTCTGCACATTGTTCAATAATTTCATTTTCTAAATCAACTAAATTTTTATTTATTGATTGAGTTAAATTTCTTATATTTTCTAAAACTTTTTTAAAAATCATTAAATCTCGAGTTGTTATATTTGATGAAATTTTGATTTGTTGTGGTGTTGATAAATTATTATAAATTTCCGTAAGTACTGGAATCATTTTGGAATATGTTACTGATGAATCATTATCAAATAATATTCTATTTATTGTTCTTTTCGAAGGTAGTATTGTAAGTAATGATGGTCTTGATTTTATTGTGGGAGTTTTAGTTATTGTCGAGGTAGTACTAGCATGTCGTATCAATGATCGTAGCATTATGAATTGAGCTAAATGGTTTAAATTTAATTGATTGTAGGTCAAGACTGTCATTATTTGCAACAATTTTGGTTCTTTTTCGTTAACAATAATTCCTTAATATTGAATTTACTGTCTTAAAATCAAAAGTCATAAGTTGGTTTTCTCCGACAATAAAAATTACTTTAATTGACGAAACTTAATGGAACTTTATGTTTTTTAACAAAGTGTATTTATTATATCCAATAGTTGAGTCAAGAACTTGATCCATGTGTTAGAAGATACCTATGTGTTAGACAATACCTGACCTAGTTATTGAAAACATAAGAATTCTCCATCTCTGTTTGGATGCTTACAAACACTGTCCTCCAGTATTAAAGATGAGAATTCAAATCAAATGGTAGAAATTACTGCTTATGTTAGCAAAATTGATATTTTATCCCAAAAGTATTGTATCTTTTGAAAATGTGAATACATAAGTAGAAGAATGGATACAAATGGGGAGTAGCAAACTTTTTATTGAATCCGGTTGATACTATGACAATCGTAAGTGTTCAACCTGAGATGGAGAAATTTCAGGTTTTCAACGCAGGTGTTTTGTACCTGTTTATAATTGGTCCAAGACTTTGAAACGATGATTCGATAAGTTGCCACACATTTTGGACAAACATATGCCTTGCGGTGTATTCAGCTAAAGAGGCCAACATTAAAAAGTTTTAAATGATAAAGGAATGGAATACATGTAACCACCAAACTGATCATGTACTCCATATGTATTCCATTCCTTTTTCATTTGGATCGGTTGCGGTAAAACAAGATTTAGGGCAAACGATTGGTACATACTAGAGAATACCACTAGAACATTTAAAGGAAATCAAATTGTGATACTGATGCTAATGTTTTGTTTACAAGTATTTGGAATCTATCGGATTGAGGGAGAATTGCTAGTCCGAACAAAGGCAGAATTATGATATTGAGTCTGTTAGAAAATGAATTTGATGAGTCCTTATATTTGTTATTAGTCGAAATAGTGATACAGAGTTGTGAATTGAATGAGTATCAAGATTATGTAAATGCTTGTTTTCCATAAAAGGTTTAACTATGATTAGTAAATACCAAGGTGAGTATCACTAATCATTGTTAGACCTTTTAACGATAACCAACATTTACAATCATCGAAATTAGGTATGAAAAAGCTAAAAATAAAATTATAAATTTACTTATATTGAAATTTGAAATTAATGATCTTTCCTCTATCACTGTTTAGCAAACTAGACAACTTTATAAATACGAGATATCATAGTTCAAAATCCAAATATGGTAAAAAATTCCATGAAGTTTCTTTTGAATTAGGAATTATTTAGAGTGGACGTTCTAATTCTCATTTTGTCACTTAAAATCTCATTTGATAATCATCACCAACAATGCAAGATCCACAGCGAGAACAGTAGAAGAAAACACTCGAAACATTGAAAATTGTTTATTGACAAGTTTGAAATTTCTATTTTATTTATACACACATTAAAATCTTTGCAATTAAAGAAACACACACTATTATATTTGAAAACTTATTAAATTTATAACTTTTGAAGAACTGAAAAAATATAAAACATTTTTGATTAAAAAACACTTTAAATCGATTTATTAAATTAACACTTTTTTGAATAAATAATAAAGAAAGTCACATTTGAAAAAGAAAAGAAAACCATGCGATATCTCCACAAACTTTCATTCATTTCATTCTAAAAAAGGATGGAAATCACATCATCAAGATGTAATATTATTGTCTATGCTATTATTTGTATATATTTACCATTTTATTGAATCTCTTAATTACCAAAATCAATAAAATCAATGGTTGGTTGATGATGAGCTGGAGAAGTTAAAACACCTATTGAATTTAAAAGATTTGGATTAGTTAATAAAGAATTTGATGAATCTATTCCATTATTATGACTACCACTAAACTCACTAAAATCAAATTCTCCAATATTATTTGGTTGTTGTGGTTGTTGTTGATGATGAGTATATGAATTTAAATCTTTTGTTTGATTAAAAATTTCATCTGGAGTAGTTGTCGATTTGATATTGTTTATATTTATATCTCCAGATAATTTATTATTATTGTCTGTAGTATGAGTTGTAGTTAAATTTTGAAAAGATTGAGTCAGTTGTGGAGTATCTGAATGATAAAATTGATTTGAATTAACAGAAAATGGTGATTCATTTATATTTGTTGTGTTGGTATTATTAGTCATTGTTGTTATAGATGATGAATTATTTGATAAATTATTTGATGAAAAATTTGAATTTGTTAAATTTGTGAAATTATCTATTGGTAAAGAAGAAATGAAATTTGATGAAGATGCAGTTGAAGTTGAAGAATTTGGTGGATTATATAATGGATCTGTGAATTGTAAATTTGTTGATTGATTTAAATCATAATCAAATGAATGATGTTTTAAAGGTGCTATTACATCTGATGGATTTGCCGTTATAAAATTATTTGAAGATTGGAAATTTCCGAATTGATTATTATGATTAAATACATTATTCTCATTAATATAACGACATAAATAATTTAATGAATGTTTTGTACCTACAATAACATGTGGAATGTTTGATGATGGGTTATTTTGATTTGCAAAAGTATTGATTGGATCAGTGAATGCTTGAGATACTTGTTGACCTTCACTAAAATCATCACATATAGACCATTGATTTGTAGTTGAATTGATGCCATTGAAAAAATATACTGAAAATTTAGGTTGTTTGTTAAGATTCAATTTTAATTCATATGTAGTGGTGCCACTAATATTTTCATCATTTGTTGAATTATTATTATGTAATGAACAATTTATAATTGAATTTAATGAATAAAAAATCCTAAATAAAATTTTAGAACCATTTGATATAGCCAGAAAGAAATAATTTAATTCATGATTCTTTTTGGATAATATAACTAATAAATCAACATTTTGCATTATATCATTTAAAGTAAAAGGTGATAAATTAATTAAATTATTTTTTAATAAATTTTCATCATGAATCCCACTTTTAATTCTTTGCCATGATCCAACTGATAATGAACTTGAATCAATACAACAATAATTATCATTAACTTCAATTGAGTTTAATCTTGATGGTGAAGATAATGAATCATTCGATGAGCTTATTGACGAATTTGTTGAATAAAAACTTATATTATTTCCATTATTTGTTATATGATGATCTTGATGATTATATAAATCACCACCTAAAACAGTACTTGATTGTCTTTCATGTTTTCTTTGTTTTGCTCTTCTATTTTGAAACCAAATTCTAACTGCTTTTTCATTCATTGATGCTTTATCACTTATAAATTTTCTACGATCAGGACTTGGATTTTGATTCTTGTTGAATTCACTTATTAAAAAATTTAAAACTTCTCCTGAAGCTCTAATTCTCTTTTGAGGTGTACCATCTGACATTTTCTTTGGAATATAGATGCTACTTTATAATAAGTTTTTAAAAATTTTGAAGGAAGAAAATTTGAATTTTTTGTCACAAGGAGACTAATGTTGTAAAATATTGATAGTTGAAAATGGATATATGGTAGTGACTTAAAACTGAAAGTATTGTACTCTTATATGGATTTTGAACTTATAAATGGTAGAATTGAAAAGACTGTCAATTGTGATGTTGAGTCTTGATATAATTGTGTTGTTGAAAGAATGATCCAAAAGTGGTTTTTTATAATATATATATATTTAACCACTAAAAGATAAAAAATTTTGATTACAGGGTGTGTTTGAATATATAATAATATACTTATAAAAAATTTTTAAATAATCATAAAGAGATTTTGATTGAATATGAGATTTATTTCATAATGTACATAATGGAAAATTATTATACTTTATGCATTTCTTTTTAGTTTATATTTTTTATTCAAAACCTTAATGTTGAATGAATTAAAAATTTAAAAATATTAAACAAAAATTAAAAAATTAGAAATTTGGTTCTATTTGGAACACCAATATATGTTTTAGAGACGTAACAATTTTCAGCGATATGTGAATGTGATTATTGAGAGGGATATAATGTTTCAGAGATCTTTTCAATTCGTATCCTGAATCAGAGTGATACTTCGATATATTTCAATAGCAATAAAACTCATCATTACTCTCTAATGAGCAAATGTTGCTTCAATAGTTCGAAGGTGTGACTTTTGTTAACACGAATCGTTTGAGTTGAAAATGCTATGTTATATTTCCAACAACGACTATCTTGTTTAAGTAGAGTGAAGTTAAGTCCAATGGGTAAATTATGAAAAAATATGTACTTTTTTGAATGTATTTTTATTTTTCTTTTTTTAGTTTTTTTTTTTCACTATAAAGCTAGAGCTACAGTTTTGTGTTAATTTTGAACCTTAATTTTATCTTTTTCTTTTGTACAAACCTTAGATTTTGTGTAATAAAGGTTAGATCTCATAGTAGATTTGGGTTAGATACGATACAAACTAAGTCCGATCTTGGACTGAGGTTTAAATAAGTGTTTGTGAAAATCTGAGTTGATACTATTAATTCATATTAGAGTCTACAAAAACATGATATTTCCAGACTTAGTTTTCCAAAGAAACTATTGCCTTGAAAATCTTAACAAACAATAGAAAGGGAAAGATGTTCGCCCTGGGATCTACTTTCTTTCTTTGTTTTTGTTTTTCTTTAACAACCTCAATAAAAAACATACCATTTTCCCTCAGGGCGGTTAAAAAAAAAACCAGAGCTCTTTGTTTATAACCTGAAAAGATTTAATCTGAAACCAAAAAAAAGTAGCACAAAAAAAAACAATAAGAAAGAGATTCAAATGGAAAATAACCTTTGATTTTAGTACAAGTTTAAGCTAATATGTATCTTATCTTAACTTTTAAACTAATGTACATAATGCTAACAAAACAAAGTAGTGCATATGTGCAAGCAATGTACATATATTATTTTTTTTTAAATATTTTACACCCGATTGGTTTTTGACAAGAGATATTCAAATAGGCTACAAATTTTTACGAAGGGTTCAATTCTTTGTTTTTTTTTCTTTGACTTTTCTTTATAAAAATATCTCAAGCTTAAAATCTTATGGAAATATAACGGAAATAAGTAATTGCAACTGAAACCAACAAATTTTATTTTTGTACTTTGACTCACTTCATAGCCACCACTTTCATATATCCCCAAAATTTCAGATTTTCTGGTTGTACTTATGGATTGAGAAAGACATGGGTGTAACTGGCGTTGCTATCTATCTTGCTTCAAAATGTTGGTTTAAATAGCAAAAAGTCAATGTATATTGTCTTGTTTTGAACTTTATTTTTATTGGTTTTTTTTAACTTTCTTCTATCTTCATTTTCTATGTATCAAAAAAAAAGTTTAAATATTACGGAAATTTGAAAGTTTAATCACTTTTGTATTCCTTTAGCTTTTTGGCTTTTTGGCTTGAATCAGATTTCCCTTTGCGAAAAGAATTTGACAGTTGCACACTATATGAATTGATGTGGACACTTTTACTCATCTCTTTTATATATTATACCGATGAGTATTTTAAAAATGAAAGAGTACTTTTCTAATCCAATTGTTTTACCACCAAGAAAATTTAATTTTGAAAATTTGGACTTGATCTCAAAGACTAGAAGCTAAGATTAGTGGCGAATGATACAATTAAACAAACAAGCTCTTTGTATCTTTTTTACTGCCTCAATACCAACGATACACAATATCAGAGAGCATGATATTTTGTTTACTTCTTGCATTACTTCCGATGGGCCTATACAAAAAAATAGTTTCAAAAACAACAAAGGTGTTTCAAAAATATGAATCATCGGTTTTAAAATCAAAAAAACACCCCTTAACAAAACATGAGACATTACTAAATCTTTAAATAAGTATTAATCTTCTTCATTATAAGTAGTCAAATGATGGTATGATATCATCAAGTAATCAATTTATGGTTTTTGATTCGACTGCGTCAGGTCAAAAGGTATATGTAAGAGTAGTTTTTCATCTTTCAATCCTTGCACAGTAGAGTTAAAAATGTGATTGAGCTGCATAAAAAATAAAATCCATTCAATGTAATTGAGTTTTAATTTAGTACCATTTGCTTGTATCAAAGTGAAACCGAAGTAAAACATAATTTAGAGGAAAGCAATTGCCTTCACATATGGCGATTTCATTTAAAACAGTAGACAAAAAGAATACAAAAAAAAAAAATTAAATGCTTACGATGTTCTTTTACTTTTGAACCTTTTCTTTCTCATTCACATCTTCATCGATTCTCTCGTATTTGACCGGGCTTAAACATTAAATCTAAATTTCAAATAAATTTTAGTTCCGTGAAAAAAAAAATTTCAACATAAGTAAAAGACAGAGTTTCATTTGAAGATATTAAAGGAAGTCCCTTGGTGAATAAGTACGTCATCTTGATCCTTTTTTTCTTTAATCATGTTCATCTTAATTTCGTAAGTAAATCAGCATCAACTAGAAAGTCATTCAAAAATATAATTGTAAAACCCAGAGAATCAGACGTTTCATGCTGAATTACATTTGTCGAATCGCTTATATTCTTTTAAGGTACACCTCGCGAAGTACACCTTATGACAAATGGCAAGTATAATTCAATACCGAAACCTTATTTGATTCTTGCTCGTTACAATAAATGTATTTATGAAAGGAACTTGTGGACCGGACAAAAGTCATAAGTTTACATTGAGAATGCCTCGGTATCACATATTTTTCGTTGGGCGAATTAGTACTGAATTCAATTTAGCCAATACAATACCCTCAAAAGGTAAAAATTTCTGAGTCTTTAGCGCTAAAATTAATAAGAGATAGTTAAAGCTCAAAGCTCAAAAGACTAAAAGTAAAACACTCTAAGCTTGTTAGCCTGATAGGTACAAGCTCTTATATGTTATTTTTGTGCTACTGTTTTTTTAACTTTGCTTGATTTGTTTGTTTTGAATTACATTGACTATAGCGAGAGTTTTGGAATGAAATACAAATAAATAAATATTGATCATATATATGTTCATGACTTTCTGTATATGATTTCATACACATACCATTGCGGCTAGAAAACAAGCACCCTGATTTCTACAATTTAATTTAATTTAATAACATCAAGCTATTTGAGATTATCCCATTGGACCTTTCAATTCTAGGCTTTAGCATACTTTTTATTGTGATTGGCGATTCAAAAAATAATATAGAACAGCAAAGAAGGAACGAATAATATTTTACAGCTTTTTGTAAATAAGATAATAGCCTATATTACATATTAACTAACAATAATTTTTTATATTCAAGTCTTTTCTTTGCATTTGGGTTAATTAATTTGAACAATCTTTTTGAGTACTAAAATTTTAGGGAGCGAGGCGAATGTCATTCTGAATCAGCGGATTAAAAATTTGTCTTGCAATAGCCTCATACTCTATATACAATAGTATATGCTGTCCCCAAATATCTGCTAATGAGTGCTGAAAATAGATCACATAAGCTTGCTTAGATTGTTAAAATTGATCGGTTGGAATTTGGAAATGTATTTTGCACCCTACAATGTTCAAGGGTACATAACGAAATAAGATTGTTAACGAATTATAACATATTTTTTCATTAGAAATGCTTTTTAGTCAAAAAATATCAAATGTAATGAAGGTTAAGATCTAAGGTAAAGTTCAAGAAACCAACCATTGCATATAAATAAAAGAAGCTAGTCTATCGTAATGAAAATTTAAGTCGAAAGACTACAAGATGTATAAAAACTACTTGGTGATTGAAGTTTATGCACAAAAAAGTAGACAATTAAGATCAGATGCATGGTTCAAGCTGAAGACAATCTATTAAACAAAAAATTGTATAAGTGCGTTTAAGCAAGTATAGTGAAGAACAATAAGATAAATCTTAGTAAAAATGTTAAGGCATTAAAAAGTTTGAAGTAAGTGAGAAAAGTTTAATCAAAAGCTAGTTATGATACGAAAAGATTAAGCAATAGCTAGCTACGATACGAACAACGATCCCTGATTTTTTGAGTAAGATCATGTAAGACCTGATGTATACTTACAGTCATAGAATAACGAAAAATGCCTTGATAAAGTTAAAAAATTGCGTTTTTATAAAATTCTTTTCTAAAGTCTGGCACTTACTCAAATTGTAAAAAATAATTGAATTAAACTGCTTGACTTTTGACGATCGTATGTTTCTTTTAAGATTCAAGATGAAGTCAACAAAAGTCATAGCATCCTCTTGATCTTTGTTTCATTTAATCGAATTTAATTATTCCATTAAGCATTCGTTGTGAGACGATAAGTTTTTGGAACGATATTGTCATCTCCGATTTTGAGTTAAATCTCTTAGATTCCAAAATAAAAGACGATGGTTTTGATACTTTTATTTTGTCCAAAACGCAATTCTTGATAGATGAATAAACGGAATTTTGTTTAAAATATATTCTTCCCAAGTGTCCGAGATAAACGAGGCTTTTGCAGTTGTTAATACAAATTCCGTTCTCCAGCTATCCTGTTACTTTCAGGTCTTTTCGTATCATAACTATGCAACTGATTTTACTGGCAATCGAAGCAAGAATAATTGCAAATTATATGTAGAGAATTTGAAAATCTCTAATTTCGAGAAAAAAAAACATCCTGTGTACTAACAAAAGTGAGGCTAGAAAGCATTTTCTGAGATGGTGTCTCAAAAACAATCAAACTTGGTGCTAGGCATAACCCACAAATTTATCGTGCTCGCTCGTTAATTTTTACATCAAAGCAATTACGAGGCGATTGGTTTTGCTTGAGCTATGTTCATCTATTTTTAGAAACATTCATAACTAGTAAATCTTTGATCAACAATTATAGAACAAATTTATAAGATCAACAACTTTTTGATTTTGCCAGCTGGTTTTATTAGAAGTTAACGAAATTGACAAAACGCCAAAACATAAAAAATATAAACTTTCGTAAAAAGTATTTTGTAGATTATATCTTTTTGGGAAAAAAAATCCACATTTTGGATTTTCAAAAGCTAATCCAACGATGCAATTACTACGTCATATGTTGTGAAGCATATCCTTTTTTTGGCATTATATCCAAAATGGGTTAATAGATTGACACTGTACGAGACTACGTCTTATCTTGGTTGGCCAGAGAACGATCAAAAATATCAAAACCAAGAAGTAGATTCACAATGATTTGTATTAGTTTGAATTATGTGAAAAATTCGATATCTAAAACATAAGTTTGAATTAAGCTACTAATTCTTTCGGTTATTGATAACGATCAAAGGTACCCAGCAATTCTTGTTTCGGTGAATGAATGTTGTTTTAAAAATTATATCAACGGAAATGCAAAACAAATGTAAGGAACGTTTTTACAATCAACTACAAATAAAACAAACATTGGTATGGAATTTGTAAGTTTCAACACAGAAAAACAAAGCTCAAATGAATTTTTCTTTCACATGAAACAAATTTCCAGCTATTCCACAGGATACCGATACCTGATTTATTCATTTTAGTCAGAGTTGTCTAAAGTATTATCCTAGTAGTTTCATTAAGAGTTTGAAACCAAAAAACTTAAATCAAATATCAAACTTAATATTAACACCCCCTAAAAATATTTATGCAGAATGTGTTAAATGTACTTAGATTTTGTGCAGTTTTTGAGATGCATATGTGTAGATCGGAGATATTATAAAACATTATACTTATTTATATGCAAGTGCTTATTTTTAGCTGATGATTTTTCGAAAGTTATGACATTTGAAAAGGGAACATATATACACTTCAAAAGCTTGTCCTATCTTTGAATGAATAATTGAAATAGAAACTGGGGGTCTTACTCAACAAGTTTGAAATAGATCTTGCTGATGAATTGCTTACTCTTTGTATTCAACTTGTAGAAAACTTACATTGTGAAACGAGATTACAGAAAGAACTTTAGTGACAGATCTAAAGTTCGCTAAATTTTAAACACTTTTAGTTAGAACTTTTAAACTAAGGATACTTTTTAAAGATTTTTAGTTCGACATAATCAAATTTAATAATTGAAAAACTTATAAAATATTTGGACCAAACTCAAAACCTTTTATTTAGATACTAAAACTTGAAAGTTTCAGGAAAATTAAAGTTTTCTGTTCAAAGGTTGCATTTTTTTAGTTTATAACTGCATACTTGAGCTTGATGAAATTTGTATACTCGATATTTAGTATTATTCCAACTTATAAAATGCCAAGTCCTTCCAGTTTATACTCCTGCATTTGATTGATGGTTTAAATCAGAGTCCTGTTTGAAAACTTTGTCGTAAATAGGTAAAGAAGCACAATATTATATGGCGCAATAAAATACAACAACTAGTGGATGATCATTGGGTAAGTAAATATGATGCCCAAAAAGACGAACTAACAACTCCTTATTGGTACGATTTTCTCACCACAGCAGTGGAGAATGATCCAACAACAAACATCAAACAAATCATAAACAAGTCAGACCATTTTGATCATTTTGAAAAGGAGTGTTTACATGCTTGGTTTAAAATAACCAAACCATATAGAAAAGGGATTCTCAATAACGTAACAACTAATCTCGAAGAATCAATATCACGCAAGAGAAATGCAATCACATTAGAACAAACTAACAATCCAACTTTAGAGGATCTCCAAACTTACAAACAAAGATCCCGAAAACACCAACTTAACGCAAGACAATGCATCATCCCAGATGGTTGGACTAGAGAAATGCGATTCACAGAAACAGATTGGAAAACCTTCTTCAAAATGTTAAACAAAGCCAAAAGATTATATCCATATGATTTGGATTATTTTCATAGACTAAACCTTGGACATTTTCGATATAAAGAAAGAAACATTCGGACATGCAATCTTTGCAAAAAAGAATTACCTGCAAGAACAATGTCAAACCACCTAATATTTCAATGTCGGGCATCAAAATTGTTGTGGCAACAGATTGGACCAAGAAATCGTAGGTTACAACTGAGAATTTTAATATGCAACTTAACTTTACAACCTTCAGAAATGACAAATATTAACCGGTATTTGAAAGCTTTATTTAGGTTAAATGGGTTCCGACGAACTCAGCCGGAGAGCCTGGAGCTCTCCGACACCCAAATTAACAAATGGATACCGGTATTCCTACATTTTGATTCAGTTTAAACACTTTATCAAAATGAAATCATGAACATTTTAAAAGACAATATAGTAAGAAAATGAAAAATATATAAAAAAATGCAGAGGTTTTTAGATGGTGATCCATAATTGCTAATTCAAGATTATATTACAAAACAAGTATATAGAAATTATTAGTTAGAAATCTTTCCTCTATAGATTAAGTTTATTCTTTTACTGTTTAGCAAGCTAGACTACTGATCTAATAAACAATTAATATTGAAAAAAAAAAGAAGTTTTGGTCTAGGTCTTGGCTGGTCTTTTGAGATTCTCGTGGTTGTTTTTCATATTGCAACATCTTAACCTACGTACAAAAAATTCACCTCGAAAATGAAGGAGAGTAAAGAATCCAAATGACCTTTCGAGTAAGCTACACATTGTTCTCTCTGTTGTCTATTCTTCACGTGTACAATATGATTTATTTTCAACGCTCATTGATGCGTTAAGCTCCCAACTATGATTTGAAATTTTTAAAGTTATATATCGTCGCATTTTTGTGCAAAAAGTTGTTGAAAGGTTGATTAATATCAAAAACGAAGGCTTTTAAGATTCAGTAGAGAGAGACTAACCATAACTCAGCATCAAAAGTAAATTCAATTACTTATAAAACCGGTACATGACTAAGCTTGAAGGCTCGACCCTATCATATAAAGATCGATCATTTAACTTGATTTCTGAATTCAACTTTTGCAAAACTCTAAAACACATCCGAACGTGCATACTTAAGCAAAACAGTAACACAAACATAATTAAGATCAATCATCTCAAATTTCAAAACAACATCTACCAGCTAAGATTCAACCATATTTTAACCCAATGCAAATATTGAAGGAAAGAGAAGCATTCCTATCAAATTTTGAAGTAGCCGAACATCTCAATGCTATAAAACAAAAATATAATTGGACATTTACTCAACAAGATGAATTAGAACAAAATCAACAAAATCAACAACAACAACAACAAACAAAAAGAAAAAATAGATTTACAGAATGTGGAATAAATCTTGAAATAATAACAAAAGATATTTTACAATTTATACAAAATTCAAACTCGAATTTAATTAATGAACCAACAATTGAAAATTTTAAAAAAATGATGGAATTTTTAAATCAATTTGAATTAATGAAAGTTGAAAAATTACAAATTATGAATCAATTACCTAGAAGTTTAGTTGTTTTATATTTATTAATTGAAGATTGTGAAGAAAGATTTAATGAAGAACAAAGTCAAGGAATTATTGATAAGATTCAAGAATTATTTCCTATTGAACAAACTTATGAAGAAGATGAAGAAGAAGGAGTAGAGGAAGAAGATGGAGAAGGGGAGATAGCAGCAGAGGGGGAAGAAGAAGAAGACGTTGAGATGGAATAAGTGATTAATAAGCAAAAATTCATTCTTACAATTCATACTGGATTGAGATCATGTGGAGATGAACCGTTAGCACCGAGGTCAAACATAATGATTTAGCTAATGTGTGCTCAGCTTTTTAGATGTTTTTGGGATAGCAATGAAAGAGAAAGTTGAAGAAGACAAAGTCTTTAAAGATAAGACAGTATAAGAATACAGAAAACCAAACGAGGGAAATGATCTGTCTCTAAACGTGATTTGTCTAACGTTAATTATCCATTAAATTTCATTTATAGAAATTCACTCATTACTCCATTATTCAATCCCAAATCACCAGAATCATCAACTAGATTCCCCGTAACAGAATTATTTCTTTTAGAAATCCCATTAATACCTTCACCAAATTCATCAGCATTAGATAATTTTTTTAAATTATTATTATTATTATTATTATTATCAGGAGAAGTTAATGATGAAGGTATTGGGATTTGTCCAATAAGGGGTAAACTTGGAGGATTTATACTATAATTATATAATTGATCTCTAAAATCTCCAAACATTCCTGTTACTTCACCTAATAATCCAGTTACTCCTAAAGCAAATAAAGATTCTGCATTATCTTTTGAATTTATCCATTGAGTATTAATTGAATTTTCTTCTTCTTCGGTATTTGATTTATCTATTTCATTATTTTTTTGAATAATTATATCTCTTGATATTAATTTAGTTAAATCTATTTCTTCATCTAATGAATCATTACTTGATATTGAATTCATTTGAGGTTGTTGATCTTTGACGGTGGTGGTGGTAAGATCTTTAGTTAAAAGATTCAGTGAAAAATGATTTTCTACTAAATGTTGAATAACTGGCCATCCATAAGCATTTGCAAATCTTCTTCTTACAATTATATTATTATGAGCATCAGGTTTTAATTTTACTATAACTTTTCTCCATCCCATATTTTTATGATATTCACGAGCTATTTCTTCTTCAACATATTCTAAATCATCATAATCTATACTTCCTAATAATCTTTTTTTTAATGATATATTTTCATTACCATTTAAATCGGTGGGATTTCGTTTTGGTAAATCTTTTTCATAATATAATTTATCATGTATTATAACATTTTCTCTTGAAGTTGGATCAGTTATATATTTTATTGATGGTAATGGTGGTAAAATTAATGAAGCTGCACTACTTATAAATGTTGAATGTGGAATACCATCAATTTCTCTTTTTTCATCTCCTCCTTCATTTTCTTCATCATCTTCTTCAGGTTTATTCAGAGTAGTTTGAAAATTTTTATATTGTTCACCATCTCCCTTTTGCTTTTGAGGCATGAAATATGATAAGAAAGTTTGAATTGGTGAAAATGTATTTTCTTTTTCAACTGATTTTGGAACTTTTCCTGTTTTATCACTATTTTCTAAGTTATTATCAGCTTTTAAAAGTGGTGCCAAACCTTTGTAATCGAGATACAATAACGAAGACGTTCTTAATGGAACTATCCCATCATTTATAGCATTTGCATAAACTGTTCTTCGTATGAATCTTTTCAAAATCTTATGAGTTGAGCCTGTAGGAAGTAGTAATAGTAAAGGTTTTGAATTGTTTTCTAAATATTTCAATCCCAATTCTTGACCAGTTTTACCAACAAATCCTGCACTAAGTACTAACTTCACATATAATGGATTTTCATTTACTACTCCAAGTAATGGTGAAGATATCGTTATAAAATTAATTGGTTTTATTTTTTCAAAAAACCATGGAAAATTAACCGTTAAATAAGCTATAGCAAAAGTTTGTACACAACCACCCAATGAATGACCAATAAAAGAAATTTTAGTAAATTGACTGTTATTTGATGAATCATTTTCAGTAACCAACTTAACAATATATTCAGCCACTCTACTTCCCAAATATTTTATACCTCTCTCAGTTTTCCCCACATTTCCAAAGAATGATTTTACAACCACTTGTTCATTTTCATTTTCGTTAAAATGTTTAGCTGATTTATCTATTTGTTCTTTTAAATATAACATATCAGCACTTGAATTTGAATGTAATCCATGACATAGTATTACCAAATGTTTTGGTTTATTTTGTTGCAATACAGGTAAATTCCATAAATCTTCAGTATCCCAATTACCAACATTTAACAATGGATGGAAAGTTCCATATTTATCAGAATTTAAAATTTTATTATCTGGTTGTGCAGCATCATGTAATACTTGTTTTGAAGTACCTACTGTAATTTCAAAATCAATCATTATTTTATTATTAAAAATGATTTGTGAAATAACATCTACTATCCAACAATAATCCTTTTTAAGAGTATGACATGATAATTGAACATAAAATGATTGACCTGGTAATAATTGTGGTTCAAATACTGGTTGATCAGCAGTAACAAAATATTTTACATTTGGATCATAGTCTGACAGTCGACAATCAACATATAAAATATAAGGACCAGCTAAAATGAGGTTAGTATGAGAATTTTCGTAAAAAATATAATAATAGTTTTTATATTGATACATACCCAAATAAATTGCTCTTTTTGAAACTGGTTCCAAATTTTTAACTTTAACCCATAATGTAGGTGGCAAAACAATAACATCACCTTCAGCATGAGGTTTAAAATGTATTTTAAACCTTTCTAATTCTCCAACTTTTAAAGATTTTATTTGTCTATATAATATTTTATGTTCCATATTATCTAATTGTTCTTGAGTCATTGCCAAAGGTATATTTCTAGTATCTTCAAATTCAGGATTTTTGGAATCATTAAGTTTCATGAAAGTAATTTAAGGATTGGTTGCTTGAATTTTAATTCAAAAGTTTATAAAGTAAAAGTAATTTGAAATGCTTGAGTTTGATCTAAATTTTATATTTACTTCTAATCTTTTTTAAATACTTTATCCTTAATTTTTGATATTATGCTATTCTGTTGAAATTATTTATTCTAATCCAATAGTACTTTTACTTGTTGGTTTAACTGTTGTATTGCTGATATAAAAATGAAATTATGTATGATACTTTTTCTATTTACTACTTACATGTAAATCTATTTTGTGTTATAAATATTGTTCTTCTCTTTTTCATATGATTTTTATCGATATACAGATTTGAGACAGATCGTGGAACAAAAAATCTAATTGTAAGTGGGAAAAAAGCCAATTGTAATTGATTAGTCCATCTAAAACTAGATATCAAACTATGATTGAGTTTATCAACTTTATAATTTCCTTAACAGTAGTATGAATAGTATCAAATTCAATTTAAACTTTATAATATCATTCCTTAAAAAAAAAACTAATATGCGGCTTGAAATTATCAATTGAATTTTACTTTTAGCCTAATCTCGTAAAAATTTATTTTTTTATTTCTTTGCTTTGGTAAGATTCAACATCTTATCTTGAGTATTTTGATATATGATATTAAGTTGAATTTCAACTTAACCTACCTCATATGTCAATCATTTCAGATGGCAACTTGTTGGGGTCTCACTGCTATGGTGTTCGTGATTAAAGCATGGGCATTTATCGACTCAAACATATCACCATCTTCAGAATCGACCAAAATTGTATCTCAAAAATTGGTGAATTTAATGGCGGACAGAAGATTTATAGATGGTGATATATTTCAGTCAATAAATATCCATGCTTTTATCACGAACAATAAAGAATCACTAGGTGCACCATTCACCAAACATTCCGCAATAATTTTGAACCTTCTGTCAAGGACATTGACAATATCAGGACTATTATATTCTCTACCAACTTGAACAACACTGCAATTGATATTTCTGCTCTAACCTTCTGATAAAAAAATACCAAATTCAACTCAGATTCAAAAGTTTTGGCTAAAATAAGTACAAATATTGGTTAGAAATTATGTCGGTGCACCATGAAACGAAAAATAATTGCGATAGCTAGTGCTCTATGTAGAGAATCTATCAATAAACTTAAATACAAATAACTCAGATAAATGAATTCATCATGCATATTTGCAAACTTCTCGTATTGACATCGTTTTGAATTGTATCAACTAGTAAATAATTTGCTTACTATTTAATCGTTTAGTCTGAACGAGAGAACTTCAGTTAGATTTTTAAAATTTAAATCAAACTAGAAATCTAATCAATTTCGATAAATGTATTGACGTTGTTCATTTTCAAGATAGAGACTATTCATCAATTCATGAATGATTCAAATCATAACAATAAGGATTCAATCAATGACTTACACGCAATAGAATTAACAGCTCACTCAATACTCAGTGGTTCATTAGATAATTTAAATGACAATTTCGAACTGTTAAATCAATCACAAATCATATTATTAACAAGATTAAGAATTATTGAAAATAGATTAAATTCATTTAAAAAATCAATTGATTCAAATGTAATAGATGAAAAAAAACTTTTAGAAATATTTGATAAAATTCATGAATTATCTAAAAGATTAACGAAAAATTTACAAAAATTAGATCAAATAGATAATAGGTTTACCAAGATAAATGAAAAAATTTAAGTTTTTACTAAGTACCTTTTAAAAAAATCTAATAAATCTATATGGAAATCCAATACCTTTTAACCCGAATATTGATAATAGCAAACTAAATAATATGAATATTAAAGCACTTACAACCACCACCAAAATCAAAGAAACAGATGGATTTTTAATTTCTGGTGCTCTTTTAATTAAAACAATCACCAATACACTTAAAATTCCATATAAGAAAGACATAATTTGAGTTTCAATACCCAATTGATTTTGTTGTCCTGGTAAAATATATTCAGTTCTACCATCTTGATGTTCAATAACATAAGGTGATCCTCTAATCTTATTGAACATATATCCAGTAGTAAATAATAATGCAGTAACTAATGAAATTATACTCCATGAAATTTTTGATTGTAATGCTATAAATACATAACTTCTATATCTTTTTATAAAAAACATTGTAAAAAATCCAATCAAAATATGCACAATTAATTTAGTTTGATTTATAGGTATATATAAATTTAATTTATGACCAGTTAAATCTTGAATCCAATTTAACATTAAACTCTTGTGATCTCCTTGAAAAAATTGATATTCTTGTTTTTCTTTAAGGAAAGTATTTGCAGCATTTGATTTAGTTGGTGGGAAATAGAAAATTTTGGGTATATTATTTAATTGTAATAAACTGAAAAACTTTTTAGATTCCATAAATTCAGACTTGAAGAAGTAAATGTTCTTACTTGAATCATTATTTTTTTCCAATTCTTCTTGATTTATTTCAATTCCATTTGGATGATCTTTAAACCAAGAATCAGCAATAATTCGAAATTCAGGTGCAATTTCATGACATAATACACAATTAATTTGAGATGATTCACTTGTTAAAAATACTACAATATGATAATCTCTTTTACCATTTAATATATTTTCAAAATTTTCATCATTTATTGGTAATAATTTTGATTTTGATTGTTTTAATGTTTTAGTCAATTGTTCACTAGTTAGTCCACATGATACTATTGAATATAAAACTGTTAATATTAAAACAATTGAATATGATTTCATATTGTTTTTAGTGGTTGGTTTAAAGTGTTCCTGTTGTGAAAAAAAATTGAATCGAATTTCAACAAACACGGTTCTAAAAAATAGAACAAGTTTCAAAACACTTGTCAAAGTAAGAGGTGCTACCATTTACAAATCTATAATCAAATTACCATTCGGATTCGAGACAACTAATTGACTATGTGTATATTCGTTTACAAATATCTATTAATGAGACTATCGAGTTACAATACTTTTGTCACTTGAGATTCTAACAACAACCTTCCCTTCACCCAACTCAAATCGTTCAGATAATAAGATATATTCACCAACTTCTTTCAACTTTACGTCAACAAACAATCCGTATAATACATCATCATTAAACTCTTCATTTATCAATACTGGTTGTTTGGTTGTAGCATTAAAAATGGAAGCACGCAATGCTGGTCTATATTCTGTACATAATCCAAATTCATCAAAAATGTCATTAAAATGATTTAACCGAATTATAATTGTTGTGTTTATTTCAATTGTTGAAAAATATAATTTATGCCTGTTTTGACTATTCCATGAAAATGTCCTTTCTAGGTTATATAACGATAAAGTTGTAGGTATTCTATTAATAATGAGATTATTCATGATGGTATTCGAAGAATTGATTACAAATTTATATGTCCCATATTGTCGATCGAAATTTGAAATCAATAATTTATAAGAACCAGGAGCTAATTCAAATTCAGATGATTGTAAATTTAAATTATATTTTTCATCAGATATTAATTTCGTTTGATCAAATTTTCTAATTTTTGAACCTTCTTTAGATTTATCTGAAAGAAATAAATGAAAATTGATAGGTAAATTAGAATACAAACTAATTGATACTATAGTTGTTTCTAATATTTCTAGATCATATTGTGGATTATCAATATATGATGACATTTTCCAATTTCCTCCACAAGTATTAATATCCCACTCGCCTGAAAATATTTGAGTAAATTTATATTGATATCTCAGTTTGAATAGTTCTGAGCCGTATGATTTTATCGAAAATTTTGCAGATTTAGTAGTAGATATGACAATAGTGTAATTACCTGAAACTAGTTTTATTGAATGAAGTCGGTTATTAGTTTCTATGAAGGCATGCTGCTTCTGATTCATTGGTGATACAACTTTATGATTTGTTTCATAAATGAAGATTTTCATCCATAAATTTTCGCTAACTGGTAAATGTCTTTCCACCAACACCCACGTTTCTTCTTTACACAGTATCGAGTATTGAGTTTCATCAATAATTGTCATTTCTTCTTTTCTGACGTATGGAAAATTTTCTTGATACACCTTCAAGTTTTCTGGTGGTTTCCAATTGATGTAAAAAAAATCAAAATGAATTAAATCAGTGACTTTCAAGTATCTCTTGTTGATATCAGCTTGAATCCATGGGTTTTTTAAAATAATGGAATCATTATTGAAGCTCTCTATCAAATAATCATGTTGACTAATCAAATTCAACTGACTACTTATATAAGCACTTAGCTTTCCTGTTCCTAAACCCAACGTGACTAAACCCTTTCTATGTAGGGACCATAATTCACTAAAATCCGATATTTTTGATCCATCTTTTAAAGTGTTTATCTGCGGCAACCAACCACTTAGTAAATACGTATCATTAGCCATGTTTGAACCTTTGAAGTAGTACCCATCACCCATGACCTTCAAATATGCTTTCTCAATGAATGCTGGCCAATATAACTTTGGATCACTAAATGATTTTATAATTATATTTCTATCAGCTCGCGATGATGTTGGTAAATAATTACTTACTTCGACATTTCGTCGACATCCATTGAAATGTAATGTGACAATATATTTTGTTGCTTCTTTAGACGGTGAAATTAAGGATTGAATGTTAAAATCGACTTCAACTAATGCTAAGAATGATGAAACAAATGAACAATTCGCTAGTAAATCTTGGTATAAATTCATTAAATTTGATTTATCATTATTCCAATTGTTTGTTTGAATTGAGTTTATCTTAAAGTCTCCATCTTTTGCAAAATCATTGAATATATTCTCATTCTGATGATCATCTTTTGAATTTTCCCAAAATATAGTACTATTGGAGCTCAAACCTGAACCAAAGTCAATCACTGGATAATATGCTTCCCCGCCCCTCGATGACCGGCACGAGAGCCAAGGAATCTTATTAGAAACAAACAAAGATTTGTTTAACTCCTCGTAATATTTTAAAACATATCGCGATAATAACTGATTTTCAGCTGAATCCTTATCAGTTTTGACCAATTGATTTAAAATTTTGATTGCTTTGAGTGCCTCAGCTTTTGCTCCAGACTTGTCATTTAGGGCATTATTTACATGACTTTGTTCTATGTGTTGTACGAATTTATTCAATGACATCTACTGATGTTTTGATCAAAGTTAAAATTCGATTATTAAAAGTATTTTTTTCATCAAATAACTCTTATCTTAGACGCGGTAATTCAGTCAAGCTTAAGTCAATCCTCTGGTCAATTTGAATAAGTATGCATCATAGTTTTGAGGACTAATACAATATATCTCACGATGAGTATTCTATGTGTTCCTACTATACTTCTCAATTGATAGGGATTGTGAAATAGAACTAAAACGAATTGGACCAAGAAAAATAGATATGTACTGCCAACAGAGTAATTAAAGATAAAAGTCAACTACTTATCAAAACAGGACAAATAAATCATCAAATATCTTGCGTGGCACAACTTTGAACGAACTATTCGAGGCATTTCTTTTTCATTATTACTTATTTCAATTAATGATATTGATAACAGGCTATTCCTAAAATAATTATACCCGGATTTGGCAACACATTAATATGAATACCCATGTCTGTTCTAACGATACTCCTGTATGATATGGGAATCCTAAAGCATTTGTGCTTGAATAGTCACAATGATATATATTCCATATTCAATTCCAAAATCTGACTAAAAATCCAAAATTTTAGCGGATCAATTATTGTTTGTCATTTGCATCAATTGGCTCTAATCATGCGTTATCCAAAACCCATTTTGCTTTCATTCTTGATACAATATATATCTCATCAAAACGTTTTCACATAGTCAGGTATCGTTGTATATGAGCACTGAACTACTTTAGCTTTGCCCTGTTTCATATTGTCTTCAAGTGAAGTAAAAAATGTGACACAAAATTGGAAACCTTGCATCTGAAACATTCAAAATCATAACTGACTTTATACTATGTTCATCTCTCGTAACATCTATTATATTCAAGCAACAAATAGCTAAAAATAATGCAGAGTGCAGATAGTATCAGTAAAATTTTAAGTGTGTTTACTCAAACTTAAGCTGGAGGCTGAAAATCTGGTGATTCTAGCAACATGGATTATTTTAATGGTGTTGAGAAGAGAAAAAATGGAAAATTTCAAACTTCTCATTCAATCACTAGCTATATTCGTAAGTCACTCTTGATAAATATTTTTCATAACAAAATATCGATGCCAATATATACAAAGTAAACAAAACCTTTGTCAATTTTTATTTACAAAAGAACGACAACTAAAAAATCAGAGCTGGATTGAGACCTGAATATTTGGTCAAAATCTTTGAGATCACACGTTTTTAAAATCATGCGAATCGGACTACGTAATCCCATATCTGAATTTTACCTCGTACGGTTCAGGAGCTTTCTTATAAAACCCGCTCTGATAAAATATAAAACACCAAGAATTGAATCAGGTGATTTTGTGGAGAACAAAGCACGAAAAAGCTTGCTCCCTTATCTGCATCATTTGTAATACTTTTTACTTTAACATGTCATTGATGGAATGATTTTATTGGCTATCATCAATCGTTTGAACATAGTAATAGTTTACACCATTGCAATCGAAATATTCCCTGATTTGAACGATGATCTTGGTGAAATACGTTTATTTATCGAATTATGGTTAGGGGATAATTTAATGTAGTACATCGAATGATGTTTCGTGATTTTTTTAGTACTTATGCGTTTCAAAATTTGATTTTGTGTATTTGTTGAACAACTCCGAAGTTTTTTAGTTTACCTCATGGACTAGTTGACATTCAGTCCCACTCAACATTATCATTCGTATTGATGTCATCGTTTATTAATAAAATTTGAGCCGTCTCAATACTCATGCATGATGGTGTCTTAGGCACTGGACCTGATGCGGTATCATGCAAATTTTGTATCAAATCACCTTTGCTCATGTTTAATATTAAGGTTTTTAGATCTAAGTCATTGCTTTGTAGTATCGGATAAGCAGCTGAACTGGAAATGGGTATTTGTGTACCGATTACGATATCTAAGAGAAACTTTAAAGCGCCGTTCAATTCAAAGTAAGTTCGTAGTTCTTTAAAATTTAAACTTGAACGTTCCGTTCTTAAGGGGCAAATTAAATCAATTTGCATTACCCAGCCTAAACCAAAGTTCACCCACAAAATCTAACATCTTGGACTCTCAGCATGTGCTATAAATAATGCTTCATTTTTCTCAAATTACAAATGTTTGAGGTTAAAGCCAAAAAGGAAACCTTCAAAATTAATTAATATTACTATAAAATAAATTTTACAAGAATCTATTGCTGCAACTTGAATCAAGAATTAAAACTATGTCAGACGATACATCAACCACAATTCCAAAAACTCAAAAAGCCGTATACTTTGAAAAACCCAACGCTCCATTAGAATACAAGGATGTACCAGTTCCTGAGCCTAAACCAACTGAATTATTAGTCAATGTCTTATATACCGGGGTTTGCGCAACAGATACTCACGTTTGGTCAGGTTCTTTTGGTGAAGTAAAAGCTCATATTGGTGGACACGAAGGTGCTGGGAAAGTCGTTAAAGTTGGATCGTAAGTTACTACCATTTTGGAGAAATATTCATGACAAACGTGTTTGAGTTTCAATTATAATTCAGTCTCATTTTATAACGATTGAGCCATTTGTCTTGAACTATTTTTCAACATATCAAAAAAGTAGTTATACTAACATTTTACAACTAGTAATGTCAAAGGATGGAAAGTTGGTGACTATGCGGGTATCAAATGGCTTAATGGATCTTGCATGAATTGTGAGTATTGTGAACAAGGTGCTGAACCAAATTGTCAAGAGGCTGACTTATCAGGTTTCACACACAACGGTTCTTTCCAACAATATGCTACTTGTGATGCAGTACAAGCTGCAAAAATTCCTAAAGATGTAGATTTAGCTAAAGTTGCACCTATATTATGTGCTGGAGTCACTGTTTATAAAGCTTTAAAAACTGCTGATTTACTTGCTGGTCAATGGGTTTGTATTTCTGGAGCTGCTGGTGGACTAGGATCATTAGCAATTCAATATGCTACTGCTATGGGTTATAGAGTTATTGCAATTGATGGAGGAGCCGATAAGGGAGAATATGTCAAAAAATTGGGAGCTGAAGTTTACATTGATTTTACAACTGAAAAAGACATAGTTGAAGCAGTTAAGAAAGCTACAAATGGGGGTCCTCATGGTGTTTTGAATGTTTCTGTATCGGAAGCAGCTATCAATCAATCAGTTGAATACATCAGACCATTAGGTAAGGTTGTATTGGTAGGATTACCAGCTAACGCAAAAGTTATAGCTCCAGTTTTTAGTTCGGTTCTTAAATCTATTCAAATAAGAGGTTCATACGTCGGTAATAGAAAAGACACCCAAGAAGCCTTAGATTTTTTCCTCAGAGGTAAAGTAGAATGCCCGATCAAAATTGCTGGTTTGAGCGAAGTATCCAAAGTTTTTGATTTAATGCATGCTGGTAAAATCATGGGAAGATATGTTCTTGATACTAGTAAATAAGTTATATGGGTGGCTGACAGTTGGTAAAAGATGACAAGTGATAGGTGATGAGTGACGAATGATGGATGATGAGATGGGGTTTTTTAAATAATTATATAATTCACAAATTAGATAAGTTCCTTTCTTCGAAGAGTGTAAAATCGATCTGTCAATGAACCTTTGTAAGCATTATTTAAGATTTTCTCGATCGACCGTGTTTAACAACTTCAATTCTGATTGCTCTTTTTAAGTAAAACATTCAATTGAATTTGATTCATTAAGTTTTCATCATTGATCAATTCTATAGTTTTATTTTTCTCTTTAAGCTCCGCTAATAAATTTTCTATCTTTTTGGATAAATTTGTGTTTAATTTCTCCAACTTCTTGATATTCAAATCTTTTTCTTTCGCTATTGACTCCAACCGTTCGTTTTTCAAAGTGACGGAATTTAGATTCGTTATTAAATCATGATTCTCATTTCTTAGCTGTTGGTTTTCTTTCACAATGAAATTAATGTCTCTTTCAGGGTTTGACGGACTCGGCTGTTGTTGAGGTTCTATGTTTAGTAAAGCAGATGGAGAAGGGGATTTTGATGAATACGAGGAGTCGTTGTGATAAATTTGTTGCTTTAAAAAGTCTAGTTTTTGCATAAGTTGCTGATATGCAATGAAATATTCAGAATCTTTCTTCTCTACTTCATCTCTTAACTTTAATTTATCAAGTATATCATCTGACCAGTTATCTTTGTTCATGAATTATAGGTGTCATTTATTTTAAGGTACTGTGTTTTTTTGATCGTTTATCTAATCTATATTTGACAGAGGCTGTTTTTTTGTGATCATTTTTATATTGAGAAAGTCTATAGACGTATATGATAAAGATCAAGCAACTACATACAACAGAAGATATTTGATATAGCATGCCATTAGAGGATGGTACTGCCCATATAAATTCACCTGAAGTTGATATTGATACACAGACAGGAGGCGAGACCAACAAATCCGAATTCATTGAAGAACTCCCAACAATCTCAAATGACCAAGCTAGAACGAGTGGCTATTCAATATTCCCATGGTATGGAAATAGTAACAATAATACGGCAGCAGTTACTACTTCGGCAATAACAACAACCAATCTCAAGAAAAAGTCATCCGCATCAAAAGTTGACGAGCAACAATCTCAAATCAATAATAATTTTGAATCCCAGACCGTTCAAACAACCTCATGGTTTACATTTTATAGATCACTCACATTCACATCTTCAGAATCCTATACGATAGAACATATCCCTTTGCTTCAAAACTCCCCACCATTACTCAAGGAAAATTCTCAAGAAGAGGAACGCCCCGGTAACTCAAATTCTTATTTTGGATGGTTCAATTGGATCCTAGGGAATACTCAAGATACCCAAGAAGGTGATGTTTCTGACCAATCGAGTGAAGCGTACACATCTGCAAAAGCAGCTATTGAAACGGCGAAAGACGAGTTTCATTACGTCTTAAAGGGTAGTAACGATTTTGATTCATATGAGTTAAGTGTTACCGGAACATCGACTGAAGAGTCTCCTGTACATATTCAATCAAGAAAATATAAACCTAGATCTATAAATGAAGTATTTGAAAATGGCTTAAAAAAAATTTTAAGTCCTGAAGATGTAATTTATTCTGTTTCACCAAATTTTGAATCAAATTTTAGAGAAATTACAGCCAAAACAAAGTTGAGAATTTTATCAAATGACTTAATTTGTGGATATAAAACGGAAAGCCATTTATATAGAAAGACTCAACGTCAAATACTAAATAGAACAAGAAAACTAAGGAAATTAGTTGTTATTGGGGTTCACAATTTTCTACCAACCAAGATGGTGCGGGCACTAATTGGCGGTTATACTGGTACAGCAAATGAATTTGTCACAATGGCTACGAATGCCGTTAAATCGTGGCTCAAGTCCAATGATCCAAGCGACGAGAATTCAGAAGCGGATATACAAGGTATAGCTATAGAAGGATTCGGAAAAATTAACGAAACAGTGGAAAGTTCAATAAAACTACTAAACAATTATAAAGATCAAATAAATAATTGCGACTTCTTGTTCGTTGTTGGTCATTTAACATCAAGTACAACGGCAATCAATATACTAGCTAAATTATTACATTCAAATCATCATCTACGATATAAAAAAATAACAGTCCTTAGTATGTCTGGTAACTTCTTGGGTCCATTTCCATCTCATTCTTTGAAAGTTGTTTACAGGGCATATACTCAACTTGAAAATGAGATTGTTAAAGAAATGTTTGAATATGAAAGAAAAGACACACCATTAAGTATTCAATTAAACGAGTCTATGAAATTTTTAATATCACATGACGTTAAATTTGTCTTTACAAGTTCTGTTGGTAATCCCTTTATACCCTTATATTCATCAATGGGTTTACAGTACGACCATCCCAATATTTACAGAAACTTATACGAAGGTGAAACAATACCTTTCATATCTAAATTATTACAGATAATTTGTGAAATGAAAAATTTAGGACAATCAACCGACTATAACATAATCAAAGATATTAGTGATAAGATTGAAATAACTAAACTTGGTAAACAAATTTTCCAAAATGATCAAATATATCAAGAAGCTTTGAATTTTGGACTAGCATCTACCAATCTCACACATCAATCAAAATTAAAGATAAAACCCACCAAAAAATTCGTGATAACCACAAGTAATACGATAAACGATCAGCTATTATTTCAAAGTAATCTACCGTGGAATTTGAGGTCTTTGCTTCAAGATTTTTTAAGTTATAAACATATAGACAGTAAAAAGAAGTTTTTTGATCTAGTTGCAGACTACAAGCAATGGCAACCTAGTAATAAAGTGTATAGTGACATCAAATACTGTTTAGAAGCAATAAATGATTTGTAATCTACAGTATGTAATTCTGAGTTTGGCAGGCCAGACTACGAATTTAATAGACATGAATGTAATATTCTGAAGATAAATTTTTAGCCCGATCGTTTCACCATACTTGGTTGATTTGAATTGTTATGAACAAACGCGTCTAAAAAGAGTAGAGGTTTATCGATTTGGTAGCCCAAAATGATTGATTTGTTTCCTACTTCATATCATCATGACTCCATGATATAAAATCAATTAAATACCATACATGAAAAACTCGTCACTCTCCATCATTCATACTGGTAAATTCCCATTTGCAAATGATCCTAATTCAATCTTGGTATGGTGTCCCAAAATGAATTTGATATTCATATCAATGAATAAAACTTCAATTTGGTGTTATAGAGTTGATGGAGAAAGAATATATTCTATAAATAACAGATCAGTTATCAAGTCAATTGCATTTTTTGATAATCTATTTTGTTTATCCGGTGTTGATAGTCTAGTCAAGATATATGATTCAAATGATGGAAAATTGGTCAAAATTTTGAATAATGAGTACGATAATATTCAATTCATAAATTGGGTTGAAACAGCATACAACTTAGAAGATGAATTAATTTCAAACCTACCGAGAATTCACTCAATATCATCCAGTCTTAACTACTTAGTTATCAATGACAAGAACTCCATAAACTTGTGCTTCAACAAACTGTTGAACATTCGATATCCCCTATCGTCACATATAACACAACAACTTTCGAAAGAGTTATTTCAACAAATTTACCTTGATGACAAAAATAATCTAATATCTGTAAATATCAATACGTCATCAAAAAAGCTATACGTTAAACTGGTTTTAATGGTTTGTCAAATCATTGAGTATTTAGAGCATATGAATAATACTATTGTCAAAATCGAGGAAGAATTGAAACCATTTTTAACATTATTTGACCGGTACCTTTCAAATTTGAATGATGAAGTCAATGGAAACTTAATCTCAGTACTAAATGATATGTTGTTGACCAACATTATACCAGAATCTACAAAAGACTTTTGGTGCAATCAATTTGGTGAAAGAGGATATAAAAAAATAATTAAATCATTAGAGTCAATATATGACGATTGTGAGAAAAGAATATTTACTTATTCGGCGGCACCAATTGAGAGGATAATAATATTGTTGAACAATCTAACAGGTATTTGTAAGTGGAAAAATGTCTTGGGTTTAAACGTGACTGACTTAGTTTCAATTATGCAAAGATGTCAAAACTCCTTAAAATCATTTTACCGGTTAATATGGACTTTGAAAGACGAGAAGTCTAAAATTGCGGAGTTCATTAGTTGGTGGAAAACTATACTCGATATGTTGAATGATCAAGAGTTTACAAGAAATTATTCAACCTCAAATTTAATCGAATATATAAATACAAACTTACTTCGATCAGAGACTTTGAATTACTTTCGTTACGATCTAGACTTGATTAAACCTGCTGACTTTCAATCTACATTGTTGGAAAAGCATTTAGAAACCGAAAACATCTTTAGTAGGATTTTACAACAAATCAATACTCATCATCAATCGATCGTAACTGTTAAATATTCAAGGACTTTAAAATTGAGTAATACAAATTTGAAAATAAGTCAATGGGATGACAAAACAGTAATAACATACATTGACGAGTCAAACAATTTAATACTATCAACTCCAGAACAAGATTTCGCGAAAATCCCCAATGTTTTAGCATATGAACACAGATCAAAAGATTTAATAGCATTGACTAAAGAGCACCTTTTAATTGTTGATACATCTTCATCTATACCTTTCAATCTACCGGAGTTATCATTTGAACCAAAAAAAGTCAAATCAAATAAATCTTATGTATGTTTAACCGACAAAATGAATTCCGACTACGTGATTTTGAAAGTAGAATGATCATATGCAAATACATATCGGTTATCTTGTAAGTAATATTGCTGCTTAATGTACGATGAATATATTCTCTCAAAATAATCATCACTTACTATACTCTTCTTCTTGATCAACTTTTCAACTTGAGCACTAATAGTCTTGCTTTCTCTTTTTCTTGATAAATGCTTATAAAAATTCAGATTAATCTCAGTCGAATATGATTGTATAAATTTTTGAAATTGATCTTTTCGAATGGGTTGATTGTTTTCTAGTGCATTCTTGACTATGCTGACCGTTTCTTTTAATTTCATATCAAGTCCTACTGGATGTTGAGGTATCCCTAATTTTGAAGGCAAATGTCTCACATCAAAAGGATGTTTAGTTAAACCAATTCTTGGACTATGCACAATAAAAGTGTACGCTTTTTCAACTTCTTCGATAAGTTTTGGTATAGACTTCACTTGTTCCCCATACTTTCGAATCAATGGAAATGCGTTTCTAGATTTATCATTACCCTTGACATAGTCACTGACTTTGAAATCAGACAGTAATTTTTCGTGGTAAATTTTTTTAGTCTTTGAATTAGCAATTTCATCCATTATGTGAACAGTTGGCCAGTGCTCCTTAACTCTGATATATGGAATATTATTAAAATCTCTATACCACTTTGGCTTACTATCCTTATATATAGCATCTAGTAAATTTGGAATGTATTTATGATACTGTTCGTGGTCTAAAAGTTGAGTGAATATAGTCTCAAAATTTTTGGTCTTGCCCAACTTAAATCTATGCTTTAAAACAGTCGAACCATGCTTGATTATTTTCTGAGGTAGTGGTAATCTTCTTAGCTGCCTTTGCAATTGCTTATACTGTTGTTGCAGCATATGAACATCTTTAGTTTCCTCTGAATAGATTTATAGGTCTAGACATTAAATATAATTTTTCACAACTAAATTTGTAAATAAAAAACACGTCTAAGTCAATAAGCGAAACAATGGCATTAGCAGAGAAAGTGCTAAGAAAAATCAACAAGTTAGGGTTGATTCCCAAAGCTAGAAGACTACTACCTAGGATATCATTAGTTTTGGCATTGTTTAGTATACTTTGGTTAATAACATTACCTCAAGATGGAAATTATAGAAATTGTTATATCTCAGAAAATGCATTAATGCCAGCTCAAGTAAATTCTTATTTTCGAGAAAGTGAATGGAATATAGTACGTGGATATAGAGAAGAAATTCATAAATTAGAAGAAAAACCAATTGATGAAAGAAACGAAATTATTAAACATTGGTTATTAGATTTAGGTTTACAAGTTTCAAGTCATAAAAATGGAGTAAGTAATGATACTTTATATGCAATTATGCACGCGTCAAGAGGTGAAAACACAGAAGCAATGGCATTAGTTGTACCATGGATCAATTCAGACAATGAATATAATGAAGGAGCAATGGCATTGGGGATGGCATTACTCAGATATTTTCAACGTATATCAGTTTGGTCAAAAAATATAATTTTAGTTATCCCTCCAGATGGTAAACAAAGTTTAAGATCTTGGGTTAATGCTTATCATACAACATTAGATGATACAGCTGGATCAATTGAAGCAGCTATTGTGATAGAGTATGGCAAACAAGGCGATAATTTTGAATATTATGACATGTTTTATGAAGGATTAAATGGTCAATTACCAAATTTAGATTTACTAAATACAGCAAATTTGATTAGTCTGCATGAAGGTATGAGCTGTCATATGCAAGGAATTAGTGATAGAGCTATCAATTTTCAAAATCGATTGAAAACATTATTCAAAGGTATCTTGAAATTAGCTTTAGCCGGAACAAATGATGTTCATGGACATGAAGCCTTTTCAGGATGGCAGATACAAGCTTTTACAATTAAAGCTCAGGGAACTAAAGGTCCAGATGTGACACAATTTGGTAGAATTGTCGATTCTACATTTAGATCAGTTAATAATTTATTAGAAAAATTTCATCAATCATTTTTCTTTTATTTAATGTTAAGTCCAAAACATTTTGTTTCAATTGGTACTTATTTACCGAGTGCAGTAATGTTAGCAGTTAGTTATGCGTTGAGTGGACTTAGTGTTGTACTTAACTCAGGAATTGATCTTTCGGAAATACCGCAAAATATCACTAGTTTGTTGACCATTGCCACTATGATTGAATTGTTTTGTTTGGTGTTGGCTATAGTCATTCCATTATTACCAATTGATACTATAAGACTAGTACCGACTATTGCACAAGGATTTTTCATACTATCAATAACTGGTGGAAAACAAAGATTAACTAGAACAGCAAGCTACTCACTTATTGCATTTGCATTATTAATAATAGCATTATTAATTACAGCTTTACTTATAGTTCATTTTGCTATAGCATTCACGATAGGACTATTAGCTTTACCTTTAACTTTTGTTCCAATATTAATTGAAAGAGATAGGAAGTTAGCCATTATTTGTCTACTGATTTCAAATCCATTTTCTATTATATTAATTGCAGGTGTATTCCCTGAATTCAATGACTTATTCGCTCAATTGATATTAGCTTGGACACAATTACAAAGTTGGACTTGGTTAGTTGTTATTTTAGGATGGTTTTCTTCGTGGTTGATGATAGCATATGGTGCATCAGGGATCAGGAGTAACATTGACTTAAAGAAAGTATCTCCTGTTTTAAAAGAAAAATCGTTAGAGAAATCTTCTATACCAAAGGAGTAAAATAATGTATATACAGGCTTTCCATTTATTAAATCTCTATTTATTCTTGTTTGAAATCAATGACTAACCCAGGACTATTTGCAGAAGTGATAAAACAATATCCCAATCTTGTCTTTTTTGATGCTTTTGGATCAATCTGTGAAAATATAACATCACTTACAGCTTTTAAATTTGACATAATTTGAAAATCACTAAATGTACTATTTCCCACAGTAAATGTTATATGAGAATCTTTTTGTTTAATTTGAAATGATCTCAAAATATTCGTTATAGTATTTATATCATCAGTTACAGTTCCTTTTTTCTTTGTTGGTTGTAATCCAGCTGGACCTAAAATTCTCGCTACACTTTTTAATTGATTTTCCATTTCACTGGTTGCAAAAACATGAGTGAAATCACTTGGTAATAATTCTTGATTTACAAATTTATCAATTAGCTCTTTCCCACCTATATTCTCTGCTCCTACCAAGGGTTCTAATTCGGATATCATTGATTGTTGAGTTGTGAAGATTAATGGTTTTGTCTTTTTATTTACAGGAAATGGAATATCTACTGTTCCACTAATTGGATGAGCCCCTTGCTCTTGACGTACGTATAAATGACATGTAATGGTTGATTTATCGGCTGGTTTACCTACTTCAAAAGATCTGATGGTATTTAATGCCTCTGCTATTGGCATATGCAAAGGATGTTCGATTGGATTTTCCAATGATTTGAATTTTAATTCTTGTCTTAACTTTCGTTTCTTTTGTTTATCCTTTTCTCTTTGAAGTTGTGTCTTGATTTCTTTTGTATGCACTAGCGTACGTTGTGAGGTTCGTATTGGACATAGTATATGCCTTATTATAGGTTGACGAGGTATTAGTTTGAACATTAATGATATTGACTACAATCACTGGTATAAAGTCTGAAAAAAAAAAAATTTTAATAGTGAAAAATAAAGAATATACGCAGTGAGATCCGCTACCAAATTTATATACATTTTTTAAGCTATACCCTTTGACTTAAACTTTTTAATAAATCTTATTATGCTAAATATAACTATCGAACCAATTGGACCTAGTAGGGGTAAAAACACAGCTAATTTGTGCTCACTTGGAAAATAAGCTTGCTGTACCATTTCCTTTTCAAAAAAGGCTTTATTTGATGCTTGTTCAGCTAAAGCAGAATATTCAACTGATTTATGTTCAACAGCTAACTTTATGTTGTTAAGACATTTTATTACTTCTTCTTTTGTTTCTTCAGGTACCGCTATATCTTTCAATGATTCAGATAATTTGACTAATGATTTAAGATTATTTATTGAATTTTTAATGTTTTTGTAAATCAATATTCTTTCCAATGAATCTAATTGAATTTGAGATGATTGCGGACCTTCTGGTAATCCAATTAATTTGAATAATTGATTTGTGAATATATTCATAATTGGCATTAATTCATCTTTCAATAACTTTGAATTTGACATCTTTGGTAAATTTTTATTTAAAACTTTAATTCCACCCCATTTGGAAATCAAAAATGAATTAGTTTTGGAATTTTCAATTGTCAAAGTATTATCCGGTATATATATTAGGAAGTTGATTGTTGGATTCATATCATAATTTTCCAAATTCCAATCATTGAAGTTAATAAATGTTTTCAAATCATCCTCGAGAATAATATTATCCTTATACGATTTAGTTAAACTTGAATAATATTGAATTTGAGTACTGATTGTGAAAGATGTGATATTTTTCAAAAATGTTAAAGCTGATTTAAATTGATTCAAGGCTTCATCAATCTCCCAGTTAATGCTTTTACCGTTTTCAGTAAATAATGAAAACACCAAGTTGTACTGTGGACTATAAGGAAATGCAACACCTAAAGAATATTGGTCTAACTTGAGTGCTTTTAATGTATCCAATTCATCTTTAAATACTTGATCAAATAAGACTGAATTTACTTGTACATTATAGTCTTCTTGTGATTTAAAATCAATGAAAATATCTCTTTCGCTAGTTTGTAATTTATTGTCGGGTGATTCTTTTGAATGAATTTGGTATTTAGCATCAATTGGTTTATCAACTAATTCTATTTGCCATTCTTGAGACAACTCAGGATACCTCTCTTCAAAACCCGATTGAATGACATTATGATTTAAAGGTTTGTCCGAATATATTGGAATCTTATATGCTATCGTTTGTGAATCAAAATTATTTATATCATTAACTGGTAAATCTGCTCTATGAATTGATGTAGTAAATAAAAACAATGGATATCCCAACCCTACAACAAACGTTATGACAATGACTGTTATAAAGTCTCTAATACTGGTAATATTAGAAGACTCTTTCGATTCTTTTGACATAATCGAAGCCCTAAAGTCACGTCCTGAGTTGAGTTGTTTGTTTTGAAATTTGATGTCTGAAAAATAATTTATCACCAAAACCCTTTCCACGTCAAATTCAAGATTTTTTTTTTGCAACTCCCTTTAGTAAATTCAAAAGATGTTTAAAAAACCACCAACTAGTAAAGCTTCAGCTAATATTAAATCATCTGATCGAAGAAAATTATTGGCTACAATATGTAAAACTTATAATCTACCACTTGATGAGATCTCAAAAGAAGGTTTAGAGAATATTTTACCATCAATAAGTAAAAAAGCAACTTTTATTACATCAACTGGAGTGACAGGAATTTTATATTTAAATGAACAAGAACTACCAACATGGTTTCAAACTAGAGATTCACAATTATATCCATCAATTTTAACTTGTTGGAAATGTCCTTATTTATTACCTTTAGTGAAGACTCATCCTCATGTAATTGATGTTTATTTGGGTAAAGGTGCTGATTTAATGTTACCTGGAACTATTCCGCCATTTGATAAAAGAGCAACCAAGCATACCGTTGTTGGAGTTGTAAGTAGTGATAGTCCTAATAGAATAATGGCTATTGGAACTTGTAATTTGAATTTAACTCAATTCGATAACGTTGTAGGTAGATCTGGTACTGCTGTGAATATTTTACATCATTATAATGATGAGTTGATGAAATTAAATAAAGAAATAGATATTGAAATTCCAGAGACTGTGGATGAAGTGATACCCAAAAAGGAGGTTGAGAACGAGTCAAAAGAGGATGTTGTTCAAGAAACGGAATCAAATGAACCCGTGGAGGAAGCAAATAATGAAGAGGCCATACAAGGAACCTCACAAAACGAAGTAGACGAAGACGACTTAGCAGAAGAAGTAGCGACCTTAACAGTCGAAGAATTAGACAATTTTTTCATTCGTTCTTTACTTCAAACCATTAAACTAGAGAAATTGGAATTACCAATGTCAAGTAATGTATTTTCAACTTTTATATATAAGAATTTACCAATTATGGATTCAAAATATGCAAATATTAAAAAGACATCATGGAAAAAAATTTCAAAATTTTTAAAAGAAATGAAAAAATTAAAATATCTTGATATAAAGGGAAAAGATGAAGATTTAACTATAATAAGTTTAATTTCAAAAGACTCATCAGTTATTGAAAATTTCGTACCTCATAAAATCAACAAACCAAAAACCTCAAATAATGGAAATTCAAATAAATCATCAATGACTATAAGAACATTATATAAACCAACAAGTAAATCGAGAATGTTTTTTAATAAAATAAATGAAGAATATGATGAATTATATACATTAGGTGAATTAAAATCAAAATTTGAAAATTATATAAAACAATTTAAATTACCAATTGAAAATAATCCAAAAAATATAATACTAGATGAAATAATAAGTAAACCAATAAATAAATCAGAAGGTACAACCATGGCAAGAGATGAAGCATTTAAAGAATTTTTAATAAATTTTTCACCATATTATGAAATTATATCAAAAAATGATAATCAACCACAAAAAATTATATCAAAAGGTGTTCCCCCCAAAATTCACATCGTTACAGAAATAAAAATTGGTCGAAAAATAATAACAAGAATTGGGAACTATGATAAATTTTTTTTAAAACAAGGTTTATTTAGTGAAGAATTAAGAATTAAATGTTCTGGTTCAACAACTATATTAGAAGATGATCAAATTCAAGTTCAAGGTCCTCATGGGCTTTTAATTATTGAAATTTTAAAAGGAAAAGGTATACCTATTTCATGTATTGAATTTATTGATAAAGTTAAAAAGAAAAAGAAAAGATCATAGATAATTTAAAATAGTTGGAATATTATGATACATTTGATTGTAAACTTGTTTAAGTTCTATTGAGCGCGATTGCGAACTGAAAATTTTATTTTTGCAGCCAAGAGTTTAAATCAAACCTAGGTGAAAGAAATAGAATTCATAAACACATTACTCTCTTAAATTATCATTAATTATATGCTCTATACAACTTTTTAAAATAGTTTGCACGTTTCAATTTCGAAGATATATATACCAAAAACTTATTTTATTTCAACCAACCTTTATTCAAAACTTCAATAATTCTTGAATCAAAATTGGAATTAGGATTTGAATTTATATTTGGTGTTGAATTTGAATTTTGTCTTCCATGTTTATGTATTTGATTATTTTGTTCAATTAAATCTTGTAGTTTATCTCTTGGTTCATTATCTGAAGTATTTGGTGCATGATGCTGTATTTTATCTAATTGTTGTGGTGGGGTATTGTTGTTGTAATTACCATTTTGATTGTTATACTTATGTTCTTTCTGTGTACTGTAAGGTTGTGGTTGAGGTTGAGATATTTGTTGTGGTCCTAATGAATGTTGTACTTGTTGTTGCTGCTGTTGTTGAGAACGATAGCTTGGTATTTGATTATTCTCATGTTTTATATAATTATTAAATTGATGCTGTGGATTTTGTTTATCATAGAAATTGGTATTATTATTGTGATGATTTTCAATAGTAGGAATAGATCCATCTGATTTTGTATGAGAATCAGAACGTGAATTATTGATATATGGATCATAATTCATATTATGCAATTGTTGTAAATTATTTGGATTTGAAGAAAAATGAGGTAGTTGAGGTGGTAAGACTATACTATTATGCTCTGAGTTATTTTGTTGATTTTGTTGAACATTTGGGCTTTGATTGTTGTTATGATGGTGATATTGATGATTTTTTGAAAAACTAGGTTGTCTTGATTGTTGTTGTTGTTGTTGTTGTTGTTGTAATTTTGATTTTTCAACTAATGGTGAATTATTATTTAATGTATGTAACGAATGATCAGGATATATGTCATTTGATAATTTCAAACCTTTTAATTTTGGATCATGAGATGGTATATTTACTAAATTTAAATTTTCCAGAAAATCCATACTACCACTATTATTATTGACATTATTTAAAAAATCTTCATGATAATTATTTTTAAAATATGAAATTAAATGAAATCTTTGATTTGTTTTTGTTGTTAATGAATACAGTTGTTTAATTAATCCATTAGTTTCTTCCTTTTTAGTAAATTTATTTAATTCTTTATATTGTAAAAAATTCCCATTATAAACTTTTGATGCTGACCAAATTTTCCCATCTGTCCATCTTTTCATACCACATGATGTTTCATTCCATATAAATATTGTATTTGGTTTTATAAATTTTGATCTTTCAAGGATAGTTAATCTTCTATTTATTATTGGTAACATTTTTAATCTACATGCTTCTATTAGTAATAATGCATCTAGTATTGAATATATTCTACCAATATAAGTAATTATATGACTATTTTGTAAAGAATTTGATTTTGGAGGTGATGGAGAAGGTGAAAATGATGTTGATGAATGTGGAATTGAATTTGGTATCTGATTTGAATTTGAATTAGGTAAAGAATTTAAATTCAAATTTGAATTTGAATTTGAATTAGAATAATTATTAGTATTTAAATGTGGTAATGATGATTCAAATGGTGGTTGTCTAAGGTGAGGTCTATTAGATTTTTGGAATGGTTCTTCTTCACCTGAAGAAAGTGAAGATGCGGATGATGTTGACCCATAATTTGAATGGGTAGTATTATTATCTGTATTTGAATTAAGACTTGAGTTTAAAGTAGAATATGAAGTTGAGTTATGTGAATAATTTAAATCTGAATTCATAATATTGTATATTTTATGATTATATTTGACAAAAAGATATGTGGATTTCGACTTTCTTGATTGAAATATCTGATTATTTTCGATTAGAATATATTATGAACTAAACTGATACCACTTTTAATGTAAAAATTGTAATATTATGGTTGAATAAATGATGAAACACATTAATTTATGATAATATTTAATTTATGATTGTATTGGTAAAATGATACACTTCTATCCAAAAGATCTTTCTTCTTTCTTAATTTTGATTTATTCTGAGATTTAATTTAATACATCTAAACAAATGTAGATTGAAAAAAAGGAATGTGGAATCTTATTCTGAGTTCTTCTTGATGGTAATAGGTAACAAGTAAATGTATTTATTATGTAACTTAAAATAATATTTTTTTTTTTTTTTGCAACTTGTAACAAATTTGTTTGTAGTTTCCAATTACAAATTTATAAGTGATCTTTGAATTTCCCAGGAAGGTTGTATTAAAGTTGAATCAACAAGAAAAAGAATGGAAATTGAAGATTTATTGATGAATGAATTTGTAGATTATTTGATGATTGAAAAAATAAGAAGGAAAATATATTATTATTATTATTTTAATATTCAAAATTTTGTATTTTTGAAAAAGAAATGGGTAAATTATATTATAGATTATTATATTTGGTATATGAATTAACAATTTAATTTTTCACACTTTGTTCAGTTATAAGGTTAGTAATATTCATTCAATTATTGAACCAATATATATATAGTACTATATTAACTTAAAATAAACTACTTTACACCTCATAGAAGTATTTGAATAAAGACAAGATTAAATTTGCTAAACTCGTACAAAACTTACTCTTATATTATAAGATTAGTTACATTTACTGATAAATTAGATTGAAATAATAAATTAAAGTAATAATTTACAAACCTTATTTCTATTAACCCTTTTGATATTTTGAGTATACATTTTTTAATGGGGTGTTAATGAATAAGTTTACCAATTTCAAGTTAAAAGAGATTTGAGCAGATCTGGTAGCACAAAATCAACATAGAGTAGAATGATATTAATTGCTGGGGGTCCAAATAGATTCAATAGTATTAAAAAATTTTCGCATAATAATTTATTATTATTACTAAACACATAAGTACTGTATTTGTTTAACAGACACACAAAAAGTAATGAGGTCATAATTCATTTTCTATTATTAAAGTCTTGCATACTTCCATTGCTCTAAACCAATATATGGAATTTATATCATACAACTTCAAACTTGTTGTTTACTTGATTTGTTGAACCGTATGTTTAAACGAATCATAGAACCCGACTGAAAGCGCCATGTAATTTAATAGATACTTTGATAATAACGTATTCAATTTTTACTCCAGATTTTAGGTGGAGATACAAAAATAAAAGTAAGACAAGAATCTGAAACAAAAAAAAAATTTAAGTATTCCATAAATTGATCAGTAATCACCAAAACTTATAACAAACGAGCCCATTATTTTACTTTGTTCTGTACAAGAGAATTAATAAGTAAATCTAGAAATTTTTAAAAAAAAAAAATATACAATTTCGTCAATATGAATTCTTAGCTTTGAGGCGAATTTTTTTTAAATTTGTGAAATTTCAGAATTTTAAATTTTTCTATTAATTTTCTATTCTATATACATTTTTGTTTTGTATTATTAGGGGGTTTAATTTTTTTCCCTTATATTATAGATCAATTAGCCTTAAGTTCACGCCTTAAACTCTAAATGCTCAACAATAGTATTTCAACTCTCATTTTTTCGAAACCTATCAAAACTAAATCTACCATAAGAGAAACCTTATTTCAGATTCTAGCCTCAATCAATTACAGAAATTGATGAGGTCATATTTTTAAAGTTTGTATGTAATCTCGATTACTCAACATGTTTGATTAAAATATAAAAACTTTAAATAATTTAAGGTTTTTAAGGTGTAGGGGGTGTTAAAATTTAGGTATATCATCTTCTACATTTAACTTAATTATATGCTAATCATCTTAAAAATGGAAAAATATAAAGACAGGCTTCTTTTTTTGACTTTTTTTATTTGAAAAATTACATTTCTACCCGGTAAAGGATTTGAAGTTCAATTCAGCTTATCATTGAATTTCAACTACCTATTCATTTAAACGATACTCTGGAAAATCCAAAAAATAACTAAAGAAACAAGTTTGAATAAATCAAATTAATCGTATTTAGTTCAATAAAGGAAAGTAACTTTATCCACGGAATTTCAAAATTATTTCATTTGCCGGACCAAACTACATGGAATAAATAAAATAATAAAATAAAATAAAAAAAAAAAAGAATTTAAAACATTTCTATTATTATGACAATATAGAAGTACTTATGTGTGTTTATCTTTATTTGAAACCAAAATTTGAAAGTAAGACACAATAGGGTTTCACTTTAATTTTTTACCATAGATATCGAATTTTTGTGGAATTGAGGTTAAATCCATAAATAGTTTCACCCTAAGTTTGTGTGGGTTGGGTTGACGGGAAATCATTTTTGCAATTTTAACCATTCCCACCACATGGAAAATCAATGTATCATCGAAGTTGCATCTTTACTACGAAATTATAGCGTGAGTATTTGCTCTTTCTCTTCAATTGTTCACTATAACAATAAATATTTGAAACAGATTTCCGAATGATAGAATTATATTTCCGTAGGTCTCTCGCCATACTGTTAGTTGTATTGCTCCCGCTTCAAGTGTCTTCTCCATGACTCAACCACGTTTATCTGGGTTACAAGTGGATTTTACTACTAGACAGCTTCTGACTGATACATTAAAGTCAACGCTGAAGTTGGCTTTATCAGAAAAATTTGTTTTTATGAACATTCAAATTTTGTGGTCCCATTGACTTTTCAAAAATATTTCTTTTAATTTTTTTTTTCCGTATTGGGAATTCTTGTGAAGAAAACCTGGAGGTGACTATTGAAATAATAAATTTTCAATTTTGTTCCAAGGTCTACATGGATTTTTCAAGTTAATGCTCAAATGATTTTGAATGTTATTTGTATTTGGGCTAATTTTTTCGAACAAAAACTTGTGTAGATGTTAAATAATTTAGGTACTGCCGAAACTATTATTGCGCTTTATTTTGATTATATGATTTGTGCGTACTTATTCAAATAATATCATTTTTACAGAATTTTATGATTCATTGACTGCATATTTGGATTTTAATCATAGTGGTCCAGTTAAATTGTATCTTGGAATTTAATTATTTAGTCAAAGAAAATTCGATTCATTAAAGATTTATTAGAACAATTGAATTCAGAGGGTGATGAAATTAAAGTATTAATTTCTACACCAAGGCTAAATATAAAGCTTTTCCAGATAAGCTGAATAATACTGATATCTAAGAAGAGTGTTTATTCAAAGACAGATTCAAGTTTCAGCAAAGACATGATGGACATTTATGAACTGGAACTAAATTTTTCCTCTAATCAAAGTTCCAGATCTAAAGTTTTCATAAGTATTATGATATTGGAAAACCTATTATCTCTCAATGGGGGTTTTCTTATATCACAAAAATACTCGTTCAAATTTTTAACAACGGTTGAGATACCAAAATTACACTTGAATTCAATGTGAAATTAGATATTTCAAATTCACATTTGTATTCTATTACATTATTCTTTTGTTTACATTCATTTACTATATATAAGCATATTCATTTTTTAGATATAAGCAGACCAACCACCATACATTTGAGCCAATCTTTCAATTGAAGTAGCTTCTTGAATTAAAAAATCAACTTGACCATGAATATTCATAACTAAACCTTCTTCTTCATTAATTAAACCTCTTGTTTTTTTACGAACTTTTAATAAATCATTTTGAGGTTCTGAATTAATTTTCCAATCACATAATGGATCATATAATAAAGTTTCTAAAATATTCATTAATGATTGTTCATTTAATCTTAATAATTTTCCAGTTTGTTCACATGATATTCTAAAACTTCCATCTACTCCAACTATTCCCATTGCATCAACCATATTTTGAGTTAATCTAAATGGTACAATTTCTGGAGTTGGTAATGTTAAACCTTTTTCAAATAAACAATCAAAATCAATATGTAAAATTGATCCTGAATTTTTAAAAAATAATATATTTTCACAATGTCTATCACCTAATCCTATAAGATATCCAACAATTGACATAACTGCAGATGATCTTATAAAAGAATTTCTTGCCATATACCACAGACTTGGATCAGGAAAATTTTCAATAAACCATTGATGTAAAAGTGGAGGATTTTTTTCACATATTGATTTAAATAATTCAATTAAATGTTTCATTGATTTATTATCTTTATTTTTTTCATTGAAATTCTTTTGAGCTTGATTTATACTATTAAAAATTTGTCTTTCATTAACAGTTTTACCTTTTCTTTTCCTTTGTTCATTTATTATACTTTTCATTGTTTGTACATTTGTAACAAATTCTATTATTCCAATATTTTCAGAAAGTGGTATAACTGAATAATTTGCAACATTTAAATTTCTTTTCCTTGCTTCAGTACTGGTTGATAATATACGATTTACCATTGTTGTAAATTCAACAACTTTTGCATCTTTTCTTGTATCATCACTTTTAATCATTAACCTATAATTTTTACCATCAGATCCTTTGATCGTAATTTGTCTAGGCATTTGTAACGAAAAGAAGATATTAACTTGATCATAAAACCCATTAAATGTTACTGATGCACTTCTTGGAAAAGCTGTATATGATGTAGCTTCTTTATGAGGTATCCTGATTTGTAGATTTGATTGAACTGGTATAACTAATTGATCATAAGCTCGATTAATATCTGGGAAATTAAAATATTTAGTTAATGATAGTTGTCTAACTCTTGCAGATTTATTTACAGTCTTTTGAGCAATACTTATAAATTTAGAAAATAAATCTTGAGCTTCTAATATTAAAGTTTCATGATCTTTTCTTTTCCTTGAATGAACCAAAATTTTATTAATTCTATCTTTTCTTTTTTGATCACCTGAATACGTGTGTGATAAAACATACCATAAACTATGACGAGGATATTCAGATATGATTGTTGCAACAATGGTAGCTAAAATCTTATAAGATGGTTCATGCTCATGAACTATCCTTGATAATATTTGTGTTATAGCAGTATACCAAGCATATGTTGGCACTGTCTTTAATCCATCAGTTAAATCTTGTATAATTTGTTTTAATTTTTTATCACCAATTTTTTTATGTTTTGATAATTTTGCGAAATCTAACCAAATTGTAATTAATTTAGGTAATGCTTCAAATATAAACAGTGAACCGATAGATACAGCACGTATAAAATTTCTTACTGTTAAATGTTGATAATAACCTGATTCATCTTTTGAAGAATCCATTAATTTATTAAAATATTTCCCAATATCATAACTTGAATTTTCATAATTTTTATCCATTTCAAATGCTTTTGTATATTCTTCAATAATTTGATTAGCTGATAAATGATTTGATTCATCTAACCAATTTGCATATTGAAGTTGAATTTTAGCTTTAAACTTTATATCATTGATTTCAGTTGTTTTCAAAATTTCAGATATATTTTTAATAGCTTCAGATTGTTTACCTTCAGTCCATAAAAGTTTCGAATATTCAATATTTGCAACAGGATTATTTGAAGCCATTGCCTTAACAATTGAACTTGTTGAAATATCAAGTCTACCACTTTCTCTAGCTAAATTTGATTGATGTAAATAAATTTCAGAAATCTTCTTTTCCTTTTTGATGATTTGATTAGCAACTAAATGAAGAGTTAGGATTTTGTTTTGAGTATCAAAGTCTTGATCAACATTACCCAATCTTAATTTCAATTGATCAGTAGCATCATCAGATGATCTTAGAATTTCCTCCATGTCATAAATAGCATGCAATTGATTCATGAGACTAACATTTCTGATAAAATTTGAAGAAGTTGATGAAACCAATGAATTTCCGATAACCTTATATAAGTTTTGCATAGACTCTTCATGTTTGGTGATTTTTTTATTTCTATCATATAAAGAAGTTATGTAATGTGCCAACTCATAATTGACTAACGATTCAGTGTCATTAGGCTTTCCCAAAAAATCAGTCACTTCAAGCCATTTCGTCAATTGATCTGGTTTACCAGAGTATACAGCTGATCTTAAACCTACCAACGCCCAATCTAAGGGTATTTCACTTAAATTCCTCAAATCAGTTAGCTCTGATAAATTAGATAAAACATCATTATATGATCCATATTCATTTAATGCTTTCAACAAATCCTTATTTTCAGAAACCTTCGATGATCCATCTCCAACAACTTTAAATGATTCTAAAGCAAGACTCCAATTATCACTATATTGAAATGTTTTTAATTTTTCATTCATATTATTTGAAGAAAATATTTTCAATGATCCATTTAATGCATCATAATCATTTATATTTGCATACATATTTTGTAATGTTCTGGCAGCATCTAAATCACCTAATTTAAATTCTGAATTAATTTGACCATCACGATAACATTTTTCTATGTACATTATAGTTCTTTCATAAGAATCACATTCAGCTGATTTTATAGCTATTAAATCCATATTAAATGATCCAATAAATCTTTCTACTAAATCTATTTTATCAAGCCAAATTTCAGATGATGATACAGAATCTTGAACACTGCTTCCATTAGTATTTGCTATTTGGGTAGTTGCTGATAACCACTCATTACAATAATCAAATACTGAAAATATTGTTTGAAAACATAATTTTAATTCCTCAGTTCTATCAGATGGTGATGCATTTGTATCAATGCTAAATATATGTTTGAATTCTTCTAATAACTCTTTCTCAACGGAATGGTTTAAACATAGAATATGACTCAAAACTGTATACTTAAATAAATGTTGACAAATTGAAATATCTTGATCTTTTAATAAAATTGCACAATTTTGAAAAATTAATTCTCTAATATTTGGTTCTTTATTTTTCCCATTATAACTTCCCTTTTTCAATAAATACAAAGTTAAATCAATCAACCAAGTTTCATATTTCATACCAGATTTATAATATGGAAATTCAATTTGAATTAGTTTTGATTTACTTGAAGCAGTATATTTAGAAGTTAAAAATGGTGTTAAAGTTGATTTGGCAACATCACTAAATTTCATCCATATTGAATTATTACTATCCTTAACTTTATCATCACTTAATTCCAATAATCCTAGGAATTCTTGTAATGCAAAAGCTGCAAATAGTTGCTTTTGTGGATCATTTGACGCCCAAAATAATTTTAAAACATGATTTTCAATTAAATCTATCAAAAAAGATGTATTTTCATTTTGATTTTCAAAATTTTGTTGAACTATAATCAGATGTTTTACAGTTTTAAAATGAAATTTATTTGCATCTAATGCACCAAATACAGCTAAAACTTTTGCACATTCCGATGTAATTTTTGGATTTTTATTCTTAAATTGTGAAGCGGTATCTAATATCGTACGAACTAAAACTGTAATTGAATCAGTTAAACTTGAATCTTTGAAAAAATCTTTTTGACAATTGATTTGATATTCCTTAAAATAATTATATAGATCAAACAACGCTTGCTCCACAACATATTGATTATGAGTGTTTAATCTTCGACTAAATTCTTGAAAAATTTGAACTCTTGATAATGATTTCATATTTCGAAATTCTTTAATGAAATTAAAATTTGACATATAATCCAAAAACGGAATTGATAAATAATATAATGAATATCGGCTATATTTGTCTTTGATTTCTTTGTATATCTTCTTCAAAATATCAATTGCGATGTCTTGAGCTTCCGTACCAAAACTTTGAAATTTTTGAAAAATAATTGATATAGCAATGTCTATTAAAGATATTAAATGAGTGGATGGTAATTTTTCAACTAATTCCCTCCAACAAGTTAATGTCAAGACATGAAAATCTGGTTCTTCTAACATAGCTTGTAAGCAAGTGGACAATTGACCCAAAGCAAAAGTTAAAGCAACTGCATGATTTTTGATTAAATAAAGTATTGCTTGAAATGCACTTCTTCTTTCCATATAAGGTTTACCACTTTTTAAAGAATGGGTTACATCACTAAATTTTTGTACCAACAATAAGATTTGTTCTTCAATTAGACTACTTGCAATTTTCCCCTTTTGAGCTCTTTGATGTTTATGATGTTTTGAATTTTTCGCGACTATTTCTAATGCTGAAATTATGTTACCCAAATTTCGTATATTTCCTTTATCATCAAGTTGAATTTCCAATAATATATACCATACAATTTCACCTGGTGCTGTGAAGATTTCATCGGTTGAAACCAGCTTATAATCAGGACAGTTACTACTCAAAACTTTTATCACGTATCTTTCATTCAGTGGATCCTGGACTAGATATAATGCTAGTATTTTGGGTAAGTTAGAAGCTAATAACTTCTGAATTGACATATTTGCTGCATCAGCTATTTGTCCAATTAAAGATGTATCCTTAAAATATTCAAGTAATTTAGGTACAGTGTATTCTTTAGTTCTGTTGAGAAAATAATTACGTTGTATACTCATTACTTGTATCAATCTTTCACAAACCAATGGTTTTGTAATTATTATAGCTGCAATCGTTGATAAATATGGTGATAGCATTTTATATGGTGAAGTTTTTTTAAAATGAGCTATATCCAAAAACCCACAATATGCATAATTTGAATGTTGATCATTTGGCTCGCCAAGCCAATCAACTAACTTGAGATAAGTTGCGTATAATCTATTCCCATTTGAAACCTTTGCTAATTCGACTACTGAATAAATTGTGGATTCACCAAAATGACGTCTGTTCTTTGAAGTAAAGTTGATTTTAGTGGTTCTTTGAAAAATAAATTTAAACATCTTATCTTGTTCTACTTCATTACACTCTTTTATTAAATATAACGGAATTATTTTAGTTACAAGTATTCGTAAATTACGATTCGGATGGGTATCAAGTATCTGAAGCATTATACTTAGTAAGCCATTTGGTGATTCGTCATATTGTGGAAGATACAAAGAATAATAATTTTGTAACATGATGAAAAAGTTACATGCAACTAATGGTTTGGATTTCAAGTAGTCCATTCTCGGTATGAAAAATTGATGAATGATTTCGTCTAAAATTAAGGACTGAGTTGTACTTTGAACCGGTAATCTATGTTTACTAACTTCATGAGATTGAGTCAGTGATAATGTTATGAATTTACTCAAAGCCGTAAGTAATGTGAACATTGTAATATCCTTCTCCAACTCTTTTGGCTGAGATTGTACTAGACTTCTGATATATCTAATCCAATGTATTTCTGCATCATTATCATTGAAGTTTTGTGGAGGTAGATACTTAAATTTATCTAATATGATGAAATTGAGTTTATCTGTAATTTTGTTATTCTCCTTACTCAATTGTGATTTTAAATCATTTGACTCAGCTGAAGCGAATTGAAAATTTTTAAAATCAATGGTGGATGAATCACTAATTTTAGTCGACCAATTATGATTTGATTCCAAATGGTAGAATATTGAAAATAAAGTACATTTGATAGATATGGGTATTGACTTCACAGCTGGAAGTTTACGTATTAATCCTTCAAAATCCAAAGCTTGTATAAAGTTATGAATTAGGTCTTGGTCCTCACAAAATGAATAAATTTTGAATAATGCAATCGATATTGACTGAACAATATTTGGATATTCAAATCCATTTGTTTTAGACCCCAATTGTTCAAAATTTTGATAAATAAAATCCAGTATCCATGTTAACAAAAGTTGAACATGGTTCCAATTAGTTGTATCATCTATCAAAATATTATCTAAATGATTTAGGAATAGCAAGCTTTTTAGATTGTCAATCATAATTAAGTTTGTTTCATTATATAGAAACTGTGCTTCATTTAAAATCTGCATAAGTTTCTTACCGAGAAGTTCAAGTTTGAGCAGATATCCATTTGAATTGAGTGATAATTTTTTGACTAGAACATAATCGTTAACTATTGAGTACAAATGACAAGCTGAGATTAACTTTTTTAAATATGTTGGATTATTACATGATATGATTTGATTAAAGCAATAATCAATATCCAGAACCAATAATTTGATCAAATTTTCTCGTAGTAGTTTAATGAATTTGAAATCAAATAATTTTGTAGAAACCAAATTAATAATATGTATCAATAAACTTTTCAAATGATTTAAAATGATAGGTTTTGATGTCACGGTTGATAATTGAAAATAAATAAAAGATATAAGCCACTCATATAACAAAATCTCCTGAATCATAATTAAACTTGAATTTGAGGTGGGAACGTAAATTAAACTTATATCTTGATATTTTAATGAAACATTTAATAAATATATCTTTTTACTAAGCATTAATTCAATTGTATCTACCATCTTTATTAATATGTCATCATCTCCCTTCGACCCTGTATTCAAGTCTTTTAATTTGGAATTCAAAAATTGTAGTAGGTATAAGATCAATTTTTTAAAATCTGTATCTTGATCATTTATATTGGACTTGATATCATTTAAAAATTGAAGTAGTTCCTCTGAACTCAACTTTTGAGCTGAAGTCATATCATAGTTGGATCTCTATGTGAATTTGAACTTATGGTTGGTTGTAAATGATGTAATACTTAACGTGTCTAGTTTATTTGCAACACTTTTTTACAAATCTATTTTACGCGTAACGAATTGAAAAATTATCATTGAAGAGACGATAATGTTAAGGACAAAAATACAGTTAATTATTCACATTTATCACGTTAAATTAATTTCATAAACTATTACTATGTACCCTCATTCACCATTACAGTGATTTTATTTCTCAACTAAACAATCATATAGTTATCTTTCTTAATATTCTTTCATCCCCAATAATTTATACTACTGCCCATAATTGATAGGTCTTTTAAACAATAGAATGTGAGGTTCAGGAGCATGAGTTTCATAATGAGCCCAACCTAAACTTTGAGTAATTCCTAAACCTCTCCATTCTTCTTCTAATAAAATTCTTAATGTACCAGTTTCAGGATTAAAATAATCTTGTGGTATTATTTTTAACATATTTTTAGGTAACATTACATGTCTATATTCATGAGTATCATCATTATATCTGGGACTATAATGAATTAAATCTTGAAACTCTAATACTTTTGCTCTTTCTGCATCACTTAAATATCTTGGTTTTGATGACATTTTGTAAATTTGAAGTTTGTTGTTGATGCCTGAAAATTATGATTTGATGTATGAGTGCTCTAGATTGTAATTGAGTTGGATCTCAACAAAGTAGCTAGAAATGAATAATTATTTGAATGGTTTTTGAAGATGATATAGTAAATTGAATTTGGTCTCCTATAGTTTTTTCAGATTAGACGATGCTAAAGATTTAAGATTTCTGCAACAACAATGGAAGCTTGGTTTAAACTTATTTCTGGAGCTGCCAGTTAATTGTTTAAGTAATGAAAGTAAATTAACGAATGGAAGATTTGATAAAGATAGTGGTTAAAGATATAGATAATATTTGTGAAAAATCGGTTAAGGGTTTTTCTATTAAGAAAAAAAATAATATCAGAACCAATTATTACGCGTGAGTCTTAACTATAACATCGTTAAATAGAATGGACTACCATGATCAAAACATCGATAAGAACATAACTGATACAACCTAGCTTTATAAAAATTGCTCGCAGTGTTTCAATTCTAGATTCAGTTATCTGTAGATTGTAAGTTTGAAATATCTGAATGGTGCAGCGATCAAAATAAACATAGATTTTATCAGAGATCATTGAAGTAAAAATACCCAATTTTGGCGTCAATTGAGCGATGAATGCTACATGTGTTAAGTCATCAGAAGATTTCTTCATTAATTTATTCGTTAATATATTCATGACAAGATTATCTTGGATCCTAACTCCTAGCAGAACTGGATATAGGATCTCGATCTCTTGACCTGTAATGTGAACTTCGGTTATCGTGCAGACGATGTGAACTTCGGTTATCGCTAGAATGATGCGATTGGTGTGAGCTTGACCTTGGGTTGTGATGTGAGTGTGATGATGGACGTGATGATTTTTGTGATCTATGCCTATGTTTATCATCCGGCTTATGTATCCTGTTTGATGAAGATGATGAAGATATTTCAGTGCCCGGTATTCTCGACCTTCTTTGTTGTTGTTGCTGTCGTTTCATCATCGCCAAAGGGTCATTATCTAGTGCTGATGAATTACTACTACTTTTACTCAATCCTGACCCTATGATTTTATTCAATCGATCATTTCCACCGTTACTTCCCCTAGATTCTCTCTTATTGAAAGCTTGATTACCATTCAATAAACTTTCCACTTCTTTTTTACCATCAGTAAACTCCAAATTACTTTCAATAAACCCACTTGTATTTTTAGTTTCTTCTGCTTCTGGTGCTTCAAATGGTACATCATCATACATCCAACTTAATTTATTAACTTTTAATTTCTCATTAGTTGATAAATGATCCTTGTAATTATCACCATATTGTAATTTCAATAAGTCTATATATTCTTGTTCTTTTTTACTTTCTTCATTTTTAAGTTGATCTTCTTTTAATTGTTTGAGTTTTTTTTGTTCTAATTCCCATACTTTTGTTTGATTCTTGACTAGTTTCGGATTCCAAGACTTTTTGAGATTTAAATCACCTGCCATGTTGAATTATCGAGTGTATGCTATATGTTATTCGTAGAAAGTCTTTGCATTTGGTGTTGCTAAATGTAATATGAAGTAATAATTTTGTGTTCTGTATCAACTTTTCGTGCCATCAATTCACATTAAATTGAGAAATGAGATAGGGGAGAGTAAAGCAAATAAATGACTACAAATCAAAAAGTCCAAATCAAAAGTTGTTTTGATTACTGATCGATATATAAAACTAAATCTCTACCCGGAAGCAGCAATAGTAGCAGGCTGTTAATACAATACTAACTCTCTAATTATAAGAAAGAAGCAAGAATAATCCTTAAAAATACCATACTGATTTTCCTCTTTAAAAACCATGGATTTTAATATTCTTCTTAGGTAATTGTAATTGAGTAGTTAAAAACTCAGAAACTTTAGTTCTTTGATCACCTTGTAATTGAATAACTTCACCTAAATCATCATCTTTAACAATATTACCATTACAAGCAAAATCTTTTTTTAAAACTTTTAAAATTTTTTTTAAATCATATTCTTTTGGTACACCTTGAACTGTAGTTAAAGTTTTTCTACCGTTACGTTGTTGGATACGAATATGAATGTAATTAGTTGGTTGAGCTTCAGAATCACCAGTATCGGCGAATGGATCAAATGCGTTTAAGTTTTGGATAGTTGACATAAAATTTTCAGAAAGATTAAAATGTATTTCCCTTTCTTCTTTAGTGTTTGATTGATTAGTAGTAATTATATGAATACAGTTGTGATCTTAAAAGTGTTTCCTTAGATAGGTTTGAAAGTCTAGTGTTCTTATAGATTTTAAGCTTATCTATAATAAAATTAGTTGATTATGGTTAAATTTTGATTGTTATTTTTTTATATGTAAATTTTCTTTTCTTTCTTTTTTTTTTATAATTAGAATTTTGCCTATGATTAACATCTTAACATACATAATAAATTAAGTTTGAGTGACTTTCTTTTTTACATAATAAAATGAATGTCACAAAGTTTTTTTTTTTAATTGTCATGTCTACAAAACAAATGTCATTGAACTGGGCATGAGACACTACCTAATAATTTTACCCTGCTTGAACCTATTTGTGGAATTGAATTTAGCGATAGCGAGTCAGATGATTTGAAGCATGTGATTAGGAAAAACTTTTGGTTGGGTTTCGAATAATGTATCAATCTGATCTACTGTCTCAAGCATTTCACACTTCTTCAAAGTTTACTTGAAAGACGTATTACCAATAAAATTAAGCCCTACAATATCAAATTTTTTCATACATTGCACTTTCGAATTAAGTATTGTTTAGTAGCAAATCATCGTTTTATTTTTCGTAAATTCTTTAATTATTAAAGTTAACTAAGATTGAAAAAAACTGATTCAGACGACCCCAAAATTTTTCACTATGAAAATATTGATAAAATATTTTGATTTACTAAATCTAGTTAATCAGTAATTTCCCATACAGATCAAGTAAAAAATACGTTTTTAGATTTAAATTATATACTAGCTATAAAACAAAGTTTTCTTGCTTATTTGTGTATAAATATCTTCTACTAAGTCTTTTGATTTCTATTTTCAAATTGTTCGAAGTTTCATAGTCCTAAATCAATTATTTGAAGCGCAACAATATACATTTGAAGCAAAATATTTGAAACACAGATCTAATAATCACAATTCTAATTTCGCATAGGCTAATTTTATTTAAGTGTTCTAAGAAATTCACTACTTGACAACCCCAAAAAATTTTCAGATCTTTATCAATTTTACAATTCGATAGAAAGTCAAAGATATATAAATCATTCAATCAATTACTTTGTACTGATCTTTTATATTCATACATTATCACAAAATTATATTTAACGGAAATCTATTTTGTTAGAATCAAAATTAAGAGGAGAAAAAATAAGTTTTCAAATCAATTTGAATAATCATAATTATTTACAACCTCATCAACTTAGATCATAATTAAAAGAAAATTCAACGAATCAAGCACATCTTACTGTCTGATCCACTCAATCATACTCAATTATCAAAGACAATCCTCAAACTTAATTAAATTTTCACATTCATCAATTAATTGATACCAAATTAAATCAAATCAAACTGAATATGAGTACTAAAGAAAAGATTGAGATAGAAACATCAATTAAAACTCCAAAATCATCAACAACAGTAACCCCATCCATATCCAAAGATGAGTGTATCAAAGAGAGCAATAGCAAGGAACCAGTAGTGAATGAAAAAGAAAAGAAAAAACAAGCATTCATTACAAGAACAATTTGGACATTTGTAATGATTGGAGGTTTTTTCATAATTTTAGCATCAGGTCATTTACCTATAATAATAATGATATTAATATTTCAATTTTTAACATTTAAAGAAATTATTGCATTAACTTCAGAACCTGCAAGAGATAAAAATATTCCTTATAATAGATCATTAAATTGGTATTTTTTAGTTACAACTTGGTATTATCTTGATTTCCCATCATTTGTTGAATTTTTTCAAGATAAAATATTATCAAATAAAATTTTAACTTTATTAGTTATAAATCATAAATTTGTTAGTTATACTTTATATATTGCAGGATTTATATTTTTTGTATGGACTTTAAAAAAGGGATTTTATAAATTTCAATTTGCTCAATTATGTGTTACTCATATGACATTATTATTAGTTGTATTTCAAGCTCATTTAATAATTGATAATATTTTAAATGGTATATTTTGGTTCTTTTTACCATCTGCTTTAGTTATTGTAAATGATATTTTTGCATATATTTGTGGTATTACATTTGGAAGAACTCAATTGATTGAAATATCACCTAAAAAAACTGTGGAGGGATTTGTTGGGGCTTGGATTTGTACTGGTATTGCAGCTGTTATTGGATCATATGTATTATCAAAATCAGATTATTTAATTTGTCCTGCTGAAAATTTATCAACTCATTTGTATAATTATCCTATATGTGAACCAAATCCTGCTTTTATACCTCAAGTTTATCAATTACCTCAAAATATAATAGATTTATTAGGTGGTAATATTGAAGTTATAACTTTTAAACCAATATATTTCCATGCAGCAAATTTAGCAACTTTTGCATCATTAATTGCACCATTTGGTGGATTTTTTGCAAGTGGATTAAAAAGAGCATTTGGAATTAAAGATTTTGGAGATACTATTCCAGGTCATGGAGGTATAACTGATAGATTTGATTGTCAATTTTTAATGGGTTCATTCACTTATTTATATTATCAAACTTTTATAAGTAATCATAATGTTAATTTAGGTAAAATTTTACAAATGGCAATTATAAATTTAAGTTTACCACAATTAGTTCAATTAGTTAAAAGTATATTGAGGTATTTGAATAGAGAACAAGTAATTGATGATGATAAATTAAAAGTCATATTTGACATTTTAGAACTTCAAAATTAATGACCTTACCGAGTACCCAATCAATTAATTAACATCATACAACTTCTCATAAAGGAAAAAATTTAGAAAAAAAAAAGTAAAAATACATCGAAAATAAAATACATCAAGTTCAATAGTTTGTATATTTGTAATTTATTTAATATTTAATTGTTAATATATTATCTTTACTTCCGCAGGAATCTATACCAGCTCGGCCTATAAGATTCTTGATCTGATCTAAATCTCAGGAACGATTATTTGTTTACAATTTCAGGTGGTAATTGCAAGGCTGATTGCTATAATTTAGGAACAAGCCTATTCAAGCTTTGGTTAGTAAAATTGAAAATTCTTGGTCCAAATCTCGTATATTTTTCGCGTACTAATTTTTTATCAACACTTGCACTACTTACTTTTTTTGTAAGTTAATCCAGCACCAATAAGCAACAATTAACAATTATCACAGATAAAGCCTTAAACGCTGGAAATATTACGTGTAGCACAAAGTAGGACAAACGAATCATAGGCTTTGGGCTAAGACTATTTTTTTTTTGCGATATTAGTGGATCAAATCACTTGATAAGTGTTACTTGCAGTTTATTCGCTTAATCGATGAAGGATACGTTTAACACTGCCAAATCACAGAGTGTGAAGGAAAAGGGAACTACTAATTTAAAAACTAGCGAAGAGTGATAAAGTCATAAAACAGTTTGTGCTAGTCTAATACTAATAGAATTACGGAAGTTAAAGTCTTTTTATCTTCTTTTCTAAAAATAAAAAATTGATGTCAAAAAAGAAGCAAAATCAACGATCTCGCTGGTTCAATAACTGAATCGATTATACTATATACAGATGTACTTGAACTTATTCTCGAAACACGAATAAATTCTTAACCGTTTGTGTTGTTTCAGAATTTATTCTACATGTTTTGAATGCTTGTTAAAAATCAAATCGTATTTCCTAATTGGGATTTTTGCTGCGCAGAAAATTCGATTTACCTTCTGCATATGCATAGAATTAATAGAAATGGTTGCAAAATGTAATTATTAACATGGATCAAATCAAATTTTGATTTTGACAAACAAAGAGGTACATGTGATTCAACCAGCAGTTTAGATTTGAGTTGGAATAAACTATAAAAGACTAAATTGATCCACTTAAATTTTTTGGATTCAATCATAACCCTTCTTTCTTTTCAATTTATCAATCAAACTATTTACATTCATTTATAATTCATTATTATTCACCCAAGACTTTCGTTAATTTGAGGTGAGTCCACATTCGTTACTACAACAAACTTAGACATTCGTTAATAACTTCAAACTACTACATTCGTTAATAAATTAAAACTACTACATTCATTATCTCAAATATCACATTCTTTACAAAATAATAAAACATATAAAAAATGATTTCAATAATATATACATTCTTTTTGATAAACCTCATAGCTGCAGTACCATTACCAGCAATAATAACGAGGTATCATACTGCTGAAGCAGTAACACAAACTATTTTAAAAACAACAGGCACAACAACAGTTTGGATAGCACCAGTTGGAATATTCGTAAATCCTGATGGAAGTTCTTCAACAAGTACTGTTTGGGATGGTCAATGGAATACTTATCCTGTTACTTTCACTTCAAATGTTAATAAAGGTGCCGCTGCTCCAGCTCCTACCACACCTACTACTACTCAAGAGCCAGCACCCGAACCAACTACACAAGCTCCTGCATTAGTTCAACCAACTACTACTTCTATTGCTCCTCCACCAACAACTGAAACTACACCACCTCAACCTTCAACTACTGCAGCTCCTCCTCCTCCTCCTCCTCAACCAGAAACTACTCAAGCTGCACCACAACCACAACCAACAACTTCATCTCAAGCTCCTCCTCCTCCACCTAAATCAGAAACTACTCAAAATCAACCAGAGACATCATATGTTGCTCCAACTACTTCAACTACTTCCACAACCACTACATCAAGCTCAACTACAACTCAAGGTTCACAACAAACACCATCTGATGCTAAAGGAGCAGGATTAAATGCCAATTTAAGTCCACCAAATTCAATAGTTTATTCCCCATATGCTAATGATCATGGATGTAAATCATCAGATCAAATTAATGAAGATTTGGAATTCATTGCAAGTAAAGGTATAAAAAACATTAGATCATATGGAACAGATTGTGGTTCATTAACTACTGTATTAACAAAAGCAAAACAATTAGGATTAACGGTTAATCAAGGTGTTTGGATCTCCGAAGCAGGTATAGATTCAGCTGATGATCAAATTAATCAAATCATATCATATGGACAACAAAATGGTTGGGACATATTCAATTTAATTACATTTGGTAATGAAGCAATAAATTCAAATTTTATAAGTATAAATGATATGTTAAAAAAATTTAATTCAGTTAAATCTAAATTACAATCAGCTGGTTATCAAGGTTATGTTACAACAGCTGAACCTCCTGCTACATTTATTAAATATCCTCAATTATGTACTCAAACTAATATGGATATAGTTGCAATTAATCCTCATTCATACTTTAATGAAAATATAAGTCCAGAAAATTCAGGAAATTATGTTACATCACAACAATCACAAGTTGCTTCATTATGTAATGGTAAATCAGTATGGATAACAGAAACTGGTTATCCTTCTCAAGGTTCAACTTTAGGTTTAAATGTTCCAACTTTATTAAATCAAAAAATTGCAATTGAAAGTATATTAAAAGAAACTGGTGGTGATTGTACTATTTTAACTACTTATAATGATTTTTGGAAAGATCCAGGTCCATATGGTATTGAACAATATTTCGGTGTTATAAATTTATTTAATTAAGTTATCAATTTCTTTCTACATTTTCATTTGCATTTTTTCATTTCGTTTGCATTTCGTATTTATATGATTATTTACATAGACTTTTAAATAAAAGAGACATTAAATTTTTGAAAAACGTTCATTAATTCATCAAGTATATAATTTAAAAATCTATAATTTTTTCTGGAAAAAATTCATCAATTAATTCCAAATAATAAGGTTTTAATTTTTCAATATTTTCTAATTTATCAATTTTAGAATATAAATCATATTTATTAAAAGCTTTTACAGCTTTTAACATTTCTTTATCTTCATCATTCATTAAATAACTATAAGCAAATTCTTGATGCCATGGATAAAAACTATGATAACGAATCATTGCTAATGCTTCTTTTGGTAAATTTGAATGTTTTTTAACAATATGATACATATATTCATCATGACCCCAACTTAACATTACTTTATCTAATCCACAATGTTTTGAATATATACCATATTTTGTATTATAAAGAGGATTTAAAAAATCTGGATTTTTGGTAAAACTTTGTGGGAAAATTATTCTTTTTGAAAATTTACAACCAACTGGGAAAGTATCTCCCACAACATCCCATTGACCTTTTGAATCAAAAAAATATAATAATTTACCTAAATCATGAATTAATCCAACTAATTGAAACCAACGAGGTTTACCATCTTTTCTAATAGCTTCAGCGGTTTGTAAAGCATGATCAATTTGTGATAATTCAGTATCTGGATCACTATCATCTAATAATTTATTTAATTTTTCTAATCCTTCCCATATTGACATTTTATCTCTTGTTTTAGTTTTAAAATTTATACGAGCTTGAATATTATAAGCAACTGTTTGTTTTTCATGTTGTTCTTCATAAAATTCTTTAACTCTATCACAAGCAAGTTCATATTGTCGAAAAGCTTTTTTATCTATATTTTTATAATAATCTGTAGTGGTTTGCCAATCTTCATCTATTATTTTGTCATCTGATTCATCTTGTATTTGTATTTCTTCTTCTATTGATTTTTCGTTAGTTGTTTTGGATTTTAATGAATTTCGTAGTTTATTCACGTTAAGTACATCATCATCTATTTTTTCTAATATTTGTCCTTTTCTTTTATCATTTAGTGAATCATCTTTGTTTGTCTTTGATGTATCTTTCGTTACTCTTGATGTCATATCATTCTTCAGTTTGAATAAGGTTAAAGAATATTTTTTTAGTGATGTTATTTTTGTGTCTACGATCTTAAATCAATATACAACCAAAATAGAATAATCATTATCAGAGTATTCATTACAAACAAAAATCAAGTAAGATCAAAGAACTTTTATTAAATTATCACGTAGCTAATATACAACAAACATCCAAATGAGAAATAAAATGTTTAAATTATCTTAGATCAATGCAACAGCACCAACAACTAATAATAATGGAATAGTGAAAATAGCACTATTTAATTGAGAAGCACTACCTTCATATACTGGAATAGTACCATTATTAGTATAATTGCTAGCAATTGAACTTGAACCTTGAACAATTATTGGTGATGAAATAGTTGAAGTAACTTCAACATAATAAGTTTCAGTTTCTCCAGCATTAGTTGATTTTGAAATTTCAGTTGCAATAGTAACTGATGGTTTTCCAGTTGAACCTTCACCAATAACAACAACAGATGGGGCTGATGATTCAGCAGCAACGGTAGATTTTGTTTCAGAAGCAACAACAACTGGTTTAGTTTCAGAAGCAACAATAACTGGTTTAGTTTTAGAAGCAGATTCAGTTTCACCTGGAATACTGACAACTGGTTTAGTTTCAGATGGGATAACAACAGCAACTGATTCACTTGATTTTGGATGAACTGGAACAACAACTGATGAAGCAGTCAATGGACAATAAGTTGTAAAAACGGTTTCATTTTCTGTTATGATAACGATTCCTGTTTCAACTGGTACTTTTGAACATTTATTTTCACTACAAGATGTTATTGTAACGACAGTGTGTTTGATATCGGTGACTGTTGATAAAGCACCTCCATTTGATTTATTTGATCCTTCTGATGATCCATTTGAACCGTTTGAACCGTTTGAACCTTCTGATGATGAACCTGATTCGGAAGAAGCACCATTGGAAGCTGATGATGATGAGGTAATTGAAACTGAACCGCTGACACCACCTTCAATTGATGAGGAAGTAGTGTTTTGGTAACCGCTTGATGATGAAGTAAGAACGAGAACTGATGATGAAGTAGTTGGAGCTGATGAAGTAGTAGAAGTGGTTGTTACATCTGAGCTAGTTGTAGTAACAGCTGATGTAGATGATGATGATGATGATGAGGTAGTTGAAGTGGTTGAGGTTGATGAAGTAGTTGAAGAAGTTGATGATGGAGCTGGACAAGTAGCATCATTTAATACACTTTTAACTTGTTGTAAATAATTTTCACCATTTGAATTAATATTTGAAAAAGCACCAGAAGCATCCCATAATGAAACACCAGCAAAATGTTTATCACATTTAATTTCATCAATTTTTTTAGCTAAATCATCTGAATTAACATAACCATTAATATTATCAGTTGCAGGAATACCAACAAATAATTGAATATTTGAATTTGGAGCTGAATCAGCAAATTTTGACCAAGTATCATAATTAAATGAACCATCTAATGAACAATAATTGTTATAAAATTGAATAAAAGCAAAATCTAATGGAACTTTTGATAATAATTCACCAACTTTAGCATCTGGATAAACACATTGAGGAGAAGCAGATAAATAATATTGTTTTGAACCATCAAATTTAGATCTTAATGATGTAGCTAATTCAGAATAACCAGTTGATTCACCTAATTCAATATCAAAATCAAATCCATCAACAATAGCATCATCAAATGGTCTTTCTGGATCTTCTGATCCATTACCAAATTTATTCCATAAAGTATTTGCAAATTCAGTAGCTTCATTAGTATTTGAAAAACCATATTTTCCTGCTGCACCACCTAATGATAATAAAACTTTTTTACCTTGAGATTGACAAGTTTTAATATCTTCACCAATTCTTTGACAATGTAATAAACCAGAAGGATAAGTATCACCACATTGATTTGCAAAATTTACATTCGTTGGATCAGGGAAATCATTTAAAAATGATAATAAAACAATTTCAGCATCTGAATTATCACAATAATGAGATAATCTATCTTGACCACCTGCACCATTTTGACCCCAATAAATGGCAACATTATTGGAAGCTGCAAAAGCTAATGTTGAAGTAGCTAATAATGATAAAATTGAAGTTGATAACATTATTATTTATTTATATTTAATTTAATTCGAAGATATTGATTTGAATGATAGAAGGGATTAAACGAATGACTATGGTTAAGTTTGTTTAGGTAGTTAACGAGAGACTATGGGTGAGTGAGTTGATTCAAATGATTTTGATCAATGATATATCCAAATTAAGATTATTAATTTTAATAAACAAGAAGATTTAAAATAAGAAAATTTACGAATCAAAGAGAAATCTATGTTCATTTTATATAATTTAAATTAAAAAAATATTTGACAGAATAAACAAATAAATAAATTGCCTTTTATTGAAAGAAATTGCAAAAGGACTAAAAAAATTTTATTTTATTAATTTGTTGATATTTTGAAAAATCGTTCTATTACACAAAATTAGATCGAAAATTAATTGTCCTATTGTTAAAAGTTAAAAAGGTTAAATTTGTCACTCGGTTAGTCAAACAAATACTAATCTAAATCATCAAAATAATAATAATAATAGTTTTAGTAAACATACAACAACCAGTAAAGTGGAGTCCAGTATTATAACGAACCAGTGCTATAACTATTATAATTTATGATTAAGACTCATATGGAATGTTAGCTCATCTTTCAAATCTTTATTGAACTCATTTTTATAAAGCTCTTATTTTATTTTTAAATCTGCAATAGTTACTTGATACATACAATATGTATCTTACTCTTTCACCGTAAAATTTGCGAGAAGAGAGACGAAATTTTCTTAATGCGTGTAACTTTAGTCATAAAAGTGAATAGACAATAGGAAAAAAAATTTCGTGTTTTTTTAAAACAATAATATATAAAGTATAAAGTGTTAAATCAAAAAAACTCATCCAAGAATGGTAATGATCTAAACAAATTTAGTTTTATGGTTAGTCTAGTGAATATTAGTGTTAAATAGTTGGCCGGCAATATTTTAATTTAGCAGACCAACATCCTTTGATTGGTTTAAAACCTACAAGAAAGTCGTGTGGGGTTGGAGATTGAGGTAGATTTGCTTTTTAGCATGTGGTACTTTGATCTTACTAACCACATGAAATATAATGGTAGTCGATCATCAATAGTGGTTGAGTAAATTTTGGAATTATCGATTAAAGGGACTAGATTATTATATATAATTTCTCTCTAAATTTCTTATTTGCTTTGTTTAGTTGTTAATAATAGTAACAAATTAAGCTTATTAATATTTTTTACTTTTGGGATCTTTAGATCTAAAGATCTCGTATTCTATAAAAATCTTGTCTTAAAAAAAAAGATTTCTTCGTTTATTTAAACTCAAAAGTTTCGTACTCAACATACATTTCAGAGTCATTTTTAATTTTAAACAAATAACAACTAAACCAATTAGATGGTTTGTTCATTTCAATACTAAACTTATAGCATGACTAAATAATTTAACAAGTTAATCAGGTTGGGCAGTGTCTATATTGAATGAGAATTTAGTGGTTTAGCGCAAATTTATATGATAAATTTATACTAGAAATAATTCAGTACACAAAAACCCATAATATAAATTAGATCAAAGAGACACAAAGATAAAATTTTAAGCCTTTTGATCAATAGGGTTTTTTGACTTTTTTTATTGAGGTAATTTGATATTCACAATTGGAGGAAAGATCGTTCATCAAAATCTGTAACATTGTTGCATAGTGTGGCAGGTGTTAAGCCTTAACAATACGAAAGTATAACTTAATAATAAGACCAAATGGCTGATAAATGGTTTATTTTATGGGTTTGTTTTGTTTTAGACTTATTGTCGTGAAACTAATTAACAAATATTGTCACAGTATTGAATAAAAGACTAACAAATTTTTAGTCCCGATAGTGTACAATTTGTAATTGATTTCACGATAACTTTCTACAACAAATTAAAGTTTAATTAAAGCAACTTTCACAATCTGAATTTAATGACATTTTGATGCGCTTGTTTCAAAACTAAACGCAATTGACTTCTTTAAAAATAGAAAACAAAATATTTTTTATTGTACGATTTTTTAAATCTCGCGTAAATTTGTGTCAACGCAATCAAATAACATCGATCGATTAATCACGACTTGCTTCATACTTATACATATGAATTTGCCTTCGCTTATTTAACATTAAAACTTTTTATTGACTGAATTCTGAATCTCATGTGAGGAGAAATCGAGAGAAAATTGAAGGTCGATAAGTCCTTTTTCAATTCATCATATGTCCTGACTCAATAGAGGGTAACAATCTTACAGTTTTTAAAGTGTTCACGTTCAACATATATGATGTCAATTGGGTTGGAACTTGCTTTTTTATAAGATTAAAGGCAGATTTTATTGAGGTTGTATGTCATCTTCCATTAATTATAATGAGCTTTTGAGAATGCAATAAGATAATTAAGTTCAAAGTCAAAGAAAATTACAAGTTGGAATGTTAGAATGTATCTAACACTTGTTCAAGAAATATGGTTCAACTTCAGTTTCAGTAATGTTTCCTGTCCCAAAAATGAGTGAAGTATTATGCATAATAGTAAAAAATGTTATTTTTATGGCTCGAAATAAATGGCAAACATTGGGGTTAATCGGTGTTAACAGCTGCACCAATTAGATAGGATGGTCGGTTTAGTATGCTAATTGATCTAAGAGAATTGATCAGGCATGTTTAGCTGGAAGGTGTTCACTTTCATTTAAATTACCTCAAGTGTGGGTTAAGATTAATGTAAGTGACCACCCTCTAGCTTAACATGCCTGTTCAGTTCTCTCAAATCATTCAACCCTCAACGAAAAATCATGAGCCCTAAATATAAATCTCTTACTCAATGTATCAGAATCCTATTCCTTTGGAACCACCATAATTTTTTAAGATCTTTCGAACAAATGAGAACTTAAATACTTTACAGCAAACATCTTTAACTTCAAGTTCACTAGAATTCAAAGAAGCTTAGGAGAAATTATCAAAAAAATGATTAGTTAATATTTTGTTCCAATTCAAAATAGTTTATCTATTAGGTATTCCCCGATCGAACTTCCAAAATGGAAATTACATTATGAAATCTTGACAAACTATGGTTCAAGGATGTGTGTGACGTTCTCTTGATATTGAAGAAGGAATAATAGTTTGTAACTTTTTACCTTCGCATTAAAATTAATCTGATCAACATTTGATTCGATATTTTACTTTTTTTTTTTTTTTCTTTACTTTAGTAGTAGCTCGCTCATGTCGTATGATGAAAATATCAGACCAATTACTGATGTATTCTTTATCTAAATTAAAATTAAAGTTTTAACTTTAATTCCGAGATAAACTTTATAATAATAAGCGGAATTAAAAAAAAAAAAGTTGGTTGTGGCTCTAATTGATCTTATTAATACAATTCAAAACCATTTCAATTATTTCATCAAAGGATCAAATTCAAACAAGATTGAACCAAAAGTGTTATCAATTCTTGGTCACAAAGTTACTATTGACATCAATTGACTAGACACCACCAAAAAAAATGGATTACGTTACACATTTACCAAAAGAAGATCCATCAATATCAACAACATCAAAATATAATTTAAAATATTATGATCCAGTAAAATACTATGATTTTCATATTTATTATTTTCATCGTATTCCTGAATCATTACAAGAGTCGGATAAATTACGTGAAAAATTAATAGCTGATTTTCCAGAAGATTCAAAAAATGGTTCAATATTAATTAAAAAATTACCAAATGATACAATAATTGGGCCTCATCCAACTCAATTTTGGGAAGCTGATGTTCAAAGACCAGAAATTTTTGTGAAAGTTTTAAGTTGGTTTCAATTAAATCATGGAAATTTATCAGTTTTAATTCATCCTCAAACTGGTAATGATTTAAAAGATCATTTTGATTATGCTTTATGGTTAGGTGATAAATTACCTTTAATTAATGTTTTTCCACCAAGTGATGGTAGTATACCTGAATTTGGTGTTAAAGGTGGTAAAAGAATTAAAACTGAAGATTATGATGATTTTAAAACTGTGTTAGAATAGAATAGACTAGGTCTTATCTCCTTACTTTATCGAACTTTGTAAGCATACTGCCTTACATTTATGAATGGGCTGTTGATAATTCAACTTTCTTATCTAAATCTAGTAGTTCACTAATGCTGTTAGAGACAGTCTTGAACTAAATAAATATAAACAACTATTGAGCACATTTATTTTGCCAATTAATTCCTGTTGAACACCTTCATAATTTGTGAATTTCGTGCTATCAGGATGACCCAGTAAAATATCACACAACCGTTCTACCCCTGCCACCAGATGGATCAAATAATTTCATAGTGATACAGCAAGACCATTTAACGTTAAGCTTAAAGTAATATGTATTCACTCTGGATGATGAATATTCTGATCTTCTTCATACGATATTTGCAACAGGAGTTAATGGGCAAAGCAAAAGTACTCAACAACAAGTAAACTTTCAAGATGATACAACATGATTTGTTCTTAAGCCTCTTAAAGTAACTTCAATGGTCAAATCTAAGCACTAAAGCTGGTTTAGGACACATAGCTTTTCAACAGCTATTAACCATCTTGCAGACATGCAAATTCAAGGTATGTCAAAGCCGGTAAAAGTGTCCCTCTAATCTTCATAACCTATTTGCTTGGTTCAAAACTCTGCTTATATGGATTTTGGATATTCATGTTTGGACATAATTTTGATTGGACCACTCTCCTATTTTACAAAACATATTGACTGCTTAAGTGTATATTTTAATTCATTCCACATGTTGATTTCCTAAACTAATTTCCTATGTTTCTCAGTTCCATTCATTTCGGTGCTTAAAAGTCCTTCAATTTCCAATTTTATGTCTTATGTAAATTGATGATGAAGTTGAATCAAATGTCTTCGAATAAAGAAGGTTATACACGGCATCATAATGTTTGTTGTTAATTAAAACAATTCTTTGAACTTTTTCCTATAAACGCATAAACCTTCAAAATGCATAAAAATTAATTAAAATTTATGAAAAAAAAGAAAAAAAAAAAAAATCTTTATTGTTAAACTGCCTTAATCTTAATTAATTACATACAATGTAGTATTAATATTAAATATAATATAACCATCATAAACATATACATAAATGTTATTTTTCATCTTCGGAAATCATTGAAATAAGATCATTGGAATTTAAAAGTGAAAAGAGGAAGAAAAGCACATCCTGCAAATCAAATACAAAAGCTATTTAATCAAATCATCATCATCATCCCTACTACCATTACACAATCTAAATAAAAGTTTCTTATCAGTTACTTTTGAAAAACATTCAAGAAAAAACAAAAATAAAATGGCACAATTATCTTCACAAGGTAATAATGCTATAATATATTTAAGTTATGCTTTCATGTTAGCTACTGGTTTATTTTTAGCTTGGAAATATGCTTCAAAAGATGATTTCTTAGCTTCAAATGGTACTCAAAGAGGTTTACCATTAGCTTTAAATTTTATTGCTTCAGGTATGTTTAAATAATTCAGAAGGAGGGAAAAAAATTTAGAAGAAAAATATCCTGGGTTCAAATCACTTCAATATCAGGAGAAGATTACTTAGAAGAGGACCTTTTGCCTACGAGAAGATTGAATAAAAGGTGTAAAACAATCAAGTTGATCTATTTCTCTTTTGAAATTGAATCACAAACACTATTTCATCATGAATACTAACAAACACCATTTATAGCTATGGGAGTAGGTATAATATCGACTTATGCACAAATAGCTAATCTTTCAGGATTACATGGATTATTAGTTTATACATTATGTGGAGCTATACCAATATTAGGATTTGCAATATTTGGACCAATTATAAGAAAAAAATGTCCAAATGGATTTATATTAACTGAATGGGTAAGACAAAGATTTGGTATTGTTACATGTTTATATTTAAGTTTTTTTACATGTTTAACTATGTTTTTATTTATGGTTGGTGAATTAAGTGCTATAAGAGGTGCAATTGAATCATTAACTGGTTTAAATGCATTAGGAGCAGTTATTGTTGAATGTGTTGTTACTACAATTTATACATTTTTTGGTGGGTTTAGAATTAGTTTTATAACTGATAATTTTCAAGGAGTTTGTGTATTAATTTTATTAATTATATGTGCTTGTGGTATGGGATCATATATTGAAATAGATCCTTCAAAAGTTGGACCATCAGGTTTATTAAAAGCAAATAAATTAGGTTGGCAATTAGTTTATATATTATTTGTTGCTATTGTTACTAATGATTGTTTTATGGCTGGTTTTTGGTTAAGAACTTTTGCAAGTAAAACAAATAAAGATTTATGGATTGGTTGTTCAATTGCTTCATTTGTTACTTTTGTAATATGTACATTAATTGGAACTACTGGATTTTTAGCTGTTTGGTCAGGAGATTTAACAGTTGGTGATGAAAATGGTTATAATGCATTTTTTATATTATTAGCTAAAATGCCAAGATGGTTAGTTGCATTTGTTATAATTTTCTGTATTATATTATCAACTTGTACTTTTGATTCATTACAATCTGCAATGGTTTCAACTATTTCAAATGATGTATTTAGAAATAAATTACATACTTATTATACAAGGGTTTTAGTTATATTAGTAATGGTACCAATTGTTGTATTAGCTGTAAAAGTAGCTGATAATATTTTACAAATTTATTTAATTGCAGATTTAGTTAGTGCAGCAGTTATACCTGCAGTATTTTTAGGATTAAGTACAAGATTTTTTTGGTATTTAAGAGGTTTTGATGTTATGTGTGGTGGATTAGGTGCATTAATTGGTGTATTTATATTTGGAACAGTTTATTATGGTAATGCAAGAGATGGTGGTAAATTATTATTAATTTGGAATGGTATATATGATTCTGAAGATTGGGGTGCATTTGGAGCATTTGTAATAGCTCCAGTTGGTGGTGTTATAATAACTTTATTTGCTGCTGGAGTTAGAATATTGACATTATTTATTTATTCTAAAATAACAGGTGAACCATTTACAGCTTTAGATAAACCTGAAGAATTACCTGATATTGTTGAAGATCAAACCATATATCCAAGTGAAGATGATAAAAAAAGTGCTTAATTTTGTATAAAGTATAATTTTGTAATATTAATTAGAAATTTTAATTATTTTTGATTGTAGCTATTTGATTTAAATTTTGTAAACCGATATTTTGCTAAAATCCTTGGAAATGAGTAAGCTTCGCTATGACTCTTGGAAATGAGTAAAGGGGATTTGTGCTATGTGATAGTTCATTCGGAGCTCAATTCTCGCTGATTTTGATGGTGTTTCGTTTTACAAGACCTGATAAGATTTCTTCCTGACGGAATGGGTCGACCAGATTTAAGTGCTAAAGAGAATGATATCGAAAAGTTTTTGCATGTGTATAATCATTTTATTGATCTATACAAAAGTTAATGGGATTGAAGCCAATGATAAAATGAACATCACATACAAGTGTTAGAAGTGCTTTTTCAAAAAAGACTTGGTAAATCAGGTGAATTTAACTATTCGCCGAATTTACATCGGTCATTTTTAGAAAAGCACTTATAACACTTGTCTAGTGGATGCTCATAGGTATCATTAACAACTCAAGCGTAACCAGTGAAAATATTTCTAACACCAAATACAAAACCTGAGTTATCTTTAGTATAAAAAATTTGTTGAATTCACTACCTTGGGTTGCATAACTCCACAGCCTCCTATTTTCTCATTTTATTTTGATTTAATGGTGTTATTCATGATTTTTGATGGAAGCTTGCTGTGATTTCAGAATATTCAATAAACCAAGTATATGAATGAAGATAATCATAAGAAAAATGAATCGAGTACTTCATCTTCCTCAAAAATTGCTCCATTAAGAATGTCTTTGGTTGGAAGTTTGCTACCAGCATATCTCAAAAAGATATAAATGTTGTCGATGTGGAATTCTTATGTGATGTAATCCATATTTACATCATGCATCTGAACTTTGTTACCATATTGCAAACATAAATAATCTTGACTGACGACAACTACACCAGAAACTTGTCATTACTGTTCGGAACATCAACTAAAGATTATTTGCAATGGAGATGAAACCAAATCCCCGACACATCCTTTCAAAGAATTTTTTCTCAATTCAATTATTTGGTAGATCAACTATAATATTCATATGGTTAGTATGAATTACTTACCTCTGATTATTTCATGACTCCAGGAGAATCATGAAGTATTTTAGCGTGAAAATGCTTCAAACTTATGGCATTTCATTTGTTTGATCATCTTAAGTATGAATACCTTTCTATACCAAATTGATGATCTATCAGAATTGTTTGAAAACTTAGGCTTAAATTGATTGATTAATTTATGAATTGAAAAATAGAGAGAACAAATGAATTTGAATTAAAATTCCATCCTGTATATAAAGTACATTTGGAAATCTTTAAAACCATGCACCCTGTAATATCTTTATCAGTTGAAATAGATAATAACAAGAATTACCAACATTCCTTTGCAAGACAGACAACTAACTACCCAACTCAAGGACAAACTAATTGAAAACAGCACGTCAAGAATTGACTTAACTGACTAGGGATTACGCAAAAAATCGAACTAATTAATTAAATTGTGAAGAAAACAAGCAGCGAAAACTACTTACATATATAAAGCAAAACTCCATCTTCATCATCATGATATCAACAGATGTTTCAACATCAAAAAGATTAACTCAAGTTATATGTGCAATTATATGGTGTTTATTTTCAGCTGGAGTTATATTTGGATTTAGTGCATTAAAAGTAGTTTTAATAAAAGAAAAAGTATATGAACATTTATGTGATTTTCATACAACAACAACTTCAACAATAATCACTACACTCGAAAATGATGATGATGAAATTATTGCAAAATGTACATTACAAGATTTAAAATTAAATAAAATATTTACTATAGCAGCAGTAATAACAAATGTAAGTGCCCTTTTAATTGGTTATATATTAGATAATTATGGACCAAAAATTTGTGGATTTATTGGTGCTTTATTTTTATATTTTGGATCATTTATTTTTATTTATTCAACATCATTAAATAATTTAGTATGGTTTGATCCTTATATTATTGGATATAGTTGTTTAGCTTTGGGTGGACCATTTTTATTTATATCAAGTTTTTCATTATCAAATGCATTTCCTAAATATAGTGGTACTATTTTAGCTTTATTAACTGGTGCATTTGATTCTTCTAGTGCTTTATTTTTAATTTATCAAAAATTTTATTTTAAATTTAATGAATCTTTTAATTTATCAAATTTTTTTAAAATTTATTTAATTGTTCCAGTGTTTATTACAATTATTCAAATTATTTTAATGCCTTGGGAATCTTATCAAACTTCTTCAAATGATTTATTGGAAATTGATGAAAATGATTTAAGAAATCCAGTTGAAGCAACACCTTTAGTTATTGAAAATAATGAAAATCATAATGAATCAACTCCATTGATAAGTAATCATAACCCAACTCCAGATAATTTAGATTTAAGAAGAAGAGATTCAGTTGGTGATGCATTAAAACAACCATATATAAATGAAAGAGAAGAAGACGATAGTAAATATGAATTACATACTTCAGGAATATTTGGTATATTACATGGTTATTCATCACAATATCAAATAAAAACATATTGGTTCCTATTAATTTGTTTATTTTCAACTATTCAAATGTTAAGAATTAATTATTTTGTTGCAACAATTGGATCACAATATCAATATATTTTTAATTCTTATAAATTAACAAAATCTTTAAATTCTATATTTGATATTGCTTTACCATTAGGTGGTGTTTTAAGTATACCATTTATTGGATTATTATTAGATAATTTTTCAAGTATATTTGTATTAAATATATTAGTTGGAATTTCTTTGCTAATTGGAATATTAGGATTAATTTCAAATTATTATTTAGCTATATTAGGAGTTTGTTTATTTGTTGGTTATAGACCATTTTTTTATACTGTTATATCAGATTTATGTGCAAAAATATTTGGTTTTGAAACTTTTGGTACTGTTTATGGATTAATTATGTGTATTAGTGGGATAATAAATTATGGACAAATTTATTTAGATTTTTTAACTCATACTTATTTTAAAATGAATCCATTACCAATAAATTTGTTTCTTATTGGTGTTTTTATAATAATAAGTTTAATAACTTTGGTATATGTTCATGTACAAGGTAAAGAATATTTAAAGAAAAAATTAAATAGACAAAGGATTGATATAGATAGTTAAAATAGAAATTAGATAGAAGTAGATAGATTAGACAATTTTTAAGTATTTTTGATAGATTTAAAAACTGAGAATAGTGCAATGTAGATGGCCATTGTTTTTGAACGATGATCTAACCTGTATGGTTCATAAATTGGACTCCATTAATACTATCATCAACACATATTCTATTTTGTTTTAGTATAAAGCCGTTCAGATATTTACGAGAAATAAAAGAAAAAAAAAGAATTAGAAATTTCACATACAATAAACTAAGAATTTCTTACTACGAGATCTATTGCATCTTCCTCAAGTTAGTTGTCACCTCTAGCTTACAGTTTCATCATTTACTTCAGTACCACGACTGGTTCGTTGATTCCATTTTTAACTGGTGAAATTGGTAAGATGTGACCTTTAACCAAATTATTCGAGATCTCGTATCTTCGTTAATTTTAAATTTTAGTAAACAAAAAAAAAAAAGTAACACAATTTTTTGAAACTAAAAATACCAAGATAAATTTAAATTTAAGGTACCATAAACATCATCGTTGATCAGGTATTTGAATTGTCAAACTGTTACGGCTCAATCACTGGTCAGATCATTTGTGTCTTTGAAACCACGACACTTACATCCAATCTTCTAAATCCAAAGTATTTTACAAATGAATTTGATATGATATGACAAAAATTTTAAATGCATCAATAACAAAAATTGTGATATTACTACTACTAGTTATAACACCAATTCAAGCATCAAGAGGAGATACATTATCAGAATTTACAGAATGTTTAGATTCTTGTGATTGTTCAACAATTCCTTACAAATATAAAATTATACTATGGTCATGTTCATCAAATTGTAATTATTATTGTCAACAATTGGTGACTAATCAAAGAACAGCCAAAGGATATGAAATGGTTCAATTTTATGGAAAATGGCCATTTGTTGCAATTTTTGGAATTCAAGAATTTTTTTCAACATTATTTAGTTTTGGAAATTTTATAGTAAATTATTGGAATTTTAAAATTATTTATAAACAATTTGTTATAAATCATGATGATGAAATTAAGACAATTTATTTTCAATATCTAGTACTACTTGTTGTTAGTATGATTGGTTGGATATTTAGTATAATTTTTCATATAAAAGATTTATCAATTACAGAAACTTTAGATTATTTTGGAGCATTTGCAATAATTTTATCAAATTTAAATGTTATTGTAGTTAGATATTTTGAGTTATTTCGAAGTGATAAAAGACGAGTGTTAAGAATTTGGCAGTTGTTTTTGGTAGTTACTTATTTATTTCATATTTTAAAATTATTAAATTATTGGGATTATTCATATAATATGAAAATTAATATGGTTTTCGGGGTGCTTGCAATGATATTTTGGATACTTCATAACCTAAAAGTATCTAAACTTTACCGAGCTAATGAAAAATTATTAAAAAATTCAATTCAATTAATACCATTTGAAAATAAATTACAAATAAAATTAAATTCAATTTTGAAAATTCTACAAATAAATAATAATTTAAAACATAAAATTATCCTAAATTTACCAATTTTCAATAATTTAATATTAATTTTAGGAATCATTTTAGAAATTAATGATTTTGAACCATGGTTTAGACTTATTGATGCTCATTCTTTATGGCATTTATTAACTATGATACCAAATTTAATTTGGTATGATTGGAATATTTGGGATATTGAAATTTTGAAAATTTTAAAAAAGAATTAGATTAGAGAGGAATCATTCTAAACAACTTTTACCATATAGCACTAGCATTTAAGTTTTATCATATAACACTAGCGTTTAAGCTTTACCATATAACACTAGCATTTATATATTTTGATTTATTTCTTACATTAATGTACATTTAATATTTATAGGAAGAGACTCAATTGGAGAATATTCTTAGTAACTGTTTTACGTTCATGATATATTAAAAGAATGTATATATACATGTATACATAGTGCCGATTGATCTATCAAAAAATAATAACCGAATAATTCAAAAGATTGTGGAATAGTTGGATTGAAATGAAATGAAATGACGAGGGGGGTGATTATTGATAATGAACCTTACATACGGTACTCATATCAACATCTAAAAAGTAATCAAAATCAAGCAAAAAGCAAAAAGCAAAAGCAACGAGTGAATGAATAAGATTAAATATGCAAAAATTAAAAATTTGAAACAACAACGATATGGAATGAAAGACTCAAATGAAATTCTAGCCTCTAATGTTATACTAAATTCATAATATTTTTTTTCTCTTTTAAACCATGAAGATTATTTAATGATGATGAACTATTTGAATTTTGAATTAATTTATTTCTTCTTCTTCTTTTTAAAAATCCATTTAAAAAATTAAAAAATAAGAATATAATACTTATTATTATGAATAATCTAATTAAATTATCTATTGATATTGGATTTGTAAGGTCGAATTTTATAATTTGTTTTATTAAATTTAAAAATTTTATTAGAAGATTTTCTTCTATGTTGGTTGATTCTATTGATTGTGTTTGTTGTGAATCTTGATTTGTTTGTGAATCATCTGATGAATAAAATTGATGTTCTTTTAATAAATTTGAATCTGATGATGGTTGTGGAATCATGATGTTGTTTGTATATGTATTGTGAAAGTTTGGATAAAAGTTATGCTAAGTAGATAGTGATAATAGGTAATAGTTGAATTTTTTTGCAATATTTTTTGAAGTGAAAATCCTTTTGATTAATAAGCTGTTAATGATATTCTAATAGTTATGAGATATATATAATTATGATTTACGAGTAATATGATCCCTTTCTTTTTTGATTTAAGTGTTGATTAGTTAGTGTAAAAGTATTAAAAAGAAGGGGCTATTAATATTTTTCAACGGTTGCAAACTATAATATTTAAAAATGAATTAATAATGAATTATACGAATATCAAGGGTAAATGAGTGATTTTTCACTGATATATATATATGAGTAGTGGTTACTTATCTTTGGGCTGATCTTTGAGTTGAAAATTTTACTCAGTGATATGTGTGTTATGTATTATGTATAATGTATTATTTCTATTGTTTTCTTATTTACTCTGATATTAATAGAAAATAAAAATATTGTAAATAGTTACACAAAACTTATATTAATAGAACACAAAATAATAGAAGAAGAAGACTCAATACGAAGAAAAAGCCTTACTATCATCAATAAAAGTGGCAAACAATAACACAGAGGAGGAGAGAAAAGTAGTTTAAATATAACTTACAAGGATAAACAAACAAACATCGAAGAAAATTCCGCAATTTTTTCAACTTTATTCTTAATTAATTAATCACTTTTCAGCTCCTCTTGTCTTTCAATTTTATATAACTCTCCACTTCCTTCGCTTATGGTAAATGAAAGGGTCGAATCATATACAATACCATCTAATTTAAAGTTTTTTAAACTTTAAGTTCCCCCTTTGTTTTCCATTTGGTAATATATAGAATATTACTTTACTCAGCACTTTGGGTGGAAAAAATTTAAAGTTTTGAAATTCGGAAAAATTTTAGGCTACAAATTTTGTGTCATGAATTTTCAATTTTGTTACGTAATAGCAAAATTTACCGAATCTAAAGTATTGAGGTATGGATGTTGAAGAATAAATTTACTAACAAAGATGAATTTGATAACAAATTTGATGAGAATTATGTTTACTTTTTAACTTAATTTAACCAATGTTATAATTATTTTGAATTCATTTTAATGCTAAATTCTTGAAAAATTGTTTCAAGTTAGTTTGAAACAATATAAATATTCAATCAATCAACTAACTTACTACTTTATTCAACAAATTTTGTCAAAAAAAAAATCATTTGGGTAAGAAAGGCTAGGAGGTTGTATAAATTTGTGTGACCTTTTGTATATATTTCTTGCGAATTCATATTATTTATTTAGAGTTACTAATTTGCGTTCTTTTTTTAAAGTTGAAAGCAACTAAATTACAGTATAACTAATTTCCTATCACACAGGGCACACAGGGGGTTTACAATGATTAGCGATTTTTTGATTAAGCCAAAAATTGAGTTTCCATGTATCTACCATTAGGAAGTTATCCATTTTTACCTATCTACTGTTTGGAAGGATTTACCCTAACTTTAACAAACGGAAATTAATATGAAATTTAAGATATTTTACATGAACGTTATAAAAAAGAACAAAGATAAGATATCATGATTTACAATTTTAAGTAAGTAATTAAAATTTTAAAAAAGAAGACACACACACTCTCTTTCTCATATAATTTCGGATTCTTGAAGAATGATTATCGATTATCATGGCATTAACACGTTATCAAATTTCTAAAATCCCGCTAAGTTCAAAGTCCCCCTTATTTTTGATTTTACCCTTTGTAAATGTTAAATTATTATATTGTATTTCATGAAACTCGTCTTAAATATAAACGGTATTTTGATTGTTCCTTTAGCCTAATCATTATTACATTGTTTTCCACTCGATACATTGTTAAGATTTGTCTCCATTGGTATTTGACTTGATTACAAGGTCTGTAGTTTCAATAAAGTAACGGTCTACAAAATACTTAGGTAAATAAATGAATGAGAATAGAACTCGTGTACCTAAAATAAAATGAAAAATCATTATTAATTGTCATTTTCGAAAATTCCTTCATACCTGTAGTGAGTTTCATTCAAGCTAAAGTCTAGCACGTTCACTGTACATTCTACAAATGAGTGCTGCGTCGCTAGTTATATCAATTTGATTCCTATAGTTGTGTGGATACCTATAGTTATAATTCCTGCATATTGGCCGTCTCACACTATTTAGATTTGAACAAATTATTTTGTCCAAAATTTTTCCCTTTAAATAATCAAATCAAAACACCCAAGATACTCCTAATTTACCGATGGACGAAAGAAATCAAAGAGAAATAGGAAAAGAAGGTGAAAGAGAAAACACATCCAATGATTCTTCTTTTGGTGTAGATAGACAAAATTATGTCCAAAAATTTAATGAATTGTTGCTCAATAAACGTAACTTACATGTTCAAACAAAGATAGAACTTGCATGCCTAATGCTTTCTACTGTTATATCACGAATTTCAATTAAACAAGGAGAAAAGACGAGTGTTCCACCACCATCTTTTTCAAATGATGTTGAATCTGGACCCAGTAGATCTAACGAGATCTTAACACTTGAACAATTGACAACAGAGGAAAATCAACTTCTTCGTCAACAATATTATTCAGAATTAAAGATGTCTGGATCACTTGCTTTAAAAGTGTATGAAAGTGGTCGTCAAAATTATGATAATTGGCCAGAATCTGTTCAAAAAGAATTTGAAGTTAAGTTGGACAATATGATTGATGCTATTGTAAATTTTGCAACAAATTACGGGAACAAATAAATATTAATCCTTTTTGCAAATTTTAATACTCCATCATCCAGAGGAAAATATAGAGCTTTTCAAGTTGAAGATGAAATTAATTAATTGAATAGGTATTTAAATCAATAGTATAGAAAAACTATCCATCCTAGGTTCTTGTAACTTTGTGCTACTTTATTTTTTAAAGTATTAGGTACGTGCAGTGCTCAAAGTTTTACAAAAGAAATTTAGGATGGGTATTTAAAGATTTCTCTAGGATGGTCATTTCAAGTTTCCGGGTAAATTTTGAATTTTCAACTGCTTATATAAAAAGTATTACACACAGTACTCAAATATCTTACAAAATGGGAAGATGATTATTTGAAGATTTTATTAAGATGGGTTTTTTAAATTTATTCTCAACAAACCCTTGATAAGTGATTCAGATTGAAAATAATTTTATTGTTCAATTATTTTGTTCCTAGGTGACGGATTATGTTTCGAATTGTAACATTTTTACCTAAAAATAGAATTATTGAACAAAAGTTTTTGTCATACTTCAATTTGATTCAATATTCAATGGGTTTTTGTGAATGACATGAGCATTGTAATTGTCCTATTGTTTTAATAAAGTATTCATTAATACCCTCAATATTCAAGTCAATGCAGTTTTAACTTTTGTTGATAATATGTTTGTTATAGGACATCATCAATCAAATGGGAGAGTAGAAATGATTTGTATTGAAAGAGTACTTACGATCAAACATTTACATGAATGATCCGCTAAGATCCATTACATGAATTCCTTCGACTCGTTGGCGGCCTTATTGTCCTCATTACATTTCATCCATTTTACAGTTTGTAAAAAATATCTCATTTATTAAAAAACACAGTGAATAAAAACCAATAAAAAAATATATACGCTATAACAAATTTTTGCAACCATTGAAACAAAATAAAGAATTGAAAAAAAAAGTAGTTACAACACAAATCAATTTTTAGATTTACCAAACCTTTTAAAAAAATTAATTTTTTTCTTTTTAGAATTAGAACTAGTAGATAAAGTTGATAAATCATTTGAATCTTCAAAACTTGAATCACCAACATAATCATTAATTATATTATTTGTTAAATTATTTGAATTTAAATCATTATTTGAATTTGTTGTTGAAGTTGAATTTGTTGTAATTGAAGTTGGAGAATATGTTAAAGAATTTGAATTTAAATTTGAAGAATTAAATGATTCATTTGTAAAAATTGATCCATTTCTTTTTGAATATGTAGTTTTATCTGAATTTATTGAATTTATCAGATGATTTCTACCATTAGGTGGAGCAATAACACTGGAATTACTTGGTGATCTCATTGGTGATGGTGGAGTTGATGGAATAAAATTTTGTTTCGGTTTATATGATGGTGACATTGATGAAGGAGTTGTTGGAATTGTGAAATTATTATAAGTTGATGAAGATGATGAGGTTGAATTAGTTGAAGTTTTAAAAAGTGAAGATGGTTGTGATGGTGGTGTTGGTTGTTGTAAAACAGAAGTATTAGATCCAGCTAATGATTGTTTATTTTGTTTATTTTGTTTTTGTTGTTGTAAACTTGGTTTTATTACTTCTTGGTCATTTAATAAAGTGTTAAAACTATATTCAAAAAATTCTTTCCAAACAACTTCAATTTCATGAGGTAATTTAAAAGTTTTTAAATTTGAAATAATAACATCAATTAATTTATTTAAAACAAAATTAAAATTATAAATTTGAAAAGGATTTGAATCATTACCATTAATTTGAGATTGATCAAAAAATAATTGATTAAAATGAATTTTTAATTTATTTAAAATATCATAATCTGAATCAGTGAAAAATAAAAAATTAAATTTTTTTAATCTATTATATTCATTTTCATTTTTGGATTTTTCTTCATCAGTATTACCATTACCACCAAAACTTTTGACATTTCCAATATTTGGTTTTAAATTATTAATACTAATTAAAAAAAAATTTATAAAATCTTGAAAAAAATCAATTAATTTATTTATTGTTGGAAAAATATCATAAAATGATCCACCAATTGACATACTTTCAAATTTTAAATCTTGATAACAATTATTCCAAAATTTTGAAGATTTTAATATGGTTCTAATATTTAATTTTCCAAAATTATGTAATTTTTCATTTATTTGATCTTCATTAAAAGGGTTTACATTTAAAAATTCAATATTTTGTTTTGAAGTTTTTTCAATTGAATTTGTATATTTAAAACCATTTTTTTCAATTGATAATATTACCATGTCATTAATTTTTTCAATTGATTCAAAATATGAATGTCTTAAAATTTTTAATCTATTTATACCAACTTCTTTATTTAATTTTATATTTAATTTATAATTTATTTGAGTCATTAAATTTCTCATACATTCATTATATTCAATTTTAATCATATCAAAATTTGATGTTTTAAATTCAACATATTTATTAACTGATTTATCAAATTTCCATTTTTTACCATTTATAATCATTGTTTGAATTTCAAAATTATCTTGTTGTTGTTGTTGTTTTAAAGCTTCTTGTTGTTGTAATGCTTTTGTATTTAATTCAGTTAATTTTTCTAAATCTTGTATTGATTTTAAATGTATATCAATTCTATTGTAGTTGTTTGATAAAGTCGGTAATAAAATAGACGAACTCATATCCTTCTTTCTTCTTTTTTTCTATCTTAAAAAACAAAGGTGATTTGACTATAGTTTTATATTGTTCTCTGAGGAATGTAGTTGTCTGTAGCTTTTCAATTAAAATTCCAATTAATTTGTGTTGTGGAAGAATATTGAACCGCCTAAGGAATGTTTCAGATTTTTTTCTTTAAAATTTTTTTTAAAGTTTTGGCCCAACTGTGTATTAGGAGAAAGTACTTAGTAAAAATTAGACGAAAAATAAATGAAGACTAAAAGTTGAAAATAACCACTCAAATATAAAAGATTTTTTAGCCCCACGTTGCAAGGGCGGTTAGGTATGGTTTATATAGAAAAAGGTTTTTAGAATAACTTCCATTTCCTTTGAAGAGACGCGTATTTAAAAAGAATTTTTAAATTCAAATTTGATACTCGTTATGCATATTGATTTATAAATTTGTTAACAATAGAATAGATCTACAGTTAATAAATTTAGTTACAATAGTAGGATTTAATATACGAATATTATTTTATTTATTGATTACAAATTTAAAGTTAAAACGCAATTATATTTAAAAAGTTTAACAATCTTTCGTAAGGCTTAAAAAAAATTGGATTTTGGTTCAAAATAAATTGGATGCATACAAATTTATAGATAATGTATGGATTCGTTGAAAAAACGCTTAACTTTAATTAAATAATCAAACCAGTCTATTGTTTCGTCAGTCTGAAAAAAATCGTCTAAATTTTTCAAACCATTGGAAGGATATTTTTTCCGAAATCACAACCTTAAACAATTAAAATTCGTTTAAATTTATTCTTTCGGTTCCATATTCTAGGTTCCATAGAATACTGGGGTTTAGTGGTCTAGAATTCATCGCTAGATCATACTTGATAATATACCTCGTATAAGAATTGGAATTTATACTGGAATAGGTTAAACGTAGATTGTAAATTACGAAAATCAATTATATCATGTCCGAAAGTTGCCTCAACGTTATCAATTCATAACAGCATAACGTCTTATCAAAGTTTAACTCTGTTATCTCCTTCATGTTCATTTTATAATTTGACCTAATTGGTACATTAAGTTTAAATTTGATTTATTAAAAGTTTGTGGTCCATTTTTTAAAAAAATAATTTTACTCTTTTGAAACATTTTGTGTTCCTTTTTTTAACTAAAATTACATCTAGTTCGTTTAGTAGATCACTTGAATTTCCGCTTTATTCAATTGTCTATGGGTTTAATTATATAGGGGTTAAACAATAAGATTGTAAGTTTTTCAAACAATCGAAAAAGCAAATAACGTAATTGAATAATAGAGATCGAAAGGGTTTTATAGTCATTCCCAATAAGGAATATAACTTGAATTAATCAGGTTCAGGACGTGTCACTATTTAAAAAAAGTTAGATATAAGGAACCATGGGGAAAATAAAAAGGTACAGATAAAATTATAAATCAATGTGTGGCAATAGAAATGTAATTGTACCTTATTATGCTTCATTACTTCATAAGTTTAAAATTTTAAAATTTAGTTGTGGATTTAATGAATAGGATCTATTGAAAAATTTGTCTTAACTTGGTTAAATTTTTTAAACTTTGAAACTTTAATTTTTTTACCAGTTTGATTTTGTACCTTTTTTTTTTGTAGAGGTTATGTTCCATTACATTTGATTATAATGTAATATGAGATAGTATTAACGGCGTTTTCGTAATATTCAAAAGGATTTTCAATAAATCAAGTAGATTAGACCAATTGATTTTATCGTGTTCGAAAAAAAATGATTTGTCATTTAAAGTATTAAACACTTTTAGCATAAGGGATCTACGATTCGAAATTATTTTATTCCAGATCATATGGCTTCAACGGAGTTTTCACGGGGTTAGTTTTTAGTAGTTCGTATCTTGAAGTTTTAGGTTATAAAAAATAGAAGCTTTATGTTTTCGAAGTGAAATTGTTTGTTCATATTCTTATTCCTTCGACAGACGTGTCAGCTAGAAATGTAACTTTAGTGAGAACTAATAAATTATTGTAGAACATTATATTTATTAGAAAATCTTAAAGCCGACGAACATAAGCCTGATCTAGTCTAGTGATTTAGTGTATATTATTTTAATGAGCGCATTTATGAAAGGGTTCTTATTGTTTTCAAAGTTGTTCAATAATGGTAAAATTTGATGTTAATTCTATTTTTTATAGGCGAGGATTTTGTAAAGACCATGGGATTAGGGTTAATGAATATAATCGAAGCAAACAAAAGCATTTCATCAACAGACGTAACAACCACTACATGTAGTTTATGATAACCAAATTATAATATTTGAATTTTGAAAGCAAATGCTGCAAAAGAGGATGATAAAGTTTTCAACTAGCAAGTATGGAAAATTTGCGGCAAAATTCTGAAACGAAAAATTTTATGTAACAAAATAAGTGAGACTACACTAGTTCTCTTCCTTCTTCAGATTCAAAGAATTAAAGCTATTCTATTTTTTTATGCAACTCAAGAGATGACTTTGATATATTGAATGTCTATAATTCAAAAAGATAATCAATACATCAAATGGATTTTTGAGGCATTGATACAAAAAAACAACATGGTTGAATTATTATGAAGCTCCCTTGCGGGGAATCGAACCCCGATCTGCTCGGTGAAAGCGAACCGTGATAGCCATTACACTACAAAGGACTTTTCATGATTGTAAAGTTTTTAGGTTTAACCCGTAGTCTTAGAGTACGACTCAAAATTTATTACGATTTTGCTAACTTTAGATTAGTGCTCGTATAGTTTCTCGACCTAAAAAATTCCCCCTTTTATGAACTTGATTATTCGCATCAACCACATATATGAAATCAATATACTTTGGTATCTTCGGAGCTAGTTGAGCCATTACTAGATCAATAATATTGTTCGGTTTTGTCTGGTTCATTCCTGTTGAAAAGTGCAGAAATCTGTGTGTCATGAAGGCATTTTGGATGTATTCAATGATGTTGATGAGAGAAGATGAGACTTCTTATAAAGTTTTGATATACATTGATCAAGAAAGTGAACATTTGCAAAGTTTTGTTAAAGCTAGTATATCCACAAATTATATACATAGAAGGTGTATCGTAGAAGTGTCTATACAAAAGACGTTAGACTCATATTGGAAAATTGTCATAAGTGGCGAGTGGAACTTGATAGTCAATTTATCTTTTATTTGGCTTTTCTGATAAGAACTCTTTGATTAACATATGTTTCAAAATCGATCAACGATCCAAAACTATATTCAAGGTATGGAATCATTTTTGACACTGGTGATACTTAAATTTGGTTGCAAAATATCAAATCTTGAACTCAGATTGTATGCACACGACGAGTGAAAAAAAAAAAATTAATGTTAGGGTGAAAAACTTTTCAAATCGAATCTTTAGACAAGGATTAATACAAGAACAGAACTAATACCTAACACAACTCTATCAACTCATCAATCCATTGCTCACACATTTCAATACCCTTCGCAAACACAAACACAATATACAGCAAAGATGATAAGACAGTCGATACGAAGAGTCCACAATAGTCTAAAAGATATACCGTATGAACCAATACCCAAGAATAAATACAATGCAAAAAGATCAGGTTTCAATTTCAATCCAAAAACTCAACAAGGTCTTATTTACAATCCCCCAGCAGCAATAATAAGTCCACCAATGCAAACACCATACATTTTCTTACCACCAAATGATCCAAGAAGAGAACTTGCAAAACAAAATCAAATATCTCATGATATAATATTGGATATGCCAATAATAAGACAATTTAAAGCTCCAAATGAAAGAGAATATAATATAACGGCAGAAACCATAGAAACTATAAAGAAATTAAGAAATGATGATCCAATAAAATGGAATTTTAAAGAATTAAGTAAAAAATTTAATATTGAATTACCAAAATTAATATATTTTTTTAAAACTGAACTTTCAAAACAAAAAAGAATTGAAACTCAGAAGAATATACCTAAATTTATAACGGATAGACAGAAAAGAAAACAAATGTGGATGAGAAATGAATATTAAACTTTTAATAAGATAAATTATCATACAAGACATGTCAAACAAAATACATCAATTACCAACATAAGCAATGAATTCTTACCAGAAACGAAATAGGAGGGATTCATTGATACGATTTGTACATATTGCATATAGAATACAAAATGTAAATATTATTTGTAATTTTGCAGAATTCGGAAGAAGAACAATTTGAAATAATCCTATAGTTACTAGAAGCATTATTGTTCAAGAAAGTGAACAGTGTCTCATAAAGCTTCAACCCTCTTCTCTCGAGTTACTAATCTCACTTCTTATGCGTATAATAAACGTCTTGTTGCAAAATTCAAAATAGAATTAACTTTGATGCGACTTGAATAATTCCACTCGGAAGAAAAAAAATAGCAGTAACCTACTCATTTAATACATAATCAATCTCACAACAATACCAACAATATGTCAGAAGGAGTATGTATCGGTTTCATCTAATTAAATTATCAATAATTTACTAACAATTCCAGAACGACAATAGAAAGCATAATAAAAATCAGAATAGACGAAGAAATCAAAATAATGATAGACCAAAAACAGAAGGTCCGAAAAGGGAAGCTATATTAGATTTAAATAAATATAAAGATCAAGAAATAAGAGTAAGGTTTGTTGGAGGTAGACAAGTAACTGGAACATTAAAAGGTTTTGATCAATTGATGAATTTAGTATTAGAAGATGTTAAAGAACAATTAAGAGGTATGTTTTTAATAATTATAGAATCACGATTCATTGAGAAAGCACGATACTAACTAATTTTGATTTAGATCCTGAAGATGAAGATACATTGACTGATAAAACTAGAGATTTGGGGTTGGTAGTGGTCAGATGTACGAGTTTATTGACGATATCACCAGTTGATGGCAGTGAAATAATTGATAATCCTTTTATACAAGAAGAAGAATAAACATTTTGTACTATATTGAATTGAATTTGGTGTTAGGTATATTAGCATCTTAAGACCAATATTTCATCTAAGTTGGAAAGGGTATCCAAATTTGGTGTAAGCCGTTCTTTTATCCCACTCGCGATGAATATTTATCAACCTTAAAAAAAAAATCTCTTATTTTTTTCAAACTTCATCATTTCTTATCTTTAAATAATAATTTACTATTTTCAGTAAATATTATTAAGATCATTAACCATGTCCGTTAGTCAAGAAGTAAACAAAAATGTTATATTGCTACCACAAACAAATCAATTAATTGGTCTTTATAGTATAATTCGAGATCAATCAACTAAAAGAGGTGATTTTGTTTTTTATTCTGATAGAATAATACGTTTGTTAGTAGAAGAAGGATTAAATCAATTACCTGTTGAACATTGTATGATTGAATGTCATGGTGGATATAAATACAATGGATATAAGTTTTTGGGGAAAATTTGTGGAGTTTCAATAGTAAGAGCAGGAGAATCAATGGAGATGGGATTAAGAGATTGTTGTAGATCAGTAAGAATTGGGAAAATATTAATTCAAAGAGACGAAGAAACTGCATTACCAAAATTATTTTATGAGAAATTACCTGAGGATATAAGTGAAAGATATGTATTTTTATTAGACCCAATGTTAGCAACTGGTGGATCAGCTATAATGGCGGTTGAAGTTTTATTATCAAGAGGAGTTAAAATGGATCGAATTTTCTTTTTGAATTTATTGGCTGCTCCTGAAGGTATAAAAGCTTTTCATGATAAATTCCCAGATGTTAAAATCATAACTGGTGGTATTGATGAAAAATTAGATGATGATAAATTTATTGTACCTGGTTTAGGTGATTTTGGTGACAGGTATTATTGCATATAATTCTATTTACAAACATTTCTTATGTATTATTTCGGGATTTTCACGATATTCTGCAGCAGTTACCCACATCTTTTTAAACGTTGATAATCCTGCTAATATTGAGCCACCTATCCAAGTTGAATATTTTCTTTCTGGAGGTGCATAGATCTTGACTTTCAATTTGGTGTTGTAACTCTCTATTTTGTTATTACTCCACAAGGGATTACTTGATTCATGGATATTTTGTAAATCTTTCAATTCCTTTAGTAATCTATCTCCAAAATTTTTTAAAAGAGTATTACCGCCAGATAATAATATGTTTTGATATAAAATTGGTCTTAAATCTAAATCAGTTTTGGCAATTGCTAAAGAAGTAAGTTCATGAATTCCTTGACTTTCATCTCCAATGATTTGAGGATTGAATAATATTTCAGGAGCTCTGAATCTTTCAACACCTAACTTCAATTCATGACCATCTGGTAATTTGTAACTAGCAAAAATTTCACTTTTACCTGCACTTTTTCTTAAATAATGAGCTCCATACAATTTTTCATCTTTTACTACATCTTTTGAAACAAAACAACATTGTTCCTTTATTAGTCGTACAATTTCCATTTCTGAACTACTTTGTAACGCAACTCCTGAAACACGCCGTATATTAAAAGATAGATTTTGAGTTATATCTCGTCCTGCAATATCAATTCTTTTTATTGAAGACGGTAATGAAAATCCTTCATAAACTGGGACAACATGAGTAACTCCATCTCCACTGTCTATCACTACCCCAGTTGTTCTTCCTGATGCATATAATGCCAATACTGCTTGAATTGATAAATATAAACATGGAATATTGAATTGTTCAAACATAATTTGACACATTTTATCTCTATTAGATCTTGGATTTAAAGGTGCTTCAGTTATTAGAAGTGGATGATCTTCAGGTTGTATTTTTAAATCTGTTTCAAACATATGATACCATAATTTCTCCATATCTGACCAATTTGTGACAATTCCATGCTCAATAGGGTATGTTAATTTTAGAAGCCCCCTATTATTTTGGGCTGCATCACCAATGAAAATATCTGGATCAGATTTTGTTAAATGTGATCCGACAGATGAAGAAATCAATGAATTTGTCATCAATTTTTGGTATTTTGGTCTCCCTATGATTGCCGAAGCATAAGCTTTTGGCTTTTCTTCACCAGCAAAGCCTGCTTTAAGATTCCCTGACCCATTATCAACTACTATCGGTTGATTATATAATGTTTCCATTTATCATTGAGTTTTGATCTAAAGTTGAGTTACGCGTAAAAAAAAAAGTAAACAAAACGATTCTAATTTTTGATTTATTGATTCCTCAACCAAACTACTTTTCAATGACAAGTTTAAGTTCTTTATCTACAAATCAAAAGACACAAATCAGGAATGCTTTTACTTTAATAGATGGAGAGTCAAGAGACTCCTTAATAACGAAAGAGGATCTTAAAAACATCTATTCATCCATTGATTTCAAACAACCAACTGATTCACAATTAACTAAGATGCTTACAATAGATGGTAAAGATCATTCAAAAAAAGGTATAACATTTGCTCAATTCTCAAATATTATGGCAAAAGAGCTTTTATTGGTTGAAGAGAAATCAGTGATATGTGATGCATTAAAAGTTTTTGCCAAAGATAGTAATGACACTGATATACAGATTGATCTTAATGAACTAAAAGATGCGTGTTGTTCAGTAAATTTACAAGAAAAGACTAAGTTATCGCGATCGTCTTTTGACAATCTAGTAAAAGGATTCACGCTGGAAACAATGGAAGGTAAGAAAGTATTCTTAGCATCCAAATGGATAGAAGCTTATATAGATTAAAATGTATGATTAATGATTAACAAATTAAGCTGCCTCATTTGATCGAATTTTTTATGTTTATTAAATTTGTATATGTCTTATAATATTTACAAATCTGAAGCAAATGGTAATACATTCAAATCACCTACTGCAACATAATTGAAATCTTTTATTGGAGCTTGTGAAGCTGAAACTTTTATATCTAATGGTTTTGATAATGAAGATTGTAATGCAACAGATAATTCTGCAAATTTAACTGAGTTTTGTAAATCAGTTGAGCTTACTGATTCAGCAACTTTTTTAGCTTGTTTTATACCTTCAGCTACCTCACTTGCTTTACCTGTTACTGATATAACAAATAAACCAGCTTCTTTATGTTTATGTACTTGTGATGTTGCACCTGGGATTTTTGATAATGGACCAGTAATTGTTGGTAATTTATGAGTACCGATTGCTGCTGCTAATGTCAAATATTTACCGAAATCAGCTGGTTTAATTGGAATACCAATTAAGGCAGTAGATGCACCAGTGGCAGGTATTCTGGCTTCTTGATTTTTATGAAAAGTTGTTGGTACAGTATCATTTTTTGTTCCTTTTGATAAGTATGAGAAAGCTGATTCTTCCACAAATTTGCTTAAGTCAGCTTCATCTGCACCTTCAGCGTATATGGTAATATTTTCTCCAGTAAAATTCTCTTCAGCAAATTGAGCTAATTCATCAACCTCAATTGGTGTTGATGGATTGTAATATAATGGATTACCTAAACCTTTTCTAAAAGATATTTCATGTAATTTATCTACCCCAGTGAAAAGAGAGTGGGAATGAGCATATTGTGCTTCATATTTAGCAGCTGGTAACACTACTTCATCGAATTCATGACGGGTATATCTAGTGTTGGATAATACATTTCCTAATTCTTCAATATAATATGGTAAATCTTGTTTTAAAAATTTAGTTTCTAAAATTAATGCATCTCTTGATGGTTTTGCTGAAAAATCACCACCCAATAATTCAGATTCTCTTGTGAAACGTAAAGCTGATTTATTTGCATTACTTAAAAATGCAAATTTTGATAATAAATGTGATGTACCATGTTTTCCATTTTTAGCACCTGCATTGTCAATTACAACTGCTAATTTAGTTAAATCATTTACTGAATCTTTAGCAGAAATCTTAATGGCATTAGGTATGGTGCTGTATGCACGAATTGATGTACGAGACAACATTATGATACTATATACGTGTGGTAAGTGTCAGATGATTATCAATTAGATTGTCTATAAATTGTGAAAATTTACTGTTTCTTAGAGAAAGAGAAAAATTATAAATTCTCATTTGTTGATTGGAGAGTTAAGTAATTTGAAACAGTGTCACGTGATACTCTTTTACTTGAATTGAAGTAATCTGTATCAGTTACCAGTATAGATCGATCAGAGGTTTATAGGTAATGCATGTTGTTTGATTATTCTATTTACAAGTCTTACAACTGAGCTAAAGTTGTTTGTTTGAGTTGTTCATCACTCAAATCATTTTCAACTCCATAATCAACAATTAATTGAGCCCAAATTAATTCCATTAAAAGAAGTAAATGAACTCCTCCCCAAATGAGATTTATACTGTAAAAGAAATTTGAATTACCATTACCTAAAACAATCCAACAGTAATAAAAAATTGGTGATAGTATTAACGAAATTATTAATGTCATTCCTGTGATGAACAACATCTTACAATGAGTCAAAATTGTATCCTTAAACATTGGAAGGATTGACAATACAAATCCCAAGTCACCTATTGTTGGATATGACTTTGTAAATGAAACCCATAGCATTGATAAAATTATGGAAAGAAATGAGTCTCCCAATTTCGGACTTTTTCTATATTCAAATAATCTTAAAGTAATTGGTATAATAAAGACAAATGAGTATAAGTTAAACATCCCAGTATAAAATGGTGTAAAAAATTCAAACATTTCCGTAAACAAATACCACCATAGTCCAACATTTGGTGTGATTTTCTTGAACAAAACAACAGTTGTGTAACATTTGTCAATAAATAGCCATGATCCAGTACATACAAAAGACGCGTATAATAAAATGGCTAGCGAAGTTGCAAAAGCTCCCAAATTGATGATTGAAAATTTTAATATATCTCTTGAGCTCGTGGCATATGCTAAAGCAAGTATCGAAGGTAACAAGTATAATGAATGAAATGAAAGATAACTTGCAATAGCTAATGAAATCATTGATCTAATGACATTCTTTTTAATTACTATTTGAGATATTGATTGGACTATGAAGAACCATGTAAATACAATTGTAGAATGACTCAAGTTAGTCAACAATATCAATGGATTGAATAAGTAGAAACATGCAATTAAATCATCATTAAACCCGAGATATTTTTGCTCAAATCCATGATGTTTTGATCTATATCGATTATACCACTTATTAATTTGAACAAGATTTGAAGCTATTAGTAAATCGGTAACCGTGTAAATTAGTGAAAACCAAAAGTTTGGGTATGGAAATGAATTGAAAAATGATAATATAATGACTAATAATGGTGGATGATGATTGACTCCACCATCATATAGGTTTAAGTTATGGTCTAAAAAATAGAATGCTTCTTGTAAAGCTTTGAATGAAGTGATGGGAGTTGATAATTCTGTTGAAGATGATAAGATGGGTACCAATGATGATACTAGGACTGGTAGTAGAAGCCTAGTTGCTCCAGCTATAACGAACACCTGAGTTGACTTACTCATATTACCTTGGTGTTTCAATTCTTAATTTTTTGAAACGGTCTTTGACGTGTTGTTTACTTTTAACTTTTGAAAAAAAAAATGAGATCTCAATTTGATCTTGTTTTAATCTTACTCTAATCTTAAGCATCAAATACATCAAACATAATATGTCATGTCGAGTGTATGTGAACATACTCAAACCTTCCATTTTTTTACAATTATTATTATACTAACACCAACATAGTTTCAGCCACTAAATCCTAAACCTTTCATGAAATCATTGATAGGTAAACAAGTAGTAGTAAGGTTAAAATGGAATAAAACAGAATATAAAGGACAATTGATGTCAACAGATAATTATCTAAACTTACAATTGGATGACACATACGAAATAATCTACGATAAAGATGATAACAAGAGAGAAGAATTGATTGGTAGTATATTCATTAGATGTAATAATGTTCTATTTATACGAGAATTTATCAATAGCGATGGTAGTAAAGTTATACCGAAAGGTCCAAGAGCAACAACTGAAACGACCGCTACTGAGTCTACATCGGTTGATACAGATGGGAATGTTGAAAAGAAGACTGAGGTCGTTGAAGAAGTAGAAATGAAGGAGTAAAATATTGAACTTGATTTTTTTTACTACTCAGCCAATTCACAATGTGATTTATATGATATTAATTAACGAAGTCATGACTTTAAAAGCAGACATAGTACAGCTTGTATTGATTCTCTGAAGACTCTTAGTGAGTCTAAGTCTTAATCTAAACCTCTTGATACACTCGTGAAAAAAAAAAATAATTTCAATTCATAATAATATATCATAAGTAAAGTAGCATATTAATGAACCAACCAGAGGTGGCTCCATATGGGGGTTTCATAGTAAAGTCACTAGAAGATGAAAAAGCCAATGAAGCTAAAATTGAAGAATTATCAATAGAAGTTGACTACAATGGGACAGTACAAAAAATAAGACCAGAAGCATTCAAATTAAATGGAGTTGATAATTTATCAACTGAAGAAATTAAATCATATATTGATTATTATTTAAATTACACTGTTACTCAAGATGAAGAAAATGGAGAACTTAAATACAATCAGATCCCATTTGATGATCAAATAACGTTTCGAGTTGAATGGATTGATGATTCAAATGTTGTTATTGTTTTTAAAACTAATCAAGATCAAATAAATGCATTAAGACAAATTAGAAGAATAGCGACAACATTAGATGAAAATGATCCAAATTTTATTAATGAAGTAATACAAGAGGTTGATGCAAAAGATTATAATCCTATAATACAATTTCGTAAAAGTCAAAGTTTATCAAATAGATTAGGATTACCTGAAAAAGATCCAAATGAAGTTACAAGTATAGAAGAAGATGAAACATCCATTGAATTAAAAATAAGACAAGCTTTTCAATCAGATAGAAAAGTTAAAAATGCTTCTCAATATTCAAGATATTATTTAGTACATGGTGAACCTGAACGAGATCTACATCCAAGAAGACATAAACATCACCATAGACGAAGTAGACGTGATGGTGAATCAATAGAAATAAAAGCGAATGAGCCAGAAGAAGAGGACTTGTTTGCTGACAAACTAAAAGGAAACAACGGGAGAAAAACTGAGATCAGAAATGGAGATGATGAAGAAGAAGACTTATTTGCCAACAAGTTAAAGAAAACTAGGTCAAGATCACCTACGAGAAATAATGATAATGGACGTTACAGACAGAGATACTAATTGGCTGATTGGTCACTAACGTATGAATGATGATTATAGGGCGATAGTAACTGATAAATCACCTAATAATCAAATAATAATAAGGATGAGCTAATAACGATAATAATAAGTTGAGCTTGAAGGTTGTATATGTAGGTCTATGTATTCTATATAATAATATAAGATAGACTTGTTGATATATGGTAAGATGATGGTAAGTTATAAACTTAATCTCTTTCTACTTTCAAATCTAATCCAAAGGATTTCAGCAACTTTATATATTAACTTGAATCCACAATAATCAAGATCCAAAACCGATAGGCACTTAAACAAATTGCTTGCTATACTAATTAGGAAATAATCCTTGTTTGCTATCTTTAATCTATTTTAATATGCAAATTGTATTATTAATTGTATAAAATTACATAGTTTTAGAACTGAAAAAAAAGTTATTTTATATATGCTAGAATGTTTTGAGTTCTTTTTTTTAATTCCCTTCTTGACCGAAATCTTCAGTAAATTTAACATGATTAGATATATCAGATGCATTAACAGTTGGTCTATTACTTTTTATTGATTTGATGAAATCTTTTATAGTTAAAGGTGGTTCTTTTAATTCATCTGTTCCAATTTCCATCCAACTCATTTCTTTTGCTCCTTCATCACCAGGTGAACATGGTGTATATTTTTCTTTACCATCTATTTCATCTATTACAGGTTTGAAATGTGTGGCTTGCTGGATTTTTCGTATTGGTTGCATTAATGCATCTCTCACAACAACTGCAACATCATGACCTGAATATCCATCTGTCAAATCGGCCAATGTTCGATAATCATGAGGTGTACATTCACAAGGAACATCACCAATATTTATTTCAAACATTCTAGTTCTTGCTTCAACGTCAGGTAAAGCAATATATATTCTTCTTTCAAATCTTCTCCTTATTGCAGCATCTAGTTGCCAAGGAATATTTGTGGCTCCTAGTACTAAAACTCCCTGAGAATCATTTCCAACCCCATTCATTTGAACTAATAACTCAGTTTTAATTCTTCTTGAAGCTTCACTTTCTCCTTCACCTCTTGGTCCACACAATGCATCGACTTCATCAATAAAAATAATTGATGGTTTATTTTCCCTAGCCATTGTAAATAATTGTTTCACTAATCTTTCAGACTCTCCCATCCATTTTGAAACTAAATCAGAGGATGAAACACTGAAAAAAGTTGAATTTGCTTCTGTTGCTACAGCTTTGGCTAAATATGATTTACCTGTTCCCGGTGGTCCATATAACAATATACCTGATGTTGGTTTCCTATTACCCACAAATAAATGTGGAAATTTAACTGGTAATATGACAGCTTCTTTTAAAGCTTCTTTTGCGGAATCTAATCCAGCTATATCTGACCATTTGACATTAGGCTTTTCCGATAAGATCGCACCTGCTAACGCTCCTCTTAATTTTTTGGTATCGGCATCATCATCATCTCCATCTCCACTACCAGATTTCTTAGCCTTTGTAGAACCATTTGCGGAATTTTCAGCAGAGTTTGATTTGTTTTGTTGATTCTCCAAATGATCCTTAAGCTGTTCTGCTCTTGTTAAATATTCTGTGAATTTTGATTTAACTAATTCTTTTGATTTAGGATTTTTTTCATACTTTATTGCTAACATTAAATAATCTAATCCATTGTAATATAACTTGTATGCTTCTTCATATCTTGTGGCAGTATCTGCATCTATAGCCTTTTGTACTAGATCTATCCCCTTACTTAAAAAGTCAGACGCCCCTGACATCACTTCGTTGTTAATGTATTTGTAATAATCAATGTGTCTTATCGTAAATGGTCGAAAATTTAAAGGCGATCTATGAAAAATATTGGTAGAGTGATGCTACCAACCGAGTTTTTGATTGGAGCTATTTCGGAGTTTCGATCCAATGACTACTGTTACAAACACATAGCTTTTGATATAGTCAATAATTAAAAATAGCAGATCAGGATTGATGTTATCTCGATATTGATTGTTGCTACATGCCAAATATTTTGCTTTTCATGAATCAACTCCTAATACCGCCTAATTGATTACCAGAAATGGAGAGAAAAAAGAAAAAATAATTTTTATCAAAATTCTTATCGGTTTTTTCGAATTTCATATTTGGAACCACCTTATCAATGACAAACCCTAATCAACAACAAACTAGGACGTTCACGAATTTAGATCCCTCTTTCTTTTCAAATATTGAACAGAGCCTGTCCACAAAAGATTCAAAACTACCGACAACAAATAAAACTTCAAATGCAACAATCAATAATGGATTTAAACAAAAAACTATAAAGATAAATAATATAATCGGTACTAGATTTAGAAGTAAAACTGGATGTTTGAATTGCAGAAAAAGAAAGTATGTTGATTAAATTAGAATTAATAGAACTTTCGCTAAAGGGATACTAACTTAAAAATGACAGAAAGAAATGTGATGAAACGTCCCCAATTTGTTTAGCATGTCAATCAAGAAATCAAGAATGTATATGGCCAGATTTGACAAAAAACCTGAAAGTTAAAAAACAATCAACAACAACATCACTATCATCGTCATTACCAACACCCGCTCAATCTCCATCATTATCCGATATAGATCAAAAAAGGTTAAATGAATCAATTTTACAAAGACATAATAATACTTCAAGTACTAATAACAAATTAAAAAAAATTAAAAATCCAAATTTAGATTCTTTAGTTAGAGAATTCGCTAGTGAAAAAGAAGAAGCAATGGATGATATCGGTCATTTAAATATGAATGTTATAAGTTGTCATAAATAGATTCAGGTATAATTGTTGGATTGATCATTGGTATTCTCAGCTCCTCTCAGAAATGTTTTGATGTTACCAATTTATTTCTCTTTCTTCCCCATGGAAACATGTAAAATTTATACTCACAGATTCCAGGTCAATAGTACGAGCGATATCATTTAGATCTTTAAACGGGTAGGACAAACCGTTTTTCTCAAAATTGCGCTCTCCAGATTTGAGAAGCGGAATTTGAAAAATTAGATAATTGTTAGGACGTTACATTAAATTTTTGAAGTGGGACTAAAATAGTTTTTAACCAATCTCATGATTAATTCTATCCACTTAATATTAGACATATCTGTCACAAGGTTACAATAAATTCAAGATTGGGGGTCTTAATATAAGTTCAATCATTACCCCATACTTTCAAAACCATTCCTCAGTAGATATAATAGGTAATCATTCCTAATTCAACTTTTCAAACAATTTAATCAATCAAGAAAAGATCAAGAATTAAAATGCCAGTTCCAATTCCACATAAATATCATGATGAAATAAATGAAAATGGTTTCACAGTAATTAGAAATTTTTTAACACCAGAAGAAATTGATAGATATACAAAAGCAAGTGAAATAATAGTTGATATGGCTAGACGAGGAGAAATTGATTCAGTTAGAACAACAAATAAAATGTTTCCACCATGGCCAAAAAATTTCAGTCCTGATATTTGGGGAGTTTCAGGATTATTACATCCAAATTTAGGTGAAAAAAGTTATGAATTTCATAATTTATATGGAGATGAAAAAATGTTAAATATAGTTTCTGATATTTTACAAATCAGCAAAGATGAAATTTCAATGGAATTATTAAATATGTTAATTAATCCATTAACTGATTTTGAATTAGATTGGCATAGAGATACAATAAAACCTGAAGTTACACCTGAAGAAGAAGCTGAAGAATTATTAACTTATCCTTTTGCTGGTGCTCAATTTAATTTAAGTTTAACTCCTGATGATTGTTTAATAGTTATACCAAAATCTCATAATAGAATAAGAACAGAAGAAGAAAGAAACAAAACAATTGATTCTACCAGAAGAAAAGAATTTATAACAAATCAAATTATTGTAAATTTAAATCCAGGAGATTTAGTATTTTATAATAATAATATTTTACATAGAGCAAAATATAATTCAAAAAATAAAAGATTAACTTTACATGGTTCTTATGGTAATGTTAAATTTGGAAAAAGTAGAGCAAAAGGTATATTACAACATGGAGTTGCTGATTGGTTACCTGATTTAAAACCACAAAATGAAAATTTAAATATGATGAAATCAAAATTAGTTGATTTAGCTAAAGAATTTGAAGGAGTTGATGTTGAATTTGCTTTAGATGGGTGATTTTAATTTGTTTGTTTATAATTTAGATATGTAGTACATAGAATTTTGAAGACATGAAAAATTGCAACAAGAATTATTTTTGCTTTCACTATACATTTTATTTGAAATTCTCTATCATTTAGGTGAAAATTTTGCTGCATCAATGTTTTGAAACAAGTTGATGTTCCTGAAACATTACACAAAAATACAATTAGAAAAGCCTAATATCAATATTATACAAAACGGCCATTCAGTCAAGCAAAGAGTCTTACTCTAAGTTGGTCGAAGACATGAATCTATATCAACTAGTTTTGGGAGACAACGCAATTCATTCAATTAGCGATGGGAGTGGTCTTCGTCTTGAGATGTTTGACTCCTCTCTATGTTAGATCTCATGAGAAAAATTTATCATGTGTGAGCCAGTTTTAACCAGCTTTATCAAAAGTTCAGTGCAGGTAAAACCGCTAGCCTTTTCACAATGTTTATGTCCAGCAGCTGTAATAAGACATATCATCGGATTAATTTATTGTAAGCTCTTTCCTTGATTAAGATTTAAGGTACAAAGTAAATAATATCTCTGATTCTTCGGTTAAACATGGTTTTATATTTCCGGTGAAAAATAAATGTAACATCATCTCCTAATCTTTTTAATAAAGCCGATTCAATTACCCAAGGTATTACACCAAATCTACTTCCGAAATCTGAATTTGATAAAAGCTTACAGAACTTCATTAAACAACTCAGTGTTTGAAGACCTAATTCCACAACTTTTGTGAGGAAAGCATAGCTTTAACAAATTAGATCTGGCATGATTAAAGCTTAATCATATCGGTTATATGAACCGGTGTTAAAAAAAAAAAAGTGAAAAAATACGAGTAGTGCACAATCTACCAAAATATAGCAAGCCATAATTTTTCAAGACTAAAAATTATGATAAATGTGGTAGAAATTTTGGCTAATCTGCCGTTTCTTTTGAATTATATATACTAACGTCTATGTAATCAAGAAAAATATGTGTGGTACCATGAAACGTATCTCTAAATTATCCTGAAAATCCAAAAAAATCAAAACCCGTGGGTCAAGCATTGCCCTGTTTAAACTTACAACAAGTACTTGAACTATTCTGAATAAAGATTCAAACAAACTATAGAGTTGAAATAAAATGAACTAGCCGAATGAGCCAATGTAACAATACGGTAACAAAATTAGAGACACTATTCACAGTAAATAATGATAAAAAAAAATAAGGTCCGCTTAGATCTCTCTTTATTATTACAATTTAAGACGAACTACAACAAAAAAATATAAATAAGATGAATAAAAATTTATCAACCAATGACATAATTTAAATTTTTTGTATTGTTTATATTTTGTATTAATTAAGCTGAGGGAATTATTTTAGTTTAGTATAGAAAATATTGGTAGATACTACACTACCTTATCAATTATAATAATAATTTACATAGTAAAATAGAAATTTAATAATAAGAAAGAGAGAGAAAGAGAAAACAAAAAAAGCTCAAAAGTTTTCAATTTTTAATTTATAATCAAACACTTTCTTTTTTTATATTCAAGAGTTTCTTTATCAAAAAAGAGTTATATAATCTAATCAAAGACTATTCTTTTTGTTCATATTCTTCATTCATTTCAATTGTCATTCATATATTTCATATTCAAAACTAATTAACTAATCAACTAAAAAATGAAATTCTCAATCACTGCATTAACTTTTATTGCTTCATCAGTTTTAGCAGGTAAAGGTCCAAAAGATACCAATAAACCACCAACTGTTACTGTTTATGCAACTGAAACTACTCATAAATATGGTAGATTCAATAAAACTCCTCATCCAACTACAACTACTTCTATTATTTCACCAAGTGAATATTCAGAATTAGCTGGTAAATCAGCTTCATCAATCTTAGCAAGAAGAGATGATTATATTGTCAAAAGAGCTAACGATACCGCTGGTGGTGCTGCTGCTGGAAACGGTACTGCCGGAGGTGCCGGTGGTGCTGGTAATGGTACCGCTGGTGGAGCTGCTGGTGGTAATGGAACTTCAGGTGGTTCATCAACTCAAAATGCCGGTAATGTTGCTGCTTCAGGAGCTACTTTTGCTGTTGCAGGTGCTATTGCTGCAGGTGTTGCTTTATTAGTTTAAGTTTAACTTAAAACTTTAGACTAGATATAAGTTTAGAGAAAGGGGAAAGTGGAAGAAAGATGTAATGGTGGTTTATATTTCGTATTTAATCACGTTGTAATAGAGTAAAAAATCTTTAATTTAATACTATATAATTATACCAATTTTGAACAATTGTAGATTTGAATTGATTACCTTTATTTCTACTTATATCTAGATAAATGAGATGGTCTTAGCTAAGCCCAATGAGTAAATTAATACTAAAGTCAATTACTTCCTTTAATTCGGCTTAACATGTTGTGAGAATTCCCGTCAGTCAGTCAGTTCATGCACTATCAGAATCATGTTGTTGAATCGTATTTCAAATATAATGTAGCATTTAATGCTTATAATTTCCTAAATCCAAAGTCATAGAATTCACCAAAACTTTAACTCCTCGTAAAATAACCATCTCTATTTCAAACAATGGCTATCATCTTCAAAGCCTATTTCCCACCACCAGAAGGTAATGCTAAAACATTATTAACTTGTTTTGGAAATTCTCTAACAATAATTTCACATTTAACTTCTTTACAAAGATCTTTTTTATTATAATAAGGTAATTTTTGTAATAATTCTAAACCAGAAGATCTTTCTAATGCATCAATTGGAACTTGAAATTGAGTTAATGGTATATTATTATTTATAATTTGATTTGGTAATACGAAAGCGGCACAACTTATATTGCTGGGGTCATTATTATTTTCTCCAATAATTAATTTAAAAAAATGAGTTGGTACAGAAATATTTGGTGGTGATCCAATAACTTCATATTCAACTCTATATTTTCCATCTTTACATAATTTTGGTAAATATAATGGTCCTGTCATAACTCTTATATTATCATATTTTGAGGTTAACCTACGAACAAATTCTTCAAAATGATTCCAATAATCTCTATTGAAACCTTCACCAATTTGTGGTGATATATTAGTTAAATAAAAAGTTTCATCCATTGCTAATTGATTATATTTAGCATTTGCTGCTGGAGCTTGATGACCTCTATCATATCCAGATCTAAAATAATCTCTTAATTTATTTCTAAATTTAAATGGAATTGATTCATCTTCTTTAAAAATTGATTTTTTTCTATCTCCTGAATCTCCATTTCTAGTTATTGATTCTTTTGTTAAATGTTCTATAACCCAATATGGATTCTTTTTAGAACGATCATAACAACTTATAAATTCTGAATGTTTACCTAAATCATGTATTGGACCAGGAAATCCATATTTATAAAAACCTTCTGGATTTATAGATGATGGATCAAATATTTCTTGAGAATTTGATTGCGATGGTGGTTTTATTGGTAAATTTGAATTTGAATTTGAATTAGGTGATGATGGTGGTGGTAACGATGTTGAATTTGATGATTTATTCCCCCCATTTCCTCCTCCGATACCCCAGAAATATGATGCAATACCCAAACTCCCTAATCCCCAAGATGATTTCAATATTAGTCTGGACATTATCTTTTTAATTTATTGTGGTTTAGTGAAAGATGGTTAATATTCAAACTATCTATGTTTTATGAAATGTGGGATCAAAATTTTTTTTGTCATATTTTTGTTATCTTTTATCGCATCCTGTGAATTAATTAGTTTGACGCGTTTGTAATTTACAACGAAGCTAAGTCAGTGAAAAAAGACAACGTTGTAGCATAATTAATAATCTTAATAAAAGTAGTCATGATTGTTTCTTATCGTCTTTCCAAACTTGCGAATTAACGACCAGTCTGTAGATCTTTTACAAGTTGAGTCTAATTTGTATCTTGGAGAACTTTTTGGAATGGGCCTAGCGTTTGAATATGACGACTTGCAATAACGTGAAAAATTGAAACATAAAAACAAAGTCCCTACATGAGCAAGTTAGTTTTGATTATTTTAAACTTTAAACCAGTTGATTGTAATCGGGAAATTTGCAACAATTTGCAACCAAAAATAAGATTATACAGCGAGATCAATTCATGCACATGTCAATGAATTTATTTCAGAGTCTCGTATTGATACTCAAGAACTACTATTCTCTAGAGTTCTAGATCATTAGAAGTCGTCACATGAACTATGAATCTGGCTTTTTTCAATATTAAAATTTTTTTGCATTAAAGGAATTGACGGAAGGAAAACAATAAAATGGTTTCTAATGTAGAGAGAACACACATGTAAGAGAGTTCACAAATAAGATCAACTAGGCTGGGCCCTCGTAGCTGAAAAACAGATTCGAAAGTTTTTTTTGTTCAACTTTGATTTACTGACAAGGCTATGAAATTATACTTTTCGTTGATCTATTAATTATAATTTTTAATTTGGGAAACCAACATTAATTGAAATATATTTTTATTATTTTCATTTTTATATCAACAGCGAGCAGAAGTGTTGGGCTTCTACTGAATATTTCAAATACTGTACCAGATGCTACCAAATCCCAGTAAAATGGTTTCATAAAAAAACAAAGCCAACGTTTTTTTATACTTTATACATTTTGTGATTGTTTTAAAAAAACTCCGAAAACCATTCGGATAATGAGATGATTGATTTTTTCTGGTTACAATAGTATTTCAAAATAATACTAGTCGACATAGGCAATCAGTTCAGGAAAAAAAAAATCAATTTTCAGCTAAGTTTGACCCTATCTTTCAAATATAAATTTATTAGTTGATCTTCAGTCCAATTCTAATATTTTTATCCCTTAAAAACTAGTTTTAAAAAATAATTAATAAAGAGATCTCCCGTAAATCTTTTTTATTAAAATACAATACATTATTTTTGATACTTGTTTTTGTGTAACTATACATACTACAGTACTTTACTATATTTTTGTTGGTGGTTGTAAAAATAACCAACAAGTAAATTTTTACAACCAAAATAATAATAATAATAATATGTAAATTTTAAAAATATATAATCAATTATATACCCATTTCTTTATCTTATTTTCATTTTGATCTTAAATATATTGTTGTTTTGGTCTCATTCTCAAATTCAATTGTTCAATTGTCAAAACTAGATCAATATTCACCTAATCTATTTATCTCAAATCTTACTTATAGATACCAAAATTCATTTAAATCAACCAAAAATTGATCAGTTTTGATTTACGACCTATTTATTTAATAACACTTTCATCAGAACGACTAATATTACTAATACATATCTCAAAATACAATGTCAACTCATAGACCTTTCCAATTAAATCATGGATCAATAGAACATAATTTTTCAGTACCTCATAATTTATTTTCAAATTATTCACAATTAAAAGATCAATTTATAAAAACTTTACCTGAACCAACTGAAGGTTTTGCAGATGATAATGAACCATCAAGTCCAGTAGAATTATATGGTAAATTTTTAGGTTTTATAAGTCAACAACAAAATCAAGAAGATGAAACTTTAAGTAATGCAATAAAAGATTTTGAATTAACTTTTTTACAAAATATTGATATTCATTCATTAGCTGTAAAATTATTACAAGATGAAAATTTTCCAACTACACAAACAAAAATTAAAAATTTAATTAAGAATTATTATCAATGTAATCAAATTATTTTAAAAAATGAATCAAATTTAATTTATCATTCAAAATTAGGTAATGCAAAAATTGCAGCAATATTTGGAGGACAAGGTAATACAGATGATTATTTTGAAGAATTAAGAGAAATTTATAAATTATATGAAAATTTAATTGTTAAAGATTTATTAATTCCAATAACAAATGAATTAAATAATTTATTAAAACAAGATTCAGAATTTGATAAAATTTATACTCAAGGTTTAAATATTTTAAAATGGTTAAAACATCCAGAAACAACTCCTGATCAAGATTATTTATTAAGTGTTCCTGTATCTTGTCCAATAATTTGTATTATACAATTATGTCATTATAGTATTACTTGTAAGATTTTAGGTATAAATCCTGGAGAATTTAGAGATTTAATTTCTTGGTCAACTGGTCATTCACAAGGTTTAATAACAGCTGTTGCAATTGCAAGTTCATCTGATTGGTCTTCATTTATATCAAATTCAATAAAAGCTTGTTCATTATTATTTTTTATTGGTTCAAGATGTTTAAGTATTTATCCAAGAACTACTTTACCACCAACAATGTTACAAGATTCATTAAGTAATGGAGAAGGTAGACCATCAACAATGTTATCAATAAGAGATTTATCTATAGAAAAAGTTGAAAAATTTATACAACAAACAAATAATCATTTACCAAAAGAAAAACATATATCAATAAGTTTAATTAATGGTGCAAGAAATTTAGTATTATCAGGACCACCAGAATCATTATATGGGTTTAATTTAAATTTAAGAAATAATAAAGCACCAAATGGATTAGATCAATCAAGAATTCCATTTAGTGAAAGAAAATTAAAATGTACAAATAGATTTTTACCAATTTTTTCTCCTTTCCATTCTCATTTATTAACTGATGCAACTGAATTAATCTTGGAAGATGTTTCACAAATTGAATTTGATAAGCTAGCAATACCAGTCTATGATACATTTGATGGAAAAAATTTACAAGATACAAATTCAAAAGATTTAATTTCAAGATTAATTAAATTAATTACTGAATTACCAGTTCATTGGGAATTAGCAACAAATCATAAAGCAAGTCATATCCTTGAATTTGGTCCAGGTGGTGTTTCAGGATTAGGTGTTTTAACTCATAGAAATAAAGAAGGAACTGGTTCAAGAATTATTATTGCTGGTGCTATTGATTCAAATCCAATTGATGATGAATATGGTTTTAAACATGAAATTTTTAATAAATCTGAAAATAAACAAATTAAATGGGCTTCAAATTGGTTAAAAGAATTTAAACCAACTTTAGTTAAAACAACTAATAATAAAGTCTATGTAAATACAAAATTTTCACAATTATTAGGTAGAGCTCCATTAATGATTCCAGGTATGACTCCAACTACAGTTAATCCAGATATTGTTGCTGCTTCAATTAATGCTGGTTATCATATTGAAATTGCCGGTGGTGGTTATTTTATTGCATCAAAAATGACAGAAGCAATAGATGAAGTCATAGCTAAAATCAAACCTGGTTATGGATTCGGTATAAATTTAATTTATGTTAATCCAAGAATGTTACAATGGGGTATTCCATTAATTAAAGAATTAAGAGAAAAAGGTTATCCAATTCAATCATTAACTATTGGTGCAGGTGTCCCATCATTAGAAGTTGCAACTGAATATATTGAAGAATTAGGTTTAACTCATTTAGGTTTAAAACCTGGATCAATTGATTCAATAAGTCAAGTTATTTCAATTGCAAAAGCTCATCCAAATTTCCCAATTGTTTTACAATGGACTGGTGGTAGAGGTGGTGGTCATCATTCTTTTGAAGATTTTCATCAACCTATTATACAAATGTATTCAAAAATTAGAAGATGTTCAAATATTATATTAGTTGCTGGTTCAGGATTTGGTTCAGATGAAGATACTTATCCATATTTAACTGGTTCATGGTCAACAAAGTTTAATTATCCACCAATGCCATTTGATGGTATATTATTTGGATCAAGAGTTATGACATCAAAAGAAGCTAAAACTTCATTAGAAGCTAAAAAATTAATTGCCAGCTGTACAGGAGTTGAAGATTCAAAATGGGAACAAACTTATAAAAAACCAACTGGTGGTATAGTTACAGTAAAATCAGAAATGGGTGAACCAATTCATAAAATTGCAACAAGAGGTGTATTATTTTGGAAAGATTTAGATGAAACAATTTTCAATCAACCAAAAAATAAATTAATTGAAACAATAAATAAGAAAAAAGATTATATTATTGATAAATTAAACAAGGATTCTCAAAAACCATGGTTTGGTAAAAATAAATTTGGAGTATGTGATTTACAAGATATGACTTATGAAGAAGTTTCAAATAGAATGATTGAATTAATGTTTGTTGAAAGATCAAATAGATGGATTGATATATCATTAAGAAATTTTTTTGGAGATGTTATAAGAAGAATTGAAGAAAGGTTTTCCAAAATTTCTCAAATTTCATTATTACAAAATTATAATCAATTACAAAATCCACATGAATTTGTTATTAAATTTTTTACTGAATTCCCTTTAGCTAAAACTCAATTAATTTCAGAAGAAGATTGTGATTTCTTTTTAATGTGTGCTTCAAGACCAACTCAAAAACCAGTACCATTTGTACCAGTATTAGATGAAAGATTTGAATTTTTTTTTAAAAAGGATTCTTTATGGCAATCTGAAGATTTAGAAAGTGTTGTTGATGAAGATGTTCAAAGAACTTGTATATTACATGGTCCTGTTGCTTGTCAATTTACAAATAAAGTTAATGAACCAATTGGTGAAATTTTAGATAATATTCATGAAGGTCATATTAAAAAATTAATTGAAGATGAATATAATGGTGATGAATCTAAAATTCCAATTGTTGAATATTTTGGTGGTTCAAAACCTGTTGATATAAAATCTTTAACTAATGTTATAATTGAAGAAAATAAAGATGAAACTATATATGAAATCAAATCAAAATTACCAAATACTTCAAAATGGTTACAATTATTAGCTGGTTCAAAATTAAATTGGTTACAAGCATTTATTTCAACTAAAAGAATAGTTCAAGGTTCAAAACATGTTTCAAATTCTATTCATGATATATTATCTCCTTCTCAACATTCAAAAGTAATAATTAATAAGAAAAATCATGATTTAACAGTTTATGAAAAAATTAAAGGTGATTTGGTACCAGTTGTTAAAATTTATTTATCTAATGATTCCAAAAATACAATTATATGTGAATTAATTGAACATAGAACAGCTGATGGAAATCCTGTAAGTTTACCATTTATATATAAATATCAACCAGAAGATGGATTTGCTCCAATTGTTGAAGATATGATTACAAGAAATTATAGAATTAAAGAATTTTATTGGAAATTATGGTTTGGTTCAGAAATTCCATTTAATTTAAATATAAATGTTGATGAACAGATCTTGGGAGATGAAATTACAATTACTGGTAAAGATATTGCTGAATTTACTTATGCTATTGGAAATAAATGTGAAGCTTTTGTAAATAGACCTGGAAAATTAACATTAGCTCCAATGGATTTTGCTATAGTTATTGGTTGGAAAGCTATTATAAAAGCAATTTTCCCAAAAACTGTTGATGGTGATTTATTAAAATTAGTCCATTTATCAAATGGTTATAAAATGATACCTGGTGCTGCACCTTTGAAAAAAGATGATATTGTTTCAACAAAAGCTGAAATTAAATCAGTTATAAATCAACAAAGTGGTAAATTAGTTGAGGTTATTGGTACAATATATAGAGAACAAAAACCAGTTATGGAAGTTTCATCACAATTTCTTTATAGAGGTGAATATATTGATTATGAAAATACTTTTCAAAAAATTACTGAAATTCCAATTCAAGTTGATTTTAAAAATTCCAAAGATTTAGCTATATTAAGATCAAAAGAATGGTTTCATTTAACTAAAGATATTGAATTTGATCAATTAACTTTTAGATGTGAATCAACTTATAAATTTAAATCTGCAAATGTTTATTCATCAATTATTACAACTGGTCAAGTATTTATGGAATTACCAACAAAAGAAATTATACAAGTTGGTGAAATTAATTATGAAGCAGGTATTTCATATGGTAATCCAGTTATTGATTATTTAAAAAGAAATGGTAAAACAATTGAAGAAGCTGTTACATTTGAAAATCCCATACCAATAAGTTCAAAAGATGAATTAATTTCAAAAGCTCCTGGTACAAATGAAACTTATGCTATAGTTTCTGGTGATTATAATCCAATTCATGTTTCAAGAGTATTTGCTTCTTATGCTAAATTACCAGGTACTATAACTCATGGAATGTATTCATCTGCATCAATAAGAGGATTAGTTGAAGAATGGGCTGCAAATAATGTTGCAAGTAGAGTTAGAGCATTTAAATGTGAATTTGTTGGAATGGTTTTACCAAATGATAAATTACAAACAACAATGGAACATATTGGTATGATTAATGGAAGAAAAATTATTAAAGTTGAAACCAAAAATATTGAAAATGATTCTATAGTATTAATTGGTGAAGCAGAAATTGAACAACCTATTACAACTTATGTATTTACTGGTCAAGGATCTCAAGAACAAGGTATGGGAATGGATTTATATAATTCTTCAGAAGTTGCAAAAAAAGTTTGGGATAAAGCTGATAATCATTTTATAAATAATTATGGATTTTCAATTTTGGATATTGTTCAAAATAATCCAAATGAATTAACTATACATTTTGGTGGTTCAAAAGGTAGATTGATTAGAGATAATTATATTGGAATGATGTTTGAAACTATTGGAGAGGATGGTGAATTAAAATCAGAAAAAATCTTCAAAGATATTGATGATACTACAACTTCTTATACTTTTGTATCACCAACTGGTTTATTATCTGCAACTCAATTTACTCAACCTGCTTTAACTTTAATGGAAAAAGCTGCTTATGAAGATATAAAATCAAAAGGTTTAATTCCATCAGATATAATGTATGCTGGTCATTCATTAGGTGAATATTCTGCTTTAAGTTCATTAGCAAATGTTATGCCAATCGAATCATTAGTTGATGTTGTATTTTATAGAGGTATGACTATGCAAGTTGCAGTACCAAGAGATGAATTAGGTAGATCAAATTATGGTATGTGTGCTATTAATCCAAGTAGAATTAGTTCAACATTTAATGATTCTGCTTTAAGATTTGTTGTTGAAGAAGTTAGTAAAAGAACTAATTGGTTATTAGAAATTGTTAATTATAATGTTGAAAATCAACAATATGTTGCAGCTGGTGATTTAAGAGCTTTAGATACATTAACTAATGTTTTAAATGTTTTAAAAATTAATAAAATTGATATTGTTAAATTACAAGAAAAATTATCAATTGAAGAAGTCATTAAACATTTATATGAAATTATTGATGAAATTAAAATTAAATCAGAATTAAAACCACAACCAATTGAATTAGAAAGAGGATTTGCTGTAATTCCATTAAAGGGTATATCTGTACCATTCCATTCATCATATTTAATGTCAGGAGTTAAACCTTTCCAAAGATTTTTATGTAAAAAGATTCCAAAATCTTCAATAAAACCTCATGACTTAATTGGTAAATATATTCCAAATTTAACTGCAAAACCTTTTCAATTAACAAAAGATTATTTTCAAAATGTTTATGAATTAACAAAATCTGAGAAAATTAAAAAAATTATTGATAATTGGGAAAATTATGAAAATGCGTAATTATTATATAGAAACAATACAAATTAATAGAAACTTTATAAATTTTAATAAATAATAAATAAATAAAATTGTTATGTATTAATTACAAATTATACAATTGTCTTTTCTTTTTATAAACTTCTATAACCCACTAACTAAAGGACTTGAAATATTAACAGGTGTAAATTTTTTAGGTAATGAAACTCTTGAAAATCTTGATTTTAATCTTTGAGTAACTAAATCCATATCTAAATGTCTTGTTAAACTTAATCTTGGTATACAACCAATATAATGATCATCATCTAATTGAACATCTAAAGGATCTTGAGTATGACATCCAGGAGTTAATGATAATCTTATGGAATGTTTTTTACCAGTTGATGAAGTTGGATCATCAGCTTCATATAATTCAAATACAATTTGTGATAAATAATCTAATTCAGGTAATGCATTTCTTGCAATTTTCATTGGTAATTGAGATCCATATATAACATTTAATAAAGTATATATATGACTTTCTTTTGTAAAATATGTTACAACTGATGGTGATGAAATATTTTTTTTCATATCTTGAATATCTGATAAAATTTGTTTTGCTAATGGTAATGAAGTTAATAATCCAATATCTAATTTTTCTTCATCTTTTATACCATATTCTTGTGGACATATAAAATCAAATAATACTTTTGATAATCTATATAATTCTCTTAATCTTGCAAAAGTTGGATGATCAAATGGATTTTGAGGTGGTTTTTGTGCACTATTATTTTGTGAATCCATAGTAGCTCCACTTAATACCCAACCTAATGAACCTGCTGATGCTCCACCAGATGATGAATTATTATCTCCTTTTTGATTTTGATTAGTAGATGAATCTGGAATTTTAAAATTATTCATAGCTAAAATATTTATTGGATATTCACTAACTAAACCTGATGAAGTTGCAGTACTACCACAAGATTCTTTTAATCTTTCTAATAATTTTTCATCATTTGGATCAAATGCAAATGCCTTTTGTAAAAATTGACGATTATGTAAAGCATCATATTTCATAGTATCATATAATTCTGAAATTTTAGAAGGATGAGTTTTTTCAACACTTATAAATTCTTGAAATAATTTATCCCATCTTTCTTTAAATAAAAATGGATCTTCTCCACAACACCAATTTGATTGAAATTCTTGAACATTTTTTGTTTCAAAATTATAATTCATTATTTGATGATGAAAATTCATTAATTCACAGACTCTTTTAATAACTTCAAATGGTTGAGGCATTTTTGGAGGCCATGTAAATTGTGGTGGTGCTTCAGCTCCTTGTCTTAATAAAGGTTTTAATTTCTTTTTAACTTTATCCATTAAATCTTTAGCAGCATTTGAATCATCTAATAAATCTTTACGAACAATTAAGAAATCTTCAGGTAATGGTTCATTAGTTAAACCTAATAATGAAGTTGTAAAATATTGAGCACTTGTAATTACTCTTCTTTCTGATGATGTAAAGACTTTTACATCATTTAATGCTTCTCTATTTAATAATTTTAAATTTTGTCTCATTTGTTCACCAACATCAGTAGCTTGATGTTTAGCGGAATGTGTTGGCTCACCTCCCCATTTTAGAATCAATTGAACTTTTTCAACAGTTTCATCTTCATTCAATGAAGGTTTAATCTGAATTTTAGTACCAGGAAAATTCATTTTTTTCTCTAATGCCATTCTTAATTGTTTTAATTTCTTTGGATCTTCTAATTTTTTTTCTTCTGCAATTTTCACTGTTTCTAAGACTATTTGTAAATCTGGAACTTGTCTAATAATAACTTCTTCCGTATGACCTTTTAGTAAACTAATGAATAAAGGAGATTTAAAAGAATATTTGAATTTTTGTTTTGGAGTACGATCAGCATGTCTTGTAACACTAACCAAGCCCTTAAATACCCATTTCTGTTCTTTCTCTTCAAATTGACTTTTTTGCAAAGACTTTGGTACCCTATTTTTCAATAAATCTCTTGATTTTTTAGCATCTATGAATAAATTTCTTAAAATACTAGCACATGAATCATAATATTCATTATTATCTTTAACAAATGAAAACCCATTCACATCAATTACATATGAATTACCATTCACTCTTAACAAATCAAATCCACAAATAGCTTGTTTGAAAGCAGCACTGACCGATCTTGCCATAATTTTTTCAGCGTCACTAAGTTCAGTAACGTATCTCACTTCTTTACCGTGAGTATTTCTTCTAACAATACCATCTACTACTGGAGATTTTCTAGTTTCAGCATGACAATAATTAGGTCCAACAGTGTATGCCTTTACATCTTCAAAATTATCAGTATCTAAAAAGTTTTCATAAATAAATGATCCATCCAATCTTGGTGTTGTTAAATCAGGATCAAATTCAGAAGATTTGTTACCAACTTTTCTAAATAGTTTTCTACCACCTCCTCCAGTTGCTTTAGGGTAATAAATATAAACATTATGATCTTCTCCATCAACTGGTTTTTCAACAAAGGGTTTTTTAATTATTTTTTTACCTACTCTCAAAGTATCATCATCTATCATTTCCCAATCTGGTTCCTTTTGATTGCTCATAGCATGTAATTTTTCATCACTAAATCCAATTTCTTTCAATCTTTCTACTAACAGTAATTCCATATATGGACCTCCATCTCTACTTATTTCAACCCTTTCTGGAGTAGGTACATTTGCATGATTTAAAATACTCAAAACAACACGTCTATCCCAAAGAGCCTTTTGAAACACTAAATCATTAATGATAAAAGGTTTTCTATAATCAACATAAGCAATAGCTTTATCCAAGGGAAAACCAGTTGAAAAAAAACTAATTAAGAAATCACAAGTTGGCCAATTTTCAATTTGTTCATCTAATATAACTTTATCACCAAATATAACAGTTTCAAATTCTCCATTTTCAATTAATCTATTTAAAATTCTTCTACAAGGTTTTGATAAAACTTTAGCATCCATTGCACAAACTCCAATTTTACCAATTTTTGGTAATTTTATAACTTCTTTATTTGTATTTTGAGAAAATGATTTTCTTGAAGTATTTGAAGAATTAGATAATGTTTTATTTAATTTTGATCCATCTCCTGAATTATTTGTAACATTTGAAAAAGAATTTGAATGAGATTTAACTCCAGATAAATTTTCATGAGTTAATGGTTGAAATTCATCAATTGTTAAATTTTCAACTCCATTTGATGTACTTGTTCCTGGTGATGATGAAATAGAATTTAATCTTGTATTGGAATCTTGTTCATTGGTTTTGGGAGAAAAACCATTTAATAATGGTTGTACTTCTGATAAGATTTTTGATATACTATTTGTTTCATTATTATCTGGTAATGATAATGATAATGGTGAAATTGGATTTTGTTTTGAATTTGGTGTGGGAAGTTCTTGACTTTGATCCTTTTTATCTTGCTCCACCTCTGGAATTGGTATTGGGTTAGTTTCTTCAGGCATTTTTCAACTCTATCAATCTATAAATTCATCTATAATGATTCCAAATGCTGAACGTGGTATAATTCATAAGTAATATTCTGAAAAACTCTCGCAACCAAAATATCTTTTCTTATCTTGCGAAGTGGTAGCATAGTCTTCATGATAATTTAGAAGAAACCAAACATTGTAAGAGATAGATTTTAATAAAAATAATATTTATTAGAAGATGCCAGAGTTAAAAGTAATAAGTAAATATATAAGAGAAGAAGGAAGAGAAGTTGTGGGTGTATTTATCATAACAATAATTTTTCATCATCACGAGTCTTTGAAAGGAGTAAAATTGAATCTCCTCAAACAAAGAACCAAAAGTAACCAAAAAAGTAACCAAACCAAAAACAAAAAAATTTCATTAAGTTTATTGCATTTAAAAGTTCGCTTTAAAAAATTCTTTAAAATTGAAAATTTTGTTGTTGTTGTGAACCATCATCATTCATACCAAATCCAAATGAATTTCCATAAGTTTCAGGTACAATATTTTCATCATCAATTTGTTGATCATCTTCATCACTAAAATATTTTTCAATTATATTATAAGCTTTTTGATATATTTTTTCATTTTCATTATTTTGACATTCAAAAATTTTTTCCATTCCACCAGCTTCTTCAATATAAAGTGCATTTTCATTTACTGATGTATTATTTGCTTCTTTATCCATTTCTCCCATTTTTAATATATTTTCTAATGAATCTAATGTTACTTCAATAATTTTAGAATCTGCAACTGATAATAAATCACATAATGGTTTAATACATCCTTGACTTACTAAATATCTTATTTGTTCTGGTCTACTTAAACCACCTGATGAAGCATTTGAAATAGCCCAACATGCTTCTTTCTTAGTTTTATAATCACCATGAATTAATAATCTTATCACCTGAGGAATTAAATTGGCATCTATTACAGCTTGGATTTGATCAGATGTACCTGCAGTTATATTTGAAATTGTCCAACATGCTTCTTTTCTAATAGTATCTTTTGGAGAATTTAATAATGGAGCTAAAGCAGTTAAAACTCCTGCATTTATGACTATTTGAGTTTGTAAATCTGATCCAGTAACTATATTACCAATAGCTCTTAATGATGGTGTTTGAACTAATGTTGATTCATGATTTAATAATTCAACAAGACGATGAGGAATTCTTGCATCAACAACTGCTTGAATAGCTTCTGAAGTACCATCAGATAAATATGAAACAGCCCAACAAGCATCAACTAAAGTTTCTGAATCAACTGAATAAATTAATTTAGATAAAGTTGGAATAGCTTGTGAAACTATATTCCAATCTGGTTGAGGTGCTTTACCTCTACATAAATTTGATAAAGTCCAAGTAGCAGTTCTTATTAATGACATTTTAGTACAATTAAATAAATTTAAAACTGGTTCCATAGCTCCACAATTTAAAACATAATCTCTATTATCAGCAGAATCACCAGCTACATTACCTAAAGCCCATATAGCTTGTTCTTTAACTTCTAAACTTTGAGAATATAATAAATTAACAAATAAAGGAACAGCGTTAGCATCAACTACAATTCTTGTTTGAGCTGAATTTCCTGAAGCAATATTTGTTAAAGCCCAAGCAGCTTCTAATTGTAACATATCAGGATGATCATCTTTCATAAATTCAACTAATGTAGGAATAACTCCAGATTGTATAACTAAATCAATTGGAGGATTATGTTCTCTTGATAAAATTTGACGAAATTTAACTGTAGCAGCTAATTGAGAATCAAAATCTTGAGCTTGAATCATTTCAATCATTTTTGGTAAATCTTGTCTTAATTTATTATAAAATTGACTTTCATCATTATTTATATTTGAATTAAATTCTTCTTCATCTTCTGAATCATTATTTTCATGTTGAAAATTTCTTCTTTTAGCTAATACTTCTTCTCTTTTTTGTTTTCTTAAATCAACTTGATGATTTTCTCTTCTTCTTCTTAATTCATCACTTTGAAAACGAGATTTATTCTTGAAGTTAGTACGACGATATTCAGGTACAAATCTTTCAGTTGCATCAGAGTCCATTGTTCTTTGAATTAATTAGTTATGTCTTAATAAATTGAAGTAATAGTAGTATGATTGATTGATTAGATTGCTCAACAATCTTTCAATCTTTTAGTTTTGAATAGTTGGATTGATTGATTGATTGATTATTTAAAATAGAAAATGAATTCTCAAATTTTTTTTGTCTTCTTTTTCTATCTTCTCACACTTTAAATAATTTTATATGATTTAATAGTTTAAGTAGTACTTGATAAAACAACTTAAAAAGGGCAAATCAGAGTAAAGTAGTTCAGGTAGAATCATTAGATATTTATATAATCAATTTATCAAGGGATCAAACACAGAATTTTCCAAATTTTTCAGTAGTAGATTGAGTTGACTTTACAACTTCTGATTCAAATTTGATTCTAATTTAAACTACCATGTCTCGACTAATACTTCAACATCAAGTTAAATTGATATATCCTAAAATACGGCCAACTTATAGCTGCTTCACTCATCGACCATTTAGCTCATCATCAATTACATACATCCAAAACCCATTTAAAACAAGATCATTTAAATCAAATGATGATAGTGTTGAATCAGATACTTTAATAAGTGATAATAATCCATGGTCACCAACTTTAGAAGATGATCCAGTATATGTACAAGAAAGAGATAAATTTTTTAAAACTCAATTACCAAATAAATATAGATTAGGTTATAATCCAATTTATGAAGCTCCAGCATCAAAATATGTGTCAATGTTAAAAAGATTAACTTTAAGTTTTTCAGTTATTGGAATATATGGATCTAAATTATTATTTGAAAGTTCTCAATTTGATGATTCTTTTGCTTATGCCCTTTTGGCTGGAGTATTTATACCAGTTATATTAGTTCAATATAAATCAAGAGATTATGTTACAAGAATTTTTAGATTATATAATAAAGAATTACCACAAACCTTAAATAATTTAACAAATGATGAAAATTTAATTATTGAAAAATTGGGTTTTAGTGGTGGTAAAACTTATAATGAATTACTCAAGATATCAAATAATCCTGATCTTAAATTATCACCACCTTCAAAATTTTATAAACCTTATACTACTTGGGAAGAAAAAAATCCAATAAATGGTATAAAAAGAGAATTTTATATTATTGATAATATTGGTGGTATAAAGATGGATAGATTATGGGGAATTGTTGAAAAAAATTCAAATGTGAATAATGGTAGATCAGAATTATTATAGATAAAGGTGCTTGTAAATAGATTAGAATAATGTATGAATCCATTTTATGCCGTGTGATCTTAACTTTGGACGATACTCTGATGCATGTGTTTTGCTAGATCGGCATTTTAAACCCTCTGTAAACCATGAACCCATCCCTATAATCCAGTTGATATTATTGAATTGACATACGATTCAACTTATATTTCTACTTAGTAATAATTGATGTTTCATATCTTATATAGTTTTGTGTGACACTTTTTCATCATATCTCCAGATCTCGCTTTACGAATATTATCTAAGAAAGGCTGTTACATTTGATTAAAGCATCATTCATTGAGCGCTTTAAAACTTACATGATTTGGAGGACTACATTTAAATAGATCTAAATAAACCAAAGGATGAGTCTAGAAGAAACAGAAGAAGATCAACGACAAAATTCACATATTATAGACTCAAAAGAAGCTGGATCTGGTAATATTTTAAAACAACATAAACCAAAAGAAGAAACAGAAACAGCAAGAAATACAAGATTAAATGCAAAATTATATCATCAAAGTGATGATTCAATACAATTATATAAACAACAAAATAATTCAACAGATTTATTAGGAAGATTATATTATGATGATTATGATTCTTCAAATTCAAATATTTTATCACCGGATTTATTATCACCTGTAACTTCAAATAATGGAACTCCAATGTTATCACCAACTGTTAGCGATAATGAAAATGATTTTTATTTTGGATCACCTTTAACTACGGGAACAAATGCTATAAAAATTCCAAATCTGTCATCATCATCTAGTTCTTTGACTTTAAATAACCAAGATAGCACCTCTCAAACAACTACATCAACTAATTCCACAAAAAAGATACGGCCGAATATATCAAGAGGAATATCATTTGATACAACACCACATGGTACAAAAAAATCATTAACTTTAAAATTTAAATATCCAAATTTTAAATTTAGAAGAAATAATAAAACATGGTTAGTTGGATTTAATAATGATTTAGAAAGTACAAAAGCAATAGAATGGTTATTTGATGAAATGATTATAAATGGAGATACAATAATAGTTTTACAAGTTATAGATGAAAAAAATAAGAATCAACAAATTATAGATAAAAATCAAGCTAACGTCAATTTAAAAAATTTTGAAGATTTAAATGTTCATTTTAAAAAAATTTCATTAATTTTTGAAATTGTTATTGGAAAACCAATGAAATTATTAAAAAATGCAATTGCAGAATATTCTCCATCAATGATGGTTATTGGAACTCATCATTATAATGAAAATGATTCTAATCATCATCATGGAATACTGTTTTTAAGTAAAGCTTCAATTTCAAAACATTTTTTAGAATGTGCTTTAATTCCAGTTATTATTGTAAAACCATCATATAATTATATTGAAATTTTAAAAAATCCAATTGATTCAGAAGATTATTTTATAAATTGGATTAAAAAAATACCAATGGATGAATCACCGTTCAAGAGAGAAAAAATTAAAAAGTCAAATAGCACCACTGGTGGTAGTGCAAGTGGATTTTTAAGTCCTTCAATATCAAGAAATTCTTCATATACAAATTTAATAAATGAAGAAAGAGGTAGAACAAATAATAGTCATAGTCAAGATCCTCAATTTTTAAGATTAACTAATGAAAGTAGGTCTAGATCTACTTCTAAAACTAGATCGTTTAGTAAATTATTTCGTAGACATCATCATGATGAATAACATAGCATTAATATATATGTAGATTTAGAATACAAATTCCAGAATAGCATCTGAAAACCGTTTCACATACTTCAAATCCGTAAGGTTTCAAACCATATCGACTATTAGATTAAATTTTGTAGCAACGTAAAAGGATGCAAAAAATGAAAATCAAGTTACACAAAACCAAATTAAAGTTTTAAGACGAAACACATGTGGTCAAAAATATTTTAGTTAACACTAAATGTTCAAAATTATACATATTCTTTTTAATGTCCTATTACTTGCTGCTTTTTGAAAGGCTTTTATTTTCAAGATGAATACGAGTCACTTCGATTAAAGGTCATATGAAAAATTGAATATCTTTCACTAAAATCATTAGGAAATTATATAGAAATTACAGGAGATCAAATAAATTGCAAAGTACTTAATTCAGATCTGATACATATCATAAACTTGAAAAATAATACACATAAAATTTCTTGAAAAAGTTCCACTTCAAAACCAGTCAACATCATGTCAACAATCATAAAAAAGGAAGTTATTATAACATCTCATCCAAGAAGACAAGTTGGAAATCCAATAATTTTAATAATAGATTTAATATCAATATTAATTGGATTTTATGGTATATATACAAATATGATTTATGTTGAATTACCACCACATTTAAAAGATGCAGGTCAATGGCAATTCCTAACAAATTTATCATTAATTTATTCTATAATAACATTTATAATTGGATTTTTGGCACATTTATTTAAAAATCAAACTTTATTCTTAATTAAAAATGATTTACATCCGATTGGTTTAGCTTTAGAAAGTATTGTTGCTGGAGTTTATTGGCCATTAAGATTATTTTTTTTAAATTTATTAACTAAAGATCCTTCAAAATTTAAAATGCCCATTGTTACAGATTTATCAATTCATTTAATGCCAATTATAAGTTTATTAATTGATTATTTAGTATTTATGCCAAAATGGACAATAAGTATAAATACAGCATTAGCATTTGTTGTTTCTTTTACTACATTTTATTGGTTTTTATTAAAAAATTTAATTGATTTGGAAAAAGGTGGTAGATATCCTTATGAATTTATGAATGTTGAAAAAGAAAGTGAAAGAATTATTGTATTCGTCGTGGTGGGAACTGTTGCCTTTGGCCAATTCTTGTTAATGAGACAAGTTTATGATTGGGTTGTTGGTAAAACTGAAGAAGCTTCAATTAAAATTGATAAAGAATTAGATAAAAAAAATTTATAATAGATAGAATTTGTACATAGAATATAAATTAGATGAAGAAATAAGAAAAAGTAGAAGAAGTCTAAACTTTGTAGGTATTCGACGTATCAATCATTTATTTTAAAATTAACAAGATGCCAAATGAACTAAAATTCTGAATTTTTTATCTATTTACATGCCAGCCCTTATTCCCTTAAAAAGTCTTTGGAGCTAAAGATACAATCTTACTATAATTCAAATCTTTTAATTCTTTAGCAACAACAGAACTTATTCTTGTACCTAAAGGTTCACCATTTTTATTAACTAATACACAAGCATTATCATCAAATCTAACAACTGATCCATCTTTTCTTTTGAGAGGAGCTCTTTGTCTAACTATTACAGCACGACATATATCTCTTCTTTTAACTCTATTTGAATTTTGAGAATTTGCAGAATCCATTATTGTTGGTCTTGCTTGTTTTACAACACATGTTATTTGATCACCTATATGAGCACATGATTTGGGGTTATGACGTAATACTTTTATACATTCTACTACTTGTGCTCCTGAATTGTCTATTACATTTAGTAATGTTTTCAAATATATCATTCTGGTATGAGGGGATGTTGTGAGGGTGGATGTTGTGATATTTGTGAAGGTTTGAGTTTGGTTAATTGTGTTTCTGATATCTGAAAGTGATAAATTTTTTTTTTTTTTTTGAATTTCAGTAAGTTTTCAAGTCGCAACACACAAATCTGAAACAACTAAAAAATTTTTGACACCATACTTTTGGTTGCAAAATGTAGACAAAGAGATCAATTCCTTAGAGTTGAACAATTGATTAAATTTAAAATCTAAAATATTCATTTAATATTCAATATAAATTGTTATATCTAGATATACTAATAAAGTAAATAAAAAAACCTCTAAAATAGTATCATTTAGCTAAACGATTTGCTAAAATGAAAGCAACTGCAAAACCATAAATTTATGGTAAAGTTTTATCTAAAAATCCAACAATTTTTTTAATTCCAAAAAATTTAAAATCATCTAAACTTTTATAATTTAAATTTGGATTTTGATTAACTAAATCAATAAGTTCATTTTCTAAAAATAATGAAGCATCATGAATTCCCCATGGTTCAACAACAATTTCAACATAAGGACCATTTGATGCATTATCAATAATTTCATAATGTTTTTGAGGATTAAAAACACCTTGAGATTTTCCATCAATTGATTTACGATTTAATGATGTACCTAATGAATAATGAGAAAATTCCAAAATATCATCTTTAAAAGATTCATGTTCTCCTAATATAACAAAAACAGAATAACCTGGTTTACTAAATGTTGGAATATCTTTCCAATCAGATTGGGCATAAGGACAATTACCTGGTGAAACAATTAAACTATTAACATCGTTTTTACCAACTAATGTTGCACCTCTATCTGGTTCAGTGAAAAAAGTATATTGAACTAAATCTCTTGATTCATTTTCCTTATAAGAATGACCAGGAGTATATTGAACTTTATCAGCAGCTAATTTAACCCATGGACTAACTAATACTAAAGATCTTGGATATGGTATTGCTTGATTATTTTGTTTTTTTAAAAATTGTTCAAATGTTACAGATAAATGACCACCAGCAGAATCTCCCATTAAAATAATATTTGAATTACCATCTTTTAAAGTTAAATTTTGATAAGTAGCAGATAATTCATGTAATTGAGTTAATAATTCATTACCATATGAAGCTAAACTATAATCTAATAATAAAATTGATAATTTTGATCTTTTTGATGGTTCAATTAAATGATAAATTGATATAAGGAATTCAACTTGAGTATAAGAAGTTTGACAATAATATCCACCACCATGTATATAAACTATAATTGGATCATCTTTTGATCTATTTTCTGCTTCAACTAACCAAATACTCTTGCTATCATAATTTTTACCATAATTTTTTAAATTTTTTGTTAATTTTGGATATAAAATTTTACCAATAAACCAAATTAATCCAGAATTTGTATAACCTGAAACTATTTTTGCATCTAATATAGGAAATGCTAAAGATTTTCTAAAAAATAAAGTTTTGAGGGATTGTTTTAAATTATTTCTATATTTTTCATTTATACCTCCACGAATTGGATAAAATAATATAATAAAAAATCCTTCAACAAAGATACTTGCTAATACTAATAAACCATGTAATGAAACCATTTTTGTAAAATTACTTATTAATGATTATTGCAATTGAATTGGATTGAATTGACTTGAGTAGAAAAACAAAATTCAAAAAACAAATTGAGATGAAGATTCAATGATATATTTATATTTCTTAATGAGTCTAGTTTTTCATGATTGTTTAGTAATTATATTAATTGCTTTGAATATTAATCTTATTATAAATTGTTTTAATATTAATCTAGTACCAATACACATTATTACGAGAATGAACATAAAATGAACAAGGTATCAAAAAGTACTACTAGTCCTTAGCTTAAGCAAACGTATAATATGAGTATAAATTTAAATTTAAACCACACTTAAAATTTGAATAAACCTATGGAAATGTAAAAAGGGTAAAATATAAAGATGGATTAATTGTTTTAAATCATTTGATTGATTATTTGCTTAATAAATATGTAAATTGTTCTGGAATAATTCAAATAAACTTTTAACTTGATAAGACTGGTAAAGGTTAGTTTTTATTTTTTTCTATATCATATCTTCAATTGGTATCTAATATTAAAACTTAATAACATCATCTAACTTGCATGCTTTTTTTATTGGGAGTTTCATATAAATCTTACATACTGTATTAAACTCATAAACATAATTTGATTATGTGCATTTGTTCTATCGTATTACAAATCCGAAAAGGGGTCTTTTTCTTTTTCTATTGAGTAGGAGCAGAAGAATACATGAGACAGCTTACTCTAAGGTACGTTGGATTTACTTTTGTGAATAGTTAGGTCAGAGTCATTTTAATTGAATAAACCTATTTCGGTATAGTCGTTAATTGAAAGCTTGTAATTAGCTATCTATATGTATTTCAATTATTGCGATCATATCTTATCGAGCGGATAAATAACAATTTTTTTCCCTGTTTGAATTTTTGACACAAAAGAAATGAAGGAAGGAAACCGGATAAATTCGAATTTACTATTTTATTGTTCTGACAACAATCTCAAGGTATCAAAAAATTAAGAAAAAAGTGTAAATAATTACCAGTTTTTAAATTATTAATCTCATCTATAATCTAGAATTCAAAACTTACAAAATTTCATTAATTTTTCAGAAAATAATAAAATGTATGAAATTATTAATCAATTTATAATCTAGTATCTAAAATCTCTAATATACATCAAATTAAACTATAAATTGTGTAAATTGTGTAAATTGTTTAAATTATTCATCAATCTATTATTCTAAGAATTGGGATTCATATACATCACAGTAAAGTGTAAATTATTCATCAATCCAATTTCCAGAATTTAAAACTCATATACTTCAAGCATAAGAAGTAAATTCCAATCTAAATTAACTAACTTTTGATTGATTTTTCAGTTGATGATTTAAAAATTCATTAAACAAAATATCTATTCTTTTAAATTTTTTTCAAATCCATTAACTAAAACAATAGATCCATCTTCATTAAAATCATTTTTTAAAATTTCATTTAAAAAATTAACAATTTTTAAAATTCCAAAATATTGTTCACGATTTTTCAATTGAGATAATTTTAAATTACCTTTGTGTTTGTTAACTTGTTTTATAATATCATTTTCAAAAAATAAACTTGAATCATGAACTCCCCAAGGTTCAATAAAAATTTCAACTAATGGACCACCATTGGTAGGGTTTGATTTATATTCATGTAATTTTATATCTATTTTTCCCCTAGAATCTAATTTTTGTTTAATTAATGGAGATTTTACTGCATATTGACACCATTCTAAAATATCATCTCTAAAAACTTCATGTTCTCCTAATATTACAAATATTGAATTACCTGGCTGGGAAAGTGTTGGAATATCATCCCAATCAGAATATTTATAAGGTAAATTTCCAGGAGATACTAACATATCAACATGATTTAAATTTCCAATTATTGATTCTTGTCTATCAATTTCTTGAAAATATTTTAATTGAATCATATCACGTTTAGAATTTTCATAATATGACCAACCTTTGGTGTTTTGATGTGGTTCTGGATGAATTTTACACCATGGACTAATTAAAATTAAAGATTTTGGCCATACTATATTCTTAATTTCATTTTGATCTCTTTTTTGTTTTAAATATTGTAAAAATGTTATTGCTAAATGACCACCTGCTGAATCTCCCATTAGTATAATATTTGAATTCCCATCAATTTCAGTTAATTTTTTATAAGTTTCAACTAATTGATATAATTGAGTAGTTACTATTGCTCCACGACATGCTAATTTATAATCAAAATGTAATATTGATAATTTTGATTTTTTTGAAGGTTCTAATAAATGATATATACTAATTAAACTTTCTAATTGAGAAGGTTGAGTTTCAATATAATAACCACCACCATGTAAAAATATTAAAATTGGATCATTTTTAGATCTTTGGGGAGATTCAACTAACCAAATACTTTGTTTATCATAATTTTTACCATAATTATTTAAGTTTTTAGTTAAATTAGGATATAAAAATTTAATTAGCTTGTTAATTAAAAACCAATTTGATAATATTGATATTATATAACTATCTTTAACAGGCATTGATAATGCTGTTCTACATAATTGTAATTTTAATGAATTTTTTAATGAATTTTTAAATTTTTCATTTATTCCTCCAAAAAATGGATATTTTATAATTACTAATAATAATTTTATTGGTATACTTAATAATACATAAAAAGCTCTTAATGATAACATTTTAAAGAAGTTATTTGTTTATATATGATTTTCTGTATAGTTGGTACTGATTATTTAGATATTGCAGAATCTTGAATATTTTGAATCTTCTAAGTGTATAATCTCGTATCTTGAAAATTCCCCTTAATTTTGTTTCTGAACAAAGTTTGGTCGATTGATTGTTTTTCAAAATGTTGATGATGAACTATCAAGTGGTGGTCAATTGAAGAGTAAGATGATCGTGGGAATGATGAATATATATATAAAGATATGTAAATATGTGGGGTATGTTAGTGGAATTCTTTATTTTGAATTCTACTAAAAATAAAACGATATTTCTAAAATTACTATATACAGTACTTTTAATGTCTTTAAATATAAATATTTCACATGTCAAATATATAAAGTATAAAATTTTGAATTACAACACCAAATATAGTAAAGTTTCTATATCAAATTCTTTGTTAAGACGTGATCCGCTACTCTCATGATGATTTGAGACGTAGATACTAAAGAGAATTTCCTCAAGATTCTGAAAAAAGTACCTATCAACTACCTTTTCTTTTAATAACGGTTCAGAAATATCGGTTAAAAAACGTTACGTACTTCATTCTCAAAATTTTTTTCCGCTCGAGAAACCAGAATTAGAATCAAATTTTTGTGTCGGTTAATTAAATCTTATGTTATTGAAATGAACCGAAATACATAACTTACATCTTATTTATGTGTGTTACAAAAGAAAGCTATGTTGTTCGGAGTTTGAATTGATTTACGTATTTGATTTCGGAGTTTGTTTGAGTAAAGTAAATAGTATTGTTATTAACTGATTTCAATTTGTTTGAATTCACACTTATGAAAACTATGAAACTATTAAACATTCGTTGGGTTGTAAAGGATTAACTAATTATTGTATAATTAGTCAGTGATACCGAAAATCTCGTAAAGATTTGAGTTTCAAGATAAAGACGCAAGTTTGAAAACCTATCTTGTCATAGCGCAAATCAACAAAATAAATATGGCAAGTTCTTCTAGTGTTTGTGATTCCAAGATTTCAGAGGTTATGAAACATTTCTTTTGGTTGACAAATCAATTTCAAATACCATCATTTAATAGACTGTGTTGAAAATTTGTTGTTGCAACGTCATTTAAGAGTATGTCAGAATAAGCTGGATTTGGATTCATAAAATGGCTCAATTCCACATCATCATTCGTACTATTCTTGAATTCGTTTTGCCATCTTTCAAGTCTTATTACAAAGAACGTTTAAAATTTTTGGTTGCTAAATTTAGTATAGATCGACTAACATTATTCTTGAATACACAATCCAAAACATTTCGTGAGTTTAATCGAATTCATGCGAAAAACAATAAGGAAACTGCATACCTTGAGAGTTTAAAAGACAGTTTGATAAACCAAAATTGGACCTCAATTTAAAATCTTGATCAAAATCAAAAACAAAAATTTGACACATGTTGAATTTAAACTTTAAGTTGTCAAATAATGAAACCTAATCTACAAATAATTATCTGATAAAATCAAGTATTTTCCTCGACCTAGATATTTAATTAATTTACCCGAAGAACTTGCTTGTGTTTCATCAAAATTATGAAAGAGATCACAAACCAAAAAAAATTTTTCGAATAATTAGATAGCAACTACTGAAACAATTTTAAATTACTATCATAACCAAGCCTACTATAGGGCTTAGGGCCTCTCTTAAACTGTAGGGGATGTAAGTGAATGCAAGCTAGTCATAAATAATACTTCAAAATAATAGTTCTATTACTTACTTCCATTTCTTGTACATTTCAAGAAAATAATAAATTAATATTCAGAAGAACTTTTTAATCCGAAGAAAAAGAAATTGATGATGATGATATGAAAGAGTCCAAAGAAAATATTCCTCAGAAATGAAACTCCGTTGCTTTTTTAATGTAGCTATCGTATATCATCAAAATAATTTCCGTTGTTTTAGGAACTATCATAAAATTTTTCAGCCAGTTTTAAATTAGAGTGGTAAGTTAATATAATATCATATCATCATGAAGTCCGTTATTACACATAATATTATTAACGAGTATCAAACTCAATTTTGTGATCCACGATTACTACTAATACTAACTATTCACGCAATTATTCTTTATTCTTTACTCCGTAAATTTCGAGAGAAAGTAAGTAATCAATATATTTAATTAACTTACTTAAGCGCTAAACAAAGTAAAATGATGTCTTAAATTCAATTTTTGACTTTCTCTTATATTAAATAGCAATTATATGTATAAAATGTAAGATGTAAGATGTATCTTTAGATTACACAAGTAGATGCCTTTTAATTTTCATAGATAAATTGAAATTATATTGAGATCAAGTTTTCAAGGGATCTACTGACTTTTGTAAGTATCTATCTATTGAAAAATCAAATGAAAGGTAATTTTCATTATGGGTTGGGTTTATTTCTAAAGAAGGTGGTGGAGGTATGATAGGAAAAAAACTAATAGAAACCTCCTTTACTTGGTACTAAAATCTAAACCTATGATGTAATTAATTTAACACAATACTTAATTGTTATAAATAATAATAAATTATATTTACGATACAATAACTAAGTGTTGTGTAAAGTGATTTAAGGAATTAAACATATTCTTAGCTGACTTAACTTAACTAAGTACTTTAGTTTTTCTTATACTGATAGTTTGATACTATTTGGTGTTTATTGTTGTTGTTGTATTACAATTTTGTAAATATATAAATCAATAGTACTGAAGTATAAAAAAATATAAATTGTGTAATTTCCTTGAATCAATACACTTTACACTTCTTTTTCTTTTTTTTCAAATTTTGACAACCAATTAATAATTCATAAATTATTAATCAATCAAATCTAAGAATCAACAGAAAGTTCAAGTTCATTATAGATCATTTTAACTTCAAAAAACTTAGATAGAAACAGATCACTCCTTTATTTAAAAAAATTATAGATATAAAGTTTTACAACCAACTTATACAATACACATCCAACTCACAATCATGTCTAAAGATCAATCAAAAGATGAAGTCATTCAAGAAGATGGTGGAGCTCAATTTCAATCATATTTAAATAATGATGGTATTGATGATTTAACACCTCAAGCAAGAAAACATAGAGTATCATCATTATCATTATCAGATTTAAATAATTGGCAAAATGGTTTAACTAAATTATCATCATCATCAAATTTATCAAAAAATGGTAATGGTAATTCAAATTCAAATTTAAATAGATCATCATCTGCTAATTTAAAAAAAGTTGATTCATTAGCTAAATTATCAAGAAATTCAAGTATAATAAGAAGAAAAAAAAAACAAGTTATTGATCATGAAAGAGTTGCTTCTTATGCTTTTTGTTTTGATATTGATGGTGTTATATTAAGAGGTCCAGATACTATTCCACAAGCTGTTGAAGCTATGAAATTATTAAATGGTGAAAATAAATATAAAATTAAAGTTCCTTCAATTTTTGTTACTAATGGTGGTGGTAAACCAGAAAAACAAAGAGCTGATGATTTAAGTAATAGATTACATTGTACTATAACTGAAGAACAAATTATTCAAGGTCATACTCCAATGAGAGATTTAGTTGGTACTTATAATAATGTATTAGTTGTTGGAGGAATTGGTAATGTTTGTAGAAATGTTGCAGAATCTTATGGTTTTAAAAATGTTTATACTCCATTAGATATAATGAAATGGAATCCTGCTGTATCACCATATCATGATTTAACAGAAGAAGAAGATATTTGTACAAAAAAAGTTGATTTTAGTAAAACTCCAATTGATGCTATAATGGTATTTGCAGATTCAAGAAATTGGGCAGCTGATCAACAAATTATATTAGAATTATTATTATCAAAAAATGGTGTAATGGGAACTCAATCAAAAACTTTTGATGAAGGTCCTCAAATTTATTTTGCTCATTCTGATTTTATTTGGGCAACAAATTATAAATTATCAAGATATGGTATGGGTGCATTACAAGTTTCAACTGCTGCTTTATATCGTGAACATACTGGTAAAGAATTAAAAGTTAATAGATTTGGTAAACCTCAACATGGTACTTTTAAATTTGCAAATAAAGTTTTAAGTCATTGGAGACAAGGTGTATTAGATGAACATTTAAAAAAATTAAGTATTAATGATCCAAATGCAAAAGATGCTGATATTTTAATAAATGAAGATGGTGAAGAAATTATCAATCAATCAAAGTTGGAAAATTATTCATTTTCAGATTCAGAAGAAGAAGAAGAAGAAGAAGAAGAAGAAGATGACGACAAGGGATTATTAGTTGGAGGTAAACCAAAAGATACTAAACCAAAAGATCCAAAACAAAATAATGATGATTTAATTAAACATATTGGGAAAATTGCAGAAGTTGGTAAACCAGATCAAATTACATTACAATTACCACCAGCATCAACAGTATATTTTGTTGGTGATACTCCAGAATCAGATATTAGATTTGCAAATAGTCATGATGTTTCATGGCATTCAATCTTGGTTAAAACTGGTGTTTATCAAGAAGGTGCAGAACCAAAATATAAACCAAAACATTTATGTAATGATGTTTTAGAAGCTGTAAAATATGCTATTGAAAGAGAACATGAAAAAGAATTAGCTGAATGGAATGAAACTTCTCAAGATGAAACAACAAATGATGATGATAAAGGTTCAAGATTAAATTTTGCTGATTTAGTTATGACTCCAAGTGATAAGAAGAAACAAGAATCATCAACAACATCAAATTCAAAACCACAATCACAATCTACCAAAACTGATGAACCAGAATCTGTTGAAGTACCTGCTGGATTAACTGAACAACTTGATAAATTAAAAGATGTTGGTAAATAATTTTTAAGATAATATAATATCATTTCAATAGGGAAACAATTAAAATATAAATTATATAAATAGAATAAAAGGTGAATTAAAATATTTAATAAATTATAGAATTTTTAAAGAGACTTCATTTAAGTAGTATCGAAAACTCTTCTGTATTAAAAACTATTAATCTATAAAGGATGTTGAATTTCTTGAAGTTGTCTTGGTTGTCGTTGATTTTTAATTTTTGAAATAATAATCCAATACCAAGGAGGTAATAATAAAAATACAAGTAGCTCTCTTATAATATTAAATTTCCAAACACTTGATCTTGTTAAAGTTTGTTTTCTTATTTTATATTTTTTTAAATCATCATTTTCTTCATTATAATGTAAATCTTTTATCATTATTTCTCTACTAAACCACCAAAAATGACCTAATATAAAACTTACTAAATAAAAATATAAAACTGGTTTATTAAATAAACTACGTAATGAACCAAAAATAAATGGTCCTCCTTGTGGTGGTTGTTGTTGATTCTGTTGTTGATTATCATTTTCAAAATTAAATCTTTCATTTAATAATAAATTTAAAAAAGCACTAAAATAAGGATAATATAAATTATTAAATTGTAATATACCAAAAAAATTAATTTGTTGTAATGGTCTTAATTTTGATTCATAATATATAAAAATTTGAATTAATACTGACCCTAAATTCATAATTGTTATTTTAAATTTATAATGTAAGTATAATGAACACAATATTATAGATAAACATATTTGACCAAAGAAATAAAAAAAATCAATAGTTTTATTTCTTTCAATAAATTGATTTAATGTCTGGAGTTGAAATTCATTAAAATTTTCCAAAACTCCAAAAGGTAAAATAGATTTAGACAACAAGAAAGAATTTTCTAATTTAGAACAACTTGATTGAATTTCCCAAATTTTAAAAATTAAATCAATTGATAATTCTCCAAATGTAATAAAAGTAGTCAAGATTCTCCAATTTTGTCCTTGATTTATTATTTTATCTGGTATAAATAATAAATTTATAAATTTTAATTTTTTTAAAGTTAGCAACGTTGATATTATTATTGTTGATAAACACCATGTTTTTGTTATTGGTGGTAAATTTGTCCATAATACATCCATTTTGATTTTATTTATGGTTATTGAATTATAAAATTATATAGTATAAGTTTATGGGCCTTTCTTTTGTAAATTTTTGAGTAATAACACTATGAAAGTTAAAGAATGTGTTTTAGAATGTAAATTTTAATTTTTATTTTGAAATTTTGAATAGTAATTTGTCTGAATTTTATTTTGAAATTTTGAAAATTTTGAGTGATAACCGATTTGGCTTTATAAGGGAATGGATTTCGTAGCAGTGATAATTTCGTTTATTGTATTAATTGGGTTGTTTAGCTGGTTTTTCTAAGCTTTACCAAATTTTCGAAATTGTGTAACCGGGTGGTATTTTGGTGGTACTTTCTTGTGTATCGTTGCTGAGCTTTGCCTCAAAATTAAGTCAGGAGGCTTGTGTTTAAATTGGTATTTCGTATCTTCTGTTTGGTATTTGGTATTTGGTATTAGGTGTTTGTATATGATGTTTGGCGTTTGATTTGGGTTGTAGTTTTAAATAAAAAATTGCAATTTTGTTCTGTAATCAAGCTTCAAATTTGGCTCGAGTAGGGTTATTGAGCTTGTATATCGGACGTTTATAGTGATTGAGTTAGATTATTTGGATGTGGTGTGGAATGCTTGTAAATTTTATTTCAAGGTCGGTATGATTGGTGAATTCAAGAAATTTTGTTTGTTCACTTAGCAAATCTGCACTATGTAATCCAATATTAGAAGACCTTCTCGTCTAGATGTCTTAAGCGGAGAATGGAATTGTAATTTCGTTGTTCGATATAGTTTGATGTTTTGAATATTCAAATTTGCAACAAATATTTCAATACGTGACACGAAAATCAAATCAAAAATTTAATTTTTTATATTCACCATACATTAAAAATTGTATTACAACACTACACTTTCCACAACAATATATGGCTCCTCATTCACAGATTGATGAAGTGCGGGTAAAATTTATATATTTAGATTTACCGACAGACCTTCAAAACAAAATTGAAGCTCCTTTCACTTATTTAAATTCCATACCAAGTAATCATGGTAAAGTAAGGTCAAAATTTTTAAATGCATTTAATGAAGAATTTTTCCAAATAAGGAATGAAAAAATATTAAATTATTTGGATGAGCTTATATCTATTTTACATAATGCATCTTTGTTGATAGACGATATTGAAGACAATTCACAATGTAGACGAGGTTTTCCAGCTTCCTATAAGAAATTTGGCATGCCATTAACTTTAAATTGTGGTAATTTATATTACTTCAAAGCTTTTGAATTTATTGATAAAATTTCAAAAGAGGTGGCAATTGAAACAAATAGACATGTTACCGAGGAAAATTACGTACCCGAAAAAGATGAAAAACCTAGTTTGACAACTAAGCTTTATCGAATATTGATTGAAGAAATGAATTATTTACATAATGGGCAAGGGTCCGACATCTATTGGCGTGATTTTTTACCAGACTTGAAAAAATTACCTTCTGTTGTAGATTATTATGAAATGGTTAATGGAAAAACAAGTGGGTTATTTAGATTGGCATGTAAATTTATGGCTGTTCTACGATCTGGTGGTTGCTCAAAATCTTTCTTCGATAAAATTGAAACACTAGCTAATATAGTCGGTATAATATATCAAATTAGAGACGATTATTTGAACCTTTATGATTCAAATTATTCAGTTCTGAAGGGTTTAGCTGGAGAAGATTTAATAGAAGGTAAATTGTCTTTCCCCATTTTAATACATTTACTTGATTATGAGAAGCAATCATTACTCAACGATGACTCTAATGGATCAAGAAAAAAACTTAAAACTGAAAAACCAACTAAGTTATCGACAGCTCGGTCGAGAAGTCATGTTAAAGATTTATTGTACAATTACAGAACCGTTGAAGAAAGGATGAAACAACAAGAATTGATTCAACTAGCAATTGAGCAACTACACGAAGATGAAACATTCTCCAAAATAAGGAGTCATATGACAAGTTTGAGAGATCAATTTGAAGAATGCCAACTTGAATTACACGGCGAAAAAGATTTTAAATGGCCCATAAAGGAAGATACCGACCTAATGAAAATTGTTCACAGTCTAACCAATTTGTAACTTTCAAATACCGGATGAGTAAACGAGATAACCAATCCTAAAGCTATCGAAAGCCGAACTAGTTATTCCAAAGACTGGATGTCTGCGGTACGGATGGTGCGGTACGGATGGGTTGCCTTGCTTGGTGTTGGTGAGATCTAGGAACATAAAAACCATGGTATGCATTTATGGCACAACTAAGAGCTCCATTTTACTTTTTTACAAAACTGTTCTCATGTTTGCCTATTTAAAATTCGGTTGAATTGTTTGCAATGAGCAGAATGGTGTTCTATGATGATAATGATTAATGAGATAATATTGCACTCTATGTAATTAGCGTTTAAAAAGATGAGATAATATATCTGAAAAAAAAAATTGTAACAGATTTATATAAACTGAAACAATTTGAAACATCACCAACTCTTTTATATCAAAATATAACTTCTACCTACAACCCAACAATGTTATATCTTATAGGATTGGGTCTATCACACGAGTCAGATATAACAGTACGAGGTCTAGAGACCGTAAAAAAATGTTCAAGAGTTTATCTTGAAGCATATACTTCAATATTAATGACTGCAAATCAAAAGACATTAGAAGATTATTATGGAAGAGAAATAATATTAGCTGATAGAGAATTAGTTGAAACTGGAAGTGATGACATATTACATAATGCAGATAAAGAAGATATTGCATTTTTAGTAGTAGGTGATCCATTTGGTGCTACAACTCATACTGATTTAGTTATAAGAGCTAGAGAATTAGGAATAAAAGTTGAAACTATACATAATGCATCTGTAATGAATGCAGTAGGAGCATGTGGATTACAATTATATCAATTTGGTCAAACTATATCTTTGGTATTTTTCACTGATACTTGGAAACCAGATTCATTTTATAATAAAATAATGGAAAATAGAAAAATTGGATTACATACTTTAATACTATTGGATATAAAAGTTAAAGAACAAAGTATTGAAAATATGGCTAGAGGTAGATTAATATATGAACCTCCTAGATATATGGATATTGCTACTGCATGTCAACAATTGATTGAAATTGAAGAAATAAGAAATGAAAAAGCTTATACTGAAAATACACCATGTGTAGCAGTTTCAAGATTAGGATCACCAACTCAATCATTTAAAGCTGGAACATTAAAACAATTAAGTGAATATGATTCGGGAGAGCCTTTACATACTTTAGTTATGTTGGGTAGACAAGTTCATGATTTAGAATTAGAATACCTTTATGAATTTGTTGATAATAAAGAAGAATTTAAGAAATTTGTTGAAGAAGATCAAGAGTTCTTCAAACCACCACCATATATCCCCGAAGAAGAAAATTTAAGTGATTAATTATGCATCAGTATTATATCGACATTAAATATTATAGATCTATTATTATTTATTTAAAATGCTAATCATAGTTTATTCATTTTTCTTAATTTCAGCCTGTTTCAAATCTGGCCAGACATTTTCAAAAACATCCCATATCAACCAATCATACCAGCCCATATAAGCTGGTATTATAGTCACCAAATGCCACAAGCTATGAGTATCTATTAAATCAAAAAATATTGGTGGAAAATCAAAAATTTCTAACATCATTCCACAAATAACTATTGTACATAAAAGTAAAGGATATAATGTATATAATTTTGAACTTCTTGAATAAAAACTAGGTAGTATTATTCTTTTAAAACTTATGTAATTTATATGGCTTAAATTGACTGTGGTTGGATCTAATTGTTCTAAATCAAAGTATTTGCAATATAGTTTGAAAACTATTAGACAATAAAATAAATTTTGACATATTCCAATAATAATATTAGCTCTCATATTGTAAGTGTATGACCAATCAAAATATAATCTTTGAACATGATAAATATATGCTGCAACACATAGAAAAGTGAATGACCATCTATAAAGGGTCTTTTCAGGTTTATATAATTCAAATAATCTTGCTCCTAATGCATGAAAACTTGATAAGATGGTTGCACCAGCTAAATAATAATCCAAGTGTTCTGTAATTGGATAATCTCTAGTATGGAAAACAGTTGAAGCTATCCATGCCAACATAGTAACCACAGAAACAAACAATATATTATAAAATTGTTTTCTTAATTGAATTGGTAATTTCTTATTATTAACAATTTTCCAAAATTTTTTAAATCCATATTTATAAGTTACATACAAGTTTCCCAATGACATTAAAACACTAAATAATTCTTGAATCCCAAACACTCTTAAAAATGGCCATTTTCCATGAAATTGATAAATTTCTTCATTATTTTTATACCTTTCTTCAGTTATAATACGTTGACATTGATAATCACAATTCAGTTCACAAGTCCATCCTAAAATCTTTAAATGGAAAGGTAATGGCATAGATTGAAATTTCCAATTATCATTATAATAATGAATTTCAACTCCATTATCCAAAAATTCATTATAAAATTCTTCTTGAAATAAATTATATGGATTTTTTTTACATGTTATTTGTTCACATTGATATAAACAATCTGAAAATGCATAAAGATCATCTCCTGGAGATGCGTGAATGAAGGTTGTTAATGAAAATAGTAGAATTGATAGCACTCTTATTATAGTACTCTTGAGGTCCATTATGTCATGTGTTGAACTATTCTAGAAATGAATCCTATTGATATTACGTCTAAGAAGATCAATATTTTTTTGCAGATCAAATTACAAAAGAAGAGCTGGAAAAATGGTAAACCAAACAAATTTGATCAATTACTAAACCAAGATAAACCGAATATATATTTAAAGACTATTTAAAAACGAATTAAAAAAACACTATACTATAACCAAATTCAAATTAATATTTATCACCAAAAAATAAATCATAATTATCATAATCATAAGGCATATTAGAACTTTCTGAAATTGAAGAAGCAGTTTCTTGAGAAACAAATAATTGTTGAAATTCCATTAATGATTGAATATCATTATTTGTTTCTTCATCAAAATTAAAACCATTTAAAAAATTATTATAATCAAAAGTTTCTTGATCTTTTTGTTTTGTTGATTTTTTATTATTTCTATTTACTAATGCATCAATTAAATCAACTCCGATTTCTGCGTATCTTTCTGCTCCTTTATTACATTTTGAAAAATGTAATAATACATAAACTGCATTTTTTAATAAACTTATTAAATCTGATTCTGAATATCCTTCTTCTTCAAATCCTCCATTTAAAATACTTATACCAATTATGATTGAACTGTAGAAACAACATGTAATAATTACATAACATTCCATTCTTTTTACTTCTTTAAATGCTGTATTGATATAATGGTTCATTAATTTGATAGCTAATATTGATGCCTTTGTTGCTGCTTGACAGAATTGTTTGACATTGTCTTTATCTTTTAATGTTCCTTGTAATTTGACATTAATATTACTAACAGCATCAAACATGAAAAATGGTCTGCATACTAACATAATTGCATATAACTGTAATAAATGAATATGTAAAATGATTTGAGTATTTCCTCCATCTTCATTGTTTGGAATTTCTGCAGGTTTTAAAATATTATCTATTCCTAATAAAGGATCAAGATTTTTAGACCATTGTTTTAATTGTACCGCTAAATTTTTAGTTCTATTTATATCAATGATTCTATTTTGATAAAAATTAGCAACAATTTTCCCAATTAATGTACTTATTTTAGCTAATTCAACTTGACATTTCGCATTGAAATTTAAATTAGAAACTGCAAATTTTGAAGCTTTATATCTTGTTGGATCATCCCAATCATAATCATTAACACTTAATGGTCTTCCAATGAAAACAGATGATATTCTATCTGAAGAATAAACACTTCTAAAAATTCTTCTTCTATATTCACATTCATCAGTTAATTTTGAAAATTGCTCATTAACAAAATTACGATGTAAACCTAATGATTGAGCATATTTCAATGCTATATTTAAATGAATCCATGCGGTTGATTTTTTTAATATAGCTTGATAATAATGAAATTGTAAATAATGAACAATAACACACCAAAGCTCAGAATCTTCAACTAATGATTGTAACATATATAATCCAGAATCAAAAAATTTAGCTCCTAATTCAGCTTCAGGTATTTTCCTAGTGAAATCATAGTATGTTGCTCCAATAGCTAACACGAAATATAATTGAACTCTTTTAACTTCATTTTCTTCCAAATCAGGATTAGAAGAAACCGGTGTAACAATATCTTCATAGAATTTTTTCATGTCATAAACAAAAAAGGTATCATTAATATTTCTTTTAAATTGTTCAATGTAAACATCCCTATGCTCGGGTGAAGGTAAACTAACTGTAACTTTAGTACTTACTTTTAAAGGTTTGTCAATAACAGGACAACCTCTTAAATCTTCAGTTAATTTAGTTTTACCAACATATTGATAAAAAATATTTCTAGTTTCGTAAAGAACACTCAAAGGACTGGTTTCTCCCATATACCTGAATGTACCGGTTTTATCATTCAACAAAATACAACTCTTACCTGCTTGATTAGAAACTCCATCTTTAGAAACTCCATCTTTTTCAACACTATCATCTTCTTCAGCTAATGCTTCATTTAATTCTTCATCTTCCTCCTCTTCTTGTTTAACAACATCTATTTTAGATTTCTCCACAGGTAGAGACAAGAAAGGTTGTAAAGATTTAGGGATATATGTATTACCTGAATTATCAATAATTGCTGTTGGTGTAGTTTCAGGAGTAGGCATAATATTTCCATTCTCAGTTTCGGACCCTGAGTTACCTACTTGCTGCTGTTGATTTTGATGTTTTGTTTCATAATGTAGTGGTGATATATTTTGAGGTGGGTATGAAGGTGATATATTTTGAGGTGGATGTGGAGGTTGCGGATGTTGTAAACTCTTTTGATATTGATTAGAAGCATATTGTTGATGAGGCTGAGGTTGCATAGGAGGTAATTGTTGACCAATATAGCTTGATCTTTGAGCTGAGTAATTTGGTCTTACTCCATAAGAAGATTGAGGATTATAGGAATGTGAAGGTTGATCTTGGTGATTATGAGTGTGATGATTACCATTACTTTGAAAGGGAGGTGAAATTCTATGTTGTTCAAAAGGAGATTGTGGTTGTATTATATGAGAAGGTTGGGGTGGAGGCAATTGATTATGGAATTGAGGCTGAGGTTGAGGTTGAGGTTGAGGTTGAGGTTGAGGTTGAGGTTGAGGTTGAGGTTGAGGTTGAGGTTGAGGTTGAGGTTGAGGAGTAAATTGTTTGTTATTCGATTGTGGATGATAATTCGGAGGAGGTAGTTGTTGGAAAGGTGGATTCTGTGATTGTTGCACTTGAGGAGGTAACGGACGGTATTGAGCAGGTGGAGGACCATGATTGTTTGAATTCTGTACAAAACTAGAATTTTGTTGTTGAACATGTATATGACTTTTATCATGATTTGGTTCATTTTGTTTTTGTTTATTCTCAGCATCTTCTTGCTCTTTTCTCAATCTCTCTTCTTTTAATTTCAACATTCTTTCACTTTTCAAAGATCTTTTATCTATTATAGTATATGAACATTCATATCCCTTTTTGTCACATAATTCACAAGGATTTGAACCTGAACATTTGAATTTTCTTTTCTTACATGAATCACATGCAGTTGATACTTTTTGCCTCTTTTCTGGTGGTATCTTTCTTAATCTCTTCTGGGTTGTGGAGGTTGTAGAAGTTATATTTGATGAAATTGAGGATTCATTTGATATTGATGAATGATTTGATAACGGTGGAGTTTGTTCCATTTTTGCTGAGGAAACCATGAGTGATCTGCTCAATATTGAAAGAAGTTAAAGTTATGATTTGAGCTTTAGATATCAACGAATGTTTGTACCTTATATTAGATTACCAAATGTACGAAAAAGTTTGAAGTGAAAATCGAAAAAAAAAAAAAAGATTATTTGGTGTGATAAGGCGTGAAGGTATGTGAAATTGACTAAGCAGTTGGGTGAAAACAAGGTACGACTATATCAACCTATCTGTATTGATTGGAATTGATTGGAATAAAATTATGGATAAATGATTTTAAATAGAAAAGTTAATGTAAAATCTTTAAAGAAGTATTAAGTAATATATCAATTTAGATTTATTATATATGAAATTGATAACTAAGATATGAAAAATAATAAAAAGATGTTACACAATTTATACATTAACAAAACTTAGTTTACATAGATTTAGATTATAAAGATTAAAATAGATTAATAATAAAACTTAACTTTTATTAACAATTTGTATGAAGTTTTGAAAGAAGGAGAAAGGTTAGATGAGATTTTTGAAAAAATGTCACCCCTACTTTAATCTTAATTTCAAAGTAGTTCCAATTTCTTTTTTACCTTCTTCTTTTGCATAAATTTTGTAAAAAGTTATATTGTTCCAAAAAGATCACTATTAAAGTTAAAGAGTTAAATATTTAACCTATGCTTCAATTAATCCTTCTATGTATATGTAGTAATTCTAAAAATAACAAAACTAAATTATACACCCCCCACTTTCTTTGACTCCAAATTTTTTATCCATACTTCCTTAAATTATTTCCGAATTATAAAGTATACGGTACGATATATATGTTTCAGTTGTTTTATACGACCTTTTGAAAAGAGTCAAATACTTTATGAGACAAAAGAGGAGAAGTTGGTCAGCCACCTTTGCCTTGAAAAAGATAACGTTGAATAACCTAAATTACAATAAAAAATTTTATCTGTTTATTTGTTTTTGCAGGAATAATGTTCCGGATCAAATATTTTTATTTCCAAATAAATTATTATTTCATCAAATTTGTCACAACCATTTAAAAAAATTTAGATTGTGGATAGTTATTCGTCTAAAGCATATATGTAAAATTTTTAGTTTAAATCTTTTAGTAACTAATTTTGATTGCTATATCAGATTATTTAATTTAAACGTCAAAATGTAGTAGTAACATTCAAATAGTTTAAACAATTTTCAAATCTTCAAGTCCAATTTTCAAGTCAGTGAACATTAATAACTTAGTGAGAATGCAACAAAAATTGAAAAACTTAATATAATTTAAGTAACAGATCCAATAAGATTTAAAGTTTTTACTTTTACATAGTCAACCTTTTAGTTTCAGATTTAGTTGAAACGCAGATCGATAAATAGATAATTAGCAATGGTAGTGCCTATCGAACAAATAATTTTGAGCATTGGCATCACGTTTCGACTGAACAAAACGGGAGAGAAAACCAAACAGTTGAGAGTCCTTATGCTTAATTTCTTTAAAACATTGTCTCATACTCAATAGAAGTAGGTTTTGATAAATTTCTTATATTTAGACCGAAATTTTGTGGGGGTTCTTCCATTTGATACAATTCTGGTCCGTAAATATTATTATCTGTCAACATTTTTAGTTTTTCAACTAATTTTTAGACGGGTTTGTTCTATTCTCTGATATTAGCTTTCTCTAACAGAATCATAGATCCGTTTGGGTAACATATATCCGTGAGGTCTAAATTCTATAACTGAAACCCACTGAATGGCTTTCTTGTCAAATGAGTTGAGTAGGACCATATTTTTCGTAAATTACACCTATTGTAATTTATTTGGTTCACTTTTAAAACTTACTATAAAATATTGTTGATTTGTTAATTTAATATATGTAGATCATACCAATGGGAATCACACAAAATTCAAAAATTCCTTGGTTTTGTTATTTTGCAATTCGGTAGAAATTTGAACTTCATTTATTAAAACAACATACTACGTAGCTAGAGTTCCCATATGTGTCTTTCAACGATTAATCGAGATAACGACTTAAGGTCAAGTAAGGACAATTTTGGACTTTTGAATTTCAATAAAATCATGCCTAAGCTGAAAGCTTCTTGTTGAAAAAAGCGTAATTAGCTGAAGCCATGAAGCGATCTTCATTTTTAGGCGGGCTATCTCGTTATCTAGTGAAGCAGTCATTAAAGGACATCTGAAAATAGAGGTTAAATTATTCACATAACTTGTCAATATTTTATAAAATTTCAAAGAAATTTGTTTCAGATTTAACTTAATATGCAGACTAGAAACAAACTTCCGTACTGCAGTAATATATTTCTTGTTTATTATCACTTCTCTAAAAATTCTATTCACCAAAGAATTTAAGTATACAGAACATCGAGTCAATGAGAAATTCGTCTTTCTTTGATCAGTTATTATATTCACTGAAGTCGTTTTTGTTTTAGTGACGAAGGAATGAGTTTGTTTTCAGGTTTTATATGTGGCTGAAGATTATTTCGAATTCAGGTTTCTGGTGTTTGTTTTCTCACATGAAGAGAATTCAGGTTAACATATCTGAAGCAATCACATATGTAAGCTAATATTAAACTATACTTTTTGTCCCAACGAAGATCGCCTTTCGTTGACTCAATGAATACATAATTTGATAACGTTTTTAACAAAAATATGAAACTGGATCAGGTAGTGCAAACTGGTAAATAAAATTGCGCTAAGGATCTGATAAGGATATTATTTCGAGATCACTAATACGTCTCAAATCATCATTAGCATATTCAAAATTCAACTTTTCAACACAGCGATGTCACCTACAAAATTGGAAACTACTACTGAAACTAATACAAAGGGGTACGACTTAGGAACGAGAGGATCACATAATATATCTAAAGGTGGAAAACATCCTTATCAAATACCCAAATTTGACAATAAGAAAGATGAAAGAAAATATATACTACAACATATGGCAGCTGCGTTTAGAGTATTTGCAAGAAAAGGTTATACTGAAGGTACTGCTGGCCATATATCTGTAAGAGATCCAATTGATACAAATACTTTTTGGATAAACCCATTAGGAAAACATTTTGGTTTGATTAAAGTGAGTGATTTAGTCCATGTTGATGAAGATGGTAACGTTTTAGGGGATGGAAATCAAACTGCTATAAATGCAGCAGGGTTTGCCATACATAGTGCAATACATAAGGCTAGACCTGATGTGAATGCGGCTTGTCATACCCACTCTACTTATGGTAAAGCTTGGTCAAGCATGGGTAAACTTTTGGATATGATTAATCAAGATGTTTGTACATTTTATAAAAAGCATTCTATTTTTACAGATTTTGGAGGAGTAGCTTTAGAAGAAGAGGAAGGTCAAAAAATAGCAGCCGCGTTAGGAGATAATAAAGGAATAATTTTACAAAATCATGGATTGTTGACTGTTGGTTCAACAGTTGATGAGGCAGCATATCTCTTTACTTTATTGGAGAAATCATGTCAAGTTCAATTATCTGCTCAACAGGCTCTTTTACCTGGTGAAAAATTGAAAATTATAGGGGATACAGAAGCAAGTTATTGTGAATACAAAGAAGGGGATCCCGAAACTTTGTTTACTGAGTTTCAACCTGATCTTGAAATGGAATTATATCTTAATGATGACTTTTTGAATTAAATTTCTATAAATTTAGGATCAATAAATGAGGGGGTATTTTTATAGACTATCTGTTGTAGATTAGTACTCAATCTTTTGCGCGCGTAAAAATGTGTTATCTTCAATTTGAAAAAATACAATAAATTTGAGTAGGTATACCCAAGCATATCACGATAATCACAGAACATAACAGCTTGACTATTACACTAGCATTTCAACTCCTTATTGATCAAGTATTGCTAATATCCATATTTTAGAACTACAATGGTAAATCGACATAGAGATTCAGCTTCAGAATCAGAGACAACTCGCCAGAACAATAAAGACAAAGATGGTAATTCCAGCAATATAAATGGACCATCAGGTACATCAACATCTTCTTCAAAAACAACTCAAAAACAGAAAAATCAATTAGCACAACAACAACAACAAAACTTTCTACAAAAACATATAAATTCAAATGGACCTAGGGACAAGCCTCGAGTTGATCCTTTAGATTTTGAAAAATTTAGTGACAAGACGTTGCTACTTTATAAAGATAGATATAATTTTAATTTATCACGTCCTGAATCTTTAAATTCTGATATTTTGAACAGTGAGATTGGTAAAAAGACGTATACTAAAAGAAACCAATTGAATCAGAGTAGAATTAACACTAAAAATAATAAGATTAATAAGAAAGAATTTGCAAATCATGTTAAGAACCATTTTTTGAGCTTAAATGCCAAAGAAAATGATATAATAACTGGATTCTTGTATAAAGTTAAACATCAGGATAAAGAATTCAAACTTACTTTTCAATAGATAGCACGTAATAAAGATTTTTACTCAATACTCCGAACGAGACTAATTTTTAAAATTGTAAAGTTGTCTTAAAAATTACTGTAATACTCACGCTATCGTTATCTTCAACCAAGAACTAATGGATTCATCCACGATTTTATTCGTAGCGACGATTTTAATAGCATTTGTATTTTTAAGATGGTTGATATCACCAATCCCACAATCAACCGAATTTAATTCAAACACATCATCAACAAATAATCAAGCCATAAGTTCTGGATCATCCACTTCAAGTAGATCAAATACAACACAACGTAGACATAGACGAGATGTAACTGATTCGATGATTGAGGTAGTACAAACTATTGCACCAAGCTTAACAGTTGAACAGATAAGGTATGATTTAGAGAATACTGGGTCTGTTGAAGTTACAGTTAATAGATATATGGAATTAGGTGATTTACCTTTTCCACCAAATTATGTTCCACCATCTGTTAGAGTTGAAACCCCTGAGTCTAGTCAAAGTGAAAAATCTAAAACTTTATCAAATAAAAATATAAATTTATTTGAAAAATATGATATTGATCCTAATGAATCAAATAAAGATCAATCTTTACAAAGTAAAAGGAATGAAATGATTATAAATGCAAGAAAAAGATTAGCTGCTCAATTACTGAATCAACAGATTTAAATTACCTTCTCGTCATTCATTAGCATTATTTGAGATCTATAGAAATCTATATAATTGTATATAACCAATAAGATATCTATTGTGGGATTAAAGTAGGAGTGATTCGTTTTTTTTCTTTCTTATCTTTCTTTTGTTTGGTGTTATTAAAAAATGAGTCGATTGTTGGAGTGTTGGCTTTTGTTGGTGATGCTTTAGTATTTGTTGACTCTTTTAGTGGTGTTTTTGTGGAAATGGAATCATCAAGTTGAATTACTTCAGTAATGGGAGTATTGAACGCACCTTCATTAAAATTCACAATCAGACAAAATCCATCTATTGAGCCAATTATTAATCTCGAACCATCTTTGTCCCATACAAGATCTGATATAGCTTGATAATGTAAATTTGAAACCTGTCCTAATGGTTTGAAATCATCCTCTGTTGAATATATCAAAACACTATCTAATGTGGCAACTGCAAATATCATTGAATAAGGGAGGCTAGGAGAATTGTACTTGACTGGACTAAATGAAATGGCTACAGCAGGTTTAGTGAATCCAGTTAATCTAGCTATTGGACCTGACGGTAAATTGTTAATTGAGTATATGTAAACACAATGTGAGGTAGTTTCATCCAAACCAGCTGGAGTAACTAATAATGATCCATCAGGTGATGCTTTCAATCTTCTGAAAAATGATTGTAAATTTTCAGGTTGATACATTTGTAAATTTCCTATTTTTTGAAATTTTTGTACTTTTGAAATATCTTCACCTTCAAATTTATATATTGTAACTGTACGATCTGCCGATTGTGTAAATAAATATTTGTTGCTGTATGTTACTCCTTGTAATATATGATCATTATCTTCAAAAGTTTTGATTAATGTACCTGTGTACTTTGTTGATTCTTTTTCTCTTATACGAAATATTCTTAAAACATTATCCATAGATCCAACAGCTATGAAATTGTTTTCACACCAGCACAAATCAACTAATTCCGTACCGATAGTGATATTACCAACAACTTGCCAACTTTCTTTTAATTCATCATCATTTTCATTAGTCAAATCTTTTATAATTGTTTCACTTTTTTTCCATAAAAAAATATGACCATCATCTCCGGCAGTTGCTATTAAATCTCCTCTAGGATTAAATCTTACAACATTGACTGCTTGTGTATGTTTTATTAAGGTAGATAAATATTCAACAGAATTTTCTATAACTTTCCAAATTCGAACATTGTTATCACCACCAGCTGTTGCTAATCTTAATGATTTAGATTGATCCTTTGTTGGTTGAAAATCAACGGAGTATATTGGTTTGTTCTCATCATGCCAATGGACTGCTATTGTCGTGGCATCCATGGTAAGTGGGCGTGATAGCTTAACTAAATAATGATACGAATACGTTACTGTTTTTATGATGTGTTTCAGATTAATTAATATCAGTTAATGAAGTAAATAGACGCGTCTAAAACCCGCGACATAGAGGCTACCAATTTAGAGAAGTTTCATAACTCAATTGAAATTTTCGTTACTATGGAAGAAATTGATCAACAATAAACAGAAAGATGAAGATTTAAGTAGTGGCATATTCTATTTTATATGAGCAAATGACTTCGGTAATGGTTATTAAAGAGTTTTACTAGGGGAAATGAATATTAGCAGACCTTGATTTCACCAATTTTAGCAGACTTTGATCTCACCAGTGTTAGCAGACCTTGCTTTCACCAAGTAGAACTATTTATTTTTTCAAGTAGAACTCTTTGCGCTTGCTTTTTTCTGACTTTTTCAGCATTGGAATTACTCTGGCATAACTACATTTTACTTCCACCCTTGACTCTTCATCCTCCACACCAAGAAGTTGGTATCTCAATCCATAAGCTAGTTCCATGGTACGGTTAAAATGATAGACTTAAAGGCAAATTTTTGAGTTTGAAAACGACTCAGTTAAACATGATAGACTCAAAAGAGAATTCTTGAGTTCCGAGGTTGAGTCGTTTTCGAACTCAAAATTTGCCTTTGAGTCGATCATTTCACCACCTAAATTCATTTTGTCAGCTTCTAAGTAGGTAGTCTTTGATAGAATACTAAACCTTCAAATATGAAAATTCAAATAAAAGAATATTAGTCACATGAGATATAGACTTTCCATTTAGATCTATTCTGTATGATACTAATGAACAATTAATAAAGAAAGAAAAAGATACTCAAGAGTTTTATTTCCAAAATTTTAAAATTTTCGCTCAAGCCGTTCAAATACTTCGGAATTCGAAAAAAAGAAAACAAGAACTAAATATATCTCCGTTTGAACCACACTCAAATCATAAAATCATCTATATATAATCATTATGGAGGTTGGATGAAATTGCTTTTCACAATATTACAAAACAAAATAGATTAATCAAGTAGAATTAAAAATGACAGAATCAATAAAAAGTTCGAAAGAAGAATCACGATCATCTACATCATCTCCGAAACCGCACGGCATTAACTCTAATGAAAACATTGAGAATAGTTCAAGTTTATCATCTTCAAATCAAAATGAAACACTAGAGAATGAGTCAAAACATGATGGGAAATATAGAGAGGCAGATGCAGGAGATGGAACACAAGCACATGAACAACATTTGACTGGATTTCAATTATATTTGACTATATTTTCTGGAATGATTTCATTATTTTTAGTTGCTTTAGATCAAACAATTGTTTCAACAATCTTAACAATAGTAGGTGATAAATTTAATGCATTTGAAAAAGTTGGTTGGTTAACTTCAGGATTTTTATTGTCCATGGCATGTTTAATACCATCTTATGGGAAAATTTCAATAGCATTTGGAAGAAAGCAAACACTACTAGTTGGGATAGTAATATTCGAAGCTGGTTCACTAATAGCCGCATTAAGTAACTCAATGGATTTATTAATAGCAGCAAGAGTTATTCAGGGAATTGGTGGGGGTGCAGTACAATCTACAGTTCTAATTATTTTCACTGAAGTTGTTCCAATAAATAAAAGATCCCTCGTTTTTGCTTCACTTTCTTTATGTTGGATGGCTGCAAGTGCATTGGGACCGATTTTGGGTGGAGCATTAAGTGCTTATACATGGAGATTTTGTTTTTATATCAATTTAATAATTGGTTGTGTTCCTTTTTTGATTTTAGTATTCTTTTTCAAACCACCGAAAGTTGCAGGAGAATTTAAAGATAAGATTGGTAAAATAGATTTTGTTGGGACTTTTTTCTTAACGTCGGGCTTAATTTTGGTCCTTTTGGGTCTAACCTTTGGAGGAGCTGAGTTTCCTTGGCGTTCTGCTGCGATAATTTGTCTTTTCGTTATTGGTGGATTATTATTGATATGTTTTGGTGTTTGGAATTTCAAGTATTCAAAGAATCAAATAATATATACTGAATTTGTTAAATCCAAATCTATAATGATGGCAGTGATCAGTGCAGCTTTTAATTTTGGGTTTTTCATTAGTAATTTGACTTATTTGGCTATTTATTTTCAAGTTATCCATCATGCAAGTCCTTTGCAATCAGGTATTGATTTACTACCATTAGTCGTGACTGTTGCAATTGCATCTATGGTAAATTCATTTTTCATAAACTTGACAAGAAGAATTCAATGGACAATGATATTGTCCGGAATGTTAGCTCCACTTGGTACTGGTCTTTTTCTTTTATTTGATGAAAATTCCGGATTGGGCGTAAGGTTTGGAGTGTTGATAGTGATTGGTATTTCAATAGGTTTACAATTTCAAAGTTCTTTATTAAGTGCTCAATTAGGTGCTCCGAAGGATAAGCCTGGAGCATTAATTATGGTTACTGTTTTTCTTAATTTCATGAGGAATGTTGCTTCTACTATCACTGTTACTATAGCTCAATTATTATATCAACTAACAGGAACTGCATATATCGAAGACTTACAACGAACTATGACGAATAATTTTGAGGGATATTATGAATTAAAGAATATACCTGCAAGGACATTGATCTCTAATCCAAAAACAGTGCATGAACTACCACCAGAAGCAGAATCTTTGGTTTTACATCAACTAATGAAGGCATTGAAAAACGTGTTTTATTTTGGATTAGCATTAGCTGTTGTTTCATTTATAGCATCTTTATTTACTACATCTAAAAAAATTCCAAAAGCAAAAGATGTGAAACTGAAAGATAAAAAAACAGACGAAGAACAAAACAAAGAGGAGCCAAATGGAGAGAAAACCAGCAAAAGTAGTAGTGAGGAACTTTTTGAAAGCAATGACGAAAGAGTGAGAGATGATCGAAAAGTTCCCCAACCGATCAAATGATCATAATACACATGAGCAAACCAATTTTACGGGTTCGAAGAATCAGTTTCTTGCCTCACTCTAACCTAAAAACGAGCTTCAAGTTGGCTTAAGCCAAATGGGCTCTGAAAAAGGAGTTAAATGGCAGGCTCAACTTGTTGAATCCAACACGGTATTCTTGTACATCATAATTTAGAGCCGCAACCTAAGAACCAGCTCACATTCAATAATTAAATCATTCCTTGTAGTAGAGAGTTAAAACTTACAAATCTTACAAATCAACTTAATCCAGAATGTTTTAATAATACATGGTCATTCAATAATAATACAACATAACAAAAGTAAATAACTATAAAAGTTGAATAAAAAATTATGCATCATCTTTACTCAATTTTATCTTTTAAATTCTCCATATATCTTTGTAAAGAATTTTTTAATTGATTTAATTTAATTTCATTAACTTTAACTTCTTTTATAAAATTATTAATTAATTCATCAGTTTCCTTTTTAATTTTTAAAATAATTTTATATTTTAATTTATGTTCATCATTTTGTTTTGATTTTGTAGACATTATTTCTTCAAGGTTTTCATTTACTTCTCTTAATTTTAAAGTTAATGATGATTGCTTTTTATAATATTGATCATCTAAATCTTGATATTTTTTTGCATATTTTTTTAAAATTTCATTTTTAAATTCAATTTGTTTTTGTAAATCATTTGATTCAATATTTAAATCTTTTAATTTATCATTATTTATTTTAACTTGATTATTTTCATAATCTTCTTCTTGTACTAATCTTAAAATTTCTTCTGATAATAATATAAGGTAGTTTATTATTTTTTCATTATTTTCTATTGAATTTATTGTTTTACCTAAATTTTGATATTGTTCATCAAAGGTTTTATAAGTTTTTACAATTCCATCTAAATCTTGTTCTAAATCATCCACTATAGTGTTTAGATTGTCTATATCTTTTTCTTTATAAGCTTTTAAATTTTCAATTTGTCCTGCTGTTTCATCACATATAAATCCAGAATCATATAATTCTGTAGCTAATAAATTTTTTTCAGATTTATAATCATCATGTTGTTTCGTTAATTGTTCTTGTAATAATTTCAATTCTCTTAATTTTGATTCTAATTTTTTATTATAATTATAAACATATTGTAAATCAGTTCTTGGCTCATTACTTTTACCATTATCTTTGAATTTTAATTTCCTTTCTAGGTCATTAATTTGTTGTATTTTGTTATTATTTGAGTCTTGTAAATTCCGTATACGAGCAGTGGTTTCTTCTGCTTCTAATGCCATTTGTTCAAAATCATTTGATATATTTTCTCTAAACCTGAGGTAGTTCACTACTGCACTTAGTAGTCTTCTTGTATTTAAAGGCTCTGGACGTGATAAATCAGGTAACGTTAAGTCATTTACTCCTATATTTTGAAAAAACTTTTGAGCAAATCGAAATAGTGTAAGTAAATGATCTGTTGTTGTTACTTCAATTTCATCAGTTGAATTCCCATTCCCATTTATTTCATTTTCTATTTCTGTATCTTGTTGATTAATTATTGCATGTCTTCTTTTAGCCATATCTTTTGCTTTTTCATCCAAATTATCAATTCCCATGAATGATTCAATAAATAATGTAAATAAATTCATTATAAATTCACTAGTTGGTTTACTAACTGCATCAAGTGATACATTAAATTCACATTCTAATAAACATGAAGTTATTTCTCTATTATCCAAATATGGGAATGCATCTCTTCTCACAGGTCTTGTTCCTCGAAGACTAGATGATGCTGTGATGGTACTTTGTCTTCGCAATGACATTTGGTTATTGAGCTTAGTAGTTTTTGTTTACATTTGATATTTGTAAAAATTGATAACACAAAAATTAAGGAAAAAGAAAAAACTTGAGTTAGAGAGGATACAAGTTATAAAGAGGTTAAAGAAGAATAGACAAGTAGTACTGCAAGAGTCAGTGTTTAAGAATCCAATACAACTAGATGGCTAATGAAGAATATGTAACGGATTCAAGTTCCGATTTCACAGAATATTGGATAGATTCATTTTTAGGAATAAAAGGAAATGAATATTTTTGTGATATTGATGATGAATATATAAGAGATAGATTTAATTTAACAGGTTTAAATCAAGAAGTTTCAAAATTACCAACTCTTATAGATTTAATAACGGATGTTATAGATATTGATTCACAACCAGAAGAACATAGAGATGCTTTAGAACATAATGCAAGAATCTTGTATGGTTTAATACATGCAAGATATATTTTAACAACAAGAGGTTTAAACAAGATGTTTGAAAAATTTAGAAATGGAGATTTTGGTTATTGTCCAAGAGTACATTGTCAATTAAATCCTTTATTACCTATAGGTCTTAATGATCAACCAAGAATGGCAAGTGTTAAATTATATTGTTCAAAATGTGAAGATTTATATAACCCCAAATCTGGTAGACATTCAGTTATAGATGGTGCATATTTTGGTACATCATTTCCAGCTATGTTTTTTCAAAATTTTCCCAATATGATACCTATACATTCAAAAGATACTTATATACCAAGAGTTTTTGGGTTTAAATTGCATGAATATTCGAAATTAAATAGATGGAGAGAACTACAAAGATTAAAACTAGAACGAAGATTGATAAAGAATGGTATACAAATAAATAATGTTGTTGGAGGATTTGTGATGGATACGAATAATGGTGGTAGTACGAATAATAATAATAATAATAATACAGATAATGTAAGTATGTAACAATAGATAATCTTAATGATAAAAGAAAATGGTAGACAATGTAGTGACATCTTATATGAGCTAAGGCTAAATAGTGTGAAAGAAGTCTCAAGTATAAATTGTAAATTCAGACCAACTGTATGAGATCAAAATTTACAACCGAGATCAATTTTTTCACCAATTTAAATTACAAGTTCTCACAATGAAAATTGTTTCAAGACATATACGGCATGCTCAGTGCACCATTAACAAATTCTCAACTACAACTAAACCATCGTCAACAATCCAAGAATTAAGCCAATATGAAAGTCTACCTTCCAATTCAAGAGTTTTCTCAATGATACAACCAACTGGTAAATTACATATTGGGAATTATCTTGGAGCGGTTAAAAGTTGGAGAAGCTTATCAGAAGCTAATCAAGATAGCAAATTCATATTTGGTGTCGCAGATTTACATGCATTTACTAGTTTTAAACCAGCAAAAGAATTAAAAAATTGTAGATATCAAGCAATTGCAAGTTTATTATCAAGTGGATTAGATACCAATAAATGTTTATTATATTTTCAATCTTCAGTTCCAGAACATACTGAATTAAATTGGTATCTTACATGTTTTACAAGTATGGGACAATTAAATAGAATGACTCAATGGAAATCAAAATCTCAACAACAAGCTCAAAGTTCAATAGTTGATGAAAAAGTTATGGAACAAACTAAAGCTGGTGTATTTTGTTATCCTGCTTTACAAGCTGCTGATATTTTATTATATAAATCTACACATGTTCCTGTAGGTGATGATCAAAGTCAACATTTAGAATTAACAAGAAATATAGCTAAATTATTTAATAATTCTTATAATATTGATTATTTCCCCATACCAAATACATTATTTACACCAGCTAAAAAGATTTTAAGTTTAAAAAATCCAGAAAAGAAAATGTCAAAATCAGATCCTATTCAAAATTCATGTATATATGTAACTGATACTCCAGAAGAAATAAAATTAAAAATAAGAAAAGCAACAACTGATTCAATACAAGGTCAATGGGAATTTGATCCAATAAAAAGACCAGGTACTTCAAACTTAATCAATATAATATCTGGTCTAACTAATAAATCAATTGAAAATACTTTAAAAGATATAAATCATTTAAAAGATCATAAAAATTTAAAAGATTATGTTTCTGATTTATTAATTGAAGAATTTAATGATAAAAGACAATTATATGATGAATTATTAAATAATAAGGATTATTTAGATGAAATTAGTGAAAAAGGTAAGATTGAAGCTAGAGAAATTGCTTCAAAAAATATAAAAGAAATTAGAAATATTATAGGTATGGATTAATTACTTGTATATAGAATATAGATTGATAAATACTGTTGAATATATAGACAAGCATCAAAATTGAATTATTGAAAGAATCCAAATTAGTAAGACGTGTTGTATAACCAGTGTGATGTCTTTTTTGTATAGTTACGATTTTATAATCACAATACCATTAATGTTTTGACCTTGTTAATTTGACACAGACTCGTAAATTTATTATTAAGTTGCGAAATGATGGTTAGAGTTGTGTGTGTCTTTGTGTTTCATAATTTTGTTCGCGTTGTTATGGTTTTTTTTTACTATTGATGAGAATTAAGAGGTAATAGGAGGTAATTGTATTATACCAGAATATTGAAACATTACTTCAAAATTTTAATGGTGAGCTTCAAATAGCTCAAAAGACCACAATTAGTATAGGATAGAGCTTGCCATCACTAAGTTCCCGCTCTTTCCGGGTAAAAAATAGAATTTTCCTTACTTTTAATCCGTACTAGTTATTTATTGTAGGTGTATTTCACAAATATCAATAAATATTTTTTAAGCTAACAAAAACACATTTGTTTTTTTTTTACAACCATAAACAAATCAAAACAATTTCATAATTTCAATTCTTCTTCTTCTTCTTTCAAATTAGCAAACATCTTTTTTTCCCTTCCCTTTTTCATTCATTCATTCAATCATCTTTTTTCCCAACAAGATATTAGTCAGTCATTTTGTTTAGCTTTTTTTTTTTTGATAGATTCACAACTGATACACACCATACACATCATATTTTATGAGAATAAACACTCAAAGCATCATTTCATTTGTCATCACTTATATATTCACACTTCAATACAACGACATATAACATCCTTTGAACATGAGTAATAAAGATGAACATCAACAAATGCAAATAAAGATACTATATTCTTTTGATGATAATGCAACAACTTTTTTATGTCGATCAACTCAACAATTTGCCGTTCAAACAGTTGAAGTACCAATTCAATATTCAATTAATGATGAACCAGAAATAATAACATTGGGAGCATTTGAATTAAAAGATTGTATTAAACAATTATTACAAACTAATCCTGAAAATTTTAAATTACATTCAGAAGATTATGCTTTATATTATAAAGATATAACTGAACAACCTGATGAACCATTTGTATCAAATGGAGTATTATCAAAATTATTATCATCAAATGACTCATGTTTAATACCTGGAAGAGTTTGTCAAAATGTTTCTGCAAATTTTTTATTTGGAAATAAATCAAATATATCATCATTAACATTAGAAATTAGATTAAAATTACATACTATTGAAGCAACTCCAATAAAACAATTGCCACCAAAACAGCCGAATCAACAACAACGTCAACCATTATCAACAATAAATACATCACAAATGGAAAGAAAAAGACCTTATGAATCAATTCATAAATCTTCAAATTCAGTACCTGCTGCTAAAGCAACTAGAACTCTTTCTTTGCCATTATATTCAAATATTCAAAATATACAACAAGCAGATAAGACTTCTGCACGCTACAATAGAGAAAATGTTGAAAATAGATTTAAACTGGCACCATTTTATCAAGAAAAAGTAGTCGATAAGAATGAAAGGAAACAACAAAAAAATTACTCAAATCAATCACCTTCACAATCAACGATGAAATCACAATTGCTACCTCAAAGAGCCGTGCGTACTAGATCAATGCTTACAACCACTCCATTAGTTATATCTTCCCCTATTAATGAAGAGAATTATTCATCTGATGATCCTGAATATAGAGTTGGTAATAATACTAATGAAGAAAATGTACAAGAGGAAGACGACGAAGAAGAAGGGACTGAATCTCAAGCTGATACAACTTCACCATACACTCCACAACAACCTCCATATATTCCTGATAATAATGATAATAATGATTCCAAAGATACCCCACCAGAAGATTCTAATGATGATAATGATTCCAAAGATACACCACCAGAATTACCAGAAGATCTCGATAGCAAAAGAACTCATACCATCCCTAATGCAAAATTACCAAAAAATCATGGACTTGTATGTATTAATCGATGTTGCCAAACTCAAACTTCAATTGCTTGGAAATATTTTGAACTTGAAGTTAACACACAAATATCACAATTAATTAGAGCTAAAGAATTTGATAAAAAGAATTATGAAGGAATGTTAGGACCATTATGTAATGCTTGTTTCTTATTTTATAAAAATAAAGGATTTATGAGACCTGAACATGTTGTTAAAAAATATAATCAACAACAAAAATATACTCAAAAAATAAAATTGAAAAGTACAAATAATGCAAAAGAAGATGATACAATTAGAAATTCATTAAATAGTATTGCTAGTGCTAGAAAAAATAATCATCATCATCATCAAACTTCATCTCCTGCTACATTTCCAACTCCTTCTCATACCCCATCTGCTATTAATCAAGTGATACAAAATAAATATCATAATAACAATAATAACAATCATTATAATCAATCAAATTCAAATTCAATTCCATCTGGTCAAACACCTGATTATCATGATTTATTAAATCAATTAAATGTATATGGAGGTCCATCAACGGATATAGATCCATTACCTAATGCAACACCACCAATGATTGCCACAAAATCAAATACCCGTGTTATAAATCTTGAAGAAACTGATGAAAGAAAAGCAACAAGATTAAATACAAAAATTATACCAATTTTTAATGAAGAAGATAAAGAAAATCAACCTCCTCCTATTAATTTAACAAATGCTTCAGCAACAAATACATTAAATGAATTTGATGCAATATTACAATCAATTCATGAAGATTCAGATAGCAATTGGATGAATTTTTTAACTCAACCATCATCATCATCTCAAATAAAACATGAAACTAGTCCAAATTCAAAAACTCCAGTTGATCAGTTACAAAATTTAATAACTACTAAAAAGAAAAATAATAATAATTCTCCTGATTCTTCAAAACTGTCATTAGTTAATAATATGCCAAGTTCTCCATACCTATCTAATCATTTAAATTTAAATGATGAAGAATCAAATGAATTAAATGATGAATTAAGTCAATTGGTAAATTCTGAATTTAAAATTAACATGAATCAACAATCACAAGACCCACAACAACAAAATAAATCACGTCAACATTTAAATTCTTCATCACCAAATACAGCTAGTAGAAATAATACAACAAATTCATTATTAAATTGGCAATCTCATAATACTATTAATAAAGATCTTGGTTCAACTCCAAATACTGATTTTTTTTCAAATGATGATTTACATAATGATGATAATAATGAAATGATTAATAATAATAATAATAATAATAATGGTTCAAAACACAAAGGGTATAGTTCTAATGTTGATTTATCTAAAAAATCTATTCATACTTGAATCTAATTACGTAATAAATAGAATTATATTTAATAAATAATTTGATACCTCATTATCACTTTCGTCTAATACTTTAAGTGTATTGAAATAGAAGAATTTACATTTGAATCGATTTCACTCAAATTCTCGTATACTTCAAACTTCAACTTACTTTATTTGTAAATCAAATCATACGATTTCAGACTATTGCTTTTATATATGATTCATATGGTAAAAGAGACAAGTCTAAACCATATTTCACAGAGAAGACATTCGTATGTTTATGATTTTATTGATATTTTTTAAAACTGGACAGATACTTCAAGAGACGCCCCAAGAAAAAACAAAAATCGAAAAAATTGTGTCGCTAAATCGGCCAAAAATATTATGGACTGTATAATCCTAGCAAGTTTTTGGTTATGAAATATCCTTTGTAGTGTAATGGCTATCACGGTTCGCTTTCACCGAGCAGATCGGGGTTCGATTCCCCGCAAGGGAGCTTCAAGTTCTTCATTGATATCAATTTATTTTCCTTTGTAGTGTAATGGCTATCACGGTTCGCTTTCAATAACTTCTTTGAAGTATTGCAAGTTCCGAGCAGATCGGGGTTCGATTCCCCGCAAGGGAGCTTTACAGTCCTTTAAGAAGGTTTTTTTTTTTTTTGTTGAGAGGTGTCAGTTCATATTTTTCTCAATTCGTAATCGTATATAGATCGCCATGTTGCAGGTTTGCAATATTTTCATTCTTGAAGAAAAATCTTAAAAGAAAATGGAAATTGTTGCTGTCTTATGATGTGAAGTCATTAGCAATTATTTGCACTAAGTTCAGGTTATTTTTTCTAGTTTTATTCAAATACCAATTTGAAAAATAACATCTACCACTAATAGTTGCTTTCATTGATAAAACTATAAGACATGTTGGACGTAATATAAGAAGAGAAAAGCTCGTCTTTTTAATCCTATTTGAGGTAGAAGATGAATTAATACATCTCATTATAATTCTCCACAAGATAAATGTTACTGTGAGAGATAAAAGTACAAAACCAAATCTAAGATCAATTTTACGAGATATGAGATACGAAGTACAAAATCGAGTAATTAGATAAATTGAAAGTAAAATATACTTTTCCACACCCTTTGAAAACGAGATCATTTTTCAAAATTTGGTACAATCTTTGAAAACAAGAGTCATTGTTAGAAAGCTATCTGTGTAGTAGGTAGAGTTAAGAACTAGTAATCTTAGTCATATTTCTATGTCATTATGTCACCCAGTGGAATGAACCAACATAACTTGTTGAGATGAAATTCTCACCTTGTAACCTATTGAAGTTGAAATCAAGTTTGTTCTATATCTCAATTTATCCCAAAATAAGGCCTGAGTTTGATTCTATGGGTAATGGATATTAAATAATTTGTTGTCGACAGCTTGTTAAAGGGTAGAAGAAACGAGATTTAAAAATCTGAAGCTTGAAATTAAACCCTTCATAATATTCATCGATTTTGAAAGTCATTTGTTACTCCCTCATAGATATTTAATCTTGTTTTTAAAGGTTTCAAGCTGTGATAATAAGGGTGTGTAGATTAAATCATTGTACATACATATTTTTCAATTTAAAATTGTCTTGTGATAAATATTTATCTTTGTTTTAAAATTTCATCCCCTCGATTATAACTTCTCAACAATGATTGATAAGATTGAAAGCAAATATAATTATCAACCTAGCAACAATCCTACTTTCTTTCAAAACGCCTATAAAGTAATCCTAATCCTTTCAACTACACTTGTTATCAAATTGATTTAAAAAATCATCCTTATTTAGATAGATTTCAATTTTTTTGCAACTTTTGATTATAATGATGTCTGAATTACAACAAGATCAAATAACTTCAATAACCAAAACTCATATTGAAAAAATATTTGAAATAAATTCAAAATTACAAACAACTAAAGAAGATACAGCTAGACACGAACAATTACTCAATGATTTAAAATTTCATAATAATGAATGGTTGCAAAAATGTGATGAATCAATATCAAAATTATTAAATGAAGAAGAACCACAACAACAAAAAGAAGTATCAAGAAATGAAGAAATGCAATTATATGAATATTATCAAAATAAAAATTCATCATCTTCTGAAAATAGTAGTGTTGGAGATTTAGAACAATATTTTGATGCAATGAATAGTCTTGAATTTACTCATAAAAGATTAAATCAAGTTAAAACAAAATTATCTAAAAAACAGGTTACTTTCAAGGAATCTGAAATATATGAACCTCCAATGATTCAAAAATTAATTGAAATACTTAGTAATTTAATTGATTTTGTTACTTCAATTACTGATATGATTCAAAATGGTATTAGTAATGGCTTTAATTTTATTGTTAATTCACTTGATGAATTTTTCATTCAAAATGCAATTAAATTTGGTGTTGGAATTAGTGACTCTTTTGAAGTCTTCTTTAGTAAAAATAATCAAATTTTATCTATGGTTAATGATGTTGGGAATTTAGTAACTTTCAAGTAGGCGTTTGTTACCTATTATTATACATTTACATGTTTTGAAATTATAGAGCTATTTTGCGATGATGAAAGTTCGGCTGTTGAGTTTGACCATATATTGATAATGAAATTTAAGTCATTAATTAAACAATACCAGCGTTCCACCCGAACATAGCTCGAAATTTTTCACATTGATTTCCATTCCAGCACAATTTTGAAATAGTTTAAAAAGAACGGTGGTTTGAATCGAGTAGAAATTTTACTGGTTGGTAACATTGCTTTTTGTATATTCTTTTAATAGGCTCTAATTGAAAAAATTTAAGGCTATGATTCTACTTGAGATGCAAAGTCAACACTTTTGAACTTAACACTTCTAAAAAAAAAACCTTCTTTGACGGCGTACTCTTCATCAATTTTTCTTTCAGTCAACGAGGTTTATGAAACGATTCCATTCCATGTTGTTACTAATTAGTTTACATTGACAGAGTATACCTATCTATTAGAGTATGTCAAGAAATTATGGTTACAAATTCTCCACAAATCCCAAGCTTTTTGGACGTAAAAGTACAAAACCATTTACAAAGATCTCTTTGTTGACTTGCATTTCATCTCTTATTCCAATTCAATATAATCAAAAATTGGTTGAGGCTGTTAGTAGAAGTTAAATACTAAATGATCTACTTGACAACAGATTTAAGTAAGGGATGATGTTAAATTTCAACACGTGTCTTCGTTTCAATCTCAACAAATTGTATGAAAATTTGAAACTTCTAAAAAAAAAAATATTTTAAATTTCCAAGACAAGAAATATTATTAATTTTTCTAATTATATGTTTCAGCCTTATGAGAGTATACATTAAGTAGATTTAAACTTCAGACAAGTTATCTAAATTTGAGACTTGAAATGATGACAAACGGTGACTGAGATATGATCATTCGGAAATTATTGAACACCATCACTCTGAAACAGCGCGGCAAAATTATTAGCTAAATTATTTTAAATTTCTTTTTTTTTGGTTTTTTTTAGTTCATTTATAGGAACTACATTTATCTACATTAAATATTTCAATTGTACCATCTTTTATCAACTATTTTGCTACATCACGAAACTTAATATCCAGATTAAACTTACTATGATATAGTACACAACAAAGTAATAATTCAACATTACACTCTTTTCAATCCAGCTATCTTAATTCCATATTCTATGTAAACACATAGAGATCTCATCTTAATATAATCACACTCACTAAAACAAAATGAAATTCGCAAAAACATTAGAACAATCATTAATAGAACAAGATGTACCAGAAGAATGGGTAGAAGCAGCAATAAAATATAAAGCTTTAAAAAAATGTATAAATAAAATAGTTGAAGAATTAAAATTTTTAGGTTTAGAACAAAATAAATTAAAATTATTAATAAATGATAAAGAAGTTGATATTAATGATCAAACAGCAAATCCTTCAAATCCTATAATTGCTCAATATACTTTACATAAACCATCGCCTGAAAGTCATGATATAATCCCAATTTTAAAAATTAGTTTAGATTTTAGTGATGATCATAATATAACTGATGATCATATTAATACTATATGTCAAGAAGTTAAAACAAAAATTGAAAGTTTATTAAATGAGGATAGCAGTAGTAATACTGATAATAATAATGAAGAAGAAAAAATTATTGAATTAAAAGAAGAAAATGATGGTGAATTGAAATTAGTATCAAGTAGAGAAGGTTCATTATCACCACCTTTAAAAGCAGCAACTTCTCCTCCGTTAGAGCCAGTTTCACCTAATTCACCAGATCAAATATCTGATTTATCATCTATACCCACGCCCTTAAAATTAAATACCAAAGGAACTCATACAAGTATAGAAAACAGACTAGACAATATACATATTCATCAACCAACAAACACCAAAAAGAGAGAAATAAACATTATATTAAATTCAGATTCAAAATTTTTTAAAATGTTAGATGAAGAATTAAATGGATTAGATCAAATTAGAAAAATTGAAGAAAATAAAATTATCAATGAAATTGAAAAAATAAGTGAACAAATTAATATATCAAAATTAAAAACTTCAGATTTATATAAATGGAGAGAATTATTTAAAATTTATTTAGATTCAGAAATTTATTTTAAATATAATGAAATTGATAAAAATCAACAAAATAATGAAACAATTATTAAAAATTTAAATTTATTTATAAAAAATGTTGAAAAATCGGGAATACTACTAAATTTTAAAAAAAAATCAAGTTTAGTTACTTTCAATCAATTTATTTCAATTAATTTTCAATTATTAAAAATTTTAAAATTTCAAACTATAAACACTGAAGCATTGAGAAAAATTTTAAAAAAATTTGATAAACAAACTTCTTTAAAAATTCAAAACATTTACCCAAAGCTTATATCATCAAATCATATTTTTATAAATAATAGTAAAACAATAGCTCAATCAATATGTTATATATTAACAAATTCCCTTTTAAAAAAAATACCACAATTAGATGATTATTCTTGTCCCATTTGTATGTCCATAGCATACAAACCAATAAAATTATCATGTAATCATTTATTTTGTGTTAGATGTTTAGTTAAATTAAAACAACAAAATAATTTAAATTGCCCCATGTGTAGACGAACTAATGCTATATTGGATGCTGATTCTTCAAATTTAGATTTAAAAAATATGGAAATTATGAAAAATATGTTTCCCATTGAAGTTAGAGAGAAGCTTAGGGAAAGAGATAAAGAAAGGTATAGAGATTTAAAGGGAAATAATAAAGATGATAAATGTATAATTGTATAAACTTTAAACCTTTTTTTTTTATTTAATAATGATATTCGGTATTATTTCAATACTTCTCTGAAGTTGATATTATTTGATTTTAAGTCGAGCTCGAGCAAATTTAGTGTAAATCTTCGATAACTTTTATGCAAAGTTGATTCAAGTACCTAGAAGCTACCATCTATCTACCATGCTTTAGTCCTTTGATAAACAATTTGGCGTAACCGCAAATTTGCGACCCATTAATTTTGGGATGGACTGATAAATTTGATTCGGTCCAGCAGCGCGATACAATTAGGTCGGTGCGCTACCATGTGGTTCAATAGTGTAGCAGGTTTATCACTCCAGATTCTGAAAAGGTTTTTGGTTCTAAAAACTGGATTTTCTGGTAACGTGAGTTCGAATCTCACTTGGACCTTATAGAAGCAGAGTTTTCTTTTTTTCGTCCTTCGTATGATGAATGCTATAGCATATATTTAAAAGTAGTACTATTAATTACATCACTGAAAATGAAGACTACAATGTAATCTGTCATACCAAATGTTCTTACTTACATTAAAGAGTTATTTAATTTATACAACTATATTTAACAAGTCCAAGTTTTCATACAAATGTCTAATAAAAAGTCTTTATCAAATTTACTGAGTATCTTCAAGTATCTGTTGAACCATTTCATGAGGAGTTTTACCATTTTCAGAACCACCGTTATTATCATTTATATTATCTTTATCTTTATTATCAATTTTATAATTTTTCATTGCTTTTGGTTTTGATTTTCCAGAACCAATTAATTCTTCTTCATTATTTCCAACAATATGACCTTCATTCGCTATACCACCTTTTGGAGCTTCAACTATTCCTACTCCTTTTTTACCATTTGAACCTAATGCTAAATTCCCAGCTAAATCTAAATTTTTTGAATCATCTTTATTATTGGTATTTATTGATGGATCTACTATATTATTTAAATTTTTATTTTCTTTATTATATTTATCATTTAAATCTGAGTTTCTATTATTATTTGAATTTATTTTTGAATCTATATTATTAAGATTATTATTATCATTGGTGTTATCATCAGATGGGGCTAATTCATAAAATATTTCTGGTTTTTCTTTTAAATCTTGTGATACCCAATACATTAATAAAGAAAATATACCAAACATGAAAATATAACCAAATAATTTTCTTTTTGGACTATTGAAAAAAATTATTGGTTCTTTTAAATTATCATATGGTGATGAATGTTTCCTTTTTGATGATGGTTTCATATAATATGGTCTTGGTAAACCATTGTTATTGTAACTTCCTTGCATTTGTGACTAGTGGTGTTATTTGCTCTAGTGTGGTGTATTGATGATTGAAAGTTGTATTTATAAATTGTTGATAATAATGCTAAAAAGTACGGGATTAAATGAAAATTATCGTAGCTCGGTTTGTACAATCTAGGTTGAAATAGGTTGATGATATGAAAGTTTGTTTCTGCTTCTTAGTAACTCGGTGGACCAGTGATATATATATCAGAAAGATAAAGTTGATTCAATTTTGATTTCAATGTTATTTGATGTAGTTTTTGTCAATTTAATTTTAAAATTTGATTTTCAATAGACACAGAAATTATTAATTAATTTAATAATTCTATAATTTTTATGTGTTAGAAAAAGAAAATTTAAAGTAGAAAGAAATTTAAACTAAAAGTTAAACAAAGTAGAAAATAAAGTAACACTGTAACTCTAAATTAGGAAGTACTATCTAACCACTTTCCATAACTCATAGAAGGAATCCGTGTTGAAACAATGTTGGTTTTAGGGCGATCTAATTGATATAATCTACCCAATTTTCTCCCTTAAATTTTTTCTTTTTATAAAAGAACATGCCTCAACCCCAATTTAAATTGGTCTAGAATAAATCGTAAACTTCTTTAATAGAATTTATCGCTCTCAATTGATCTAGTAACTTTTGTGTATTTGGAAATGTATGTTATGTATGTAAGCTTAGTATGTATACATACTTATACAATATTAATGCTGATAAGACACGTAGACACGTCTTGCGACAATAAAATATATTAATTAAAATTAAAGGGAAAATTGGGAGATTTTATATAACGAATCTTAGTTATTAGCCCCCATAGATGAATCCAGCCTCATGCTTTTTAATGGATGTAAGTCATCTACAGCACACTTAAGCATTTGATTTAGCAGCAATCACTACAGACTTGCTCAAAATGATCCATTAACACGGTATTAATTCATATAAATATTAAACTTTTCAATGGTTATGTTGTATCTTTCGTAAAATTAAAAAGATTGATCTCTGTACTTAAAGTAGTGTACTAATCAAAAAGGATTAACAAAAGAATAAACCTGTATATAACATTACTATACTAAATTATATACATAAGTAAGTACTAAATCTTTTACAACCATTTTATTACAACCAATTTATTTGCAACCAACTTATAAATAAAAGCTCAAAATGATTTATTTACTATTGATTCTATATTTAATCACCACCAGTAAATCAACACCTCCATCATGTTTTTTAAGTTGTATATCTGAAATATCAAAAATAAATTGTTCAAATAATTTAAGTAATTTAGGTTGTATTTGTTTAAATGAAGATCAAATTGTTGGTTGTTTAATTGATATATGTCCTTATGGTACTTTTAATAGTGCAAGAGATCATTTCTTAGGTACTTGTTTAGAACATGGTAAACCTTCAATTACAAATCCTTATCCTCCTCCTGCTTCTTGGCCCCCAAAAGATTATTTAGAAAATTTACCTAAAATTGAGGAATCTCCTCCAATTAATCATCAAACTCAATCACTGCTTGCACCTTTATATGAGCAACCAATACAAGAAAATCCACCACCTGTTTATCAATCACCAGCTCCTGTACCACCAGTTCCTGAACCACAAATTCAACCACAGATTCCAGAACGAATTCCACCACAACAAGAACCGGAACATGGACGAGAACGTTCACCTCCTCCATTTCCATCTCCACCGCCAGATGTAAGACCTGAATTACCACCTATTCCACAAAATAGAGAATCAGCACATTCTATAAAGGAAGATGATAATAGTATTGATTCTGATCCATGGTTTAATCCCGGTAGACACGACGCGTATGATCCAAATAAACCAATTGAATGGGAAGAAATTGATACATTAGATGAACATGGTGATTTTATTGTTGTTAAAAAACCAATTAATGTCCCCCCTAAATTACGTGATAAATCTAAAATTGGTAATTCAAGAAGAGTCACAATTGAACAACCTTCCTCCAATCAACAACAGCATCAAAGTAATTTTTATAAATCAAATAATGGTAAACAAAGATTCAATGATAATTTTAGAAATTCAAATAATAATAAATATTTATTCAAAACTAATAGAATTATTGAATCATTACAACCAAAAGGTACTAAATTATATCGTTTTAAAAATCGTAAAAATCAACCAAGACAACCACCTTCAAAATCTTCAAAAGTTACTCAAGTTTCTCGAAAAATGAATCCTTCAATTCCTAAACATCCCATTTTAAATTGAATCATTGATAATTGTTGAAAAATAAACTAATTAATTGGCTAACCAAATATATTTTTATAAGTCTTTTTATCTATTTTAATATTAACAATAGTTTCTTTTGGAACACTAACTAATCCAATTTCTCTAATATGTAAATTCTTGGAATTAAATTTATCAATACTTGTTTCATAACAATTTGAAATTAATAAATTTCCAAATGGATCAATAACTGTTAATATTCCTTCTAAAATTCTATCATCTATTAATTTTATATGAAAATTTGAACCAATGAATTTATCTGGAGTTATTTTCTGATTCATTTGTTGTGAACATCAGTTTTCTTTGATTCTCTAGATCTCAATTTTTCAAAAAATCTCGCTACAAATCAAAATAATTCACAAAATTTTTTTCATTTGTTTTACCTCTTTTTCTTCTCTAACATCAATCGCAGATTCACCCTTTACTAAAAGAATACTTTAGTTTCTATTTCTATGATAAGATAATCTAAGAAGGTTTACAAGTGAATATAAAAGCGTAGATTAACCGTTAAGTTGGAGCACGTTTCTGGGCGCCTGATGTTGACATTAAAACAAAATGGGACATTGGGAATCAGTTGTGACTACATTTTTTCTAACGACTAAGATCAATTCAATTGATTGATATCGTGATATATTTAATTTTCCAAATTTGTTGTGTTCGAAAGCTCTCACCATGTTTTATTTGAATTGAAAATTTAATCACTACGCTTTTTCTTTCTCCTTTGTGGAGCTAAATGAATAGTTCACAACAACAACATGAATTAAGTACAATATATAATGAATATTCAACATATTTTTCAAAATGTTTATTAAATTTAGATCAAAATTATATTGAAATTATTACAAAAGAAGGTGATGAATTGAAGGTTGTAGTAAGTAATCAAGGTTGGTCAATTAAAAATTCAAATCCACTTGTTTATGAAACTTTTGAAGCATTATTACAAACTATAAGTCCTTCATTTAGAGATAAATTTGGAAATGAATTGGCTAATAGATTAAATTTATTACTACAACAAGAAGATGATTAAAAGAAAACATTAAAATTTTATATTATCGTTAGTTATTTACATGAATTATTTCTTCTTTTTATCTCCACCATTTTGACGTCTAACAAAAGCTTCAACATCATCAACATCTTTTCTTGATTCTCTTATATAATAATGAGCAGCTCTAGGCATATATTTTTCAGGTTTATATAAAATTTCAATATTTCTAATATTTGGATTAAAAATTGGAATTCTAATTTCAGAACCAATTCTATTTAATTTAGTTCTTAATAATATATTTGATCCAATATTTAATTGACCTCTTTTGATTGCTATTATTCTACCTGTAACATCTGATCTATCTAAATATGTTATTTTTATTATATCTCCTGATCTTAAACCTTTTGAATAATTTATTAATTCTCTTCTTTTACCTGTTGGATCATGTTTTTCTAATAATTGTTTATGTATATATTTCATTACACTTTCTCCATTTCTTTTTGGTGGTAATGGTTCATAAACTGTAGGTAATGCTTTGGATTTTAGTTAGTATTTAGAAGATTTAAAGATATTTATGGTTCAAGGACATACGTTTCCTTAAGTAATGGAATGCTCTAGCGGACGTTATTTGAGTCGACCTCAACGCTAGAGATCTCGTTATGAATGGGAACATGAGTTGTTTAGTGTGTGTTTGGTGTAGATTTGATTTGACTGAATTATCAAATTTTTCAGTACACTAAAGTACATGATATTTTTTTTTTCTGTATCAGATCAAATAATGACAGAACCAAATTAAAGAGATCATGGAGAACAATTATATTACAAAACTACTATAGTTATATCGTCTTCCTCAACATTACAAAGTTTTCATTAAATATGCTATAGATACACAACTGATTTTACCTAGAAACTAAAGCACCCCCAACAATGAATCGTTTATATCTCTAAAATATTGCGGATCAGGTAATACATGCGTTTGATGCACACAGCCTGAAATATGATGCAATATTTCAGAGACATACAAACGATTCTTTGTTGAGGATGCTTTAGTTGGGGTTGGATTTCACCCAATCATGATAAAACTTTCAATATATGATATTTCAAAATCGAGGTCTTCTTTTCCTACCTGTAAATTTAGAATCTTCTGCAACTATTCTACCTCTTCTTCTCATAGTTTCTTTCTTTCTATTTATAAATTCTTTTCTTGATTCCATTAATTTTCTTTTCTTTCGTTTATTATCTTTGGTATCTTCGTGAATTTCCATTTCTGCTCCTTTTAAGTTTATTGATCTTTCAGTAATACCAGCAGTTAAAACTAAATAATATTTTTTATTTTTTTTCAGTTCTGGTTCATCTATTATTAATCCTCCTCCAAATCCTGCTAATTTAGCACTTGACATTATACTTTCTATTTGTGAATCATTTATTGGATAAAATTGTGCAACAAATTTCCCACCTCTTTTTAAAGATGCATATAATGTATTAAAAAATAATAGCAATCTCTTTTTTGGATCAACATTTGATGAATCTGCATTACATAACCATTGAATAGCAGATATTGATATAGCTGCATCAAAAGTTCCTGCTCTAAATGGTATACCATTACCTAAATCAGCTAAAAATAAATCTCCATCAACATCTCTATCTAATCCTGTTGCTAACATACTTGGTGATATATCCATTCCAATCCAATTATATCCTTCTTCAGTTAATATTTCTCCAGATAATCCTGATCCACAACCTAAATCAAGAATTAATTGTGGTTCTTGATTATCAAGATTTAATAATTCTAATGCTCGTAGTGTCATTTTTGCTTGAATATGCTGTACACGTGTTGATGATGTATATTTGAATGATTCGGAATCATTGTAAAACACTTCAGGAGGTGCTAATTCTTCTGGTCTTGACATTATTTTGAAGTTAGTAGAATAGACTATAGAATAACTGATCCATCTAATTGTAAATTTTGTGTTTCAAATTTAGAGATGAAGGGTTAAAAACCACGCGCAGTGCGTAAAAATCATAACATTTTGCAGCCAAATTATCTACAATCAAATTCAAATTAAAAATGTCGTTATTAAAAAATTCGTAAACGTATAAACTAACTTTTTGTATGTGCTATGTAAATACATCCTTTAGAAATGAAATTCCGATTCGTCATCACGTTTTTCATAATATGGATATGGAGGTATTTTTGAATTATTTTTCTTTTTATCTGGGCTTTCAAAATCAAAACCTTCATGATCATTATCATCATCTTCATCATAACTAGTTCCCCCATTATTATTTCCATCAAAATAAAAATCAACATCATCATCATCGTTGTCTTCATATTCTTCTCCTTTCAAAGTATCATCATATGACAAACGATGTCCATATTTATCTATTTTTTCTTCATCAACACTTTCAATTTCTGATGGATATAATGATTGATCAGCTGTTACTATTTGTCTCACGTCTTTTGGTAATCTATCTGGTCTATAGAATCTTAAATCTATTCTACCAATTAAATATAACATATTAACAATAATTTCTAAAGCTCCCCACCAAACATACATCATTGCAGGTGATCCAATTGGTGCTCTATCATATTTCATTCTTGCTTGGAAACAAACTACTGATCTTAAAATTGATGAAGTTAAAATAATCATTGTAGTAATAAAAATAATCATCATTGAAACATTATGTGTTAAATCTCCTCTTTCATTACTTAACCCTTTAACCATTTTATAATGATGATGAGTTGCTGCTATAACTCTAATTGCATGTCTATGATTATGATTTCTTTTCATAAATGATATAGCGGCTACTTGAGATTCTCCCTTTTTAACAAAATAAAATGGTGAAAAAGATTTAATCCACCATGGTTGATAAGTATATAAATTTTCATCTTTTCTAGTTGGTTTAAAAAAAAATGCTAAACCAATTAATGCAATTGAAGTTAATGAATATAATATAATTAAAATTGAACTTGCTTGAACAACTTTTTTATATCTTGAATAATTAGGTTCGCCTAATAAATATAAATTAATACCCGCAGAAGCAACAATTGTCATAGCAACAACACCTGCAACAATAGCATATAAAGTTAACATTGGATACCAAAATAATCTTCTTGAACCACCAACAGGATGTCTCCAAGTAAAAATTCTTTGAGCTAAAATTAAATTAAAACTTGCAATTAAAACTGTCGGTAGAATTAAAAATACTTCACTTGTTATACCAATTCCAGTTTGTGTTAAATCTTTTGACCATTGAATTCTTAAACCAAATCCTAAAATTCTACAAATATTATAAAATATAAATCCAATTTGTGGCCAAAAATAATGACCTCTATAACAATTTATTGAAAAAATACTAATATGAGCTATAGTTACAATTGTAAATAATGCAGTAAATAATGCTGATGGAGCTATATCTGCAGAAGTTGGATAATCTCCAAATATATTATATTGAGTTGATTGAGTATAATCAACCATTATTGGAGGTATTTGTGATCCTAATAAATTTCTTGCTTGAGCTGATAGTAAATGACTTCCAGTTCCATCAGCAGGATAATTATTTTGATAAGCTAGTAGTCTCATTACACCATGTATGGCACTATATTCATGAGGATTTGGAAAATTAGTCATTTTTGAGGCTAGTTAAATTGATGAACGAGTGAATTTGCAGCGGCAATGGAAAACAATTTTTTGATATTTTTGACAGGTATATAGACAGGTATATTAATTTGAAAACTTGGCGAAGTGAATGATTTTTGAATAATTTAGGAAAGTATTTGTATGTTAAATGTAAAAGACAAAAGTGCAATTAAAAGCAAATGAAAAACTAAGGAATAACATAAATAAAACAAATTTTTTATAGAAATAAAATGTTATTTGATAAATCATTAAATCATTAATTCATTTATAATTAATTTGAAACAGGGCATCTTTCATTAATGTAGTATTGATAATTATAATCGTATAATTTTATTTAGCTTAATGATATATTTACATTCATTTTTGTGTTCATTTCTATATTCAATTAAATTGCTTAATTAGGAAACTATGAAACTTTGAAAAATGTAACGAATGATCTAATATTCATAAAGATTAACCAAGTACAATGTGATTTAACACTTCTTTTTACTTGCAGTCATAAATGAGTCTCATTGGATTTGGTTGTTTAAGCTTTATTTCTCGGAATTTTGATACAAGAAACAATAATAGAACAAATACCGTTATTTTTTAGACTTTATTCGACATAGTAAAAATCTTATCAAACGTTTTTAATTTTCTTCTATTCCAAATCGGTCTAAAACGCTAAACGTATGTCAAATGATAGTACGAATTAAACCACTAAGCAACGTGAGTTTTTTAATTCAATCAAACAACAAAGTTATCCAAGGTTACTTTTGTAGAAATGAATTGTTGGGTGATTACATTACCATTTTTGTAAAAATCAGTTACGATCGTCTTTAATAACCGAAAGTTGCATAAATTTTATGCAGGTTACGGTATTCAAATTCTTCCGAAACAATAAGCATATATGCTTTAAAATATTTTTTAAACGTCAAATTTCTATTTTACATATGAAAAGAAACCTCAACTATGATATAAAATGTCTATCATACGGCTACTATATCCGAACTTACCCAATACATAGGTTCGAATTCAATAAAACCATGCATTAGCATATTGTTTAAAACAACTGTTTCAAAGATTTGAAGTTTCTAATTTAACGACTAGTTAACAAGCAATATCCCAGAGGCTACGGCACCGAATCAAGACTCAGTTTAATCATTTCTTTGACTAATGCATTTGATATTTCTGATGCTAGAAGTACTTTTCATTGTATCGCTTTAGTAAATCTGGTGGAAAGATGAAATAAAGATCGCGTCTTAAATTCTTATTTTTATTTTTTTGAGACACACGAAAAACCAAAACTAATCAAATTAAATTATCAACTTCAATGCCAGTAGCTACAATAGATTGTACACGAGTCAATGATCTACTACAAGATGACAATGAGAATAAAAATATAATATCCACAAAATATGGATCCACATTATTAGAAATCCAAGGAGAATTAAATTTACCAAGTCATAAACCAAAAGATATAACTAAATTATCAAAAGAAGATCAAGAAAAAATGTCAAATTTTATAACAATTGATAATGTATATGATGCTATAAAATTTGGTCATTTAGAATTTGATTCAAAAGATGAAACAAAAGTTACATTATTTATTGGGAAAAGTCAAAGATTAATTGGGAACCTTGTTAAATTAGATATACCCTTGGGAATATTAAAAATACCGAAAAAACAACCTGATGAAAGTAAAATGGATATAGATTTTGAAGAAGGAGAAGAAGAAGAAAATATACAAATGATCGATATAATACAGGCCAAATTAATTTTTAAACAACGACCTTTACCAATTATGTAACAATAAAATAAATAAAAAATGTTTATAAAGTCTATGAATCTATAAAAGTTAAATTTTGGCTCTATGATCCCATCTTAACTGAGTATTTAATTCAAATCCAAAATTTTGAGGATCTGAAGTTATAATTCTATTATAAATTTGTTCAATCTCATGTAAAGAAAATCCTAATATTGTTTCCATATATTTTACAATATTTCCATAAAGTTCATTAAATAATTGAATTGTTGCTAACATTGCTTCATATCTTGAACTTACTAAATTTTGAAATCCTTGTTCTTCAATTTTCCAATCTTTTCTACCTTGACTTATCATATTTTCTAATGCATCATCTTCACCAGTTCCACCAAATTTTGATCTTATTTTATTAACTGCTTCAATAAATTTTGCTTTTAAAATTGGATGATCTGGTTTTAAACCTATGGTTGTTAATTCATATTCTTTTGATATTGTATCTTTATCAACTCCTGCTAATAATAAATATAACATTCCAAAAACTCCTGTACGATCTTTACCAGCAGTACAATGAAATAAAAATGGTTGATTTTCTTCCAAAATATATAAAAATATGGTTCTAAATGCTTCTTTACCAAATTCAAACATATCTTTATAAACATGAACATAAGTTGACCAAGAAGTCATTAAATTTGTATATCTTAATGCTATTGCTTGTGGTGAATAATCATCTTTTGCATAAATTGGAGCATGAATTCTTTTAATACCGTAGCTACTTAAATTCGGAGGATAACCATCTGCTGATATTTCACCATCTGATCTTAAATCAAAAATTGCTTTAATTCCTAGTTTTTGTATTGTTTTTAAACCATTTTCAGTCATTCCTGAAATATTAGCACATCTAAAAGCAACATTTGGCTTTACATAATGAAATTTACCTTCTACATTACCATTATCAAAAGTTGGATGTAATATTCTCCATCCACCAAGATCTCTGAAATTATTTACACCTTCAACATGTTTCCATCTTGAAACACTTCCAATAACATTACTTGACAAAAGAAATCTTTCAAATTCATTTTCTGGTGATAAAAAATCCAATATATAATCAACAACTAAATAATTATAATTTATTCTACCCTTTTTTAAAGGTAAATTTAATGGATTCATTTCTTCTAAATCATCATCAGGTTCAATTTTTTGAAAACCATAAAAATTATGATCAGCTTCAGGAATTAATTTTAAAGTATGAGATTTTGGACCTCTATTTAAAGCATTTGCAAAATTTGAACAATCATATCTTGGAATAATTTCATCATGTAATCCATAAATACTTAAAACTGAAAAATCTCTTGATAAATTTGTTAAATTTGAAAAATTTGGTTTTGATAATGTTATAATTTCTTTTGCTGCTAATTTTCCCTTTTGATATTTTCCATATCTATAATATATAACATCTGGTATATAATCAAAATTTACAAAATGAGAATATCTTTCCAATACAGTTTCTGAAGTAAATCTTGCAGCACAATTAATTAAATTTGGTACTACAATTGCATTTATATTACCTTGTTTTAATAATTCATCTTGTTTTAAAGCCCATAAAAACATTGCAACACCACCTCTTGAATGAGATATAATTGAATTAATAGTTAAATCTATACCAATTCCATTTTTTTCACCACTTCTTAAAAATTCTGCAGAATTTTGAATATCTTCAACATCTTGATCTAAATGTCTACCTTCAATTTCAATTTCATTATCATCTGAATCTCCACATCCTCTAAAATCAATTCTTAAACTAAAAATTCCTAAATCTTTTGCTAATCTATGAGCTAAATGTTGTTGATAACAATAATCTCTATGACCTCCTTGACCATGTAATATTATAACCGCTTTATGTGTCATCGGAGCTAAATTTTCTTCAAATGGATTTTCGCTATCCATTGAATGAGGAATTGCTAAAGTTGCGGAAACACCATTAAATTTAACTTTAATCTCTCGTGGTGGTTGTGGATTATATTTTGAAGGTATCGTCATTGATATTTTATTGAAAGTTGGGGTAATGAAAAATGAAAGATAGTTTAATGTTTGCGTTTCTTATGTTCTGTAGTGCTTACTGAAAGTTCTTTTGACAGGCTGAATTAAAGTTTACAACTAGATCCAATTGTTTATTATGAAAAAGCTTATGTTAAAGTAGAATGTTTTTAGTTCAGAATGTTCTTTAAATCTTGTGAAATTTAGATTTGAAATGTAGCACGGTGTAAAAAATAATTCCATTTGAATAACCCCTCTATTTTATTTTAATTCCGATCGATATATAATATCTCCAGATCATCACCACCACCACCACCACCACCAATTAATGAATCATTCAGATAGAGATGCTTATTTACAATTAGGACAAAAATTAAATCAAAAACATTCAGATGAATTATCTACACAATTACAGATTTTAAAATCAGTATTAATTAATTTTATAAATGATCATGGTGAAGAAATTAAAACAAATCCAGAATTTAGAAGTAAATTTAATGAATTAAGTCAACTGATTGGAATGGATCCTTTGGATTTATTGATATTTGCAAATAGTAACCACAGCAATAAAAATGATTCAAATTTCATTATTGGATTATCTGTTAAAATTGTTGAAATATGTCAAGAAACAAGAGATTTAAATGGAGGATTTATAAATTTAAATGAATTACAATCAATTTTAAAAAAGACAAGTTTATCTGAATCTGAATTAAAAATTCAAATAGAAATAAATGATATTGAAAAAGCAATCGCCAAATTAAAATCAATGGGTAATAATTATGAAATTATTATAATAAATAATATAAAATGGTTAAAATTTTCTTCAATTGATAATTTATCAAATGATCAAATTAAAATTTATGAATTATGTGGATTTATGGGTGGATATGTTACTCATAGATTAATAAGAGATAATTTTGGTTGGGATCTGCTAAGATGTAAAAATGTTATTGATGAAATGATTATGAATGGTTTATTATGGGTTGATTCTCAAGGAGGTGAAGAATGGCAATATTGGGAACCTTCTTGGATATCTTATTAACTGGAGGGATTTTTTTTCTTGTTCTTTCTTTCCATCCATCTTGCATTTATAATTTGATAATCATCAGTTCTTTCACGTTTTGATAATGGTTGATATTGTGTAAACGCTCTTCCAATCCCATCACCTAAAGGTATCATATTATTCAGATCTACTTGTATGTCATTAAATATTAAATTTTCCATCATTTCCAGTAATTGTGATTTAACACCTAGGTCATATTCCATTCCAATAAAACTATTCATAATTTTTTTAAATTTATATTGATTATTAAAACTTTTCCATTCCATCGGGGGAAATTCACAATTATATAAAACTAAAGGTATATCATTAGCCATTTCATATTGTGGTTTAGTCGGGTAAATTGAAATATCCATTAATTCTTTTATAATTTCTGGTTTTTCTAGGTTTTTACCGACTAAAAATAGTATTGCAATCATACATCTAACTTGATGCCATAAAAATGCAGTTCCAATTAAATCAAAATAATATAAATCATCTTTTAAATTTTTGATTTTTGAACTATATATAAAACGATTAAAATTTGTAATTTGTTTTGAACCATCTAATTTACAAAAATTTCTAAAATCATGTTCTCCTTCATAATATGAAGCTGCTTCTTGCATTGCTTGTATATTTAAATCTTTAGATCGAAAAAGATATTTATAATGTCTATTTTTACAACTAAATCTTGCATCAAAATTTGGAGGAGGTCGAAGACATATTGAATGAATTTTTATATCTGGTGGTAAATTAGCATTTATAACAGTTAAATAATCAATTTCTTTATCATCATTTATGGGATCTTGTTGTTCTTCTATAGTTAAATTTGATCTTAATTTCATTGATATAACTTGATTCATTGCACTAACGCCCTTATCTGTTCTACCACATCTTGAAAATTCTGTTTCTAATATTGGTTCTTTAATTAATTTAATTTTTGATAAACAACGCAACAAAGTTTCTTCAATTGTTGGTAATGGTGTTGGTTCATATTGAAATGCTAATCCATTATAATTCCAACCTAAATATGCAAATTTTAATGCAACAAATCTGAAATTGTACTTGTCCCAATTGAATTCTTTTGATGGTTTGTTTTTGGTTGTGAGTTCTTTTTCAGGTAGGTTCTCTAGTTTATTTAATTTTTCTATTAGTTGTTCTTTAGTCCAAGTAGAATAATCTACTGGTTTTGTCATCTTGCTATATGAACGTTTCATAAACCATTTAAATCTGGTTATCATTAACTGATTGAAACAAAATCAAATAATTCATTTTTGCAACACAAAATTTCAACCACTCTCATCTTAACTTTATAATGAAATCATCAACAGAATCATTATCATGGAGTAATTTAAGATGTGAACTATTTCCATGGTTAACACAAGCAATACAACTGTTGGGTCATCCTACAATGACACCAGTTCAAGCTTCAACAATACCATTATTAACTGGAAATAAAGATGTTATAGTTGAAGCAGTAACAGGATCTGGAAAAACATTAGCATTTGTTATACCAGTTTTGGAGAAAATATCAAAAAGATTATATGCTGAAGATGATGAATATGAACCAATAAAGAGAAATCATGTTTTAGCAGTTATATTATCACCAACTAGAGAATTAGCTAAACAAATTCAAATGGTATTTGATCAAATTTTGGTGTATTCACCACAAGATGATGATGAAGAACCAATTATAAGAACACAATTATTGGTTGGTTCACTAGGGAATGTTCGTGAAGATTTAGATAAATTTCAAGAAAATCAACCACAAATATTAATTGCAACACCTGGAAGAATACTTGATTTTATGTCATCCCCCATTCCAAAATTTTCATCATTAGAAATTGTAATATTAGATGAAGCAGATAAATTATTAGATTTTTCATTTGAAACTGATGTTATAAGAATATTAAAAAATTTACCAAAACAAAGAAGAACTGGATTATTTTCTGCAACTATTTCTTCTGCAGGTGATACAATTTTTAGAACTGGTATGAATAATCCAGTAAAGATAAAAGTAAACACAAAAAATTTCTTGGGTGAGCAACAAAATGCTCCAAGTTCTTTGACTTTATCTTATATGTTTGTTGAACCAAGTGAGAAAATACGAACTTTATTAACTATATTAAAAGAATATGAATTTAAAAAGGTTATTGTTTATTTTCCAACCTGTACTTCTGTTAAACATTTTTATCAAATTTTTAATTACATTGTTGGAGATTCCAATTTACAATTTTTTTCATTACATGGACAATTAACAACAAAATCAAGATTAAAAACTTTAGAAAAATTTATTCTTGGTAATGACGTAAACACAAAATATGTATTAATGACTACAGATGTTGCAGCAAGAGGAATAGATGTACCTGATGTTGATTTAGTTTTACAAATTGATCCACCAACTGATCCTAATGTATTTTTACATAGATGTGGTAGAACAGGTAGAGCAAATAAAGTTGGTAGAGCAATAGTATTTTTAAATAATCAAACTCAAGAAGAAGATTATATTGGATTTATGGAAGTTAAAAATATTTTTATGACTGAATTAAAATCACCAGTTTTAAAATTTGATAACCTCCCAAAAAAGATTAGAAAATATATGCTTGAAGATAGATCAAGACATGAATTAGCTATAAAATCTTATGTTGGATTTATAAGATATTATTCAAAACATATTGCAAGTTCAATTTTTAGATTAGCTACTTTAGATTATTTAGGTATAGCTAAAATGTATGGATTATTAAGATTACCAAAAATGCCAGAATCAAAATATATAAAAAATTTACCAATTGATGGTTGGTTGGGTGATGTTATTGATATGGATACATATGCTTATTCAGATAAATTACAAGAAAAATCAAGATTAGAAAATTTAGAAAATGAAAAACAGCTAAAAATTGATAATGCTAAAAAACGAAAAGAGCTAAAGATAAAAAATGAAGCATGGTCAAGTAAAACAGAACATAAAGAATCAAAACATGATAGAAAAGAAAAATTAAAAAGAAAAAGAGAAGCTATAGAAAAACAAATTGAAAATGAAGAATTAAATCAAGAAGAAACTCAAAAAGATTGGAAAGATATGATACGACAAAAGAAAAAGCAGAAAATTTCTACAGTTCAAGGTTCATTTGATGATTTATAGACCTTATTTTCAAATTTTAAATCTTTCACTACTTGATTTTATACCATCAAATATAAATAAATTATCTAATGGAATATATTGAGCAGTTGTTAATTTTAAAATTTCTTGACTTACAATTCCTCCCATAAATGAACTTATATTATGATAATCTCTTGTATTATGATTTAAAATTTCTTTTATTATGTTGAGGGTTGATTCTGAAATTTCTGATGATAATTCTTTAAATAATTCAATAAATTTTTCAAGATCTGTTATATTTGGTTTTTCGTTATATTTATCAATATATGAATTAAATGTTAATATAGATAAATAAATTGAAATAAATTCATTATTAGACTGGTTGATCAATTTTGAATTAATTAAATCTTTTGATCCAATTGTAACAAATAATAATTGAGTATTTTTACAAAAACTTTTTATAGATTCTTTATTTATAAATTCAGTTGATTTCCCAATTTCTTTACAAATTTCATAAACTTCATTTGTAAATAATTCTTGATCTTTTTCAGCTTTTGATTTATAAATTTTTGAAAGTTTGGTGTAATTTTCTGAATTTGATGCCATATCTGGTAAATTTCCAGGTAATGGTAATACATTATATTTTTCAATAAATTTGGAAAGTGCTGCTATATATATCCAAAATATTGTTGAATCTTTATTTACATTATTATTGGTTATCAAATTTTTAATACTTTCTGGAATTTCTGTTTTTTGAAAAGCTCTATGACATGATTGTAAAGCTTCAATAAAATTAGTTTCTAAATTTATATTTCTTGATAATGATTCAATATATGATTTAAACAATTTTTTTTCATTATATGTTGATGGATTTTTTCCATAAGTTTTTTTCCAATATTGTAATGCTTTAATGAATATTACTATATATGGAATATGACTATGTTCTTGATCATCCATTTTTTCTAAATCAAAAGAATCTGAAAATTCTTGAAGTTCTTCCCATGGTTGATCAATTCTTAAATCATATAATCTTGAAGGATCATGAGTTTCAATTACTGTAGTTTCATTAGATAATAAATTTAATGATGCATAAAATCCAATAGTATTTACTATTAATATTGGTATTTGTTTTGACCATAATAAATTTATTAATTGTTGTAAATTAGGGATATAATCACTTATAATAACACAATTAAATTGATTCCAAAATTCAGATTTTTCAAGTAGAGAATCAATTGATTCATTAATCAGATATCCTTTTACATCTGAATTTAATTCATTTAAATTCTTTGTAACACATAATGCAACATTTTTACCAATATCATTATTTCTTATAAAAAAATTTGATGAACTTATTTCTTTTGTAATATTTCTATTATCAATTATTGTAAATTCTCCAATTTCTGGTAATATTAAATTTTTTAAAATTTCAGAACCAGTTGAAGTAGCATTAATTAAACATATATGACTATTTTCTAATTTCAGTTGTCCTATAGTTTCCCATAATCTTAATTGTCTATCATATTTTGCTTCTTTATCAATCATTTTTTAAGTTGGTTGTAAGAAAATGAAGATATATTAAATTTTATGAAACATAATTTATATAGACTATTAATAAGTTTCAATAGTGTTAGTGTTGAGTTATATAATAATTTACTGTGTCTTATAATAATTAAAGTTTTGTTAAGTGTTGTAAAATTATCTGAAACAATTTTGAGTAACTTTTAAATCATATTTGCACGTGACGTGTCACATGAATTACAATTTGAGTCACATGAAAATTTTAGTCACGTTTTGCATCACATGATTTTTTTGACAGCTCACGTGTAACATCACATGACATTAATCAGATCTTGAACGTGTCAAGAATTACATCAAAACAACAGTTAAAATTGCTACCAGTTTTAGCTCTGCTGCTAAATGTATAAATTCTTAAATAACCTAATAAAATATTTAATTTCTTTTAATGACTTTGTACTACGGATATTGAAAAATTTTTAATAAGAAGTTTCATAAGTTTATCTTTAGTTCCTTTTAAGTGGTAGTAATTTATTTTATTTAGTACGTGATTAGTTGGTAGTAGTTAAAGAGAGATGCAAATTAAAATTTTGTTACTCTCATACATTAAATTAATATATGAAAAATTTTTTTTTTAAAGAAACTCTTTTTTTTAATCTTTTCTTTCTTCTTTTTAATCATCAACTTTTCAGATAAAGAGATAGATCATGTCTGCTTCTAAAGAATCAAAATACTCTACAGAAGTATTATCTGAATTATTAAGCAAATTACAAGTTGCTGATAATAAAGATGAAGCTGCTACAAATATTTCAACATTTTTAAATTCATCAATTGTTGAACATGATGTACCAGTTGAATTTTTTAAAGATTTAAAAACTCAAATTAAATCAAAAGATGCTAAAGTTTCAATTGCTGCTTTAGATGCTTATAAACATATTGCTTCTCAAAATGGTTTATCACCATCTGTTGAACCATATGTTGTTGATTTAGTTGATGAAGTTGCCACTAAATCTGGAGATAAAAATAAAGATGTTCAACAAAAAGCTTCTGAAGCTTTATTAGCTATTGCAACTGCTATTACTCCAACTGCTGTTAAATCAATTTTACCAAAATTAATTAATAATTTACAATCAACAAATAAATGGACTGAAAAAGTTGCTATATTAGCTGCTATATCTCAATTAGTTGATACTGCTAAAGCTCAAATTGCTTTAAGAATGCCTGAATTAATTCCAGTATTATCTGAAACTATGTGGGATACTAAAAAAGAAGTTAAAGAAGCTGCTACTGCTACTATGACTAAATCAACTGAAACTATTGATAATAAAGATATTGAAAAATTTATTCCAAAATTAATTGAATGTATTGCTAAACCAACTGAAGTTCCAGAAACTGTTCATTTATTAGGTGCTACTACTTTTGTTTCAGAAGTTACTATGGCTACTTTATCTATTATGGCTCCATTATTATCAAGAGGTTTAGCTGAAAGAGATACTGCTATTAAACGTAAAGCTGCTGTTATTGTTGATAATATGTGTAAATTAGTTGATGATCCACAAGTTGTTGCACCATTTTTAGATAAATTATTACCAGCTTTAAAACAAAATTTCGCAAATATGGCTGATCCAGAAGCAAGAGAAGTTACAAATAGAGCTTTAAATACTTTAAGAAGAGTTGGTGCTGTTGGTGAAGGTGATAAATTACCAGAAATTTCAACTGCTGGTGATATTGAAGTTACTTTAGGTGAATTAAATACCTTATTAGCTGATAAAAAAATTGCTAAAAGATTTGATGCAGCTTTAAGTTATATTGCTTCAATTGCTGGTGATTTAGTTGATGAAAGAGAAATTCAACCAGAAGCTTGGTTACAAAATGTTTTACCATTTGCTACTATCTTTTTACATGAAAAAGAAGCTAAAGAAATTATTGAAGAATATAGAAAAAGAGCAATTGATAATATTCCTCAACCACCTTCATTTGAAGATGAAGAAGATGAAGGAGAAGATTTATGTAATTGTGAATTTTCATTAGCTTATGGTGCTAAAATCTTATTAAATAAAACTCAATTTAGATTAAAAAGAAATAGAAGATATGGTTTATGTGGTCCAAATGGTGCTGGTAAATCTACTTTAATGAGAGCTATTGCTAATGGTCAAGTTGAAGGTTTCCCAAGTCAAGAAGAATGTAAAACTGTTTATGTTGAACATGATATTGATGGAACTCATGCTGATACTACTGTTACTGAATTTGTTATTCAAGATGGTGAAGTTGGTTTAACTAAAGAAGTTGTTGAAGATAAATTAAGAGAATTCGGTTTTTCAGAAGATATGATTAAAATGCCAATTCAATCATTATCTGGTGGTTGGAAAATGAAATTAGCTTTAGCAAGAGCTGTTTTGAAAAATGCTGATATTTTATTATTAGATGAACCAACTAATCATTTAGATACTGTTAATGTTGCTTGGTTAGTTAATTATTTACAAACTTGTGGTATTACTTCAATTATTGTTTCTCATGATTCAGGATTTTTAGATAAAGTTTGTCAATATATTATTCATTATGAAGGTTTTAAATTAAGAAAATATAAAGGTAATTTATCAGAATTTGTTAAAAAATGTCCATCAGCTCAATCATATTATGAATTAGGAGCTTCAGATTTAGAATTTAGATTCCCAGAACCAGGATTTTTAGAAGGTGTTAAAACTAAACAAAAAGCTATTGTTAAAGTTTCAAATATGACTTTCCAATATCCAGGTACTTCTAAACCACAAATTCAAGATATTAATTTCCAATGTTCATTATCTTCAAGAATCGCCGTCATTGGTCCAAATGGTGCTGGTAAATCAACTTTGATCAATGTTTTAACTGGTGAATTATTACCAACTATTGGTGAAGTTTATGTACATGAAAATTGTAGAATAGCTTATATTAAACAACATGCTTTTGCTCATATTGATAATCATTTAGATAAAACTCCTTCAGAATATATTCAATGGAGATTTCAAACTGGTGAAGATAGAGAAACTATGGATAGAGCTTCAAGACAAATTAATGAAGAAGATGAACAAAATATGAATAAAATCTTTAAAGTTGAAGGTACTCCAAGAAGAGTTCAAGGTATTCATGCAAGAAGAAAATTCAAAAATTCTTATGAATATGAAATTTCATGGTTATTAGGTGAAAATATTGGTATGAAAAATGAAAGATGGGTACCAATGATGTCTGTTGATAATACTTGGTTACCAAGAGGTGAATTAATGGAAACTCATGCTAAATTAGTTGCTGAAGTTGATATGAAAGAAGCTTTAGCATCAGGACAATTTAGACCATTAACAAGAAAAGAAATTGAAGAACATTGTGCCATGTTGGGATTAGAAGCAGAATTAGTATCACATTCAAGAATTAGAGGATTATCAGGTGGTCAAAAAGTTAAATTAGTTTTAGCAGCATGTACTTGGCAAAGACCACATTTAATTGTTTTAGATGAACCAACCAATTATTTAGATAGAGATTCATTGGGAGCATTATCAAAAGCATTAAAATCATTCGAAGGTGGTATTGTTATCATTACTCATTCAGCAGAATTCACTAAAGATTTAACTGAAGAAGTTTGGGCAGTTCTTGATGGTAGAATGACTCCATCTGGTCATAATTGGGTCCAAGGTCAAGGTTCTGGTCCAAGATTAGAAAAGAAAGAAGATGAAGAAGATAAATTCGATGCTATGGGTAATAAAATTGCTGCTGCTAAGAAAAAATCCAAACTTTCTTCCGCCGAGTTGCGTAAAAAGAAGAAAGAGAGGATGAAGAAAAAGAAAGAGTTAGGAGATGCCTACGTCTCTGAAGATGATGAAGATTTTTAGATCTTCATTATCATCTCCTTCACCCTTATTTTATAGTATTTAATAAATGTTATTTCCTTTTATATCGTCTATACAATTGTAGAATATTTTCTATTCTTTACGTAGAATACAACATTCATATTACTGTCACACTAAAATGACAGTTTTGAAAAGAAATAAGAAGCGACAACTTCTTATTCAATCGAATGGTGATACTTTTCTATGCTTGTTACCTGTAATAATTTATTTGTTTCAGATTTTTGTGACCTGTTATAATTTAAAATCTGAAACGTACACAAAACCTTATTTTGTTGTATAGTAAAATTTCAAATGTTATACGTATCAATCTCAGAATAAGATGTATTCGATATTTCATCCGACTATATGTCTTCAAAATTAGGTAAATATTCAAGTCTTAGTTTTTCTTATGGTCAAAATTTGTCGTCAGTTTTGCCATTTACAGCTATGCCATTTAGTTTTGGTGATGCCCCAGCTACTTTTCAAGGGATAATGAATATGATCTCTTATGATTTTATTCGTAAACTTGTTGTTTATTTAGATGGTATATTAATTAGTCAAGATCAGAAATGCAACACATGGAGCATTCAAATTTAGTAGCTTAAAAACTTATATAAACATAACTTAGTTGCAAAACAGAAAAAAGGCGAATATTTCGAGAGAAGTACAACATTTTCAGGTTTTAAAATTAGTGCAATTAGTATTGATACAGCAATTAATACAATTAAATCAGTTATAGCTTGGGTTTTTCTACTTACACGTGGAAGAATTAACTGTTTGTTGACTTTATGACTTTAGTCTAATTATAAAAGATTCGTAAAAACTTTTAGCTAATGCTGGATTAGTAATGTTAACGAAACTTAGATAAATTAGACTCAAATCAACAGAAGCATTTGATCAATTAGAGTTAGATTTAACGTCATCATCAATATTAATGCCACGAGAAACAAATGGAGCTCATATCATTTCAATTGATGCAAGTGATATGCACATAGTATTGTTATTGAAAGTTTAGATAAGAAAAGTTCAAAGATCAAAGGTACTGTTGGTTTATTCGAAAGCTTTGGGTAAACAACTTATTACAGCATTCGTGAAAAAGAATTTTTAGCAATCACACAAACTTTGACTAGATTTTGGCATTTCTTACTTGGATTAATCATTGTTATCAAAAGTGAGTATAAATCTTTACAAAATTTGATCAATAATAAAAAACCTCCATTATCAAGGTTATCTTGGTCGATTGACATGTTATCAGAATTTGAAATTACGATTGGTTGCATCAAATTAGTTGCATCAAAGGAAACAGTAACAACGCTGATGCAATATCTAGAAAATTTTTAGCATCGGGTAAATCAGATCCAGATTATGACGCCGAAAATTTTCGAAGATCTTACAATTTCGAACACAACTACAATGCAAATTAAAACTCATCCATTGGGTGAAAATATACTTGAATGTAAACAGTATCTGAAAGTAACACGTCCACACGATTGTTCATATGGATGTTTTACTTTCAAATAGAAACGGTAATTTATACTTTCAAGGATTTGATTATAGAGCTGATCCAATTTAAAGAATTACAATTCCGTCGAACTACATTACAAAATAATCAACATCCATTATTCATCAACTACAACCTTCCTCCGAGAGTGGAAGTCTCACATTATAGAAATTTTTAAATTTTATTACATCCCAATTTGTTTAGATCAATTAAATGATTTGTTAGACATTTTAATATTTGTAGAGCTACAAAATCAAGATTTCATTCAAACTATGAATTACTTTAACCATTACCAACACCTCGTACCAGATGGACACTGACTTCGATGGATTTTATTAGAGGATTCCCAGAAAAGAAGGATTGAGATTGTATTTTAGCTATTGTTGATAGGGTTACGACGAGGGCTTGCTTTATTCGAAATTTCTGCAAAAGTTGTATTTTGAAAGAGATTTTTTGATTACATGGATTGCCTGTTGAAACTATATATGATAACGAAATGAGCTTTACCATTTATTCTTCGCAAGATTTTTTTAAAGAAAATGAAGTTGAGTTATATTTTGTTCATAAAGCATAAAAATGACACTTTCGACGCAATTTCAGATTATATACTAAAAGCTGGACACGTTGATCAAAAAATTATAACAAGGAAACCCTGTGGACCGGTACCAAATAGTTCGGATTGATTTTGCTACAAAATTTCATAACGCATTAGTTCCTCATAACATATTAGACCCACAAGCTTCAATGGAAAAACAATATAATAAACACCTAATAATTTTGCAAGCTCAAGAATTTGTTTTAAGAAATCGCAAAGCAAATAAGATATAATACAGGAAGAAAATTGATTTTCGATTAGTTCATTATCAACATCATTAAAACTATGAATTAAGAAGTCTACCAGGTTTGGGATCATACCGTCATCATTACAGTCGTATAGATGAGGTTTTTATAAATCACCTTCAAACTGCAGCTTTATTATCTATTTAGATTTTCTTCCTTATTGTGGATCATCAGTTGGTGTGTAATAATCCACTTAAAACATAACTCATACGTCATATGAATTAGGAGATGCTTACGTCTCTGAAGATGATGAAGATTTTTAGATCTTCATTATCATCTCCTTCACCCTTATTTTATAGTATTTAATAAATGTTATTTCCTTTTATATCGTCTATACAATTGTAGAATATTTTCTATTCTTTACGTAGAATACAACATTCATATTACTGTCACACTAAAATGACAGTTATGAAAAGAAATAAGAACCTGTCGCTTTTTATTCTATCGAATGGTGATACTTTTTCTATTCTTGTTACCTGTAATAAATGGATTAGAACCTGAAACACTTACACAAAACACAAAACTTTATTTTGATACACAGTAAATTGTCAAATTTGGAATTATCCTGGTATATATAGCAGCTCGTTAGGTATTAGAACTTTTATGAGCTTCTAGTTTATAATGCAGATGCAAGTTGTTATTAATTATGATTAACGACCTAAATTTTGATATGCAGTATAATGGTGGAGCGTATTTTTTGCAACCAAAAAAAAGGTAAGTAGCGGAAATCAAATAGCTTCTGATATTAAATGAAAATTTACCTTACTTTCGTTGCTTTAGTGACTACGATTCTTTCACAAGTTCTATTCTTCAATAAGAATTTGAAAATACCAAGCTTATTATTAAATAAAAATTTCAGTGATTTCAATGTAAAACCCAAATGGAATTTATCTTATGCTCCATACTCAGTCAATTGTCCTAATCATCAAATAGTGAGACATGCTAATGAAGTACGTTTAATGAAAAATATTCATCAAAAACTAGTTACTAATTTCAATAGACTATTTCAGAAAAAGAAAATCAATATATATTAAATCGTAATGTGAAAACAGAAGCAGTTTTAAAATCTTTATTTTATAAAAATAAAATCCCCAATTTTGATGTTGAAAAATTTTGGATAAATAAAACTAAACCAATTAAATTGGCAATTGCTTTATCTGGTGGTGGTTATAGATCAATGTTGACTGGGGCTGGGATTTTATCAAGTTTTGATGAACGTGAATTAACAAAGTGTAATAAATTGAGAGGCATTTTACAATCAACTAGTTATTTTGCAGGAATTAGTGGTGGAGCTTGGTTAGTTATGTCTCAATTTATAAATGATTGGAAACCAATCACCACGATGTTAGGAGAATGGGACTTAAAACAAAGCCTTTTAAAGGGAATTTCAGATGTTGATAAAGAACAATTGGAAAAGAAAATAACAAAAAGGAATATTTTCCAATTGCCTAATGAATCAATAACATGGTTTCAAAGAATATTTGATTCATCAGAAGGATCATTTTTGGAATATATAAAATTTTATAAAGAATTACTTATTGAAGTTAGAGATAAACGAAAAGCAGGATTTCATGTTAGTTTAACTGATTATTGGGGTAGAGCATTAGCTCGAAAATTATTTACATCAACTGCACGAACTCCAGGTACAACTATAACAGCTGGTACAAAACAATTGGATTCATTTATAAATCATGATCAACCATTTCCAATCATAGGAACAATTGCAAAAAATCCAATTGACAATATAACTGATCCATTAGTCAAATTATCAAGTTTAGATAGTCAATTATTTGAATTTAATGCATTTGAATTTGGTTCATGGGATAATGCATTTGTTGATTTAGAATATTTAGGTCTGAAATTAAAAAATGGAACAAGCCAAGTAATTGTAAACAATTCTAAATTATGTATATCTGGATTTGATAATGTTGGATTTCTAACAGCCACATCTTCATCATTATTTAATCATATGTTTAAATATTTATTCAATTATATTGAAAAAAATCAACTGGAAACAATGGTACTTTTAGAAGACATTCTTAAACTTTTTGGTTTTAATCATGAATGGAAGTTATTTAATACACCTCAACAACATCCTGATCATGCATTATATTCACCTAATCCATTTTGGAAATTTGGAAAGAATCAAATTGCCGAGAACCTTGATTTGTATTTAGTCGATGGTGGTGATGATGGTCAAAATATTCCTTTCCAACCTTTGATTGGCAAAGCTAGAGGGATTGACTTGATTTTAAGTTATGACGTTAGTGGTGAATTTTCAAATTATCCGAATGGATCAGTTTTGCAACAAACTTGGAAAAGGTTTCATACAGGTACTTCAGTTCCAACTTTCAAATCACCTTCAGGTTCAATTAAATCAATATTTCCAAGAATACCTACTTCTGAAGAAATAATAACTCACAGACTTAATGAAAAACCTATTTTTTTAGGATGTGATGTAGAATTAGATTATGAAGATCTTAACACGAAAAATTCAAAAATTTATGATTATCTTCCTCCTTTAATCATGTATCAAGCTAATTCAAATTATCTTTATGAAACAAATTATTCAACTTTCAAATTAAGTTATAATGAAATAGAGGTAAACCAAATGATGGAAAATGGATTTGAAATCGCAACTTTTCATAACTCTTCAATTTATGCTACTTGTTTAAATTGCTTCATTTTGAAAAGAGACTTTGATAGAATCAAATATGATATTCCCAAATTTTGTAAAGCCTGTTATCAAACCTATTGTTGGAGGAGGTAATGATTTATTGTATTCATGATTCGGATAGATCTATGTGTAGTTGCCTAAATCTTAGTCGCGATTTAATTTAATGTAACCATAAAAATTGCACGCGAAATAAATCTGTTGAATTTAAGGATTAATTTAAACTTATTCACTATCTAATTGAATCATAAATATTGCTAACTATGGCTGGAGTTAGAAATTTAAGAATAGTTGGGTTGACTTTATTGGTGTTGGTATTAATATTCATATTACATAGAACTGGATCTAATGCTGCTTCTCTAGTTCATGCACAAATGTCTGACCAAATTCCAAATAAACATCATGCTACATCAAATAATGGACCAATAAACAATGAACCTAAAAAGAATAAAGTAGATGTATCAAATAATTTAGTAGATTCCAAAAATGATGAAAAAACAGATGATGCCATAAATCAAGAAATATCAAAGGATAAAAGTGAAGAAGGAATAAAAAAACCAGTTACAGATAAAGAAAATACATCAGAATCAACAGAAGAATATGATCCACAAACTGATCTTATAAAAATAAGATCATTATCACCAATGACAATATTTTCAAAAAGTTATTGTCCATATTCTAAAAATCTTAAAAAATTATTTGAAAAATATGAAATAATACCCGAACCAAATATTGTTGAATTAGATTTACATGAACATGGAGCAGAATTACAAACTTATTTATTTGAAAAAAGTGGTAGATCAACAGTACCAAATGTATTAGTTGGTTCATCGTTTGATTCAAGAGGTGGAAGTGATGATTTTGAAGAGTATCACAAAAAAAATGAAATTATACAAGTATTAAATGATTGGGGACAAGGTAGATTATCGGTAAGTAAAAAAGATACTCCATCAAATGCTTAGATAGAATATGTAATGAACGAATCTTTTATCATAATTCTTTTAAAATTGTTGTAACATTAAAGATCTTATAAATGATGAAGAAAAACTATAAACACTCTTAAAATTTGAAAAAACCTTTTGATTTTGAAGCGGTTGCTGCAACTTTTAAAACATTGAATCTTATAGTTTTTGAAATTGGTCTACATTGACCAACTGTGACAACATCACCTTCTTGAACTCTGAAAGCTGGTGAAACATGAGCAGCAACATTTTTATGTCTTTTTTCGTATCTATTATATTTTGGAACATAATGTAAATAATCTCTTCTGATAATAATAGTTCTATGCATTTTAGTTGATACAACAGTACCTGTTAAAATTTTACCTCTAATTGATACAGTTCCTACAAATGGACATTTTTTATCAATATATGAACCTTCAATAGCGGCTTTTGGGGTTTTGAATCCTAAACCGACATCTTTATACCATCTTTTGGTTTTTCTGTTGGCTTTAGCTTTTGGGTTGGTGAAAATATGTGGTTGCTAATGAAAAGTTAGTATTTCTGGACAATTTTTGATAGAAATTCAAACTTGATGGAGATACTAATATGTCGTTTTCCAAGACAAATGATTGTTCCCAATTTGTTTCTTTATTGTTACTTCATTTTTCTTTATCGAGATATCTCAAAATTTTGAGCATAAGTTCACCTGATGTTAACTATTTTTGATAACTCGATATGATTCAATATGAGTTGTGGTGCTTTAATATTATATTCTTGGGTATCCCCTATATCTCCATCATCTTGAAAATTCTTAATCTATCATTTTATTACAAACCTTTTGGAAAGCTCTTTCTGATTGAACAGTTAATTCGGTTGCCATGATATACTGTTGTTGTTCTATGATAATCGATATTTCTGTTTGAAAAATTTAAAATTTTGATAATATAGTTAAAATGCGATAATACTTAATATTAAGTTACTATAAAGAAGCTTAACTATGTAATCCAGGTGGTAGCAATTATAATTTTTATAAGGGTTGTAACCCTAAAAAATCAAAGCTGTATTACAGTTGACTATCCTGCAACAATTGATAATAGAGTTAAATGTATGTAAGCTCACGAAACAACGTATGGTGCTGTTAAAGTGGTTCATGTGCTCGAGAGCTGTTTTTGAGATAAATCCACAACGTGTGGTAGAGCTTTGAACTATACTCTCACTTGAACCGACCACTCAGTTATGTAATTCACGAATTTGACTGACGACTATCGTATCTGTTGATCAACTGTAGTGCTTGAGAATAATTCAAACGTATGGTTTGTCTTGTTTCAGTATTTTGTGATCAATATGTTACAAACTCAGTACATTAAAACCACAAAGTTTGTTTCATGACGCGAAGCTCGTTTTATCTCGAATTGTGTTAAATTTTACAGTCGAAATACCTGAAGCTTTGATCAAATGAGTTTGAATAGGGGAAACTTTGAACAATTAAAACTCTTTCTAGGTGATGTTGATGATGATTCAGATTTCTAAACTTCTACGAGGCTGGTTTAATCGGAAAAATAGATTGCGTTATTACGTATAATGAAACACCCTAAAATGCGCACTCTATTTATTATCATTTATCCAAATTAAGCAAACAAACTAAAAATCTTATTATTGTGGTTATCAGATTTGGTATATCAAAAAATATTATACATCGAACTAATCATATAATCAAGCCAACAAAAGAAGCATAGTATTACACGTTAGAAGAATCACGATTAAAGAATATCACAGTCAATTATTTATATGAATACATCAACAAGTAACGTTGTACCTAATTCAACTTCATCTTCAAAATATAATTTCTTACCTAAATTCAATCATCATAGCAATTTACAAAATCATCAAGTTGCATCAACAAATCAATCACAATCAAGAATAGTATCTAATGATTTGGTCGATTCTATTGCAAATAGTTTATCATATAACAGGACAGTAAGTTCATCATCATCCATACTAAGTACACCAAGTAATAATATTAGAAAATATCAACAGCGGCAACAACAACAAAATCATCAAAGTTCAAATCAATTATCTCAAAATCAAAAACAATTAGCTCATAATCATCAAAACCGTCACAATCGTCATCATAACACCGAAAAAGATGAAAAACATAGTAGTCGAATAACAAGAAGTGGACAATTAATTAAAAATAAATTACTTAATTTACATCAATCTCATAAAGTTTTACAACCTAATCCGATTCAATCACAACAAACCCAACAACCATCACAACAACAACAACAACAGCAACAACAACAGAATTCAAAATTGATACAAGATGCGGAATATTATACTCGAACTGTCATATTTCCCGAGTTATCAAGTGATGAGGAATTAAGTACAAATGATGAAAATGAAGAAATGGATGAAGATGATGAAGATTTTGAATCATATTTCAAGAAAACCGTCAATTCAATTCCAGGATATACTAAAGGCGAATTAACTTTATTAATAAACAACAGTCAAACCAATCTTGATCATGAAGATGAAAAAAAACTTCTTCAAGAACATAAAAGAAAAGAAATGTCAAAACAAGAAAGATCATTCATGAAAACAAGTTCTTTGAGTATACGAAGACAATTACAAGTAACTCAAAAAAAGGAAATTTTAACAAAAATGTTTGGTAATCATAATAATCTTAATAATGAATATATAACAAATAATACAGAAATTTCATCAATTGGTAATAGTTTTAATTTACAAATGGTATTTAATGAAGATAGAGAAGAAATTCAACATTTAATTGAAGAAGATAATTTATTTAAAACATCAATGGATGAATTTAGAGAATTAAGAAATCAAAATTCTGAAAAAAACTTAATATTTGAAGATGATGAAGATGAAGAAATTAATCAATTATTGAAGAAAATACCAATTGGTCAACTGAAATAAAGGTTGTTGAATGATAAAATTTTATAGGCAAGTAGTAATGTATAATGAGTGATGATAGTAATGATCGCAATGCCACAACATACTCCTTAGAGTAAGTAAATGCTTCTTATTTTTTTCTAAATTCTGCAGATACCCACCCATAAACATCTTTTTAAAAACATCTATTACTTTGCTGAAGAAAACGATTTCAAATTATATACAAGATAGACTATATGGAATAATCTTTGAAGTAAAAACGTTGCTCTTCTTTGAAAGCAATCCAAGATTTAGGTTAATTCTAATTCCATAAAATTCGCATCTAGAAATTTATTTAGTAATCAAAGATTTATTTAGTGTAAAATTTATAACCACAATACATATACTAATAAGGATAGATTGTTATAGTATATTCATACTTACGTTAGTGTTTTTAATACTTATAAATAATATATAATATATCGATTGATTATATATTCATTTATATTTATTAATTTTCTGTTTGCTTTTTTTAAAAAGTTATGAATAATCTTTTAAGATCAACAACTCAAAGATTAATTCAAATAAATAAACATTTATCAACTTCAACTTCAAAAATGGCACCAACAAATACTCAAAGTTTAAAAAATTTCGATTATTTAGTTATTGGAGGAGGATCAGGTGGTGTAGCATCAGCAAGAAGAGCAGCAAAATATGGAGCAAAAGTTTTATTAATTGAATCAAATTTTAATAAATTAGGTGGTACTTGTGTAAATGTTGGTTGTGTACCCAAAAAAGTTATGTGGTATGCTTCTGATATGGCTCATAAAAAAGCTGATTTATATCCTTATAAATTAGATAAAAAGGAAGAAAAAGTTAAATATGGAGATTTTGAATGGTCACAATTCAAAATAAAAAGAGATAATTATGTTACAAGATTAAATGGAATTTATGCAAATAATTTAAAAAAGGAAAAAGTAGATTTTATATTTGGATTCGCTAAATTTATAAATTCAAATGGTGATGTTGAAGTTACTTTAACTGGTGATCAAAATTTACCATTTTTAGAACCATCCGATAAAGAATATAAAAAAGATGAAAAATTAATATTTAGTGGTGATAAGATTTTAATTGCAACTGGTGGTACAGCAATTATACCACCTAAAATTGAAGGATCCGAATTAGGTATTACTTCAAATGGATTTTTTGAATTAGATTATCAACCAAAAGATGTTGCAATTGTTGGAGCAGGATATATTGGAGTTGAATTATCAGGAGTTTTTAATGGATTAGGTTCAAAAGTTGATTTTATTATAAGAGGTGATACAGTATTAAGAGCATTTGATGAAACTATACAAAATACTATAACTGATTATTATATTGATAAATTAGGTATAAATATTATAAAAGAAAGTGGAGGAGTTGTTAAAGTTACAAAAGAAGGTGATAAAAAAATTGTTACTTTAGGTAATGGAGAAATTTTAAAAGTTGATGAATTAATTTGGACAGTTGGTAGAAAATCTTTAGTCGATATTGGATTAGATAAAGTTGGTGTAAAAGTAAATGATCGTTCACAAATTGAAGCAAATGAATATCAAGTTACTTCAAATCCGAAAATTTTTTCATTAGGTGATGTTGTTGGTAAAGTTGAATTAACTCCAGTTGCTATAGCAGCAGGTAGAAAATTATCGAATAGATTATTTGGAGGTGAACAATATAAAGATGATCATTTAGATTATAATAATATTCCATCTGCAATTTTTTCACATCCAGAAGCTGGATCAATTGGATTATCTACTAAACAAGCTATTGAAAAATATGGAAAAGATAATATTAAAATATATAATTCAAAATTCACAGCAATGTATTATGCAATGATGGATGATGATAAAGATAAATCACCAACTGTTTATAGAATTGTATGTGCTGGACCAGAAGAAAAAGTTGTTGGATTACATTTAGTAGGTGATGGTAGTGCTGAAATTTTACAAGGTTTTGGAGTTGCTGTTAAAATGGGTGCAACTAAAAAAGATTTTGATAATTGTGTTGCTATACATCCAACTTCCGCTGAAGAATTAGTAACAATGACTTAAAATTTCTAAAATTTTGATGATACTTATATATATATATACACTTGAAATGAGTTATTGAATATAGATTTTTATGAAGTACATACAACTTTTCTTTCTTTAAGCGAGTCTGCCTTTCCCGTAACTTGAGTAAAATTGAAGCTTTTTCCTGTAGATGACTTCTATGTCGCTACAAGGAATGAACGTTTGATGTCGTAATCACTTCAACTTGGTACCTGAATTTGCTATGTCAGCTTCACATTCATTAGTGTAGGTTTCTTTCTATAATTTATAATATTGAATTTGAGACGATCTTTTACTTTCTTCATTTACATTTTTCTTCTTTTCGGTGGTGGCCCTCGAATAGGTGGTTTTGGTTTATCACCAGGTTTCATAAAAAACATTGGAGCGTTTTTTAATATATTCGGTACACTTATAAATCTAATCATACTACCTCTTATAAAAACTTGATCCATATGAGTAATTGAACTATTTTTTCCAGAAGTTATTGTAACATCATATAATGAACTATTCATATTATCTTCATTTTCTAATAATTTTCCTCTATATGTATCTCCATTTATTAATTCTATTGAAATTATATGACCTTGAGCTTCATTTAGAAGTCGGACCGGTATTGACGCTGACATTGATGTTGTGAAATTATCGTATTACAGCGGTTAAGTCGAATTACTTTATTAAATTTAAAGATCTGATAATTCAGATGTTTTGATGTTTCAAATATTTTATTTGACATTAATTTAGTTTTTCAGACAAACTTTTTTTTTTGACAATAACTTCAATGCACAGAAGTTGAAACAGAGCAAAATGCTGTCATACAGTCGTAATATTACAGTTTCAATATTACAGGAAGATAAAGAAATGAAATTAAAGGAAAATCAATTTTTCTGCCAATAAATCATTGTTTCATAAATTTCAATTTTTCATCAAAAATTGGTTGCAATTTTGTATTGATTTTGAAAACTGTATCATTAGATTAGTCAATTGTTCGATTAAAAATTTAGACGTCATTTCGCATGCCTGAAAACAACTGGTTTGGACCTCGAATTTGGCGTTTGACTTAACTGTATTTGCCTTAAAAGCTGTCAAACCTATCTGCAACTAAATATATCATGGACGCGTCGATTTCAATATTACAAATCTACCTTTCATTACACTTTTGTTCAATCTCGAGATATTTATTAGACTTTTTAGTCTATCAAACGTACGATTTTCTTAAAAGAGTATGTCAAGCCATCAATTCTAGCCTTTCAACTGGTTGAATGATAATCATTATTGGATGGATTTATCAGGTTTGTCTAAAAAAGCTTGAAAGTGGTAAGTAAATGCAAAAAAGATAAAGTTTTCGTATTTAATTGTACAAAGGGATTATAGTTACAAACAGAGTGATCTTATAAACGAAAATTTTTATATGTAAAATGAATTAAATACTCCATTACAATATATCAAGCACTTTAACGAAAAAATACTAATATGAGTTATATCTTGCATGAGTTCTTTCTCCCGAAACATATCCGATTTCTTATACAATATTTATACTCCAAGTAGATACATGTTGAAAAGCTGGTGTTTTATGAAAATTTTTGTACTAACGATAGAACTGATTCGTTATTGTTTGAAGAATTACAAATTTGTGAATTATATGTCAAAGATCTCATGGATATGTGTCAACTGATCAAATAGATAATAATTGGAAAAAGGAAAAATCATTTTTAGATCTATTTAGTGTTTTGTACATTCATAATTTAGTGTAAGACAACTAAAACTAACATAAGTTCTACATAACCAATCATTAAATTATGAGATTTATAATGTATCGAGACATCTTGCCAAGTATTGTCAATACTCGTAGGTTGCAATATTAACATAAACGCAAAATTTTACAATTCATTGACCCTACGCTTTGCTTTGCAAAAGAACATACAAAAATTCGTTTTTTGAGACGGGGAAGAATCCACATTCACATCAATCCATCCCTACTCTACTCATATAATGGAAAAGCTAATTACTGTCACTTTAAATTTAAATTATTCTAAAAAAGGGTAAATTTCCATTAGTCGGACTTAGGTATTACAATACCCCCGTACTTTTTTTTTTGATTATTAATTATAATTTTAGTAAACCATCTTTACTAACTTATTAGTCAAAAATCGAGTCTTAACCTGATAACAGTAATAAATTCCATTTATTGTATGATATCATAGGTACTTATTCAAATATGTATGATATTTTTGATGTTATTTTGAATGTAATGATAATTGATTTTTTAGTGTACAGTAGAAAAGTAACACAAAATTCTTTATTATAAACTACTGTACAGTATTTAGTTCTTTTGAAGTTTAAAAAGTGATATTGAAGTTTGATTACTTTGCAACACCTTTTCTACTTCTTCATCAACTACTACTATTTCAAATATTTCATAAGAGAAAGTCTCAACACATCCGTTACAAAAGAATAACACTTTGAGGAGAACTGTTAAAGGAACCTAGGAGCATTCAATCAACCACAAATTCTGAACTAAGAGTGCCCTACCTATCTTAATTACAAAATCCAGTTAAATAAAACATACAAATGTTTATTCATTGATCAAGTAAAAGGGGATTATCCAAGTAACTTTTAACAAATTTATATGATATGTCACAATCAAATGGATCTACAACTATAACAACCACCACTACTCAAAGCACAGTCACAAAACCAAAAAGACAAAGGAATAGAACTCCAAAAAGTTGTTTACAATGTTCGAAAAGAAAAATATATTGTTCGAAAGAAAGACCAGCATGTAGTAATTGTGTGAAATATGCAGTAGGACATTTATGTTCATACACATTACCTCCTTGGGCTGATGCCAATAATAAAGAGAATAATTCCGCGTCACAACAACAACCACAACCACCACAACAATGTCCTATGAATCAAAATCAACAAACTACAACCATCAAAGTACAACAAACAAGTGAATATAAACAATTAAAACAAGAAAATGAGAAAATTATTCAATCACAAAGAAAAGAAATAGATGATTTGAAAAGACAACTATCTGTATTGCAACAATTATCACCTAGAGAACCTATCAATCAGCAACAAAGTATTGCATCCATTGGATGTACTACTATCACAATATTAAACAAAATCAGTCCTTTAGCTAGTACATATTTAAGTAGTAGAATCGAAATGTTGAATGATTATTCATTAAAGATTATTTTCAATTCAAATATGTCAAATAAGTCTACTTATATTGATACTTATTCATGGATTAATTTGATAAAACTTGATCCTCAATTAACCACTTTATGGTATAAAATTACAAATTTACAAAAAATGTATCATGTTTATAAAATGAATATACTAAAAGATAAAAACATAAATCAAAATCATAATATTAATAAACAACGACAACAATCAGAATTAGAACAAGTATGTGAAAGACCAAAGAAAAAAGCGAAAAAGTCAAATTATAAAATAAACGAAGTGGATTTTACATATTCATTACAACCATCAGCGAATCTAAAAGAATCATCTACACCACCGACAAACGAAGAGCACAGATGTCCAGTAATTGAATGTGATTTCAATTTCATGACAGAAGAACAAAATTTAAATACTCCTAGCCCATTCAGAGCATCACCATCAACACAAATTGTAAAATCAGAAGCAGCAGCTGCAACTCCAGAAATTGACCAGAAATCACGTATTTCATACACCGATAGTTTAAATCAAAAAATTTTAACTTTATGGAATTCATTAATAAATTTACCAAGAGGAGAATCTAAATTAAACATTCAACAAATTCATTTTTTATTAGATTATTATTATAATAAAAAGATTGAAAGTAGAGAAATATTATCATTTTATAGGTTTGACATTCAAGCAGTTTTTAAAAAGACATTTAATGATGAAGTTGAATTGAATCTACCACAACAGAATAAAGAACCTAATTACAAGTCTAAGCTTAAGTCATTAGGGATATTTCTTTGTATGTTAGCTGTTATTATTGAAGAAACTTTATCAGAAGTTAAAGAAATTGTTAAACAAGGTATTGAAAAAGATCTTTGTTTACAATTTGAAGAAATTTTTCCAAATGAAATGACATTATTAGGATTAGGAGTTAAACAAAATAATTTACTTTATATTGTTCAAGAAATTTTAATTAATTTTGAAAATGAAGAAAATCTGAATGAAGAAGATAGATCACTTTCATATTGTGCTGTGATTGTAAGTTTATTAAATAGAGAAATTGATGATTATAAAAAACCTGGTTCAAGTATTTCTGATACTAAAAATTCATTTACTTCAATATTCACTAATTTTTTACATATTTTATTAGATAGTCCCCTTGAAATTTGGAAAGATCCTGAATTAGTTGAATTAAAATCTCAATATAAAAAAAGAAAAAAAGATTTGAAATTACATTTTTGTTACCTTTGGACAAATATTATTAGATTAACTAATTTAGTAATGTTAAATTTTGTTCCATTTGTTAAACATTCAGAATATTTAGATGGTTTATTACATCGAATGTATATAAAAATAGAACAAGTTGATTCTTTACAATATCATTTAATGTATTTAACAAAAGTTGAAGAAAATGATTTAATTGTAATGTTACATGTTCATTATCTTATTGGAAATATATCATGTGCTTTACATCAAGGAATATTAAATCTAGGTACAAATAAATTAACTGTTCATAATTTACAACTTTTGATAAAGCAATGTCAAACTTGGATATCTGATGCTGGAGTTCAAAGATTGATTGAAATTAGAAAATTTGAGGTTTTAATAATTTTAGATTATTTATCATATTTTATGACTTATATTTCAATGCTTCAAGGTGAAGAACTTAATGATAAAGTATTGATTGGTAGTGTTGTTCCAGAAATTTTCACTAAATTATTAACTTTGATAAAACAATTGAAAGTAAACCCTAATAGGCATTCTCAATATATGTATTCCATTGTCACTGAAGTATTGACAAGACTGATTCAATTTGTTGTTGGTTTAATATCAAGAGTTAGAGAGGATAATAAACAACAAGATCCTTCTTTGTTGAAACAGGTTAGCGGAAATGTTATGTTGAACAATAGATTAGTTACTCCAATAGAATTTATGAATCATGTAACAAATGAAGTCAATGAAATTATTGCATTTTTAACGAATGTTTTAATCAATAAGGAAAGGTTATTCAAATTAACCAAATTATGGAAATTTTATATCACTTTAACAAAAGATTTGAGTTATGCTAATATTCATGCAAGTTTACCTGAATTTAAAAATAATACATCTACTGCTGTTTGTCCGGTTTTATCATCTGAATCACTGTCATCAGAGGGACTTATCAACAACTTTACGAAAGAGTCATCATCGAATCCACTGTCTTTACCTAAAATGACTTGTCCCGTGATGCATAATAACTTACCATTGTCATCAACATCTACTATGTCACAAAATACTCCAAACACTGTAGTATCATCAATTTCAAAAAATTCAAAATGTCCAATATCTCATATAACTACTCCAATGAATAATGATGAAGAAATTAAATTATCAAATTTCCCACCAGCACTTCAACCTTTTAATCATCATAAAGGATCAATCCATTCACAAAGTCCATTATCACCATCATCATCATCAAATCACAAAAAGGTTAAAAAATGTCCTTTTGACCATACTGCAATGATGAGACCTAATTTATATCCAAATCATATAGAATCTAGTATACGAGGGAACAATTTTAATCAAGATTATAACTCAAAAACGCATAGTCCAAGTCCATTAAGTAATAGCTATGCTAATACTCCTCCAATTTTACCACCTCAACCACTACAAAGTATAAATAAAAATTTGAATTCAGCAACAGTGATGAATACACCCCCAATTATGAACCCAATTAATCAACCACAACCAACAAATAATTTAACAAATGATTCACTCTTAACATCATCATCTAATATTAATTTGAATTTTGATGATAATTTAGATGTATTAAATCAATTTAATGAATTTGATTTTGATTTTTTAAATCAAGAAAATTTTATTGAACATTTTAATAATATAAATGGAGATTTTGGATTTAATTCAAATTTTATAGGACAAAATTTAAATAGTAATGGTGGTTCAAATGATGGATTCGATACTTCTGGGGGTATTAATAATATTGAAGGGTACTTTCAATAAAACTTTTTAAGTAGACAGAGATATAGATGAATAAATGTTATGATAAATTAATTCTACAACTTTTGAACAACGAAAATAAGTGTAAATTCTTAATAAATATATAAGATAATAGTTAAACAATGTAACAACAAATACATAAATAAATAGATAAAACCAATGAGTCTCCGAACTAACAAATCTCATAGGTTAGATGATAATAAACAACATCTCTTAAAAATGAATTCAAAAATAAAAAGTTCAACTTTTAAAAAATGATTAACCAAAAAAATAATGTGACAAATGGACCAAGAAGTTTAAATCAAATTGAGTTTTAAAAAAAATAAACAGCACAACGAACAAAAACAAACTAAAATAAATAATTACTTGATCAACCGGGAATAATGTTTGCTGGAGGAGGTAGTTGCTCTGGCTTTGGACCGGGAACAATAGCTGGTGGGGGTGGTACAGCAGCAGCAGGAGGAGGAACAGGTGCAGCAGGAGGAGGAACAACTTGAGGCTCAGGAACATATGGTAAATTTTGATGAATTTCTTGAACTTTGGACTTCAAGTCATAATCAACTTTATCGTCTTGTTTTCCATGTTCCTTTAAAAATTTTTCATGCTCTTGAGGTCCTTTTTCATGATGTTCTTTCTCATGTTCTTCTTTGTCATGTTTCTCTTTTTCATGATGTTCAGTTCCTGGACCCGTTTCATGTTTTTCTTTCTCATGGTGTTCTTTTGAATAATGTTCTTTCAAATGACGTTCACCTCCATAGGTACGATCTTTTGCATATTGATCCTTATCTTTTTCTTTAAAAAATGAGTTTTTATCATGAAGTTCCTTATCTTTGAGAATTTGATCATGTTCAAAATTATTATTCAAGTCAATGGGAGGTTGAACTTGTTGCTGAAAAATATCTCTCTTAATGAAATCAGATCCTTTCCAACCCTTTTTTCTTTCATAATTTTCATGTTCAACATCGTCTCTATCATGATCAAATTCATGGTAATAATCCTTATGATGCTCTTTTTCCTTTATATATTCATCTAATTCATGCAAATCTTTCAGAGAGTCTCCATCGTATTCTTTATCTTTGTCATGATTATGAAAATCAAAAGTCCGGCCATCTCTACTAAATCCATATTCGTCATCCTTATGTTCATTCTTTCCATGATTATTCCACCCATCATCAAAGTCTTCATGTAAATCAAATTGGTGACGTTCAGTGACGTTTTGATGAAAATCTTCTTCAAATTTCTCAGACTCATGTCTTTTAGCAAATGACTTCTTATCTTCATTTTTCTCCTTATCTTTTTCATGATCAACTTCGTGATAGTAATCTTTATGATGATTGTCTTCCTTCAAATACTCATCAAATTCATGAATAGTTTGTTCTGTATCAGCCCCATCTTTAAAATTTTTCTCATAGTGATCAATTGAGTGTCCCTCCTTATCTACACCAAAATGATCATCTCTATGTTCGTCTTTATCGTGATACTTATGGTCATTGTCATCTTTTTCATGTAAATCGTAACGATGGTTTTCACTCACATTGTTGTGATAGTCTTCTTCATATCGCTCAACTTCATGTCTTTTATCGATTTTGTTCTTTTTATCCTCTTTGTCATGATCAAATTCATGGTAAAAATCTTGATGATGATCCTTCTCTTTCACATATTCATCAAATTCATGCAAGTCTTTGGAATAGTCTCCATCTTTGTTATGATCCTTATCATGATGGTCTAATGAATGCCCATCTCTACTTAATCCATAACTATCGTCTCTGTGTTGATCCTTACCATGGTGATTCAAATCATCGTCAAATTCCTCATGTAAGTCAAATTGGTGATGTTCGGTGACGTTTTTATGAAAATCTTCCTGGTATTTTTCCACTTCGTGTCTTTTTCCGTTTTCACTCTTACTATTTTGACCTTCGTAATCTTTTTGATGATCGCTTTCAATAGCATTTTCAAAATTTTTATCTTGATTGACTTCTCGAAAAGACTCTTTGTCCATTTTCTTTTTCTTTTTGTACTCAACAAATTCATTTAAGTCGTTCTCATTACCTATTTCATCCTTTTCAATATTTTGAATAACAGAAAGAATTTTTAAATCTGTAGCTATATCATCATCCCCAAGTACTTCAAATTCATGAATTTCGTCACTATTAAGCTCATTTATTTTAAAATTTTCTAAATTGATTGAATCCTCAAAATTATTAGTCTCATCTCTTTTTTCATTCTTCTTCAAATCCTTTTCGTCATCGACGTGATCAAGTACTTGTTTGTAGTCTTCATGAACTTCTTTCTCAACGTCATTATCATCAGCTTGATGTAATTCTTTTTCTTTACGGGTTTCACCTTCGACATGCACTTCATGATGATCTACTCCCTTAAAGCTTTTATCATGATCATGCTCGTCCTTGTGATGTATTCTATTATCGTGTAAATTGTCTTTTTCGTGATACCCTTTCTCAAATAAATCCTTTTTGATATCAAAATTGTCTTTATTATGAACATGAGTTTTGTGATGTTGATCTCCAAAATCATTTATTTCCTTGAGCTCGTACTCATGATTTCCTTTGACTACTTTATGAATTTCTTCTTGATGTTCATTAAGTTCATATCTCTTAACTTTCGTTGCTTCTAAATTTTTATCATTTAATTTAAAATCTTGATCGTGCTTCTCTTTCTTCAATTCACTGATTTGACTTTCATGATGCTCCTCTTGAGTTTCACCATTACGGAGTTCCTCTTTTAAATAATCTTCTTTATGTTGATCAATTTTTTTCTCTTCACCTTCACATTCATGAACTTCCTCTCCTTTTCTAAATTGTTCGTGATGCAGTTTTTTATGATCTTTATTGTCATGTTCGTGATGTTTTTGTGTATGGTCTAAACCGTCAAGTTTTCTTTCAAAAAAGTTTTTTTCATAATCCTTATTCTTAGTTTCATGATTATTCATAGTATGATCAACCGTGGCATTTTTAAATCTCACGTAATGATGTTCTTCATGACTTCCCTTTTCGGTTTTGACATGACTTGTTTCTTGACGACCACGTGAAATATCATTTATTGGAATTGGTAAAGGTCTAATAATTGGAGGAGGTCTAAAACCTTTATTAAACTTTGGTGACTGAAATATCATGTCAAATTTATCATTAGACACTTTCTGATTCAGTGGTTTGGGTCCATCAAATATTACTTCTTTATCAAAATATGGCTTTTTAGTAACTGAAACTGCTTCAAAAACATCAGAACGACTCAATGAACCAACATCAACTAAAGCCGGAAGCAAATCTAAAACAAAATTGGATAATACACGAGCAACCTGAGAATCTGAAAATGTCAATTTTTTAACATCTAACTGCAACCCACTGGATTGAACAGCTACAAAAATGTCTTCCCAAGGTAACGCCCCTTCATTCAAAAGTCGAACTGTAAGATCAAATAATCCCTTTCTAACAATTCCATCATTTAATGACAAAGTCAAAATTTGATTTATCATGGCTGAATCCTTTAAGGATAAAAACATTTTGAGCAATAATTCGTCAGGAGAGTTATTAGGATTAATACTAATACTTTGTGCTGAAAATTCAACATCTTCATAATGACCTCTGGGTAAATGTATCTTTTTTCTTCCATCAATTGAGGAATGTTTCAAATCACGTTTACCTTTGCCTTCATCGACTTCAGTTTTGTCTTTATCTTTTGGACAGTCTGGATCATCCTCTTCCTCGTCTGAAGAGTAATTACCTGTTGGTTCGGGGGCTTCTTCTAAAGTTTTTTGTGTGCTTTGACTTGGTGACTTAGATGCAGATGTTTTAACTGGTCCGTTTGAAAAGTGTTTCGTAGTTCTTAAAGTAGTTGATTTGGTAGAAGGAGGAGCGACTGAAGTCTTTTCATCCAGTCTTACTTCCTCTTCTGGTTTTGTACTAGTTGGTTCAATTTTAGATTTGGATGAAGTTGATGCTGTCTCTTCCTCCTCTGATGTGGATTCTTCTTTTGATTTAGTGGGAGTAGATTTGATTTTTGATGAAGTTGCAACGGATGAAGTTAGCTCTTTAGTTGAAGTGATGCTTGGTTTAATTTTAGAACTGCTCAATTTTGAACTTGTTTCCTCTTGAGTTGTAACCTCTTCTTTCGATCCCGTTGAAGATGATTTGACTTTGCTTGTTGTGATTTTGCTGACAATAGTTTCCTTTTCTGTGATGGTTCTAGTTGAAGAAGTAGATGTACTTTTAGCAGCATAAATAGTGGTGATTGGTTCAGTTGTTATACCTTTATTCTTTTTGAATTTTTTCTTCAAGTCTTTGACATTAATACCAGTAGGCTTTTTAAATTTTCCACCAGTTTTCTTTTTAAACTTTTCACCAGCTTTACCAAACTTACCACCAGCAGATCCTTTTAATTTTTCTCTAAGCTCCCTCCACTTTTTCTTCTTGGGTTTTCCAGTGGGTGTAGGCGATTCTGACGCTGTATCTGTTTTTTCAGCTTCAGTGGATGTGTAACTCGAAGTTGGTTCCGCGGTGGCTATAGGCTTTGAAATTGACTTAAATGTTGAAGTTGGTTTTGATTTCGAGATTGTCGATGCTGATTTTGAAATTGAATATGATCCACTTTTGTAAGTAGTTCTGACTGTATGAATACTCGATGAAGCTGTCTTCGCTTTTTTAGAGCTAGGACAGTCTGGATCCTCTTCCTCAGACTCGTTTGATTGATCATTATCAACATCATCTTCTGTTTCATCACCAGCAGTTTCCGTCTCTTGTGCATTACTACCTGATTCTACCTGTGTATACGTTTTCGATACCACAGTTTCAACTTTTGTCGTAAGACTTTGCTTCTTCTTCTCACCAAAAGACTGAGCATTTACTTCGCTTTTATGATCTGCATTCTTCTTACCCCATTTGGACCACAATCTAGATGCCAAAGAAGGTTTATTTTTTTTCAAATCATCAGCTACTTTTTCATTTTCCTTATTCTCTTCCTTCTTTTCATCATTATCAGTAAAACTTTCATCACTTGGTCCATATTTCTCATAATTTCCAAAATCTTCATCCACATATCCAGAATATTCTCTATCGATTTCCGGTTCAACTGATCTTTTGAAAATATCAATTTTATCCATTTGAGCTTTACCACCCATACTTCCTTTACTATAACGACCATTTTTTACTAATTTTTCCAACTTAAAGTCATTTGCTAATGGTCTACCATTGAGTTTTGGATTAGCATGCTTGAAAAGACTGTCATCTTTAATGTACTCTTCTTCACCATCTGGCTCGACACAATTGCAATCATTTTCATCATCGTTTTCAAATGTATCTTCTTCATCACAATCTACGTCTTTTTTGGGTACAACGGATTCATATGTAATTTCTTTGACAAATGTGGCAGTTACTGGTACTTCAACTTCAACGGTTTTGATTATTTGAATGGTTTTAACTGGCTCCTCCACTGGTTCATGGATATAAGGCGCCTTGGTGAATGATGACTTTATTGTACTTGGACCTTTAACTTCTGGCTCTGTTTCTTCTTCTGACTCTGGCTCTTCTACTTTTTGCTGCTTGCCTTTCTTCTTCAATAATCCTTTTAATTTCGCCTTTATTTTAGCTTTATCTTCTTTTCTAACCTCTGTCTCGCCATCACTTTCAAGTCCAGGTTGATCAATTTTAAAACCTGCATTAGTTTTGGTGGGAGGAATGGCAACATTCTTGTTTTGAAAAATATATTCACTTCTTTTTTTAAGAATCTTGGAATCAGGACCTAAGTTTGCTTCATAACTATTATCAAGACGATACTCTTCTTTATCATAAACTAAACGATCCCCTTCTTTTGTCTTTATTGCTCCTCGTTCTGATTTATATCTTCCTTTATCATCACCACGAATAGAATTTTCATCCAATTTTTCTTTTGGTTTTACATCTTCTTCCCTATCAGTTTGTTTTGAATCATCAAATTGTTCTTCAATATCTGATTTTTCCTTTGAATTCAAATCTCTCAACTTAAGTTCGTTTGACCAATCTTTTTTCCACTCTTTAGATTCATTTTTATACTTTTTAGGATCATAAATCTTTCTCCCTTCTCTAAATCTTCTTTCTTGTTCAAATCGATCTTTTAATAACTTCTCTAAATCTTCACGATCTTTTTCATATTTCTTACCATATTTTATATTCCAATCCTTTTTAAATTGATTTTCCCAATCCTTATATTCTTTCTCCCATTCATTATTGGGGACTCTATATTCATAATCTTCATCATCATCAGAATCTGAGGATTCATAATCATCACTTTTACCTTTACCGGATTTAAATTTCTCGTTATTGTTATCACGGAAATTTCTTCCTTTTCCACGACTTGGTCTAAATTTTCTACCTTTGCCTTTGCCTTTACCTTTACCAAATTTTGAAAACAATTTTTTCCAATCATTCATTTTAATATTTTTGAGATCATTTGGAGATAACTTTTCTCTTTTCTTAGTAGGTTCATTGGAGTCTAATTCCCTCTTTTTATGTTGTTTGGTTGTTTTATCTTTATCAAATCTCCAAACGTCAATTTGATCATGAGTAGTTGTTGAAGGGAGCTCTGCACTACTTGTAGTTGCAGCAGCAGTCTGGGATGATACCGGTTGAAGAACTATTGGTTGATATCCGATTGGAGCAGGAAATTGTCCAACTGGAGTATATTGGTTTAAAGGTTGTTGACCTCCATTTGCAGCAGCATTTCCAGGATAAATCGGGGATGGGTAAAATACAGGTTGATTTGCAGGTTGATAAATTACAGTTTGTTGATCATTAACCTCATAGCCACCATCATCAGTATTTGCTTCATATTGATTACCGTCAACACCTTCTTCTTCTTCATTGTTCACCTCTCCATAAGTTTCCTTTATTTGATCTAACAAAACTAACATATCACGTAAAATTGATACTTTATCTAATGTAACATCTCTACCAACAGACATTAATTCCCATAAAATATCATTAATACCTTTCAAGTCATGTTCGTGCTGTAAACTTCTAACGCTAGTGTCATCCACAAATTCAACATAAGCTTCAACATTGTTAGTCAGGGCGTGATAAGATTGTTGATTAGATTGTAATTGCGGTGAAACATTTGAGGTGTCCATCTCATCTATACTAATTGGATTATCAGAATCAACCGGTGGTAAAATCTTATCTGTTTTCACAGTTTGAAAAGGAAGTGGAGGTAATGGAAATTTCCAATGGAAAATTGGTAATGATATTTGATGTTTAGTTTTCAATTGTCTTCTTCCAGATGAATTAAATTGATCTGGTGGTACATTAGTTTCAATTTGATCATTTACATAACTTCTTTTATCAAATATTGATAGTGAATAAATTGTTGTCACAACAAATAATAGTTGATAAATTTTCATGCTTGTTGTTGTAAACAATCGTCAAAGATTATCAAAAAACATTGAACTGAATCATAATTAAAAGACAATTGTTGATTTATATAGATCCTTCTAAGACATCGCATTGAAGAATACTTTCCTAAATTGTGGACTGAATTAATCTATTATGTTTTCGTAGTAATACCATCTTTGAAAAATCAGTACTTCATTTCACGTGAAAATTTTTGTAATGCTGACCAGATCTTAAATCAAATCTCTTGATTGAAGAAAAGATCGCCGAATCTTTAATTTAAATAATTTGTAGTTTCCATTTTCCTTCTTTATTCTTCATTCTTTATTCTTTCTTCTGTTTCGATTGATACATTAAGTTTTAGGGTAAAACTATTCGTAACACAAAATGTCAGAGATCTGATCTGATAAAAAATCTGTGTCGGAAAAAAGTCTTGTCGTCTAATTTTAATGATTTTCAAGACATGAAATGGCTACTCCATATTTTATAATTTAGTATGTCATGCACTTACATCTTTGTTTCATAGTTATTCAGATTCAAAATAAATTTGCTATGTATTAACCAAGACTATATAACCATATATTAAAATAAATCAAAGTTTTTTGAAAATGATAAGATTAATTAGACCTCGTATATGTCTAAATAAACCTTTAGTGCCGTGTTTTAGGTTCACTCAATCATCTTTACTCAAATTAAGATCAAAATATGGATCTTCAAAATTCTTTTATTCAACATCACCACCATTATCAAATTCTACCATCAACCCAACACAAAGAACCACCACCACAAAATCAAGATCAAATAGATACAAAAAACTATTTATAATAGGAATAGGTATAGGTTTAACAGGAACAATTTTTTTCTATACAAATGATAAATTTAAACATTCAATCTTAACCATTGATAGAGTTGGTGTAGTTGTTTTAGCAATGACTAGATGTTTTGCATTATATAAAGAAACATTGGGGAAAGAATTTTCAACTCCAGAAGAAAGACAACAAGCATTATCAAAAACTCATAAAAAAGCAGCCACTATAACCCTAAAAGCATTAGAAAAAAATGGAGGTATATATATAAAATTAGGTCAACATTTATCTGCATTAACTTATTTATTACCACCAGAATGGACTGAAACAATGATACCATTACAAGATAAATGTCCAAGATCATCAGTTGAAGAAATTGAAAAAATGTTTGAAACAGATTTAGGTTTAAAATTATCTGATATTTTTATTGAATTTGATCCAAATCCTATTGGAGTTGCAAGTTTAGCACAAGTTCATATAGCAAAATTAAGAAGTAATGGAGAAAAAGTAGCTGTAAAAGTTCAACATCCAAGTTTAAAAGAATTTGTTCCATTAGATGTTGAATTAATTAATATGGTTTTTAATTTAATGTATAAAGTATTTCCAGAATATCCAATGACTTGGTTAGGTGAAGAAACTCAAAATTCAATATTTACTGAATTAGATTTTACAAAAGAAGCTGAAAATTCTAAAAGAACAGCTGAACATTTTAAAAATTTTGAATTTTTAAAAATTCCAAAAATTATACAAGATAATAAAAGAATTTTAATTATGGAATATGTTTCAGGTGCAAGATTAGATAATTTAAAATATTTGAAAGATAATAATATAGATCCATCAAAAGTAAGTACTTGTTTAACACATATATTCAATGATATGATCTTCACACCAGATGTAGGATTACATTGTGATCCTCATGGTGGTAATTTAGCAATAAAATCAACACCTGAAAAAAAAGGTGGTTATAATTTTGAAATTGTATTATATGATCATGGATTATATCGTGATATCCCATTACAAATTAAACGTGATTATTCACATTTTTGGTTAGCTGTATTAGATAACGATGTTCCAAAAATGAAAAAATATGCAAAATCATTAGCTGGAATAGAAGGTGAACAAAAATTTAAAATTTTTATAAGTGCAATAACAGGTAGAACTCCAGAAGCTGTATTAAATAATGAGATAAAAAAGAAAAGATCAGCAAATGAAGTATTTGAAATTCAATCACAAATAAATGATGATAATTCAGGTATATTAGAAGATTTAATGGATATTTTATCAAATATGCCAAGAATGATCTTGTTGATTTTAAAAACTAATGATTTAACAAGACATTTAGATGAAAATTTACAATCTGATTTGGGGCCCGAAAGAACTTTTTTAATAATGGCAAATTATTGTGCAAAAAATGTTTATGATGAAAAAAATGATATTATAAATACACAAGATAAAGGTATAAAATGGGTTATAGAAAGAAGTTTAAATTGGTTTGATTATCATAAAAGATTGGCATCTTTATTTATTTATGATATAATTTTAAAATTTCGAAATTTTAGATTAAAACTTTAGAATAAAAGAATATATCAAATGCAACGAATGTATATACAATTTATTTATATATAGAAGATTCAATAGAAACGAAACTTTTTAAAATAGACTAGTTAATTTCCACGATCTTTTCTAATTTTATCCAATAAATTATTTATACGAGGACCCATTGATGGTTGACCAGTTTTAGTTTTTCGTTTTAATTGTTCTTTTTTTAATTCTCTAATTTTTTGTTGTCTTGCTATATTTTCAATTTTATCTTGAATTTTTTGTAATTTATCATGTCTTATTTTTGATCTTCTTTCTTTTGCTATTGCTGCTTTTTCTGCATATGTCAATTCTTTGGGATTTATCTTGTTGGATGATGAAGGTTTTGATTTTTTGGGTTTTAGTTGTTCTTCCTCCTGTTCATTATCTTCGCTATCACTTTGTGAATCATCAACATCGTTACTCTCCTGCTGTTCTTCTGCATCATCTATTTCATTTTTAGGTTGTTCATCTATTCCTTCTTTTTTTAATAATTTAAAATAATTCTTTCTTAATCTAGCTCTATGAGTTAATGCTCTTTGAATATCTAGTGTTTTGGCTTCTTTTCTATCTATAAATCTTTTTTTATTTTTATTATTAAATTTATGATTACTACCAGTACTAGATTGTCGTCCCACCATTTTTTTGTATTATGTTGTTATTGTAGTTGGTTTTAGTTGTGATGAATAAAGGATATGATGTACTTAAATATAAAGTAAAACATCATTTCCTTTGCATATCATTTTTTTTAGTAGAAAGAAAGAACAACAGTTTTGTGTTTCAATTAAAATTTTAGGGGGTAATAGAATTTAGATCAATGATAAGGGGGTAATTTAATATGGTATTCACAATTTGGACAAGGAATAGGAAAATCCAGCTAGATCTCGAGACTTTATGAATCAACTTTTTTTAACATCATTTTCATCTAAACTGAATAGATTGTTATTATTTGTATCTCTCTCTGGTTTACAATAGGCACATACTGCAGGGTGGCAGAGATTAACCCAAGAGCTCTAAATTTAATACTGTGCGAAATAATTGTTTAAGGTCTGAAGCTGAATGAGTTGGTAAACAGTACGGTTTCGTATTAATTGGAGATTGGATCAATTTGTCTTATCTTTAATCAACACCAATCAATGAATTTGCAACATATTGTAGGCTATAGAATTTGCGGCTTATGAAAAACGGTCTAAAAATATTTTTCAACACAAAACATATGAAAATTGGTTTTAGAGATTAACTTTTGAAACATTCTACAACATAAAAAAGACCATTAGTTTGGAAATATATTCACTTCATCTGCATTTTTAATTCACAATATTCTCCTGAAAGCCTTAATGTTAGCAGTCATATAGTATCAATCATTTAAATTACGAAACTTTCATTATCAAAAGCTAAATCATAACTATAAATATCATGAGTTCTAAAGTGCCGAACAATCAAAAATATAAATCATTAAATCAGAGTGTTCATGATCAGACGGATGATTTGACATCAGTTAGTAATACCTTACTTCCAGATGAATCAAACCTAGATTCAACCAACACCAACAATTATAAGCATAACAATAGATCAAATGATAATGAAATTTTTAACCAAGATAATAATAATTATAATTCTGAAGAATTTGAACTCGAGACTTTAAATAATTTAGATTATGAAATATCAATAGAAGAAGATGATATAACTACAACTGCATCAAATACACAAACTTCCTCTCAAGATCAAGGTGGTTCATCAAATATGAAAATGGCATTTATGAATATGACAAATTCAATATTAGGAGCAGGAATAATTGGACAACCATTAGCTTTTAAAAATTCAGGGTTAATTGGTGGAATCGTTGTAATGATTATATTAACTTATTTAATTGATTGGACTTTAATTCTTATAGTTAAAAATTCAATATTAACAAATACAAAATCTTATCAAGATACAGTTTATAAGAGTTTTGGAATGGGTGGTAAAATTATATTATTATTTTCTATATGTTCTTTTGCATATGGTGGATGTATGGCATTTTGTGTTATTATAGGAGATACAATTCCTCATGTTATAAGAATTTTTTTACCAAATAGTATAGTTGAAAATAATCAATGGAATTGGATTATATCTAGAAATTTTATTATACTGATTTTTACAATATGTATATCATATCCATTAAGTTTAAATCGTGATATTTCAAAATTAGCAAAAGCTTCAGCATTTGCATTATTAGGAATGTTTATTATTGTATTATTAACTTTAATTCGAGCACCATTTGTATCATCTGAATTAAGAGGTGATATTTCAATATCTGATTTTTTAATTAATAAAAATATTTTTCAAGGTATATCAGTTATAAGTTTTGCATTAGTTTGTCATCATAATACAATGTTTATTTATCAATCAATATCAAATAAAAATTTAAAAAAATTTAAAAAATTAACTCATTTATCATGTATTATTTCAATGATTTTTTGTATGATTATGGGAATAAATGGTTTTATAAATTTTAAATCAAATACAAAGGGAAATATTTTAAATAATTTTAAAAGTAATGATAATTGGATAAATATAGCAAGATTTTGTTTTGGTTTAAATATGTTAACTACTTTTCCCTTGGAAATATTTGTAGTAAGAGATGTAATAAAGGAGATTCTCCTAAGTAAAAAAGCAGCTACTCAAGGATTAACAAGTTCAGATTTTGAATTATCAAAAATACAACATTTTTTAATAACTACTTTTTTAGTATTTAGTTCAATGTTAGTTAGTTTATTTACTTGTAATTTAGGTATTATATTAGAATTAATTGGTGCAACATCAGCAAGTCTTATGGCATATATTTTACCACCATTATGTTATTTAAAATTAAATTATAAAAATTTAGGTGGAAATTGGTCAAAATTAGATAAACAAGAAAAACGAAATTTTTTAATTTCAAAATTTTTACCCTGTATTAGTTGTGTTATATTTGGTTTTGCTATTATGTTTATAAGTTCTGGAATGACTATTATGGATGCTATAAATAATAAAGATGAAAGTGATCATTGCGTTGTTGACTAGAAAAAAGATATACCTACATAGACTTTAATTAGAGAAAAAAGAAAAGCATTAAATACATATCATTTGCATTTTATTTATTAATATGAGTGACTCTAGAAATGGGTTCTATTCATCTTCATCATCAAGTATGATTGCTCTTCTTTTTCTTGAAGGTAAATCTCGTTGTTGTGGTATTTTTTCATCTTCATCTTCATCCGTTATTCTCGATCTTTTTAAAATTGTATCTGATTCAATAGCTGATGTATTAGATGAATTTTGTGATAATTCTTTATCTTCTAAATCAGAATCAACTGAATTATTATCAGATTCTTTATCTTTTTCACTATTATCATAATTATCAATATCATTCTTTGTTGTATCTATTTCATCTTGACTAACTTCATCATCACTCTTTGTTACTTCTTCATCTTTATCTTTATTTTTATCATAATCATATTCTTCATCATCTTCATCTTCAGGTACAAATAAAGAAACTTCTTCAACAACCTTATCAATAACTTTAGAAACATTTAAATTATTACCTGAATTTTTCGCTAAATTATCCCACATTTTTTTAATTTCTTTTAATTTTAAATCATTTGATATATTTTGATTTGAATTTAATAAATTTCTTAATATTTCTTCTCTTTGAAAAAATTCTTCATCATCTGAATTATCATCTGATTCATTTATAAATTCTGATGATTTTATTTGATGATTTGATGAATTATTATCGTCATCTTCTATTAAATCTTTTGGTACTTTTCTTCTTCTAATTTGAGTTGAAGGAGCTTTAGCTTTAGTTTTGGTTTTATTATTGGTCTTTGGTATGGTTTTTGATTTTCTTTTTTGAGCTTTTCCTGGTTCTATATTTCTTCTAGGTCGATCTGACTTATTATGTAATTCTAATTGTTGTTCTATTTCATCCAATTCATCAAGTTCAGTACCATTTTTATTATTTGAATTTGGATTTGCAGCAATTTCAAATGCAATTTCATTTTCTGAATCATCATCATCATCATCATTTCCCCGATATTCTTCATCATCATTACCAAATCCATTCAAACGAACATAATCACCATTTTTATCTTTAATCTTATATTTATCATTAAGATAATCAAGTTCATATAATTCACCAGTTGATAAATAACATTTAGTTGAACTTTCTTCAATTCTTGGAAATAAAATTTCGATAATATTAGGAAATCTTGTAAGGGCAATTTTAAATTTTTTCATAAAATAATAAATAAATTCTTCAATTTTATTTCTAATTGATGAACCTCTTGGTAAATGATTTTTTAATTTTGATAATAATTGTAAAAAATCTAATCTAAATAATCCATTATAATCCTTTTTTATAACAAATAATTTATGAAAATAACTTATACAAATTTTAATATCTTCATGAGTTAAATCTTGATATCTTGATAAATATTCAATATATGATGTTACAATTGATTGATTAAAAAATCTAATTTCAGTTTTTGCAAAATTTAATTTTCTTTCTCTTGTTACTTCTTTTATATTTTCTTTAACTAATTCTTCATCTGATTCATAAATGGCATTTGATAATTTATTTTCATTATCCCTATCTAAATCATTAATTCTTGATTTATTTTGTCTTTTTTGTCTTCTTTTAGTTTGTACATATAATTGTAAATCTTCTTTTGCAAATGATTCAAATGATTTTAAAATAATGGTTATAACTTTTATTGATTCACCAAGAAATTTAGGGGAATGTTTAAATGCAATTTGAGGAATTTGAACTAAAATATTTAAAAAATCATTAAATGAAAATAATTTTCTAATTATACCTTCAGCTAATTCTCTATCTATTTCATGTTGAATTATTACTTCATTATCGTCATCATATTCATTTTGTTGTAATTTTTGTTTACCAAAAATTGAATTTGAAATTTGTAATAATTCTTTAAAACAAATCATTGCAACATGTAATGAATTCCATAATTTATTTGTAAAAGAATCTCTAAAATATGATACTATTAATATAAAATTAATTTCACTTAATGCAGCTCTAACAGAACCAAAATCATAATTTTTTGAACCATTTAAATTTATATGTTCACGTTGATAATTTAAAAACCATGAAATAGTGAAAAAATAACTTGCATTTGATAATTCATCAGTTTGTGAATATTCTGATTGACTTGTTAATTTAGATGCCATTATTTCAATTAAATTATTAAAACATCCTTCTAATAAAAATTCTTCAATAAATTTATTTAATAAAATTCTACCTTCATTATTTAAATAAACAGGAGTAGTTGTTTTTATAAAATCATCTGAATCATATTTAAAATGAGATTTATTTTGCCATGTTTTTGATTTATCTAATTTGTCCATAGTTCCATCTGTACCAATTAATGCTTCTTCTCCTGATACAACATATGAATTTGAATCTGAAGATCGAATTGATAATAAAGTACCAAATTTTCCATGTCTTGTTGCAATATTTGAAGTATGTGCTTGTTTCTTTTTAGCTTCAGTAGCTAACATATCTGATAATTGTAACCCCACGGTAGTTGATATTGGAGCTATTGGAGCTGAAGCACTTACAATATTTTCATCTTGTGGAGGTTTTTGTAATACATCTTTTGAATTTAAACCTTTAACCATTAAATATATACATTCAAGACAAATTTCTCCAAATAAATCTTTATCAAATTCTGTTCCTATGGAACCAGATATCGTTAGTAGTAGCATTAACACTTTATTTTTTTTAAAAATTCTTAAAATTTTATTTATTGATATATCATCTTGTGTTACACCAGCTGGTAAATCAGCAGTTGCAACCATTGATTTATGAGAAGATTTTGAAGATACTGATGATGTAGGAGGTTCTATTGCTAGTAGATTCCGTATAAGATATAATACTAACCTTAATATTTGATTATCTCTTGGTTCTCTATCAATTTTAGATTTTGCAATAACTGGTAAAACTAATCTAATAATAGCTTTTAAAGTTTGACCATCATTATAATTTAAAATATGTTTTTTATATATTACATGATTTTTTTTAATATTTGTATATAATAATTTTTGATTATCTGATAAATTATTACTAAATTCAATTGGCCATGTTAATAATACCAAAATTTCTAAACATGATAACATAATTTTTTCCATTGACATTTTATTCTTGATAGGTCGTTTTTTTTGCATTTTTGATTCCCATTGACTTAATATTATTATTAAATCATTTTGTATTAAACCACATTCTGCACAAGCTAATGCAACTTCATAATTATTTTGTTTTTCATCAACTGCTTTTATCCATCTTTTAATATCTTTTAAACATGCTAAAGCATCATGTCCTAATTTATATGGGGATGGTTTTATATCTGATGCATAATCTATACCACCTAAAGCTGAAATTAAAACAGATATATGAGCTTTTAATAATTTTTGAGCTTGAGTTTCATTTGGTTTTAAAGTTGTAGTTAAAGTTCTAATTTTATCTTCTTCAGGTTCTTCTTCTTCTTCCTCATCATCAACATTTATGACGGTTGGATTATTTTTATGTGAGTTTATTTCTGATAATTGTTTTTCATCTATTACAATAGGTCTCTCTTCATCACTAAATTCAATAAAATCTTCAAATTCTTCTAAATTATGATAATCATCTTCAATATTTGAATCTGTTTCTGAATCACTCATCTATTCGTATAAGATTATTAAATACTGAGTTAATGAGCTATGCTAATCCACGATCAACGTTGAATATAAGGTGGTGTTTTCTTTAATATTAGTTGGTTGTAAAAATATTAATACAAAGTTGATGATAGATTATACGCGTATACTCTCATATTATTAATTTTGTATAAACAAACACGTCCTATATTTTTTGGAGTGTCTCAAATTAAAACTTGTCACTGAAATTTCATCAAAATTGTTTTACGACACAAGCTACCAAATATCTGATACTTGACTTCTCCCCACAAAATCTTTGATAATGTATGATCAGGAGTTAACAAAATTAATTACAAAACAAGGGTCCTATTTTTTAATTCATTGAATGAAGTTCTATAAATTTATGGAATTTAATATTCAAATATATTATTGAATTAATCCCATCTTTAACTTTGTCAACATACTCCTCATTTCCAATTTGTTGGTCCAAGAAGTCATGAGGTTGTTATGTTTAAAATAAACTTTCAAAACCTTTTTCTTTTTTTTTTTGTCTAAAACAATCAAAATGTAAAAACATCAAAGTTTACAAACGTTTGATGGTGAATTAAGCTTAACAAAGTTTACAAAGGTGAGGATGATCAGTAGACAATTTAATACAAATTACATTTCCCTATCAAATTTCTTAATTTGAACGTATAGTGAAAAAACTCCGAAAATGAATCTTAATTAAGCGAATTCAAATTATAAACAAAAAATGGACTACATTGAATTATAAAACTTATTGGTGTAACTCCTTCAATATTTAAAGGATTTTAGTTGTAAATCCCTCGTCTATACCAAGATTTCATACAATTGCACTCATCAAACCAAAGCTTGAGTATCTTCTTTTTAAACATGTATTTGATAAAGTCTTGTGAAAATTTATACAGTAGTAATTTGGTAGCTTCTGTCACCCATTTTGTTAAACCTTAATTTAGTTGTAATAAACAATTATTATTCCACTTTTACAATCAAATATTATTTTTATTAAATTTTTTGAATTATCCGACCAAACAACTTACCAAATATCATCTGAAGTAATTTGACAAAGTGATATTCAAATGTCAAATACACAAGAACCACCATCTAAACCAAGTGGTCAAAAACAAAAAAGAAATCGTTTAGCTGCTTCATGTTCAGTTTGTAGAAAAAGAAAATCAAAATGTGATAAAGCAAAACCAGTTTGTGGATCATGTATTAAAAAATCAATAGCTCATTTATGTCATTATGAAACTCATAGTTCAAAACAAAGATTAAGTCAAAATTATCAATATCAACAGGATTATCAGCAACAACAACTACATCAGCAACCAAATCTTCCGCAACATCAACAACCACTACAACAACAACATCAGCTACCACAACATACCCCTCATCCTCCTCCAGCACCTCCATTTTATAATGAACAATATAATTCACCTGGTCCATTGAATCAACAACAACAACCTCCACTTCAATCCTCATCATCATATCAAAAAGGAAATTCAAGGCCGACCCCTCATTTTCAGCAACCACCACTTCACCCTCAATATCCAATTCCTCCATCACCTTTTTCATCAGATCCAATGAATCATAGTACAAGTAATAACACAACTAATGGAATAAATAATCATACTTATAATAGTCCACATAATCATTCACACCAACATCATATGCAACCACCTCCACTACCTGTACCTCAACCACCTCCACCACCAGCACCACTTCATTCACATTCTTCATATTCATCAAACCATCAACCACTGCCATCTGCTTCATTGTATCCTGTTCCAGGTCAAAGTCCGTCTTATTCATCATTACCTAATACTACAAAGGTTCCACCTCAATTACCTATCCCAAATTCAACTAATTCAAATAGGAATTCACAAGATAATGGTAAACCAAAATTAACAAGTCCACCGAAATCATCATTCAAAGGGTATCAACCTCCAACTTCTTCTTCTTCGATCAATTCATTACCTTTACCACAACCTCCTTCAGGGCCATCCTCCATTACAGCAACGCATAATAATAACCATCATATTGAGCATAGGAATTCATCATCAAGATTAAGTATACCTTCACCGAATAATTTCATGACAAATGCATCACCAACTGGGAATAATTTTATGACACCTCCTTTAACAAAATTGAAATCTATTAACGCTGATTCTGGAATAACTCCTCCAAATTATAATAATAGCAATAATAATGGTAATAACAATAATAATAACAACACCAATAATGTTAATAATAAAGCAGGTAATGCAATTTCCAGCCCTGCATCATATTCATTAGGTAAAACACCTTCTATACAATCAAACAATTCTCCAAATTATAAAGATTCAATTTCATCAAACCCTTTAGTATCTATACCATTAGGACCGAATTCATCATTACAAATAAGTCCCGATGATAGAATCAATGTATTTTCAAATGCAAGTTTATCATTAAGTTCTGAAGGTCCAAATGGTCAATTACAAGGTTATCTTTCATATATTGGATTAACAAAATTAGATCCATTTATAACAATTTTAAGAAATTTTTTAGTTCATTTATTTAAAACTGGAGAAATGGCTGTTTTTATAGAAAGTGATAATACAAGAAAAAGAAGAAATTCAAATGGTTCATTAACATCAGGTAGAAGAAGTCTTGATTATTCATCGCCTGCTCATAAGAAATCAAAAGTTGGACAAAATCAAACTAGTCCAATGGAAGGAATTCCTGGATTAAGTGATGGTGATTCTGGTAAAAATGAAGGTGGTGGTGATTTAAATAAATTATCAAAAACTGCCATTAATAATTTAAGAACTGAAGCAAATAATTCATTAAATATATCTTCACCAATTGATGATTTTTCACCAAATAATCTCGTCACTGGGGCTGGAAATAATAACAGCAATAATGCAAGTAATAATAATAATCAACTAAATAATGAATCTCAACCAACTATAAATATCCCAACCTTTGAATTAACTTTACTAGCAACAAATGATAAAAAACAATATTATTCAATGGTTGAAAAATATATTACATCAATTTTACCAGATCAATATAATCTGTTTCAATTATTTTGTCGTTTTTTTAAATATGTTTATCCATTTGTTCCAATAATTGATGAAAATTCCCTTATAGTTGATGTTAAAAATTTATTAAAAAATTTTCCAGCTTTTAGTCATGAAAAATGGAATAATTTAAAAATTAAAAATGATAATGATTTAAGAACTTTAGGTATATTTTTATTAATTTTAAAATTAGGTTATATGACATTAATTCATAATGATAATGTTTATAATGATTATAATGAAAAAGAATTATCCATAATTGAAAATATGAAACCTATAACATCAACAATTTTTAGAAAAGCTATTGATTTATGTATTGGAAATAGTTTAAATGCATCAAAATCTTCTTTTAAATTAGTTCAATTATTATCATTATTATATTTTTATAAAGAAAATGCTCCAGATGATGGTCATGGAATATGTGGAGCTGATTCTCAAATTTTATTAGGTATAACTATAAGACATGCATTATCAATAGGATTAAATAGAGATCCAACTACTTATTTAACTCATGATGTTATAACAAAAAATCCAGGATTAATTAAAACTTGGAGATATTTATGGTATTATATCATAGGAAATGATGCAGTTAGTTCAATACATAATGGAACAAATTTAAATTTAATGAATTTAGATATAAGTGATGTTCATATACCTTATGAATCCAAGGACAAATCTGGACAATTAAATGAATTTATTAAAAAAACAATATTGATATATAAATATTATAGACAATTAGTTTCCAAAATTTGTAATATGTCTGTTAAACCAAAAGTTATGGATATTTTATCAGATACAAATAATTTAGAAAGAATATTTTTTGAATTTTTTGGTAAAGATTTTTTTAAAGTTGAAATTTGTAAACCAGCCAAGATAAATCCAAAAAGTGAAGAAGATGGTTGGGAAGTAGGGTCCATTGAACATGAAGAAACTTTTATGAAAGTAATGAAATATTGTATATTTATACAATTAAGAACTAATTTATCTGGATTATATTATATGATTGCAATACATTATGAAAATGAATATAATGAATCTAAAACACCGTCAATGAATGCAGGTATTGAATTATTTAAAATTTATATAAAAAGTGTTGTTCAAATAGTTTATATAATGTCATATGTATTAGATAATTCAGTTGAATTATTTGGTAAACATTATGATTATATATTAACATCAGCAAATGAAAGATATATGAATAAAACTCATTCATTTTTAACAAGTTTTTTTGTTAGATTATTACATCAAAAAAAGGATTTATCATTTAAAGTATTTAAAGAACCAAGTTTTATACCAAGATTAGAAGTAATGGATACTTTATTTACAATGGTATTAATTGAAGCAGAATTATTTGTTGGAAATTTTAAAAAATTATCAAGAACTTATATTAATAGTTATAGATTATATATAATGACATATATTATATTAAGACAATGTGTTGAAAATCCAGATGTATTTTTTGAAAAAGCTATTAGTGATCAATCATTTTTCCATCAGGGGACAAATATGATTGAATTTTTTACAATTGCTGAATTACAACATTTATGTAAATTATGTTCACAATTGCGTAATGCAAAAGATGAACAAAATAAATTAAAAGCCGAAAGATTAAAAGCAAAAGGTATAATATTAAATGATCATAGAGGTAGTTATGAAAATAATGATTTATTAAATTTAACAAATCATTTCAAGAATGAAGAAGGCACGAATGAATATTTTAATATTGATGAATATAAAGAAGATGATTTAAATTTATTTGGATTAGATTCAAGTTTTGGTGGTGGTTCATCAACTTCAATCCTTAGTTTTTTTGATGATGATAAAATTTTTAATAATTTAAATAATTTAAATGATAATGATTTAGATCCAATGGCTTGTAATGAAGATTTAATTAGATTATTTAATATTTATGGAGATTTTGATGGTTTATTAGGACTTTAAAAAAGGATATAGAGAGTAAGATAAAGTTTGTATTATTATCAAGTGTATAATTAATAGGTTGTGGTTATAATTAATAAAAATGTATTATTATTGTTTTATGAACAAATTGTCTATAAAAGTCTAAGTTAATTATATCAAAAAGCTATAAAAGAAAGTAAAGTCTTTTAATCATTGTTTATAATTCCTAACATTTCTTCTAATGGTAAACTATCAAATAAATCAAATTCTTTTAATGCTTCAACATCAATAAAATTATTATCTAATTGTTGTTGTTGTTGTTGTTGTGATTGTTGATTAATTTGATTTGCATGTTGTTGTGGTTGAGAATTTGAAGTTTGTAAATTTTGAAAATTTGAATTCATTTGATGATTGGTTTGTAATTGAGGTGTTTGGATCTTATTACTTAATAAATTTTGAATTGATATTGGAGAATTAAAATTTGATAATGATGGTTGTTGTTGTTGTTGATGAGTTTGTTGTTGTGCTTGCTGTTGTTGATGATCTTGATGATTTATTGGTAAATTAATACTTGGAGTTGTACTTGATGAATTTATTGACCAAATTGGTGATGTTTTGGAACCTATATAATTTGGTTCACTATTATGTCTTGTTAAATTAATTTGATCATTATTTAAATTTACATTATTATTATCGATTTTAGTATGATCCAGGTTATTATTGTTTGGGTTATTATTATTATTTGAAGATTTATTATCATATTTTAATTTCATACTTATCCATAATTTATCAATTTCATCAGAATTCATAAATTTAAAATCATCTAAAAATGACCAAGATTCTGTTGTTAATGGATTTGATATAATTGCATCTTGTGGTGGAAATCCTAATATATTATTTTCAACTATATCACCTTCTTGTAATTTTGTGTTATTGTTCATATCAACCTTATTATTATTTTCAATATCTATTGATGTTGGAGTTTTTGGATGTTTACTTAATTCTGAATTTGTGGTTGGTGATGTTTCATTTGTATGTAAATTAGGAGGTGAAAGATTTGAATTATCTTGATTATTTGAATCATCACCATCATTTTCATTATCATTATTTTCATTTCCATTTTTTTCAAATTCTCTTTTCTTAATTGATTCATCATTTTCATTACAATTATTAGACATACAATTTTGTTTTTGAAAAATTGTAAATTTTTTCATATTAATTTCACAAATATTTATAATTTCATTTAATTGAGAATCATTACAATCTAAAAATTGATAAAGCTCCTGTGGTTCAAAATATTTCATGAATTCATCATTTAATATACAATTTGATCTTATATATGAATGAGCTTTTGAAATTCTCCAAGCATAATAATATCTTTGACTTAATCTTGACATTGCCATAACACAAATTTCACTAAATTTTTCCAAGAATTGACAAATTTTAACTAACTTAAGGTACTTTTTTTTATATTCTAAATTTACTCCCAAGACTATACCTTGTTGATGCTGTTTTTCATTTATATATCTCATTGTATATATAGTTGATTTTAATCTTATTAATATCGCAAATGTAAATTGTGAAATTTTATGTAACATTGATTGAATTGAAGGATTTAATATTAAATCAACAGTTATTGAAGTACCAAAATTCTTGTTGTTATTAAATAATAATTGAAAAATATATGGAAAAAATTCACCGTAAAATATATTCATCAATTTTTTTAAATAAAAAAATGCTAAATTATTAGCTTCTGGTATATTATTTTTTGCTTGTTTTTCATAATATAAAAACAAATGATAAAAAATTAAATTCATAAACATTTTCATATTTATATAATTTTTACATTTCATTACTTTTATAAATGGATAAGCATAATTATCTTCTCCATAAGGTATTAAAAAAAATTTCAATATTCCATAATTATCATTTAAAAAAATTTCTAAATCTGTAATCATTTCAGTTAATCTTGATATTTCAATTGGTTTTTTTAAATTTAAACAAGCTGATAATATGTCAACTAATTTATAATGATATTTTTCAAAATATGCAAATGTTCCAATAACATGTTTTTCTAACTCAATATCTTTTATATTATTATTTGATTTTTCAAAATATGGTAATTTTGTATCATACATTGATTCATTTATACACATTGGATTACCATATTGATAACCTTGGATTAAATCACATATAATCATAAAAAACCAAATTTTACGATGTAAATTTTGTAATTTTGAATCTTCTTTTATATCATCAAATTTTATAGTTGATCCATCTCTATTTAATCCTATAGCTAAAGCCATCTGAATAGATAATGCAGTATAAATTTGAGAATCTGATCCATCTGCTCCATCACCATCTTCAGGAGAAAATAATGAATGTAATCTTATAATAAATGTTAATTGTAAAACAATTAATGAAGTTCTTCTATATAAATCAAATTGACTTAAACATAATTTTGCTTTTTCAATAATCATTAAATCTGGTGGATTTTCTAAAATATATTTTAAATTTTCAGATTTAAAAAATTCTGAATTATAAATATTATTTGATGATCTATTTGAAATTAAAGAAATATGAGCAAATCTAATAATTATAAATAAAACTCCCAAAAATGCAAAATCTAATCTTTTTTCAATATTTAAATCTTCAATTTGAATTTCTTTATATCCTCGTGGTCCAATTAATCTTTCCATTTCTTTTGTAAATTCAAATTCATCTAATATTGGTATATAAGGATATAAATATTTAAAAAAAAAATCAATTGATATCCATATAATTTTTTGATTTGGTAAATAATTTTTTAAATTTTCTATAAGATTTAACTCTTCTTCTATTTTACCTTTTCCATAAGACATTACTTTTGAATTTGAACAACAATGTTTGGAATCTTCTCCGTGATTATGGTGATGATGATTTCGACGACCATTACCACTATCCCCATGTTTATGATGATGATCATGGTTGTTATCATGATGTTGCGTACAATTTGAAGGAGTTTCAGCATCATCTTTATTAGTTTCTTTTTTTGAACTATCATTCTTATTAGTAAGATTTGATTCAGATACAAAACCTCGTTTATTTTTAAATTCTCCATAAATTATTCCTTTTCTTTTACCATTAATTCCTTTACCACCAATTCTACCACCTCTTAATTCCAGTTGTTTAAAATTAGTTTTAATATTTCCATATAATCTTAAATCATTATATCCATCTCTATCAATAGCTTTTTCTCTAAAATCATCATCAATTTTAGGATCTTGTAATGACAGTATAGGACTATTAGCAATAGAAGTTTTATTAGATCCCTTTTCCGATTTTCTTCTGGTTCTGGTTCTTTGCAATTCAACTCCTTCTTTTTCATTTTCCCCTTGTTCTCCAGTCTCCCCTTCTTCTCCCTCTTCAATTGATTTAGTGTGAACATGAGAAGAAGGAGTACAAATAGGTAATTTAACATTTCTTGGAGTCTTTTTTAAAATACTTCTATTTTCAGATCTTAAATGTTGTAAAAATTTCCAACTTAAATTTAATGCAGGATCTTTTTTTAAAAATGATAACCATGTAAATGGACCATGATTATATCTTCTATTTTCATCTTGCATATAAATTGATGAATAATCATTAAAAAAACTAATTGTTTCTTGAGGTTTGGATTCATTATATGGATTTATTCCTATTAATGTTTGATTTGATGAATTTAATGAATATGTTTCCCAATTAAAAGCTTGTTTTGGTTTTGGTTTAGGTTTTGGAATTGTATTTGTATTTGAATTTAAGTTTAAAGGTTGTGTTGTTGAATTTGATTGTTGGAATTGATGACATTCAGGTATAAATTGAATATTTTTCGGTGGTGATGAAGACTCATCTTTCGATATCACAGTAGTTTCTAATTCTTTTAATTTAGTTTTCAAAAAATCTAATTGTGCATAAACATCGTCTTTATCATGATTTTGAGTAGTTTTATTTAGTACTTGTTCATGATCAATTTTTTTCTTTTTCGTTTTGGGTTCTTCTTGTTGTTGGTTGTTATTATCTTCAATATTTTTAGAACGTTTTGGAGTTGTATCAGTAATTGGAGCGTTTAATCTTTCAACTAAAAATTGATCACCACCAAGTTGTTGAGATTTATTCCAAGTTATATGTTGATATTGACATATTGAACCATATTTTATACAAGAATAACAAGGTTGTTTTCTATCACATTTTATTTTTCTTTTTTTACAACTAAGACAATTTAGGGATAATCTATTTCTTTTTTGTTTCTGAGGTTGATCTTTTGATGATTTAGATTGTTGTTGATGATTCTTATGGTTTTGTTGATCTTCAGATGTCTGATTTAATTGATGTGGATTTGATGAATTATTATCTTGTTCCTTATTTAATCTAAAAACCGTTTCCATGATTTTTGATCTCAACTGTTTAGGTTTCGTTTAACCAAAAACCGTTTTGAAAATAGGTTATGAATAAACGTGAATATATCAAGCGGTATAAGTAACACAGTATAACGGAATTTCAATGTTGCTGATGTTAATGATTGTTGTAAATCTTTTAACTCCATAGATTGTTAATGATATTGTTTATTATTTCGTAATCGTAACACCGCACTTTACTTAAAACAGATTTCGCTACCAAGTGAATTTTACTGCACCAATAAACGGTGATAAAATTTTGTATGGTAAATGCTACCTAATTCCGAATTTCACTACTAACTGGTAGTCTATAAATGGGAATAGTCTAAATGGAATGACGAAAGATATACACATACGGCTGTTTATTCTGTTTTTGTTTGATCATGTATTGCGCTTAGTCTTATACTATGTTGACTTATCTACTGATACTGTACTTCTAGATTTCAAAATAAGTTTCATGCAATTGCATCATCCACACGTTTCAAAAAATTTCATATGTATAAAAAGTTTCCAATTGTTAAATCTCAATAGGTCCCAAATGGTTGAATCAGCCTCCCTACAATGTCATAAAGAATCCGAAACCAAATAAAGATCAAGCATCAAAAGATGAAACTGATGTGAAAGATCATGGTAAGAAGAAGTCAATCATCAAAAATTTAGTGTAAGTTGTTCCCAACCTTCCTACTGTGATCCAAAAGAGGTGGTGGTAAACCACGATATGGGTTAATTGGTTGTGTTTATTTAACACAACGTACCATTGAACTTTTGATGATGTCTTCTTACCATTATTTTCCACATCAATCATCTTTCAGATTTTAAATTCCGTTTTGTTACTAGATACAAGTAAAATTCAGAAACGATAATCTTCAAAAAATGATAGAAACAAGGGATTTGGCTTTATTCTTCAGCTATTTCAAATATAGAGGCATAAAATGAAGAGCAAATAGAGGATCAGTGTAAGCATTTTCAATATTTTCAAACTGGATGTACTTTCCACCAAGATTCATAGATATCGTATGCATGCAGGGTGCAAATCCGTACCTACATATTACAAATATTAGATATAACTCAAATTTCAAAAACGAACCAAAATAATATTTTCATATTATTTATGAACCATTGATCTGGTTAAATTTAATAAATTCCGATCCAAATAAAAAAAGGTTGAGGACCTACATAATCATACATGATTCTTTAAGTTTCTTTTACTTAATTTCTTTTATCTGATTTCCATTCCCTTAATTCATTTCTTTTGTTCGATTTCTTGTGGATTTTGTAAGAGTAAGAGTTACCTATTATGTAGATCAAGAATTGTAATAAATCTGAATCTACAGAGCACTGAAAATAACGAAATATTGTATATATATTTTAAAATATAAAAGTACTCCCCAAAAAATAATAATAGTCTATATAAATAATAACCGAGTGAGTTAAATAATAAAATAAACCCTAATGAAAGTGTTTGATTGTATTTGTACGAAATGAAACCATAGTATAAATTAGAAATGAACCAGCATTATCTTTGTCTTTTAATTGAACGTGTTAAATAGTATTCTAAACTTTAATTGAACTATTATTAAATTTTTTTAATAATTCATTTAATTCAATTTCTTCTTTCATTGCAGTAAATTCTATAATTGGATCAACTTTAAAATTATCTATTTTTTTAGCTATGTTTGAATGTGTTGATAAAGAATTTGAAGAAATTGATGTTGTTAAAGAATTTAATGAATAATTTGAATCCATTGAATTCATTGAATTTATTGAACTTGTTGAATCTTGTCTATAATGTAATTGATTATATAGTGGATTTTCTTTGTTGTTGTTGTTGTTATTAAATGAATTGTTTCTAGTTGGTGGGTTTGATGAAGTAGTTGAGGAAGTTGAAGAAACTGATGATATAACGGATGAAGTTGATGGTGAATATGATGATAATGAAAGTTTTTGATTTTGATCTCTTTGTCTTTGTTGTTGTAAAGCTTGATTTTGAGATTGTAATTCAATTTGTTGTTGTCTTTTCCAAATTTTAATTTTTTCTTGTTTTAAAATTTGATTTTTGATTGGATCCAAGAATGAACCTAAACTTTCAATCATTTCATCATTTGAAACTTTTAAATCCCAATTTAATAAATAAATTAATTGTCTTTCCATAAGATTAATATCTTTTACATTAAATAATCCATCAGTATATTTTGCCCAATGTTTATTTTTTGGTGATGAATCATTATGAAATTTACTACTTAATATTAAACAACTTAATAAAATTCTATGTCTTGTACATGGTAAACCTTGAGCATTTTTTGGTAATTTTAATTGTAATTTTTTTAAATATATTAAAGTAGCCATTAATGTTCCTGTATAAACATTTGTATATTTTATTAATTTTGTTAAAAATGTCATTAAACTTGGTAATTGTTTTATTGTATTGTTAGTTGTTGTATAAGTTTGAGTTTTTGTATCTTTACATGGTATAACTTGTAATGTTGCTACTACTAATTTATGAATCATATCATGAGTGATTGGACCATTAAGGAAAATATTTAATGCTTGTAAGTCAATTGATGAAACCATTTTTGAGGAGTTAGTTTGTTGTATAGTGTGTTGTTGAGTATGAAAATTTGAAAGTTTGATAAGTGATAAATGAAAAGATAAGAATGGTAGATATTTTTTTCAGAATTTATGACCTTACCCTTGGTATATATATATATTTATCATGGGTATATTATTTTAAATAAATTCTTAAAGGAGTATAATAATTGAAAAATTATAAAACAATAATAATCACACAAAATCTAAAATACCTTACACGAGAAATAAATAAATATTAAATAATATTAATTTAAAACTACAACGAAACAAGGAGTAACATTGATTGAACCAGGTTGAGTGATTCATTTTCTGTTCAAAGATAGAGTTAAAAGATGCTACTATTGGACTATCCATGTGTCTATAACTCTAAAAACACGTTATATCCATAGTTTGTTTGGTGTAAAGGGATATTTTATGAATAAACGAAGTTTAAATTAAATTTAAATCGCGTTTTAAATTTTGAAACACCAAATAAATAAAAATCATCGTTAAATCATTTAAGTACAAAAAAGAAATGGTTTTATTTTATTTTCTCGTAGGAAATTAATAAACTAAGTTATCATACATATCAAGACATATACTAGATATACTAATAAAATAATATTAGTAGAGTAATAAGATCTTCAGCTGAAAATCTTTAGATTTCTAACTTCACTTTACTTAACAACCATTAAATCAAACACTTTACCTTACGATAATTATTATAATTCTAGTGAGATCTCCACTTTTGCTTTAAAAAAAAGAGAGATGATGGTGAATGAGTATGGCTTCATCACGTAACTAAGCTCTCGTTATTCTTGGTATTGTGGTATACTCTTTCCTTTCATTTTAATTTAAAACATAGTCCTGTTAAAAAATCGTTTAATTTTAGAAGTTAGAATCTAGAACAATTTTGAAACACACATTAACATAAATTAAAAACCGTTAGACTTCTTAAAAATTGAATTAATTTTTAACTAGATTCTTGATTGTGACTATTAGTTATGATACCCTGTACCTACTCACCATTATTAGTATAATATTGTACTGCCTATGACATTTAACTCCTTAATTTATATATAATTTTTACCCTTTAAACATAAAATATAATAAATCTCTTACGCGATTTTATGTTTAATTGTATCTGTGTGTATGTGTACGTTGTACCTTACTTAAAATCTAATTTGATTAATTATTAAATAACACCAAACAATTAATTTTTAAAATCTGTTTCGTATTTGTTTAAGATCGAGATACTACAAATTAATAATATACCACTAACTCGGTACATTACTAGTAGAAAACCATTACATTTACATCACTCTAGAACACGGAAGAATAAAATTCACTTTTGTAGCTGAGTTTAAGTTTCTCATTTACATATTTTTTGATTGAAATGTTAATTAGCTAAAAAGAGTTAAATTCTGTTGTCAATATCATGTTAAATTGAAAGAAATCAAACGTCAAGAAAGATTAAACCTAATATTTGACATTAATAAGTAAATGAATATAACTTACTATCCACGCGACAGATTCTTATAATCAAATGACGTACTCCTTAAAAATGTTTTAAAATTTAAATTTAAAACGTATATTTTAACAACTAAAAGAGTATAATGTAGATCTTTTATAACTTTAATATAATATTTAAAATTATTAATTGGTATAAGGTCGCGTATTGTTTTAGATTTATTATTATTTACGTCTGTCCTTCTTCTCCATCTTCCCCCTAATTTCTCTTTTTTGTCCCCTTTCGTACTACTACCACGCGAGAATTTAATTCGAGAATTCGCTTTTTAAGCCATGATTATTTTTTTTTCTTTATAGTCTCGTCTGAGATCTAAGAATATAAAATACGTTACAAAATAGAATTAACCAGTAATTAACTTAAAATGGATAAATTATATCGATTATAACTAATTAACTCATTTTTATTTTAAATTTAGATTGGTTTGAACAATAATTTAGATAGACGAGTTTGTTTTGAAAAAAAATACGTTATACATGTTTCTAGAACCTAGTTTCAAAAAAAGGTAACAGTTCTACTTTAATGAATTCAATTACTATTCTTAATTTGGTTAAATTATCAAATTCAATTAGATCTATTTAATTAATTTGCACATTAATTAAGGTACTATCCAATCTTACCAATTTGGATAAATTAGATGAAAAAGTATAATCTAAAGAGATCATATACTTATTTATAAAATAACGCATCCGCTAATTATATGTCATTAACTCTTAGTTGATAATGGTTATTTACGTGATTTGATCTAAATATATTTTGTCTAATTGAACTAGTTTTGCAACAGAATTCACGAGATCAATCAAAAGAAGTAAAATGGTATTTTACTCTCATTTATTGAGTACTGAAAATAATATTCTCTTATTTCATTATCTTGATATTTCCTAATGAAATTTGACTTTGAGTTCATAATCTGGGTTGAAAATCTATTCAGTGTTTCTACTAAGATTGTTATACAAATACTAGTCTAAATCTTACCAAATTCTTACAATAATCAGTTGAATGAATTTTATTGACTGTTAATGATAAATTGCTGGACTCGATTTCATACAATAATGTGGTACAAATTTAATTCACAATCTTATCTGTTCTTTCAATGATTCTAGTCAGTTTATAGATATAAATTGATTAGTAAAGCTGCAAAAGAACAGACATGGATCACGAATTAATTTGGCGCTCATTTTATAATTGAAGCTCTCAATACAGCTTCAACTGAATCGATATACTGATTTGAAGTATTTGATTATTATCTGGAGTCCATCACAATAGATCGATTAGCGTTTTGAATAGCATGCTGAACAAATAAAAATAAACACCATGCTTTTCAAAATGCTAATAGAGCCAATGTAAACAACCAACAGAATCCAGGCAACCAACAGATATGAAAATTTAAATAAACTCCACTTTATACAATTTGAAGCGTCATCAATTATAGTTAGAAAATATCTATTGCCCAACGACGTTTCCACATCTCCACATATATTAGCATGAAGTTGTTCCCAATTTATAAACCATTCCATAGAGACTGTAGATGTACATATCTACAATCTCGATGGAAAGGTTTATAGCCAAAATCTCGAAGAACTTTGGGAAATCTAAGACTGGATGGACGGGCGGTTCGATGCCCCGCGTTATAAGCTCAAATCAAAAATTATTACTATTGATTCTGCTCCACCTGACTCAGCTTACAACGCGAGGCATCGCACCGCCCAATTGATCATGCCAGATTGGACCATCCATCCAATCTTAAATTTTCTTCAAACTTCAACCAATTGCAAAAGGAAAAAAAAGCTATTGAGAAAAACCAAAACAAAAAAATTATTAGGAAAAATTTTTAGATCAGAAATTTGGGTATATACTGGGTCTGTCATGCAGTTGAGTACTCAGACTGGTGCACAGCGTTTTGTCATCATTATAAAAAATTTTCCTTTTTCTTTTTTTGGTTTTCTTTCATTTCCTTCCTTCCTTTAATCTTGCATCAAACTAAATTCATTAGTTGATTGACTTCATTTTTTGTTCATCTCCTATATGAATTAATCAAATTACATCAACACCAAAATAAACATTATTTTAATGTCCATGTTATTCAATCTATTGTTTATTGTCATTGTTGAACAATTTGAAAGATGGATGGTATAAAAGAAAAACAATTGCATGTAAAATTTTTTTTTTCAAATCATCTTCGTATTTAAATGAAAATATTTTTGTGCTATAATATATTAAACAAGGTAATGTACACTACTTCAATCACGTAGAATCGATTGATCTAATATGTTTCAAAAGACAAGATATGAAAGTTGTAAGGTAACTACTGTCTTTAAATTCCAGAATGATAAACATGTACGTTCAATTTCAAACAGACTATAAATGCTACAATAACAACAACAATTAAAAAAACCAGAATTACAATCCAAAACCAACCCAACATTCAATTAACCCCAAATTTAATCATTCATTCATTCATCTCAAATATCTCAATCCTCTCATTCATCTAAATCATTCAATCAATTCATCATTAATATTAGCATAATTAACTTTCAAATTAGTTTTTCTTAAAACTTTATTATTATTTGGTTTTTTAATCCAATAAATTCTTTTAAAAAATTGATTTTTAAAAGGTTGATAAATTATAGCATCTTTTTTAATAAAATTTTGTTTTAATAAAGGTAATTGAATAGATGAACTAAAAGTAGGTGATGATGATAAAGGTGATGAAGATAATGATGAAGTTTTAGCAATTGGAGAAGTTGAAGATAATGAAGATCTATTATTTAAATTTGATTTAATAGATTTAAAATATCTCCATAATCTAAATTTTATAGTATGACCAATATTTTTAGTTAAAATTTTCATAAATTTTTGAAAATCTCTTTTGGAATCATATTTAATTTTAAATAATATGTCAATTTTATCTTCAAGATTCAACAAGAATAGCTTGAACAAATGATTTTTTAAATTTCTTTCTCTTCTTTTATTTAATGGTAATAAAAAATATATTGGTAAAATATTAAAACTTTTCCAAATATATATTGTACCTTGTTTTGTATTTTTAATTTCACATAATATAAAAGAATTTGATTTTATATAATCATTTGTTATTTTTTCATCTTTATTTGATAAAAGTACTGCATTTGAATTTTCAATGGTTGTTTTAATTTCTTTCATTAATAAATTTTTCATTATTCTTATTTCTTGTTCAATTCTATTTGTAATTTGATGATTATTTAATTTTAATCTTTTATAATCTTCTGTATTTGGAATTTGAATATAATTTCTAGGTATACCTAATTTATTACTAAGATATTCATGAGTTATTTTATTGACTTGATTATTTGGTTGTGAATATATTCCACCTTTATCTGAATTATAATTTTTATTTTCATAATCATATAATTCTTTGAGAGATGTAACTCTATTTGGATCAATATTTATTGAACCATCTTTTTCCATGAAATTTAAATCAAATTTTTTAACATTAATTTTATTACTATAGGATGGTAAATCTTGTATAAATTCTCTTGGATAAATTTTGGAATCTAAGTTCTCTCGAATAGGTAAACCAATTAAACTTCTATCAAATCCCACGACATTATAAGGTAATTTCATTTTATCATTAATATATTCATATATTACATTTTCAGGATTAAATTTATCAATTTCATTTCTTCTTAACATTTTAAATTTTGTTTGAATACCTCTAATAGTTTGACCTAATAAAATTAAATCATTATTATAATCATAAAAATATCTTTTGAGATATTTTTCATGCATTTCTTTATTTGAATCTAATTTTTTTAAATTTTCATAAATTTCATTAATTTTGGTCATAGAAAGATCAGATGTATCTTGTAAATTAATTTGATCTGGAATTTGTTTTAAAATTTTTTTAGAATCTATTCGATTTTTATTTTCATGTGACATAAAAGGTCGATTACCATCTAATGCTAATTGATATAAGAATTCTTTGTTTGACATATTAGATATTGATTCATAATCAGGTAATTGTGGAGTAGAATCTAGAAAATCTTCTTCTTCTTCTTGTGTTTGTGATTTAGTGTTTTGTTGTTTCTGGTTTGTCTCCTCTTCTTCTTCTTTTTCTTCATTATTTTCTATTTTACCTTCTTGTAATGATACCCCTAGTATTTTAAGCATTTGCTTTGACTTCTCATCTTTATACAAAGTAGATGAATTTATGAAATGACGTAATTGTTGATGATATATTAGACGTGGTCGTATGGAATTTATCCTTATCTGATATAGTAATCTTGACATTATATGATGTGTGTTGAATATATAAATCAGATGTGTAAATGTAGTTGATGATGATATAAAGATAAAGCTAACTGTGTAATGGTAGGCTGATAGGAATGACCCTAAAGTATATAATTAATGATGTATTATATATAGTTGTTATACTTTCGGTTGATAAGAAATTAAATTTAAATAAATCATTTGATTAGAGAGAAATAATGAACAGGTAGTGTTAAATTGTTCATAATTTTATATTACTATTAACAAAGTTATACCGAGTTCGTTAAAGCCACAAATGTAATAATAAAGTAAAGTAGAAGAAGCTATTTGAGATAATTAGGAAGAGGATCAATGTGGATGTAGATATGAAGATTTGATTTCAAGATGAAGGGGACTTCAGATATGGGGTTTTCTGTGACTAACAAAAATACGATGAATTTGAAACAATTCAAAGATAGGTAATTGAAAAGCTCGTCAAATATGATCATCAAGGAACTGAGAAAACCATAAACCCAACTCTTGTTCCTCTACAGTTAGTTTTGACTAAAAAGATCTTCTAATGGTGATGATACAACTATTTGATCCCACATAAGTGTAAAGAAAATTGTCATCGTAGGACACTTCATCTCCAATCAAAGTTATATTATTAATAGCTGTAGATGGCTATCTCAATTCAATGCTTAGATGTCCCCCGTCTTCTCTTTGAATCTCAAGAAATCTTAATGATGGAGATCAAGAAGTATTTATTCTTTCGTGATATCAATTCTTTTGTTTAAACAGACTGAAAAATTTAAAAAAAAAAATTCACACTTAAAAATTAAACGAACCAAATCAAGCATCTAACTTTTAGAACTTTCCTATCACCTCCATTTACACAACCCAAACCTCACCCAATGCCGTATAAGAAAGTAGGTCCACCACCAAAGAACTTACCACCATTACCAAGATTAAAAGTTCGTAGACCAATATTAGGTAAACAAACAAATCAATGTTTTGTATATATGTCAAGTTTATTAAATTGTTGGGCATCAAATGGTGAAGGTAATTCTTTATGTTTTGAATTTGAAAATAATTTAAAAAAATGTATGGAAACTTTTAAACCTGAAAAAGAAAATATAAGTACTATAAATTATCATGCTTCAAGACTATATCCAAAATTAAGAGGGAAAAATTGATGAAAGATTGATCAGACATTGATTAAAAATGAAATGATGAATGTCATTGGATCAAATATTAAGGTGACGAAGATAGCTGTAATAGACAAAAGGACTTAATAGAGGAATTTGATGTTTTTACTTGTATATAACGAATGTAATGAATGATTATTTAAAGATAAACTTATATGAAGCGAAGGAAACTTTTTAATATTGATCTACACTAATCTAAAAAATCTTCTAAATCTTATTTAAAAACTTTACCATCGGCAATTTCTCTTTTTTCACCGTTTACTTCAACTGGTTTATCCCAAGCAAACATATTATCAACAAATTCTTTAGTTTCTTCTTTTGAACCATCTAATTTTGTAAATTCATAAGATTCCCAATCTGGAGCAACATCAAATGCTGGTACATGATCTTGACCTCTAACTAAAAATGCACCAGTAATACCATTATTATTATTTTCACCATAAACAACTAAACAACCAAACATATATTTAGTTGAAGCAGATAATCTATTAAAAAAACCACCAACTAAATTATTTGACATAAATGTTAAAGTTAATTCATCATTATATTTATAATCAACTTTCCATAATGACCATTCTTCTGGATTATATTGATTTTTCCAAAACCATGGTAAAGCAACTTCTCTAGTTTCTTCATTTGAATAAACTCTTTTCCATTCATCTAATGGAGCTTTTGGTTTACCTAAAGCTTCTAATGGATGTTTTGGTTTTGGAGCAGCAGCTGGTTCAGGTTCTTCTTCAGCTGGTGCAGCTTTTTTTGGTGCAGCTTCCTTTTTAGCAGCAGCTGGTTCAGCATTAGATTTTTCTTTCTTTTCCTTTTTTGGTGGAGTAAAAGTTAATGGTTCAGCTGGAGCTTTAAAATCATTAAATTCACCTTCCCAAAATGGAGCTTTTGAAACAGTATTAAACCATCTATTAATATTTGGATATTGTTTTAAAAATGGAGCTGCTAAAACAGTTTTTAAACCAAGGGAAATAGTAGCAGCTGAATATAAATCAGCATAAGTTAATCTTTCACCAACTAAATAAGTAAAATTTGATAATCTTTCATCTAATAATTTAGCAATTACATGAACTTTACTTGTAAATTCATCATTATTTTTTTTATTGAAAGGAATTTTACCTGCAGCCATATAAAAAATTGGAACTAAAGCATCTAACCATTCTTGGTTCATTAATGATAAATATTGTAAAATTGAAGCATATTGTTGAGCATTTTTACCTAATAAACCACCTAATTTATCTTTTGGAACTAATGATAAGAAATATGAAGCAATTGCAATAGTTTCAGTTAATGTATAACCTTTTTCACCAATAAAAGCAGGAGTTTTTTTTAAAGGGAATTTTGATTGATAAGCTGAATCTTCATCTTCAGTGACTTTAATATCTAATTTAAAATGTTTTATAATATCAATTAAAATAAAAGTTCTTGGAGAAATATTTTTACCATATAAAGTACCTAATGACATTTTTAAAGATTCAATTGATCTTTTATATTAAGAAGTTGGTTTATGCAATGAACAAAATTGTGAAATATATAATAGAATAAAGTGGAAAAATTTTTTTTTTATAAATGTGGAACTTCTCATAATGTCAAACAAATTTTGTTACACATCATTTTTTTATTTTGCACCCAAATTGAAAAAAATTTTATGAGAGCAGTAAATACCTGGACATTTTGTTATAAAAGCTTTTATATTTTTTAGTATGTGATATGGAGATGATTGTTGGAGTAGTTGTTAAAAATTTCAAAAAATTCGTAATTTACCCACACGTGTAGACATTTGAGATGAAACAGAGACTGGCTAAGTAGATCAAATGACCGCCCGCTATAAAAAATAGGGCGCAAAAATCCATGCCAAAGGTCAATATTGTACCAACTTTCTTCTTCAAATCATGATTTTACTTTACTCTTTGACGCTATCGATGAAGGATACTTCTTGAGAAATTCCAGCATTGAGCTAGCTATTTGAGACTGATTTTAGTCTACAACTTCAAAAATTTGCACTTTTAGATTTAGATCAAAGGATTCAAAGACTGCGATAGTAGCTAAATGGCTGATAAAATTTCTATTGGGATTGAACCCGATAGTCAGTCAATCAACGAAGATTTTGCAAAGAATGGTTTCAAACTCATAGTCATTTAATTGCTGATAATGGTTGATTAGATTAATCCATCAATTCTCACAAAATCAGTAATAACATTACCTCATATTCAACAAAATATACATGTCCGTCCTCTTGAAATCTACGTCGACTTCCATCATATTTACAGGCCAGCTTAACTTTTATGACAACTCATCACTTCAAATGCTGAAGCATGTAAATTCAGGAAGGACTAAACTCATCACTTCAAATGCTGAACCTTGGTATATTCAGGAAGAATTAGTCAAATCAATAACGTAAAATACTTCTAGCGAATTTATTCCTCCACAACAGTTATTAACTGTATTTGTCAGTTGGGGATGAATAAATTCGCTAGGATTGTTTTCCATTATTGTTGTTGATAGCAGCTTTTCCGTGGGTCTAAAGCTATCTCATCAGTTAGCAAAGTTCAAATGCCATGTTCAAAACTTCACATTTCCCTAATCAGCATCTTTCCAATCGATGATCAATTCGACTCAATCTATGATATGTAGTATCTACTTAGTAGAATTGAATACTTTATTGTTTGTAGAATTGAAATTTGTATTTGTGGTACAAAAATAGAAGTATAGCCCAAATTAATCATTACTTTTATTATAAATATTTTACAACCATTTATTCATCTTTTAACAACCAACTTACAAACAATCTTTTATCAATACTGCATTTATGTTTGACTTTTTATACTAATAAGCTTTACTTGAAAATATACGAAGGAGTTTAAATTATACAAATCAACCTATCTATTAGACTAATTCAGAAGGGTTATTCTTCACTAGAAAATGTCACTTTTATCACCTTCATCTATATTGAAACTAATCCTACTATATTTAATATGTTTTATAAATCCAAGTGTATCAACATTTATTAAATCTCATTCTTGTGAATTAAAACAGCAACAATCAAAATTACAACCATTTATTATTGATGTTGCAATAGATACAAATCAAAAGAAATTGAAATTTTTTATAAATACTCAAGTATCATTATATAATGGATTTGATACTGATCGACATCCTGCAATAACTAATTATAATAGTTCAACTGATAAATATACTTCACTTCATATAGATATAAATTTTATGGGGAAACAATTTATAAATGAGACTAAAAGATTTTGTGATATGGTATCTGTTAAAAATACAACAAGTTTTCTACAAAGTCCAAGATTTAATAATAGTTATAGTAATTTTGATAAGACCGGTTATAATTTAACGGATATCAACAATGGTCAAGATTTCGATCAGGACAAACAAAGTTCGACTACAAAAAAGAATTCACATCGTCATGAAGAAATTCATTCAGGAATTTCATTTAATAATAATTCATTAATTGACAGAATGAATAGAACTTCATTAGGCTCAACTGATAGTACAATTACAGAATTATTTTCAAATTCAACAGGTAATTTAGTACAATGTCCTTTATATTATAATGATTCAATAATGATTTATTATGAAGCAGATATAAGTGAACATTTTCATAGAATTGGATCGTATCAGATCAAATTCACTGTTTTAAATAATGATGCTCATTCTTCATGTATTGCATGTTCAAATACTTATGTAACTCCAATTCAACCGGCTTTTATCAATGATACAATAACTTTAGGTGTTTTAATTCTTGTATGTGTTGCAATTGTTGTTAATATTTTCACTGTATCATTTTCATCATATCAAGAATCAACAAATCCTTATTTATTTAAAGCTTCAACAATATGTAATGAAAAACTTCTAAATCAAATTGATGCAAGTGTACCAGATATTTTAATGTATTTACAATATGCTTTATTTTTAGGTGGATTAGATTTATTATATCCAGGTTTTTATCAACCAATGTTGGGACAAATTAAATGGTGTGCATTATTAACTTCTTCAATGTTTGGTAAATCAAGTAGTTGGGATAGTGAAGATGAAGATAATGTTTATGTAACATTATCTGGTGGTGGATTATCAAGTTTAACAATGGTAGATAATAATAATCCTATTGTTAATAATTGGCCAAATTTTATGGCACTTTTACTAATGGTGATTGTATTAATGATAGTTGCAAAACAAATATTTATTGGAATAAAATTATTATTTGATAAAATTATTGAAAAAGCTTATAAAAAAATTGTTAAAAATAATTCATCATTTGAATTTTGGTCTAAAAAAAATTTATATTTGATTATTGGTCAAGTTTTACAAATTTGGTTAATTGTTTTTGGAATGCCATTTTTAATTTTAAGTTCTTTTTTATTTTTATCTGCAAATGATATAAATGGTAAACATAGATCATTATCTAATTTTCATCAGTTAAAAAAAGGAGCATTTTCATTTACTACACCATATAATGAATTAATTGTTCCACAACAAGTATTTACATTTGGTTTAAGAACTTCTTCATTAGAAGGGTTTCATCGAGCTCCAATACCGAAAACTCCTATCTCGGAAGGAGGTTCCAATATTGCAAAAAAATTTGATTCTGATAGTTGGTTAACAACATTAAAATCACCTCAAATACCATTCAATTCAACTTTCAATTCTTCAATTATTAATCCTTCACTTTATTCAAATATTACAAATACAGCAACAACATCATCAACAACACCTAGAAATTCTGATCATGATTATATGAATATATCAAATGCAAGTTTAGCATTATCATCAATATTATTTTCATGTTGGGTTATATTTTTAATATTTTTTATATTCCATTATTTATTATCATTTTCCAAAAAAATCAAAATAAAAAATTCTTCAAATATTAATAAATTATATACAAATTTAAAAACTATATTAATGTGGTCATTTTTGTATTATGAATATAAACCTCAAAGAGTTAAATGTGTTATAATTTCAATAAGTATATTATTTTCAAATTCAATGGTTATTGGATTATTACAAAATCATGGATTAATTCAAGTTATATTATTAATTATAATTTCAATAATTGATTTATTTCAATTATTCGTTTTAAAACCTTATTTTGTTCCAATAAAATTTTGGTCAACAAAATTTATATTTCCCGTTGCTAAATTTTTATGTATTATATTATGTATTGGATTTTTAAGAGAAGTTGATGCAACTGAAGCTGTTAGAACTATAATTGCTTATATTCATTTATTAATTCATGTTATTGTTGCATTTGTATTTATTTTTCAATTAACTTATTGGTTTTTTAGAACTTGTATGGAAATTTATAAATCTTATAAATCAAATAAGGAAGCGAATTTAATAAATCAATTAAGTGAGATTAATTCAATAGATGAATTTGAAAGACAATTTGAATATAAAGCAGTAAATAATTTGAGAAATAATAATGAAAGAAGAGTTAGTGGATTATTTTCACTGGATGAAAAAAGTATTGATGAATCTTTAAATAATCAAGAAACTTATTCAATGGATGGAGTAGATGAAGAATTTTTATTTAGAAGAGGACCACAAAGATTAGGAGAACCCGAAAATAACAACAACAACAATATAAATTCTGATGAAATTATATCTATAACAGAATCTCAAAGTTCATTTTTAAGATTACAACATGAATCAAATTTAAGAAAATTAAATAATAATTATAAAATTAGAGAAGTTGATCAAATTTATGAAAAATATTTTATGGATGATAAAATTGATCCTGAAGTTAAAGAATTATGGGAAAGTAGAAAATTTGGTACAAATAATAATAGTCATAGTAATAACAAGCAGCAGAATTTAAATAACGGGAATAAAAATCTTCAAACTTCTCCTGCATTTGGTCAAAATTGTACTACAACTACAACATCTCCAATCTCATTATCAAAATTAAGAAATGTAGCAAATAGCGTTAATTTCAAGCATAATAAACAACAACAACAATCTAGAAAAGAAACTGGTTTTCAAGTATCTAGACCAAGACAATTAATAGTTAAAACAATTGAAGAAATTCAACAAGAACAATTACAAAAACAAATTGAATTAGAAACAAGGTTAAAAAATATGGAAAAAACTGAAGTTGAAGAAACTGGAACATTTCATGTAGTTAATCATGATAGTAATGATGATGATAATAATGTTGATGATAGTATCAACGATGAAGAAAAACAAACAGAAGATCATCAACATTATACTACAATTACTACTTCATCATCTTGTTCTTTGACTTCAAATTTGGAAAGTAATTCAACATCAAATGATAGTTCAATGGAGAAATAACACAACTAATATCTCGGAACTCAACAACTTTCAATTCTTCAAATTAAATGTATTGATTACACTTAATTTAATTTATATTTACAAAAATTTTATTAGAAATATACATTTGTATTATTATTATTATTATTAATTATTGTTATTATTACTATTATAATTGTTCTAGTTATTACATTTTTTGTTTTTTGCCATTCAGTATATGACCATTTCTTTTATCATGACCATCTATATGTCCATCTATATGTCCATCTATATGTCCATCAGCTTCTTCATCGACATCACCATCTTCTTCCTCTACCTCCTCATCTTCATCTTCTTCAACATCATCACCATTATCATCTTTATTTCTCTTTTTAACAATAGCTCTAATTAATTTATCATCATCAATTAATTTTATTTTTTTAGAATTTAAAGTTTTACCTATAGTAACTAACCCATTAATTTGACAATTTTTTAAAGATTGATATTCAGATTTTAATACTATTTGAGCCATTTCTTCTCTTGTGTTTGCGTTTGCATTGGAGCTAAAAGGTTGGCTAGCAAAAATTGGATATTGATTTAATCTAATTTCTAAAATTTCTTTAAAATTTTTTAAAAATTCATTAGTTACTTTTTTTGAAGAAATTAATTGATAAATCTTATAATAAAATCTTTTGATATATTTTTTTTCAAATTTTAAATTTGATTTGAGGAAAGTTGTAATTAATTGAATTATAAAAATTAATTCTATTATAACTTCTCCACTTTTAAAACAATCATAAGAATCAATAATTAGTTCAACTCCTCCTTCTTGGTCATCTTCTTCTATTCTTTCTTCATATGAAATTTGTCCAATTATTTCAAATAATAAATTTAATTTATCTTGTTCAATGTTGTATTTGGTTTTAAAAAAATTTTGTATAATAATTAATGGAATATCACCAAAATCAAATTTTGAACCTTCTGGTTCAACATAACCATATCTTCTTAAAATTTCACTATTTGGATGATTTGAATAAGTATTATATATTTGTTCACCTTTGGCTATATCTTTTATACTTGTTATTATTAATGAATCTATTTCATGAATTATTATTGCATTATTAAAATTTGTATCTGCATTTAATGTATCTGCTAATGGTACCATTGATTTTAAATGACCATCTAATAATATTGAAATTTCTTCTTTTTCTTCATCAGAATCTTTTTCATTATCTTGTATATCTAAATTTGTATTCAATTGATCAAAAATTAATTTATTTTCTTCTTCTTCTGTTAATTCAATATCAAAAGAATATGACATTATTAAAGTTGCAATTATATTATATTCATCAAATGTTAAATCTTCTAACTCTTTTAACTCCAATTGATTTATAATTTCTTTAATTTGATAATACATTTTTTCAGCATCATCTTTACCAATTCTTTCTAATATAAATGAAGGTTTCAACATATCTAATTCCTGTGAATTCCAAAACATTAATTGATTAAAATTTGATTTATCTTTAGGTAATACATTTAAATAATTTTGCCATTTACTTTTTGTCTTATTTCTAATTTCATAAGATAGTATAATAATTAAAGAATCCCAATGATTTAACCTTATAAATTTTTGTTTTAAGTGTGGATAAGTTGAAATTAATAAATTTTGTTGTAGATTAATTAATAAAATTTTTGGAATTTTACCTAAAATTTCTCCCTTTTTTATATCTTTTAGGGCTATAATTCCTCTACCTTGATTTATAGAAGTATAATCATGAATTGTTATTTTGGGAGATATTTCAACTTGATTTTCTTTTAACCAATTTAGGTATGCTGTGGTATTTTCATTAAATTCATTTTTAATATCTGAATTCGAAGACATATTTTTTTGTGAAAATTCTGTTGTGTTTTGTGATGTGATTTTGATATTCTGGGTTCTATCTAATGACAAGGTTTGTGTTTTGCAAATCTATGCGATTAGGGTCTGGTAGTAATGAGTATCTTTGGTTTCAACTAATGATAAGTGTTTTATCTAGCTTTTGTTTTGATTTTAAGTTTATTCAATGAGTTAGAATGTCCAAATTTCAATGTTATTGTTCTAGAAACTAAATAAAAAATTGATCTACCTAAAATCTGAAATTGGAACTTAGATTTGTTATTTTTCTCCACTTCATATAAGTTTCTAAGCTAAGCTAGTATATACTTCAGTTGTTATTCTGATATAAGCTCTTCTTTTCAATTGAAGTTGAATAATAAATAATAATATTATCTTGTTAATAAATTGATCTGTGGCTAGTGAAAAATTGTTTAGACAAAAAAAAAATTAAATTTTTTTTATTTTTTAATTTCGGCAGATTTTTTAAACCAATTTAACCTTAAATTTTGTTTGTATTATTGTATTGTAAAATTTGTGTTTTTTATTCTATTGTTCTAGTAGTAGTAGTATATATCTACTGAAGTTCTAGTTCTTCTGAGTCTAATTGTCTAATTTGTAAGCACACCAAAAATCCAGTTATATTTTTGTATGAATTTTCTTTGTCTAAGACACTGATTTAAACTGAAATTTTCCTATAATCCGTAGATATAAAATGTAATTGATTCTATAATTATATCTATCTCTACCCTTTTACCTAAGTAAAGAATATGTAAGTTTGGTTACCTTTCCCTATCGATCTACAGATTTTTTATACTTTTTGAAAATTTTGATTTAGGAAAAACTAATACAATTTATATTACATTATATATAACTAGACTATATTATACTTTATAAATTTAGTTACTTTTTTCGTTCTTTTCATGCTCATTGAATGATGGGATATGTGATGTTTAGTTTATACATTTCATTTCAAAGCAAAAGCAAAGAAGTTTTTTTAAAAGATTAAGCTAAAAAAAATAGATTCTTGTTCTTGTTCAAACAATCAAATATCTTCAAAATAAAGTTGGTGTTTAAAAAATATTTATTTTTTTTAGTTTATACATTTTTAGTTTTTAGTTGGAACAGTTTAATTCATATTTAAACTAGGCTAACTGTTGATTTTTAAATTTGAAGAAATTCTTTAATTTAACTTTTGGTCTAACCTGACTAAAACTATGTATTAATTCTATAGACTAGACTCATTATTTTGTATAGTAATGATTATTTGAAGTGGTTAATTTAAAGTTTTTAAAAAATAAAAATTTAAATCCCTTAAAATCTTTTAGGTCCCCATATAACTCTTCATCCATCCCCTAAATTTTGTATTTATTAAAATAATAAAGTTGAAAAAATCTCAGGGAGAGTGAGACATGAGATGAATCAAGATAAGTTTAAGAGAGATTGAAATTTAAAAGTACTATTTAATATATGATATGTCCAATGATATAATTTAAATGTATCAATAATTAGATCATTTTTAAGATTTGGTGATGTATTGGTTAGATCATTATTAAAAAACTTTAAAAAACTTTAAAAAAGTTCTTTTTAACAAACACTTTATAATTAAAGTTTTTAAAGTTAAATTGCGGAAATCTGAAAATTGTTAAAGTATTAGGTTATTTACAATATAAGAAATATAAGTGATTAAGTATGGAAATATGCAATGAATCATCGATGATGATTCTATGAATTTAGAAACATAGACTAACTCAAACAAAATTTTTGAAATATTAATGTTTATGTATGATCATTCTATTAGTGTTTATTTCGAATTTCTACAAGGAAAATAGCAAAATAAAGTTGACGAAGTCTCAAAGTTGCACTTAAGAATAAAACTTTAAAAGCTTAAGAGTTAATTTTCACGTTCAACCTTATAGCTCGGAAGTCAAAATCATTCCGGTGATGAATGCTCGGCTACAAAATTGATCGAATATTCAGTATGATCAAAAAATTATCTTAAAGTAGACAAAAAAATTTGAATGTCATCTTTGATAGATTTTATTCAAAAGACTCAAGTACCTTCTAGTTAATTTGATTTTCCAATTAGATGTGAGGCTAACTGTTCAACGGAATAGATCCACAATCATCAACGTTTTTAATGAACTAATCAATTTGTTTAATAGACGTCACCAATTAAACAGAAGGAAATAACCTTGCTTTCAAAAAAGTGACAACATGTCTTTTCATTCGTCATCTACTTTATCAAATGTACCAGAGTTGATATCACCATTCTAAGGTTATGGAAGTATGGTTGATGGAAAAATGATCAATACTCTAAAAAACTTTAATTAGTTCCTTTTTTTTTTTAAAAAAAAAGCCTAATAAGATAGCCTGAATAAGATAATGCATAAACATTTCTCCTAACCATTTGATTAATTGCGCTTGGAGCTTGTACTTGTATATATTTGATTTTCCTGCAAAATTTGAACAATAATTAGGCTCTTTCTACCTTCGTGAAGTAATGTCCTTAAAAATTATAGATGCTGTGTAGAGGTCTAAAACAAATTATTGAGCTGAGACAAAAAAATTGTTACAGAAGTTTCCACAAAAGTAAAATTAAATTAGTAATTGATTAGACCAAATAAAATTAATTTTTAAACGAATATAAACAATGTACCACCATACATTGGTCGAAACTAAAAAAAATAATTTACCAGGGTCATGACCCCGTAAAATAAATCTATTATGCCTTATTCATGGAAAATGGCGATTTTGACGGGCCATTTATAATTCGCTTAATCCCATACAATAACTAACAAAGATTCAGTTTAAAAAAGTTTAACCCAACTACTTGTTTGCTTTGCTTTTACTTATTTTTGAAACTAAAAAAAGAATAGTTTTAATTTAGATTGGATCTAAACCTGGAGACTCTAAAAAAGTAAAAAAAAATAAGAATATTTAGAGATTTTCGAAAGGCTGGACCAAATGTGTCAAGAGAATCCCATTAAAACAATAAATAGGGCAAAATATAATTTAGTAAAAATTTAATAATTCCACCTTTATTCTTTTAAAAAATACTCTCTATTGTTTCACCATTACTCATTAATTACAAATAAATTTCGCAACTAAAGATGGAAATAAGACATTTTGTTTTTCAAATCTCACGGAATCAATCTCATTTCCGATATTGATCCTAACTATATTTGAACCTGATTAAATACATACTCAAATCTAAGTAACACACCTCATACAAATAACATTTCAAATGATTATAGAAATCTGATTATTGTTCTCATGCTAGTGCTTTTAAATTTTTTTATTTTCGGGCATGGACAATCGACAGAGGAAACTGCCCTCTAGAGTTTTCCAAAATTCAAAAATGAAATAGCGCTATTTCGTTTTTAAAAAGAAAATAAAAAAAATCGAACAAATTCAGAGTTTCTTATTTGTTATGTTGATGAGTTATTTGAAAGCTTTTGAATGTACTTTGTATGAATGATTTTGCATTTTTAGGTTTATTGGTAGACTCAGTTTGGAGAGTTCAACCAATCTTCTTCATCGTTTGATAGATGGTGGGAAGATGTAAATTTAAGACGAGAAAATAAAAAAAATTGAAGTGGGTACGTGCGACCTACATTCTTCCCTCTACTTCAGATTCAGTGAATTAGTGGTTATTACGTTTTTCACAATACCGTAGTTAAAATTTGAGAAGAGTTTAATTAAAATTCAAGTGGACTTTAAAGACTTATCTTTCACCAGAAGTTGAAAAGTAGTTAGAGGCAATTAATCGATTTGGGATGAAAATACTACTATTCATGTTTAGAGCCCAGTTTCTGATAATATGATAAAAGACAATATCACATTCACAGCTTAATAGACTCGAGAGAGAATTGAATAGCTGAAAATGTTATATTGTCCTTTATCATATTATCAGAAACTTGGCTCTGCATCACAATGAGTAGATATTGATTGGCTGAATGACTTCACCTCTAAATAAGTGATCAGGAACACTGTACGAGTATTTATGGTGAATTATGTTTATAATCTAATCAAGTATATATTAAGTACTTAACCTAATTCAACTTTGTCAAAAATAAGGAGTTTCTTTCTCACAACATTGAATATCATAGATCTTTCAATTGTTTTAAATATATTTTACTTGGTAATTTTGAAAATTCAGTTTCTGACATTCTTCTTTTCCTTTTATAATTATCATCACTTGTTGCAACAGCTAGTAAATTATTATTTAAATTTATATCTAATTTTGCAATACTTTCAGTTAATGTTTCATTTGTTTCTAATTCTTTATTTATAAATTTTGGAAATTGTTTTAATCTTTTTCTCTTTTTTATATCCCATAAACATATATAACCATCTGATCCACCAGTATATAGTAGAGTATTTCTATTTGATGATGATTGTGAAGTATGTTTATTGAAAGTTATCGAATTTATTGGATATACTAAATCAGTTTCTGTATTTGGATCGAAATGTCTATGAGATTTAAAAACATAACTTTGTTGAATTTCTGAATTAATTTCATTGGTGGTATCATTAAAAGTTTCAATTGAAACACGTCCATCTATAGATGATACAGCGAATCCTTGTTGATCAGGAAAAACTTTTATATCAGTAATTTGATATTTTAATCCAATTTCTCTTGTTTCTATTGGTTTATTTAAATTTTTTAAATCATAAATTTCAATTATATTACCAGTTAATCCTAAAATTAAATAATTATTTGAAGTTTCCATAACTATGATTTTTCGATTGTTTTTAATAACAGTAGTAGGTTTCCGTATTTTAGTATCAATAACTTGTAATTGACCATTAAAAGAACTAGCTAGTACAGTGTTATTAATTCCTAATTTTAAATAATTAATTCCACTTTGAAAATCATCAATATCTACTTCTTTACCCATATTCCTCCCTAAATTTAAATTTTCAAATTCAATTTCTTTAATAGAACCATCTAATAATCCAACAATTGGTAAATTGGTAAATTCAGTATATTGTAAACATAAAGGAGTTTCATTAATTTTTATATCAAATATGGGATTTGTTATTGGAGGTTCATTTTTTAAATAATTTATAAATGATTTACAATCATAAAGCAAAATTAAATTATCCCATGAACTAATTAATAATTTTGAATCATTTAAATTATTATTAAATTTTATATCTGATATTATATCTAAATTTGTTGGAGTATTTAATTCAATAAATTCCGAATTGGAATTTGACATTATTGGAATCCCTAGATTGAGAAATTAATTAATACTTAGTTTTTTGAAATAAAGATAGATTGAATTATAACTAGATATTCGTTATTTGTTTGAATGTATTCGGATGGTCTATTTTGCGATAGGTGGTGTAATTGTTAATCTTTGAGAATGTGGATGGTGATAGATACACAACATAAATTTAAAGATTTTGATAATTTTGGTTCTTGAATTTTGTGTCATATGATTCGATAGTTTTTGTGTTTCACTCTAAATTTTACGAAATTATCACCATTAACCATTAAGATTAAGAGGTGGTTTATGAAAGGAAAGAAGTTGAAATTTGAAGAAGATGGTTTCAATTTTGTTGATTCTCAAGCTCTAGAATTTTGAAGAATTATCGAACTAGTAGTTTTTACATTGTTAGTGGTTATATCATCTTTTGGGTTGAAAATTTAAGAGACGTGACGGATAGATAAGGCTAAGTGTTGAAAAACATATGATACTTCTGAATAATCCGGCTCTTTCAGTCTGACATCTTCAAACTCATGGTCCACTAAACTCAATGAGGTTGCATTATACTGCAGAAAGTATTACAACTCACTGAACACTCCTTTTTTGTAAATACAACCACAAGGTGATCACCATTACAAAAATAGTTGATAGTAGCTTGTTCAATATGAGGACTTAAATATAAGTCTGAGCTCTGAGTAGACTTTTGGAGGAGAATTTGCTTTTATTCAGCCAATTTCTCAGCCGTTGTTTTTAATCGAATTTTCAGAATCTGCGTCTTGAAACTGCTTTATGAATTAGATCTATCTTGAATAGACCTGCTATAAAGCTCAGCTCAAACTAGAAGTTGAAACCAACCGCAATTGAATTGAACGTAAAGTCCTAAGACATCCTCAATCCCTCAACACCTAATAAATGGCTGTTACTGCTGTATTATCTCTTGCCGCTTTAACATTTGATTGACATTTTAGAATTTTTCAGTCCGAAAATCACAAAAAAAAAAAGTGATTAAGCCTAACGTAAAAAATTAACCTAAAATAGTTCAAACTTTACAACTTCAAATCAATCCAATTTAACTGGAGCCACTCATTTCATCTTCTACTAGTCTTGAATCCATCAAGACTGAGTCCATGTTATAGACAGTTTCATCCATCATTAAAACTCAAGACGTTCCCGAATTCAGTTTGTACCATCACGTTTAAATCAAACTATTGTATTATACCAGCACCATTTCCTTCAAATGAATCACGATGGAAGCATCAACAAATGGATCACTATCAAATGGCAATAATAATGGAAACCACACAATGGATCCCAAAAACAATTCCTCACTTCCAGATATACCTCATATAACAGAAAATTTGATTCCTTTATCAAATATTTTAAGATTTTATACTCAAGAATCATATAAACAATTAACAAATGCAATAGAAAATTTATCAATAAATGTAAATAATGAATCAGATGTGAAACGAAAGAAATACTTTTTAGATATTATAATAGCATTAAGACAAGATTTTTTAAAAATTTATACATTAGTTAAATGGTCAAATGTTGCAGAAGATGTTTCAAAATTTATTGATTTATTAAATTGGTTTAGATTACAAGATTTTCAATTTGAAAATTTAATGTTTCAATTATCAAGTCTCAATGGATTTGGAGGAGCTAAATTACCAAATTTTGATATAATTACTGCATTAGAAGTATTTTATGAAGGTCGACCAATATTACCTTCACATAATTATTTAAAACATAAAAAAATCACTCCTACTAAAACTTTAGAAGTATTAAGAGATTTAAATTTAATATTAATGACAAAATTTGCATTGATAGATATACCGAAAAGATTTCAATATGAAATTAAAGATGGAAGAGCTTATATAACAGTTGAAAAAGAATTTCAAGTAAGTGTAACATTAGCAAACGATGATATTGAAAATGATAATTCAAATCCATTTTATATGATTGATTTTAAATTTTTATTTTCAATGGATATAGAACTGAAATCAATTAAATCAAGTAGTAAAAATAATAATGAATTTTGTACAAAACTACCGACAAAATCGTATATAAAATTGGAAAAAATAGCAAATCAAACTTTATTAAATTCAGGACTACAAGGATTTTATGATTTACTTCATAAATATACTATATCTTCAAAACTATTTATGATAGCAAGACAATTAAAAGAATTAATGAATTCACCTAATTGGAAGAATAATCTACAAATAAATTATCAAACGGGGAATGCCTTGATTATAGTGAATTATTGGTCGCAACAATATTTATCTAGTCAATGGAAATCGTTCATTGAGATTGGGTTTGATAGAACATTCAATTTGAGTTATAGATGGTTTAAAGATGGAAAATATGTAAGTGAAGATACAATAAATAATATAATTCAAAAAGATGATTTTAATAACAATGAAGAAATTAATATTGAATCAATAATCACAAGTTTTATGTTAGAACATTCAGCAAATATCATGAATTTGATTGCTTCAAAGTTCGAAGAAAGAACTTTAGAAAAAATTCAATTTTTAAGTCCACATCAAATTATGTTTCCCTCGTCACCTAAAAAATCAGCAATACTAGCAATAAATCCAGTAAATGGTCAATTCTATTTCCTCGACCCAACACCCATTCAATCAAGAATCATTAAAAGAATCAATTCACCACCATCGATAAACAAAAGTTTTATATCAGAAGATGACATGGCAAATTCAGTAGTTGAAGGATTATTACAATTGAAATTAGAAACATTTACAAAAGAAATTAGTAATTATTTATTAACTACTGAATGGATAAATAATCTGATAATAAGATTAAATGAATTTGAAATGAATAATTTATTTAAAACAATAAATGAAACTGAAGGATATGTAAGAGTACAATTTTATAGAAGAAAACATTGGCCATCTACTTGGTTTTTAATTGTAATGATAAACGGTATAACAAATAAAACTTATTGGTGGGTTGCAAGAATTAAATCAATTGAAGGAAGTTGGGTTACAAATCATTCTCAAAATTTACATTCAAATCCTGAATTAAATTATCAATTTTTCATAAATTTAGGTAAATTTACTTTACAAAAAATTATTAATCATGTTATATTAGAAGAAATTAAATCAAGAAATATTAAATTTACTGAAATTAATGAAGAAGATGAATCGTTAAAAGAAATTTTTGCTAATGAAGCTAAAGATCAAAGCCCTTCAATTGATGGATATATAATATACAAATCAATGATTAAATTAGAGAATGATGATTTATTACCATTACAAATTTCATCACCATATTTATTCCTACAAATTCAACTCGTAAATCAAACAAACAATAATAATCAAAATAAAATGCATGTAAAACTTTTAGGTAAACTACAAAATTCAACTATAAAAAATTCATCAGAATTAACAAAATTAAATTTAAAAATTGATGAAAATAATAAAAAATTTGAAATATCAACATCAATTGATTTAAATCTTATAATTAATGAAAATTCATCTTCAACAAATGATAAAAATTTTTTAAATCCAATATTTGATAATTTAAATAAATTAAATAATTTATTAAAAATAATGGATCAATTAAATGAAAATAAATTTCAAATATTAGATAATTCAATGGATAATATTATAATTAAATTAAATGATGATATTGATAAATTAATTATTACATTACCTGAACAAAGTTCAAGTTCAATTAGGCTAAGTACAATAACTACATTAAATTGGGAAATAGAATTAATAATAAATTATTTAAATCAATATTTAAAACAATCAAAATCAACAAATATTATAGGAATATTAAATTATTTAATTGAAATAAACCCCATTATAAAATCAATAAAACATATTCAACAAACATTAAATCAACAACAAATTATAAATCAAGAAGAATTTAAATTATCAAATGGTTTAAATAAAATAAATTTTGATGCAATATTTAATAATTTAAATCAATTTCAATTTATGTTTAATATTTCATCAACTATACCAAATACTAAAAAAATTCAAAAAGATAAAATTCTAATATCAATTTCATTTAAACCAAATAAATATTCAACTTCTAAAAAATCAAATCTTTTAAAAATTTCATTTAAAAATAATCTCAACTTAAAAAATATAAAATTTAAAAAATTATTTGAATTAATTTTTAAAAATATAAATGAAATGGAAAGAAATAAACAAGATGAAATTATAAAATTTAATGAATCAAATTTAATTTTAAAATTAAATTATGATTTCTTGATAAGTTTAAATTTAATTGAAGAAATAATGAATAGAATAACAAAATGTTTTTTACAATATTTAAAAGAGCTTTAGTTATGAAGTCACATAAGAAAAAATGAATTGTATATATAAAATAGCTTAATGAAATGTTACTAATTAAATCCTTCTAATACACGTAATGCCTTTTCTAATCTTAAAATACCTAAATCATATCTTTGTTTATCCATAATCATATCAGAACTTAATCTACTTAATGAATCAATAATTTTTTCAATTAATTGTTTTTCTTTAAGTGGTATATTTAATGAATTAAATTCTTCTCCTATTATTGTACCATTCATACTTTCTAATAGTGATATAAGAGTATTATAACTGAAAGGTTTTAATTCTTGATTGTTATTTGTTCCAGTTTTAGATTTTCTTTTTGATGATGATGATTTTTTAGTTTTCTTTTTTTGAGTTGGAGGTTGTAGTTGATCAGGTAATGGAGGTGTCGTTGTTCTTTGTTTATTTGGTCTTCGTATTGAATTTTTAACTGATTTTGCTTTTGATGGACGATGTTGTATAGGAATTTTTTCATCTTCATCATCAACATCATAATATTGATCATCATCATCGAGTGTTGTTGGATTTAATATTGATTTAGGTTCCGTTCGATGATGTTGAGGTTGTGGTTGTTTATGTGATTCAGATATTTTCCTTGCATTATTAATATTTTCTTGTGTAGGTCTTGGAGGTAAATTTCTTAATTTTGATGAACATTCTGGAATCGCAGTTATTTCTTTACCTTCTCCTTCTATATCTAATTCTTTTTCACCGACTAAGGCTCGATTTTTTTCAGTTTCTTCTTCATCATTTATATCATTTAATTTTTCTAAAAGTGGTTTTGAATTTGTGGTATCAGTACTTGCTCTATGAAGTTTATTTTTTTGTCTTTTTTGAACGATTAATGAATCATCATGTATATCATCATCTTCGTACTTTAAATTCTTGTTCAATATATCTTCTTCTTCTTCAATTTTTTGAGTTGGATCATTAGATTGCATTGATGAAGCATCATACATTAATTTATCTAAATCATCATTAATTTGAGTAGATTTTCTTCTTGAATTTTTCTTTGGTGATGGTGAAGTAACTGAAGCTGATGTGGTATTTGCAATCATTGAAATTGGACGTCTTGGAGATCTCGCTGGAACTGCTCCTTCAATATTTGTATTAAATGATTTATCTGGATTTATATTTAAATTTTCATTTGTTTTTGATTTTGATTTTGATGAAGTTGGTAATTTACCCATTAATATTGAACTTTCTTCATCTGATTCTTGTTCTGATTGTGATTCTTCAGTGGTTATATCTACATGTTTGTTTTCATTATCTTGATTTATCAGTCTGGATGAACTAAAGGAATTTTCATCATTTTCAATTGATTTATCTAATAATTGATTAGTTTCAACCGAATGATTTGAAGAGATAATTTTATCGTGTTTAGCACTCGATGCATCTCCATCATCATGTTCATCTTCATTATCTTCATTTTTATTATATTTTTTTAATTTAGAAGTATCAGTTCTTTGTAAAGTCATTGGTATAGCAATATCATTTTCAATTTTTCCAGAATATTGACTAAATGAACTAAACATTGAAGCTCTTTTTTGATAATGATTATTATGTAAATTTTGTAAATTTATTGGTTTAGTTATAAGACTTTCTAAACTTGAAGTATTTTGTAATTCATTTAAATTTATTCCAATTCTTTGATGATTTTGTGAAGAATGAGATGATGATATTGGTGATACTGAATTTGATGATTGTGGTGATGGTTGTCTTATTATTGGTTTTATAATTGTTTCATCAACTGCTATTGAATTTGATGAAGAAATTTGAGAATTTTGATCATCTGCTGTTATGTATTGTCTTGAGCTTTGAGGATTTGAAGTTAATTGTGGAGAATGTTGGGATCGTAATGGTCGTTGCAGATATTCATGTCCATGTTGTTGTTGATAATCAATTGATTCAATATCACTTAAATTACTTGGGGGTAATTGATCAATAATTCCTGCTCCTGTACTTATTGAAGTAGGAGATCTAAAAGATGAAGAAGAAGATGTTTGAGTTATTCCTCCACCACCACTAATTGAAGCTAATTCTGGTTTTATAACTGGTCCATATGAATAATTTGAACTAGAATGTGAATGAGGTGGACTTGATGACATTGTTGATCACCGCACTGCAATCTTATGATGAGATGAAAAATAATGGTTAAAGTAATGGAAACAATGCTTATTATAAAATATGAATATGAACTGAATTATTAGTAGTAAATCAAGATCTGATACAATTTTGAAATCTTAATTGGTTTTGTTTATAAATTATCTTAATTTGGAATTTATTATGAGGTAAGGCGGTCACATGACTTCATTAAAAAGTTACAATATACGAGAGTTTTATTGAACAACTAATTAGACCATTATATTTACATTTCAGATGCAAAATATATCCAAATGAGGGAGTGGTTTATTTGGGGAGACTCTAGGCTACTATTTTTATCAACTTGTTCAAAGAAAGCTTACAGAATACGGAGTCTCATCACCGTATAGATTCCGTACTAAGTTTTGTGTATTGTTTCGTAAACTAATTTCTTATATCCAGGTTTTTGTTCCATTTATTGATTAACAACAATACAGTTTCAAATCTAAGTCTGAAACACCACTTTGAGAGGTTCAAAATACTACAATAATAAACTTATTTAATAATACAAAAGTTCTTTTTTATTCATATATTTATAATAATACAACATTACGAAATTATTGTTACAATTAGTATAACTAACTCACTATATATAATCTAATAATTCTTTTGGTACATTTTCTTTTATCCAAAAAAAATCAGGATCTCCTAAAATAGTTTCTAAATTAGGTCTTCTATCTTTTCTAACAAGAATTTTTTCCACAAGTAATTTTAAATCTTGAAAAATTTCAATAATTAAAGGATTTAATTCATTATTTTTTAAGTGGTGTTCAATATTATTCCATACCCAATCAATCATTGCAATTCTATGATTTATTGTTGTCTTTTTTGAATTTCTTCTCTTGATTACTGATGGTGATATTCCTTTGTTGTTAATAGATGTTGAATAATTTTGTGGAGTTATATCAAATGGTAATCTACCTTCTAATAAACAATAAGTTAATACACCAATTGACCAAGTATCACTTAATTTCCCATCATAATTTAATCCTATTATAACTTCTGGAGCAATATAATCCTTGGAGCCACATCTTGTTGATAATAATTGATCAGGTGAATTTAATTTTTTAGATAATCCAAAATCTGATAAATTAATTAATGGAAATGTTAAAATTTCATTAAATTTAAAAATTTCTTCAATTTCTTCTATATTATATAAAAGTAAAACATTTTCTAATTTTATATCTCTATGTATTATATTTTGCTTATGTAAAAAAAATGTTGTTAAAATTAATTCACTTATTATTCTTCTTAAAAGTATCCAATAATTTAAATTATTTAAATTCATTGTTTGATTATGATTTAATAAAAAATTTAATAATGTTCCTCCTCTACAATAATTCATAAAAATTAATTGATCTCTATTTTCAGGTATTTCTATATTTTCTGCATTTTCTGTAGTTTCTTCTTCTGGTATAAATTCAGATTCAATATCTTTCATTTTAATATCTAAAGTAACTTTAAAATCAATTAATGAAGTAATACAAGGATGATAAGATACATGATATAAAATATTTAATTCTCTTAATATAAAAGATTTGAAATTTATAATTTGAGATTTAGAATTTGGTATTGTTATTATTTTAATTGCAATTTCTTCATTATTATTATTATTATTATTTTCAGTTCTAGCTAATATAACATTACTAAAATTTCCTTCTCCTAAATTTTTTATATATTTAAATGTTATACCAAATCTTTCTGAATAAAATTCTTGCTGTTGTTTTGGTAAAAGTGATTGTTCTTGTTCTTCTTGTTGAGGGTCTGGAAATTTTTGAAATTTTGAATTATGTGGTAATAAAGGTGATGTTGATGGAGTTATAGGAGATTCTATACCATTCGATTGTTGTTGATTTTGGTTGTTGTTTTGATTTTGAGGTAGTATAGGTTGATCAAATTGTTGTTGTTTATTTGAACCTATAGATGATACAGTGCTTGAAGAATATGGTAATTCAGGTGGAGGATTTGACATAATTCTTTTATTATTCATTGAATTTGAATTTAAACTATTTACTCTTGATATAGGTTTATAATCAGATAAAATTCTTGGTGATTGGATCAGTTTCACTCTTATTAAATCTATATTATTTGATTTATCTCTTGGTGGTGATGATAATATTTGATTATTATTGTGGTGACTATAATTTGAAAATGAACCATTTTTTAATACAGGAGTTGGTAATTGAGTTATATTGGGGAAATTTATTGGACTTATTGATTTAAAAGTATTTGATATTGGTGATTGATTATCAAAATTTAATGGTTCTCCTAATATCGTATTTAATGATCTCATAGAAGGATGTTGAATTGGTTCATCATTCTCATTGTTGGTGGTATTGTTGGTGTTATTATTGGTGTTATTATTATTTGGTACTTCAATAGTTAAATTTTTATAACCATTTAATTTTTTTGTTTTTGTTGTTGGACTTATATAAAATGTTGATTCGTCTATACGTGATGGTGCAGGTGAAGGTGAAGGTGATGATGATGACGCGTTGTTATGAAAATGTTGTGTATGGTGATTATGAAGGTGTTTTCCATTTATTATCGTTGGTGATGACTCTCTTGAAGGCATTTTTTATATTTTCTGTTTTTATAAATTTAAAGTTTTATCAAATAGGTTACTGTCAACTCTATTTTTAAATGATAATAAGTAAATTGAATGAATGAATAAATGAAAGTTGAATGATTTCTCAACTAAATTTGATTATGAGATTTTGAAGTGATATATAATAATATATTTTATTGAATGGGTATGATATTATAATTTTATTGATAAAAATTTAAGTTATTATATAAATCTGTATTTTGTACTTGAGATCTTGGGTATTATAATAATTAGTGGAGATCTCTATGTATCTATGTTATGATAATATCTTATTAAATGGTATTACAATCTCATATAAGGTTATTGTTGTTGTTGTTGTTGGTATATATATATATATATGTATAAACTTGTATGAATACAAATAATAGGAATGAATAATAAAACGAAATTAAATTTGAATGACCAAATGAAAATGATAACGAAGAAATGAATAAATGAATAAAAATGAGTTATTTGGTTGAAATACAAGTTGTTGATGGATAAAAAGGAAAAGTTGACTAATAAATATTGTTTAGATAATTTAATAATCATCATTTTTCTATTATCATCTAATAATCATCATCATTAATTTATTATAACAAATTTAAAAATATATTGAGTTCAAAGTATACAAACCTTACACATAATTAAAACTAAACGCATAATCACTTACTAACAGACAATACAATAGAATTACAATCACGTAAAAATTCAACTTATTTAGTAATAGACAGAGATGTATCAACACTTAAGTCAACACTCAACACTAATTAATTAATTTTGTAACTTTATCAACTAAAAATTAATAGACTCAGTACAGAAAGAAGCCGTACCAAACTATGGTAAATATTGAATAGAGTCAGAGACAGTCAGAGACAGCCAGAGAGAAAGAAGAAGCCATCATTGGAAGTACCAATTTGATTCATGAAGAGCCGTTCCTAGTTGGTAGATGTATACAGAAATAGGAGAAGAATATGAGAAAAAGAAAAGAAATATAGTTCACAGTAGAAGCTATATCAAATAATTGTCGTTTGACTCATTAATATTTGAATAAATTAGACGATATGATACAATTTAAAGAATAACAATTGGAGAAATGTTTATTTTTAGAAAGATTTAATACTAATTGAGTCAACTTTATTAATACCAACAAAGATATAGTGTATCTTTTATTGATATGGATTATTTTGACATACAATAAAACACACGCACACACACCTTTAGATAATGTATAATGTCTTATATAAATAGAGTGTTATAGTATTGAAGTACCTTTGTCTACTACTTAATCTAGTTCTTTTTATTCTACATGAAGTAGCTTAACTTTATTCCTCATTCCACCTGTCAAAATTTCAATCAATTGATAAAGTTTAAAAAACAAATGCTCTCTACTGGATTGAACTATTATTGACATATAACTTTAACTTTATATGTATCATAATCTACTATTAAGGTTATCATGTCAAATATGTTAAAATATACTAGATAGTAAATTAAGTGTAGATACATATTTTACTACTATGTTACTATTTAAATTTAGACCATAGAGTTTGTGAACTTCTTTTGACTTAAATTCAGGATAAATTGGTTTCAGCTGAAGCAGTACAAATAGTAGTTGAGTGATAATCTGACCTTTGTATTACTCTCTTCTGTAAGAAAGTTTAGCGATATATGTGTTTGACAGCGTTTGCCTTAGAATCTATTATTCAATACTTTCTTATTTTGAGCTGGTTCGTAACCTTAATGAACGCAAGTAAATTATAATAGTTAATTTAATCAATTATACATTGAACTAATTTATTAGACCACCTCTGTTTTTTCTTTTGGGGTAAAGAATTGATATGGATTTAAAAACGTGAATTCAAATCGACCCCTCCGTCGGAATTTTTTGGATGTTTTTAAGTATGGAGGATGGTACGGATTGTACTGTGGTACGGATGTTTTGGGATGTCTGACATAGGGGTGCATTTGAAAGGTGGTGGATTTTAAAACCTGTCAAAGCATAAATTTTTACTTCTTAAAGCATAATTAAGGTGGAAAACATGGTTTAGCTAAGAGCTAGTTGGATTATTTGGACATTTGTATCCTACTTCAAGAGACTGCTATCCTCACCAGCCTTTATCAATTTTGATCTAGACGTGTTTTTTGTCTCCTTAATTTAAAAAAAAGAACAATAAAGATTAACTACTCAATTTATTTAAAAAATTGTTTTAATTCTAATTTATCCGCCAACCAATGGATACAAAGAGATTCAAATTGAATTGGAGATAGTCTACTTTAAGACTCGTAGCTTGTCATTGCAATGTTCACAATTGGAAGGCTCCGGGTGATGTCTAGAACTTGGTTGAACCCCATTGACCAGACCTGCACTTTTTTGTACATCCAGATGGAATAAATCTTATCTAGTATTTGATATATCACAAATTCAGGTCATCATCTCAAAATTGGTTTATGATCGTTCATTCGTCGTATTTTAATGAACATGAATAATACGGAATGATTATCTTCAAATTGTAGAACATCTAAAATAAAAAAATTCTATTAATGTCCTAGACTATATTTTATGGACACATGTGGAAAGCGACACTCCATTTGATTAATTTTTTTCTGTCAAATGTACACTAACAAATTTCTTAGTATTAACTTTATTAAGTGAGTGAAGTTAGTTGACTTTATATTACTTAACAAATATAGTAACGTAATTGTTGCAACAAATTAACAGATCTATTATTAGACCTAAACTAACTAAATAGGGGTCTTATCTTCTACTACACTCATTTGCATTTACATAAAACTCAAGACATTATGTCTGATCATTATGATTTAGATCAAAATTTCAAACAAGATCCAATTGATGAAATATTTGGAGATCAAGAAAATGATCATCAAATTTTAAATAATGATCCACAAGAAGATGATTTTTTTACATCAATTCAACAAAATCATCCTATAACTCCATATAATAATGATAATGAACAAAATCTAAATATAAATGAATTAAATTATCCTGAATCAAATCAAGAAAATCAAGAAGCTCAAATTGTTGATGAAATATTTAATGAAGATGGAGGAGATTTTTTACAACCAGAAGAAAACAATGAAATATCGAACAATAATGAATTCCAATATAATGTAGAACCAGAAGATTCAAATTCACAAAATATTCAAAATCAAGAAGAAACTAATTTAGAATTTTTAAGAGATCAAAATGATCCTGAATCTTTCTTTGATCAACTTTCAATACCTCAAGGAAATGAAGTACAACGTAAAAGTATAGATACTACAGAACATGAAGAATTTATACCCAATGATGATGATTTTTATAGACCAAATGATGATGAATATAAAAATAATAACAACAACAATAATTATGATGATGATGATGAATTTCAAGTATCTGATTATGAAAATAACCCTTTTGAACAATCTGAAATTTTACAATTAGGAGAACAGACTGTACCTGAAAATAAAGAATATGAACCTTTACCTCAATGGGAAGATCAACAAAATAGCATAGAGAATGAAGAAGAAGAACAGGAAGAAAATAATGATAATGATAGTTTATTTAATGGTTCAACGCCAAAAGAATTGGAGAAAGATGAGTTGGAACAATTATTGGATGAAAATGATAAACCAAATAATGATGAAGAACAAAAAGAAAATGTGGAAGAACAGAATGATGAAGATCAACAAGCAATTGATTTAGATTCTAAACTCGATGATTTATTTGCAAAAGATAATGAAGATGATTTTATCAAGGCATTAGGACAGAAAAAGCAAGAATCAAATGAAGTTGATTCAACTATTGATAAATTAGCAGCACTTGATTTAAGTCTAGATGATGATTTATTATTAGATGAAGAATTTTTAGATGAACCTATAGAGTCAAAACCTTTACCTAAACAAGAACCAATAAAAGAGCATAAAAGTTATACACCAACAACAACTAATCCTTATATCAAACCATCAACAAATCAAAAACAAAACAGTCAACAAGAATTTGTACAAAATTTAGAAAAATCAAAAAAGAAAAATGATGCTTATGATTTTCCTGATGGGTTATTAATTAATAAAGTTAGACCTGCTCCAAGACATACAACCTCAAATAAATATGCACCATCAGCTGGAAATTCTCAAAGTACAATAAGCACATTGGGTGGCACATCTCAAGATAATTCTTTGGCTGCTCCACCGCCTTCAAATAATTTACCACCTCAAAAACAATCTTCATCTAATCAAGAACAACCACCACAGGAAAAGAAAGTTCAACCTAAAAAATCATTTTTTGAAGAATTACCAGGTGTTGAGTTACCAAAACCTAATAGAGCTGTCAGAAAACCAGCTCCAGTGAAATCAGTAAACAAATTTCATCCAATGTCACCAGTTCAACAACAAAAACAACCAATTAATACAGCTCCGCCTGCTCCTCCAAAATCAAATAAACCTCCTCCAGTTAATCCATATAAACCTAAACAAGGTACATCACCTATTTTTCAACAACATGTACCAATTGTTGGTCATACCGGAATAGCCAAACCAAATGTTAATCCACAACCTAATTATGCACCTGCTCCAAATTCATATATGTTTCCACCAACAAGTAATTCAACACCTGCTGTACCATCACAAGAACCTATTGGAATGGCTCCACCTTCGTCAAATCCTCCAATTGCATCAGCTCCTGTAAATTCCGGTCTTTCAAACAATAGACGTATTTCAAATCCAATAAATACAAATTTAGGTAAAAATCTGCCATCACATAATAGTCCTTACGTTCCAAATGCAGGACCTTATGCACCACTGAATCAACCAAAAACTCATTCAAGAGCTGGTTCTTTATTAGGTGGTAAGGGAGGTAAAGAATTAAATCCATATGCCCCAGCATTATCAACTGTTCCTAGTAATAATAATTCACCAGCAATGACTAATTTACATTCTCAACAACCTCCACATTTATCAAATGCAATAGTTCCACCATCAGGTAGAATAAGAGGTATATCAAATGCAAAGGGAAATATATATAAAACAACTCCAAAAATTGTTAAACCTGAAGAATTAAATTTTAGACAATTTCCAATTTTTAATTGGAGTATATCTGAAAAAGTTGTTTTATTAAAACCAAATTCAACATATGGTAAACCAGTAATAACAATTGATCCAATAAAGACATTTTGTAAAGATCAAGAAATTTATTTAAATTTCCCTGGTCCATTATCTAAAAGTAAACTGAAAAAGAAAGAAATTTTAAATTGGTTTGAAATTTCATCTCAATACTTGCTAAAAAATGGGTTTACAGATGAATTATTATTAAATAATATATTAATGGAAATTATTAAAAATGATGGTGATTTAAAATCAAATGATTGTTTAAAACAAATTTGTCTTATATTAAATCCAAATGTTAATTTTAATGCTCAAGATTTACCAATATCAGGAGGTACAACAAATGGTTATAAATTAGATAATTCAGGTATAAATACAGTATTCGCATTAATTCAAGCAGGTGATATTTCAAAAGCATTAGAATATTCAATATCAAAAAATGATTGGGCTTTAGCTTTAGTATTAGCAAATTTTAGTGGTCCTGAAAGCTTTTCTAAAATTGCAAGTGAATATGCAAGAAACACTTTCCCTTTTTCAAAAGCAAATAATAAAGTATTACATATTATGCCAATTTTATTAAAAGTTATTGGTGGGAATGTACAAAGTGTTATACAAGATTTAACTAATGTTCCAAATGAAGGAGATTATGCTAATTTACATTGGAAAGAAATTATATCATCAGTTGTTATAAGTGGTTCTCTCAAAACAAAAGAATTTTTAATTGAATTTGGTAAATTTTTGATAAATAATAAAAATCTAATTGGTGGAGAAATTTCATTTATTTTATCAGGTTTACCATTTGGTCAACAAGGATTTTTAGTTATATCATCAGGTCACCATTCAATGTATACACAAATTTATGAACATATTTTAAATTTAAATAATACATCATCAACGCCAATACAATTCCCACATTTATTACCAATTAAATTAAAACATGCTTCAACATTAGCTGATTATGGATTAATTAATGAATCTCAAAAGTATATTGATTCAATAAATTCAAATTTAAAATCTTTAGGTAATAAATCACCATTTATAACACAACAATTAATACAAGAATTTCAAAATCTTATAATGAGATTAAGTGAATTAGGATCAAATGATTCAAGTGGTTGGTTTGGTAGTAAAATGAGTAAAGTTAATTTAGATAAAGTTTGGGGACAAATTGATAAATTTATTGTTGGAGGTAGTGGAGAAGAGACTAAACAAAAATCAAATGAAAATGGAGTATTTAGTAAATTTAGTCCATCAGTTTCAAGAAATGCTTCTACTTTAGATTTAGGTACTTTACATACTTATACATCACCATCAATTAGAGGAGGACCAGATCAATTTGAAAAAATAAGATCTTCTAATCAAACACAAATACAATCAAATAATATATATAATCAACAACATCCTGGATTAGATTCAAATTTTTCATCAACTTCAATTAATAAGTATGCTCCTTCAAATTTAAAAAATTCACCATTTCAAAATCAACAACTGAATGATCGTTATGCTCCTAATAATTCATCACAATCAAATTTAATTGATAATTCTAATTCAATTTTTCAACAAAGTCATAACTTACAACAACAACAACAACAACAGAAGCAAGTTTCTCCACAACAGCAACACTCTCATTATCAACATAATCAAACAAAACCTCATTCACCATTAGCTCAAAAAACAACTTATCCATATAATAATCCATTAGGTCCAATATCAACTTCATCTATAGGATCGATACCACCAACTAATGCTCAACCACCAATTCAAGGACATGGTCAACAAAATTCAATATCAAGTGTTATATCTGGTGAAAGTATACTGAATTTTCAAACAAATGTTGCACCAGTTATAACTCCTCAAGTTGAAACAATTCAAGAATCTCCTGAATTAAAACCAGGTTTACAATTACCATCATCACAAGAAAAATTACAACAACAAGAAAAGAAAGAAGATTTGAAATTGGAGGAAAAACAACCTACAGCTCCACAAGCACCGCCTCCACCAATTAAAAAGACAAAATCTGCTCCTCCAACAGCTAGATCAAATCCTTATGCTCCTTCATCAAATTTAAAATCAAAACCAAGAAGAAATAAATATGGACCTCCAACAATTGGTGAAAATAATGATTCTAGTTTAGGGTTAACTGCTACTTCAAACAATAAATATGGACCTCCTCCTTCGAACAATAGTTATGCTCCAAGTGTTGTATCTAATTATGCTCCTTCAATTGATCAAAATCAAAAATTACCTGAACCTGAATCTAATGTATTAGATGAAAATAATGTTGAAGAATCTCAAAAATGTTCGAAAATTCAACCACCGCAAAATCAATATCAACCTCCACCATCTCATATACCTCAAGAACCACAACAACAACATTTAAAATCAAGAAAAAGTATTCCAAATATAGATGATAGTTTTGAAACTGAATCTTCAATAATAGTTGCTGAATCAACAAATATTTTACAAACTCCAAAACCAAAACCATTAACTTTACAAGCAGGAGGTATCTATAATCCATCAACTCTGAATTCAAATTCAAATGGATTAGATGGTTTTCCAATACCTGGAAGTCCAGATTATACAACAAGAGCAAATTCAGTATATGGAGGTAATACAACAAATCCAAATTTATCTTCAACTTTACCAATTGGTGTTGGTACAGGAGGATTTTTTTCATCAAGATTAAGTCAGTCTCAACAAAGCGCAATGTATCAACAATATGAAGTACAAGATGATACTGTAAAAGATTATATACCTATTTTAGAAGAAGATGAAGATGATGATGAAGAATTAATTAAAAAAGAAAAAACTAGAAAGGCTAAAGAAGAAGCTGAGAAAGAAGAAGCTGAAAAACAAAAACAAGCTCAAGCTCAAAAAAAGCAAAAGAATAATGGTCAACAAAAAGATGGATGGTTTAATAATTGGTTAACAAAAAATGATGGAAAACCAAAACCCATTAGAGCAAAATTAGGTGAAAAAATAAATGTATTTTATTATGATGAAAAACATAAAAGATGGTTAGATAAAACAAAACCAATTGAAGAACAATTAAATGCAGGAAAAATTGCTCCACCACCTCCAAGTATGAAAAAGAAAAAAAATATAGAGAATAATAACACAAATGGTGGTAGTGATGGTGCTAGTGGACCACCTCCACCTTTAAAATCTAATTTACCACCAAAACAAACAATACCTAATTCATCAAATACAACGAAAGAAAACAATGATTCTTCTCAACAATCACAAAATTCATTACCAATTCCAACAGGAAATAAACCTACTGCACCAAAGAAAAAATTTAATAATTTAGCAAATGCAAATTTAGATGATTTATTATCAATGACTGAATCAACTGCTGGTGGTGGTGGTGGTTCAAGAAAATCCAAGAGGAATGTACGTAGAAATTATATTAATGTTTTAGAAAAATGAAAATAATTTTCAATAGGATGTAAATTAAAAGAGTAAATAGGTTATAGAAAAGTAATGAAATTTAAACAATGACAGTTTTAAACTTTTTATTAACTTGTAATATCTATTTAAATAATTACCTAATACAAAGGTTTTAAAAAAAGAATTGAATGAAAAAACAAAGATGTACCAAAAACCTATTCCTATCCCGTATTTTTTGCAATTGAAATTTTATCAACACATAATCTTTTTAGATTTAATTGACTCCTGCAATTGTGATTGTAAATGTGATTGTTTTTGTTGTTGTTGTTTTAATTGTAATTGTAATTGTTGCTTTTTAATTTTTTTCTTATTTAAAATTTCTTCTTTTGTAAAACCATTAGAAAATGAACAATTTATTTTTTTACAATTACACATATTACAATTTTTAAATTTTATAAATTTTTCATTTGAATTTTGTAATAATGTATAATTACCACTTAAATTTAATTTTTTTTGGTTTTGAAAGGTTTCAATTTGATCCTTGTTTAGATTAAATTCTGATATAAGTTCTTCAAATGTTGATATTGATAAAATTTGAATTTCTGCGTTACATTTTACTTTTCTTGTACGACATGAATCACATGATGGTCCTAATCTCTGTCTTCTTTTTGGTGATGATGATGATGATTTTGAGCTTGATGAGTTGGAATTGGTAGTGGTAGTGGTTGTAGATGTAGGATTATTTATTATTATTGGTTGTTGCGAAATTTGTGAAGATTTTGGTGTTGTATTTATATTTATATTTATATTTTTATAAGTAAGTGATGAATGAATAAATTCTGGAGTTGATGGTGAAGATGATGAACAAGAAGATGATGATGGTGATGAACTAGATATTAAAGATGGAACTGATGATGATCTTATATTTGTTGAATGAGGATTTTGTAAATATGTTTGATTTTGATGGTTGTAAAAAAATTGTTGTTGTGATTGTTGTAATTGTTGTTGTTGATCTAGTATTATTGCACTGCTCAATAAACCTAATCCATGACAATCTCTAATTGTCTCTTCCTGTGGTTGTTGTTGTAGTTGTTGTTGTTGTTGTTGTTGTTGTTGTAATGGTTGTTGTAAAGATGGTTGTAAAATTTGATTATTTGAAAATTGAGGGGTAATTGAAGATATTGAACTTGAAGATAATGAAGGTTGATGATACATTATTGGTCTTGAAGTATAATTTGTGTTGCTAGTGGTTCCTACCATATTAATTGGTGGTAATTTTAAATTAGATTGATCATTACCACTATTAATACCATTACAATATGAAGTTAATTGAGATATTGAAGGAATTTGTTGATTTGAATTTGGTGATAAATTTAATGAAGGTAGTATATTTTTGTGTGATAAATTTGGAGTATTTAATGTACTTGAAGAATTTGATGAATTGTTTGTAGTTGATGATGAAGAAGGTGATCTCATAATTGAATATGAAATTAAATCTGACATTTTGAATTTGAATTAGTTATTTAAATTGAAAATTTGGTTGTAAAAGAATTGAAAAATGTATGTTTAATAATAATTAATTGAAATGAAACTTGTAAATAAAAGACTTTTTAACTTTTTATTCTCCCCTGGTATTTTGTTTTAATGCAAATGAAACAACTTCTTAGATGTTTCTTGAAGTAATTGATTTTAATGTTAATCTGGTTGGTTGCCAAAAAGTACAGTTAAAATAAGTTGGTTATTTGGTTTGATATTTATAAATTTAAATCTTTATATTAACTCGGATTTTACAAATAAAAAATAAAAAAAAAAAAAAAAAAGTTGTTGCAAAAAAAAAAAACTAATTTTGTGTAACAAAGTGTAAATACTTAAGCTTGTGATTAAAATTGAGGGGAGTTTTTATTTTTCCTTCGCTCAGTTCGACTCATTTTAATTAGTGTTTTCCTGTATATTAGTAGTATTCGGAGTACTATTATAGTTCTCGTACTACCTTTGTAGAACGTATATTAAAGTAAAGTAAAGAAAGCAACAAAAATTCCCCTCTATTTGGAGTATACGTTAAATTTAAAAGTTAGCGCTAAGTACATCCAGATAGATTCTGTTTTAAATCGACTAATTTGTTTTCGAGTGGGTAGTTTGATGAATGATTCGTATTGATTTCAATGAAGATCGGAAGACTACTCCTCGGTATTATGATTAATCTATTTGCCAATCTGTATGATGTTTTAAATTTTTATATTTCCTACTATTATTGATACTAACACCCCTTAATGGAGTTTAGGTAAAGCGTTTTTTTTTATACTTACTATGAGGTAGACTACCATATGATAATAGGAATAAATCGGAATATGAATCATCTTTATTTATAAAGGAATAAGCTTCTCCGTAAATGCAAAAGTTTAAATTTAACTAGACTAAGGAAACTGACTTAAGAACAATATTCAAATGAACCGAGCTACTAATTGATTGATTAGAGGTGAATGAAATGGGAAAGAGGCTAATGCTTAACTTATTCTACATTTTTTTCACGCGCTCTTATAAACTTGTGGTGAACCAATAATGATTAATTCCTATATCTTAATATATATGACTAAAACTCTAGCTACGCTTTAGAACTTTAGTTGTAATCAAATTATCTAATTCAAAACCATCCCATCATTTGATAAGAGGAAGTGAAGAATGGAATAGGTCAAAACACATAGGAGTTAGGATGTTAGAAGAGGATTCGAGGTGTCAAGGAAAAGGAGCACAATCAATAATCAATACACCCTATACTACAACTATTATCTTTATCACAACTGGTTTTCATTTTATTTATTTTAGGAAATAAATTTTGTGAAGTATAAAGTTAAATTTTTTTTTTTTTTCTCTGTTTAAAAAAAACTCCGAAATCTTTTTTTTATTCGAAATCTAAGATTTGGATTTTGTGTGACTTTTGTTCTGACTCCATCAGTCCGATGTATGGACTTTTCAAAATTTTAAAACTATTCAACCTCATCAGCGTTCTTCATAACCATAACTACGGTTAAGTGAGAAGGAAATGTGAGTGACTTTATTTTAGTACTGATTTTTACGTGTATATTTTTAAGTGAGGCTGTATTAAGCTTTCATTGGTGATCTTTATGAAATCGAATTCTTCAACACATCCAATCTCAGTACCCATATGTCCAAAAATGAGGATGAATCAAATGTATTCACATGAATTTAAAACAATTTTCTAGATAAGCAAAGTTTCTTAATGAAGTATAAAAAATTAAAATTTTAAACTTATGAACGTTTTAAACTACAGTTTATTATTTTTTTTGTAAATAATTTTGACATTTCCATTTAACGACTCCGAAATAAATTTTTTAATTTGTTTGCACCTCGGAGTCAATAAACGAGAATGAGAGAAAGTTGAAAAGTGTTTCAAATAAATTTGTGTATTGTTTTGTCTCGAGTGAAAGAAAAATTTAAATTTACCTAAAAGCCTATTTAAGTAAATATACTTTACGTTTAACTATAATGTAAGAAGAGCTTAAGTCCAAATATTGCATAAAAAAAGATTTTAATAACTAATAAACTTCTTTCTTAATCCCTGTACCCTATTGTTCTTGTATTGTTTCAAATTTAATTTTATGGAGTTTTTGAAAGAGAAAAATTTATATGAAAATAATCGAAAATTCAAAACATAAATAAAATCAAGCTTGGAGAAGAGTCAAGTAAAAATAATGAAGAAAATAAAGAAAGAAGAAATAAATGATGAATGGTTTACTAGATCGAAGTAGATGATAGAAGTTAAAATGCAAGTACTACACCTTTCGTCTCTCCTTGAAGGCTTCAAACATTAAGTCTTTCAAAAGAGACCAATATCGAGACGTGTTAATAAATTTCTTTTTATTTTTAATCATTTCGATTTCGATATTAGATATTAGATTTACACTGTATTAGATTTAATGCAATAATGCTTCTTATCTTATCGTAACGGGTGTAAATGTGGGGCAATATACATCGGAGTATTTTTTATTTTTTTTCTTCTGTAAATATATATGCAAGGTATGGACGTACTAGTAATAAGTAAAGTAGTTATTATTCATTTTAATTCTACCCATACTTTCGGCATAAATCAGTGCTAATATTAAGATTGATAAGCACATGATATTGATCTGTTTGAATAGATTGTCATACTGTTCTTTCTTTATAGGCAATGAGAATATATGTTTTTGAGCTCGGAAATGAGAGACACCACTTTTATTCTATATTAAGATTAGAATATATGATATATTTAAAGTTTATTGGCAATTTTTGTATGTAAGAAAATTTATTTTGATAACAAAATTCCCATTGGTCTTGTTCACAGAGGTTTGATCTTAACTTTAGCCTAGATACTTTTGATCAACTAGGAATTGCTTCTCAATATGAAAATTTTGGTCACAAACCAACATATTAAATTTTTTTTCTACTGATCAGCGCATACAATTAATTTACTCCGAGATCAATTTTTGCGCTTTTATAACGAGATGTTGGTATACCTTTTTTGAATGTTGAATCAAGTTACTACCGAACCAACGAATTAATAATTATGTCAATGATTTTGAGAATAAATGAATGATCATAGTGTTGTATTTACTGAGCTAAGATTTAAAAAAAAAACTGTTGAACGATGGTTTGAAGTGTATACATTTGTAAATTTCTGTTTTTAACTTTTTTGTTTTAAAATTTAACGCAAAATTACCTTAAGAGTATTTCCATAAATCAAGCTGAAGTTTTCAAATATTCGAACCATCGAAAAATAGTAATTTTAAAGCTGAGACTCTAATAAAGCATGAAAATAGGATCAAATGAAAGCACATGAATCAACAAAGTCGTATAGTCTAATGATTCATCTTATGTTTTGTTACTGTCTCATAAGCTTGAAAAAACACTTCCGTACCTCAATACATAATGTTTTTTTTTTCGAATTGGTTGCACCCACTAATTTTTGCAGCCAAATTAAAACTTTTACAAACATAATTAGGAAGGAAAAATTTGCATCAGTTGTTTATCAGTTGAACTATACAATGTTATCGGAGGAGTGGTAATTCATTTTAAAATAAATATAGTCACTATGCATCTAATTGACTAATACAATTCCGTACGTGTTTTAAATGTTCTGAACAAGTTTTATGACTTTTATAAAAACATTCGAAGACAAAAGCAACCTATCAGCAATCTTTTTATTTGCTTACTAGCATCCGTTGTTTATCTAACTTGTTATATAATTCATAATTTCATTGAATAATCGGTTATATTTGAAAAGCTCGAAGATTATATAATTGAAAGGTGGTATAAGTCAAAATTATTATTTATAGTATCAGAACCCCAAAGATTCACAAGATACAAATGGTAAGGTAGAAAAGCTTAATCAATCAACTTAAAAATATGATCAGTGGACTGACAAATACTACATGGTAATATCGAAAGCGATAAAATTGGATAATACTTTACCTTCAGTTTTTAATTTTGCTCCAAATCATTTTGCTTTTTCTATTTAAAACTTTTAAGAAGAAAATTCATGAAATATGCTTACAAACAAACCTATGACAAACTGGCTCTATTTCCGAAAGGTGTATTAGTTTATAAAGAAAGATTAAAAAAGGGATATAAAACTCAATCAAACTATGAAGGACCATATATGGTGATTGATATCTAGGAAAAGCTGGCATACAAATTACAAGGTGTGTCATGGAAAGTATCAACTAATATCATGCCCTGCTTTTTCTTATTTTTTTATCAAAGCTGATTTTAATCCTGTCTTTTACTAATTTGTTTTATGATATCTTCCTGACTTATCAAGGAAAAATGCATTCCTGCTCTTCCAAATTAGCAACTATAATATATATTAGGACCTTCACAATTTGGTTGAATTTCAAATACCGTTTTTAATTCATACATTGATTGGTTTTTTGAAATTTATTGCATTAATTGATTGGTCGAATTAAATTCTTGTTGACTCTGTTTCAGTATCTGCTTGAATTACGTCAGGAACAGAACGGCCCGAAGGTAATTTTATAATTACACTTACTATACTCTAATTCTTTGTGTACCACTATATCTCTATATTTTAAAGATTCTCATTAATTGATCTCGTACATCAATCCAATAATTTGTGAAATTTGCAAAATTGTAACTCGTGAAATTATACTTAAATAAAAATTTTCGAAGATATTGGAAATATACTTTAATACCTTTTCGATTTTAATTTCATATGTAGCAACCGCTTCTCCTAAATCAGTGAAAAGATGATTTATTTGCATTTTCTGAACCCATTTTACCTAAGATTTCACCTATTTCATTTATATTAGCATTTAATCCTTGAACAATTTGACCTTGACCAGTGAAAGTTTGATTCAACAAAAATAGATTCATCCCTTGTTTCTTTTGTCCCTTCAGCTGTGTCCTCGATTAAACTTCTAATCTCTCTCGACTTTGTTTATTTGAGATAGATTCTCCAAAATGTTCTGCTTTTGATGATTTCAAGAACTTCATTTTCATGGATCTAAAGATAGGATAATTTCGATCAATGCCTTCAAATAATGCAGCAACTTCTCCCGAATTCGTCATGCCATTATACATAGTATCTCCGGCCTCAGGATTTTTTAATTCCCATTGAATCTTTTAATTAGCTGATTTTAATAAGTGTAACTATTTGGTAAATAGTTTTAGTAGATGAATTTTATATAATGTATTATTTTTTTCCTAATTCAATAGATACACTAAAAAATTTATATAATATTATATACAACTAATACTATATAACTTTTAGTATGTAAGTTTTCAAAATTAGAAGACTTTCTTTTCCAATTTATCTTGGTGAAATCAGCTTTTATAGCCATAATTCAATTATTTTATCCATAACCCAATAACGAGCCAAGATTCTATTGAATTGGACATCTTAACAATATCCAAGACAATCCTACTCAACCAAAACCAAATTAAAACATTCAAAATAGCTGACTTTCCCAGAATAAATTGGAAAGAAAAGTTTTCTGATTTTGTTTGGTAATTCGTTTCATTATGTCTTGTCATGAAAGCTTTGTGAATTTTTTCAACAATTTCTTTTCACTTATATCAGATCTTTCAGATTCACTTTTAACAGTAAATGTAATAGAAAATCTAAGAAATCAGATATAAGTAATCTAAAAAAGTAATAAAAAACTTGTGCAACAATCCATTAAAGCTTCTATGGTAAAGTATTGTAAGTATTATAATTGAAATACGATAATATGTTTCTTTTGCCGATATCGGTCTCCATACCTATCGTTGATATTACATATATATTAATGATAATATTGATAAAGATAGACATTTCTGAATGAAGTAAATTGTAATTGATTAGAAAGAAGTATTAACATTAAAATCGGGGAATTGAATTCAACGATCGTTAAATCTCACGAGAGCAGGTGGTAGCTCATTTCTTAAATAGACACACAAAATTGGGTTCGTCTGATGAGAAAATGCCAATTATTTGGTAGCACAATCTAAGTCTATTATTTACAAAATGACCATTTTGGGTTATTGAATCACTTCGTATCAAATCGTGATAAATTTAATTCACGAAGTAAAACATTAAAGGGATTTGAGACATAATTTCTTATATCATCATCATCAGGCATAGAGAGTGAAATCATATTTTGCTACTGATTGAAACAAAATACAAATGGCTGAAACTTTTCCAAATCATCATGTTTCATTAAATACTCCAATTAAAGAAATAAGGAATTTAAATCTTAATTCTTCACCAACTAATAATTATAATCAAAATTATCAAAATAATAGAAATTTTCATCAAAATGATTTTAATGGTCATTTAAATCAAAGTCAAACACATCAAGGAAATATATATCCCAATAACATAGACTTTACTTCACCACCATCATTGAATTTTAATCAACAACAATTACTAAATAATAGAGGTTATTCAAATAAATTATCGAATAATGTTTTATCAGAATTAAATAATCGTACCAAAAAAATATCAACATTATCTTCATCACCAATAAAAGAAGATTCAGTTACATCAAGAAGGAATAAAAGATATAGTGGAGTACATACCATGAAATTTAATAAATTAGAATCTATACAAAATCATTATTCTGTCCATCAACAACAACAACAACAACTAAAATTAAAAACTCCTTCTCCACAAAAAGATGAAATGATCGAAACAGCAAGTAAAAGAAGAAGAACTCTTAATGGAAATAATGAAATTATGTCAATACCAATATTAACTGAATCTAATAAATCATCAATTAAAGAAAGAGATGATAACATTCGTAAAATATCACCAATTAGAAAAATATCACCAAGTAAAAAAGTAATGAATTTAAATTCAATTTTAACTAGACAAACTACTGAGACTGGATCTCCAAATAAGGAAATGCTGGAACATCAATTATTTGAAAGACATAATAATAATACCTCACAACAACCTCAAAAATTACCAACTTTGAAGAAAAGAGCAAGTTCATTAGAATTAGCTGGTGTTATTGCTCCATCTAGGATTGAACCATCAAACTCTAATATGGATTTAGTATCATCACCAATTAAAAACAATGAACCGTCAATCAGTTCTCAGACTAACAATTTCCAACAACATCAACCAATACAATCTAAAATTCCACAAATAACAAGAACTCAATCTCTGATGTTGAACAAAAAAAATTCAATACCTCAATTACAAAAAAATTCACTGATACCTCAATTACAAAAAAAGACACTGATTCCACAATTACAAAGAAAACCATCAATACCTCAATTTCATACTAACCAAAGAGTTCAAACTCTGTCAAATATTAATGGACATTTACCTCATGAACAGTCACACCAATCTCACGAACAGTCAAAACAACAACAGCAACAACAACCACTTTTGCAGAAAAACACAGCTACTTTAGCAGCACAACATGTAATGAAACCACCAACATCATATAACAAAATTCAATCACAACCTCCTAAAAACTCACAACCAAATTTATCAAAAATAAGTCCATCAAAATCATTATCATCATTTAAGAATGTTTTAACAAATTCAACAAAATACAACATCAACAATGGTGCGAACTTAGGTTCTAAACAATCAAATTTAATTAAATCAAAATCTATAACTATTCCTCAACCTTTTTCATTATATAATAAACCAACTATTTCATCTTCTCAAAAATCTTTAAATAAATTTGAAAGATTTAAAGAAAGATATGATTGATTTTGATTAATAAAATGTTGAATCTAGACGTTCTTTAGTTTGAGTATGGGCTATAAAAGAGGGCTATAAAAGGTGGTTATTCGAGTAGAATTGTGTAAATTTAAGTAGAGATTTTATAAAATATATTGATACCCCAAATATATGAACTTAAATTGTTTATTCCAATAAAGTATATAATTATCGTTTATTCTAGAGTTTATAAATAAATGAATTTTCTAATATATATTCGATTGAACTTTAATTTCTCCACCAATTGAAATTTCTTGTTCACCAAACCATTTTTCACCAGGTGGTAATAAAACCATAGAATTAACATGACCAGGTTCAACACAAATCATATTTTCATAACCTGATTTAGGTTCAAAATCATTCATTCCCTCCGATTTTTTAATCCATGGATTCCAAACAACAGAATCAGGTAAATTATTTCTTTTTAAATTATATAATACTTTACCTTTATCAATAATTTGAATAATTTTTGACAGGTTAATATTTTTATAAATTCTATCAAATTCTTCATGAAATGATATAGCTGGAGCTTTTTCAATATATGATTCTCCAATTAATTGATCATAACAATTTTGATCTATAAGATTTGATACTAAAATATCAGTTATATCTTGAATTTTATAATATGTATGAAATAACCAATTAAATTCAAATTCCTTTCTGCCAGAATTTTCAACTTCTATTTTGGTGGTTAATTTATCTTCTTTTAATGAAATAGTATAAATTAAAGTAAAATTAAATGGCCATAATGATCTAGTTTCTTCAGATAAATTTTCAGGTCCTAATCCAAATTGAACAGTTACTGGTGATTCATTAGTTTGTCCTAAAAATTCCCATTCATTATTTCTTGCAAATCCATGTTGTGGTAATTTTGAAGTAGGATGTTCTGGATTTTTTTGTTTACCAAAAATGGGAAAAACTAATGGAATCCCACCTCTAACAGGTTTTGAACCATCTAATTTTGCAGCTTTTGATAACCATAATTTTTCTTCAGCTTTATTTTCCCAACTTATTATTGTTGCTCCATATTTTAATATTGTTACTTTTGATGATGAATCTTGTGGATTTGTTAAAATTACTTTATCTTCTAATTCTTCAACTGGCATTATGATTTAATTTAGGTTTTTATAACTAATTTGAGCTTAAAAATAGTGAAATTGAAGTTTAAACAAGGTCAATTGAGTTGATTGAAAGAGATAGTAAGCTCAAAAACTAATTTTGCAACGTTGTAGGACACGATTGTAAATTATCAAGATCTGATCTTAGTCGTGTCTTAATTTAGCTATTTCTGACATTGTTTGCACCATTTGAAATATTAGTGTTTGAACCAAGCTAAACAGTCAATTATGCTTTCATATTCATTGGATACTGAGTTTAACTGATTGATTGTTTTGAATGAACGAATATTAGCTAGTGCTTTAAGTTTTACATAAGTTTAACAAGAATTGTGAACCTTTCTTCAAGATTAAACAAAACTCAGCCGTGAGTAAATTCAAGTCCGAATAAATGATTTTGTAATACAAGACCCGTTTTTATAGGGGAGATAATTTGTCGTAGTTTCAGGTCCAAGATAGGCAGTGTTCTAATGTTTTAATAGACCAAGTTAAATCAGCAAGAGAAGAAAAATGAAATAGCGTAATACGATTATTGTGTTGCTCTAAATTCAAAATTTTATGCGGTATTTTTTAAGGTAATACCGGATAATTTGAGTTTTCATTTTGAGATAGTACTCAGTTATTGATTAGATGCATGGATTGTCTGTTTTTCAACTCAAGCTATCTACTCTCTTATCTAATTGATATTTTTGATACAGATTCTTTTTCAAGTAAATCCACTTAATTCTATTGTATCTATTACTTCAAACTGATGATTAAATTGCTATTGCTCTATTGATAACTATTACTGTTAAATTAGATCCGAGATTGTCATAAATGATTGAATTCAGACTTCTATTGTTAAAAAATATGTTTAGACAATACGACATTACTAGCTTTTTTTTTATTTCTACGACAATTAGTATGGATGCATAGGTAATTCTTACTATGTTAAAATAATTGTAAAAGTTTCTTTTTTAAATGTCTCTTGTTCTCTCCTATTTCTTTCTTTCTACAATAAAATGATGTCTTAAAAAATTTAGTAAAATCGAGAAATGTTATTTATACATTTTCATTTATAACTAAATTCATTTTACAACCAATTTGATTCCAACTTCATATAGATCATTTTTACATTATATAGTTAGTTAAACACTTGTTTGATTTCCATAAGTACATCATCATTAACATCAACAACTTCAAGGATCGCATATACTTTTTATTGAAACCCCGCCAAAACCAGAAATCGCCGTTAAAACTTCACATTTTTATTTAGTATTAAATATTTTTTTCATCAGACGACAACCAAAATTCATCATCATCTCCATAATAAGTTTTTAATTAACGTCCATTAACAAAGTATCAACAAATCATAAACACACAAACAACTGAACAGCACACAAACACACAAATACTCAAATACTCACACACAAATACATATACACCAATATATTCCCAAATTTCACAACGATGTCTCGTAATTACAACCGATCATCAACTTCAATACTAAATAAACCATATCAATTATTTCATCGTTATTTTCTACTGGAAAAAACTCCAACTTCAAATTTATCTGATTTAAATACTGATACAAATATAAGAACTACATTACATCAACTAAGACATCATAATTGGTCAAAAGGTGAAATTTTTCATTATACATTTCTTTGTTCAATTCTTTTATTTGTATTTATAATATTTCCAGCTTCAATTTTATATAAATTACCAATTATTATAGCATTTTCATTTTTATTTTTAATTCCAATAACATCACAATTTTTTTTACCTGCATTACCAATATTAACATGGTTAGCATTTTATTTTACTTGTGCTAAAATTCCTCATAGTTGGAAACCTGCTATTTCAGTAAAATTCTTACCAGCAATGGAAACTATATTATATGGTGATAATTTATCAAATGTTTTAGCAAGTATTACTAATAGAGCATTAGATATATTAGCTTGGTTACCTTATGGATTATTTCATTTTGGTGCTCCATTTGTTGTTGCTGCTTTAATATTTTTATTTGGTCCTCCAACTTCTTTAAGATCTTATGGTTTTGCATTTGGTTATATGAATTTATTTGGTGTAATAATTCAAATGTTATTTCCTGCTGCTCCTCCATGGTATAAAAATTTATATGGTTTACAACCAGCTAATTATACAATGCATGGTTCACCTGGTGGATTAGGTAGAATAGATGAATTATTAGGATTTGATATGTATACCACAGGATTTTCAAATTCTCCTGTTATATTTGGTGCATTTCCTTCATTACATTCTGGTTGTTGTATAATGGAAGTTTTATTTATGTGTTGGTTATTTCCAAAATTAAAACCTTTATTTGTATTTTATGCAAGTTGGTTATGGTGGAGTACAATGTATTTAACTCATCATTATTTTATTGATTTAACTGGTGGTGCAGTATTATCATTATTAGTATTTGAATTTACAAAATATAAATATTTACCAAAAATTAAAGGATTTTGTCGTTGGTCTTACACGGAATTAAATTATTATAATATAAATATTGATGAAACAATTTATAATGATAATGAAGAAGAAGAAAATTTAAAATATAAATCTATAATATATCAACAACCTCAACAATATCAAATTCAAGATCCATTATCATTTGATCAACATGATAATTTTGAGATGGGAAATTTTTCAAGATCTCGTCAAACTTCTAAAAGTTTTGTACCTTTAATATCAGAAAATGATGATGTTGATTCAGGTACTGGATCAGTTTTTGAAGATGAAAATTATGTTGGTTCTTCTAAAAGTACATCATTAGAAGATTTAGCTTCTCCAATAAATTATATAAATGATAAATCAGGAGATAAATCAAAAACTGGGATATAACACCAACATTAATATTGGTTCTTTACAATTAGAGCCTTCCATACAAATAAATGAATTTAATGATTTTTCATACACTTTGATTTAATACTAATACTTAATAATAATTTTTTTTTTGTTCATAGGGGAAATTTTTAACTTGCTGAATTATTTAAATCGGCTTACTTACTATTTAATGATAACTTAACGTAATCTTAATCTTAATAATTAATTAATATATAATAATAATAATAATAAAAAATGTAGAGTTCTTTGTATAAGTTATTTTGAGAGGGAAGCTAACCAAAAAGAAAACCCCAACAACTCTATACTTCCATGAGTTATCTTGGGGCGAACAACTTCCAGAGAGAATGAAACTCCTTGATTTAAAACAACATGAATTTTCTCAAGAATACGAAAAATGTTACAAATCTTTACTTTACGACGTAATTTGTTGATCGTAGATTTTGTATCACAATATCTGGTTTTTCTAAGATTTATTATTTTACAACCAAGATTCAACAAAAGATTTTAGCTCAATTTATAATTCTTTCCACCATGATCATAGACCATTGTTTAGGTTGAATGAGATACATTTACATGACCAAACATGAATGAATGAATGAATGAATGCTAAAGGACCAAATCAAAAAATAGATAAAGAAGAATGGATCAGCTTATATGTAATTTCAAAGGAAGATTACGAACAAGAATCAAAGCAAATATATGCAAGTAACGCGAATTTTCATAATTCGAAGTTCTTAACAAAGAAGAAATTTTATGAGAATGATATTATTATAATGAAATAGTGGATAAATAACATGCAGCTATTATTGGAGTTTAATGTAATTTCATGCAAGTTGAATTGGTGGAACAAACAAAAAAGAATTTTGAAAATTTGAGTAACTATCATGAGAGAATATTATATTTGTTTGGATGAAGGAAGAGTATTGTGTTGTTTGCTTGTAGTATTTGTTAAAACTAAATGAGGTACTACATAACATCATTGACTGGTATAATAAGATTCAAACAAGATCGACGACCGTCCAGATTCGACGATCATATCTTGAGATAATTGACGCGATTTACACCAAATCTTAAAAGCTATGAAAACACACCAATCTTACTAAAAAAACCAAAACTTCAATATGAGAATATTTTCACCTAATATTATTCACGACCCATAAATCAAATACTTCGAAAGGATCATTCTTTCAATTTATGACGTTCTCCAGCGAAAAACCTGATTATTATTTTGAAAAACTAAAACAAAACTCCCAAATATAATAATAACTGTGGACTACTTTGTTTACATTTTCAAATTCCTTAATGCAATTATAATAAAATTGAACATCTTGGCTATTCTGATGACAATAATAATTCAGAATATTTGCAAGTAAAATTATATAATTAGATTAATATCTAAGAATTCCAAAAATTATGTTGATATTTAGATTCAACTACAAAATTATACCACCCTAATCTAGTCATTCGTTTCAAAATGAAGTTTATTCAATTAGCCCTTGGGTTATTAACTTCATTATCAATTGTTAAAGCATTAGATTATAATTTCAAAATTTTAGTAACAGATTATGAAAATTATGGATTTTCATTTTATTTAAATTCAAATTCTCAATTAACTTCAACTGATTCAAATTCAAGATTCAAATTTACAGAAGATTTAATTTTATCATTAAATGATGATTCAAATAAAGTTATTTCTGATACTATTGAAAATTCCATATTAAATATTATTGAAACAAATGATTCATCAGAATTATCAAATTGGATTATATTAGAAAATGATTTATTAAGTTTTTCAAAAGATTTATATATATGTGGTAATTCAGAACCTTATTATTTTGATACTATTAAAAATGATAATTGTTATGATTTTAGTGGAACTATAGCTCGTGTTGATTTAAAATTAAATGAAGAAGAAATTATTACTGAATCAATTGTTTCAGAAGTTCCAGTTGTACCAATTACTTTTTCAGAAATTCCTACCGAACCAGTAACTTCAGAAATTCCAATTGAACCAATTACTTCAGAAATTCCTACCGAACCAGTAACTTCAGAAATTCCTACCGAACCAGTAACTTCAGAAAATCCAATTCAACCAATAACTCCTTCAGATTTCATAAGCCCTACAGTTCCAGCTAGTCCATCAGATGTAACCACATCATCTGACTCAGGGCCACTTAGTCCAACAGAATCTGATACAGAATTCATAATTCCAACTGATTTAGTTGATCCATCAGAACCATTTTTAATTAATGTCGTAATTAGCAATGAAGTACAATTAACTTATAAATCAAATGGATCTCATATAATATTTGGAGAAAATGCAGATGGAGTTGATGCAGTTTTTACTATTGATTCTGGATATTTAACTGTAAATGGTCAATATATTGTTATTGCTCCTAATTTAGAATTTAGGATAATAGGAAGTATTACAAATGCAACTTATGGATTCAGTTTGATTGATAATGTATTATATCACGATAACGCTTATCTTCCATCTGGTACTCCACTTTTTAAACGTTCCGAACCAGTTAAAAGGGAAGTTGTTCCAGCTGAACTTAGAGGTTGTCTTGATAATTCAGGGAATCGTTTTGTTAGTATCGGTAATCAAGGTTGTGACTTATTTGAAGTTTATTATTCTCAACTTTCAATTGAACCAATCATTACAGAAAGTCCAGTTGTACCAATTTTTTCAGAAACTATTGTTGAACCAATCTCAACGGAAACTTTTATCGAGTCAATTACTTCATCTCAAGAATCTATAGAATCAGAAGAACCAATTCAAACAGAAGAACCAATTGAACCAGAAGAGTCAATTACAACAGGAGAACCAACAGTATCAGAAACATCATTAAATCCAGAAGATACAGCAGATTCAGGAGAACCAATCAATACCGAGATTATTTCAGTTGAAACAGAAATTCCAACTACTTCGATAGATCCAACAAAGCCATTTGCACTTTATTTTATATTTGATGGTGAATCTCATCGTGTTCAAACTAATTCTTCTCATCTTACTGTCTTAAACTTAATTAATGGAGTCGACGCTGAATTTACTATTGAAGATGGTTACTTGAGTGCTAATGATCAATATGTGGCTATTGCCGAAGCAGGTTTATTAAAAACATTCAATGATATATTTGATGGTACTTTTGGATGGACTATAATTGATAATATTATTTATCATGATGATTCTTACATTCCATCAATTGTTAAACGTTCTAATTTTGGTAAACGTGAACTTGTTCCAGTTACTTTCTCAATTTGTGAAGCAGAATCAGGTTATGTTGTATATTTAGGTGAAAATTATCGTTGTATTACTGTTGAATATTTACTTGAACAATTATCAATTGATCCAGTTGTTACATCCCAACTAACTGAAGAATCAATTATATCCACTGAAACTATTTCACCTGAGGAACCTATTGAAACTATTATTAACACTGCTGAAGCTACTGGAACTGAAGCTATAGAACCAATTGAAACAAGTGTTGGTATTTTATCTACTGCTACTCAAACTAGTGAAGTATTGGTTACAATTACTAGTTGTAACGAAGCTAATGTATGTACTGAAGTTATTGAAACATCATCAATTGAAGCATCTGCAATTATTACTGATGAACCAATTTCATATGTTACTCAAACCAGTGAAGTTTTAGTTACAATTACTAGTTGTGATGGTAAAAGTGTATGTACTGAAATAATCGAAACTTCTACTTCAGAATTAATTGTTCCAACATCAATTGAAAATGAATTAACTACTTATACTGATGAAACTACAATAACACTTACTATATGTGATGCTGCTCAATGTACTGAATCTATTAAAATTCAAAAAACTATTATAACTACTTATTGTCCATTATCATATACTACTGAAACTATTGTTATACCATGTACTACTGATGTTACTTATACTTATAATGAATGTTCAAATGAAACTGATTGTGATGATTATACTACTGAAATTGAAACTACAACATATACGACTATAACAATTACTAGTTATTTAGTTGTTACTGAAGAAGGATCAAGTACAGATTCAACTTCAATTGCTGGAGTTTCAAGTGATGTTACAAATGATGTTCCTGAAGCTATTCAAACATCTCAAGATTCTCCTAAATTAGATTCAACTTCTCAAGTTGGTACTCCAATTGGTATTGATATTTCACAAGTTACAATTCCATCTGATTTGATTAATTCTGGTGTTATGAATAAAGTTGGATATAATTTAATAATTTCATTTTTGGCTATTATGTTACCAATTATTTTTTAGAATTAATTGATTATTAATCCATCTTTTTTTCAAATTATTTATTGTATAGCTAGTTTAAATAATATATCGAATTTTTTATGAATTTTTTAAAAGTTTAGAAATTTAACAATTAATTCTTTGGCTTCCTTGAAATCTCTACAGACAATAGACAATATTCATCTTAGCTTTATAGGTTTCGAGTTATTCTTGATTTATTTATGGTTTTTCTGATCAACAGTAATTTTTCCCCAACTTTACATTATTATTGACCAAAAACTATGATTTGAATATCACCTTTTGTCAAAGTCTATTGATACCTTAAATTATTCATTTGTACGCGTCTAAAATCTAAAAACTTCTCATTAAATTTGATTTCTGCAAGTATCTGTAAGATAATTATTAAAAAAAATCAATTTGGCGATTTTATTATTATTTTAAATGAACCAAATTGATCTAAAGGGGTAGACTATTTTTTATATTATATCATTCAAATTTTTTCATAGATTGTAGCAAAATTAAGGAGCATTGTGCTTTGAAACGCTCCAGCTTTAAAGCTAAACAATGTAACTGCTAGTTGAATTGTGGAAGTGGATGAAAACTTTACATATATCAAGAGTAGTTTTTTGTTACTGTTTATTTTATAATCTGAAACAAAACCCTCTTAAAAATTTTTACATAATTAAATAAATAATAATACATCAACACGTAATTTTTGATAATGATAAAAACATTTAATCTCTAGCTGGAGTAAGTAGATATAAACAATACTCCTCATAAGACGCGTCTAAGTTTTGGGAAGGACAAATGTTTGGTATAAGAAGTTCAGAAAATCTGCTGCAATTAAAACTCTTTTTTTTTGCAACTAAACTTACATTTATTACAAATATTCAAAATGCAATTATTTCATTTATTTATTACAATCATAACAATAAGCTTAGTCAAAGCATTAGAATACAATTTCAAAGTCTATACAACAATAAATGGAATAAATTATTACTTAAATTCAAATGGTGAATTTATAAAAGAAGATACAGAAACAAGATTTAAATTAGATTCAGAAAATAATTTAATTTTATATAATTCAAATCCATTACAAATTTTAGTTAATGATCCAATTTTTTCAATTTTTCAATTTTTTCCTCAATATACTATTGAAAATGAAATTTTACCATGGATTTTAACAGATGATGATTCAATTATTTATTCTGAAGCTTTATTTATTTGTGAAAAAGAAGCTCATTTTAATTTACGTAGAGTTTCATTACAAGATTGTTCAAATTTTGGTGAGTTGATTAGGTTTGATTTACAATTGAATGAATTAGATGAAGTTGTTGCTAATTATGTCAATGCTACTGAGAGTTTTGGCACAGAAACTGTCACAGAAACAATTACTGAGACTACGTTTGTTGATGAAACTGGATTGGAAACTGAAACTATTATCATCCCTACTGAAAGTCCGGTAGTTAGATATACAAACAATTCAGATGCCACATCAATAGTAACTCAATCCGTATCATATTTCACACAAACAAGTGAAATATTAGTTACTATTACCAGTTGTGATAGATCAAATCAATGTTCAGAATTCATTGAAACATCAACATCAATTGCAAATGCTGTTACAACTTATTCAAACAATGATAAGGTGATTATAACTATAACTTCTTGTGGAGAAGGAATTAATTGTCAAGGGTCATCATCAAGTATTGAACAAAATGCTTTAACTTATATTTCAGATGAAGAGAGTGCTGTTAGTCCGTCAATAAATTCTATTGATCCATTATTAATAAATATGGGATCCGTTGTTAACCGTGATTTTAAATTATTGATTGTAATTTTAGCTTTTGTTTCAGTATTGATTGTTTTATAGATTTTGGAAGTATATAATAAGTAGTTTATGCATAATCAGTGCTTTATTGTAAGTATTTTATGACAATTTGTATTACTTTGTAGTATTATCATTATATATTAAAGTAATGTTTGATTGTTTTGTTCTATATAAGAGGTAATGGGTATAAACGGTTGAATAATAAATTCACATTTCCATACCTCGTTTATCAAATACCTCAAGGATCCTTGAATTGGTTCTCATCAAACGTATGGAATGAATTATGATACATATTTTATTCATTATCTCACTAATGGGAACAATCTCCCTACACTATATATGTTTTTACTACCTCAAGGTGATCTTTAGCTTAAGATTAGTCCTCGATTTAATGACAAAACGTTTTTCATGCACGTTCGGCTTCAAAATGAACCATTTTACAGAAATCTCTGAGATAAAACCAAGGGATTAAGAAAAATCATTATGTGGCGGTTGGTGAGTATCCGAGTGATACAGCTATCAAACAGTTAAATTATTGATGAACTGATTTCGATTTCATTCATATTTTCTTAATCTGTGATTGACATTCTTTTAATTCATTTTTCAAATTTTCAATTTGAATTTGTAATTTAACATTTCTATAAGTCATTATTATTGCAATAGACAGAATCATGAGTATTCCAAAAGTAGTTAATACTTTGATTGTAGTATTTGGTATCATATTTGAGTCCAGTTGCATTTTTGATTGATTGATTAATTTATCTTTTGATTAATATCTAGTATAAATTCTTCGATTAGTAAGACATCCTACTATAATTAAAGTGAATGAAGATTGTATCAGATTTCTAAATTAAAGATTGTATTGTTTAAATTAACTTTAACATTAAGTTTTACCTAAAGATTAGATTAACTTTAAATTATTGTACTTACATTATTTTTTCTATCCATGGTTATTCATTACAATTATAAATCTTATGAGAGGCTAGATTGTACATTTGAGGATGGTTTCATACACAACAACAATACTTCGAAACAGATATAAGGATCTTCTACTAAAAAGAACACATGTTTCAGTTCTATTGACGACTATCGTATAGTAGTACTATTACTTCCTTCTTATCCATATGTATCATTCCTATTACAATATTATTAATTAGATTTCCATTTTTAAATTTTTAAATTTTTTTTTTTAGTTCTATAATTCCCTCTTTTTCAGATAAATCCCATTAGAATATACTTCACTACGGCCATAAAGTTCTAACCAATAAAGCTAAGCAGTTATCATCACTTTTTCAAACTAAGTATTGAATGAATCCACTTAAAATATAAGTTTAAATGGAAAATCTACTACGAAATAATACCTTATCATCAACTTATAATTCAATAATTAATAGTATACTATCGTATAATAATGCCTTAAATATACTACGACAACCTCAACATCAATATTTACATCATCAATCAACAGCTTCAATAGGAGAAGAGGATGTACTTGCATCAATAACATCAGTATTTTTATCATCCTCAACCACAACTTCAACTTTTGCCACATCAACATCAACTTCAACACCAACACCAACAGGATCCTCCATTTCTCATATCCTTTCCCTGTCAAAACTAATAGCTTCACTATTTACAACCACCATTCCTAATATAATCAAAAGATATGAACATGTAAATCAATTACAAAAATTTACAAATCATCAAGCATTTGTTCAAAGAATTGTTGCAACTTCATCATCATGTGCATCAATAGCATCAGTATTAATTGCCATTTTATTTTTTATAAGAATTGATCCAAAAAGATTAGTATTTCGTCATCATTTAATCTTTTTTTTATTAATGTTTGATTTATTAAAAGCTGTTATATTATTAATTTATCCAACAAGAGTTTTAACTCATTCAACTTCTTATTATAATAAAAGATTTTGTCAAGTTGTTGGTTTTTTCACTGCTTTTTCTATAGAAGGAGCTGATATTGCTATTTTGGCATTTGCATTACATACTTATTTATTAATTTTTAAACCAAATTTAAATACTAAAGTACCTGGAACAAATAGAGTTGAAGGTGGATTATATAAATTAAGATTCTTGGTTTATTCATTATCATTTTTTGTACCAATAATATTTGCAAGTTTAGCTTTTATTAATAATGTTGGTTATGATTCATTAGTTTGTTGGTGTTATTTACCAATGAGACCTGTTTGGTTTAGATTAGTTTTAAGTTGGGTACCAAGATATTTTATAATTGTTTCGATATTTGTTATATATGGATTAATTTATTTTAGAGTTATTAAAGAATTTAAAACTTTAGGAGGAGTTTTTACAAATATTCATCAAAGAAATGCTGGTTATATGAATAATAATCAACCTTCATTTTGGTCTTCATTTAAATTTTTTATTGGTACTATTAAAGATCATTTATTTCCTCAAATGATTTTATCAAATAAATCTATTAAAACTATTCAACTGAGGAATTCTAACACACAACAACAACAACTGGATTTACAACAACATCAAAGTCATCATTCAAGAATAGAAGGAAATTATAACTCAGAAGAATATAATGATTCATTAGATTTAACTGATCTGGATTCAGAAGATGTAGATGATTTAGAAGAATTAGAATTAAAAGATTTTGAAAATTCAAATGATATGAATAATAATTTACATTTTCAAAAAAGACATAATGTTATACATAAACAAATGAAAAAAATATTTGTTTATCCTTTTGCTTATTGTTTTTTATGGTTATTTCCTTTTATATTACAAGCAACTCAATTTAATTATGAAATTGATCATAAACCTATTTATTGGTTAAATGTTTTGGGAGCATTTTTTCAACCTTTTAATGGAGTAGTTGATTCAGCTGTATTTTTTTATAGAGAAAAACCATGGAAATATACAAGATCAAGAGTTAAAGAAAGAGAAAGAATTGAAAAAGAAGAATTAGATAGAAAATATGATCAAATTAATAATTTATCAAATACAACAAATACTTATTCAACTTTTCAAAAATCATCACAACCAAATAATGAAATACCATCATATGATTTTCATAATTCTCAAGATCAATCTAATATTCAAAAACAAACTATTAATCATAATATGCCAATAAAATTAGAAAATCAACCACCTTCAACTGCAACCACTGATACTAAATCGTCACCAGGTGCAGCAACTGTTGAAGATGAAGATGATGAATTAGATTTCACTCAATTTTTAAAATCTTGATATTTATTGAATAGTTAATAAAATTATCATTGTACAATTGAATTTTACTCTTAGTGCCTTAGATCCGTGGCTGTAGACAAAGATTATCGCTAATTCATTTATCAATCTATAAAAATAACGTTTATCATTGCTATGATTGTGTGATTAAATTTAACCCCTTATTACATACTTTAATTTTACTACACAAAATCTAATTTTGCTTATCTCGTAAATAAATTCATCTATCTTTTAATATGCAGTACTTAACTAGTTCGTTATAATAAAGTTCCGAAATCCACACATCAGATCACATCAGTGTGTGACCAAATAATATCTTGTAATTTACAACCATCCCTTAGACCAATTCAAAAGAAAATTGACTCAATGATGGAACAATTGAATGATTTACCACTTTTACCTATCGAAATAATTCATAAAATCATCAATAATTTAATCACAATTCCTAATTCACAATATCCTTTTCAATATAATCATATCAATTATTTATTAAATCTTCCAATAATAAACACTTATATAGCAGAATTTATTTATCCGATATTAGAAATTGATTCAAAAAGTTATTTTAGAAAATCATATAAGTTGAATAATAGCGATAATGAAAATAAAGAAATTACAAAAAAATTTAGATCAACTTATCAATTAATTCGATTTTTGAAAAAATTAAAATATATACCTAATAAAATTAATTGTAATTTAAAAGAAGCATTGGAACTTGTTGAATCAGATTTGTTTCAGCGTGATACTACGTTATTAAATAAAATTAAATTCGAAATATCAATTGATGAAAATGATGATTTGGAATCAATTCGTCGATTTATAAAGTTCACACCTAATGCGTATAAGTTGAATTTGATAGGAGAAACAAAGTTTGATCAAGAGCTATTGATCAATCTTAGTCATCTAGATTTGTGTTACGATTGCAACTACTGGCTAGAGTTACCATCAACTTTACAAAGTCTTACTATCTTCAATTCTACTTTTCATAAATATCAAGCACCCAATAACCTAATCAAAATAAAATTAATCAATACAAACCCAAATATAATCCACCTACCAACAACAATTAAAGAAATCCAAATAGAAGAATTAAAGGTAAATATACAAAACATACAATTATCTCAATATCACTTCCTAAAGCTGTTCTCATACAAAGGTAATTTAGATTCTAAAAGAATTTTACAATTATCAAAATTTGAAATACCTTATACAATAGAAAATTTATCAATTCAATGTTCAAACATATATGGATTAGATAATATCTTAAAATATGAAAAATTGAAAAAATTAAAAATAATAGATTGTCCTAATTTATCATTATTTTTCAAATATAAATTCCCAGATAATTTAGAAGAATTGGAATTTAGTTTTATAAATTGTCAATTAATTATACCAAGAGAAAATTTCTTTATATCTGATTTTTTAATACCTAATGATTTTTCACCATTACAAACTTTTCAAGATAGATCAGGTAATTATTTATTAGTTGATAAAGATTTTAAATTACCTTTACTGTTAAAAAAATTAATTTTAAAAAATTTAAGTTATGTTTGTTTAGGTATTGAATTATATTTACCAAATTTAAAAGAATTATATTTAAAAAATTTATCAAATTATAAAATTGAAAAAATTTTGTATAATAGTCATCATAATTTACCTAAGTTAAATAAATTAACTATATCAAATTGTGGAATTGATGAAATTAGAGATGTTAAATTCCCTCCAAATTTAACATTTTTGGATTTATCTCAAAATAGAATTAAATTAATTAAAGATACAAATTTGAAACAATTACGGAATTTAAAAATTATTTCATTTTTTAAACATTCTTTTTCAACAAATAATGATTTTGAAATTCCAACTGTTTTAAATGAATTAGATTTAAGTTTTAGTTTTATGAGAGAATTTAATTTTCAAAATTATCAAAATTTGTTTAATTTAAATATAAATATAAAAAATGATTTTAATTGGAAAGATTTACCACCAAATTTACAATTTATTAATATAATTTTTCAAGGTTCAAAAATAAATGGTAGTTTATCAACTTATAAAAATTTAAAATCAATTGAAATAATATCATGGTTTAAAAGATGTGAATTTGATAAAAATTGTTTTTCAAAATTTGAAGAATTAAAAAGTTTACATAATTTATCATTACTGGGAGTTAATTTAAATAATATTGATCTCAAACTACCTTCAAATTTAAGAAATTTAAATATTATACATTCAATAAATGATAAAAATCATAATTCATTTAATTTAAAAGATTGTCAATTGTTAGAATCAATTAAATTATCAAATTTAAATTTCATTAATGAATTTAATTTTAATGACCTACCAATAACTTTAGAAAAATTAGAATTAATTAATATTCAATTTAATGAAATTTCAGGTAATTTAAATCACTTGTTAAATTTACAATTATTAAATTTAACTAATTCATTTAATGAAACACTACAACTTCGTTTAAATTTCCCCAAATCATTAAATATTTTAATTTTAAATTTTAATCAATTAGATTATATTTATATTTTAAATAAAATTATAAATTGTCCAAATTTAGAAAGTTTACATTTAATAAGAAGTTCAATAATTTCAAAATCTTTTCATAATCTTACCCCCCTAGAAAAACAACAATATAGTATAAATCAATTTGAATCATTCACCAAAGAAAAATATTTTAATGAATTTGGTATAACTAAAGAAATTAAATTACTTAATAATATTTTTAAATTAACTTATTTATCAACTCCTTTAAATTTTTTTATTTATGATATTTTAAAAAATTGTAAAAAATTAAAAGATATTTATCTTGTTGATACTATTGCTAATTTATTACAAAGTGGATTTAATAATGATATAATTAAAGGTGAATATCAATAGAACTTAAGTTTTGATGAATGAAGGTAAATTTCAATAAAAGTTAAGTATTGATGAACGAATTGAAAATACTTATGTTTAGGAGAATATCTCTGTAATCTTAGTATAATTACATGTTTTTTAACACGTCAAATCTTTCTTCTCTTGTTTCCTAAATCATCTAAGTTTTTTGCTACATAATGTCGGCAAATACACTTTTTCCAAAAATGCATACAACTATAGTTATCAATACGAAACTGGCAAAACAAGCCGTCGACAACTAAATTTGTAGTTGTTTTGGCTAGGCAATTAAATCATCCAAAAATAAGGGACCTACAAAATTCAATGCAAAACAATTTGCGCTACCAATGGACATTACGCCTTCTTTGTTAAAAAAGTTGATTAGCATTAAATTACGATTTACTTACATTTAAGTACTAAGATAAGAATCAAAAGAGTAGTGGTTGCAAAATTTGAAACACTAATATTTGCAACCATTTCTACTAAATTCTGCCACTCAATGTAAGTGATCTTCAAAGAAATTTGTTGTTAGTGAAAAATTAAGTTGAGATGGAGTAAACTTTACAAACAGCTCTTGATCTTTCGTATCCCTCACTTGATTTTGATCATGGAAAATGCTATCCAACCGAATTTACATGATCTTTTAGAAGATTTTTCAATGATGTTGATGATATTATTCTTTTTTTTCAATATTGAATCTCTTTAATTTTTTATTAATTTCAACACTCTTAACTATGGGGCAGGTAGCGTGTCTTAACCAAAAATAATTAATTTAAACAATAAACTCACAATAATATTGATATTGTATAGTGATGATAAAACCATAATCAATTACTAGAGGATCAATCCATCATTTGAGAACTACAAACACATATTAAACCTATTCAATCTAGGACGAAACAAACGGCTAGGTCAACTTGCTCATTATTCAATCTTCGTTAAATTGCCTTGTTTGACTATAGAACAAAATAATTAAATATCGTGAACATAATCTTGAAAACACCTAGCTTTGTCATAAGATACTACGATTCCCTATGAGCAAAAAATCCAAAATTATTGACACGACAGAAGACGATTATACAGGAGATGAGAAGGACGAAAATCAGGTAGAAAATGTCGAGACTACCAACAATGAACAAGTCAATACAGAAAATGAAGTTAAGGAAACGAACTCTGTGGATGAAGAAGACGATCCATTTGGAGGACCTTCTTCCCCCGAGAAAGATGATGACAGTGAGGAATACGAGGTATCCGATGGAGAAATTAATAAACCAAGAAAAAGACTGAGAAGAGGAATAGGAAAAACAAGATCAAAAAAGATAAAGTTAGAATCTGATGATGAAGAATTTAAAGCAGAGGATGCTGATTCTGGTGAAGAAGATGATGAATTAATACTATCAGATGATGATGAATATGTTGAAAGACGGAAAAAACGTGAAAATTTTATCGTTGACGATGAAAATGATTGGGATGATAATGAAGATGATTATGATACTAAACCGAAGAAAAAAAGAGGACGTAAAAGAAAGGATAGGTCCGTATCAGTTGAACCAAGAAGAACAACAAGATCTGGTCGATCCTTGAATGAAGAAGACGATCTGACTTTAATTGGAAATGAAACGAGAGAGGAAGAAGGAGATATTGATGATATACAAAAAGAAATAGCAGATTTATATGATTCTTCACCAATGCATGAATCTGAACCTTCACAACATAAATTACGTCAAAGAACAAAAGTTGATTATACTATTCCACCTCCAATCAATAATGATTTATTTACTGAAAGACCAACTACACCAACGAATGTTAGAGGTAGACGTGGAAGACCTACTGCAAAACCAAATGAATTCCGTAAAATACTATATCCAACAGCTGGACCATTTGGTGGAAGTGATGTTATTTCTTTATTTGGAACAAATATACCTCCAGGAGGAATACCATTACCTGGATTGACTAATACAAATAATTTGACCGCCATTGGTCAAAATGTTAGTGATTCTGATACATCAGAAGATGAAATAGCACCAATGAATGGAGAAGCTACTGTAAGTAAAAAACAACCAAAAATAAGAAAAGGATCTGAGGGACAATTAATTACTGGTGGGAGTGATGATAAAAAGAAAAATAAAAACAATCTAAGTGATACTGATCCATTAGGCGTTGATATGAATATTGATTTTTCAGTTGTTGGTGGTTTAGATAATTATATTAATCAATTGAAAGAAATGGTGGCACTACCGCTTTTATATCCTGAATTATATCAAAATTTTGCAATTACACCACCAAGAGGAGTTTTATTTCATGGACCACCAGGTACTGGTAAAACATTAATGGCAAGAGCATTAGCAGCAAGTTGTTCAACGGCAGAACGTAAAATTACGTTTTTCATGAGAAAAGGAGCTGATTGTTTAAGTAAATGGGTTGGTGAAGCTGAAAGACAATTGAGATTATTATTTGAAGAAGCTAAGAATCAACAACCATCAATCATTTTTTTTGACGAAATTGATGGTTTAGCTCCCGTTAGATCTTCAAAACAAGAACAAATTCATGCAAGTATAGTTTCAACTTTATTGGCATTGATGGATGGTATGGATAATAGAGGACAAGTGATTGTAATTGGTGCAACAAATAGACCTGATGCAATTGATCCTGCATTACGTAGACCAGGTAGATTTGATAGAGAATTTTATTTTCCTTTACCAGATATAAACGCAAGAAAAGAAATACTTCAAATTCATACAAAAAAATGGACGCCTCCTTTAACTGATTCATTTGTTGAGAATCTTGCTGAACTTACAAAAGGATATGGAGGTGCGGATTTACGAGCATTATGTACAGAGGCTGCATTAAATAGTATTCAAAGAAAATATCCACAAATTTATGAAACAAATCATAAATTAGCAGTCAAACCTGAAAAAGTGAAGGTAATTGCCAAAGATTTCATGAGAGCTTTGGACAAGATTGTACCATCAAGTGCCAGGTCAACTTCATCTGGTTCTTCTCCACTACCGGAACATTTAAAACCACTACTCCAATCTAGTTATGACAATATAATATTAAAATTAAATGATTTAATTCCCAACTCGGTACAAGTTCCAGGTCGTCAAAAATTAACAGCATTGGAGGAAGCTAAATATCTTGATCCAACGGTGAATGACCCAGATGGCGGATTTGCGAAACAACAATTATTGAAAAGCCTTGAAAGTTCTAGAGTATGTAGGCCACAATTATTAGTAAGTGGTCATGAAGGTAATGGTCAACAATATTTAAGTGCTGCTGTTCTTAATTATTTGGAAGGTTTTCAAGTACAATCATTAGATTTAGGTACTATGTTTGGAGATTCAACTAGAACTGCAGAACTGACTATTATACAAACATTTATTGAGGCAAGAAGACACCAACCTGCTATTATATTAATACCCACAATTGACGTATGGTTTCAAATTTTACCTGAGTCTGCACAAGCTACCTTATCAAGTTTACTTCGTGGTTTAAAAAGTAATGAAAAAATCTTACTTTTAGGATTTGCTGAAACGACTTTAGAAGATTTAGACGATAAAATTAAACTTTTATTTGGATTTGAAAGTTCTCAAAATAACGTTTTACTACAAAATCCAAATAAATCTGAGAGATCCAAATATTTCCAAACGTTATGGAAAACCATACAAATGAAACCCTACGAATTTATAAATGATATACAAAATAGACCAAAAAGAAAATTAAAAGAATTGAGGATAGTTGAGCCGGAGTTTAATCCAAATAGTACAGAAATGACGAAGAAAAAATTAAAAGAACAAGAATATCAAGATACTAAATTGAAAAACGTACTTAAAATCAAATTAGCTGGTTTAATGGATTTATTCAAAGTAAGGTATAAACGTTTTAAAAAGCCAATAGTTGATGAAAGTTTCTTGTATCATTTGTTTGATCCTGAAATCTTACAAAATCCTTTCTCCAATTATCAAGTTCAATATATAAGATCTGATGATCAAGGTAAAGAAAATATGATAAAGGAACTTGCCACTGGGAAAAATTATTACAATATGGATCTAGATACTATTGAAGAAAGATTATGGAATGGTTTTTACAGTGAACCAAGGCAATTTTTAAAAGATTTGAAATTAATTTTGAAAGATTCTATAACATCAGGTGATAGAGATAGAATTTTGAAATCAAATGAAATGATAACAAATGCACAATTTGGTATTGATGATTTTTCGACACCTGAATTTTTAAAGGCTTGTCAAGAAGTTAGAGAAAGAGATTTGAAAAAACAAGAGAAATTGTTGAAAGAGCATGAAGAGTTGAAAAAACAATTGGAAAATCAACCACCTACTGTAATTGATTTAGTACAGGAGCAAGAAGTAATTGCAAATGGATCAAAAACTGGCGACAATGTTGTGACAGAGCAAATTATTACTCAAAACGGTACACTTGAAGCTCCTATTTCATTACGTCCATTCGATAAAACCGATTCAATGAATTTGTTAGGTAATGGAAAACCTCAAAATGTTGAGAATTCTGTGCCAGTAGAACCTGCGCAAAACTTAATTCAAAAACCAACTTCAATTCAAGTTCAAAAACAAGTGGAAGAAGAAGAAGAAGAATCCGAATCCGAAGCTGAAGAACTTGTAGACATTGATACAACAAAAGAAATCAAAATTAATAAATCACACTTGACAGATTTGGAACATAAACTAGTTAAAGCCACCAAAAATTACAGTGTCGATAAGCTAGAGATGATAATGTCAAGATTAATGGATATTGTTTGGAAGGACAGAAACGAATGGGATAAATCAAGTACGGTACAAAACATTGAAAAACTATTATCTTCCCTAACATAACATAACGTATATTATAAAATATATTAGCATAGAGGAAAATTCATAAATAAAGTCAATCTTTCCAAACTTTTTGAAACACATTTGTGCGGACTCGTAATCTGTACTTTCTCTCCAAAGTGTAATTAATCTTCTGCACTTCCATCTCTTGGTCGATATATAACGTTATTATTTTCCAAATGATCAACAATTCTAGGAGGTAGTTTCCCATTAACTTTAACCGCATATAATCCAGCTACAAAACTATCTATTCTAAGCCATCTCGCCACCCAAGATCCTTTATTGTTTTCACCTAATGCAACTAATCCTTCAAACGATGGAGAAGTACATTCTGTTATATTTCCTGATTCCATATAGTGTAATAATGATTCACAATTGGGACATCCATCATCTTGAAATCGTTTTGACGGTTGTATAATGCCACAAAGCATGCATGCTCTTTCTGATCTTGTTGACATGAATATAGACGGTTGTGGTGTTTGTTTTAGTTGATACAGTTATTGAGTCGTGATAATGATTGATTCTGTATTTACTTTTTTTTTTTTATCAATTTTTCATGTAGAGTAGATTTGTTAGTTCCAATTTTGCATAAACTTATCAACAGTCCAATGATTTGAGATAGAATAGAAAAATTGATCAATGATAACAAGAAAGTGCTCCAATCGTTTTATAAAGCCCTTAGGGAGATCTTTGGTGCCACAGACTAATTCACAAATACGGCAGTTTTCAATAGATCATAATGTCCTTATAACTACATTTACAAATGCGTTCCAAAACCTACACGAATTTACTGGGTTACCTTGGTGGGCTTTAATACCAATTACTACTTTCACATTACGATCGATATGGACTTTGCCGCTAGCGATCATTCAAAGAAAACGTATCCAAAAACAAAGTTCACTAAAACCTATAATAAGTGCCATGGGACCAATTTTAAGAATGAATTTAGCTAAAAAAGTATCCAATGCAAACAAAGTTATTCAAAACCCACAAACTGACGAAACGACAAGAGCTACCTTAGCTCCAATGACTAATATGACTTATGAGCAAATATTATTATTAAGTACAAAGGAAACTAGAAAACGTCAAAAGCAATTATTCAAAAAATATAACGTACAATTATGGAAAAATTTCATACTACCAGTGTTTCAAATTCCATTGTGGGTCATAATGTCAATAACAATGAGAGATTTGAGTGGTTGGTCTTCATGGGATAATTTACACAATAAAGCATTGGATCCTACACTCTACTCTGAAGGTTGTTTGTGGTTTCAAGATTTAGCAGTAGCTGATCCTACTCATGTGTTTCCACTAATATTAGGAGTGATTTCATTATGTAATATTGAATGGACTTTTAAAACATTGGATTTAGCAAGACTAACTCAAAAATTGAAATATAGACCCACTATAACTGATGCAATTGCAAATTTTTCCAGATTATCAATTGTATTTATGATGGCTATATCAATTCATGCACCTGCAGCATTAGTTTTGTATTGGATAAGTTCACAATTTTATTCCTTAATACAAAATATTGTAATGGATTTGAAATATCCAATTTCATATTCACCAAGAAAGAGATTTGGTTGGGAGAAATCAAGTTATGACTGACCTGCCTCGGTAGGGTTTAATGTGATGTAAATAGAAACTATAAATATATGCTTGTACTTATTTTGCACGTATTTTAGCAATGTCTTGAAAATTGGTAAACCCATGAGAGACGCGTTTAATTACCACTTAAAATTTTAGTGTATCTTTATAAGTAATCTTACCCAATTTTCAAAACCATCATGTTGAGTTTCATATTTAAAGCTGAAAAATTGTTATATAAGAAAATTATCAAAGAGTTATCCGATCAATCTAGTAAAAAATTTGACAACAACACCAAAACTTTAGAACAATTAGATCATTGGCGAGACAATGAATTGCGTGATATAGTAAAGAAAAGATATGATTTTGAACGTGGTGAAGCGTACTTAACTAAGGATGAAGTTGTGAATTTGATGGATTGGAAATTAAGCAAAGGGAAATTTCGCCCAACCTTGCCAAAATTGATTAGATCAAATTCAGAAGAAGAGGTTAAACAGTGTACTCAAGAGGGGTTCAAAATAATGACGAACTATTTCAAATCATTACCTGAAAAATCGTTTTGGTCAAATGCCACAAGCAAATACTGGGATGAATATTTGACAGTAATTAAGACTTCCATGAAAAAATTGTGTAAGTTGAGAGGAATTGGACCTGCTACTGCCAGCTTATTATTATCATGTTTATACAAAATTGATGAAGTGAGAACTCCTCCATTTTTCAGTGACGAAGCCTTCATGTATTACGTGATTGATCCTTCACGCCCTAATACCAATATAAAATACAGTGTTAAAGAATATGTAGAGGAATTCTTGCCTGTTTTATTTCAGATTGTGAAAACTGAGAAGGGAACGACAAATTTTAATGATTTGGAAAAGGGTGGTTGGGCTTTAAAGTATTATAGTTTACATTACGATGATATTTTGGTAAGCGTGAGGAATATATTTGATCCAGAAATTAAAGGTTGGGATAAGTTTGCAATGGAGTCGAGGCCAACTTTGAAACAAGACGACGAACAACAAGAATCAAAACTGAGAAAAAGAAGAAAAACGAAGTAGTACTCAAGAAATTTGTCATGGGAAACTAACTATCAACATAATCTTTTTCCAAATTCAAAAACATAAATTCAGCACCATTACCGTTTTTAACCAATTTAGATAAATTCTGATTCACTTTTTCGAATATATTTTCGAGATTTGATTTTGGTTCATATCCACTCAATCTCAATATAGTTGAGTTGATTAGGTCAAAAGTTTTTTCAAACTGTAGATTGAAATTTTTCAAGACCAAGGTAGCATTTGGAAAATTATCCATATTTATGAACCGTCCAATCAAAAGTAGTGATGAAATTTCGTTTATTTCATCAGTTTTTGCTGACTGACCAGAGTATTCTTTCAAAAGTTGATTTCTTTGATATATTGCCTTATTAAAAAGGTCCTGCACATTATCAGTGAATTCAAAGTAGTCCAGGTATTTATGTGAGTATATCTTTCTTTCCAAATAGTTATGCAAAGTAAACATAAAGTCAAGCTTTTTGATTTCATATTTTGAATTTGCAAATACTGTGTCCCTGAATATAGACGATGAGAATTCTGTTTCAAGATATGGAATGATTTCATCAAATTTGTTTTCTTGCATCAACTTCCGTATGTGTTGTCTTTCAATAGCATAAGTTCTATCAAGAATGTTTTCAAAACCGCTGTCAATTTCAGCATTATCCATCTGATCGTTTTCAGTCAGTAGATCTTTTATGTCTGTATTGAAAGCTTTAAAAGTGCTGATATAACCTCTATGAACCAAATAGCCCTCTATCAATTTATTCATTGTTTCAGGATCTTCGTCGGTATTCAATATGGAATTTTCTATCTTCAAATCTTCAGAATCATCTGCCTTGTTATTTTGATTTTTCATCTTTTCTATCAACGATAGGTATGTGCTTTTTTGGTTTTCATTCTTAAATTCATCAACGTAATTTTTAATATTAAACTTAAATTCTTTAAACCCTAGATTAGTTGTAACTTCGCAGGTGCTGGAATCTTCATTTGAGATCTCATCCTGATATGTATCTTTCTCGTTCAACTTGAATCCCAACATTGGATATAACTCAACCCCGTCATTCGAATCCTTTGTAGAATTTTCAAATAAGTCGTTTGAATTCGAATGATTGGAAGCCATTTCTTTTTCGTTAATTATCCTAGTTAAAACCCCATTCAAAGTAATGAACATAGTTTTATTAACAAAATTTATACCACAACCTACAACATCTGTTTTGTATATCCTCTGACTATTTTCATCTTCTATCAATTTGGTTTTGAAAGGTACGCCAAGATCTAACTTACCTGAGTCTATTTCGACTTGATTATTTCTAATAGCTGTACTTAATCTTCTATTCATATTTAATATTTGAGTTCGAGTTTGTGATTCGGAGCCTTTAATTGAGTTGTTGAATGAAGAATCAGCAAAATTCACAGCATAACTACCCTTGAATTCACCTGGTTTGGTATTTAACAAAACTTTCAAATCCGAATTAGAAAATCCTTCTGAGTTTTCGTCATGCAATACATCATTTTTCAATTTCTCTAAGTCTATAAGGTTCGATTGCGTTATTGTGGATGACAGGATTTTCACTGTGTCGTACGCGACGAACCTTTTTGTAAATCCGGCTAGAATTTCCATGGTCGAATTAGAACTAACTGATAAATCATTCATATAAATTATAGATTTGTAATTAGTGGATTGAGTTAGAACTTGTTTGACTTCAATTTCATAATAAAAGATCCCAGTTGATGATTTGATTGAATTATCTGTGATAAAATTATAGTACCTACTTTTGTTGACATCAACAGTATTGCTAATATCCCCCGAAGTTGAGCTATTTTGTTTCAAACTTATGGTAGAATAGCCTGAGGAATTATCTATATTAAGATCCCAGTTCTCTTTGAGATATTTAACATGCTTGGAAGGTATTAATGGTGTCCAATTCAAAGGTAATTGATAATGAAAATCATTGTCCTTACCGAATGTGACATAGCTTGGTTGATAATTCAGTTTGTTTTTATAGAAAACATCATTAATTAGTAACAAATTTTTTAAAGGTAGATTGCATGATATTTTATAAATTGGATCTTTTTCATACTTTAGTTTTGACTCTTCATTGTATTTATATAAATTCATAAATCCAACTTCTCCTAATTCGTCAGACGCAAATAAAGTTTTGAAATTATTATTACCACCAAAAGAATCTTTAGTTGATGGATTACTACTACTTCTACTCTCAGTTTCATTACTGTCTTCTGTTTCCTCCAATATTCTTGTTTTAAATATTTCAAACGTTTCATATATGTACTTTTCATCATATCTGTTAAACTCCATTGGATTCACTCCCAAAACTCCAAGTATGCTTAACTTGTATAGAATCTTCTCCTGTATTAGATGATTCAATATGGGATTGTCTGAAAATTTGTATTTATTCTCGTTGTTGCTTTTATCATTGGATATTGATTGTGAATTATAAAAATATGGGGAATCTTGTGTTATCAAGTTGGTTTCACTCAATTGTGGATTGTTTTTAAAAAGTTCTTTCTGTAGTTGTGAGCCGTTGTATGTGTCAAGCATGTACGGTGGTATCACATACATTGATACTACGGGTTCTTCATCAGGCGCAATGTACGGTGGTATCAGTAATATGGATTCATCGGATTCTTCATCAGACATAGTGATTGTCTTCTATAAGTAAGTAAGTTTGTTGCAATTAAAGAAGATAAATTCTGAGAGAGAATTAAATTTGATTTATTTTGCAACTATTCATCTTCAGATCAAAAGAGTTCTATGTCAAGGATACTACAATCGCAAGTTGGTGAAAAACTTAAAGTACATATACTTGGAGCCGGGGCAATAGGGTCCTTGTTAGCTCATGATTTAAAACAACAATATAATGATCAAGTATCACCTATTTTACTTTTACGTCCCAATAAAAAAATCCTCCCATCATCCTCACCTCAACCACTACAAAATAATACTACAAACATAAAATTGACTCGAATTTTTGAGAGTGAGCAAGAAGTATCATCATTTGATATAGAATATGCAAAACCAAATAATTTTGAAAAACCAGGCAAAAATGAAAAAATTGAAAATTTAATAATAACTACTAAATCATATCAGACCGAATCTGCCATAAAACCATATATACATAACATTACTTCGAGTTCCAATATTTTTATAGTCCAAAATGGAATGGGGATGAAACAAAACTTGATTAATAGGTTTTGGAGCTCAGACAAATCTATTCCTTCAATATTTGAAGGTATAACTACTCATGGAGTATTTATTGATGAAAAAAATATCGTAAATCACGCTTCGCAAGGTAAATTATTAGTAAGTAACTCCTTTGAAGAAGGAAAAGAATTGCCACGACTAATCAAACTCATTTTGGAAATATCTAATTTGAACTCAAGTTTTTTAGATTACGATAAATTTCTACTATACCAAATCGAAAAACTCATAATAAACTGTTGCATTAATCCAATAACCGGATTATACAATGTGAGAAATGGCGACTTATTGTATTCGCAAGAAATTATCAACGTATTCAAATCGATAATAAAAGAAAGCATAGAAATTTTAAAGTTGGAATATTTTGATCTACTATCAAATATTGAAGAGTCCGCATCATTTTTAAATGAAGATAGACTTTTGGAAATAGTTCTTGAGTGTTGTAAGTCCACAAGAGAAAACAGTTCATCAATGAGACAAGATATCAGGAATTTGAGACATACTGAGATAAATAATTTAAACGGCTATATAACTTTCCTAGGAAGAAAATATAACAGAACTACTCTAATTAATTCAATGCTTTGCAATTTAATCAATTTGAAATTGGATTTAGGCAAGACTCTTGACTTTGAAGCTGGTAAAGATTTATTAGATACATATAGTACACAACTTAGATAGACATCAAATAATTTTCAGCCAACTTTGATCTATTTTTATATAATGCTCCTATCAATTGCTTACGTTGTTTGTTATCATTATTGTTATCAGCATTTGAGAATTGTAAATATTGATGTGAATTTGATTCATGAATGATTTCATTCAAAATCGATTTAATAAGTATGGTATTTCCTTTCCTGTAGGATTCATTATCAATGATTCCGTTTATTAATGCTCTTAACTTTCGAGATTCTCCTGGCATCGGTTCTTGTAATGTAGCTAAACAAACTTCAGTTCTGAATGATAGTCCTTCCGAGTTTAGTGTATAATTATCAAAATAGTCTTGATCTTTCAAAAAGTCAATTTGAGAGTTAGACATTTTACTTATTAATTGCTCGGATATATTTAAATCATCCCATTTGTTATGAGGTATAATGAATCCATACTCACATAACAATAACTCATTTGAGTGAGGTCCATAATTAAAAAATATTTGATCACCTACTTCATATTTGGTGCTGGTAGTCACATGAAAACCAAGAGAATCAATTTTCATATGACATTGATCGTCATCTGAATGATTGATGAAATCTATGTATGGAGCTAAAGTGAAATTATCCTCCGTTGTATGACTTGTTGGTAATGTCATGTATAAACAACGTGAATTAATGTTTAGCCAAGATAATAAAAATTCAGATTTAGGTAGAAGATTCTCAACGGTTTGTTTATCCAAATTCTTTGAAAGAAGCAAATTTTTGACTAATTCATAATCCCTCTCAAATCTTGTCTTGACTATTGTAGCATGCTTCTTTGTCGTTTTAGGTAAAAGACCAAAGACATTATCGGAAAAATACAAAGGCATAAATTTGAAATCGTCCTCAGAAGCTAATGTATCCAAAAATGGTTTCCAAAAGGAGCTAAATCCTCGTTTTTTCTCCAATGTGATATAAAAAGACAATAACTGGAATGAAGTTAATTTCGAAAATTCTTCAAGAGTGAACAATTTGTAAACTTTTGTAATTTCATCATCCCCTGTGTCAACTGAAGTGTTTTTCAAATACCTTGACAAAGCACTCAAAACAGTTTTAAAATTTAATAAATACTTATGTGGAACTCTGATGATCTTTGTATCACTGGTAAGTGTTGCATTTGTGTATATACCTCTACCTGACCCTTCTACATCTTTAACTACTAAATTTGATGAAATATATGATTGATTTGATGAATTTGTTGCTGATGATGGATTTAGCGAACTCAATTTGGCATTTTGAGAATAGAGACAATCCTTATTGTCTATCCATTTTATCAAATTTTGTAATTTTGATTCAAAATTGAACATATCATTGTTGTGTAATTAGTATGGTTGACCTAGGCCGTAGTTGGTATGATTACTTTAAATAATTTTTGTCTGTTCAAATCTGAAACATCAATTTTTTTCAAAAATAACAATAGTTTGCACCAATTCGTAGCAGAATTGGAGTCAATATCAACAAACTACTTTTGGAAGTTACATTGGAAGAACCTTTACGAAGAATTAAAACAATCGGAGATGCAAGAAATCAGCTAAATTCACTCTTACTAATTTTGAAATGCATATTTATTAAGAATTGCTTGAAAGAATACCAATAGAGCCATACCTTTTTTTTTAAAAAATGATCCAAACTCAGATCCGATGAAGTTGTCACTGATAGATTCTATTCTATTTCTGTATTAATCCTTCATCCTGTAAATTAAGAACTGAATTAATTTCAAATCGAAGTCTCTTCCTTTACATCAAAGTCTTCTACAAGAAGCTATCATAATCACCGTTGCTCAAGAGATTCAAGATCTCGACTTCTCGCTGCAAGTTCTCTCGACTAATAATTATTCTTCCTCGTGATCATCATTAAATAAATAAATAAATAGTATAAACTTCAACTCAAAACATATTTAAAGTCAAAGTATTAGCAATTGTATTATTATCCACCGCATTTTTAAATTCTTCAAAATTCAATTTCCCATCACCATCCAGATCTGCTTCCATTATAGTCTTATCAACAATTTGTTGTAACTCTTCATCCTTTAAGTTTTTTCCAACCATCATTTTCATGACAATAAATAATTCCCCATTCCCAATATATCCATCTCTATCAATATCGTAAATATTGAATGCAAACTTCAATTTATCTAAATTTGAAGATTTCCCACTGAAAGCACTTAATCCAGTTATAAATTCTTGAAAATCTATGTTTCCATCACCGTCTTTATCAAATACATCCATTAATCTAGTAGCTAAGGGATTTGATGATATACCTGGTATCGATAAAAATTCATTTTTGTCTATTTCTCCCGATTTGTCTTTATCTAATTTCATAAATCTCTTTCTTAATCTATCTATTTCTTCTATATTGAAGTTCGTATCTTCCATGAACTCATTTAGTATACTTGATGATGCACCCATTTTAATAAATATAAAAAAAACTAGAAGATTATTCTTTGCTTCGTTTGAATGATGTTATAATCGAAATGAATATAATTGATTATTATTCTTGAGATCTTTAGAACGAATCTTATAGATCTGTTTTAGTCTTGGTTGGGGCTTGATCTCTGATCTTGTGTGTCATATTTGATGATTTTTTCTTGTCGAGTTTAAAGCTGAAATCTGACATGCCAAATATTAGAAACATTATTCAAAAAGGAAAGATCGATATGGGAAAGTGGTAGGACACGCTGAGAGAGTTCTAGAGTTAAATAAGGATTCTCTTACTTTAGCTTGAATAGAATATCTGGGACGTTTTGTCTAAAAAAAGAAACTTGAATTAATCTGTCTATCTCACCTTAAAAAACTTTCACAGAACTAATCTAACCAAGATGAAACCCAAAATCATTCATGACACTATCTACATCTCTCCACAACATATCACTATCAAATTTGTCCAAATCTAAACTTTCAATACCCAGCTGACCTGCTGGTGATTCATTGAAAGAAAAGTTTGAGGAAGTAGTTTGGTGTTGAGTAGCTGATGGATCTGGCTGTTGAAGTTGTTGATGATCGAAATGTTGTTGGTCAGACAAATGATTAGGTAATTGTTGTTGATTTTGCTGAAACGTTTGTGTATACTGTACTTGAGAGTCATTAACAAAATTGCCAGTCTCAGGTCTAATATAATTTTGTGCTATCTCAGTACTATCAATTTGTTGACCTTGATGATGAATTTGATGTTGAAGTGGACTAGATTTTGAGGAAGAATTCCCACTTTCGAATCGAGCATGATTGACAAAATTTGGAGGCAATGGTTGTGGGGGTGGCTGCTGGAGTCTTCCTTGTTGTTGATTTCTTATTGTATTGGGAGAGTTGGTCATGTCACTTTTGTTAGTCATGGGTGATGATTCTGATGATGAATTTACAACTTTGAAAATCGAACTACGTTTTGATGCATTCCCAGCTGAAATCGGCTCTGGATCTAGAGGAATGGTCCTAATGATTTGTCTAGCTTTCTGTTCAGCATCTACTGTGTTCGACAAAGATCTCTTGTTCTTCTGTTTTCTCGAGTTGATAAAATTAGTTGATACCGGATTGTTCATTGATAAAACATGGTCCTTACTTTCGGGATCCAGAATGGCATTTTCATTATCCTCTTCATGTTGTTTATCATCTTCGTCAGAATGAATTGCAGATGGGCCATTCTCATCTTCTCCACCTTCAATTTCTTCAACGACATTCATAGGTTCGATAGTTGGATTCAATTTCGAAATACCAGCTTTTTCTCTAACTAGATTCAAACAATCAAAAAACACGGAAGCTGACATTCTATTTCTGATACTTATACTGAAAGCATTTGGATCGTTATTGTCTAAATTTCTAAAAAGCAGCCACATATTTCTTGTTATACCACTTGATCTAAATGCCATATCGTGCTTCAAAATCGAAGCCTTTGCGTTTAACTCAACCACTGATTCATAGCAAGATTTACCTAACGTTACATCAATAAATTTTTTCAATGGTGAATGTATCAATTTTCCAATAATACACGCGGCTTGCCACAAATTCAACAAATATACACCAGGCAAATATTTTATGAATTTTTTATCATATGTTTGACAATCTTTTGAATATTTAATTAATGAGATAGCAGAATTGTACAACTTAATTAAACCTTTTTGTAATTCGAAATTGGGAATTTTTATTGAATCAATGAAATAGTAGCTAAACAAATGAACTCTCGATGCTAACAATTCAAATGTTCTAAATTTTGAGGAATTATTTATACTAGGCTCGCCAATGGAATTTTCTAAATTCTCTAATCTTTTAGCAAATAATTTCAATAACGGTAATTTTTCTTGAGCATCTGTTAAACCACAAGGATCCACTGGATTTGAATTTAAAGCCTTCGCCATTTGATCTTCGAATTGTGCTATTTCCAACATTGACTTTAAATTTTCGGGTATTTTCAAATCTCCACTTGTTTGTTGATTATAAAACCAAATTGAAGAATCTAATTGAACACATGCTGGAAACCCGAAGGCAGTAGCTATAAATTGTGATGCCACATTTGAGGCTATCCAAGTTTTGATTTGCTCTTTCAAAATATTCAACTGTTGAGGATTACTTGAGGAGGTGGGGATACCGGAAACATAAGATGATGGTGCATGTAAACCGATTCTAATAGCTTGAAAAAACCCAGTATTGACGGTATTATATGATGAATCTGCACTTAATGATGATGTAATGGGTGGCCAGTAGGAGTAAAGCAAAAAAGCTTGAACTGAATAAACTGAGCTTACATTATATATAGGTTCGTCATCTTCTGTTGGGCTGTATCTCGTGATTGGTGATATCATTATTTCTGCTAAAATTCCTTTGACAATAGGCGATAGGTCTAGAAGTAAAGTTTTAGAATAATCTTCCTTAAACCTTCTTAATGATACAAATATAATAACCCAAAATAATGGAGGACATAGTCTATATATTCTTTCTGGACCTTTTGTTACATCTACAACGGGTAAAATTGGATGATATCTGAGGATATACTCTTTGAATAGGTCCTTTATCGTATTTGAAGATATTGTAATTGACTCAACCGTTTTTTCTTCGCATGCCAATAGTTCGTCTGATATATCTATTTTATCGGTTTGAGTATTTGTTGTTAATTTTTTTATTAATGGGGGTTTGATTTTTAATTCATTTATTGATGGTTCCATCACTTCCTTCTTGATCAGTATGGTATTATTTCCGTTATTGTTGGTTGGGTATTGAGCCGAGTCAGGGCTGGAATTACCATGAATATTATGACTGTTAGATGATCCAAGGATTTGCTCATTTTGTCCTTCGATTAAAGATGGAAATTTGGACAATAATTCTGCAGCTTGAGCAGTATTCAATGATTTTTTCAACTCCAAAAATTCTTTTTCAATTTGAGCAATTCTAGCTCTTTTATAAGTTCTTTTGTAATCAGATTTTAAATCACATTGTAGACCTTTTTTAAAACATCTAGTACATGGATTTGGTTGTTTTTCGTACGCATCACATTTTGATTTTTGTTGCCTGCATTCTACGCAAGCCATTCTTTTCATCTTAGTTTTCGTTGAATCATTCTGATTTGACTGTAGTGGTGGAGTTGATGAACTTGATGGTATGGGTGGAGTATATTCTCGTTTTACGTTGGAGTTTTGAGCAATGGGAAGCAGTTGATTAGCAAAAGCCATATGATCATGATTGATGTTGGGCAGATATGATGTGGGTTGAAGTTGATGTGGTGAAGATTGACCGTAATTATTTGATGCTGTATTATTATTATTTGTTGTTTGAGTATCAAGTCGATTTGAAATGTTATTTGCAATATGTACCAAATTTTCAAATGAATTTTTGTTCACCCTATTGGTCTCTTTGGTTGTAGTCATCAACTCTTTTGAAACCGGAGTACAGTAGCAGATCGATCTAAGCCTTTCTTGCGTATTTTGGCGGACTTAAAATAGAACTTTTTCTACAAACGAATGTTTTTATTTTAGATACATCTTTATTTTTACTATCTCATATGTTACATTACACAAAACTCAAGATCTAATACGAAGATCTAATACGAAGAGTATAAATTAAAATGAAACGCCATAGCGGAAGAAACTTGGTTGTAGAGCATTCTAAGTGTAATATTTATACAACGAAACAATCTATCGAATCTAAAACGGCTCATCCCCAACACCACATACCATTATCTAGCCAATTCAACTCGAAATCTAGTTTTTTTGATCCAAATTTTTTTACCATTGGTAAGACACCTACTTCTTTAGATCCATTAACAATTAAGCTAATTTTATCTTTTTCTTCACCTTTTGCCCTTTGCTCTTTCTTTGCCTCATGATGTTCTTCATCAGCAAATGTTGAAAATGGGAAATAATTTATGAAAAAATCATACATTACAGGATCTGGAATTTCATTTGGTAAATCGGTTGTTGATACGTATACGTTTTTAAATTTTGAACTTCTCTTTTTAGCATTATAAATAGCTGCGCCAACCAAAATATCCAAATCTTGGAAGTTATATCCACCTAACTCGTTCAAACCAGTAAATGATGAACCTCTACGATGTTGATTTGTACTTGGTAACAAACTTTCATAAGATATTTCTCCCATACCAGTAATGAAAAACTCTCCCTTCAAAGAGTTCCACAATATGTAATATGACCTGTTTTGTAAATCGTTTGTGAGTATTGCTCCTTCAATCTTTGAAAATTCCAAGCTTTCCTTGGTCTTTGCAAATCCTTGCTCCATCACAGCTTTGCTTCTGAAATCTGCATATGATGGTTTTATTGAAAACTTCGGGATTGTTTCATTCATAGCTGATGATTTCCTTCTAGATCCATCTGTTGCATTATTTATTCCAGATTGAGGATGGAGTGATTTTTCTGCTATTGAGGATAATCCGCCACTTGAACCATGTTGTTTTGTCATTGACAAAATGCTAGTTAATCCAGTTAAAGAGGTAGCTGATTTGTGATCACTTTGCAAATCACTGTGAAATGTCAACTTGTTTAATTCAGCTAAAATCTCCAATTCCTTGGTCTGATATATGAACTCAATAATGTCTTGATCTTGTTTGTTATCCCATCTCAATAATTTTATTCTTTTACCCACAGCTCTTGATTTGGTATCTAATTGGGTTTGTTGATCCTTTTCTGATTCTTCAATTAAGGTCTCTAAAAGTAATTCTTGACCGTTTGTTAACATTGGCGTTGGTATTTGATAAAAATCCATAGGATAAGGTTTAAAACCAAACCTTTCATAGTATGTATCAACTCCTGAATACAAAAACCAAACATATTCTTTTCCTAAGTAATAATTTGCTAATTGCCTATCAACACCACCATTGTAATCGTTAATTGTCATTTTTTTGAAATTGTCTATTTGAGATTCGACACTATTTTCTAATTTTTCATCAATTATAGTCTGTTCAGTGGATTCAATTGCTTGTGAAATACATGATTCAGCTAATCCTTGTTTTCTGTATTTTTCATGAGTGAAAACAAAGCTCACTAATAATGCAGTAATATTCTTGACTCCAAACAACGTAGGATCTGGAGTTGATGATATTATACTTGATCTATCTGCAAGTTTGTACAATGCTTTTTGATGCCTGATTATAGTACATGCAACTATTAAATTCTCATTTGTTGAATCTTCCAAGTAAAAACCAACTACAGTACCACCTTTTGAGTTCAAGAACTCTTCTATTGATTTCGCCAGTGTAACACCAAATTCTTCCGGTGTTAATGGGCCACCCCATTGAGTTCCACATAAAGTGAATAATTCTTTTAATTTGGATACATCCTTGGTTTGCTTGAATACGAATTTTGAGTTTGTCATATTTTAGGTGATTATATATAATTCAATGAAATAAAACTTTCAGTAATTTTTGAATTCAACAGCTTGTTTTATGGATGGCCACTATCTTTTAAATGCAGTCCAATAGATAACGAGTTACACAACTGTTTTCCAATTTAAAATAAAAAGTAAAAGAAATGACTTGCTGTTGTATCAGTTTCGAAGATTTAATTCACCCCCGATCGTTTATTTCGAAACGGTTTTTAGATCTTAGCTAAAGTGGCTACCATCTGCTATGTGGGTGAGAATATCCATGCCATCGTAATTGCTTCTCCTTTTCTTAGCTCCAAATTGATCAATTGTCGTAGATACAAGGGTAACTGATAAAAGAATTTATCAAATGACCGTGTATGAGAATGTTAAGAACTTGCACTTAAGAAGGATCTAATCAAACTTCGAGCTAATAATTGAATCTGTTTGGATCAGTTGGGTTGCGTTTTATGATTTTAACATATATTCCGTCGATTTCTCTCATCTCAATCTCATACTCAGTCGTAAATTATGTAATTATGCATTACAATTAAAATGCTGTTAAAATAATTATTGAAGTTAGTTACAACATTCAAATGTAATTCTTGTTTCAAAAGGGCCAAATCCATTCCAAGCTAAATATATTAAGCTCGACCACTAGGAATCTTAAAATTAACGGAATACTCTTCGTCTTTGATATAATTAACGTTTCAATAATCAAGTAACCAATCAATTGGATGGTTGAATGTTAACATGGTATGAATCTGGTTAAGTTGATTTGAGATCCCAGAGGTTACTTTATCATTCCATTACTGAGACAATCTACTAAAATATGCTTTAAATATCTATTGCTTGATTGAACACAAGGATTTCAAAAATTATCTTCTACACTCGGGTCGGTTATTTCCTCGATCTGAAGAATAATTGTTTGCCACTCAAAATTCTCTGTATACGGTATTTGAGACCTGACGTTGGGGAAAATCCAGCCGAGAAATATAAGACTAATTTTTTGTATTTTTGTAAGGCATTTTGTTCATTCCTAAACCGGGATTTGAAACATTTCTTACAAATAATGCGTTAAAAGACTTAGAACTTGATCCTATTGCCAATGATGAATAAGAAAAATTACTGTGCCATTCAAGTAAAAGCAAATGTAAACAATAATTGGGTGTGACCAGCTGCGAGACATTCGGTTGTTGAGTAAAAGTATTATTGTTTCAAGTTATAATAATAATATGTCAAAAAGGATCTGATGCAAAAAAAGAAATTTTAGCTCAGAAGTGACACAAAACTAATGAAAAAGAAATCAAAATCTTATAAAGAGGTTGCAAAAAGAAGTTCCGTAACACAAAAAACAATTTTTTAACGCACCGGTATAGTTTCAAGAGTCATCACCATAATTTTAGGAATGTATAATTAGGTATGTAGAATTAATAATCAAAAAGTGGAAAAAATTGTGTTGAAATATTCTTTCAGGTCAACTACAGAAACCTCAAACGGAAAATTCTTTATCAATCAACTATTGAATACGAACTCAACTCAAATTAATTTTCAATTGTATAAACATCATTATAATTATTGAACTGACATATAGATATCAATATGGCTACTTCGCCGACAGATAAATCTCAAATAGACAAATACATAGAAGATGATAATGTGACATCAACATTTGCATCATCGAATGAACAAAGTTATGATATTTCAAATTCAAATTCTTCAAATAATATAGGCAAAAAGACGCACCAGCTATGGCTGAATTTTAAAGATTCATTCAAACCACCAATACAACCTAATTCAACTAATAATGAAATATCAACATCAACTTCAGATCTTGAAATGGGGGAAAATAAACAAATATCAGATACTAAAGATCAAATAACACTAGCACCACTAAAACAATCGCTTAAAAAGAGGCAATTACAAATGATTGCATTAGGTGGTTGTGTTGGAAGTGGATTACTAGTTGCATCAGGACTAGCGTTGAAACAATCCGGCCCAGCATCAGTACTTATTGCATGGGTAGTTGTATCTTCATTTTTATATTGTACTATGCAAAGTTTAGCTGAATTATCAAGTAATTTTCCAGTACTGGGATCATTTGCTACTTATTCTATAAGATTTATTGATTCAAGTTGGGGTTTTGCAATGGGTTGGAATTATTCTATGTTTTGGGTTGTTGTTTTGCCATTAGAATTAGTTGCAAGTTCAATGACTATAAATTTTTGGAATTCTCATATAAATAGTGTTGTTTGGGTTGCTGTATTTTATGTTTTAATATTTGGATTAAATCTTTGTGGAAATAAAGGATTTGGAGAAGCTGAATTTATTTCTGCTATTATTAAAGTTTTGGGAATTGCTGGATTTAATATTTTAGCAATTGTTTTAATATGTGGTGGTGGGAGTCAAGGTTATATTGGTGGTAAAAATTGGAATCCTCCTTTTGCTCATGGATTTAAAGGATTTGTTGCTGTTCTTTTAACTGCTACTTATTCATTAGCTGGTACTGAACTAGTAGGATTAACATCAGCTGAATCTGCTGGAGATGCAAGAAAGATTTTACCAAAAGCTATAAAACAAGTTGTTTGGAGAATATTGATTATTTATTTATTGACTTTAGGATTGTTGGGAACTTTAGTGAATGCAAATGATCCTGAATTATTAGGTGGAAGTGGATCAAGTGCAAGTCCATTTGTTATAGCAATAAGACAAGGTGGTATAAATGGATTACCAAGTGTTTTTAATGTGGTTATATTAGTTGCATTATTAGCTATTGCTAATTCTGCTGTTTATGGATTTTCAAGAACTATTTTAGCTTTAGCTGAGCAAGGACTTGCTCCAAGAATTTTTGCATATGTTGATAGAAAAGGAAGACCATTATTCGGTATATTAGTTAGTGCTATTGTTGGATTATTATCATTTGTATCGGCATCAAAATATCAAGAAGAAGTATTCGCTTGGTTAGTTGCCTTATCCGGTTTATCTACTCTTTTCACATGGGGAAGTATTAATGGAGCATTTATAAGATATAGAGCAGGATTAAGTGCACAAGGGAAGAGTTTAGAAGATTTAAGTTATGTATCAAATACAGGAGTTTGGGGAGCTTATTATGGATTAATAATGAATATTGTTGTACTATGTTTACAATTTTGGTTAGCTTTATTTCCAATTGGAAAATCACCATCAGCTACAACCTTTTTCCAAACTTATTTGGCTGCTGTTATAGTTGCTATATTTTATATTGTTCATAAAATTTGGACCAAAAACTGGAAACTTTATATTAAAGCTAATGAGATCGATCTCAATAATGGAAAATCTATCTTTGATATTGATATGTTGAAACAAGAAATTGCTGAGGAAAAAGAAGCATTAAGGTTGAAACCATGGTATTATAGACTTTACAATTTTTGGTGTTGAGTCTGATTTTTAGTATATGTATTTAAATCTAGTAATGAAACTTATGATTTTATGTATTTATATATTGATGAAACTTATGATTTTACAAGAATTTAGTTTGAATGTATTGGTTCTCTGCCTCTTTTGGGTGAAATTTACCAATATTTTAGCTATCACCACGTTCTTAAAAAGATTTGAGAGTTGATTACTCGTTATTCGAATCAAATTTCTAAGAGTAATTTGTAAGTCAGTAGCAGTGCTTGAGAGGTAATTGATTTTTCACCTCGAGTTTTGCAACAAGCAAAATCGAAGCTAAATTGTTGCGAATTGTTCAAAATTATACAACAATTTTTGTAGTCTCAATTTACTAATTGAAAATCATCAGAATTGATGAAATTTGTTTCACTAGCATCACATCGTGAAAAACAATGAATGAAAGCATGGGTTTACCAAAGAGTTCCCTTCAACATTTTATCCACACATTTCATTTAAAAACGCCTGATCTATATACACGTTTTGGCTAAAACATTAGTTCAAGCAGTTACTCCAAAATTCAACCTCCTGTTCAACTTTGATTACTTTTAAGAGCGATAATCAAGTCCTTTATGAACAATCGAACAAATTAAAATGGCATTTCAAGGACTAGTTGGCTGTGAATTTGATACAGTTGTTGTAAGTAAGCAGTAGTAAATGAATCGCGTGTTAAAAAATTTAAATATTTCGTATAGGTAGACCCACCTCGACCTAAAACTACCAAATGTCGTACTAAAATTTGTAACAAGTTAGTGGTATTACACAAAATTATTAATTTAATAAAGAAATAAATAAACAAACAAACAAACACGAAAAAAAAATAAAATTATTATTTTAATTTATTAATATTTCATTCATTAATAATAACAAAAAATTTTGATCTACTCAAATTCAATAGTTTAAACAAAGTTTATCATTTCTTATTGGACTACAATCATTTTAATATCACCGTAATAACCAAGAATCACTTTATCATAATTTTAAAAAATCAATAGTATTCATTAGTCCTTCAATTCAATTGAGAAAAGATATTTGATTTCATTGTTCAATATCTTATATAATTCTATAGACTACAACTATTGTTGGTTGTCGGATTCAAACACAGCCTGTACTTATCATTAAGAAAAGTATTTATAGATTTATACAAGTCACTGCATCACATTATTCATTAATTTATTAGTTCAATCATTCATTAAAATCCAACTTTTATTCACTCATTTAAAAATCTATAGATTTACTTTATTCAATTCATTTCATCATTATACACAAAATTTCTTTCTTCATACTACTGCATTTAAATAATCCACAATTCATATAGAGATGACCACTGTCACTCATCAAAATCCATTAACAACTTATGATATCAATCGTCAAATACCGACTGATCAATTATCTTCCACAAATGTTGATAAAGTTGTTCAATCTGTTACAAATGCAACTAAGCGTTTATCACAAATCTCAACAAATACCAATACTTCATCCAAAAAAAGAAAATCACAAAACAAAATAGGACCTTGGAAATTGGGTAGAACTTTAGGTAGAGGTTCAACAGGTAGAGTAAGATTAGCTAAAAATGTTGAAACAGGTCAATTGGCAGCTGTTAAAATCGTTCCCAAATCAAATTTTAAGAAATTTGAAAATCCAAAATATAAAAGAGGTGTTTTGGAAGATGGAGATGATGAAGATGCACAAAGATTACCATATGGAATTGAAAGAGAAATTATTATCATGAAATTAATGTCACATCCAAATATTATGGGATTATATGATGTTTGGGAAAATAAAAATGATTTATATTTGATTTTGGAGTACATTGAAGGTGGAGAGTTATTTGATTATTTGATCAAAAAGGGGAAATTACAAGAATTCGAGGCAATCAACTATTTCAAACAAATCATTAATGGTATAAATTATCTTCATCAATTTAATATTTGTCATCGAGATTTGAAACCAGAAAATTTATTATTGGATTTTAACAAAAATATTAAAATAGCTGATTTTGGTATGGCTGCATTGGAAGTAAATGAAAAATTATTAGAAACTTCATGTGGTTCACCTCATTATGCATCACCTGAGATTGTTGCAGGCAAAAATTATCATGGTGCACCATCAGATATTTGGTCTTGTGGTATTATTTTATTTGCTTTATTAACTGGTCATTTACCTTTCGACGATGAAAATATTAGAAAACTATTATTAAAAGTTCAAAATGGTAAATTTATTATACCTCATGATATAAGTTGGGAAGCAAAAGATTTAATTACGAAAATGTTGAAAGTTAATCCATTTGATAGAATTGAAATTGAATCTATCTTGACTCATCCTTTGTTAACAAAATATCCAGACCCATCAATATCATATGCTTCAACTACTACTTTGGATGTCCGAAATTTGAATGTAAAACCAATTGAATCAGTAGCAAAAATTGATAAAGAAATATTGAAAAATTTATCAGTTTTATTTCATAATTGTGACGAAAAGACAATCATTTCAAGTCTATTGTCACCATACAAATGCCCGGAAAAGATGTTTTATTATCTTTTGATGAAATATAGAAATGAGCATGTTGCAAGTTTAATCTCAAATGATACATTGGAACTAGAAGCTACAAATACTAAAAAGTCATTGCCAAGATCAACTTCAATCGTTCACACAATCATATTTGATGATGAAACAGGTGAAGCAATTACAACAACCACGGAAAGGAAACCAATAACCAAATCAGCATCAATTTATTCAAATAAATCATTACTTAAATCAAGATCATCCAAAAATGTCTTGGGAAATATCACAAACAAACAAAGTCAAACTACAAAACAATTCAAAGCATCAAACTCCTTTAATAAAAGGAAAGTTAGTCAACCCCAAATTTACAAAAGTCAGAACACTTCATCTTCATCTAATTCTTCGTTAAAATCAAATAAAACCCAGAAACAAAAAGTCCTCAATACTCCAATTACTCCATCAGGTAACAGTCCGATCAAATCAATTGGATCTAAACCAGAACAAAGACCACCAGTATTAAATGAAGTTCAAAGAAAACATGATTTATCCGGAAAATTTGGTAATAAGTCTATTAAAAATTTTGAATATATTTGTGATGAAATGTTTAATGAAGAACCTGATAAAGAAAATAAACTACCATCGAGGACTGCTTCTCAAAGAAAAAGAGAAGGTGTTTTAGCTAGGAAAGAAAGAGAATTGGCGGAACAAGTTCATCGAAAGAATGAAGAAAGGGAAAAGAAATTAAAAGCTGCAGAAGAAGCCAAAAGAAGAGCACTTGAGGAGGAAGAACGTCGACTCAATGATGCAAGAAGATTACAATTTGAACAAAATGAAAAAGAATTACAATTGAAAAAGGATTTGGAAGAGAAACAAAGAATTGCATTGACAAAATTAAACAAACGTCAAAGTACTCATGATTTTGAGGATTTAGTTGACTCGAATAGTAATAGAAGATCAATAACTGAACAACCACCACCAATTAAATCATTACTTGATCCAAGATCCAATCCAATAATAAGAGCAAGAACAATGGGAGCACCATCAAGATCAAGAAATGTAATGACAAGTAACATAAATAGTCCACAAATCAATGAAAACACATCGAAAGTATTACAAAAATTAGGTATTGATGTTGCACCTTCACCTAAAAAGTTCACAAAAGATTTTAAAACTTCCAGTTCCAAAAATTTAGCATCATTTATAACTCCTTCTCCATCTGGATTTAAGAATTTGAAAACATCAAGCTCAAGAAATTTGGCAGGTTTGTTAAATAATGATACTACTATAGAATCATCAAAACAAATTGGAAACAATTCGACAAAATTAACACCATCCGAATCATCATCAAAAAATTCAATAAATAAAAGACATAGTACCCAAAGTTCATATTATAAATCAATGCTTAATGATATTGATGAAAACAAACCTCAGAAAACAATGAAAACTGCATCTATTCCAACATTAGTTCCAGAAGATGATGAATTAAATAATTCTTCAATGTCATTAATTCCAAATCCAAGATTTTCTAGATTTTCATTTGGAGGATTGTTACAATCTCAAACAGTCGCAAATGAAGAAGGTGATATCACTATTATGATTCAAACTTTGAATAACTCAAGTACAGTTGTTAGAAGATCAAATGAATCTACTCATTCTGCATTTACTTCTGGGTTAGGTATTAAAGTTATAGATACAACAATCAAAGAAGATGATGCTGAGGAAAATCAAGACGAACCACAAAATTCATCAACTTCTTATAAATCAAAAAATAGAAATTTTCAATTACATAAAGATGTGAAATATGATGATTTTGAAGATGATAATTCAGATGCAACAACAGTAGAATCAGAATATTCATATATTTCTCTGAATCATTTACAAATTATCCAAGATCATACCAATAACAACAATCCTGAAAAATTACTTGAAAATGAATTATCAAATTTTGATTTAATTAGTTCAAGAACTGCAGATATTGGAAAAGTCAATAAACAAAAACCAAGTATTGTAAGTTCAAAGGAAACATTGATTGAAACAAGTAAGGATGATTTAGATAGGAATACATCTAAAAATGGTGATACTTTTGTTGCAAGAGTAAATGATGATTTTGATGATGATGATGAAAATTATTCATCAATTGATGAGAATTCAATGATTGGTGAACCAGTAAATGAAGTTAATAAGGATCAAAATAATATTGGAAATAATTTTAAAAGATCAAGACATTCAACTGGAATATTTAGTACTGCTCAATTACCAAGAAGTCCTCATGTTCAATTGCCTGAAACTACTACTGTTACAAACAAAAAAGAAAGTAGAAAATCGAACTTAGGTAATGAACATGTAATTACTAGTCCGGTTCAAGATCAATTTGATAATGCAGCACCTAAAGAAACTTCATTATTTAGAAAATTATCGTTGAATCCAAAAAGAAATGCTCCAAAAGCTCCACATATTTCACATCCAGTTCTTCAAACAACACAACCACAACAACCACAACTGGCCCAACCAAACAAAGGTCATAATCGATTTAGTAGAATATCAGTTATTTCAAAAAATTTATTAGACCAACCTCAACAAAAATTACAAGATCAACCTCAACCCAAAAAATCAAATTGGTTCAAGAAATTTTTCCAATCATTAAGTGGAACCACAAACACAAATTCATCTTCAATTATAAAACTGGATGATGAATATTCTTCTAAAAACAATAAAGATATTAAAATAATTTCAACAACAATAAAATTTAAATCATTAATTAAAATTTTAAAATCTCAAATTGAATTAAAAAAATTAGATGGTTCAATAATTAATTCGAATATAGATGAAGAATTTGGTATAATTACAGGTATAATCCCCAAAAAGTTTTCAAATTCAAATAAAAAATTGGTTTTTAAAATTGAAATTATTGATTTAATTAATTCAAGTTCTTTACATTTAATTAAAATTAAGGGAAATGAACGAGGATTTATTAATTTTGTTAAAATTGTTGAATTTGTAATTAGAAATGAAGAAGAGAATGTTGTTTGAGTTTGGGGGAAGTTGAACAAAATATTATATTGCATAGATGATTTTATAATACATTTAAATATAAACTTTCTATTTCATTTTACACATTAATTTTCTATTCCACTACTCTCTGTAACTCATTTGCGTGATTTTTAATACTAGTAGATTGCTTATACTGATGAATACTTAATATAGTCCCAATCCATCTAAACAACTACCACAATCCTACTTGATCTATAATACATTCATTTTCCCATCATGATACCTCAATTCCTCAATTCCTCAATGCTCTTAATCTCTCAGCCAATTTATCTTCTTTTTCTTCGGATATACTAGTAGTTTGTACAATTGGTTTTTCAACATCTACTGCAGTCGCATTTAATCCTTGCTTCATTTCAATACCAGCTTCATCGGCAACTTGATTTAATAATTCATCAACTTGATCTTGTGGAGTAGTTAATGCACTTACATTATTTGTACTTGTTTCATAATAATTTGTAGCAGAATCTAAATTTTCAAATTGATCTTCAAATTTATCCATAACTAATGATATTCTTTCTAAATTCATTGTTTGTAAAGCTTTATCCATTCCTCTAATAACTTGTGTCATATTACCAGTTACTGATCTCATTGTAACTGCAGTTTGAACTCTACTTGCAACAGCATCAATTCTTGAACTTAATCTTAATAAATTAACTCTTTCATTTGATTTTCGAATTGCATTTTGAGCATATAATTGTGCTATATCATTATTTCCTTGTGCTAATGCTTTTTTAATTTTCGCTTTTTCTTGAGTTTCTTCTTTTGATGCTTTTGTTGCTTGTCTATTTAATTGTTTTGCTGTGAATTTTAATTGGAATAAGGATTGTTCTAATCCTGACATTGCAAACTGATGGTATTTATGACGAGTTTATTTGTAGGTGTAGTATAATTTTATGAAAATTTAGTGGCTTTAACTTGGGATGGTACAATGTTGGTTCAAATGTTATTGTGTCTAAATGATTTCAGTATGAGGTGGTCTGAAAAGTGACAATTGATTATTGGTTCGTAAGTGATAACTGATTGTTGGTTTTGTGTTGATCTTAAATTTAAAAGTTAATTTTTGATCTTGTATCACCAAATTTCGAAATTTCTACACAATTAATAAATTTGAGTCAACGAAAATTTTAATATCTATTTATCATGGTGTATACAGTTCTATTGAATATTAGAAGGATATCTGAAATCGTTTAACTCATAAAAATTTTCTTTAATATTTCTGATTGAAACGAATCTTGATAAAATATTACCACTACCAGCTTTATCATTTGTTCCTGATGCTCTGGCTCCACCAAACCATTGTTGTCCAACAACAGCTCCAGTCGATTTATCATTAATATAGAAATTCCCTGCTGAATATCTTAATGCTTCTTCAACTTTTCTTATCACTGATCTATCTTTCGCAAAAATTGAACCTGTTAATCCATACTTTGTAATGGAATCTAATGAAGTCAATACCGAATCAAATTCAGAATCTGGGTAAACATATGCAGTTAATATTGGACCAAAGAACTCTTTTGTTAAGTATTCATGATTTGGATTTGTCGTTTTGATTAAAGTTGGTTGAACGTAATATCCATTTGTTGAATCATAGGAACCTCCACTTACAATTTCCAACTCTGGATCAGATTTAGCTTGATCAATTGCGTTTTTTAATTTGTTGAAAGATTGTTCATGAATGACTGGTCCCATAAAAGAATTTATTGATTGAGACTCAGAAGTATTTCCAACGCTTATATTTAATATTTGAGAACTTAATTTTTCAGAAAATTCAGGCCATAATGATTCCGGAACGTATAATCTTGAGGTAGCAGAACATTTTTGACCTTGATATTCAAATGCTCCTCTTAATGAAGATAATACTGCATGTTTTAAATTTGCTGAGTTATGAATTAAATGGAAATTTTTTCCACCAGTTTCACCAACAATTCTTGGAAAATCTTTATATGTATCATTTGAAACGTTATCACTTATTTGTTTGTATAATTTTTTGAATACGTCCGTAGATCCAGTGAAGTGTAAACTTGAAAAGTCTTTATCATTTAATACGATATCAGTAACTTCGACTGGATCACCTGGAATGAAATTAATTACACCTTTTGGTAATCCAGCTTCTTCTAATATAGTCAATAACAAGTAATTCGATAACGCAGCAGTAGCTGAAGGTTTCCAAACAACTGTGTTACCCATTAATGCTGGTGCTCCTACTAAATTCGCAGCAATAGCAGTGAAGTTAAAAGGAGTAACAGCATATACAAACCCTTCCAATGGTCTATATTCAGCTCTGTTCCAAACACCAGGGGAGGTTTGTAATGGTTGCTGACCATACAATTCCTCAGCATATTTGACGTTAAATTTGAAAAAATCAATCAATTCAGCAATACAATCAATTTCTGCTTGATATACATTTTTACCTTGTCCCAAAATTGTAGCAGCTAACATATCATACCTATACTTCGTTGATATTAAATCAGCAGCTTTTAAAAAGATAGCAGCTCTATCAACCCATGGAGTTTGAGCCCAACTTGATTTAGCTTCTTTTGCCGCTATAATTGCTTTGTGAACATCTTTAGGTGAAGCTTGAGACACATTTGCCAAGTTTTCAGAATGATTTGCAGGGTTTAATTGAGGCTTGATATCATCCTTATATATTTTTTCACCATTAATAACTAAAGGAATATCCAATGGCTCATTATCTTTGAATTTTGTGATTGATGCTTTTAGTAAATCCCAATCTTTAATGTCATTGAATCCAAATTCTTTTATTGATTCATTTTGTAAATTTGGAGGAGTTTTTATAGTCGATAGTTGTGAAATACTTCTTTTGGTTATCTGTGATATGGGTTTTATGAGTTTGGTTGATGTTAATGTGCAATATTTCAACGAGTATAAGCTCCTTGATCTTATAACTGAACGTGCAGTTAACCTTAACATCTTTCTAGAATATGATCTTACTTTTAAATCTCAATTGAATAATTTTTTTGAAAGAGGGTATTAAGACATATAAATAACATGTTAATATTAAGTTGATTCTGATGAAATAAATTAAAAGTTTACGGGGTTTGAATTTTGTGTAACGTTTTATAATCATCTCCAAAATTAGGAAAAGTAAATAGAAGCGAGTGTGATAAAAGAAGAAAGTTAGGCCGATTTAAAATAAAGTCTATACTTACAACTAAACGCATTTTATTTAATTTGAAACGTCTTTGATTCTATCTAACAACTCTGTAATTCTATTATCTATACTTTTCAGGTTGTCATGAAAGTTTTCAATTTGAGAATTAAGTTTGGAATCTAAATCTGTAATAGAATTATCCCACTTTTTGAATTCCTCAGTCATGTTATTCATCATCAGATCTAAATTTGTAGTTAACGATATTGACTCACTCAATTCATTGTGTAATTTATTTAGGTTCTTGATTCTTTGTAGTAGCACCGGAGCGTGACTCAAATATTTCTCCAAATCAGGTAAAATGTTATATATCTCATCAACCCTTTGCTTATTATCTATTTTACTCAATATGACCTCGTTTTCGGAATCATTATCAATTCCATATATTTTTTTATTTAACTCCAACCTGTTCATTTCTTTAGTCATTTTTTCAATTTTATTCGAAATTGAAGTGGAATTATACTCTGGGTGTTCTAATATGTTTAGCCTTCTCTCTACTTCATTTATATTCGATTGAATCGAAGATGTTTGGTCTTCGCTATCTAAACCTGTACCAATAATTGTTTCCAATTTGTTTAATTTATTCTCCAAATCACTTATTTGATTCAAATTATTACTGTTCAATTCCAAAGGTTTTGACTCAAACTGTAGTAGGTTTAAGACATTTATAGAAGTAGAACTTGATTTATCTTCCGCTAGTTTCGGTTGATTCCTTTTTGACTCCAATTCTGATGTTTCATTTATCAATTCATCAACATTTACATTTTGAGTCTGTCGTATTTCTTCCAACTCTCTTTTAATTCTTGCCAATTTTTCATCAATTGTTTCTTCTCTTGATTTGTCTTCTATCTGATATCCCATTGAATTTAAAACATTACCTGAAAAGTCAAACTTATCAGCATTTATAATATTGAATTTGGAAAATGCTAAGCGTTTCTCATCAAAATTAACATCCTTAAACTCTTCCTCTATTCTATCGATTTGATCGATATCAGAGTCATTTTCCTGATCTGATGATTCAAAAATCTCTTTATTCGATGTGTCTATATCTGGGAGATCTTTATATTTATTCATTGAAACATATTCAGTGCTACTTTCAAAATAGAACAACAAAAATAGAGATTACGCGTCTTTTTTTTATTTGCATCCATATATCCTCATGTCAGTGAAATTCGAAACTAACCTCGACGTTCAAAAGAGCTGGCTGAGATTGCAATAGTTGCAGTGAATGATTTTTTCGTACATTAGGTCATCTATTTAGTTACTATTTGTACAACATCTTCGTCATGAACAGGATGATTTAATCCACATTTTTGTGGAGAATGTTTTGCACTTGAACCCCATACTAAGGCATATTTGAATTGATTTTTCATATCTCTATGTATTGAATCACATACTTCCAATATAGTGCTCTTATTTCTGACAACCATTGGGTCGTCAAACTTTGGTAAAATTCCTCTTCTCTTCGTGTAGAGTCTCAACAAGTTGAGTTTTCTCCATATTTCTTCTTTCAAATCATCAATACCTAAATTTAATTCACACGAAATAACTATAGTGTTCGGTAATCTAGCTAGTCTATCACATTCTTCCAAACTTACAGCATCTATTTTATTATACACATAAAGACATTTAATATATGTGATGTGTTGTTCATTTATGACATCAATAAACTCATCTATAGTTATGTTTTCATCTTTAATCAAAACATGAGCATTTAGTATTTTATAATCTTTTAGCAATGCTGTGACAATCTTTTCATCAAGGTATTTTGGTGGCACTATGGAGTTCATTTTTATACCTCCTGTCTTTTTCAAAGTCAACGTGACATTTGGTCTTGTCTTATTTAACCTTATTCCCATGGTTTCTAATTCATTTTCTAGTATTGTTTTTTGATCTTCAGATTTTGTTGCATCAAGAACCATTAATATTAAATCAGAAGTTCTTGAAACTGCTATAACTTGTTTTCCTCTACCTTTCCCTTGAGAAGCAGCTTTTATAATTCCTGGTAAATCTACTATTTGAACTTCTGCTCCATTATACTCCAAAATTCCCCCAACACTTGTCAAGGTTGTGAACTCGTAATTTGCAGCTTCGGATTTGGTATTTGTAACTTTTGACAAAAATGATGATTTACCAACAGATGGAAATCCAATTAATGAAACTCTTGCATCTCCAGCTTTAGCAACTTCGAATCCTTGACCACCACCCCCACCACCTTGGCCTGGTTGCGGTTCTAATAATTCTCTTCTATATCTGGCTAGTTTACCTTTTAATAAACCTATATGATATTCTGTCGCTTTATTTTTTTGAGTCCTAGATAATTCTTCTTGAATTTGAGCTATCTTTTCTAGAATCCCCATGACTGAATTGATCTATCTAGTGGTAATGATTTGGTTTTCTGAAGTTGGTGATATAATTTAATTCTAAATTTGACGTTTTGTGTCAATTTGGTTGAAAAAAATTAAAGGAAGAGCTTCTCTGCATAATCATCTCGATCCAAGAAACATACCTACAAGTATCCACGCTGTATAATTACATTCACACATTACTTCTGAACTTCATGAAAGGATAATAAATAATGCCCAAAACTCAGCCGCAAAAGAAATATGTCAAAAAACTGAATAATGACCCAATAGAAGTTTCAAAAGTTATAAATACAGGGTCTTCATCGAAATTGAAAAAGAAAATAAGAGACATTGAAAGACTACTTAAAAAGGCCGAAGAACCAAATTCCAAACTACCTGCAAATAAAAAAGTGGAATATTCAAGAGCGTTAAAAGGTTTAAAAATTGAACTAGAACAATCTCAACTCAACCTAAAACAAAAGACCAATGCAACTAAATATCATATGGTGAGATTTTTTGAGCGAAAGAAAGCCATTAGAAAACTCAAGCAAATACGAAAGACATTTGAAGAAGTACAGAAGACGGAGGTAAAAAAGGATATAAAAAAAGTAAGGAAACAATTACGACATGGAGAAATTGACCTTTTATATGTTGTTTTATTTCCAAAATCTGAAAAGTATATTTCGTTGTATCCGAGTTCAAATGATGAAGATTTGAATGATCCAAATGTAAAAGCTGGATTAAGAAAGACGGATGCAAGAAGGACGGAATTCAAGAAACAAGTGGAAAATTTGTTGAAGGAAAATAAATTGACTTTTACCATCGATGACATATTACAAGGAAAACAAATCAAGACTCTCGAAATTGAACATAAACCAACCAAAGAAATTGACGCACCGGAAACTAAAGTTGAAAGTAAAGAAGAAGAAGAAGACGATTTTTTTGAATAGCATTAAACGTATAATTTATAGTAATGTATATGCTTTGCTATACTTAATTTTCAATGCATCGTTGATACAAGATATTATAACTTGTTTCCCAAACAAACCATTAGGTATATCCAAATCACAAGAAACAATTCCTTTTTTGTTTACTAATCTTGCGGATGCTCTTTTCAATAGGAATAATTCAGTATCATCATGCACTATAATAAACCAACTCTCTCTCTGAGGTTTCGGGAAATATGGACAATAGACTTTGAATTCGTTATTTAAGGGGTAATTGTTATGAACTAGTTCTACTTTAATTAGTTCAGGTTCATCTTGTTTTATATTGTAGTCACCTGTTGGTAAATGGGAAGCAATTCTCACAAATTCTTTTTTATCATCTTCTGCAACTCCATATTTTTTAGCAAAATTATAAAGTTCCCCAGACTTTAATCTACCCAATTCATTTAAATTGGAATTAAATTTGTTTTCTTTAGTAGTAGTTACAAATAAACCAGGTAATGCAGATATTGGATCATCATCAAACCATATTCTTTGCTTAATGCATTGCATTAATTCAATAAAAGACAAAACGGCTTTATAATTACCCATTTCAGCTGAGCCATCAATAAATGCTTGTAATATACGTAAAGATTGATCTAATACTGAAACTGTATCTTGTGCATAGTCTGCGATTGGTAATTCAATTCTACTCATATAAGCTTGAATCAATAAATAGGCTTTCACGTGAGGATCCCATATAAATTCACAATTTAAATCTTCTGCTTTATATCTCATTGCTAATGATAATTCCATATTAATTAGTTCTTCACCGTGACGAGTTGCTAACTCATTATATTCAGTCGCTTCACAAAGTAATTGTAAACAATCTCTGAAACCGAATTCAGGGTTGATCTTGTTGACAAAATTCCTTAAAGTTAAATGAGACAAGTAGTAGTATGATGAAATATGTAAGAATGGAGTAGCATATAATTCGTTATTCCCCTTTGCAATAACACATTTTGACTCAATTAAACTATCAATAGTATTGTCAATCAATCCAGCCAAGTATTCGGATATACCATACTCAGAAACATCTTCTATTCCATAATAAGTAGGATTATTATGAGCTCTTCTATACAAGAAGGTCCAAGTTAAGAAGTCCATTGCTTCTTGTCTCGTTGTTATTGTACCTGATGAAATTTCTGCACCAATATGATTATCTAATACTTTATGTAACGATGATTCTACCGGAAATCCTAAATTTAAAAAATGCTTATAAAAAATCTTTTTAGATTCCTTGGTGTAGACTATAGCAATACCACTAGTATCGAAAGCTGGACGTCCTGCTCTTCCCATCATTTGTAAAATATCTGTCAAGTCCATATCTCTATACCCTTCAATTTTTGCATCAAAAAATTGTGTACCTTTTATAATGACTAAATGAGCAGGTAAATTGACACCCCAAGCTAAAGTCGATGTAGCAATCAAAACTTGAATTTTACCTTGTTCAAATAATTTGTGAGATATTGATCTATCTGACTCAACTAAACCCGCATGATGTAATCCCATTCCAAATTGTAATGAAAGTTTTAATGTTTCATCTTTGACTTTTGAAAGAACCTCCTCAAGTTCAAACTCATCCATTTTCAAGAATCTTCTAGGGTCAGATTCCATTCCACATAAATGTATTAAATCTAATGCTGTCAATCTTGTTTGTCTTCTAGATGCAACAAAAATTAAAACTGGTTTTGTTGGTGAATGTTGTTTTATCGCCATGAATGCAGGTTTATTCATTGTTTTCATCAATGGACAAAATGCTAAATTATCAGGAAATCCATCAATATACATTTGTAATGGAACAGGTCTAACAGATTGAGGGAAATTAAATAATCCATTTTTTACACCTAACCAACCAGCCATATCAAAAGCATTTGAAACAGCAGTAGACATACCTAATAACCTGATGGGCTTTTTGGTTTGTGAAGATATATAATTCATTCTACTAACAATCATTTCCAAAATAGGACCTCTATCACTTGCTAATAAATGTATTTCATCCATAATAACTAATGAAACTTGTTGAACAAATTTTCTTGTTTGCCAATTACGTGATATACCATCGAATTTTTCTGGAGTTGTTATAATTATATCAGCCTCTTTTACTTCATTAACTCCTGGTAAAGAATCACCAGTTAGCTCGACCAATTTATGATTAGTGTTGGCACAAATTCTTTTTCTCCAATCATCAACTCTTTCACGAACCAAAGCTTTCATAGGGGCAATATAAACTACTTTTGAAGATGGAAATTCATTAAATGCATGCCAAATTGCTAATTCAGCTACAACTGTCTTACCTGAACCAGTGGGAGATCCAACAAATGCACTTTCGTTTGAATTATACAAAGTATGAAAAACCATAGTTTGCATAGGATTGAAATATCTAAATTTTGATGAGTAAATACTTTCTATTTCGGGGTTTTTCAATGCTTCAACAGGTAATGGTTGTAGTCGTAATAATTCAGTTTTGGTTGTTTCATTTTGTGGTCGTATTAAATGCTGAAATGATACGGCGTGAACAGTTTCAGATCCAATCCATAAATCAGAAACCAATTTAACAACGACTTGAGGCGGTAATGGGTCAGATAAAGGAATCATGAAATCCATTTCATGAGGACTATTTAATTGTCTTTTATTTAAAATGAATTTCTCAACATGTAGAATATTCAGCTTATCAGATTCTTCAACAGTTAACCAAAATATTTGAGCCTGGCCATGATATCTTTCATCCCATACGAAATCTGGAGTCAAATCAATATGAATTCTCATTACATTTGTCATGATGGGAAAAATTTCTGAATCTATTTCAATATAAGGAAATTTGCCAATCAATTTATAAAGTGTAGGTCCCATCAGTTTATTGTGCACTAAATCACCTAATTCTGCAGCTTCCATATCACGTAGCGTATCCATTGATGGATTTTTATTTTTAATATTTCTCAATACAGGCTCCAGTAAGTCAAATTGACACATTGGATGTTCAAATGACCAAATTCTTTTATCAATAGATTTACATAATGATAACATGATATCCATTAATTTACCCCATTTCCTATTCATTGCTATCAAGAATAATGCACGACAAATTCTAGCTGAATTTTGAGCAACATAATTTGAATCTGAAACTAAAGCTGATTCCCTGATATTAGCTTGTGATATAAAAGCTTGCAACAAAATATTTGTCTTGCCTGGTGGAGAATCCACATCAGCTGCAATTTGACATGGTGAATCATCTTCCAATAATTGTTTTAACTCTTTAGATTCTTCTTCTCTAAATTTAATGGAATCAAACTCGCTACTCATACTGATCATTGATAAAATATCTGCTTCTGTTGCTAATGGGTTTACCATTTGATTAAAAATTTCAACTGAATTAGATAACAAATAGAAATCTGAAGCAATTCTACCCAAATCTTTCGGCACTAAAGTTCCTGTTTCTTCATCATATATGATCATTTGTAAAGCATGTAACCTCTTGGCACACAGTACAATCATTTCTCTTCTTTTATTTATTAAAGTTGGATCTTCTTGAATTTCTTGCCATGACATAGCATAAGCAAAAGGATTTTTCTTCATTCTAGTGATCATATAGGTATAACCTAACCATTGAACACCTTCATCAACATTTGTCACAGTTCCCAAAGAAATTTCGGCATTTAAATTGTCAATTAATTTTTCTTTTAATTTTGATTCAATTGGATGTTGTTGAGTTAATAAAGAAATATAATGATCCATTTTATCACTTGTTGTACATAATATACCAACACCAAATTTTTCATATTGTGGTCTACCCGCACGTCCAAAGATTTGTATTACATCTGATATTCCTAAATCTGTAAACCCACCAGCTTTTGAATTATATACTTGAGTTCCTTTGACAATAACAACAGCTGCAGGTAAATTCACACCCCATGCTAATGTTGAAGTACAACATAACACTTTAATAGCTCCAGATTCAAACATTTTTTCTGTAAGATTTCGATCACTTCTTAACATACCTGCATGATGAGTACCAAACCCATGAGGAAATAACTCTCGAAGTTCTTTACTTCTATTTTTCTGAGATGCTTCCTTTTTGAATCTCTCATAAGATGGAGTTTCAGAACAATCAAATAGATCTAGTTCGTTATGATCTTGAGCCATTTGTATAAATGTTCTAGCAGTTTTAACTGTTTCTTTACGAGAATGTACAAATACCATGATTTGTAGACCTTGACTTAAATACTCCACTAATTTTTCGTAAGATATTTTATCAAGATTTTCTCTTGCTGTTTTGGAACCTGCTTTACCCCTTACACCAAGAACCTGTTGTTGTAATGGAATAGGTCTAAATGATTGATCAAAATAAAACATCCCTGCATTTCGATTTACTCCCAAGAAATCAGCAACGTCCATATAATTTGGTAATGTAGCAGATAACCCTACTACTCGAATCATCAGTTGCGTGCTTTCAACTTGTCTTAAAGTTCTAGCAACCAATGTTTCAATAACTGAACCTCTATCTTCATGTAAAAGATGAACTTCATCAATAATCAATAGTTTAACTCTTGAAACTAATTCACTATCACCATTCAGTTTTCTTGTCACAACATCCCATTTTTCAGGTGTAGTTACAATAATTTGAGTTTCGGTAATTTCTTTTCTAGTCATTTGCATATCTCCAGTTAATTCACGTACTTTTATACCTAACCATTGTAATTTTTTTGAATATTTTTCAACAATTTCTGCAGCTAATGCTTTTAATGGAGCAACATAAATAATTTTAAATTCATCATAATCTATATCTATAGTTACATCACCTTCATCATTCATTGTTTCTGTTACAAATTGTTGTATAGTATGTAAAATAGTTAATAATGCAACATCTGTCTTACCTGCACCTGTTGGAGCACATACAAGCATATTTTCATTAGTATTATAAGCTATAGGATATACCAAACTCTGCATCTTGTTCAAAGTTTTATAATTTTTAAAAGTACCTTGACATAAAAAATCCATATCTTTCAATTTTATTAATTGATTGTCCGAGATCCATTTATTCGGCAGTTCCTCAGGATAAGGTATTATTAATTCTTCATTCAATGGGTATGTATTTCTTGTTGTTCCCTTTGGTAATGTGAATTTTCCACCAGTTACAGCTGCTAAATTAACAGTATCTTGATTTTTATATACATGAGGATACTTTTGATTGAATGATTTCGGTAATAATTCCTGATTCTTTGTTTTGTTTCTATTATCAATAATAAGTTGGGCTCTTTCTTGTGCAGACATTAATCCATTGGTTTGATTGAAAATTTCTTTATTCTGTATAATTGTGGATATCAAATCAATTTCTTCAAATCCCAAAATGTCAAATAAAGAAGATTGTAATTGTTCGTCGTTTGTAGAATTGGCAACTAATGATTTGACAAGGGTGAAAACTTCATCTTCATTTTGCCCTCTCTGAAGACTTACTCTTGAACATTCCTTCTCGAGCTTCTTCAACACTTTGTCATTTTGGTCTTGATTCTGAGAGCTAATTTTGGATAGTGAGTCAATAGATATATCATCGAATTTAGGTAAAATTTTGTCAATTGTAGTGAATTTTGCATTTTCATTATCGATCTGTGATAGTTTTTGATTAACTTCTTGTGATTGAGACCATTTATTCATTGCTTCAACCAAAGGCTGCATAGCTTGCATATATGAGCCAGTGGAGGTGGTATTATAGTTCGACATCTTCTTCTAATTTGCTGATCTTCTGACTAGTTCTGTCAGTATCATTATGATAATTCTAATTTTGATTAAAAATGGCAATCTGATATTTCAAAATCTGTAATTTTTCAACTCACAGTTTTGTGTAATAGTCTACGGAATAAAGAAATGTAAATAAACAATTTAAGAATGAGTAATCACTAAAGAGATGTACAAAAAAAGTAGTTTGATCAGCCCTTCTTGCAACTTTTATCGTTGACATTGACGAAGCATTTGCCCAAAGGGTGTGATCGCTCTTTCGGTAGCCAAATTCTCGAGCAAATGGCTTGCTTTGAGCTTCTTCGAATACAGTACCTACCTTTATGCGTCCTTCATGTATTGCGTAAAAAGCTTGCTGAGAATGGTATGTAACTTTTTTTTTTAGCTCTTTTGATCTCATTTGCTTTGATCTCATTCTGGTTGCAAAATATTTTGACTGCTGCTCTGGTATACAAAATATAAATTTCATACTTTGCCAACTTACACGACTTCATAATAAATTTATAATCTGGAGATGAGACATTGAAATGAGATGCATCTAAATATCAAACAACAATTACGACCACTCAATTAACATATAACTTTATACTCAAAATTAATAATGGCAAAAGAATCAAAGAGTCCGAAGTCAAAAGAGTCATTAAAGAAAAGATCTAGAGACGAAGCAGAGATAGAGGAAGAAGATACAGATAAACTAGTTAACGAAATAGATGATGATTTTGAAGAAGTAGCTGGATTATTAGGTGATAATATAAAAGATCCAGAATCCAAAAAAGATAAAAAACAAAGGAAAGATGAAAAAAGGCTACAAGAATTGACTAAAGCAAAAGTATCTGAATCTATTGAAATTACAAATAATGATAATAATGAAGATGATGGAACTAATTATCTTTTTGAAAAAGCTGGATTTTCAGAACCAACAATGAAAGCAATAAATGAAATGGGTTTTCAAAAAATGACAAAAGTTCAAGCCAAAACTATACCACCATTATTAGCAGGTAGAGATGTATTGGGAGCAGCAAAAACAGGATCTGGTAAAACTTTAGCATTTTTAATACCAGCTATTGAATTACTATATTCTTTGAAAATTAAACCAAGAAATGGTACAACAGTCATAATAATAACACCAACAAGAGAATTAGCACTACAGATATTTGGAGTAGCAAGACAATTAATGGAACATCATTCACAAACTTGTGGTATAGTTATTGGAGGAGCAGATAGAAGACAAGAAGCAACAAAATTAGCAAAAGGAGTTAATTTATTAGTTGCAACACCAGGAAGATTATTAGATCATTTAAAAAACACTCAAGGATTTGTATATAGTAATTTAAAAGCTTTAATTATTGATGAAGCTGATAGAATTTTAGAAATTGGATTTGAAGAAGAAATGAAACAAATTATAAAGATTTTACCAAATGAAGATAGACAGACGATGTTATTCTCTGCAACTCAAACTACAAAAGTTGAAGATTTAGCTCGTATTTCATTAAGACCTGGTCCCTTATATATAAATGTTGTTCCTGAAAAAGATGTATCAACTGCAGATGGATTAGAACAAGGTTATGTTGTATGTGATTCAGATAAAAGATTTTTATTATTATTTTCATTTTTAAAAAGAAATGTTAAAAAAAAAATTATTGTATTTTTATCATCATGTAATAGTGTTAAATTTTATAGTGAATTATTAAATTATATTGATTTACCAGTACTTGATTTACATGGGAAACAAAAACAACAAAAAAGAACAAATACATTTTTTGAATTTTGTAATGCAAAACAAGGAATATTAGTATGTACAGATGTTGCAGCAAGAGGTTTAGATATTCCATCAGTTGATTGGATTATACAATTTGATCCACCAGATGATCCAAGAGATTATATTCATAGAGTAGGAAGAACAGCAAGAGGTACACAAGGTAAAGGTAAATCATTAATGTTTTTAACACCATCAGAATTAGGATTTTTAAGATATTTAAAAGCAGCAAATGTTCCATTAAATGAATATGAATTTCCAACAAATAAAATAGCAAATGTTCAATCACAATTAACAAAATTAATAAAAACTAATTATTTATTACATCAATCTGCTAAAGATGGTTATAGAGCTTATTTACAAGCTTATGCTTCTCATTCTTTAAAAACTGTTTATCAAATTGATAAATTAGATTTAGTTAAAGTTGGAAAATCTTTTGGATTTGATGTACCTCCAAAAGTTAATATAACTATTGGTGCAAGTGGTAAATCTATAGAAAAGAAACATAAAAAGCAAAGAAGAGATAAAAAGTAGCATAGAGTATGATAAGTAAGTAGTTAATAAAGTTATTGAAGGATATAGAAAGTTGTTGTTTTGGTAATCGCTATAGAATGAGGGTAAGTAAGTAAATTGAATTCGTCTGTGCTACCAACTTTACTCTTTTTCCTTTTGTACTATCTGATACGCGTTTAAGACAGTTTTATTTTACTTTTTCAAAATCTAGTACGAATTAATCACTGAATCAAGAAGCATGTCATCATCATATATAGACTATATAAATAATGATCTGAATCAGCGACTAGAAAGACAAACAACAAAAATAAATCAAAATTTTGAAAAAAGAAATGAATTTTTTATAGATCCAAAAAATAAAAAATATGATAAACAATATTTTTCAATGTATCAATATAGATTAAATATTTTAAAAGAAAGAATTAATTCAAATGCAATGAAGAAATGGGGTAATGGAACAAGAAAAATAGATGGACAAACAATAACAAAACAAGATAAAATTTTAGATATAACAAGTGGGAAATTATGTTGGGTTATTGGTACTATATTTTGTGATGCAAAATATAAATTAAATATTTTAAATGATGTTGAAAAAGGAAGTGATGATATTTTACCATTAGTACCAGTAAGTTATTTAGGTGATGATGATGGAAATAATGATGAGCAGTCGATTGTAATGTTAGAAGATGAATCAGGTAGAGCAGTATTACATAATGAAGAATTTTTAAAAAAAAATTTATTAGTTACTGGATGTATTGTTGCAGTATTAGGTATTGAAATTCAAGCAGGTATATTTGAAATAATGGATGTTATTTATCCTAAATGTGCACCTCAAAAATCTTTAAATTTACCAATACAAGGAGAAAATAAAAAAATTGCATTAATTTCAGGTTTAAATGTTGGTTTAAATTCTAATTATGATTTAAAATTAGAAATTTTAAAAGAATATTTAATTGGAGAATTAGGTGGTGAAAATGATAGGAACTTTAATAGTAAAATATCACAATTAATTATAGTTGGAAATTCAATTGAACCTATTCGAGATATAACATCAGAAAATGATTTAAAAAATTTTATAACAACAAATAATTATGGTTCAAAAAATATTTCAAAATATAATAATGAATCATTGGTGTTATTAGATCAATTTTTAAATGATTTATTAATTAATTTACCAATTTCAATAATGCCTGGAGAAAATGATCCTTCTGAAATTTGTTTACCTCAACTACCATTACATAAATCATTATTTAAATTAAATCAATCAATAATTGGACAAAATAGATTATCAAGATTAACAAATCCCGTATGGTTTGAAATTAACAACATAAAATTTTTAGGAACAAGTGGTCAAAATGTTGAAGATATTAAAAAATATATCCCCAAATCTCAACAACAATTAAATTCATCAATAGAAATAATGAAATCAAGTATGAAATGGCAAAATTTTATCCCCACAGCACCAGATACTTTATATTGTTATCCTTATGATAATTATGATCCTTTTATTTTTAATAAAGATTTACCTCATTTATATTTTGTTGGAAATCAACCTAAATTTGAAACTGATATATATAAATGTGTTGATTCTAATTCTACAGTTAGATTAATTAGTATACCTGATTTCAAAAAAACTGGAGAATTTGTGGTATTAGATTTAAATACTCTTGAACCTGAAGTTATTAAAATTGAATTATGATTTGGTGTTCATGTATGTATATATATATATTTATTTTTAATAGCATTTTTAATTTATTGAATTCCTTCAATGCAGCTTCAATCCACTGAATCTCTTTAATGTTTCTATATTGTTACTACTTCTACTCTGAAGCAATTGAACACATAGAGTAAGATTAATTTGTCTACTTCTATGTAAAGTGTTTGAATTTAGCATCATTATTTGCATACATAAACGCAGTTGTAATAGATATTTGATGTACATGCAGGACTGCTTAAGTACGGTATATAAAAAAACATTTGAAAAATTTTTTGAAAAAGTTTTACGTGCTTCATCATAATATTCTTTTACAAACACTAGAGGATCATTCCTTATTACTAATAACATTCATCATGAAATATGAAATTCACTTCATTCCACATAAGGTAAATTGTATGGTACCAGGATCTTGAAATAAAAAAACTATCAGATTAGAATTCTCAAACACACTATTAAATTAAATTTACAATCTGAATTATGGAATGACACTTTAACTTTTTGTAATAAAAATTCAGGCTTGTTTTCGAACTTCAACTGAAATAGAAGTTCAAAAGCAAACATAGCGAAATCATGTCAATGTAAGATCACCTTTGAATTATATTCAAAAGGCAAATATACATTCCAGGAGATTGAAATTTGATTGAAATACTTATTGTATGAGACTTTTAATCTGATAGTTTGACATTTGATTTGATCTTCAGTCCATAAGATTGCATTACAGAAGGTTGTATCACGAGTTGGCTGTATTTTAGATAATTGTGACAGAATTGTAACATGTTTTTGTAAACTCTTCTTTGAATGAAATTGAAAGAATGAAATCTAGATTTTAAGGTTATGAGAAGTCGGAGGAGAATTTAATGAAGAATTAATGAGAACGCTTTTGGTTTAGTATGACTTATAATTGATGTTGTCTTCGAAACTTATCCATTTAAAATGAAGATGACTATATGATAATTTGCTTTATATAGTTTGAAACAAACGTATCTATTATACACAACCGGTGTAAGTATTCTTTCAAATGGAAGAATGTAGAATTGTGAAATGACATTAAATATCTAACAGCTTATTCTTTGATAGGTCATCCATTTGGTGTATTTTGTAAACTCTAAATTGTTCTAATGGATATATTTAGTTTATAGATTTAAGAATTTAACCTTTTTTAAATCCGATTGATTTAAATGTAATAAAACTTAAATCGGCCAAAGAAAAAAGAAATAAAAATATTAAATGGATGAATGGAAGGTGTTAACCACACGATGATAAATCACATGAGGCCTGAAAGATCTAATCAACTTGGTTCTCATGAGATGTTACTTAAATTAGTCAAGAATTCAATGTGATAATTGAATTAATCCGCTTAAATTCTCTAGTAATGTTCATTCTGATCTTCTATAAAATAAAATATTATTTTTTGATTCAATTCATCCGATAAGAATGAAAATAAAAATTGGAGTAAGTTTTTTACTAAGTTAGGAACGTTTTATAAAAAAATAAAACTGTTTCAGAGAAGTTTAAAAAAATTGGAGATGAATTTATAGGATTTAGTGAATTCCAGTAGTAGTAGTAGTACTTAGTAATATCGTAAGACAATTGTAACATATCAGTTACGTAGTAGGTAGTTAGTATTCTAGGTTATTACCCCCTTTTTTTGCCTATTTATTTTGTGTATCAGATGGATATATCTATTCATTTCAAAGCAAATTTAAATTGAAATCATCTCATGAAAAGAGATGAAACAAGAGAAGATTAATTTCTAAGTCATAAGAAATATAATTGCTTTAATGTATTAAAGATTAGATTGTTCATTAATTTCTTTGCGAAGTAGCATACGACTTAAAACTATTACTAACTAGAATCTAAGCCTAGAAGCTAGTCTAAGTCTTACTCAGCTTGATTTTGATTTGCTCTTTTTCATACTATGTTTTGTGATTTATTTAATTCTCTCCTATAAATTATTATTTTATTTTAGTATGATAAGAATATGATAAAGAATGTAAGAGAGAGAGAATATCATAGTCTAGAGTTAAAAAATATTAATAATAAATAATAATTTACAACCACTCTTTTTTTTATAATCACTATTTACAACCAGTTCAATAACTTGTTCTTATAGACATTGATCTCATTCATAAACTCATACAGTCTTATACAATACTTTTTTATCAACTTACATATTAGTATTATCAATTTATCATTACAACTTTTTTAATATTACTTTTGTTACATATGTTTCAGATATCAAAAATATAAATTTATTATTTTACAACCAATTTTTTAAACAAGAAAAGCAACAAAGAAAAAAAAACACATCTGTTATTACAAAAGACATTGAAATTGATTAATAGATCAAGGATTGGAAAAGTAAATCATCATAATCTAGGAAATTTATCAAAAGATCAATCAAATCAGTCGCCGGTTATAAATCAAACACAAAAATTTAAATACCGAGAGGTTTTATAAATTTCCACGGAATCACAGGAATATAATGCAATTAAGAAATATACCATCTTTAAATCATATATCCATATCTTCAAACAAAAGTCAATCAATGGATACATTTCTAGGTCATTCTAATTTTTTACAACATCAAAAAATTGATCAAAATATGCATAATATTAATGAGGGAACTATAAGTTCCTCTTCTTCATCATCATCTTCATCTTCAGTTATATCAAGTGCTGATAATGAAAATAATCATACTTCAAACAGTAGTAGACCTTCAACTCCTCCAACTCCATGTTCTTCAATTTCAGAATCACCAAAAACATCAAATATATTTAAATCAAATTCCCCTTTATATAATTACGATGATCTTTTACAAAGTTTACCTAATTGTCAAGATTATTTACAATTAATAGAACCAAATCCTGTATTACCACCTTCTTATGATACTTTACCACCAGGAGGTTGTCCTAAGTTTCCAATCAATTTTCCTATATCATCATATGATCAACAATATTATGATTCTTACATAGCTTCTTCATCTATTACCACTGACAAATCATTTCAAATACTTAATCAAGAAATTTTACCACCTTCATATTCTCCTGCAATATATAAAATAGGAATAGTTGCAAGAAAATTAGAATGGAATAATCCATTTGAATTATCATCAAATAGAAGTTGGAAATATTTTATTGCAGAATTAAATTCAACTCAATTAAATTTATATAATTTACCAACACAATATGAAACTCAAATATTTGCATTTAATCCAAAAAATAAAATTAATAATGGTTATAAAATTGAATCAACAAATAATTCAATATTTACAGATTATAGTGATCATCAATTTTATGATTATGTTAAAAAATTAGGATTATTAGATGATAGTTCATATAATAATAAAAAAAAGGGATTAGTTCGTTCTTATTCTTTACAACATACAAAATTAGGTTTAGCAACAGATTATAAAAAAAAGGTAAATGTTTTAAGATTAAGAATTGAAAATGAACAAATATTATTAAATTTTGGAAGTATACAAGATTTAATTGATTGGAATTTAGCTTTAAATGTTGGTAAAGATGTAAGTTTAGATATTAATGAAAGAGAATTACCAAAATATAGGACTGTTCCAAGAAGAAGAAGAAGAAATAGAAATAGAAATAATAGTAACGGTAATAGTAACAGATTAAGAGATTTTAATTCATCATCTAATAATAATTTAAATAATTCAAATAATAGATCAAGATCATTATCTGATCCAAATAAAATTAAAGGTTCATTAAGTAAATTAAAATTAAAATTAATTAAATCAAGATCAAAAAATTCAAAAATTCAATCATTTGGAAAAGGAATAAATCAAAAACAAAATAATGTTGGATTCGATACTCCATTAGCTGTTAATAGATCTCGTTCAGAAAATGATTTATATAATCCAATTGAAAATTCATCATCAAGTTATCATAATTTTCAACAATCTCAAAGAAATGGGAATCATAATCAGCCACAATTTTTCATTAACTCCGATCATCATCGACAACATGAAGATGAAGATGATTATAATGTTGATGATGACGATGATGATGATGATGAATATGATGATGAATTTAATGAAGTATTAAGAAGATCAAGAATTGAAACTCTGATTCATGATCATCTTCAAATTCAAAATCAAAATACCCCTAATATTGTTGATGATCAAGAAGATATTCAAAATATGTCTGATTTACCACATTCAGATGATGAAGATGATGAAGATGAGGAAGATGTGGATGAAGTAATAGATGAAAATGAGGAGGAGGAAGAAGATGAAGAATATGAAGATACTGATGAATATTTCACACCACCACCATCAGAATCACAATCACAATCACAACAACAACAAAATCAAAAACAAAAAAGACAAAGATCATCAAACCCCAAAAATTTTAATAATGATTTAGATTATAAATGGAATCCACCATTAGATAAACCACAAACAAAAAAAAAATATTATAAGATATGTTTAAGATGTATAAAACCATTAACAATGGAAGATTCATGGTGTTCAAAAATATTAGTTAAACCAACAAGTTTATCACCATTAGAAATTACATTTTTAAGAATTATAAAATATTCTGGACCAAATGGTGAATTATTATCTTCTGCTTCAAGTAGCTCTAGTCTTTATCTGTTGGGTAAAAAAAATAATGGTTCTTTATTTAAAGATTCAAATAATATTTATGGTAATAGTAATAAAAATATTATATTACCTGATGTTGCTTTAACTAGATTACCTAATCATTTTTTAAAAGAATTTTTAGTTGGTTCTCATGGTTTAATACCAAGAGAAATTATTTAAGAAATTGGGAGAGAATCTAATGGGAGGATAAGGTTTGACTTTGCTCTGTATTTTCGATAGTTAAAGTCATTTTAAGTATTTCAGATAGTTTTTTATTTCAAAAGTTTTAATTCATTTGTAAATTAATTTAAGTAAGTACAGTTTTTTTAGTTTGGTTATTTTTTAAAATATACATTCATTATAGCATTATTTTTAAGTTATTTGGGTTAGCTTATAATTTAATTTTTATCTCATAAAACTGTTGATGTTTTTTCTAAATTAAAATATTCACATATTTTTCAAGGTTTGAAACTTAACTCAACAATCCCTATTTGAATTTGTACGCTGAAGTGATACTACATTTACGAGGAAAAGGCTTTCAAGGATATACCGCCGAAAAGTTAAGAAAGCTTTAAAAAACTTGATCACCTGAGTACAACCCATATGTATTTTCATACATATGATTTAATGTTCTCTATCTTAACAACGGATTGCTTCGAATAAATAGCATACTCCATTTACATCTTCTATATGCTTTCAAATTATCCCACCACATTCATCGACATCTATTCAACATTTTACATTGCACTTATCATTCGGATTCAGCAATCTTTGAAACATCGAAACTTTCATTAGGATTTTCCTGGCTTTACGATTGCAAAGAACGAATGATAAGTGGTATGTAAAATGTTAAAAAATCTGGACAAAACTGGATGAATGAGCCTCGGCTTGTAGGAATTGGACTTTAACCCAAGGTAAGATTATGGAAGGCATCATGCTATGCTATATGCCAGTTAGAATTTCCTCTTGGATGAATGTGGTGGAATAACCTGAAAGCGTGATGGTGATATAACTAATCCTAGCAATAAAATGTAAGGACATATTTGAACAACTTTCTATTGAAATTGATTTGCCGTTGGAATGAGACCGTTGTTCAGCTCCATGTCTCGATTTTATTTAGATGTTAATCCAGTTTCTCTTAATGGGATAATAATCTTAAACAAATTTTAAAATTTGGTAGATGATTGACTGTATTTTCTTAAAGTATGAATTTACTTGAAAAAATTGTGTATTGTAGATATGAAATCTAATAATTATTATTATTAGTTATACGAGAGATTGGAGATTTTGTGACACTTTGATCTAATTTCAGGTATTATCTCAGAGAAAAAAAAAACAAGGTACTTAAACATTAGATTTTACAATAGAAATGATTACAAAATTCTTTCAACACAGTGATAAGAAAGCCTGATCAAACCAGTGTTGAGAGCCTATCAAGAAAAGAAGACTTCAATAACTAGCAAGAAAAGTTATCATTTTAATAAATTCACAAGAAGTTGAACAAAATATTCAATCTATTGTTCTATGAATCCTGAAACAATTTAAGAAATATTACATAATTTCAAATTTGGTAAATCGATTAATAGGGCTAATTAATTTGAAATGTGGGTTGAGTTAAGTAGTCTTATGAATTATTTACTGAACATGTTAATTAATTATTGTCTTGTTTTATCAAACGATTTTGATTAGAAATTTTAAAGTTTGGGGTTCATTAATTTACAACATGAAATTTTTGATTAACTTTTTTGATTATTATTACAACTTACTAATTTATCCGACTATTATTATTAACTATTATCCACTAATCAATACAAAGCTCAATCATCAATACATCTTTACTACTATCATCACGTAATTTCTAATATCAATCAACTTCCTATTAAAACAAGAAATTAAGTAGTCAAAATTACAATAGTTAACACATCATGGGTTGTGGAGCAAGTGTTCCAATAGAGGATGAAAATGATCCATTTTTACATGATAAACAAATTAATGATATGATAGAACAATCATTACATCTTAATAAACAAAATTCAAAAAAGGGGGTTAAGTTATTATTATTAGGAGCAGGAGAAAGTGGTAAATCAACAGTATTAAAACAGTTAAAACTATTACATAAAGGAGGATTTTCACAACAAGAAAGAATGCAATATTCACAAATCATATGGTGTGATGTTTTACAAAGTATGAAAATTTTAATTATACAAGCAAGAAAATTAAAAATTCCTTTAGATTGTGATAAACCAAATAATCCTTTAATTCCTTATAAACAATGTATATTGAGAAGTGATGCATTAACTCAAATTGATACTACTATTGCTGGTGGTAATAATTTTTTAAATGATTATATTTTAAAATATGATGAAAAAAGTAAAAATAAAAGAAAAATGAATAGTACTGGAGTTGTAGAATTTTTAGGAGGAGATTCAAATAAAAATAAGGAAAACAGTTATGAGGATGATGATGATGAAGAACTAGATTCTGAGAATTTACATTTATTAAATAAACAACAACAAGAACAAAGATATCTGAGACAAGATGTAGCAGAAGCAATACATAAATTATGGACATTAGATTCAGGTATTAAAAAATGTTATGAAAGATCAAATGAATTTCAATTTGAAAGTTCAGCAGATTATTATTTTAATAATGTTTTTAATTTTGCTGATCCAACTTATTTAAGTTCAGATTTAGATATATTAAAAGGAAGAATTAAAACTACAGGTATAACAGAAACAAATTTTACAATAAATTCTTTTCAATTTAAAGTATTGGATGCAGGTGGTCAAAGATCTGAACGTAAAAAATGGATTCATTGTTTTGATGATATAACTGCTGTATTATTTGTTTTAGCAATTAATGAATATGATCAAATGTTATTTGAAGATGAAAGAGTTAATAGAATGCATGAATCAATTATATTATTTGATCAATTATGTAATTCAAATTGGTTTAAAAATACTCCTTTCATTTTATTTTTAAATAAAATTGATATATTTGAAAAAAAAATTCAAAAAAATCCAATAAAGAAATATTTCCCAGATTATAATGGTAAAAATAATGATTTTAATGAATCAATAAAATTTTTTGAGACAAATTTTTTAAAAATGAATAGAAATTTAAATCGACCTATTTATATTCATAGAACTTGTGCTACTGATACAAATTCAATGAAATTTGTATTAAGTGCTGTTGCTGATATGATAATTCAACAAAATTTAAAAAAAAGTGGTATCATGTAGAAGAGTATATAAAAAATGGTGTTATAAATTATTTGAATTGTTTATTTATTAAATATTTATTAATTTATTTACCATCTTAACATAGCCATTTCATTTCTGTTTCTATTATAATCCAATAAATCTTCAATTAATCCAGTTCCAGAAATAACAATATCTCTATCCCAAACTTTAGCTTGTCCCCAATGTTTAACATCTTTAACAGTTATTGAATCAATTTTTTCAAAAGCTTCTTTTATTGAATGTCTATAACCAACAGCTAATACTTTTTTAGCAATATCATTTGTAATATCTTTGGAAGAAAATAATTCATCAACTAATGCAGTTTTAACTTGTGCTTTTGCTCTTGCAACTTCAGCTTCACTTATTGAAATTGATAATCTATTCCATTGTTTTAAAGAAAAATGACAAAAATCATCAATTGTAAATTTATTTGCAATTTCTGCATAATAACCCCATAAACCAGTATCTGACCAAGATTCTGAAAAATGATTATAACTTTCAACAATATCATATTCTTGTACAATTGAAGCTAATTTTGGTGATGTATATTTTGCTTTTGTTGAATGTAAATTAAAATTACCAAATATAGCAGCTGCAACTTTTGCAATATAATAATTTGGAGAATTTATACCTTCACCATGAACAGCAATTGAAAAATATGCTTTGGACATAGTATCATCTCTCATTCTAACTTCTGAACCTAAAAATGCAGCAGGTTTTAATTCAGGTTTTGAAGCAATATTTAATTTTAAATTTTTTTCAACTACATTAATTAATTTTTCATGATCAAAATTTCCTGATGATGCAATAACAACATTATGATTTACTAAATGTTTTGATAAATGTCTTAAAGAATCTTGTTGTTCTAAATTTTTAATTGAATTTGTTGTTCCGATTATTGGTAAACTTAATGAATAACCTTGATAAGCTGTTGATGCTAAATGACTTAATACTCTTGATTTGGGATTTGATTCAATTTCATTTGATTGTTTAATTAATTGTTGTTTTGCATCTTCAAAATTTGATTTATTAATTAATTCTTCAGCATTTGATGCAATTGATGAAATTGATTTCCCAGCTTCTTCTATATTTGAATTTGTAGTTTCAGCAATAATACCATTATATTCTCTATCATTATGAGAACTTAATATAACTCCAGTAGATGGGTCTTGTTTTTGAACTAATACATTTGTTGTTAAAGCAGAAACACCATTACAATATTGATGTTCTGATCTTGAACCTGCACCATAATATAATCCAACAGTTGAATGAGATGCTTGTGGATTAGTTTCTGATGCTACTGTAATACCATTTGATAAAGTTGTATATTTAATACCATTTGATAAAAATCTACGAGATGAAACAATATTGTTTTTTAAAATTGATGAACCACGAATCATAATTGAATTGAAAAATGTTTATGAGAAAATTGATAAGGTCTGAAGATTATTATTTAAAGTGGTTAGTGAATGATTGGTTGGTATTGAGCTATTTTGATCTTGGGTTTTAAAGTCAGTTTCTTATAATGAAATTTTTTTGTTAATAATATAATTGGTGAGAATTAGTTAGAATTGTTAGTGATAATTTGGTAGCTACTGGTTCTATTTTTTAATAGTATTGGTAATAATAAACCAATGAAAAGAAGAACAAATATTATTATGACAATAGATAGAGATACAATATGCAGTATTATAGTTCTATTAATTTGGTAGCATAATCTGAAACATAAACTCTTATAATATTTTACAGATTAATCATACTCTCAATCTTCGGTTTTATAAAAACGAGTTAGACAGGTATACTACGTACTTTAGATCTGATTTTGACATGAATCTGGATTGGAATATGTTTCATTATAACTTTTTCCACCATACTTACATAACAATGCTTCAATTATTAAGACAGAATCATTAGTTTTGCACTATAACCATGATTTGAATACTTAATGTCAAAAGCCAAATTCCCGTAACTTTCAATGGTTTTTGTATCCAAATAACAGAACGGTAATTTGACAATTGATACGATACAGACTGCTTTGAGTGATGATCAATCGAAATTTGAATTTACTTGTTTGAGCTTTCAAAACATTACAGGCAATGTTATTATTCATACACATAATGAGAGGTACAAACAAGTCTGTAAGTTTGAAGGTATTAAAATAGAATCAAATCTGTTCTTAAAATCTCATTTCGATAGTTTGTAGCAGTTTATTTACAAGAGTAATTTTCTTCTATCTTTTGAAACTTTTGAACCTGATTTAAGAAACAATTAATTGTGAAAGAAAAAAAAACATTTAGAATGGTCGGTTGGAAAAGCAATGGTCAAGTGAACAGTGAACATCAGAATTTTCTCTCATAACTGTAGTTCCATTCAAGTAGAATCTTTTCCAACTTGGAATTCAATTTAATGAAAGTAAATGTAATTTGTATGTGGTTATTTATTCAAACTTGACAATTGGGTGAATTAGTGGATGTTTAAAATATTTATGGATGTGTCACGTGTACGTTAAATAAAGGCCGATATTGCTTTTTGCTTACAAAATCGTTCTGGTGATCTTGTTGCAAATTACTTCACCTTGAATCAGATACACTCAAACTATAGATGCCATTTTACTGGTATCATTGGAAGATATAAGATATAAATTTCAACCGCTCGAGATCTTACACGTTTTTTTGTATCAATATTGGTAGATTAATCAGGTAATGGTCAAACAATTGGACAAGAACATCTGTGATGATCATATATGCTGTCAAATAGTAAAAGGGCCAACGAAAGAACAAACACAAAGAGAAAAGCAGTTTGTCACTAAGGTTTTGACATTAGCTGTTGTCTTTACAACCTTTGCTTGTTTTACAACATACTGTATAGCTAAGCAGTTCATGAATTGATAAAACTAATAGCCGCCTGGGGGAGATATTATTGGGCATAAACTTGGGGTCTGAACTTTATGGAATCACATACAAACAACCAACGTTGTTGAAGGAAATAATTGATAAAAGCTATTGAGAGTTTCCGCCTCTGAGAGTATTAAACTCATCACAACTTCGAGGAATTATTTATCATTAAATGATGCCTATGATGTCCACAACTTATGGTATGAGTAATAAATATGCTTCGCCCACGAATGAATATTTAAATCATGAATGTGAATGGAAACCTGGATTAATTGAGATTGAATCAACAGCTTTAGCTAAAAAGAAAGCAATCAGTATTTTCAGGAGTTTTACTTTAAATCGAGAGAGTAAGGGACACATCTCCTTCATCACTGAGTAGTATTTGTTTTGCGCAATTTATTATATCACTGTACTCCAATCCTACTATGTTGGATAACGATCTTTCGAAATTTACCTAAGATTTAAAAATCTATATTACCTTAATTAGATAGATATGATTAAATTAAGTTGATTTTCACAGTTCGGTCTTTCATTTTGTTTCGTGTTTATTCTGCGTTTTCATGAACTTGTTCGTCTGACATTTTATGAGATTGCTAGTACGACTTGTATTGCTAGCATATGGTTAGAAATGGGCGGAATAGTAACAATCTCATGATATGTCCAACCAGCATGTTCTGTGTTTCGATGTGTTTGATACCTACAACTTCAAGTCAGGCATTTTGAGACAGTCTCTTTCAACGTCAGTGTAGTTCCACATAATCAATATGTCACATAGTGGACTATGCCTTCGGATAAAGCATCTACCTTTTTTTGATTTTTTTAATGTTGTAGCAATTGGTGTGGATGGATCGTATATTTTTGCCTCGTTCTTACATCATCCATCAACAACTTCAACCAAACAACTACTTTTTTGTGATCAACGAGCTCACTCTTTTTAACATCTTATTGGCATCCATTCTGAAAATCAAAGAAATAGGAAATGACTTACTATGAGCATTGTGAAACAAAATATTGGAATTAACGTTTGAGCCAATTTTAAAGTCTTCCAAAACTCTCCTCATTGAAGATAAATTCAGATCGATGACTTCAGATTACATCACGACACTTTAAATTCATTTTGAAAATAATAGCATTTAAACATAGATTGTTTCTCAGAATAGATCAATTTCCAGCAATTGGTGTGAGCCAAACTCATGTGAAGGTTTTATACTAGGTGAAACCTGATAATTTATATGATTGATCTGAGTCGGCCAGATTCTAAGGTGGTTGGAGAAGCAAAAATTTGTTTTCCCGCATGCAATCATTAAAAATCATTCCCAGTTATGAACCTAAGAACCGTATTCGCAATTGACCAACAATACCAGTACGCCAATTCCAATATTTCGGTTCAAAGGTTTACAACTGGGAATGTTTTCTTAATAATTGCATGTGGAGGAGCTTTGGTATTCCAATAAGATGATTATGAAGATTCCTAGTTGTATACTTGTAAGTTTATCACATTCTTTCATTTTTGAGGATTTGGAATAAATATACAGCAAATAGGATGATTATAATCACATTTTCTGAAGTAGTATAATAGTATTAAATACCATCATAAAGTTCCACGACTGAATTGAAGTCTTCAATCCAATAATCACTTGAATTATCTTCTCTGTCAATACTTAAGTTTGAACTATCCTGTTTGCATTAAAATTGTTTGGTAAACTGGTGGAAGCGATTCCTCAACTATTATTTGTTCATCAGATGGTGCTGTTTCATTGACAGGAACTGGAACAGGTTCTGTAGTTATTGTAGTGATTGAAGTTCTTTGTAATATTGTATTTGAATTAGTATCTTTAGACTTTCAATACGAACTGAAGATGATAAAGTCACAATTTCAATTGAACCTTCTTCAACAAACAAACATATAAGTAAAAGCTTGAAAAATGGGAAACCTGGTCCCACCGAAAATGAAAATCTAGATCCAAATATATGTCATCTAAAATAGATCAAATGAATCATTAAATTCAACAATTTCAACGACAGTTAATCATACATGGTGTGCAAATTTTTCAAATCGAGAATTTACGTAATAAGTTTAATTTTTTTTTTTTTTTTTTCTTTTAGTGAGACTGAAAAATTTTAGTATGTGAGATTGAAATATTATAAAGTATTATTGATTTAAAACTATTAAAAAAATACAACCACATTAGTGTCATATTACATTATCCAACCCTTACAAGATGTCTTATGATGATATAGGAAACGCTACTCCAGATATTGTTATTGGAGGAACCCTAGATGAAGGCGAAGATGAATATACTTATGATATAGAAAGTGATCAAGAGAATCAAGATGAAGGACTTAATGATGACTCACATACTAATTCAGGAACTAATGGCAATGCAGGAAAAAAATCAGTAGCATTTGCAGGATTAGAAGATGAAGATGATGAATTAGCTGAAGAAAGAGCTAAAAAGGAATTTGAAGAAGGTGGTGGATTACCTGAACAATCTACAGATATAGATTTTTCAAAATTAACGCCTTTATCACCAGAAATTATAAATAGACAAGCAACTATAAATATTGGAACCATTGGTCATGTAGCACACGGGAAATCTACAGTTGTTAGAGCCATTTCGGGAGTTCAAACTGTTCGTTTTAAAGATGAATTAGAAAGAAATATTACTATTAAATTAGGTTATGCAAATGCAAAAATATATAAATGTGATAATGAAGATTGTCCAGAACCAGATTGTTATAGATCATTTAAATCAGATAAAGAAATAAGACCAAAATGTCAAAGACCTGGATGTACAGGAAGATATAAATTAGTTAGACATGTATCATTTGTTGATTGTCCAGGGCATGATATTTTGATGAGTACTATGTTGTCAGGAGCAGCTGTAATGGATGCTGCATTATTACTTATAGCTGGTAATGAAAGTTGTCCACAACCTCAAACTTCAGAACATTTAGCAGCTATAGAAATTATGAAATTAAAACATGTTATAATATTACAAAATAAAGTTGATTTAATGAGAGAAGAATCAGCTTTTGAACATCAAAAATCAATAATACAATTCATAAAGGGAACAATAGCTGATAATGCTCCAATAGTTCCAATTTCTGCTCAATTAAAATATAATATAGATGCTGTTAATCAATTTATAATAAATTCAATTCCTGTTCCAATTAGAGATTTTAATGCTAGTCCAAGATTAATTGTTATTAGATCGTTCGATGTTAATAAACCAGGTGCTGATGTAGATGACTTAAAAGGTGGTGTTGCAGGTGGATCTATATTAACTGGTGTTTTCAAAATTGGTGATGAAATTGAAATTAGACCTGGTATTGTAACAAAAGATGATCAAGGTAGAATTCAATGTAAAACTATATTTTCAAATATTGTTTCATTATTTGCTGAACATAATGATTTAAAATTCGCAGTACCTGGTGGTCTTATTGGTGTAGGTACAAAAGTTGATCCTACTTTATGTAGAGCAGATAGATTAGTTGGTCAAGTTGTTGGAGCAAAAGGAAATTTACCTTCAATATATTCTGATATTGAAATTAATTATTTCTTATTAAGAAGATTATTAGGTGTTAAAACAGAAGGTTCAAAACAAGGAGCAAAAGTTCGTAAATTAGAAGTTGGAGAAGTTTTAATGGTAAATATTGGATCAACTGCTACAGGTGCAAGAGTTGTTGCAGTAAAAGCAGATATGGCTAGATTACAATTAACTTCACCTGCATGTACTGAAATTAATGAAAAAATAGCATTAAGTAGAAGAATTGAAAAACATTGGAGATTAATTGGTTGGGCTACTATTAAAAAAGGTACTACAATTGAACCAATTAATTAAAGGGAAATTTTAGGTCATTATAAATAGTTTTTAAATTTTCATTTTGCATTCTCTATAATATATATATGTATATTACCTTGTAATTTTAAATACACATTGTTAATTTAAATTATTGAGGAATTTAGGTAATGAATCTATATTCATTAAAGTGTATAAATGATCTTTGACCTGGTTAAATAAATTTTCCAATTCTTCTAATACTTTATCTGATGTATCTGTTTCAACTTGCTCTTGCTCCTGTTCTTCTTCAAATTTACTTTCATCAAATTTTTTAAATTCATCAATTGGTGTTTTTAAACATAAAATTGAATCAGTTTCTTTAATTTCATTTTCATTAGAATTAAAATTATTATCAATCAATAAATTAATAATTTTAGATCTTAACTTATAATTAATATTTATCATATATGACAGTTCAGAATTTATAAAAATATTAAAAATTTGATAAGCTAATGACATACATATATTTTTTTGATTTGAACATTTTTTAGAAACATTAGTATTAAAAATATCTTCATCTTCATTAATTTTTGATAAATTTTTAAGATCTTTATAAATTTTCAATTTTTTATTAAAATTTTCTAATTGGCAATATGCATCAAAGTTTTCAACACAAAATTCTTTAATTAAATGATTTTTAAATTGAAATTTTAATGCAGGATCTTTAAGGATTGAATCTAATGTTATATTTTGTTTCTGAGTTGAATTAATTTTTTTAGGTAATATACCGTTAGTTGTTGATGCTTGATTTACAATTGGTAATGATGAAGATGATTTACCCCATGAACATATTGATAAACCTTTTTCAGTTAATCTATAATAATTTTCTTTATGAAATGAAATAGATGAATCCAATGTACCTAATTGTTGATCATTTACAATTATTGCCTTTAAAAAATTTTCTTTTAAAAATAAATTAGCAATTTCCAATGCATGTTTTTCTTGAATTAAATCAGTACAATCCATTAACCATTGTAGCATAGCTTTACCATTTATACAATAATCTAAAACCAAACTTTTTTTATTCTTAGTGGATGGATCTTCTATTATTTTATTTTTAATTAATCTTACACCAACAGTTGATACATAATATTGAATATGAGAATCTGATTCTGGATTCAGAAAGTATTTGTGGTAAAATGGACTTATTAAACTTGTAGACAGAGTTGTGGATTGGGTTTTAATTGAAGTGGTGGTATTGGGTTTTGATGTAACTGATGCATTTGATTCTTCCAAGTCTTTGTTTTCTTGATATTTGGTAAAACTGAAACCTCCAATAACGGATTCAGGACTTAAGGTAGATGATGAACTTGTTGATGAGTTTTTTGGAGTTAACTCATTATCATTTAAATCAGTTGGTGTTATAGGCTTTAGGAATTTTTGAGTAAATACATCATCTTCAAATTTTTGATCATTATTGTTATTGCTTTTTGATTCCAAGTTAGCTACTTTATTCAACATTAAATCAGGTTTGTTATTTGGTGACCAAAAATTTGGTTTAATTCCCATAAGTTTGATCAATAAAATTTTTAAAAATGACTTGGAATAAATAATCTTATCAGTAGATAAATCTCTTTCAAAATTGAATAATTTCATAGAATTAAAACAAGCATCATTTAATACTTTTGGAAATTTATCATTTTTTAAACCTATTTTAACACAAAATGATTCAACTATTTGTAATCCCTTTGGAGTAGGTTGTAATAATACACCATTTTTTGGTTCTTTTCTAGTTCTATCTTGTGGAGAATGTAAAAAATGAGCTTGATAAAATTTAAATATAAGATTTTTAGCTGTGTCACTTTTAAAAGTATATGATATTTTCGTTATTGTTTTTTGTGATTCTATAGATAAGTTTAAATCTTCCATTTTTTGAATAGCAGTTGATAATTGAAAAGTATATGGATATTTTGATGATGATGTTGATGATGTTGATGAAGTAATTTGAGGTAATAATTTGAATCTTTTTGTAAATGTTGAGGAAGAATCATTTATATTTGAATCACCTGTTGAATTTTCTTTCAAACATAATGAAATTATTAATAATGCAAATATATCTTTAAAATCTTTTTCATATATTTTACCACTACTGGTTCTATTAAATTTATTGAAAGTTGTTTCATGTAATATATTATTGGGACCAGTTGGACTTATTTTTGGTGATTCTAATTCGAGATTTTGGTCCACGAATGTAACTGAATGTTTCTGTTTTAATGAAGTATCACGTTTTGTATATTCATCTTCATTTGTAGATATGAAAGGGTTGTTATTTGATAAAGATAATGTGGTTGTTAAATTTGAATTTTTAAAATGAACAGATTTCCTTCTTGTCGATAAAATTGTCATTGTCATATTTCAATGATTTGGGTCACTTTAAATTTGTTGATAATGTTTGAAATTGATGATATAAATGAATAGATTATTAAAGTTGATTTGAAAAATTTGAGATTTTAGTGCATAAGCAGTTGGATATATATGTATGTATATTTATCACAGATCTTATGAGGTACATAATACTATAATAATAGATTTGTTTCAGATTTATAATTTTATGTACTATTAATTGCGTTTTAGATCTCACATTTGTTACAATAGACTATAATATTTTCAAAACCCATTACTACTAATTAATTAATTCTTTCATGTTGTGTGTGTTAAGTTTGTTTCATATTAATTTACAACTAATTTTTATTCGGATAAATATTCCTGATTTGCATACTATGGAATAAGCTTGGTATTAATATCTATTGTTTTATTCAAAATTTCATTTGTTTCATAATTCCCAAAAAGGAAAGTTAATTAATTACATAAATTAATTGCAGAAATATAATATTTTATTATAAAACTTTGAAAAAATATCCTTAAATTACGTTATAACAATTCATTAAAGTAACTATGACGATCATCTTAGGACGGCAATTAGTTTTAAACGCCTTATAACAAACTTTTTTACCTCCAAAACGTAGAGTAAAACTCTCGTCTAAGAAATCTTATTGCTTGTGAAATTACAAAAGAATTTGATACAAATTTAAAAAGAAGACGTCAAACGTATATGTAAATGAATAAATATTTAATAATTTAAAATTAAGTAAGCTTCTAAAAGCTGTCATAAGAAGAAAGATAAAATAAAATCATACGATTATTTCTATTTTTCATTATTGTTCTTTCATTTTGCTACAATTTTTGCGTTCAGATTGTTCCTTTTTGTCAAGTAGTTTTAATTGTTCTAGTCATTAAATTTTATTTCTTCCTTTCATGGCGCAGGTTGAATAAAATTTGGAATAATTAAACCAGAATGTCAGGATGCTAGACCTGCTGAACATGAACAACAAAAATTCTATGGGTGATTTCTGATGATGAAATTGTTAGCGCAGGTAGGTTCTTTAAAATCTGGCTAAATTTCGACCTTTTCCCATACAAACAAACTGAAGACGCTAACGCTACAATGCTTGAAAAGCAATTTGATGATCCATCACTTCTGTACTTGAGCATCAAAATACTTAAAAGGAACCATTTGTTTTTGCTCTGTATTTGCTTTCAGATTCTATTGTTTTTACCCCATGAAATTTAAACTTTCGTCTAAATCTTTTATTTGAGGGGCTTTTACTTAATTTCCTTATCATTTAATTATTCGGTAAAGTTTAATTATCTGAGCCGGAACAATACAAAGTTTAATTTTCTATTTGATAGATTTGTGAATTTCATTTGATATGAAGAAATGAGGTACTTACTTAAAAAGAAGAGCATACAATTCCAATTTGGGATTAGGGGATCTCAATTTGAATGAAAAGCATACGTTTCTGAAAACTTGGAGATTAAGTACCTTTTTGTCAAAAATATATGCTTCCCCTGGCTTAGCTTTGAAAGTCAAATTTGATTCTATACTCATTACGTTGATGTTAGATTAATGTTAAGTTTACAACATATCTAGTTGGACTATCCATATCATATATAATGACTCGTTGTTGATTTTCGAGAGTTTCGCAGCTAGTTAAGACTCATACAACTAAATGAAAATTGTTTGACCCACCAAAATGACTCTTACAAAACATCATCACTTAATCTGCTTTTAGGACCTCCCTTTACAATAAAAAGTTTACGTGAAAATCCAAACTCATTTACCGGAAATTAAGACTTACTTCGACATTTGCATCTAATAAAGCGTTGTAATTGAATTCTCTCGAAAGGGTTGGTATAGAACATCTTGAGACGTTTACTGCATTAGTAAAGATGTCTCTGATAGTAACGGTATCTTAGGCAGGGTCTCGATATTTTTGATAACTTTTGTACAATTTAAAACATCAAATATTTAACAAATTTGTGGATTATTCAATTCCTATCCAAATTTCACAAACTGGAATCTAAATATCCTAAACTTCTTTATTCATTATCTTGGACAATTCACTGATTTTAAATTCCTTAGAGTTATCCTTTATCGCTAGTCTACTATATAATATAAATACTTTTTTAATTAAATCCCTCAAGTACAAAAATTTAATCGAGATTACTAATCTTTTCAACCTTCGTCCTTATCAGAATTACTAATCTTACTAAGCTTAGTAATCAGTTCCACATATAAGGATCATTGATAAGGATCATTGATAAGGATCATTGATAAGGATCATTGATAAGGATCATTGATAAGGATCATTGATAAGGATCATTGATAAGGATCATTGATAAGGATAATTATTGCCACAACATTAAAGATTAAGGCGTTTCGATATATCCCTCAATAACCCCCTTAATTCCAATACTATATAAATAGAGTGAATCTTTCAAATTCCCATCATTCATTACACTTTCATCACTTGGCTTCGTCAAGTCAAGTCAAGTCAACAAACCAACTTACTCCATACAGTCAAGCCCTTCGGTGATCCAATCCCTCGGGATTGCTAAAGGGCACTCAGCTAAAATCAGTTAGTTTGAATATGTTTGAATTTTATCATTCCTTTTAATATGTGATCCCTAACAAGTGATACCTAAGGTCAATGTGTTTAGTCCTAGGGTGTGCAGTAGGATGGTTAGCAAGAGTAATGGCTGAAAGATTATTACCATAAATAATTATAGGTAACTCCATATCAATATCAGTCTGGTCAGTCAACGGGTATAACCAAATCACTTTCTTCACAGTTTCAGCCATTGCCATATATTCTGCTTCAGTTGATGATCATGCAACAGTCACTTGTTTCTTACTTTTCCAACTAATTGCTGCTCCACCCATTTTTACCAAGAAACCTGTTATAGACTTTCTGTCCCTTGAAGTTGAACCCCAGTCAGCATCACAATATATTTCAAATTCACATGATTTATCATAATGAAGTTTACAAGTTTTAGTACCTTTCAAATATCTCAACACATGCTTAGCTGCTTTTAAGTGTTTTACTTCTGGCTTATGAAAATGTCGAGTAAGCAAATTGACTATGAAAGATATATCCAAACGACCTACATTAGAAGCAAACAATAATTTTCCAACGATGCTTCTGTATTCTCTTGTGTCACAATAGTCTGGATTTTCACTTAAGCTTTCCAAATCAACTCCACTCATTATAGGTGTGGCAACAATTCTAGAATTCATCATACCACAATCTTCCAAGACTTTATCAATATAATCTGAAAGTGTGATAGAAATTCCATCAGTTGATTGTTTCACATTCATACCTAAAAACTTATGTGGAGAACCTAAATCTTTCATTGCAAAATTTGATTTAAGTATCTGCTTCACTTTATCACTTTCATTTTCATTCTTCCCGGCTATAAGTATGTCATCAACATAAAGACCTAAGTAAACACTACCTTTGACATAAAGACCCAATTCACCAATTAAACGATCAAAACCATCATCAATTAAAACTCGATTAATATCCCTGTTCCATTCAGCTGGTGCATGTTCGAGTCCATACTTTTTATCAATTTATAAACTTTACCTTCAATTTCATAACCAGGTGCAGGTACCATAAAAATTTCTTCACTTATAGTTCCATTTAGGAATACATTGGTCACATCATTTTGATGAACTAACTTACCAGTTATTGAAGCTAGGGCAAACAGCAATTTTATTGATTCCGATCTAATTACTGGTGAAAAAGTTTCATTGTAATCAATTCCTTCAATTTGTTTAAAACCCTGAGCCACTAACCTAGCCTTATATCTTCCATCATCTTTCTTGGTGAATACCCATCTGCAACCAATTGGTGTTTTATTATGAGGTGGATCCACTAGCAACCAGGTTCCATTAGATTCATGAGCAGCCATTTCAGCATCCATAGCTTCAATCCATTTATCCTTTTCGAAGGATTTAATAGCTTGCTTTTAAGTATTATGGTGGGCTCACCTGGTAATTTAACAACATATCCACTGTCACTAATATATGATTTACTTTTTATTTTTTCTCGATAAATTTGAATATCTTTTCAAGTTTCTAGATATTATGATTCGTATCTTATCAGATCAGTAATAGAGGCAGAATGGAGCTAAATAAAGAAGTACGAGTTGCTATCGGTATGATAAACTGGGCACTCGTCTAAAGCTCCATGTTGGTGTGTTTCAATTAAACCCCATTACTCTAGCTGTGCTTATAAGAGTATGCTCGAAACAAATATAACAGATGTATGACTTATGAAATTTTGCAATTGTTGTAGTATGTAAAATATGTAAAAACAAATGATATAAACAAGACAAACTTTTTAAATCACCAGCATAACAAGTAGTATTTAATGAATTGAATAATAAAAAATAACGAATGTGAAAATTTAAATTAAAATTTGTATGAATTAAAAAAATACTCCCAAATTTTATATTTTAATTACCTTTTACTATCGCCATAATAACTAGTATAATGTGGTTGAGGATGAGGTTGATTATATTGAGGTTGAGGATGTGGTTGTTGTCGAACACTTATAACTCTACCTAGACCATTACAAACATGGCATAATTCCATATCCAATAAAAATCTAACCATACCTGATCCTCTACATCTACCACATATTACACCTCCTAATCTTGGATCACCAGGTGGTACTCTAATTGGTGGACCTTGTGGTATTGGTTGTTGATGATGATTATGATAAATTTGTTGTGGAGGATTATATGCAAATGTTGTAGAACCAAAAAATTGAGGATCATAATGAGTTTTTATTGATTTTGAACTATTTCTTGGTGCTAATTTATCCCAGCAATCTTTACAACTTAATCCATTTTTCTTTTTAAATCCGGTATTATTACATTTATTACAATGATAATGTTTAGGATATTGAAATGGTAATTGAGGACTTTGATTTATATTTGGTGATGAAGTTGAAGTATTTGGAATATAATTATTATATGAATTTGATTGATGAGGGGGTTGTAAATGGGGTCTATTGAATGAATGTGAAGATTGATTATTGGTTGGTCTAGTATTTGATCCCGAAGGCAATGGTGAAGATGATTTTACCGCTTCTTCGTAAGTTGGTGGAACTTCTTCATTATTACCATCATCAGCTCTGGATGGTGACATTGTTTATTGAGGTAGTTGTTTTAGCTTCGAGGATGAAGTAAAGTACTACTCTTAAGTTGTTTCGTGTGGCACAAAATTCTTAGTAAGAATTTGTCATGGATAATATGGCAAAAACTGAAAAGTTACACAAAACTATATTGTTATCGGTTTTATCAGATCTACTAAAATATAAGAAACCTTGATTTTAAAAGAGGCTAAGTTTTAAGTTGATGACTATATTGGAAAAACCTGGGGTAGTTAAAAAAGGAGATCTGCTAATTATTCTCCATCATTTGATTTAGTAAGTTGGTTTACTTACAAGTGATCAAACTGTCGTAATACGATTGTGAATTAACTAAGCGGTTATCGGGCATAAGAAATCCATGTAAAGAATTTAAAAATTCAAAATATCTTTCCATTTATAAACAACGGGATATTTGAAAATTTGTCATCTCTGTCTCTGTGAATGCAGCATTTGATTCAGAGACTGAGAAGAAGGTTATTGCGCTCTTAAATCATACTTGCAAATTCATCGATTCGAGGCATAACAGTAAAGTGTAATAACGTCTAGATGGTTTGCATTACGAGTTTCAAAGGTTTGTCAAAATATTCCCTGTTTTTGCTATTGTAATACCTCTAGAGAGTAGTCAAGAGTCTCGTTTTAAATCAAGATCTTATAGCTAATATCAATACCTATGTTTCAAAATTGCAAACTTGAGTTAGTAATCCAATAGTTGGTTCTCCATGTAATGGTATTTGATTCTAAACTTTGATTGTCTTTGTGAGAGATATGGAACTTCACGATTTGAGGAAATCATAATGAAATTAACTCTAGATTCAATTAAGTTGAGACACCAAAATTTACGTTATTAGGAAGCTATAGCATGCTCGATAGGTTAAAATGGATTCGTTGGCAATGAAAATCTTTGTAATATTAAAAATCTCACAAATAATTTTACTATATAAGGCTGTTGAAATCCTCAAAATTTATAATCTGACGATTAGCAATAATTAGGAAATATCCATTCACTAATTAAAATTTTTAGTGTTTTATTGGAGTTTCCAATACTAACAAACAATATAGCATAAGTAATCCCGAGAATCAAAAGGTAATTGAGTTGAATAACAAACGAATATGTGGTAGTATTAATTTATTCAAAAAAACGAAGTATTCAAATGTATAACATTTTCTATATTAACATCAACTTTTGGCTCACTCAAATGATAAGTTTTTTCGAGATCTTTTTCAACAGTCCAAATGTCTACCGAAATTACTCGAATTGCATATATCCATCTATTGAGATTTTATTGTGGTTGAATCATCTGCATTGACCATTTCATATTTTATTAATGTTATGGCCAGTTCTTACTTACCTTTTTATTTTTAGGAAAACCTTATTGGAATGACTTGTTTGGTATAATATAATTGCTGAGTTCAATTGTAGTTGAGAACCATATTTGAGTATATAGTGTGTATATGTTCCAATGTTAATTGTTTTGATAACATAGTATTATTTCAACACATTTGATTTTTTGAAGGAAATGTAGAAGGGAATATTTTTAATCTCTTGATACTATTAATTCATGATTCAAACACCAAACCGTAAATTTTACTTTATCCCTCTCAGATCTTTGGATTTTGAACTCCTCAGAATTATATAATAATGGTTCCTTTTCAAATCTTCAAGCCGTTCAGATACTACAAGCTACCCGATCATTGTCTTCCAGTTTCCAATACAAACTTTGATTCCATTTCTATCACAACAACTATAGTTTCGTCAGACCCTCTTATTTCAATCTTAGATCACCTTTATAAGAACTGACTTTAGATTTTAACTATAAAGCTCTAAGTGATTTTATTTTTTCAATGAATTCTTAGATCAAATAATTCTATTCAAAAATTTATCCATTAATTGTATTTCTCTCTAATTTCTTAATTTACTAAAATTAAAACCTTTCTCACCTTTTTCATCATTAATTTCATTAGGTAAATTTCTAATTTGATTTAATAATTCATTTAATTTTAATGGTTTTGGAATTAAATGATCACTTGAAATCAATCTAAATTGATATAATTCTTGTAATTTTTTATCTCTTTTTGTAAAATTTTTATCCTCTTTAAAAGAATCATCTTTTTTATTAGTTTGTTCTTTTGAATTATTTATTGAATTATCATATAAATGTTTTATAAAAATTTTTTGAATTTCTAACGATTTTGATAATTTTTGTAATAATTCTTCATTTTTAGGATAATTGAAACCTGATAATTTTATAATCTTTTTAATCCTAGCTAATTCCTTATCATGAATTTTAATATCTTTTTCTTCTTTTGTTTCATCTTCTTCAATTTGTAAATGTTTTGGAATTATTTGTTGTCTTAATTTTTTAATTGACCATGTTGGTGTATTTATTATTTTATGAACTGTTTGTTTTGTTATTATTTGATTTAATATGTTTGTTTGATGCATTTTTAATTCTTGAGGTAGATTCTGGGAAGACTACTGGTAATTGATAGCTAGTTGGTGGAGCAATTGCTTTGTCTAAGTTTTCTTTGTAAAGCAGTGTAATTACCTGAACAAGATTTGAGAAAGATTCAATTTTGTACCAAAGATTCAAAAATGACACAAAATGAGCAAAAATTGTCACATTCCTTAAAGATAGACCCAAATCAAGATCCATTCAAGATCGAATCAAGATCCATTCAATCCAAGATCCAACCTCAATATCCGATAGAGATTAACATGAGAAAGTAAGATTTAACTACTCAAAAAGTTTAAAGGTACACAATAACTTCACAAAAAAATGTAAATTGAAACTATTTTAAACCCAGAACTGAAAAAAATGTGACTAACAAACTATGATAATATGACATGAAGTCACATATATATCACCATTACTTAAAAGTAAGTACTCTAAGGAAATCTATTTCCCAAATAATTTCCAAAATTTTTTAGATTTTTTCTTTTTAATTTTTAAATCATTATTTTGATTATTATTAATTTGACCAGCATTATTAATAATTTCTTCACTATTTAATAAATTTATATCTTCATTTGAATTTGTTGAATTTTTACTTAAATTATCACCACTACCAGAACCAAGTCCTAAAGATTTTATTGATGATGAACCATTTGATAAATCTCTATTTGTTGTTGTATAATTACGTATTGGTTTTTCTAAACCTAGACTCCATTTAAGACTTGTTTGATTAGTTGAGTCTTCAATTGGTGATTGTAAAGCTTGATCTTCTTCTTCTTGCTGTTGTTGTTGTTGTTGTTGTTGATCCTGTTGTTCTTGTAATTTTTGTTGTAATTGTTGTTGTTTTAATTGTTCTCTAACTTCTTTAAATGACATTTTATGTTCCTTTGGTATATTTATAACTTTTTTCTTTTCAACTACGGGATCCAAAAGCGATTTAGTTGAATAAATTTTATCATTGTCGAATAAACTTGAACCAGTAATTAATTTTGCAATTTTACAACTTTCATAATTTTCTAAAATATTTGGTTTTAATACTAATAAAGAATTACATAAATTTAAAGAATTATCTGATATAGTTGATATTAAATTGGAGTAGTAATTTTCATCGTTTGCAAAAGATGAATCTTTCTTAATTTCATTAATTTTTAAATTTAAATGTATTTTATATTCATTATATTTTTCTGATATTATTGTTGTTGAATCATATGGTATTGGTTGTTCATTTGAGTTAGTGTTTGAATTTGAATTACAACTTAAACTTGATGCTATACTATTTATTTCATCACTATTTGAAGAATTTGAAATTGATTCAGAAGTAATTGATGAAATTGATCTTGATCTTTTTGAATTTAAATTATCATCTGTCTTTTTATCCTTATTTTCATTTTCAACTTTAGAATCCCCAGTTTCACCATTAATTTGATTTTTCAAATTATTTTCAAATTCATTCATATTTACTGCTGGAACAACAATAACAGGTAATGGGAAAATTTTAATTAATCTACCACTTAATTTTGAAGTTATAAATGTAGATATGGGTTCACCAACATATCTATTATGTTTTGCTCCAATACACATTAAATTTGGTTCATATAATTTAAACATATCTTTTAAAACTTGTTTTGTTTTTCCAGCAACTAATTCAACTGTAAATTCAACAATAAGATTTGGATTTATTATGTTTAAAATATATTTCATTAGGTTTTTTGTTATATGAATTAAATTTTCTGGTAAACTTTTATAATTATATCTATCAATTGGTGAATCAAATTCCATTTCATCTATTGACACATCATTATTTAATGGAGTTGTTGAACTTTTTCTTCGTTTCTTATTCTTACATTTCTTATTATTATTTTCAAATATATTTGGATCAATTGTTGATACTATTATAATTTTATCACCATTTTCTATAAATTTTGTTAATATCCAATCTAATGCTACCCAAGTATGAATTCTTGAACTTATATAAATTAATATTGTTCTATTTGGTAAAATTGGTAAATTAGGTAAAATTTCATTATTATATAATTTATCATATAATTTATGCTTTTTTGATATAGAATAACTTCTTAAATTTGTTATTGGAATTGTTTGATAAAGATTATAATTTAATTTTGAATTTGTTGAATTTGAATTTGTTGGTAAATCTAAATCATTATTGTTTGTTGAATTTCTTCTTGGGTATTTTATTTCTTCAGGATTTAACGAAGTTCTCCTTGGATATTTAATTTCTTCTGGACTTAATGAAGTTCTTCTTGGATATTTAATTTCTTCAGGATTTAATGATGTTCTTCTGGGGTATTTTATTTCTTCAGGATCTAATGATGGTTTTTTTGGATATTTAATTTCTTCAGGATTTATAGAATTTCTTCTAGTTCCATTATTCCCATTATTTATAGTAGCTGAAGTTGATCCACCAATTGATAAATAACTATTTATATCAATTTGTTGTGATTTAAATTCTTTTGGTTTGACGATTCCTCTTTTTATATTATATAAATCCCATCCAATATCATCATCTGAATCTGGTTCACTATCATCATCAAATCTTCTATTCATATCATCGAATGAAACATTATTTATGAAGTTTTTAGTGATGGTTGTGGTGTTGGCGGTGGTGTTGTTTGTTGATTGATTTTGAGAATTTATTTTGTCTTTAAATTTTATATCTCTATAATCAGATGATTGTTTATTTATTAGATCATTAAATACATTAATGTGTTGTTGTTTTGGTGGTGGTTGCTTTGAATTTAAAATAGATCCATTTTGTGAATGACTTCTAGGATGTAAATGATTATTATTATTATTCATCAGTTGATTCTGATAATTATTATTATTTGATTTATTAATTAATATTGAATCATAAGTATGAGTTGGACCTTGTGTTATATCTTCAGTTGATAATATAGTTCTTGGGGTTTGTTCATCTATTATGGTATTGTTATTACCATTTATATTATTATTTAAATTATTTAAATTATTTAAAGATTCTTTTGATGGTTGATGTATATTTATTTTCAAATTCTTATTATCCATAACTTTTTAAAATAAGTTTTGAATGATAAATTAAATGAATGTGTTGTGTTGTGTGGGGTTGTATAAATAGTAATAAAAATAGAAGTTTATATCTAGATTAATGAAGTAGTAAAACTATTGATGATAAAATGTAAAGTTGAAAAGTGGTAGTTGGATGGTATTAGGTTGGTTGTAAATAGATGACTTGATAATACTTGGTTGGTTGTCAAAATTATAATAGAATAAAAATAAAGTGATATATTATAAAAGTAGAAATAGAATGAGAAACTATAAATATTATATATACTTACAAAGTGTATGATATGTATTAAATATTAAATTCCAGGCTTAGTATTTTCAACACCTTCTACTATCATCATCACCTTACAAAAACTCATATACCGAGAGAGAGAGTAATACACAAAACTCAATTTATAGAGGCCTAGACTTCTGTAGAGGTAACACTATATTGGCAAAGGATAGTTATGTAAACGACTAAAATGAATGTTACAGTTTTGATTTATTAGGTCAATACTGTCATTATTTATCGGCAATGTAAGTTTTAAATACGTTTACTCTTTTTACTTTCATACTTTTATCCTTTTTCTCCTTCTTCTTCTTCTTCCAATACTTTTTATTGTAGTTGTGTTGTGTTATTTATTATATCATTCATTAGTGTTAAAATTTTCGTAAAAGTAAATTCTCTTCTTCTCTCTCCACATATTCTTTTTTCATATATTATTGTTAATAATGATATAAGAATTTGTACATAACATATAATAATGATGATTATATTCTTTGTTAGTCTTACAACATTTAAGATCCTGCCTTTAAAATTTAATAATAGAATTACTCTACTAGTTAAAAAAGTTTAAATTTTTAAAAATCTTGATGAAATAAATGACTACAGTCAGGTGATATCGCTTTTCAAAATAGTTTTACTGAACTGTGATCAGTGCAAGTTATTAATTTTGAATACGGATGGTAATGGAATAAGGAAATTATGGATATAATTCATACTTAATATTGGTAAGTATACAACGTTACTTTAGATATAACTAAGGCAAATATTTTTCATATGTAAGATATACTGTATTTGGTAGCTCTTATCATAATGTACATACATACTTAGATATTGTGCATCTCACGTGGTAGCCAAGTGTTATACCAAGAAAAAATATATATAAAAGCAAAAGAACAAAGCTCATAATTAATTTAGCCCTTCCTTGATGTTGTGTGTAGTAGAGTATGTATTGATATTAGTAGCATCAAAGACAAGGAAAACTAAACTAGTATAGCTAAACTAACGAAACGCTAATCTGATTGTTCTGGTCAAACAAACAAACAGATACAGAATGACAATCAAGTTTTAAAACAATAAAGAACCTTAATTTTCTCGTAAGAATTAAAATTTATTAGACGAAATATCAAAAAACTCAAAAAGAAACAGTATGAAACAGCAAGTGTAAAGACGAAGAATAAGAAAAAGGAATTCATATCTTTTCTTATTCACTCCCTATATCAATCTTTAAATCTCCAAGTTTTTTACCAAGATTCGTGTGAAATCTATCCTGAATTTTGATCTTAAACCCCAAATCTAAGGAGATAATAGATAGAAGGAATTAAGAAATTTTGGTATTATGATGATAATAATAATTCAAGCAATAAATTTATTTCTAAAGCAAAGAATAAATAATACGTCTAGTATTGATCGATATTATTTAATAATGATGATGAAACACACAATAATAGATAAGCCAACAAATTAAATGTCAAGTCATGCTGTTGTAAGTTGTAGTCAAGCATCTGAAACAAACAATAATAATTTTTCATACACACTAATAATAACTTCGTACTCGAATAATTGACATCTAAAAGCTGAGAATTGTTTCATGAATTTCTCTTTTGTAGCATAGTGAACTCTTGATTACTTTCCCCTCTCATATTCATCTAAATAATTTACAATTTTCTTATAACACTACAAATATTCATCCTTAAATTTCTTAAGGACATAATTTATAAACGAAATTACAAATAAGTTTGAAGATCTACATTCTTGTACAATTTAGGATTGTGATGGTGCTTGTACCTTAAATTTCGTATTGTTAATCTATAATTGATAACATAATTGATAATTAAAACACGTCTAGTTACACGTCTGATTTTTATTTTATTATTATGCATAATCAGGGCTTAAATTAAACTTTCTATGTAATTTATTTATCTTTTGGGAATACATATGGTTTCAGCCTCGTCTATTTCTTTACGTCTTACTTATCTATCGTAAGTAGTACATACTTAGCTATTACTAATAAAGAAATTACGAATGGTTATAAAATAATTTAAACGAAAAAAAAATAAAATTTAACCAAATACGGGTAAATCTAAACTCCGTTGTTTATTACCAGCATAAGATTAGTATACATCGTTTCATAATTGTATTTATAGTAATCATGTTAATCACGTCTGGTGTTGACTGTTTTTAGAAATGAATTAAGTTTCTTACACCACACTTGTTTTAAAATATGATTGATACTAAAATTTACGGATAATAATTGAAATTTGAAAAATATGAAATTTTCTCTCGAGTTTACATCTTACACAAAACCGCATTATCAAATATTTGGAGAACTCTTACTTTACTTAATACTAAAAATAAACAAGGCTATAGCAACTTACTTGTACTTGTAATTTTGAAAAAAAAGTAGGACCTACACAACAAACGTCAATCAATTTTGAAAATATCAAGTATAGATATCCATTACCTTCCTTAACCTAACTCAAAATGCCATCAATTGAAGAAGAGAATATTAATGGTAATATTCCAAATAATATTCCAAATAACACTACAAATAATATTTCAAATAATAATACTTCAAATACAAATGAAATAAGTAATGCTACAACAACAACTTCACCAAATGAAGAATGGTTTAAACCATTAGCATTGGATGAATTTTTAAAAATAAATGAATTATCAAGAGCAAATGTCCCTGATAAAAGACCTATAGATGAAAGTGATAAATTAGGTGAATATGATATATCTTGTGGTCCAATTTTAAGATTATCAGGAACTTTAGAAAATGGTGAAAAAAATTATAGTGGTTCCTTAATGTTGGTTGTTAGAAATTCTCCTGATTCAGCACCTAAAATTACTTTTAAAATTGGTCCATCATCTGTGGATTTAGGTAATGATTCATCATTATTTAAATCTGGTGAATTCCCAGTTACAAAATATTATGAAGAAGATGAATTTTCATTTTATAGATATTCAATTGAATTAACTCTTGAGGAGTTTCCTCAAAAAGTTCAATATTTTATAAATGAATATTATAAAACAAATTTTCAATTTTTTTTACCAAGTTTTAATGAAAGTATGAATATTATAAGTTATTCATGTAATGGATTTTCAATGGCTTGTGATGCTAATGAATATAAATCAAGTTTATGGTTAGATGTTTTAAATAAACATGATAAACAACATTATCATGTTATGTTAGGTGGAGGAGATCAAATTTATTGTGATTCTATAAAATTACATTCAAAAAAATTAAAAGAATGGACAGAAATTAAAAATCCTTTAAAGAAAAAATCAATTCCAATTACTGATGACATATTAAAAGAATTTAATAAATATTATTTAAATCATTATATGGATTGGTATGGAAAGGGGTTTTGGAAAGGTAAAAATTCTTCTGTTTTAGAAAGTCTTTTCCCATTAGCAATGTCACAAATTCCTTCTGTAAATATATATGATGATCATGATATTATTGATGGATTTGGTTCATATCATGATTCAACTATGAATGCTCCAATTTTTAAATCTGTTGGAAATGTTGCTTATAAATATTATATGTTATTTCAACATCAAATGAATCCTGAAGAAAAATTACATTTAAATTCTTCTTCATGGTTATTAGGTTCTAAATCTGGACCTTTCATAAAACAAAAAAATCATTCAGTATTTATGAGATTAGGTAAAGAAATTAGTCTTTTAGGTTTAGATTGTAGAACAGAAAGAAAATTAAAACAAGTTGTTGATCCATCAACTTATAAAATTGTATTTGATAAATTAAATTCTGAATTGAAACCAAATGGTGAAATAAAACATTTATTAGTTATGTTAGGTGTACCAATTTTTTATCCAAGATTAGTTTGGTTAGAATGGGTATTAACTTCAACTGCTTTAGCTCCTGCAAGAAAATTAGCTCAAAAGGGGTTAATAAATAAAGGATTAGTTAATGAATTTGATGGAGATGTTGAAGTATTAGATGATTTAAATGATCATTGGTGTTCAAAATATCATAAAAGAGAAAGAAATAAATTAGTTAAAGATTTAATTGAATTTGGTGCATCAAAGGGTATAAGAATAACAATCTTATCAGGTGATGTTCATTTATGTTGTATTGGTAGAATGAAAAGTAAATATCATAATCATCCAAATACTCATTTAATTCGTGGAAGTGAAGCTATACAACAAGAAAATCAAGATTTAATAAATCATCCAGAAAATGATCCAAGATTAATTTTTAATATTATATCTTCTGCTATTGTAAATGCTCCACCACCAGATGCAATGGCAACTTTATTAAATAAAAGAAGTAAAGAACATAAATTTAATAGAGATACAACTGAAGATGTAATTCCAATTTTTAAAAAAGATGTTGATGGATCAACAAGAGATAATCATAGATTTTTAAATAAAAGAAATTGGAATGATTTAGTATTAGCAAATCAATCAATTACATATAAACATTTATTTAAAAATGATAACTCTGAGTCATCAGATGATAAAGTGATTAGAAAATTACCACAACCAATATTAGAAGAAGAAAATGAAGAATCAGTGGTTGATGATAAATTATCAAAAACTCAAAAAATAGATAATTTACATATTCAATATCCTCTTTTTGCCAATTCAATAGTTAGTAATTTAAGAGTTGAAAAAGAAAAATCTAATATTGAGAGTGAAACTACAAAATATGAATTATTTATTCCTATTTTGAAGGGGAGTTATAAATTGGATCATGCTCCTGTTAAACATGTTGATGATTAATTGATTTTTCTTTTAATTATTTTGTTCTAAAGGTTTTGTTTGATTTCATTGAAATTATTTTTTGGAATTTCTGATGAATGGGATGAAAGAAAAGTTTGATTGATTTCCTATTTTTTTTTATTGATTAATTGGTTTATTTATTTATTTTGCATTTTATTTATTTATTTATTCATATTTATTCATATTCATATTTAATTTATTTATTCATATTTATTCATTATACTAATTTATTTATATTATTAATTTAATCAATTAATTATTATAATTTATTCATCAATTACTCAATACATATTGGTATCCAACAACCCTATATTTATTTAATTACTTATATATTTACTAATTATTACTTATCTATCTATATAGTACTATTAATTAATAATGATTTGAAAATTTTAAATCAGATACTTATCTCTAATACATGTCAAATCTAATACAGTTTATATTTAATACAAATGAATGTAATTGAATGGGAAAAGAATTGAATTGAAATTGTCATATTTATTGATTTAAAAAAAAATTAATGTACTGCGGTACGGGTTTACAAAATGCTGCGGTACGGATGTTGAGTTACGGATGTGTTTCAGATCTGATGTAAATCTACGTATCTCGTATCTCAAAATCTGTGTATCTAGTATCTCAAAGTCTGCGTATCTAGTATCTTGAAATCTGCGTATCTACGTATCTAGTATCTACGTATCTTGTATCTACGTATCTTGTATCTACGTATCTAGTATCTACGTATCTAGTATCTTGAAATCTACGTATCTAGTATCTCAAAACCTGCGTATCTAGTATCTCAAAATCTACGTATCTTGAAATCTTGAAATCTAATCTAAAGATCTGTGATCTAAGGGTCCAATTTTTAACATTTATGGCAATTTCAGCTTGATTTTTAGAGTATTTGCATGCAACTTTAAGTTAAATACTTTTATTCAACTCTAATGCTTAATTTCATGTAACTTTGACCAAATTCCATCCAGTATTTCAAAAGTTATGGCCATTTTAAATGTTTTGGACCCTAGATCTAGATATATCTGAGGTACGGAGGTAACTTAACTATGGGCATAACAAAAAAAATGTACAAAACATCCGTACCTACGTGATTTTGATGCGGCTCAAAAAAAATTCTATTTGATTTAGTTTTCGTGCCAAAAAAACATAAAATCACAGTTTTAAATAATTTGTTAAATATGATTGTATTATATATTGTTTTACATATAATTAATAATATAATATGAAGACCATTTTTTTTCATCCTTTTTAAATCTTTTAAACTGTGTCTTTTAATCATATGATAGTTTATTTCTTATCTTTGCTTAGGTCGCTCTTATTTAATATCTGGACCGTCGATTTTGCAGATATTGATCTCGTAAAAACGCAAATCGTGGGGCACAAAGTCAGAATCTAATAAATTGAATTAGGCTTTCATTTTACTCTTATCTAATCCTAATAAACATCATTTACCAATTGCAATTGCCAATCACCTAGCTTAAATACCATTTTCTTGCGAAGTCATCAGAGCAGATATTACCTTTGATCATACAAACTTTTTCAATATTTTTCATATGACAATTATTATATGACTCCACCAAAAAAGAAACAAAAGAAAGACAATTCAACCAGTGCAAATGGAACATCAAACTCCAACTCAGATTCAACTTCAAGTACCCCAAAATCATCTACCACTACCAATTCAAATTCAAAATTATCAAGAAGTATAAGTGCTTGTAAACGATGTAGATCCAAAAAGATAAAATGTGATCTGAAATTCCCACAATGTAGTAATTGTTTACATCATAAAGTTGAATGTGTTGGAGTTGATCCTGTTACTGGTAGAGAAATACCAAGAAGTTATGTTGTACATTTGGAAGAGACTATAAAAAAATTGGAACAACAATTAATTAATCATGGAGTAAGTACAAATGGGTTTGATTATAATTCTCAAGGAAATCAATTCAGTAATGATCAAACAATTCTCACTCCTTCAGTTCAAATACCAATAAATCAAATTTCAAATAATCCACAATTTCAACCAGTTTTGAGTAGGAACAATTCTTCAAATATACCAAATAGTTCAGGAAAAGGAGATATAACTTTTTCAAAATTAATGTCAACTGCTGTTAAAGTACAAAAGAGAAATAATGAGAAAAAACCAATTAATGATTCTCAAAATGGAACAGTAACAGAAGATGAAGACAATGATTTATTACATTCAGCAGCAGTATTACCACCAAAATCAACTGCTTTACAATTTTGTCAAGTGTTTTTTCATCAATGTAATGCACAATTACCTTTATTTCATAGAGAAGAATTTATTCGAGATTACTTTATACCAATATATGGACCGATTGAATCATCAAAATTTAATTTTGCAAGTAATAATGGCAGTATTGATGATTCATTTTGGACAAATCGAAATTATGATGGTTATTGGTTTGATACTTATAAATTGGAATTTCAAAATTTATTGAGTGATAAAAATGAAGATATTAGATTGATTTCAAATAGTATTATACCCCCAAAAAGGTATCATATCCCTTTGTTTTTTTTGAACATGGTTTTTGCTATTGCTTCATCAGTTCATCACCTAAGGTATCCATCGCATATATCTGAATCTTTTAGATTAGCTGCTATGAAATATTATGATGATGTTAAAGAAAATCAAGATCGTTTATTAGCTTTACAAGGAATTTTAATCTATGCATATTATTCAATCATGAGACCTACTAATCCAGGTATATGGTATATAATGGGTGAAGCTTTAAGAATTTGTGTTGATTTGGATTTACAAAATGAATTAAAAACAAAATCTAAGGAAAACGTAAATATCGACGCTTATACTAGAGATAAAAGAAGAAGAATATTTTGGTGTACTTATTCAATCGATAGACAAATTTGTTTTTATTTAGATAGACCTTTTGGGATACCTGATGAAAGTATAAATACTCCATTACCTACTTTACTAGATGATCTGAAATTAAAACCACAAGATCCATTACCAACTGGAGATATTGACGAGCCTAGTTATAAACATATTTCTTTAGCTTTTATAAATGTTAGAAAAATTCAAAGTGAAGTTACAAAAATTTTATATACAAGTTCCGAGATTCCAAGACAATTTCAAGATTTAAATCATTGGAAATCAGATGTTCTTTCAAGACTTAGTGATTGGTATCATAATTTACCTACAGCAGAACAAAGGAATTGTGATTTTAATTCTATTTTTTTCAAATTAAATTATCATCATACTTTATTATATATTCATGGTTTAGGTCCAAGAAATTTTAATTTATCTTGGACTGATATGCAACAGGTATCAGTATCATCAAAAGAAATAACAGATGTTTATTTTGAGTTATTATCCTCAAAATCTGTTAATTATACATGGGCAGGAGTACATAATTTATTCATGGCAGGAAGTTCATACTTATATACACTATTCAATAGTGAAGAAATAAGAAAACAAAATCCGATTGATTTAGTATTAAAAGTAACTTCAAATTGTTTTCAAATCCTACAATCTTTAATTGATAAATGTGAAGCAGCAAATTATTGTTGTGAAATTTTTCATAATTTAACTAAAGTTATTATACAATTAAAATATCCAGGTGAACATAATTTTGAAGGTCCAAGAATAAGTAAAGAATCAATATATCGTATTAATAATGGAAATGTTAATCTGAATCTTTTTAGTTTAATAAATGAATTAGATCATTTAAATCCATTAATTTCTCCAAGTTCAGAATTAGTTAGTGATCAAATTTCACCAAAATCACATCAAAATCCAGTACAACAAACTCAGGTCAATCATCTTTATCAACGCCACAGACACGAACAAGAACAACAGCATCAACTACTACAGCAACAACAACAACAACAGCAGCAGCAACAGCGACAACTACAAACTGAGCATGGTCAAACAAAAAATGAATCTAATGCATTACTTCAATTTGAAAACTTTGAATGGAATGATGTTGATTTCGACTACTTTTTTGAGGAATTGAATCATAATCGACAACTGGAAAAATCAAGTCCAACTACTAATAGGGAAGGTAAAATGTCATTTGAATTGTTACATAATATGACTAATGATAGAATTTGGGATGAATTTTTTACATCCAAATAGAAGTAACAATTTAAAACCTTATATTTGAAACTTAGACGGTGAGAATACTCTTAGCTCTTGTTCTTGTGATTTTCAAATTGATTGTATGACTGAGTCTAATCTTTTTTATCGCCAACTGATACGAGACATTAAATATGACACAGAAGTCGGAATTAAGTATCATAAATTACGAGAAAAAAAATCAAAACAAACCATTCTTATATCCAAGTTTTAACAACAAAATATATAAATACAACGACTAATATATCAATTCTCGAATTTAGAATTATTCCTTGATGAACATAAATTTGGACACTGCCAAAGATGTGCTTTGCAAAAATATCCTAATTTATGGTTATTGTAAGTATCAAGGAAAAGGTTGTGCTTTTAGTCATAATAAACAACCACTGGCTCAGCAGCAACAACAACAGTCTCAAGAAGACCAGAATCAAGATCAAAGTATTTCATCTGGGGTGTCAACAAACTCGGATTCACTGGCTAGGAAAAAATATAATATTGAAGCAACACCTTCATTCACAAGTGAAAAAAACATTCATAATTTGAGTTCCAAATTTTCAAATTTATCACCTAATATCAAGGATGCTCCTGTCTTCAAACCTGATATAGCCCATTCACAGAATGATCAGCAACAAAAAGCAGCTCCACCACAAACACAACAACCACAACAATTCAACCCTTACCAAAATTCAGTACAGTCATCAAATCTGAGTATTCCTTACACAACTAAAAAATTTAACGTTAGTACCCCTTCATTTACACCATCGAGCTTAGATTTTAATTCATCCTCCCAAACCGGAGGTATGAGTAATTCAGTTCAACCAATGAATCCACAACCACAGCAAATACCTATTCAATCTGGGGGATTTACACATGTTGGACCATCAAGTGCAAGATCAATTGGAAACTTGATACAAAACCAACAAAATCCATCATTAAATCCATATGCCAAAGTTCCATCTCATACATCAACCCCTCCAATCCCATCACAAGCACCACTTCCAGCTCCGCCTCCACCACATTTGAATCAAGTAAATATGATGAATCCGAATTTTTTTGCAACTCAACCATCAACAAATAATAATATCCCAAATTCAAGTCAGGGGTCAGCATATCCGTTACAGTACCACTTATACGCACCAGCACCACCTCCACGACTAACCGTTCCTATAAAAGATTTCGAGACGAATTCAATCAAAATGTTTATACCGAATGAACTAAGGGAAAGTTTACATCGTAAAAATGAAGCAAGCTTACAAGCAATTCATCATCTGAACTTACCTGATCATGTAAACTCATATCATTCATTAGTGCCTATTGATAAATCATATGAGTCCAAAAGTAAAAGTTGGCCAGGTTACACTAGTCTTTTATTTAAATGCTATTCTAATGATGATGGTAACTTATATGTCTTAAGGAAAATTGACCCTGGGAATGATATCACGAATGAATCAGTCTTCAAAACAATAAAGAGATGGAGATCTTTGAATGATAATGCAAATATAGTGGCTTTGAAAGATGTATTTACGACAATGGCTTTTAATTCATCTGGTTCAAATATGGGGATTGAATCACCTTCATTATGTTTTGTGTATGATTATTATCCAAATTCGAAAACTTTATTGGAACACCACAAAAAGGGCATTAGAGTGGAGCTTGTAACTGAAACAATATTGTGGAATTACTTGATACAACTAGTAAATGCGGTAAAAGCTATTCATTCAATCAGATTAAGTGCTGGATCATCAATAGACTTGAGCAAAATCATCACAACAAGTGATTCGAGAATAAAATTGAGTAGTTGTGGGATAAGCGATGTATTGGATGCCATAAAGGGTACTGAAGAAGATTTAAAATTGGCCCAATTGAAAGATATAAATAGTATAGGCAAAGTTTTACTAGATCTTGCTTCTACTTTATTACCAGCAAACTTAAGAGCAACATCAGCAGACGTTTTGATCAAAAACATAATAAATTCAACATCAATAAGCAACGACTTCACCGACGTCCTTCTGGTTTTGAATGATCAGTCAATCGTGTCTGGTTCATCCACATTTGATTTAACTCAATTTAGCAAAGATCATTTAATTGACAAGACTTTTGCATTATTAAATGAAACTCAAAACACGTGTGATTTCTTGGAACTGCAATTGACTTCAGAACTAGAAAATGCTAGACTTTTCAGATTATTAACAAAATTGAATTTTGTCATAAATAACTATAATTCAAACATGAAAATAAATGATAAGAACAATTTGAAGATTTTGAAACTTTTTCAACATAATTTATTCAATTTCATTGATTCATCGGGTAAAAATATTTTAAATTTACATAAAGTTTTAGTCAATTTGAACAAATTAGATTGTGGAATTGATGAGAAATTATTATTGACTAGTGAAAAAGAATATATTATCGTTAGCTATAAAGAATTGAAAGAGATCGTCGATGTTCAATTCAGATTATTTAGAAACTAACATATTATAATACACATGTAACATTATCGAAATATCAACTCTTCTTACAATACAATGAATCACCGTAGTTAAGAAATGACCTTAATATGAATGTCCTTCAAGGCTCTTTCACAGTAGTAGAGAATTTACCGTTTAAGTTTTTAAAAAAGAGAGTATCAAATTTACATGCACGCATGGAAGTCGTTGATTTCGAGTGAATTTTAACTTCAATTAAAAATAATTAACATCATAAATCTTCTAAATTTCTTTTAATATTAACGAAATTATGTATATTGAACTCTAAAACTTAATCTACTGAAGATCGTGAAATATATCCCATAGACATGCCTCGTAATTTAGTGGTAACAAATTATAAGTTCTTTCGTAATGTATCATACTTAATGAATCAAAAAATAATCGCAATTGAGTTACCAGACTAATGTCTTTTACTCCTTTTAACAATGGAGCTTTTGACTCGTCATTATTTGATAATCCATCACCACCATTATTCAATTTGAATGCTTCATTTTTCAAAAATGTGAAATCATAACTTAAGGAAATTCTATCTATAATCAGTAAATTCTCTTGTTTATTTTCAAAATTATCAGAATTAACAAATAACCAACTACTCAAATTAAATTCGTCTGGTCCAATCAATAGTAACTCGTCCAATAGTTTAGACCCGTATAATATTAATTTTAATTGATCCTGCGGTATACTCTGTAATTCTTTTGAACCCTTATAGTTGAAAATGTTTTCAAAGATTGACAACAAATCATGGATGATTACTGGCCATTGAGCTAATAGATGTATGTCACTGACTTTTAAAGCAATCGCCCTAAATAAAGTAGTGATCTCAACTCTTATCGCAATGGGACAATTTTTGGAATCCAATAATCCATTTAATTTTTCAAAAATCTCTTTCAAATTATTTACAAAGTAATCCTTAGGTTGTACTAATAACATATATGATATTCTCTTTAAATGATTTACTTTATTTTCAACCTCCGAACTTTCATTCCAACTGAATAAACCACCAGGAGATGTTCCTGACGTTGGTAATACCTTTGATATTCTATCATCAAACCTTGACCTATCATTAGCTATCCACAAACTGATGATTCTTCTCCAAGACTTGTTATCGTATTTGTTGAAGAAATTAGGATCGTTAAAATAATCATTGATAGTAGAATTCCAACTTTTCGTTATATGATTTTCGCCGATGATTAACAAAAGGTCTGATAAAGAAGCAGTTTGTAAGTTATTTTTTTTGATAAACGAAATGACAAGATTGTTAAATGCTGATATTTTATCAGAATCAGAATAAATTTCACCTAATACAGGAATAAAATCTCTTATCAGGTCAACCACCTCTTTTTCGTTTGCATTCAGATACCCATCTAAGTATTGTGAAAACAATTTCGTGAAAGATTCTGCCAACACTGCTTTATTTTTAAAATTTTTAATTCTATTTGTTTTGATTGCTATCACATTGCAAAGTTTCAATACATCCGGCAAAATAGGTTGAAATTGAGAACCACTATAAACGGTTTCTAAAAAATCGGTAGTTTGTGACCAAACATCCAATATTGTATCTAAATCCATGAATTCATAAAATGCCAATAGGAAAGCTGACAATTTTTTAACCTCAACATCAGATTCAATGTACGATCTATATGTATCATTTGCCCCTGGGTTGCATTTAAATTTGATGTAGTTAAATAAACAAGGTAATGTAAGTTGAGATCTTCCACTGTCTAGTATATTTAACAACTTCAAGGCACTTGTTAAGTCTGAAGTTATTATTGAATTAACTACTTCTTGTCTTTCCAAATCAAACAAAGTTTGTAGCAATTTCTTAGATTTTAATTTCAAATTGGAAGAAACATATTGCAAAGATTTTTCAGTTGTTGCAGTTGAATCTGCCCAGTTCCATATCTTAAAATTAATTTTGGTTGCATCATGAAACGCTATAAGAGTTGAATATAGTTTATCTTGCTCATTAGTTCTAGCTGATGGTGATTCTATTTGAAAAACGCCTTGCATTACATTGTTGAGGAATCCTTGATCCGACACAGATTTGTCAATTTTATCATTCAAATGAGGACGTGTTAAGTACCCATGGGTAATAGTTAAAAGGTTTTCAAGACCATCCAATAAAACAAACAATGACAATTCAATATTTTCGGTATTATTTGATTCTAAAACTTTGTTAAATAAGTAATCAATTTTTATAATTATTGAATCATTTAATGCAAGTATAATGCTGAACACTGACTCTCCAAACACATGAATCGCTTTCTTCATCAATGCCATACATTTTCCAAGAAGTAAAGGAGAATCACATTTCTCAATACTTAGATGAATTAATCTTATTATATCTGGCTCTTTCTCTTGCTCTTTAACATGTAATAAATGTGATTTTGATCCAAACTCCAAAAATTGTAAAACACTCTGCAAATATTCGGCAATAGTGCACTCAGCTTTTGAAATGTTGATCTGTGAATTAATATAATTAATGTAATTTTCAAGTAAGTCGTTGAACAATCGTGAAAAGTTCTTTTCATAACCAGTAGTTACTTTTGTATAAAGTTTCAATGATAAATAGACACTACGATTGAACAATTCTCCATCTCCAGCTACCCTTAAATTCTGTTTTAATCCAGTTAGCAAGTAGGTTTTGTATGAAATATTTTCTTGTTGGGCATATTGCACATTGTTCAAATTGTGCTTTATTGATTTCAGACCCATATCCACCATCTTCACTAGGATATCTAAATAGTAATTATGAAGACTCAAGTCAGAAATATTTTGCAAAGAATGAGTAGCATCAAATCCATTAGCGGCCATTGGATTCAAAATTAAGTTGATAAGCCTCGAAAAGTCATCATTAATTAATCTAATTATTAGGTCTGATACCGAATTAATAATCAAACTATCATCGTTTAGTCCATCACCAACATTATCCATTAATAGTTGGAACTGTCGTTCCAAAAGTTGATTTGCCTCTTCGATTTTATGTGAGTGGTCCCAAATTGTTTCGAACGCTATGATTTGTTGATTTACAGATGACGCAACAAATAATTCTAATAATGCTCCGTTTAATTTTTCATTTGCAAAAGTGAATCTAAGATCTAATATACTTCTTACAACTTCCGGCTGATAGTTAGTTGAGTTTGGTGTAATTATTGACGTCCACAAGTTATTAAGCGATGATTTAAAAAATTTTTCCTTATCCTCTTCATTAACATACTTTGAAACATGATTGAATAATTTCAACCTCAAGAGTGAGATCGGGATAGATATGGTTGCATTATTAGCCCAATTTTGTAGAAGAATGCTGGTGAAGTTGGATCGAGTTTGACTAGACTCGATATCATCAAATATTTTGGTGAGTAAAGTTCCAATTTTAGAGCCATAATCGATGTTGTCAGAATGAATGGAATAAAGCAGTATCAATGCATCAAAGATATATGAAATCAATTGATTTTCAGACAAAAACTTCGATTCTTTCCAAGATTTGACAACATCATCCTTAGTCGGAACTTGTTCAAAAGTTAAGTTTGAAGCCTTTTTGGGTAACATGTTAAGTAATGACTCAATAATTTCGAACTTTTTATTATCTAGATTTTGACTCAATAAACAGGATATGGCCATCAAAATATAGAAATCGGATTTTTCATCTTCAACTAAATTGAAAGTCTTGAATATAAAATCCAACATTTGAATATTCTCTTTTAATATAACATTTATGATCTCACTCCAAACATATGTTGTTTCAACTTCTTCAAAAAATTTTGATGAATTTTTATTCAAATGATTTTCTTGGTAACATATGTTAAGAAAAGGTAGAAATAACCTCGATGTCAACTCTTGATTAATTTCCCATCTATCCATGATCAAATAATATGAGATGTCTAATGCTCGTAATTTGTCTTCCAATGACTGCGATGATATCATTTCTATCAATCCCGTACTCAAAGGTTTTAAAGCATTAAGTTTGAAATAATCCTTACGTATATTTTCTGTTTCTGGGCCCAAAAAATAATTCCAAATTCTTCTATTCAAACTCATATCTTTACCCAAAACAGCGCAACATGACATTATTAACAATTGCTTATCTTTGGGCGATATTGTAGTCTCAAAAATTCTACTATCCAAGGGAAGTCGACTTAAAAGTAGGTCCAAAAATCCTCTTGTCGTCAATGTCTCTGAATAACTAATTGCTGTAGCAAACATTCGTATTAATAATCCCGCCTCTGGTTTCAAACAAGCTTGAGCTTCTTGTGACAACCAATCTTCTTTGGTATTAGTAAATTGAGGTAAATTCCTATCCAACCAATGTAATGCTCCGTTTCTTCTTTCAGGATTACTTATCACACAAAGAAACAAGCATTGCCAAAATTTCGAATCATTATTTAACTTGATCTTGAAAGCGTTGAGTAAATTGAATACATCGTTGAAAATCTCTAAATTTTCATCCTCTAACCCAGGTAAAAGACTTAGTATTATCGGTTTTGCAAGTCTTGATAAAGTTTTACTTCCCAATTTGTTGATTATAAGTGACAGCAATAACTTTGTTTGTTGTGGCTTCAATTGAATTGATGAATAAGAAAAAAGTGGTAACAATCCTGGTAGCCAAATGTTTATTTCAAGGTTAGTTTGATCAGTTGACAAATTATCAAAGATTAATTCGTAAATACTCAAAGCTTTTTGATGAACACCATTCGGCAAGGTTGAGGATAAACATAATGACAATCTATAAGAAACTTGTTGGGCTTCTGGAACGAAAAACGATTCTAAGTCAGTATACGCTTGTAACACTTTCTGTAGTCGTGATAAAAATGCAATATAGTCTGCCCATTCTTCCAATGCTTCAAATGTTGTTAAAACTTTTTCTATCTGTTGAGTGTACTTTTTGTTTTTAGCTGAGATAGAATTATTGGATTTGAACATAACAATTGAATCATGTAGACCAAATTTATGTGTTTTGGTAACTTAGTTTGGAAATGTTTGTATGAATTAGTTTCTTCGAGTACATATTATGATTTACGTAAATTTATCAATTTCTTGGAACACAAAACTCAGTTTTCAATAATATTGATCCTAATCTATGAACAAACACTCTTCCTTTCTCGAAGTTACTGAATCATAGGATAGAGTGAATCTTAAATTGACATTCTAAAGGGAGTCATAAAGAATATGTACATGTATATTATAAATAATAAAAGGCTATCAAAACGAGATATAATTATATAGTCTATTCCATTGATCCTTTTTATGTAACATGGCAAGAATTAAAACTGCTGGCAAATGCCAAACGGAGCACCAAAATAATTTCTTTGCATGAATTCCTGCAAGTGCTATACCTTGTTTAGTTGGACCACTTTCGAACTTATAATTTTTTTGTTGTTGATCCCAAAATTGAAATGCCAAATAAGTCAACCAACCATTAGCTATAGCAGAATCAAAAGGAAACACCCAATCTGTAATACCGAAATAACTTAATCCAAAACATAATGGAAACATTAAAATTGAATAACGTAAAGCTACTCTTGCATTTAATTTAGGATTTTCAGCTGCTGTCATAACATAACCAGCCAGTTTATATTGTTGTGCTATATTATGAGATAATGCATTGAAATGGGGGAATTGCCAAGCATACAATAATCCAGCTAAGCACCAAGCACCTGGATGTGCCAAAGATGAAGATGCAGCCCACCCCATTAAAGGTGGTATTGCTCCCACGATAGCCCCCAACCAAGTATTTATTATTGATTTTCTTTTCATTGATGTATATATCCATGCATAAAGTATTATATTGAAGAATCCTAACAATGAAACAGTAGGGTTAACTCCAAACCATAACATTGTACATCCAATTGAACCTATTATTGCTGCAAAGTTATATGCTTGATTGGGAGTTATTAATCCTCTTACTACCGGTCGACCGACTGTTCTAGGCATTTGTCTATCAAAATCTGGTTCTCTTCCCATATTGATTGCGTTTGCAGCACCAGAACATAGTGTAGTTCCAACTGTTAGAAAGATCAATTCTTGTAGTGATACACTCAATGGTGAAATTGCATAAGAACAAATACAACTTAGCGTCACTAGCATTGTCAAATTTGGTTTGGTTAATTTCACATATGATTTGATTTCATCCCTAAGACTTGCTTTCGTGGTACTTGATTTTATAGCAGGGGAAGGTTTTGGGGTATACTTGAATGGAATTCTTGAGTTTTCACCTAAACTTTGGGACAGCTTTTCATCCGATTCTTGACATGTTAAAACTTTTGATGCAACATTTTCAATCACCGATGCTGAATTGTGACTATTGATTTTAACAGATGAATGTAGGTTCGACAGTTTCAAGCCAGGGGATAGTCTTTTTTTATTTAAAAATTGATTACTTATAAAGTTATGATTAAATAGTAAATTTCTTTTGGTATTTTGAAAAAAAAAATTGAAATTATTAACAGAATGTATCCTCGATAAAGGTAGAAACTTCTGTGACATGGTGTTGCTGTTATATTATTATATAAACGGTGACATGAGTGGATCTAGACTAACTGAATGTAGTAGGCTAATTGAAGTTTACCTTTAGCTAGAAAGTTTAAACTGCTATTGCTTCGAATTTCTTGAGAATTTTCAGAATTGATTTTTTCCACTCAAGATAAATGAAGGTAGAAGAAAGACTAAATATGATGATGAAACAACATTTAATGAAGTTAAACTAATGCTAACACTTGAACGTTACTCAACACTTTATCGTTTTGAACACAATTCCAACAAGATAGTGAAGTACTAATATTGTATCGAAAAAGAGTTAAACAACAGTCTGAATTAATTACAAGATAGAGTGTTAGGAATGTATATCATCTGTGAAAAAGAAAGTATTGTGGTAGTTAATCTCAATTAAAGCTTTCTATTCTACCGTTATGCTTTTGTCTTCCGCTATTATATCCGATTCTTGAGCTTTCTTTTCGTTCAATTTCTTATTCTCCAACTTGTTTTCAATCAAATTATGGAATGCAATAATAGCTCTTACTAATGTACTTATATATATGATCATTAATTCATCATTGGTCTTTACGGTAAAAGCATTTAATAATTCATTTGAACTTGACTCATCCTCATTATTTATATTTGATCCATTTGGTTGAACTAAATTTGGTAGTAAATTAAATACATTTTGTAATTTCCCTAGTATGGTATGATTCATTGGTAATTTTTTATTATATACTTTTTCCAAATATGTTGCAATTTCTCTTAATTTTTGATGTAATCCTAAAAGAGATTGATAAGTTTGAGTAACTTTTAATGATAAATTACCAGCAGCTGGATCACGAATATCTCTTAATAAATGTTCAACTCCAATTTCTTCTGCTTCTTCTGCTTCAATTAATGATGGAACATGTACAAATGTTTTTTCAGCTGCTGATCCATCATTTTTAATATCATCAACTGCAAAATATGCATCAGTTGGAATACCAACATTTCTTGGTTCAACATCAACAATTAATAATAAAGGATTTGCAGTATATCTTCTAAATAAATCATTAATTTTTAAATCAGATGGTTTTAATTTTGGTCCTGAATGATACCAACCAATTAATTTTTCTTTTGCATTAATTTTTTTAAACATTTCTCCCATTGCATCAATATAATTATGATCTAAAAACCAAACTCCTGGATTTTTTTCATCTTCTTCAAATGGAATTGCATAAGAATTAGTTACTCTTATTGTATTTGTCGAATTATCTCCTAATATTACTCCAACTACTCTTTTCTTACTATCTTTTGAAACTCTGTTGTAATGATCAACAACTGATAATAGAACTAATGGAGAAACTGTGACATTTTTCTCTAGAAATGTTAATTCATTAGTATTGGCTGTAGCAATGGACATAGTATATCAATAAATTATGTGAAGTGGTAATGTGAACTTGGTTGTTCGAATAAAGTAAGTTATTGCAATTTTAAACTCGCCATCAATTGAAAATAATAATTTTTGTTGCTACCAAATTTTATTCAAATATCAGGCACTCTTCAACTTCTTAACCCATCACGTCCTAATTATTCATAATTATTAAATTAAAATTTCGAATTCTAAAGTTAATATGTACGGTCAAGTGGTAATAGGACCTCCTGGTCTGGGAAAATCAACTTATTGTTTTGGAATGTATCAATTTTTATCAGCAATTGGAAGAAAGCTGAGTATAATAAATCTAGATCCTGCAAATGATAGACTACCATATCCATGTGAATTAGATATACGAGATTATATAGATTTAGAAACAATAATGGAAGAATATCAATTAGGACCTAATGGTGGATTAATGTATGCATTGGAACAATTATCTGAAGAAGGTTTAGAAACATTTATGGATCGAATTAATAAATTATTACAAGATAAAAATTATTTAATATTTGATTGTCCTGGTCAAATTGAATTATTTACTCATCATAATTCATTATATCAAATATTTCATAAATTAACTAAAGTATTGAAAGTAAGATTATGTGTTGTGTCTTTGGTTGATTCAATTTATTTAACAAGTCCATCTCAATATATTTCAATATTATTATTAACTTTAAGATCAATGTTACAATTAGAATTACCACAGGTCAATGTTATAAGTAAAATAGATATGTTAAAAGGTTATGGAGCTCTACCGTTTAAATTAAATTATTATACAGAAGTACAAGATTTGGAATATTTAACTCCTCATTTATTAAAAGAATCAAATTCAATATTGGGTAAAAAATATGTTAAATTAACAGAAACTATAGCTGAATTAGTTGAACAATATCATTTAGTTGCATTTGAAGTTTTATTTGTTGAAGATAAAAAGAGTATGATTAATTTATTAAGTATAATAGATAAAGCTAATGGATATAGTTTTGGTAGTGAAATTGGAGGAGATTCTATTTGGAATGAAGCAATACGGCAAAGTGGTACTAATCCTGATGGTTATCAAGATGTTGATATACATGAAAGATGGATTGATGAAAAAGAAAGATTTGATAAAGAAGAAGAAGAAGCTAAAAGAAATCAAATGAATGAAAATATGGAAATGGATGATGACTCTCGACCTTTAAATGAAGAAGAAGAATGGGAATCAGCTTTAAAAGATTGGGAAAGTAAACGAGGAGGAACAGGTGCAAGGAATAGGTGATATAAGGAGATTTTGTTGATATGATTTAAATATGTTACTACGTAGAATAATTCAATCATTCAATCATTTGGCAACGCATTTATAACTATACATCTAAACACTTGGATCCGTTGTATAATACTCTCGACGATTTCTTCTTTGACCGACCATTAAGGTATTGATAGAGTTAATCATTCTGAGATATTCCATGATTGTAATCAGATAAGAAAACTAACTCGATTTGGTAGCACAAAATACGTTTGAAACAAAACACCATCTGCTTTAAATTTATAGATTTATAATAAAGTAGTTGCTTTTAAGGGCATCATTCAGAAAATATTATCAACAAGAGACTAAAAAAGGGGTAATAGAAATGTCAACAGATTCAAGTCAGATTGGGGACTTGTCTAGCTCAAACTCAACTGATAAACAGGATAAAACTGAATTAAATGATTTATTAAAACAATTAGATACAACCATATTAAATTTAGAAAAGAAAAGGAAAAATTTATTAGAACAAATTAATGAATTAAAAACATCATCAAAGACCGATGATGAATATGAAACAAAATTAAAACAATTACAAAATGCTATTAATGAATTTGATGAAAAATTAAAAGAAGCTTATTCAGTTAAAGAAAATTTAAATAAATTTGAAAAACAATCTCAAATTGCTTTTCAAATGGCACAACAACAATTAGAAAATCCAAATGATCAATTTAATGAAAATGAAATTAAATTAAATGAAGAAGGATTACCTTTTATGGATATACAAGAAGAAGTTGATGACGATGGAAATATTATAAATTCAAAAATAAATAATGTTGAATTTGAAAATAATAAAAATGATAGTAATGATGATGATAATGGTAGACAATTGAAAAAAAAAAAGTCCAATCAAAAGATAGAGAATAATGATGATGTTGATAAGAAAAATGTGATTGAAAATAAATCAACTAGCACTGATAATGATAACATTAAGGAATTATTTGATGAAATGGAAGTTTATCCCCAATCACAACAACAAAAATTATTAAAAGAACATTTAAATCAAGATGAATTATTAGAAAAAATTGATCAATTACAAATAAGTCCTGAAGAAAAATTTAATTTAAAAAAAATTTGTATTGAGTCTTTTAAAAATATAAATGAAGATAGTGCTCCAAATAATGAAATAAATCAGGGTAATATTAAATATCCTTCTGGTTTAGATCGAAATAATTTAATTGAATTAGAATTATTAGCTGATGAAATTGAACAAGATGAAGAACATGATGATGGTATGGATAATAATGAAGAATTTGATTATGAATTTGATGATGATGAAGATGATGATGAAGATGATGATTATGCTGATCAATTACTTTATGGAAATGATTCAAATACAAATTCAAATTTAAATTCTTCATGGATTGGTAAAAATAATTTACATAATCAATCAAATAAAATGTTTTATGATCAAATTATGAATTTAAGAAATAAGAATAGGAAAAGCAGTAAAAATGAAGAAGGATTAAATGATAATGATGATGAAAAATTGAATGAAATCCCAAAAACTGATGATGTTGATAAAAAGTCTAAAAAATCGGTTAGATTTTCAAATGATTTAGATATAAAAAATATTGAAAATATTTCAAATGAATTAAAAAAGAATGAATTATTAAATTCCAGAAAATCATTATTTAAACAAAATAGGCTAAGAAATAATGAAAGAAATCAAAATCTAGATGAAGATATAGTAGAGAATGAACCTAATAATGAAGGAAATAAAGTAGTTGAAGATATGATTATTGAAAAAGAATCACCAATTTTTGATAATGATTCTATAACTGGTGAAATTATCGATAAAGATAAAGATGAAGATGGAGATATTATTTTAAATGGTGTTAATGAATCTAATGATGGGATAAGCACTGTGAATATTAAGAAACCAGTATCTAGATTTAAAGCAATGAAACAAGAAAAAAAACCAATTCCAATATATGATTTTCAGATTAAGAAAAGCATAGATGAAAAAGATAATGCAATGGGAAGCCAAATACAAAATATTAATGATATTGAAGAAAATCAAAAACAAGATGATACCAATGATGATAAAAAACAACTACAACAAACAGAAGATATAAAAGATACAAATTTAGATTATCAAAATTTAAATAAAGATATGGATACAATGGCAAAAGCATATATAATGGGAATGTATGATGATGATTTAGAAAATGATGGAATTATTATAGAAGAATTAAATGATTTTGAAAAACAAAATAAGATAGTTGAAGAAAAAGAAAAACAGAGTAGAAAAGAAGGAAATTTAGAAGGGAATAAGAATAAGAATAAGAATGATGTATATGATTTTAAATCAAATGAAATTGGAATGGATATTGATGATGATGATAATGAAATTGATGAAACTAATGAAGTTATGACTAATGATATAATTGAAAATGACGTTGATGAGTACAATGATGACGAAAATGATAATGAAAATAATGATGATGATTATACTTTTAATTCAAATATTTTAAATAAAGAAATTAAACAAGATTATAATAAATTAAAACAAAAATTTAAACAATTATATTCAAACAATGAATCAAATAATAAAGATAAAGAATTTGAACCAATTGATGAATTTGGTAATACTATAAAAATAAGTAGATTTAAATCAAATAATATTAATAATAATAGCGGTAGATTTAATTAAAAAGAATGATTGAAAGAAAATAAATTAAAGCAGTGGCAAATTTTTTTGAGGTAATAGGTAGTAAGTTATAATTGTACATAGTAATGCATTATTCAAGTCTTATTCTTCTACTTTTTCATGAAAAACGCGATTGAGCAAACAATTCAATGAATAATAATAATAATAATAATTTTACCCCAGGAAATGTAAGATTGATTATATTTCCATAGAATCCACTTTTCATATTTTCGAGAGTAAGTTGTGGAGGTAAAAATCTTTTGTGTTTCATGTTAATGATGTTATTATATATTAATTTATATTTGTTTATCATAAGTCGGTAATTGGTGCTTTGATATTGTAATTTGAATCTTTTTGAATGAATAAAATTTCCGTGGATATAAATTAATTTTTCAATTTTGAGTTACAAAATCAAACGGTTAATTTATATACCAAAACATAATTAAATTTATTTCTAAAATTTCACCAATATTCACTCATTGACTTAATTCCAAAATCAAAGCATTCATAGATATGTTGTGAAGCTTGTTAATTTGCTTAGATACGGGAATCTATGAAATGGAATAGCTCATCAACAAGTATTACGTCTAATACTTTTAGAGAACAAAGATTGAAAAAATTAAAGTTACAAAGAAAAAAACTCCGAAAAACCGTTTTAATTTTTCAATAGAAGATTTAAAAAGTTTAAATTTATTCTAACCTTCAGAGTACTGAAAAATCTAATAACGCTTAGGTAAAGCAATTTAACTTTTACGGAACATGTAATAAAAATATTCAATAAATAACATTGAAAGAGTGGTATGTTTTTCTATTTTTTTTTTTTACTTTTAATTTAATTTAATTTCTTATTGAAATATTCTATCCGCTAAATTTTATTACCGATTTAATAGTCTTAATAAATTACCATTACTAAAACAGAAGGCATTTGCTTCAATTAGACTTCTTTAGCTCACTATTTTCATGATTAAAATTTCATACGACACCTAGAAATTAGTTTCATTGGCTTCTATATTAAGTTAATTGTAATTTTGTACTGTGTTCGGAGTTTTTTAAGAAATAATAGTAATAATAACGATAATAATAGTAGTAACCCTTTTTTCTAACCTTACTTTTCCTCATGTACATTGAATTAAAATTAATTAACCATTATGAATTTGAATCATCTACCAGTATGTAAACCATATGATGTAAGTTATATTAAAGTATAATATATCGGTAATTAACATTATAAAGATAATTAATGTGTCATGGAAATTGAATCTGCGACATCTCTTGTTGTGTTGTAATAAAACCAACAAAAATAGACAACACAACAACAACAACAACAACAAACACGTCGTATAAATTTTTTTTTCTTTAGTTAATTCAATCCCCTCCTTTTTTTATTATCAAATTGAATATATCTACTGGTAAGAAGAGCGAGGGGTAATACAAACTACATACTTTCTTCATCTCAAGTAGATTTATTGAATGACTTACCTTTAAATACCAAAATAAAATTGAACAATTAGTATAACCGAATTGATTTGTTTATATTAATTTATAATTTTCAATGTCGTAAAATTTTATTTTAATTATATAACTAGTAATTAAGTATACGCAATATTAAATATTAATATTATAAGTAATATAAATAGTTGAATAATTTTCAATAAATAAAATACATCTTATAATTTAAAATTAAAATTATTTGCAACCAAATTCACATCTTATATATCAATTCAATTATATCAAGATATATAGATTACTATTAGTCATTCTCATATATATATATTTTCATTTCAATTTGTTAAAATAGAAAAATCTGTCAATATTTATTTCACTGCAAAAAAGAAACTTTTAAATTGCAATAAATATATAACTAAAGATCTAGTACAATTATATAAATTTCTTTCTACAACATTAAAATCAACCCATTTTTTCAAGAGTCAATTAATAGATTTCAAAGTTTTATAAATTAGTTGATTTCATCAAAAATATTCAATTTCAATTTTTCATCATCTTACTTACATCACATATCCAATTTAATTGATAAATAAATTTAAGAAATCAATTAAAAATTTCAATTCAATAAAAAAATTTGTATAATAAACACCATCATCTTATTACAGTTTTACAGATTTAGATTAGATTTAGAGATTCAACGCCATCCTAACTTAGTATATGGTATAAAAAATAGACTGAAAAAATTCAAGAACTAAAAATAGAATAAAAGAATAGAATAAAACCAAAAATGTCATCAATATTAAAACAAAGAGTTAGATATGCTCCATATTTAAAAAAATTAAGAACTGGAGAACAATGTATTGAATTATTCAAAAATGGTCAATATTTAGGTTGGTCTGGTTTTACAGGAGTTGGAGCTCCAAAAGTTATACCAAAAGCATTAGTTGAACATGTTGAAAAAAATAATTTACAAAATAAATTAGGTTTTCATTTATTTGTTGGTGCTTCAGCAGGTCCAGAAGAAAGTAAATGGGCTGAAAATAATATGATATTAACAAGATCACCTCATCAAGTTGGTAAACCAATTGCTGCTGCTATAAATGATGGTAGAACTCAATTTTTTGATAAACATTTATCAATGTTTCCTCAAGATTTAACTTATGGATTTTATACAAGAAATAAACCAAATGGTTCAAATTTAGATTATACTATAATTGAAGCAACTGCTATAAAAGAAGATGGTTCAATTATTCCAGGTCCTGCAGTTGGTGCATCACCAGAAATGATTTCTGTTTCTGATAAAATTATTATAGAAGTTAATACAAAAACTCCAAGTTTTGAAGGTATTCATGATATAGATATGCCAGTAAATCCTCCATTTAGAAAACCTTATCCTCATACTTCTGCTGATTATAGAATTGGTCAAACTTCAATACCAGTAGATCCAGAAAAAGTTATTGCAATTGTTGAAAGTACAACAGGAGATATAGTTCCACCAAATGCAGAAAGTGATGAACAATCAAAATCAATTGCAAATCATTTAATTGAATTTTTAGAACATGAAGTTAAACAAGGTAGATTACCAGAAAATTTACATCCTTTACAATCAGGAATTGGAAATATTGCAAATGCAGTAGTTGAAGGATTAGCAGGTTCAAAGTTTAAAAATTTAACAGTATGGACTGAAGTATTACAAGATTCATTTTTAGATTTTTTTGAAAGTGGTTCATTAGATTTTGCAACTGCAACTTCAATAAGATTAACAAATGAAGGTTTTGAAAAATTTTATAAAAATTGGGATACTTTTTCAAAAAAATTATGTCTTAGATCTCAAGTAGTTTCAAATTCTCCTGAAATTATAAGAAGATTAGGAGTTATTGCAATGAATACTCCAGTTGAAGTAGATATTTATGGACATGCAAATTCAACAAATGTAATGGGTTCAAGAATGTTAAATGGTTTAGGTGGTTCAGGTGATTTTTTAAGAAATGCAAAATTATCAATAATGCATACTCCTTCTGCAAGACCTTCAAAAATAGATCCAACTGGTTTATCATGTATTGTACCAATGGCTCCTCATGTAGATCAAACAGAACATGATTTAGATGTTATTGTAACTGAACAAGGTTTAGCTGATTTAAGAGGTTTATCACCAAAAGAAAGAGCTAAAATAATAATTGAAAAATGTTCTCATCCTGATTATAAAGATCAATTAAATGATTATTTAAATAAAGCAATATATTATTCAACAAAAAGAAAAACTTTACATGAACCTCAAATTTTAAGTGATGTTTTTAAAATGCATACTAATTTTCAAGAAAATGGTACAATGAAATTAAAAAATTGGGATTAAATATAAGTTATTGTAAATAAAGGTTAAAGTTCAATACTATAAAGATCAAATGGCTTATTAATAATAATTATTCGAAAACAAAAAGACATTTCATATTATCATAATCATTTTGTATAAATACTTATATAGAATTTAGCTAAGAAAATTTATTCTTCTTTACTAATAAATCATTAATTAATTCATAATCATTTTAATATATTAATTTCTGAGATGTACCAAAATAGTACATTTTAATTACTAACAGCTACTACTTTTTCATCAAATCTAACTGATTTTCTACGCTCTCCATTATTCCCATCTTGAGGAATATTTAATTCAATTCCATTTTCTCCTATTGTTTTACTTGTTTCTTTTAACATATTTCTAATATTTTTAGCATTTTGTTGATTGTTAGACCCATTTGAAGATTTTCTTCTTTTATTTAATTCTAAATCATTAATACATTTGGAACAATTACATATAAATCCCCAATTAACTCTCAATTCTCTTTGTCTTTGATTTACTGTATGTATTGGATTAACATAAGTAGTTGTTAATTCTTCACCTTCCTTTATATCTCTAGAAGCATAAACTTTTATTCCCTTTATTCTATTTATATCAGTTTCAACATTTAAATTTGGTTCACAATTATGATTTAAATGAGATTGAATTAAATAAATATTTGAATCTAAATTATTAATATTATAAGTTCCCATCATAAATAAAAATTCTTTAAAATCTATTGGATTTTTAGGGAAAATTTTTAAAAATTTTTCAAATCCTTGATTCCATAAAATTTCTTGTTGTTCTTGAATAAATAATGTACCACCATTCATATTATCAAAAGTTCCTCCACTTGAATTTAAAGCTTTATATCGTATATCTTGAGATACTTTAGCCATTGAATTAAATTGTTTTTTTAAAATTCCTGATTTATCTAAAATTATTTGTGCATAAATTAATGTAATAGCATATAATGCATTCCAAGATTCTTCAAGACAATAATCTTGTAATTCTAAAAATGAATTAGAATCCATTAATTTTGATTTTTTATTATTTGGATTATATAAATTATGTTTTAATAAATTATGTAATTCAATATTTTGTAATTTACATTCTTTTGAACACCAAATTTCTGAACATATATTACAATCTAAACCTTTTAAAATTGATTTAGTTTCTATTTGTTTTAATAATTTACCACAATATGAACATGCAGATCCATTTTTAATTAATTTAACATTAACTAATGGAGGAATAAAAAATAATGGAATTTCATTCCATATTAATTCACCTTTTTTAATTGACTTTTTAGCATATAAACATTTACCTCTTTTATTAGTCATTACAACTTGAATTTTTGAAGGTAATTCAATATCAAAAGTTAATTCTGATGTTATATATTTTGAATAAGTAAATTGTTCTTGATTTGTTGAAAGTCCAAATTTTTTTAATAATTGTCTTATTCTTTTTTCTGATATTGACCAATTTGAATGTTTTGATTTAACTATTGAATGTAATTTACTTATACCTAAATTTTCAGTTGATGGATCTTCTTTCCAAATTGAAATTATTGAATCAACAATTTGACGTTCATGTGGTACAATTGGACCTATTTCTTCTGTTTCTGATTTTGAGTCATTTATTGATATTACTTCTATTTTATCCGCTAGTTCTTGAGTCATACTTAGTAAGAAATTTTAGTATTAAAACGAAAGTAACTCTATTAACTGATGTTAATATTTTTTTTACAACCATTTGATTGTAAGAGTTGATTAAATTTTTCAAATCTGTGGATGCCGCACAAGATCATTAAAAGTTACACAAAAATGATCTAATTCCAAATTTATTTTTTACAGTAAAGTCTATCAAATTTCTATAAAAGTACCTATATCCAACTATTAATATTCTTAACACCAAAATGCAAAACATTTTTTAAATATTGACATTTCCTTATATTTTGTCCTTTCCTCAGCTAATTCTTGTTGCAATACATCTATATCAATTTCAATTCGTCCAGAATCTATATCAATTTCATTCAGTTTTAAATATAATTTTAAATTACGTTTCCAGATTTTATAACCTATCCAAAATGCTAAAGTTACAGGAAATCCTAAATAAGATAAAAAAAAATCATAAGCATTTGGTTTACTACCTAATGGAAACAATGCAATCCAAAATTGAGCAATTAAAAATAAAAAATTTAATATTAAACCATAATATGAACCCCATATACCAGTTTGAGAAACATAAGGTAATTCATTAATTGATCTACCTTGAGATTTTAAAGCTGATCTAAATCTTATATGACTTAAATTTATTGTTAACCATGTGAATATTGTTGATAATCCAGATAATGCTAATAACCAATCAAAAGCTGCTTGTTGAGCATTATCATTTGCTGCAATTAATGCAAATAATCCAAAAATATTTGTTATAATAATAGCAACTAATGGTCTTCCGGCTCTATCTATATATCCCATCCATTTTGGTGCCATTCCTTGTTCAGCTAATGAATTTAAAGATCTTGAACATGCAAATACTGATGAATTTCCAACAGATAATACAGATAATAAAATTACAGCATTTATAACACTTGGTAACCCTTTTATTCCACCATTAACTATTGCAATTGTGAAAGGACTTGATACTAAATCAACTGAACTTGAACCTAATAATCTTTTATCATCATAAGGTACTAAACATGCAATCATTACTAATGAACCAAAATAAAATAATATAATTCTCCAAAATACTTGTTTAATAGCTTTTGGTAAAGATTTTCTTGCATTATTTGCTTCACTAGCAGTCAATCCAACAAGTTCAGTCCCACCATAAGAAAATGCAGCATTTACTATATTGGATGCCACTCCTTTAAAATTATTTGCAAAAGGTCCTGGTTTATGCCAATATTTACCACCTATAAATTGATTATTTGGTCCTCCACCTGAAATTAAAACAATTCCTAAAATTATAAATCCAACAACTGCTAATACTTTAATTGTTGATAATATAAATTCAACTTCTCCATAACCTCTAACTCCTAATAATGTTATAATAACTATAACAAACCAAAAAATTATTACAAAAACATCTGAATTTATATTACTATTCCAATATTGTATAGTTATTGCAGCAGCAACTAATTCTAAAGGTAATAAAACATAAAATTGTAAAAAATAATTCCAACCAACTGCAAATCCAATACCTGGTTCAATAAATCTACTTGCATATACATTAAATCCACCAGATATTGGAAAAGTTGTACATAATTCACCTAAACCTTGCATAGTTGCAAATACAGCTGTTGCTGTTAAAACCCAAGCAATCATTATTCCACCAGGTCCTCCTTGTGATAAAGCTGATCCTGTACCAACAAATAATCCAGTACCTATAGATGATCCCAAAGAAATCATTTGAATATGACGAGAACTTAAGTCTTTACGTAAATTTGAATTTGAAGTATTTTGATTTATTTTTTGTAAATCAGTTAAACTTTCAATATCTTGATTAAATTTTGATTTAATTTCATTTTGATTATCTGTTAATGCTGGTTTAAATGAATCTTTAAAAGTTTGCCATATATTACTTGAATTTTTCTTTTTATTGGAAGATGAAATTGAATTTGATGATGTAGTTGAATCTTTGAAATTTAGTTGACTTTCATTTGGACTTTTTTCATGATTCATGATGATACTGAAATTTCAGATTAGATAATTGCATAAACTTGATATTTATTGATAATGAATATAATATTACATCTGAATCAATTTTTTAAAATAAATTAATGGAAATTGTAAAAAAAAAAATTGGAAAAGAAACCCATTTATGTTTGTGAACATTAGTATGAATACAACCTGTCAACCATAAGTAATATAACTTAAAATGAATAAATCCGAGACGTTTTATAAAAATGCCAAAATTTTAAGATGAGTCACATTATTGAATGTTCTTAATTTATTTAATATAAATCACCATAGATTAATTTTAATAAAAAAAATGTAACAAAATTGATTTGAAAAGACATTTGAAGAAAGTTACAGCGTTATTACTTCAAATTTTTCATTAAATTTAAAGTTACTAAAGTAAAATAAAAAAATAAATTTTAAAAAAGAAACAAAAAGCCGTTGAGATTTTTTTTTTTTTTAGATCTAAGTGGTTATAAGTGAAACTTACACAAAACTTAAGTTTAGTGTTAATACATGAAACATCTAAAATTTCTTTTTCAATTTTTAGATTCAAATCTGATTTTTTAAATGAGTTCAAATTCTTTAAAAGTAATTTTGTTAATCTTCTATGATTATACTTAACTTTGAAAGTGCAATACTCAAATTGGTACTAAGCTCTAATTGAAATACCTAAAGATGTATGTATGATTGAAAAAATATTCATCTCCAAGGTATAGAATAAGAGCTCAAATAATACAATATAATTCTTTTTTTAATATTGGTCCGCGATATGAAAAACAAATTACAAAAGTTTGATTTGAAATCATTATATTTAGTGAGCATGTATACATGTGTTGAATACTTTTTAATTCATTGTTATTACTCTAAGTACTTTAAAAAAAGGTTTCAAAATACAATGTGTTATGGAAATTACATAAACTTATCGTCTTCAACCAACGTAAGCTGACTAGTAATTTTTAACTATCACTTATTCAATTCAGTTTGTAAATTGCAGAGTCTGTAGGTAGTCGATACTTATTTTTGAAACGTGCAAAAATTATATTGCAAAGTATTTATTCATTTAGGATGTTACATTTTCTATTAATCTTAGTATAAATCTATATCAATTTCCGTTTCTTTGTCGTTTTCTTGTCCAACTCTTTGTCGTCTTCTTTGTTTATTTGACTTACATTTGTTGAGTTTGAAGCGTTAGTAACGAATGATTCCAAAGTTATAAATCTCGATAGTAATAGCTGAAGAAATTGTTTAATTTCATCAACACTTGTATTTATTCTTGTATTAGACTCCAAAATTTTAATTGAAATATTATTTTGTTCTGAGATTAGATCAACAAGTTTGTCTTGTTTGAGTTTTATAGTTTCGTTAATTGATCCAATGTCAGTTAGTTTTTCATTGATCAAAATTATGTCCTCCTTAATTCTCTCTGTTGAGATGTCTTTCTTTTCAATTTCATAACTAGTTTTGTTTGACATGAGCAATTTATCCGTATCACAAATTCTTTGATTTGATTCCTTTAACATTTTTTGATTTATTTCTTTCAACTTAGTTTGAATATCTTTCAATCTTTGTAAGGCTCCTGATGTGGTTAATTCTTCTAATATTTCATTGCTTCTATTTAAATCTTGTTTCAAAGTTATTGATTCTAATTCTAATCTGGCAGCTAAAGAAATCATCATTGCTGATGTATCTTGTTTAACTTTGTCAAAGTTGCTTTGTGCTTGAGTTCCATATTGGCCATTAAATAAAAATGGCATGAATGAATTAACAATATTTTCAGTTGTAGGCTTTTTCGGTAAACATAAATTCTGATTGTTGTTGGTATCCATTATAATGGATTTGTAAATAATTGGTTGTAAATAATAAATTAAGTTTTTTTTGCAACCAAACTGAGTATTTCCCAATTTAAGATATGATATTTTGCGGTCAATAGATCAAAAACGGCTTTTTTTTTCTTTCTAATACACACTATGAATAACTTCTGAACTATTACCGTTGAAGGATTCTTTTATTACTTTCATTAACTGTTTCATAATTTTTCAATAGGTGTTTATATTAGTCTTAGCTTTTCGTGAGTCTGATCTTTCTCTAGTCGCAAAATTGAAAGTGCGTCACTGACGTAAGGTTTTGAAAATTATTGATAGTCAAGCATCAAATTAATCATAATAGCACATCTACACCAACGAAAGCAAAAAGTTTCAGAGTTCTATTTACAAGTGGGTTAATGTCTGACCTAAAGGAGTTTTTGGGGAGTATGTATTTGATTGGATAAAAGATTATACAAGATAGACCATACTAACTATAATCATATTATAGAAAAAGTCCATGTAATTACAACAGATGCAAGGTATTTTGAAGGCATACTTGAAGGTTATGATAAAAATACCAACATAATACTTAGTGACACAATAGAGCGAATAATTTATTCGACGGAAGAAAATGAGGAGAATGAAGAAATACCGAGTGGGATAAATATAATGAGAGGGAATGAAATTGTATGTGTTGGAAAGATAGATGATGAAATGTATAGCAAAATAGAGTGGAATAAGATGAAAGGTTCACCATTAAAAAGTACAAAAAATCCACTAAGGTAGAGTAAATTACAATCATGTATTTAAACCAAGAATGAATCATATATATATTGTTAGGATTATTTTACTAATGAGATCCCAGAATTATGCATTTTAATTGCTAATTCCAATAGGTAATCAATTGCTTCATTATAAACTTTGGCTTTCCAAACGGTTTCACCCCATACGTATATTCCGTGCCTTCTGACTAAGACGGCTGAAGTTCCTGGATAGTTTTTAATTGCTTCTTGTAAAGAATCAGTTAAATCTTCTTCATGTGGAGTATTTTCAATTATCGGTATAACTAATTTATCATAATATTCCATGTTGCCAATTTTTTCGACTTTTTGAATTTTATCATTGAAATTTAATTTCGGTAAAGCCTTTATTTGTTCAATATGACTAATTTCAAAATATGACTTATTCTCCAATAATAAAGTTATCATTACTGCATTTTGTGAATGAGTATGGATACATGCTCCAGCATCTCTCATTTTATAGCAACTCATAAATAAAGGAGTACAAGCACTTGGTTTATACTTGTAACTTTTTGTTAATTCTTTCGGTATATCATTTGGTGTTCTTAACAATTTTTCATTTGGTAATTCTACCAAAAACATTTCCCAAGGTTTTATTCTTTCCTTTTGAACACCTGATGGGGCTATATAAACTAGATTTGGATTCAAGCCATCCACATCTCGTATTGAGATTCCACCACCAGTCCCAGTTACCCAATTATTATCATAAAATAATCTACATAATTCACAAATTAAATTTGCAGGATGTTCTGGATTTTCAAATTCTTTCTGTAATTCAGGTGATAAGTTAGTGGAGAAATTTTTTGAATTGGCGCCACTGCAATGACATGGAGCCGACATAACTGTAGTTGAGGTGATTTTGCTTGGAAATGAACTGATATACTAATTGGTCCTTAATTTTTCTTCATGTTAGTTTTACTTGAATTCACGTGGGAGTTATTTTTTAAAGGTAACGTAATACGAGTAAAGAATAAATAAAATTTATTTTCTATTGCAGTAGGTTTGCATTAAACTTCATTTTTTGATATGAATTCATCAATTTCATACACTTTCCAGCTTTCCATTGACCAATAAGAAGAAAATCTGGTTAGATGGTTATTCATATGTTTTTAAAGATTTTTCACGATTTGAGTAAGTTGTTTGATTTATACACAATTTTGCTGCGAATTATGATTAAAAATAGTATTATTTTTGTAGAAAAATTCCAGTACATAATATAAATTATAACAAAATCTAATTCATTTTGATCTGAAAATAGATCTTACTCTACCTTTACCCTGTTAATTGGGATTGTAGAAGTAAAATCTGATTATTGAGCAAATAATAAGATGAAGACTTTGTTAAGTTAAATATCTTTTAACTAATATTGATTTTTGTGCAATCTGTTTATTTTTTATTTCTTTACCAAAATAAAACCATTATTTAAATTACGGAATTGTATGAAACACAAACAAAATATAAAATATTAAGATCATTTCAAATTTCAATCCATATGTATTATGGAACTACGGAGACAAATACTAGAAGAAGAGTTCGATGATACTGAGATAGAATCACCGGAGAAACTAGTCAAAAACTCAGAAATAGCAAAACCAGGCAATGAATTAACAACAAAATCGTTTTCAAAATTTAGATACAACCATAATTCTGACCAGCTTCAGGATTTCAGTAATGAATCACTAGCTGAAAAAGGTAGGACAACGTCTTTTGGAAAAAAATTTCAGATACCATCAAGAATTATAAGATCACCTCCTTCATTAAAATTTGATAAGTATAGTCCAATAAAGAAGTCATCAATTGAATCAGAAGTACTTGGAAAACATCTGAAAAGTATAGAAATCGATAATAAACATGATAATATACAACTGCCAAACAGAATTAATGACAATTATATCAACTTACTTCCAACAAATGGTCGTACTAGCAAACCCATTACTAATAAAGGATTCAAATTGAAAAATTCGATTGGTATTAGAGTGAATGATTCTACCACCAGAAACAACGAAATTCCAACTCAAACATCTCCTAGACATACTTCATCTGCAGCCTCTGGAACTTATAACAAAATCTTTAAATCCACACTCACGAAACAATATCCAAAAGAAGAGAAAAGGGGTTATCAAACTACTACCAAACAGTCAATTTTAGATAAAGTCAATAGTACTTTGGAATCATTGCAAAAAGACCAAATATCTCTGACTTCCAAAAGCAATAACGAAACACTGAAAAGCTTCGGCCGACTTGAATTTCAGGAGCCTGAGTTCGAGATTGAAGTTGAAACTCGACAGTTAAATAATGGGAAAATGCCTCCTTTGGATGTTTCTACACCCATCATCAATAGATCTAATGCAACTACCTCAGATGTCAATAATGCTTGGTGGCCAGTTTCCAAGTGGTTGAAATTGAAAAGAGTTGTCCATCTGCCATCCATCGGAAGAGAGGACGCAATCAATAGTCTGTTGTTGATGAGAGAGTTGGGATGCTATGATAAAGAAGAATTAGAATCGAGATATGACTTCATGGAACGTTACCGGCCAAACAAAAGTAATCAGCTGGGAAACAAAAAATAGCTTTTAATAGAATTTCAGTTTCAAACTATAAGTTGATGAATTCTTCCGTATTTACTACTTCTATAAAACCTTAGATAAGACTGTAGATAATTTACTTTTAGACGCTAGGTTCGTTTCAAAATCCTTTGATGATTCACTCAATTTCGATTCAACCTTTCTTTGTTTAAAATTTCTTCGGAGTTCATTTTCACTAGATTTGTCGTTCGTGTTCTCACTATTTTCATTACCTTTCCTTTTTTTTTGAATATCTTTTATTAGTTTGGCTTGTTCAACATTGTGTACAAATGCTCTATTGTATTTGTTTTGCTGAGATAATTCTAAAGCTAATTTAGCCTCTCTTATTTCATTTTCTCTGGAAATTTGTTGTGTTAGATCCATCCATTTAAAATTTTTCAAATATTTTATATTAATTATATCATCATAATAATAAGACCCCTTTTTACCACCCAACTTTGAACCATTTAGTGTGATTGCACACAATTTAGCATCATTTTTATTCACAAATTCAATCCATCCTTCTGTAAATTTTTTCTTTTTATTGCCTCCATATTTCTTTCTCTTATGATAACTGGATGAATCTTCTGGTTTTAAAAACAATCTATCGATTGTGCCAAACCTTGTTAAAATCGATCTTAGCTTTGATGGTTTCATATACGGTGGAACTTTCGATAAATAGCATACTCCAGTCTTTTTTAATCTTTTCTTTTCCTTCTCTAGCTCTTTATCTGTGAGTTTTTTAAGTTTTTTATTAACTAATGAATTGTGCAGTATATTTGAAGATGACTCTTCATCTCCCGTGGGTAGTTCTTCTAAATTTTCGTTAGATTCTTCTTCGTTTGTGTATTTCTCGACATTCTCTTCTTCACTTTCTTCCAATTCTTCTTCATCAGACACCTCATCATTTACTTTAAATGGCTTAAAACTTGTTGCTTTCGCTTTCAATGGAAATTTCTGTTCTTGCAGTTCATCCGCATCCGAATGAAAATAATCAGTCTCTGCCTCCGATTCTGAATCACTCATATCTATTGTGGGCTAGATCATGTAAAGTAGGATTTGATGATGATTATCTATTTACACAATATTGACACAAGAAGTTTTTATCACGTAAAATTTAACTTGTAAGTACCTAAAGCTTTTGTGTAATTGATGTGCTTTAATTTTGTGTACATTAATTTTTATGTGTTTAAACTAGTGAAAATGGTTAGTAGTGAAACCACTTTAATCAATAAATTTGCCAATTCGATTTAAACTTGTAGGAACTAGAGAATAGAGTTTGAAAGGATCAGTACTAAAGAACACTCTGCACAACTGCTGTCTTATATAAAATGCGTTATTGTGTTTGACACTTACTGATATTAGTAGCATTTACCCTCGCGAAGTACTACGATGATTTATTAACTAGAATATGACATATATTGTTTATTACGACTTTATAAAACATCAGCATAATTCGCTAAAAATTATCTATCTTTATCATTATCTTTATCTTTACTTTTTGGTGACACTATCAGCGCCAGTTTCAGCACCTTCAGTAGCACCAGTAACGACACCTGAAACGTATTCAGCAGCTTTTGAGATTTCTTCTTTTGCAGCATCAACATATTCTTGAGCAGTTTCAGCTAAACTTTGACCTTCACCTGATGCTTTAGATTTTTCCTTGTCAATTGAATTTTCAGCGTCATGTTTACCTTTGGTTACATCATCAGCAACAGTTTGTGAAAATGATTTATTATTGTCACTGGTGTGGTTGGCAGCAAATTGATCGGCTTTATTGGTGACTCCTTCTTTAGCTTTTTCTAAAGTTGATTTGTCTGATTCTGGAGTTAATGATTCAGAAACTTTAGTATGAATTGGTTTTCTTCCGGCGTCAGACATTTTCAAGTTTTGCTTTATAATTTTGTTGCAATTGAATTGAGTTTGATATGAACAAAATAATTCTTGAAGAAAGAAAAACTGTGGAATTTAGATTCCCTTTTATATGTCAAGCCAAATATTTCGAGAATAATTAACTGGGGATTTCTTAAATTTAACCTAGATCATAATTTTATGTATGATTACTTGTATTTTGCTAGAAAACAAGTAAAAAGATCTTAAATTTTAAATCTACTATATGTAAATTTTTTGAAATTAAGTTATGATTGCTATTCCAAATTTACAACCGAAAAGCATTACCACGTCATCGAGATAATTCCATTTATTCTTAACCATTTTGATTCGAAGTGCCGACTATTCCCAAACTGGTTAAGTTGATACGAAGATTTGTTCGAAAATGTGTCCGGAATTTAAGCAAGCGCATCATAACTTAATCTTACGAAAACGTATACCTGTTATTACTATGATACATATCCATTTTGACAACTCTAAATCCTTTAACGACTAATGAAGAATCCAACCCACTATATATTATGTTTCGTGTTCTAAATGTTCTAAACTATTATGTGCTTATATTTGATTGATAATTATACATTATCTAAGGTCGAATCTTTTATCTGACTCGCGATATGAGATTTTGTCTCATTTTGTAATAATATATCAAAGGTTCAACATTTCACTATCATACAAAACAATGATACAACAAATTTGCATAACGTCATAGAGATACATTGATTTAAACATACAAATCATTTATATCACAAGTCTTAGAAGTAAAGAATGACCAATAGAATTGAGAAGGCGGACAAATATAGAAAAATACAACATATCAAGATTCATCATCAACATTCATCGGAATTTAGTAAAAATCTTCAACCTGTATTTACACAGCATGGTAAAGATCACCGTTACCTGTTGCAAGATGTGTCGAAAGTCAAGAACCAGGTTTTGCTTCAACTAAATGGGAACATCAATAATATGGAAAGTAAAAATCTAAAGGATTGTTACCAAAATCTATATAATGTCTTATTAAAGAGCGTAAAGGATAAGGAAAGACATTCTTTGTTAATAGTGGGACCAAGAGCAAGCGGGAAGACATCAATTATGAAAAAAGTTTTATTGGAATTAAACCAATCATTTGGCGATGAATTTCTAGCGATCCAGTTAAGTGCATCGGCTCACACAGATGATAATGCTGCTCTCAGAGAGATTGCTAAACAATTGGATTCTAAATTGCTGGCGGAGCCTGGAAACCCCATCATAGAATCTAAATCAATTAATGAAACATTCACAAATATTTTAAGAGTTTTGAATAACGATCGACATCAAGAGGAAGTCGATAAGAATTGGATGCCGTTGATTTTTGTCATTGACGAATTTGAAAAGTTCACATCAGACAACAAACAAACATTATTATACAACTTGCTTGATATGTCCCAATCAAGTACAGTGCCAGTCACAATCGTGGGTTTAACCACAAAGATTAATGCAAAAGATTATTTGGAGAAGAGAGTAAGTAGCAGATTCTCTCAACGAGTTTTAACAATTGAACCTTTCACAGATTTTACGAAGTTTTTTCAGAATTATATTTCAAATCTTAAATTGGATGACAATTTCATCAAAAATTTGGAGTCCCAAGAGTACGGAGTAGCTTGGAATTTGAGTTTACTTGACGAAAACACTTGTTTAAGGCGATATAGCTTTAATAACTTTAACTCCATCAGAAATTTTCGGGAGATTAACAATTATTGCAAAATTTTGGTTTCAAAATTAACTCAAGATGATCCGTTCTTACCAAATACAAATCTCACGATTTGCATGAATCATAATCGCTCTGGATTCGTGCAATCAGCAATAAATTCATTATCAGAGTCTGAACTAATATTGGTAATTTCCGCTGCTAGGTGGTTAACAAAATTTGAGGGGGAAACAGTTAACTTTAATTTGGCACATTCAGAATACAAAACTTGTTTTAAAAAGCTAAATGAAAATACTAATACAATATCTTCTTTCAATAACGTTAAAATCAAACAGAGAGAGTTGTCAAAAAAAATTCTTAGAACTAGTTGGGAATCATTACATCAGCTTAATATTATTATTGGTCCAATCGTATCATACACAGGAGAGGATGTTGACAAAAGATCTAGTAACAATACAGTGCTCGAGGAAAATCTGATGGTTTTGCTCAATGTAACTCTTGATGAATTATTAGTTTTGATTGACGATGATAATAAGTTTAAAACTTTTGTAAGAATATAGAGCAATAAACCTACTTACAAGACAACTTCAAGACGATCTGACTAGTAGGAATTTTGATAGTTGGCAATTGTGGTAACAATTACTTCACTCTATAATTTGTACTTTCTTTTGCGTGATGATGAGCATCGTATTTTTTGGTAAGTGCGTAATACTTAGATTCTGTAATTTTTTGTACACTAAATTGAGATATCTGTTTTGAAAGGAATCAATACGACTTATAAAATCAAATTTCAATGGCTAGAGATCGATTAATATCTGGACCCATAGAGCAGAAAATTCTAAATTTGATAAACGAACTTATTGATGAGAGAACAAGAATTAACAGAAAAGAGTTGAGTGAAAGTGAAGCTGAAGATCCAACTGCAGGGATCGAATCTGCGAGTAATTTAACTACATCATCAATCCTATCTTATGTCCAATCAAGAGATTTTATGTTGAAAAGAACCAAGAGAATCCAATTAGAAAAATCTATTGCAAAGATTCTACGAATTTTACGAGAAAATGAGGCAGCTGAATATAAAAGCACTTTAGTTGAATCTAATACAGATGATTTACAAGACTCTGAATGTGATGAGAATGAGGACATCAATAACAACATAATAGCATTCAAGGACCCTAATGCCACAAATAAATCTGTCACATCCATGTGGAATTTTGAAAACAAAGAGGATGAAGCTGATGGAGAAACTGATAATGTAGAAGGTTCAGGCACGAAAAGAAAACCAAAGGAATCATTTAAATCTATGATAAAAAAACAAAAACGTAAAATCAATTATACATTGCCTGACTTAAATTTATCAATGCTTGGGGGAATAGAAAATGTTACTACTCAACTTTTAGAAATAATCGGACTACCTATATTACATCCAGAATTATATTTATCTACGGGAGTAGAACCTCCTAGAGGAGTTTTATTGTATGGACCTCCAGGATGTGGTAAAACTACTGTTGCTAACGCATTAGCCGGTGAACTAAATGTACCATTCATAAATATTTCTGCACCATCAATTGTTTCTGGTATGTCTGGTGAATCAGAGAAGAAACTTCGGGAGATCTTCGAAGAAGCCAAATCAATTGCTCCATGCTTGATATTTATGGATGAAATTGATGCAATAACCCCCAAGAGGGACGGAGGTGCTCAGAGAGAAATGGAAAGACGAATTGTTGCTCAATTATTGACGTTGATGGATGAGTTAACTATGGACAAAACTGATAATAAACCAGTGATAGTTATTGGAGCTACAAATAGACCCGATTCTTTGGATTCAGCTCTTAGACGTGCAGGAAGATTTGATCGGGAGATATGTTTAAATGTACCCAATGAATTTCAGAGAGAATCAATTTTAAGAGCAATGACCAAGAAAATAAAAACAGAAAATGGAGATAAATTTAATTACAAAGAGTTATCCAAATTAACACCAGGGTATGTTGGAGCTGATTTGAAAAGTTTGGTTACTGCGGCTGGTATATCTGCTATTAAAAGAATTTTTGAAGCATTGAGCGAACAGCAGGTGGAGATGATTCAATCTAATACTGATCATATGGAAATTGATTCAAAGGATGGAAAGTTAACTAATGGCTTTCTCACAACGAACTTCAATGTAAAATCAGACGAAGAAAAATTATCAGCGATACAAAAATTTTTGCAAAAAAATCCAGGTCCACTAAATCAATCTCAGTTAGAGACTTTATGTATAACGTATCAAGACTTTTTGAATGCTTTACCGACCGTCCAGCCCACCGCGAAAAGAGAAGGATTTGCAACTGTGCCAGATGTGACTTGGCAAAATGTAGGGGCATTAACTAAAATTCGAACAGAGCTACACATGTGTATCGTTCAACCTATAAAAAAACCAGAATTGTATTTGAAGGTTGGTATTTCCGCACCATCAGGCATTTTAATGTGGGGACCTCCAGGATGCGGTAAAACATTATTAGCAAAAGCAGTGGCAAATGAATCGAGGGCAAATTTCATATCAATTAAAGGTCCAGAATTGTTAAATAAATATGTTGGGGAATCAGAAAGGGCCGTAAGACAAGTTTTTCAAAGAGCAAGAGCTTCAAAACCATGTATCATATTTTTTGATGAGTTGGATGCTTTAGTACCAAGAAGAGATAGTTCAATGTCAGAATCTAGTTCCCGAGTGGTCAACACTTTGTTGACCGAATTGGATGGTTTGAATGATAGAGTTGGGGTATTTGTTGTTGGCGCTACTAATAGGCCTGATATGATTGACCCTGCGATGCTAAGACCAGGAAGACTAGATAAAACTCTTTATATTGAACTTCCTGCGGCTTCAGAAAGACACGAAATATTGAAGACTTTAGTCCGTGCAAATAAAAGTCCCATAGATAATGAGGTTGATCTTCAAAAGATTGCCAACGATGTTAGATGCAGAAACTTTTCCGGGGCGGATTTGTTTTCATTAGTTAAAGAGGCAGGAGTTTCAGCATTGAAAAGAAAATTTTTTGGTAATCAAAATATACAAAATTTGGATGAGTCGGGTTTTTATCAAGAAAATGAAATCGATGACGACATATGTATAACAGAACAAGATTTTCAAACAGCAATGAACTCAATTCGGCCAAGTGTTAGCGATCGAGATAGGTTGAAGTATGAGAAACTAAACAAGAGATTGGGGTGGGATGTAATAAGTAAAAATCAAGATACACCCATTAAAGAAGATAACATTACCTAATAAGTCAGTGGTTCCTTAGAGATGTGATGTAGAGTCTGAAATATCTACTTATATTGTTTCAACAACAGCTATCAAGAGTTTTAAGGTCGTAACTGTACGTGGGAGACTCCCGATCTTTTTACTGTCGTTGAAACTATTCTAATAAGAAGTGATGAAATGATAATGAATGAACATTCTTAAGATCTTGTTTTGAGACAAAGTTACAAAATCAAGTGTGATGGTAATGCTAAATGACTCAGAATTTCACTCAAATAAATAAATTTAAACACACCGAAGAATGCTTGAATCGTATTTTGTCAAATTCATAACACAACAAAATTCCAGTACAATCCAAGTATAATTTTCCATGATTAATCAATGTTGTGGGTAAATTCACAAAAGTTTTAAACTGTCTAATTCAAGGAAACAAAGGTTTGATGCAACTATTTGACAAAAAGCTTTGCCTAAACCACTTATTGAGCAGATTTTATAGGAATAATCGAGTAAATAAACAATCTTCACATCCACTAAAAGAATTTGGATGTTGCAATTGAATTTATTAATGATTGATTTTGCGATTGTGTAAATACTGACACTTTAATGTGCATATATAGAAAACGATTTCAATTTGATCCATGATTATGGAAAATAAGTTATTTTATGATTACTCTAGAAGTAATTCTTCTACTGTTCAGCAGACTAGACTACTAATTAAGTTTACAACAAATGATGAGAAAAAGAAAAAGGCCCCTAATACTATTTATTAATTCTGCTTTTGTGTTAATCTGGATTGAGTATTTATAATACTTAAATACATATTGTCATATTTGTAATTATTCATACAGATTAACCAGCAATACCATCAATCATATACTCTCAATAATGAAATTTCAAGAATAGTATATGCAATTGTCATCTTTTGTGAGAAGATCAATGTCACAAGATATAGATCTTTATGCGTTGTTTAAGAGATACAACCATCAGTATGTCGGTTGATGCAGCATCAGTCCAGCTCAAATTACAATAACCTATAATCGACTTTTCATTGGAATGTGAATTCATTTGATACCAAAATTTCCTGCTCCTTTGGTGTGTTATTTACGACTTTTTCATCACAGCTATACCTTGATGTTAAATGAATGTTATGTTGAAACTGCATTCCTTGATAGTGTTTTAGACGAAATTAGATCCATGATTCATCCTGAAGGATATTTTGTAAATGGAAAAACAAATCATGTTTATGTTCTTAAATTGAACATATCTTTCAAAAATTAAATCAAGCTGTATACATTTGGAATGTTACCTATTTCACCACTTTAAATGATCTAGGGTTTTCTTCCTCAAGTGCTAAACATTTAAAATATTAACACAGATTCCTTCATCTTTCACTGCTATTGGATTATGTATTGATGACCAAATTATCGCTTCAATTGATTAGCGTCATAATTTACAGCAACCAGAAGCTTCTTTGTTTAATCGCTATGGCATGAAGGATTGCAGTGTCAATGGAAGTTGATTTAAATATCTCCCGAATGAAGGAGGGCAGTTTATGCTTTAACTATCGTTACTGAGAAATATTACGTTGAAAGAATAATGAATTCTGTTGGGTTTGCTGGAAGTTTTTTGATTGGTGCTCTAATTAGTCAAAACAACTTCCGATAACCCAACAAACAACGTGCATTTGCAGCAGATAAATTAAAATCTTTACCTCCAGCAAAATATGTTGAAGGAGTTTAAATGGAGCTATTAATTTTACCAGTTACTATAGGATTTCATCTATCTTATGCGGAATCTATATTACACCAAATATTAATACAATCCCACTTAAGATCAACGTTATATGCAATTAGGTTGTTTTGAAATATTTACTAGAATCACTAGAATCACTAGAAATTTATAAAGCACTTATTAAAAAATTTCAATATAATTAGATATTATGGTATCAAACAGTCATATTCTAATAAACAATCAACCATAAACATAAAGATCTGAGTTGAACTGATGATGATGTATCAATTACCATCTATATAGTCAACTAAAAAAATCGACCAATTTGCTGAAGATGTAGATTATTATAGTCTTGTGTTAGACGCCAAGTAAAATATTTTAACTAAATCGAATATCTGAAGAATTGGGAATCAGTATCTACCAATAGATTATATTGTGACGAAAGGTCTGCTATGGAAATGGGTGAAAAAGAAACTTTTCACTGAATAGTATAATACTAAGACTGGCTTATGATTATAGACAAAGTCACATCAATACACCAAGGAATAAATATTATAACTAGGAAAATGATAGCAAATTTATTGATGAATTAATTTAAAGCAGCAGTTTCAATAACTTTCCTCCATTTGATACAATGGTAGAGTAGAATAATACCTAAATACCAATGCCTTAATCACTGAGCAATATTTAACACATAGAATAGCGATGCTACACCAACTAAATTATAGATATTAAAAGATATATACAAAGATTGCAATGGATTGTGAATTTAAGAACAGTAGGCCAAATGTACGTTCATACTATTATAAACTGCTGTAGGATAACCGCTCTTGACGTAAAAAACAAAATCTAGGTGTTGGCAACTCCGATAAACTCTCAATGTGCATTTCTAAGTGTATATATAATATAACAAATCAACGCCACAACTTAAGCGATACAACTGCTGTAAAATATCTGTGATAAACCATTCAAATTTACCTAGCATTTTCATCAATGAAAACACAATGAGGGTAAATATTAACAATTATATAACCACAACTAAGAAATAACCTCAAACGAAATCCAAGGCTTTCCATACGCAATGCTTGCATTTAGACTAAAATAAAACTAATACTGAAACCGACTCCAGAGTAGGGCGACAGCATTTACCAACTATTTTACTACGTTCCAAGTCTCACATGCCAAATTTACAGTTCTGTTAACACCAGATTTAAGCTTAAATATTTCACACCGATAGTAACTATGATCCCAAATTGAGGTATCTCATAGATCCTCCCAAGAATCCGCAACAAAAAAGCAAAGATATTAAGATGCTAAAACATCTATCACATTACAACCTAGATTCTTCAAATTAAATTGCGCGCCAGCGGTAAACTAATCTGAAAATCAGAGACTCTGAATGTTGAGTTCACCAAAATCAATCTTATATGAATCTGGTATGTCTGTCGTATTATAATGTTTAAGACAATGAAAATATTTTATGTAATGTATTAAAGAAAATATTTTCAACACTAATAAATGTATAGTTTTATATAATTAACCAATTCTAATATAAAATACTTAGAGATTATAAAATACTTCCGCAACAATGTCAAGAACTAACAATAAGATAAAGATGAATAAAGATAATGTTAAAATACGTACCACTGCGCTCGAACACTGAACTAATCTGAAAATCAGAGACTCTGGCTGAAGTTCCATAACAAAAAGGAAACACAACATTAAAAATCCAACGCGTGCGAACAATACAAGTGGTTAACAAACATTCAAGCAAACCCAATCCTCTACACGAAAACCGACATCCGACTTCCAGAACACATCCAATTCATTAATTTTGAAGCAAACAAAGATTCATCCACACAGGATGCCTAATGTTTTGAAAAAAAAAGGGTGATCTGAATTGGGATTGGCATGGTTATTTGCGCACGTCTATAAATCCATTTTGGGAAAGAAATTATTATATTTAACAAGCTGGATGCTTTAAAACCTAAGTCGGCTGATCCCCACTAAACTAATTGGAATTATAAAAAAGCTAACGTTATAGTATATAAATCTGTGACTTGAAAAATCATTCGTAGGTAAAACTTTTGCTAGCAAAATCAATTAATTTTAGGATTAACTAATTTTCAATGGTTCGAATATCCAAATACGGCTTTTAACCAGAATATATAAAATTAAACGTGCTGTACAAATTTTACCTTCGTGCTTGGAATTAACTTTAGCTCATTATCTTGGTGGGATTGGATTTGCCTGATGCTTCGTAAACACATTTTCATGTATCTGTTGAATGACCCCCCTCAACGACTCGAAACATTGTACATCTCGACCTAGATTAAAATTCGATGGGCTAATTTGTTTTACAGGCTCATTCAAATAATGTGTGCCCATTACTATCCTGTTTTGTACGATTGTTAGTTGCTGCTCCACCGGAATTGTTAGGCATTTTTAGTCCGAGCGTGGTAGTTATTATTCAAACATCATCTTTACTCATTTTTATTTTATAAGTAGTTCTTAACATTGTGGCGGTAGATATTTTATAATCTCGGTTTTATTATTCGAATTGGTAATGTTTGTAAAGCTATATATCTATATATATCTATTAGTGTTGACATTATTTTCTTTATCATTTGACGATTGACACAAAATAATCTCATTGTCTTAATCATTATAGCATGAGAGACACACCAGATTTATATAAGATTGATTTTGGGGGACTCAACATTTTTTGATTCAGGGTCGGTGGAATTGTTAGATTGGAATGTAATAATAAGGTGAAGTTGTATGACAAAAACTTATGGGGGTGTTACGGGATATTAAAACTTAAGAATTTTGTTTTAGTACAGCATGCTACTACAGCGTTAAAATTTTCAGCGGACTGAATTGTATATTAAAATTGGATTTATTAATTTGTGCACACATTGGCGGTAAAAATGTGTCTTAAAATGTGTTTTTTGTTCTGCTGCTTCTTTTTGAAACCAGCGCTTGATGTTCATACTACGGTTGTTCAGTTTTGTAGAATGTTAGGAGATAGAAATGATTAAATTCCAGCAAAATAGCTTAGATCCAGCTTTAATACTATTTTCTTGACTTCTGATTTAGTTAATTGATTTATGCGTCATTTTTATCATTTCCTGTTAATAAAGGGTCGTATTCGTTTTCTCCATACGTTATTTGGTGATTGGTATAACTATTTCAATTAGAGCCAAAGAAATTTTAGTGTAAGATCCTATTGTTTAGATGACAACATGACGCGGAAAGAAAAAGTCTGGTGTTTTTTAGACACTCTTCAAATACACAATTAGTATACTTATTTTTTTGCTATAAGGTGCCTTGCTTTAGTTTTGTTAGGAGTTACTAGCGAAACTGTAACGTACAAATACAAAAATCATCAAATTAGCCACTTTCAACAACTTTTTCTGACGTTTTCGTCTATTCTTCGGAAGTACGATTGTTGATTCATGGTATTTTTGATGAAAAACCACTATCAGATCTTGGTTTAGTATCGCACTAATGTTGAGATCTTCTCACGTAGCTGGAGCTGGTTGGTTTGACATGCGTCTAAAACATTTGAAAAGAATGTCGAGAAATGGATGCAGCTTTTATTACATCAGTCCTACATGAGAAGTCAATTTTGCAGTCCGCGGCTGTTCTGATTTTGTTATTAATCCTTTTTGTACTTGTCAAATCTAGACAATATATGCATAAATATTAGTTGTATACTAGTATAGTCCACATAAGTAGCTGAAAATTATTTTTTTGAATCTTTCAAACTCTCGTTTCGTCTAATCCGAATATTTATCATAAAAGATTTTCGTTGTCTTGAATAAATAAAAAACGACAAAGAAAACTTGACTCATGATTGTTGCATGTATGTTGGAAGTGTGTTGATTAAATAAATCAAAAAGATTGATTGGGTCAGTTCATCAAGAATGAGAGGTCGCTAGAATGAGCTTGGTGTGGGCGAGTAAATTCGCTCTCTGTGTTACACATTTTAAACTAAAAAGCGAGAGACTTTAATTTCTTTTTGAATGTCATTGTTTGAGAAATTGCTATATTTCGATTGATGAAAATGTAAGATCCTCTTTTATAAAACTTATTTTCTTTATTGGTCATATCGAACTCTTCACTGGTCTTAAAGCAGTAAAGAGCAACTCTTTTTGATTCTGAGGTGTTTAGTGGTCGTTTATTCGGTGTATTATATGTATTCAATTAACTACATTAGTTCAAGTGTGGCCATTTAAAAATTTCATAACCTATTCATTCGTCTCTTCTATGTCTTTTTCTACACTCAGTTTAACGATAATTCGAAACTTATTTATCTGTAGGATTCTTTAGCATCTGTAATTGATAAGCCTCAAAAATCAAGCTTAAAGTTAAATGTGGGACTGTCAATCAACAGGTCAAGACTCAAGAGTTAACATGTGTGGGACAGCTACCATATTTCAGTAATTATCAACTACCACAATTTAAATATAAAGAAGAATAATTGAGGTGTATCGTTTTATAAAAAATCAATGGATTTTATATTCATTCGCTTGTTCGTGTAGTAATTGGCTCCTACTATACAACATTGAATAAAACTGTTCTTTTTTCTCTCATTGTTAATTGTTTATTACAAACTACTAACATATACTTTTCGTAATTAATCATGACGGTCTTGATTTTACTTGTTTTTTTTTTTTTCAAAACTAATTGTTTATTAAATCAGTAATAATCTAGTTCTAAGGTTAATGTCTTTCAAGATTATGAGTTTGATTCAATGAAACCGACCCACAGAACTGTCGTCGTCATTTCAATTCCTTTGCTTTTTTTTGCTTGTTCACCTCGTTGGGTATTGTCATAAATTCAAACTGGTTACAAATTTTGACAAAACTAATCAAATATTCGATTGAATACTTCATATTCTGCCAATTATTCAAATATATCACAGACTAGTTTCAGTGAATTTTCGATAAAATGTAGTATATTTTGACTATATACAAAAATATTTTTTTGATCTATCCTTTGTTAAACTTTTTTCTCAAATTATAAGAATTTTGCAGCAATTTTTGCAGCAATCTTTGTGAGCAAGATTTTTTCGATTCCAAATTCTTGATCTATAAAACCAGGTTCGAAGTGTACGAAAACTTTGCCATTCTACTCTCTTATTCTTTTAGATACCGATAAAAACTTCTATGGCATATATAAGGGATATTGAAAAAAACACGAGAACCAATCTCAAATGAAGACACTTTATTGGTAAAACATTGACATTAGAAGGATCAGTGTCATCAGTCGTCGACAAATCTTCAAAAGCACCAATGTTAGAGTCTTGATTGTCCATTTTAGTAGCATGATCTTGATTCAAGTAGGTTATTGAGAACCCTATAAGTGTCTATATAAATGTAGAACACAACAATACTACAGCGAAATCAATATTATCTTTAAATAACTTAAGAAATTATTTTCAATGAAAAAAAAAATGCTCATATCTTACAACAGTCTCGTAAACAAAGATCTTACTGACGCATTAAAAATACTGTACCTTCTATGAATTGAGTGCATCAAAAATAAGATTAATTCAATTCCTTAGATGAGATATTCAACCACCAGTCTTCAAGTATTAAATCATTAAGCACAATTAATCAAATTCTCAGATTAATTCCCAAACTAAACTTAAAGTCCTTCAAAAATCACTTTGGTTTGTCTCATTGTATTCAGATTTAATTGATTAGGTACTTATTCATTTATGAATTTGATAACAACAGATATAGCAAACATACAAGTTATTATAGATAAAAGAATTTCATTTGTATTTTACTTTAAATGATCCCATTCATCTGAGTAATTTGCTTACGCAAGACTCCACCCTCTCATTGCTTAAGATGAATTGGTCATCAGAATCGAAAAGTAGAATAAACCCGTGAAGACAAAACCTAGAGTAAAAATTTTAAACAGCTATAATGAAGTACATTTTTAAAGTATTTATTGCTTATCTAATTTAATCGGCATTCGTTAATAATTTACGTGTTAGAATTTACATCAAAATTCACCTCTATAATTTAAATCATCTCTTTTTAAAACATCATCCAAGATCCCAGCCGATGCTGCGACTAAACCTAAAAATGGTCTCGATGGGTCCAAGACTTTAGATAAATACTCTGGATGATACTGGGTCCCAACAAAAAATTTGTGGGAGTCATCTTTCAACTCAATCATTTCCATCCTTTTACCTGTTTCATCTTTACCGATAAAGTGTAAACCCTTTGATTCGATTTGTTCTATTAAATCAGGATTAACCTCGTATCTATGTCTATGTCTTTCAAACACTGAGCCAACGCCGCCATATAAACCCTTTAATTTACTCCATTCTGTGTTTGCTGTGAATTTAGTCTCATGTATACCTAATCTCATAGTGCCCCCCAATTTGATTTGATCCACATCTGGCATATAGATAACAGATGGAGTTATATGATCTTCTTCTTTGTAATTGTCAAATTCTTGAGACGTTGAGCCTTTAATACCTAAAACATTTCGTACAAATTCGATAACCGCAATTTGCAAACCCAAACAGACTCCCAAGTATGGAACATTATTTTCTCTTGCATATTTAGCTGCGGAAATCATACCTTCTATACCCCTTGATCCAAAACCACCTGGGACCAATATTCCATCAGCTTGACAAACATAGTGCCATGCTTTATGATATTCAGATAAGTTTTCGCCTTTCATCGATTCTTCCAAATTAGTAGATTCAACCCACACAATTTTCAACCTACGATTACAACTCATTGATGCATGTTCGAGCGATTTGATGACCGATAAATATGAGTCATGTAAATGAGTATATTTCCCGACTAATGCAATGGTAACAGTTTCAAAAGATTTATCATGAGAACTAGTCAAATGTCTCCATTTACTCAACAAAGCTTCTCCTTTAGTTAAAGCACTTTGATCAATTTCTCCAATATTCAACTTTTTACTTAAAAATTTCATCATTTTTTGTTCTTTTAATAGTAAGGGCACATGATATGTAGAATTGACATCATGTACAGCAATAACTTGATCAGGACCTACATGGCAAAACATTCCAATTTTTTCAATTGTTTGATGTTCCAATTTTTCTTGACATCTACAAGCAACCATATCTGGAGTAAGACCCAAACTTCTCAAATCTTTTATAGCAGCTTGTGTTGGTTTTGTCTTTTGTTCTCCATGAATAACAGGCACTAAACTAACATGAATTAATGCAAAATTATCACTTCCAACTCTGAATTGAAATTGCCTTAAAGCTTCAACAAACGGTGCACTTTCAATGTCCCCCACTGTGCCTCCCAATTCAATAATACAAATTTCGGGTTCTAATCCAGTATCATCAACTGGAATTTTAGCAACTGATTCAATCCACTCCTGAATGGCATTTGTGATATGAGGAACAACTTGAACAGTCTTACCTAAATAATCACCTTTTCTTTCTCTTTCTATAACTTTTGAATAAATCTTTCCTGTTGTGATATTATGATTCCTAGTCAATGTGATATTTAAATATCTCTCATAATTACCCAAGTCTAAATCAACTTCTCCACCATCATTCAAAACAAAACATTCTCCATGCTCCAATGGTGACATTGTCCCTGCGTCTATATTCATGTAAGGATCGATCTTGATTGAAGTAACTCTTAAACCCAAGGTTTTGAACAATAAACCGGTTGATGATGCTAAAACACCCTTTCCAATCCCTGAAATAACACCACCAGATACAACAACGTACTTCATCTTATACTTAATTTAATATTGTAGGAGTTATAATCTGTAAATCACGTCTTTTACTTTGAAGACACGGTTGGAATGACTTAAGGAAAAATTTGAAAAAGTCTAAGATATTACTAAGCAGAAGTAACAACAAATAGACTATTGACAATGTGATGAGTGGACGAGTTTGTGAGCGATGAAAAAAATACTATGCCCTCTTAAATGAAATAATTTAAGCGGGAAGAAGAAGAAGAAGAGGTAAAAAGAGGAAGAGGAAGGATGTAAAAATTGTTTCATGTGTTTTGTTACCATTTTTTTTTTTCTTGATGGTCTTCGTACTCTAGTATTAAATTTTTACTAATGATTTACGAGCATTGACTTTCTAATTAAGTAGTGAGAGGTGAACTTAAATACTGTTGGCCGAGTTATACACTCCATTTGTCTTATTTAAAAAGATGGGTATCAACAATGTAATGCCCAAAAAGATCAAGAAGTACCTTTTTTCTCAGCAAAATTCGTTAATTAGTATCTTCAATTTATGCCAGTTTGTACTCACAACATAGCAAAACTAGACCAAGCATTGTAAGTTTCAAAACAACAATGCTGGGAAATGGCAATTAATTTGCTACATATTAAACATTACTCATTCAATAAATAAATATGACTGCTTTAATCTATACGTTGAAAATTGTTTTTGATAAGTCGAAATTATTTGATTCCAAACTCATTTTAAATTTAAACAATTTTGACTCCACCAATTTCATTATTTTCATTCATCAACAATTGAGCCTTACCTTGTTTTACCAAATACTCTCGTATAACTTTAATTAAAAGAGATTCTTCCAAATTTCTTAAATCCAGGGGCAACCCATTGTTTAAAACATCATCATCATCATCATCATTCTTTGTTAATTCGTATATTGTCAAAACAGAACCTTTTTGACCAGTTTCATTAATATATTCATATATTAAGTTGCCCCATTCAGTTATACTTCTCCAATATATATATAGTCCCATATCTGGTTTCTTTGGATTAATGTAGTCAGCCTTTTTGCTGCGAATTAAATTAGTAATTATTAAATTTTTGAACTCAGTATTGACTTGTCGACTAATGAATTTATTATGAAATAGCGGAGGTAAGTCAGATATGTTTATGGATGAGATTTGAGAATGTTTTGGGACACCTTCCATGGTCAAGGTATTGATTTTATAAAATTCACAATATTGTAGTATTACTATATTCCATGATTCTAATTGTTGTTGTTGGACTGTTTGATTCGGTTGTTTTGTGTATAAAGGTGGGAACAGACAAATTTTTGGGAATTCAAATTCAGCACTTGATTGACTCCTCATGAACGATCCAGATTATAAATGAAGGATAGGTACATCGGGCTCTCACTAAATAAATTAATTCCAGTTTATCTTTTTTGTTTTTTTTTAAGACGATAATTTCAACACCTATAAACCTAATCTTGTTAATATATTACTCTTATCTCGAAGACTTAAGAGAAACTACAAGATAATCAAAGTCTATTTTCTATACGTTCAAATATGAAATTCATTAAAAAAGATTACACACACTTCGTCAAATAATTGAATTTAAGCTTCCCAAAAACTCAAGCTTCAGCCATATCTCTTAAACGACGAATAGTAGATCTTACAGTAGCAGCAGCAGCGGTTGATACAGTATAAGCACCTCCTGCAACAGTTTTTTTACAGCTTTTACATGACCAAATACCAGCTGAACCTCTTTGAACAGTTCTTTTACCACAGAATGAACAATCATATTTAGCATGTTGTTGAACTTCCAATTTCTTGGTTTGTCTTCTTAATGATGAACCATATCTAACACCAAATTTACCGGTAATTCCTACCTTCTTAGTTCTTTTAGTCCTAGTGAGTTTGTTAGTATTGATTTAATAATATGTTGGAGTAAGATATCAAATACGAAGGTGAAAGTGTTAGGGCAAACACAGTGAGATGCCGCAACCTAATTCTTGATTATGCCTAATTCATAGCTGCACAACGTTTTGTATTTTTCCTTTGAATTAGTTAAAGCGAGCTAATTCTGCTGTGATGGTACTATCACTTAGCTGTCGTAGTATTTAAAATAAACATTGTGATCGCAGACTGCCTTAGAACGTGAAGCTATTGATATTTGGGTATGATCAGCTTGTATTACCTGCAAGTAGCAAGTGCATCTTGATAACTAACAGGTACAATCACTTTGTATCTCAAATTTAGTCTTCCATAGTCTTCTAAATCCATTTCTTCATACTCTTTGAAACTTTTCATTCCAAATTCTCCGACTATTGCACAATCTACCTAGCTGATTCAGTAATTTTCTGTACTTCATATGTCATATCTCTTCACTCTATGATCGTTTCAAAAACATACATTATGTATATATTATTGATTGTTGATTGAAAATGAAAAGGAGTAGTTCAATAATCAAGAGAATACAGAACGAGATTTTTCTTTGATGCTGCATTGAGATGTATTTTTTTTTTTCAAATTTAGTTTGGTGACACAAACACAGCACTATAGGGTTAAAACCCTATTAGGTTAGAACTATCGATATAAGTCTTTTACGTGGTCGTAAGAATGGTATAATGAGTGTGGGGAGCCGAACTTGGTCAGTTTCGTGTGCTAATTGTTTATGGCTGTTATACATGAGTTGATTGCACCTTTTTTTCGTAGAATTATAATGTTTATAGGGGGGGACATGCATTTAATTTTTAGATGAGAAATCCTAAGTAATTATAGAGAAATCAATAATATATTAACTAGTTCAGCACCTGAGCAACTTGAAACCGTCACAATTAATGTAAATTGCAAGGAAGAAAGTGAAATATTGTTAATAGTACCTACATTTCATTAGTCGTTCTTACTCTTTTTTTATCATTACACATCAAACTGTGTCATTACCACGAGCAATTGGCGGGAACAAATCCACTGGAGCCATTACCACATCACCATCCCCATCTTCCACGTTAATGAGATTTTCTGTATTATCATTCACGAAATGATACTCATGTTGTTGTTGTTGTTGTTGATGATGGAGATTGTGATATTCTTGATTTAGTGGCTGCTGTTGTTCCCGTTGAGGTTGTTGTACCTGTTCCATTCTTTGTTGATTTGATACAAATTGTTGATTCTGAAACACCGGTTGTTGTTCAATATGAGGTGCGTTTTGCTGAGTTGTTTGAGCTGGTGTTGCAATATTATTATTCCTTGCTAAATTTTCAAGCAATCTTGCTTGCATTTGTGCTAATACTATATGTGATGGTTGTTGATTCTGATGATTAGTTTGTTGCGGTCTTGTTTGTTGATCTTGATCTTGTTGTACTTGATTATGTTCATTTGCTTGTTGATCAGCCCTATTTAGTCTTTGATGCTGCTCTTGAATTCTATGTTGATGATGATTTCGAATTAATCTTTGAAAATGTTCTCTCATTTCCTCAGGACCCATATTGCCTTCGTTCAATTCTCTAAATATTTCACGGTCTATGTCAACAGGTACTTGGTTTAACTGAATTTGCGTATTATTATTATTATTATTAAAAGTGTTATTATTATTATTATTATTATTATTATTGTTGTTGTTGTTGTTGTTGACGTTATTAATGTGGTTGTTATTATTATTATTGACATCGTTATCGTTATTATTATTTGGTAAAGCCATTCTTACGTTCCAAGGATTAACATTTAGTTGGGCATTATCATTATTATCATTATCAGCTAAATCTGTTTCGCCATTTAGAAATCGACGTCTTCTTTCATTGAATAGAATATGAACATCTCCTTGATCAATTTGATAGGTTCGTTCTTCCATTACTTGATTTAAATAATTTCTAAGTTGATTAACTCCATGACCACTAAATACACAAAATAATGATTTTTGATGTTCATTAAAATCTGGAGGTGGATCACGACAATACTGAGTAATTTCTCTTCTTAAGAATGCATTAATTCCAGTTAAAGACAAATGAGTTAATTTAGGACAACTCTTCAATAATAAATATATTGGTCCAATATTTAAATTTGTGCAATAAGACAAATGAACTCTTTCCAAACAATCTTGCTCTCCTCTACGTCTGACCAACTCTAAAATACCCGAATCAGTAATCATTGAACATTTAACTAAACCAATTCTTCTTAATTTTGGTAAATTTGCTAATTCAACTAAAGTCCAATCAGTTAATTGAGAACAACATGCTAAATCAATGTATTGTATACGATGACAATACCTAACCAATGCAGCAACACCATAATCAGTAATTAAACTACAATGACCTAAATGAATATAATGTAAGCTTCTACCTAATTGACTTAAAGCTCTTAAACTTGCGTCCGTGACTTGCATACATTTACTTAAAACAACATTTCTTAATCTTGGTGCACATGATACTAATTTTTCAACTAATTTATCACTAATAGCATTACACCCAGTTATATCAATAATTCTTAACTTCTCTAGAATGAAACCATCTGGAATTAATTCAAGTAATTTATCAGTTATACCAGGAGCATTACTAATTCTAAATTCCCTTAATTGTGATAATTCCAAAAATATTTTCTTTAAATATAAATCAGAAACATTTTCACATCCATTTAAATCAATTTCAACTAACGATTTACAATTTTCATACATGACCAAGATTGATTCATCGGTAATGTTAGTACTTGAATTAAATTTTAACCTTTTCAACATAGGACAACTTTTCAATAATTTTTTAATAGTAACTTCCTGAACATTTCCACATCCAGGTGCATATAATCCTTGTAATTTAGGACAATTTTCAGCTAAAGCATTTATAATATCATCATGAATATCAGTTACACCAGTCAAATCAATCGATTGTAATCTTTCGCATCCTTGTAAAACATTTGTTATTGGTGATCTTGTTAATTTTGCACAATTTACTAATGTTAATCTTTCTAATCTTGGACAACCAGAAAATAAATTTAATAAATTATCATCAACTAATTTAGTCATAAATGATAAGTTTAACCTTTTTATAAATTGACGATAATCCCAATGAGTTTTAAATTTATTTAGTTCCATCACCAGTCTTATTTTTTTGAAAGCTGAATCGTTTTGCATATTTGGTCTAAACCATAACATTTCGATTATTAAATCTGCAATTTCTGTACAGGTAGTTGCTAATGAATACCAATCTTTTCTTTCTAAATAATGAAATATCTGTAGTAAAACTTCAGTAGGTAATCTTATCAATGACCTTTTATTGATAGTTAACTCTTCATTAATATATGGTGCATGAGGGCGTTTTATACTTGATAATCTTCTTTTTATTACAATTGCTTTCCTTAATTCTTCATAATCATTATATTCATTATCCATCATAAAATCAACATCTATATTATCACCTTGATGTAGTTGTGAATCATTTATGTCTTTGCTTGGATGGTTTTGACGATTAATGCCATTGGGTTCTTTGTATGATGTATTATTATTAGTATAATTATTATTATTATTATTATTGTTGTTGATTAAATTGATATTTAATTGATTATTCATATCTTCATCTGAATCAGGTGAATGATTTTTAACTATTGTTGATCTTGGCAGTAGTTCCGTATGACGAATTTGATCATAATCTTCTAGACTAGTTGGTGAACTCATGATCGATTGGATATGAGTATGTGTTAAATTGATAATTTTGATTATTTGGTTTTGTTTTGATAATAGATTAGATTGTGCGTTATTTAATTTGATTATGTATTATTAATTTTATGAATAAGAAGCTATTTTAATATGAATTATTAATCTTATTATTATTATTATTATTGACTGACTTATTAATTTGTATAATTCAATTTTAAAGAATAATTTGGATTAAAGACGGTATATGTTTTGTAGAATAAAATTACAGTAAGTAAGTAGTCTAAAGTAGAAGTTTTACTAATAAATAATATAATAAGTACATAGTAAACTTTTGTTATGTATAATATGTAGACTATGTAATATTATTATAAGTATTAAGAGACAAAGTATAAGCTAATAATCTAGAATTTGTGTAATTACTAAATGTGGTGACGCGATAAAATTAATGCGACAGCCTATCAAGTATGTACAGTAATAAAATATATGTCGAACTATATAGACCTAAATCTAGTATAAAATCCAAAACAACATGAACAGCTTATTAACTTTTTCTTATTTACTCATAATCAACACCATCCCCTAATGTCTGCTTCTGAAACTTGTGCGTCAGGTTTGTAATTAATCACACTCAACTACTCTTTGATTGGCGTTTAAAACTAGCAAAGGTAATTTTTGAATTTCTGTGTTAGTATATTGTTATAACAGATCAATGCAGATCGAGAACATGACGGAAATAGACAAATCATAACCACTTTCCTATTGAATACTAGAGATCGCCAAATAGTCTTACCAGACCTCCAATTTTTTGGCTCGCAATATTGCATGATATTGTATTTTTCGTACTTTCCATATTTGTGTAATTTAGTGTGAGGCTCAGATATTCGTTAATTTTCAAATCGTATCTGATCTAAATCTATTTAATCATCACATAGACATTATGAGAAATAAATTTAACAGAATTATATTTGAGAGTTTGATAGGTTTGCGACATAGGAAAAGGTTCAGTTTTCACGTCAAATTTAGTATTTTATCAATACCACAAGTAAATTTTTTTAAAAAAACCTATAAATCAATTCAGATCTTGAGGTAGTCATCAGGGTCCATGCCAAAATATGGATATAAAAGCTAACAATTAAATACTGTCAGAAACAAAGTTCAGGACTTGTTTGATGTGTGACCCGTAGCCAGCCAGCCATATCAAAACTTTAAATCACAAGCAACTCACTCAGAGTCAACAAAATTTTTTTCAAAATTCATTGTTAAAGCTAGTCAGTCATGAAGCAAACAAATCAGAAAAAAACACTTCGAGATTGTATAATGATGCAGCCCTTTAAGGAGACTAATATAAAACAATGAAGGGGCTTAACACGAAAATTTTATGTTGATTAATGTAATACTGAACTCACCATCTACTTTTCCAAATAATACATTCATGATTAGTTGTAACTTAGTATATGTGAGGATTCAAAAATTTTTTGCATTTCAAGGAATAACATTGTAAAACTCATTGACAATGATAGCGCGATACTCAAAGAAATTATATACACTGGCGGGCTTTTAACACAGGGAAGGCTCATTTGTGGGGTAGTCATATCATCGCAATCTCATTTTAAACCAATTTGAATTTTAACTTGATCCAATAAGTTGTTTTCGATTGTTATGACTTATTTATAACTTATTTATGAACATTCGGAATCCAAATGTCTGACAAGCTTGGCTCGGTGGGAACCATTTTATTTTTAATTTTGCACCAAAAATTGAAATTGGGAATTTATCTTTAATCAATATTCAGTCATCAAACTTTGCAGGTGTATCGTAAACTTGACGGTGGAGAGAATATATCGGTCAAGCCAGATTCGGAAAGTCTGGTAAACCTGGCTCGGTGGGATGCATTTCATTTCATTCCAAATTTTGCACCAAAAATTCAATTTTGGGAATTTCACCTTAGCTCAATAATCAATTATCGATTAGTGCAGGTTTATAGTGAAATTCATGGCAGAGACATAATCTAATTGCATTCAGAATCGAAAAGTCTGGTAAGTGTGGC